ACTTACGGCAAGATTACGGTAAACTGTTACGCACTTGCTTCCGGGTCGTCGCTATGTTAGAAGACTTGCTGGATTATACTTGCCTGGTTGCTGACTTCCAACCTCAACGATCTGTCTCTCAACCGTACCGTTGCCTAACAGGCCTTATACGGGCTAAGTCCTTTTGAGGGTATCGAGGAGCGATGCCAAGTAGAGCGCCGATCAAGTCTATACCGAAGTATTGGCTTAGATCGTAGTGTTGTCAAGTGATAACTAAGTTGTACGAGTCACGAAGGTTTCCAAAGGTAGACACAAGTAACAATGGATGATTGAACACGAAGAACTAAACTAGATACATGAGGTCCTATATATCCCTAGTTCTTTCTTGGTAGAATGGTAGATGGTAGACTGGTAGATGCGCCTTGGCAGGATCTACTTGTAAACCACCATACCCATCTACTACTTGCATGATCACGTGGTTAGGCTGACGTAATTCCGATATTCTCATGGGGGAGAATATGTGTTTGTGCTGAGGGGGCCGTAAGTGGCCCTATCGGCACCTAGCGTTGTGGTGTAACCTTCCTGACTGTTCGTCACGTGATCCTGGTGGGTTGGTTGATCGACTGGTCCATGACCGCCCATCAACAAGTTGCGGTCCCATACTGATTGGTGCCTGGTATGTCCGTAACATAAACGTAGTAAGTATCACCCCACACGATATTAGTGATAAGGTCTCTATCTATCAGCGGTACTTTAACGGCAGTGTAACTCTATACGGGAGGCGCCGTAAGCAATAATAATATTAGTTCTATATCAAGACTCAGAGTCTAGCGAATGATTTCGCTCGGTTATATAAGAGTTCCGTCTTTTAGTGCCGTATAGAGGTCGTTAAGACGAATCACGACTAATCCAATATTATCGACAATCTAGTCGTCGGGCTCTCGGTACTGCTTTACGTCTTCTAAGAGTTATTTCATGATTAGAGCGTTATATTTCTCTTAGTAAATAGTGCTAATACTCTAGACCGATATTAATTAGTATAACTATTTTATAGACAATACCTCGGTAGTCAAGGTATAATTATAGTATAAAGGGACTCACAATTTATACTCGTAGATTAGTAAATAAGTTAAGGCCTTTACGTCGGGTAAGTTATTCTAATCCTCGATATTCGATAATTTTGACAGTACCTTCACGTCGGGTAAGTTATTCTAATCCTCGATATTCGATAATTTTGGCAGTACCTTCTATATACTTTATCTAACGGTCAATAAAAGAATTATTAGTGTAGGTCATAACCTAAGTTTAGCTTCTATTAGTAGAGTAATATATAAAGCTAGAGAAATTAGTAATTAACTTACTTTAAATATACCTAATAAGACTACCGCCGCTAGAATATTATCTCTTTAGGATAAAAGAGGGTCCTATATTTTAGGTTATTAGGGTAGGGATCATTTAAAGAAATGATAAAAACAAAGTGAGATTAAGATTGAAGATAGATAAATCAGAGAAAAATAGATAATTCTTTTTTGCTAGGTAATCCTGCTCAATTTAAGTTAAATTTCTCTATTCTTCCTTTTTGATGCTTTCGGCTTATTTGCTGCATTCGTAGGAATCCTAGATTTATATTCTTATTGTTGTATTTTGAGGTTTCCTCGGATTTCCGGATACAGTTTTCCTAAAAGCGGTTTATCATGCATTTTTCTGTGTTCGTAATTCTTCCATGTTTTTCTATAGTTCTTTGCTCTTCTTTGGAATTCTTAGATATTCCATATTTTCTATTGTCTTGTTCCTTTTTGTATGCTTGCTTGTTTTAGAGTCTTCATGGAATTCTTGAGTATGGTGTTTGCATATATTGTTTTTCTATTTGAACTTGTGTTCAAGTTCTTGTGTTATATGGTACTTATGTTTGTAACTTCTGTTACGTCTCTTTTTTCTTGTGTTAAGTTTTCTTTATGTGTTTCTTCATGTTCTTATTCTTTTGTTAAATCTTGTTTTGTTATATATTGATAATATTGATATCATAATATTGATAATGACGCCTTAGGCTCCGGTCGTAACCCTAACTAGCCTTATTGGCCGCACCCTATCAAAACGATCTCCGATTTTCAACCGCGAATTACTCAATAACTATATGACTGCGTAATCTGAAATTGAAATAGGGGATATTTTACTACGTCTATTATAACTTCCTAAGTTTTTAGATTGATCGGACGTCAAATTAAACCTGCAGTCTGGCGTCGAAAAAGAACCTGCAGTCTGGGTAACGCCAAGCTTTTGCTCCCATAGTTAAGGAAAAACCCTAACCTGCAGTCTGCCAGACTGCACCACCCCCGTGGGATAGAGGACTATATGATCTAAGATTTAAATGGGAGATATTAAACTATATCTATTATAACTTGCCAAAGTTTGAGGTCGATTGGACGTTAGACTAAACCTGAACCCTGGCGGGACCCACTTTTTTTCTCCCATAGTGAAGGAGAAACCCTAACCTGAACTCTGCCAGAGTTCACCACCCCCCGTGGGATAGAGGATCTGCTCAGAGCTATGGTGGCATTTGAACCCGGGGATCGACCCACAGTAGACTAACTACTGAGGTCCGAGTATATGGTTGAATGGGCGTTACATGCATAGGAGAGGAAGAAGAGGCAAAAAAGATAAGAACATTGGAGCGAACTCACTCCGCAGACGAGGAGCAATTAGCCTGTCTATGCCGGAGTAGACTGGAAGACAGGCCGACCGATGTGTACTATCCTAAGAGTGCAGCAGTAGCCAGTCATATAGAAACATTTCAGTAAACTACTAATTCCACATCCAGCTTGTAAATCAGCATATGTCCAGTGGTCTAATAAGGTGCCCAATATGGAGGAGTGCATCGCTTGGAAACCTGCAGCCAAGACACTCCTAATTACAATACGTGACACGCGGTATTTTATGAATGGCTTGGCCCTGTGGGGCGGCTGACTAAGAAATTGTAGTATGTAAGTTGCCTGCAGCCAAAAGCTAAAACAACAAAATCCGACACTTTCCCCTTCCAAATATATCACCACCGCATGCCATTTGGACAAACTATGCTGTCCACCACTACAAAATTCCTCAGAACAAATAGAATGCTCCTCAACTCGGCAATCTATATTGCAAACTTGCACATCACTGCCAGCTCCCTAGTCCAACCTTCTCAACGCTTTACACAGAGATACCACTGGCAATTTCGAAGAATGGCTTCATCAAACTCCTCGGCAAGCACACATGAAAAAGTACTAGCGGCACTAGCGAGGTTGACTAGGCGCGATCAACCTCGAAATCCGTCTAAACGGACCCCGAACAAGGAATCTCGTAATAACCTCGCTGATTGCATCGAGAAAGCTCAACAAGAAGCTGGCCTACACACTTGGGGATTCCCTATTTACCGATGTACCTACAAAAGTGACGCCGACTGGGCCGAGCTTTTACGCAGGTATCAATGGCATGTCTCTCACTCGCTCAAATACTATAATGGCCTAGATATGCTTGATAGTCATCAGATAACCATCTTTGAAGACAAATCCCTTTTTGAAGATGCGAAAATAGCAACCATCCGAGAGCATTTTCAAAAATGGTCAACGAATGCTATTCAGGAGTTAGGGGGATCACCTGGAATGATCCGGGCGTTTAATGTTAGTGTTCCGCGTTATCGATTCTGCCTTTTTGTGAACGAAGAGTCTTTGCAGAGTGTTCTCCGAGCGCCGATTGATGACTGTATCAATAAGGATGCATTTGTGAATATGTTGTATGGTTGGTGGAAGCCAGAGTCTATTGAAGATTTAAGTCAAGAAGATCTTGAGGATGTTGATCAGCCAGAAGACTTGCTTGACGATGGCTATGAATCTATCGAAGGGTGCACTTTGAAGGATGTCGGGTGGATGAAAGTGGCCTTGTGTGACGCGGGGCTGGAGGGGTATCAAAAGATGGGGGAGGGTGGGGAGTGGGAACGGCTATATGAGCGTCCGCATGAAATTTGCTATAATATATCGAATTTCCATGCTCGGCGATAAACCAGGCACTTATGTTGAGCAAGAAAGTTTGAAAACAATAGATGCAATTCAAATTAAGGTCATGACTATCACATTTTCTGTATTGTATTTTACCTCTGTCAGAACCACCCCCACTGGTTGCTATAACGACATTTCATAGTTTAGTAGAAGAAGTTACCAATTGTTCGTAATGACTGTCAGTGTGCGGATGCGTTAGTCATTCCTAAGTCGAGGAATCTGTCTATTTTTATACTTCAATCGGAGATTCTCGATTATTTCCACCCATCATCTTCACTAGGCACCTACAGCCGCCTTTAGCCACCACTCCTTTGAATCATTCTACATTGAACATCAGTCCCCTGATGTGATATAACAAGCTCTTTTCTTTGATGCGGGCTAGCTAGCAGAATATCATTCGACTGGTTGTTTATTATGTCCCGCAATACTGCTAAAACATCCAACTAGGGGAACCAAATAGAATCTTTGCTACGATTTCACCTATCATAAAGTACTATACCTATGCTATTGCAAAGGGCAAGGGCTTACTTACCGAGATTAAGCCTTTTGGAAGCCTACTTTCATCGAACGAACAGACAGAAATACTTCCCTATGCCTAGTAAGAAGATTGTTAGATACTTTTCCAGCCCACCAAGATAGAATCCATGTTTTTAAGACCGTCAGAATAAGATAAGTGGATGCGTCAATAGGGGTTATTTCCGGCTGACACTATTCGAGTTGTTCACACATACAGGCGCCCGAACGCTGAAGGCGAGCGCCCTACCATAATGAAATCCCGGTCATTACAAAGCAAACACTTCTACGAACCACTAACCAGAGGCCATGGTTCGACGTTGCTACCCTGGTAAAGGTCCGGAACAGAGTTGAGTTCGCTGGATCGTCGGTGTTTTGAGAGCTTAGTACGTACGTGCTTCTTGGACCAGCTGCCATTTTCCTTTCTGTACCTGCATTGGAATTCTTGTCATAAGAAATGGGGAATATATAAATTTCCTACTTGATATCAATCGCGGGAAAATATTGCTCAACACTACGATCCAAAAGCTTGATTCCAACAGGCTTCACAAAGAACTCGTCGGCGCCAGCGCCGTGTGCCTCTGTCCTATCGGAAGGGCCATCCTGGCCAGTCACAATGAAAATCGCACTCTCCTTCCATCGGTGTCGCTTTTCCAGTAACCTAATTCGCCTTGTGGCTTCAATCCCATCACAAATTGGCATTTGAAGGTCCATTACGACCAATTGAATCGCAGGTCGCTCAAAGCTTGCCTGTGATGATTGATGCTGGGAGAATATTTCCACAGCCTGAAGGCCGTCGGCTGCACAGCAGTATGAGAATCCACGCTTAGTACAATACATCTCCAGTATGCGCAGGTTGACCGCGTTATCGTCGACAAGCAAGGCTGTAGGCTTGAGAGACTTTTTGGACGGGCTTAAAACTGGTGACAAAATTCCCGGGTGTGACAGACTATCAAGCCTGGGCTCGGCTTTATTCTGCGCTGATGATGGAGAAGACATCTTGAAACCGACTGTTGTTTGAAGTGGTAGCTGAGCCGTCCAGGTTTCCGTGGAACATTTCACATCTCGAGGTTTCACACCTTCGTTTCTATCCTGGATTTGCTCTTCTGTCGGTGACTTCAACGGAGTGTGCAGAGTCTCCAAATTTTGGGAACGACTTTCTTGTGAGTTTTCAATTCTCGAAAATAGTTTATCGGCGTCTTGAAGAGCTTGACTCATTGTCGAAGTCAAAAAAGGTCCGTTCACATAGACTACATTATCAGGCATGTGGACAACGCAAGACTTCTGTGATGCTGGAACCAGACAGATGGCGACTCGATTTTTGGAAAGGCTTGACAACTCCGCGCGGTGTTGTGCTAAATCAGGCGTCAATTGTAGGACGGCAAAACTGTCTTCGATGATGTTAGAGTCGTTCAATCCAAGATGTAATAGATAATTGGCGAAGGCATTGCATAAAGATTTGCAATCCGCATGAGGCGCCATGATGTGAAATCTGGAAGGTAAGTGTTCCAATCGAGAGACCAATGACTGGGCTGATGAATTTGAACAAAGGTACTCAACTTCCCGAAAGGTGGCTCTGAAATGTGAACCGTGATTGAGTGAGGAAGATATCAATTCTATAGACCCGTGCAGAAGTGTTGCAAATTTCGTTGCCAAAGTTAGGCCTAAGCCAGCACCCGGTGAGTGTACGCCAGCCTTTTCGTATGGTTCAAATATACGTTGCTGGTAATCGGGATGAATTCCACAACCAGTGTCCTTAATGTCGACAACGAGCGACTTGCTTTCTGGCGTTATAGAGACAGATACGACAACCATACCCTCGGGCGTGCTTTGAATGGCGTTCAACAGTAGAGGAAGTAGGCTGTCGCGAAGCAGATTGAGGTCAATTCGAAGACGGTCGCAGCGCTCTGGCAGGTCATGATTGAAGATCAAAGACGCATTGTAGCGTGTATCACCAGAAAAAGCCTTGAGCACTTCATCTGCTAGACCCTGTTCGAGTTCGTGAATTGTGTGGACGAAATGACGGCGATCTCCCATGGCAGTGTCAGTCCAGCGATTCAGTGTTATTATGCTGTTCACAATCGCATTCAGATCTCGACTGGCAGTTCTGATGGTGTTTAGATGAATGGAGGGTCCAAGAGGGTGCGCCTGAGTTGTTTCCGATGCTATAGGTCCGGGGTAAGAAGCGTCACCTGTCTCGCGCAAAGACAGCTCTTCGGTGAGGAGTTCCACGGAACCCAGAATTCCATGAAGAGGCGTCCGAAGTTGATGGGAAAATCCTCGAAGAAACTTCTCTTTCGTTGTCATAACATCCGCCAGAAGACGTTTTTGCCACATCTGAGAGATAATACCTGCGGTGGTGTGAAGGAACCAAGAATCAACATCATCAAATATAAACCGAAAGTCTTTGGATGCTACAATGAGCAGGGATGATCCTGACACGGTATTGCATGGAGCAGCGATCGCTCGCACTGCCCGAGTGCATGGGAGCTCTTGGTTGTTTGAGTTCACGATAAAGTCATCGATGTATTCGGTGTCTTCCCACAGGCCATTTTCAAGGCAAGACGGTGTAATCGAACTCTGCCCTTCTAACTCAATACGTGCGGCCTTGGAAGATTGCATCGTGATGACTGCATCTGGGTATGCGACCCGTAGAATCTCGAGAACGGCCTTCTCGGAGACCGGGGCTTCCACGTCACGTTGTATTGCAGAGAGTAGTTCAATCATTTGACGCCGTTCTCTTTGCCTCCTGGCTTTGGCATAATGGACTATATCGGAAACGACCCAGTCTGCCAGTCTGACGAGTGTCTGTTGTTGGGCTTTGGTCAAAGTCTCCTGGGCCGTGGAGGAGGCTACGCAAAGGGAACCGAGTGAAACGCATTCTCCTGATTCATCTTGCAAACGAAGTGGTGCACCTGCATATGCTCGTAACCCGCCCGACTCGAGGTATGGGGACTGTTGAAATCGCCAGTCCTCCATCAGATTCGGCAAGAGGAAGACACTCTAGAAAAAGCGGGTAAGCAACTTTGAGATCAGAGATCCAAAATCTCGCAACTTACGCTCGGGGGCTGAGTGACCGTGTGGGCGCATATCGTCTCCCCGCGGGGAAGAATGCCAAGCGGCAGTCCAACGGTGGATAAGCGAATGTAGAAATTGACATCTTGAATGCCGATCACCGCAAATTCCCATCCGATCGATTCCTGAGCAAAGCATGCCTTCTCCTGGAGTCCAGCGAGTAGGTCGCTTTGTTGTTCTATATCGCGGGTGTAGTACCACAGCATCGAGAGCCGAAGCCTTTCATTGTGGGCCAGATAAGGTCGGGGATATGGATCTGAGAAGCACGACGGCCGGTTGGACACTGTTGACGGCGCATAAGGCTCCGGGTTTGGGGGATATAAAGATGTTTCTACTTCGGAGGAAGCCGGTTTAATTGGTTCATCGAATCTTGAGGGGTCGAGAATGGGGCCAACGATCCGCGGTCGTATCGGTGAAGGGCGGCTGGAGGCTAAGATGGGGGCATCCGCCTTGGGGAAATAGGGCACCCCCGGTAGGTAAGGGGTCTCATCCATACAGTATTCACCGGAGATACCGTGGGGCTTTAATGGATGAGAGAAAAAGATTCAGCGGTGCAGATTCCGCCAAGCACGGGAAAGCGGTGGGTGCAGGTGAAATCGGCAGATCAACGTTGACTGGTGGAATGCGCTTCCGCATCAGCGCGAATTGCCACAGGACATGGTGAACTCCGATCAGGGGAGTTGGACGCAGTCGAGGGTTTCTCGAGGGTCTTGAGAGGGTCTTGAGAGGGTCTCGAGAGGGCCTCGAGAGATGCTCTCGATGGTGTCAGGGAGGGGGAGACTCAGGCATGGCGGGGGAATTTGCGGTCTAAAGCAAATTCTGGCCAAGGTCAGGGATCTGGTTTGCTGGGAACTTCAGAAGAACGACTGAGCCTGGTGAATCCTTGTTGCCCCATCGTTGGCACGGAAGCATGTAAATCGAAGACGCAGCAGAGTCTGTCTCGGATATATCAATCACCACGTTCCCCACGCACTTGTGTATTTCCTGTGAAGGCGTTGTTGGTCGTGCTCTTCTCTACAAGGTCTTGGTCGTTCTAGTTTGCTGTCGTGGGCTTTCTCCGGACCGGCCTACAGCACGCCGTAGCAAGCCAGATGTTGGATCGACATGGAAACTGTCAGGATGGAACTTACCAAGCCAGGACCATCCCACGCCGAGATTCTTATCAGCGGAGAGTTCCAGGCGGATTCTCGGGGGATCAACACCCTGAGATCGACATGAGCCGATATACTTCAACCTAGCCTCAACAGGGTAGACGTTGAGCGTTTAGAGAATGGATATAGTTAGGATCTGCGTGTCCGATAAGAAGATTGACAAAAAGCAGTGACATTAACCATGGTGCACAAAAGGCCCCTCGCTTCAATATTGACTGATCCTGGTTGATCCTGACTGACACTGGTTGACCCGAGTTGCCCCCGGTGCACACAAGACCAACGGTCACTTCCCACTCGATCTTATAACTAAGAATGGTTTCATTCATAGGACAGCCTCTATACCAGTCTGTATAGGATGACTCCGTCTCCCGCCGCTATTGCCGCATGTAGTGATGTCAGACTCCGCTTCTCCAGGAGGATTGACGTGCCCATGGGGATGGCTGAGTCTCAACCCCACTTGAGTGGAAAGAAAAAAAGAACCCCACCTTGGCAGTGTCTGATCTAGCCATTACACGGTTTGATGAGGTGTTTCGGCTCTGCTAAAGTTATTCGAAGGTTGGCCCTGGAGAAAACATGGACTGCAGTGATGAACCACGTGTTATGGGTCGGCGCATCCAGTGCAGCAGACGTACAGGATGAAGAGGCGTATCAGGCAGCTGTGCCAGAAGAAAGTTGAACGGCGGAACTCCGCCGATTTCGACCTCATCCACAGAATGCCAAGGTCTGAAGGTGGTCAGCAAGGCTCGGCATCTCTCCAAGGGGTGCGGCCCAATCATCCCGAAACATGGAAATCGAGGCTGTGCTATCAAAGGGTCATTTTTAGCGTTCAAAGATCAGACTAGCTGAGGAACTACTGAAGACCGCCGCTGAAGATCATTCTTGGCAAGATTTCGGTCGGTGCTTAAGAGCCACAACCGGACTAGGTAACGTGGACGTGTCGATCCCTTGGCGAAAAAAAAAAGAGCGACTGGCGGTGCATTCCAAGACAGAAGTTAGCTTACCAGCTTAGATCACATGTATGTTTGCACAGCAAACCTATTGAACAACGACGTGCAAGGATCATTCAAATAGATCATATCCACAGGCTTGGGAATTCGGACCCAGAGCATTGGCGCCCAATTTCCAACCAGGCTATAAGCTCGCCGCAAGCATTGTTCAGTGCCCACAGCGTGCAGGTCCTCAGTTAGCTACAATGAGTATACTCAAACCTAGCCAAGTGACGAAACCGAGTCTTGCCACACCCCCGCCGGCAAATGCAAACTGGGGAAGAGAAACCCTCCGAGCGTCATAGAGTTCCATCCATCTTCAAGATCAAACGCGGAACTCGCATGCAGCAATGATGATCGGTGGGCCAAGACCTCGCCGAGGCTCTGCCAAGGTTGTAAATGCGCGATGGATCCATATCATGTCTAGAGCAAGAGATTAGGCTTCCCAATTGAACAAAGAACCATCCTTTACCGTAAGCCCTTCGTTCCTAGATAGTAGCTGCTCACATTTGGTGGGCGAATTCAGGTGGTCTAGACCTTCTCAATGCATTTACGCTGTCAGATTCACTGTATATCTAATACTAGGGCCACGCGTATGCGTGCAGCGTAAGGATAAGACGAGAAGCCCTGTTTCACCTCGTGTACAGTAGGTTCGCTCTTATCTTGGCAGCGACCCTATTTATTCCTTAGATGGGAAGGATCGGAAGCCGCACGAAAACAGGGTCTGTACCAAGAAAGAGACAGCACAAAAAGAAATAATTATTGGAAACGCCATATTCATATATATACCGGCCAATTCGCCGGGCTTTTAGCTTCTCATAAACACACATAACCTCGGTCTCTACTTGGAGTTGATCGGCTACATTACTTATATCAAGATAAACTTCAAAATGCAGCAGCAATCCTCTTCTTCCCCAGGGAACATAGAGCGACCAGCTTCCGCAGGGGGTGCCAATCGTGGAAGTCAGAACATATTCCAGGATGCCAACCCTACACTGTCCTCCGATATGAATGCTACCGGTGAAGAATCAAAGTATACACCAAGGCATTGGTCGTCTGGAGGCAGCACAACAGTCTCTCTTTCTAGCAACCAAATTGCGGAAAGTATGACAGTGCGTTCAACCATAAGCCGTCACTTTCGGACCAATATAGATACCAAGCATACCGATATAGTCCTCATAATATGTGGATTTGTTGGCGGCCTGGTCGATGGGTTGTCATTCAACGCGTGGGGCAGCTTTTCGAGTATGCAAACAGGTTAGTTTTCTCTATCTTCAAATGTTCATACAAAAGTCTCGAACAGATAATAATGTACCCAGGAAACACTGTTTTTCTAGCTCTAGGTCCTTCCGGTCAGCCTGCCTACCCGGCGTATCTATGGGCCAAGTCCCTCATCGCACTGAGTGTCTTTATTACAAGCAACATTTTCTTCATTCACCTTCATCGAATCCTAACTCCACGACGTCGTTCAACAATGGTTTTATCGTTCACTATTCAGACATTGGCTCTTCTGGCGACAGCAGTCCTCATTGAGCTCGGTGTGATATCCCCTAAGCCGGAAGATCCACGTGCCCCTATTGAATGGATGCAAGTTCTCCCGATTTCCCTTTTGTCTTTTCAGGCGGGAGGGCAGATATGCGCATCCCGAATTCTTGCGCTGGATGAGATCCCTACAGTGGTGTTGACGACACTTCTATGCGACTTGCTTGTCGATCCAAAACTCACAGCGAAAGTGAACCCAAAGCGCAATCGAAGGATTGGTGCTTTTCTGGCCTTATTTCTTGGTGCAATGACTGCAGGTGGGCTTTCGAAGGTCACCGGTATGGCTTCAAGTATATGGTTTGCAATGGGGTTGAAGCTAGCAATCACGTTGGGATGGGCTGTCTGGAAGCCAGAAGGGAGAAATAAGAGCAGCGTGGAGGTCTGATATATGGTGAGACCAACCTTGATCTAATTTCCAAATAAAGTCCTGTTTTTCATTGTTTTGTTTTGCACCCTGTTTTTCACCGAGACGTATCATGCCCTGACATGACCTGGTCGCATTTTTGAACCTCCAACGATATTATGTCGGGACTATCCCCTTAGAACCATTGCATTTTCATTCGAGCCTTTCTTATTTCTATGACATTTCGCGTGAAATGTCGACTGGGCTCTAGCTATGAGTGTTAAGAAATAAATATCATGTTGTCAGACTCTGTATCAAAGTCGTCTCCCCCGAAGAGACCAATAACATTGATGAAGACAACAACATCCTTCAAAAATAATGCATATCATTCAATAGCAGCTATAAAGTCGCCCGAAACGTACTGGGTGCTCGCTGAAAGGTATCATTGGGCAAAGGTAAGATAATATAACCTTATTTGCTTCTACATAACTTTCATATTGTCGATGAAACCCCGCTAAATCAGCAGGAACTGTCAATATAAATTTGCGTGAAACAGGTGATAAATAGTAGGCCAAGGAACTTAATGTATTTTTTGCCATCTCGTCTCAAGTCTAATCAAAATCTAGTACTCCTGTCTATATAAGTAGCATCTAAGGGTATTCTATTTCATCTCCTGTCATCCGCCAGCACAAAATGCAAGACGCCGGGCTGAACACTTTCTCCCTTTTTCTCCGATACATAGATGCACTTTCGGAAAGTCATCATTAATGAGTATAAGAAGCCTTGCTCCTTTTCTTCATGGTAATTTTCTCCCAGCAGAGGCTGAATTGCCTTGGTGGCCTGTTCCGCCTTGTAGAAGGGGATGCGACTGAAGAGGTGGTGGACGACGTGGTAGTCAATGATTTCGTGGAAGAAATGACGACCAATGAAACCGGTCGTACGATCGATGGTTGCTAGTGCGCCTTTCGTGTAAGTCCAAGCCTCTGCGGTATAGTGTGGAACATCAGGATGGGTATGCTGAAGATATGTGATGGCAACTGTGAATCGAGTTAGTGGTTCATTCTTGGAATATCGCCCCATGCTCTGACGTGAGTTTTATATTATTAGAGAAGGAATACATACTCAGCCAGTGGTGCACCCATAGGTAGGGAATGACGTACAGGAGTACGACATTCCATGCGCCAATAATAGATGCGGTGTAATATAGAATAGAGCCCATTATCATGAGTCCGAGATCGGACAAGGCAATATATTTCCACTGGAATGGCGCGAAGAGTGCACTCGAGGGATTGTAATGACTGGCAAACTCGATCTTGTCTTTACCTTCGGGTCCGCTCTTTGTGCCAGCAGTCACATTCAAGAAGAGATAGAGTTGCCATCCCATCAGCTGGTGTCCAATAAGCTGCATGAAAGAAACAATGGGAGTTTCTTCGGCAAGGTGCTTCAATTTCTCAATCTGGACGTTCTTCTTGGTTGCAAGATCTTTGTCTGTCCAGGGAACAAAAACTGTGTCCTTTTCCATATGACCCGTATACCGATGATGCCGAGCGTGGGTAATCTTCCATGAATAGTAGGGAACCATCAGGAATGAATGGGTAGCCCATCCAATGAAGTCATTGAGGTTCTGATATTTCGAGAAAGCACCGTGGCCACATTCGTGCGCCAGGATCCACAGTCCTGTTCCAACACAACCCTGGAAGAATCCGTAGGTAGCCCATGCGACGATGCGAAGAGGCAAGGAAGGGATCAAATGAATGAATGAGGCGGCATAAATGAGAGTCGCGCAGTAGATTATGTCTCGGACCAGGTAAAGAAGCGAAGTAGAAAGAGACGATTCAAAGCACTCCTTTGGGATCGCATCTTTGAGAGCTTTCAAGGTTGGAACGTTCTGCGAAGATGATACCAGAAGTTAGCCAGTGTATAGCAAGATTGCCTGGAAAAGCCCCAAGACAGCAATGCGACATACCTCATCTGCCTGCTTGGCAGGTTCAGTGTTGAACTCAGCCATTTCGAAAATGAAGGACAAAAGATCACAGAAAGCTACACAGTATACGGAGGGAATCCATTAGACTTTGTAGTCATCCTTTTCCCTTTCTTTTTTTTTAATATTTCCACTATTTTTTTTTTTTATCAACTAGAAAAGTTTTCCCTCTCCCGTGAAACGCAGCACTAATCTCAAAAAGAGCAAAGGGGCTAGATTTACCTTACCATCCCAACTCCTATTTTCCAATTTTGTTCCAGAAAACTGTCAAAGTTGATGCACAGACAGGAGATTTATATTCTGATTGGCTGATCGGTTCTCGGGTGGACGTGTTAGTCCATGGATTTACTGTGCACTAGCCAGTTTTTTTTTTCAACGTTTTTCCGAGATCGGCCCCAACAGATTTCTGGCTGTTTTTTTTTGTTAGCTATAGTATATCCCCTCTCGGACACAGAGCCTGCTGCGCATGGGATTGCGAAGCGATACCTGGACTTTCCTGTTACAGATTGATTCTATATATTCTGGATTTGGCCCGACAGCACAGCCCGCTGCCCCTTTTCAAAGAGAGGCGACTTGGATCAGGATCCACTTGGCCACAGTTGGGAAAAGTCAAACGTTGATTTCTTGGCGACCAATTAATTGCCCCTGGACTGAAGGGGGCAGTAGGGGATCTTCCATTGAATATGATAACGTTAGTGATTTCTCTATGTAGTCGGCGTGATTCCATGAGGGATAGGAACCATTCAACTGCCAAACACCAAAAGCAATCAAAGAGACCAAAATTCAAGAGAAATTCGCAAGTGATTGACATCGCGAAGCGCTTAGGCCCTCGGATACTGAACCAGTGGTTCTCGTATTCTTTTATTTCCGTGACCCGAGCCGGACATGTGTTCGTTGTTCGAACCTCGGATTCGGAGCCAGTAGACAATAGTTTGAACTGCTAACGCAATTGTTCGCCCCAAAGTCATAGGATCCAGCAGTCTTCGGTTCAGGATATTCAAATGTTGCCCACGATGCACGATGTTCAAGAAAGTTCTCGTGAACGATACAATCGCAACGATTTTCATATTAGGCGGCAAATTGGAGGCATCCCAATTCGCAAGTAGACTGGCTACTGTACTGATAGTTGCTATTAATGCCAGAAACCGAGGCCGGAAAAGGACCAAATGCGGTGTGGTCCCACGTGGATTTCATGGCAGTTCGGCTTCGGGTCGATCGTAAAAGTCAGGAAAGTCAGTCAAGGGATCGCGACGATGAGACTCAGCGCACTAAACCTGTTTAGCAAATTACTCGCTCGCTATTAGTAATGATAGGTGCCCCCCGGGGCCCCTGAACAGAAGGCTACTGAGCTAATGGCACCGTTGAAGCTGCAAAGGAGATAAAACCAAGACATTGCCGAAAGAAGCTCCCTAGGTTGGTGTCCTAACCATACGGCATCGCAACGGCTGCACAATTTAAGGCAAAAAAGCCGCAAGTTTGCCCAGTCAGAGGGTTCAAAGTGCCCAATCATGACTGCCCTAACAACATCGGTCACGATGTACGGAGTGTATCTTCGCTGAACACAATGAGCAGATTATGTCTGATAATGCAATGTAAGGAATGATGGACATTTATCCATTAGATCCGTCCGATGGCGCTTTGTAGTGTGTTAGAAGGTGGTTTTTAATGCATCTACTCTGTAGGGTTGATGGATCTAGCCCACCATCTGCAGGGGGACTTTTGCAGATCACACACATCAAATCGCGTAGTTGAATCATACCTGTAATCCAATGCGTAGGAATATATTTCCCCAAATATGAAGACCAAACGCCTCTTAGTTGCCAAAATGGTCGAATTGGCCCCCACGTGACCCACCCCCATTTCTCCGTTCTCGACTCGCTGGTCTCTCTTCAACTTCATGCCCAAGTCATCTGTCATGGATCACTCAGACGTGGCTGCCAGTCACTTTGTGATCTTAACTCCAAGACTGATCCTCGTTCCCACCCCTGTTGCAGTGGATCTGAGCTCATACAGAGCCCTCTACTCCAAACTCCATGCAGATGCAGCATTCTGTGAGATGGGCTTTGGTCATCATTTCCTACCTCGAAAATGGTCGGACCAAGAGACCCGCGATGTGATTCAAACACGCGACATCGACCGATGTTGGAAAGTTCGAGGGCTGGGGGATTTCGCTGTGGGGTTCCGCCCCTCCAAGCTAAACGCCAACCATTTGCCAGAAGCAGAACCCACCGGGGTTCAATTAGTCAAAGATCAAGAATCTTTGCGTCTTGCTGGGTTGAGTAAATCTGACCTAGCGGAGGTGGAATGGGCAGGGTATGCCGGCGTTCGGGATGCAACAACCACGTCAATGCCACCACGGGAACCTGGCGACGCCGATCTGCCACCCTGGGTCGAGATGATCGAAATACGCTACGGCGTCTCTCCAAGTCACTGGGGCAAGGGAATCGCAAAGGAAGCATCACAGGCGATCATGCAGTGGGCTGCCACTACAGGGGTGAAAAGATTTATCGCCGAAACAGAGAAGGAAAACACGCGAAGTGCAGGCCTTTTGCAGAAACTTGGATTTACTTTGAGTGAAACGAACTATTGGAAAGAACCCAGTGAGCTTGAATGGCATTGTACTGCTAAATAAATCCAAATGCCCCGTCGTCCTTTTGACTGTTATCTCGCTGTGGTGATTGTATCCCTCGAATTAAATATAACCATGTTTCAACCGAGTCGGACTATTGGCGTTCTCATTCGTGTTGGCATGCAACGCCTGAATTGCGTCAATGTCAGTGGGGGTTCTGCCTTTGATCTGCAGCAAATGAGAGGATGATTCCCACGAAAACTAACCCCAAAAGGCATTTCAAAACACTCCGAGCCACGATCCCGACAGAATCAAGTGAGGTGACACCATGGGACTACTTGCCTATAAAGAGGCGTTATGGCTCGAGCCAAGCTATAACACAAGCCTAGTAGACTCTGGAGTATTGTGATCCCCGTCGAAACTGATCATCTTCTGTCGCATTTCCTCAGAAAGACTTCTTGGAAGGAATATCACATTATGTCCCCGCGCTTTTCAACCGTGGCGGTTATTGGCGCAGGCCCATCAGGCATATCGGCCGTGAAAGCTCTACAAGAAGAAGGTGTTTTTCGAAGGATACGCGTCTTCGAGAGACGCAAAGAGAGTGGAGGAATCTGGCACTATGACTCCACGCCCGAGCCCTTTGTGGCTCCAGGATCACCGACACAAGCACCGGTCAAAAAGCCATCGCGACTCCCACAGCTACTGGCACCGGCCGCTGACGATCTCAGTTCTCGTACGGCAATTTATGATGGTCTTGACAGTAATGTTGGTGCAAAGGCTATGGCATTCACCCACACGCCCTTTCCCCAGCACAATTCTGCATCGTCTACCAGGAATCTCGGACCTCGCAATCCAACGAGACCATTTCGGGTGGTGAGAAAGTACCTGCAGGATATATTCAAAGATTACACTCATCTTGCATCTTTCAATACGACCGTGGAACAAGTGGAGAAGAGGGATGGGAAATGGACCCTGACCCTTCGACAGTCAGGCCACTTGGATAACAACTCTCTCGCTGATTATTGGTGGGAAGAGCAGTTTGATGCCGTGATTGTTGCATCCGGGCATTATAGCGTGCCTTTCATCCCGGATATTCCAGGGTTAACGGCCGCTCTTGCACTCCATCCAACGGCATTCGAGCATTCTAAGGCATTCCGGAACGCAGACAACTATGTTGACAAACGTGTTGTTGTTGTCGGAGGCAGTGTATCATCCGCCGATCTTGTCGCGGATCTCCATGCCGTTGTCAAAAGTCCACTAGAGCTGTCCCGCAGAGGACAAAACGAAGCCCTTCAATCTGCGTGGGAATTGCCCAATGTCCGACAAAGGCCGACAATTAAAGAGATACTGGCACACAAGGAGGGATTGGTCGTGAAGTTTTCTGACAACACGATCGTAGAGAAGGTCGACAAAATTATTTTCGCTACGGGGTACACCTTGTCCTATCCTTTTATCGTACCGAACCCGGTCAGTCCCAACAACAGGCTGGTAGGATTCTACCAGCACATTTTCAAAATAGGTGATCCTTCCTTGGCTTTGGTTGGCCAGGTCCGCGCTGGGATCAGCTTTCGAGTGTATGAATACCAGGCTGTTGCAGTTGCCCGATACTTTGCCGGAAGGAATGCTGCGCCTTTGCCGACACCAGCACAGCAGGATCTTTGGGAAACCCAACGGCTTCAATACAAAGGACATACAGCTTTGTTTCATGAAATCAAGCCTGACTTCAGCGACTACTTTGCTTTTTTGACCGAGCTAGCAGGAACAGCCGCAGTGGAAAGCAACAGCTACACGCTTCCTCCTTGGGAGGATCTATGGGCGGAACAGGCTTTTGAGATTCTCCAACTCAAAGAAAAGTACTGGAAATCACTTCAAAGGGGAACCGGTGCAGTGCAGACGGCGTCAAAGCTATAATCCTGGGTTTCGTGGCGGATAGTGGCGTGTTTTCCTTGTCGGTATTGTTTCATCTACCACTTTCAAGCAATATCACCACGCCCATGTCCCTTCAAAAGCTTCATAGAAAAATGCGTCAAAGACTGATAATCCAATGGCACCCACTGGCGGATGTGGGTTGACTTCGTAGTTGTCAGCCTGCACTTCCTTTGACCAACCCACAACACCTGTGTGCTGAAGGTCGGCACTTGATAGTTCTATATCAGAGAATTCGCTTTTGTTCATAGCTCCTGGATATCTTGAAAGATCTTCCAACTCCATGTAGTCCAAATTCGTTCCAAGATGGTCACTTTGAGCTGGTTGCTTCAGGTAAGCTTTTTGAGAAATATCTGCATGACGAGGCCGATTAAGTGTTGTGAACCAAATGCCATGATTGTTCTGTTCCTGTAGTGATTCTCCCTCGCCTGCCAATGGAAAAGAATCCAGGACACGCGGCATTTCAGCTGAAACAGACCCCAACGATAAGTGTTCAAGTGATTTTATCTGACGCATAGAGTTTGTCACATCTATGGATGGACAAACTTCAAGGGTCCAAGGAAGTCTAGTAATACCCCCCATGGCAGGCAAATCACGAACTACTCCAGGAAGGTTATGAGCAGATGGCAATTTTCCGAAAGAAAGGCTATAGTCGACCGATGTTGATATTAAAAGGTATGCTCTTGGGCAGCGGACAAAGGTATCCTGCCAGCTCTGTGGCTGTTCAGGTTCCCTTGGTTGTGATGTGATATTAGGATGGTGTTGAGGTGAGAGTGTTGTTATTGCAGCCATGTTCTTTGGCGTCTGCGAGCGTGTTTCGCCTGAGAAGAGATGGTGTGTCGTGGTATAGGCCAGCTGAAGGATATGGTTCGTTCCGACCGCGACAAAGTCGGTGACGTTGTAAAGCATTTCCGATCGACGAATAATCAGGCTAATGGATTCTAGGCGCTTTTGCCTCAGTTCCATTTCTCCGCGAGAAGGGGACAATTTCAAGTCTATAGCAGCTAGGACAAGTGGCATGCTCACATACACAAGGCTGGGAGTGTTGTTAGCGGAGCCCTATATATTGACAGAAGAAAAGAAATGGAGATATAGGAAACGAAAGTCCACTAACACGCTCAACGGAAGACTATAAGCATCGTTGTTCATACCAAAGTATTCCACTACGGTCGTCAGACCTGCAATGGCCACACTCAGATCGTTGCTGATTTCTTGAACCCAGTCTGTATAGTTCTCTTTCGCGTAGAATAGATTCTCTTCTATTACCAGGGCCTCGTATTGAGCCAAATCAACTCGGGCAGCGCTAAATGCGAGAACTGAAAGTTAGGGTCTGACATAGTAGGACGATGCGGAGGCCACGAACTGATAGTACATGACGGTCAAATTTATTAATGTCGCGGTTGGGTCGTCGCCTTCAGGTGTTAGGCCCCCGGGGATGGCGAATGGCATGGATTTTTTCCAAGTGCTGAGCGACTCTTTGATGGCTTTGATATCTAACATCAATCTTTGAAACTCAATAGAGGAAAGCAAAGACTTTCTGGTCTGTGACGTGTCAAATATGAGACAAAACAGGTTGGTCAGAAGCGCTGCTAAGTTACATTGTCGCCGGAACGCTATGAGTAGGCTCTGCTTGGTCTCATAATTATAGACCAGAGAATTTTGCATCTCATCTTCAAAGTCCTTTTGGTCTGGCAAACCCGTCCCAAGAAGGATGCTCGACGTGATCTGTGGACGACGGTGAAGGCCAATACAAATACTTCGGTCGCGAAGCAGAATTGACCACCAGAGGCGCTTTTTTAAAGATTCGCCCACAATTTCCGGCTGTGATGGTCGAGCATCAATCCGGAGGGTGTTTTCGATGGCTCTCGTTAACCATAGACTCCCGGCCCAAGGGTGTTCTGCCGAAGTGTAATGTGAGAGCAGAACAGCCCCTTGTGCGGTTGCATGACAAGTCTTTTCGGTTCCTAGCTCAAATAGTAACTATACTCGAGATCTCTGGATCAATCGCCCGTTCCTCGGAGGCTGACAGGAAAACACCCACCTTGGCTCGGTTGTAGAGTTCCTCACGGGCATCTCTCCTATTATTGAATCCACACCGACGCAAAATTCCCGAACCAACCAACTGATTTGCTGTGAGTATCGTGTAAAATTACTTAACGGGGATCTCACGTACCGGACAGCTTGCAAAAAGCATTGCCTGAAACACAAAAAGTGACAATTTCCGACCGGTACTGGGATCAAGATAGGAGCGCCAAAACTCGGCTTCGTCAAGCACAGGAACGAGTGGATGGATTCTTTTGAAGTAATGCTTCACGAATTCATCTGTTGCCTTTGGATCCGGTAGGCTTAAACAACCCTGACGATCAAGAATCATTGTTTCCGAGGACGACAGTACTAACAACTGGTCGGAATCAATGAACTCGTAGTCTTCATATGACACGCTCGAATATCCTGAAGGGTCATTGTGGTGGAGCCGATGCCAGCTCTCATATTGGGATTCCGTCGATGGCAACGACCTTGAGGGAGCTGAGCAGTTCTGGTCGGCAGGGGGACTGGATATCTCTTCACTCGGACCTCCCTTAGGTTCACGAGTTTCTGGCTGCTCTGGGGATTTACATCTGCCGAAACCGCGTCAACATGGCATCGCAAAAGAATCCGAGGGCAAGTCTGACTGTTTGGTTGTTTTCAAACGACGAATACAGTCTGGACGACCGTCCTGTCGACATCGAGTGCATGGAGATCCAAGAATCGAGGCATCGCACCGAACTTTGCGATAATGACACCACGAGCATGCATTTGGTGCTCTTCGTGTTCGTCGCAACATCACAGGGCGTATTCACAAAGTATGGCCTGGTGATCTTTGGCTCAAGAATGCGTAGGGAGTATCAGCACCGTCACTGACTGGTATTTTGATGTCTTCGGGGGGAAGACAACGATAAAATGTCCATAATCACTAGCAAACTACCCTGGACAACGTTTCACAGTCAGCCCTATTTCCCCCCGCAAAGGATAACCGCGGAACTCGGCTTCTCGACTGTGATCGCCGCAGTGCAGCTGATAGTCTGTTCCAGCTACGGCATTTGCGAAACAACGGGTATGCTACTGAAACAAGGTGAATGCAGCAAGCTAGTCATTCGATTTCCAGAATTTGAGCGAGAGCAATTCATGCTAAGGTTGACAGCTAGAATATAAGGACCTATGGGAGTGACGCCGAATATGACCGCTTTGGAAGCCAGAAACGGCTACCTTTCCACCCGTAACTTGAGATTTTCTTTAATTTGAACTATTTCCAAATCCGAGAGTAACTTGCGCCTGCCCGTTACTCCATGAAGAGGGAAACTTTGGGGCTCTATTGAACGAGGATGCGTTGTCAGCGAGGTAAGGTATTGCCAGGGCTGAAAGACCAATCATATATTTTTTTGGCGCAATGGATCCGGGGGTGTTCTCCTGGCTTCTTTGTTTTTTTAATAATCCATGACTGACATAGAAATAGTGGTCCATAGATCTCGAACGCGATATTGCTCGGATTACCCCGTCACGTTCATATCCCCCTTTCTCTGTCCAAGGCTTGCGCGACAATATGACCCCCAATCAAATGAAACTCGAATTGCTTCAAGCAGAAGTCGACGAACATGATCAGAGTTTCTTTCACCTCCTGGTCAACAGTCGGCACATAAAATATGTCACTATAAACCTTGGTCTCTATAGTGCGGACGATATGTGTTTCGGCCCCTCGCTGATGTCACTTCTACCCCCTCTTCCCGTTGGAGATTGGAACGATGGACTGGTGATCAAAAATGAAGTCAATGGCCAACCTCACTGTGCCCGTGCTATTCGGACCGCTTTCCCTGGCGTTAAAAACACCTGGAATGAAACGTCTGTTGATTATATGGAGATCGTGGTTGGAGAAAAGTTATGAACAGGCATTTATGAAGTCAGATGCAATTTGTTCGATGATGTGGTTGTGACCAAAATCGCTCGCTTTGATTGGGAGATCACATATCTAGAGACTGAGGCCACGGCTTACCAATGGATTGAGGGCTCTAATATCGGTCCACGATTCCTTGGCCATTTGACGGAAGAATGGCCATGTGATCGGATTCTTAATGGAACGCATCAAGGATGCCAGGCATGCTTGCCCTCGGGACCTTGAGTTCTGTCAGAAGAAATTGTCTCAATTACATCGCCTAGGGATCTTCCATGAAGATACAAACCGATTAAACTTTCTTATTCGTGGTTCACGGGCTGTTTTAATCGATTTCGACTCGGCACGGCAGTGTGGCGACCAAGATGTGCTTCTGAAAGAGCTCGAACAGTTACCGAATTCCCTAGAGGATCTATCACGTCGAGGTGGTAGAAGACTCCTTTGAATACTCCTTGCTGACTATGATCAGAGCTTTTGTCTCCTGAGTTGTTCATGATACTGTATATTCTAATTGGGATTCAGATGATGTGCACAGTACATAATGAAGCCGAGAGGATGGAGAACCGAAAGAGGGTGAGATTGGGTCTTGAAGTCGGGAGCATTGAGCAGAGGTTACGTGACGACGTAATTCACAGGTCCGCCGTTTACATCGGAACAGTTTCAGCCTACGAAGAGAATGCGCGATTTTTTGGGCCCAAACTGAAGCCAAATAGTGAAGCTATTGGCTTAACGAAAAACTAAAGCTTTGGACTGAGAAGCCCAGCTTCAATTTCCTTCTTGGCATCTTCCCTCAAGACTCGCTTCAGAATCTTTCCACTGGGGTTTCTTGCAATGGCACCCACAAATTTGACACCCCCAGTAAGGGCTTTGTATTTGGAAAGCCGCCCCAAAACATATTGTTGAACGTCTTGCTCGCTCAGTTTTGATCCAGCGTCACCCGACCGTCGAACCACATAAGCCCGAGGGAATTCAGTATTCGCATTTGGATAGCTGATTCCAATGACTGCAGCATCCACGATCTGTGGATGGGACAGAAGAACAGCTTCGAGCTCGGGCGGCGCTACCTGAAAGCCCCGTACTTTGATCAATTCCTTTCTTCGATCGACAATATACCACTTCCTGGTTGTCTGGTCACAGAAAGCGATATCACCGGTTTTAAACCACCCCTCCGAGTCGAACGCGTGAGCGTTGGCCTCGGGATTGTTAAAGTAACCCGGTGTCACTGTAGGTCCGCGAACACAGAGCTCACCACGAACACCGTATGCCGAGATATTGTTGCCATCTTCATCAATAAGCCTGCGAGCGATATTAGTGAGCTCTAAGTTGTCCGGATCTCGGTTGACATAACATACTTGGCCTCCAGATTTGGTATAAGTCGCCCAACAGACCCCGTATCATCATGCTCTGGGTAGGGAAACATGGTCGCAACACAGGAAGTCTCCGTCATACCCCATACTTGGGTGAATGGGCTTCCATCACCCATCAGTGATTTAAATCTGCCTTGGATCCCCTTGTCCAAAGGAGCAGCTCCACAAGATGCTAGCCGTACCCCCTTGAGGAATGGTCGCTGTTGGCAAAGAGGCGACATGAGAATCGCAATCACAATGGGAGGTACCATCGCGAGATCCGTCACGTTATATCTCTCAGCCGTGTTCAGAAACTCTTCGAGATCAAAGCGACGCATCATGTAAGCAACCGATCCAGCTTTCAATGTGGAGATATGAGTGACAGGAGCTGCCGATGCATGGAAGACGGGCACAGCGATAATACGCGAGATCTATCAATCATGTGCATTTAGCAACCCTGTGGCTGCGCTCGATCAAGGTGGTCGGTAGATAGGATTTGGGGACTCACCGGATATGGTCGCGGATTGGCTCCCAGCACAAGTTCGTGTTGTGCAATGAGATTGTGATGAGTGATTGTCACAGCTTTGGGGAGTCCCGTAGTTCCGCTGCTAAATAGCCTAGCTGCTGTAGTTTCCTGGGCCACCTTGAGGCTATTAAATCGCAACCAGTCTTCTTCGCCGACCTCGAACAGGGCTTTCCATGATTTCATTCCATTGGGAATAGACTGGCCACGGTTATCAAAGACCCAGATCTTCTCAGTGGATATCTTGGTCTGCTTGGCCGCGCCCAGGAGCGAGTCCAGAATCTCCGGTTCCGAGATGAGGAATTTGCTTTGGGAAGCTTTAATATGATGAGTTAGCTCATGGATGGTATAAGACGGATTGGATCCTGTGAAGATTCCTCCCGCGCCGATGATAGCCAACACAAGAATGCTATAGTTAATCTGCAAAAGAAGTTAGCTGCAGTCGGATTCACGAGGAATACGCGGCGCTCGTGCATCATTGAAAGAATGAATCAGGACGCAGTCGCCTGGCTGGAGACCTGATTTTCGTAGGCCTGCGACCAGCTGGCGGACTAGTTTGCGCGCCTGATTACAGGAGATAGACCGCGACGGGTCATGAACATCAATATATATCTATGCAAGACGTCAGGATTGAAAGCATTGGAGTCGAATTCCACCAACCCCCACTTACTGGCTGATTTTGATCGTACAGTGGCTCGTCAAAAATATACGACAAGAGGTCCTTTGTTGGGAGCAAAGTCCGCTCTGCTGGTTCAAAAATCATATTGTGGGCAACGAAGGGTTTGCCTAGAAAAACACTAAATAGCACGCGTGAGAATAAAGATTCTTTGACAACTTACAACGGGGGAACACTAAGTTACTTTTTGAATGTTTTGATGTCATTCCAGTCCCCGCTTTAGCTGAGCCCCTCGCGTGGGAAGCTCGGTAGTCGGTTAAACGAAATGAGGCATGATGATCGCGAGGGCGCAGACCATGAACCTACTGTAGCTGGACACATATCGTATACAAGTGCACAAATCATGCACGACCTTTTCATAAGTCCGTGCAGTCCCCCCCCCCCCCACATTCTTGGAGCCGATCGGAACGAGGAAGTCCATGTGTGGCCACCGCGAGAGAGGAGAGGAAGCCCTCAAGTGCCAAGCCACTCCGCCTGGCCAGTTGACGTTGAGTTATAACATATCTGTTACTTGATGGGCTTCTTGATCCCTCGAGCATCAAGGTTTGTTTGGTGTTGAGAACCGTGTTTCCTACTACTTCCAGCGTGTTTCGGCATAAGATGGTATAGTGATCAGACAATCCGACATATATTTATCTATTTCTGCAACACGAGCCGAAGCACATATCGGCTGCTATAGCTTGATCAGCATTGTTCCAGTCAATTGAGGATTCAAGAAGCTCACGGTTAAAGTTCGGGGCAACCTCAGGCGCTCCTGGTCGTTTATATCTTTCGCTAAGTAAAGTCAGCCCGCAAATTTTGGATGGTCGGAGGATTTCATACTTTGCAACAAGTGTAATTTCAGACCTCGCATCATCTTTGATCTCCGTGTTCTGGCTGCGTCGCCATGAGAACAGAGACTTGAGGGTAGAGGCTCGGCTTGGTCGACTGCTTTCTGGCATTTTGAGACTGAGAACTGAGTGATGGTACTGTTAGAAGACAGTGGATACAAGAGGATATTTCTCTTCCACTCCATGAGACAGACACATCTATATATCTTCTCTCTCTATCTCTCTCTCCTCTCCGGTTGAGTTGAATATCACAAACTTCGCCGCAGCGTATAGTTGCGGCGGATGACGTCAACGACCTCCGCCGTTTGGTCGAAATCGCTCCACCGCGGCCAACTTCATCTCGGCCAACTGGTCCGCGCTGATAAAATGCACTTTGCCCTGCATTTTCCACCGACTCAATGTCTTCTCCTCCCTCGACTCGGCCATATCGGTCAAAACGTCAGCGACCCTGCGATCAATGTCGGGCGCGCAAGCTGGGATGTCAAACGGATGGCGAAGCTTGTCAACGATGCCGTTCGGCCAAATTGAACTGTACTTTTGAGAAACCTCCCCCGAAAAGGGCCCGTCACTCGGCTCTTCCCTTTCCAAGTGTCGAAACCTCGCTGGCTTCGACACCCAACCGGGATTTGACGCACAATTCCAGTGTGGGTGGATCCCCAGAACCGCAATTTCCTTCCCTGGGTTTGGATCGAAGTAATGGCCTGTCTCCAGGCTCCGGTATTCTACCAACCGGACGTCCCCCGGCCCAATTTGTACAGAGTATTGATCAGCTGGAAAACGGCCATGCTCAGCTGTTCGGCGCATCCGCCGAATCAGATCCGTGGTTATTGAGGCACTGTTCCTTTGATGATTCCGGCATGAAGCACTTTTATAAGGTCCACTTTCGCAATGCCGGGGGCGTGCCGACTATCCAAAGAATCCCAGTACATTTCATGATCTCGGCGAACGAGCTCGCAGAAGCGACCAAGCTGGAGACCCGGGCTGGTTCGGGCGATATAACCCGCGAGCGTCTGAATCATCTCGTGCCCCCAGAGTATGGGAGAAGGCTGGTCGGGTTGTAAGTATGGACATTTGTTTGGGAAACAGAACGCCCCAAGCTAACAAGTGTTCAGGTTTGTCAAGTATATTTTTCCTGCTCTGCCGGTCATCTCTCGTTCTCAGTTGGGGTTGACTACAGCGTCATACCAACTGCCAGAGCTATCTGCAGTAGAAAAGGTCCCTATTCACTTGCTGGCGGCTATCTATGCAGCGGCGTTCCCATTCGTGGCCCATGATGATTATCTTTGTGTCCTGAGCACTTACCACACATCTCCCGTGGACACGCTATGGCGGATGGTCTATGAATTGATCTCCGAAGAGATCCACAGCCCACGTCTAGCAGTCCTACAGGCAGCCTTGCTGTACATTCATCAGCATCCACGGGATGAGACCCGCCTCACGACGGCCGACACACCGTTTTTGTGGTCTTTTGTCGGCCAAATTGTTGGGCTGGCTTGTTCGCTCGGCCTTCACATTGAGTGCCGTATGTGGGGCATCCCGGCATGGGAGAAGCGCCTGCGTCGGCGGTTGTGGTGGGCTGTCTACACCGAAGACAAATGGCGGAGTTTGTTGATGGGCCGGCCGCCCTATATCCACCCTGCCGAATGGGACGTGAGTGAATTGGATGAAGGAGACTTCCTGGTGGGACCTCGACAAGGGTTCTCAACACTGTCTTGTGATACTGAGATCCCTTTCCGATACCTCGTCAATCTGACACGCATCGGCGAAGAAATTCATGATACATTTTAGTGAGGCTTTCCCTTCTACTGTCGGCGATAACATGGTTTACTGATGGTCATTCGCAGCACGCTACGAGCCTCGCAAATTCTGAATGCAAATTTCAGTACTTCGGCTGAATTGGGTCGTGGCCTGCTGGAAAGGCTGAATGATTGGTATTCTTCCCTACCGGAGACCTTTCGACTTCCTAATTGGAGCAAATCTGTCAATGGTCTTGCCCCATATCCCACCTCGATTCACTTTGCTTACCTCTTACTCGTTGTTTATGTGTACCGTGCTATGTTAAGGCCAATGGCAAGATCCTCCACTCCGCCGCTCATTTTTGATCTGGAAGATATGTCGGCTACGTCACCCTTGCCTGTCAATGAATCCATGCTTGACTTCATGGGTCTCCCTGAAATCGAATCCTTACCGGAAATCGAGATATCCGACGAATTTGGGACGGGTGAGGCTACTCTACATGCGGCAGAGAAGTGTGCGTCCATCTTAGTGAATTTTACACGACGACTAACTTCAAGTGATTTCACGGGGTTCTGGTATTCCTGTAAGTTGTTGCTGTCGCTCTTTATCTTTCGCACAACTCAATAGCTAAACTTTTTAGGGTCACGAATCGGGTTTGCGACCATTTCCAACTACCTGATGTTGTTGCTTGTACAAGCCCCGAATGAGGCTCATGCTGTACGAGCAAAGCATCTTGTAGATTCATGGTTACATGTTCTGCGATGCCAAAGCCAGAGCTTTTCGCTGGTCAAACTCGGCCTTGCTCGTCTTGATGCACTTCATTGGGCAGGACTAAGCAATACCTTTGTATTGCCTTTGCATGTCCAAGAGGCCATAGTCAATCCAGAGATATCGTAGAATGGAAATTGCAACCTTCACGGTGTTTCGTAACTATAACGATACTACTCACCGTTCCTGTCTCCTGCCGCCCTCTTGGTGGGTTCTGTCCATTTTCTATACATGGTCTTATTTTTTTTTTTAACTCTCCAACCATAAGACAGAAAACCCCGGAATCAACGAATGCAACCAGACCATAGCGTAACTAGAGACGTGGGAGTCGCGAGGGGGAAATGGCACCTCTCTCCACTTCATCCCGTCCCCCCACGCTTTGCATTGTTGTCTTGTCAACATCTCAACTTCCCCGGAATGTAACGCTGGTTGAATATTGGAGTATTTATACCATGTGCGCCCTCTCGATATTCATCATGCATCATGCAGTGGATTATTCTCTCCTTCGCCGCTGTCGCTTACGCGCTGCAGACGCTGCCCCCTGTGCGCCTTGACCCTGTCTCTGGCAAGGGCTTCTCTCTAGACTCAGTCAACCGGACTATCTACCTCCAGGCTGACTTTGCATCATTGAGAGATCAGAATGGTCTTACATTGATCCCTCCTTCAGCCCTCGAGTTTGCGAACACGTTCCGCGACGACCTGCAGGAGCTGACGAACAGCTCCTGGGACCTCCAAACCGTTGACCGATTTCCCAACGCGTCAGGCGTATTTCTGGGTCGCGCATCGCATTCCGACCGTTTCAAATATGAACATGGCGGCGAGAATGAAGAGGGATATGAGCTGGAGGTACAGGAAGGCAGTGTGTTGATCCGGGGATCCGGTGCGCGCGGCATGTGGTGGGGGACGCGGACGCTTCTTCAGGAGCTCATCTTGACAAGCTCTGCTATTCCGGCCGGTCGTATTGAAGATGCGCCGGCATATAGCACTCGAGGCTTCCTGCTTGACGCAGGTCGCAAGTGGTATTCATCTGAGTTCTTGAAGGATCTGTGTACCTATGCGTCATTCTTCAAGATGTCCGAATTTCATTACCACGCGACTGACAACTACCCTCTGAGTCGCGGTCCTAATGTCACTTGGAACAAGGTATACTCACAGTTCGCGCTGCGTCCTGAAAACCCAAATCTTCAGCCCCTTGTCCAACGACCGAACGAGACGCTATCCCGCGCCGAATTTGAGGATTTCCAACAACATTGTGCCCAGAGAGGCGTGACAGTCATCCCGGAGATCGAAAGCCCTGGTCACTGTCTCAGTGTCACCAAATGGAAACCCGAGTTGTCATTAGACTCCAGAGATCTGCTCAATCTCTCCCACCCGGATACCATTCCCTTGATGAAGTCCATCTGGACCGAGTTTCTACCTTGGTTTCACACAAAGGAAGTCAACATCGGTGCTGACGAATATGACTCCACGCTGGCCGACGACTATGTGAAATTTGTTAATGAAATGTCTCAATTCGTTCAAAAGTCATCTGGAAAGCGCGTCCGCATCTGGGGAACATACGAGCCATCAAATCTCACAATCAACAAAGATATCACGATCCAACACTGGCAGTATGGTCAATCAGATCCGGTAGATTTGGCTCGGAAAGGGTACCAAATCATCAACTCTGAAGATACCTGGGCCTACATGTCTCTGAAAAACGACCATGTCCCTATCACGCCAGCTCCGTACCCTCAAGCCTTCAACAACACTCGTGTGCTTAACTTCGCTGGTCGTGATGGATGGGAGTGGACCCCACAGTTGTTCAATTCAGTCAATGTCACAGAACAACCGGATGCGAAGGCGGTACAAGGTGCCATCTTGGCTGCTTGGAATGACAATGGACCGGACGCGACTACCCAGCTTGAGGCTTATTACGCGATTCGTGACGGTATTCCAGTTGTTGCATCTCGAGCCTGGTCTGGCAACCGTGGCCCCCGCTTGGAACACGCAAAGTTGGGCACATCCATGTCCTTGTTAACTTCTCGAGCCGTTGGCCAGAATCTAGATCGCAGATTAATTGGGGAATCGCAGAACAAGTCAGGCACTCTGATTTCGTGGACCTCCGATTCCCAACTGAATTCCTCTGGACACCACTTGGGCCACGGTAGCAAGGGCATGGACTATACGCTTGATCTCGAGGTTACTGGTCCATTCTCTTTGTGCTCTTCAGATGCCATTCTTACTCTATCTCCGGAAGGCGAACTGACTTTTACCTCTGACGGATGGCCGTACCCTCTGCGTTCCGTCTCAGAGACTGACGGATTCGACCAGACACAATTGGGGCGAATTTGGGCCAACAAGACCACATCGACCCATGAGGTGGTGAAAGTTCCTCCACAATCCCGACTCACGATCTCCACCAACCAGACTACTGGCAGTCGTGTGTGGGTAAATGGTGCTTTTGCCGGCCGCTTTGAAGTGTTTGTCTACGGAGGCAAAAATAAGGTCTTTTCTTGGAGTCAAATGGCCTTTGTTGCACCACTAGAAACTTTGCAAGGCTCGGGCTTGCATAACTTGACTCTCCGTCATAGAGGCAGACATATGTCATAGCCAATATAGTTAGTCCTTAACTCAGGCTTAGTCTGCTCAACTATATAACGTGAATGTTACAAAATTTACTCAATATTCGAACTTTAAATTTCCCTGGCTTGTCGAAATGCCCATGCCCTTCGCTACTTCTTCAACGACGGCAAGATTGGTCTGCTTCGCTCGGCAGCGGATGATGTCCTGTGAAGATCGGTCGGTTGAATTCATAACGTTATTATGGCTACAGTAACTATAAACATTTTAAGAAGTAGTAGCTGGGGAGTTATCAGCCTTAGAAACCGTCCAAGAGGGCGAAATCCACTATTTCCAGCCATTGGCCATATCCGATCTCAGTGTCTTCCAGACAATATTTACAGGCTCCAAACGGAAGTATGCATTTTAGTAGGTCTTTCTCAGGCAAACGTGATTTGAATATCCGCTAAAAGTGACAATCAGGCGCGGCTTCAAATTATATTTTGGCAATTACCTTGACTGTAGATCCGATTTGCATCAAATTGATATCTACACTAAAGGAGGCCTGACGACTCATATTATATAGATAAATTCGGAGCAAAAGAAAAAGAATAATGCTCTCGTTTGAGTGAGATCGTTGACTTGACTATAGTGCTAAGATGGGTGTCGGGCAGTAAAACCTTGTCGTAGAGTAATGGTAATGAAGTGGTCATGACTGATTATCTCTCAGCATATTGAGAGTCTGATTTCTTTTCTCCTCATGCTGTCTGTCATTACGGATGGATTATCTGCTACGGACAAAGAGCTTCATGGATCGGAACAAAACACCAGCCAACTCGCCCGAGTTGAGACCCAATCAGCTGGGTTCTGGCTCAGGTAACTCACATCTCTGAAGGCTACATTCAAAGTGGCTGATTTGACCAGAAACTACGGAACTTGAAGACATGTGCATGGAAGTCGAAAGCCTGCATCAGGTTCGTTTGAGATGAAATTCCCATGAGCTGTCCCTAACCGCACATATAGAGGATCATTTTTATAGAGAAACATGCTGAATCAATGCGAAGACGCGTTCTCGTAGCGGAAGATCAAGCACGTCAACGAGCCGAATTACTTGATGCCACTATAGAGAAGTTAAACGCCAGCCGAGAAGAAAACCACCTCCTTGCAACACAACTGGCAATCTCGCAATCGGAAATCAAGTTTTTTAGTGAGGAAGATGCCTGTCATTCTATTGGCCATCTCTATCATGACCTTCGAGGCTGGATATTTCTTCATTTTGGTGAATATATAATGAGCCAAGGGCGACACCACATTCTATCTCATCAGGACACGCTTGCCTTGACTGTCGAGAGCATCCAGTCCCAAATTTCGGGTCTGATCTTTGTGACATTTTGGGTCCGATTCATGGTGGGCTATGAAGCTTCGTGGAACAACTATCTCTGGGACCTAGACAAACAAGTCAGGGACATATGTAAGTGCAAGCAGCTCGACCGTAGCCCATTGTCGTGCAGGCTGACCTTGATAGACCCCGAGAATCACATACCTCGCCAGTGGAGGTGCGCAATGAGTACAGCTATCGCATCACAAGAAGCACTGAATTTGCAGAATCAGCAACAGAAAATTGTTGATCAGGTGGAAGAGTGGTTTGCTGATTACTCGATCACTGATACACTGCAGCGAGCCAGTCAACTAAGTGATCTGATCCAACGGTGTGTCCAGCTGAAACAAAACCTGGAGTGCCAGGAAGGCATCTATATATTTCGGCGAAGTCATCCTCGAATGCCCTATCGGGATGAGAAGATGCGGATTCTCATTGAGGAGGTTGGCCTAGATGAGACGATAGACTACAGTGTGTGGCCGGGTCTTTACAAAATTCAACAGCCGGGGAACTGGGTGGTTATAGAAAAAGAGATTGTCAAGATATCCGCGGCAACTGACATAGTATCTATCACAGATGATTCTGAAGGGCAAACGGAAGATCAATTGCTAGAACTATAATGGAAAAGAACACCTCCGATGAGCCTTTCTAGGGGACCGGAAAGAGGTGCAATTTGAACATCTTGCTAAAGAAATCCCATCAAACACCTTCCGAAAAGCCATCGTTCCCAGATTCCGTGTCAATCTTCATCGAGTCCATCAATCCACAGACCTCAAACAGCTTTCGCGGTCCAACTCCATCGGGGACACCAACGATTCCTTCAGACTTCAGGCGCTCCAGGGTCGCCTTGATACCTAGATAAGCAGGAGTAATGGTAGCGAAGGAGAATATCATGATTCGGAATCCCATATCTTCTGCTTCCTTTGTAGTGATGAGCGGCGTCGCTCCATTCTCTACCATGTTCAGGAGAAGGGGCCAAGGAGCGAGGTCCTGAACCGCCTGTCGAGCTTGGTCTTTAGAGGTGAAGCCTTCAAGAAGACCAACGTCGGCTCCAATGTCTCGCGCAGCTCTGAGCCTACGAATGCATTCCTCGTAGCCATGTTGCTGGAGTGCGTCCGTTCGTGCAATCAAAACAATGTCCGAGTGAAGACGATCTTTCGTCAACTTGGCGGCTCGAATCCGCATTAGGTATTCATCTAAGCCGACTACCTTCTTGCCTGCCAGATGGCCACATCGCTTGTTGGAGATTTGGTCCTCAATGTGAAATCCAGCGACACCTGCTTGGATGTATTGTTGAACGGACTTTGATACCATCAATGGACCTACAAGGCAATTAGCATGCGGGCCAAAAGATGCTCATCGAGTGTAGATCATGCATACCTCCATAGCCGGTATCCATGTCTGCTATCAATGGGGGACCAAATGGGTCCAGGTTGGCAATCATTTCTGCGTTGGTCTTCATGTCGTGGAGCTGAGCTAACCCCAGATCTGCCATCCCCAGGCGCGAGGCGGTGGTTCCAGCACCCGTCTGTGAATAGTGTTAGTATAGGTGCATCTTCATCATCGGGCAAGTCTTCATACCATGTAGAGTCCTTTGAATCCAACTTCCATGGCCACACGAGCGGAGAGACCGTCATAAACACCCGGGCACACAATAAGGTCTTTGGTATCTTTCAGCATCCGGCGTAGCTTGGAAGCTGCGGGAATAACGTAAAGAGAAACAGTGGGCTCCTGGCGTGTGCCATTGACCTCATAGTACCCATCCTTCTCAACAGTGATTGTGATAGTCATCTCGGGGGATTGATTGACGAATTGCTCCTCTGGCTTGTTCGATGATTCTTGTGATACACTCTCATGGCCGAGATAGATCCCCCTCTTTATACCTTTTGGCGCAATGGCTTCGGAGTGATACGGCTCAACATCGAGTGACTGAATCGGGATCAAAAGCGTCTGCCTGATGTTCGAGAAAGTACACTTCCACCAAGCCGAGAACTCTGGAGGTGCTCGGGAATGCAACATTCCCCGAATTGCCAAGGGCTCCTCATGGCCTTATCTCGCCTTCGCGTCGTACTGGCCATGCTCCAGAAACCAGATGACCTCAGTCTCGCGCAGTTAGACCAGAAGAGAGATATATTGCGCGATGTACAGTGCTAGCCGCTCGGGCAATTGTTCAGACTTATCCCATCAATCACTAGTCTCAATGGCCTTGAAGTCGTGGTAAATATCGGCAGGGACCAGGGTCAAACCCATACACCGGAGTACCCTGTCGATCTAGATGTCTCCAGGGTGGTCGGCGACGGCTACCCCGAGGAGGATTGTCTATCCAAATTGCTGGATTGAGCAAGGGGAATTAATCAATATTGGGTCTCTTGGCGGAATGACTGCATACTGCAGACGCGTGCCCTCTTCGTCGCTCTTGCATAAGCGAAGATCTATATGTTGGTGGCAATATGTCGAGCAGACGAAAACGCTTGGCCACAGACATTGTTTCACAAGAACCCTAGTTCGCCAAGCTGCTCACACTATCGTTCGGGCGGGAGATCACCAGCCAACCGTCTTCTGCTCAACCGTTGGGTGGTGTATCATGGCCCACAGAAGACAGATTGCGTCTTTCACCCTTCACCCTTCACCCTTCACTCTTCACTGGTCCCTCGTCCCCCAAGGCTGGGGCCTTTGACCAGCCAAGTTTCTTGGCCATCAGAACCAACAACCCATGTTGTACATCAACCCCTCAGTGAAAATCCTCAAGTGACACCGAAGCAAGTTCCGGGGTGGAGTTCAGGACAAGAAAGTCGGCGCCAAGCTGCTCGGCGCCATGAATGATTCCACCGAGAGTAATCCTTGGCGCTCTAGGCACGCATCGGAGACTATACTCGTTGAAAGAAATTCGTAGCGACTACGGCCCGGCCAGTTCACAGGCCGCCGAGGAGCGAATAGAGGCATATAATCCACTACATGCGGTAATGATCCCCCTTATCATGCGTCGAAACCTGCAGATCGCCAATATATCCTGAAGTCCGCGGGATTGCAGGACATGCTTGGCTCCGTCTTGGGGTGCATTTGGCGGGCGTGACGATAATGATGCATTCGACAGGGTTGGGAGGAGAAAGAGAGAGAGGAGAAAGGGGTTGTAGGGCTAAGAAGGGTCCCTCAGGCAAAGCCCCGTGGAGTGCAGCTTTATTATTTTGTCTTTCGAGATCCCTTGGTGGTCTCTGAGTAAACTCTGCTTGCTCTCTTTGTCCTCCCAATGCACTCCGATTCCTCCACCGACACGGAAAAAGGTGCATTCGCAGGACTTGCAGCCTCTCTGCGGGCGGAAGTCGAGCCTCAACATGCCGATATTCTGCTCTTTGCGTGCTGTTTGACATCGGGTCTTGTAGACAGTACAATCTACAATGGTGAGAACCACGTTGATCCCTGTTCGTGCTATCTGGGGCAGACTAACTTTTCCAGCTTACAACACCTTTGTGTCCATGCAAACTGGTATGACCTCAACCCCAGAAGAAATCAAATCATAATCTGACCCGACCACAGGAAACACAATCTTCGTGGGATTAGGAGCCTCAAATCAAAATGCGCGTCCGTATGGTTGGGCACGTTCGCTCACCTCAATCGGATGTTTCGTTCTAGGATGTTTCCTCTTCGCACACTTACACCGCGCGTTGGGTGCTCAACGGCGGGTATCGCTGATGGTTTCTTTCCTGTTACAAGCCAGCATCATCATCATAACCGCGGCTCTGGTGGAAGGCGGCGCCATCTCTAGTGCCCTCGGGGACCGACTGTCGCAAGCCGCGCCACCGTGGGATCAAGAAGTCCCGATTGTTCTTCTGAGCATCCAGTCCGCCGGTCAAATTGTGGCGAGTCGCGCGTTAGGTTTCAATGAGATTCCGACCGTGGTGATTACCAGTCTTCTCTGTGATCTTGTATCTGACCCGAAGCTGTTCCTCATCCGCAACCAAAAGCGTGACCGTCGGGTCATCGCATTTGTGCTGACGCTCCTCGGGGCCATCATTGGTGGATGGGTGACGAAAGCCACACAGGCCATTTCGCCCACTCTATGGCTGTCGGCAGGGATCAAAGTCGTGGTAGTTGTGGCCTGGGGGCTATGGAAAGCAAAGTAGATGTTGCAATTCGCAGGTTTCCAGTCTGACTGGATGTTCTGTCGAGTCAAGGGCGTGTAGATGCCTTGCATTATTGATGTTTACAGTTTTGAGGTGCACAGCAGGACAATAGGTAGTTCATTAAGTCCATTTATGATTGAAGCAATTTCATAACAGAATATAGTGTTTAGTCGCTGGCATAGAAGCATATCTCATCCCCCTTGTGGCTCACAGCAACACTAGTTCGAGTCCTCTTCCGCAGAATCGGCGGCAAATGCCTCTAGAATTCTCTTTCCCTCCTCTGCATCTTCGTCGTCCCAAGGCTTGAGACCAAAAGAAAGCAGGAACTGTGTCCACCCGCCATAACTTTTGACAATGGCGCGCTCCGCAGGAGGGAGAGGTGGTTCTGTCCAAGTCAGTATGTTCCCAGGTGATGAATACCAGGGGAACTCCTACGAAGGGCATCAGTAGAAGGCATTTTTGGCAGAAGATATTTAGATCAGAATAGCAACAGGTGTGTCTTCTGGTTATGTTCCAGGGTTTGAAGGCAAGTGAGGTGGGAACATCGAAAACGAAAGTGTCCTGGAGGTCAACTGGTGACGGGGAAAGAACGAGATGACATAATCATGTCGAGGTCGAGGCCATTGACTGCACTTTCTTTTCCCTTGCCATCACTATGGACCTCATATCACTTGATCTGTTCCGTCTCTCTGTTTCTCTCTCTCTCTCTCTCTCTCTCTCTCCCCAATATTTTAGACCTCGGGAATCGCGGGGTTTCTGACCCCAGTTCCGCACGACCGGAATGATTTCCGAGCTTCCACATACTAAAGATGCTTCATTCCTCCCTCAACTCCCTATACTGACCATCCTTGATCATGGCAACATTGGCAACATTGAAAATTGCTGGCTTTGAAGGCCGACAAATTACAGGTAGGCTCTGTGTGGCTCATTTCGTTGTTCCCAGCTCACCTATCAGTTCCGACTGGACTGTTCATCAACAATGAATTTGTACCTTCATCCACAGGCCAAATACTTGTAGTAGAGAACCCATCAACGGGGGATAAACTTGGAACAATCTCTGCTGCAAGTCCTCAGGATATCGACATCGCAGTTGCATGTGCCAAGGCCAGTTTCAGCGCGTGGAGGGCAGTTCCTGGTCATGTCAAGGCCCAGTGTCTTCTTAAACTGGCAGACTTGATCGAACGTGATGCCCAGGATCTTGCATCTCTGGAGGCGGTCGATGCAGGTATTCTATATACTGATTCGATCGGGATGAACATTCCTCAGGCGATCGGCTGCCTCCGATACTACGCGGGTTGGGCAGACAAGATTGATGGAAAAACACTCGAACTAGACGGCGGAATTGCTTACACGTACCGTGAGCCTTTGGGTGTGTGTGGCGCCATTGTGCCGTGGAATGCTCCGCTGTAAGCCTCTATGCCTGAAGCCCAATATCAACAGCAAGAGCTAATTGTGAACAGGATGATTACTATCTGGAAACTGGCTCCTGCCTTGGTGACTGGTAATGTTTTAATCATCAAGTCATCCGAGCTGTCTCCGCTCTATGCCTTGAAGCTTGCAGAACTGGTGAAGGAAGCCGGTATCCCTCCCGGTGTTGTCAACGTTGTCACTGGCGAAGGCGCCATTGCTGGCCAGGCACTTTCGGAGCATATGGAGGTACGCAAAATCGCCTTTACCGGTAGTACTCTCGCAGGACGTAAAATTATGCAAACGGCATCCCGAACCAACCTGAAGAAAGTTAGTCTGGAACTCGGTGGCAAGGGTCCATCAATTGTCTTTGATGACTGTGATCTAGAGAATGCATTGCTTTGGACTCGAATTGGAATCACAGCGAACAACGGACAGATCTGTGCCGCCGGTTCACGCATCTACGTGCAGGCTTCAATTTATGACCGGTTCATCGAGGCCTACAGGCAAGCCGCCGCCAATGCCCCGGTCGTTGCTGGCAATCCCTTGGATTCTTCAACTACCAAGGGCCCTGTGGTCAGCAACACCCAGCATCAAAAGATTCTTGACTTCATCCGTCAAGGCAACGAGTCAGGAGCTAAGCTTCTATTTGGTGGTGGTCGAATTGGCGACAAGGGATATTTCGTAGAGAACACTGCATTTGCGGACGTTGGCGACAATGCTACAATCATGCGGGAAGAGATCTTCGGACCTGTCGCGGTAAGTTACTCATACCATATTCGTTTTTTGGTTTGATTTGAATCCTAATGCTAGATGAAACCACAGAGCATCGCCAAATTCGACACCGAAGATGAAGTTATCTACAAGGCCAATGACTCCCACCACGGACTCAGTGCTGCCATCTTTACCAATGATATCAGTCGTGCGCATCGCGTCACAAGGGCAATCGAGTCAGGTCAGGTTACTGTTAACGCTTGGGCAATGCTGAGTCCCAATGTACCATTTGGCGGAGTCAAAGAAAGCGGATTTGGTCGAGATATGGGCGAGGAAGCCTTGGAAAGTTGGACTGCAGTAAAGGCTATCAAGTACCACATTCTTCCAAAGCTTTGAGCCATGGACGTGAATCGTATAACGAATTTCATTGAGTGTATCTGCTCTCCATCTTAACCTGCTATATATGCACAACATGCACACCTCTAGGGACTCGGAATGGGTTGCATCTTGTGGAAAACATTTTTGGGATCATACTTGGCCTTGACTTGTTGTAATCGGCCAAGATTCTCGCCGTAAATGTTCGCCACCGCAGCATCACCAGCTGCGTAGAAAATTAGCAAACATCATGTGTCAGTGAGGCAACGGTACTCACGCTCCGCGTAGTTGATGTATTGAGGCACACTCGATCGTGCACTTGGGCCGGCCCTGGCATCCAACTCGGATTTCCACTTGGATTGCACTTGGCGAGCCCAAGTTCGGTGCTCCAAGTCCTTGGCGGCGTCTGTCCATCTCAGACAAACAATACCATTCTGAGTTGAACTGCGACTGGCCAGCGCTGTTGCGTCCAGGGGCACTTCGCAAATCTTGCGCATATCAGTGAACTCCAGAATGATCGCAGAACTCTTCAGATCCGCATCGGATTGAATTTTGACCATAAAATCCTCGAAAACAACCCGGGCGAATTGGGGATCTAATGGAGGCTCAAAGAACACTCCCTTGAAGGATTTCCGATCGCCGTACGTTGCCTGAGGATTTTGCAGGGTGTTGACCACCGCGTACGGGGTCATTTCAAGCGTGTTCAGCAGTGGCTCGAGGACGGTTAATCCAGCAAATCGTGTCTGGCCTTCTTCGCGAGTGCCGTTAAAGAAGCAAATGACAATAATCATTGGCGCGCCATCGGGCGACAGCGCAAAGAAGCACATGGCTCCGGAGCGCGCGTCCGGTTGCGCCAGAGAGAGATTCAGCTGCTCAATGATTCTCTCCAGCTTTTCAGGGGAGAATCCTAAGACGCCCGAGAACACGGGCGCGCTCTGATCATAGGCCTGGTAGGTGAAGTCCACCACAACCCCAAAATTGTAGCCCGCACCTCGTAACCCCCAGAATAAGTCGGGATTTTCACTCGTCGAGGCTCTCTTAATACTGCCATCGGCTAAGACTACGGTCGCCGATAGCAGATTGTCAATGGTGAGACCATATTGGCCACTCAACCATCCGTAACCTCCTCCCAATGTGAGTCCCCCGACGCCTGTGTGATTCACTGTTCCCCCGACAGCGGCCAATCCATGAGCTGCCCCGGCCTCATCAACCTCTTTCCAGGTCGCGCCACCTTGGACCGTGATAGTCTTTAGTGTGGTGTCCACCGTGACTTGTTTCATGCGCGACAGGTCAATGACCAAGCCACCGTCACTTGAGCTGGTGCCGGCAGTGGAATGGCCGCCGCCCTTGACCGCGAGATCAACATTGTTTTCCTGAGCCCACAAAAGGGCGATGGAGATATCTGTTGCCTCGGTTGGTTGCACTACCACCCCCTGTATCGTGTGTCAGTCGATCAGTCTGGCATCTGACCCGAAGATCGTCTCTCCTACCGCAGCTTTGATTCCCGTGTCCGACCAGCGGACAAGACTCTCCTGATACTTTTCGGAATCCGGCGTATATACGCTAGAAGATGTTAAGCGACTCTGGAGATCTTGGATAGCTGCGAACATTTCGACCACGGATGCGACTGGATGCGAATGGAAATGGATGTGGAAGAGAAAACCCCGCGCATGGGAGATCTCTCCACTTGGCCATCGACTGTAAGCTGATTCATACTCGGGCCTGGCGCACTATTGCTCGTGTTTTGGGGGCATCTCCTTCATATCACCATGGCCGACATATACATGACGGGTCCCAGGGTGGCCATCCAGATACAATCATTGCTTCGAATCCCAGCTGGCCATTGACTACTAGACTGCCCTCGAGGAATCACACATTCACCTCGAGGCCATTTCTTCAGATCAGCCGACGTTTCCTTGATTTCTGTGGGATACGAATGTGAACAGCGCTGCAGACTCCGCCCTGCTGAGGGAGTAAATTTCTCCATCAAACGAAAGACTTCCCCGATCTCCGTCCCAATCTTTGTCACTCAGAGAAGCTCAATGATGAATGTAGCATCACGAAGCTGCCCAAGTTCCTCATATTTCGTCACAGGGTCCAGGTAAAATGAACTCCCGGCACGGAGGAAAGGATCTCTGCTATTCCTCCTATGATATTCTGCTTGACACGAGGAGAGCTGATGCAAATGATCTGATGCTCCCAATTTCCCCGCAAATGGCAGGGATTGCTCCCAGCTCGTGCGGATGAAGTTTGCTCACTTGCATACGGGAGAGACTCCGCCAACGAATGGGCAAAGCAAGCAGACGTGAGTAGTTGGGCTTGTCAGAACCGCACCATCACATCAAATTACTCCCAGATCGCGTCGAGGAAAAGCTTACACATGACTTCTATTGACTCTCGCTTTTCGACATATCACCTGGGAACATTAAAGGCAAGAGTGTGGTTAGTACTATCTACACACAGCGTCTATAGACTGCTTCAAACAGCCAGCGGGACCATCCACGGCCATGTCTCTATCAGTGGAAAAAAATCCCAATGGAGGGAATTTCGTCGTTCCACTTCATCTCCGTCCTGAATCGTCCTGGTTGCCAAGATCGAAGCGCGGCGCTGAAACCACGGCAATCTTGGCAATCGTCGTCACCTCTCCATCGCCACATGTTTCACTTGGTTTGTGGAAATTTGGGGATGCTGAGTTCCTGAAATATTCTTCCTGTTCAAAGGCGTCTTGTTCAGGTGGGGGAGAGGATCCAATGCCAATGCACTCTATGTCTCGGCAACTCTTGACTCCGTGGCGGAACATGGCTTGTTCGGCAGTGCCAAGTCTGATACTCGAAGAAAACCCAGACTAAGTGCAGTCCGGCTCACTCTAACCACCCCTGAAGTATCAGGTTGAGACTTGGGCTGTCGGAGAATTAACACCCGTTTGTCCACGTTGGTGGAATATCGCGTGGAATGGACTGCACTAGATGATCCAGCAAGGAAATATTCTATATCAACGATAATATTCGGGGGCTGTGCAGCAAGCTCAACTTGTGCAGGCATTCTTCGGTGGTATATAAAGGCATTCAAAGACCGCTTCTTTCAAGTTATCATCCTCAGAATCACACACACACTCTCTCTCTCAATCCTCCGGAACCTTACAATCTTTATCCTCTCTCTGACCATGGCTTCTTTTAAACTAATCACAGCTGTGCTGGCTGGTCTCTCCACTCTGGCAGTTGGAGTTCCTACCTCTACCAACCCAAACTTGAACAAGCGTGCCAGCGCCAATGATGTGAGTATCATATTCTTGGTTCTGTCCGCTGGATAGCTGGCTTTGTGATATAGAAATACTAACTCACGACAATCTTCTAGGCTGCCACTGGCTATGCTAGCCAAAATGGAGGCACCACAGGTGGTGCTGGCGGTACTACTACCACCGTCTCCTCCTACGCTGCCTTTACTGCAGCAGTCTCCGGCGATTCCAGCAAGGTTGTCTACGTTAGCGGGCCTATCACCAAGACAGCCGATCAGGTTCGCGTTGGAAGCAACACGAGCATCATTGGCAAGGACTATACTGCCATACTGACTGGCTTTGGAATGTATGTTGAACAGGCCTGTCTGCAGCAGCAATACTGACCCTATTTAGCTTGGTCAAGGAGGAATCCAACGTCATCATTCGTAACTTGGGTGTTAAGAAAGTTCTTGCCGCCAACGGTGATGCCATTGGCATTCGTAAGTGCAAACATGGTTCTTTGTCGGATGTTGGATATACTGACCTGCTCCAGAAAAATCCACTAATGTCTGGGTCGACCACTGTGATGTCTCTTCGGACCAGAACAATGGCAAGGACTATTATGATGGCCTGATTGATGTGAGTACGACCCTTGGCTATAAACAGCAGACCATATACTAAATTGTGATAGATCACCCACGCCGCCGACTATGTCACAGTCTCCAACACTTTCCTTCACGACCACTACAAAGCGTCCCTCATCGGACATTCGGACAGCAACGGCGACGAGGATACTGGCTATCTTCACGTCACCCAGAACAACAACTACTGGTACAATATCAACTCTCGCGCTCCTTCTTTCCGCTTCGGCACAGGTCACGTCTACAACAGCTACTTCCTGGATGTGAGCGATGGCATCAACACTCGGGACGGTGCTCAGATCCTTGTTGAGTCCAATGTCTTCAGCGGCAGCAAGAAGCCACTCTACTCCACTGATGAAGGCTATGCCGTGGCCAAGGACAACGACTTTGGCAGTGGCTCAAACGCTGCTCTGGCTGGCTCTCTGACCTCAGTGCCCTATAGCTACACCCTTCTTGGCTCTGGCAAAGTGCAGGCCGGTGTTGTTGGCACTGCTGGTCAAACCCTGACCTTCTAAGTGCGCCAACTCGTTGGAGTTATCCCTCGGGTTGCTGGTTTCTGGACCCAAGTGACTGTACTTTCTTTGGACCGAATCACACTCGTTTACTTGCTTTACTTCTTTGTGAGTTAGTTGCTGTGTTTTACTCTATCTATCAATTGGATTGATCCTTCGAGCCTTGTCCCAGTAGCAAATGTCAATATCTGGCTATAGATGTAATTACTTCACGGGTATCCATTGATTCAAAAATTCAAACGCCCCGGCTCATGCAAACAGCCTAAACCCCCATGTCCCTTTCTAATGCGATTTCTTTCCCTTCATACCGAGCGATCTTTCAAGAATGAGTTGAGCGACACTAAATCTTCACTGGGAGCTGGCGTGGGAAGTGCAATTTTAGCTGCGTCAAATTGCCACGCTGCTTCTCGTTGGTCACGATTGTTGCGGAGGATGAACGGCATCATCCATTCCTTCAGTCGTCCTTCTAACAGTCCCATGTCTCGATTCCGTTCCCACATGCGGTGGGATTCCTTGAATGCGCGATTGATTGTGTCGCGGCGAAGAGTTTCATATGCATCAAAAACCTCCGACAGCGGTTCGGAGCGATAGCGGACCAGGATTCGAGCAAATAGAATGGCGTCGTCCAGGGCATATGCCGCGGATTCATCCCGTGGAGGCATCTATTGCGGTTAGCATATTTCCAGTCCATCGTGTTGCGGACACCTACTGCATGCGCTGCGTCACCCAGCAGAATTGATCTCTCCGTGCACCAGGGCCCTCCTGGGCGAACTTGGAAAACGGGATAGAGCATCCAGTCGGCCTTGCTATCGATCATTTCTCGGACGCATGAGATGGCCGATTTGCCGAAGCGATCTCTCATCTCCGCCCGCAGGGCACAGCGAATTCTGTCCTGTGTCGCCCAATCTTGGCCCGGTTCTAGTCGATACCGGCTCAGATCTTCTTGGTCGAACTGGACGATAGCGGCGGCAAATATCTGATCATGATCACGGTCGCAATAGCTGGTCAGCATGGAGCCATGTCGGGAAATATTCAAGGCGGAAGATTGGAAATGGATGCGCGAGGCAATCGTATCGGTCCGAATCGTGGCTTGTAGGAATGAGATCCCTGTATATTCCGACTGTCGCTCCCGATCGACGAACTTTGTACGAACTGCCGAGTGCACCCCATCGCAGCCAATGATCAGATCCCCCACGGCGGTTGTTCCATCTTGGAACTGCAAGGTGGCTGTGTTCTCGTCTTCCTCGGCACCCACGATTCGCTTGCCAAAGACCATTTCCACATTGGGCGTTCGCTCCACGACCGACAACAAGGCAATCGAAAGAATGATGCGCATCACTCGTCGGCCCTTGTATCCCCCGAATCCCTTACCGTTGTGATCCGTAAAGTCGATCGAGCCGATCGATCGACCGGACCGCATAGCAAATAGCTCAATGGCATCCACGTCCGCACCTCCTTCGGCTCCCATGCGATCCAACTCCTCTAGGACCCCCAGCTGAGCCAGATGGCGCTGCGCCACGGGGGTGAGATTGATGGCACCGCCCGATGTGGATAATACATCGTGTCGCTCATAGATTGTGATCTTCAACTCGGGCACAAACGGGGACAACTCTCGTGACAATGCGAGTGCACAGGCAATCCCAGCAATCCCAGCCCCAGCGATGAGAATCTGACGTGGCGGTTGAATGGGCTCCATTGGAAGGGAGTGAATGATCGGCCAAGTTCGCCGTTCTCTCACGTGTACTTGACAGACGCTCCAGAGCTGGAGGGATATGGACAGTGACTGGCTTGAGGCTGAATCACCCCTACGCTCCTGTTATAAGATCTCCTTGCGAAAGGGGAAGAAGAAAAACACAAGTTTCCTGGGTTCGGCCGGGACAGGCGATGGTTCGGCATTTCACGAGTTGATCCGATTGTGGAGTTGATCCCAAAGCCGATGTATCCAAACTTTAACCGATGGATGTGGTTTCAATGATGAGTGATCAGTGGTGAGTGGTGAGTGATGAGTGGTCAATGGCCAGCCGAGGCGTTGAGGCGTCCAGTCTGGAGAGAGAGCGCTTACCAACAAAGAAAGCTGAGACCGGATCAGGCAAGAGTCGGGATTTCGAGACTCGGGGAAAAGAACGGGGGACTTTTGCTCTTCAGCACTGCAGCACTGCGGCACTACTGCACTTCATCTCTGCCATGCTTCCTATTCGCCCCAGTTCATAGTGGGGTCGTCTGTTGAAGATGTCAACGGCGAAATATGACAGCTCTGGACTGAGGATTCCCGAAGCCCTGAGCGCTGCAGCCGCTACCTAGGTTCCTTCTGTACCCCCTTTTCTCGGCACTCTGGATTCTCTTCACGCTAAGAGGAAATGGAGAAAAGGAAAAGCAAAGAAACCCACGGTGGGTCGTGTTCGAGACTCGAGCTAAAAGTCCAAACACCGGAGGGCCCATATCGCCTGATTCAGGACGTGAACCCGCCACTCACAGACTCGACCGTTGAGGCACAGACTTCAAGTTCCAGAAGGCCACGCCAGAGCAGAAAGCACACATCCCCGCTATGGGTGATGCGTAATTAGCGTAGGCTGAAGAATTCGGACAGGGGGCGACTAACCTAACCAACAGTTCATTGCATAGTATCCGATTTGCTCCGTGGCATACCCCGACAGAATGGGACCGAAGAACATCCCCAGAGTCCAGCTCACGCTGACCACCGAGATCGCTCGGGAATATCCTCCATGGCGCCCGAAAATCCCCGGATTCGCGTCTTGCATCTCATCAACCGCCTCTGCAGTGCATTAGTACCAAGATAGAGTTGCAGCGGGGCAACACTGACGAGTGGCTTCAATCATCCCGACCCCGTTCAACAGACAGATGACAACCCCGGTACAGGTGACCGCAACGCTGTATATGATCTGGCCAAGGTCGCCGTGCGTGGCCCATGGGAATCGTGCATCGCCAGGGATGCCAATCACCCACAAGAGAGGAGCAAGAAGAAGAAACCCATTGGTGGTTGGGTGTCGCGTGCCCACCTGATCTTTCAGCCAGCCGACAGGAACCGCAAGGAAGATGGCAGGACCTTGAAAAGCGGCAAACAATAGACCTGCGGGGAGGCTGTTCCAGTGAAACGTGTCACGCACATGAAGTGGGAGAGTCGTATCAAAACTGGCAGTGAGAACCGCGAAGCAGAAATAGCTGACCACTCCCCCGAGGAAGCGACCGTTGCGAAACAAAGAGAGATACATTGCGATTCCGGTCATCTCGTCCGGATGTCCATCTTGCTGATTCTCCAAGCTTGTCGGTGGAGGAATGAGAGCATCTCTCTCGGTATCGTTGGCGACCTTGGATGGAGCTGGGCCAGGCTGCGTATTCTCTAGCATCAACCCCCGGAGAACAATATCAAACACAATAACCACGAGGACACTAGACCAGGCAATCCAATAGCCTCCCATGTCAAACAGGATACCCGCGACAAGCGGACCCCCGGACGTGCCAGCGGAAATTGCAATCGCCACGAAGCCATAGACTTTACCCAGGTCTTCTGCGGGCACCTGATCGGCAATAGTTGCGAACCCGATCACCCAAACACAGGCGCTCCCAAGGGCTTGCATCAAACGCCCGGCGAAGAGAATAATTACTATATGTCGCATTAGCACATCCAGGAGAATGCCACCGTGGAAGAGAATACAGGTCCCCTACATGAATTGGCCAAGGCAAGAATCAACGAGCCCAATAAGGCAATCACCAGTCCAGACAAGAGCCAAGCCCGTTTTGCAGGCGAGCGATCGGCATAGTGTCCAATGATTGGACTTGCGATCACACTGACAAGCGCACTCTCGGACAGCAACGCCAGGCTAATCCGCTGGGTGAGCGACGCGTCAATGCCCAAACGAGTCTCCACGATAAAAGGGAGGATGGGAACGAGGAATCCATATAGATATTCATCTACATATTCAGTCAAGTTTGCCGGTCAGTCGTGTTCCATTGCTAAACTTACCTGTGAGCAAGGCCACCGCGAGGGCTGTGACAATGAAGTATGGAGATGATCGCCACCGCAGGCCCCATGGCTCGTCATGATCTAGGGCCATACCTGCCTGTCTCTGAGTAGTCCTGGATTGAGAGCACGATGGGTTTTGGCACCAGACAAACTATGTTCAAGTGCATGAAAGACAGTTCCTTCACTCACCCTTGGGACAACCTGCACTCTTTTGGGGCTGACTCAGGGATCAATTCAAATTATTCGATGGATCTCCTGATGCAGATTTTTATGCAGCAGCTTTCGTGCTCTGGTTCAAAGCATTCAAAGGGAGTCCATGTCAGTACCTATGATTATCGCTATCCGGAACATGGACCAAGACGGGGAGAAGCATATTATGCCCCCCCCCCCCTCTTTAGTTTACTGGAATTGCTGTTATTCCTCTGCTCTCTGACATACAGTCGGTCGAGTTGCCCTGGACTGTGTTATACAGTAGAGCACAGTTTGTCTACCAGGAAACCCTTGCATTGCGCTATTGAAATCCCGCATACTGGTCACTCAATAATCCAATGATAACTTGACCCACTCGAAAAAGTGATGAACCTGTCATTGGGGGTTATGCCATGTTAGTCAGTACCGTTTGTACATGTACTCCGTATATTTAGCGTTGACTGAGCGTTAAAATCCCCCAATTAGATAAAAATGGCAAGGCGTTATGTACTTGTAGATCACTAACGATATCTTGATCGACCAGATATATAAAAGCGGTTGATCGACAACATTTACAGATGGTCCCGCTCTTGATACTGTCAACATGATTTAATTCACCTGACATTGACATTAAAGGTCGTTGACTCGTGATGCATAGCAATATATCACTTAAATACACGTTCACCCATCGCCTAGATCCCCAGTCCAAAATTCAGAACCCAAATAGAAAACAAACCCCCATTACAGCAAAGTTTCACTGTGGCAAGCAATCGTCCACTCGCCATCAGAACCTTGACTCCAAGTTGTTGATCCCGTCGCGGTGTATTCTCTCTTCCCTCGGACAGCCCGAATCTTGTATGTCACGACGCCGGCCATCAAATCCACAATGATGGTTCGTACTTCTTCAAACTGGTATCCGTCGAACCGGTGGAAGGGCGGGCGCAGGGCTTTCTTAAAGGTTTCCTCGTCTTGCAGTGTGAGGATTTCCATTTTGGGAAACATAAAATTGGCTTCTGGGTTGCTGAGTTTGAAGACGGCCGGTGGTGGATCGGCAGATGTGAGGGCCGTCCAGAGGGCGCGCTCCTTGTGGAGAAGTTCTTCGCGAATGCGTTCGTGGATCGGTGGCATGATGGAGAAGTATGAGAGTATAGGAGGATAGGAGTATAGGAGTATAGAGGTGTATAGGTGTGTAGAGGAGTAGAGTGTAGAGGATCGCCAGGGAAACAAAGACAAGAGAGGCCAACAGGAAAGGCCCTGATTTTATATAGATGCACATGACGTCAGATGACGTTGGAGTTAATCTCCGAAGATCAGCACTTTTTCCATGGGCATCGCACGTTTGTCAGTCTATTCTGGTCAACTCGCGCACTTGACATGCGTCATGCCCCACGTTCAACGGTCCCCCCGTCATTTGGTGGCTTGAAGCCCCCGACATCACTGGTGTCACATGACCGTGCCTCACAGCCCTGGAGGGCATCAGCATCCATCATCCATCATCCATCATTCAGCACCCAGCATCCAGCATCCATCGGTACGCATCCACCGGTACGCATCCGCGTGGTTTCTATCTGGATGTCGGTGCCTGGACCACTCCTACCAATGGTCATCCCATAGATCTCGTGTCCCATCTGTGTTGGGCAACTTACCCTTTATTCGAATGACTCGCACTCAAGACCAAAGAGAGAAAAGACGAGGACAGAGGGAGAAGCCAAGACTAAAGCCAAATCCAGATCAACTTCAATGTCATAAGATGATGCGGTCGGAACCCTGGAACTAACCCACCCTCTGATATCGACAATCTTCTGCAATCTGCTGCAGTATCTGCAATATCTACATTGTGTAATATTGGCATATCGGCATATCGGCATGCTTATTCTCAGACATTCTCGAATATGTCTTACACTACAGTATCCTCGGCAACCTCCGACTTGAATTCGTCACCTCTGATATCGTGATAAGGATATGCCCTCTCCATTGGCCACTCTATATTATATCGGTCACTGGATCTTAAGCTAAGCAATGGAGTCCCCGCTGGAAAAAACGCCAATCAGAGATTCGGCCAGCTTGTGCTCTCATCGCGGCTCACGGTCTGGCGCAGATCATAACTATCTTTGGTCCAGAAATGCCCACTCGCAACCAAATGGTGTCTCACTAGCGCGAAAGGCGCATTACAGATTCTTCACAATTTGTTGATACAAAAGGCGCAATTCCCCCCCCGGAAAGCTAGGCATTAAGCTTTACTACCAATTCACCATGCATCTCCTCCAGACTGTGGCAGCCTCGGTCCTGCTGGGTAGCTCCCTGGTCGGAGCGACCGGCACACACCAGGCCGCGAAGCCCATTGCGCCCAAGGTCTTCATCGTGTCCATGGTATGCGCCTTCACTCGAGCTTCATGTCGCAGGATTAACGTGTTATAGTTCGAACCCGAGGCTGAAGCCTGGTGGAACATCCCCGAATTCGACCTATTGGCTCACAACATCACTCTCCCTGGTCTGTCGCCCGTGTACCCCGACGTCCACTGTACCGAGGACTACGAGATCTGCCAATTGATCACCGGCGAGTCGGAAATCAATGCTGCCACCACCGTCACCGCCGTTGCCTTTTCTCCCGTCTTCGACCTCACTCAGACATACTTCTTCATTGCTGGTATCGCTGGTGTGAACCCCAAGAAGACTACCACTGGATCAGTGACCTTTGCGCGGTACGCAGTGCAGGTGGCATTGCAGTATGAGATTGATATCCGTGAGCTCGGCAGCAACTATACCACCGGATATATTCCCCAGGGCGCATACTACCCGGACCAGTACCCCACCAGCATCTATGGAACGGAGGTGTTCGAGGTCAACGCTGATCTGCGTACCATGGCGGTTGAATTTGCGCGCAAGGCCAATCTTTCCGACTCGGCCACCGCTCAGGCTTACCGCAAGCACTTTGCCACCCCCAGCGGAAAATTCAAGGCTGCTACCTTGCCCCCGAGTGTTCTTGAGTGCGATGTCGCTACCTCGGATGTTTACTACAGCGGAAACATCCTTGGCTCGACTTTCGAAAACACCACCAAGAGTTGGACCAACGGCACTGGAGACTATTGTGCTAGTGCCCAGGAGGACAACGCAACTCTTGAAGTTCTGCTCCGCTCCTCGGCCCGCAAACTCACTGACTTCTCCCGTATCATCGTGATGCGCACCGCGTCTGACTTTGACCGCCCCTACCCCGGCTCGTCGGCGGTTTACAACCTACTCTATGCCGATCAGGGTGGCTTTACCCCCGCTATCGAGAACCTCTACGTGGCTGGTATCAAGGTCGTTGAGGGTATCCTCGATGGCTGGAACACTACCTTTGCCGCCGGAGTCGAGCCTACCAACTACATTGGAGATATCTTTGGCACTCTTGGTGGTACTCCCGACTTTGGCCCCGGACGCCAGGAGGCTCTCGTGAACAGCGGTGCATTCAAGAAGCGCAGCCTCTCGAAACGCCAGCGTCTCGCACGCCGCGGTTAAGGTATCGTCGCTGTTCTCGGAGTGATCATCCATTCATTGTGTTCACTGTAAACCATTATGTACTTATGATTTGACTTGATATCGAATTTCATGATTTATGTCGTGATAGTTCTATATCTGTACAAAATGAACAATATTATTCAGCTTATGGGCTATCTCAACAAGTATATATTCCGTCGCGCATTGTGCATATAACCATGATCGGAGTAAACTGTGCATAGACCACAGATCTACCGTTCTGGCATCAATCTGATTCCGTGAAGATATCCAAAGGGAAGAAATCCGCCAATGCTTGATACCCAGCAACATTGGGATGCAGATGATCACCCGAGTCATACTTTGCGAGCAGCTGAGATGTAGCCTGTGGATCTCTCAAGACTTGATCGAAATCAACCACGGCATCGAATACACCACTTTCCCGGATAAAGGTGTTGATTCGTTGACGAGTCTGCTCACGTACCGGATCGGAATAGGGCTGTACATAATCAGAGGAAGAGGGCGAGCCGAACGGCGTAATGGTAGCACCGAATACAGGGATACCTTGGGCATGGATTCGTTTCGCGATTTGTTTATATGCCGCCAAGAGCTGTGTCTCTATCTCGGCCTGGGTGACAGTATCGTTCTGCGCGACACCAATGTCGTTGACGCCTTCGAAAATCATGGCGTACCGTACGCCCGACTGTGCTAGCACATCTCGGTCAATGCGACTGAGTACACTGGGACCGAGGCCGTCTTGAAGAATGCGGTTTCCTCCGGCTGCTTGGTTGAGAGTTGCAATATTCGATGTAGAGGCATGGTTTTGCATTTTCTTCAAAAGCAGGTCCGGCCAACTGTTTTTTCTCGGTCAATTTGGAAATGGATGCAGGCTTAGGAAGATTCATACCGGTTATTTGCATTGGTTGTGCTTCCCCGGCCATCGGTGATACTGTCTCCGATGATCACGAAGCCACTGGATGAAGCAGGCAACCAAGCCTCGACCCCACTGATAAGGTACCTGAAATATGTGAGGTCTTGAATTCGGTTGGAGAGTTGATTCCTCACCAATGATCTGTGATTTGAACGGAGGAGTCCGTGATATTCTGTGCACCAGTCCAATCCCCAAAGGCGAGATATGAGGAAGTTCTACTTCCCGGATGCCCGGTGATAGCAAAGCCTCCCTGTCCGTTCTCCAGATAGATACTGATCGTGAGAATGGACTGGGCCTTGACGGGCAGTTGGATTGGGTCAGACACTGCCAGGCCCCCATTGGCAATCTGAACACTAGGACTTCCATCAAATTGAACAGCTTTCAGGGACTTGATCTGCACCGCACTAGTGCCTGCCTGCTGTGTTGCTGGTAATGCGACAGTCACATTCGTGATATTGAGTTGATTGACACCAAAGGCATTAGATAGACGAAGACGAAACTCTTGGGCTCCTGCTGAAACCTGAATTGTCTGGCGAATGGTGGTATTGGGGAAGACGGATATGGATCCATTCTATATTCACGATCAGTCTCGAGACATGACGATCTAGGAGATCACATATAGGACACACAAAGGGAGTAGGAGGAAGATTGGCTGGTTCGACTAGTTGGGGCATGGTCGTCCATATGTTCACCCAATGCGAATCTTTATCATCGTTCCCAAGGCCATGTTGAGGGGATATCGGCACAGCAAGCACCAATTGAGCCAGCAAGACAAGTACTAAAGAAGTAGCCCTGAAGAGTTGATTCATGGTCAAGATAGGCCAAATTCAAGCCCTTACCTAACCTTCATGTCTCCCCAGAGAATCACCCTCTGCTTTATAAGAAGATCTCCCCTGGAATGACCAACATGTCCGGGTAAGATGGATATTCATCACTATTATCCTTCCTGTACCCCGCGTATCCCCTGCTCACCGGTTAAACTTGCGGGGGAGCAGGTGGTTGAGTCGACGGGACTAACAGGGCTAGCAGGGCTAGCAGGGGTATACGAATACTCCTTTGCCGGTGTGAATATGGCTGACGGCTATATTCCATCTTCACTGGTGTCACTGACAACGTGAAGGGATTGTCGCGTCTCAATTGCGAAGTTAACTCCGATAGCCCCGCGATGACATCCCAATTATTAAGCACTTGCTGTACCTTGAGGTAAATATCTCCAGGTCTCCTCTTGATCCTTTTGGATTCTCTTCATCCGCTTCCTTCTCGGTCGTTGCCAAGTTCGATCAATCCTCCTCATCATGAGTCATATCATTCAATCCCAAAAGACGGCCCTGATCACGGGCGCTGCGTCTGGCGTTGGTTATGCTATTGCTAAGCTCTGCCGGAGCAAAGGGATGCACTTGGCTCTCCTCGACATCGATCAAGATAATCTGATGAAAACAAAAGACGTTCTGGCCGAGATAGATCCCAGTCTTCAAACTGAAGCCTTTGTGTTAGATGTCGCTGATCGCGTCGCCTGGAAACAGATCGCGGGGCAAATTGCGGCAACATTTGCGAATATTGATCTGGTCGTGTTGAACGCCGGCAAAGGGTATAAGCCGCAAACAACAGATCAAGGTCGCATGAACGCGTGGTTAGATCAGGAATATTGGACCAAGGTGAGAGGCTCGGGTTCCGCGTACGAAAGCAAGGGCTCACGCCAGTAGACGTTTGATACGAACGTATTTGGTCCATTGAATGGACTGAATGCTATTCTGCCATTGCTGCTCTCCTCAACCTCTCGATCAGCCAAGTCGATTGTGGTGACGGGCTCCAAACAAGGCATCACCAATCCCCCCGGGACCAATCCCGCTTACAATGCCTCCAAAGCCGCGATCAAGAGCCTGACAGAGCATCTGGCGCACGACCTCCGCTCCGACCCAAACACCGCACATATTACCGCCCACCTGCTCATTCCCGGCTGGACATGGACCGGTATGATGGGCAATGTGGGCCCAACCGCCGAGTCTGACCTGAAGAAGCCCGCCGGAGCCTGGTATCCAAGCCAAGTAGCCGAGGAGATGTATACGGGCCTGGAAAAGGGGTCCTTCTACATTGTATGCCCAGATGGAGAGACTGACCGGGCGTTGGATCAAGCTCGGATGAAATGGGGAAGTGCTGATGTTTACGAAGAGCGACCTGCGTTGTCTCGCTGGGCGGAGAGCTGGAAAGACCGTGCCGACCATGCGATCCAGGCCGATGCAAAGGCTCGCAGAGCTTGATTTATTGATAGGAGATTTACATTTCTACTGAGAATTAAGCCTAGATTGCCTATAACCAGGCACATCCTAGTATCATCTCGTGTCCACGGTGTGACACCGCTCGACCCAATCAAAGCAAGCAAATAATGGATTCCCGGGGAAACACGAGATGTTGGTCATTATTAGTTATCCGAGTTGTTAGAGGTCTCTTAGGGTTGTTCCTGTCCGGGCAACGGCTGGTTTCCCCTCAATCCGGCGTTGGGTGGTGAGGTCATGCAATGCAACCTCACGGAACAAGCTTTCCCCACGGCCTATAGGCCACACGGCAAGTCTAGAAGGAATGGAAAGGACACACAACCCAGGATCAGCAGGGGATAATCAAGGGAGAACGATGAACCGGGAAAGGGGGAGGAGAGGCACGGAGACAGGGGACAGAGAAGGCTTATCTCGCACTCTGCAGAAACCCGAGCCAAGTGATAGGGAATCAGGATATCAGGGCTCAGGCCGATATCAAAAGGGTCGGATGCAACTCAACTGAACTGGGCGATCTTTTCCCTTCCAGCCCTAACTCTTGCGATGCGGAGAAAAGCGTGGGGGTGACATCTCCATGCAACGTCTTATCTAATACATCAAGGGGGATGCGACCTTGATAAGACGCTCTGCGCCGTCTGGCACTGGCAGTTTCACTTTGGACTTGTTCAGAACTGATTTCGCATTCTTCCTTCAATATGGCCTCCAGTCTCAAACCAGAGGGCATGACCAAAACCGATACCATGGGCACGCTGGACGAGCCCAATAAGCTCCAAGGCTATGCCTCCGCGCCAGGAGTCATGGACGAAGTCACTCGAGTGGTGGATCACAAAGCTGAGCGCCGTCTCTGTCGGAAGTTTGACTATCGCCTTCTACCGATACTGGCCATCATGTGTAAGCTCGCTCGACCCTGGGATCGGAACGATCGCTGACGGAATAGACCTGTTCAATGCCCTGGACAAGGGTAACCTGGGAAATGCAAAGACGGATGGAATGACCGATGGTAGGTGATATCTAACGCATGCTGCACCGGGGGAGTTCTGTTTCCTAACCCATGCCCTACAGACCTCAACTTCAAGCCCAATGAATACAATCTCCTGCTATCAATCTTCTTTGTGCCCTTTGTGATATTCGCACCACCATTCTCCATGCTTGGAAAGAAGTTCAGTCCAGCCCGGGTGCTACCAATTCTGATGTTCTCCTTTGGTTCATTCACCATGCTGTCCTCGGCTGCCCACAACTTCGGCGGCATGTTTGCGCTGCGCTGGTTCCTGGGCATGTCCGAGGCGGCCTTTTTCCCATTGGTGATTTACTATCTGACTACCTTTTACCGTCGGGGCGAGCTGGCTCGTCGTCTAGCGGTGTTCTACGCCGCCTCGAACATCGCCAATGCTTTCTCCGGACTGATTGCGTTTGGTGTGTTCCAAATCAAAGGCTCGAGCCTGCCCAATTGGCGATACCTGTTTATCATTGAGGGGGAGTGACGGTGCTCTTTGCGACCTTTGCATTCTTCTATCTACCACGCAGTGCAGCCGAGGCCAAGTTTCTGTCCGAGGAGGAGAAGGCTTTGGCTTTCCACCGGATCCAAGTCGACTCCAGTGCGGTGGTCAACGAAGAGTTCAGCATTCGGGAAGCCCTTGGGATCTTCAAACAACCCACCACCTATGTCTTCTTGTGCATTGAAATCTGCCTCGGTGTACCCTTGCAGGGTGTCGCATTGTTCATGCCTCAGATTGTTGGAGGATTGGGCTATTCCACTGTCAAGACGAACCTATACACCGTGGCCCCGAATGTCAGTGGAGCAGTGATGCTGCTAGTTCTGGCCTTTACCTCGGATTGGGTCAAGCTGCGGTCGCCGTTTATCGTGTTGGGTTTCCTCCTCACATTCTCCGGATTCATGATCTATGCATCCATCGACGACGTTCAGAATAATCTCCAAGTGGCCTACTTTGCCACCTTCATGATGACTTGGGGCACCTCGGCCCCATCGGTTCTACTCAGCACCTGGTATAACAACAACATCGCCCACGAAGGCCGCCGTGTGCTACTGACCAGTATCGGAGTGCCCTTGGCCAACCTGATGGGTTTGGTGAGCAGCAATCTCTTCCGCGAGCAAGATGCCCCCAAGTACCTGCCCGCGTTGATCAGCGTCGCTGCCTTCGGCGCTGCTGGTGCCTGTCTAGCGGCCTGCCTGGGCTTCTTCATGTGGATGGACAACAAGCGACGTGATCGCCGAGACGGAGTGACGATCCAAGCACGGGATATCCCGACTGACCGACTGAGAGACGGACCTTCGTCCGCTGAATTCCGCTGGTTTTTGTAGAAAAATATAGCCTCCGTGCTGTCATTAGCGATGTTAGCCAATGAAGATCTGTCTATACTGTCCTTGGCCGACTGCCGGTTCTCTGCCCCCACGCTCATTTCCCCCAGTTTCCCCCGCAAGTCCAAGCGAGCGTGGGATGTCTGGGGTAAATTGATTAATTGATCCATTGAGGAACGAGGAACGATGAATAATGAGTGTTCCGACTAGATGTAATCGATCTTCCGATCTTCAGCGGAATGACAGAAGTTGGGGTTAGGGTGGGATGACCAAGTCTGCCCTGGGCAGGTGATCTCTTCCTTTCTCTTTCCATCTTTCACACTTGACCATTCCTCTGTTCCTTTCTCTCTTTCTCTCTCTTTCTCTCTCTCTGCAGAGTAAATTCACTCGCCCATCTTCAGATTGTCTTCCAAAACCCACTTGCAAGTCCCCCCACCATGCCCCAATGGGGGAAATCCAGTCGCCAATCTGTCAATCGGACTTCTGACATGCAGCTTGCGAACACGGCCACAGTAACAAAGAACACGCAGACGGCGATGCATAATCGCCTTAGTTGGGCTCACCGCTGATATCCGGTGGGCCCGGCATGTTGATCAGTCAACTACAAAATCGAGGGGTGGTGGGTGATGTCTCCCACCGGTCTTAAAGTTGCTCTTCTCTCCTCTTTCCTCCGTCCCCACCTCTCTGTCTCTGTCTCAATCCCTTTCTCTGCCGTTGTCTTTGCAAAATGGCATCCAACCCTGGTCAGATCTCGCCTCTTCGCGGTATCACTCGGCACATTACTGGCCACAATGCCAACGGCAAAGCAGTGCTCCACTCATCGGACTCGGGGAAGTGGGAATCGCTGGAAGAAAGCTCCATGGCCTTCAACGTTATGTACACCACCTCGCAATTCCCCGCGGACCTCAACAATGATGCGGACCTCAAGGCACACGAGGCGCGCTCAAAGACTATGGGTCTAGTCAACCCCGGCGGCACCGTATGCCGCATTGTCGACTTCGCCCCCAATAACTCAGCCGTCGTTCATAGGACTCAGAGTCTGGACTATGGCGTGGTGCTCGAAGGCCAAGTAGAAATGATCTTGGAAGAGGGCGAACCGACGCTTATGCAGCGTGGTGATGTAGCAGTGCAGCGGGCTACGATGCACGGCTGGCGAAACCCCAGCGAAACGGAGTGGACTCGCATGCTCTTCGTGCTGCAGGACTGCCAGAAATTGACCGTGGCCGGCAAGGAAATGGCCGAGGAACTGGGCATTGCGGCCGGCATTATTCCTCCCAGTGGAAATAGCTAGTCTAGGACCTTGCGTTTTGGATGTCCAATCCCAACTCATGTTATTTATGATACACATTTTTATTAGCTTGTGTTAAATAAACCCCCCATTAGGTTATTGGCACCCCCGATACGGCCAGCCGCAGGAATTGTACTTTCAACGTAGGTGAGGTTTGCTTAACTGCTGAAATACTTTTTGAAATACCTATATTGTACATATCAACTGCTAGTAGGAAAAGAGCCATGAGCTCCTATAATATAGGAGTTCCATTTTCATACTGCCGTCTTTATTGGACCTTGATAACCACTTTACCAAAGTGGTTGCTGCTCTCTAGGAATTTGAAAGCTTCCTTGGCCTCTTCAAACGAAAAGACCCGGTTGACGACCGGGTGGATCTGGTGCGCCTGATAGAAACGAATCATCTCCTCGAAGCGATCCTTGGGGCCGTTGATGATACCTTTGAGGGTGACTGTACGACGGAGGGTAAGGAGATTGATGTTAAGACGATCCTCGTCCGTATCCATCTTGCCCGAAACGTAGCCGATGCAGTTAATCAGTCCACCAAAGGCGATGCAATCGAAGCTCTTTCGCAGAGTTTTGGCACCACCAACCTCTAGAATAATGTCAACGCCCCGGCCCTCAGTGAACTTGTTGACCTCTTCTTCCCAGTTGGGGGTAGTGCGGTAGTTGATAGTGAAATCGGCACCAAGCTTCTTCGCCTGGTCCAATTTCTCATCAGACGAGGAGGTGATAATCACTAAATCATAATGAGAAACAGACAGTGCACATGACTGGATGTAACTTACCCTTGGCGCCAGCAGCTTTGGCAATCTGTAGTCCAGCAATCGCCACGCCACCAGTTCCCTGAAGCAGAACATACTCGTCCTTCCCACCACTGCCGCCATTGAGTGACATTGGTCGCATTCCATTGATAGACATCCAAGCGGTGACGGAAGCGATAGGAAGTGTAGCAGCCTCGACATCGGACATGAACGTCGGAGCTTCCACCAGGCCATCCTCGGGAAAGACGCGATGCGTAGCCAGGACTCCATCATTAGGGAGCCCGACACTTCCTGCAAGCATCTTCTCGGTCACTTGGCCAGTTTGATGGGTAGGCAGGAAGGTCGAGAGGACTCGGTCACCGATGGTCCACTTCGTCACCTCAGGGCCAACCTGCGTCACTACTCCGCACATGTCTGAGCACGGCACAATGGTGGCATCTTGTTCGGCAGTCCTGTGGTGCTTGTATTCGCCATTGGTCACTATAGAGCAATTAGTTAGGATGTGTCTGTTTGTATTCAGCTGGACAAATTATTGACCTTCGACGTCGCGGTAGTTCAAGGACACAGCGCGGATCTCCACCAGAACTTCACCTTTACCTGCCACAGGCATTGAAGCTTCGGTGCGGGTGAGACTGCTGATGCCCTTTAAGGGCGTGATCCATTGTTGAACGGCCATTTTCAAATCGGTCAAATCGGTCAATTGGCAGGTCAAAATGAGAACAAAACCTGAAGCTCTGTCTCAAATAGTTGGAGACAGCCCCGCTGGAGTTGGAGGTGATGGAGGTGATGAGTAATCATGGGGGGGGGGAACATCATAGATTCCAGTTGACGGCAGTTCTCTTTCTCTCTCCTCCAACCTCCACAGAACGTGGAGATCTCAACTCGATGTCCGGCCGTTGGTTGCCACTCGGTTGACTGTTTTGGCCTCGTGCATGCATGCAGGACGGGACAGGATGTGAGATGTGGCATTTGTCTGGCCGGGGTGGGAGTCAGTATCTCCGCCAAACTCCGAGGGCGGTTCTTTCAGCTTGTTCGACTCTTCTCAAGAACTCAACTTTGACATATACAGTCATGTCTAGCTCCTCCTCCACCATGGCCCAAGGAGGCCCTGTCCACGATATTCCAGGTTGGTGACCCTTCCTCGACGGTTGACCGTATAACTGACCGCTTGAAGCGCATTTCCTCCACTCACCGGTTGACCGCGAGTCCACACACCTGCCTAATGCCATTTCCCACCGAGGGTTCAAAGGGCAATATCCCGAAAACACCCTTCTTGCAATCGATGAAGCCATTAAAGCTGGAACACAAGCTCTCGAGCTCGATCTTCACATCTCCCGGGATGGAGAAGTGGTGCTGTCGCACGTGAGTCCCTACGCTCTCTGAATCAGTACTATACTTACACGTCAAAGGATGCTTCCCTCAAGCGCTGCTTTGGAGTGAAGAAGAAAGTTGCTGAATGTGACTGGGAGTATCTCAACACCCTACGTACTGTTCAGGCTCCCCATGAGCCCATGCCCCGTCTAGTCGATGTGTTGGAATACCTGAGACAGGCGGGCCGTGAGCATATCTGGGTCATGCTAGATATCAAAGTGAGAATTATCCCCATAATCCTATTAAAATGGCAGCTAAACAACCACTCTCAGCTCACGAATGAACCTGCCGAGATAATGCAACGAATTGCCCAAACGATCGAGACAGTACCCATTCCTCGGATCGGCCCCGACTGGCACAGACGAGTCGTCCTCGGTTGTTGGTCATCACGCTACCTACCCGCCCGAACAAAATATCTGCCTCGCTATGCCGTCTCACTGGTGTGTGTCGATGTGGGCTATGCCAGGCAATTCCTCCAAGTCCCGCGGCTATCCTTCAACATCAATCAGATGGCCTTGATGGGCCCGCTAGGTCGAGGATTCCTAGAGGAAGCCCAAGCAGCTCGGCGCCGAGTGTATGTCTGGACGGTCAACGCCCCGAACCTGATGCGTTGGTGTATCCGACATAAGATCGACGGTGTAATATCCGACGAACCAGGTCGATTCCGACAAGTCTGCGCCGAGTGGGAGAAGGAACAGTCGGGCGGACTTGGTCTGCCAGACCCCAAGCTGGATCGGATTACCTTGAGACAGCGGGTGGAGATGTACGCCGTGACGGTTTATGTTGTTGTGTTTGGCTGGTTAGTCAAACGCAAGTACTTCCCTCCTCTTGAGCAGGTGCATTTCGAAGAAAATAAGTTGGAATAGTCCCCCATACTATTCCACCGTATATAGCGACGAAACGAGTTACGAGATCATGACTACAATTTCGGGTTATTATTGCAACGAAACAAAACATTATGTCCATTAAGCCTGTCGATCCTGTGCAAAAACATCAAGTAGATAACCGCCAACCATATACCAAGCCGATAGAGAAGAAATGCATTAGAAACATGTCGGCATAACAAAATCAAAAGAACACCGGGCTGCATGATAACACCCAAAGAGCAGAGAACAAAAAAATGTGCTAACCAAAGGTCCACTGGATATAGATGAAGGGAAGACCATGAACAGGACAAAATATGAAACATGGGATGAAAATAGACGGTCAACGCCGTGATTTCAGAAAAAGCCTAATGGGTCAGAGATAGCACAGAGGGTATATCGCGGTCTAAGAAGGGAATGAAAGAAGACAAGGAGTCTGTCGCTGTGCTGAAACGAAGGATGTGTAACCCAAGGCTTGCCTGGGAGAAAAGAAATAGAGCATTGTTCAGATCATCATGAGCCGGGTGGTTCGTCGTTCGGGGAAACGCCCTCCACCGCCAGGGGTGAGACGCGCACCGGGACGCAGCCCCTGTCCTGGCATGGGCGAAGGGTATCCGCTCGGAGGGAATTCACGAGACTGAGACAATGGAGATGATCCGAGAGTAGGACGAGAGCGGCCAGCACGTCCACCAGGACCAGGAGGGCCGGGGGGACCATGTGGTTGATGGTAGCCAGCGGCACGACGAGCGTCGCGTTCGCAGTAGACTTCGCCATTCCACTCAAAATAGTCGCCCTTGAGGAGGATGTGACACGTGCGACACTGCAGACACTCGGTGTGGAATCGACGACGATCTGGTCGTGCAGGGTTCCGCTCGACGGTCTCTAGGTAGTGACCCTCGATACCGGTATGACAGCCGGCGCAAAGTGAACCGTTGCGCTCGTGGTAGTGTTGTGCGCAGAACGGACGGTTGTTGAGAACGTAGAAATCGGCAGTCTGGAAAGGTGAGTGACACTCGAAGCAGACGAAGCAACCACGATGGTAGCGACCAGTTAAACGACCGTCAGAAGAGGATATCGATTTTCCTGTGATGACCTCGTTACATCCCTTGCAGGTTCCTTTTGAGCGACCCGCTGATCGACTTGTCGGCGATCGAGTCGGTGGCCCGGGGATCGGGGCTGTGAAAGATCGCTGAGGTGGTGGCATGGGAGAAGGTTCTCTTGATTGGGTTGTCGGTGTTAGACCAGTTGGGGTTGGGATCACCTCTGCCTTGGATGCGATCAAGGACAAACCTCCTTGGCCGATGGCAGGATCGGTAGGCGAATCTGGACTGAAGTACGCGGCAGGAATGGTAGGGACATCCTCCATAGGACTGCGTTGACGGCCAGGGATCTCCAAGATGGTCTGTCGGGTTCGTGCAGGTAATTCCTCGACCAATGGTCCGAGGTTGAGAGGATCAATTGGCTTGTGTCGGTTCAAGCTGGCATCGGATGGAAGGCTGGACATGGAACTACCACTTCGGGCGTCTGACGGAGAGGAATCCGACGAGGTCGAGCCGTCATGATTCATCTGGTCCTCCAGACCAAGAGCACGAGCAAAGCTCGTCACGGACAACGCACTGGCTGTGCTTGCGTCGGAGTTTTTTCTAGGGGCATCACTACCCGGCTCGGCTGCTGCCGCCGGGTGCAGATGGTTCTGCGTCGAGGACTGGAATTCGTAGTCGTGTTGGTCCTTTTGTTCGTCGGAGGGGGACTCTTCCGGTAGTTCGTGTAGTGTCGAGGTCTGATCTGTCGGAATGCCAAAGTCGAACCCGCCGTGGATCTCCTCTCGATCACTTCGCGATGAAACCCGGGATGAAACAACGGACATGTTTGAATCGCGCGAGAAAGAGTTCTTGTGTGGAGTGCGAAGAGGAGCTGGCGGTACTGGCGGTGTGTCGTCCATAAAAGTTCTGAAGCCCCGAGTAAAGCTATTTGTAGATGATCGCGCAGTCGAGTCACCATAGCGACTGCTGGCAAAAGACGATCCGTAGCTGCTGCGGCTAGCCACCGACTCCCCCCTTGAATGCTTTGGTTCTGGGGCTGGCTCTGGGGCTGGCTCCGAGGCTGGTGACTGTGGTGGAAGTGGGCTGGGAGGCAGCTGGATGTTCTCCGGCACCATGCCCAGGCCGAAGGTCGTGAGCGGAATGAGTGGGAGTGATTTGGCCACACCTCCAGTCATTGGACTGGGTGTCCGCACATGAGTCGGTGACCTGTTGCCCGGCATTGGAAACGAGAAGACTGAATCCAACTCAATCACGGCGTTGTTATCGGCCGGGCTGCGCGGCATTGGAGATTTCGGTGCCGGGCTGACTGACATGGGCGATAGACCGACAATGCTGGCGGGCGTAGGCACATTCGGCTGCAGAAATGCTTGATCTAGTGGGCGGGTTAGTTGACAGGTATCACCTGGGGGGGTTGGAGACCTACTGGCAACCGAAGGATCAATCCGCGGAGGAGGCCCTCTCTGTTTCGATAGTCCGGGTGACTCTAGCCCAGCAGAGGGAGGAGGTGATGGGAGCGCAGGGGCTACTGGCAGCATTAGCATGCAGGAGAAGATATGTATTGGCTCTGAACACTCACGATAACCCGTCTGCACGCAGACATGATCCCCCAGGGCCGAGATCTCGACATTGCAGCCGCAATCCGAACACTTGATGCTAGGCAAGATCATAGACGCCATCTCAAACCTCAGACATTTCACCGAAGTCAAGATAGAAGTCAGAGTTGAACCCCCCCAGGAGAGAGACGATCGTAAAACCGAAAGGAGGAAAGTCCAGCGCTAGTGAGCGTAGCGGCTCCAGTGCGGAAAGGGGTGCGTACGTGTTGGCTCAGGGGGGGTTTTCCCTTTCAACTCTTGGTCGGAGCATAAAGAGAAGAAAGAAAAGGCATGGAATTCGATCGTATTCCTCAATGGCTTCTCTGGAGTCCATTGGACTATTCACACAGTGTCTTCAGAGTCAAGACTCACTACAATATTTACACTACAGCACCGCATTTACAGTGGAGAAAGCACAGGGTCCCCTGGAGCCTCTGCATACAATTGATCACCGCAAACAACATCAGCTTGCACTGTGACTGGTCCATTTCTGGTGCCTGCTCTTGGGCCTCGCCCCTCTCAGGGCCAATCAAAGGATGCAGCCCAGTTTCGGGGCTTTGCAATCGGTGCGGAGAGTCTGTCTCGATCTGTCTTTGCTTCTTCACACTCGGTCTCCCTGGCAATTGGTCATATACCAGCTCAGGTGGCGAGACGGATATTCTTAGAACCAGCAGATCGCCCTTGGTGTCTGTACTGTGTCCCCGTGTTGCTTGACGATCTACGGGGCCTGTATTTCTCCCGAGCTCCGTGTCAATTCGCTCACGACCCTGACACTGGGTCACATACATGTAGAGAGTAGCACAACCCAGCATTTTCGATTGCCTTGGATCCTGAACAGAATCCAAATATACCGGCTGGAGTGATGAGGGCTCAAGGTTGATTGGCATGACGCAAGAAAGAACCGCGTCGTATCATGCTCGGAGCAATCTTTCGGTTCTCCTGAGATGTCAACGCACGACCCAGGTCTCCCGAAGCTCTCGCTGGAGCGCATCAGTTGGCCAACCATGAAGTGCATCCATTTGAAGAAGAACATGGATCAAATGGTCCTGTTGCTGTGGGTCCGTGAACCGATCACCGCCTGTGAGCTGATTAGCTTCAGCTGCTTACACGTTTATGATTCATGCTCACAAAGGTGAATCGCCAGACATCCAACCACCATGGCGGGGGCTATAGAGGCATTAGATAATGCAGCGCCGCATACTGCCCAAACTTTTTGGCGAATTTGCTCCTGTTTCCTATCAGTCTCTGCTGTATGAAGCAAAGGATTCCAGCTTACATCTGCCTCCTGAACTAGACGTCTGCGCAAAGGTCCAACCGTCGGCAGATTGGGGTCGTGCACAGACAGGAGAATCCGCGCAAGATCGTTGTACTGATTTCCAATTGCTAGCATCAGAAGTCAGCCCATTTGAGTTAGACTCATGGAATCCAGGTTTCACACTGGGGTCACTTACCATGCCAGGCACATCCGAATCGAATGTCAGGAAAGCTGGTGCCCACCTCCACCTCGCCGCCGACAAAATATGGGTCGAAGGTAGACGGACGTGTTTCGTTCCACTGTTGATTCTGGGCTTTCAGCTCTTCATGCACAATAGCCGAGCGATGGGCTGGCCCAAAACAAAAAACCAACACCTCTGCACAATGCGCAATTGCCTGGTTGGCCCATGCGCAGTCGCCGGCATCTGGCCCCAAGGGGCCGAAGTGTGAATTCAGGGAGCTCATGTCGATATCAGGCGCTTGTTGGAGGCAGAGTGCATTGTAAATCTCCTGGCGAAGACCGCTCCAATAAACAGCCTGCCGTAGACTTGGCGTCGTGGTCATCGACGATGGTCCCTGGATAAACGCTTTTGTTCCAAAGGAGTGTCCACGAAGATCAGACCCAGCCAATGGAACTGCGATTACCATTAGTGGAATTCTGGATATATAACGGTGACATGATCCACTACGCACCATCAAATTCTTCCAGCAAGCGTAAGATGACTGTCGCAGCAAGCAAATCATCATCCATCGTGACGCCGTGATCATCCAGCGCGGGTATCAATTTCTCCAAACATGCTTGATAATAATGATCTGAGACGAAAGGATCAAACGAGGCGGTACGATTCAAATGACGAGCCGACATGGCGAGCATTGCATTGAATAGTGTCTCACATCGACGGGCGCGATACGGGATGTAGACGGCAAAGTGCTGCTGGCGATCGGTGCAATCGAACTGTATCGTGTCCTTGTCAGTATATAAGGCCGTAGCCAGGATTTTGAGAGACCACTACTCACAAATGGTGCGATCTTATCCACAAAATGTTGCAGGAGGTAGGCCTCTTGCGGATCTCTCAATGGCCAGGATCGCGGTTGGCGAGGCCGTTCCAGTACGTCGCTTACCGACACGGATGAGAGTCGACTGCTTCTCCCATTGTGTCTTTGGAGTTTGGGACCATGGCATTGCGGTGGAGTTGTGGCTTGCCTCTCCGGCAGAGGCATCGATTCGGCATCGGCATCGGCGTCCCCCAGTGTTTCCCTCTGCTGTGCGGAAATATCAGGCGGTCTCTCGATCCCATCGTCCGGCTCTCCGCTACCAGATTCGAGCACGAAGTCAACTATCAAATCCGGTCGGTCAGATCCTATCGTGCACATTCCGCATGGCGCTCCCACCTCTGGGTGGCGGCCGTAGCCACACCTGATTGCTGGGAAAACGTTCGCGAGTAGATCGACCCTTCGCCTGTCGAAATCTGGTCTCTCGTCGACCGCGTGTACATGCTCGTCCCGTACGAGCGCATCGGCTGCAATTTGGTACAATCCCGTCACCTGCAGGTCATTAGTGATGAACGGGTCGGAGGAAGGGATGGGCGCACATTTGTGATGTAGGTCTCGACATGGATCACTAGAAGTCATGAGTTTGAGGTTCTCTCGGTTTTCCAGCTTTCCCCTTACCAGCATTGAGACTTTTTAGTCCCTGGCATAGCGACGATGTTTTTCGCAAATATTGACTGAGGAAGTTTCCCCGCATAGCCGCGGTGATCTCATGGGCCTTGGCTTCACACTTGAACCCATTGACCTTTCTTTTGTCCTTTCCAAAGCTCAATTAGGAGTTTTTATGTTGAAATACGTAGACATTGATATGCTGATATGCAGGTATGCAGATATGCTTATATCCTTTCTGTGTTTATATGCTTATATGCGTGGGTTTGCAGTCCATCCATCCGAGTCTAGGAACAAACACCATTCGCTACTATAATGGGGTTGGTTGGTCCTTGGGTATACATCTGCAGTGCAATAAAATGATCTTTCCACATCTCACAGCATAGATTAAGCTTGCGTCGACCGTGCCGTACCTTGGCCCATACGGGATGGCGTGGTACGCCATTAGGGTTCGCTTAGGGTTTATGGTTCAATATTGTCCTGTGCTGGCTGATTCGACGCTGTGGTAGCCAATGGTGAGCCCAGTCTGGGAAATTCAACAATCCAACACCCCCTAACCCTAAGCAATCCCACCTCCCATCTGCCCATTTGCCCATCTCCAGCAACCCCAGTGTTCACCGCCATTTCTGCCCCGCGTGCCCCTCCGCACGGTCCAGCTGTCAATCGGAGATGATCCCCGGAGAGATGCGGATAGTACTACGGTACGCAATGCTATATTGAGACAGGTCGACCGCGATGGAGAGGTGGACATCTAATGCCTTCGAGGAAACGAAAAAGGGGCCAGGCACCAGAGTTCCCCGGAGGGCCGGAAGCGGAACCCACGGTAGTGGTTCGGCACAGAAAGATGATCAGATCAAGTGCCGGACTATCAATCGGGAGGATACGGTGAACCCAAGGGCAAATCAACGAGTGTACTGCACTCTGTAGAAAGAAATAGATTAGCGTATTAGGGCTACTAAAAGCCAGAGAAAGGCCAACAATCCTAAAACGCCCAAAAAAAGGGGAAGCCGGGGCCCCGTTCCCCGGGCACGTGTCGTACCATATAAATCCCGCCCTTTCTCGTTCCTCTTTCTCTTTCTTCTTTGCTCCATCTCTACTTCATATCCCCTTCTTCGTTTACCTTAGGTTCGTATAAACCTTGTCAGCAGGTCAGATCACTTCTCGCAGAGACAGTGGTCACATACAACCGCCACAATTTTCGCCACAAGTCTTAACTCGTAAGTCGTCTTCATCCTCGACTCCTCGGAGCAATTGCTAACTCACACGCAGGCGGCACCACCCGTTCAACGGCCGACGCTCATCCAACCGTGGAGGAGCATCGGACGCAGCACCCTTTATCCGTTAAAGCTAAAGCGCTATCACATCTAACATCCTCAACGCATCCCACTCTCGTGTGAACGCAATGGCCCCTCACGCTAGCTCGGATGCCAATGGTGCCCTGAACGGGTCGGCTCGCCAAGAGTCCTCGCCTCTGTTTACGGTTCAGTCTCCCAATGTCGTCTACACCCCAGACGAGATCAAGAGTCGGTACGCCTACCAGACGACTGAGATCACCCGCACTGCGGACAACAAGCTGGTGGCTGTTCCCAAGGCCACCAACTACAACTTCAAGGTCGACCGCAAGGTCGGCAAGGTCGGTATGATGCTGGTCGGCTGGGGTGGAAACAACGGTTCCACCGTCACCGCGGGTATCTTGGCCAACCGCCGGAACCTCTCGTGGGAAACCCGGGAGGGAAAGCAGGCTTCCAACTACTACGGTTCCATCGTCATGAGCTCGACTGTCAAGCTGGGCTCGGACGCCAAGACCGGAGAAGAGATCAACATCCCCTTCCACGACCTGCTCCCCATGGTCCATCCCAATGATCTTGCCATTGGAGGTTGGGACATCAGCAGCCTGAACCTGTCCGAGTCCATGGACCGTGCTCAGGTGCTGGAGCCCACCCTCAAGAACTTGGTCCGCAAGGAGATGGCCGAGATGAAGCCGCTACCCAGTATTTACTATCCCGACTTCATCGCTGCCAACCAGGAGGATCGGGCAGACAATGTCCTCGAGGGAGAGAAGGCTTGCTGGGCTCACGTGGAGAAGATCCAGCAGGATATCCGTGACTTCAAGGCCCAGAATGGTTTGGATAAGGTGATCATCATGTGGACTGCCAACACTGAGCGGTATGCCGACATTATCCCTGGTGTCAACGACACTGCCGATAACTTGATCGCCTCGATCAAGGCTGGTCACCTGGAAGTCTCTCCCTCCACCGTGTTTGCCGTGGCCTCGATCCTCGAGAACACTCCGTTCATCAACGGTTCGCCCCAGAACACTTTTGTTCCCGGTGCCCTCCAGTTGGCTGAGCAGCATAATGCGTTCATCGGCGGTGATGACTTCAAGTCTGGTCAGACCAAGATGAAGTCGGCTCTGGTTGACTTCCTGATCAACGCCGGTATCAAGCTTACATCGATTGCCAGTTACAACCACCTGGGCAACAACGACGGCAAGAACTTGAGCTCCCAGAAGCAGTTCCGCTCCAAGGAGATCTCCAAGTCCAATGTTGTGGATGACATGGTTGCGGCCAATCACATTCTCTATGAGAAGGACGAGCACCCTGACCACACCGTGGTTATCAAGTACATGCCCGCTGTTGGAGACAACAAGCGTGCTCTTGACGAGTACTATGCCGAGATCTTCATGGGTGGCCACCAGACCATCAGCTTGTTCAACATCTGTGAGGACTCCCTGCTGGCCTCGCCCTTGATTATTGATCTTGTTGTGCTCGCCGAAATGATGACCCGTATCAGCTGGCAGGCTGACAGCGAGGGTGCCGACTACAAGGGCTTCCACAGCGTGCTGAGCGTGCTCAGCTACATGCTCAAGGCTCCTCTGACACCCCCTGGTACCCCCGTGGTCAACGCCCTTGGCAAGCAGCGCTCTGCTCTGATCAACATCTTCCGTGCCTGTGTTGGTCTCCAACCCGAGTCGGAGATGACTCTTGAGCACAAGCTGTTCTAGACAGTTTAGACACACTCTCAACCTAGTTATCTTTACGTCCAACTATAGTCACTCCTTGAATGCAACATAATATGCTATCGCTAAATTCATTCTATCCACATAAATATTTAAGTTAACTAGTATCCCATGGTCTACTCGCTGGTCCGGCCAAGCTCCGAGTAAGCGTTGAGAGCCAATTGCCCACCGAGGTGGGCGTACAAAATGTTGCCAGCCTTGATCTCACCACGACGAATCATATCCACCATGCCGGCAAAACTCTTGCCCTCATACACCGGGTCGGTAATAAAGGCCTCCATGCGAGCAGCATACTCAATGGCATCCCAAGTCTGCTTATCGGGGATACCATAGATACCCGCGTGGTATCGGTCGTCAAGTATGATATCCTCGTCCGTGATATCATCCGCCGTGAGACCAATCTTGGAAGCCGTGTTTTGGGCGATGCGCAGCACCTGGGCACGAGTGGCCTCCACGGTGGCCGAGGCATCAATACCAATCACCTTGCGCTTGGGGTCTTCGGGGTATAAGCGCTCCAACAACTTGAAGCCAGCAATCATGCCAGCAAAAGTCGATCCAGTCACAGCACACACCAACACCGTATCAAAGAAGATGCCCATCTCCTTCTCCTGCTCCTTCACCTCCAGGGCCCAACGTGCAAAGCCCAACCCACCCAGCGGATGATCAGAAGCCCCCGCCGGGATATAATAAGGCTTTTCTCCATTCTTCTTGGACTCCTCCACCACGGCCTGAGCCGTAGACTTGTGCTCAATGCCAAAGGTAGAAGGATCCAGCCTCACATCAGCACCCATCAACTTGGACAACTGGATATTACCAGTAGTCTCATAGCCAGGATCAACCCAATCAACCCAATGCTCTTGCACGAGTCTCGCCTTCATCCCAGACCGTGCAGCAACAGCAGCAACCTGTCGTGTATGGTTGCTCTGCACCCCACCAATGGAAACCAGGGTATCACACCCTTGAGCCTGGGCGTCAGCCAGGAGATATTCCAACTTGCGGGTCTTATTGCCGCCATAGGCATAGGCGGAATTCAAATCATCCCGCTTGGCATAGATGGCGACGTGGTGGGGAGAAGACTTGGCCAAATCTGCGGTGATGCGGGGGAGGGGGTGGATTGGTGAGGGGCCGAGGAGGAGAGATGTTCGGGGGATGGAGGCGAAGGGTTCGGGGAGGGTGAGGTTGGACATTTCGATTTGTTCTTCTGGTTGTTTGGTGTAAAGAAAGAGATAGAAAGATGAAAGTAGAGGAGATAATCGATCAATGCTGCTTGTTGGTGTTGGCTTCTTTATACCGATCTCTATACTTCACGCCGCGGCGATTCCCGCGGGCAGCGGGATCCCAAGTGGATTGATGTTAGTCCAGTGTTGGAGATAGCCCTGTGTAGACCTATCAGAGAGGGCAGAGAAGTATTCTCCCGGGGTCGATCCGTAGTGGGATCTGGTATCGTATGGCTTTGCTTTAGTTGAGGAGGGGAAGTTTCGGAATCTCACCGTGGACGGATGTTTGTAGGATGATATGATATTGATGATATGATATGGGTTGGGCATACATCCTGGGATCAATGGTTTCAATCGATCTCCCTACCACCTGGATAGTTACTGGAAATAATTTGATGATCGGGTCCTCAAGGTGTTGCGGGGCTGAGGACCTTGGGATGTTCGCGTATAACTAAAGCTTCTCTTCCATTTAAAAGCTACGCCCGAGGTCTGGATCCTTTGAATACTTCACATAGTTGAGTCATATTTCACATCACTTTTAAGTCGGCTATCTATTTCATGTCAACAACGCAACGGACACAGTCGCCCTCCTTCATCTGGTCGAATGCCTTGTTGATGCCGTCCAGAGGCTGACGGTGAGTGATGAACTCATCCACCTTGAGCTTGCCGTTGAGGTAGTCGTCCACGAGACCGGGGAGCTGGGTACGACCCTTGATACCACCAAAGGCACATCCCTTCCAGACCCGGCCGGTGACCAGCTGGAATGGACGGGTGGAGATCTCCTGGCCAGCAGCAGCAACACCAATGACGATACTCTCACCCCAGCCCTTGTGGCAGGCCTCGAGAGCGGCACGCATCACACCAACGTTACCAGTGCAGTCGAAGGTGTAGTCACAACCACCGTCCGTCATCTCAATCAAGTGCTCCTGGATAGTCTTGCCCTGGAGCTTAGTCGGGTTGACGAAGTGAGTAGCACCGAACTTGCGGGCCCACTCCTCTTTGCCATCGTTCACATCCACGGCAATGATCTTGCCAGCCTTGTTCTTGACAGCACCCTGCAGAACAGAGAGACCGACACAGCCAACACCGAAGACAGCGACGTTGGAGCCTTCCTCGACCTTGGCGGTCTCGACGGCGGCACCGTAACCAGTGGTGATACCACAGCCGAGCAGACAGGACCGATCGGTGGGAATCTTGGGGGTGACGGCGACCACGGAGATATCGGCCACAACCGTGTACTGAGAGAAGGTGGAGGTGCCCATGAAGTGGAGGAGATCCTTGCCACGGGCCTTGAAGCGGGAGGTGCCATCCGGCATCACACCCTTACCCTGAGTGGCACGGATCTTACCACAGAGGTTAGTCTTGCCCGACTTGCAGAACTTGCATTCACGGCATTCGGGGGTACTAGAGGGGTCGTCAGTTGGAGCTTCGGGGCCGGATGAGGTCCAGGGTACATACTAGAGGGCGATCACGTAGTCGCCGACCTTGACGGAGGTGACACCTTCACCAATCGACTCGACCACACCGGCACCCTCGTGACCGAGGACCACGGGGAAAGCACCCTCGGGATCCTTGCCAGAGAGAGTGTAGGCATCTGAGGTGTGTTAACGCGTTGCCCGGGAACGGTCCGTCCATGCCGTGTTGTGGTTTTTTTTTTTTTCCTCTTTTGGAGGGGACTTGGCGGGGCACAAGGAGGGGGAGATCGGAGCTTACCGGTATGGCAGACACCAGTGTGGTTAATCTTAATGCGCACTTCGCCCGCTTTGGGGGGAGCAACCTCGATATCCTCAATGGACAGGGGCTGACCAGCTTCCCAGGCGATGGCAGCCTACACTGCTGTTAGTTTCGAGCTGTGGTGGCGTCATAGGCGCGGGGTTCTCGGGTCTCACCTTGCAAGTGATTGTCTGGATTTTCAGTTAGCCATGTTCAACATTGGGAGAGGCGCAATTGAGTATGGTATGACTCGGATCTGAATCAGACGGTTCATGTGTAAGGTAGGGTAGGGTAGGGTAGGGTAGGTAGGATAGGTTAGATCGGGTAAGGGCAGAGTAGTAGCTTACCTTTCCTACTGTGTCGGCCATGATGAAAAGTCGAGACAAAGTTGAAAAGAAGAAAAGTCACAAGTGGCACTCCCCAAGAAATATGAGAGTCCGAGAGAGGGGGCTAACGTGTGGAGTTCGGAAACGGCGAGGGGAGCAGAGTTGCAAGTCTCCAACTCAGCTCCAAGACGCTGATTCCCCTCACTCCCCCCCACAGATAAGGGAATCTCTTCCGACTCCTGACCGGCTACTGTCCCGACTCGCCCGTCTTATGTCATGACGTTTCACTCCTCGGCTTCACTGCACGTTATAAGGTATAGCATAGGTGACCCAAATATCTTGTTCTTCTCACATTCGATCATGGAGTGTCGTCTGTTTCTTCAGCCCTGATCTATGATGTTCGGACATATCTCGGTATGCTTACAAATAGAACACGGCCCGTGGGCGGAGCTGGACCACGTTTCTACCTGTATGGCGGCCGAGAAAAGTGTGTGAGAGGAGGATTGAGACACCAGATGGGGAGAAAAAGTTGGAGAAATGTTGTCTTCAGAGTAGAAATATCGTTTTCATGTTGGGGGGTTAAAGGCCAAATATATATTCTACTAGAATAGTTCATCCGTGGTCCCAGAACTGAAGATTCAAGTGTCGTTTTGCTAGACATGAGGCTCTGTAGTCCTGGATCGATGTGCCAAACCCTAGGAGCCGGGTATATCTCGGGCAAATCATGAGTCTAGTCTCAGTCGGCAGCAGTGGCTCAGTGCGGACTCGAGATTGGGAGCTCGCCTTGCTAGTACAAGATCCGTTCGGCAAATTGGAGTCAAGGGCCCCCCCCCCCCCCCCCCCCCCCCCCAATGCTGGCCATACCACGATGAAGGGTCCTATCTAGGAGGTAATTCGGTATTTTAATTCACATCTGATGCGGGTGTGCTCCGACGGTTATATTGCCAAGCCTTTCAGCTGTGGTTTGGTGTCAGCGGGGATTTTATGTTGAATTCCTAGCGGAGTCGTTGGCGAAGAGCTGTATGCGACCTCTGATACTGGATGTTCCCCGTCTCTAGATGTACTTGATGATTAACAGCAGTGGGTTGACTTAATCTCAAGGAACCCAGAACTGCTTAGGCCGTGTATGTGAAGGATGGTCTTGTTGATACCAAAGAGTGCTGTTGGCATTGGATCAAACACAAGACACCTTGACCTTGAACGTCTACGATGGATTGACACGTGATGCTTGGGAGACTGATGCCTACTTTTCTGTTGAATTGGCCTTGAGGTGGGCAGTCAGAGGGGCTAACCCGTGGAGGTAGATACCTTCTCTTTGATGAGACAAGCGAGCAACTCCCAAGGCTAGCGGCATCCATACATTCAGTTCATAGCCCAGTGGCTCGAAATTGACATATTGGCATCAAGATTGTGGTATTTTGAGCAGGGAGAGGTAATGATCCCATGCTAATCACTATGGTACACGCAAAGAAGCCGAATCCTGCCTGCTTCCTTGCCAATCGGTCATCGACCGTTTCATCCTCAATGCAGTTGACCGGGAGACGGGCACTCAAGATATGCCCACACGTGGAAAGGTCATCAACAATGCTTCCTAGGGTTATCAAACCCCTTAGTTACCACCCATCTGGCCACTCTGCATCATGGCAGCGTTCTGCTCCTGGAATCGTTCGTTGAGGCGGGCAGAGCTCTTGAGGTTCTTGTCAACACAGCGCATGACGCAGGTCTCCTCGCGGTTGATGAGAGACTTGGTGGTGAAGTCGTTGACACAGTCGTCGAAGCAGCGCTGAACCATCTTGGAGTACATCTGGATGAAAAGCAACGTTAGGATTGGGTAAGGGACATCACCAGGATTCCTGGATGGAGGGTGGAGGTAGCTGTTGGACATGGGTGATCACATACGGTCATGAACTCCTTCATCTGCTTCCGCTCCATGCGGGAAGCGAACTCGCGCTGTTCCGATGCGTTAAGGCTGCATTGGTGTTAGTGGCAAATCAAAATCCCAAGATCACGAGGCATGATTCCATTGCCAAAGAAAGCTCTGGAGAATACTCACCCTTCCATTGTGATAGATGGGGATGATTGTTGGAAGATGCTTTAAAACACGGGTTCACTTAAGCGTCCAGCTCCGAAGCTGTGTCGTAGTAATGTTGTTCCGACCCCGTGACCTAGGTCATGTGATGACCACCCACGTGACTTGAGGCCCGATGACATCACGTGTATCGAAAGCCCAACTTTATGAGTCAACAGGTGCTCTGACCAGGCAGTTCTCAGACGATGTACCAGTTGGGACAGGACTCCTTGGATTGTGAGGGTTGAACCATCGGAAGAGGCAGACTTGCAATCCATGAATAGAACCGATTACATCATCCCAGACCCTACCAGGGCCCAGACACGTTCCACTCCACTTCGATTTCCCGAATTCTGGAATTTCTTTGTCCTGAATCTGTAGCGAGAGATATACTTTGATATAGAGGTCCTCCCAAACAATAAATCCAACTGATCTGAAGCGAGATATAGAAAGACAGTAGAACATCCAGACCAGCGGGTCAATGGGCAATGGACAATGGGCGCAAACTCCCGTATATCACTTAGACCCAAGTCCTCAGGGCTCACTTGGCTCGTGCCCCCTTTCGAAACCCTGACATTTCCCCTTTCGCATCCCTTCCCCGCCATAACTCTCAACTTGCCCTTTTCTTCCCTCTTCATATTCTCTTTCTTTTCGGCCTCTGTGTTGTTATTCTTGGGCCCAGCCCCCCTTCATTTCTTAGGCGGTGACCCAGCCTCAACTCGATTCCTCGACCTCTTCGAAATACCTTTCGAGTCCCACCCCCCTCGGATTCGCCATGGTGACCGTCAGCAAGTCGCACTCGGGCGCTGAGCATGTTCCCCTTCCTACCTCCCCCGAGCCGGGTTCCAACTCCCCGCCCTCGAAACGAGATTTGGCCTCATGGTGGAAACAGTTCAAGCGGAGTACTAGGAAGGATGACCTAAAAGGTACGTACCCCATCCCCCCATTGGTATCGGGGACCTGCCGGCCAAGGCGCCCGCCTAAATGTTCTCGGTGGACTTCCTTCCATACGCGGTGTTTCGCGACCCTGAGCTTCCGGGCATAGGTCTCGCATCGCATGGGGAAGCGGCGGCTGTCGCTCATGGCAGATTGGCAAACTACCCGCTAGCCCTCCTTGCATGAAGGCGTGCTGTCATATCTTGGACACGATCAGCTGACTGGATGGTCGCGATAGAACCTCCCCGTGGAATCTTCGGCATTCCACTCAATGTCAGCATCAAGTATGCGAATGTGGCTATCTCCTTGACAAACGACCACGGCGAAAGCTTCATTTATGGCTATGTACCGATTGTCGTCGCCAAATGTGGCGTTTTTCTCAAAGAGAAAGGTTCGCAAATATTTCCTGGTCAGAGTTGAGGAAGAGGCCCTAATCTTGATTTCAATAGCAACCGACGTGGAGGGCATTTTTCGCCTGAACGGATCCGCCAAACGCATCAAGGACCTCCAGGAGGTCTTTGATTCCCCCGAGCGCTACGGAAAAGGATTAGACTGGTCCGGCTATACAGTTCACGATGCCGCAAATGTGCTTCGCCGATACTTGAACCAGCTTCCGGAGCCCATCGTGCCTTTGGAATTCTACGAACGCTTCCGCGAGCCGCTGCGAATCTATCAGAGACAAGTGCAGGGGGACAAGGAAACACCAGATGCGGAGAAGTTCGACCACGCAAAAGCCGTGGAGACTTATCAACGACTCATCATCGAACTCCCTCCGTTGAATAAACAATTGCTGCTCTACATTCTCGATCTTCTTGCGGTCTTTGCTTCCAAGTCGGATCAAAACCGTATGCCATCGGGCAATCTCTCGGCAATCTTCCAGCCCGGCATGCTGTCGCACCCCCAGCACGATATGTCGCCCGAGGAGTACAAATTGAGCCAGGATGTTTTGATTTTCCTGATCGAGAACCAGGATCATTTCCTCTTCGGCATGAGCGGCACGGCGGCCGACGAGCAGACCATGAAGGAAGTTGAAGCCGGAATTCCCTCGCGCCCGTCCCATTCAACCGTCCGACGATCGGTTTCCAATGCCAGTGCCAACACCGAAAGCCATCGCAAGCTGGACAATCTTCGAAGGAATGTCTCCGTTTCCTCTCGCAACTCTCGCCACTCGAACAACGCTCCCAGCCCTGTGGGGACCCCTACATCAATGACTGGTGGCGGCGGTGGTGTTCACCGAAGCAATACTCTTCCATCCAAGATGGGACCCGTTCTTACCTCTGCGCGCTATGCCCGGGCCAACGAGACTGCTGCCAGCAACCCCTCTGGGCTAGTTGTTTCTCACCAGAGCTCTCGATCTACCAGCCGTACACCCTCGGTTCGTGAGGAACCTGAGCCCACGCCTGAACAAAAGCCCGTGGAACAACCTGTGGCACAACCTGTGGCACAACCTGTGGCACAACCTGCGACACAACCTGCGACACAGCAGGAGGAGCGGAAACCTAGTCAACCCACTTCCGTCTCACCTCCTGGAGGCAATGCTTATGTTCATACAACAACCCACGGCCCCGTACCCCCGGCAACTGCGGAGCGTCTGAGTCTCAGCGAGGCCCCAAGATCTCAGGAGAATCTGCAAACCCCCGTTTCTCCGCCCCCAGCAGTTGTCACCCCCAGCCGTGAACGCAAGCTTTCGAATTTCTTCACCAAATCCCCACCCCCGGAGACCGAGAAAGAGCCCCGACAGCCAAACAGGTTGAGAAAGAAGCGGATTCCTGGTAGCGCAAGCATCAGCGCCCAAAGTTCGACCAACTCCCTTCATGGCCACAGCTTTGATCACAGTGCAGACCTCGAGCCGAAGCATGAGAACCAGCCAGTTGATGCTACCATTGGTGATACTACTCCCAGGCCACCCACTTCCGCCACGCTTGCCAATCGAGACAATCCGACCGACTCACACCTTGCTTTGGTAGAGGGCAATCTCCAACATCATGATAATTCCCTCAAACCCCACCAATCACGCACACCCTCAATGAACTCTCGCTCTTCTTTCACTGACCAGTCCGATCTGGATCAGCCCGATGACGCTTCTCGTCAAGAGCGTCGAGAAAACCGGCGGAGTTGGCGGTTCCCGCGATCATCAAAACGCACCAGTGAACAACTTGGCCTTGGTCTCGCCTCTCCGCCCCTGGTAGCAACCCACCCTGGCGCCGGGATGAGCACCAGTTCAATTGGAAGTGGACAAAACCTTGTCTCAGATCCCCCCAGTCAGCCACTAAGCTTGGATGCTGGCATCCAGCCCAGTACCTCTGCTGGATCGGATGGCGAGAAGAAGAGTTTGTTCGGAAAATTCAGGGCCAAGGTTGCCCAAGTTCGAGACGGTGTCAAGGATGAGCGTGAACGCACAAAGAGCCCAACCCGATCGGATACTGATCCTTCGCTTATCAGTCAACCATTGTCTCCCGTCGCCGCTGCAACCCCCGAACCAACAAACAGCAAGCCTGCTTCGATTGAAGTACCACGAGAACAGCCTAAAGAGGAGCCTGTTCGATCGCCTGTGTCCCCGCTACCTGGTGCCGGTCTCCCACCCCCAATCCCAGAGGAGCCGCATAGTCCAGTGGCGACGATGGCTGCGCCAGTCGAAAAGTTCGAATCCGCTCAATTACCCGGCAGTGAATCTGTGTCTGTTCCTGAGTCCACGATACCTCAGGAGGCCCCGAAAGAGGCAGCTGGACCGTCTTCATCGACCGCCTAGGTTTCTTGAAAGCTGTCCTTTCGTTCTATGCACATTAGCAGGAGTTTCTGGATTGAATTGTCATACGCCATGGTACAATAGATCTCTGAGCATTTGCCCAGGAGTGGCTCATTTTCAGTGCACCGCTCAGGCCGTTGGCGTTCTTGTGCAAGGTCTCTTCGTTTTGCCTTTTTCGAGACGGGATCTCGGGAATTGAGACCTTGAATTTCTCCACCACCTGTTCTACGTTCACGGATATCGAGTTGATGCCTTCCCTATGACCCCTTGTATTCTTTACACCCCCTGTTCTTCTACTTTGACGTCTTTCCCCTTTTTGTGGAGACCCGGGTCTCATAGTTTGCCCCGGGCTTCAGTTGATCATGTTGCCATGTGGTATGAATGTACGTTTTGTCTCTGCGCTTTGCAGCCGGTCTGTTTTGATCTTTTGCCGCGTTTCTATTTATTCTCAATCTGAGGCTCCGCTATGATATCGCTCTGGTATTTATTGGTATGAATTGGATCTCAAAACTTGCATTTTAAAACTTGGATTTCATTATTCCTGTCAATATTCGTAGACGGCCCGAATATCTCAATCCCTATGCTCGTAACCTTGGTTTTTGGCCTGTGCAGTCAAGAAAGTGGTGCCTGGTGGATGAGGCGATAAGGCATCAAGGCCCACCACGGCCAACACGCCAAAACAGACCTTCTTCCATCCCGAACAAGCCGGAACTCTTCAGGCCTCAACAAACATTGCGCAATGGCGTCAGATACTTCTGTATCAGGGCCCCCAACACCGATGGGCCCTGCTGAAAAACCTTCCGCTCCTCCCGTTCATATCCTTTCCTCGCCCGTTGCGCGCATCTATTCCGTTGTGCACCCAGCACTCCTCCTTGCACTATGTGCTGCGCGATTTGAAGGGTTGGTGGAGAACCCAACCAAAGAGCTTCTGTCAACCTTGCCATGGCTCACTGCCATTCAACTGTCATACGCGGTGATCTGTCTCCCGCCCGCCGGGTCGACATCAACAGAGTCGAGTGCGTCCGCCGCTGCCGACGGCAAGACCAGCCCTCGGATACCATCTGGACCTAGTGGCGGTCGCCATGGAAAGCCCAGCAAGCGCAAGCACACTAACAGCTGGGTGTGCATCTGGTCCCGGTTATTGGTATGGATAGCTCAACTAGATGGAGCGCGTAATGCTAACTCTTTGATCAGCCGGCCACGCTCTCGCTTGCCCTGACCTTCCTTCTGGCCACTCCAGTGCTGGCCCTCGTTCTTGTTCTCTTCGGTGCCCCGCTCACAACACACAATAGCGAAACCGTCTTGTGTGCAGCCCACATGGCCGTTCTTAGCGCCACATCTCTGATCTATGTCCACGGTACAGACCGCGGGGCGTGGAATGAGGTCTGGGGCATTGCCCGTCCAGCTGACGCGGTCTGGGGTGGTGCACTCGGCTCTGGCCTGGGAGCATGGTTTGGCGCCATCCCGATTCCCCTTGACTGGTGAGTCTGGCGCTGTATCTATACCGAGACTTGACTAATGTTGAATTCCAGGGACCGACCATGGCAGGCATTCCCCATCACAATCCTCGTTGGAGCTTACATTGGATACGCATTCGGCTCTCTTTTGTCTCGCACTCCATTGCTTTATGGAAAGCGAGTGCAATTCACAGCAGAAGAGCTGGGTAACAAGGAGAAGAAAACCAACTAAAGCCGTTTATGCACGGTGATTATATTATATTCGTGCCATATGAACATTTTCTGATAATCGTTCGGCCTGTATTAATACAAAGCCCTTGGACAACTGTAATTGCTGACTTGGCAACTTATTCAAACAATAAAATTTATTACTACGAACTGTGATCTACAGCTTGCTGGAATCTTGGAAGCTGCCATGTCGCCCTGCGCCTTTGCTGAACTTGGCTGCACCCGCAATGGCCTCTGCTGTAATCACTTTGCTCCCAGACTTGAACTCCTGCGACATGGCATCTTGGAAAGAGGTAGCATCGAAAGCACTGTAGTAGCATGACTGCCGGTCTGTGTTGAGACAAAGCTCTGGGAATGCGATGAGCTGCTGTGCTAGCTCAATAGCGACCCTTAATGATTCTCCTTTCCGAACCACACGACTGGCAAGTCCCATTGCAAGCGCCTCCTGGGCAGTGACAGGTCGACCAGTCAAGATCATATCTAGCGCACGACCGAGACCAACAATGGCTTGCAGACGAACTGTGCCTCCGTCTATCAGAGGCACACCCCAGCGTCGACAGAAGACACCAAACACCGCATCTTCTTCTACAACACGTAGATCTGCTAGTAGACTCAATTCAAGTCCTCCTGCAACAGCGTATCCAGACACCGCGCATATCACAGGCTTTCGAACGGTGAGCCTGGAAGGACCCATGGGCCCTAAATTCCGACCTTTCACCAGCTGCAGGTTCTCACCTGAGGTGTTCTGGCCAATACTGTGAAGATCGGCTCCCGCACAGAATGAACTGCCAGCGCCAGTCAAGACACACACTTTCTGGCGTGGGTCATCTTCAAAGGCGCATATGGCTTCATAGAGTGCTTTGGCAGTTGGAGGGTCGACGGCATTCTTTCTTTCAGGGCGATTGATGGTAATTACCGCGATACCAGGATAGGAGACATTAGCTGTGACCAACTCCATTCCCGAATCTCGAGATTTGTGAAAAGAAAGGTTGTCTGTTGTTGAGTCAAGTTGAAGTTGGGGAGACTTTTATACTCGCCTCGGCACACCCCCGCTTGATCTCCAAGTTTCTCTCCGTCACTCGGCTCTGAGCTGTCAATCGGAGCGCCATGTCCTCGGCATGTATCATATGTCATAAGAGAAAGGTAGTGCATCTCCTGGAGTGGTCAGGGATGTTCAAGTTGCTGACTGGCTTAGGTCAAATGCGACTTCGCGACCCAGGACCCATGCACCAACTGCAAAAAGTCCGATGTGGAGTGCCGGTAAGAGAATCTCGAGAGGAGGGTATAGACAGAATATTGATCTGGCGCAGGCAATACACACGAAAGCGCAAGAGATTCACCAATAGCCTGTCGCCAGGACGGAATGCTTCAATCTCTGCATTGAGTCAGACTCCCCGGAGCTCACAGCCCGTCGACTCAGACCCAACGTCACGGCGCATATCATCAAGCAGGCCTGCGGAGCCAATTCACAATGCAGGCCTTCCTACTAATGAGCCATTCATCAAGGAAGAGAGCTATCGCGGTCGCAGTGAATATCTAGGTGGCAGCGTCCCCTTCGATGAAAATATGGTCAAACCTGGTCGCGAGACTACATACACCAACCCCAAAGCCTCAACAATAGACCTGCAAATGCTGCGCAACCAAGGAGCATTTGAACTCCCACCTTTATCGGTCCAGAATGAGTTAATGGCCAGTTTTCATGCACACTGTGCACCCTGGACACCCGTGGTCGACCCGAAATGGCTGGACGAGAGCACGCCTCCTTCGATGCTGCTCCTTCAAGCGATCTTCTTAGCCGGCAGCAGAGTATCCAAAGCCCATTTGGACTATGGATCTAGCGAGGTGTTCTATCGACGCGCTAAATTGCTTTTCTTTTTTGGTGGATGCGACCATCCACTCATTTCTATTGTCGCTGCCTGTCTCTTGCACTGGTACAATCCTGTTGGACCCGAAGATGTGTCCACTGATACCAGTGGCTTTTGGATTCGAACAGCTGGTGCGATGGCGTTTCAAATCGGACTGCATAAAGAGCCGCCGCCCAACTCTCGCGATCGGGGTCTTCGCCGGAGGTTGTGGTGGTCTTTAGTAGTGAGTACTCCTCCGTGATCTGGATTTATCTCATAAGCTGATGTCCTCAGGTTCGAGATAATATTATTTCGGTTGGCGTTGGCCGACCGCGAACTATCAATCTTCGCGACAGCGACGTGCTTCCTCCGTCCTTGAATGATTTCCCCGTGAACAATTTCAAGGCCCAACTATTTCTGGCTTACTGCGCAATAGCTCGTCTTCTGGGAGACACTGTCGAATCTCATCTCCGGCAAGAAATCTCCCGTCAAAGACAAGTCGATCTCGAGAATGCGGTCTACAGATGGGCGAAACAGGTGATTCCCAAGCTGCAATCAAGTGTCGCGGTCCAGGAAGATGCCGACATTTGCAATCTGGAAGTCTACCAACTATTGGTGATGTACTTTGTGGTACTAACGATCTTACATCGCTCGCCGACACCGAACAGCGTACCCCCGGCAGCATCGTTGGTTGCATCTTCATTCATTGCCGGAATATACGAAGAGTTCCTCCTTCGCGACGAACTCCGATATTTAGGCCCTGTTTTCGCATTCTATCCTCTCTGCGCCGGACTCTCGCTCCTATCCAGCTGTCGCTATGCCCATCTCCAAAGTATAGCAGAACATGAATTAACCGTCATGAAGCTCGCCCTCCAAAAGCTTTCCGAGCGGTGGCTCTCCGCAGTCGGCCCTCTACGCGCTTTGAACAAACTCACCGAAAAGGTGCGAGAACTGGGTCCATTCGAAGGCCCCTCGCCTACAGTTGACTCGGACGCCGCCTCTTTCTTCGAAGGCTTTGACAAGAAACTGTGCAAACAGTGGCGGCTCATCGGTCAATCACCGGCACCGGCCAATGGAGACATGGGCATTGAGCCAACGTGCTCTTTAGCCGACATCCAAGATTCCAACGAGACCCTTCGGTCTCTCGATGACCAACCGGGACAAGAAAGTTATGATCTTTCTGCTCTTGATGTTAGCCTCGATCCTTTCAGCAATAATTGGGAAGGAGCCGGATTTGATTGGAGTGGTTCTTGGCTCCTCAGTGTTTGATGAATACAGCGATTGGCGTTTCTGGAAAAGTTTGGCCCATCTGGAGTTGATGTCTCGGTCTTGTTTCTTCTTTGCTTCATCGGCGTCTCTAAATATCATGTCAGATGATCTTCCATCGACCTTTTTCCCGCCTCTTAGATCGGAGGGTTGAGCGTTCTCATACTTTTTTTCTTCCCACTTTCCAAATCCGCCTTCTATTCAATTTTGTATGAATCGTCTCCCCCACGGCAATCTTCGCCAAATGAGAGGAGCCCAAGGCCGACATGTGGTCCAGCTGCCAAGAAGACCCCCACGCGGCTGTTCTCATCATTGCCCGTAGTCACTTCCAAGGAGAGTATAAATACCTGTTACTAACATAACCCTCTTTCATGCGGTGACATCTAGAGACTTCATGTAGGCTCTTGTGTGTTATGATCGGCACACCTGCCATTCCAATCAGTCGTTTGAGGACGGGCTTTGTGAGTTATTGTCTTATCGGGCTGACGTCAAGACTGAAAGTACCCAACCTGGGGGGTCTAACAATGCAGTCTAACATAATGATATCTCTATCTGGTCACTCTTCAGTTTCGATAGTATCTAATGTAGCATTCTCTGTAGCTGGAAATGAAGATATAGTGGACGGAATAGGAGCACTACGAAAATACGAAAATACAAGTGAAATGCAACAGTAGATACTGTAATGGTTCAATCATCTTCCATTCGGTATAAGATGACCAGGAATTGAGGGGTCATATATTATGATTAAATCGTAACGCCTAGTGAACGCCCCAGAGAGAACAACTAAGAAAACAAAGAAAGACAAGGTGCAATATCACTGAATAGTACACTTCTTAGGCAGACCGCAAGGTCCTTCACTGTCCTTCTCCTTCTTATTTGCCTCCTGAGAGCCCTGTTGCTTGGGCGCCTCGGTCTCCCGGGGCGCTGCCGCAGCAGGGGTCGAGCTCACCGGCTTCGACTCGGTACTGCCATGCAGTCATTGGACCCGAGAGACGGTCTCGTAGAAGGCCTTACCCTGGGCAGTGGCAATCTCGAGCTCAAGAGCGGAGGGCTGGCGAGAACCATCGGCACCCTGTGGAATGTTGTTAGTGTCTAGATCTTCATGGTATTGGAAGTGGATAGTTCACGTACGGCGAAAGTACCGGCACCCCAGGCGCTACCACCGTGGACCTCCTCGAGGTTGGCGAGCAGAGGGAAGACGGTCTTGTAACCCAGAGGGGTGTAGATGAAACCGTGGTCTAGTATATAGATGATCAGTCATGGAGGCTCCCGAGAAGAAAGAGCAATACGCTCCGGAGAGCTTCGGGGTGCACTTACGAGCGAGAGTGCTCATGGCGGCAATGCAGGTGGACTCCTGGCCACCACCCTGGGTGCCGGTGGAGACGAAGAGACCAGCGTACTTGCCCCAGTAGCCACCGGTGGCCCAGATTCCACCAGTCTTGTCCCAGAAGGCCTTCCACTGAGCAGGGAAGTTACCGTAGCGGGTAGGGATACCGAAGAGAACGGCATCGTAGGCGAGGAGGTCAGCGGGCTCGGCAATGGGCACATCAGACTTGGCGGGAGCGTGCATCTTGGAGAGCACATCCTCGGTGAGGGTCTCGGCGATCCTGAAGCCATGGGTTAGTCCCCGGGTCCAGTCATCTATAGTAGACTGATCGACTCACTGGAAGATATCGGCGGAGCCACCGGCGGACTCAATACCCTTCTTCTCAGCCTCGGCCAGGGCCTTGATGTGGCCGTACATCGAGTACTAGACGGCGTTAGTAACCACCATCGCAACCTTGGGAAAGCTTCCAGGAGTGCATACGTAGACAATTGCGATCTTGGGAGCCATGATGAATGATGTTTCAAGTGTATGAATTGAATGAAGGGATAGGAAAAGAGGGGAGGGGGGATGAGCACTTTATAGAAAGTCTCTCCTTCTAAGCCCGTTCGAACCCAACGCCAAAGGTGCCCGCAGTGCCCGCAGTGTCCGCAGTGTTACATAGCAAATCAGTCATCGATGACAGAGCAATTGATCGCTCTGATTGGCTGTTGTCTGCTCCACCCGGATATAGCTCATGTTTAGACGATTCTGACTGAGAACTGACAAATGAAAAATCTGCGGGCATGGGCGGTGATGCTCCTCGTGGAGAGCAGCTCGGAGACCCTTGCTAAGCATCACGAAATGAATGCCTCAACCCTGAGAAGGGCAGGATCAGCTTTGCTAGCCTCAACCCTCGAGACGATGGTCATGATGTCATGCACCCCGGTCATGATGTTCCAGATGTCTTCGAATGTTTCTTCCCAGTTGAATTCCCTTTTGGACGACTTTGGGTCAGCTGACTCGGGCTGACTATCGCCGGTGGGGGCCTTCCTAAAGAGGAGATTGGTGTCCAGACGCTGAAATATACACACACACACTATACACATACACATACAGTACACACAATCTTCCCTTATCGTGATCGACGGGGTTGGCGGTGAATCGGTGGAGTCATCTCAGTGATCATTATTGGGAAAAGTGTGGAAGGGTTAAATCCAAATCGGGGTATCTACAGTACAGTACTGGTCCAACGAAAACCGTCGAACTCCCCCCTTGCCGGGGGACACACTCTCCATGCCATGCAATGTGGCCCAGAAAACAGAACAGAGCAGCCCAGCTAGCCCCTGCCGCGCCCACGAAAGCGCCCACGGCCGAAACCACCGCCCCGCCCCCTCTCGCTGCGCCATTCCCGTTCTCGTTCTTTCTCTCGTTCTTGTTCTTCCCGGATAAGGGCTTTTTCATGTTCCAATTCTTCCTCGGTCTTCTCCGTGCGCATCGTGGGGCGGGGGAGATTTTCGGTCCACCGGGGGTGGGCATCGGCACAGCCTTTGCCATCAGGACAGAAGCCAGCCAGATAGAAGAGACACAAGCGTCGGCGGACGTGGCGCTTGGCACAGAGCGGTCCTAGTTCACAGTAGCCCTGATCGTAGTGTTCACAGGGGGGCAGGCGGGCCTCTTCACGGACATGTTGGTAAAGACAGTCGTCGCCGTTGGTACAATATCCCGATCGGGAAAAAGACTGGCATTCGGGCATTCGCCGCAGGTTGTATTCGTGAAGATATTCGCATTTCAGTCCTTTCTTACACAGCCCCTTGAGGAAATGTTTGCAGACCAAGGATCCGTGGGTGGTCGAGGGGGCCATGCCGGATGCCGTCGTCGTCGAGGTCGTCACGCGAGATGGGGTGGGATGGCGATCGGGACAGGCAGGCCCCAGTGGACAGTGGCCTTCACTGTAGGCTTTGCAGACAGGTACATCGCTGGCCAGTCCGAAGCCAAAGCTTTTGCGGAGGAAGGGTGTGAATGTGAAGTCGTTGTAGTTGGGATCGCGCGTCGGTTCGGCGGAGATGAAATGCATCGCAGCACTCTGTGTATCGGCCATGATGTTTCGGAGCTTGAGCTAAAGCTCACGTAGGCAGGGTGCGCAGGTGGACGTGCTCGACGCGATCACGACACTCTTGGGTTCAAAATTTCAGCGAGAAGATATTGCACCCGGCGGATGAGTTCTGTTGTGAGGAGAATTGATATCGAGGAAGCAGGGAGAGGTGCAAAGGTGTGAGTAATGTTCTGTGTTGTAAAAGAGCTGTCCAGGATGATCTCTGGTTCTCGCCTTAGAAATCAGGTGGCAAACGTTTGACTGGTTTGCATTTGTCATTGGCCAACCTTCGAGAGTACTTACTTCCTTTTCTTTCTTTTTGATTCAGTTTACTGCTATTTACAATCAATACTGTTGTCTCATGCTATCTAGGCCTATGAGATATGGTCGTCATCTTAAATTTGAACTACACTTTCATTTTCGAATCAACTCCTAGCAGTGCTATATATAACTCTATACCGATATGAAATTCGACTTTCTAGAACTAGCAAATGCTCTAAACCTATTCTTTCTGATAAAATCCAAGCTGCTGATCCATCACTTCCTTGATCATCATCTCATGTGAGCGCCATTTAATCCCAAGCTCGGTTTCCGCCTTGGTGGTATCGAGTGGTTGCCAGGCAATTCGAATATCCTCGGTGACCTGGGCTCCAGAATCAGGATACAATCTCTTCGCAATGCTTGCAAATTCAGGAACAGGGTCGATGGGCGCAGCCAGCAAATACTTCGAGCCATCAGGAATTTTCGGGTCCAACACTTTGACGTGCACCTCGGCCACGTCCTGGACATGAACACCACCGCTTCCACTGGGATTGTTTCGCATCATCAGACTCCAGAGAAGACCATTGGATCCCGATAAAACTTGCTCGGCCGAGGTCTGCACAAGGTTGTGTCCCCAGACAAATACTGGGTGCAGAGTGACCAATGCATAATGCGGCTTAGCTGCTGCCCGGAAATCCCAGGTTGCTTTGTTGGCAAGGAGCTTGGAAGCCCGGTATAGAAGCATGGGTGTTGCTGCTGGGTTTTCGGGATCTTCAAATGACCCGTTCTCGTCGACGGAGAAGTCCCAGTCATTGTCCTCTAGAATCTCATTAACATCCTGCTGGTAGGGGATTCGGGGGCAGCCCCAAGACCATCTTACCTTTGACTACTCCTCCAGCCGGAATGCCATTCAAGGGCACCAAAGCAGCAACAGAGGAAGTCACGACCACCTTTTTGATGCTTGGAACCTTGGCTGCTGACTCCAGCAAGGAAGTCGTACCTTTCACAGCCGGCGTGAAGTACGTCTCCTTGTTGGTTCCATGAGTTAGAGGGGATGCCAGATGAAAGACAAAATCCACTCCTTCTAGCTTGCCATCGAATGCCGTTTCACTGGTGAGATCTGGAATGATAACATATTCGACTTGATCGCTGTATTCGGAAAGGACGGACTGCAGCTGTTCCGAGGGCTTGCGCAGACAAACTCGCAGTTGATGACCGGCCTTGACAGCTTCGAGAGCCACGGCGCTGCCAATGAAGCCAGTGGCCCCGGTGATGAAGATCAATCCCTTCGACATGGTGATGTGTGCTTTTTTGCGTGCTGCGGGGTATAAGAAGAGACTAAGAAACTAACAGAATAAGTTCTGGGGCCGTTCTGCCCCTCACTTATATATGCATCGATTGAGCTTATGGATTGTTCATCGCGATAATGGAGAACGGTGCAATTAAGCCCCGATCGGGGCGGACCCGAGAATTTGATAGATGGTGGCGTGACGCATTAAGACATCCAAGATCATTGCAGCTCATTATTTGCTGGTTAGACTCTCCACAGAAATTGCTTGATATTGTAATCTGAAGCTCGACCGAGGTTGATGAAATGATCAAATCCGATCAATGCCACTTCATTGCGTCGTCAATGAAATGCACAATTTTATATCGTACGGAGTTTTCTGTGAAGTCATGTATAGCCATGCATAGCCAATGCATTTCTGAGCGATCATCCTGTCTGTAATGTTTTGTAAAAGGGCTGCTCTTTCCAAGACTATAAGAGCTATTCCACAGAAACTAGCCGGTGACATAACCAACAAGCCTCAAAATGCTGTGAGATACATCAAACGTAGTCCGAAGACTATTACTCCTGAGAAAAAACGACCAAGTCAATGATCAAATTTCCCGTATCCTACGAGCAAACTGTTTTCTCCATCCAGGGCCTACTTCATCCCGGATGTCCTCGGCAGATTTTCAATCAGCGGCGAAAGGCAACCAAAATTCTGCCGCCTGGACGAGTTTCGACGTCGTTCGTGCTTACCAAGCCAACCGAGCTTCTCGACAGGGACCGGCATTGATTATATTCTCATTGTAAATAATCTGGATCCAGTGTTTGAGGCACGAGAATGGAATCCAAATCTTTCATCGCCAAAGCTTTGATGACTCCCCGGAAGGAAGGGTCCGTGACGCTGTAGCGACCAAAGCTGTAGTGACCACGGAGAAGCGTGGTATACATTAGCATGGACATATTGGCCGATCGTCTCCTGATCATCGCCTCTAGACCGAGCTAGTGTTTCAAAAAAGAAGCGTCCAGTGTCCGGCTGGCATGAATTGGGGATCGCCTCCATTGCTCAAAAGCTAATAGCTTGAGCATGGTTCGCACCGTTGAACCGAAGAGTAAAATGAGAGAAGCCTGCAGAGGTCAGCGCTCTGGAATCCAAGACCAGGGGCGGAAAAGCGAATTGCCTTGGGGGCCAAAGACATCTAAACATCCCTGCTTACAGTAGAGTATAAGTTACCTAGCCTCTAGCCTCATATAATAAGCTCAATCCCAGCCAATCAACCCCGCCGTTAACCGATTTGACGATCAACGATCTTCGGACAGATCGAAGAAAAAAGCAAACCTGGGTCCCAAGCCAAATCGTAGCGATGTGCCGTTCCTGTCCACCGGGGCAAACATGACGCAGGATGCGCGAGGCGTCGAGCATACGAGGGTGATCGGCTGAGAAAACTCTGCGAGTATCACGGGGTGCATTCCTGCTTATGCAGATCAAGCCAATTGGATTTCCTGATTCCACGACGCTGTTCAGATGAGGGAACCCGGGGCGGATGTCTACCGGTTCCCCGTGGGCGCTTGGAGACCTGGGCGTTCCCCCAGTATACAATAGACACCAGCACGTAGAGAGGTATGAGGCATCACGAGAGCCGAGAGGAATGCAAGGATCAGCCGTTTGGGTACTTTGGAAATCTCAGGCGGGACTCCTGCCGCAACACCCCGCACATTGTATCCAATACTGATCGACTATTCACGCCAAGGGGCAAGATGAGATGTGCATCGGTTCACGGCGTATCTGTTTACAGTCCACGTGACAGGTGCCAAAACAGGAAAGCCCATTCCCCCACAGATTCTCTTCTTCATTTCTTTCGATTCACAGACAATCGGGGAGCACACCATGTTCTCGGCTGCCAGTGCACTGTTTCGTCGACGGGATCGCAACCCCACCTCGGAGAGTGCCTATGAGGTGCCCTTTTACACAAATGCGGCATACTATCCAAATTGGAGAATCTATCGAAAGGAGCCTCCCTCGTCATTGAGACTGGGGTTTATATCACATGTGTTCTATGCATTTGCTTGGTATGAACAGCCAATCATGCTGACCCCGTGTGCGAGATTGGCTGACGCGCTAACCTCGAACTGGTCCCCTGCAGGGTGAAAGAAGACGGCACGGTTTATGTAGGTCAAGAATTGCTTCCTCGTTGAATAATTGCTGATGCAGTGCAGTTGAGTGATGAGTGGGCAGATACCCAGATGCCGGTGGACGGCACCGAGGGATGTCTGCGGGCTTTCGTCCAGCTGAAGCAGCAGTATTCTCAGATGAGAGTCATCCTCTCGGTTGGTGGAGGGGGCAAAGGCAGTGAGAACTTTGCTTCAGTTGCCCGCAATAAAGCTACACTGGAGACGTTTGTGAGTACCGCGCGAGGACTAGTGGATCAGTTTGGACTTGACGGTATCGACGGTAAGCTCCCTCTGTTGTCCTTCGAGGACTTGCCGGTGATTTGGAGAGCTAGCTGATGATGTGGTTGCTGTGCAGTTGACTGGGAGCACCCGGCGGACTCCAAACAAGGAAAAGATTATGTCCGTATGCTTGCACGCCTACGCGAAGTGCTTCCTGCCCCGCGATACGTCCTCGCTACCTGTCTTCCTGCTGGTCAGTGGGCTCTGCGGAACATCGATCTTCGCGCGGCATCCAAATATTTGGATATGTTGAACCTGATGGCATATGATTTTGCTGGTCCATGGGACCCTGAAACCGGCCATCACGCCAAGCTCTCCGGTCCTGGAGTATCGGGAGAGTCGGCTGTGGACTATGTAGTTTCCCAAGGAGTACCTCGTCGAAATGTGATCCTCGGTGTTCCAGTCTATGGGCGATCTTTCTTAGGTAGCACTGGACCGGGTCAACGATACACTGGTCACGGAGGAGAGGAAGGCGTCTTTGATTATCGCGATTTGCCGCGGCCCGGAACCCAAGAATGCCACGACAAGCAGGCTGCTGCCTCGTTCTGTGTTGGAGCCGATGGAGGATTTGTGACCTATGATTCTCCGGAGACCGTGCAGCAGAAAGCAAAGTATGTGACCTTGTCGAAGCTAGGCGGACTGTTTTATTGGCATGTCTGCTCTGACGCTCGTGGACCAAGAAGTCTGATCGAAACCGGTTACAACACACTCCACGATATGTGAATGCCATCCGATCCCCAGCAAAACAAAAGTCTGCGTTTTAGGTGGAGAAAATAATTATTCTATTGAAGATGGTCCATTATGTAGACCGGCAAGCCTGCAAAGAGGTCTAGGACGACTTAATACCGATGGGATCGATGGGACCAATGAATTCTGGATTTCTAGCCCAGGAATACATCTAATATATCCGAAAAATCCCAGTATTCCATGCATATTCGGCGCTTTTTCGGAGTCTACACAAGCATCAAGGGGGAACCGAGGTCCAACATGGAACCGTTTAAGTAAGCTTCCTCCCCCGCGTTTTGAGGCTGCGAACATCCCATACGATATCACTTCCATAGTTCCTCAACAATCTCGCCTGAACATGTCTCCCTCGGTCCCTCAGCCGGCGACTGCAGATATCGGCTCTATCACCGAGCCTGGTAAGCTGGAAAATTCATATACTTCGGATACAAGTCTTCACCGGGCACTTTCATGTTGGTACTCCTTTTCTTACTTTCCTACACAATAAGATGTAGGATTAACTCTTGCAGGGTATCTTCCATCCACTACACTAAAATCAGTAGAGCCACATTTCACCAAGCTCGGTGCCGAGGCTATCTCGGATCAGATCCGCGAGTGGAGTGCAGATGCTGAGCGCAATCAACCCTACGTGAAGAGTCATAATGTTTGGGGTAAACGATATGACTATGATCGATTGGTGACCACTAATGGTTGGAAACAACTCGGCAAATGGGGCGCTCGGAATAAGTATGGACTATAAATCAGACTACGAAGCTGTTGTCTGACTGGGTTCCATTAGAATTGTTTCTGCAGGCTATGATCCAGCCTTGGGGGTGGATAGACGAACGGTTCAATATGCACTGTGAGTACTATCTCTTGATATTTGAAACCGTGGCCACTGACTATCGACGATAGGAATTATCTTTACTCTCCTTCTTCGGGTCTCTACTCGTGTCCAATGAGTATGACTGATGGGGCTGCTTTTATTCTATCTTCTAGAATCGGAAAGCTTCCAGCCAATCACCCCTTTCATGCTGCCTTTCAAGGGCTGACTTCGGAGGGCGATGATCATTGGACTTCTGGCCAGTGGATGACCGAGAGAGCTGGTGGAAGTGACGTACAGAACACCGAGACCTGGGCTTCATACTCCCCACTAGCCAAGGATGTAGGTGTTGATCCTCTTGGTGATGGAGACTATCTTATCGATGGATTTAAATTCTTTTCATCGGCGACAGATGCCAACCTGGCTCTTCTGCTGGCCAAAACTCCCTCTGGAAATCTGAGTACATTCCTCGCACCACTTCGACGAACTGTTGTTGGACCCGATGGTGTCTCTAAGATCGTATCAAATGGAGTCAGGATCCACCGTCTGAAGAACAAATTAGGAACAAAAGAGCTACCAACTGCGGAATTGGAGCTCAAGGGTATGCGGGCTCATCTGGTTGGGGAGTTGGACCAGGGTATTGTCACCATCGCCCCCCTGCTCAATGTGACCCGCATTCATACCTTTGTCGGGTCCCTCGCCGGCTGGCGTCGGGCTATCAGTATTACGAAAAGCTTCGCCAAGGCCCGGACGACCGTCGGGGAGCCTCTCTGGCTCATTCCCATGCATTTGCGACTGTTGGCGGACTTGGAAGTGAAACATCGCGGTGGCATGGCACTATCCTGGTTCACGGTCGCTTTGTTCGGTATTGTGGAGAACAGATCGACGGCTTCTACGAAACTGGCGCATCTTCCACAGCCTGGGAAGGAAGCCGAGGTAGTCTTTCGTACTTTGACCGCCACCGCAAAGGCCGTTGTAAGCAAGATGGCTACTCTCGGCATCATCGAATGCCAGGAGTCCATGGGTGGAGTCGGTTACATGGACGAGGCTGATGAGCCCGAGTTCAACATCTCTCGCATTTTGCGGAATACAACGGTGAACTCAATCTGGGAAGGGACTACCAATGTGCTCGCCAGTGAGATGGTTCGATTCCTTCTCAAGAAGGACAACTTGAACCTCTTCAGAGTGTGGTTTGATCGTACTTTGGCCTTGATTCAAACACCTGCTCTACGCGATACTTTAACTTCTGCCTGGTTTGCACTTCGCGCTAGGTTTTCAAATAACGATCCTGCTGCGATAGTCGCTGATGCGCGTCGGTACATGTTCACACTTGCGTGGATCATTTCGGGAGCACTTCTAGCACTGGACTCTGAACGTGACCGTGACTCTGTAACCACAGAGATTGCCCGTCGCTGGATCCTGAGTGCCGAGGGTGGCGTGGGTGACATGGTATTCCATGACATTGTTACAGCCCATGATGCTGCTAGCACTGCTTCTTCGGGTGAGGAGCATCTACAGTGGGACTGCCGCATTGCCTGGGGAGTTGAGTTGCCGGTCAATCGTGCGTCTGGGCATAGATCGTTGCAAAATTCAAGTGCAAAGCTTTAACCAGGAAAGCCAGGATCCAACCAAACCAAGCATCTAAATGTTGCCACACTCTCTTGCCTAATTTCTTGTTCTATTATTCATCCCCATCAGAATAGCCAATTCATAGTTTCCATCATTGCCATATTTGCATCTTGAACTTCAGATTGCTATCTTGTTATTTGCCACTCAAACCCCCTATTTACATAGCTTGAATCAAATCTTAGCCCGATATCCTGTCGACGAGTCCATCGGAAGGTCAGTTCCCCAAACAATGCGACAGTCCCAAATAGTCCGGCATTGGTCACTCGTAACCCGAGGCTGGGCTGCAGGGCGCTGATATAGAAGTTCCGCAAATGCGAATTCTGCTGGTACACCTTGGCCATCAAGGACCCATCTTTGAGCTACCTCAGAGGCAATCTCGTCACCATCTCGTTGAGCATCCATGGCGAGCAATACACCACTGATCACCCACGCAAGAGTGAACATTATCTGACGACCAACTCCGAGAACACCTGCCAGGCGACGACTATCTTGACCAGCTGCGAGCTTTTTCTCTAGAGCTACCCAGACATTCTGTAGAGTGGTTCTTAGTTTATTGTCAGTTATATGGTCGAGAGAATCGTTGACCCAGGCACTGAAGGCATCCAAGTTGCGGTGATTCGTCAGGTGCCTCACTGTCTCGCTGGCGAGAACATTCGTGGTTCCCTCCCAGACACTGTTGCTAGCTGTGTCGCGCCATAGCCGGCTCACATTCAACTCAGGTTCTTCAGGCTCATCTGCGGACTGGTCAGTAACTGAATGAAGGATTGTATGTAGAGTAGAAAGACTCACCCATATATCCAACACCCCCCATTGCTTCCTGGCATTCTTGGAATGCTAATGTGGATGATTTGCAGATCACGGCTTTGGATGTAGACGTCAGAGCCCGCAGAACAATTGTTGCTGTGGCGGGAGATCTAGCGAGAACATTGTAATGTGCAGGCAGCGGCGTAGGAAACCCGTTGTCCACAAATCCGAGCAGCGATGATGTGAAGAAAGCTAACTGGAGCCAGCCTCTATGCTTTACTTCCAGCTGAGCAAGCACATTCAAATGCATTGGGAACGTCCACAGTGGCTGATCAATGGTCTTGCGAGCAAGGGCAAAGGCTTTGGCAATATCCATGGCGCGACGCAGACAAGAAACAGCCGTGATAAAGTTATGAGTGCGTGTCGTGTTCAGTAGCAAGGCAATCGTTGCGATGCCGCGATCTTTCTTGCCGATTAAATGGGCGCGGACGTCTTGGAGCTCAATCTCAGCTGTGGGCAGCTCTTTTGTGCCCATCTTGGTCTTCAGACGATGGATGCGGATTCCATTTGATACTTGCTTCTTCTTCCCACTGGCATCAGTGACTGTGACAGATGTTGGTGCCACGAATAGGGACAACTCCCCGGACTCGGTCTTCGCAAGAAGCAAAACAATATTACAATCGGTTGCGCTGCAGAAGAATTTGAACCCCGACACGAGGTAATCTCCTTCTTCCATGTTACCAAAGCGACCAGTCTTCGATTGCAGTGGAGAATAGACCGCGACCGTCTCGCTGTTTCGCACATCGCTGCCACCTGGACGCTCGGTCATCCATTGCGCGGATATCCAGTTGTTCTTGCGAGCAATCAGACGTGCGTAGAGTTCATGAAATGGATGATCGGAAGGCAGATCTTGAATCTCATGTCGAACTAGACGTGCAGCCCCCGAGGTCATTGAGACAGGACATGAATAGGCAGCAGAGGACGCCGAAAAGATATAGTTACTGGACTGTCAGTATCGTCCATTCATCGTCATTGGATGACATACTATGCATGCTGCACGACTCTGCGATATGGCCCAAACTCCTCTTCATATCCGAGACCAACTACACTATACCAACTGTCAGTGTATGAAGCAGAAAAGTGTGAAGCAATCTCACCCGTTCTTAATCCCCCATTGTCCCAGCTTTTTCCAACCATCGCTAGTTATCAGGTAGTCGGTATCATACCGCGCTCCCCACACATTACGAGTCTTGATGTATGGCAACTGTGTCTCTGCATTTCCAATCAAACGGTTGGTATCATCGGAAATTGCCTCGCATCCAAAGGTTTGCAGGTCAGGCAAGATCTTCGATAAGACCTCACGGGGTAGATGCCCTATTTGACCATGTCAGTGTATCATACTTGTCAAAATGATCATTAAGAAACAGACATTGGAGGATTCGAAGAAAAGCCTCATCCGAGACACCTGGATTCTTCAACGCTGGCGTCGAGAGAATGAATCCCTGGTCCACAGTAGAGGGCTTGAACGAGATCGTCATGTCTATAACAATAGGCAAAGGAAGCAGTCTTATGGAACACAGGCTTCCACAAGTACAATTTTATACTTCATCTCTCACATCTGTTCGTCTCCCCCGTGCGGGGATTGATCTTGATCTACAACACAAGCCGAGAACCGTTACCGATGCACCGACAATCGCCGAAGAGTACCGTTAAGGGAGTCTGGAGAGATCGATCTGGGGTTGCATTGGTATGTGCCGACTGCCGATGGACTATTAATGTGACTGTTCGAAGCCTGCATTTGCTCTCATTCACATTTGGTGACTGTTATTGGAAATCATCTCCCAAGAACCATGACCGAATCATCGAAAATGAAGCCTATTTGGCAACCTACCTTGCCCCAGCATCAGATTCCGATGAACATCTATCGAGCGCATGTCAACCAAAAGTTCAAGCAGCGACTGAGCTCCTCTCAGGAACTGCATCAATGGTCTGTCGACAATTTGCAAGATTTCTGGCTCGATCTTCATCAGTATACGGGCATTATTCCATCCTTGCCTCCGACGATGACATCTGCTTTTGATGATAGTGCGCCTATGGAAACTGTGCCAGAGTTCTTCCGTGGAGCATGTGTCAACTATGCTGAGAATGTGCTCTCGGGCCGGGACTTGGATAAGACTGCGCTTGTTGGAGTTCGCGAGGGCCATGACTTGAACGGCGAGGTTTGGACGTGGGGATTGTTGAGGGAGAATGTTCGAAAGGCGAGGAGTGCTCTGCTTCAACTTGGAATCAAGGAAGGTGACCGGGTGGCTGCAATTATATCCACAAGCGTTTGGTCAGTGGGCCTTTTCCTGGCGACAGCAAGCATTGGAGCCATTTGGACTAGTATTGCGCCGGATTTGGGCAACGAAGTAAGTTGGTCACCAAACATACGCACATTTGGGGGCTAATCCAAGATGACAGGGCTGTATATCCCGATTGCAGCAAGTGACTCCTCGGATTCTATTTGCTGATGGCGAGTCAACATACAAGGGAAAAATGAGATCAAATGTTCTCAAGATACATAACATCTTCACGGCCATGAAAGTCAAGCCACAGGTATTCTTAATTCCTATCACTGGCGCTCATGAACCGGCTTTCCCAAGCCTTGACACGTTCCTCGCGAAGTCACTACAAGAAGAACCAATTGACTTTAAAAGAGTATCCTATTCTCATCCCCTCTATATCCTCTATACGAGCGGTACTACTGGCCAGCCAAAGTGTCTGGTCCATAGCCACAGTGTCATTCTACAACACAAGAAGACGTCTGTGCTGCACAACTCGCTCGTGCCCGAAGATGTCGTCTTCCAATATAGCAGTACCTCGTGGGTATTGTGGAACATTATGATTGGCCATCTCTCAGTAGGCCCAACGTTGATTCTGTACGATGGATCGCCTTTGTGGCCCAGCGCGAAAGAAATGGCAAAGATCGTGGAGTATCATCGGGTCACTTACTGGGGTTGCTCGCCTCGCTACCTGCAGGAACTGGAGATGACCGGGTGTGTTCCAAAGAGTGAGTTTGATCTGTCATCTCTCCGTATGGTTCAAACGGGAGGCTCGCATCTTGGTGAAGATCAATATCAATGGTTTTACCGTGCATTCCCGCCCACTGTCCATCTGACTAGTGTTACTGGAGGCACTGATCTGGTGACTTCTTGGATCGGGACTGACCCCGCTGGTCCGTTGTATTCGGGAGAAATCCAGCTGCCGATGTTGGGACAGGATGTAGATATTGCGGATCCTGTCACTGGAGAATCGATCAAAGAGTCCGGTAGACATGGAGAGTTTGTTTGTCGCAAGCCATTCCCATCCATGCCTGTCTTTTTCTGGGGCGATGAAAATGGAGCAAGATACAAGGCTACTTATTTTGACAAGTTTGAGAACTGCTGGGCCCAGCATGACTGGGCTAGCTATAACCCGCAAACAAAGGGCTGGCAGATCCATGGCAGGAGGTATGATTGTCCCCGTCAAGTTTTCGTGTGGTAGGTCACATACTCACAGCATTCTACAGCGATGGTGTTCTGAACCCACAAGGGATTCGATTCGGAAGCTCTGATATCTACTCAATCACCGAGTCTGCCCCTTTCAACTCGGTGATCTCTGCCACTCTATGCGTTGGTCGGAGAAGACCTCATGATTCAGATGAAGTGGTCTTTCTGTTTGTGGTCATGCAGTCTGGCAACTCATTTACAGGCCAACTAGCAGTCGAGCTGAAGGATGCAATTCGTAATGGGTTGAGCGGTAAACATGTTCCTCGCTTCGTCATTGGAGTGAAAGAAATTCCCATGACGGTAAATGGCAAGAAAGTTGAGACCTTGATCAAACAGGTCATCTCTTCTGGTCAATTGCCAAAAACTATCAGTAGCACCGTGGCGAATCCAGGGTGTCTCGATCATTTCAGGCAGTATTATGAGCTTGAGGTACAAAGTGCCAACAGAGGCAAGCTATAGTCGGGATAATATAGTCACATAGCAGAAGGACCCAAGTGACCATAGAGATATTTCTAGAAATAGCAATCAAATTGACTTCAAGATGAACAACAACCCGATGACTTCTCACGAGGGAACTAAGATCAAGAGTTGGCAGCGTGGGGTTGTTCACCGCCCTGAGAATGGGCAGATGGCCCACCGCCCGACTTGTGACGTGACCAGGGAAGCTTCGTGTTGAGCTCTTCCGTATCGGCGACTCCATCCTTTATCAACTCTTCTCGAGATCCTGGATTTCTCAGTCATGGCATCACAGCCGATTATTTTACGGTTTGAGAGCCGTAATGGGCAGTTCCGATTCTCAGTTAGCCCGCAGGAACTCTTCCCGTCCCTCCATCAAAAGGTATTGTTGTCGCTGTCTTCTCATAAATGCATGGCTCAGTGCAGGAGCTGATCTTACTGCGTGCGATAGATCCTGGAACAGCTTCCGGCAAACGTCGATTCCTCCTCCATCGTCATCTCGAACAAACCCATCGGCACAGGCGGCGAAGAGAGAGAATTGGAAGGCCTACAAGGTGTCTCAATTCAACAAGTCGGACTCAAGTAAGTATAGATTTTTGCCGAGATTGCCCGGAAGTTGCTTATGCTCCCAAAGACATGGCGATAAGCTCTTCATTGGGTACCAGGAACAGACACAACAGAATGGACTATCGAATGGTGACACACCTACCGCTCCGGAGCGACGATTAAATGGAGCTCCGATCCCCCAGCAAGAGACTGTTCCGATTCGTCCTCAGCCATCCTCTTCCGCAACAATCAAGAACCCGTGGGACGTGGTGAAGCAATCCCCACTAGATGACCTTTTGGATAAGAAAGATGGCAAAATCAAGCGGAACATGGATCACAAAATGTGTAAGCATGGCCCTCGAGGCATGTGTGATTACTGCATGCCGCTCGAACCATACGACACAAAATACATGGCGGAGAAGAAGATCAAGCATCTTTCTTTCCACTCATATCTGCGGAAGATCAACGCTGCAACCAATAAGCCCGAGATGGGAACCTCCTTCATGCCACCGCTCAATGAACCATACTACCGAGTGCGAACTGATTGTCCATCGGGGCATTCGCCATGGCCGGAGGGTATTTGCACAAAGTGTCAACCCAGTGCTATCAGTCTGCAACCCCAGGAGTTTCGCACGGTCGACCACGTAGAGTTCTCCTCTCCCGACCTCATCAATTCTCTTCTTGACTTTTGGCGAAAATCTGGTGCCCAGCGCCTCGGCTTTTTATACGGAACCTATGAGGAGTACACGGAAGTACCGCTGGGTGTCAAGGCTGTTGTACAAGCAATCTACGAACCCCCACAAATGGGCGAAGTCGATGGCGTAACACTTCACGATTGGCACAACGAAAAGGAAGTGGATGAGGTGGCCAGTCTTTGCGGATTGCAAAAGGTTGGTGTTATATTTACTGATCTTCTCGATGGCGGCCAAGGAGACGGTTCGGTGGTATGCAAGCGCCACATCGACTCATACTTCCTGTCATCGCTGGAAATTGCCTTTGCCGCACGCCTTCAGGCACAAAATCCCAAATCAACCAAATGGAGTCGCACGGGACGCTTTGGTTCCGACTTTGTCACATGTGTGCTCAGCGGTGATGAAACAGGTGCTATTAGCATCAGCTCCTACCAAGCCTCTGTTTCTGCGGTCGAGATGGTTCGTGGAGATATCATTGAGCCCTCCGCTGACCCGTCTGTGATGCTGGTACAATCCGAGACCGACGAGGATGTTGGCGCCAGAACTCGATATATCCCCGAGGTTTTCTATCGCCGTATTAACGAGTACGGTGCCAGTGTTCAAGAGAACGCCTCGCCAAGCTTCCCAGTGGACTTCCTTTTAGTTACTCTGACTCATGGATTCCCCACAGAGTCATCCCCATTGTTCACCAACAGTCGCTTCCCCATCGAAAACCGCGAAATCATCGGCGAAAGCCAAGAGCTACGACATGTTGCTCAGAAACTTATGCTTGGAGACCCCCAAAAGGCCATCCAAGGGGTATCTGACTTCCACCTGCTCTGCTTCTTGCACGGACTCAGCACCTTCAACAAGGTCTGTTCCCTTCCTTGCGCGACTCAACCTCAGATACTAACCGAATTTCACAGGACGAGGAATCCCTCCTCTGCCGTGTCTCGAAAACACAATCACCGGCCGAAGGAATGCAACTGTTGAATACCTCAGGATGGGCGACGTTGATGACTATCCTTGAGGAGAGTGGTGAGCGCCCCCCTAAGCGCCCCTGGCCCACCGCGGTTGAGTCTTCTCGCCCGGATCCCCAACCCCGAGGACGTCGCAACCCCCCTTCTTCCCATACATCACGCTCCAATACTCCTACTGCGGATGGTGAACAGCTTGCTAAGAGGTTTAAGGGAGCTAGTCTAGAGTGATTTCACTTCGTCTTATGACCGCTCGGTTTTTCATTAGTCCCCCTCCATTCGATCGTCTTCCCATCGTGTTATCTGGGAACTGTGAAGTGGAGGAAATTTCACCTCAATTTCGCCTCAGTGTACCAATGATCCCCACGTCTGCGGTGGAGTTTAACTGGATTGGGCGAGGGTTATATGGCCTAGGAGTAGGCTTAATTTTACTGCATTGAGATCCAATGACCTGCATTGTATCTACATTCATAGGACTACCAGTAATTGTTTGCGATGCAAAGCGCAGTATTTTTTATGCAGTCTTGAGCATTGAAATGATAACACCGGATTTTTCAAGCCTATTTCTCTCGTCAATAGAATACTCTACGCAACAAACAACTTGCACTCACAACTTGCCTATGACTTATGGTCACCTCGACTCATCCTTCTCTTCACTGCATTCCAGAAGCCTGGTTTCTCAGATTTGATCAAATCAGCCTCTGTCAGCAATGCCTCTGCTTTGGCCTCGGTCGACTTCGGGGCGAGTGCCTCATTAGATTCATATTTGTTGACCTGGTGCTCAAACGAGGTTATCTCGTCAAAATCATCGTTGGATTCTCGTTCCGAGGCTTGTCGCTTCATCCGTGCTCGAGCTCGATCAGCGACTGCTTCCAATCCCCCAGATCGTGAAGCACCAGGAGCAAGTGCGCTGTAGCTGATGACTGGGGTGTCGTTCATGGGGACGCAGAAAGTATGGAGTGAAACTATCAGTGTCAGGATCCTAATAGAACAGTGGTCCATCGGTGGTTGAAGCCCTCTTATAGAAGTGTTATTCGGGTCCTATTGGACATGACGTACAGTGGACAAATCGGGCAATACACAGCCTTATACATCCAAAAACGCTCCAGATCTGCACGAATCGGGCCATGGCATCCATGGGTGAGCCGAAACGTTCCATGGTTGACGCCGATCTCTCAATTCGTACAAGTTCATTCTGAAGTATGGACTAAATTAAACCAGTTTCCCAAACTTTCCCGCCTAACTCCGATCAAAATCAATGGCTCATTGGCCAATTGCCTGGCCTGCTTCAATAAGCTCCTTGAGCCGTTTCTCAATCACCGTCCGCCCTTCGCCAGTCATCCATACATCGTGTGGCGCATCGGAGACCACGTCCCAGGAATGAAGATTATCCGTGATATGAGACAGATCCTCTTGGCGATCTGCCCAACGGGAATCTTTGCGGACCTCTTGGCCAGAACTGACAACGACAACCGGAGCATGGCCCATCTGGACATGACGGGCAGACTGCACCTCAGCGGCAGTCATAGTAACTGCAACGAGACTCTCTTGTAGCTTCGCCTTAATGAACTTTCCAGTCTGATATGCCGAACGGCCAGCAATGCGATCCAGGCGTGTGCGGCCCCGAATCAATGCCCCAGCAAGTCGGTCTAGTCCGAGTGGGGACAGAACACCACGGAACCAGAGCACAAAGCCCTTGCCTGGCTTGCCGAGTTCGTCCAGGTAGTCCTCGTGAAGCGGATCAATCATGAAAATACCACGCACTTCAAGAAGGTTGCGACTCGCAAAGAGTCTGGAATAGAGGCTTCCAACGCCTGCCGAAACGACCACCCAGGGACCAGTCTCGTCGGCGAGAGCCAGCGCCTCTGCTAGCACATCTGCCGCCATCCCTGCTGAATGTGGGGATGGGGCGTTATCTGACCAGCCGAACCCTGGTCTATCCCAGTAGCAGTACCGGTCAATAGAGCCCCGGCGGTATAGGTCATCGATAAATGGCTGCAGTGTATGTTCGACGGGGCCAGTGCCACCTTCAAGGAGGATTGTCGGCAAGTCGTGATCGGTAGTCTTGTTTCCAACACAGGCAAGATGTACTTGGTATGAATCGCCATGAACTAGATAACGCTCACCTGGTGGAGAAAGGGAAACGTCGCGAGCACGAATAATAAGTGTCGACGTGAACAAGACGACAGCGATGGCCATGATAGCAAGGAGGACCGTCTCAGCAACGACAGCCGTCCACTCCAAAATTGAGCGACGAGTCTCCTCCCGACCAGTCAGACGTTCCTCCTCTTCTTTCTTCCCCCAGGCAACGATCCGATTCAAAAGAACCTGCCAAAGAGAGATGACAGCGACCCAAACGACCGAGGCAATCCCGACCCAGCCTTCTTCCAGGCGGATCTGCGCCACGCCCAGTATGATAAACATGTTCACTAGAAGGAGTACAGCAATAAAGATACCCCAGATGGTCATCGGCTTGGAGGGTACCGCAAAGAAAAGCAGTCCCAGGACTAGATATCCAGTCGCGAGGGTGGTGTATGAAAACGCGAAGAAGCCCGATCCTCGCGGATGGATCATAGGGGGACTGACAAAGATAGATACTAACAGGAAAGTCCACCAGACGAAACTGAGTCCTAATGCTAGGACTGAGAGGGCGCGCAGAGCGCGGACACTCCATAGATTGTACGGCGATACCTGTTTCGGCGGTTGGCATATTGATTACTATTTCTTTTTTGCTCTGGATAGATGAGACTTACTGCTGGATCGTCAGGACTCAAATATCCCTCATTATGTTCAGGGAGAAGTCTTGTTCGCTCGGTAGGCTCTTGGGCTCTCTCTGGCGCATCTTGGTGTTCTCCATCTTGATTAGAGAGTCCTTCGCTCCCTGGGTCTTTGCGACCCCACAGAGACGACATCTTGATGAATAGGTATGAATTCTTCGATTCACAAATGAAGTACAAAAGGTCCAAGATACGCAAATCAAGTAAATTAAGCAGATCAAGCAGATCAAGCAGATCGGGTTCGTGAAAAAGCAAGGCAGGCCCACCTTGCGGGAATGACATCATACATTCCCTGAAGTATAACAGTCGATCGCATTTGGAGCTGCAACTCTGGCTTAACTTTTACTTCAACTGGCTGAACTTATATAGAGAGAATGTTCTATGTTGTTTCTGAAATCAGCCATATCGGACCTTCTGTGATCCATCTCCAAACCAGTCATCCAGAGCCAAAGACTCCTCTGGCTCTGCATAATTGATGATGACACTTTTGGTGGTTGTATACGCCTGATATGCCTCAATGCCATTCTCACTCCCAACCCCACTTGCACTGGTTGCTCCTCCCCAGGGGCTGCTAGGGTCATTGCGATGATGGGTATTGACCCAAGTGATGCCAGCGTTGATCTGGTCTGACACTCGGAACGATTGAGAGAGGTTGGTTGTCCATATGCCAGCCCCCAGTCCAAACTCGGTGTCATTCGCAAGAGCGATGGCTTGGGCTTCAGTGTCAAACCCAGCCACGACAATGACTGGACCAAAGGCTTCTTCGCGCCAGATAGAGGTCTTCACGATGCTGTTATTCTCCTTGCTTTGGGATACTAATAAGGTCGGCTGGTAGAAATACCCGCGGTCGAAATTGAATTCGTCCAGAGAACTGCGACCAGCCATGCGATTTGCGCCGGCAAGGGGGATCGCGTTTCCTCCGCTGAGAGCCTTTTCGACTAGATCTTCGACATGTCGCAATTGCTTTTCAGAGACGAGAGGCCCCATCATTGATTCTGGGTTGATTGGAGACCCGATGCGTCGCGTGATTCCCTCGATCTTCGCGGTGAGTTTCTGTAGCACTTCTTCCATGACGGTGTTCTCCACGATGATTCTGGTGCTAGCGACGCAAGTCTGTCCACTGGCGATAAAACTTCCAAACGCAATTCCGTTGACCGCAGCATCAATGTTGGCATCCTTGAACACGATCAGAGGCGCCTTGCCGCCTAACTCTGCGGTATATTTGGCCAAGTTTCCTCCTACAATCTTTCCAATTGCCTTCCCAGATTCAGTACCCCCAGTTACATCAACCTTTCTAACCAGGGGATGTTCCACAAGCGCTTTGCCAGTAATGGCACCATATCCAGGTAGGACGCTTAAAACTCCATTAGGAATACCCGCCTTACCCAGGATCTTCGCCAGCAACAAAGTAGTCAACGGTGTGAGCTCACTCGGCTTAATCACAACACTATTACCAGCCGCAAGCGCAGGAGCCAATTTCTTTACAGCAATCAACAGCGGATGATTGAACGGAGTAATCTGAACAACAACGCCCAGCGGCACGCGATCGACAAAGTTATGCAATTTGCCCATAGTAGGAAGAACCGATCGTTCTTCCACCCGTAGCAGCGACGCATAGTATTTGAACCATCTTGTTAACGACGGAACCTGCGCATTCATCTCTCGAATCACTCGACCGGTTTGTTTCGATTCGAGGGCTATCAGTTCGGGGAGAGCATCGGAGAGAAGTGTTGCACATTTCTCGAGTACATCTGCACGATGATGACGACTGGCTCGCGACCAAATACCCGACTTGTACACGGCGTGGGCGGCTGAGATGGCGGTTTCTATATCCTCCGGCGAGGCAGAATGGCAACTTTGATTTCTTAGATTCTGTTGTCCGTTGTTCGAGGATCTAGTCTCACTGTGCAAATATTTCTCCCGTTGCTGGGTCTTCGATGGGAATACTATGTTCTGGTCAGTCTCTGGTCCGTGTCAACAGCTCTCTGTCTACCCACATGTCTGCGTGTCCTTCCTGCTCTTGACCAGCTACCCACAAAAGATAGAGATCCATGACGCCCAAATAGAATTGTTCAATGGTCCAAAACAGCCGTGAGGAGGTGAAAAGGAAGAAGAAAGAAGCCAAGTTGCTTATCGGGAGGGGAAGGAGGGGTTTGCCCGGATTCCGCTGTGATACTCCGACAGCCATCAAATCTCTGCTTCTTCCTCTTCGACCGGAGGATCAGTGTCGGTTCATCCAGTCTGCTCAATGAGTCTCGGTCTCAGTCACATAGTCTAGTGTGTTGATACGTATACATCACACATGGATTCCCAACACCATCAAGACGATCGCACATCCTATCGCGATCTCCCAAGAGCATATAGCAGAAGAAGAACTCCTGTATTGGCGACCAACAGAGGACCCTCCCTCACAAGATGATTCTATCCTGAAGCGGAACTGGAATGACTCTACGATCTTCACAGTCACCGGTCGTGAATAAGACAATACCGGAGCTCGCGAGCTCCGTAATGAAGCTCAGAGCCTCTTCGACCTTTGCTTGCTCGGAAGTGATCACATTCCACTTCACCTTGCATAACCCGAACATTCCTGTCCCAATGGACGTGTCTGAAGAATGCCCAACGGAAACCAAGTGCCGTAGAACCGACACAAAGGATAAGAATGTTCGGCTGCACCAGTTACGGGCCGAGGCGCCGACCCACAACTAGCCGTCTACTGGTGATCTATGAATAGGGAGAGAAGAAGGAGATTGAAGCCGAATATGCTCGATGAGAGCAAGGCAGATTAAATAAGTCCCAGAAGGGGACGGCTAGAAATAGCGGGCGAATAAAAGGCTTGAAAGCCGAGACATCCATGTCTCTCAGATTTTCATCAGATCAAAGTGGCATGAATCTTAACAGGGTCGGGAAATGATTACATGCGCATAGCACGCTGCCACTCTTTCTCAAGGTTCTCACCAATGGCACGGTCAGCCTCCTTCTCAAGCTCACGGCGAGAAAGACCTTCACGCTTGGAAACCTTGGACTTGGACTCTTCGCGAGAAAGTTCAACTAAAACCAGGTCTGTTAGAAAGAGAAACTCGAGTGTGTAGAATCGAAACTTACCGTGGAGGTAGACAGCAGCCTTTTTGCCACTGAACATAGCGTGAGGCACGTTGGTGCTGCCATCACTGTTGGCGTCACCAACAGCAAAGACGCCGCTCTCGCTGGTGCGCATGGCGCTGGTGACATTGATCTTTTTGCCGTCCATGTCCAGACTCATCTTGGCAGGCAATGACGAGTACTGATCTGTGGGGACGTTGATGATGAAAGCACTACGCTCGACAGGCTCGCCAGTAGTGAAATGGACACGGAACTTATCGTATTGGGCGTGCTCGGTCTCACTGCGGTTCTGACCACCGTCCTGGAGACGCTCAATAGAGGCAATGGTGCGGTTGTCAATCTTGGTGCCCCAGGCCGCGAGCTGCTCCTTCCAGTCGGCAACCTTGGCAGTAGCCTTGGCCTCGCCTTCGGGGGTTTGGGTGCCGTTGACAAAGGCAATCATGTCGCTGTACAGAGTGTGCACCTCGAGGACGTTGGAGAGCTGCTCGCTGATATCACCGATCATGCCGAGAGGCTGGTCACGGTGCTCATAGCCATCACACCAGGGGCACCACCAGATTCCCTTTCCGAAGCCCTCTTTCAGACCAGGAGTATCGGGGAGGACGTCATAGACACCAGTTCCGAGAACAATCTTACGCGCAGTATAGGTTGTTCCGTTGGAGATCTTGACATTGAAGGAGGTGAAGTCTCCCTTGATGGGATCGATGGAATCCACAGTCTCATCTTCAATGGTGGCAGTGTCATACTTCAGGATCTGCTCACGGGCAAGCTTTCGGAAGTTGGCAGGGGGAGTGCCTGCGATTATTAGTTATGTGATGACACTTTCGACCGATCAATTCTTACCATCATTTCCAATCACATCGTGCATCTCACGGGTGGGATCATTGCGATAGTGACCACTGTCAATCATCAACGCCTTTCGACGCACACGAGAGACACCACTGAGGGCACTGAGACCGGCAGGGCCACCACCCACAACAATGACCTCGTAGTCAGTGTCGGGGATCGTCACTGCGGCAGTGGAAGCCAACAGCGAGAAGAAGGCAGAGACCAGAGTAGTAGACTTGACCATGATTGCGGCTTGGAACTCAGAGTGCGGTGGATGTCTACTCCGTCAACCAGGGGCTTTATATAGCCTTTCCCGAGTGTTTTGATCCGCATTTCACGGGTTAACCCGTGTGGGGAAACTATTACTTCGTGCGTCTGAGAATTGAGCTGAGACGATCCTTGCGATCGCCCATCCCCTTGCATGCTCATTGCATGAAGCAGACGGCACAGTCCCCACTGTCTTTGTGACTTGATTTGATTGGATGGAACTTGAAGATCAGCTCATGCATTCTGCAGTCCACGTATCACAATGCAGACTTGGAAATGAACTTGTCCCGACAGTAAAAGTCGCTGTCATAACTGAACTTTGTTCTCTAGCAACAAGGTCCGGAGTATGTCGAGATGCAACCTCAAGGTGCTGGATCCAGACCATATTCACGTTGCAATAGAGGATATCGAAAAGATTCTTGTGATTAAAAATTCTTCGAGACTCGCGTGCAAGATCCAAATCTCGAATTTGCATCAATGAGAGACATTCCGGCGAAATCTGCCAGCGTGAGATTCTGACCTCGGTTCATATCATTAAACGTGCAGCTTGAAAATCTGCAGTCTGCAAGGTCGGCAGCTCTCTGGACGATCCACATCTTGGTCTTTCAGCTGTTGAATTTTACACCGACATCATCATTTGGTTCTCGTTTCAGTGGCCCTTACATTCCTCCAGTGGCCCAAGTCGATTCTCATACCTGAGGAGTTGGCAAATTGTTAAGTTATATGCGTCTGTTACTTGATCAAGTCACGCTCTAGTTTCTGTTTCGAATAGAGGGGCATTTGATTTCGGAGAATGCTTTGACTAGCCTGAAATGATGTGAGAGTTGAAATATTTAGTTTGGGTCGGATGATCTCGAAATCATGCAGCGTAGTCGGCAGAAGTAGAGTCCCGTGGTTTCATCGCACAGGGTCTTGTCTCAAATAGTAACATATCGCTGGATCCGGTTCAATGATCTGAGTAGGATCTTAGTTATCCACGGTGCCCTGCTGGTAACCGCTCGTGGAACAAACAATATCGACAAGCCTCTGCGATGGCATCTTGCTGCTTATAGATGGGAATAACATTCGGGGTCCCGCTCCATCCCATCCCATTTTGCTTTGAGAATGCTCCTCAAAGCATCAACCTCCTCAGAAAAGGGCGTATTGGACGGACTCCACTCAATCTTCAGTTGTTGGCTGATCGCATCATTGGCAGCTGAACAGTCAACATACCAAGCTGGTTCCATCTGGTACTCGTGAGGCCAAATATTTGATAAGGGAGCCTTCATGGTCGGCTCTTGCTCTTGAACTAATCCAGAACAAGCGAATTCAGAGGTGTTAGATTCAGCGGTGATATCGATGTCGACGGGAGTATTCAGAGTGTTTGATTTGTCACTGCTGAACAACTGGGGAATGTCTAATGATATATCTTGCACCTTTTCCCCAGGGTTCGCAATTTCATTATTCGTAGAAATGTGCAAGAGCTCATGAGAAGACTTTTTCTCTCGTAAATTACTTATCTGCCTGCTTTTCGGTGTCGTTTTCGTAATTCTGTGCTAAAAAAACATAATAAGCACGGCATATATCGCTCGGGAGAGGCTGCAACAAGGTCTTACAGGGTCATCCAAAGTGCGAGCAAGACCGTCACTAAGAGTGCATATTGTCGTGCGCAGACTCTCTAATTTTGTATGGCATTGGATCAAGCTTTCCCGCAGCGAGGTGTTTTCTTCTTCGAGCTCGATAATGCGCTCGTTGTCCGATTTGCAGGCCTTGGCTTTCCGCTCGAGCTGTTTTATATAGTCCGACTGTCGACGACGAAAAGCCTGTTGAGATGTTCGGTTGCGCAGTTTCCTGTTTCTGGTTAAATCATACTCAGGCAGATACCAGTCTCAAAAGCTGACTTGATCTCAATATCTTCGTCCATTTGCCGTGACTTGCGCTTGGCTGTCATTGTATTTTTTCCGCTACGTCCAGATTGAAAGACGTCCACAGCACCAATTTTGACATAAAAGCACAAGAGCCAACCGATCAGGTGATCGCATATTCATAGAGAAAATGCCAGCTTGATTGTCAACGATCCGACTCCGATCTACACCCCGCGTGGGGTATGAAGTTTGCCATCGAGACCAATGCATTCGATATATGGCCAACCTTTAACTGATTGCTTGGATCAACCAAATCCATCGCCTTATTGGAGAGATGATAATACATGGCATTATTGCCCCCTTTCGATATCCCGCTGATCCATAAGATTGTGCGACGAAATTGGCCATTGCAACCATCTCCTCACGGCGCAACTCCGATCCCGAGGCGGAGACCCGCTCCGCTCAGCTGAGCGGAAATTGTATACTGGAGCTCAATTCGCACAACAAACAGCAACAAACTCACCTGAGGGTCATTGTAAGCCTACAGTTCTGGATTCTGTCTGGTTGTACTGTCCGTATTATAAAGTAGACGGATTCCCCCGATCCCACTGTATGTTGCGACGAGTAAATCCAAGCCTTGGGAATTGCGGGATACTCTAGAACCATGTCGATTTCTATTTCTGACCTGGAGAAACAGTTCTCCATTGCCACAAATTCCATTCATATCGACGATCGATATGCCGGGCCAGAGTTGGCGCCTGCAATGCATCCAACAACCACTTTCCGATACCCGTATGATCCCGATGAACTAGAGCCCCAGCAAGCTCTATCGGTGAGTTCGAATCTTGACCTCTTCAGCGTAAAAGCAAGTCTGACCAGGCTGATGTCTTAGAAAACAAAGCACGTATATGCTAGAGTCGCACGGCCAACTAGTTCCCGATTGGAGCTTGTGCTGTCGACAATACTTAAAGGAGAATGTTTGACATATGCAACAGGACTCGCTGCTATCCACGCTTATCTGACCTGTCTCACCCCGAAGAAGGTTGCCATAACGGGTGGTTATCATGGTGCGCACGATGTGCTCCGGATCCAGGAGCGGTTGACGGGGGTCAAAAAGGTCGGATTACACGAGACGGATCAACTCGAGAAAGGAGACGTGATTCATCTTGAAACACCTCTGAACCCGACCGGCGAGGCACGAAACATTGCCGCATATTCTAAAATCGCCAAGGACAAAGGACTATATCTTGTTGTTGATTCCACATTCGGGCCACCATCATTGCAAGAACCATTCCTCTGGGGCGCCGATCTCATCATTCACAGTGGAACCAAGTATATCGGCGGCCACAGCGATATCATGTGTGGTGTAATCAGCACATCTCCGCAGCAGCCAGAGCTGTTTATGAAGTTATGGGAGGACCGATGTGCGCTTGGGAACATCATGGGGGGATTTGAGTCCTGGCTCGGTCTTCGCAGTTTGCGGACACTAGACATTCGTTGCATCCGACAAAGTCAGAACTGCACGGCGCTCGTGAGTTGGCTGTCCGAGATGGTCAACTCTCCAGCCCCGAATGAAGTCAATGCCACAGTTGAAAGTCTGAAACATGCCAGTCTACAAAAGAATGATATGGACTGGCTTGAACATCAGATGCCGAATGGCTTTGGTCCGGTTTTCATGATGATCATGAAGGATCCTCTCCAGGCTCGGCGATTACCGAGCAAGTTGCGTGTCTTCCAGCATGCGACAAGTCTCGGTGGTGTGGAGAGTTTGATCGAATGGCGAAACATGACCGATCCTACGGCTGGAGCGAATATCATGCGGGTCAGTGTGGGCATCGAGACTTTTGAGGACCTGCAAAAGGACCTACAGAATGGTCTGCGGACTCTTGTTGAGGAAAATGGAAACTAGTATGTTGATGGCTGTCTGTTCAACAATATAACCTCTTTCCACCACGATCATAGTTCTGTATGGGTGTCAAGTATGGTATAGCCCCGACCCTGTGATCTGGTTTGAAATTCAGGGATCTGACAGCTTTAAAAATGACCTCGAGTTTTACCTTCAGTAGTATAACGTAGAGAAGATGATAAAACATTGTAGTTGGCAAATGTACCGTGATCGCATCAACCGCTTTGAGCAAACATTAAGCGGCATGAAATCGACTGCAGCGAGCAAGTCTGTCACCGTTATCAAACCACTGCTAAGCCTGCTGTCATCGGCTGAAAGAACCAAAGACTCCCATTGTGACTGGTGAATGCAGAACGCATCGCCCACTGAGCATGCACTTCCAAGGTTGGGCAGGTGGGATATTAGTCAGCATCGCATCTTGACGACAACAACCAGCTCTGCTTCGCTACTCGTTGATTCGTTCGGATCTTTGAAGGCTGGGACTTGCTGTCAGGGTATCCAATTGACGCTTTTTGGCTTTTCTGTTTCTTGTTATTGGATCGACGAGTCAATGAGCGAACTCCAGAGATCCTTCGCCAAAGCCAAATTGGCCAAACTTCCATCCGAGGCCCCAATGCCGGAATCAATGAACGAGGATGCATGGGAGGAAGAATCCTCTACCTCTTCAGTTTCCTCTACGGGTACACTTGTCCCGTCCCCGACACGGCAGCTGTTTGCCCGAGCAGGCCGACGGTTCGTTTACTTCTGTTACTCCGGACCCGATCATCTACCCAGCTTGTCTTGGACTAACATTGAATCACAGGCAATCATCCCATGCATCTCTCTCATGGACAGATTTCTTCAACCAAGAGCTATTCTTGTCCGAAGAAGTGGGCAACATTCACATCACCCACCATGTATATCTCACTCCACCAACTGATAAGGGTCCTCTCTTTGTGATGCACCATGGAGCTGGCTCATCAGGTCTTTCCTTTGCCACATGTACAGAGGAGCTTCGGAAGATTCTTCCAAAGGCGGGGGTTTTGTCGCTAGATGCTCGAAGCCATGGTCGCACTGTTATGACCCCGAGAGACAGCAATACAGACGACAAAGCCCCGTCTACTGCTGCTGCTGCTCACATTGAAGCCTCAGGGGAGACGAAACTTGATCTCAGCCTGGAGACATTGAGCCGAGACTTGGTCTACGTAATCCGCCAGACACAAGCGAAGATGAATTGGGAAACACTTCCGGATATCATACTTGTCGGGCACAGCCTGGGTGGTGCGGTGATCACGGATGTCGCGAAGAGCGGAGAATTAGGCCCTCATCTGCTAGCATATGCTGTGTTGGATGTTGTCGAAGGTACTATTCTTCCTAGTCATCCCTATAGACATATACTCACTGCTATGCCCAGGATCTGCAATGGACGCTCTCCAGAGCATGGAAATGTACCTCTCTACACGGCCGGTCCGGTTCCCATCATTATCGTCAGGAATTGAATGGCAGTATGTATCTTCGATCCTGTTATTACTTCCTTATGCTGACAATGCAGTACTCGCTCTCGTACAATCCGCAATACGACGTCCGCGCGGGCTTCCGTTCCGTCACTTCTATATGAAGAAACCGAGCCCACCGACCCTGCTCGTCCTTGGCTATGGCGCACAAATCTCTCTGCAACGAAGCCCTTTTGGGAGAACTGGTTTGTTGGCTTGAGTCGAAAGTTTCTTGATGCGCGCGGTGGAAAACTACTATTGCTTGCTGGAACCGACCGCTTAGACAAAGAGTTGATGATTGGCCAGATGCAAGGTAAGCACTCGTTCAGCCAGTCAACGCCAGTAAAAACAGTACTAAGGTGTCTTTCACTTGCAGGTAAATATCAACTGCAGGTATTCCCCGAAGCTGGACATTTCGTGCATGAGGACCAGCCTACAAAGACTGCACAAATATTGGCGGACTTCTATAGACGGAATGATCGGAGTGCATTAGTGCTTCCACCGAAGGTTGCTGATATGCAGGCATCAGCCGCAATGAAGAAAGGAACTGGCGCTTGAGGCGGGACAGGAAATTTAGACTGAGGTAAAGGCGCTTCCAACCATTTCATGTCTGTAGTGGCATCCATGGATGTATCTACTTAACTTTATGTTGGTGTAATTGACTATTATCAACTCTTAGAGTTGCAGTATGTAAAAAAGTTTACTGGTTGAGGCCTGGAGTAAATATTTTCTGATAAAGATATTTCATTCTTTGCAGGCATACAGGTCTTCCTAGGTCTCACCTCATCCAAAGCATAAGTATCAATGGTGAGTACATGCAACAAGGAAGAAAAGCTGTCCACTATTAACAAATAGGAATAAATTCAGTCAGCACACTCTCCTGGCTCTGGTCCATTGAAGCCGCACCTCTGGAGGGTGGGATTCTTGATCCATCTGGCAGAAAAATTTGTCCTCTGCGAAAAACAATGATCCTGGCTCAGAGAAGCAGAACCAAGAGATGTACTCGGTGGTTCCACCAGCAATTAACCAGGAACACGTCTCATCGACTGTGACGGTAGACTGAAAAAGATAACAAACGAAGGGCTTGAGTAACAAGCACGAAAAAAGATTTCATACCACTCCACCGTAAAACACCGTAGATGAAGTTGAAATTCCGAACGCCACCAGGGTCCCGCTGATGATGAGCGAGGTTAAAAGACGAGCTTAGTAAAACAAATTTGAAATGTAGAAATTGGGGTATTGTGTTGTCTGAGAAATGGCAAAAAAGAAAAGGTCATCAAGAAACACAGACGAAATGCCATCTACATGGGAAGATAGGCACCACCCGCAATGACCAAGTTCATGTTTGTGAACTTGACCTTGTAAACAGGACTCTTTTTGGTCGGGAAAGCACTGATCTGATCTGCAGTGACGACAACATCCTTGCCCTTTTTCTTCTTATTCTGAGTGGTAGACGTAGTACCAGCATCGAGCTTGGATCCAGCACCACCTTCGCCAATAACGCGGCCCTGGGTGTTTTCCTGAGATTCAGCAACGTCCCAGACACGGACGGTGCCATCAGCTCCACCGGAGACAAGAACAGTAGACTCAACACTCCAGCTGAGAGACCAGATGCCACCTTTACCATGGCCACGCATGCGTTTCAGGAGTCGTCCAGGAGCTAGATCCCACAAAATGATGGTACCTTGGTCATCAGCAGTAGCCAAGAGCTTGCCGTCGCGGCTGCACTCCATGGCGGTGACATTTCCGGCATGGCCAGTGAACATACGGACAGCATTACCAGTAGTGACAGCCCACATGCGGACAGTGTGGTCAGAACTGGCGGTGAAAACATAAGCCGAGTTGGGGTGGAAACACACACAGTCCACATCTTGATCGTGGCCAACAAAGATACGCTGCTGACGAATGTGGTCAGTCACCCACAGGCGGGCAGTACGATCCGATCCACCGGTCACAAAGTATTGACCGAAAGGTCCCCAGCGGAGATCCCAGATGGGGCGATCGTGGCCCTTGTAAACAACCATACATTGCCAAGTGTCCAAAGACCATAGACGAACGGTCTTGTCGGCAGATGAGGAGAGCAACCAGCGAGCATTGGTGGGAACAGCATCTCCTTCTGAGACATCCTCGCGAGCAGAGGCACACGGAGGGAAAGCGACAGCGTAGACAGGACCTGAGTGGCCAATCAGACGGCGAGAGTTGGCGGGCGCGAAGTCGTCAATTTCCGGAAGGGCCCCTTGAATGTTTTTTCCATCAAGACTCCAAACACGAATGTAGGATTGGGCAAAGCCGCAAGCGACGAGCTGGTTGTCGTCGGAAAAGTCCATGCAGTTGATACTGTCGAAGTGTTAGTGAAGCTATAGAAAATGGTCATCAAAAATGCTTACTTGTCCAAGGTATTGTGGAATGTGAACATGCAAACGCTGACGCCAGGGCCTACACCCCCCGTGCGACCCTTGATCTCAAACCGATCACGGTGCTCCATAACCCGTCTGACTTCAAGTTCCACGTCACGGGCATTGGAGGGCGGGAATGGAATATCGGCGCGAGAAGGAGCCTCATCCTCATCTTCTTTCTTGATCATGTGTTCAAACTCCTGGGAGAGAGTGTTGCGGCCAGCGATTGGGGGCTCTTTCGCATCTACCTCTGCAAGTTCAGCGCGCACATCTTCCTCCAGTGTCTGTTCCATTGGGAGCTTTCCGAGCCTCAGACGTGGAAGTGTTCCAGCCATAGCAGGGTTGTCACCGGTGTAAGCGGAGCCAGGGTGGTGACCAGGGATACCTTCATCCTCGGCAGGTGAGCTTTGTCCGGGGGCCATCTGGTTCAACATGGAGGCAAAGCTAAAACGATCATCGGCTGCACGGTCCATGGTCTTCACGGAGCAGAAGCTGCTGAGAATTGCATTCATCACAGAGCCACCCTCCTTGTCCTTGCTCTCGAGGAACTGGAGCAGGTTTGTGTATGCGGGGTTACTCAGGACGACGCGGTACTTGTTGTTGCGGTAGAGTTTGGCAACACTGTTGTCCTGCAAATGCTCTGGCAAGCTGATAGGCTCGAAGTGACGGACATCATCTGTATGCTCAGGCAGGAACATATTCTTGTTGGCCTCGAAGAAGTTCTTGGCATCTTGGGGGTAGAAGGATGTCACCATGTTGAAGAACGAGTAAACAAAGAGCGGCCACAAAACACGACGCAATTCAGGCTGTAAAAGGTTATCATGTGGTCGTTAGGATGCTTCCTGTTTGCCTCACCTTGTACAGATCGAGGTTTTCCTCGACCCAGTTCTTGAGTAAATCTGGACGAGGGATCAGTGAGCATTCTATAGAAGCTTTGTATAATGATGGACATACCAAATCCTTGTCGGGTCTTGGGGCGGGAGTCCTCTCCCAGCTGGGGAAGAGGGCGACCATCAATCTCCTGATTGGCAGATTCCATCCGCAGCATAGCTTCCGTTCGGCTGTAGCCTTTCTTGGCCAGGTAATCAATGACCTGCAAAAGTTTGCACATTAGTAAACATTTGACAGAGAAAAAGAAAAAGCAGAAAGAAAAAGCAGAAAGAAAAAGCAGAAAGAAAGATAAAATGTATCGCGAAAGGGCAGTAGTCTCAGTGGGAAACAAACAGCTTCTGTCCTACGAACTTCAGAGCGCTCTGAAGTACCCCGGATAGGGCGAGTTTCCACTGAGTGTTCAAGATGTGAGGAAGTGCTGGCAGGCGATGGACCCGTTCGGTCAATTTCAGGTCGTCTCGAAGAACGGTTGGGAGCATTGCAGGTAGTTCGAGGGGCTGGCGGTGACGACGACGGTGTTGGCGCCCCGGCTCTACTACTAGCACCGACATTATTTTTGTGGGTAGGCCGGGAAGGATCCCGAGGTGTTCGCGAAGAAGATACTCTCGCGGTAGACCGTGCAGAACCATCAGATATCGTTGAAACGCGTGGATAAGTAGCTGAAGCCCGAGGTGTTCGCGCAGAAGATCCTCTCGCGGTAGACCGTGCAGAAAAATCAGATATCGTTGAAGCGCGTGGAGAAGTAGCTGAAGCCCGAGGTGTTCGCGCAGAAGATCCTCTCGAAGTAGACCGCACAGAAACATCAGATACCCCCGAAGTGCGTGGAGAAGTAGCGGAAGCCCGACGTCCTCTGGTACCAGCTGGAGCTGGTGACGCCATAGCTTGAGGCCCTGAGAGGTCATTGGGATGCGCAATTTCGAGTTCGGGCGAAGACTGTATCATTTCCCTCGTCTTTTTTTCACTGGCTGCAAAAGCAGCTCGCTTATTTCTGACCATGGCGAAATCTTTTGATATCTCGAGACGGATGCGAATGGAGAGGAGTGAAGGGACAGGACAGGCAAAATTATCGAGGCCAGGAGGATGAGTTCTGGATTTGATAAACCAGGAGGGCAAAGTAAAGATGATCAAAGGAAGTCAGACGCAGAATAACAATGTGAAAGATGCAGGGTAGATTCGAAGAGGCAATGCCGAACGTGCGTACGAGTGATTTGAGAAAGAACCTTGAGACAAATCAAGATTTTCGACAAACGATGAGTCGAGGGAGGAGCAAGAATAAAGCCCAATGGAAGCAAGATGACTTTGGATGATTTCCTCTCTGAACTTGGACATGCCTAAGCTTTCTGGAAACAACAAGCGTGGCCTGCAGACACAGTCATGGCCACAGGGTGCCTTCCACTGCGCATCTCAATTGAACCATCACTAATTGCGCTTTCCAACAGAGCTTGTGATTTCAACAACACGTTGATCTCCGAAATGGGTGACCATGTATCAGCTTCCCATATGCAGCCCACACTATCCATATGGCGGACACTGAAACAGAGTGTCGTTGTCCAATATCAAGAATGTGCACCACCGAGGTTGCTCTACAGCCTGACAGCATAGGCTGCTGAGAATAATGACATCTGTTCGATCCAAATCCTCCATCGAAAACAACCAAGAACAAGGCAATATGGACAAGGAAAGACTCAAACACCTACAATTTGATTCAAGTTCTGTTGCGACATGGCACCGCTGGGTGGAGCCGACGGTCCTGGTCCCGGCGTGGGAGGTTGATGAACGGGTGTACCAGACAAGGGCTGCTGGGAAGCCATTGACATGCCGGTGCCATTAGCACCTGGTCCCATACTCCCACTGCGAGGAGCAGGGCTCGGGGCCCCGCCTGGGGCGGACATTTTGGACGAAAGGTGGTCGGGTCTGTCTCGCTATTGTTTCCGGACAAGGAGCGACGAGTGACAAAGCGACGAGAGTGGCCGGCAAGATCAGGACTGATATGGTTGGCGTCAATTGCAACGATGTCGGCCTAGTGATGACGGCGATGAAGTGGAAATTGCTATCGCGACTTCAAGCGCGCCTCACCGCCTATGAAGCTGCCCCGGATTCAACACGTGATTCCGTTCACGATCTCAACTTTTGATTCTCTGCTTAGACTGCACCGATGAGCTTGTGTTTACGATTATAATTCCACCCCTAAGCCTTGATACCTCTTTGTGGTCATTCATATCAGCCAAAATGAGCGACAAAGCCCCATCAGAGCCAGAGGTCTTCACGTATTCGGATCGCATTCAACAGCTCAATGAAGTGGACCAAGTATTTCTCTCAAGTTTTTGATGGCAGGAAACCACTGCTAATGATAGTCTCGTAGGATGTGACCAAGTTAATTCATTCAGCTGGCCTCGCCATTCAAGCGTTGACCAACTCCAAGCCTGTCCCCACGGATTCCTCCCCGACACCAGATGGCTCGCTTGACTCTCACAAAGCCAGGTTCAAAGAGGCGACTAGTCAATACTTTGCGCTACTATCCTCGATCGATGTTCGTCTACGTCGCCAAGTCTATGCACTAGAGGAGGCCGGTTCCCTCGGACCAGATACCGACACGGGCAAGAGCGCCAGGACCGAAGCCAGCACTGGGGCATCGAATTCTGCGAACCCAATGGATATCAGTCGGCTTAACAGCCGGAAGGACACAACTGGAATGGACAAGGAGGCAGAGGTCTGGGCCGCCGCTCGGCAGTTTGTTGATAGCATTCCGAATCCACACGATCAGGACAAGGCCAATGATCTGGAGAAGATGCAGGTGGATTGAAAGGACAATGGCGCTCTACGCGCAGATAATGGTTGATTTATGCTTTTATGTGATACCCCAGGCTCTCTGTAGCCGCAGCCATTGAGACCCCAGAATACATTGACTTCCTTTCAGGGAGCAATTACAAGTATTGACAATTGTATGAACCAGTATTCTAGCATGTTCGCAGAACTAAGCTATGCAAAACGAGAACGCAATAAATCTAGTTCCGAAGTCATCGACCCAGCTGAGTGTCGATTTTCGGACAAAAAAAGGGACTGCTTCTACTTCTGCATAGAAGCGATCATCTCCCGCTGTGTCGCACGATCTCTGTTTGCGTCGGACAGAGGTCCCAGGCCTGGCTATGAGTTAGAATAGTTGTTCAATCAACAGAGGATAAGGCAACTTACTTCGAAGCTCACCAACCACATCCTTTGCCTTGCCAAAGTAGACCTCCTCTGTGAGTCAAGATTAGCATATACCCCAGAGCCACCAATGTGATGGGGACATACGTAGCAAGTTCCGCATCTTCAGTTCCATATCCTCGACTAGCCTGCCAACGTTGGCAACATGGCTACCATCCGACTCAACAGGCAGATCAACCTCAACCTGTCGAGTCATGTTTCCGCTTAGGTCCATATCACCTAGCGCCTCGGTTTTGTTGGCAAGGTGGAGGATCACCGTGCTGGTAAGCTTATAGTGCGACATACGAGCGCGATCAGTGGCCTCGAAAACGTGGATGCTGTCCCATTCCCCAGAACTTGAAGCACCGGGTGTGACACCTGTACACAGCAACCGTCAGTCGAAATTCCAAGAAGACACCCAATTTCAATTTCCCTCCCTCTCATCACTTTGACATACCTTTCTTCAGCAGGATCACACCGGCAAAGCCATCATCCAAATCCCAAAAGTAAACACTCCCAACACCACCCTCATAGTACAGCTCACGGTAAACATCAAACGACTCATTAGCAGCAACCTCAAGCTTGCGCACACGCTCGCTAGGAACAGTCCCATCCTCGAGTGGAGGATCAAACTCATTACTCCATGGTGAACGGTAGCTGTCACCGTCGCGATTGTAGTCGCAGAGCAGGTAGTCTCTGTTCGTCTTGGGACAGCGGCGGATCTCCAAGGGCTGGTCGACGGAGGAGAGGAGGTCTTCGGTGAGGTCAGGAACAATTGAGGTAATTGCTTGCAGATTCTTCTTGGTATCGCGCGGGTTTAGGCGTCGAAGGAGATCGCTAGAGGGTGGTGGTCAGCTTGGTTGTTCCCCGTGCATGGGGCGGGGTTGGGTCGGGGATGTCGATGGGGTTTGGTGACATAGAGGCGGGGGAGGGGAGATCATTGTAATCTTGTTTGGGCAGTATGAAAGGTTTTACTCACAGCGCGCTGTCAAATTGAGCATCGGCCATGGTTGCGGTGGGTGGTTGTCTATAGCTCTGTTGCGATGCGGGATGGCGGTGATCTGAGGCGGAGGTGCGTGCAGGTTTCATGTTGTTCGTGGAATTACCAACTTTCTACTCTTCATCGACAACTCTCCAAAGAAACTACACCTTATTCACTGAGAATTTGTACAAAAAGGGAGGTCTTATTATGTTCATTCAAGGATTCAAATTGAATCCATATCCAACGCCTGTCGCTAAGGTCATAAATCGTCACTGTCAACAAACGCCTGGCTCTGCTTTCGGGAATTGCCAGGCTTTGATACGCTGCTAAGGAGTACACTTGGATCCGGAAGGTCGTCATAATCGTCATCAAAGTCATCATCCAAAAAGTCGAGGGGGTCCAGCTTCCGCTGTGCGCTATCCGGCTGATTGGAAGACAACAAGGATCGAACGTCTCGGTCAGCTGGTGTCGCGGATTTTTTGGACGACTTCCGAGAAGCAGGCTTTGATGGGGTCTTCAAGTCTTTCTTCTTGCTTCCAGATTTCTTCATTGCTTTCGGTTGTGGTGGACTGGACTCGTCAGAAGAAAGTGGTTGAAAGGCCAGAATGTCTTTGAATCGGCGATCACAGTCAGGTCCCGCTTGATCCATTTTCTGTAAAGCTGAGATCATGCGCTTGGTGAGAGCTCCATGCTTAACAAGCTTTGTGGGCCTGGGAACAAGTTGCAGACGAGGGAAAGCATCGTTGCGAGGGAACCGAATGAACTGGGGAGAGGTGGCTCCGATGTTCTGATAATGGCTTTCAAGTTGCTTCTGCTCCTTGGCAGTCAAGGTAACATCATCCAATGAGGGGACCTCCACAGGCTCAGGTGTAGGTGTTCGTGGCCGCTTTTTCGGAATGGCAGCTTTCTTTTTCGCGGGCTTGGGGTTGTCACCCGTGAAAGCTGAAGCTCGAGTGAATCCGGTTTCCACGTTTTCTGGCATATGAAAGACTTTGGGCGGTCGTTTCGGCGCTCGTCCTTTGCGTTTCGGTTCCGGTAGGTCTTGTTCAGAGTTCTCCGGGGGGATGTCAATTTGTCGTTTATCGGCCACTGGACGGATCCCTGCAGGCAAGATTCGAGCAGATCGATCGTCATGGAAGGTGAAGCGGGAGCCGCTGGCAATCATTTGTTGCATCTTCTCGTAATTGTCTTTGGCCTTGACGTAAGAGTCTTCTTCTTTTCCTTTCATCAACAGCAAGGTGATGTTACCAGCCCGTTTACGACCAGTTCGACCCATTCGCTGGAGCATACGAATTGGGGATGCCGACGAGTCGTAGCACACAATAAGGTCGACTTCGCCAATATCCAGACCCTCTTCACCAATCGATGTGGCCACGATCGTATTGTACGTGCCTTTCTTGAATTCTTTGATAATCGAAAGCTGCGTCTTCTGGTCCATGCCTTCAGAACCTTTGGCACTCGATTGGCCGACAAAAACGTGAGGTCGAATCATGGGTTCGTATCTTTTTAAAACTCGCGTAACCTCTTCTGCACTATCTCGGAAGTGCACAAAGATCATGACACGGGTTGCGCTTTCAACGTTTCCTTCAGTGGACTCCTTTCCTTCGCCTCGGTCCATAAAATGATTCAAGATCACGGATTTTAGATACTCCAACTTGGGATGACCAATGAACTCGGGATTCTTGGACCACGGTTCAACATGGCTCATCAATTTCTTGAAATTCTCATCTTGGACGATCTGCTTCTGCCATTTACCGCCTCCGCCCTTTTGTCCTTCTGAGCCTGACTTGAAGTGAAGGACATGGCGGTAGAATGGCACAATACCATGGAACTTGAGCAAGTCGATGCCGTGGGCCAGACTGGCAAGAACAGAAAAAATGGCATTGACCTTGCCTTTGAGCCCAAAATTGGCATTTCTACCCGCATCGGACAGCATCCATTGTTGTCTAGCTTTCGTGAGACCGTAGGCGGTTAGACCCATGGGGTCTTTACCCCAGTAGGCGTTGAGTGTGCGAAGCTGATCCAGCAAGGGGCGCAATGCCTCTGACATTAAGTCCATGCAGAAGACCATCTCATCCGAGTTTTCGAATGTTTCGATCTCAATGTTGCGAGCATGAACGTAGTTGCGTATATCAATCGAGTTCTCAGTACGAATCTCAACTCGTGAGATGTCCAATCCATCGATGACTGCCTGTACAGACTCAACTGTTGAACCAGGAGTAGCTGTCAATGCGAGAACACGGAAACTGTTGTTGAACCGCCGCAGAAATTTGACTACTTCCACGTAGGCATATGCACCGGTGGCACGGTGGGCTTCATCAACGACCAGAAGAACGATCCGCTTTGGATCAGCAATCCCAGTCTTCAAGTCGTTGATCAAGGTTTGAGGAGTCATGAAAAACACCCGCTTCGCCTTCCACTCCTCTGCACGAATCCCAGGCGAGGCACCTCCAGTAAGCATAGTTGTCTGGGATCGAGGAATTCCAGCAATATCCAAACATGCCGTGACCTGTTGAGAAACCAGAGGCTTGGTTGGGGCAACAAAGATAATCTGCGAGTCTTTCGTCCAGCGGAACCAATTGAGCATGACTGTAGCAGCAATAAACGTCTTTCCCAGGCCGGTTGGCAAGGCCACGAGCAGGTTGTGAAAGAGCCCTCGCTGTGTGATATTGAATTGGTAATCTCGGGTGCGACCCAAGTTGGTGGGGTAAACCCAGGTATCCAAAGCATCTTGGACTAATTTGTGCTGAGTGGGAGGTTCAACTTTGTCTGGCGGGGCCCAGTCTTGCTCACGCGGAACTGGGTCTTGCGCAGCAGTCATGCCGAATAATGTTGTCTGGCGCATATGAGCTTGTCGAACTGGTGCTCTGGCAAAAGTCGGTTGTGGGGCTTGCGCCGGTCGTGCTACCGGTGATAATGAAGGTGATGTATCAAATGCGTCCTCGGGTATGTGGTCTAGTTCAAACGACATGTCCGTTGAGCCATGCGTGCCTGTCTGTTGTGGGGGAGCAAGAATTCTGGGAGGAGTGTTCCGTGCTATACTGCGTGGGCTACACGCTCGTCTGATCTCTTTCTCCTCCTCGAATGAGTCCAACGAAGCAGTAATCGCTGCCATCAATTCGTCGTCTTGGTTGTAATCATGCGCTTGCTGCGCAGTTTGCTCAGTCCCCGGTCCATTTTCTCGTTCATTGGCTTGTCGAACTGCTTCAAACTTCGGCGGAGGAGGTTTGGCAGCTGGTTTCTGCCATCGTGGACCTCGTATACGTTCCGGGCTCGAAGATGGTTGCGTGAGTTGTGTGACAAACATGTTCTCTTGGAAATTATTTTGTTTCAACACATAGCTCTTGTTCTTAGGGCGATCTTGATGTTCATCGAATCCAGCAGAGCCTCCTCGTTGGGGTGGCAAGTCGTCCATATCAGAGAACGAGTCGATTGAGGAACCATCATGGTGATCGCGTTCTCCCCGCTTCGGAGCTTCAACGCGGCGACGTTTGGTAGGGCGCGATGTGGGTTCATCGGGAACTATAAAATCATCGTCGAAATAATCTGACTCGGAGTCCGTCGCAGACATTGCATATATCCAGCCTATGTCAAGACCAAGTGCCCTCGTCAGGCGCGACGCGACGCGAAATCAGGTGACTGTTTGTCTGGTTTGCACTGGACCCTGCAACAAGGTCACTCGACCTTCACGACTTTACTTCTGACCACCCCTGAACAATGCCGAGCAACGTCGGAAGCACTTCGCCAAGCTGCATCTCCTGCAAGTTGCCCCTGAATCTTAGTCACACTGTACTGGTGACCTATCTAGCTCAATGCATATGGTTTTCAACGTCTATCCTGGAGTTTCGAAGAAGACTATTCATGAACTACTGCGACTGTACGAAGTACACATCAAGCATCATCCCAATGAAACCCATATCGTCTCAGGATTTCAAGGAATAATCCGACTGTAACAATACCTTTGACCAACTGAAAGTGGAGAGTAAATAGCTAGCGCAGTCCCTTGCTCGGCCGCTAACGCCCTGCATCTGACAGATCCACTCATACTAGGGTTAACAAGGACAAGATCCTGCTGGAAAGGGGCGATCGACCTCGATTGCCTCTGGGGAAGCAAGGTAATTCCCGTGCATCGGCTACAGAGACTTGGTTTATTGCCAATGAGGTCCAATGACCGCAACCCTCGAATCAAAGCTGAGACATGTCGAATGGAAACCTGCGCTATGTCTTTCTTTGTCCTTTTTTTGGATCGTATTTGGTTTCTGGGGTTTATCTGGGGCAAACCCTCCAAGGGTCTGTTTGCTATATTTAATCATTTGTACTCCCTGCACTTTCTCTGTATCTGTCACTCGCTACTGTACTGTCCTTTTCTATACCTTCTGATTTCTTAAGTCAATCCGTCGATTTCCATTCACAATGAAGTTCAACGTCCTTGCCCTCTCTGCCCTGCTGGCCGTCGCTGCCGCTGAGACTTCTACTGCGGATGCATCTACCACAACTAGCAACCCGTCAGTCGAGTGTGCTAAGCAGTGTATGTTCAATATACAGAGCCAACGTGTTTACCCCAACTGACACTTCCCTAGGTGAATCCACCAACACCTGCTGTATCGCCAAGTGCTGGAACGTCCCCTGCCCTAGCGACAACCAGGCCAACGATACCAACAGCTGTGTCGCCGCCTGCCCTCAAGGTACCGGTTCGCCCGCCGACGCCCAGAAGTACGCCAACTGCGAGCAATCCTGCTACAGCTCTCACTTCTGGGGTGGCAGCGGGCCCACAGCCACCCAGGCTGCCGCGACTGGCTCTGCCACAGATGCCACTGCTACCGCGACCAGCACTGACTCATCCAGCACCGACTCTTCCAAGTGTATGTTCCTCGGTCATATTCAGACAGGCTGCAAGTCCCCTGCTAACAATCTGCAGCCTCGGAGAACAACAATGACTCCAGTTCCACCGACAGCTCGTCGGATGGCACAGCCACCAGCTCTTCCGGCTTCGCACAGCATACCACCAACGCTGCCGTCAAGGTCGGCGCCTCCGCCGCTGGTCTGATCGGTTTGATTGTTGCTGCCTTTGCTCTGTGAGCACCTCCCCGATGTATTGGGTTTAAATCTTGTAATGTATGGGCGCAGATCACTCCCTCGGATCTGGATCGTTCGAGGGTAGCTGTGAACCTGTTTTGTACTTTCTTCCACTTGTAATGTTTTTAGGATACGGTTCTGGAGCCTTGTGAATGAAAATTGTTTCGAGATTGACAGTCCCTTCCTCTTTATGTGCGTGGTTGTATTAACTGCATTCTTCGGGGAATATACCTGTACCCTCGCACGATGTAGCGTTGATCACCCCCGCATACCTCATATAGACCCCAACACAGGCTGAGTCTTTCCGTACAGCAGACCTGCTGCCTAGAGGCAGCTGTGAGTCAAGAGTGAGTCAGTGAAGTTTAATCTGCAGCTAAGACTGCACACTTGCTGTAGGCAGCTATACTTCACCGCCCAAGTTAAACTGCGGGGAGGATTAATAGCTTCGACGCGACGCGCCTCTTTACCCTCAATTACTTACCAGACCTCCAATCCAAACATTCCACAATGGATACTTCAAGCCCTGAATTCCAAAAGCTGTACAGCGCAATGTCAGCCTTTGTCACAGAATGCATGTCTGGTCACGACCCATCTCACAACCCAGCCCACGTCCACCGGGTAGTAGGATTGGCAGAGAAGATCCTCGCCTCAGAGCAAAGCATGAATCCAACAAAACAATTCAATGCAGCTGAAGTCAGATTGGCGGCCCTACTCCACGACATTGGCGACAGGAAATACATCTCCAAGCTTGAGACCACATCTGGAACCGAAGTCGTAGACCCAACGACCATGGTGAAACACGCACTGCTAGCTCAAGGCGCAAGTGCAGATCTTGCAGCACGAGTCCAAACCATTGTCTCACACGTCTCATACACGACCGAATGCAAAGATCCATCGGTGATCAAGAGACTTATTGACGAGGGGTATGGCGAGCTGGCGATCGTGCAGGATGCTGATCGGCTGGATGCGATTGGGGCTATTGGAATTGGACGGTGTTTTACGTTCCTTGGTGCTGTTGGAAAGAAGTATTGTGACGAGGGAAAGTGGGAGATGGGGAACTCAATTGAGCATTTTGGGGACAAGTTGGAAAAGCTGGAGGGAATGATGAAGACTCAGACTGGTAGAGAGATGGCTAAAGTCAGGACAGAAAGGCTAAGGATCTTCAAGGGTTGGTGGGAGGAGGAGATGGAAATATGAGGTTTATATAGCAGAGAATATATGTTCATAGCGAAGAATATATCTTGATTGTTGTTTTTTTTACTTGTTATTTTTTAAGAGCGCACCGACATGAACTGAACCTGAACTGAAGTATTCATCGAACCGATTGTATTCTTTTTTTGGTGCTTTGCAGCTGTTTTCTTCTTGAGACACAGTGACTGTATTCCATTCTAGCCAGGGCTGTTGACGGGTAGAGTAGCCCATCCATCGCCGGAAGCAAATAACCTAAATCAGAAAGCCTCCCTTCTATGAAAGAACAAAAAAAAAAAAAAAAAAAGACAAACGCCGAAAGCAGAATATCAGCTAGACAGAGTGTTCGATCGAGAATCGGGGTATTTGGGTTTGTGAATGAATATCAAGCGGCGAACGTCAATCCGAGATAGAATATAAATCAAAGGGCCGAAAGAACCACCTTAACTCGCCGAAAAAGGGTAGTATGGGTTTATGCAAAAGTTTAGTATGTACGAACAAAAGCAAATAGAAGCACAAAACTCCGATTCCGATCAAGGACGCTGGCTGCGTCAAGGGAATTTCTAAGTCAATGCAAGTGTAAAATGTCGAGTCAGACGCGATCCCGGGCGAAGTCAAGGACCTCGCAGTCATCTTCGAAGAAACCGTCATCGGCTTTCAATGGGGCTGAATGTTTCTTTTTCCGGCGGGTGGTGATGACAACTTCTTCGACATTGCCAATGCTGTTCCCAAGGGTGATGAGGTTCTCCATATCCCCACCAGCGCCAAGCGAGTGTCCGTGAATAGCGGCATTCTCGTCTTCGTCATCTCCATGGTCGTCACTGGAACTGTTGAAAGATCGCAGGTGTACTTTGGTCATGGGAATGTCGTTTCCAAAAACCCACTGACCACTAGGCTCGCTGGCATCGCTACCAAAAGAGAAGACGCTCAAGCCAACTCGCTGATCCGTATGGAACGGCTGATATGGAGTATTGGTCTCAATCTCTGCCTGTGAGAGAGGCTGACAGAGCGGTCTGCCAGCACTAGGTTGGGAAGTAGCCGAAGGAAGAACAAGAGAAGCGTGGACCGTAAGGTCCGGGTCAAATGTAGCTACAGGAGCCGGGCCACAAGGGCTCTGCAAATTCTCGGGCAACTTAACCTGGGACTCTCTAGGACCAACGACGGAGTGCGGCTGTCGGTTCTTATGACCAGACACAGCACGTTTCAGGCGATACAGTTTAAAGTATCCGCCATCCACCACTCCTAGGAAGATGAGACCCTTAGTACATATCCAAGTCACTCGAGATGGCGCAGGGTCTCGAGCCAGCCCGGGAAGATGTAGACGGTTCTCGCCTACATGTCGAAGGGTATTGACAGTACCCGTTGCAGCACCCATGGACTTGCTGAGACCGGCCGCGACAACCTTTCCACTCTTCACGCTCGCGGCCGAGGGTAATGCAAATCCACTCATATTCGGGAATGCAGCACCTCCAGAAGGAACACGACCCCGAACGGCAGAGAAGAAAGGCTGCGTTTTACCGCCCACCAACTTCATGGCTGCTGACAAGGGGTTGCCACCCGATGTTTGGCCTACCTCTTCCGACATAGTGTCAACGGCCGGCGATTTGCTAATAGAAGGTCGTGCACGCCGAAAGGGTGGCCATTGGAATGCACTTCGAGGTAGGTCGAAGACGTGGATAGTGCCTTTGCGTGTAATGACTGCCAGTCGATCACCCACCGGTGCAGTCCAAATCACATCAACGATGCTCGAAGTGGTCAAGCGGGCATATCGTGCAATCTGTCGCACGTTAGGATTCTGTCCCACCTGGTCATCAGCCATGAAAGCCATGGATCGACAATGCTTGAGTTGCATCAGATCCCAGACATATTGCACATCACCCTTTTTACTCGCCGTGAATAGCATAAGGCCATTTGGCGACAGTGATAAGAAGCTGCAGCCGTTGGGAACTTGGAATGTTGACAGGGGATGAGTAAACACATTTCTTATATCTGAGCCATCCTCGAATCGCTTCAAGTCAATTATGGATACAGTATCGGGTTCGACAGCCGAGGATGCTTGCGTATCGTGGCCATGAGTTGGCGGGAATAATCCATACCCTTGTGCTGGACTATCGACCCCCGGAACTGATCGGCGTGGAGAGGTGCCTCCCGGTTGCTGAGTATTCCAGTAGTTATTCCATGCCTGCATACCCTGGTCACCCATCCAGCGGGCGCCGCGAACAAGTTCTTGGGCAACACCTCTTGCCACCTTATCGAAGAGACTCTCCCCCTCCCCAACATCTGTCACACAAGACACTGATGGAATAGTAGGAGGATTGCGGGTTTCAAGTCCAGGAACCTTGCCTTGTATCAGACTTTGCGGCACAGTCCCATGAATAGAGCCTCGATAAGCCGAGGATGGAGGAACAAATGCCAGCCATCTTCCCTGTGCGGCCAAGATGGGCCTTTCGAAGACAGCAGCAGTATGAGGAGGCTCGTTGCGAGTACCCTCTGGATCAGTGGTTGAACTCGAAGATGTGGAATAACGACGAGCTTCTTTGACCTGGATACCAGTCCATGTTTTACCCAAGCACTGATAGGCACTTTGACCTGGGTCTAAAGACAAGGCGTGTCTATAAATATAGACTTCGCCACTGATACCAGATGCCAAGATGAGATAAGCCCCAGCTGTAAAAAGCTTCAAGCTGCCGACAGGTGGCGGTGCAAAAGAAGGCATGCCCGGAAGGCTGTCCAAACATGGGACGGGCTTGCTTGCAAACAGAGTGGCAACATGTTCGCCCGTCCGGAAAGAAAAGACCTCGACTCGGGTCTGGTAAAACTGAGGGGTTTCATGTTGCCGTCTGTCACCTGAGTGGCCACGGGCCGTCGAAGGAGGGATATCGTTTGCATCCGAGGTTGCTGAAGAGATACGGCCTTCTTCTTCATTTGGGCCCAACGGTCCATGGACAATGACAGCAACGTGGGGTCGAGATGACGCAAAAGGATCATTGGATGAATGACCAGATAAAATCTTGGCTTCGATCACACGGCCGTTCAGCCCTGTGATCTGCCCTACGAGCCGAGTTCGACGATCTTCAATAGCGAGGATCTCCACGGCACCATCAGTCCCAACGAGCAAGACGTTCATTCCGGTCCGTGAAGCCTTGGAAGACAGAGTAGGCAGTGTATCAAAACTGCAGAAGGAGTAACTACCGTCGGTGGAAGATCGCTTCTGAGCTGGATGGATATCGATCTCCGGGGCCCCGAAGAAATGTGGCTGAGGGAGGTGAGGCAGAGGGGCATGATTGCTCATTGGGCTGCCATAAGAATTGCTCTTCCTTCTATCTGCAGACTGCTGCCGCGATTGCAAATTGCTCCGATACCCGTTGCCATAGCTGGATGGTTGGGTTCGAGGTGGGGGAGACGCCGAGGAGAGATCACTGAACCCCCCCCTTTCCTGAATAGTGGGAAAGCTGAGGGGCGATGCATTGGGAATATCTCCATCCATCAGATCAGTGGGAGGACTCTTTCCATATGGTACTGATTGAGCCCAGGTGTCTGTTCGCGAGGTGAGATCGTTATCTGCGGGTTCATCGAGCGAATCGAAAGCATCGAGAGCCGGCAACATCACAGATGGTTTTACATGGTGCTCCAGGGGTGGGTCTGGACAGGAGGAAGGCTCCGCAGGTGGAGCCGATGGTTGGATGCTACACATGGTTTCTGGTGTTAACGGCGCATGCTCCGGAACACAACATTTATCGGTTACGTACGTCTCATCCGGTGGTGACTCTGTCACTGCCTTGGCCTTGGCCCTTTTTGCTTTCTTCTTTTTCTTTCCACTTGGCTCATGCTCTGAAATTCGGTTGGTATCCGGAGTGAAGGAACTGTCGTCTTCAAGAGACCGGCTATGCTGGCGGATGATATCGTCAGGTGCTGCCGGGAGCATTCAAATGATGATGCCTCAAAGGGAGGCGATAGGAGAACAAGGAGGAAGACCGCTCTCAGGACCTGAACTGAGGCCTGAGAACGGGGGTCAGAGTATACGCTCTGCTTGAGTGACTCCTGAAGGCCGTACCGGATCAACACACCGGACCGGGACCTTGGGGGGACACTAAAAGAGTAACTTTAGAAATCAGTCACAGTTCAGCCATGTTACTATCACCGGATCCATACCTATGTTTCCACTGTCCAATATGGACAGGTCAACGAAGTCCCAGGGGGGAAGTGAGGTGTTACCTGGGGTACAGCGTGTCTAGAGCGGAGATCACCCTAGAGACGCGGGGAAGGGAAGCTTCGATAAGATACGCGTACAGCTGGAATCCAAGCTGTGCACAAGGTAAAGCCAAATCTCAGCAAGTCGACAAGTATGGGTTTGGTTTGCGCAGAAGAGCACAAGTATGTAAAGAGGAAGATGAGTCAAGATGGGGAAGATGATGTTATGGTTTGCGATAAGAGAGGGGGAGGGGTCACCAGTTACAGGGAAGAAGGGGGTGCCTGAGTCAGAAAACCCGAAAGTCAGAAAGTCAGAAAGTCCGGAAATCAGCAAGTCAGGGCTGATGCTGTCATTCCCGAAAGGAGCATGATCGAGGGGTTCTAGAGTCATGAATCTCTGCCTTCAACTGGATTCGCCCTCCAATCCGCGCGCTACAAAGGCCCTTGTGGTGAGGGGAAGGCAAACATTGCAAACCATGGAAACTACGATAAGGGCTTAGTCAGCTCTACGGCAGCTGAGGCATACCCTAAGGGTACGTCCCTTTGACCTCGTTCTGCGCCTCCTTGCTGCTTCCAAGGGTTCCATGGGATCCATGGAATTCCAAGGGAAACCCTCGAGGAAATCCAAGGAACGATCAAGAGAGGAAGCCGAGTCCAACCGTCTCATTCTTCTTCCCTGTTTGTTGACGGGCGTCATCGCGGATCTAAGGTCACGAGGCATCGCAAAATGACGAGGGAACGAAAAAAAGAATAACTTGTCATTTGCTGAGCCTTGAGGCTTGACCATCTGACGATCAGAACATGGACAAAGCGCTCAAAGCTGATTAAGTAACTGAGATGTTTTGAGATCCTTCTGGCATGGTGGTACAGCAATCCTCCCCGATGTGACGTCCTATGGTGCGCTTAGGTCTTCTTCTTAGCGGCCTTGGCCTTGGCTGCCTTCTTCTTGTTGCTGTTGACCATCACAATTCCAATAAAGGTGCCAACCACAGCAGAACCCAAGAGAGTGAGGATAACGGGGATGCGGATGGCCCAAACACGGGGTGGGAAGATCTCATGGAGGGGGTGGCCGGGGTCGACAAAGGGCTGTAGAGGTGAGCAGACGTAGACAATGAAGGTTAAACCACATACCATCAACAGGGTCCACGCGGTGTAGTAGAGAAAGATCGCGGTTGCGACCAAGAGCATGACGGATCCTACGAGTTGGCCCAGCTAGATGCGGTTAGCGGGGACAAACCATTGAATGAGATGACAGGTTACCATTCTGATAAGGAGTGATGATCAGAAAGATCAGAGAAAGGAAAGGAATGAACGTCGATGAAACCTGAGCTTGACAGAAACAACGAGGATCTCAGGAGCTCCTCCCGCTGTCTGGCCTCTGGTCACGTGCCGGCGCGCTAGAGCTTTCTCCTGTCCTTGAATCTTTTGCAACCTCCGTCGAGCTTCGCAACCACCGTCTCTCCGGCGTATCCCGATCTTTTCTCATATCCTGGAGGAAAAGCTGGCAGTTTGAGAATGTCAGATTCTGATCTGCTCCAGTCTGCGGTTCGCGTGCCCACGCCGCCCCCAGGCGTGTCATATTCGCCAGCCGCAGCTTCTCGGAAGCGCTCGCCTCCGTCTCGTTCTCCCTCTCCCAATCGTCGACGGTCGCCCCCCGGTGATTCAGCCAGAGATGGCCCCGAGGCGCCCAAGCTCGACGCAGACCGTGCCATCGACAGAGAGCGCCAGCTCGCTGAGCGCGTTCGCGAACATGAGAAGCGCGAAGCTGCCCGGAAGCCTCTGAGCGAAGAGGAAAAACAGGCATCGGCAAAGGTTGAATACGAAAAATTGCTCAACATGCGATCGGGTGGTACCTACATCCCTCCGGCTCGACTCCGCGCGCTGCAGGCGCAAATTACAGACAAGACGAGCAAAGAATATCAACGCATGGCTTGGGAAGCATTGAAGAAATCGATCAACGGTTTGATCAACAAAGTCAACGTTTCCAACATTAAGTTTATTGTGCCAGAGCTCTTTAGCGAGAACTTGGTCCGAGGCCGTGGCTTGTTCTGTCGATCCATTATGAAAGCGCAAGCCGCCAGCTTGCCGTTTACCCCGATTTATGCGGCAATGGCCTCGATCGTGAACACAAAACTGCCACAGGTTGGAGACTTGCTGCTTTCCCGGCTAATTGTTCAATTCCGAAAAGCATTCAAGCGAAATGACAAGGCAGTGTGCATTTCTTCCACGACATTCATTGCTCACCTCTGCAATCAGCAGGTCGCCCATGAGATGCTGGCTGCTCAGGTTTTGTTGCTACTTCTGCATAAGCCAACAGACGACAGTGTGGAGATCGCGGTCGGACTGACTCGAGAGGTCGGGCAGCATTTGGAGGAAATGAACGCCCCGATCGCACTCGCTGTATTCGACCAATTCCGCAACATTCTACACGAGGCCGACATTGATAAGCGTGTGCAATATATGATCGAAGTGCTTTTCCAAGTGCGCAAGGACCGATACAAGGACAACCCTGCGATTAAGGAGGAGTTGGATCTTGTCGAGGAGGAGGATCAGATTACGCATCGTGCTGGCCTGGACGACGAGTTGGAAACGCAAGACAATCTCAACATCTTCAAGTTTGATGCGGAGTGGGAGGAGCACGAGGAGGCCTACAAGAAATTGAAGGCTGAAATCTTGGGTGAGGATAGTGACGAGGATGATGAGGATGGGTCCGATGAAAGCGAAGAAGAAGAGTCGGACACTGAAGAACAGCAGATGGATATCAAGGACCAGAGCAACACTAACCTGGTTAATCTTCGACGAACCATCTACCTTACGATAATGTCCAGTATTGATTTCGAAGAATGCTGCCACAAGCTGATGAAGATCAACCTGCCGGTCGGGTTGGAGCCTGAGCTACCATCTATGATCATTGAATGTTGTTCTCAGGAGCGAACATACTCCAAGTTCTATGGTTTGATTGGAGAGCGCTTTGCCAAGATCAACCGAATGTGGTCTGACCTTTTTGAGGCTGCCTTTGCCAAATACTATGATACTATTCATCGTTATGAAACGAATCGCCTCCGCAACATCGCACAGTTCTTTGGCCACTTGATCAGCAATGATGCTATCGGCTGGCATGTCTTGTCGGTGATTCACCTCAACGAAGAGGAGACTACATCCAGCAGCCGTATCTTCGTTAAGATTCTGTTTCAAAACTTGGCAGAAAATCTTGGTGTGTCTGGATTGCAGACCCGCTTCAGAGATGAGGTTCTCCGGCCAAGCTTTGAGGGTCTCTTCCCTACAGAGAACCCTCGTCACACCCGTTTCTCGGTCAACTACTTCACCAGTATTGGTATGGGTGCGTTGACAGAGGACATGCGCGAGCACCTCAAAAATCTTCCTCGTCCCACAGTACCGGCTTTACCTATACGGGCGTCTTCTCGTTCTCTCTCCCGCACTCCATCCGACCGATCTCGATCTCGATCCATGTGCTCTACCTGCACAGGATCTCCACACTCCCGCCGTTCCCGGTCAAACTCATATTCGCGCTCTCCTTCCAGAGATCGTGGCCGCTCCAACTCTCGCTCTATCACCCCATCTTCTCGTGGCCGAAGCTACACGCCTTCCCGCTCTCGGTCCGCAGGCCGCCGTCGTGGCGCATCCTACAGTCGATCTCGGACTCCTTCAGACCGATCTCGATCCCGATCCCGATCCCGATCTGTCTCTCGCACACCAGCGAAGCGCAGCCGAGCCCGCTCGGATTCACGAAGCCCCATTCGAAGCCGCAGTCGTAGTCGCAGTCGCAGCCCATATCGGTCCCGTCGTTCCATCACCCGCTCTGCTACACCAGACGACAAAACCCGTTCCAAGAGGAACCGCAGCTACACCAGATCAATTTCCCGATCGGTCACGCCCGTACGTCGCGGTCAAAGCTCTGGCAGAAGAAATCGAAGCTACACGCGGTCAGTTTCTAACTCTGTATCGCCTCCACCCCGCAAACGTGATATTTCGGTTCCTCGTTCTCCTATTCCCAAACGTCGTGCAGAGTCACGGGGTCGAAGCTACTCTAGGACGCCTCCTCGTCGTCGATAAACGGGTGGTTGTAATGTGATGGTCTATCCTGGATATTGTGGGTATTGGCTGGTGGTTAATATCTCTCCTCCTGTGTTGATAATGAAATAGCGCAATCTGGAACGGAAAAAGATCATGAGGCTGTATTTTTTTCTTATTTGATATAGTGCCAGAACCGGATATGGGATGTACTGTAGTCAATTCTTACAATTTACTTTTTACCTGATGCTCGGTTCCCTGATTCTAGTCATAGTACAGTCGAATTTTACAGTCCCTGTACAGGGAGTAGAGCATGGTAGAAAATGTTTTTCGTCTAGTTTGATACCACCTCCGCCTCTCGCAATGCCTGTTGTCGAGCTGGAATGTTCATTTCGGCATTGTGAAGGTATTCAACGTAGCCAGCATAATCCTCGGGCTCTTTTGGATTTTGGTCGGCTTCTATTAAAACAGCAACAAGCACAGCACCCCTCAAGCGCTCCTTTCGCTGCGTGTTGTCATAAGGCACCAGTAGTTGCTGATGCTGATGCTCCAGCTCGGCAGCAAGGTCACGGACAGACTGGGTATGAATCTGACGTATGCTTTCATAATGAGATGATGCCTCAAAGTCACGATCGATATTTTCAGAATCCTCGTGTATCACCCGCAGACAGAATTTTAGGAAATCAGACCATGGGGGAACGGTATCCAGGTCTTGTACGTGGATTTTCCATTGCTTGAGTCTTTCTTCAGACAGGTGGTTCACAGCGCAAGTCACCTTATTTGGAGAGTATGCGAACCAGTCTGGATACTCGTCGAAGTGAATATTCAAGTGATCAACGAAGACATTGAGTTCACTGGTGGTGCGCCCCTGGAAAGTAGGGAGGCCCTTACTCGGCGGTGGGGTCTTGATATTCTTTTGTGCAAGCTCCAGTTCATTGCTGGAGGATAGGTATGCGAGTTTCTCCTGAAGTTTGCGTTGCTTTTCACGAGCTTCTGAGAGTTGGTTCAGGAGCTCCTGGCGTCTGGCGGTTGCTTCGTCGACTCGATTTTCTTGCTGATTGATAATATCTTGGGTAGAGCCTGGAAGAGATCCGGGTAGTCCTGTGGAATCAGACATGTCTTCTGAATGAGTCGACATCATCGAGAGTCCTCGAAAAGGGCATAACAATCTTCGAAGTCATTTCGATATCATGTGACGAGCTATCAAAGCCCCACATTCAGTGGCTTGAGTGGCTTGAGTGGCTTCTTGGTCGAAAGAATGCAACAAAACTCTCTTCACTTGTATGTTCATCAGATGAGGCTAATATCCTAGGAGCAAAATTGACGCGGCTTTGTCTGTAGACTATATGAACTACAATTTGACGAGTATCAACCAGGCTTCGGCTCCATTTCTCGGAAAGCGCCCATGATGGGGGTCTCTCGCAGTTCCTCTTATAGGCAGATCATGCGTGTAGTAAATCAGGCGAAAGATACGTGGTTGCCGCGATAAGCTTATGTGGCGAGTAGGCGAACCACACTTTGTGTTCATCGAAACGACTTTTCAACTTGGAAAGCCAGGCGGTGTTGATGGTGGAGTAGCTTTGATGAATGGTGCGCCAGCATCGCATCTAAGTCGGAGACCTCTGGGATCATATTGTGATTAGGACTTTCAACCCCCGGGGTGAAAGTAGATAAATCTTGTGCTTTGAGGGCAATTCCTTGTGATGAGATGAGGAATTGCCAGAAGGAAAGAGAGATGAGGTATCGAACATTCTGATCGACAGGGTGGATCTATAGAGTCCGAATAATGTGACTTAACTATTACGGAGCAAACTAGTCAGACACGCACAACTTAGGACCAAAAAAGACATAACTTGAATAACTGAGATGCTGAGATATAAGTTGAGCCTGCGATTCATGATCGTTGCGGTTAGTCGAGTGGTAAAGTCGTCTGTTGAAAGACTTGTCACGGCGGCAACATCATATATACCGACGTACGTATATCCTAAGCCCCTAGGCAGCACACAATAGATGGTGGACAAATGTAGTTCTATAAGTGACAAAGATACAAGTAGACTTATTGATCTACACTTCGCCAGCCTCCCAGACACACCTATCGCATAGACAAGTGCCACCCAATGCACCAGAAGCCCACTCCCGCCGCTTCTGCACCGGCAACCCAATATCACAATAATGATTCCAAATTTCACTATCCTTAGCAATGCCACCAGGCTTGAGCTCCTTTACCTCATTTTCACGAGACCAGACGGCCGTTTCATCGTCTCGTCGTGCGCGGAAGGTGATCTCACCACCCCATTCCCAGCACACATTAGGATCACACGAGTGGTTCGCAAGACACCACAATGGATGCACAGCACAGAGTTCAGGGCCGCCGTCCCAGGTAGACAACCGACCAGATGCAGTACCCCGGAACTTAGCGTACAGCGTATTCAGAATCCAGGTATCATAACGGTGGAGGTTGGCATAGGGGTCAATTTCCATTTCCTCCAAGAAGCGAGTTGGCTGCAGGATATTGAGTTGAAAGGAGAAGGGGAGGGTGGCGGTGTCATCGGATTCGGGAGTTAACTCCTTTTCAATTGCAATGGTGTTGATATCAAAGTCGTGGAAATCACCCCAGATGTATTTCACTTCGGGCATTTCGAGGGCGTGCTTGTCCTGTGTGGCGGACATGGCGAGCGCTCGACCCAGAAGCAGGAGATACAAGTAGTCTGCCTTGTCCTTTGGATCGGGGATATCCTTTCCGATAGATTCGAGACCGTCTTCCAAACCGCAGATTGCGCCGTGGTACACGTGTTGTGCTGTATCATGGCAAGCCTGGCTACAGAAGATGGTGTCTGCACATCCGCCTTCACAGGCAATAGGAGGCTCAGCAGCCGATAGTTCAGGGAGAGGTGCATTGCATGCATCGCAGAGGTCATCGTGGAGACGGTTGGTAGCGGTGAGGAGGGATGATTCACGGAGGATAATCTCATCAGGAGCAATATCTTCTTTAGCGAAGAGACCAAGCTGCACAGAGACTTCCATGCTGGAATCATCCTTTGTATCATGGAGAACAGGCAATGCCACAGCCCGAACCTCACACTTAGGCGCAATGACCGCCAGTCGATCATTCAACAAATTCAAGGTCTCTGGTGCCTTGCGATCAGGCTCATGCTCATTCCAAGGATAAAGAACACGGTGAGCAAAACCCTGTGCGGGGAGAACACTGGGATCAATCAATTCCAAATCGGTATCAGAGCCGGTGCGGGATTGATAGATCTGCTTGATGCGATCCATCTGCTCGGTAAGAGCAGCGACTGAAGCAGCAGCAGACTCCTTTTCACGAAGAAGGCCCAACCCACGCATGCCAAATTCAAATGCATCACGGTAGCAGCCGCAGCGGACAAGACTTCGCACGAGGAGCACGTAGACCATGTCAATCAGGGCATCGTACTCTTCTTCGGTGACGGGAATGGTGTCTTCCTCGTCCTCGTCATCGGAGTCCTCCGGCTTTTCTGATGCTGGCGCTGAAGGATCAACCTTCTTCTTTGCGTGGTACTCGAATCCATCTGGCTCAATCACTGATTCTAGTAATGATAATGCTCGGTAGGCGTCTGCTGCTGCTAAATCTGGGAAGCCTAGCTTTTCATAGATGAGGCCTCGTTCCAAGTGAATGTGTGGGTTATGCGGGTCTGCATAGAGCTTGGTTGTCACCTCATTGCGAGACTCCAAGACTTGTGAAGCAGACATCTTGGTAGACTTTGTCCTGAAGCGGCTGGAGGACCTGTTTTTATATTGGGTGACTGAGGAGGTGTATCTTCAATTTCACAAATTGAAATCCAACTTGGGACTAGACACTTCAACTGAGTAGAAACCAGGGCAAAGTAATTGATCCAACCCCTCGACTCAAACGCTGTTCAAATAGATGTCTGCCCCTCTGTAGTTCCAGTGCGGGCAGATTTTCTTATCGGGAAATTTCTACGATAAGGATCACGTGGTAGTATACCACAGACACCTCAGGCCAATTTATTCCTGACAGCAGTAAAGATACACGAATCAAGGGAATCAAGTCCACGCCGAGTCATTCGATTGAATAGAAAGAAAGAAAACCCACATTCAATTGTGCCATGTTCTGCAAATGCAAATCCAGCTCACATCACCTACCGCATGTCAGTATTAGCAAAAGAGGACCGAGGATCGGAAGATGGACTCACCGAACAATTATCATCCAAAACAACAGGTGTATCCCCGTCATGTGCACCCAGACCTTCCATTCCACCGACGCCGCCTTGTCGGCCCCGTAGAGTAGCAGCTAGACGAGCAAGCATGCTTCGCTGTATAGAGTGTCAGAATGTACAACATTCAACGGAAAGTAAGAAACATACAGTAATGTAGGCCTCACTCATGCCTCCACGACGTTCCACATCATTTTCATTCATGATGCGGTAGCTGTCATGAATTCGCTTGCGACTTTCGAGACCGCCGATATGGGTGATTCCGGGTCTGTTGCCTCTGAAATCGGGATCAAGGATATTGATACCTTGGCTAGCATTGGCTTGAGCGGTGCGGTCTGCCGAGAATATTTTGATGGTATTGTCTATTCCCGAAGCGGCAATCAACGGTTCGTACGGGTGGCCTGTCTGTGTTAATACTCACTCAGTGCCCGGAGAGAAAAAACATACCTTGCACAACGTTGACAACCTCACTGTCACCTTCTAAGATATTCACTAGGTGCGAGGTTTTGCGATCCCAAATGAAGATATGACCGGAATCGCTGCCACTGACCACATACTCATCATCCAAGCCAAAGAAGTTGACATCCTTGACTGTCTTGATATTGCAATGACCACGGTAACTTCGCATGTGAGACGAGCATGGTGTGTTCATCTCGACCTTTTCTTGCCGGGACCTGCGAATGGCATATCTGCGAGTGGTGGACTCGTCGTCGTCATCGTCGTCATCACTGCCTTCCTCGTTTTCATCTTCTTCGTCCGATGAGTCTATGGCCCTTTCACCCTCGTCATCGTCAGTCGAATCTTCAGCGCTGTCGCTCTGGCTTGCCTCGGAATTTGTATCGACGTCTGGATTGGCTTGTCGTGAAGGACCAGCCGACACTAGTTCAATCTGTCGGATGACTTGTTCTTCCTCCAGAGGATCGATATCCTCTTGATTTCTTTCCGAATCCGAATCACTGTCAGAGTCTGTTATAGTATGTAATCCACCAAACGCATTGTTCACGAAGGTGTAGTTTACTCCACTGCCAGCCTCCATCAAGATTCCTCTGCCCACACGAAGAAGCCAGAATCTTCTTGCCGAGGCGCGATCGAGAGACCGTACGTGCGAGGAAGGATTGGAGACCCGGCGTCTGTCAAATTGAGCTGCCGAGCCTTCAAGGTCTTCCAGAGGTAATTTCACAGCATTACCAAATGCAATGACGGCGGCCCGCTGACTCTGGAACAGAAATCGAGTACTGTCATGCTCGAACCGCGACGCGTCCACATTTACAATAGGTGTGTCACTGGCCAATTCGAGAAGGTAGGGAATCAACACCTCGTCGATAGCATCGCCTTCGTATTCATCCGGAATTGGATACCGGTCATGAGCTCGCCCTCGACGAGGCCCACTGCGACGGCGGAATCCTTCCAAAACACTTGATCTACCGCCCCGCATCCAGAGAACGATTGCCCGGAGGAAATCATAGCCAAATTGAGCTTGTCGATCGATATGCGTTTCCTCTCCAGGTGCAGGCCGGATCATTCCGATGTCAAGTCCGTGAGACGGATCAAAGTTTCCTAATTCCTGAGCGAGGTTGCCAGCAGCCAAGGTAAATCTCCATGATGACTCCCGGTTCCGCCGAAGAGACTGCTGAAAGGCAACTGTCTCGGCGGTCGGATTCAGAGGATATCTCCATTCGGACATGACGTTGTTCATCTGGGAAAGGCACGTAGTAGCAATATTTGAAGCAGAAGAGAAAGCTTCCTGGTAAAGGTCAGACTCATCGCCGTCAGAGGCTAAAGCCTCCCTTGCAGTTGCTTCCAAAGAGAACAAAGTCTTTCGAAGTTTTACCAATCCTTTTGCAATTTCCATGCTTAGTCGCTGAGCATCGCTCAACACGGTATACCGAGCCCGTTCGAGTATATCTTCCGGGGTCTCAGTGGCACTATCCGCAAGCGATGGAAAAGAAACATCTTCAGCTTCGCCATTTTCATATTGAATCCTAAAAGTATCTGGCTCGGCAGAACGACGACGCGATTCATGCCGCCCACCGCTTCCCTGGGAGTCAGGCGTAGCAGGCTTCTGACGCTTTCGCTTGCGGACTTGTGAGCTACGGCGAGACCGTCCGCCTTTGCCTATGCCAGACTTTTTGTCCTTCGTTTCGCCCGCATCTGGACTGCGAATAAGATCGAAGCTGTAGATATGATCTCCGGACCAACTGACAATCATCTCATCTGGGTTTGCATCACTAATTTTACATGCGGTGATGTGCCCGTCATCGAGATGTCTCATGCGACGTTTACCGCCTGGTGCGAATCTCCGCACACAGCGGGTCGCTTTCCCCATCTCCTCGTCATCACCGCCGATAGCACCCTTCTCAGCGGATTTGTCGCGACCAAGCATCCGCCTGTCATGTAGGAAGCAGTGAAGGTGGGCACCACCCAGAGCAATGTAGTGAGGTTGACTGGGGGAGCAGGAGATAGTATTTAGATCCAGGCTATATGGCTTGTAGGAAATGAGAGGAGGCGGCACATTGGAGTCATCATGGTTCAAACCGGGGCGGTATGCCATGAAGCCCTGGCCACCTCGAGGTGGAGGATATGCGCTAGAAGGAAGGCGTAGATCCCACTGTCTCACCTCGCCATCTTCAGAGCAAGTGAGGAATAGATACGGCGAAGACTCGGTTACGATGCGCTTCACACGATCGGCATGACTCCGATAGATCCTCGCATTGGTATTGCCATCGCTTAGATACCGAGCACCACTGAAAAACTCATTGAATCGCCGACTGCGAGCGGAGGCCTCAAATGCGGACGTAGCGGCAGTATTTCTGCTCCCGCTGGAGTATTCAATGTCGAACACGCGCACTTGCGAGTCCCCAGCGCATGTAATCACAGTCCCATCGTTTGATTGTGGCATAAATTTGACAGAGAAGATGTTGGCTTTGTGTCCAGTGAAGACGGTGGTATTGAGCGCAAACGGAGCGTTGGAGGATTCAGGTTGGTAGGAATAGATATTGAGATGCTGATCATCCGAGCCGGATGCAAGGAGCTGACCTGACCGCGACCAACTACAGCTGTTAGCCCAATACATAATCCGAGATAGTTTCGACATACCTCAATGCATTGACACATCCCGTATGTCCGCCGAGCTCATTCACGATGTCAAGATCACTGACCCATTCCTTAGAGCCATATATACCTCGAAGCCCGGAATACGCTGATCGCTCCCCGCATTCCCGGCGCCAAAGGCGATCATAGAGCGAGTCTTTCATGATGTGGGAAAAGTCAAGATCTGTTAGGTATGATCGACCATTATGAGGAAGTGGGGACCTCTTTGGTTACAGTGAACAGAGCTATAGATGACGTCAGGGCGATATTCACATCACGGGTAAGTGAAGATGAGTGCGATACAATCAAAGCGAGCTCTGAAAATTCGAGAGGACCAGACGATGAAGAAAGGAAGAAAGGAAGATCTCACAGGAACCAGTGGAGCTTCACGTTATCGAGCGTCATCCGGGGGTCTGCAGATGACTCAGCATTTTTATCTCCGCAGTTGTCTGCCCAGGTGGAACCTCAAGTTTATATCCGACATTGACATCAACATCAAGCTGGCTTACATCTAAGGTGGGATTTATACGTTAGATTATAGTCTTCAAGCTCGAACCACTGGCACAAAGATTGATGGGCAATCGCCCATTCAACGACAGTGTCCGAGACCACGCTTTTCTCCAGTGATTCCAAACGTCGTGTCTGCATTGCTAATTCCTTGCTAATTCAGTGGCTAATCAAAAAAAAAAACTTGTACCATAAATGGTACATTTACCTGCTCCACACCCCGACACGGGGGGCTTGCATGCCCCTTGAAGACTCGGTGAGCTGTGTGGCAAGGTGAGCAATAGAATCTCTCTCGATGCGCACAATCTCTGCCTCGAGTGCTCGCATCACACGGATCTCCTGTGTCATAAGCTGCATCAATTCACCTAGCTTCGTAATTAAACTAGTGAGGGCAGCACTCCCCAGTTGCTCGATTTCACCGAAGCCCAGAACGTCAAGGGATTGTAGATGCCGTGCACAGAGCTCCAATTTGAGACTCAGTTCTTGCAATGTATCCTTCCAGCTACGGGGTAATTGGTCAATGAAGGTCGCAACATCAGTTCTGTTTCCTCCGCGGGTTTGATGGATCACATCGGCTTGCTCGATCCATTCCTCAAAGTCTGCTACCGCAGAGGTATATTTCCCTCCCCTGTCCGAACTGTTCAAGGAAATCATATCAAAGACTTCCTGGATAACTCGCGATAGGATTTGAATCTGCTCAGGGAAATCATGCAGACTATGATGCTCCTGGCAGTTAGACAGCCAGAGACCAAGAGCCTTTGCGTTGAGCTCACATTGCCGTCGCGTTTCATCTATTATCAAAGAACGGTACTGGCCAGAAACTCCGTCATACTTTTTGCGGAGACGGGTCTCCGCATCGGACTTCCACTCAGCCTGCCTCTGTAATGCGCTAGAATGGAACAAACTGAGTTGGAGTAGTTCAGTCTGTAGAGCTGTGATATCAGGCCATGATGAAGGAATCAAGAGATTGCTTGTATCCGCTTGACCCGCAACCGGAGTCGGGGGTTTGGATGTTTTCTTGGGGGCATGTTGTTGATAAGTGGAATATTGAGCTCGTGGCTTCAAAGGAGATGTTGGTCTTGGCTCGGTCTTTGTATTCAGCACCATCTGACTTCGATGTCTGGTATGGCCTCTGACAGTAGGCAGTGCCTTGGTGGCGGTGACAGGTTGTCTGAGGGAAGAAGAGCGAGTTGGTCGCGGTGGAGGCGGCATATCCGTTTTCTTGGGCGATGGAGGTCTTCTGGTTATAGGAGGCTGGACAGGAGCTCGCGTTGGTGGCTTACGAGGTGACGGGGGTGTTGCTGAGCTCTTTAACGGCACAAGGGGTTTCGCAGGCATCTTCAACGTAGGTCTCATTATGCTTTGCCGGCGGCTCAGTAGTGTCGTAAGCTTGGTAGTCGAAGCTTCTGGTTGTTCCGACTTCTTGTCCGGTGATCTCTCTCGTCTTGTCGGCGAGGGATCCCCACGTGGGAGCTTGCTGGCCTGAAGCGGCCGGGTGGGACGGTCTGTCAGGGTACTGCGTTGAGGGAGCTGAGTCCTGCCGCGGGCTCCATTGTCATTTGGACCCTCGACCAGCGAGGAGGTAGATGGTGAGCGACTCTTCTCATTCTGTGTGGTTTCTCTTCCAGTTGTGGGTAAAGGTTTCGTGGTAGGTCGTGCAATATTGGAGGTCTGCGCAATTAGTTAGGATTCATAGACATTGGCAGGACTGCCAACCTGTTTACGTGGCTCGCGCAGCGAGGCCGATCGCGTAGGAATAGGCATTGTCAAGCCATAAAGGTATGTGTTGAGGGATTCGAGTGTTGTTTGGGGAACCACTCTGGTCCGTGCGCAGCCTTAGTTTTCAGGCCATCGATATTCAAGCCCAGCAAAGAAACATAAGAACACAACTAGCTTACAAGGTATTGTGTTAGAGAGTCTCATAGTGACATTTTAGATGCTCTTAACTATTGGCTATCGAAAGGTCTTATCAGTCGACGTTTTCTTTTCGGCCTCTTCACCCAGGCGCTGTTCAGCTGTATTGGAAACACGAGGAGAATTCTATGTCATATCAAAGACAAACGGGTCATGGAGATTCATTCTATATTTTGTCTACCGTAAATAGCCAAGTTGGTAAATTCACTTTTGATCTCTCAAAGGCTTCCACGACGAGCGAAAGCAACTCCGTCCACTGCCGGGTGATCAGTGAACCAGCTGACCTTCTGACCGGCACCCTGGTTGACCAGAGCAGAGGGTAGGTTGCTGCCCTCCTCCAGATCGAAGATCTGCTTCAGGATTTCCTTCTTACCCGCACCAGTGGCGACAAAGGCAATGTTGATGGCATGCGTCACGACAGGCAGAGTGAGAGTGATACGTTTGGGGGGAGGCTTGGGAGAGTTGGTCTCAGCAGCAACCCAGGCGTCCTTTTCGCGGAGCAGCTCGTGGCCAGGGAACAGCGAGCAGGTGTGGCCATCGGGACCACAGCCGAGCAAGATGAGGTCGAACACGGGTAATTTGACGCTATCCTTGGCGGCAAATTCACGCATCAGATCCTCCTGGTACAGGTCGGCCAGCTCCTGGGGGTCGTCGTCGTGGACGTGCTTCTCGTCGATGGGGTGGATGACCGGAGTACCGAGCTCCGCGGGGATCTTTGCAACGAGCTCTTCCTTCACGAGGCGGTAGTTGCTCTCTTCGTGGTCGAGAGGCACGGCACGCTCATCAGCGAAGAAAATGTGCCACTTATCGAACTGAGGGGTGTCTTCGGGGGTTCCATTGCTGGGGGCGAGGAGGGCCTTGGCCAGGTTGGCAGGCAGGGAACCACCCGACACAGCGAGGCGGAAACTGTGATGGCGGCTCAAGGCGGCATTTTGCGCACGAAGCACATAGACGCGCAATTGCTGGGCCAAAGCATCCGAGTTCGGGAAGCTGTAGAGGTTGGGAGGAGCGGTCGCCATGAGGGGCAATGGTGGGGGTGGATCAGAAAGACAGCAGTGCAAGTGACGAAAGTGACGAAAGGGACTACAGTGACGAAAGTGACACAATAGACGATCGCGATCTCTTAATAGAATAGAAATCCGATGATTGGATATGGTATGATGAAGAGAAAAAGAAGAGAAAAGCCAAGAGCCGGAATGAAGAGGTATGACGTGGGCGACTCCTCCGTTCGCGGGAGCTGCGAGTTTCTCCCAGATCCCGTGTTATCGCCACACCTTATTCGACCTTGCCCGGACGGCACATTGGCAGTGGACGGCTCTCGCATAGGTGTCTACGTATTGTCCCTCTTTGGGCCTGCTGCATACCCGCAATCTAAGCCAATGACGGCATGGTGCATCCCCTCCAGAGCCAAGAGAGGCAACCGTTGAAGGCATCAATGATCTTCGGAAAGATTGAAGATCATGAGAGATGGGGAGCTTCTGAGGGATCACGACGATTCAAATGGGTGGACTCAACCCATGGAACTGGTCCTCTGTCCAGGTGAAAATTCCCTGGGTTGGGGAAAAGGGATCGGTTTAGCGCCAACACACACGCATGAGGGGATCAGGCCAACCGATCTTCAGGTTATATAAATGCGTGGAGTCCCGAGTCTCGAGATTCCGATCGTTTTCTTCCCCAGATCTTTTGGGAACAGTATCAGAGTCAACACGGAGAGCGTCTCTTCTTCTCTTCTTCCAAACATGACTTCTCCTCTTCAGCTTTCGCCGCTCCCCAGGCCTACCGGGGCTACTTCTCCCCCAGTGCTGGATGTTGTCCGGTGTAGCAGATGTCAACAATCTCTCAGCCTGGCGGGTCACTCGGGATCAGCGGTTCAGTTCGGCATGAACTCCTATTATTGCAACCGATGTGCCTCCAAAGTTGGCTTCGGACGATGAAAAAAGATCGCCCCCTAAATGAGGCTATCTTGTTCCCTCTCGAACGCGACCCACATATATTATTCTTCGACGTCGACGTCGACGTCGACTTTTGACTTGGACTTCGATTTTCTTCGAAGTCACGGCAGACCTAGTCCAATCCAGTCTAATACAGTCGGATCGGAGACCGCCCCCAAGTGATCCCAACACACTGTGAGATGGGCACCGGAAATCGTACTTGGAGGACATTCCCCGGTCGGTATTGCAACATATGCAGTCCTATGCCGAGCACATGGGTGTTTATGACCTATCTTTTCTCGGCGCAGCCTACCTGTACCCCCTTTTTTTTTCTTCTTTGGAGCGACTGTATTCGTTAGCCTATTTGGAACCATATATCCTGATTCTGCCGAGATTTAACGGATGTTGACTTACATCTGGGAGTACTCTCATGACGTAGCGGTCATAACAGGGAAATCTCGTGCTTTGATCGCGTGTGGTCATCGTTCATTCTTTAGGTTGTGCCACATACACACACACACACCGTGTGGAATTGCAATGGTCATTTGACTGGTATCTTGCTGCAAGCCATGCTTCATATAGTGTGCATAAAAAGATCGTCTTCAATATCTGCCCCATCTGCCATATCTGCCAGTTTATCAAAGGCTGCAGTGTAACCCGTAAATACCTCGTCCGTGCGCCTTTTAGGGCTTCAGTGCAGCTCAGCCAGCCATCACTGACCATGTCTCTGCAGGCACTCACGAACGGCTTGAATTCCACAATGGATGAATCCCAAAAGCAAATCCAATAAGCGGCAATCTACTTGCCCCGCTTGATCGTCCCCGAGGGTCGTTCGTTGCTTCTTTCTCCAGTAGTCCGATCTGATGAATATGCAGCCAATGTGATGAATACAGGCGCGCGCAGGTCCACCCTGCACGTCCGATCCGGATCTAGCGGTGTAACGCGCTTTGCTCACTGCAACTCGAAGATCGCCTTTCTCCCCTCCTCAGGGTGTACGGGTCTACCCGGGCATTCAGAGGGAGCAGCAAGAAGCAAAGAATCCACAGATCTAATGCCTGGACTATTTCACCTATTTCAACATGACACCATCCCTGTAGCTCGCTACTGCATAGTCCAGTAGAGGCAAATGACATATCTTTGCACTAAGAGGGGAATCTGGCAGATCTGACTGGTGGCTGCTCCTCGTCTGGCGTTACCATTCGTCCAGATATGCAGCTTGGGTCTGCTTGCAAGAAGACTATCGTGTGGGAATTACTAGTATCCTACCTGTGGAATTTATTGTCACCATGGCAGCTCTTGTGAAACATCGCTCTCTCTTTTTTTCTCTTTTCTCCAGGCTTTTCCAAGCTTTATAATTTGGCGATCCATCCTCAGCTGGATTCTTTCTGCATGTTGTCAGACCAATTCGTTGTCTTGCATCGGTGAGTGCGAGATCCTATGATGCTCGATTCTCTATGTATAACTAATGAGCTAGCCCACTCCTCACATTTCGAACCGAACCAACACCTGGTCGGACAAGTCGATTCTTCAACGAAAGCTTCGGAGGTTTGCAGACGACGAGATCTCCAAAACATCGATCCTCGGAGTTAGCGGCAGAAACAGACTTCCCGACGTGCATTATTTAGACACCATGCCTGTCCGTGAAAAACCTCGCCCGAAGCGCAGATCTGACGATGAATTCGTCGTCTTTCTCCAAGGAGTAAGTCCCCCGAATACTACCACGGGCAAGGCTCACCATTTAGATTCCGTCACATTGTCGTTGGCAGGAACTGAAGGATTTAGTGCGTCAGACGGCTTTACATATCCGCCAGGCTGTTGTATACGATGATAGCCACGGCTTTCCCACCGGACTCGGTCAGATTATAGTCAAAAATGAGGATGAAGCTTGGAAAACATATCGTATGTCTTCCATTTTCCTCCCGAATTCGATCTCACTCTAACATAGCAGACCGGCTTTCCACCAACGGATGGGATGGCCAGAGTTTGATTGTGACGCTCGCGCGAACCAGTACACCCACCAAGCCCATCGCAGGACCAACCCGAAGCCCAATGCATTACTCTGGTCATTGCACGCCGCCGCATAGAAATCTGAAATTCCCCCCATCGCCCGTTCTACCCGAGTATGTTGCCCCGACCACCTTTCATTAATACTAGACTGACCATTTCACCACTCAGATCGACTCATACTAGTCCGACATTCTCATATCCCGAGTACGGTGGAATGATGCCGACAATGCCCATGACCCCGTACATGCCCATGATGCCTGAACTTATCCCTATGCAATTCCCTCCGTCGCCAGTAACGGGTGGCTATGAACCGCCATACTGGAGCATGCCCGGATATCCAATGTCGCCAGACCAGGGAAGCTTCGATTCGTACCGATATCACAGGTCTCCGCCTACTCCAGAGTCTCACGCCCACACCGGATACCGAGGAATCATCCTGGAGAATTTGAACCCATCTACTAAAGGCGCCGATCTGGAAAGCCTGCTCCACACAGCCGGGGCTGTCGAGCAGATCCGGGTGACGAATGATCAAGGCCAAGCGCAGGGTCTCATCACTATGCGGACAGCGGAAGAGGCACAGCGCGCGATATCAATGTTCAACAACATCGTCTTCATGAACTCGCGCGTTTATGCCCGGTTCGACCGACGGGACAGTCTCGACAGCTCGGATGCTGATTCGGAATTTGGAAGAGAAAGTTGGAATGGGAGCTTCACACCAGTCAAAAGTCGTGCTGACACTTGCAGTCCACTTGTGGTGGATGGATCGGGTCTTGCGAGTCGATTTGAGATGTTGTCTACTTCTGCCCCGACATAGGTTATGGGAGTTATTCGTCTGCATATCGACAGTTGCGCCCTAAGCATTTAAAAATTAATCTTTTCAACAAGAATGTGTTATTATTTGATCTCATACTTTGCTATTTGGCCTATCACCAGTCTTTTTGATACTTACTACGACGCAATTAGATCCCTTTCTTAATATGCATCTGTCGATTTTCAGTTCCATGCTAGTTCACTTTCTGTCTAATTCATCGTACCCTTTAACAGGTAGTACATGCCAAAGTTGGCCTTAGGTAGAATGAACAACCGTCCTATGATACAGACCTGAGTCTGGTAATGGCATGATCCCATTGACCAAAATACAGACATTTATACACATCTAATGTCAGGCCTCTTATTCAGCTTGACAATATGCATAAAATGAAGCAAAGAAGTATTGACAGTCATATTGAAGCTAAACATTCAAGGTCAATCTGATACAAAACATCAGAAATCCTGTTGGCATTCAAACTATTTGCCGTGGATATGACACTGTTATACGAGGTAGCCGTATTTAACAAACTGGGTGTGTCTTGCCAGTCTTTCCCTGCAACGAGTGACTCTCCCCTTTGTAGTGGGCGTGGGTCTTATGGCGAGCGTGCTCACGGTGGCTCTTCATATGACTTTGTAACGGTTAACAACCAGCAGGCGAGTTTTGAGCCATTCGGGGATACATACCTCTGGTACTTGGCAAGCATAGCTTGATCCATACAGTCTAGGGTCTGGATAGCCAGCTTGAAATCAATCAAAAGAGAATCACAGCGGTCCATGGAGAAATCTTCGCGGACAACGACACGCATCATGCGCATCTGTTCGCAATGAGGGGCCATGGTGTAGGCAGGGACAATCCAACCCCGCTCACGCAGCTGGTGTGCGATCGCAAATTCATCATAAACGCGATCGGGATTCTTAGGAAGATGGAAGGCCACCAGAGGCAGGCCACGGCCGCGAGTCTGGCTCATGATAACCATGCCCATCTTTTCCAGTTCAGACGCCATGTAGTCGCTGACGCGAGTGAGATTGGTCATGATTGAACGGTAGCCATGCTTACCCAGGCGGATAAGTTGGTAATACTGGCCAATGACGTGAGATGCGCCCTTGGAGAAGTTCAATGTAAAGCTGGACTGATCGGCACCCAGGTAGTTGATGTTGAAAACCAATTCTTGGGGGAGGTAGGCTGGAGAGCGCCAGATAGCCCAACCCACACCGGGGTAGACTAGACCGTACTTGTGACCTGAGACGTTAATAGAGATGACCTTTGGCAGCCGGAAGTCCCATTCCAGCTCCGGATATATGAACGGGGCCACAAAGCCACCACTGGCCGCATCGACGTGAATTGGGCAGTCAATGTTGCGCTCGACCAGCAGATCGTTGATTGCTTTGACATCTTCATACTCCCCAGTGTAAGTAGTGCCAAGAATGGCGCAAATGCCGATTGTGTTCTCATCAACGCGGTCGACAGCTTCTTTAGGATCCATCACGAAACGGGTTTCAGTGCAGTAGATAAAGCTGTTGGGAAACGTTTAGTACTTTCGTTATGATATAGAGCAGAATTACAAACTTTTCCTCAACGTCAAAGTATCTGCAAGCTTTTTCCCAGCAGACCTTCAAATTTAGCAATTTTGTTAGAAATGATCATAAACAAGAGGTCGGGTTGCAAACCTGAACGGCACCTATCATGTGTTAGACGGGAATATAAATTTAGTGATGGGCTGAGGGGAGAAGAAAGAGTGCAATGAGACAGCCAAAACATACTGGACATGACGAGATTTGGGTTCGAAATATCTTTTCCTTCTGCCTTGCGCTTGTTTTGCCAACGCTTCTTCATTGCCAAGGTGCACAGCATAATAGCCTCCGAAGACCCGATTGTTGAGGTACCCATTGCATTGTCACAGTCGGAGTCCGTGGGTGCATTGTAAAGGCGAGCAATCATGTTGACACAGCGGTTGTGCAGCTCAACAGTGTGAGGGTATTCCTCGTAATCGATGAAGTTTTTGTTAAACGCGTCGGCCATGATCTCCTCGATTTCCTCTTCCATGTACGCTATAAAGATCAAAAAGTTAGCACAACGCAAAGTGCTATCAATCTTCATTTGGGGCGCTTACTGGAGCAGAATGAGGCAAGGTTCAATCGTGGGTTACCGTCAAGAGAAAGCCCTAGGAGGATGTTAGAATGGGAAGATAACACTGGTTGCATGTCAGACTGACCATCCTTGATCATACGAGCGGCAACCTGACGAGGCATTTCGTTCTCGGGCATGCGGTGCTGAGGCAGATGCTCGGCAGCAAAGTGGGAGCCATAAACATTGCTCGTGTAGGTATCAGCCTGAGCATCTTCCAATGCTGGGATAGTGTCGATGTCCTCAAGCTTGCGGGAAGATGGAGGAGCAAGGTCCTGGTCCCTCTGGACAGTCGAAAGATGAACCATATCTACAATAAATTGGCCAAGATGAGATGAAGACGAATTGAAGAGATATGAGAAGAGAGAAGAGGGAAAATGCCTGGTATAAAGAGAGTAGTGATGGAAGTGCGGGGGCATGACGCAGCATCGAACCACTGGACTTTTTGGAACTCCCTCAACTTCCCACTGTCAACTCCCCCAATCAACAGCTTCGTTGTTTGCTTCTTCCCTACTGCTATGCTAGTTACATCTCTATATCTCCTAGATCTGCCACATGGATTTCTCTCGAGCATATTGACCACCCTAACCTCCTTACATTCCCACGGGCGATCCCTGATTTCACTAAAGCTTGGTCAAAGCTTGGCAGAGAGATCCGTCAGTCTCCGAATGAAGATTGCCACGTCATGAATCACAGTGGATACAGTACACACACGAGGGGGTCCAAGAGTCCACTCAGAGCTTGCTCTCACGAGCTTCGGCTTCGGCAAACTGATAGTAGAATTCCAGGCTGCCTGGATTCAATAGAGTCCCACTGGGCTTGACCCGCTTCCCTGATACTATCTGCTTCACCGGTAGTTCGACCTTCTTGAGATTGACGGTGGTTGGGATCTCAGGTGTTTCCCAAATGAAGCTAGGCACATGGCGGGGGCTGAGCTCGGAGCGAATCGCAGTCTTCACTCTACCCACCAGGTCGGGTGAGAAGGCCACACCTGGTTTCATGAGCAGGAACAGAACGACCCGCTCATCAATATCAGTGGGCCTCTTCTGCCCCACGCAAATGGAATCCGCAATCTCATTGGCAAACAGGGCTTCAATAACTCTGTAGATCTCGGCGCTTCCAAACCGCACACCCGAGGGATTGAGCACCCCATCAGCGCGACCATGGAACATCAGCTGATGGGTGATCGGATGAATAGAAACAAAGTCTCCATGAACCCACACATCTAGCGATAGTCAGTAATTGTGGTATGCAAGACAAGAAATTGGAAAGAAAGAGGAACCCCGTACTGTCAAACTTGGCGAAATAAGAGTTTCGATACTTGATTCCACTCTCATCACCCCAAAACTTCACTGGCATATTGGGGAAGGCAGCTGTGGCAACTAGTTCACCAGGTACTCCTTTCTCTACTCGGGTTCCTTTGATACCGTCGCCTCCTTCGATCGTAGAATCATAAACCTCCACAGGAACCCCCAGGCTGCGTTCAGCACACCCGCCTACATAGACAGGAACCAGTGGATTACCGGATCCAAAACAACCCGCAATATCAGTACCACCAGAAATGTTGTTCAGGCGAGCAATCGAAGGGAAGCCTTCATCGTAGAACCACTCGAATAACTCCTCCCGCAGGACCATTCCAGTGCTAGTCACGACTTGCAGATGAGATAGATCGACCAAATCTCGAGGTTTGATCTTAGCCATCTTGAGCTCATGCATCCACCGAGGAGATATGCCAAGATGGGTCACTTTCTCTTGTGCCGCCAGACGGACCAGGGCTGTGACGTCGGGGACAAATGGACTTCCATCGTAGAGCACAACTCTTGACCCGAAGAGAAGAGTCTGGACACACGACATGTACATAATCCAACCGGTAGTCGTGTATTGTAAGCAGACACTGTCAGGCCCCAGTTCACTGTGCAAGCCGCCTTCTTTGGATGCGTTGATAAGCACTCCTCCCACCGAATGAACTATACACTTCGGCTGACCGGTAGTCCCACTGCTATAGGCAATCAGGAATGGATCCTTGAAGGAGACTCTTTCAAACTCCAGCTTGTCACCTCTTCTTTTTGAGATATAGCTGCTCAAAGTGTGGGTTCGTGGTATGGAAGTTATATCCGCTGGCTTCGCAGAGAACCGGGGCTGCGAGATGACACCCTGGAATTCGGAAATGGACTCCATGCCTTGGACTATGTCTCGGATCTTTGGTCGCAAATCAACGGTCTTCCCATTGTACACCGCACAGTCGTCCATGAAAAGGAAACGAGGCTTAATCTGGAGTAAGCGGTCTAAGATGCCCTTGACGCCCATATCTGTCGAGCTGGATGAGAAGATCGCACCCAAAGCAGTCGACGCCAGGAATACAAGTAACGTGTCGATGCTATTGGCCGCACAAATAGCAATCCGATCTCCTCGGACGACACCATTGGCCTTCATCGCTTGGATCAAGACTCCAGTGCGACGTCTCAGCTCTCCCCAAGTCACCTGGACCGATTCATGTGCCGCGCCTTCTCTGACTTCGGTCACGGCAATCTTGCCATCTTCCTTTCCAGTCGTATCTCCGACAGCTTGGGAGAAGAGTAAATTTTCTGCAAAATTCAACCGGATCCCTTCAAACCATGCCGGTATGGTATCCATGCGGGCAGATTCGTCCACCACTTGGGTGTAGGATCCCTCGTGAATGAGTCGGAAAGATTTCCAGCAAAAGTCCCAGAATTGAGACCTGTTGTTCACGGAATAGAGATACATGTCATGGAAGGACTGATCCATACCATTAGTCATTAGATGTATAGTCGGAGTATGAGCCTTACCTCCAATTTCTGGCCAGTTGACTTCTCCAGCTGTCGCCGAAATTGACCCATCTTGGTCGAATCCGGGTCTGGGTGTTCCCATAACTTGCGAGGAACTGAAGCCATGATTGTGTATACAGAAGAGGGCATGGAGTATAAGTCCTCCACATTTTGCGGGGGAGGGTCTTCTTATCAATTTCGCACTAAGCCGAGGCCCGAAATGATAAGCGGAGAGCTTTGGTTTTTGCCGCCTTTTTCGGTTTGCCTTGGCTGCTCTTGCAGGTTGCTTACCTTGGCTCTCGTTCTAAGGCTGCTCCCCTCAACTTTATTGGCTGGTTATCAAGGAGGTCGGAGTTAGGACTTATGTGACTCGACAAACAGTGCGTGCATTTTTGACCGCGTCATTGTATGACACCTGGTGCTCGGTCTATTGTTGTCGCATGTCGCTCTTAAACATATATACTAAGAAAGATTTTAAGGAACTGACTTATGAATCAAGTAAATATACAAAAATAGACATCGTATAAGAGTTTATAAGGGAATAGAGTTTTCTATAAAAAGGTATAGAACTATATAAAACCATACAGGATTTCTAAAAATGTCTTCGACTTTAAGATATAATAAAGAAGTAGCACTCTCTAAGCTCTCTCTCAGTTCTCTCTCAGTTCTCCCTATTTTCTGATTAATATAAACGATCCTTTCGCTAAAAGGTGAAAGAAAGGTAATAACTATAGATAATATCCATGGATCTCCTAGGGGCTATTCGTACGAAGTGGTAATAGGTAATGTAGAAACCTTGGAGGGCGGTATACGCGGCGGTATAGGGACACGGGCCTACTAAGCCGATGGCGACTGCACACTGCCGTAGACACTCCTACCCCATTCTATTCTTATAAGAGCTTAGGGCTCGGGGGATTATGCTTTAATAGACTTGGAGTCTAGCTTTGATTCAATGGTATTCTACAGGAACTCGGCAAAGATAAGCTTAGCACTGGCGATCTTACAAACGGAGGGTTGCGAACACGCTAGGAGATTTCCACCAATTAGTTGCCTGGTGATATAGGAAGCTTGGGTCTGGTGGGCCCTTCTGCATACATTGAACGGATTGTGGTATTTCTCGGTATAATTGGTGCTAATCCTTCGACTGCAAGGGGGCTGGTTCGTTACTTCAAGGATCACACCGAAGCACTAGAGGTAATTGCGAACGAGTCCGGACTTTCACGTCGAGGAGCGGATAACGTCGTGCGTAACGAGTATTGGAGAGACATCCGTAAAGTACTCGCCGGGCCTCATGACAAAATTCACATCCTAAGCCGGATTCTGGCCAGTTGGCTTTGGCAGACGGATAGGAAAAGTCACAAGCGGCAAGCAATGACGCATATATGCAGACAAATAGAATATTGCACCAAAGAGATAAGGGCCTGGCACTAATGTGGGGTTCGAGTGCAGTGACTCGGCCGATATCGCAAAGCATTAGGCTCGTCACTACCAAGAGAAAGTTAGTTGAATCGCCTATAAGTTCAACGCCGCATAGAAGAAGCGCGATCAACAGAACTCCCAGCAACAAATCCGCCCCCGCCTTAGCCCTCTTCCCGCTACACCATGAGTAAGTCTCTCAGCTTGGGAAAAGTGGACGAACAGAGGCCCAGAACAATGCGCCCAAGTATCAAATCAGTGACTGATATAACTAACATGAATGCTAGACCTTCAACCGCCCCCGCATCTTCCCGTTCCTCAGGATGACGGCGCCTGCGACCATTTATCCGCTCATCCCTCCCTGTCATCGATTGCTTTACCCAGCACAGAGGAGACCAATGTCAACATCTCCACCCTAGATGGGTTGACCATAGTTTTTTGCTATCCCCGTACCGCTCAAGCCAACGAAGAAATTCCGGATTCGTGGAACAACATTCCCGGGGCTCGAGGCTGCACACCCCAGGCGTGCTCCTTTCGAGACAATCTCCCGGAGCTGAAGAAACTAGGCGTGAATCATCTCTTCGGGCTGAGCACCCAGTCAACCGAGGAACAGAAAGAGGTGCACGAGCGGTTGCACCTTGCATACCCACTGCTAAGTGATTCCAAGCTGGAATTCGTGTCGAGTCTATCGTTGCCGGTATTCAATTGGAACGAAATGAAATTGGTCAAACGCATAACGCTGGCGATCCGGAATGGCAAAGTCATTCACCATTGGTACCCGATCTTCCCTTCTCATAAGAATGTGGATTTCGTGTTGGAGTGGCTGCGCGAGAATCCATCGAGCGCCCTATCGGATTGAGATCTGAATAGGGAAGTACTAGAAATAATTTACTACTTGCCATTTAGGAGTAATATCATGATATTTCCGTTTTGTCGCGATGCGGGAATAGCAGGCGATGGATGTTATATCGTAGGTACATCATTAGCATTTCTCTAGAAAAGCAGAACGAGTGAGGCAGAGTACGAGGAACCCCCCTTAAGCCTCTAGGCCTAACGACATCCATTTCCCAGCAACACACGCACACAAGCTGTTAAAACAACTCCAACTAGCTCGTTATTGGAAATGTCGGATATCCGTGTTCATTGTCTCAGTGGCCCAGAAAGTACATGCTAGGCAGCATAGCGGCTCCATAGAAATGTTTATGGTTTGGGAACAATCTCCATCTTCAATTTGCGTAGCGATGAAGATATGTATTGAAACCAGGTAACTAACAAGCCCTCTCTTTGGCACTCTTGGTCTTGGTCTGTGAGATAGTAGTGTCCACAGGGGGCAAAGGGCAGTCCGCTAGAGTGGCACGACAATCTTAGTGCCACTAACACCAGCCTTGAGCTTGTCTAGTGCTGCATTCATTCCACCCAGGCCACCACCCTCAACCTGAACAGCAGGGCTAGGGATCACCTCACCAGACTCCAGTCCTGGCTTCAGCCACCCATTGAAGACTTCGTTAACATGCTTGTTCCTCGCAGCTTCGTCCATAGATGGGAAGTTGAATGTAATCTGCGTGTTCTCGAGGGTAGGATGACCTTCTGGGAGAAGAGGCGAGTGTGCGACCTTACCATGTGCATCGCCCTTGGTTTCCTTGAGAATGTCCAGTGTGGGCTGCAGAGCTCCATCAACAACGCAGTGCGCGGTGTGCAGCTTGACACCATCCTTTTTCACGGTGCTGATGATCTGGGAGACAACATCGCTTGACTTGTAATCGAAAACCGCTTGCGCTCCGAGCTTCTTGACGAGGTTATGGTGCTTGGGACTGGCAGTGGCGTAGACAGTGAAACCGAGTGTCTTTGCCGATTGAACGGCAAAAGTGCCTACACTGCTCGAGGCGCCCCAGATCAGGACCGCTTGTTTGTCCGCCGGAGTATACTTTGTGTCGAGCGGAATCCCAATTGTCGTCCAGGCAGTCAAGGCAGTCAAGACGGCCAGGGGGAAGACAGCTCCTTCCTCGAAGGAGAGATGGTCTGGGAGTGGGATGACGGCCTCAGATTGTGCCAAAGTGTACTTTTGAAAGGAACCGTGGTTTGGGGAACCATTCTGATAAAAGGATGAGGCAAATGCAATGACTCGGCTTCCTGGACTAGGGGCCGTGGTGACATTCGATCCCAGTTTGGCGACCACACCAGCAGTATCAGATCCAATGATGGCAGGGTAGAAAGGTACAGGAGGCATGCCATAATCACGCTGGAAATGATCGCAAGGGTTCAAAGCAACAGCTTTGACTTCGATGAGAACATCGTTTGGGCCGGGCTCTGGGGTGTTCCGCTTGCCCAGAGACAAGGGACCGCCCTGTTGGGGGAGGATGGCAGCTTCATGTTGCGCGGCCATAGTCGATTTCGGACGAGGAGATGATATCAGTGACACTGTAGATGCCTTGTTGCTGAATGTACGATTCAATCTGAGGAGACGAAGCATGTAGGAGGGATGGATGATGAAGATGGTATACAACAATGGTGGGTTTATATTTCTCAATTTCCGCTGCGAGGTACCTGTAGATCATTTCGTCGCCTTGGTTTAAACCCGATACCTCCTCAAACCCCGATCTTGGGAGAGGGGTATTTTGCTTGTTTCTGTTGACGAGGGAGCTTGTCCGGTGATACTGTGATAGTAGGCAATAAACATGGCCACGGACGAATCAGATTATGCAATTCATCTCCTCATCTGTTTTGACTTCTCATTGCGACTCCGGTGTTAAAGCAATACGCTATTAAATCCGAATGCTTTGAAATTGAGAACGAGCCGTGGTTAGTCTGATGTCCGATGGTTGGAGGATAGGGACGAATACGAAGGGTGGTTAGCGTACTTTTCTAGCGCGAATCTATGCATTCGTTTTCCTCTTCACTCACATCACCTGCCCGGATTTACTGAAAATAGGCTCGGTGGTTCCTAATTTGCCCTCTTAGGAGGGCTCTGTGTTTGTTGGTCTCCTTTACTGGGGAACTCTCTCGGCGTTGTTGATTCTAGACTTCCGTAATGCCCACCAAGCCTACAGCCTAATATAAAAGGTTAATATGACCTTGGAGCCTAGCTATGTGATTATGGCCTTCCAGGTTACTCTGGCTGCTTTTGAAATAACTAGAACTGGGTTCCCATCCCCAAATCGTTCGATTGTGACGTCATTTATACGAACTCGAGAATCAAGTCACGAGTTACGGCGAGCCCTGTTTCATTCTCAACAGCTCAAATGAGGCAATAAACGATTCAGGCACCCTGTCTGCGTTAAAATCAACTCTTCCGCCTGTCTGGCTTGAACCTCGAACCCCGAGAGTTCAAGTGCAATTCAGACATTCGTTTTCACTACAAAGATACGACTTGAGTTCATCATGCAGGAAATCCATGTGAGCCCGCGGGATCCAGTTCCCTCCACGCGGCAGTTTTCATCGCCGGCCGAGCTCCCTCCAGCTCAAAAGACCAAGCTCCATCCATCCAAACCAGGCTCGGAAAATGCCTCTCTCTTTTTTGTGGGCAAGGCTTGTGTTATCATGTTGGTTCAGCGAACATGATTCGGGGACATAGGCTAATTGCGGTAGAGAATGGCACGGTACTCGGTTAATCACTGATGTCAGTTCCCCATCTGGGGTGCCCAGTTCATACTTCCAGACTGACCAGCGTAGCCCAACTTCGCGAGAGAAGGAGAAAAGGTCCACCTTGATCGAGGTATCAGTAGTAAATGTCTCACCAATCCAGCCGTTGATCTACACAATCTGCCTCGAATTGATCTCGTTCTTCTCTCGCATTTCCAGGAGTAGGCCAAGACCCGCTTTCAACATAACGGATGTCTGACATCTGCAGGGGCTACTTTGATCCAAAGCTGGAGGCTTCTCTCAGGCGTGATATTCCGATTGTTACGACTCCCCAAGTCAAGACGCGTCTCATCGCGAAACGAGAGGAACCATTTACTTCGGTTTCTGCACTACGCCCCTTCGAGCATATTGATATTCACATTGCAGACACGGAAAAATCAAGGCAGCCTCGAATACGGATAACAGGAATGCCAGGAAAGAACGTGGCATCAAAACGGATGTTGCAGACATTGACTCATGCCGTAGGTTATTTTCCTGCTTTTTGATTCAATTAGATCCGGTTTAACAACCTGAAGGCTCCGCCAACTAATGGATGGATGCTTGAGCTGGGCTATGGTACTCACAAGAAACCTGACTTCACTTGCAGCTATCGCATATACGTGTCTGGAGACACCTTGGCTACCAAGGCGCTACACGAAGTTACCCACCGCTATGAAGGACAGCCCATTGACCTGATGCTCCCTCGTCTCGGGGGTACGATTCTTCCCTCGTTCCTGGTAGGACGAATCATGGAGCCGCTAGCATCGACCGTCACTATGGATGCCGAGGATGGAATACATCTCATGCAATTGATCAAACCCGAGCTCACGATCCCAATCCACTATGATGACTTTGAGGTATTCAGAAGCTCGTTGGAAGATTTTCAGCGCCTAGTTGAGGCGGTCAGTTTGTCTGACAAAGTGCTGTATCTAGACCGGGGTGACGAGTATCGCTTTTATGTGAGAGACGAACCTGAAGATTGACACACGATGTATCACCTTGCAGACTTCAATAAGTAAAGAGAAATTTGAACCTTATGAAATAATAACATCATCTGGTAGACAAGTGGTTACTACCCTGTTTCATTCTACCAGCTCTGTATAAAGAGCAGGTTGTGGTAATGCTACTGGCAGGCAAAGCGCACATGATTAAGCCCACCGATCGTTATACTTGGTAAGTGATCTTGTACAGTATGCAGGTCAAAGACTTGAGCGTCTATCATTTCAGCCCCCAACGCAAGGGCGAGTAAGGAACTGCCCAATACGTACGATCTTCGAGCTTGCTTTGCGGAATCCGCACCGGCGAACCATGAAGGGGCTGTGAAATGGAGCTCTGACTGCCAGGAATCAGCTTGACTCCACTCTCTCTTGGGTCTTGAAACCTGGAAATCTTCGAATTGGGGGCCATCTGTAGGCGCATGCTTGTCTGAGGCTCGCGGGCTTATAGTGGCAGATATGCCAACAGCAAGTTCTGTACACTTGTAAACTTCCTAATCTATGAAGGATGATCTCCTTTCAGATCGTAGTCCACTATGATCCTTGTCAGTCACAGTTGAAGTAGACATCCTTTGTCCATACTGGCAGAGTGGCATAGTGGCGCATTTGTTGACGCCTATATATAGCAGCCAATCACTCTGTGGTGGGATCGACCCAGCAGCCTCACTCTCTCTCCTCTTCGTGTTTGACAGCAATGCAGTTATTCAAAAAGAAACCTCATGCTCGCACTCACCACGCAGTGCGCAGTACCGAACACCTGGCCGAGCCCCCATCTTTCTCCCTCGGCCGCTCCAACACGCAGAAACACTCGCGCGACCGACCGTCTGTGACTTTACGACCTCCCTCGTCTTTCAAAGGGAACTCCATATCCAATCCAGTTTCGAATCCCAGTTCGCCGCGACGCGCTTCCGAGACCGAAGGGGTCCATTTCCCGCACTCCGACAACCCCTCCCCAGTGGCCTTTGAGCGCCCGGCGTCGATTGCAATCCAACCAGTGCAGCGAGGTCCACGACCAACGCATCCAGCCCATCAAGATCACGACTGGTCGACCCAACTGGCCAGCCAGCCTGCTCTCCAGCGATCGACAACCGACTTGGAGTCTCCGCGATACCAGACCTATCGACCCTTCACCCCCCAGGAAACGGTATTGCACTCCCGGCCCCCATCTCGTTACGAGCCGCTTTCTCCAGAGACAGATCCTGATGCCATGCAGTCTACACAAGCCCAGGCCCAATTCCCAGAAAACCCAGCCCCAGACTCGAGTCGGCGGGATAGTGACATCATGCCCGAGCCCGGTCGAGGCACGCCGACACAACGCCGCGAGGATTCTGGGGAAATCGACGGGCGCGACTTTGATGTTCGCGCCCTGATTCAGAAACACGATGAGCTCCGTGAGTGCTGCACAGCGGAGACAAGGACAACGCTAACCATAACAGAGGCCAAATATTCCAAGGTGAAACGCTATTACTTCGAGAAGGATGCGCAGGTTCAGCATCTCCAGAACACGGTGGCACACCAACGCATGGCGGTGTCCCGCACTATCTTAGACGACTCGGAATACCAGAATCGCTTCGGGCGACTGGACGGAGCGATCAAAGATCTAGCTTTCTCAGTGCGAAAGGATTGGAAGGGTCTTCCTCAATGGCTGAAGGGGATGGTGACGGATGATGCATTGGAGGTCGGCATGAAAGAAATGACCGCGGTCGGACGAGCAGTGATCAGCCGATGGCTGGTAGAGGAAGTGTTCCAGCGCCACTTCCACCCGGGGTTAGATCCGGTCTTTAGTGTGCAACTGAAGAGTATTGAGATGAACCTGCGACGGCAGCGACCGTCATCCGAGGAAGATCGCGAGAACGCCTCTGCCAGGCTTTCCTACTGGCGGCGCACAACCCTCGATGGACTGGGGGATTCTATCATCGGGCCTGCTGCCGATGAGAACCGCACTGGGCTAGTCGAACGTCTGATTATGGAACTTGCCACGTTCATGGGATCTCAACTGCACGAACACGCACAACCTGGCCTGGAAGCAGGCGTGCGTATGATCATCGAAAACTCAATTAACATTGTCGAGAAAGTCCCTCTCGAGGCCCGCGATGTCTGCGTCGATTATTTCCCACCGGGCGTCTCGCTCGCCGAACAATACATGAAGGTGGAAGGCCAACTCCCTCACCTCAATAACCCACCCCCGCCACTGGCAGATCCTGAAATCGACGACCCCATAGAAGGTGAGGCCTCATCGGGATCTACAGCGGCACCCTCAGAGAACGTCTCCCCAGCACCAAAGTCGCACAAAAAGTCGATGTTTGGTGCCCTGATGGGCCGTAAGCCCGCAGCCATTGATACAAGCCGTTCCCCGATACCCGGTCCAGAAGAGAAGAACGAGCCAACAGAGGCAGCATCCAGCAGCCCACGCATCCGCTTTGCAGCATTCCTAGCGGTTGAAGTTCGCGGAAAGGGCCCTGCAACGGTATTGGTCAAGGCGCCCGTCTGGCTGGTGGAGTAGAGCACTACCATAGAGGTACATAGTGCCGGAGATAGCGAGGGTGGAAGTTGTATATACAGAACGGAGCTGTCACATGCTGGCATGGCGACTATGATCATGACTGTCTATATCCTTTGATATCCCGATTCGTTTGCCACTGGGTTTGATTGGCGAGTTTTGCTTTAATCAATGTCCATGGATTTCTGTGGACTCATGACTGCTATGAATGGTTGAGATAGCGTTCGCGACTTGATATTTGAATACTCATTCGTGTTTCTCATATATGTACCTGTAAGTTCAGTATATCTGTAGTCGATGTGAAGAGTTTGATTCGTAAAAGTAGCAGTGGTCGGTTCTTACCTCCTACAACGAAACTTCAAGCTACTCCACGCTTCGCCTCGAGGGTTTCCAGCCTCCATTTCAACGAAGAACTCCAACTGTAATGTAAAAAGAACCTCTAGTTCTTGAGTGGAGAGACGATGGGTCGTATGACGACAGGCAATGCTTAGTGTGAGGGGAAACCGGGGTCGTGTGGGGAAATGGATCCGAAGTATAAAATGTTAAACTATGATCAAGTCGAAAGCTGGTCTGAAGTTGAGACCAGGGTAGTCTGGAAGACGGCATAACTAGACAATATGATGATTGGGTAGTATCTAGATGTAACGATCCCTACACTGTAGTAGCCCGTGACCTGCAAGCATATCCAGTGATATTGGGAGACCAGTGCATATACTTTGTGTTTTGCAGATTTTATGCAAGATTTACATGTATATTGACTTTTCTCTACTGTATACCGGAGATATGCTTAAATGATATATGATACTGCAACTTTGAACGCTCCGAGTTTGAACTTGACCCTATGTTGTGCTCTAGCTTGAACAGCCGAGATATAAACATTGTGCTACACTACAAGCTACATGTCTCGAATTTGTATCAGAAATAGATGTAACTTCATGACAGTCTGATCGTATTGACCACTCCGAACGGAGCCCAACAATATACAGGGCAATGACACCCAACCCGGGAATCCAAGAGCATAATTATGTACAAAGATGAATCCATATGCAAATTGGGGAAACAAGTAATCCCAGGTATAGCGCCTCGCAATGTGAAACGGAACAAGAACATAACCAGGAACAGAAAAGAATGAAAGCCGAAAATGCGGAAATGAGGAAGAGAAGTGTTGGCAATGCCACAATGAAGGAAGCAGAAAGAAAAATGCTGAAACGCGAAATGTAGAGACATGAAACCAATTATGGACCAAAGTATTACAGATGGTCTCAAATTTAAGCGGTCATTCCGTTGGTGGTGGCGGCCTGCTGCAGCACACGAGGCCAGCGCGAGATGAGCTCCACATCGTCGAGAGCGCCCTTGCCTTGGTTGCGGATGTATTGAGCGGATGCATCGACGTGCGGCTGGAAGTCCCATAGCGACGGCGTTCCCTTGATCAAGGCGGAGTAGACGAGACGACGGCGACGCTGTGAGATGAGGACATCCTGGCGGATCTTCTCTAGATCCCAACGGCTGTGCGTTTCTTCAATGAAGAACGCCAAGATCTTAGCAGGCTCGGTGGTATTAGGCAACGCTGGGGCCAGTTTGGCTGGGCTCGGGGTGCGAGGGGGAGTGGGCGTAGGGAACGCGTAGTCTGCCGGGGTAACACGCTGAGGAATTGGCGATGCGTGCGGGGTCTCGATGGGAGTTGGCAGATTCAAGCCTGCCAGACTGGTTGGCTTGGCGACTAAATTGCGGGAGGAGGGGGTTGGAATGGGCAGACCGGCTGCCAAGTTAATCTTCTCTTCTGGATCGGTGGCCAGGTCATATAGCATGGGCGGGTCGATGGCAGAGTAGATGAACTTCCAGCGGCCACGACGGATCATCATAAGAGGGGCCTGGGTGCCCTCTCCCATGTATTCACCATAGACTGTATCTGTGCGGAGACCCTCCCCGCCAGTCAAATATGGCATCAGAGAGACACCATCGAGCGGCAGTCCAGGGATCAGCTTGGCACCTGCGAGATCGGCGAATGTGGGAAGCAGATCCATGGTGGAGACATTCTCGGAGACACGTTTCGGAGAGAAATGCTTGGGAGAATGGACGAGGAAAGGCACGCGAGCTGAATTCTCGAACCAGGTCATCTTGTACCACAAACCACGCTCGCCCAGCATATCACCGTGGTCACCAGTGAAAACAATAATAGTGTCATCAGCAAGGCCAGTGTTGTCGAGAACCTTGAGCAGCTTGCCGATGTTGGTATCGACATATGTACAAGCAGCGTAGTATGCACGACGAGCAGCACGGATACGGTCATCCGGCATCTCCTTATTAAACAAATCGATGCACTTCAGCACACGCTGGGAATGAGCATCCTGTTGGTCATGTGGGATAGCTCCATTCTTGGGCAGTGGGATCTCGACGTCGTTGTACAAGTCCCAGAACTCCTTGGTCATGGCATAGGGATCGTGAGGGTGCGTCATTGAGACTGTGAGACAGAATGGCTGCTCGGTACGCTGACGCACGTGATCATACAAGTATTGCTGCGACTTATAGATCACCTCCTCGTCAAAGTCCAATTGGTTGGTCCGGACCACTGGACCCGCTTCCATGACTGAAGACATGTTGTGATACCAATCGGCCCGGATGTCCTACATCAATTAGCATGGTTTCACAGCCAGGTGAGAGACATCCTAGAATGGACTTACAGGTTCGTCCCAGTTGACGGACCAGCCGTAGTCACCGGGGTAGATATCACTAGTCAGACGCTGTTCATAACCGTGGAGCTGGTCCGGGCCACAGAAATGCATCTTTCCGGCCAACGCGGTATGATAGCCCTCATTGCGAAGGTAATGGGCATAAGTTGGGGTATCGGCGGGTAAGTCCGCCGCGTTATCGTAGGCACCGATCTTCGAGGGCAATTGACCGCTGACCATGACGAACCGCGATGGAGCACACAGCGGTGAGTTGCAATAGGCCGAGTCAAAGACGACACCCCCTTCTGCGAGGCGGTCTAGGTTGGGAGTCTTAATCCGGGAGGTCTTGTCATGTAGTGACAATAAGGGCGCGGCCATCTGGTCGGCCATGATGTAGAGGATGTTAGGCTTCTTGGTCGCCATGATGAATATGTGCGGTAAGTTACAAGAGTAGGAAGAAGACGCTTGAACTGAATCGTACGAAGGAAACGGAACTGTCGGAGGGGGGGCAAAAGGGTTGTTATATAAAATCCGAGGTATGTGGGGAACAAAGAGTCCACAAATTCAATACAAAATAAAAACGAAGAAAAGAAAAAAAGACTTGTCCAGAAAAGGGAAAAAAAAAGAAAGTAATGTCGGGGATGTCGGGGCTGAAAGAACCAAAATTCCCCCCATGAGCCGGAAAAGGTAATCTATGAAGGGAAGTAAATTACATGAACAGGACACACACTACTCACACCACTGCAGCCGACTGCAGACTAGACTACCCACGACTCCCCAGAGCTAGAACAGACTATGATAGTTCCCGTCTGCAGCGAAGATCAGGGGAATGACTGAGTGCTGACGTCGAAAGGCGAAGAAGGGAAGGCATCATCTGTGTCGACGATGGTGTGATTAGGGGGAATGTGGTTCGTAATCTTTCACGGTTTCCAAAGTTTCAATACCGAAGTAGATGATCTACACCGAAATGTGCGGAACTCTCGCAACGAGTACATGGACTGTAGAATAGCGCTTGGCGTCAGATAGATAGTCACACGACCAGTGAACATTATCGATTGTAGGAAATTGTGTCCAAGCCGGAGGCCGGCACAAGCGTCGGGTCGCCACTTTAGGGGCCAGGTGTTACATTGAAATATTACATTACCACCGCAATACCAGCAGTGGATGTAATGGAATGATCCAACTCACCCCCCTGAAACCAATCATGCCAATTAACTGACAACTTGTGCACGCTGAGGGTTTTTCTATGGAGCCTAGCTTCAGTGCAGTTCACACTTGCACTCGACCCCGGAGTGGATAACGGCAGAGACAGCCCAGCTCCATGGCCGCGTTTCCAGCGTGACAGACCCTGGTACTGGCTAGCCGATTAGAGCCTAGCGTATCCCAAAGCCGACAACCAGCTAAACTCTGGACTCCACTGGATCGTGTCATCGCCTTTTGAGCCAATCAGCATCGAGACGTTTCCCCTGGGATAGCCCAATCAAGTTAGAATGGAGGCTTAGGGGCAGCAGATCCACTTGCTTATCTCGACATCCAATCACAACAGCCTCCGAAGAGGAAAACGAGACGTCGCAAAAAGTGCGAGACGGAGTAGACCGCCAGTTTTCTCTCCAAACACAAGCATGAAGCACGGCTTTGACCCTGCGAGACAGTAGAACACATAAACCAGATGAGATCGAATATGAAACAGGAGAATGTAAGGAATCATCGATCCACAATGAGCAATCCCCCTTTCCGAGCACGCCATGCGGAGCACTTTACGATCCCCAGATCTTCCACGGTGTGGTTGACTAAGGAGGCGAAACAGTCACCGCCGTTTCTTAGCTTTCGACGTCCTTTCTACAGTACTCCACATGCCACGTCTACAGGATTCGACACGGGATTGTTTGGCCCGATGCAGGATGGCGTAATCAATCTTCCACACAGTACGTACAGTATGCAAGCCTTGATCGGTATCATTTCCCCGAGGTCACAGGTGATATGCAACAGGTCATGGCGTAGCCAACAAGATGGGTGGTTCAGTGCAGCCGATGGATTTCATGTCCAGATTTGAGCATGTTCAGCTGCTGCCACTGGAATGGACGTGCTCTATTTCGTCATCTCCACCCCTTGAATCCGAAGTCTACGAGTACAGTACAGCTAAATCGGGTGTTCGCTTACCGGAGTAATGATCATTGCACAAACAATCGCCACAGAGCGAGAGAGTTCTTCGTGTCGCTCGAGTACTGTAGTGTCTCTGGAAGCTTCTGGCCTAGATGGTACGCATCACCCCCGACGGATGTCATGCTTACCAAGTGAATTCTACGCAGCCTGGCCATCTTCAACGATCAGATACTGTAGCGTCTTGGTCCATTCGGATCAGATACGCACGAGTATGGATGTATCCACAGTCAACCCAAACCGTCCCAGTAGAAAGTGGGCCGTTTCTTCTAGCAATTGCCACCGATCTACGCGTATCCGCAATCATGGGACCTCGGAAACTGATGGATATACATTACAGTAAATCTGGTTCTTCGGCTGAAAAAGCTGAACGTTATGTTGTTGTGATGATTCTGGGGCAAAAGGCCTGGATCATTCGGATGCGCCGCGTATCTCTAGATCTCAATGTAACAAATAAACAATCAATGCAGGTCAGCCCAGTACTGAAAGGCAACAGAAATTGTGACTGATCACACAAGTCAACTTGCTGCATGGAATTGTCAGGGAAAGTGTCAGCGTAAGGCATGTGCCTGCAGATTCCTCTGCATGTGTGATGGAAATTGAATCGGCAGTCCTTGGTAAGCAAGTGAACACTGTCCAGGTGCAGATGCAGCTTAGTGGCCTACAGTACTGCACACATGCCGTAACACATTGGTGCGAGGAATACGAATGAGAAGTAGACGTATATTATCAACCCCACTCTGTAGGTTTATACGAAACTGGAAGATAGGGCGAGAAATGAACGCGCACCCTAAAACCGCTCACTAGAAGAACAGACTTGCTTGAGGCGAAATTGGAAGCAAAGCTCAAGCTTGGCGCGCTGGGGAATGGAAAAAGAACACTACACGCCGTCGTCGTAACGTCACCTATGCTTGAAAGATCAAATCGTCAAGATAGATGTAAGAAGTTGGATTGTCAAGATCAAGATAGAGGAGATCAGTCGACCTTGATCGCACTATAAACACGTCGAACAAACGCATAAGCGGCCAAGAATCCAACAGTACCTGTCAAGAGACCGTAAACGGCACATGCAAGGAAGCTATAGCTAAAGAAGAGCAAGCTGGAAACAAATCCGGTGACGTGGAGCTTGAACAGGTAATACCAGACACAGTAGGCGAATATCCAAAACGCGCTACTACCGCCAGTGAGGAAGCTTTGCCACCACCAATGGTAGTTCTAAAGAGTTAGCATAAACTTCATCAAAAGTCGCAGGCTTCTTACCTCGGAGCAAAGCTGGCTGTATGTTGCGATGACAGTGACTTCGACAACCGTGACCATTAGAACGGTCGACACAGCACTCAAGAACCCAAAGACATAATAGTATCCAGTCTTATCCTGCCACAAATTCTTAAACACGAACAGCAACTCGATAAACAGAACGGCAAATGGAACGAGACCAGTCAACAGGGGACCAATTGGGCTGCGCAAATACCAAGGCTGGATTGGAATTTGACGGGGAATTGCATTGGTCTTCAGAGGATGCTCCCAAGGGGTGGCACGCACATATCCAGCCCAGCTTCCAAGATAAACCAAGGGAACTTGAATGAGCAGCCAAAGTGCTAGAAGACCAATCAAAGTGCTGAATGGAATTGCAGTGCTGGATGCTTGAGCCCAAACAAACAGGTTTAAAATCAAGATCAGGGAAAAGGCCAACCCAGGGAAAAGCAAAGCAGTCTAGAAAAGTTAGCAGGGCACGTCAATAGTGTGTTAGTTACATACGATCAAAGTGTTCTTCCGCCAAGCTTGGCCGCCAAACGTCTTGTATAGTCGGCCGCTGAAATACCCCGAGAAAAGACCAGCAAACACAAACAGACCCATACCAACACTGACGAAGCCACCGCGGAAGCTCGGATTCAATATACCCAAGCAGCTGAGGAGTAACAGACCTGAAGCCATAAACAACAGCTGCATACCTGATCCGACCAACGGAGCAAGAAGGCCACTGTACGCGGGGATACGGAAAACGTCACCGTGAAGAAGCTTCCAACCACTGGTGTCTTCCAGACCCTCATCTTCCGAAGAGAAGTCCGCATCATGCTCCACATCTGCTTCGCCGTCCAAGAGATTTTCTCGCTTTTTCTCGGGTTTTCCACTCCTGCGGCGAGAGCGGACCTTGGCCTTTTGATCGTTCATTGCACCGTCTCCGCGGCCCTTGATGTCGCCTTGTATAGTACGGCTCCAGATAACGAATACAGTCACTCCCAGAACTGCACATATTGTTAAGGAGTTGATAATTGCCAACCAATGGGTCATGGAACTTTCTCCCTGGTTGGTGAAGTACAAATCCCAGCGGCTGTTCCATTCAACCTTGTTCTCCTCTCGGAAGTAGACTGAGTAGGTGTAGGGAATCTGAAGTTTGGCACCGTCATCATCGTCATCATCCTCGGGGATATATGACAGTCCTGAGTACTTCTCTTGCATGCGCGACAAGTTCGGCGCAATGTACAGCGGCTGTCCTTCATTGTCCTTGTGAACAGCCTTGGGGCAACCGCCTTCCTTACGATCCTTGGCAGTGATACTCTTCGGGTACACCTCGAATCCAACAATCACCTTTCCGCCTTCGGGTGCGCTCCGCCAGCGGATGACAATCGTGAAGTGGTTGTTGATAAAGTATCGGGACTGGCCAGTGGCCGGAGAGATGTCACGGTAACCAAGCTTAAATCCAGACGCATAATACTTGCGACTGCGATCGACTGTCACAAAGCTGGTTGCTCCTGGCAAGTTATCCGCAATCCACTCAATCACATAACCCTCCTTGACGAGCTGACGAGCCCATTTCACATCTGATCGGGTCACGCCGATGGTGCAAAGCGCTTCACATTCGATATCTTTGCCCATTGAAAGCTCAAAGTCAGAGGTCATGATGCGGTCACCACGCAGTACTTCCCCTAGGTTGAGCGAGATACTCTGGCCAGAACCAAAGGGCGATCCACCATGTGACTTGCCACTCGGCGGGCAAACGAACGGGAGGTCGTAATAGGCATATTGCAGCTGGGTATTGTCGGAGAAGATCTTGTTCACGAGGAGAGGGATCGGATCATTGTCGTTGTATCGAGTAACCGAGTATCCTAGCGGTGTCAGCATCGATCTAGATCAACCAATGCACCTGAGTATTACCTGGAATGTAGAACGCGCTGACGCAGGATACGAGCAGCAGCAACTGCACCACCCATTGATGGGAAAGCAGTGGCTCAAAAGTCATTTTCAATATATTCAGAACGATGCCCTCCCGGAGTCAACGGGCAGCTATCGAAACAGCATGCACCAAGGTATGGGGGAATGGCGTAGGTCGGCCTGGAGAGTGTCGATCGCAAAGTTAAATCAGCGCGAGTCAATAGCGCGTATCCCTCGATTACTCCGAGTTGGAGATGACAGCTTAACGCGGAGTAGATGGTGCGGGACGGGCGGCTGCAAGTATGCCAAGGATCACCGAATAGCTCTCAAGTGAAGATGCTAACGAATGAAACCGGCACTTAATGCCACAGTGAAAGAACTTCGAGCTGTTGAGAAAGGGGCAGAGCAAGGGAGATTAAGTTGCCCTGGGGGTCCAGCGTGTCAACACTGAGATTACCTAATGCTCGGCATGTTCTGGTTAACAATGAGGGCATACAACTCCATAATATTAATGTTATTGGGATAGTATTCTCGAGATTGTGCACTGTTCTGGCTGACGTTATTTGAATGAGAAGTAAATTAAATTGTAACCCTATCAGTGTTTGCTGATACACATGTTGGTGAATCCACTTCGGAGCTAAAGGTATATAAGTTGTCTGGCGTCGACAAGCTAACACTTAGTACAAGTGGAGATAGTTCATACTTGGACCTACTGGAGTCCCACCAATGCATGCCAAGGTCTGGAAATAGAAGTTTAATCATTATTCCATATCATTGGTCCCGAGACGCTACCCAGAGGGACTAAGCTCAAAGACAGGTAGTTCAATACATCAAGTTAAAAATCGCAAGGCTGTGCTAAAAAGAGAATACCCGCGTCGCAGGAGCTGTTCGAAAACATCAATCAACCGCTGAGGAGGTACTCCACAGCTCCTTGCACACTACCGCCAGAACGGCGTAATGCCTGGATATTCCTCTCGAACTCAAAGAAACCCATATCATTCAACTGACGGAGCTGGTCGGCGTAGCGCTCCTCTGGAGGTCGGTTGTCTGGAGGCTGAGATGCGCCCATGCCACCACCACCAAACATCGCAGCCAAAGGGTTTGCTCCGGCACCTTCTCCGCCTTGCCCCATACCCTGCATCATCTGAGACAGGAGCGCAGGATCGCGCAGGAAAGGATTTGTCTGGGGGTTGAACATGTTCGCACCTGGACCGGCACCAGCGGCACCCGCGTTACCAAAGATAGCTGGGTTAAGTAGCGAAGCGAATGGATTCGGAGGCTGCTGGGTCTGTCCCTCGGTAGTGGATCGATCCGTGCCTTCTGCACCCTCTGACGGAGTGGCGCCTGGAGCAGCTGGAGGAGCGGCAAAGGGGTTACCTCCGGCTCCAAACAGAGAAGCGAAAGGGTTACCGAGGGGGTTCTGAGGCATCTGTCCAAATGGATTGGCTGGGGCATTTTGCTGAGAGCCTTGGTTTTCCGAAGCAGTCGTGTTGGTCACTCCCGGGGCGGGGAATGCGCTTTCACCACCACCCATTCCACCACCCATGGCCCGTTGCATTTGTGTCATCTGACGGAGCATACTGGGGTCGGTCAACATTCGGCGGAACTCGGGGCTTTCAAACATTTGGCGCACTCCAGGTCCCATGTCGCGAAGCATGGGGTTCTGCTGGATCATCATATCAATCATAGCGGGGTTCTGCAGGGCTTCATTGATGCTCGATTGGAATTGAGGGTTTTCGAGCATGTTGAGCATCGTATCAGTATCAGGAGGAGGTCCCATCTGCAATGATTCAAATCAGCATTTGCTATTCTCAAACAGAGTGATGTCACTCACCCCACCATCAGGACCAAAAAGGCCTTGATTAGGAAGCTGGGCGAAACCAGCGTAGCGTGCACCGGTCAAACCAGCGAGTGGGTTGTTTCCAGTACCAGCGGCGAGGTTTGTTGGGACACCAGCTGCAGCGGGGTTCGGGGTACCCGCAGCGGCAGTCGCGGGCTGAGCAGCTGCATTCTGGCGTTGTTGATTGCTCTGAGCACTCTTCACCAAATGAATAGTGTGGCTATCCTTGATCTTGTAGGTCTCCAAAGTCTCGTTATCTTTCAGAACCCGACCGGAGTAGATCAGGCGCTGTCGGTCTGCGGGGGTATCGGCGTATTCGGAGGTCGAGAGTTTCTGTTTGAGCTCCGACACCAAAGTGGTGAGAGGAAGAGTCAAGTTATACTTGGCATCTGTCGATGACTTAACGGTAAAGCTGACAGGTGCCGCCTCTGTGGCAGCCGTATCATCGGCCATGATTGAGGTATGTATGATGATAAAGGTGGGGGAGAGGGGGGAGGTGATCAGGCGATGATAAATAAGGGAGATCAAATACTGAAGGCAACACAGTAGGCGATAGAAGAGATCTCAAATGCGCACGAATTGAAGGGGAAGAGTCCAGGCAAATGAAGACAAGGCGACCTTCTATACGGAGATGCGCCAACCGATTCCCGTTCGGTTCGACCGCCTTCTGCCTGCAGCCATCGCACGTGATCCGTCACGTGGAGGAGCTACCACACCACAAAGTGAGTTTTTCCCTCTTCTTTTCCCCATTCGAACACACGGCATCATCTCTCCTCCGTGGCCAGTGGATTTGAGGAGTATTTCTCTACCTTGACTCCACCCAGCAGCGATGGGACTGATGTAATATTCATACCCCCTTGACTGCAATTGCATGTACAAAGCTTCGCGTCTTTTCTACCGGGAAACCGATAGCTAGTCGCCCACTATGGCTACCACCTCGCATATGTTTATGTACTCCCTGACGATCCAGCCCCCAACTGCAATCACTCAAGCCATTCTGGGCCAGTTTGCAGGCACCAAGGAACAGCAGATCGTCACCGCGTCAGGTTCGAAATTGACCATCCATCGGCCTGACCCGGCACAGGGCAAGATCACACCAATCTTTTCACAAGATGTCTTTGGCATCATCCGCTCTCTGGCAGCTTTCCGCATCGCTGGTAGCAACAAAGGTATGTTCATTTTATTATCCCTCGTCATCTTACGAGTTCAACTTAGTGATTCTTCAAGCTCCCCGGGCAGCACGGTCCTCCTCCGAACCAACCCCTTGAACGAGGGTGGAAACCTGCCCTGGACAGCGATGTTGATCAACGCTCTCTTTCGGATTGTGCTGAGACATTCTAGATTACATCATTATCGGCTCGGACTCGGGTCGCATCACTATCATTGAATACGTCCCGTCCCAGAACCGCTTCAACCGCATCCATTTGGAGACATTTGGAAAGTCTGGAGTTCGTCGGGTGATTCCAGGACAATATCTCGCCGTGGACCCCAAGGGACGTGCTTGTCTCATTGCTTCCGTGGAGAAGAACAAGCTGGTCTATGTTCTGAACCGAAATTCGCAGGCAGAGCTTACAATCTCTTCGCCGCTGGAAGCTCACAAGCCCCAAACCTTGGTATTTGCCATGATTTCATTAGATGTCGGCTACGAAAACCCTGTCTTCGCCGCTCTTGAGGTGGATTATTCCGAATCGGACCAGGACCCAACTGGTCAAGCATTCGAAGAAGTCGAAAAGGTCTTGGTTTACTATGAACTTGATCTTGGCCTGAACCATGTTGTTCGCAAGTGGTCTGATCCAGTTGACCGCACAGCATCTATGCTCTTCCAAGTTCCTGGCGGAGCTGACGGCCCTAGCGGTGTTCTGGTGTGTGCCGAGGACAACATCACCTACCGGCACTCCAACCAGGACGCGTTCCGCGTGCCCATTCCCCGTCGCACCGGAGCCACAGAAAACCCCGAACGTAAGCGTTCGATCGTCTCCGGTGTCATGCACAGAATGAGAGGAGCTTTCTTCTTCCTTCTTCAGACCGAAGATGGTGACCTGTTCAAGTTGACCTTGGAAATGGTCGAGGACGACAACGGTCAACCTTCCGGTGAAGTGAAGAGCTTGAAGATTAAATACTTTGATACCGTCCCCGTCGCAACCAGTCTTTTGATCCTTAAGAGTGGTTTCCTTTACGTTGGAAGTGAATCTGGCAATCACAATTTCTACCAGTTCGAGAAACTTGGAGATGACGACGAAGAGACCGAGTTCTCTAGCGACTCCTTCTCTGCCGACCCAACAATTCCTTGCGCCCCCATTTACTTCCAACCTCGCGGCGCAGAGAACGTCAACCTCATGGAGAGTATGAACTCTCTGACACCTCTCATTGACAGTAAGGTTGTCAACCTCAGTGAAGATGATGCTCCTCAGATATACACAATCTGTGGCTCTGGCGCCCGAAGCTCATTCCGAACTCTCAAGCATGGACTTGAGGTGTCGGAGATTGTGGAATCCGACCTTCAGCAAGTACCTTCTGCTGTCTGGACTACCAAATTGACGCGATCTGATGAATTCGACACCTACATTATCCTCTCCTTTGCCAATGGAACTCTCGTGTTGAGCATTGGAGAGATTGTCGAAGAGGTTTCGGACACTGGATTCCTGTCTACAGCACCAACACTGGCTGTTCAACAGCTTGGTGAAGACACCCTTCTTCAAGTCCATCCCCGCGGAATCCGTCACATCCTTGCCGACCGCCGAGTCAATGAATGGCCTGCTCCTCAACATCGGTCTATTGTCGCAGCTGCTACTAACGAACGTCAAGTTGCTGTAGCGCTCAGCTCTGGCGAAATCGTCTACTTCGAGCTGGATGCAGATGGAACATTGGCTGAGTATGACGAGCGCCGACAAATGTCTGGCACAGTCACCTGTCTTAGTCTGGGTGAGGTTCCCGAGGGCCGCATGCGAAGCTCTTTCCTCGCCGTTGGCTGTGATGACTCCACTGTCCGCATTCTCAGCCTAGACCCCGACTCAACGCTTGAGAACAAGTCCGTGCAAGCCTTGACTTCGGCACCTTCGGCTCTCAATATCATGGCTATGGCCGACTCCAGCTCTGGAGGTAACACTTTGTATCTCCACATCGGTCTTTACTCCGGTGTTTATCTTCGCACCGTCTTGGACGAAGTCACCGGCGAGCTGTCAGATACCCGAACTCGTTTCATTGGTGCCAAGCCTGTGAAACTCTCTCAAGTCTCGGTCAAGGGCCAAACCGCCGTACTGGCGCTCAGCGCCCGCCCCTGGCTGGGATACTCCGATGTCCAAACCAAGAGTTTCATGCTCACACCTTTGGACTATGTCGGTCTTGAATGGGGGTGGAACTTCTCTAGTGAGCAGTGTGTGGAGGGAATGATCGGCATTCAAGGACGCAACCTACGGTACGTAATCTATCTCTACTCCATTCACCATTCCCAAAACATTCGATCATATGATGAGAACGGATTTCCGAACAACCATGTGGATCAAATTCTTTTAAAAATATTTTTCCAATTGTTCCTGCTGAGATCGAACCCTTCATCCCTCATGACATCTAAATATTAGATTGTGACATGATGCTGACTGAAATAGAATTTTCTCCGTCGAGAAGCTCGACAACAACATGCTCCAAGAGTCTATTCCTCTCTCTTATACTCCTCGTCGTTTTGTGAAACACCCCGAACAACCTCTGTTTTACGTTATTGAATCCGACAACAATGTACTCTCGCCAGCTACACGCCAGAGACTTATCGAGGATTCTCAGGGTCGCAATGGCGAAACCACAGAGCTCCCCCCTACTGAGTTTGGCTACCCCCGAGGCAGTGGACATTGGGCTTCTTGCATTCAGGTAGTGGATCCGATCACCTCCAAATCTGTTGTCCACACCCTTGACCTCGAAGACAATGAGGCGGCTGTCAGCGTTGCCGCAGTCCAGTTCTCCAGCCAGGACGACGAAACCTTCCTTGTGGTCGGAACCGCCAAGGACATGGTAGTCAGTCCTCCCTCGTCTGCTTGTGGTTTCATCCATATCTACAGATTCCAGGAGGATGGTCGGGAGTTGGAATTCATCCACAAGACCAAGGTCGATGAGCCTCCTCTCGCTCTCCTCGGCTTCCAGGGCCGTCTTCTGGCAGGCATTGGCCCTGTTCTCCGCGTCTACGATCTGGGAATGAAGCAACTTCTCCGCAAATGTCAGGCTCCTGTCGTTCCCAAGACCATTGTCGGTCTTCAGACACAGGGCAGCCGCATTGTCGTCAGTGACGTTCGCGAGAGTGTTACGTACGTGGTCTACAAGTACCAAGAGAACATCCTCATTCCTTTCGCGGATGATGCCGTCGCGCGCTGGACCTCGTCCACTGCCATGGTTGATTACGAAACCACTGCCGGTGGTGACAAGTTTGGAAACCTGTGGCTCCTGCGTTGCCCCAGCAAAATCTCCGAGGAAGCCGATGAGGATGGATCTGGTGCCCACCTTGTGCACGAAAAGGGCTATCTACATGGAACTCCCCACCGTCTCGAGTTGATGATCCACTACTATGCTCAAGACATCCCCACTAGCTTGCACAAGACTCAATTGGTGGCTGGTGGTCGTGACATTATTCTCTGGACTGGCTTCCACGGCACCATCGGAATGTTTGTTCCCTTTGTCAGTCGCGAGGATGTCGACTTCTTCCAGAGTCTGGAGACCTTGTTGGCCTCTCAGACCCCACCTCTGGCTGGACGCGACCACATGATGTATCGCAGTTACTATGCGCCCGTCAAGGGCGTTATCGATGGAGACCTGTGTGAGCAGTATCTCTTACTGCCTAATGACACGAAGATGATGATGGCCGGTGAACTTGATCGCTCTGTCCGCGAGATCGAGCGTAAGATTTCTGTAAGACTTTTGACACCTCCCCCACTCGCATATCGTTTTACTAACCTCGATCCAGGACATGCGAACCCGGGTGGCGTATTGATTTCTGGCTGGCTGGCCTCCACGATGGCGTTCTTTTTGCTGCCCTTGTACGGGCTTCAGATACCTAAGTACTTGTTAATGATACCGACATGCGGCTCTGACCGCATGCGACTGATACCCAACCCGAGGCTCCCCTCGTTTCCCCCTAAACGCTCTCCCTGGCCGTGGCCATTTAGAAGTCGTCTCTTGCCTCGCTCGGTCTGCCGCTCCCATCGGCTAATCTTGAGCTGGATGCATCCCGGTCACTATCAGTGCCGGTTTGTACGAGACAAGAAGAAGCGTGAAAACGCGTCGACGCTTTTTGAGTACGATATGATTCGCATTGCACTACGGATCTACGTCGTAATTTATCAGTCGGGACATCCATAAACAGTAAACAGTCAATAGTCCATCATTTTGTTAATCAATCAATCCATTCTCTTTCGCTTCAAATCCTGTTCTCTTGTTCTCCAGTATCTAATCCCCCACATTATGGCGCAAGTCAGCTGATCCCGGGGTGGAAAGACAACGGCCTTCCAAGCGTCTCGCAACAAGAATGGCGTGCGATCGCAGGGTTTTTTTTTTCTCTCCTTTTATGCCGGCATTCCACTCCGACACGCCGAATGCTGCCATGGACTCGGTTATGGTCGGAAATTTCTGGGGCCCGAAAACAAGGCCGAGAACCCCGTTGGTTTCCCGAGGGAAACCTGAGTGACGATGTTGAAGTTCATCGCTTCAATCCACAATGTCATATGCATTCTGTCCCTTGTCCTGTGTATGCAGATCAGATATTGAGATGCTTTGAAATCGATGCCGGTCGGCCAAATTTCATTCAGCCGACATGCATGATCATTGGCCACTTCAAGCACAAGTCGAACGCCTTTTGGCGTTGGTATGCCGAGTGGGGACTCGAAGGGCGTGCATGTCGCTGCAAGGCGCGCTCCACTCGACTAGCTCACTTCCTGTATCCTCTTTTTACAGGGTATGGTCGGAGGCCAGAGTGAGCAAAGCACCCAGTGACCGGGGGAAAGACAGTGCATAGAACAGAGTGGAATAACCAACTCTCTATCTTGATGGCCTTGGGCAGAGGATCAACGTCAACAGAACTCAAAACTTACGAGTCCAACTGGAATCGAACTGGAGAATGTCAATCCAAGGGCGCGAGGATACGAACATCCGTGCAGCCAATCATTTCCATCGTCCTGCCATCTCCGATGACTCTCAGGCTCGGCTTTCCTTATACTGATCGCTACACGAGCTCACTTGGGCTACACGTGGACGTCATCTAGTGTCCAGTTTAGATCTTTAAACTTGTGGCTTGTGACTCATGATTCGATTTGTAAGACTGGAAAAGAAGTGAAGATGTGAATGTTCATCTGGCATTTTCGATATAAAAAACGGGGTCCTCCACATTGTTCTCCATCGCGGTTGTCGACGGCTCCACTGGCTACTTTTTTCCCTTCTACTTATACTCCGAGCCCCAGACTGGACATTAGCATTTGGTTCCTCTTTTATTCTTCGTGATACTGCGCTTCGACATCAAACACTCGTCCGGCTGACCTGTGACACGATGTCGGCCACTTCCATTATCAGTTCGGGCTCTGAGACCCTGGATGCGTGGACTCGTCGCTCGCCGCCCAAAGTCATGATTGACTTGGCTGGACAAAAGTCAGGCATGGTCAATTCATACACCACGGGCGAAAGCATTGATGGGACGGTTACTATCAGTAGTGACCATGACACGCGTTTTGATGAAATTGAAATCATCTTTGAAGGTACACACAACACGAGATCTGGCCAATCAGTCATGAAGCTAATACTGTATCAGGCATGTCGCGAACCACAGTGGAGCGTGCATCATGCCCCGGCCGTACAGGATCTCAACAGATGTTCCTCAAGTTGCGCCAACCGATTGATGAGACTGAATATCCCGCCCCTCGTATGCTCGAGGCCGGCCGTTCATACCAATTTCCCTTCACCTTCGTTGTCCCAGATCGCTTGCTTCCCCAGGTCTGCACGCACGCCAAGAGCAATGCCCACATTGAACAATCCCACACTTTGCTCCCACCGACATTGGGAGATCCCATGCTCGCCAGCAATGGCAAGACACTATTGGATGATATGGCACCGGACATGGCACAGATTGCGTACATTATTCGTGTGGCCGTGCTGAAGAAGCAGCAAGTGGGAAACGCACTCAAGTCCCTCAGCACCGTGGCCAAGAAGATCCGTGTGATCCCAACTGTCGATGAAGAGCCACCCGTGGAGATTCCCCCCAACTCTTCCTTGTGCACACGCAAAGAGAAGAGCGTGAAGCGGGGAACCTTGCGCGGCAAACTTGGCCGTCTTGTCGCTGCATCATCGCAGCCAAAGCCTATCCAATTGCTTCCTCCAAGCTGTCAGCCCAAGGATACTGTCAGTACCGTGGCCACCGTGAACTTGCGCTTTGATCCCATCGCAGACGAGAAACCACCCCGCCTCGGATCATTGACCAGCAAGCTCCGCGCAAACACTTTCTTCAGCTCCTCGCCATGGGAAGATTTCCCCAGCTCGACTGGCATGCCTTTTGCCCAAATCGGCCGTGGTCTGTACAGCGAGAACGTGCACCTCTCCACCTTGTGCGTGGAATCCGCACAGTGGACCAAGCAATCAACAGATCAATCACTCCGCCGCGATTCTGACGCTTCTTCCTCTTCAGCTGGATCAGTAGACTCAGCGGGTCCATCCTCTGATTTCAACGGAAACACTTATTACACCGCATCAGTCGTCATTCCAGTCACCCTCCCCAAAGCTAAAGCTTTCGTCCCAACCTTCCACTCCTGTCTCATGTCCCGTACCTACGCCTTGGATATCTCTATATCCTATCATACACCCGCGACCAATGTGATCACACCAACCATCTCCCTCAGCCTCCCGGTGCAATTCACCAGCCAAAGCAAATATGCCGAGTCTCTCAAGTCATCTCTCGGTGTGACAGTCACGCAAGAAGAAGTGGATGAATTCTTCCACCCTCGCAACGTCACCTCTCTAGCAAATCTCACTGATAGTCCGGTCAGGGATGTTGTTGTGAATTTGGAGCTCGCCCCACCCGAATACTCGGAGAGAATTGGTGCTCCGATGTCGCGGAGTGTGCGAGCTACCAATTAGATCCATTCTCAAGTTTTGCAATGCCGATTGATACCCCTAATCTGATTGGCTTATGAAAAGTTTCTTTTTTTTTTGTCGGCATGGCGTTTGCAGCATATACTGTACGATTGTTTCTAGCAGATTTTGGCCTTTCTTTTTGCCATCCTTGGCTTCTGCTTGATTATACCCATTTTCATTCTGTGTTTAAACTTTGCCCTACAGCATGTTTCTTATGTTTTTCTGGTCTCTATTCTTAGATATCTCATTCTTACTTGTTCTCATCCAACAATGACGTCTTCCGTTCATTCTTTATACCTGAACTTTACAGTAAAGAGCATTCTTTCGAGCATCATATTCATCATCAAGAATGTCGTAGATCTATTTACTGAACCGACTATTTACCTAGTAGAATAAGATTCAGTTCTCGGGAATCGCTGCATCTGACGCATCAACACCAGCATTCCACCGATACTTCGAAGCCGGATGGTCCTCACGCGGCCCAGACTGACCAGGCTGAGCGTACAAGTTCTCCCGATAGGTTCCCTTGGGGACTGCATAATCATCCCAGAAGAGGCCTCGTCGACGCAACTCGGGTATCAAAAGGTCAATGATATCTTTGAATGAGCCAGGTTTGACAACATATGCCTTTTCAACATGAGTTAGCCATGATAGGAGCATGTCCCTGAGTCAGAACTTACCAAGTTGAATCCATCCACATCGGCTTCTTCCACCCAGCGCTCCATATAATCGGCAACCTGAGCAGCGGTGCCAACGGGGGTGGCACCCAGGCCACCGACGGTGATATGCTGTCCAACAGTGGCTTTGGTCCATTTTGCAACTTCTGGAGTAGCCTTGGACCAACCCTCCACCGCAGAGCTACAGATGCATCAGTCTCATATAAATGACCCGAGAAGAAGAACACTTACCGAATGGCATTACTCTCCACATGCCTCAACTCCTCATCATCCCCATACTTATCCAAGTCAATCCCAGTCCACCCCCCAAACAGCGCCAAAGCCCCATCAATCGACCCCAGGCTACGATAAGACTCGAACTTGTCCTTTGCCTCACTCTCTGTTCTGCCCAGAACCGGACAAAGCAACGCAAGGAACTTGATACTTTGCGGATCCCTCCCATACTCACTCGCCGCCAGCTCCCGAATCTCCTTGACATTCTTTGCTACCACCGCTGGACTGTGTCCCGCCACAAAAATGGCCTCGGCATGCTGCGCAGCAAAGGTCTTCCCGGCCTTAGACGTGCCCGCCTGGAGGATGACCGGCGTCCGCTGCGGACTGGGCTGCGTGAGATGTGGGCCTGGCACCGTGAAGTATTTGCCTTGGTGGTTGATTTGGCGCACGCCCTTGGGGTCTGTGTAGATGCCTCGCTCGCGATCGCGGATCACGGCATCTTGACGCCAGGAGGATTCCCAGAGCTTGTAGGTTACTTTGATGTATTCTTCTGCTACGGCGTAGCGGTCATCGTGCTGGATTTCATTAGTTGGATTGCTGTAGTAGTAGTTCTACGCGGTGCACGTACGTGTGGCTGTTCGGCTTGACCCATGTTTCGCGCGGCGGAATCGAGATATCCAGTTACAACCTGGTGTTGTTAGTCTGCTTGCTGTTCCTTGGGTGGACTGGACTGTGTGTGTGATACTCACGTTCCATCCCAGACTGGATGAGCACTGATTAGCCCATGTCAGAAAAGTATCACTGGGAATTTACATACCGTCCCTTGGTCAAATGATCCACCGTCGACAACCGCCGAGCAAGATGATATGGCTGTTCATACGTCGTCGTCACCGTCACTCCAAATCCAATGTTCTTCGTGACAGCCGCCATGGCCGGGACCACCGCCAATGGTTCATTGACTGGCCACTGCGCACCCGAGATGACTGCCGGATCGAGATTGCGTGGTCCCTTGTAGACATCGTATCCTCCTGCACCGCTCGGATTAGGACTTGACCTGTCCACTATGGACGATGCGCGGATGATAGCTCACCTAGAACATCTGCAATGAAAATGCCGTGGAATTTGGCTGATTCGAGGAGCTGTGCCAGCTCCGTCCAGTGTTCTACATCGTTGAACCGATGGGATTCATCCTCGGGGTGCCGCCAGAGTCCTGGGGATTGATGGCCACTGCCTACATCAATGGTTCAGCATGGGTTCTCTGTAGATTCCGGTGTCAGGGTAGGGCTAGCATACACATTTCCACAAAGGCATTGAGGATCAGTGACTTGCGCGGCTTTGCGTCTGTAGTAGCCATTCTGGATATTCGATTTGGAATTGAAATGTGATGCAGCCTGAGAAGCGTTGCTGCGATGGCATTTAAGTCGGCTCAACTCGTGCTCTCATAGCATCACCGTGGGCTGGGATGGCGCGATGGAGATCGCAGCAAATGCGCGGCTTTGATTGGCTCAGGCGACTTCCTCCCCAGATCTTCGTCTCTCGCCCGAGAGATTCAATGGGGATGAGGTGATTTGCTCATGTTTGGGTTGGAGATTCGGAGCTCTTGGGAGATGCCCTGCAAGGACAGTACAGGACTGGACTGAGGGAACCCCAACATATCTGGTAGCGGTCCGACTTGGATTTCTATCGTGGAATACCACTCCAGTCCCCATGTCGAGCCGTATAACCCTAAAAAAGGGTCTCTTGATGACCGCAGAGCTCCAACCCCCTGGGCCAGCACCTCATCGCCCGCCGGAATCAAGCCATTGTGGACTCGATCGGGCTCACTTTTGACGAACGACCGACTTTGCCGCCGTCCCCGGGACTGAACAGAGACTAACCCGAGACTAAATTATGCATATCGCAGACCCTATGGAGCCCAGGTAGCCCCAGGTCCATGCCCTCGGTACCATTCACGGTTCATCTCCTGAGCCCGGCCTTTATATAGCATTCCATATCGCAGCTTCTGGCCTGGCACATTTGATTTCGGATCGACCTTGACCGGTGAGCCCTATACTACAGAATGCCAAATTTGTTCGTTCGCGATGGCATTTCGAGTGTCCAGCCTCCTCTATCGCAGGCCGTGGGATATGTTGTTGTCGTCGTGATTGGCATCATCATTGCCCTCGGTAGATGTCTTCAACCCGGGATCGTGTCGTCCAAGCTAATAGTGACCAGTCATGATGCTCATCACAAAGATATTGAAGAATACCACTGGAGAGGACAATAAGAAAACGGAAATGTATGATTGACCTCCCCCATGTTATATCCACCCAACAGGTCAACAGATAGTGACTCGAAAAACAGGTTCATGACGGCGAATCGGACAGTTCGCACCGGTCTGACTGCATCAGCCGTGATATCCGTATGCCATTCCCCAGAACTGTCGCCAACTGACATCCTAACAACCCCCATCGATCTAGTCATGGCTCTGGTCAACAGCCTTACTCGGCTCCTCGTTTGTCGGATATGATTACGGGGTCGCTGGTCCCTTCTGGTTTGCCGCTGGATGCAGTCCGATGATTGTGTTCTTTGCGTTACTGGGAATCTCTTGTAAACGGAAGATCCCAGAAGCACATACCTCGCTGGAGGTTGTTCGGATTCGATATGGTACTTTGTCCCTTGAATTCTGCTTGGTTCAAAGTAACTGACACGTGGGTTCTAGGACGGGTGGCGCATGTCGTTTTTATGATTTTGTGCTTGGTAAACAACATCTTTGCTTGCGCAAACATGTTGCTTGGTGCCGCTGCGGTGATTACGGCCGTGTATGAATCACCACGTCCGCGGTTTGTCGCCCTGCTAACTCAGAATCTTAGGACCGGAATGCATATCATTGCCGCAACATTCTTACTGCCGGTCGGAGTGACAGTATATACCTTTGTTGGCGGAATCAAGGCAACGTGAGTGAGCTGCGCCCTCGACTATGGATTTACTAACACGGCGATAGCTTCTTGACTGACTACTTCCACACGGCAATTATCATGATCATCGCCTGCTACTTCTCGGTCAAGGCTTTCTCCATCGAAGAAGTGGGATCTATAGGTAATCTCTTCGAACTTGTTCAGGCAGCTGCACAGCGTCATCCTGTTTCTGGTAACCAGGATGGGACTTATTTGACCATGACATCCAAGAGTGTAAGTTCAACGTACAATATCACAGCCAAGGCAACCAGACTGACTATTTACTAGGCGATTTTATTTGGAATTCTGCACACGCTCGGCAACTTTGGTCTAGTCATCGTGAGTAGTAGGTGTCTCCTGTCGTCAACATCTCTAACATCCTCTAGATGGACACCAGCTACTTTATCAAAGCATTCTCTGCCTCGCCAGCTGCAGTAGTCCCCGGTTACACTATTGGTGGAATTGCATACTTTGCCATTCCGTGGGGCCTTGGAACAGTGATGAGCTCTATCGCCCTAGGGCTCGAGAACCAGCCCAGCTTCCCAACTTTCCCCAGGGTAAGCAGCCCAGCACATCCCTATACAAAGTGAGAATGTCTAATCATATCAACTGTAAATAGAGAATGACAACATCAGAAGTATCTGGAGGCCTCGTTCTTCCCTACGCCGCCATAACAATGGCAGGCAAAGGCGGAGCAGCAGCAGTGCTCCTGATGACATTCATGGCATGCACATCAACCCTCTCGGCTCAGGTAATCGCCGTCAGCTCCATTCTCAGCTTCGATGTGTATCGCGAGTATTTCAACAAAAAGGCAACAGACCGTGACTTGATCCGATCCAGTCACTTTGGCGTCATTTTCTTCGCGGCTTTCTCCGCCGGCTTTAGTACTATGCTTCACTATGTGGGGATTGATCTAGGTTGGACTCTATACATGCTCGGTATGTCGCCGAAACGTACCCTTCAACATGATATTTATACTTACATTTCTTTTTAACAGGCGTGGTGACTTGCCCAGGAATCTTCCCCATGATTTTCACTATCCTCTGGCGACGCCAAAGCAAAGCAGCAGCGATCCTCTCTCCGGTCCTAGGACTCGCAACAGGACTAGCAGTCTGGCTAGGAACAGCCTCACGTTTCAGCGGAGAAGTCACCGTCGCATCAACAGGTCAAGTCCTTCCCTGTCTATATGGAACCGTGGCATCATGCATGTCGCCAATCGTATATTCCGTCTTGATCACACTGGTCAGGCCGCAAAATTATAATTGGGATGACTTCAAGAAGGAGAAACTCGCTCTTGAGAAGGTTGAGAGTGATTTGACTCATGTGCAGCATGATCCCGTCCCTCAGACTGGGAACGAAAGCCTTGAAGACGGCGGTAATGCCGAGAGTAAAGAGTTGAAGCGGTGGGGACGCATTGCCGCTATCTGGGCTGTGGCGACGTTCTTGGGCCATTGGGTGATTTGGCCTTTGCCGATGTATGGCTCCGGCTATGTGTTTAATAAAAAGGTATGTTCTATTCATCGTGTTTTGTTTGGTTGAAGTTGCTAACTAAAATGCAGTTTTATACTGCTTGGGTTGTTGTTGGCATTATCTGGCTTTGGCTTAGTATGCTCGTCGCCATTTTCTATCCTATCTTTGATGGCGGCATTCAGCAGATTCGAGATGTCTATCTAGGATTAAGAGGACGGAATAATATTACTGGAGCTGTCCCGAATCACGAAAAGGATGGAAAAAGTACTTCTCCTTCTGCAGGGTCTCTCAGTGATGCTGCCACACGCACTGGGGATCCCCAAGAGATCAAGGGGTGATATACAACATTGCGGATATGACAGCTGAGCAGATAAAGGTATTGGTATTTCTGGCGATTGAGCTCTACAATATCCTAAATCTCCAGTTGGATCAGATTACATGGATTGAATATATTTTCAGACGTTTCAAGTTTTACTAGCAGCTATTCTGGTCTTTCAAACGAGTGAAATTTTCTTCTTATTCAGTAAACTCATCATGTGAAGCTAGATACAAATGCTAGGAACCTATCTGATCATCAAGATGATGGATAGCCCGCAAAATACAAAAAGCCACAAATCCCATTCCATGTGTTAGCGAAAGTATGTCCGGAGGACTGAAATATCAACATCGAAGAGATAGAATAGATGATAGGCAGAAATCCATCAGAAACCAGCCTTCAGGTTATCATACTTGGAAGCAGGGTAGCCCAGCTGATTCTGGGTCTTGTCCAGAGCGCCAGTGCCACCGACAGTGTCGACAACCTGCAAATTGGACCGGTCAGCACAGTGGTCCAATAGAGACTGAACTGTCAGTTCAACATACCGTAGAGATCAAGCTGTCACCATCAGTTTTGTCACCGCTGAGCTCCCACCACATCCCACCACCAAGACCCTTGGACTTGATGTATTCCCCCTTTTGACGGGCAATGTCGGGGGTATCATAACTGATGAACAACCGAGAACCCGAGTTGTAGCAATAGCTAGCACCCTCCTGGTTCAGGTTTGTGACTGCACAGCCAGATTGGGGGAGGACCTTGTAGTCCCAAATACCATTCTCCCAGCTGCCACCACCAACACCATTGTAAGATTGACCGGGGCCGTTAGTATCAGCGAATGCACGACCGTACAGCGGCATCCCCAGAACAATCTTGTCAGAAGCGACTCCGTGCGAAGTGTAGTAGTCGATGGCTTGGTCCGTGTTAAAGGGAGTGCTAGCCGGGTTGCTGCTGGATGCGTGGAGGTTAGCGTCGTGTCCAGAGATCGTGTCCCAGCTTCCGGCATAGTCATAGGCCATCAGGTTCCAGAAGTCCAGGTACTGGTCCATCTGGGAGAGGTGCTCTCTCTGGTAGTTGGCAGGGCCTGGATTGGTTAGCTTTGCTTCTTGATATGACAGTCGATATACATACCGGCAGGGGATGCGGTGGTCAACAAGAAGTGATAGCCGCCTGCGTTGGCTGAGCTGTACGAGTCCAATGCCTGAGTATAGTGTGAGTAGAGCCTTCAATGACTGAAGCATGAAATTACCAGACGAGTACGGCGAAGGGCATCGACAAACTTGTCCGCCTGATCATCGTTCGCAGGGTACTATCTAATATCAGCATATTGAACCATAAGACAAGACGCAGTAGCAGAATCACCTCATAATCAACATCTAGTCCGTCAAAACCCAAGTTCTTGAGTAACTCGACAGAGCTATCAGCGAACTTCTGGCGTCCAGCGTCAGTATCAAAGGCAGGGGCAAATTGAGGAGAGTAGGTCCATCCTCCAATCGACAGAAGGACCTTGAGGTTGCGGTTTCGCTTCTTAAGAAGGAAGAGCTGTTTGACACAGCCATAGACATTGTTTCCGGTATCAGCCCAGGAATCAGTGGAGTAGTGCTTGTCAGTATCAGACCATGTGTCCGACAGAACCACAGTACCATCGTTTTGGATGTTAGCAAATGCGTAGAGAATGTGAGTCAGTTTCTCAGCAGGGATATCCTGAGGCTGGAAGTTGCGAGCATAAATGCCCTGATAGGATTTGGTTAGTCTAATTGAGAAGAGACGATATACCTCGGATGGAGGAAATGCATACCCAGTTGACAAAGTAGGCCACAGAGCGATATCCACTGACATCACGAGCAGCAAGCTCGTTCACATTGGTCTTATTCAAGGAAGGGATGTAGGCCGCGTTGGCCAGCCACGCCAGGCCTAGCATGAAAGGAAGAACAAATTGCATAGTGAAGGAATGTCACGATGGTATGGAAGGAGAAGACTCGGTCCAGCGAGCGTTGAGAAGAGTTGGTTGTCGAAGATGAAGACGAGGAACTGAGAAATCAAACTATTTGTAGTCGAGGTCGACAAACCAATCTGAGGTTGTCTTGATCATTGTGACATACAATAGGGCAAAGGGCATTATTCCCCAATACACACATCTCAGACGAGACCCTGCAGCGTAACGACAATAAACCAATGCATCACTACGCCATTGATTCAATAGATCACAATGCATTCTGTTACATTATTTAGTCTAGTCCACATGTTGCCTCGGAGTATCAGTGGAAATGAGGTAGTGCCACTAATGAATCTTCCACCACCCCCGAGCAACTGCGTATTCGACGATCCTCAACCGCATGAACAGTATGGACAGCATGGAAATGTGCGTATCACCAGAGAATCAGGGTTTGGTCCTTTCCGCCGACTCAAATCTCTGCCCGCGTGGAGGGTGAAGAGATAGATGCCAGCCAATCGGCCAACTGCCTGTCTGGGGATGGGGTGACATTGTCACCTGCACATTTCGCCAATAACTCGGGAGATATCTGTTGGCGCCAGGCTGGAAGAGTGAAGCCAAACTCTGTGGTCCCTGTTAGGGGGTGAATGTAACTAAGAGGTAGCATTCAGAGGCCACATAAATTGATGCCAATGAGTTAGCGCTTAGGGGGCTAAACCAAATATGCCAAATTACAGGGAAAAGGGCCAAGTTTCATGCAGGAACCAGGTCCACCAGATAAGCCAATGTAACACTCAAACCATGCGACCGGGACATGTGCCATGGGCAAATGTGAAGATACAAAACCCGGTGATGCAGGAAGTGTAGACAATGTATGCGATGTATGCGATGTAGATAGGGAGTATTGTCCTCCGAATGTGACCAAAGACAAGATATGGCGAAGATCGTCCATTTGAAGGACTGGGCTGAATCCAACTGACCAAGATGCAGATCTAATAGTCTTCGCTCGACAACGTGAAAGATGCGACATTCAGATGTACATGCACCCCGACAAAAGATCGATATCGCACATCCCCCCGAATGAGGCTCCATAGAGAAACTCCGACAGCACTCAAGATGTTGTCTCGAGCACATCGCCAACCATAGCGTTTACCATTCTCGAACGGTCCAAGAACCTTTCCTCATCCGCCGCGATCTGCGCGGCAGCACCCGCGGCCGTGACCCTAGCATGGAAAGCTGCAAAAGCAGCCTGATCGGCAAAGGTTAGCTCCGCATAGACATCAAAATCAAAGTCTGTCTGCTGCCCGCGCAAGATAGTGGCCGGAGTGAGTGAGTTGCGTGTGTGGTGGCGTCGTCAGGAGGGGTTGTGACTCTAGTGCGGGCGATGTAGTTCCGTTTGTGCAAAAGAGGAAAATTGTCCCCTGCGAGTTGCTGGACTAGCTTCACGTGCGCTTCATAGTGCTGTTGGAAGTCTTCTGGCGAGATGCTGGGTTTGCGATAGACGTAAAGGAGGGCTCTGATGGGCATAGTTCCGGTGATGTCGACTCACAGTTGCATGCAGATTAGACTGGTTGTGTTTGCGATATAAATTTGATATGCCCGAAGGAGAACGTGAACAAGAGTAATTGATTTCCTGAGAGAAGCGTTCTCGTTTTAGGATTGGCCCTCGCATAAAAAGCAACGAGTGATGAGTTGTGACACAAAGCATGTTTCCAGGACTTGAACGTATGAGCCAATGACTGCTGACACTCGCATCTGGGAAAATTCTATGTGCGAACCAGATAGAGACATGGAACTGTGAATATTCAAGACATAACAGGCGTGGCAATGATTTGGCTGTCTTATGTGGACAAAGTCATTCACCCCAGCATAGAAAAGTGAAGTACATGTGCATCTTATAACGAGAAGGCGTCTTGCGTGTCATGAGTACATTGAATATGACCGAATCCAAGTATCAAACGTGCTAGCGATTCAAAAACGGCACCTACAAATATGAGTAAATATGGCCGACAACAGGACATGGGCAGTCAAACATCAACGGTTGGTGCATTCCATGCCTTTTGCTTCAAGGATTTCAATCCCAGGTCCTGCTTGAGCTTGACCAGAACCCTGAGGTCTTTAAAAACTCGGTCTTGAAAATAAAGGCTTTCCAGGTTGGGGAAAAGCTCCTATCAAGGACGAGTTAGCATTTGACCGTAAGGATCAAAAGGATCAAATAGACAACGTACTGCAATGCTCTTGAAAAGTCTGAGCCACATCTCCATCACCATTTTTTGGTTTTGGTCAAAATACCCTTCCTTAGATCCAATTGACAAATGTCTGACAGAAGGACTTGCGAGAAGGGGGATCGATATAGCAATGTGCGCAGGTGTGTGAATCAACAGCGTCAGAGACTGAAGTCTGTGTAAATCAGCCCCATCGAAGTGTTTGGTCATACCGATGCGGACGACAGTAAGGATAGTTGCCTTTCGTATATTATCTGCAAACATCTGTCGGCGACGTACAGGAATCCAGTCAAAGATTCGAGCCAGTGCATGCCTTGACCATGCAGTGGGCTCAAACCATAGAGCTCGGATTGCTTCAGAATACCAGGTTCTGTTGACGAGAGTGCAACTCAGCAAGGGACTTCGTCCTCGAGTGGAGACTTGCTCGCCCACTGGGCGATGCTGGTCAGGCGTAAAGGAGAATAAGATGATCGAGAGGATCTCGATGGTAGCCAGCGCACGCTGGCTGGCGGAAGTGTGGTTGCTCGTTTCCATTTCGAGAGTTATAGGCTCAGTCGCGCATGTCTTGCTGTTTGGAGGTTGAGTCGAGAGCAAGGGATTCATACCTCGAGTTCGACTTCGAGTAATCGGACTGAAGACGAGATGAGGGGATGCAGGGAGAGTCTTTAGATGCGATATGTGAACAACGAGCAACAGAAGGGAAACTGAGTGATCGGGACAGCAACTGCAAATACCAGGCAGGAGCTCGTCGCGATTGATATTTGAGGCTCTCGACCAACTACAGCTGTAAAGCACCTTGTTGATTGTTTAAACCACTTGCAGTTTGTGCCCAGGCGTGTAAATATTGAAGAAAAGAGCCTTGTCTCGTAGAGGTCTATCGGGGCAATTGATTATAAGATGCAAAAATACATTATTGAAGCAATCAATCTTTTGTACAGACCATCCGTAGATTGCTGTCTGCAAGCCCTCCACGGGCTTCATCTATGGACGCCAAAGAAATGCGAGTTTTATACACAATCATAACACAGCCTCTTAAGTCAACATATCGTCAAGGCGCTCGCCAAGAACCTTCTCAATCTGCTTAACCCATCTCCGAACCTCTCTTTCAACATTCTCATCCTCATCCTCCATCAACTCACTAATGTAAGGCAGCATCTCGGGAAGGAGTGCAAGCCACTCTTCACCCAACTGTTCGGTAAGAGCCTGTTCGGTCTTGAGGGCTGCGAGACGCGTGTGCGGGCTGTCACCACCAGCGGAGCGGGCGTTAGGAGCAGATGAGGGACGGAGGTACTTCATCAAGGCGGAGTTGAGCTCCTTGTGGTTATCGGTAGAGTCGGCAGCGATAGCAAGCTCTGTGATGGTAGGGACAACATCGGCGATGACCATGTTTGAAGTAGTGGTGCTAGTGGCGTGGCCGAGTTGGGCGATCAGAGGACCGGAAATGCTGGCCAGGTGGGAGGGGCTCTGCCAGAATTCTGTATGATTTGTTAGCGATATTCATATCCATTAGAGCCAATGTGTAGGGTAAGACGTACCATCCTGATCATGCTCGAAAGCATTGCGGAGCATGCGAAGAACCGCCAACCAAAGCGACTTGTGGGTCTTGGAAGGACCAACGGTGCTGAGGACTTGGACCACACTGTCCATAATGTAGCTGGAGTATCCTGTGACAATGGACTGGAGAGTACCGAAGAAGACCTCGAGGAACTTGTAGAAAGTCGTAAGACGCGACACCTGAGCTTGCTCATCCTTCTTGGGGGCGCCAGTGGTAGCCCACTCAACGAACTTGAGGAAGATAGGACGGAAGGTGCTATCATTCAGCTTGTAGATCATCTTAATGGTGACGTCGTTAACCGCAGTCTCAGCTTCGTCAATATCAGAGGCCTCAAAGATGGCGGCATCACCAAGGGCAACTTGTTCACGGCGCAGATCAAACGCCTTGAAGATGATCTTTGTGAGAACAGTGATGTTCTTGGCAATGGTCGACTTGGGGTGTTTCTCCACAGCCAATGTAACAACTTGCAGGATCTCGTTGACGGCGGCGGGACCGGTCTCAACAGCCTTCTGCCAGTTGCGGTCGACAGCGCCGAGAGTGGCACCGACATCAACCTTGCGAGCCATCAAGCGCAGAGTCTCTTGGCGGCTGTCATCACTGCTCTCTTCAATGTCCGCGTTGGCAGACTTGAATGACAGGAGGATGACCTTGTCCAGATGAGCAGCGGAGATCATGAAGGGAAGGTGGACGAAGAGAGCGGAGAAGAGAGTGTAGACAGCATCATGGAGTCGCGAGTTCTCCTTTCCAGGTGTCAAACTCAACTCGAGCAGCTCCACGGAGCGCTTCAGAGTATCGGGAAGTGCAGGAATCAAAGACTGGCCCAAAACCTCGGCCATAGACGCAAGGCACAGGATACCCATGTAGCGGATACGATCGTCAGTTTGACCAATGCAGGACTCGCTGGCAACGACTCTAGCAGCAGGAATGATCTTGGAGGGATCCTTACGACCATACTTGTCGGTAATCCGGTCGATGCAGGAAACTGCAGCGTGCTTGAGAAGCGTATCCGGAGAGGACTCGACAATACCAACCAAGTTTGGAATAAAGTCAAGAACGCGGATCTGCGACAAGTTGTCACGCTCAGGAGTCTGGCGAAGACGAGTCTCGAGCAGGCGAAGAACCTTGCGTCGGAGCTCATCGTTGGGGCCTTGGAGCAGAACGTCAATGGTATCCAAGAAGTCGACAAGAGACAGGGTGCTGAACAAGGAACCGAGCACCTCGCCACAAGCCTGACTGACGGGCTTCATGCTCTGCACAGCCTCGCCGATACTTAGGACCTGCTCGAGAACACGGGAGAAGCATGCGCGGGACATATCGGCATCCTGGCCCTCTGACTCGAAAGCAGTCTCAAGCTTAGACTTTAGACTGGAGTGCTTCAGTAGATGGGCAAGGTCACGGAGAAGATCAACAGAGACCGTCTGGGGGTCACGTCCATCTTCGCTGCCAATACCCAGAAGAACCTGAGAAATGCCTGGCTTGGTCTTGAAAGAGTCGGTAACCAGGTTGAGGTATTTGCTGTAAGTGGTCAATTCCACAACAGGAGAAGCGTCAGACACCAAGCCGGTCATCAAAGTCAAGACATCCTTGTCAATAGAGTAGCGATTGGCAAGCATGGCCAGAACAGCGAACAGGAAGTCCTGTGTTCCAAGCTTGGTGATGAGAGCATGGAAGAGTCTGAGACGACGGTGCGATGGAATGTGCTCAAAGGCAGCAGTGAAGCTGAGCAGCAGCTCCGAGGTTCCGGAAACAACGTCACGCTTCTGGCTACGCAGAGATTGAATGAGAGCAGGAACAACCTGGTCAATGGTCTGATCAATGACCGAGACGGAGTAGTCATCATCCTTGCGAAGAACGCTGGTGCCCATGAAGGTGAAGATAGGCATGACACTATGGAGGACCAATTCAGGGGCAATGACGGAGAGGCTACCCACGAGAAGGAGAGCCACGTTTTGAACCTGCGGGCTGTCGGTGGTGCGCACACAATCCACAACCAAATCAGCCCGGATGACAGAGGTGTCGAACTGTGGCTTTGCAGATCCCTTGGACTTGTTCACGATGGCCAGGAGACTTCCCAGGGTCAAGCTGAGCAGATAGCTCATACCACTCTGGATCTGAGCCTTGAAGTGATGAAGGGCAGCAAGTGTCTGGAACAGACCATCAACCAACTCGGGGTGGGTTTCAGGGGAAGAGCTGTCCACAACTTCCAGGATGAAAGTCATCTTATCCATCAACTTGCTGAGCTCGGCTTCATCCTTAACAGTCATGGCGATCATGTTGTTTTGGCTGGTGCGGCGACGCTTTGGTGCAGGCCCAATAGACTCCACTTCAGTGAGAGACTCGGGGATCTTCTGAACGAATTGCTGAAGGACAGCACCCGGAAGCTCAACACTGCGCAGAACGTCGCGGCAGTTGTTTCCGAGAGAGCTGGCTGATTGACCAAGAGAGTTGTCGAGCAACTTCTCAGAAGCTGAGAGCTGACAGTCTTCGGGGATCTTAGCCCAAAGGTGCTTAATCTGGGCAAAGCAAGCCGCAACAAAGGCTGATCGCAATGAGTCGGTGCCAGAGCTGACGTTGGAGAGAAGAATATCGACGGCATCTTGTGCCCTTGGGGTAACAATAGCAGCGACCAGCTGTTCTGTCTCAGGGACGGAAATATGTTCTTTGCCACAAATTTCTTCCACCTCCTTCGCGCTGAAGCGACGCCATTCCTCAAGAACAGGGAGAAGCTGTTGGGTAAGTGTAACGGTAGAGACCTTCTCCACACTGTTGACAAGCTTGAGCAACCCGAACTTGGGAGCGAAAACAGGCAATTTAACAATTTGAGAGCACATGAAGCTGAAGAAGCTGATGCGCAGAGACTTCTTCAGCTCGGATGCACCTGAAGCTTCAGACAAAACGTTTCCACGAAGTGTGGCTTCGATAGCCCGAGAGACATGGTTCGAATCAAGCACAGACTCCTCCAGCCCGGGGAGCAAAGCACGCTCCAGGACTTTTTGGGAGTCCTTGACAGGAAGCCATGCAAGGCCCGAGGATGGCTTGCCCTGGCCAAAGATCGTGTCGTGGGCCCAAGGTTTAGAGCTATCACTGGGCTTCAAGTTCTTCTTGTACAACGAACCAATAGCAACAAGGACACCGGAAGTTTCGCGGCGGATACGCTCGGAAGCATCCGAAAGGGCAACAAAGAGGAATGGCAAAAGCGCCTGGGGATCGAAGTCTGCGGGAGCGGACGAGAGAACGGAGGAGATGACGTTCAATGCACCGATCTTTGTGCCAATTGGGTAGTGACCGGCGACAACGCGGATGAAGAAAGAAAGGAATTGAGGAGCCTTGGTTGCTTGGGACTTGCCCAAGATCGGCAAGTTGGTAAACAGCTCAACCTTTTCCTCCGACTCAACAGCCAAAGCGAAGACTCGAACAAGGTTATCAAATTCAATGATAGATTGCTTGCAAAGGAAAGAAGATGGATACAAGGGCTCGCGTGTCAAAGACTCCAGAGCTGGAGTAAAGGCATCCACATCGGATTGCTCATCCGCATCCGCCATCTCAATGTCTTCAATGGCTGGTGTCGCAACAGACGCTTCCACGACAGTTTGCAAGTTGTGCTCGAGTGCAGAAATATTGAATGGGGAGGAAGTCAGAGTCTTCTGGAAGATAGGTCGGAGGGAATCAGACCGGTTGAATGCTTGGACTAGCTCCGCGAGTTGTGTCTGTGCATCCATAGACATCCCACGGGTCTCATCTGAACTAGAGGCTGCTTCGAGAACCATGCTCATAGCCTTGCCGACTTCATTCTCGCCGAGCATGTTACGCTCAAAGATAGAGGACAATAGCACAAGGTGAGTGTTATCTTCCTTGTCAAGATCATTCAAGCACCCGGCAACAATTCCGAGCAAGAAGTTTGATGTCGGGCATTGTGTAGCCACTTCAGCAAGCTGGTTCATAGAGTTCTCCAGGCGCAGCATACTCTTGAACACCTTCTTGGAAAGGCCAACAGTTTCCTTCTGTTGAGCTAGGAATGATAGACAGATGAGACCAGAGTTCTTGGTATCCTCAGTCCAAGAACCAACAATACTTTCCATCAAACCATCAATAACCTGGTTTGAAAGCAAGGCCTTCTGGGCTAGAACAACACAGATCATATAGCAGCTGACAATCAGCTCTGAAACCTTCTTCATGGTAAAAGCAGAGCTGAGTACAGGAAGAATTCGCAAAAGGATATCCTCATGCTTTTGCTGCTCAACTTCCCTCCTTCCTGAGCGGGAGGCGTCGAACATTGCTGAAACAGCCTCCGTAACAATACCGGCCCAGAAAGCAAGCAATGCATGGCTCTGCGCTTGATGTTGGCAAACTTTCAGAACGTAGTTGTTTAATGCAGCAAAGAAAGCCTTATTCGTAGCCGCGCTATGAACCAGCGGATGTCTCGGCGGGTTGATGAGGCTATTTTTGTATGGGTTGAGGACTTTGAATGTCGGTGTAAGGTCGTCTGGAAGAATTGATAGAAGGTTCAAGAAGAGAGGTGTCGTATGGTATGGCAAAAATGTCAATAATACGGCGTGCGTATTGTGCTCATGAATTCTGCAATAATCTGTTAGCAATCCATATTCACAATTCGAATCTTCCCCCGTCACTTTTTCTTACCTGAACCGACGCACTAGCCAATCCACAGCCTTGACTGCAGGGCTTAACTGCAGTCTTCCGCCAACCAGAGCGAGGAAAGCTTCAATCACAGTGTCCAGTTCCTGGTTCTGAGAAACGTTCATCTGAGTGCGATCCTCCGCCTTGCTCTGTTCACTGAAGATTGTGCGCTCAAACTCCGTGAACCGTGGGTCCAGCGAGCACAATTCTTGGTAACCATCATAACAAATATCATAGATCGTGTCGAAGTCTTGCGATCCAGCGACTTTCCGGTCAAAAATCAGAGACTGTGAGTGTGATATCCTCTGTGCCTTCAGGTCAAGCTCGTGCGACGACTTTGACGCAATCTGCGACAGCTGAGCGGCGAGAGAGGACGCCATTGTGGTGTCTTTTTTCTTGTTGCTTTGCGACGGGTTTCGGAGTCTTTGGCGTTTTGTTTTATGTCTGGTTTCTTACACAAAACAACAGGGGCCCATTTCCCTTGTCAATTATTGTGTGGCCTTCCTGTCCTCCGAAAGACAGCGGGTCGAGATAGGTAAGTCTGAGCTGTGTTTAATGGCAGAGTCAAGCGGCCTGGAGCAAATGATTGACTTTTTTTTCTGCCGCCCAGACCGACCGCCCGCCGGCCTTACGTTTCTCCGGGTTATCAGCCCCGGCCGCCGCGCGATAAGAAGATCGAGTTGACCACAATGAGCTCGCAGGTCAGTCAACCCTCGTTCTAACCTTGTTTCTGTACTGATTGCTTATGAAGGACAATGTCCCGCGCTTCTCGAGCTTCCAACCTCCACCCCCACCTCCTCCGGATGCCCCCACCGGCAGGGAACACCGCCGGCGCCATCGCCGGCGCGCAAGTCACATTGGGTCTCCGCAGCCTCAGCACAGCCGCCGAGATGATCGCCCCTCCAAGCCGGTAAAAGATACCGACGTTGATAAACTCGATGAAAACGTCGATTGGGTTGTCGATACACGAGGTGATCGACAAAATCTCGTGTACGGCACGACACATCGTTATGCTGTCCCGAACTATCGTCGTGTTGGTGGCGGGCTCGTGATGGGTGCTCCTGGCAAGCGCATCGAACTTGCAACCCGGGACAGTGATACCTTGGTCCTCCGCTCTGACTCTGGGGTGTCCGCCCCTAAGCTCCTCTCCTCCGCCAAGCTACCTCCATTGTCTGATTCTCTCGTGTTTCGCACACGCCCCGACACAGCTTCAGGAATCACAGACCAAAGCGACTTTGTCTCACTCGAAAATCCACCTCGGAGACCATCTGCAGGTGACATTGAGGCCACTGATGAGAGTAGGTCGTATCGCTCCATTCTTGGCCCCAGCAAGTCCGAGGAGGATGTCATCACGGATGACTACAATGGCGATCATTTCACGCGAGCTGCTTTGGAGGAGGAGATCCTGAATCGCAACACTGAGTTGAGTCGCCACACCGAGCGTGAGCCGGAAAATGTAACTGCCTGGCTCCATCTCGCTGAGCATCAAGAGCGCATCATTGTTCCGACGAGATACCACGATCAGCCTTTCAATTATGGCGAAACAAAGCTTGTCGCAGAGGCTAAGCTCTCAGTTTATGAACGAGCCTTGAAAGTGAATCGTGAGAATCCCATGCGCGATCACCTTCTGCTCGCTCGCATGGAAGAGGGTGCGAAGGTTTGGGACTCTAACAAGCTTTCTAAGGAGTGGGAAGCAATCCTAAGTCATAATTCTGAGTTTATCAGCCTATGGGTTGAGTATCTGAACTTCTGTCAGACAGATTTCGATAATTTCGACTTCGATCGTTGTTTCACCTCCTACGTGTACTGCCTGAAACTCCATTCAAACGTTGGTTTTGGCCTTCATAACAATCACATTCAGACGTATATCTTTCTGCGCCTGACACTGTTTCTCCGAGAAGCAGGGTTTTTGGAACTAGCCGTTGGTTTATGGCAAGCGCTGCTCGAGTTTACGTGCTTTCGACCCTCTCATCTTTCTGACAAGGCAAAGGCATTAGAGGAGTTCCAAGTGTTCTGGGACTCTGATATTCCGCGGATCGGGGAGCCAAACGCCAAGGGCTGGCGAAATGGTCCTTCCTTGGCTACCGGGCTTGAAGACTCAACTGATGACTTTCAAGCTGCCCTGCCAAACTTGTTTTCAACCTGGGCATCTGCAGAAAGAAAAAGCATCGCAAGGAGTCGCATGCCTACACGCAGCCTCAATTCATCCAAAGAGGACGAAGCTTTCCGAGTAGTCCTTGTCGAAGATTGCAAGCAGATACTGCCGTACTTCTGGGGTTTCAAAGACAATATGGACGATATCATTGATGGATTCCTATCTTTCTGCCATTTGCCTCATCTGACCGTCCCTGAAAACATGCTAACAACACGGTTGTGGAGCGGCGACAATTTCCTACGAAATGAATTCATGGACAATCCTCGAAGCACACTTGATGATTGGATCATCCCTCAGCTAAATGCTGAAACGGCTTCAATCGCGCCCTTTGCTTTCCCTCATCACAATTTTCTTCACGCCACGGAGACGCTATTTGCGGATCCGAAATTGTGGTTTTCGGCTCTGGAGAAATGGGGTGCGACAACTACCAGTGACACCTCACTGATTGATCCCGCATTTGTACGTTCGACTCTTCATGTTCTAGTGGACGAATTTCCGGAAGATGATCAATTGGCCGAATATTCCATCGCTGTGTATTTTGCATGTGACAAAACCATGGGCAAAAAGTATGGCAAGCAACTGCTGAAACAACGATCGTCGAAATTGAGACTTTACAATGCTGTTGCGCTGATGCACTGGCGAACAAGTCATCGTGATGTGGCTCATAGCATCTGGTCAACCGCTTTGTCGATGAGCAAAACGTTCGAGGAGGCCGAACGTATCGACTCTATTCTTCTCTGGAATTCCTGGATATGGGAGATGCTACATGAGCGGGACATGTTCCGTGTAGGGTATCTGTTGCAAGCTATACAGTATCAAAAGGTTGAGATGTTCTCATACGACACCGCCGATGAAAGCGAACTCAATGCGACTAAGTTTCTACGAATTCATCAAGTAAGTGCCTCCTACTCAGCATGTCACATCCACGCTAACTTAACTGTTTCTAGTTCTTGCTGGCGGGGCAACACTATGCCCTTGCGCACAGAAAGCCTCAGACATTTGCGGCTTACGCTGATTGTCTTGCGATCCTCCGTTTCTTCGTAGGTCAATCACTAGAACAGGTCCTAGATGTCTACGAGGAGGCCGGTTCTCATTCTATGACTCTTCCCCAAAGCGAAGAAACCACCAAGGTTTTTGCCGCGGAGCTTCTTCACCAAGCTCGCACGAGAATCATTTACTACTATGTGGAGAATCGAACCGGGCAATTTAAACCTGCTGAGGTCCGCGAGAGACTTCTGAACAGCCTGCAGCTCTGGCCTCATAACACCATGTTTTTGTCACTGTTCAAATGGAATGATGCTCGCTTGCGCCTCATGGATCGTACTCGCGACATCCTCGATATTGCTCGTCTAGCGGAGAGCGGCGCCTCCTATGAGAGTAATGGGCCTACTCAGATACACCGTGTCCCAATTACAACTCACCTGTTGAGTATTTACACCGAGATCGGGCGCCCTCTCGTTTTCGGCTCAACTGCCCACTCTATTCGTGCGGCGTTCGAAAGAGCACTTGGCAATGGTTCCACTCCAATGGGCAAAACGCCCCCCAGACGGGGCCTTTACGATCTCTCCAGCTCCAGTCGAGCTCAGTCCAACATTACTGTCTGGAAGCTCTACATATTCTTCGAACTGTACACAGAGCACAATATCTCTCGTGCTCGAGAAATCTTCCTGCGCGCTTTCCGCGCGTGCCCCTGGTCTAAGGAGCTTTTTATGATCGCCTGTGAGCGCTTGCGTGTCGACACAACAAGCCAGCTCTCTCCGTCTCGGAACAATAAACAAGATGAGCCCAACCCTCCAGGATTTGATTTTGCCGAGCTCAAGGCCTTGTATTCAGATACTCAGATGCGAGGCATCAGAATTCACCACAATATCAGCGGATACTTCTACCCCAAAAATGAAGAAGGTGGTACTAGCCAGGAAGACCAATTTTCCGATGCCTCTGACGATGAAACCGACCAACCGCCTAAGAAGATACGCCGACGTATGAGTCACTGTGGAGAATTCCACCATCTTCCTACTGTTGTGGAAGAAGATTCTCTTCTGGTTGAGATGGACGCTTAAGTGATTTTCATTGCTGTTATTATGCCTACGGTGGAAGTGAAGGGAAACCAGTAAGCAGAGGGCAGATCTGAGAATTCTGCACATGTAAAATTACCAAGAAATATGTTCAAGAAATCCACCGTGGCTATGATATTCTTATGCTGCGAGGCCTTTTGTAATGTTTGCTTTTAGTGTACATGCCCCTTTCCGGTCTTGTGAAGCAGTCTGCTCTATTGACTATAAACCAAGGCAAGCTCTTTTGGCAATTTACGGTAAGGGTTTCTTTTCTAATAAACCCCAACGAGCCTCGTCTTCTGGCGCACAATTTCGAAAGTTGATCGGTGACCATATAGGAATTCTTCCAGCTAGGGGATTATCAAGTCTATTGGCACATATTCCTACACCTCTCCCATCGCAACCTTGTTCAACCACAACCAAATCGGTATATCTCTCGATCCAACCCGTATTGAATGAGCAAACATTATGATGCTCCTGTTCAAACTAACTTCAACGCAAAATGGGTCACCAGAAGCCCATCTGAAAACAGAAAGAGAAATTCGTGAGTCGTGTCAATCGTATAATGAGAAAGAAGAAAGGAGAAAACAAGGCAAAAGCACCAGAAAATACAATCAAAAGTGTTCCTTCCAGAACTTGAATTTGACGTCTCTCGTCGATGAAGACTTTGCAGCATCACTAATCTGTCTGGCAGCAGTATTGGGACCACAGAAGTACACTCCGATCTCTGTGGTGGACGCACTTTGCAACCCGGTCATATAGGATTGATTTAGCAAGCCATGCCGCATCGCCGTGAAAAGGCGCTTGAAGTCCGGACGACCGAAGTTGGTCCGACTGCGCAATTCAGTGAGAGGATCAAGATCCTGGCCAACGGAATTGAGATAGATATTTGCAGCGGTATTGGCGTCGAGACGCTGAGTGAGGTATGTGTGAATACGCAAGAACTCGGTTCCTCCCTCGTTGACCGCCGCGTTTGCAGACTGATCCTCGAGGGAAGAAAGGAGAGCTTGGAACCATTCAAAGGATGAGGTGTCTTTACAGATCCAGATGAACTCGACACGACGCAGTCGTCGAGGTGGGTTGGGGCTTGAACGGAGATGCCAGATGTTCTTGAGGATTGATGCCCAAGGGGTGACGCCGATGCCGGTGCCGATCAAGACAGCAATTTCGTTTTCAAACACATCCTCGGCAGGCGCACCATATGGTCCGTCGACACGAATCGCAGGCATTGTTTGTCCGTTTTGCAGAGCGACCTCGTACATACCATTTGGGTCGAGACCTTCGAGGTCTTTGGCTTGAGCAGGACCGCAGCCGAGAGCGTCTCCCAGGGCTCGAGTGAAATCACCCACTTGGCGAACGTGAATACTGAGGTAGGGGTCAAAGGGACAGGATGTGATGGTGAATGGGTGCCATTGAGTGCTTGAAACATCGGGCACTTGAATGAATAGCCATTGCCCGGCCTTGTACTTCATGCTGGATTTATGGAACTGGATCTCCATCGCGGCTATACTTTGGTTAGTTGTGGAAAAAGTCAATGCTGAGGAGTGGACTAACCATAGGGATGGCGGATCACCTTTGTGATCACCGTCTCACGTCGAGCACGAATCTCCCTGTAGACTCTCTCGAAGAGATAAAGAGCGCCAACCACTATCTCCCACCTCCATCCTTCATACCCAAGACAATGGTCCCAAAATTGCTCGCCGGCAAAGGGAGAAAAGGGATTCACGGTATCTCGCACAAAGCATCCAGTGGCATGCGTGTAGAGAGCCAGCATGAAGGGAACAAACAAGTGGTGCGCATACCAGAAAGTCTCATAGGCTTGCTGGCGAATGCGGTGGTGTGCGGTGGTATACATGAGCATCATGCACAGAAGCATTACATGCCCAGTGATGCCCCCTGCTTGAGCAAAGTGAATTTCAACGGCCCGCTCAGGACGGATTTGGTTTTTTTCGACGTTGTAGAAGCTATCTTATATTAGCAAAAAAAAACATGAGTGGATGCGCGATTGATCGACTTACTTAACGTAGTGAGCAGCTGTGTGAATAGCGGTGAAAACAAGAATGGAATAGGCTACTTGGCGATGGAACCATGCCGACTCATCCAAAGGAAGCCATCTGATCTGAGGTCTGAGCCATCGCAGAAGATTCCGGCACATAGGTAAGAGGATCAAAGTGCAATCAACGGAAAGAACAAGGCCTGCACCTCGTGATATCCATACTGAGTACTGTAAAACATTAAGAGCGGCTAGTCTTGGGTCTGATACTTGTAAGTACCTATGAATAGTCAGCTATCGTTGAAACAGCGTTGAGGCTAGACCACATACCATCCCACGGCAAACAGACCAATATGCAAACCCCAAAAGAACAGATGGAACAGAGCCTTGCCGACGGTCAAATCCACGCGTTTAGCCCATGAATAGGCTGATTTGGCGTCCATTTTCAAGTTCTTGGAATATATCGACCAGCGACAAAAGATTCAAGTGATGATAGCAATCAAAGGAGTGACAGGCCCGGACAGTTGACCAGCAACCCGGAAATGAAAATTGAAGTTTTGTCAAAAAGTGAAGTCAATAGATACCTTTTCAAGTCAAGACTTCGGTATCAATACTGTGGATTAAGTGGCTTCGGATTTCGTCGGCGTTGTTGGTCCTCCATGAACTTGATCCAAATGACGACCGTGAGGGCACACCTCGCAAAAAGTGCGTCTTGCTTTTGTTGCAGAGATGTCACAGACCCAGCTATCGTTAAGTCAATATATGGTGGTCTTGATACTGAAGCAGAGTCGCGCAGTACCTGTCGTAAAAGCGCCGGTTGGCTTTTCACGGAATGCCTTGTAAGTGGCCTGGTGGTCAAATACAAGGGGTCTCCGGGCACTGAGGAGAAAATTCGAGATTTTGCAGATTAATTCAGGTTGTTTCAAGCATAGTTGACGTCAACCGATTGACAAAGACAAAACCGAGAAGAGTTGGAGGTTCAGAAATCCCAGTGTTGTGGTTTTAGCTGCAGGGGTGAGGGGGGGGGGGGCCGATCTATAATTACATCGCTTCCAGCGCGCAAAACCAAAGGTGGGTTCTTACCCAATGGACTATTTAGGAATTCTGTGTCTGTGCATCTATAAATTCTCCTCGAGGACAATGCCCAGTGTGATAGGTATTCAAGGTCTCAATCTGGAGGAATCTCCCGAGTTTCTCGGGCTTTTGAGAAGGACCTTCGTCAATTTTTGCCTATTCTCCTATCTCAACTAGTCTTGGCTTTTACATCCAAGGCTTTAAGATTCCTTTGTGGGCTTTGTCAATATATCACTTTGCTATTTTTACTGACCGTTCGCAGCAGGCACACCAATCACGATACGCATATTGTGTGTCGAGAGACTATCGCTCCATGTTCCCCGCGCCACTTGCCCAAGCGAGCTTAGTAGAGAGTCGAAATATAACGAGGGCAGGTCTGATCCAATCTGATCTTCCTCGCATTTTAACGCCACGTGAACTTGGACGGGTCGAAGCCCAACTTGAATAGAAATTGGTCCGAGGCGGCAGAGAGGCTGGAGATTGCCAGATCAAGCAAGAACACAACGGTTACAGAGAGACTGGCCTATCACACTTCTCCTGCAAGCGCTGCTTTTCGTCACACGGGAGCTCCGAGGGTACAGGGAGTCGGTGAACACGCCCGTCATTCGTATCAGCATCGTTAGTGAGCAGTAGTGCAGGCTTGAGTTTGGCCCAAATATAGAATGTGAATCGGCTCTCTTGATTTCACCGTTTTCCGCTCTCCAAAAATTACTGTATGAGCATCACAACTTCACTTGTCGCTGTGGGTGGTAACGTTAATCGCGGATTGCAATCAGGGCTGGGTTGGTCATCTGATCCGGTGAATTCCAAACTTCGTATGTCTCGACCACAAAGCTCTCCTGGTTCCTAGAACTGAAGACACAATCCGAATATCCTTAAAACATTGGAATCCAATGCCCTGAAGCCGCGTGCTACGAGCTGCAGCTTATCACGCCAAGGTCAGCGGTGTGGACTCTGATTCGCCCATGGCTGCTTCACGATCCGCCCGGTCACATCCCCGCCACCAATCACACAGGCATGTCTACTCTTGAAGAATTGCTGAGAGAGGGGGATGTCAGGGAACAGACCACTCTCGCCTGGATGATTGGCGGAGGGCACAATATTGCATCTGTGCGGATCACTGGCCCTATTACGGAGTACTCTCTCTCTCGCCTTACAGCAACCCAGGACGTGCAGCGATCACTTTTTGGCGCTTGTCCATCACATCCTGGTAATATGTACCGGATACTCTAGGTTATGAGAGGGGTTGCATGGTCTTCTAAGTATAGATTCTTATACTTTGACTCGCCTGCAACCATGCCACTCGGGACATGATTTTTCTTCTTCAGATCAACGCAGTCATGGCATGATAACACATTGCGACCAACACATTACGATCCATGCCCTCTACGACACTAAACTGAACAACATCTTCTCCATGGCTACCTTGGTTCTGAAGTGAACTAAATTTGGTCACATAATTTATCGCAATCTTCGAGCTCGCGACGCTTGACCCTCAGATTAGCTTTACACCTTATACCAAGTGACTACCGCACGATTGCCTCCGAGATCTTCGCTGGACGAAGCTCCGAATACCAATCCTTACGGCTTATTTCATACTCCGACAAGATGGGCAGACTCATTAAAAACCACTGGGGGCGGTTAATAATTCTGACTGCGGCAGCTTGTACGCCCCTACTAAACCAAATCCACCCCGGAGCAAAGCTAACAATTTTATTCAGATCAAGTTGCCAGTGCGATCGAAGGCTTCATCTGGCCCAAGGTGTTCTGGGACTTTGTCTCTAAGAACCTTGATGCCGCAGTCGCTCCAGTCCCCGTCCTCCAAATTCTCAATCTCATAATGGGCCTCGTTGGCATTGCCTGGGAATGGCCACTCAAACCTCTCGCAGGATCAATACCCCACCGCAGCATTGAAATTCGTCTCATCATATACCCCCTCAGCGCTCTGCTGGCTGCTTTACTCTACCAAGGCACTGATCCAGCTTTGTATTATCTCATTGGAATTGGTGTTTATTTCTGGGCCTATAGTGAGGGCGAGGTATGCTTTTCATTGTGCCGACTCAGGCGGTTCCATGCTAATTAGAGATTGCATAGGTTGTGTGTCCGGAACCTTGGACATTACCGAAGCGCCCTGGGTTACTTAAAGCATAGCGACAGGATTTACTTAGATGCATTGAATGTATCAGACGCAGCACACGTATATAATTAATGCATAACGTTAACGAACATGATCAATTGGCCAAATGTCGAGATTGTAGACAAAAACTGAAGTATATATCAACGAAGTCAGCTAGTAGATTCCCGATAACACCCTGCCACTAAATTGGAATTACGAAACCTTGGAAAATGTCATAAGCTAGAATGCCTCAAAAAAAAAAAAACAATCCATGTGTCGCATTCTTGTAGAAGAAAGGCTTTACTCCATAGTTGCATACTGCGTCAGTAAGGCACCACGGCATAAACATTATGTAATACTTCTCCCCGCGCATTCAAGCGGTCATCGGAACAACAATTCCAGTTCGACGTCTTGAAAAGACACGGCAAACCAGCTGCACTTCGATGCTCAAGCAGTCTCTTTGGCTATACTCTATATCTACTCTCAAATTTGAGAACTAACCGTTGTGACTGACACTAGTTTCAACCTGAACGCGCAAGACATCACAATGCCTCCACCAAACCAGACCGACTTTGAGCCTAAGCTGGAGGACGTACCAGTCAATAGGATCAGTAGCTTCAATGACAGACTACAGCAATATCTGCACGGGATTAATGCAATGCAAGAATCCACAGAGACACAGAGCACGAGTACATCGAACCAGCGCACCGAGACCACTACAGACGAACAAACGACATCAACAATTGACATCCCAGCAAGGACAACATCCAGACCTAGGCTCAGACAGACAGTCAAAAAGACAAGCACAGCCAAAATATCCCGCACTAGATCATCTTCAAACCCAACCGAATCCCCTCCCAAACGCCGGCGAAACATCCCCCAACCAGCAATCCCAATCACGGGTCCCACAGCAACCGAATCTGCACTCCGTGACACAATCCCCTCCAACCTGATCCTCCTCCTAGTAGGGGTAAACCCAGGCATAATGACAGGAATAACGGGATACGCCTACGCCCACCCCTCCAACCTATTTTGGAAACTGCTCTATTCCTCGGGAATCACACGCATTCGCCACATCCCAGCAGACACCTATAAACTACCGGAACTATACAGCGTGGGCAACACGAATATCGTGGAAAGACCCACACGGGACGCGAGCATGCTCACGCGTGCGGAGATGGACGCGGGCGTGCCGGTTCTTGAAGCTAAGGTTGCTGCACAAAGACCCGAGGCTGTTTGTCTTGTTGGGAAGAGTATTTGGGAGGCTGTTTGGAGGGTTAGGCACGGAAGAGGGATTCGGAAGGAGGAGTTTCGATATGGGTGGCAGGGGGTCGGGGAGAATATGGGTCGTGTTGAGGAGGAGGGCGGATGGGCTGGTGCGCCGGTGTTTGTAGCGACTACTACCAGTGGACTCGCGGCTGGGATGAAGCCTGCCGAGAAGGAGGCTGTTTGGGCGGAGCTAGGGGAGTGGGTTGTTTTGAGGAGGGAGGAAAGAAAGAGGCTGAAAGTGGAATCGGAGCTGTGACTTGTAGTTATAGATAATCCGGAACTCTTGTTGTGGTTTGTTTGCTATTATAGAAGTCAAGGTCTTATAACGACTGGCTTGTTTAACGAATACGAAATGAATCTACGATTGGATTGGCTTTGAAGTTTCAAAATGTTTGTAATTTGTGTGACGAGTCAAGTCGCTCATCAATCATTATCTCATGATATCAGGTACAGAAGCCTGTGAGTCTTGGGATGCAAATCCGGACACTGCAAACGACCACTCCCAAGCCCATTCCAGGGCGGATGCTCATAGAAGTATGGGGGAGTGACGAAAAGACGGTTCAAAGGAACCGATGCATCGAATAGGCAAGGTAGAGGATATGGATATCTCAGTAGAAAATCAAGGTGGGGTAGGATGAGATGAGTCCGGGGTGATGCTTCAAGACACCCTGCCCGCATGGTCTATCATTGACCAAAGCAAGAAGAAAAATGCCGGATTTAGTGACCGACCATAGATCCCTTGGAGTCGTTCTTGGCACCCTCACGTTCCCGGGCCTGCATCAGAGACATGTTAATAAAAGTTCTCTTAAGTGAATGGTAGACGTGGCTCTTACCGAGGTAGCCTGGAACTCGCCGCCCTCGAGGATTTTTACCATGCAGGCGTCTTCGTTGTCTGTGCCAAACTCGTTCTGCAGCATGTTCTTGCTAGCAGTGTCAAGGACACCCTGGGCTCCGTGGCTGATGAGAGGTTAGCAATTGTCTGCATGGTAGCTGTGCCGAGCGAGGATAGACCTACGAGTGGGTGACGAAGATCTTCCAGCCGTTAAGAACATCAACAAGAGCGATGCTACGGTCGTTCTTCCACTTCTGAAGGATCTCAAGGTCGTCGACGAAGACAATGAAGTCTTCGGACTTGCCCTTGTAGAAGATCTTGGATGCGGTATCGTTGCCACGAGCCATTGTGAATGTGTGTAATGAAGTTGTGAGAAGAGAGAGAGGTGTAGAAAGGTTGTAGAGAAAGAAGAGGGGGAGATACAGGGAGAAAAGTGAGGTTTAATAGCTGAGCTCAGGTGATGATGACTGGTGACGTCACGGGGCTGATCTATAGCTCGCGTGTCACTTGGGGACTTCAATTTGTCCCCTGTTTATCCCCTTCACAGCTAGCAAACGCAGTGGATAAGTTAATTATGGGGCTTTGTTACCAATGAGTTACTATTCTACAGTTGTTGCACGGTGAACTGCCAACTATTGCAGCTGTCTACGTCATAGTACCCTCTACGCCCGTTGCCGGATCCGCTGTGACGCTAAACGTGGGGATACTCCATTGCGAAGCAAGGTGGCAAGTTGCAAGGCTCAAGGGCATGCATTCTAATAAGGTATAGTATGCAAGCCACCATTAGAGTCAGGTTAACAATACTGTATCCCTGGATCCTCAACACCACGATCCTTACTGCCTAACAATGATCGCTTCACTCATGGAAGTGGGGCTTGCGTGACTTCTTTGGCGCCAAGATACTGAACAAATTCATCGGAGTCGACCATTTCTTGGGTGAAGATGGGGCCTCGGAGCTCGCATCTTGGCTCCATCGCTTTTCACTGTGAGAGGATGGACTCGACATAGGGGACTTGGGTGACTTGAGCGATTTGGGCGACTTGGGAGGCTTGGGGGACTTTTTAGGCGACCCTCTGAACCGGAGTGTTCTCGATCGTCGCGGAGTTACAGGTGCCGGGAGTGATTTGAACTCGATATCCTTGTCATCAAAAGCTTCGCTGCTGCCTGCAACATCTTTCCCTTCCTCCTCATCGTTCGAATCGAAATCACTGGTAGCAAGCCCCGAACGTGAGGTTCTGACAGAATTCGACCGCTTGGTGAACCCAGTATGAAGACTCAGTCGTCTCATGATCGATCCACGTCGAAAGAGATCGCCTCGCCCGAGAACCATTCCGGGCAATGGGAGAAGGTCCTTGGTGTAAACGTCTGCAATCAGACGCTCCAATCGGATACGATCAATGCGTCGAGCTGTGAAAACTATCGCGGTAGGCGAAACTGGAATCAGGGGCCGTTCAATCTCACCCTCGACTGGTGCAGCTGTCTCTTCAGCGTTGCGCGGACGGTGCGTTTTTTTGATGATCACATGCCGAACATGGGACCTGCGTGCAAGTGACATGGAGTCCATGGAGGATCTTCGAGCCAGAGATGAGACTGCGTACTGGACACGATTGAGAGGTGCTAAACGAAGGGCCAAGAAAGAGTATTTATTGGCCTCTCTCGTGCCATGTTGGCCCGGTTCAACCAAAGCGGCCGAGGCCTTGAGAATCTCGGTATTCCACTGCTTTTCTTCCACAGCCGATGATGCACTGAGGACAAATTCGTAGTTATCTTTTTCTTGAAACTGTAACTTCCATGAAAAAAGACATCCATAGCAATACAGACCTGTTGAGTTAGCTGATATCTTATGATCGGTTTACTGAATCATGCTCACCTTGCCCATTCTGAACTGTATCAATCTTGACGTAGTCTAGAGAAACACAAGCCACTGCTTCCAGTCTATGCAGGTCATCAATTCCTTTGGCCAGAAGAAGATAGTGATTGAAAAGAATGCAAACCATGAAATCACCAGTGGTCGTTTCAGGTGTTTGGTATGTAACATGCAGAACACCACAGAGTATCATAGGGCCGAGGTCCTTGTATATACCATCAAGAGCGCTCTGCCAGGAGCCCGTTAGCTGAACCCTTGCACTGTGAGGACTTTGATTACCTACCGACGGTGGAATCTCCACTTTGCGCTGGAGAATTAGCGTTTTGTGAATGCGATCTTTATTTACCGGATTTCCAGTCGCGGAATTGATCTTTGTAACTAACGTGCGCAAACTCTCCAAAATCTGTCGAATCCCATCATGCGAAGACGGACAATCACCGACTGGTGTGGCTCTGAGCAGATCTTGTAGCATGAGGGGATATTTGCAGATACGTTGAATAGGCTATTTCCGTGTCAGTATATATGTCAATTGAGTACCAGGAGTGCATACCTTTATCAACAAATCATTCAAAGTCATTGATCTTTTCTCCTCCTGTCTCCGTCGGTCCGTAGACGCAACTGATTTGGATAGTGCCTCGATCCCCTGGTCATAAACTGTCCAATTGGCAATTGACCGACGTAGAAGAGCAACGTCCTGTGTAAGAAGCTCATAGTTGCTGCAAAATCTGTCATATGCAGAGAATGAGAGGGACTGTATTGGAAGGATCAGTACCACCAAAAAGATTGTATTTTGAGAGGCTCACCAAATGTTCGATTACCCGTGCAACTTCAAGTGCTTCTCTTGGCTCTGCAGTGAGCACCTTGAGGCGCTGGCTGATAGATGCTTTGAGTGTTCGAGCTCTCAATGATCGGTGCTGTAGTCCCTTCAAACTACCCAAGTCAATGGTCCCAAGGCGCTTTGAAATTCCTCGGGATGCAAGCTCTGACAGACCAGCCTGTTCGACATGAGGCTCCGACATGGGCGAGATCGTTTGAAGCTGGATCAAGAATTGCTCATGCAATCCAAGTATCTCTTGGATGTTGTGAGATATCTCATGCCGTGCGCTAAAGATTGTAAGAACCTGTTTAGGCATAGAGCACATTAGCCTTAATTCTAATATATATGTCCACATCCACTTACTCCCACAAGGGCTTTAAGACCCTGCACATAGTCAGACTCTGTAACAATTACCTCTCGCAGAACATGGCGTCGTTTGATTGCCCGTGCCTCGGAAGCTTCATCGACGTATAGACTGGAGACTGGTCGCGGGCTTTCGTCGGAATCACGCACATCGGACATCAGGCTCTGGTTCGCTACACTCGGTGTGCCTCCTCTGGACCTGGCCAGACTCTGGCTCTCGATGCTTGTTGTTGTGGTCTTCACGGTTCCAAGTTGCGACAAGTCGGACACATTCGACTGTTGGCTCTGCGAGCCATGAGATGATGTTTCCGACCAGCCTTCCACGTATCGTCGCTTGAAGGTCGGGGATCCATGTCTGCGCCCTTTGAAGCTATCCATCCATTTTTTGAACGGACGAGACTGTCTTTCGGTTGGATTCACTAGCTCAGTGTCTTGGAGCCTCTTCGCGGATCCATCGAGCAGTGCTTGCTTCTCGATCTCGACCTCGATCTCATCCTCCATGATGAATCGTGGAGCTAGATCAAGTATATTCTAAAATTTACATGCAGACAGTACAGTGCAAAAGACCTCAAGACAGACGCAAGCATGGCGGGAAAGACCACAGATGTTCTTGCCCTACATCGTTAGCGTGGAGAGAAAGAAGGAAATCGCAGATTTGAATCCCATCCATGTACGTCATGGGGATATGGTTGAGATTGCAATCTACAAACACTTCCATCATATATAATTGGCAAGTGTCTCCGGTTTCCTTTTCAGAAGGAAATAAAGGCTGGAAGTGGTGAAGTTTGTATACTTCGAGTGCCAAGCATTCGCGCTTATATAAAAGCCTCAGACCCACCTGGACGCCCAGAGATCTGCCACTTCGCTCTCTTCCTCTTGTTATGGGAATAGTCATGGACGACATCCACGCACCTACTGTCGCCTCCGGACCTTCGTCCGGGGCTGCCCCTCGCGACTTGTCTAAGCTGTCGATGACCGATCTGATGCAGGAGAAGCAACGCCTGGAGGATGAGCTCCAAGCTCTGAGCGCTGTGCTCGACTCGGTTAGACTCCCTAGCTTTCTTCTGTCGTGGCTACTAACCCACTCCCTGTTTTTCTAGCATGGTGTTCGCATGACCTCGTCCCTTACTACCTTCGATGGCTACCCACGCGATGATATCGACATCGCTCAAGGTGCACCCCACCATCCCCCCGCCTATCCATAACATATAGCTAAAGCAAAGCTTCAGTCCGAACAACCCGCGTGCGCATTATCCACCTACGAAATGACCATAAGGCAGTGATGCAACTTCTTGAGAAGGGCATCCACGCCCATTTCGCCAACTTACAGAACACCCCTGACGCACAACCAACCACAAATGGCACTAGCGCTACTCCATCCGCCCAACCGACAGAGCAACCAACAGCGCAACCAGCAACAGTCGCGAGCGCTACACCGGGGACAGCATTTGCCAAGGTCAATTCCGTGGTCCCTGGAAGTCCAGCAGATCAGGCAGGGTTGAGGGCGGGAGATGCCATCCGAAGCTTTGGAAGCGTCAATTGGTTGAATCATGAACGTCTCTCCAAGGTTTCCGAGACAGTCCAGCAGAATCAAGGGGTATGTTCAAGAATTCTGGGACTTTGGCATATGCAGGTGTCTAACTTTGAATTATAGCGCCCGGTATCAGTCAAAGTCAGCCGGACGGGCCCAATCGGATCTAGTCCTCTTGAGCTGGACCTCCAACTCACACCTCGACAAAATTGGGGGGGCCGTGGAATGCTGGGATGTCATCTAGTGCCATTATGAGAGGCTCGAGGTTCAAGGCACCCATCCGGACCAGATTGACCCGACCACCCTACGATGTGTATAGTTCATGATTAATGTGAAATGTCTCCAAGCTTTGCTGCCCAGTTTGTAAGCAAGTTTAAAATCCTTGCAAGGAATTCCAGCAAGGTAAAATATATTGGTTCAGATGTTGTATCAGATGTTGGGTAAACCCGCCTCACTGCGCATGGAAGACCAACCGAGAGAAATAGACCAGTGAGACCAGAGATGACAAATATGATATGCAACAAAGATGCTCTAGTAACAAACAGGCAACCAAAGTTAAGAATAAGTAACAAAGGCAGCAATCATGTCAATGCCAGCAAGGGGAGTTTTATAGTCCGAACTGTTGACACTACGTCAGCAGGCCTTAGGCACTAGTTCACGTGACCCGGCAAAATTTCGTTATTATTCACTGAGGCCCCTTCCTCCACCCCCCCCCCATCAACCATCTCTACACGAACTCCTCAACCTTTTGGGTTTCCTTTAAACGTCGCATTTCAAAATGGCTGCTCAGACTCCCACTTTCAAGCTCGTCTTGGTCGGTGACGGTGGTACCGGAAAGGTAAGCGCATCCTTGTTTTGTTGATGAGAGTGAGGGTTCAAAGAGGTCATCGAGGCGGTGATGATAGTCGATCCTGTCGATGAAGTTTTCGCACGACGCACTTCGATTCACCCGATTCGCATGGATTTCCTCTTTGCCCCGCGACTGTCAACGATGAATTCGAATCCCTGCCCAACCCCGCCTCACCGCGACTTCAATTACTAACGCAGTCCACCGCAGACCACTTTCGTCAAGCGTCACTTGACTGGTGAATTCGAGAAGAAGTACATTGCCACCCTTGGTGTCGAGGTTCACCCTCTCAACTTCAACACCGTATGTGCCCCGCCGAAGAGCCCCGCAGCCGTTTCGCCGTTGGATTGCGTCAACTAACCCCGACCCATATAGAACTTCGGTGCTATCCAGTTCGATGTCTGGGATACCGCTGGTCAGGAGAAGTTCGGTGGTCTCCGTGATGGATACTACATCAACGGCCAGTGCGGTATCATCATGTTCGATGTTACCTCCCGTATCACCTACAAGAACGTTCCCAACTGGCACCGTGAGTACCTCTGCAAATCGATTGCGACGATTCAATTATTGACTCAAATTAGGTGACCTCGTCCGTGTCTGCGAGAACATCCCCATCGTCCTCACCGGTAACAAGGTCGATGTGAAGGAGCGCAAGGTCAAGGCCAAGACCATCACCTTCCACCGCAAGAAGAACCTCCAGTACTACGATATCTCCGCCAAGTCCAACTACAACTTTGAGAAGCCCTTCCTCTGGCTCGCCCGCAAGCTCGTTGGCAACCCCCAGCTCGTACGTCATTTCTCCGTTCTGTCTCATTCTGCCAGTCAAAATTAACCAATTACTTTTTCTTACAGGACTTCGTCGCTGGTATTGCTCTTGCTCCCCCTGAAGTCACCGTCGATGAGGCCCAGCTCGAGGCTTACCGCCGCGAGATGGAGGAGGCCCAGAACCAGCCCCTCCCCGATGAGGACGATGCCGACCTGTAAAGCGGTGCACTCAGCAATGGGTCTACGAAGTTTCCGACACGAATGTTGGGAGTCGCCTTACCCAGTTCCCCCTCTCAAGCCTGAGTTTAAGCTTGAACTTTAGCCAGTGGGAGGCACGAAGTACACGACTCCCGGGGTTTCCTTTTTTTAGTTTGGGGTTTGCCTTGCAAAAAGCAAAGTCTGTTCTCCGAATCACGATACAATGAAAGCGGATGGGGGATAGTCGTGGTTTGAAGACACGGGCGGCACGATCATGCATCTTTGTTCTTTTTTTAATTCCGAATCTCCTCCCCCTAGTAGTTTAGACTCCTACATCCCAAGTCCTTTTTTTCCTCTCCCCGAAACGAGCACACTGCAGCACAAAAACATGTCCTCTTTCAAAACATAAATTTTTTTTCTCTCCTTTTGCAAGACTACTCTACTCAAAACAAATAGATTTAGACCTGTGGGAACATTTTGATCAACGATTGCACAGCAAGAAAAATGAGGAATAGTGAAATGGGCAAGTCTGTAGCAGATAACATGAATCTCAAAGGCCTTTCTTTCTAATCGACAACAACGCAAGGGTATAAAAAAAATTGACAGGAAAAAAAAATAACAAAAGAAAAACAATCAAGGACAAGGAGCGAACCCCTGGGCGCCTTCTAGATGGATGGGCATAGAATGGGGGTATCAACCAACCCTAGGCAAGAGACCAACAATCAAAATAAGACAAGTAGTATAGAAGAAAGAACCGTGTTGACCAACGGCCATATCTCTCCAATCTCTTCAAGTCATAGCCATACCCAGAGGAGTTAAAGGCAAAGACAACCAAGTAATTCGCAATGGCACTGTTGTCTAGTTTAATTCCCGCACGCCCTGTAGAGAAAATCGAACCGTTAGCAAGGTATCTAATAAAGACATTAAGGCAAAGAAAAATAAGACATACAAAGAGATAAGCCAGCTCCCTAGCATCCAAACGGGAAACATTCATAGTACCACCCTCATCAAGGGCACCACTAATCAACTCGCGCTTCTGATCTTGAAGAAAGACAATTCGATCCTCAACGGTATTCTCAATCAGCAAGCGGTGGACGAAGACCTCGCGGACCTGTCCAATACGATGAGCGCGATCAACAGCCTGATCTTCGATATAAGGATTCCAAAATGGGTCGAACATGATGATATGCGAAGCGGCGACGAGATTCAGACCTGAGTTTCCGGCTTTCAAGGAAACAAGCATGACCCGGCAGTTAGGGTCATTAGTAAAGGCTGTCACGGCACTGTTGCGTTCTTTTAGTCCCATGCTGCCATCGAAGCGGGTGTGGTTCCAGCCACGACGGGAGATGGGGACTTCAAGTAGGTCGAGAAGGGATGTGAATTGACTGAAGATGATGGTCTTCTCGCTCAGACCGCGGTCTTCGTTGGCTTGAAGAATTTCAATCGTCTTCTCGATCTTTGTACTAGGGAACCAGCCCTTTTCAAGTCGACGGAGGTATTTCTTCCTCTCGTTCTTGTTTCTGTGAGCTGCGATACGCATCTGGGAAAGTGATTTTTTCTTTGCGGATGTATCCTCTTCCTCAGTATCACTCTCGGATTCTGATGAACTGCTTGCTGTGGCCTCATCGTCTTCGGTGTCTTTGGTTGCATTGGTATCTTCGGTGGATTCGGATTCTGGCAACGAGCTGGGGTCATGGACTTTTTGGAAAGAAATTGTATCTGTGAGCTTGTTGGGGTCGACCGGACCTCGACAATTTTGACACTTAATCATAGGAGAAACATCGTCATCGGTTAGTGCGGCTGGGTTCGCGGCTGCATTATCCATGATGCGAATCCAACACTCAGAGCATACGTGGTGTCCGCAGGGAATGTAGATTGTGGCATTTCCAACACTGTCCATGCAGACAGGACAGGTTCCGTTTTCTTCGTCGTCATTTGATTTGATACGCTCAATAACAGCCGCAGCCAGTAGTTTAGCATTGGCGATTTTGTCTACCGCGGGATCGCTGGCTGCGGGCGCATTCGTTCGGAACTCCTTGATAAGAAGTGGATGGCAGCATGCCTGTCGAAGACGAAGAAGAAGAGCTAGAACTTGGCCGTAGTTCCTTCCAAGGGTACCGGCATCCAGATATCGGTTAATCGTGCGTTGAGTGTTTGCATTGAGTTCGTCATAGACCTCACGCTCCTTTTCACCGAACAGCACATGGATCTTTTCTGTGACCTTTGGCGGGAGTTGCAGGATGGGTTGGCCGTCAATTTTGGAGGATTTTGTGCGCCGAAGGCAGACAGACTTGACCAAAACACGAAGTTGCTTCATGACGTCTTCGCCGCCCCAGCCTTGTTTAATGCGTTTCGTGAAGTCCTGCACAATTAAGTCAGCAAAAGCCAGCCTAGTACGCGATTGGGTTTGCGAATACTTACCGTTTTGAACTTGTTCGCATTGCTGTAGGGCTTGATCCTCAGGAAGCCCAACAGCGATTGAAAGTCTTCAAGTCGGTTCATCATTGGCGTGCCAGTCAAGCACCAGCGATAAGTGGCATTGAGACGACAGCATGCCGCGTTAGATTTGGCATTAGGATTCTTGATATTGTGTGCCTCGTCGATAATGACTCGATGCCACTGGCAGGGGGGACTCAGGGGACCAGCCTTATTCTTGATTTGTCTAATCAAGTCTTGATCCTTGCCCTGCGTTGCCATCTCTTCGGCTTTAAGTAAAGTCTTGTAGTTGGCAGTGAGAGTACCATACGTTGTGATAACGACGTCGTACTTATTTAGCTCTCGCCAAGGCTTCTTCACTCCATGATATATCAGAACCGACAACTTATGCGGGCCTGGCTTGACATGACGCTCGATCTCAAGTCTCCATTGATCCATGAGAGACTTAGGCGCAATGATCAAGTTGGGACGTCGTTCGGGATCGTCGAATGGGCGAGAGACCATAAGTGCGATCGCCTGGATGGTCTTGCCGAGACCCATATCATCCGCGAGGATTCCCCCTTTGTGATTGCTTTCCTCCTTTGCCTTCATCCAATTCAAGCCAATCGTCTGGTGCTTCATCAACGTGACCCGAAGTGCACCCGGCATATCTTCTTGATCTGCTTGGGTTGCTTCGTTAATGTCCTTGATGCCCGTGAGCAAGTTCTTGATATCTTCAGGGAACTCATTCTCGTTGTAAGCCCTGTAGTCGTGTCAGTGTTAAATGCACTCGCTTTGATAGAAACAAGAACATACTCTACGTTAATCTGGTCGTCGAATATTTCGTCTTGATTGCGGACCACATCAAAGGCCTTCTCAAAGGGCTCTGTGCCACGTGGTGGAAGGTATCGTGACTCGTCCAGCCAAGGAAGAGGCCTGGGAGAAAGAGGGGCGTATGGCGATTGAATATGAGGCGGTTGGAAAGGATACCCAGGGTTGATGCGATTCCGGGGGAGAAACGGATTGGGGGGATATACCGAGTGGAGGCTATTGAGAGTGCTCAAGAAACCAGAGTCACGAAATGGCGGCGGCGCACCAGGTCGAGAATTGAATGAATCGGCCGTAATTTCTTGAAGATCATCATCGGATCCATACGAAGGGTAACCACCAGGTACACGGGGAGAAGGGGCAAAGGGATTCGCAGGAGGCTCCAATTTCACTTTCGTCGGGTGACTGCGATCAGGAAGAATCCACGAAGGCCGACGCTGAGGGCTAGGCATGGCTTGATATTCATTCTCCTGAGCTTGCAGCATTCGAGCCATTTCCGCATCGCGCGCCATTTGAAATTCCTTCTTCATTGACCGTTCTGAATCTTCGAAATCTTCTTGGATATCCTTCAGCAGTGTGGCTACGGGCGTTTCTGTGATTTCAGACTCTAATCTCAACTGCTCAGGATCCATCATTTCCTGGAAAGTGCGCCGGTTTTCGGCGAGCATGCGTTCTTGGGAAGCAATGAGATCGTCTAGTTTAAATCTGCGAGAGTCAGGTTGCGGTGGGACAGTCCTCTTAGATGGTCCGCGCAGAGTGGGCGAGCTACTAGAAAGCGTACGCGGACGTTTGCGAGAGCTTTCCAGCGGAGGTGATCCAGGAGAGGACATTGGGGATGATTGTAGTGCTACCTGCCGAGATGCAGGCGAGAAAGCAGAGGGGAAAGGAGCACGATACGGTGTTGGTTCAACACTCCTTGAATCTCCAGGAAAGGCGGTTGCCGGCATTGGCGGGGGGTTTGGAGAAGGTGTGAGCTGACTTTGAGTTGGGGCCGTCTGAGGCTGTGTTCTTTGTGTCGGCGCAGGCTTTGACGAAGCCGGTTCTTCTGGTACGCTTTCACCAAGGAGCCGAGCGACCTGGGACTCCAACGACTTGATAGTCGCCTTCATTTCAGCGGCACTTTCCCCGTCGCCCCTGCTTGCCAGGAGGTCCTCATAGAGGAATTTATGCAAGTCAATGTCTTCGAGGAGATCTTTGATTTTGTCCTCTTTGGACTGATCCATTTCGGTTGCCATGGCCGAGATTTAACGAATCACGATCCTGATGGCTAAAAGATGTTCATGCACAGTGAAGACGCAACGCGATGAGCCTGGCCTAGCGTAGGCAAAATACAAGGCGCAATACAACAAAACAAATGACGCCAACAAAATGATGCAAAATCAAGTCCCAGTAACGGTCTCAAGCCAAGGCCCAAAGAACAGTTGAAATGGGGGACAGGTGACCTGAAAGGGCGTCAGTGAGGCCTTCATAAGCGAATTGGAAGGAGGAGCGGGTGCTGGCAGATGGCGGTCGCATAAGACGACAAAGCGAATCATGGGTATGATAGATCGCATCTCTGGTTTCATGAGATTGGGGCCTGGCAGGGATCAGACTCACAGTGCAGGCTGCCGAGTACGATCGACTGTTCGACCGGGTAAATTGTGAGAGGCTGAGAGCACAGGATATTTCGGGGCTATGAGGAACGGATAGGTCTCGTTTGAAAGAAGATAAAAAAATGGGTTCGACGAGCAAGAGCACGAGCTTGGCCAGATGGGGATCCTATTTTCAACTCTTCATCAGGCCTGCGGGCTGATCCGAGTCTGCCTGGTGGGGTGTTGATGTTCTGACAAGATCATCGTGAGCAGTTGACCAAGGATGTGCAGGGGTATGTTTTGCTACAAAGGGCCACGGGGGCACGTGGACTAAAATTGGGTTGCAAGGCATGTATCTCAAAGTGACTTCCATCTAAAATCCAGCCTTTCTCTATTTATCCCAACTATAGCGTACTTCTACTCTTTAATTGAATTTGGCAACTCTTCTGCAGCTCGATGTTAGCGCACTCTTATCAGCACGTGACCCGCCTATCACTATGAGACAAACAAAGCAAACAGCGCAAACAGCGCAAAAGAAACAAACTGGGCAAGCAGCGATGAAACTGATTCCACCGGCATAAAAGCAGGGACAAGACAAGATTGCTAAAAGCTGTTCAGTTAGAGCAGATAACTTAAACTAGGTTCCTCAGCCAAAAGAAAATGGTACCTGACCTCTAGAATCCAGACTCGCAAACCACTGGCGACGGCACCCGATCGTATCAAACGCCGACTCGAGGTTCATCGAATTTCCAGCGATGACGTGGGGGACACGCGACTATGGTTTTCTACAGTAGACAGGATTTGCATCGGCTAGTGTGGCGGTGAATATCGTATTGGGTGCAACCCCAGGCACCGCGGTACACATGTGGAGAGTGGGAAAGCGAAGGATGCGGAAATGACATAGACATGCCGATCTACAATAGAGCCAGTGAGGAATGTGGAAGCACAAGGTCAAGAAAATCCGAGTAGAAAAAGGTCGGGGAAGGACTGGGGAAGACGTGGAATCACGGGGGGCCTCGGCACGGGCTGACCACTTCACATGCGGACTTGGTCCTATATGAACTTCACTTTCGGGCCTTTTGTTCCTTCTCCTTAACCATCCAATATGTCTCTCAAGAAAGGTATGCCATTCTCCTATTCCTACTTGCTGTTTGATGCTCAACAATCCAGATTCCCACCCTTCCTCCGCCGCCTTCGACGTCATCAACCAGACGCTCCAAGCCAACGAGGCTGACCGCAAGGACGCCCTCGACAAGGCCAAGGCGATCGTCGCCTTCAATATCAAGAACAAGGACGGCAAAGAAGAAGCATGGTACCTCGACCTCAAGCAGAACGGTGAAGTCGGCCACGGACTCGCCCCGAAAGGCAGCAAGGCGGATGGTGAGTGGAAAGACAAAATCCCCGAGAGCGCGCGGAACCATTACATTCGGTCCCGTTATATTTTCAACACAGATCCTGATATCCTTTGTGTGTCTAGTCACCCTCTCCCTCTCCGACGATGATTTCGCCCAGCTCGTCGCCGGCAAGGCCAATGCCCAGCGTCTGTTCATGGGCGGCAAGCTCAAGATCAAGGGCAACATCATGAAGGCAACCAAGATGGAGCCTATCCTGAAGAAGGCCCAGGGTGGAGCCAAGCTGTGAAGATTAGATACCCATTTGTGACAAATTGTATAAGATTCCCCCGATGGGTTGATTCATCTCCATTATTCCTGCATCTGTGCCAATCAATATACACGAGTGAATGATCTTCCACTGCGATCAATACAATTAACGTTCATCTATTGCTTCGTACATGCACATGTCCATGTGTACTGTAGTAAACCCTGAAATCTATCAATCACATCTCGAGATCCCGTACATGTCCCTGTCTCGAAACACGACCCTGATCCAAAACCACAAAGTAATCCGCATCCTTCACCGCCTCAATCCGATGCGCAATAGTGATGACAGTCGAGAGGTGCAACTCCTCCCGAATAATCTGCTGAATCTCAAGCGAAGTCTCCTGATCAACAGACGCCGTCGCTTCATCCAAAATGACAATTGCGCTCCGTCGCAGAACAGCCCGCGTGAGCGCGATAAGTTGACGCTGACCCTGGCTTAGATTCCGACCTCCGCCTTCAATGTATGTATCGAGATGCCAACCATGTCGACTACACAGACGCTGTAGGATGTCCGTACATTGCTCATCGGAGTATTCGCTTGTGGGATCTAGATTAAGTCGAATGCTGCCGGGAAACAGCACTGGATCCTGTGCGACGAAGGTAACGCGCGTGCGGAGGGCTTGGGTATTGACATCTGCTATGTTCAGACCGTCGACGAGGATGCGGCCGGACTCGGGTCTTATAACGCTGAGGAGGGACATAGCCAGTGTTGATTTGCCGCTTCCTGTACGGCCGATGACGGCGGTTGTTGAGCCGCCGGGAATGCGGAGGGATATGTCCTTGAGGGAGGGATCGAGATGGGGTGCGTATCGGAAAGTGGCGCTCTCGAAAATGATGTCGCTGCTGTATTTTGGCCACGATGCTGGCGGGTTGGTCGTTCCTGGTGTTTCCTCTTCGATGTGAAGAAGCTCGTCGATTCGCTCGACAGATACAAAATCCATTTGGAGTTGACCGTATTGCTTGCATAGGGAGTGAGTTGATTCAACAAAGTTGTTGGCGGCTATGAGTACGAATGCCACTAGACCTGGTGAGGTATTGGTGTATAGAGCCAGAGCTGTGAGGCAAAATGTTGAAATTGCGGAGAGGCCCTCGAAACGGTACATCAACCAGCTTTGTAGGGACCAATAGAAATGATCCATCCCTTGGAATTTGTCAACGACGGACATGACTCGATCTTGGAAGCGTGATTCTGCGTGGAAAGCTCGGACGGTTGTTAGACCGTGGAGTAGCTCGCCGAAGTTGGATATTAGTGGGCTTAGGGAGACCATTTCGAGTCTGCGGAGACTTTGTGAGGTTGGAAGGAAGCGCAAAAAGACTAAAACGAATGCCACTGTAAGAGCGAGGGAGAATGTTAGGAAAATTGGCGTTGCAGTTGCGATTACCAACACGGATGACACCCAGGTGATGACTTGGAATGCGATCACTTGGAACTGCTCACTGATGTTGCCGTCCACGACCCCAATATCAGAGGTTAGACGGTTCATCAGGCGTCCAAGAGGGATTGTATCTTCGATTGTCAGTCATATACTTTCACGTTCGGCTGTATAGAACATACCCAGGTATCGGAAGGTCGCGTGGCTGACACGAACAAGGACTTGCCGGAACAACGACTGCCCGGCGCAGTAGACGATGACCAGCATGAGCAGTTGAGCAATGAGCAGCGTCGCTGCTTGGAAACATATGATGCCAAAGAAGGCCCGTAGCCATGGACGCACATCCTCGCGCGGAGACGGAAGTCGGATCATCGGATTCTGAGGCATGAAAAATGTGTCTATCTTTGATGTTGACACCAAGGATGAGCTTTGGGGATATCTACCGTCAAAACCGAAAGAGCTTGTGCTGAATACGGCGGACTGCTCATAAGCCTCTCCCCATCCTTTGAGGAACCAGGATTGCCCAACGGCCAGCAATCGGTATATGGCTAGAACCAGGACGAGAGCAAGCCACCATCTGTATTTTCCGGCCCTGATATAGTTCCAATATACGCGAGCCTTGACACCTCCTTCAGCACGGTGCTCATCCTCGATAAATTTATCAGGAACTGCAGCGGTCTCTTCGTCCGCTGTTGGTTCTGTTTCTGTATCACTTTCAGAGTCAGAAAACTGCAGTGAAGATTCAATGCCGTCTGCCCGGAGTGCCTCTTTATCATAAACAGTCGCATGTCCGTCTCGAATATCGACAATCTGATCTGCAATCTGGCGAACCAATGCGGTGCGATGCGTCACAAGAACAACAGTGCGATCTTTCAACAACGGCCCTAAGAGACACCTGCGCACTATTAACTCAGCCGTATTGTGATCAAGTGCGGATAGGGGATCATCCAAAAGCAGAATACGGGATGCACTGTAAACAGCCCGCGCCAGAGCCACTCTTGCCTTCTGCCCACCAGAAAGACCGATACCATTTTCCCCAACAAAAGACAAATCTCCGTGTTTGAATTGAGCGAGATCAGGAAGTAAGGCACATGCTTCCAATGTTTTCTTGTAGCGTTGATCATGGTAGGGAGCGGAAAACAGAATGTTGTCACGGATGCTCATGCTTTGCAGCCATGGTGTCTGAGCACAGTATCCTACCATTTCGTTCGTGATATAGGATGACCCTTTGAGTTTGTCAAGCTCTCCTAGAAGAGCCTGTAAGAGCGCAGTCTTTCCTGCTCCAACCTTTCCGGTAACAACAGTCAATCCCCGAGGAATAGTAATGTTGAGGTCAATTAGAACAGGTGAAGCTTTCCCGGGCCAAGAAAAAGAGCATGACTGCATTGAAATGGGAGTGGTGTCCAACTGCTCAGAAGGCACTCTTTCTTTATCCGGCTCTGACATGAAATCTTCAATGCGTCCTAGAGCAATAAATGCATTGATAAGCGATGTGATAAGTCCGGGGATGTCTCGCAGGCGAGATTCCAGCATCGTGAACAACTGCAATGCAGGGAAGATGATATCAATCCGCAACTCACGCCCAGCCAAAAAAGTGTACGCGTACAGCGCAACAACTGGGAAAACACCACTAGCAAAAGCATTGACAAAGCGAATCAAAATACTCCATAGACTGGTCACGATACGAATATTCAGTTCGTGTTGCCGAGCTTCCATAACTTGCTGAAGCCAATGGTTTTGCCATCCATACCACCGTAAGTGACGAATCGCTTCGACAAATTGAGAGGTGATTTGAAGTCTGCTATCTGTCGCTGTTCGCCTGACTCGCTCCCATCGTAGCAGTGCCCTGGTTATTAAAGCGTTTACCGCCTGCGCAACTAGAACGGCCAAAATGCCTAGGAAACAAGATGGACCGAAGAGTTTCCATACAAGGACTGTGGCAATCACAAGTCCTAGTGGCTTGTCTATCAAGGAGTCGACCTCCCAGAATCTTTGTGCGACCTCGTAGACATCTCCTCGTAAAAGATTGAAAATCTTTCCCAGGGAGGTTGCTTCCTTGCTTTTCTTCGGCTCATCTTTTTTGACTCTCTTTTTTATGAGGCGTTGCCAAAAGCTTGTCCCTTCTTTGGTTGGAGATGTTTGTTCCTCTTGGAGAGAAGTTTCATCTCCAGCTTCATTCGCCTCTCCATTGAGGTCCTCTGGCTTGCCTTCAACCATCAGTCCCACAACATTCTTCCTTGATAAGGCCTTTTCATAGACCATCATGATCATTTCACCACGCGATCTCTCATAGCATCGTCGACCATACCACAGAAGGAGTACCTGCGATTGCGCTGCAACTAGCCTCAGAGCAAATGACAAAAGCGCATAGGTCAAAGGTACACGCTTTGGTCGCCGGGGATCACTCATAGCTTGTAGCAGTTGCTGCAACAGCACTGGGGTAGAAAATTCTGTGCATGCTGTCAGCATCAAGTGCCTAAGAGAAATCAGGCTTCACTTACCACATATCATCTGAATGGTTGAAATGGTAGAGATGATAAAGACATCAATTCCATTTGCTCTCAGCAATCGACTAACGACAGACCCCCTAAGACGGCGAAATTTCTCATGCAGCCGTCTATGCTGAAATTCAAATCCAAGTTGCCAGACATCCTGTTCATTGAGTTGTCTTTTGCCTCCAGTCGAAATGAGTGGTGCCATCCAAGACACAGTCAAGAACTGCCAAAGTTTCAGATTATCCTCCGGCGTGCGGAATTCACTAGAGGGCTGTTGACCAACAGCGCTGATATCACATCGCTGAAGGGATTGCTCTCGGAATGGCATCAACAGGATAGTCAGGCAAGCTGTAGCCGCTGCGCCGGCGGCAATGAACCTAGCGACGGTCTTGAATTTTGAGTACACCTCCGGGCGAGCAGCCAACGAAAGCTCAATTGCAAATGCAAAGACGTAATATACAAGCATTGAAATTGGACATGACCTCGGTCGCTTGGTGGCGATCAGAATCGTTGCAGTAGCCTGGAGGAGAGTCAGTGGCTGAAATTCAAAGGGGTTCTTCTACATACCCATGAAATAACAAGGACAAAAGCTGACGCATCGATATGCGGAGGCACGAATTGAACAGTCTCAGCTAAGAGACCAACAACCGAACAGAAAAGAAGGACAACAGTCCATCGCAGCGGCTGTTTAGGCGCCTCTAATGAAAAGTCACAAGTATCACGAAGCTCTGAAATAAAAGGAACTGTCCACTTCGGGCGCCACCTTAAAAAGTATCCAAGTGAATGGTTTAACGCCACAATCAATACAAAGATTGCCGGGATGCAGGCCAGGTACGGCAAGGCACAAGGTGATAGCCACGCATTTTGCGAGTCCTATATTGGTCAGCCTGATACGCGCCGAAGCAAGGGGTTCCCAGCTTACCCAGAATTCACCACACCTATCGCTTGTCGTGAGAGGGATCTGATCCATACTTGATCCGAGCATTGGGAGCTTGTATGGGAGCTCGTATGTTGGCGATCTCGATGCTACCGTGGGGCGGGATCAATTTGCTCCGACCGCCTCCTATGGACTTGAAGCTTTTGTCTGCATTCTTCGATAAGTGTGAAGTAGAGGCCGCTGGTATCTTATTGCTGTGTCGTTCACTGTGGTGCTCCCTGGCTCCAACTTGAATGGCTGAATGCGACGTCAAGTTCCATGTCGATCAATGCGGGACCTCATCCCGCCTCGACTGGCATTTCTTGGCGTGCAGCTACACCGCGTACTGTAGAGCTATTTTGATCATTCACAGCCCAGTTGTGGGATTGTCTCTAATTTTGAGGGTATGGAATGTTAATTGGTCGGTTCTGTACTCAATTGTCTCATTCAAGTTACAAAATTGGTCATCGGAAACAGATGATTAGATCTGCTACATGGCTCGTTTGAGTACTCTCGTCTTGCTATGCAATAAAACAATTACCCCATGAATTTCTTCAATCGAAGAGCCCTCCACAGCAAATCGATCTAGCGTGCTTATCGTTTGCTTTTGTAAAATATTGATATCGGGGACAAGGTGCGCCAAAGCTGGCGACAGAGAACCCAAAGTAAGGAGAAGAATGGAGGAAAACATTCTGTACCCGAGAAGTTAGCTCTTTCAAGCGCGAAAAAGTTAATGATAATAGTGACATACGTATGGATGATGATTTCTGCACAGACTGATGGGTTCATCAACCTTCGGGTGGAAGCATCTAGGTATGTTCGGCAATTGGCTAAGCTAGCCTCACATTGCTTGAGTACCATTGGAGGAAGATCATTTTCTGGAGAGCAGTCAATAGCGCAAAGTAGGAATGGTCTCGTAATGATATCTTTGGCGGAGTGGAAGCGGTGCAGCATATTGAGCTGAAGACCACTGCATCGCGATGGGTCATTCATGTCGGGTTTGATATTTCGCGGCAGCAGGTCAAACCAATTATTCAGTTGGCGGTCAAGTTCCTGAGAGACACTCAGGATGTTGGATAAGGATTGAAAGTCATACGGTGGACTGTCACTAGATGCAGGCTGGAGACCGAGGCTGCGTCTCGTCCAATCACTTCCATACATGGTGTGGTGTACTCGGTTCAGCAAGCGACGAACGGAAAGCTCAGCGAGAAATAGATGTGTGTCTTCAGTTTCTTGATTCGCAAAGCTTGGGAAAGGGGTCAGATCAATGACATGTTCAATGCCACTTCGTGGTAAATGATGCTCTGCTATCAGATCGCTGCCGGATTTTGTCAATATAATTCATCTTTTGAATATAGTTAGAAACTAACCACTCGGTATCAAATGCTGCCCAAGATAGTAGAATGATGCTGGACTTGAGTCCGAGATTATCTGGCGAAGCCTGGCTACTTTCGGTGGTGATAAACCGGTTAGCGTAGTAAATTAACAGAGCAGGAAGGGAAACATACCGGCTATTGAGATATTGGATACTAGTAGAAGCCATGTGGATTAACTTCCACGACTGTAGTGGGCGCAAAAGAAATCCGAAGTATTTTGAGACCAGTATCAAGCTTTGAGGAAGAGTGATTGTAGGGCAAAATGAAAGCAAGTATTCATTCATCAATATCTGCAGTGCGGGCGAGATGAAAGTTGCTCCGGGCACCCATCGAGGAGACCTGGACTTTGCTGGATCTACCTGTTCAAGCGCCGCAGATCCCAAAGCCAGCACTGCAAGACAAAGGGCAGAATCACAATCAACCTTGAGCCCAGCTCGAACATGGTGGTGATAAAGATCCATAAATTCTGGCTTGTCAAGGATTGGCATTTCAACATGTACATGTCTGAAGTATGCTTCCACTAGAGCGTAAGAGCTCAGCTCATCCAGTACCGGCAGCTGGCTCTCAGTAATGGTGCCTGGAACAAAGGAAAGTTGATAGGGGATCTCTCGGTTTGACTCTGCGCGTATGAACAGGTCTGGTGGGAATTCTCCGAATAAAGCCTTCATCTTATTCATATGCAGCATATACTCTGTTGTCGTTGTGTGTCCAATAGGAATGCTCATGGGCGGAATGTCATGTTCAGGTGGCATAAACGAAGGCTGGTTAGTACCGATCAGTCGCGAAATATCGGGATTTGCCCTGGATGGAGAGGATATCATTATTGAAGACTGAGAAAATTCAGTCCGGTTGTGTTCGGAAGTCACCGAAGGAAAGCTGAAGCCATTGTTTCTTGATTCGCTAGTTTGGGGTGTTGCAGGGAGACGAGGTTGATTCCACAGGAAATTCTCAATTGCATCAAGACGTCCAAAGAACTGCGATGACGAGGTTTCTCCTCTTGCTCTGAAAATATTCAGCACTTCTCTCCGTTCTTTCGAGGTATGAATACTGACTTTGATGACTCAACTTCATTGTAGACGCACTCCACACCTGAGCCCTCACAGAGGGCACACGAAGGGATCCCGCCATTGCAGCGGCGTTTTCTGCTTTTGCTTCAGTATTTAAATATTAAACCAAAAATTTTAGTCTTACCTCTTCCGACAATGGTTGCAAGCCAGAGAAGCACGCTTACGGCGATCCATATGAGCCCAGCAGATAAACGTCAAGTAGGATGAGGTCCGAGTCGGATGGATCCGCCTGGCTTCCGCTAACGTAATCTCCACTCGATGGATTTGGGGGCGTTCTTGTTCTTCATGCAAGTTATAGAATGAAGCATGTTATTTATTGGAAGACTAAAATGCGTCCCTTTCAGAAGATCCCATCATGTGAAACCTTTGTCATTGATCTAACTTTGGGGCAGAGTTCAAAAACAAGATATCGTCACTGAAACGGAGCATATGCTGTAGACATTAACGTTGTGTAAACAACCAGGCGTTCCATGAACAGCATATCGTCCTGGATCCAGACAGTGACGCGTTCCTCAAATCCCAAACGTGCATAGTCTCACAAGGTCAAAGTGCCACCATCAATGATAATATCAGCACCAGTGATATACCGACCAGCACGCTTGCTGCAGAGAAGAACAACAGCCCCAGTAATCTCCTCAGGATCGCCCATCCGACCCATAGGACAGCGACTATCCCAAATCTTCCGAATGTCTGCAAGTCCATCACCAGCATTGAGAATGGTATCCATATACCCAGGGCTGATGCTGTTCACTCTGATTCCATGCACCGCCCACTCAGCAGACAGATTCCGAGTCAGATGTGCGACCCCAGCTTTGCTTGCATTGTAGGCAGCCTGTGGCTGGGGGAAGTTGGTGTAGTGGGCCGACATGGAAGCAGTGAACAAGATGCATCCACCTGTTCCCGAGGCTTCCATGCGCTTTGCAGCGGCCTGGGCGCAGAAAAATGAACCATTCAAATTGACGTCCATCACCCGGTTGAATTGACCGGGCGTCACAGTAAGTGATGGCTGACAGCCTGGGATTCCGGCGAAACAGCAGAGAATGTCAATTCCGTCCATGGTTTTGTTTGCTAACTCGAAGGCGGCTTCGATGGATTCCATGGAGGTCACATCTAGAGGGATCTTGCTGATGCTGGAGGAGGGGAACTTTGACACAAGCTCCTGGATTTGCTGGTCGGATGTGTCAAGTGTACCTGGGAGATCCATGAGGCATAGTGACGACAATCCGTGCTCGAGGAGCGCTTGCGCGGAGATCAACCCCAGAGCGCCAGCTCCACCTGTAACGACTGCTTTGCCGTTGACCTGAAATCGAGCTGCTGCGCGCTCTTGTGCGGATGTGAATGGAACCCGATCAAGGGGACGAGTCAGCGGGTTGGAGCTTTCTGACAAAGTCATCGTCGGGATGACTCGTGATGTTAGTGAGGCTCGATCCTCTCCAGGAGAAGCTTGGGCAGACATGAATGCGGGTTTGTTCGAAGAGGAGGCGAGGGGTGAAGAATATCAAAGGTTGAACAGAGGGGAAGCTCTATATAAGTTGACCTGGTGGGGCTTCCTGTATAGGATTCCTGGGTGCCGCTTTGATTAGGATAACCGACCTGGCAGTAGTTGATATATCTGCAGGGATCAAGTGAAAAATAACAAGCAGCAATTAAAGCAGCTATAGAATTGTGCTGACGCTTGGAGCTAGACAGCTTCAAAGTATTGCTTCGTGTTTAACATAGAATCTTACTACCACGAGTACTGTGGGATATTCGGGTCTCTGTCAGCCGACGAATAGAGACTCACATAGGATGGAAATGATATAAAAGAGGACTCAGCGGAGCACACGCAGCCGGGCAGAGAGATGCCTTTCATGCGGGGAGTTGACACTTTCCCCTCTCTACTGTAGATCGGAGCGTAGTGGCCCGACACAAGCTGCGAGGATTTAGTATATTATCTACGTGAAAGCGCTGTAAAAAAAAAAAAAATCATGATTTCATTGTAGTATGCAATATAAGCAAAGTCTAAGTCTAAATTCAAAGCTGATCAATCTCAAGCTCCTCAGCTCCCAAAATGAACCTCGTTCTAACGGCAAGTATAACCACCGTCAATCTTCAGATCCGCACCAGTCGTGTAAGTGCTGGCATCGCTAGCAAAGTATACATAAGCACCCTTCAACTCTTTGGGATGACTTTGCCGTCCCATTGGAATCAATCCCCTCCAAGTCTCTTGCATTTCAGCCGGGCAAAAGTCCCCAAGACCGGTTTCAATATAACCAGGTGAGATAGTATTGACGCGAGCAAAGTCCCTCCACTCATTGGCCAAAGAGCGAGCCATATGAATGCAGCCAGCCTTGGCAACATTATATGAGGTCTGCTCCTGAGGGAAATTGGCAATGTGGCCGGACATGGAAGCAGTAATGACAAAGCTACCCTTGCCACGCGCTTTAAAGTGCTGACCAACAGCCTTGGCACAATAAAAGACCGAGTTGAGATCTGCCTGGATGACGTTCTCCCAGTCTTCCACCGAGCCCTCGAGAACACCGGCATCAGCAGTGCGACCGGCATTGGCGATGAACGAGTCGATCTTTCCAAAGTCGGCAATGACCTTGGCGACAAAGTCTTGTACTTCCTCCCATTTGGCAGTGTCGCATTTGTAGGCTTTGGCCTTGACGCCGTATTCTTCTTGCAAGGCTTTGGCGTTGGCTTCTGCGCCTTCGCGACGGGAGAAGTATGTAATTGCAATGTCGGCACCCATCTCAGCACAGCCACGAGCTGCTTCAAGTCCGATTCCTCGGGGACCAGAAGCACCTGTTACGACCACGACTTTGTCTTTGAGACTAAAGAGGTCCATGAGGGAATTGGCTGCGGGGATTTCGATAGGCATGATGGAGAGAGAGAGAGAGAACAAATGAAGAAAATAAAGGTTGTGATATGTTATTGTCTATACAGGAAGGAGTTTACATACCTTTTTATAGCTTTCAATGGCGGAGGGGAGAATCGACCTCATTGTCCCCCTCGGCGGAAGACTGGCGGGAGAAAGCCGCCAGATATCCACCCCGGGTCTCCAGTACTATCACTCGACCAATCAAACCCAGTCATGGAATGGCCGTCACTTGCTTCGACAACTGGCATGAGACCATAACCCCGTAATACCCCCACTCGCGTGGCAGTCGAACGGAAACACATCCTACAGGCGGGAGACCTCAATAATGAGAGTGGTATGATATGAAACCAAATAAATTAGAATATAGCAAAAGCATTAGGCGGACTAGCAACACCACCAACAACCTAAAAATCCATTAGCAAAGCCCAGACTCCCAAAACTAAGAGAACCCACCTTAAGAGGCATACTCGACAAGAAGAAACTATACCGCCCAGCCGCCTGGCAGTGCCTAGACAACCCCTCCAGATCAAACATTTCCCCAATGGGAGTCCCCCAACCCGCCAGAACCCACTCATGCAGATTGAATCCCTTATCAGCATGGGCACCTCGAATAGGCGCCCGTTCAAAACTAGGCGCATCCCCCGCCACAGCAGCAAATTGCTTCTCCCATAGCCAGCGCACCATCTCCTCCGTTGCCTCAACGCCACTGAAATCCGGCGATGGGCGGAGTGCCAGCTCTTTGCGTTGATCGTCATTTAGTTTGTTATAGGCTTCCGTGAAACCACTACGGATGAAGAGGATGTCACCCGTTTGGAAGTCGAGGTTGTAGTGCTGTGCGGCTTTTTGCAGATTCTCTAGCGTGATGGCTTCAGAGGTGAGGGCTGAGACAGAGATTGAATTTTGAGAAGCCCACTCTGCGTAGTCGAGGAGGATGCCGCGGCCTGTGATACCGCCGTGTTCACAGATGGCTGTGTGGATAGGGATGTTAGCAGGTAAGTTGAGCGGCTGGTGAGGACGTAGTGCATACAGTGAATACCAATAGTATCCGAGTGTTGGATTTCTTCAGCGGTATGTCCGTTGTAGAACTGTCGCGACTGCTGGTTCGCTATATGACCAATTCAGTCAACACCCGCAACAACAGTCATAGATCAGCAAGAGCAACAAACCATAATGCCTGAATCCATCCCATTGGGTAGATCCCTGGCTGTTAAAGGTCAAGATATCATCAAAGATACAATTCGGAGTCCGAAGCACAATCTCCTGCTTGAATGGATCGCGATTGAAGCTGGGATGCGAAGGCATGCTCAGCGGCCAGTCGAGGGAGATGCGGACACCTGTACGGATCTCTGTCGCCGCTTTCACTACTCGCTGGGGTGTGAGCAGATTCAGTGTTCCCAGCTGGTCATCTTTGCCAAATCGACCCCAGGCATTTCCCCGAGGGCCGTGGGGGTCGAGTGGGAGAGCTTCGAAGGGGATTGATGTATCATTTGTTTCGGCCATGGTGTTGGTTTAGAGACGCGTGAAGACTGATTTCGGGGGTTTCCAGTGGGAGAAAAGACAGAGTGATTTAGATGAACTCGAACTATCCTCGGCATGCAGGGCCTCGTGTCTTTATGCCCCCCCCCCCCCCCACCCCCGGATCTCCGCAGTCGGATAAATATCCGATGCTCCGTTGATTTAAGCATTTTAGACTATAGACTATCCGTGGATGGTAGGCATTGGCAATCTCATGTCATATTTAGAATGAGACACTAGATAAATAGTAACTCTACAAAGTAAAGTATGCTATTGTGGCAGCATACGTAGCCAGATTATCACTGACCTTGGCTAGTGCTACGCCATCCTTCACAATCATGTACTGGGTGCCGACAGTACTCAGTGCATATACCACCAGTCCACTCGTAGTACCCTCGATGCTGAAAATCATGCTCTGGCAGTTTTCGGGCAAGGGGAATGTGGAGCATGTGGTACTGTAGTTGTTGAAGAAACTGTACAGACCGGCTCCGTAAACGATGACACTATTGCTGCTTAGAACCCGGAGGCCGAGAGCATTGCAGTTCCCACCGAGGCATGAGCCAAAAGTAGGATCTTTGAGTGCAGTGTTGGTGGGGTATGGACTGTTGGCGGCGTTGGGGTTTGGTTGGTAGTACCTGTTTCATCAGCACGATATTCGATGGTCTTCAGACAGACTGGATAGAAGGTACTCACGGTGTCTCTGTCTGAATAAACCCGGCCATGATAGATGTTGCGCCTGAGAATTGATACTGATACAGCGAGTGATGCTCGGAAGCAGTGCCATATCTTTTGACGTGGTTAGTAATGATACTCGAAGATCGCAGGCTTCACGGAAACCACTTACAGCCAAACATTCTTGCCTTCTACTAACAAACCACGTCCTGTATAAATCGAGATCTGGATATCATTTCCTGTATCAAGGTCATGGTCGGCAGTCCAGAACCACACATTCTCCAGGTAGACACCACTTGCAACACTGGTAATATGCATAGACATGTACGCGGCCTCACAGGCGGCAGAGACTGCAGCCGAAGTAGGACACTGAGGTACCTGCTGCTGAGAACCCTTGAAGCCACCAATACGGGTGTGAACATCCCACATTCCAGATCCCGATGTGGCGGCCAAATTCCACTCGACAAGTTTGGCGCCTGGCGTTGAGCCCTGGGTGCTGAGGATCATATCAGACCATTCCACTGAGCCAGATTCTCCAGCCTTGCCAACTTGGATCACAGGCACAGGGTTGGTGATACTGGACCAGGTGCTGCCGCTGGCCATGATGACCGGGTATGCCTCGCCAACAATCTTAGAGCCTGGAGGGACGTAGAGTGTCTTGGTGACTTTATAGGTTCCCTGGTCAAAGAAGAGAATCTTGCCAGAAGATGCAGCAGATGTCAGGGCCGATTGGATGGCGGCTGTATCATCGGTCGAGCCATCTCCCGTAGCACCAGAGCTTCTGATGCTAACAAAAGAAGCAACTGGTGATTGGGAATACTGAGGCTTGGTCTTGCTGTAGTACTTGGTCGACCCACTGGCAAGCAAAGCACTCGGACGTGTTGGTGGTGTAAAGGAGCCCTGGAAATTAGTCGGCCCATTAGGAGTATACTTGTGTCCTTGACCCCAGGCAGCGATAGTAGTTGAGCCGGTGGTTCCAGCAAGAACGGTACCGCTTGCGCCCTTGACTGCAACAGGGACATTGTTCAAAACAATATTCTCTAGAATGAGACTTCCAGTAGAGTTGGTCGAGCTTTGCCAAGCGGTGGTCACGAAAGTTGGAGTGTTTTGAATAGTACTGTCAATGACAACAACTGAGCCAACTAGTTGGTTCCCAACCCCACCATTGTTCATTGAAATGGCAGTTCCGCAGTTGATGATGACGAGACCTTGGTATGTCCATCCCCAGTCCCAAATCTGGGAGATTGCAGTCACTGCATTCTGGATGACCAGGTTCTTCATGGTGAACTGCTGGTTTCCAACATTGGCTCCATAGAGACCACCAGTGATAGTGATATCCGTCAAGAAACCCCCGGAGCCTGCTTGATGTTAGACAGCTTCAAGTCACGTTATTTTCTTTCTTATACATACCATTTTCAATGAATATACCCTGGTGTTGAGTTCCAGAAGCCGAGCTCATCACAATTTGAACATTTTGAATGCTAGTGGCTTGGCCAGTAGGCCAGTGGATACCAGTTGCAGCGGTACCAGCAGGGATTGAAGTCAAGTCCAGTTTCAAGTTTCGAATCTGTCTGAAAAACACATTGGTCGATGTCCAACCCTGGTTCCCATCGCTTTGGTATTGGTCACCATCAATCAGGCCCAACCCGGTGAAACCTGCAGTTGCCTTTAGAACCGGCATGGCATTCGCATTGCCAATAAGCTGGGTGAAATAGTAATCAATAATCGATGTTGAGATGATATAGGTTCCAGAGGGGAAGTAGACTATCGCAGGTGTTGTAGTCGATGTCTGTTTGCCTGCTGGACCGAAACGTCCACCAGCGCTTATGGCTGCGTTAATGGCTGCAGTATCGTCGGTGACTCCATCACCTATGATAGTAGTTAGATTTCGGTAGATTTTGCTGTATTTTTAGCCATAGAGCTCTCACCCTTGGCTCCGTAATCCTTCACGTTGCGGAACACCGTATAGGTAGAAGGGTTTGCGTTGAAAGCCGCTTTCCCTTGGTGAGCAATGTCTGCCAACCAGTATGTAGTATCTGCAGCTGCGGCTTGCGCAAGAACATTTTGATCGGTATTGATATTGACATCGACATCTGTCTCCACAGCTGCAGAACCAGACGCAACCTCCGTAGGTAAATCAACAGAGGTATACTGTTCAAAGGGTTGCATAGCCTCGCTGATTATATCGTCCATCTCGGGGATATCTAGCAGCTGAGCGCTGGCACATGCCAGCAAAGACACCAGGGTCGTTACCTTGGAAAAGTACATCTCGACTTTGAAGCACTGAAAAGTGCGTGCAAGTCAGTGAGAGAGATCGAATGTGGGCCACTAAGGAGGGAGCGTAGGGGAAATCGCCAGGCACAGCTGGCCCCTTATGTATGGCCATATCTCGGACTGGCTAGATCAGACTCACTCGGAGACTTCAATCTGGAATGCACCACGCATGACAAGACAAAAGAGGTGGATCCTCGTCCCTGCAGCCCGCTCAGCTGAAGACATCGATGCCGAGGGATGAGATCCCACCCCGAAATACCACTCGAGCCAGTGAAATAAATTGCGAGTGACTGTATACAGGGTTCATAATTGGCAGAGCACCCCTTTTTGATGAAGTGCTAGAGTTGTCACGCCCTCTACTTGCCTCATGATGCGCAGGTGGAAATGAGTAGTGAATGAATGGCGCCGATCTTCACCCCAAGAGAGATCGGGCCCTGTCTATAGCTGCATGTCAACCAATAGTCAATTCAAGACCACACATCACATTGTGCAGCAGATCGAGCTAAATTGTTAGTTGGGCGGGACATTTCCGAATAGGAATGGAATGTGACTAGTTGCAGGAGTTATTGCAGCCACATTTAAAGAAATGTGACTCAGGGGTTATATCCCGTGTGACAGACAGGGACTCTGATCTTCCCAATTCATGTATACTTTTGATCATCGGCAACATACACAGGAGAGGGATGTTGATGTGCAGACGTTGACTCAAGTAACTCTGATTAACCTAAAAGGCTTTAAGGTCAGGAGACCCGTGGAAATGCCATGCGGGGAAATCCATGAGCCTCTCGCCAATCAAATCATTCATTTCAGGTCACACTCGGACTTTCTTGAATCTGATGTGAATGGTGCGACTCTTCAGGGCGTTTTGATCAGCTCTTTGGATGAGTTCCTTGCTTCGGTCCATATAAATTCCTGATCGTCTCGCGCTAAGCAGCATTAAGGGGTTCAGGATCCGATGTAAACCATGTTTTTGCCAAGGAAACACTGAACAGCTTGCTTCTGTGATTGTCATCTCCACAAGTTGAAGAGATGTAGATACATTTGCGCTCTTGCCTTACACTTGGAAGGATGATGCATATGAAGACCGTGGAAATCCGCGCAAAAAACACACACTATTTGAGATACGCTGGCCCAAAACACAGATGATAAATTAAATATTCCTCAAGAACTGACTTCCTCTGGTAGCTGCCAGAATAGGAGGTGATGCAAGGTCGTCCGAAGTATATAAGTTAGAAGTGACAACGTTATTTGGTTGCCCCGGGATGATGTTTGCTGCTTTCCATACGATACACGTATTAGGGTTCAGTAAGGGTTAACCCTCCCATAATACACGTATTGGATCGTCTTCATAGTACGGAGCTTGAGCCAAGAACACGACACGTGACCACCGCATTTTTACCGCCTTGCGACACTCGGAAAAAAATAACAGAACTCCATCGCGGTGTTTCGACATTCGAGACTTGTATTAACAAGGCGTTCAAGTGAGATCCTCATTCTATCCTCGGATCACCATCATCAGACTTCAACGCTCCTTTACTGTCAGCTTCCTGCGCGACGGCTCGCGAACGTATCACGGAACCGCGAAGATCACCGTGCAACCGCATCGAAGAGTCTCAGAGATAAATTGAGATTCGTACTCTGGAAGATTGTGAATGATCACCTAGAGGTTATTCGGCATCGCGTGGGTTGCTTTTTAGTTGGCGCGGTAACCGAAATCATCCCGCCGAGGCAAGAAGTGAGCATAAGTGAGGAAAGTCCTCACGAGATTCCATCGGAAATCAACTTGCATTGCGCTCGTTTATCACGAACAGTATCAAGATCCAGGATATTGAAGTTGTGTGTCATTTTCATCTTGCCGGACATTGTCAGTGACGATTAACACATCTGGAAGATGTTGAAACGCAATGCCCAGGGGCCTCAGGGGTCCAAGGATGGTGACGGTGGATTTGGGATGGGCACGCCAGATGACAAGCCCTCCAGGGCGACTGCAGCCCAGCTGGCGAGTAGAAAGTGAGTGAAACGGCCTTGCCAAGCAAATACCACAAGCTGACCAAAGACGTACTTGCGCTTTGTAGGATCAAAGATGTCCGTAAACGTCGCGCTCCCACGCCAAGCGGAGGCGCATCTGATACAGGTTCATTCAACCCCTTCGCCTCCACTGCTCCAGCTGCGCCGGCAGCCTCGGCTCCTTCATCCGCGGGATTCACATTTGGTCAACAAAGTCAGAGCTTCCCCGGCGCAAGCGCAGCGCCTGCGCCTACTCAGAGTGGCATGTTCTCATCGGGGGCGAACGGCTCATCTGGCTTCAGCTTCGGCTCTGGTCCTACCTCTTTCGGTTCCCCGCCACCGAGCAATCCGTTCTCTGTGAGCACATCATTTGGAGGAAACACTCAGCCGAGCACCAATGGGTTCAGTTTCGGGGGGTTCAATGCTGGCGGTCAGGGCTCTCAGTCCTTCCCCGGTTTCGGTGCTCAACAGAACACAAGCACGCCAACGAAATCTGGGATGTTCGGGCAGCAGACTGCTGCTTCCCCTGCCGATGACAGCATGCAAACCTCACCGGATGCCAAGCCAAAGTCGATGTTCGCATCTCAGCCAGCTGTCGGAGGAACAGCCCCTACCAATCCATTCGCAACTCTCTCAGGTCAGGGAGCATCCAACATTTTCGCGCCCAAGACAACCACCACAGAAGGGACGGCCTCCAAGCCCGCCGAAGCACCAGCCTTCAAACCTCTCTTTGGTGCTGCAGCATCGAATCCTTCAACAGGAGAGAAAGAGACACCGGCAGTGAATATCTTTGCGCCCAAGACAACCACCACAGCTGAGACGGCTACCAAGCCTGCTGAAACTCCGGCTTTCAAGCCTCTCTTTGGTGCTGCAGCATCGAATTCCTCGCAGGGAGAGAAGGAGAAACCGACAGCGAGCAATCCATTCGCGAATATTTCGGCTCAGGCCTCAACCAGCACCAACCTATTTGGCGGGAAGACACCGACAGAAGAAACACCCGCAAAGCCCACAGAGGCAGCTAAGCCTTTCGGGTCCTTATTCGGGGCAACCACAACGCCGAAGGCCTCAGAGCCTGTTGGCAACTTATTTGCATCCAAACCTGCTGGTGACGGATTGGCACCTAGCAATCCATTTGCGAACCTATCAGGTCAGAGTTCATTGAGTGGTCTGTCCTCACCAAAGGTCAATGGGTCTGAGAGTGCTGCAAAGCCTGTGGCTGAGAGTCCATTCAAGTCAATGTTTGGTGCGCCTGCAACATCGAAGCCTGCGGATGCTGAAAAAGAAAAGCCAAGTCAGTCGGCATTTGGCAATATGTTTGCGCCCAAACCGGCTGCTGATACGGCTGACAGGCCTGCTGAGCAGACACCCTTCACGTTTGGTGCGTCTGCGACGCCGAAGCCTTCAGAGGGCGAGAAGGAAAAGCCAGCATCCAGTAATTTGTTTGCCTCAAAGCCTGCAGCGACTCCATCGTTCGGGTCATTGTTCGGTGCGTCTTCCAGCTTGTCGAAGCCTGAGGAGGGACAGACAACTCCAGTCAAGCCTAGCAATCCATTTGCGAACTTGTCGGGACAAACACCTGCTGGGAATCCATTTGCGCCTAAGTCAGTATCTTCGGAGCAAACTTCAGCTGAAACCCCCGAACCATCTCCATTCAAATCTCTCTTCGGGTCAAGTTCGGTTGCAAAGCCGGTGACAAAGGAAACAGGTGTAGAGGGCAATGATACTGTAAATGCAGAGAAGAAGACCCCAAACAACACTGGTCCTGTGTCGCAGAACACAACTTCAGCTCCAGCCGCTCCTTCCTCCGTGACAGCTTCCGGTGTTCCTTCCTCCTCTTCTTCCAAACAGAGCGCGTCCACGTCTTGTTTACCTGGAACCCCAACATCAATCTTTCCTTCTTCTTCTTCCTCTTCCTCTTCTCTCCCGCCATACATTCTTCCACCAGATATTCTTTCTGCTCCACTGGACTTCTCCAACCCAGACAGTCTTTTACCAAAACCTGACACACCTGTTACCTCTGATCTTCCTGATCTCAACGCAGACATGCCTCTCGGACACTCCCAGTGGGGTGACCACAAGCGTATCAACAACCTTGTTTACTGTCGTTACATGACCCATGCCTTCAAGGCTGAAATCGCGAAGCTTGATCCTGAACAGGACTGTCCCGATGATATCATCATGCTTTACGCTGAAATGCGCCGTAACATTGGTGTCCCAATTGGCTCCAGTGACCTGATTGAACATGAGCTTACCTTTGGCTCGATACGTCCCGACCCTACTCACCCTGAAAACATCAAATCTGCGGCTGAGCGTGCCGCTGCCGCCTCCGCTCAGGATGCTGCTCCTGTGACTGCCACCACCACTTCACAGACTGGTTCTTCTGTTGCTGCCACCGCCGCTCAGGATGCTGCTCCTGTCACTGCCACTACCACCTCACGGGCTGGTTCTCCTGTTGCTGCCTCAACTGCTCCTCCGGCTATGCCTCAGCCTGTGAATGATACCTCCAGCACTGTCGATGCTTTCGCCCGATCTTTCTCATCTCCTGTTCCCGCCACTGCTCCTACTGCCACTGCTTCCACCTCTGCCACTCCAGCCATGTCTGCCTCCGTTAACGGGCTTGCCTCGACTCCAGCTACTACCTCGGCTCCTAGCTTCGGTGCTGGTGGCTTCAGACCCTCTGCCTCTGCTGCGGCTTTCACTGCTCCTACTGCCACTTCTTCTACCTCTGCCACCCCGGCCATTTCTGCTTCCGCTAACGGTCTTGCCCCAACTCCAGCTACTGCCTCGGCTCCTAGCTTCGGTGCTGGCGGCTTCCGACCCTCCGCCCAGGCCCTTGCCGATTCCCAAAAAATCTCGGAAATGCCCAACGATCCCATGTCTGAAAACTCCGACTCTGAAGTCTCCGACTCTGAAGATGAAGATGATCTTGCTTTCAAAGCTAAGGTAGCTGCTCAGTCCAAGATGCGCACTATCTATGTTCCTGGTGAGGGCTTCAAGACCGTCCCAGCTGATGAAGCTGCTCCTGCTGCCCCTGCTGCTTCAACTGTTTCCGCTGCGCCTGCTCCCGCTTCTGCTCCCCCTGCGAGTCCCGCTCCTTCTTCTTCGCTGTTCGGAAGACCTCCCAATGCTGCCCCTGCTGCCTCTGCTGTCCCCACTGCTTCAACTGTTTCCGCTGCGCCTGCTTCCGCTTCTGCTCCCGCTTCTGCTCCCCCTGCGAGTCCCGCTCCTTCTTCTTCGCTGTTCGGAAGACCTCCCAATGCTGCGGCTTCTAGTCTCTTTGGCGTCCCTGCTAGCGGCGACAGTTCCGCTGGCTCGTCCATATTTGGCAATGCTCCTTCCAGCTCAACCTCGTCCATCTTTGGCGGCTCTACCAAGCCAGTTCCTTCTACTCAGAACATCTTCGGCGGACTGAAGCCTACATCACCCAAGCGCAAGGCCGACGATAGCGACAGCGAGGATGACTCCCCGGCCAAGAAGCCCAAGCCTTCGCCTCCTTCTGCTCCTACTGCTCCTCCTGCTGGCAGTCTCTTTGGTCGCATCTCAGCGCCACCTCCATCAAGCACGGGTCAAAACCTCACATGGAAGCCTAACACGCCAATTCAGTTTGGCAACTCACAGCCTGCAAATGGCGCTCCCGCTGCTACTCCCGCTCCCGCTGCACCGCAGCTCGCCACTGCCGCCGCTGATGACGAAGAGGGTGAGCCTGGTGAAATTTTCGACCTTGCGCAGGGCAACGGCGGTGAAGAAGATGAGACCGTCGTCTTCGAGGAGAAATGCCGAGCTTTCAAGCTCACTACTGGCTGGACATCCCAGGCCACTGGGCCTGTCCGCCTGCTCAAGCACCCCGTCACCGGGCGTGCCCGCATTGTTATCCGTGCCGAGCCCAGCGGAAACGTGGTGCTGAACACCCTCCTGAAGAAGGAGTTGGTCTACTCAATGACCACTAACAGTGTTCAGTTGATGGTGCCAGTCGAGGGTGGCAAGGCCACACAATGGGCTGTCCGCGTAAAGCGAGAGAAACTCAATGAGTTTTTCAATCTAGTGCAAGAGATCAAGAACTAGATCTCTTAGTATCTCACTATTATCTTGTCCTCCCGAAAGGGAGTGTATGTTTATGTCCAAGCATGGCCCTGGTTTAATTTGCCTCTCACATTATCATTAAAAATGTTGTATTTCTATCTTCTTTTCTTCGTGCTCTCCTCGCTTCTTGCTGTAGTCAGATCAACTTCCGTTCCTAAGGCCAGTTTCATCTTCAACTGAGACTTCAACTGAGGCTTAAGAAAAAGTTTAAAAAGAAATGGGAAAGTATCTTGCCAGTTTTTATGTTCAACTACCTGGCCAAGCCTAAATTTTTCCTCAGTTGTAGCTCTACTAGCTCTTCCCCTTGCTACATCTTTGTCTGACACTCAGACCTACACGCCCTCCGCTTCCAGCTTTGATCCTAACAAATTCAAGCCCTCCGCCCAAACACTCGCCGGCACGTAGAAGATGGCTTCCATTCCTCCCATAGTTACTCGAGGTAGCGGTTTTTAAGTCCTCTGCTCACACCGCTAAAGCAACGGATAATGCATGAAATGGTACACTCTTTTCGAAGCTTTTTTTGTAGAAGGTTGTGTTGTACTTCATCGCGCGATGGATTCATGATGATCAGATGCGAAAATTGGGCTGTGTAAGTATCAAAGATGATTGTGGTCATGGTTGATCCTGCCTACCGCTCTCAAAACTTATGCAAGTATCAGCACCGAGGGTTTTCTGGTGCCATTTCGAAACTACTGTGGTTCTGGACCAAATGACCACGTTCTAGACAATCCAATAAGTCCGATGACGTTCTGTCTCCTATTCACACATGTCTACGACAATTACAATATAGAATAGATTCAAGGATGCCCCAAAGGGTAAAAGGTATTTTTATTTTGTAAAACCCCGACCAAACCCCAGCTGGGAACATGGAATCATAGATGCAACGGACATGCACACATTTAAGCGTCGTCGACGGTGGTGGTGTGGAGACCCTTGGGGTCCTTGACGTTGACGGCCTGGACGTGGGAGTAGAGGCGCTCCTTGGCGTTCTCCTCGTCGTTACGCTTACGGGAGATGCGAACACGGAGACGGAAGGGGACACCCTTGATGCCGGCCTCCCAGACCTTCTTGTTCAGCTGGGGGTCAACGCGGACGTCCTTGGTGCCCTATATCAAACGATGTAAGCGATCTGTCTCTCACCAAATGATAAGAGATGGGGTAAATTGAAAACTTACCATAGCCTGCTCGGCAAAGGCGCGGATCTCCTTGATGGCACGAGGAGCACGCTTCTTGAAGGAGACACCGTGGCACTATAATTCCGGAAAAGAAGTTGCAATCAGTCTTCCGCCCGAATGCCATCTGCAAGAGAAAACTCTGCGCGATGAATGTTTGTGGTCTTTCGGCCATAGTGGACTTCATAAAACTAATTCTTCTTTTGTGTTCCCGGGTCGGATATGTGTGGATGCGAGCGAAGGCTTTTTCAAGTTCTTCTCTCTAGTGCTTGTCTGTATTGTCAAGGACAAATAACAACGTAGCCAAGTCGAGAGTCATGACTTCACTGCAGTATTTCTCCGCAGATGATAGCGAGGCTGAATAGTGTCGATTGAGATTGAGGGGGTTGTCCCCTCTCTCTCTCCCCACACACACTCATACCACACCACACACACACATTCTGATCCGTAACAAATTCCATGTTTCAGGAAAAAGGTCTTGTTCTCTGTCCATTATGCCTCCAGGGACGCATTCTCATTCGAATCGTTCGCAGGTAGACTTGGGGGGGAGGGTTTCAACATACACGCTTGTGGAGGTTGATGGTGTACTCGCGCGACACCACGTCGGCGATGGCCGAGCGCTTGTTACCGGTCTTGACGTTGGACATCTCTGCGATGAGGTTAGACGAGTTGACGGAGGCTGAGTTGAGAGAGACTGACTGAAGGGGTTGGTCGACGTAGGGTGGATGATCGAAAGCAAAAGTTCGCTGGTCGATTTTCTTCTGTCGTTGTGTGGCTCTCGCTTACCGGTGGTGGGCTGTGATTGGCGGACTTGGGTCCACTTAATTCATTTTTTGCCTGTAAATTAAGGCACAGATCACCTTACTACGTCATCACGTGCCGTATACTACTGTGGTGATATGTTCGAATCGTAGATCCCCATTCATTGTAAAAGTCTATATACTGATCTCGTTGGGCTCGTTGATAGTATATCCCACGTCCTATCGTTCATCAAATTTATTCTTGGCCGGCACTCACATCCGGGTAAAGATCAAATCGTCGCTGAGTGTAGATTGGAATGCTACTCCGGATGTTGGCAACAGCATCATTGGTCAAGTCAGCATAGACAATGGTCTCTTTCTCTTCAGCCTCGGAGAGGATGTTCGCACTGGGGTCGGCGACCAAGCTGTGGCCATAGGCATGATAGGAAGCATCCAGGTCACGCGCCGGACTGCACAGCGCCACATATGACTGGTTGTCAACAGCGCGGGCACGACCAAGCAGAGACCAGTGGAGGGGACCCGTGGTGGTGTTGAAGGCGCCGGGGTAGACGAGCAGGAAAGCGCCCTTGCGAGCGGCGATCATGGCAGCTTCTGGGAATCGAATATCGTAGCAGATGGCCAACCCAATCTTGCCGTAATCCGGGAGATCAATGACGGTCAATTGGTTTCCAGGTGACAGTACATCACTCTCCTTGAACTGGATCTTGCCCGGGATGTCAATATCGAACAGATGGGTCTTGCGGTGGGTGCCGATCAGCTCACCCGATGGAGAGAAGACCAGCGAGGTGTTGTAATATTTCTTAGTTGACGGCTCCAGCTCGGGGATACTTCCTCCAACTAAGTATGCATTTGCCTCGATGGCGATCGCAGACAACGCATGGAACGAGGGCGATTGCTCTTTCGTGGGAGGAGAAGGGTCAAGAGTCTCGGCATATTTAGGGAAGAAGCCCGTGCCATAAGGCGAGTTGAAGCACTCGGGAAGGACTATCAATCGTGCGCCAGCTTTCGCGGCTTCTAGGACTTTGCTCCGGGCATGCAACAGGTTCACGGCCTTGTCCGCTCCTACATATCTCAATTAGCCAAACAGTACCGTGCTAACCCAGAGTCTAGGAAGAATACCTGATGCAAGCTGCACTAGAGCCAGCTTAAGGGGCTGCTTCAAGAATGTAGCCATTGTTGGGGGGATATGAAGGAGAGAAGTTGAGGAGAGTCGGATATCAATGCGGCTGCGGGGGGCGGTCATCGCGCCGATAAGCTTACTCCGACTCGCCGTTCCGATACTCCAACAGATTACAAATCTCCAGCAACTCTCCCGAGGTTGGGGCTCATTTTCTAGTTGGATGATCTTATGATTGTAATTGTGTTTGAGGCGAAATATTTGATTGAATGTTATGTATGGATTTTATGTCTTGGTTCAGGCATTGCCTGTTGAGACAGGTTTCCACTGGCATACGAATGCAAAGCACTCTATAGACTTGTTCAATGAATTTCCGCTAACGTTAGGTGAATTGTAGAATTGATCCAAATATCAGAGCATCCGAATTGTCCTCGCTATTCCACAGCAGTTCCTTGTATAAGTTAACTGAATCAATTCGACTTGAAACAAGTAGATAATCTCATCACATGATTGGGGCCAAAAGATCAAGAACGGACTCCGCTTCCTTTCTCTCTTTCTCCGAGTCACTCGAGCAGCCACCAGCTTATAACTTATTTTAGAGCCAATACTACATGCATCTCCTCCGATCTGTGGAGTATATTGCCAAGACTCCACCATGGAAGACTCGGTTGGCCGCCATCCGACAGCATGTTTGACCTGCGCCAAGGCCAAAGTCCGATGTTCTCCAGAGGCCAACGGGCCGTGTCAACGGTCAGTCAAGTGGCGTGTTACTAGTGCATATACTAAAGCCTCTCAGGTGCCGTCGCTTGGGTAAAGAATGTGGGAATCAACTCCCTGGTGCTCATCGGCGCACAAAACAATCAAAAACGAGCAGCTCGTGAGTTAATTTAGGAGCATGTGGAATGCTAATGATCGACAACATCTGACAGCAAATTAGTGATGTTGCTGTACTGGAAGCGAAACTTGACCGCATGGTCGCTATGCTGGCCGCCTCGGAACAAACTGCTCGAGAACGGGTTGAGGCAGCTTCGACTCCAAGTTCTTATTCTGCTAGGGAAGATAGGGCCGCGTCTCCCAGTGATGTCGACGACCAGCTTTTCGTGGAAGTGTTCATCAATAGAATGCTTCCTCTTTTCCCTTTCCTGGTCATCCCCGCACATATCACCGTGGAAGACCTACGCCGAGACAAACCATTTCTGTGCATGAATATCTCAATGATTGCGTGTCCAAATGCCTCACGTCAACGGGAAATCGCTGACTCAATACAAGAATATGTAGCCAAGCACATCATAATCAAAGGAGAACAAAATCTAGATCTACTACAAGGTCTTCTTCTCAACGTGACCTGGTTCACAACTGTCAGCCGTTTTCCGCGAAACGCTGCTTGCTGTGAAAATAATCCTGATGGGCTGAAATTTGAGCTAGATGCTCGCCATGTTATGCGCAACACTTCTCAGATTGATAATTTTGTGCATCTCCTTGTGGCTCAGTCAGTGGGCTTGGGGTTAAACCAGGAACCTGCCTCTCAGAGACCACTCAACTATCCATTGGCTTATATAAAAGACACTATACAGGGGGATAATCACAATCCCATACGCACATTAGAAGAGCGTCGAACTTACCTGGGATGCTTTTATATGACGACGATGTATGTTCCTAACCACCTAACCAGGCTAAATTTATGCTAATCCACTCAAGGCTCTCTGCGTGTGCGAAAGACTTGGGTACAATCATTCGCTTTACAAAATATACCGAAGATTGTTGCAATGTTCTGGAGCAGGCTTCAGAATATCCCTCCGACGCTTATTTAGTTCAATTGGTTCGAATTATGAATCTTGCTGAAAAGATTCAAAACACTTTGTATCGGACCGAATTTCATCTCTCATCGGCCCCATCCACGCCTCTTGGATTGAGCATACGGTGGCTCGAGGCTGAGCTTAAACAACTCAGAGCTCGCATGCCCTCCGAGGAACTATACTCGAGTAAGTGATATCAGCATGAGCCAGCTGGGCAAAGATTAATGGGTATAATAGCCATTATCTCGTTTCACTGCAACACACTGGAGATCCACCTTTATCGGATAGCCCTGAGTCCCAATCAGTCCGACTCGCACTACGGTGACTATCCTCTAGCAAGATTGGATCTCCTGTACCGCACCCTGGAAGCAACAAGTTCCTTCTTCAAAAGCGTCTTCTCTGTCCCCGCGTCCTTTTTCCCATACCTCCCATTCACAATAATGAGTCAATTTGGAAAGGCAATGATCACACTGTCCCAGCTCTCCCTTTTTGATCATCCAGGTTGGGACCGAACCTATGTCGAAAGCACGGTGGACTTCAATCAAATGGTCAACGCAATAGGAGAAAAATTGAAAGCTAGTCGAAGTTTCTTCGAGGAGGTTCTAGCTAAGAAGTCTGGTTCAACTGAACTACCCGAAATTTTCGAAAGAATGTCACTTCGAGGGCGCATGATGAAGTCAATGCATCAGAAAAGAAAGGACACGCTAGAGCAAACCACGCCCCCAGAAATTATGAATCCTATCGATTTCAACTTCATGCTGGATGCACCTTTTGATATCCTATTCCCGTTTGGTGAGATGCCGGTCTATACGCAAATTGATTGAATTTCGATGCCTTGAGCGGACCAAACGGACTCTGTTCACCCTCCACTCCGTCCGCATGTATATATAAGCCTCTTTCCTCTATCTCGATCTATAAAGGTGACTCGGGACCAGGGCACTATGCTTTTCTAATACGATCAATTCTCTCAAGGTATCATCAACCATTGCGTGCAATACAATTTACATCTCTCATCATGACTATCCATCAAAGTAGCTCACACTTCACCTCAAATGATGCCACCGATATCAATATCTTGCAGGGTAGAATCCCAACAAGATCATCTCCATCAGGAATTTCTGTCTTGATTGTCGGCGCCGGCGTGGCGGGCCTTATGGCCAGCCTAGAATGCTGGCGCAAGGGACATGAAGTCCGAATCATTGAGAAAAGTTCTACACGCCTACTATGAGGCAAGTTGAGTCCATGGCCCTATCATCAGATCTATCAACTGACGGGAAACGTTTCACACTCGAAATCTAAGCGTTTGCTCGCTGCTTGGATCTGGGGGCATGATCCGGAACGCTACGTGATCGAAAACTACGAGAAAGCACTTGCCCATTTGGTTGAAGGTGCACCATTCTCCAATTCCAACATCCCTCCTGGGCATATCTTCAAAACATGGACCATTGATGAAGTGCTGGGCGCTCAGGAACGAGGCGAAGAGATTGAGCTTGGGTGGGGGACTGGAACTGACTGGACATGGTTTTATTACAGTATGTAGTTGATATTGCACATGACATCCATTCAAATCCCCCAACGTATTTGCACGCTTCAAATTACAGAGCCATAGCTCCGACCATAGCGGCCATGCCAGCAACAACGCCAAGCACATTGGATGCAGGCATGACAGCAGCATTGCCAGTAGGAGTGCTGCTCGCCGCGGCAGAAGTCGAGTTCGCATCCGAGCTAGACAAAGCAGTGGTCATCGAAGCAGCAGTCGAGCTAGATGGCGCAGCAGTGATACCAGGAGTCTCCGAACCAGTAGCGGAAGCAGAGGCAGCCGAAGAACCAGACGAAGAGGACGAAGAGTCCGACTCCTCCGACTGAGAAGCAGAAGTCGTAATCGCAGTCGCAGTCACAGCAGAAGCAGAAGTTGTCGCGGCAACAGTCGTCGTAGAAGCAGCCTGCTTGCCATTGGGACCCCAGCCCGAAATATAATCCGGCGTGACCGTAGCGGTGCCGTGGTATCCTCCACAACCGGGCTTGTCGGTCTTCGGAGGCGCGCGACCACCACCACAGTCGAGAAACGAGCAGATTTCGCCAGTGTCTTGGACGTACCAGAGGTAACTGGCGTAGTAGTCAATCACGATTTCCGAGGAAACGCAGCCTTCCAGGTCAGTGCGGGCTGTTGCGAGGTTGGTGAGGCTGGTTAGGCCTAGAAGGAAGGACAGGGTGAAGGACTTCATTTTGGGGAGATACAGAGGGACTGGTATTGAAAACGAGTGATCACCAGTCCAAATAATTAACGAGCGAAGAGGAAAAGAAGGAGTTTACAAGCTGACAGGGGAGCAGGGAACGCCATGGCTTTTGTAGGGTCCCTTGTTTTTTTAGTCCAACGCCACCGGCTTTGAGCTGCCTGGGGGGGAAATTAGCCCTAGACGGAGAAGAGCCGCAGGGTTTTTGTTATGGTTTGCTAGCTCGATTGAGTGGATTTTAGTGGATCTTGGGTGGTTTCTAGCAGATTTAGCAGATTTAGCGTATTTAGCGTGTTGCACTGGGCTTTTGGAGCCCCTGGAACTGTCGCCGATGTTTCCGAGGCCTAAAAATAGCCCCCTTTTTCGACGTTTTGTATGAAGAGTGTGCTTTTCTGAAGCAACTTTGAGTAGATCTGGTATTTTGAAGGCTTGATTGAACAAGAAAAGGGTGTGGTATTGTGGTATCGCTTGACTGGTAGAATTTGAGCCAATTAAGTGAGATCTAAAGCATCTTTCATTGATCGCAAGCAGAACTCATGATTTCAAACTAAACACTAACATGCTAATTGTCCTGGTGTCATACAGTCACTGATTCGATGAGGTATCAATTACTGGCATATCCATCAAACCAGCTGGGCTCGAGCAATGAACACTGTCTTCTCAATAGCCTTCCCACCATGAACAAACTTGACAGGTTTGGGAATGACCTTGTAATCAAAGTTACTCAATCCAGCCTCTTCGAAGATCCTCTTTATATCCGCGCGCGAAAAGCCATGGGTACTAACTGTCCCCTCAGCTCCTCCAAACCCATGAGGACCACGTTCCTGGACAACAAGATCAATGGCCACAAAGACACCACCCATCTTGATATACCTCGCCAGTTGTCGAACGCCCAGTGCGGGATCTTCAAAATGGTGTAATGCCATGCTGACAGCAACAATATCGAACTTGGGCAAATCCGATAAACTCTCTTCGACAACAGGGGCGAGCAAATCCCCTGTACGGCCGACTATCTTCTCGCTGAGATGAGCGGCTTGGGCATTCTTCTCATATTCCACAATCATACTTGGAGATGTATCCATCCCCGTGATATGCGTGAGGAACGGAGCCAGTGCCTAGGGTTTGGTTTGTCAGGCTTTGTTGAGCACAGTGATGATGGATGTGCTTACTAGTGAGACTGCCCCAGTTCCACAGGCATAATCGAGCATACTCACTCCCTCTCCGTCTTTCTTGTCAGCCGAACCGGCCTGGGTGTCGGTCCATTTTTGGCTGAGCCACATGCGGTTCAGTACAAGTTGCTCAGTAAGGACTCGCAGACCTTCGGCAAAACGTTCCTTGTACATGGGGGCCAGATCTCTGTAAGTAGCAAGATTGTGTAAGATTTCTTGGATGCAACGGGTTCTGAATGGGATCTGGGCCTTACTCGAAGTACTTTTGCATCACGTCTTCTTGGAATGTATCAGACATGATGGCGCGAGATTGTCAAGTCGATGGGAGAAGTGAAATAGCAAGAGCAAGCTTGAAATATAGGAGTTGATGAGTGATTGGGATTAAAAGAGTAGTCCTGGTCGAGTGTCTCGTTTTATATGTGGCTCGGCGACATACTCGGATACTTTTTTGGCCCTAACCGACGACTGCGCAAATTGTCTAACTTGACGACTGGGCTAGACCATGGGCATTCCTGATCTATGTTAGTGGTCAGACACGGAGTCATGTTGTATCTTGTAGAGTTACATGCAGGTTATGAGTCAACTCGCTTGCGTGGATATTTGTTCATAGAGATTGTTTAGGGTCTAGACGTTGAAACGGACAGCCCACGCCACCCCAGTGCGTATAGCAAAGTATATGTAGGTCAACTTCATCTCTAAGATACTAATTACATGTGACAGCTTGGACTGATTTTGCCTGGAATATCACGACTCGCCTTCTCAGCCATGCACAACTCGTCGCAAGCGCGAGCATGCAGCATTCACCCCCCACGCGCGATATGTCCTGACCTCAACAAGGTGACCTGCTCTCAAATCTCTGAGGTCAAAGCCTTGACTCTTTTGTTAGAGGTCTTACTATTTGACCTAGGCATGATCAATGTCATAGCATATACTTCCCAGCACGCAGATATATATCGGTTCCATAAGCTAACTTATAATCACTTTTGTATTTCCAACGGTCCAAAGCTCCAGCAATGAGCAGTCAGACACCCAAAGACAAAAGAATCCGCTGTAAAATACCGAATGTAATAAATAGACAGACGTAAAGTCGTCGAAGGCCGTCGAAGCCAAGCGCCTGGGGCGGTGAGTGAGCTTCCCAAACTGCCCAGGTGAGGACATCATATCAGCTCTCCAGCATCAACACCTCAATTCCCGCATCCCCCGAGATTCTCCCCGACTTTTTCGCGAGCTTCAATCCATCAAACTTTATCCGTGACTCTACGAACAGTTCAGCTCTCCGCTATGGAGTCCAAGATCCCCGATTTCCTGGCTGAGCAGCAAGCACAAGGCAGCCCGGAGACGCAACCCTACTTCCTCACCTTTGAAGACCTCTGGGATCGCAAGCTATGGCATCAGCTCACAGACTTGTTGGTCAAGTTCTTCCGCATGCCAGAGAGTGGTCCTCAGCGGTTAGCCATCTTTAAGACCTTCGTGCTCAGCTTTGCCGACCGGATCAACCAGCTCAAGTTTGTGTCGTTGGGTTTGATGACCGCAACAGAATGCGCAGGTCGGTTTTTCTCAGAGTCTCTCGGAAGCCGGTTATCGATAAACCGCTTTGATCGTGTTAATACTGACCATTCTTCAGATGACCAAGAACGACTTAGCTTCCTCACATCCCTCGCCAGCAAGGTGGACACAGCCGATACACAAGATGCATACGTCTATGCGCTCGCCGACGTGGCCAATGTCAAGTTGTCATTGAAGGATTTGGAAGGAGCACAGAAGGACCTGGCAACCTGCCAGCGGGTGCTGGACACTTTCGACTCCGTGGAGACCGTCGTGCACGCCTCATTCTACAAAGTGAACGCGGACTACTACAACGTACGTGAAGCCACCACCTGGTCGAAACATGCGTAGCTAACCCAGCTCATTAGGCCAAACAAGAATTCGCCTCCTTCTACAAAAACGCCCTTCTCTACCTTGCCTGCATAGACCTGGAAGAACTCACCGAGGAAGAGCGCGCATCACGGGCTTACCACCTCAGTGTGGCAGCTCTAGTCTCCGAAACCATTTACAACTTTGGCGAACTACTCCTGCACCCGATCCTGGATTCCTTGACCGAGACCCCTCATAACTGGCTCCGCGAGCTCCTCTTCGCCTTCAACCGGGGTGACCTCACAGCCTACGACGTTCTAGCCGGAAACATCAGCAAGAACAAGCTGCTGGAAGAGCACCGCGTATTCCTTTACCAAAAGATCTCCCTGTCTGCACTGACGGAGATGGTCTTCCGCCGCCCACCACACGACCGCTCGCTCTCCTTCCAGGCTATTGCCTCCGAGACGAAGGTTCAGCCTGATGAGATCGAGCACTTGGTCATGAAGGCTCTGTCGCTTGGTTTGCTGCGTGGATCAATTGACCAGGTTGCTGGTGTCGCACAGATCCATTGGGTCCAGCCTAAGGTTTTGGATATGAAGCAGATTGATGGTATGCGTAACCGTCTTAAGGACTGGGATGCTGGTGTTAACCAGCTTGGTCACTGGATCGAGGGTGTTGGAAAGGATGTTTGGGCTGCATAGATCTTTGATTTGTGAACCATTACATTACTATTATAATGAATACAATGGTGTAGTCTATGGTTTTTATCAGTACTTGACGATTGCTAGATATCATGAAAATTGATGTAACCATGCTAGCAGTATGAAACGAATGAGTAGAGTATATATACTTGGTGATAATGTCACCGGTCATGGTAGATAGGTTCCAGGGCTGGTACATGTAGTCAATAGAAAGAAGATCAATTGAAATGATATTGTTGTACTATAGGATGATGAGCATCGTGCCAAAGTCCACCGACACAAGTCGACCTAGGGATCAAAATGCAAATCAAAACATCGACGACCCCAGATGCACACAACCAATCAACCAAGCAGGCCACCAAACACACCAAATAACGACCTGAGTCCACATCCCCCAGACATCCCAACCAAACGCCGCCTGTGTAAGAACAGTCTCAACGTCAACACCAGCATACCAACAAACACCGACTAACACCGTCGGTGGAGAAAGCAGGTTAAGAAGCACCAAGCCAAGCGCGGCGGTAACGCGGCGGAAAGGGCCTGAGCCCTGGATGCGGGACACGAAGGTGAGCGGGGCGCAGATGAGGCCGATCATGAAGGAGAGGGAGAAATTGAGGGTTGCGAGGGTTGAGAGGGAGAGGCCTAGGAGAAGGAGGGAGAAGGATTTGATGAGGTGATATTGTTGGGGGATTATTGGGGATTTGAGGGCAAGGGAGGTGGAGAGAAGGGTGGACAGGAGGAATGGGAGGGTGATGTCTACTATCATGAAGATGTAGGTTGTTGTTTTGAAGTACTGCGGTAGTGGTAGTGTTAGTGGTTGGGACAGTATTCGTATGAAGTGGGTTTGGGAAGACTCACCTGGTGGAAGATATTGTTGAAGATCCAAAGGGGAGCAAGACCAAGAAGATGGAGACCAACGACGAGTGACAGGGGAAGAGCCAGTTTGCGTTCTGCAATGGCAGTGGGCTTGACCTTCTCATCTGAAGACTTCTTGGTCTCGATCTTGGATTTGGTCTCAGGGTAGTAGCCAGTGCGCATCCACAAGGCAATAGCCATAATAGTGAAGTTGCCAGCGATGAGCATGGCACTTGGAAGGTAAGTTCCAATACTGACAAAACGCTGAGAAGCCATGAGCAAGTAGAAGAAGAAACTCTGGTGCAGATGCTCAAGCAAGTTGTTCAGACTGCGACAGAGACTCTCGATCGTGCGGCCCAGAGCCATTTCGTCTTCCCAGCCCTCACCTTTGGTCTGTAAGGTGATAGCATCAATATGATATGGCATGAAGCTACTATGTGCGCCAGTGGCATACCCAAGGCCCTGCTTGGTCATACCGCGGAACATGGTCTGTAGGCGATGCTCATAGCTGTCGTCGTGGGTCCACATCTCTTGCAAATTAGCCCCGATGCCCATCTGACCTCCTGCAATGGCGACGGCGGTGTTGAACACGTCGAGATTGGGTAGTTGGCCGTTGACACCGTCGTAGACGATATGAAGGGACTTGAATCGGTGCTCGAATGGGTATTCGATTACCAGAGCTCCCTGTAACGCTCCACTTTTCAAGGGAAGAGGCTGCACCGATGCTGGGTGCATGTCATGGTAGGCATCGATCCAGGCCTGCGTGCCGCTCTTGCTGTCGGGAGTAATGAGGAAAATGATATCCTTTGACCACAATGACCATCCTGAGAGCTGTTAGCATTTGTAACCGAGGCGCATATGCATAGAACCTACTCTTGAAGTATCTCGCCAATGTCAAGGCCAAAGTGACACCATTCAGATTCAGCTCGTCGTCTGCCGTCTGCCATGCTGCAACCAAAACAATGGCCTCTGTGGCATCACCACGCGGCGCATGGATAATAGCATAGGCGTTCTCTCCTTGGTGCGTGATACCAGCAGAAGTATACTCGTACTTTTGCGTCGCAACCTTGAGTCCAGCCGCTTGAAAGATAGACTGCACTTTATCCGAGACCCTATCCAGCATCAGCAGTTGTTCAACCCCCCAATGCGATCAACCTACGCCGCGGTCACTTCTGCCTCATCCTTTGACCCACCCCGGTTCTGTCCTTCATTCAACAATCCCTCCAGCTCCCGCTTATATCCACGAAAGACATTCTGCTCGCTGCCGGTAAAATAGGCATGTACCTGGCCTGGTAGGAGCGCATTCTCGGAGATGTAGGTGTTTCGGGAGTACTCGTTCAGAGGTAGAAGAAGTAGCCAGACCACGCCGACAATTATGCAAAGGAAAGAAAGTATATTCGGCAGGCGAACGAAGAGAGTGTGAGGGTTATTCCGCAGATTGCGGATTGCGGCTGGCACGGTGTTAGCTGGTTGCCGCGGAGGACAGGTGGTATCCTAGCTGCAGGACTCACATTTCAACGCCATTGGCTTCTGAACATCGGGGGATCTCTGTGCCACGAAGGCAAGCCCGATAAAGCAAATTGAATGTTTGAGGGTATAACCTTGGAAGCCACCGGGTGGAGATACCTGGAGCTCCGATGTTTATGGAGAAGGGGAATTTACGGACGACGGCAGAACCCAACTGCGCAGTTATGGACTGGACTGTGCACACGCTATGCTATTATCCAATGCCTCCCCCCCCAGATCCTGTAAATAAAAAGACTATGGTGAAAAAATATATACAAGAATAAAAGATTAAGCTCCAAGACGTTGCGATGGGCCCAGGTAGCTCAGAGGTGTTTGCTCGCCAGCTGGGTTAGTGGTAGGAAGGACTCCGTAGCGGCCATAGGTCTTTTGGTCGACGGAGACGTAGTGAGGAAGACGTCCAAGAAGGTTCAGCTTGCCTTCGATCCAGCGAAGAACCTTCTCTGGGGGAACGAAGATCTTGAGGTACCCAAGACCGACTGAGGCTGTCAGTGATGGGGGTAGAATGGACAGGAGAAGAAACTCACGTAAATAGCCGACGAGAATTGCGCAGAGATGGCCGAGGAAGCTCACGTTAGACACCAGGATTGACACAACGACACAGGCCAACAGAGGTGTAGTCCAGGTGGGGATCTTGTAGGGACCGAGACTGATTATTGTTAGTGGTAATTCTGCAATTGTTGGTCGGCAGACTGTACCTGAAGTTGGGGTTAGACTTGTAGGTCTTGATGGCCTCGGAACCCAAAAGCAGGAAAACCCAAATACTAATCATCATTAGTCGAGGAAACCTCAGGAGGAGCAAACAAAGCCTACCTGGCGCCGACTACCGAGGTATTCCTGTGCAGTAGAACCTTCTCAATCAAGATATAAAGACCAGCGGGAACCGTCGACAGAGCTAAATAACCCAGCATTAGCACCTTAACTTTATAATTGCTTTTCTGAAGCACTCACGTCCAACAAACAAAGCAATGGCAGTCAGAGTTCCATGCTCAGCCTCGAAGCGCTCCAACAAAGGGGCAACAGCGAGAGCATTAAACAGAGCGTGGAAGAATCCGGTATGGATGAAAGGGTAGGTATTAAGTCGGTACACTTCGGTCAGTCAGTATGGATCCAATGCGCCCTCAAGCTCTGAGCAAACATACTGGTCCCAAGGTTGATTTCATCCGGTATCAAAGCTCCCCATTGCACAACACTCCACATAGTTTGCAACTCGAGCACCCAGAAGGCTAGGATGATCAGCAACACCAGTCGAGTGAACAGCGGCAACCGGACGAGATAGGTTCGGACCCGACCCGGATTAAAGGGAAGCGGGGGCAAAGCGGCCGGAGTCACCATGTTGTTTGAAGACTGCAATTAAAATGAGATATAGTCTATCCGGTCCAAACTGACGAACGAGTTTGATACACGCGGAAGTGGCAAGTTGGCGCGATTGGAGTGAAACGATCGCGATCGGGAAATGTAAGAGGGCAATGGTTCACAAATTGACTCCTGATTCAAACGATGTCTGTCAGATGTGTCGCTTGTTAGAATTTTCGTTGCTTTCACAGGTCGCACGCCAGCGGTCGACATGCGGAGATCCTAGGGATAACTCACGAAGCGCACACGATCTCTAAAATCGGAGGCTGTCAAAAGGAAAGGAGACTGAAACGAAGCAAAACCGAATAAAACTTGGATTTGGCAGCCTTCAAAAAGACTGGCGAGGACAAGGTCGAGGATGTCGGGCCAATTCGAATGACTTGTTCTTCGGACGCGAGCGTCGGTCACGTGTTGATCTACAGTACATCAAATGGGGAAGTTATGCAGCCTCGAGAATTCTTGCTTCGTACTGTACGGAGTATGCTATTGGAGTTTCACTATGTGTTCTCTCTTTACAGGTACTGGTTGAACCAAGCGACAGACTGTCCAAAGGCCTGCTCCTTAGCCCACTTCTGCTTGGGGTCGCTCAGATCGGCGCGCACAGCGAAGCCGTGGCTGACACCGCTGAACAGGTTGATCTGCCAAGGCTGGGCAGCCTTGATGAGGATTCCCTCGGACTCGTGACGGAGTTCGGTGGTGAAGATGGAGTCGACCTCTGTTCAACAAGTTAGCGGGTGCTTCTCTTGTGAATTCAAACACAAAAACTTACCAGCAGCAGCAATGGAGAAGGGGCCCTGGATAGCGCCGAGCTCCTCGCGGGTCACGAAAGAGGGGTGGGCAGAGAAACCAACGTCGATCTGGTTGGGCTTCAGGTAGCGGGCGACGTACTAACAATGAGATTAGCGACCACAACTCACGGATTCGCATTTCAATGCTCAGAAATTGGATCTTCAGATTTCGACTACACATACCTTACCACCGAAGCAGTAACCAACAGCGGCGATCTTCTTCACGCCGAGAGTCTCACGGACGTACTTGAGGGTCTTCTCCACAATAGGGCCCACGACCTCAGGCTGGTGCTTAGGCAGCCAGCTGGGGAAGTCAACCTTGCCAGAGTCCATGTCGGCAACGCTGATCTGGTCACCGTTGAAAAGATCCGGGATCACGGTGAGGAAGCCATTGTTGGCGAACTCGTCAGCGAGGAGCTGGGAGTTGCTGAAGATACCGAAGATATCAGTCAGGAAGACAATGGCCTTCTCGGGGGTCTTGTTGTCCTTGGGGTAGACCACGTAGGTGTCGACTGCGGACCATCAGTGACTGTTTGGAAAAGACCCGACATCGGCACTCTGCATTGGAGGGAGGTCTCTTACCGCCGTCAATGTTCTTGGTCTCGCCGACGGGAGTACCCTCGTGCTTGAAGCCAGAGGCGCAGCAGGTGCTAGGGGGGTTGGAGGCCATTTTGAAATCTGTATGGGGAGTAAGAGATTAGAAGAATCAGAAACTAAAGTAGGACAGCCCCTCCTATAAACGCTTAGCCGTCGCATTGCAGCATTTCATCATTGGGGCTCCACTTGCCCCTCGTAGCATGACTAAGTCTTAGAAACCATTCAACGTTCCTAGATTAACCCTAAGTAAACACTTTTCATTGCAGAGTTGGACAAGATATAGTCATGCTGAAGATTTGGAATGTTATTCTCGTACTCAATTTTGAACACGAGCAAGCAATACCAAGCTAGGTCAATGGCGTCCCACTGTGTCTGTGCCTGAGCCGTAAGCCTTGATTAGCCCTGATTAAGTTAAGTTACTGGTCGGCAGTCGGCACGGCGTTAAGCTTTAACTCCGCATCTTTAAAATTTCAGCCCAAATGTGGCATACTGAGGGACCGGAATGAAAGAAGCTCTCGTAATTTCGTATTCTCGTATTGAGGACCACGGTTAAATCCAAAATGACAGTTACATCTCGTATTCCAAAATCATCTTGAATAAAAACAAAAAAGAAACGTCCCCGGGAAGGCTCGAACTTCCAACCTCCTGATTAACAGTCAGACGCGCTAACCAATTGCGCCACGGAGACGTACTTGTTGCCACCAAACTCCCCCCCGAGGATCTTATTCTCTTGAACCCTTTTGGGCCTTTCACATTGACATTCATTATAAACCATACTCTTTCTTGCCAATGAACTTACTTCATAGTCGAGTTTGTAAACTGCTGGTGAAGTTGGTAATACCGCAGAGCTCAAGAAATGCTCTGATGACTTGCGATAGTCATATACATCCTGGATATACAGTAGCCCTATAGAAGGTATATGATTCGGGCGGACTGCCAAGCCCATGCAAGTCAAAGACAGCGGAGTCAAACTATACGTCCAAGTGGATCAATCCACATCCAATAGACGGCATTCTTCAGATAAATAAACGTGACATTGCATTATTTTTCAACATCTGTACCACATATATAGGGGAAAGCCCCTCTTATTACCACATTAGACCATCAAACATATCACGTCGACTGTCATGTCTGAAACAAACATGATATCATCAGGGACAGGAAACATATGCAAAATCATACGCACGGACTCCGTATTCCCCGGACAAGAGAACAAAAGAAAAACAAAAACAAAAACCTCATTGGAACAGGGGTATCAAACGAAAGCCAGGGCAGATTATTCACGGGAAGCGGAAAGTGGGCTGTGAGCGCTGGGTACGCGTCATGGCCCAGGCTTTGAGAGCAATGCAGAGAACACCGTAGGCCATGATGAAGGCGCTGAAGCCCAGGCCGACGGTGAAGGTGAACATTGCGTCTATCGAGTAGTACTCCATTGCTTCAATGACATTGCGAGTCTGGGGGGATTGGTTAGTATCACCGTGCAAAATGGAGGTAGGGAGAGAGAAAGAGTGGCTTACGCTCATCATGAAAATGAGACCCCCCGAGATCAGACAGAAAGATGCGATGATTTCTGTTGGGGGTCGAGCGGGGAGGTATGAAGTTGGTGGCTTGAGGAACATGAGGACGTATGTCATGCCACGGGCTATCGCGAAACCGACTAACAAGTTGCCCCATTGCTTGTGCACCATTGTCGAGGTCATGCTGGTTTGATGATGTGAGCCCATCATCATACCGAGCAGCATAATGACAAGGGCTGGCATTGGGTTCAGGGAGACACGCTGAGTCTTCGGTGCTTGCCAGGCTTCATCCGATGAACCGCGGGGGATTTGAAGAATGGTAGCGTTGAGCCAGTCGCGGATGGTGTTTGACTCGAAGAGCATACCAAGCTATGATTGTGTGAGTTGTTTGTCGCTATGTAAAAGAGATCGGCCAAGAACTTACCAGACCACCACCGAAGAAAAGCACGGAAATCGAAACGTGTTCGAGATCAGTAGGAGACCATTCACCACCAGCATTGGACATATGTTCCAAGAAGACATTGGTCACTCCATAGAGGAAAATGACAAAAGACTCCGTTGCCTCGCCAGTGGGGATTCTAGCCTTCCAGGCACCGATAACAGACGCCGAGGGCTTCTCGTTCCAGGCCCAGCCCAGATCCGCCCAGCAGCCGACATAACGTCCAAGAGTGAGAAGGCCGTACCAAAAGAAAATGCCACCCTTGATCCAGTGAGCAAGTCCGTTGAAGATCTCATGGCCTCTCATGATACCACTGTAAGCAATTGCGCCAGTTGCCAGAGTGGCAAAGCCAAAGGGAAGAATGATACGATCAATAATATTGTACACGACGTTCAAGCCACGGAGAGCGCGGCTGGACATCATATCAGGCACATGTTCAGTGAGGAAACGGCCAACATTGGTCTTTTGGAACCAGTGACCTGATTTCGAGGGCTTTGGAGGCAGCTCTTCGGGCTTCTCGAACCCATCATCATACCCAGACCATTCACAAGACGGCGACCCGGGACCCCGAATGGAAGGTGAATTGCTGTCCGTTCCCTGGCCACTGTCACGAGACCAGCGGTATTCGTGCACAGCACCGTTGGGGTAAACGTGTTCGTGTTCGTGTTCGTGTTCGTCAGTCGAAACCGGCAGGAAATTAGCATGCTCATACTTGGCAACAGTGGACTGCCCCCGACCAGCACAAGTGAAGATCAACGCCAGGATGACCTGCACTGTGATCACTGATGTAATAACCCACCCAATCTTGTGATGAGCGTTATTTTCGTAAAGGTCGGGTGTCTGGTCGTTATAGATGATGCCGAACAAGAGACCGAACGCGTTGAACACCAGGAAGAGGAGCTGAGACGGAAGCGCTATGCGAGAGCGCGCAATACTGAGCATCACCGCTAGACCCCGAAAATCAGTCTCATCTTCATCTCGTTATCCCGGGTTCGCAAGCGACTTACCAACTGGAAGAACAAAGCACCAGGCCACAACCATCAAAGCAATATGCGCAATAATCGAGCTGGAGTGCTTTCCATACGCAAAATAGCTCATCGGACCACTGGAGGTGACATGTGCCGTCGGAGAAGACTGTGGCACGGCCGTGCTGGCACCCATGTCCATTCCCATATCCGTTGATTCATCGTCCCCATGAGGGATCGCGGTCGCAAGTGCAGCGAGGCAAATAGCCGCCCAGGCGACTCGAGGAGCTATGTGCCGCATCGAGAAGATTGTATATGCAGGGGAGAATAAGACCGCTCGACTGCTATGTGCAGAAATGCAAGATCAGGGAGGTAGAGCTCCAACCAGAGGGTCGAAGCTCTATTGAATCGTGACGTAAAGATGCTGCCAAACCCGGTCACAGGGCCCGCAATTATGATTATTTGTATAGTGCTCTATGACGGACTTGATGTCATGCACGTATGTTGGTGAAGCTAGAGCTAGAGCTGGGAGCTGGAGCTAGAGCTGGAAGATGGAGTTGTACTGGTAGGGCTGAGAAGTATACAGCGACGGGGTCCGAGAGGGAATGCGAGGTCTACAAAGATAGGTGGGGAGGGGAGGGGGCTTATACATATAAAGCAATGCAGAACCCAGGTAAATAGTTTAAAAATTAATCAGAAAAAAAGCTGATTTCCAATGCTTCGGATTTAAAGGGTGCGTTTTTTCCACGCACCCGCAGTTCGCTGTCTCCATACCTGGATCCGTGATTCTATATCTTCAGTGACTATCTTTCGCTATTGAATATCTCCAGCTTATTCGGAGGCGGTTTGAAACGGCCAGAGTGATCTTAGTTCCTCCCCCTCCTCTCCCCCTTACAATTTGAAGTGTAGAATGAAACCACAAGAATGTACAGGGCTGGACACGATAACGTCTCGATAGAATTTACTCATCATTTTAGCTTCGGGAGCGTCGGGAGCCTCTCTGACTTCATCCTGATTGCATGACTGCATTGACCACTGGTCCAAGTCTACTGTGCAGTAGACGCTACCCTTGTCCTTTGTATCGGACTGTGACGTAGTCGATCCCCCGAAAGAACTTGGATTCACCGCTTGACGGATTTTCCCTCTCTCGTCCGGGCGGATTGGCGTGGATTTGCGTGGATCGACGTGGATAGCCCCTAAACTTGGTTGAACCTAGTTCATGCAACGTCCAGTTCTAGCCCTACACAATCCGATAATCGAACTAACCACCCATGACGTTCAAGGCACCAGAATGTAGGGATCTGTTCCCCCAATCAGCATGGAGCGAGAGATTCCTAGCGTATGAATCACACCCCCTTGTCAGCTGCTCCTTTCACATCCCTGTCTCGGCCCTCGCTCTCAGCCCTCCGAGCCGCACTTTTGAAGTTCCAGACTAGTGGACATGGAAGGAACCGGTCTCTCCGGATATATCAACGACAAACTCGGAAATTGGACGGACCTCACGGCAGAACGGCAGGACGTCGGCAGGATGGCACTACGATAATTACCCAAGACGGAGTCCATTCGCGAACCTGTTAGTCAGTTCGGGTTTAGCTGGAGCTCGCACCTGTGGGATACTCTATATACTGTAGCGGGAAAGTGAATCCTTCACCATCAGCATGGATGACAAATTCAATAGCTGCACATTCGGGCATGTGCATCGCATCAGGTGGCATTCATCGATACCAGATCACCTCAATAAGCGCGCTCATGGCCTGTGCGAGCGTGCATCGCAGTGCCAAATCCACGACTTTTTTCCCTGAAGAGATCTCGTACAGTCGAGGCCAAGCCCGAATCCGAACCCGCGGGTCTTGGCGATCGGCATCCGCGGGCATCCGGCTCTAGAACTGGAAAGGCTGGTATAGCCACGCACCGGATCTGCAACTAAGCTGGCTAAGACCGACCAGTTTCCGAATGCCTCGTGTTTTTGAGCTGTCATATGACTCACGCTGCTTCAGGAGTGGCTGGCGACGGCCTACTCGACTGGTCTGCGGGCACGGTAGACTTGCTCTGCACGGATAGCGCTATAGATCATACGGTGTGACCTAAAGCCACTCTGCATGCCTTGCATTGTCATCCATGTTGTTTGTCCCCAATGGCTTCGAGGTAGTAAGCACATGGAACTGCACTGTGGCTAGCTTGCAGTCACTGATGACTACCGGACGTGTACGGACTTACAGTACACGGTATCAGACCAGAGGTACCCGATATTTACACCCAAGATCAACATCCTACAGCACTCCATGTAAATGTACAGTAGAATAGCACCAGTGAGAAATACGGAATCCGACTTGTCACGGAGAGCGATCCCAAGCCGCTATACTTTCAACATCAAACGATCGACATCCCCACAGATTCGAAGGATATCTCCATGAAGGGCATAGCTACGGAAGCCCGGCACTACGACTTCCGAGTCTCGGGTTTTGTCAAGCCGTTCGCCAGGGGTAATTGGCGCCCAAAGCATCGCCTGAACGTGTTGATCAGCACCGGTGCATTTCGGCATGGTTATGAATGCTATTATGTGCATAATTGTGATTTTCAAGAATGGCTTGTTTACCCCGGATACTTGTAATTGACTAGTCACTAGACTGGATGTCCGGAAATTTACTTGGACTCTGTACTTTGTTTAGGGGCATTAAATGCAAGACGATTGGTTGTCTAGAGGATCATCCATCTTCCCATTGTTTCAACATAGGACAGGGTATCGCACGGGCAATAGAACCTGAGATTGTCGACCGAGTCTGTCCCTACCTTGAAGTTGAGTGTACAGAAAGATGAAATTATACTGGACAAAAGATTGGTGCTTTTCTTTTGTTTTATTTTTCTTGAGATGTTTCATTGAACCTGGTCGACCTTGCATCGAAAGGGGCGATCCTTCAAAGCAGTTCAGTTGATAGGTTTTTTTTTTTTTTTTCAGTCTGTTATGTTCCTCTGGCTAATTGTTACATCCAAGAGTGATTTCAAGAATAAAATGAGAGAGAAAAAGAGGTTCAAAGCAAAACTTCATCATGCGAAGTATACAAATCCTGCCTGAGGCACATGATTACATGATCACCCCCATAAGCGAGTCCGGGTGGCCCGTGCCCTCCCCGTTCGGGAAGCACACAACGCAAAATTGAATCTAAGCCTTCGACTCTTCAACACCCAGCGCCGCCGACTCTCGTCTCGTCAACAACCCCGTCAACTCCCAGGTCCCGCCTTCAAAACCTCAAGATGACTCACGACAGCGTTTGGTACAGCCGCCCCCGCAAGTAAGTCAACCCTCAAGCGCACACAGGCACTCCCAATCTCGAAAAAAAAAAGATCAAGCTGACTGGTTCCCGATAGGTACGGCAAGGGCTCCCGCGAGTGGTTCGTTCACCCTATATAAATCCCCGAGCATGGAAATAGACACGACACCGAAAGAGAATGGACGAAGCGAACAAGGATATGGAATGGGATTTGCTAACTTGTGTTCGATGAACAGCCGTGTCTGCACCCACCGCGCCGGTCTCATCCGCAAGTACGGTGTATGCATACCCTTCCCGACATTCAATTTGAATGTCTGATGTGGCATTGGGGCCCAGTGACTAACATGGATTCAAGATGAACATCTGCCGTCAGTGCTTCCGTGAGAAGTCCACAGACATCGGTTTCACCAAGGTTCGTTTACCCTCCATTCGACAATTCCAATTACAATCCCAATCCCTTTTCGAATACACATTACACAAGTCCCCGACCCGAGACTTCGACCGTGGAATCCAACCATATCGCCCTCCACTACACACAAATCCATGTCCACACATGTTCACAAAGGACCAAAACTAATAATGTACCCCAACAGTTCCGCTAAGTGCACCAAAAAACCATGTCCACCGACACCCTCCTCTCGAACCGTTCACATCCACGAAATCATCTACGTGCCCGGGTCGACAACGGGAAAACGTCCAGTGTGGAGGAATGTTTCAGACGAGCTCAAAAATGGCGTCTTTGATGTTTCTTTGATGTTTTGATGCAATGGAAAGATGTCGGAGACGATGTCTCGGATGTGGATTTTCGTTTTTTTAAATTCACATTTGGCTCGAGTGGAGGTTTTGGGGGTTGTTGTCAAGAGTCGTGAAAAACGAGGATGTCATGTTATTCCCGAATCCTGGTTTTTTTTCCTTATCCTATTTCAATGACGGAATTTTCTCTGGGATTTCTTCCATTTCTGATATATTCACTTGGCTCGATTTGAGATGAGAGATTGCAGGGGTCTGGATTTGGGAGGATGGAGTGATGCTCTACTTCTCTGCCTCACCCTGGTCTTTGATTGTAGATACTGGCTCGCATCGGATGGACATTCCATAGGATTGTGCCTTGTGTCCGTGCATGCCACTTCGTAGGGCTGTAAGCGTCCGTGGGTCTATATACTGCAGTACGCCTCAATGCTCTCCAGACACAACTGTCAAGACTTTGGTTTACTACACTGTCGGACTACGCCACGAATGCTCACCACTAAATCAAATGATAAAAGCATAATCAATTTCATCGAAAATAAACCCCAGGTTCTAAAGCTGTACAATGCAACTTGAAGCCAAAAAACGCCATCCCTTAGTTCCATATTGATGATAATTATTCTCCTGGGGGTTTCTTTTTCCCTTTTCCAGCCTTGCAGGGATCTGTTAGTATGCCTCTTGTCAAAGCAGCGCCTACCGTCGCCCTTCAGAGCGAACAGAACGAATGCTATAAAACAAGAGATAAGCGTCCTGGCGAAGGACATCCGCAACGCTGGCGACAGTGACTTTGTTGTCATCCATCAGTACCCACTGGAGCAGAGAATATTAGTATATGCCCTCGATAGATGTGAGGAGAAAAAAAGGGGGCGTGTGACAAACCTTGTCGCTGCCAAGACGAGTATAGGCAAAGTAATGACCGGTGTCCATAGTTCCTTGATGAACGATGACGGTCGAGAGGTCGTAAATGTATTTGGACATGTCAACAGGCTGGTTATCCTTCTTCACGGTATAAGGTAGCATGTTGACTGTCAGAGGGAAATCAATATGGCCATCCATCTTCTCGGACGAGGCTGAAGTGTGTTCATAGCGCTGTGGAAGCAAGTCAGCATGAAAAGAAACGAGACTGAATTACATTGATATAGCACGAACCTTCAACTGCATGCACAGTATGACAGGCAACTTGCGGATCTGCAAACGCTTCGAAGCGCGCTGGGGAGTGTTGCCACACTTCTCGCAGTGATATGGTGCATCGGCGTGGAGATCTTCAGCCGCCGTGAAGCTCTCGAGGCATCCTATCAAAGTAGCAGTAGAAGCAGCAGTGGCACGACCCAGCTTGCGCTTCTTAGTCTGGAGCTGGACGTCCAGACTTAGGTCGGCCATTGGGTCGTGGGTATTAGTTGTCTGGCCGCATTTGTGGCACATGACGCTGCTGCGCAGCTCGCCGTAGAACATCTGATGGAAGAAACAGGTGCATTTCTTGTCGTAGCTCTCGGCGTGGCCGGGCGTGCAGGAGTGGAGACCATTGACTAGGAACTGGAAGTATTCGTGTGCATCTTGCTGGCGGTATCCAGCCATTTCCTGGGAAGAAAGAGATCAGCTGCTTACTCTATCTGTTCATCCGATGTTACATACCTTGGACATATCCCAACCATAGTAAAGAAGGGTGGCAGCTGATACGGCCTCGGCTCTCTCGCCGCTATTGAAATCGGTGAATACCTCGGCGGTCGCACAGGCAAGACAAGATGGCCTCTGGCATGTGTGGACGTCATGTCCACCCGCTAGGAAATAGGCATTGAGACTTGGATCATGGAGGAGGGCTTGGAGAATGACGGCTTGGTAGCAGGTCTGACCCATGTTCCAGACGCCACGAGCGCCTCGTTTCATGCATGGGTTCTTGTAAGCGTTGTTTTTGACATACACCTCGGAGGCCGAGTCCTCGGCCCAAATAGCTCGACCTTGGAATTGAAAGTCAGTTGCTGAGAAACCCCGTATATTGAACATTGTGGGATTGTCTGAACTCACCACCGATTTCAAACTTTCCTGATGGACCGCGGATTCTGTCCAGACCATGGTCATAAATGAAATCTTTGCAGCTTTCACAGAAGAGATAGCGGCTGCGTGATTCCATATCTGCTGTGCGTTAGTAAAGAACAGCCGTGAAGAGTGGTGCTAGCATACAAAACTGATGTCCGGTCTCCGAGGTATGAGCCTTTCGTTTTGTACTCAAGCAAATTTCTGAGCAGCTCAGGCAGTGATACTTTGGCTTCAAGGACTCGACTGTTCGGAGGCCGGTAGTTGGAACGGCAACCGTCTCGGTCTTGGAGTACGGGGCCAGCATCCTGTCATGCTTGCGAAACTCATTCTTGAACTGGCCAGCAGTCTTCTCGTCCTTGGAGAGAAATGCAGCAAGATGTTCTATAACAGTCAGCTTGAAAGTGAATCAAGACCAAATCTAGTACTGACCACAGCCGAATGCCGCCTCGGAGAGAATTTGCACCGAATCGAGAGTCGCCATATTGGAGATACGGCGCAGGCAATCGAGGGGCAGGAGGAAAAACCGTAGGCAAAAAAGAAAAGATAGAAGTATGAAAAGATGAAAGGACGGAGAGAAACAGATGATAGGGATAGAATCAGATGTAGCAAACAAGTGATATGCAATGGCATGCGAATAGGGCCAATCCAAGCTCCCGCTATTCAGAGGCTTAATGCGACGATACCAGATCCAAGGGAGAGGGATCAAAAGCAACCCAGTACGGTCTCAAGGACTCCCCCTGAATAGGGCCAGCATTGCAACTAGAGAATGTCAGCTGCGATTCATACAATATAGACCAAAGGGCTCACAATGGCCAAACGACAGGAGAGACAATAGCCGGATGAATAGAGTCCAGTTGTCGTAATGGACATCCGATCCCGGTGAATAGCAGTCTCGTCCACAAACAAATTACAATCTATGCCAATGGACAACACAATGGAGGTCTGATGTCTGGGGTTGTCGGAGGTTGCGGGCGGTGGTTTTTCGCCCCTCCGATTTACCGCCGGAGATTGGCAGAAGCCCAGTCGACAGGCAGTAGAAGAGTCGTGCATACTCTCGACTCGCAGATGGATTTGACTCGCTAATAGTCTCTTCTTATGCTGTACAGCCTGCTGCAGTTACTGATATAGGGCTAAATAATGCTGGCTAAGCGGGAATCATAAGTTTGTAGATACATGGTCTCTAGAGGACAGAGGGCATAGGGCAGAGGGCACAAGGCATAGAAGCAAAGCTCAAGTCCAGTATAGGTGATCTATCGCATCTCTCGCAACATCACATAGACTATCACTGGATCATGCGCATGGCCTGTCATATGGATGACTTGCGCTATGCTCCGACATCTATGGTACGGTCACATCTCGTCACATCGTAAAGGTAGCTGTTTTACCTCGTCCCAATTCCTCTGCCCCGAGGCAGCGCACTTGGCCGAGCACCGCGCGCAGCCCCGCGTGCTGTCCCTCGGGTTGTGTACCGACTAGTCGCGCCGCCGCGAGCACTACCAGTACCGCGCGTTGCGACGCGCCCGCCTGCACTGTACTTGGAAGTGGGTTTCGACACGGTGGTGGGGGGATTCTCAACAAAGGTAGTATCGGTAGTCCTGTCGAAGATGACCAGCAGTCAGCAAGAGTCACTTATTCCCTCGTCTAGTTCAACGGCCAACTCACATGAAAGTCATCTCGCCGTCATCAATCGGTCGCACCGGTTCTTCTCTCTCCTCTGTAGAACTAATGAGCAAGACTTCACCGTGACAAGGTTCTAATGCCCTGCTTACCTTTCTCTTCCTCTTGCTGCTGGGCTCTCTTGAACGAATCACCAATAGGTGCCTACCCAAAGCATCAGTACCACGTCGCGCATTGTCCAGCCAAGCCTCGCTCATACCTCAGGAAAATCCACACAGAACGCATTCATATTCAATCCGTAGAGGAAACTCGCAAAGCTCTCGCTGAAACGCGTCAAGCTCTCGTGCATCAGCTGTAGGTGCATGAAATTGGCCTCTAGATCGGCCATGGAGTCGGCCAGCTCGGCAAATTGAGGTTCCAAGGCGTTAATGGCTGGTTGTGTGTATCCTGCAGAGCCGATGTTGCTTCCATAGCCGTGAGCTTCTCGTAGTGATGAGCGCGAGCTTGGGCGGAGGGGTGTTGTTGGTCGTGAGGAGGGTCGAGGGCGTGAGGTTGATCGTGGTCGGTCCATGTTGTATGGGTTGAGAAATTGTGAGTTGGTTGAAGGCCAGAGTGTAGAACGCGACGAATTTCGTCAAACTTGGGGGTGAGTTGCGGAGGGGACGATCAAGTAATCGGGGCACACACGACACCATCAAACTGAGTAGGATTCGGTGTTGAAGTCGAGTCTATCTGTATTTTTGTTAAGGAAGTTTCCCCGTGGATCTTTCTATACAGGAATTCCAAGTCATTGTCCGTACTTCATCAAGATCTTCCCCCGCATCGTCATCTTCTTGATTTGCCTCCTTCGATCCCGGACTTTCTTCACTTATACACTACACCGCAGCCACACCCTCACCCTGCATATGCGTGCTGGTTCGACTCTCTGCCGTTTTTATTCCTCGGCCAAACCCTTCCCTCGACGTTCTTTTCGACTCTCCACCTATCCAGAACCAAGGAAGGCCTCGTCTTTTTGGACCATCTCATTCACCCTTCTTGCAGTTGGAGGAGGCGCCTGGCTCCAGGACAGATACTACAACCCCAAGACAGTCGACGCTCCATCGCCTAGACTCCCTCGACAAGAACAATCCCAGAACTTCCTTGGCGTAATTGATACCCTCACGATGCCCGCCGAACCAGCCCCCGGAACAGTGGGAAACCTCACCCCGGAACAAGAGATCAAGTTGAAAGAATTCTGGGTCCTCGCACTGAAAGTCTTTGGCCTCAGCCTCAGCGACATCGAAGCCCCCAGCCGTCAATCGACCAGCGAAGCCGCCGCCCCGGCTGCACAAGACAAGAAGAAGTCCAAGGGCAAGTGGTCAATCTGGGGCAGCAAAGATGAAGATGACAGTGCTGGCGGCTCGCCAATCGCCACACCCGAAGGCGAGGACAAGTACGGTCAGTCAAAGGAGTACAAGCAAGCCCTGGAAGACATGAAGCCAGAGGAAATCCGGACAGCCTTCTGGAGCATGGTGAAAGGCGACAACCCCGACAGCCTGCTGCTGCGCTTCCTGCGCGCGCGCAAGTGGGACACGAAGAAGGCGCTCGTGATGCTGATCTCGACGATGCGCTGGCGCCTGCAGGAGATGCACGTCGACGATGATATCATGCTCAACGGCGAGGCGCTTGCGCTGAAGCAAGCACAGGGCTCGAACCCGAAGGAGAAGAAGATGGGAGAGGATTTCCTAACGCAGATGCGTCTTGGAAAGAGTTTCTTGCATGGGGTTGATCGGGCTGGTCGACCTATTTGTGTTGTCAGGGTCCGGTTGCATAAGGCTGGTGATCAGGATAATGAGGGTCTGGAGCGATTCACGGTTTACACGATCGAGACTGCGCGCTTGTTGCTTGCGCCGCCGATTGAGACTGCTACGATTGTCTTTGATATGACGGACTTTGGTCTTGCTAACATGGTATGATTCCTACGTTGCCCTTGTTTGGTATGGCAATGATACTGACATCCCCTAGGACTATGCTCCTGTCAAGTTCATGATCAAGTGCTTCGAGGCCAACTACCCCGAATCCCTTGGTGCCGTCCTCATCCACAAGGCACCCTGGCTCTTCTCGAGTTCGTTCCTCCACTCCATCCAACCCAGTCCTATTCTAACTGTTACGCAGGCATCTGGAGCGTGATCAAAGGCTGGCTCGACCCAGTAGTCGCAGCCAAAATCCACTTCACGAAGAACCGCCAAGATCTCGAAAAGTTCATCCACCCTAGCCAAATCATGAAGGAACTCGAAGGCGACGAAGACTGGGAATACAAGTACGTCGAGATCCAGGGTGATGAGAACCCCAAGATGGCCGACAAGGAAACCCACGACACCCTGCAAGCCGAGCGTCAACAGCTGGCCAAGGAGATTCAGGACATCACCATCGAATGGATCCGCGCCAGCTTCAAAAAGGAGACTGCTGCTGTCTCGGCTGCCGAGGAAAAGCGTAATGAGTTGGTTGAGAAGCTCCGGAAGCAGTACTGGGTGATTGACCCGTATGTGCGTGCTCGCTCGTTGTATGACCGAACTGGGATTGTGAAGGGAGATGGGAAGATCGAGTTCTATCCTGATGCTAAGAAGGATGCATCTGCATAGTTGGGTCGAGATTGGCTTTGGTTGATGCTATGTTGATGTCTTGGATTTTTGTTATGTTGGATATTTAGAATCTAGTATGGCATTTTTGTAGTATATACAGATACAGATATGATTTCTGGGTGACTAGAGAATATACATGGTTTTAATTGGTGTTGTTTACGAGTAAGACATTGTCTACACTGCGACTTGAATGGGTATAACCGAACTGGGATTTCAAACTTCCAGTCTGTCATTCATTGGCTTTTAATCCGAAATTCACAGAGCTTCAATCTTGGACTTGATCTCCTCGTGAAGAGCCTTGAGCTTGTCCATGTCGGTTGCCTGGGTAGGCCAGCCAATGGACATACCCTCCTCCTCGTTGGGCTTGGGGATCTATATACTTCGTTAGTATGCAACCCAACATTGATCACAGGGCCTCGTAGGATTCTTTGATTCAGTATATATATGACATACCATGTGGAAATGAACCTACATAAAGGCGTCAGTAGAGCACAACATCAGATGACGGGATTCAAACATACATGGTCAACAACCTGGTGCGCAATGCGGCCATTGTTCTGAAGGATGTTGAAATCCGTAGCACCAGTGGCCTGGGCAATCTTCTTTGCAACGGGCTGAACACCATCTGGTTAGTCACTTTCTTCATAGCCCAGGGACCTTGGAGGTCAAGGTCCCCAGTGATACAACCCCGCGTCGATCACAAGCCGAGTGGGCAATATATATTCTCTTTCTGTTTGTTCCTTTCCTATACGCCTTCATTCCGCGAATATCTATCCCTCTCACTCTGTGGGGTTATGATTCGAACCACTTACCAGAATCTCAAGCAGGTCCTCGTCGGGGATATCAGTCAACTTGGCGCCGTGGTACTTGGGGATGACGAGCTAAGATCCTGTCAGTGAAATCATCCTCGTCTTGACCCGATATCCACCAATGGAAAATGTTTGTCGTCGAGTCGGATAAGAAACAGCTTCAACTTCACCATGGACAGTGAATGCGGGGAGAGGGAGAAAATGCGTACCGCATGGCCACGGCTCAAGGGCTGGATATCAAGGAAGGCAAAAACCTTGTCGCTCTCGAAGAGCTTGAAGGAAGGGATATCACCTATTCAATGGGCGTGTCAGTCGAGTCAATTCAATCAATTCAAAGACTGCAATCGATGACGTCTGGTTTCTTCACGGCGAATGCGCGAACACCGAGTAGGAAGGGGGCGGAGTGATGGCAGCAGTGATGAGATGACCCTACCCTTGATGATTTTGCAAAAGATACAAGCAGCAGAAGCCATGATGGAATGGAGGGGGAATGAATTGCGAGATTGAACTGTCTGTGTTGGGGGTGAAGCTGGTTATGCGGGGTCGACTAAAATAAAATAACCGCCGGAGCTCGAGTTCGAACCCCGGACCTCCAAGTGAACCGGAACTGACCAAACGGGACCTTTTTATGTATAAGCAACGCAATGGGGAAGCGCATTTGAGGAGTGGGACAAGCTAGTTCAGAACTCATTTCTTGCCTTTTACCAGAGATGACCGTGGTTTGCCCACAAAACTCCTCTTCTCAATCTTTGGAACCACAACGCGACACAGCAGTCGTTTGTTTTTTGGTTTTGAAGGTAGGGATGACATGAGACTGCCCTCGCTATATGCTCTACAGTTTTTTGTGTGTTTTTATTGCCTGTAACAAGGTAAAAGAGAGAGTACCATGTGCGTGGACTTAGGAAATGGATGTGTCCCTAAAGGATGGATGGTCTCCCAAGACTCGGCTACACTGGATTCGAAAGGTGTTTGATGGTGCTCCAGCTGGGTATACCAGTGGTCTAATAATACATTATTGAAATATACAACCTGCATAGTCTGGACTTTGGCCTGGCATATATGGTCATGGCCTTGTAGACACTGAACTTCTTAGTGCGTCAATGGCCAAATTTCTATGTCAACCCATATGGATGTTAAATATAGGTAAATATTTGAATTCAAACGACTACTATATCACTAATCTTGTTGAGATTATATATATATATACCTATCTGATCAATAATGTGGACGAAAAAGCCATCTTATATACCGCAGAGTATGTAAAGCTGGGGAACATCCAATCACAGGCCTCGTGTTGTCAGATCAAAACGGTGATTTTACTACTCAGGACATCACAGGAAATATTTGCAAAGATAAACCAGACTCAACCAATTTCCAATACAGTCAGTAAGCCCCAGACCACATATCAAATCAATTGAAGCCGAATTGACAGAGTCTCACGATTCGACACCAAGTGTGCATTCCGAATCTGGACTAGCGTAATAGTCCCGTGCGGTTCTTCCGACTCGACGCTGCGAAAGCCCATCGCACATCACCACGCCCTTCTTGGCAACACTCCGCTCCAATTCGCTGGTCTCGAGAGATATATTCCACCAGAGACCATGCAGAAATCACGTACCATCAACTCTGCCCTCGCCCGGCCCTTCGCGCCCCGGGTCCAGGTTCAGTTTCAGCGCCGCAGCCTCCAGGATGTGGCCATCACCCGCACTGGCAAGCCTCTGGTGAAGGTCCAGGGTGGCCGGTAAGTGATCAATTGAAGCTCAGATGCCTGCAGTTCGTGCCTACTAACGCGCGTATAGTTCCTCGCTTGGAGGTAGCTAGTCTTCCACTGTGATCCTCGGCTCTTTGCTCACTCGTTTCTAGGTCACACCGCGACCGTCTTCGGTGCTACTGGTTTCCTCGGTCGTTACATTGTCAACAAGCTCGGTAGGTGGAAGCTACAAGATCGCAATTGGATCATGACTGATGGCCCGCAGCTCGCCAGGGATGCACTGTCGTCATTCCTTACCGTGAGGAGATGGCAAAGAGACACTTGAAGGTCACTGGTGATCTCGGCCGTGTTGTGTTCATGGTAAGTTTAATTGTGCGAGAGAGAGAGAGAGAGAGAAGTGTCTGATTGGTGTAGGAATACGACTTGCGCAACACCCAGTCCATCGAGGAGAGCGTTCGTCACTCTGACATTGTCTACAACCTGGTCGGCCGTCAATACCCCACCAAGTGAGTGAATTGATCTGTATTGTATTGTGGAGCAATGCTGACCAGAACAGGAACTTCACCTATGAGGATGTCCACGTCGACGGTGTTGAGCGCATCGCGGATGCTGTTGCCAAGTACGATGTCGACCGTTTTGTTCACGTTTCCTCCTACAATGCCCGCCGGGACTCGCCCTCCGAGTACTTTGCTACCAAGGTCCGTGATTACCAGAAACACTGGAATAGAAATAGTGCTGATCCATCCAGGCCTGGGGTGAGGAGATCGCCCGCAAGATCTACCCCGAGACCACCATTGTCCGTCCCGCCCCCATGTTCGGTTTCGAGGACAACCTCCTCCACAAGCTGGCCAAGGTTGGCAACGTTCTCACTGCCAACCACATGCAGGAGCGCTACTGGCCCGTCCACGTAAGACAACCCGCCCGAACAGCACCGAAAGGTCTACTAACATACCCTAGGCCATTGAAGTGGGAACCGCCCTGGAGCGCATGCTGCACGACGACACCACCGCCGGCCAAACATTCGAGCTGTACGGTCCCAAGAACTACTCCACCGCCGAGATCGCCGAGCTGGTCGACCGCGAAATCATCAAGAAGCGCCGTCACATCAACGTCCCCAAGTCCGTTCTCAAGCCCTTTGCCCACTACCTCAACAAGTACCTCTGGTGGCACACCATGTCCGCCGACGAGATCGAGCGCGAGTTCCTCGACCAGGTGATCGACCCCACCGCCAAGACCTTCCAGGACTTGGGCATGGAGGAGACCGCCGATCTGGCCAACCTGACCTTCCACTACCTGCAGGGCTACCGCAGTGCTTCCTACTACGATCTTCCTCCTGCCACGGAGCGTGAGACTCGCGAGGAGAAGAAGTACCTGCACGTGCTGGACGATCAGTAGTCTGTGTTTTTTAATGTGTATATAAGCCGATTCCTAGACTCAATCTGATTTCCTTGTGTTTGGTGTTTGAAAACTGAGTAGTGAGCCCTAAACTGTAAGGTCAATTGCATCAATAGCATCTGGGAAGACTAGGTGGGAGTCTAGCTGGTCCTCCTAGTAAAACTACTCGACGCAAGTTGAACAAGAAAACAAGAAGACAAGAAGAACAGAAGAACAGAGCGAATCTATCCCATTTAAATGCCTAAACCAATTGAAAAAGAAACCCCCAACAGAATCGAGCATAACAAGCACAAACAAGCCCAATATCAAAAACAGAAAAGAGCCTCAAGTCTCCCCGCAGCCGATAAGATATCCAACTTCCCAATTCCAACTTCACTCCAGCACCCACCATGGCTCCAATCCTCCTCCTCAAGACGAAATCCACTCCTCACGATGGGTATCAAGACCTCTTTTCGCAAAACTACGATCCAACCTTCGTCCCCGTCCTCGAACATCGCTTCCACACCGAGAATTTGAACCAAGTGCGGGACCTGTTCATCTCCGGAGCCTTTGGAAATACCACCTCCGCCTCCCCATCCAATGGCGAGCAAAATGAAACTGGAAATGGAAACCAAGCTCGCAAATACGGCGGTCTAATCTTCACCAGTCAGCGCGCCGTAGAAGGGTTCGCGAAGATGATTGAAGCCGAAAAGGATGGTAAGACTACGATACCGACCTACCCTACCCAATACCCCAAACAATATCCAGCCCAACTATATCTTCATCTATATCTGTCTGTCTATATATATCGATATGAATACTAACAACCCAAAAGCCAACTTCGACATCCCAACCGAATGCAATCCCCAAACCCCAACATCACCCCCATTACTCCTCTACACAGTCGGACCAGCAACAGCCCGCAGCCTAACAACCCTTCGAAACAAACACCTCCCCCACGCAACGATCTACGGCGCAGATGCAGGCACAGGCGAGAATCTCGCACGGATGATTTTGGAGCATTACAACTCTATATATCCTACCTCCACCTCCACTTCCACTTCCAAACCAGCACTACTCTTCCTCGTCGGCGATGTTCGGAGGGATATCATCCCCAAAACACTGATGGATCCCACTCTAGGCAGTAAACTGATCGAAGTGGAAGAATTGGTTGTGTATGAAACAGGTGTCATGGCTTCTTTCGAGGGCGATTTTAGAGGTTGTTTACAGCGGATTCAAGAAGAGGTAGTTTGGGTGGTTGTGTTCTCGCCGACGGGGTGTGAGGCTATGTTGCGAGTTTTGGGGTTAGGGCCTTTTTCTTCTGGATCTGGATCGGGACATGTAGGTGTAGATGTGGGTGTGGGAAGCAAGACTGCACGGCGAGTCTTTATTGCTACGATTGGACCGACGACTAGGGATCATCTGCGATTGGAATTCAGGTTTGAGGCGCACGTCTGTGCTCCCAAGCCTAGCCCGGAAGGTGTTGTGGAGGGGATTGAGAAGTTTATGAGTGGATTGTGAGGGTTGAGATTAAGGGTTGGGTTGTATAGTAGATGCAAAAACAATAGAACATTTAAACTGTGTGAGTAAGATGTCCCTTGGGCTTGGTTTAAGGATGGACATCATACTCTGCACGGGAAGTTATTTCAATGATCATATTTGGAGTGGCCCTGCTACCTCTAACATGATATCAAATCACACGCTATCAAGTTCAAGTGCGTGCAGAAGAAAATGGAAATACACTGACATTCTCGATAGATCGTCGGATATCGGAATTTACCGCATGATTTCTTCGTAGATCAAAACTAAATCGGTCAGTATATGCTGCAGATATAGAAAATGGACGACCCACCCTTCAACTGCTCCTTGCTTAGCGCATCCTTGTTCTTGTCGAAATCAAAGAAACCATCGGGAATAGGTGGCGCAGTTGGCTCATCATCGGGATCGTGGTAAGGCTCGAGGTACGGGTGGCGCAGGGCATCTTCGACGGTAATACGCTTGGCGGGGTTGAACGCGAGGAGCTTTTCGAGCAAGTCCAGAGCGAGGTCGTTGCTCTTGGGGAAGAGGGCGCGGAAGGGGATCTTCTTCTTAAAGGGGAGGGAGCGGATGTATTCACGGGCACGGCGGGATTTGATGCCGTAGTAATCTTCCATCGTGGGTGTGCCGAGGACGTCCAGGATGAGGGTCAATTGGTGGTGATCTGGAAGGGGTGGTTAGTTCCACTTCAGCGCAGCAAAGGGTCAGTCAAGCGTACAATCCTTTCCAGGGAATAGAGGCTTCCCGCTCAGCATCTCGGCCAATATACAGCCGACACTCCACACATCAATGGCCTTGGTGTATTCCTTGAATGTCAACATGATTTCGGGCGCACGGTACCAGCGCGTAGCCACATATTCTGTCATGAATCCGGAGTTGTCATCGGTGGAGGCGGCTGAACGTGCCAGACCAAAGTCGCAGACTTTCAGATCGCAGTTGGCGTTGAGCAGGAGGTTGGAGGGCTTGAGGTCTCGGTGGAGGACGTTGGCGGAGTGCATCGCCTTGAGAGCTCGCAGGGTCTGGTAGATGAAGTATTGGCAGTGGTCGTCGGAAAGATCTTGTGTACGAATAACGCGATGCATATCCGTTTCCATCAACTCCTGCAGTGGATCATTAGTACCCAGTTTCATGCATGCCTCTGATCCTCCTCGCTCAACGTACTTGGATCAGATAAACTTCGTTGAATCCCTCGTAGTTGCGGGGTCGTTGAATATCCAGGATGGAGATGATGTTTTCGTGGTTAAAGTATCGCAGTAGCTTCATCTCACGGAGTGTTCGCAGACAGAACATAGAGTGGTCAAATGGTGTGATCTTCTTGATAGCGACCTTCTGACCCGAGGGCTTGTGAATGGCAGAGCTGCATATGTCAGAGGAGCTCCGGAGAGAGACTCGCACCACTTACCAGACAACTCCGTAGGCGCCTTCGCCAATGACATCTTGAATTTCATATTGATCGGACACATTGAAAGAGATCTTTCGCGATCCTCCCGCGGGAGGGTTCTGCTGACCCATATCGACTGGGTTGTACTGCGACTGAGGCATATCCGTATTAGCTTTGGGGTCTTGAGGACATATCCACGGGAATCGAAGGGAACGCAGAAAATCCATGGGAAACGACCGGGACCGGGGCAAGAGAAACAAGGTGCACGCGGAGCACACGAACAGGGCCGTCGCAAAGAACTTCAAGCACTGATAGACAGTCCCGAGCTTACTTCCCGAGCTCGGTTGCGCAACCGCAGCAGTCACCGAGGGACAGATCTTACATTTGTTTGCGCAGGTGAATTGACGCTCACAGGCTAGGATGATAGTTTCGACAGCTGTAGAGGCAGATACCGGGTAGTGTCCAGGTGCAGACCGACAAGCTCGCAGGTCTACCAACGTGGCAGGGTTAGTGCGATTCAGCCCAAACGCTTCAAAGCGGGGGGTTCATGCAGGAATCCTTACTATGTGGGCAAGGCAGAGAGACAGGAGAGGGAGAGGGAGAGACAGAGAAGAAAGGAAGTGAAGCTGGAGAAACAACTCACGGGAGAGATAGTGGGGCAATAGCTGTGGAGGCTAAGACAATTTGGAATTAACCAGAAGAGTACTAGTAGGGCAGGGGGAAGAGAGAGAGAGAGGGAGTACTAGATAGAGAGATGAAGATGAAGATAGAGAGATGCTTTGTGATGCTCAAGAAAGAATGATCGATCTGGTCTCCCCCTGAACCTTGGATCACCTCCGCCGGGTGTTTGGTACTTGAGGGGTACCTGAGGGGAACCTGACGGGACCGACCATCCAGACCACACCTTGGGGTACCCTGCAGGTAGCCTGCCAGTCATCCCCGCCACAGCGTCAACTCTTCCTGTCGCATTCCATATGGCTCGGTTTCAGGGCGCTACTGCGTGGGAGACGAAACTGGTCACAATCACAACCTTGGTGGGTTTCTGATTGGAGACCCAAGTCGTTTCACTAGTCTCAAGGGGAACCCCACTGATTGGGCCACTGTAGAGCCACTGGGAGACACTAGGATCCTGGTCAAACAGTCTAGGTTACGGATAGGTATAGGGGGGAGGTAGAGAGAGATCTATATTTATATTGATCACTTATAACATGACTTATATCTGAGAGAAATAAAAAAATGCCAGCGACGAGGTTCGAACTCGCGCGGGTTGCCCCACCAGGGTTTTATTCTCGGAGGAATCTTAAATCTGGCACCTTAAACCACTCGGTCACACTGGCCAGAATAGAGACATTTTGTATTTTAGGGTTGATTACCTAAGGGTGCAGAGGCTGGATCTGGTATCATCTCCACTGATCCACTGATCTATGAACCAAATACTACACAATACACACAGGACACGGGGACTGAAATCTCATGAAAACTCATTGATTCTTAGACTCTTAGATAAGACCAGAGCGTGGACAGCAGGAACTCTCCCCCCATCTACTAGATAAATCCAAACAGACCACTCAATTTTCCCCCAAAGGTGATGGTACAGGGATGCAGCGACAGAGCATAGGGCGGACATTACTGCACGACCTGATGTCATCGTCAGTGCTGGCTGAAACCGCCAGAGCAAAAGAAAAGACTCAAACCTTCTCTTGCAAAGTACCCATCCACTGGTCCAGGCTGACGCTCTGGTCGGCACGGTCCTCGACCAGCATGGTCAGGGCCCAGAGGCGCAGGCCCGGCTCGCCGTCTTCCCGCACCACGTAAAGGTGCGGCACAATCATGCTACCGACGCCCTTGGCCCGGTGATCCCGACTCTTCTCCACCACGGCCCGCACGCGCTGGTTGAACTCGTTGTCCAGATCGGGAAGAATCTGCTTGCCCACCATAACCTGCGTCTTATCGGGCACACCGAAGACGTCCTCGATGAGCTGGGGAACGGCATCGCGACCAACCCAGAGGAACTGGGTCTGGCCATCGTCGATGAGATAGAGACCATAGGGGACAATGCGGCCGGAAGACAGATTGACGGCAGGGGGGAGGACGATCTGCCCGGTCTGCTCGTCGGGCACACCGGCGGTGTCAGGCATGTCATGGAGAGAGTACATCCGAGGGTATATGTATTGAATGAGGAGCGGCAAAGGCAACGTCGACAAGAGACAGAGTGCGGCGGAACGCATGTCGGTGGGGATCTGAGCGGACTTGCGAAGACCAAGCTAAAGAAAGTCAGTATATGGATTGAAACGAGAGACTGGACGAGAAACTCACGTTCTTCATCATGGCAAGGAACAGGACAGGCAAGGCTCGCAAGTTGGCAGGGAACTGGAGGCCACCACCGCTGACGCTGCCACCGGCGAGCTCCTTGCGGTAGGTCTGCAAGAGCTCCACCATCTTAGCTTGGAGAGCTTCACGAGCGGGCTCGAGGCCACTGCTCAATGTGCGCTCGACAGCCTTGTGACTGAAGAAGGTAGCGATGGCCTGTTGATCGGCCGAGGCGTAGATGTCCGCTAAAGTGGTGGTAGTGGGCAGGGCAAGGGTCAGAACACGGATACGACGTTCACCGTTGCAGGTCGTGTGGAGCACAGCGGCCTGCATGCAAACGACAGGCTTGGTGACAGTCTCGTCAATGGCCACTTCGACGACGTAGGCCTGGTCACGAGGGAAGGCCGGGAAGGCACAGAGATCTGAGCTGCGGTTAAAGAAGTTACCGTAGAAAGTGCTCATGCGTAGACCGGTAGTGGCACGCACACGGAGAACAGCCTCCAAGCCGATCTCTGAAGACAGGTAATCAGAGAATTCACGGTAGAACTTCATAGCATCCTCTGTCCGTGCACCGCTCCAGCCAGGGTAGAAGTAGGTTTGACCACCGGTGTAGCGAGGCAAGTTGCTTAGAGACGCCACATCCTGGTATTGGGACGAGAAGAGGAACATGTCCACGGAAACTTGTGCCTTGGAACATTCGACTGCAAAGCTCTTGTAGAAGGAGTTTCCTGTCTGAAGCAGACCGGACTCTTTGCTAGTGCCAAGCACCTTCTTATCTTCTCTCATGGTGAGTGCTCCATGGCCAATGTTAGGCAATGACGCACTCAAAACAGTCATCTTTCCTCCAACGGGAGAGATCAACTTGTAACCGGCGCGCAAGGCCGAACCCATGGCGCAGCTGTTGTTCTGGGTGTTCTGGAACATTTCCTGCAGCTTATCAAGGAAAACGTCGATGTTTTCCCGACACTCACTCAGTGTCACCAGGAGATCGCCGGGGATAGGGAGGAAAGGCTCATCCAAGTCACTGACAACCAGCATGCGGGGGTCTGAAGTCTCTGAGTTGTCTCGGGGGATGCTGAAGTAGTGCAAGCTTGAGTCCACTGCAATGAAGCCAAGGCGTGTCCGTCGGTCAGCGTTGGGAATGCGGTCGAGACTCTCCTTAATAGTGCGTGCGGTGGTGGCCAAAAGACCATTTGTCACAGCTGAATAGCTCACATCGATCAGGAAAAGATAGACGAGAGGCTGCGGTGGGCGAACCATATACTCTTGCGGCGCAACGAATTCGACCATGCTGTGGTTGAGGTCGGCGCGCAGCGCACGATCAGCAGGCTTCTGCAGTGTAGAATCCCAATCAAAGGCCTGGGGCACATCGTTTGTCAGGTTACACATGTTACAGCGCCAGCGGTGACCATGGTCGAGGAACGTAACGAAGGGGTTGATGTAAGAACGGCAGCGGCGGCATCGTGAGATCACTTGGTCGGGAATCACAGGAATAGGGTCCTCGGCGTCGTGAAGAGAAGCATAGGGTTGGATGACGAGAGCGAAAGGCAACTTGGATTTCTTCAGGAGTGAATTAGTTGTTGGCACTGCGTTCAGTGTAGAGCGCATATATTTCGTAGGGCAGTTAGCCTCGGGAGACGGGTAAACACTGGTCTGTCAATTGTCAGCATCTCGATCTTTTGCACTGGGCGCAGGACACAGAACATACTCCCGGAGGCAGGATGATTGGTGGGGGAGGGTAGTCCAGTTCAGCAACGTTGAAAGGCTGAGACCGAAGGTCTGTCGGGTAGAGCTGGTTGAGCTGGACTTGAGGGCGCATAGGGGCTTGGGCCACGGGTTGCGGGGGTGGCATGTGGTGCGGTTCGCTCATACCCATCGCGCCAAACTGCTGTGTCATCTGCGAGACATCGGGAACAGCAGGCGCACCATATGCTGGGGCTGCGGCCTGCATCTGACTGGGGTCCGCACCGTAGACGGGTTGCTGGTATCCTGCGGCCTGTGGCTGCTGGGGATAAGCTCCGTAAGCACCCCCAGCCGTCTGCTGTCCACCAAGTGCGGCATTGGCTCCGGAGCCAAAGTCAAAGGCTTCGCCAGCATAGGTTCTCTTCTTCTTTCCACCGGCTGCTGGTTGAGGTGCATCTTGCGCAGGGACGGGGGACTGTGTGGGTTCCGGGGTACCGTAGGCGGGTTGGCCATACCCTTCCTGGGGAGGGTAACCCCCTTGTGGTGCTGCCATCGAGTTCGGGTAGGGTGTGTGAAGGTAGACTGGTAGTTTTGGGAGAAGGAGAGATCGCACCCGGCACGGACTCGGGGGTGTTGATACGAGGTGGTTACAGCTCCTGGACCCCCACAATCAGTTTTTGGTCAACCAAACAGCCCTGGGGAAGTGAAGAGCTTACGCACAGTGAAAGCTACACCAACGAAATCAGGGATCAAAAAAAGACGTGACTAGAGGCTCACTAAAAGAAGCCAAGGGAGTGTGGGAGAGGCGGTGATGGTCTACGGTGGCCTTTAGGTTGTGTTGCTCCAGCCAATCAGAGGCCAGATACCATGTGACGAGGGGTTGGCGACTTGTTTTTTATACTTCGATTGGGTGCCACTGTGCTGGAGACTGAGTAGATGCAATTGAGGATGGTCTTGCAGGTGGAAAGGGGTGGATTGTCAAGAGTTGGTCCAATAGAGAGAGCTTGGTCTCGATATGATCTGTTGGCAGGCTCCTCCTAGAGGCTACCTGGGTGGATTTGAGTTACAAGTAACCATGCATCTATGCATATCTTGCTGCAACTGTCACGGAATGGCTAGTAGGGTTTCTCTTTTGTCTTAGGTCTGATTTTTGAGCCTGACTGGAGCAAATTGGAACCGAAACAGATGTTCCTTACTGATATATATCTCGACTCGGTTCCAACCAGTTACCCCAAAGACTACGCTTCATTTTGATACCAACCTGGCAACCAAAATGTCTCAAAAAGCAACACTTGTGTACTGGTGAACACCAATTAAAATATTTGATTGAGATGTGTGCAAGAACAAGGATACACACACTTCTGTAGTAGATACGGTCTGGTCGCCTGTACTAGAATTGGTTCATAAAGCCCTACGCACCGAACTGGATCGATACTCCGTGGCCAATTGAAGAACCGCAATGCATTGAATTGACTCGGCGGTATTTGTTCCTCAAAGCTGATCTCCAGTCATATATAATCCGAGGTGGTACTCTAGAATGCCCACCAAGGACGACACCAATGGTTGCCCTGCCAACAACACACACCACAAGAGAACTCCTCCACACGTTCCCCAATCTCAAGTTCTGCATTCACCGTCGACAAGTAGGTAGTTTCGTTTCTTTGCTTTGGGGGATTCGATTGTTCTCTTTTTGATTTGTCTTTACCGTCTGTCCTTTCCTGCCTCGCACTGGATTATTATCAACAAAGGATTGAATGACCACCACGCCACAATGAGTGTCCGAGTCGTCGCACGTGTCCGCCCTCTTCTCAAGTCCGAACGGGATCTTGATGTGATCCTGCGTACAGGATCATCTGCCTCGGACAAATCGCGTCTTTCCACCATCGGCGAAAAAAGTGACAAGAGCGACAAGAAATTGGCAGCTTTGAGGGATAGGGACAACGTTGTGCGGATTCCGAACCCCAAGAATGAGGGCGAGGAATACGCATTTCAATTCAATGGGGTGTACGATGCGGAAGTTTCACAGCAGGAGCTGTTCGATGCCGAGGGTGAGTCGCGTGCTGATCCGGGAACCAGCATGGGTAAACATATTGACTCGCGTGATAGTGGCGCCGACAATCAAGCATCTGTTAAATGGCTTCGATGTGACATTATTCGCGTACGGTGTCACCGGCACTGGCAAAACACACACTATGCGCGGCGGCAAAACCCTAGCAGACAGGGGTGTGATCCCTCGACTACTCAGTGGTATTTACAGACGGGCTAAGAAGATTGAAAAAGATAGTGAAGGAGAGACAACGGTGCGGGTAGATCTGAGCTATTATGAGATTTACAACGACAAGGTGTACGACTTGTTCGAACCACCTGAGAAGCGCACATTGGCTGGTCTTCCCCTTCGCGACAATGGAGGAAAGACTGTCGTGTGCGGATTGAGCGAAAAGCCATGTACAACTTTGAAGGAGTTTGAGCAGCTCTATGACCAGGCCAATACCAATCGGTCGACTTCCGCCACCAAGGTAAGATCGCGATACAAAGACAAGCAGTAGAATCTGTTGCTGAACTTATTTGCAGCTCAATGCACACTCCTCACGATCACACGCTGTTCTTGGCGTCAAGGTTACCATTTGCACGCCTGAGCATACGCGCGTGAGCACCGCTTCCGCTATTGATCTTGCAGGCTCCGAAGACAATCGGCGGACGGAGAACGACAAGGAGCGCATGGTGGAATCAGCCAGTATAAACAAAAGTCTTTTCGTCCTGGCGCAGTGTGTCGAGGCCATCAATAAGAAACAGAACCGCATCCCATACCGCGAGTCGAAGATGACCAGAATTTTGTCACTGGGACAAAATAACGGGTTGACTGTTATGATTCTGAACCTCGCTCCAGTTCGATCTTATCACTTGGACACCATCAGCTCTTTGAATGTCGCGAACCGCACCCGGAAAATCGAGGTTCGGGAAGTAGAGAATGACCCTATGTTCAAGGGCCCAGCAAGACCTGCTCTTCGGCCCTCTCTTGCAAGTGCACGCCAACCCTTGCGCCCACTTACGGCCTCTGTCAATGTTAATATGCCAGCCCCTGCTGCTAAGGACCCAGCAGAGAAAGATGACACCAAGCCTGTGAAGGCATTCAGTGTATATTCCGACAAGCCACAAACCAAGCTCATTAGCCAGCTGCGGAAACCGGAAGCACCTAAGCGGACCTCTCTCTCTAACGCCCCTTCAGCTCTTCCATTAAAGCCAACTCGTCAGCCATTAGGTGCACAGGCTTCTGCGCGAACAGCTGATCTCTCAGCTGCTCGAATCGAAGAGATGGTGGAGAAGAAGGTCGAAGAGATTTTGGCGTCACGCGCTGTGAGCGAGCAATCAAAGCAATCACAAGTCCGCGAGCTCAATGAGCAATTGCAACGACGACTAGAACAGCTAGAGCAGCGTATTGAGGGTACCGAGGATGCGCGAGCCGAGGGTCTTTCGTACTTACTCATGGCTAAACAACACCAAGCACGCGGCGAGGACGGCTCGGCACTGAGAATGTACCAGCTGGCAGCTCCTCACTTCCCACACAACGAGAAACTAGCCGGCAAGATTGCCGCTCTGAAGGACCGTGTTCATGCTAAGGCCTGGGAGAAGCAAGCACCTTCCCCACCCAAAGGTAGACTTGGTAGCATGCTTTCTCTTAGAAAGGAGACCACCAAGACCCTCGGGAAACGCCATGCCGACGATGACGATGATTACATGGACCAGACAGGCGCTGCCTTCTCCGACGACGAAGATATCACACGTCCGCGACACAAGAAGCGTGCTCCAGCTAAGGCCCGTCCTAGCGAAAATGAGGAAATCACTTTCCTTGACAACCAAGATCCGTCCGTCTCTCCTCGTACGATGCATCTGCTGTCCATCATCAACTCAAGGGACGTCAGTCAGATCAAGCTGCTCAAGGGAGTAGGAGCTAAGAAAGCAGAGGCACTTGTAGACTGTCTCTGCGAGATGGACCAAACGACAACCGATGAAAACGACAGTGAGACGATCTCAGACCAGCCCCAGTTCCAGGTAAACAGCCTGGCACAGCTGAGCCAGCTGAGGGGTGTCGGAGTCAAGACAGTGGAGAACATGAGACAGGGAGTTTTGGCTTGATTGCTGCATTTTTTGAGCCCTTGGGCATATACTCGAGCATAATGGGGGTCTTTTCATGCATCATCCATTCTTCAGCGACGGTGCTATGGCGTTTTCGTGTTTATACATTTTTTACTTCCAAGTGTACTTTTGATAGCTCTTTTGGCATTGGTGAATTGATGATCTTTTGGAGTACATGATACATTATATTCTTCCGTTCAATGATATAATTCCTGTCCCAGACATTAAGACATTATGACGCTTGATGCTAAACGTTAATTTGGTCGAACATAGTTGACAGATTGCAAACTTTTTTTTGGGGACAGATGTTTAAAGGATTAGGTAGTGTTGGCGCAAGACCAGCTGGCACTGCTTGAGTCTTCGTGAATCGCAACACCCGAAACCCAGAGACCCAATCCACACTAGATGATATTAGTTTTGGATTGAAAGGCTGGAACCATGGAAGAGACTCACAATAGCACAGGCAATAGCTAAAATACCGATGTTGATGATGGTCAGAGAAATCTTCTTCCAGTTCTTGAAGTATTGACCCTTGTTCATGTGCAACCAGAAGATAGCAGGGAGACCGACTGTTCAATCTGGAGTTAGCATTCCTTCCATAGCACAAAACATATATATCAGGGAAGAAGGAGATCATACAGCTAAACCAACTGCCGAACAATGCACTCTGAAAACAGGGTTAGTGAGAATTCCCTTGCACCAAGATAGATCTGGAAACTTACGATCAGACTGAGCAAGTCGTTGAAGACGGGAATGGACTCAGCCACAACCCACGAGATAACCCAGACTCCAAGACAGATACCAACCCAGGAGCCGATTGACAGGAAGCTTCGGCTGTGCATGTTGTCGGATCCACGGAACATGCGGACGTAGATGTACTTGCAGGCGACATGACCCAAGACGACACCGGACAGGATCGTCTATTTATGATGAGTAGGTGTGATTGAAATATAAAGGGAATGATAGACTCACGGTTGGAATTGCCATACCCCAGGCGATCTTTCTCATAAGGGGACTCAGAGATGAAATGGCAGGTGACTTGACATCGGGGCCCACGTAGTGATAGATAATCAGCGCGCTGACCAGGTAGAGGACCGTGTCGACGATCTGAAGCATGGCTAGGGACTTGTTGAAGGTTCTTGGGTCCTCTGTCTCAGACATGAATCCAAAGTATGCAACATGAGCGACTATATCTCAATTTAGCTCGTGCCTTGAATATCTCATCCTTTGGTAACTTACGGTAGGCGAAAATGATGTTGGTCACAGCCAGGAAACCTTCACGGAAGCTGACAGTCGTGGTGACTTCGTTAGGGACCCAGCCCTCACTCTCGACACCCACGGTGATCATGGTAATGATGGTGGCAATGAGCACACTCAGGAATGCTAGAAAGTCGTCAGTCTCAGTCGCAGTGACAGGCAAATAGACGCTATGAATACTCACAAGCAACAGACATCCAGTAGACCTTGTCCATTGTGCGAGGCAGAGCGCCCAAGAAGCAGATAATCAGACCAACGACACCAAAGACCAGTGTACAGGTGCCGTGGTTAGTCAATGCATTCATCAAGATGTTGAACATGAGGATGTTGCTAGCCATGAGGAAAATCAGCAGCAAAAGCTGACCGATACCGAGTAGCTCGCGGCCGAAACGGCCCATCAAGATCTCACCGGCATCTCCCATGCTGTGAATGGCAGGATGACGGAGCTTGAACTGGCCAATGGCATAGCCCGTATACCATGAAAGAGCAGAGATGAACAAAATCATGATAGCAGCTCTGTTTGAAGTTAGTTCACGGGACCATTGAAGGACAATGGAGGATATTGATACATACGGAACCATTCCCAGGGTGGCCACAGCAGACGGAAGAGAGAGAATACCAACTGAGACATTCTCAGCAATCATCACTGCACGTCCATGTTAGATGTCAACGCTGAAAGGTTGATGCATGTCGATTTGGATACTCACACATGCCACAATGCCTAATAAGAAGTATTAGCCATGTCATCTGAGATCCAAGTTCAGAAAGAAGAACCTACCACCACTTCATAGTCCGATACTTGACCTCCGCAGTCTCCTCATTGCCAAAAGGCTCCAGGTCCTTGGCGTCAAAAGGCTTCTCGTCATTTTGAAAAGGTTCATCAATAACCTTGTCTTGAACAGTCATGACGGGCAGATTTTGTCCTACTCGGCGCCTTTCCCGAAAGATCAGGGATAAAAGCAGGCCGAAGGAAAAGCCAAAGCAACAGTGACAGCCTTGATAGCGCAGATGATTCAGAGATCAGATTTTCGTAACTGCAAATTTACCCCAAAGCCAAGAAAAAATCTGAAGCCCGGGGAACTGAGTGGAGCCGTTGAGATTTTCCCGTGTCTAATGTCGGCCGAAACCGGTAATTGACTTGCACCTCGTTTGATATTCGGATTGAAGCTATTGTGAATTGTTGCAGACCAAGGGATGTACAATAAATGACCGTGTATTTATGCCTGACAAGGAGGTGGGTGAAAAAAAAGTAGCGGGAACGATGAAGATTCCGTTTTCGGCATGCCGAAGTTTCCCGCCAGTTTCCCGATTTGGGTCTTCTTGATGAAAACAAACAAATTTGGATATGAATCATATTGAGGCTGTTGACACTGTGGACAGGGAAATAGTGTTATAGTTGAAAGCACAGATCAAGCCGTGACCAGTCCATGTTGATTGTTGGTAGAATTGACACCTGAAATATCGGGCCACCATTATTTTATAGATCTCAACTTGGAAATTACAATGGTGTTTACCGGACTCAATCGCAATGGACGCCCAGTTTGGAAATTGAATATGATAAATTGAATATGACTCAATTCCAAGAAGCAGAAGATATTCACTGGTGATCTAAAATGTGCCCTATACTCTTCCTACTTCCTGGTCGCCTTGGTGCTGCCACCTTCCAACTCTAAGCAAAGCTTTCTTTTGCATCTCCGGAGAGCATGGAGAGGAGATATGTAAGTATTAAATTATCCACTAATTAGCTTTGCTATGATATAATGTACTCTAATGTCATCCAAGGGAGTTCGCTTCCCCATCTCACACTTTGTTCAGCTTGAACCCACCACCAACGACAACTCTCGCCAACACAAATAGTATGGACCCAGCAATCATCACAACACCACAGAAGATTTGCAGTTTTGTATAAGAGCCATGAAGCACATCCGGAACAAGAGCACCGCCAATAGGAGTACCAGTCAAAGCCGCGAAGGAGATGATAGCAAAGAAAGTACCGTTCCGCACGCCGACCTGGCGGAGGTCCGAAATCTGCGCGATGCACGCGGGGGCAAGAGAGACAAAAGCACCGGAGCCGAAACCATACAAAGCACTGAAAATAATGGCAGGAACATTTCCTCGCGATGGAAGCCAGAGAGCGAGAACGAGAATTGCAGAGAAGAAGGTTGTGACGACCATCATGTTATAACGGCCGACTTTATCGGCGAAGTAGCCCGGGAGGGTACGACCGACGATACTAATTGATTTGGTTAGATCGAGAAATCACAATCGGTAAAGTAGAGAAACTGGCACTTACCTCGCGGCGTTCAGGATGGGAATTAAGTATCCCGCCAGACCAGGGGACATGCCATATCTCTCTGCCTGAGTAATCACAAAAGTAAAAGGCAAGAACATTCCCCAGAAGAAACAGAAAGCGCCCGCAAGCGTCAGCGAGAACTTTAACTCTGCCAATGGCCGCACGAAACTGAGGATGTCGAAAGGCTTGGGACGGTGCGGCAGTCTGGACTTGAGGGTCACATTGGCAATTACCAACATGAACAGAATGAGGAATGCGCAGATACGCATAGCCCAAGGGAATCCGACTTCAGGAATCAGACGGGTTACCATGATGGGGAAAATGACACCCCCCAGACTCGATCCGGAGGCTGTCACTCCCAAAGCGAAGGCGCGGCGTTTGGCGAACCATGTGCTGACAGCGTTGACGGAGGCGTTGAAGATTGCACTGGCGCCGATTGGACTGCAGATTCCTTGAGCTAAAATGAATTGGTAGTATTCTGTTGAGAGGGAGGCCATCATCAGACCGAAAACATGGAGTAATGTGCCTGCCAGGAGGATCCAACGAGGACCATAGCTGTCAAACAGTGTCCCAAAGATTGGGCCCTATGAGATTGTTAGCTGTTGAGGTGGGTTGGCAATGGATATTATACGTACACAGACGAACATCATAAATGTCTCGAGAGATGTGATCCAAGTCACTGTGCTAGTGGAGAACTCGCTCAATTGGTGACTTTCGTAGTATGTCTGGAAGACTCCGATACCTGATGAGAGATTAGCGTGACTTCAAGTTGTATAAGCAAGTGCCACGTACAATTGATCCAGCCAAAGCTAACGAACAGTCCGGAAAATGCTCCCAGAACAACAAGCCATGCCTCTGCACCTCCATCCGGCGGTGGGCCAATTGCTGGTGTTGCGGGTGCTGGACCAGCAGCGATGGACTTTTCAGACGGTTGTGTGTCGATTGTCTGCTCTGTATTTTCTGGTCCTTGGATTCCCTTTTCGGGGTCCTCATTTCCTTGGACACTCATGTCGGGGGTTGAATTGACGGATGGGGGTGTATCAGTAGTGGCACTATCAACCGAGCGCGCGTTGGCCATTATTCTTAGGAGCGCTTCCGTGAGATTTATATGATTGTGCCTGAAACGGGTTGCGCGAGTATACAAGAGAGATCGAGAGCTGTTTGATCAGTCGCATTAGAATGCTGAGCTATTCAAGGAAACTGATAGATGCAAGAAGTATAAAATGCAGACACGGCGTGTGACCAAGCAATAGCCTCAATCGAAATGCAATGCGACTCACTTGAAACTGGCAAACGGGGAAATTTCAGTCTGGGCGCATAGATCCCGAGATTCGAGGGTTTGATAGCGAAGCAAGCCCTAACCCTTCACGTATCCAGAAAGTGGAGATGAAACCCAGGGAAAAAAGCAAGAAAGACCCAATATAAGTAATCTCGGCCATCGCGTCTCCCTAAGTCCGAGCTGTGCTTAATGCCAGGCTTGTATTTGGAGCTAAGCCATAATCCGCCAGCGCCTTCACAGTTATTGGCCCACGGTGTGCGGGTCTGAACCCTGGTCCGAGGAGAGTCCGAGGATGTTTCTGGTTGAGTCCGCAAGGCCGAGCTGACGTTCCTGTTTTTTTCTCGATATCATGACAAAGAGATAAATTTCAGGTAAGAGAGAGCATATGGTATGTGTTAGTGGGGGGCGCTCATAGTATTCGTTCTCAGAGGGGGCTTAGGGGGTCACGGGACGAGTTTCAGCGAGGACAAGTCCGAGTGAAAAGCTTCGATAGGAACTGAATGGTGTGAACAACCCCGTGATGAAGTCTGATCCTAATGTATTGAAGTTGTCCCTCTTCTCCCTTACACCCAAAGCGACCAGAACAACAAGATAGCCTCATAGAAGATGGAAAAGGAGACGATCCTTCTCATCCATGGCGCCTTCACGACGTCCAACGATTGGCAGCAGATAGCTTCAGATCTGGACCAATCCTTCCACGTCCTAACCCCAGACCTACCTGGCCATGGGGACGCCAAAGCAACAAGATTCACCATGGAAACTGCCGCTGATTCAGTTCAGACATTGATCCAAAAGTCCGCAACAGGCGGCAAGGCCCATATCGTCGGCCATAGTCTGGGGGCTCAAGTCGCGATCCGACTAGCGGAAAAGTACCCCGACGTTATCAAAACCCTGATAGTATCAGGATTTGAAATCTACCCTTCATTGCCATCGACCCCCTGGCTAGCTAGAGCCTTGTGGACCATGAATCGCGTGGAAAGCCTCATTCCTCGCCCGGCAATCAGGTGGTTGATGGACGGCACACCAATCGGCCGATCTTATCCGACCATGAAGACATGCAGAGAAGTCGCAGAGGCGATGAATTCGGCCACGTTCCCCGCGCCCTGGCCTGCACCGACACTCGTCGTCGCTGCTGGTCGGGGAGGAGTGATTCCCTCGTATGATCACCCGGAAGATGCGCGGAAATTGGCGTCCATTGGCCGTGAGATGAATGATAAAACGCTTGCTGTTGTGCATCCTCAGATGAGACATCCTTGGCATCAGCAAGATCCGGATCTGTTTGTTTCGATGATTCAGGCTTGGATTGGAGGGTTTGAAGTGCCCGCAGGATTTGAGAACTTATAGATGTGCATTGATAAAGACACGACGAGCAAGTTTAAGTCTAATCCTTTATGCGTTGTTTGGTTCCACTTTCTCCATTTCACGACTCCCTTTTGACCGTAATCAAGAGCCTCGATTGGAAATATAGACTTTTGGTATAGAGCTGGAACAGCAGCGGAAGACAACACGACAGAGAACCATTATTCCAAATTGATCATTTCTACGGCTGAGCCAATGAAATAGAAAACCAACTGTCCAGAGTGAAATCGTGACTTCACACCCTTACTCCATCTGTTCTGCACGAGATACGCCCGCTACAGCCTGGTGACGCTCTCCTCCAATGCCCGCTCCGCACTCAGGACATTTAGCAAGCTCCATCGGCATCCCGCATTCTCCAATGGCAAACTGTTGAAATTAGTCTCATGCTCCACAAAGAAAGAGTCTCAAAGCCAAGAGAGCACTCACTGGATGCCCATTGATACAATTGTACCAGTGCCCAGAGTTAGTAGCTATTCCGCCTGGCCCACCAACCATGGCTATCTTGATAGACGCAAGCTCCTCTGGAGTCACATTCTCATAGCGAGGACCCTCAAATAAGCGAGTCATCTCTTTGGTCTTCTCCTGAAGCTCCTCGCAATTCCCTAGTTCCTGACATCGATGTAGGGCATCTTCTAGCAAGACCCGCGTGATATTGATGCGATCTGCAGCCGTTTCCAAGCCGGTGCCTTTCAATTCTCCCTTACCAGAAATATCTTTGGTGGTCTCTAAAGAGCCACGGTCAGACCATCCCTTCAATTGGACCACCATGGCAAACACGAGCGTTGCATTGACAACAATACGGGAGAGGCTCGCATCCCGAGCCTGATTGATCAGACTTTGACAGTCTCTGAGGAAGCGATCAGTATCTTGACTGAGGTCGTGAGGCAGAAGCCCAATTTTCTGCACGAGCCGCATTAGAGGCATCTTATTTGGCTCCTGTTTTGACATTTGACTGAAACCAAATTTATGCTGAAGAATAACACCCCGGGCCTTGATATTGATCAATCGTGCCCCGAGAGAGATCCGGTTGTCAGGTTCGGGGGTGGCTATCTTCAGTTTCATCATCTGACTCGACAGTGGTATGATGCTATCAGTCTGAGGCTTCTGAGATAGAGCCATGGCGTCCGTAAGTCGCTTTATTGGCTGATGTTCTGCACCCATTCTTTGGCTTAGGGCTGTTGCATCTTTCGAAAGTTGGACACCCTTCGTATAAATAGAGTTGGGCTGTAAGCGGCGCCCTGGAATTGTCGCTTCTTGTTCTTTCAGTAGAGACAAGGAAAGTTGATTTTCAATATCGTTGAGACGAGATTGAAGGGTTCTAAGATCAAGTTGTCCCTTGGTAAGGAAACGTTTCGATGTTTCGTCCATAACCGCACGATTGATGACTCGATTGTACCGTTTTGTCACAAATTGACGAATAGGAACTCTGCAGTCAGGGCACGAGGGCATGGTGCTCGCAAGTGAAGTAGACACATCCCGAAGGCCGTTAAACTTGCCAGCTTTGTCTCTGGTATACACACCATCTAGACCAGCCACGCCATCAACAGACTCACTAGTGAAGAAGTGGCCACACCCAAGCCGTACAATTGGAGTCTCGTTAAGGTTGATCTCGGAGTAGAGTTTTGACTCGAAGAAGTCCACACGAGCATCTCCCTTGTTGCCACATTCTTGACAGAGATCAATTGGACAATCTTCTCCGCAAAGGCTTGGACACTGATGTCCACAGCCGAGAATATTATCACATCGTTCATCGCAAGGAAGTCGATCGCAGAGCGCTGCGCAAGGCATAGAGCAGGAGCCTTGGTGAGGGCAGGACCAGGTGCATTTTTCGATACATGGTGCGCATGCAATTGCACACAAGGACTTACATGCAGAGTGCGAACATCGAACCTGGATATTATTAGTATACCAACATGTACAAGGAGAAGACAGAAGACATGTTGGGAGGTTAAGGCCAAGGATATGTCAGGTGAGGAAGTAAAGATGAAGTGAGGGTAACCGAGAACAAGAGAAATGTACAACTCACCTCGCATTTTGCCTCACAGCTGTCGCAGCTTTTACCATCATGGCACACCTTGAGGCACTTGTGATTGCATGTCCCATATGGTCGGTCACATTTCCTCTTGCAGACAGGATGATCGAACAGTTTCTCCTCGCCATCGCTCTTTTGAAGACATCTCCCACATGAGCTCTCACATTTATGTCCACAGCCGAGCATTTGAGTGCATGGCGTTGGACAGCGGAAGATTTCAGATGTGACGTCTGCAAAACACCCGATTTGAAGGGTGTGGCCACACCTCGGAACGGTTTTCTCAACCTTCACGTCGCACTTGATGGCTGCTAGATTGTCCATCTGATGACAAGACACCTTTTCTTTGACATGACCGCAGGGAAGCGTCACATCGGAAATTTTGACCAAACAAAGACCGCACTTCTCACCACAGAACTTGGGACAGACATGATCACAGCTCTTTCGAATCCGAGGGCAAGGCTTGCAACAAGAGAAAGCGTCATGCAGAACCGATGCATGACATTTGGCTTGGCATTGGTGTCCGCATGGCTCAAGTCGACGAGTACACGGGAGATCACAGCCGCCTTCAGGGCTCTTCTTCTCGAAATCATGAGGCTCAGAGCAGAGAATAGGTACCGCTGTGTGACGGGGACAACAGAGGGCTAGCTCTGTACCCACCGCGTTTCTGTTGGCAAGTTGAGCATGAACATCAGCCCACATCGGAACATTGAGATACGTCTCCGAGTTTCCAATCAGGTACATCCCATGTTGCGCTCGACTGAGAAGGACATTGACTCTGTTCTCCGTGCGGAGGAAGCCAACTTTGCGGTTTGAGTTGCTGCGAACTAGGGAGACGATGATGACTTTCGCCTCTTCGCCTTGGAAGTTGTCCACGGTTGCCAGGCGGAGTGTCTGGAGCAGTGCTTTTTTCTCAATTGGCTTCTGAGAATTGGATGTCAAAGACTCATCGGGACTCTCCTCAAAGCCATCAGCTACCAAGGTCTCCAAGTCCCGCTCGCTAAGGCAAACTTCGAAAAACTTGCTGAGAGATGCCCTGAGGTTTCGGAGTTGACCGGTATAGGGGGTTAGAAGAGCAATATCTTCAGGTTTATACTCGCCCTGCCGAACAAGATGACGCACAAGAGAAGTGGCCATGTCGACCTCCCACTGATTGCTGTGTGATTTCACCCTACTGCCATCATCTCTTCCATCTTCATTGTGTCGATGATCTAGCCAAAACAGGTTGTTTTGCATTCCGACCACATCAGGCAGTTTTAGGACACTTTCATGGTCCTCGAGCTTTGGATAGACCCTTCCAATAAGCCGCGAGATCTCAGGTCTCATTCTTCGTTGAACATTGAGTTGCGCAACAGAAATGGCACGAAGACCCGGCTCTCCGACAGCTCTTCTCTCAAACTGGCTTCGGTCCAGTTGCCAGGCCATGCCAGATGCTGTCTCAAGGCTAAGCGAGTGATTTTGAATTTGAGGCCGTAGTTGACGATGATCACCTATTTGGATGAAGTGTTCAACACCTGGCATGAGGGCTGAGATGACATGAGCTTCCATAACCTCAGCAGCCTCCTCGCATATGACGACCTTTGCGCCGACACGACGTAATGTCTCGACATGCCTTGCAAGACCAGTGGTCGTGATACCTATCACATCAGCTTGAGCCAAGGTTCTGCGGTTGATATCTTCATAAACGGCACCTATGTCTTTCCGAAGGCCTTCAGCGCTATCGACCGCTTCAAAGAGTGAGGCAATCTCTTCCTCATACCACTGCTTAAACCAGCTCTTCGCTAGAGCTCGACGCTGTGATATCTCGAGGTGGAAGATATTTCGCTTCGCAATGCGTGTCAGTTCGCTCAATTGGACATTTTCAGCCTCTTTCTCCTTCCTCGGTTTCCAGAAATCTCTCGATGTTGTCTCTAGCCAATCAAATAGAGGGTCGCTCTCCTTGCTGACCTTTGTGTATCCTTCCGCATCACATCCTTCCAACTGTCTGTGAATTTCAGGCCAATTGCGACTGAGGAACAACTGAATTCGGTCCCAAATAAGACCCTTTCGGGCCTGGTGAAGAGGCTTCAAGGAACGAGTGGCTAATTTCATATACTCTTCGATCTTGCCGTACGATGCACCAAGAGTTCGAGATTCCACGCCCGTCTTGCCGATGTCCTTGCTTACCACACGAAGATTCTTTCCTTCGAGCTCGGGGGCCTGGCTGCGTCCGCCAGCACGTATGATCTTTTCGATGCCGCTAGCGAGAAGAGACTTCAAGAATTGATCCAGAGCATGGTTTGTATAGCATCTTTGACTTTGTCAGTGACATGAACTCTGAAAATAGGGGCCACTGAGTACTCACATTACAAGTATCGGGCCTAGCTTTGCTTTCTTCTTGATAGCCAACAGAACCTGAACAAGTCTGACACCCAAGTACGATTTCCCGGTCCCTGGGGGGCCTTGAATAAGAGAATATTCTCGTGTCAGAGCAGAAATCAGTCCCTGGCACTGGCCGCGGTCGAGGCCGGTCAGAGTCTCCATCTCCAAGATATCAATAGACTCTGGGGCATTGGGATTCAAGGTGAGATTGTGAGCACCATGCTTTGTAATTGATGAAAGCGGAAAGACGAATCCTGGGTGCCGGGCATATGCAGGCGGTGGCATGTTGGAGCTGTCATACTCATGGTAGCGAGCAGGTAAGATCCATTGTTGAAATGCCAGTTCTCGTTCTTGCTGAGTTCGCTGTAGGTTCTTGAGAATGGGGACAAATGTGGCAGGGATCAGGCCATGGAAGTCAACTAGAACACCAGAAACCTCTTCGCAATATAGCTGGAGCAGCAATCTCAGCTCTTTTGGTAAGCTTGCTGCAAGTTTGACCGTAATGCTAGGTTGATGCTTGTCGGAGATAAGACTGCTCTTGCTTTTGTTTGCTTGATCCTTGGATGCTATTTTGGCGGTCACTTCAAGGAAGAGAACATGCTTTTGTCTACCGTCAAAAGCCAAGAAACACACCAGAGAACCCTCTTCAAATCGATTGGAATCTTGCCACCATTTGCATTTCTCGGCAGTTGATTTCTTGCGGATCTGCGGCGGGGTTGAGAAGCAAAGTGTTGCTTCAAGCTCATGTTTCTCGTTGATAAAAACATGTCCAATCCGTGACTCCGTATAGAGATGTGTCTGGCTCGATTTGTCGGATAGGTAAGGGCGTGTGAAGTCATCTTGCTGTATCAAATCTCGAAGTACATCTTTGACAGACCCAAAAATATCATGGCGTAACAGTCGAAATGTAGAGTCAATGTATCTGAGCAATGGATCTTGCAAGAATTGAGACCGAGAGAAGTTAGTGGATGGTAGATATTCCGCGTTGTCGCTAACGATCTCTCCGTAGGTCGGAATCAGTCTGATCATCGAGATGTCGGCGAGATCATTGTCGTGTCTACCTCCAGGAAGCTCCATATCCAGGGGGAAAGATGATTCGACTACCCTAGTACCTTGCGGGCTCTCAGTTTGCAGGACTGGAACAAGGCTGTCGTTTGCAGCTGTGACCAAGTTTCGCATGATCTCCAACCTGCTAGAAAAAGCATCCAGATCAGCGACGGAACATGCTTTGAGATGTGTGCCGACCAGCTCATCCAATAAGTCAAGAAGTAAAGGAAGGCCATCATTCAATCGCGCTTGGCGAATTCGATATAGAAGCTGATAAAGAGCATTGACCAACAGCTTCATGATATTTGTCTTGAAAGATGTCTCGTCCTTGCTTTGCTGCTCAAATTTTTGTCCCAGGGTCTGACAAACGCATTTGAGAAAGTCAATGGCTCGATCTCCATTCGGGCCACTGAAGGATGAGTACATGGTCCCGACAAACGAATCAACACTAAGACAGTTCAGGAGGGACAGATGAGTGATGACTTGGAGAAACGGCTCGACATAGAGAGGAATAGCGCCAGACGCATTCAGGTTCATGTTTTGAGTACTTGCCAGTATGAACTTCTGACCTTGAAGATTGTCATCTACCAGGTCCTTTGCGAGACGCTGATGATTCTCGCTGTTCTCACTGTCAAGAATATCAAGAGCGCCTTTCCATAATTGGAGAATATGTTCAGCAAACAGCCATGACCCAGAAGTTCCATTTCTGAGGATTCGCCTCCAGTCAAGGTATCGCTGAGCATCCTGGCTGTCCATGGGATTGTCTTTTCTTGTTCTTGGATGGAGTTGAGAACCATCGGAAGAGTTAAGGTTGTGGGAGAATTTGCAAGCTGAGCCATAACGACAAGTTCCACGTTGGAAGTGCATACATATCTTGTCCGACTGTGGGTGTCTTCCGAAGCTGATGCTGTTACTTGTTCTTCGAGACTGCCAGTTTCGGTTCCCACGACCAGACATTGCGAAGTATCCAGATATGTAGATGATATCAAGATGAGAGGTAGATGAAAAATATAATGTATAGACAATGAGAGGTTTGCTGGTCGTATATCTGATGAGAGAAGAGTTGGGTAAGATGTCCATTTATAGTAGAGTGTTCATGTTTGCTAAGCACAAGGAGGCAACAGCTTCATACAAGGGATTGCCATATGCAAGCATCATGGTGGTGCAAAGCCACAATGAGCGAAGTGAACTTGCAGCCAGTGAATCCAGGTTACCTGGAGGGATGAAGCCCATCATCCATAGAAGGCAAAATAGATAAGCAGAAATGAGTCCAAAGAATCGACTCTGACCTATGAACACCCCGCCAAAAGTACCTCCTGCGCCAAAGTCAGCCTTGTCGAGGCTAACTCATCGTGAGACCATTCGTGCATTGTGAGGCGCGTAAGAGATAAAGAACCATCAGTTCGCATTACCCCTGATACCAAATCGGGTTGAGCTTAACAGAAGACCCTTTTTAATTATTCTTGAGATAGAAGGCACGAGAGACAAGCGGTACCAAGTCCAGAGAATAGACAGTGGCCGATGGATGCCAGCCAAAAGTACTGTACGGGGGGCGCAGGGAGATATCGCTGCGCCGTAGACTACTGTCGCGATAATAAAGAATGATGCCTAGAAGCAAAGAAATTGAGATTGATCAAATCAAGTGGCACCAAGAGAAAAGAAATGCCCATACTGTACAGGATGCAACGTAATACCTATCCTCAATGGAGACCGCCCTAGCCCTACAGAACCCAATGCGAAGAACTCCTCTAGACTATGGTCTATATCTAGGCACGACCAGCTTCCTCGGTGTCCGCTTTGCCATCTTTGCGGGCCTTGGCAACGCTCTCGCTGGTTCCCCGGATTTCCTGCTCCAGTTGATCGAACGAGCGCTCAAGATCCGAGGCATTGCCGGTGGACTGGGAGTTGGTCTTTTCGGTCTCGTTGGCCTGGTAAGGGGCGGAGGTCAGACCCCGAGGGGTGCCGGCGATCTCGTTGACTTCCTGTCCTGACAAGACGTCATTGAGACGAGGACCGCGAGATTGGATAAGGATGGTTGTTGGTCCATCGAACTGCATAAAGAGCTAAATTGAGAAAGTGAGTTGATGAACCTCGATAAAAGCAGGGTTTTACATACTCTGTCTCCCCAGATGGTCATGCGAGACCAGGTACGCAGCTTGTGGAACCATGCCATAGAGGTCTTGTATGCCTTCGAATCGGACATATCACGCACGAACTTGGCTTTTTGGAAGAGGCTAGGCAGAGCCTTCAGTCCGGGGACTTGGAAGCTAAGGGTTGTGGATTTGAAGCGATAGGGACGGGGCGGGTTAGAGGACATGGTGTAGGCGACGACATTGCTAGGAAAGATTAGCGATGTGCAACGCATACATTTAGAATCGAAACATACCTGGGATGCGCAATGTACTGCTCGCCCTCCTTCAACTCAACCGAATAGAGCTGTCCGTTACCAACCAGGGCTATTAAACCTCGACCGGTGACTTCGGAGCTACCCCAATGTGACAAGCTCTGCGTCAATTAGCCTCGTGTTTCGCGGGCAAGCCATGTTCCACTAACCATGTTGGCATTGATAGTCGGCTTGATAGACAGAGACCGGCCGGTCCATGCAAGCAAAGCCCGTCTTTGGGCAACCATCCAGTCCACGGATCCATTGACATTCACAACGGCGAAGGAGGTGTTGGGTGACCGAACGGAGACGAGGGCAGTGACTGGAGTTGCGGAGGAGACCTATGTCTATATGTGAGTCGCTGGCTCATTGACTTCCGCGTGCTTTAAAAGGCTCAATATACCTTTTGGTAAAGGAAGGGCACTCCAACGATAGCCCTACGGAAAGGTTCTAGAACGCTCAATGTCGAAATCACCTGAAAATGTCGCATTAGCACATGCTGTTCCCTAGGACATCACACTGGAATCATGGCTCACATTGTCCGCCTTTCCACTCAAGCCAACCAGTGTTCCTCGTCGTGTGTACAAGTTTTGCGACGCCGAAAGCGAAACCGAAAGGAGCGAATATGGAGCACCAACAACATCGAATCGCGCATCTATTTCTCATGGCTGTTAGCTTATGCCTCCATGTTCATCATTTGACGACGAGAGAAGCTCAATTACCTCGTGATTCAACAGAGCTGGGCGTGTTAGCGAGGGGCAGGTGGTCGTTCACCGAAGGCACCCCGGAAGGCGCAGCGCGAATCTGAACATAGCGCGTTTGCCTACGAGGAATGACTCGTGTCCAGGACAAAGGCCGAACGCCCTGCTGTAGAGAAGGACGCATGTTGTGTATGGGCGCAGACGGAGGAAGTGCGAAGTTTACGTCAGGAAACTGCGAGAGTCGGGAAATCTTGGCGCCGAACACCTACGAAGTACGCAACTGATCCTCCGATTTGCGACATTGGACGACTTCTAGATAAAGTGGCGCAGGAGTTCCCAATTTCTGCGTTTCTCATCTTTACTCTGCTCTGCTCTGCTCATACTATTCCGGCTTTGGGGACCCCGATAGTTTTCTCCGAACCCGGCGGCTTTCCCCCCACGAGCTATCGGGACAGCTACCGACAACCTCACTTGTCCTCACTATGCTCCCCTGGGTTCTCCAGTGACTTAAACTTCTCCCAGAGACTGATCCATATTTGACCAAGCAGCCATGCTGCTCAGAGCCGCACGTTTGCCGTGCTGGCGCACGGCGCAATTCGCATATCCGAGCTTCGCCGGCCGGCCACGCTGCACGCGACTTAATGGAACGCAACTGCGTGTATTCACATCGGATGGCAGCCCATTGCAGAACAAATCTACCGAGAAAAAAGATCAGGTATCTACGAAAGATGGTACTGTTACCCCGGCCCCGTCGCAATTAGCTAGCGTCAACATTGTCCAAACGCCGAAAGATGGCGCTGCGAAGACACCAAAGAAGGACTTGCTGAGTGAGCCGATGGCTGCAGCCAAGGACCAACGAAAGGCAGATTGGGCGATCATGAGGGAAATGGCCAAGTATCTGTGGCCAAAGGTAATACCCGAGTGCTGTTGTATACAATGATCGGGTATTGATTAGCTATAGGACGATTGGGGCACGAAGCTCCGCGTTGGATCCGCACTATCGTTGCTTGTTGGTGCAAAGGTTTGTTCTGTCTGGAGATGGAAATGCGTTCGGCTATACTAATATAATTTATCCAGATTCTCAATGTGGAGATTCCCTTCTACTTTAAGAGCATTGTCGACTCGATGAACGTGGATTTTGCTTCCGTTGGCGGTACCGCCTACACTGTAGCTGGGTCGATGATCATTGCTTGTGAGAGAAGTTCTATTCAAGAAAAGACTCATGGCTAACCTGTTACCTAGATGGTGTGACACGAATTGGAGCTACAGTGTTTCAGGAACTTCGCAATGCAGTCTTTGCTAGTGTTGCGCAGAAAGCAATTCGAAAAGTGGCCTCAAATGTCTTTGAACATCTTTTGCGATTGGATCTCAACTTCCACCTCTCTCGACAGACTGGTGGTCTAACCCGTGCGATTGATCGTGGTACTAAAGGCATCAGCTTCCTCTTGACATCGATGGTCTTTCACGTGGTACCGACTGCACTGGAAATCTCACTTGTCTGCGGTATTCTGGTATGTTTTGACGCTGAAATTCACGCGGAATCCACTAACGTTGTAGACTTATCAATATGGTCTCCAATTTGCTGCAATCACTACTACAACCATGATTGCATACACGGCATTCACTATCACTACCACTGCGTGGCGAACCAAGTTCCGTCGGCAGGCTAACGCAGCCGACAACCGCGGTGCAACTGTTGCTGTAGACTCACTTATTAACTATGAGGCTGTCAAGTACTTCAATAACGAGAAATTTGAAGTTGCGCGATACGGAAAGGCCTTGAAGAACTATGAAGACGCATCTATCAAGGTCACCACCTCCTTGGCATTCCTCAACTCTGGTCAGAATATGATCTTCTCCTCTGCGCTGGCCGCAATGATGTACCTGGCCTGCGATGGAGTTGCAACCGGCGCCATGACTGTCGGTGACCTGGTCATGGTGAACCAGCTGGTCTTCCAGCTCTCTGTCCCCCTCAACTTCCTGGGCTCTGTCTACCGCGAGTTGCGTCAGTCCCTGTTGGATATGGAGACTCTCTTCAACTTGCAAAAGGTCAATGTCACAATCACCGAACGCCCCAACGCCAGACCTCTTCAACTTATTCAGGGCGGCGAGATCCGCTTTGAGAATGTCACTTTTGGCTATCACCCTGAGCGCCCAATTCTGAAGAATGCCACCTTCACTATTCCCGCCGGACAGAAGTTTGCCATTGTTGGCCCTAGCGGCTGCGGCAAGTCTACAATTCTGCGTCTCCTGTTCCGCTTCTACGATGTCCAATCTGGCCGCATCCTCATTGATGGCCAAGACATCCGGGATGTGAGCCTTGACAGTCTCCGCAAGATCATTGGCGTGGTCCCACAGGATACACCCTTGTTCAATGACACAATTGCCCATAACATTCGCTACGGGCGAATCGATGCATCTGACGAAGAAGTGCGCCGTGCTGCGGAGCGGGCCCACATCCACAAGCTGATCGAAGGTCTACCGGACGGCTACGAGACCGCCGTTGGCGAGCGCGGCATGATGATCTCTGGTGGTGAGAAGCAGCGACTGGCAATCTCTCGCTTGATTCTGAAGGACCCTCAATTATTCTTCTTCGACGAGGCAGTAAGTACTTATTTCCCCACTACGTGAACAGCAACTCACCTATACCAAGACATCCGCCCTCGACACCTACACAGAGCAGGCCCTCCTCCAGAATATCAACAGCATCCTCAAGGAACGGAGACGCACTAGTGTATTTGTGGCGCACCGTCTGCGCACTATCTGTGATAGTGACCAGATCCTGGTCCTGAAGGACGGTCACGTATCAGAGACGGGCTCGCACCGTGAACTACTGGATCGTGATGGAATCTATGCAGAACTCTGGAATGGTAAATACTCCAAGCAGTCTTCCTTGTTTGAGTTATTGATTGCTAACTTTTTTGCAGCTCAGGAACTGTCCATGGCTCAGGATTTGGAGTTCGAGCGGAACCAAGGCGAAGATGAGATTGAAACGAAGCCGTGAACGATACAAGTTATGGTTGATAGGAGTACATAGGATTCCAAGGATAGAGGTACATTTCTGACGCACTGTCAAGTCATATATTTTTGCAGCGAACACAGCTTGGTAGTTATCCCCAGACCAGGTCCAGTGGGCCATATGCCTAATCGGGCCATCTCCCATATGAGGCACGTGACATGACCCTTGCTCCAGCTTATGTAATGTCCTTTGCTGCCCTCCAACGCACCTGAGCAGTCCAAACCCTAAACACGCGGAAAGATAGGAGTTCCTTATACTACGTTCAGATTGATACACAACTAGCGCTAACCTATTGGCTCTGAACAAAGCTCAATAGTTCCTTCGCCCTAAACCGGTTTTAGCCCATGCGCGATTAATCTAGTGCTATCCGTGCGCGGGCTAGACTTGGATGTCTCAAGCTATAGATGTGATATATCGGAGATCAGAATCCTCAGAAGACGGAAGAGAATACTTCTAGAACTACCCTGTTCTACTGGATAGTGAGCTTCTTTTCTTTCCCATTAGAACCTTGTACTGTATAGGAGCTCCAAGTGATAAATCTGAAACGACGACGCGGTGTCATCGGCCCTGACTAGTGAACTCCAGAACTCCACAACCCACGTTCTCTCCCCACCCCTTTCTCTTCTTCTCTGCTTCTATCTTCTCGATCCAATCGCTATTCACTCTTTACCGGGGACCAGTACCCCCTTCCTCTCTCTTTCACACATTCCTTCCAGAATCATTCCACGCGTATATTCTCCGGACAGCCCAGCGCCTCCTGAAACAAGGTAAGGGACCGAGATCCGGATCAGATCAGCCCCGATCAGATCCAGACAATCCAGACAATCCAGACCATCCGAACAGTCCGACGCAAAACAGTGGCTTTATGCATAGCAGTAACTAACAACTCCTCAGCGACGTCAACTTCCGGTACCAACCGCTCACGTTCCCAATTGCTACATCGGGGAACGATTGTCGCCAACAAATTTCCGTTTCCGCACGTTCTGAACCTCCAATATCGCAAACCCAGAATTTTCATCCGATCAATTCTGATCTCTACACAATTCACAATGGGTCTCATGGACAAGCTACAAGCCAGTACGTGCCTCTCCCATCCCCGCCTCGCGAAGTTCCCCTCCCCACAACCCTGAAACACAACAAACCTCGAACTCGGTCAATGCACAAACACCAAAACCCGCAGAACGACCAGAACCCTTGAGGCTCGGTCGCCAATCTTCTACCAGAACACAGTTGGAAAAAATCGAACTAACAAACAACAGAACTTGAGCTCTACCGCCTCGAACAACGCTACGCTCGCCGTAAGCACCGCAGCACATTCTCCACGGGCGCACAATACGTCGACGGCGAATATGTCTACTCCACCGGTGCAAACTCACCCACCAGTACTGTCTCCAAACATTCGACGGGCAGCTGGCGGCCCTCGGGGTGGGGGAGTGGCAGCAGCCAATCCTCACGGTAAGCGGAATTGAGCGGAGATGAGCGGAGTTGAGCGGAGTTGAGCTGGGCTTTTGATAACGTGACACTCTTTTCTCTCTCTCTGGACCTCTATTCTGTGAACTGCCTGGGCCAGTTCGATTTGCGCGGGGTTATTGGCGCCGTCTTTTTGCGTTTCTGTTTTGGTTTTTAGCATTTGCCTCTTTCCTTTCTCTTTCTCTTTCTTCATTTTTTGCTTCTTTGCTTCTTTTCTTGCTCCTTTCGCTCTTCGCGTGATGCTTCCGCGGAGTCTCGACGAATCCTGGGTTCTTGTATAGTCTCCATGTCTGTTTGCTTCTTTCTTTCTCACCAGTTGGGACTGTTTATGGTCTGTCTCATGTGCTCCATGTGCCAGGAAACCGAATTGAAAAAAAAGCGTTCTCTTCCTTCCCAAGTGGCAAGTCAAGAACTGTCACGCTTGGGTTGGATGTGCTTTTGGTTCACATTGCATTTATACTTTGAATTTCCCTTCGTCTATAGTCTGTTTAGGACTTTATGTTTGCAATATCTATGATATATTTTATCTATAAGTTGACCTTCTGTTTCTCGAGGGCGTAGACATCAAACACGGCTACAGCTTAGATCTAATACAAGCATTCCTTCAAAAAATGATTCCATTGTCCAAAGAAACCTCGGATGCTGGGTATATCCAGTTAAGTAAGTACAAGACACAAGGAAGCTATGCACAAGAAAGCACCCGCTATCCTCTTATTTCTTCTTCCGGCCTCCAATACCCAATCGTCCTAGATTCGGAAGACTCGACTTGTGCTTATGGGATGGACCCGGAATAACAGACTTCGTCACTCCACTTTCCAGCCCACGACCGGCAGCATTGCCAATTCCAGGGCCACTAGCTCCGGCGTTGCCAGTTTGGTGCATGGCCGGGGTACCGCGTGGTGCGTCAGGGAGACCGGGTCGATCCTTGGATCTGTCAGCGGCGGCAGCAGAAAGGGCAGCCGTGAGGGTAGGGTTAAGCAGGGTATCCGAGGGGTTGAGGGAATGGCGATGTGAAGCTTGGGAACGACGAGCACGTTCCTGGACGGATTTGAACTTGTCAAGGAGGTCAACCCAGCGGATGGTATTCTCATCGCGGGGTTTGAGGCGCGGACCGGAGGATCGGTCAAAAGAGGATGAGGCTGGGGCGGTTTGAGCGGTGCTGGGTTGAAACTCGGTCAGTCTCGTGGGGGACAGAGGGGAGCGTAGAACGCCCTGGGATCCATACCTGCGGGGGCCACTGTGGAGAAATCCGATGTTGCTGACACTGTTCAGGCGGTTCTTGAGGGCTGCGAACGCGGAGCTCTGGGGGAGGAGCATGAGGACACCATAGAGACATTTGTAGAGGTAAGGATATTTTTCGGGTTCCAAGAGTTGTAGGCGGAGGTCTTTGTGGCTATTAGTTTTGGATTTCTTCAAAGCGTACAAGAGACATACATGTGAAAACTGGCGATTCGAGTAGTTGAACCAGCTTGTCGATTTGAATCAACATATTGACTGTCATCTCAAGTTCGGCACTATGGTAGTGTTAGTAGGACCACAAAAGACCATATTCGAGATTTGATGCACTGACAAGATCTGAAGTAGGTTGTAAGCCTGCTCATAGGCTTGAGCGAGAAGACATAGAGAAAAGGTGGACACAGCATTGTGGCACCATGACCTGAACAAAGCAACAAAGAACATTTGTCCATCCTGAAAATTGGGTAAGCCTTTTGCACAAATTAACAACACATCGGGAAATTTACTCTTGAATCGAGATTTCTCAAGCGCTTTCTTAGCTCTGATAATTCTGGCGCAGTGATAAGATTGTTGTTCAAGTTCTGCACCATGATACTGGCAAATTCAAGATCCTGAAAATGTTAGCATAAAGCGTTGAAATGAGGTCAGCGCACTTACTTCTTCTTTCTCAAGACAATCTGCCAGCGTTCGGTAGATACGTTCCGGACTCAAATTCAAACACAACTGTCTGATAATCAAGTTTCCACGTACTTCAAGCAAATGCCTGTCCGTAGAAAACAGCTGCAGTAGATTCACCATGAAGGATGTGAAGTAGCTATCTTCGCTATTTCTGGAAATCTGTGAAAGAAGCTGCAAATCCTTGGTCACAACAGCCTCCGCAGGGTCTGATAGCGTTTTCAGCAGTGCCGGGAAGGTGCCATCATTGAACGCGACGACTTTCCGTGGTGCTTTGTGGTGCAGCATAATGAGCCACGAAAGAGCTGCCACTCGTGTGGCTTCGTTCTCGTTGAGAAATTGCAGGGTGAGGGAGTTGACAGCAGCGGCGTAATCAAGATCGGCAGTAGGCAAAGGCGTGGAGACAACACTACTTCGTGGTGTTGCTGCAACGGAAGCGTCTTGCGCTGACTGCTTTCTGGCGTCAAAGCTCGCCGTCTCCGTCGAGGGCCTGATTCCGGGAGTAGAGGATCTGCGCTCTATGATCTCTTTGCTAGGGGTGTTGGATGGAAGCTTCGAAGAGGCTAAGGTTTCCTCCGTTGTATCATCCGATAAAGAGTATATGTACTCGAGAAGTGATTTGTTGACTTGGTTTGCGGCTTGTCGTACTCCGTCCGAGCCACTCGACATAGCTGGGAGCACCTGGGTCAGAAGACGCGGAACAAAAGGCAGAATATCCTCTGGGCTGATCTCAAAGAAAGCATCAATCCAACGAAGGGCTGTCAATTGCATTTCCTCCTCATAAGTGGTGTTGACAAAGCCAACAAGAATACCAAGAATCTTGGGGTGATCGATTTGTACATCCTGTCCGGGGATCCAGTCTCCGTCAGCTTGGATGATTTCTCCGTCGAAATTTGAATCTGAGTCTGAGTCCCCAACTGCGATATCACCCTTGTCATCACTTGCACCATCGGCGTTGACATTCTGCTCGGTCGAGACGCTCATGCCGTCACTTGCGGTCGAGTTTCTGTTGCTTTTCTGCCCTTTCCGGCTTTCTTCAATTCCCTTCTTCAGCCTTGTAATCCTCTTGATCTCCGCCAAGAATCGATCGAGAAGGTTCTGAGTCGCAACATTAACATCTTTGTTGGGACCGCCAAGGAATTTTATCAAGCCCTCCAGGAAATCCGGCAAATAGCTGACGAGCTCTAAATCAGGAATGGTATCTAGAAGAGTAAGCCATGAGACCAAGAAGTTGCGAGTGAACGGCTGGATCACATGGATGCGGTCCTGAAGCAAGGGAATAAATCTCGCGAGAGAGAAAGCAGTCGGAAGCTCTGGGTCATCCAAAGCATCCGGATCCATTCGATCTTTCTCGGACAGCTGTAAAATGGAAACATAGGAAGCAGCCGATTCAGCCACAATATCTTTCACCAGTCGATCCAACAGCTCCGCGCCATTCTTAACTGACAACTCCGAGTCTGACGCAAGCTACACCACCTGTTAGCCCTGCGAACCCCACTTCACATATCGGTACTCACCTTAGCTAGGGCATCAAATATCTCATTGAAGAAAAGCAGGATTTCTCCCTTGGCGACCTTGGCAATATTGTACATGCTCTCGCAAGCATAGTACCGAACTCGCGCATCCTGGTCCGAGAAGCACGCCAGCACAGGCGGAACAATCTCTCCCAGGTACGGGGCAACCCCTTCCTGAACCCATTATCAGCACATTTCCCCGCAGTGCACGGTTATCTCGAACTCACCGACCCCAGGGCGATCGAGGCAGCCGCCAAACCGATCAACCCTCCATTCCGAGCGTGGGGTTGGTGTACAGCATAGGCGTAGTCGTGACAAAGCTGTTCAACGATCTTCTGGATTTTCTCCTGGTCCGCTTGAAAAACGGCATCGCGGACGATTTTCTCTAGCCTGTCAAAAATAATCGGTCAGTATACGTTCAGGATCATCGCCATGGATGGGAGGGTCTCAGAAGTGGCATACTCTAGAGCTCCTTGTTTCCTCTTGTCGTAGAGCTTATCGTTCAGCAACCGCTGGATTGTTTGATCCATCGCTCCGAATCGCGTGTGACACGGGTTCTCCTCCAGCTAAGGCTAAGCAATTATCATAGCGAAGAGACACTCTGAGATTTTACTGCCACGAAGCCCAGAAGCCAAAATTGAGGAGTGAGGTCAAAGTGTTTGAAGACAGATGCGTTGTCAACGCGGAGATTGTGATGTCAGCAGTGGGTCTAGCCCTGACTTTAGCTGCATTGACCGCCTTTGTTTATCTTCTGACAGCTGCCTCTTCTTTCCCTTTCACTTTTACCTTCAACCCAGACCTTTGTTTTTTTCCTCATGGGCACTAGTCCTTCATCAGGATCCTCTGAGGGTCTTGACGAACTCTTCGCTACATTCTCGAGTCATTCAACAAGCTAGAATGTTGACTTAACTCGACCGCCACGTATGCAAGCTATCGGACAGCAAGGTCCACTTAGCTTTTCTTTCAGCCCCTTGACCTTCACCGCCACAGAAAAATCTGCGAAGAGTTTACAAGATCAAGAGAGGGACGGGAGGCGAAATGAGCAATACAATGGTGATATGTGGATTGGAACGAGTCGAGAATATCAACTACAACGAAACCTTCACGTCTGTCGTGAAGCAGCAGAGTTACAAAGCCATAATCATTCCGCAATAACTTTGGAAATCTAATGCGTACACACTCAAGGCGCTTGCCTCTCGCTGTGGTGATGAAGCTTACAGAAAAGAAGCTATCGGCGAAGAACAAATCTTCCTATACGCAAAACGTGGCCCTGCGTCCGATGTTTTGCCGGTAGCTTGTTTTTCTTGTGCCTCATCGATCATGCCAGAAGTAGTGGTATCGAGTGTGGATACATTAGCTTACGGCTTTGTTACCCATTGGTTGTATGACTGACGAAGATTTCGGTGTTGATATCTCCGGACTAGTCGAAACCACGTACACATAATGAAAATTCATTGAGATAATAACTCGAAGTCGTGTATGATCATGATTGCTCGCTCCAAGTGATACGCTCCAAAAGATATAGAAAGTTCAAATGCCAATAACTGTGACAAAATCTCCAAACTGCCGAGTATGCTGATTAGACTATTAATGACTGATGTATTGGAAAACAGCAGAGACATCCTGTTCCCCGGTCTCCTGTCTTAACAACAGATCCTGGATCTGATTGAGAGGACCCTTCTCTCCAGTATTGATCAAATGATTCCACGAGCTCGTATCACCATATAGCATAGCTGGGGCCTTGATGTATTGTGTTCCGTCTGGTCGACATCGTTTGCATTTGAATGTATCGTGGGTGTCGCTACGCGTGTCGGGTTTGAACTGGAAGAGTTCACGTAGGGAATCCAAAGAGAAGTGGCGCTCAACGTCCTCTGCGGAGTCGACGACACATGATGATAGCGATTGCTTGTGGGACTGGCGCTGGAATATCTTCTCTTCAATAGAGCCGGTTGCAATGAAACGGTACACGAAACAGTCCTTCTTCTGTCCGTCACGCCACACTCGAGCCAGCGCTTGCTGATCAGCAGCTGGGTTCCAGTCAGGATCGAACAGTACCAGGCGGTTGGCGCCGATCAAGTTCAGACCACACCCACCAGCCTTACTACTCAAGAGGAACACAAATTCTGGACCATCGGGGTCATTGAATTTGTCCACTAGCTTCGAGCGTTTCTTGATGTTCATGGTTCCATCAAGTCGCAGGCAACCGTATGCACGCGATCGACAAAGCTTTTCAAACAGATCCAGCGTCTGAGTGTAGTTGCTGATGAGAACAATCTTGTCGTTTGTATCCTGTCGGATCCGTGCCAACATACGATCTAGGACCATCATCTTTCCAGAATACCAACTTTTGATCTCTCGATCACGGCCACGGGAATCTGGAGGGCTATAGTCTTCGGGGAATGTATGCTCGCACCCTGGAAGATCCTTCTGAAGGTCAAGAAGATCAGGGTGGTTGCAAAGCTTTTTCAAAAGGCCAATTGCTTTCAACGGTTGACTACCCTTTCCACGGAGCAGGCTTCGAATCTCAGGACTCTGGATAAAATGGTCGTATAGACCACGTTGGAACTGGGACATATTGCAGAACACGACATGCTCGTACTTGACTGGCAAGTATTTGGAAAGCAGCTCATTCGTTCGGCGAATAATGAACTTATTGACAACGCCGGATAGCTCTGAGAGTCGTTCATCGCCCAATTTCTTTTCTTCGTCGGTACCTGCTGCGTCTCGACCTCGCAAAATTGGCAGCTCAAATCTCTTGCGGAAGTCGGCTTGTGAGCCGAGAAGATTCGGGTTGGCAAAGTGAAGTAGAGCAAAATACTCTGACAAGTCATTCTGAATGGGCGTTCCAGAAAGGATCACTCGGCGAGTAACGTTCAAGCTGTTCAAAGCAGTCCATGTCAAGCTTTCTTTGTTCTTGAGCCGATGGCCTTCGTCACATAATAGAAGTCCAATTGGTGCATCTTTCAATGCATCGACATACATTCGGAGCGTCTCGTAAGACACAATGAGACAAGGCCTGACTATTCCACGTCCTGATGCAATGGCCCACTGCTTGATCTGGGCAGTTAGCTCGGTCTTTGAAGCCTTTCCATCCACTGCAAAAGGAGTTGTAGCGTCCTTTCCAAGCCATTTTGTCAACTCGTTGGCCCAATTGCCGACCAAACTCGACGGGCATGCAATGACGCATTTCTGAATTGTTGTTTTGCCAGCTTCAGAGGACTGCTTCAAAAGTGTCCACATCAATGCAATACATTGCAGCTGTATCGATTAGTACTAGACAAGGAAATCAAGCGATCAAAACGTACTGTTTTTCCAAGACCCATACCGTCTGCCATAATGCATCCATTTGCGTTCTTATCCACCAGCCCAGTGGTACATCGATAAAGAAACTACAACGTGTCAGCTTTCTCATCTGGCATGACCTGAATGAAACCTTACCTTTACACCCTCCACTTGATGTGGCCGTAGCACTTTGCAAAGTCTCGGATCAATGACAACAGGCACCTTTGGTCGCTCATCCACATCTTTCTTCAGTCCAAGGATATCTGCTAAGCTCTTGTGTACAATGGGTTCGTCCAATTCCGGCTTCTCTTCGGTCGGGGCCTCCAAAGCCTTAGGCTCAGGCTCAGCAGGAACATCGTCAACCGTTGGATCGTATAGAACAATTGCAAACTCTCCACTGGGATCATGTAGTGGCTTCACCACAAACGTCGCACCCTGCCTCATGCCCAACGTTGGAGCAGCTCGGCCAGCGTTGTATCCATCTCCAGCTTTGTTGATAAACGGAATTTGAAATCGCGACCGAAATGCCATATCCTTGTCCCGCGGCTTAAACACAGGGAACTTATTGACCTCTCTTGTCGCCAACGCGAGCCGATCCTCGTTCGTGTATGGTTTCTCTGCCCCATCTTCGACACTCCCATCAGCATTGGCATAATTCACCTTCCGCCTCTTCCTAGACGGTTTCTCAGATGCGCGCGTCGGTGTTGCCGAGCCGGGACATTTGAAGGGCCTTGCGAGACGATCGATCGAATTCACAGATTTGGGTTGTAGGGGTGTTTTGGGCGTGCCCTCACCGGCGGGTCGTGGTCGATACCTGGGATGTCAGCATTAGCAGTGAACCAAAAGAAGTCAATAAATATCGGCCTAGCCATACATTGACCCAAACAAAGAACCCAACAAGTCAAAATCAGCTGTACACGGCCCCCAAAGTCGATTGTTGTTGATGAGTCAAAGTCGACGCGATCCTCGCGTCTGCCTACACCAAATCGACACGGCCCCACGTGATATGCCGAGGGGCAGCCCCGCTAGAAAGCCGGGGGAGCTTCGGGCATGAACTTGGACTTGGAACTGTGGACATTCCTCTTCAGATCTATATTCAGCGTCTTATCCCATGGGTTCCGACTTCTGGGCTGGCTACCTAAGTGGTGCACTAGGAATAATAATCGGCAACCCACTGGATGTGATCAAAGTCCGGCTGCAGGCGGGGGATGTGCATGCAGCTGCATCACCGATACATTTAAGCCGCCTGGATAAAGCAACCTCCCTAGTCCGAGGTCTGTGATACACAACCTTACTATGACCCTCAAGCACCACAATTAATATTCAATTGTATATAGGCGCTGCAGCCCCGATCCTAGGCTATGGAGCCCTAAACGCCATTCTCTTCGTGGCCTACAACCGCACTCTCACAATCCTAGACAATTCCATAACAGATCCAACAAACCCCGTCAACGTCTCAGCATACAAGATCTGGCTAGCCGGAGCCGCCGGCGGACTGGCCAGCTGGACGATCTCCTCGCCCACAGAATTCATCAAATGTCGCGCGCAGCTGGATCCACGAGCCGAGGCATCGTCGTGGGCCGTGGCTAAGGATATCATCCGCACGCGCGGCTGGAGGGGTCTCTATTTCGGTGGAGGTATTACTAGCGCTAGGGATGCAATTGGCTATGGGTTCTAGTATGTCCACGCCACCCCCGGATCTGAACCCTTCTCCCGGTGAAATATATATTCCATATTTCATATATTCTATACCTTGATGTATGGGTTTGGTTGATATACTAATATTTGACAGTTTCTGGTCCTATGAACTATGCAAGCGATTTATGATTTCTGATAATGACGGCGCATATCAATCTGCCATGAATATTTTGCTATGTGGGGGGATTGCTGGGGTTGTTACCTGGGGTTCGGTGTTCCCTCTGGACGTGATTAAGACGAGGTTGCAGGCGCAAACTATTGGGGATCATGGCCGGATATCTGAGAGCCAGGCTTTGCTAGGACATCGGACACTGAGCTCTTGCCAGATTGCCAAGGAGACATATCGGGCCGAGGGTCTCAAGGCATTCTACCGTGGTCTGGGGGTTTGCAGTGCTCGGGCATTCATTGTGAATGCTGTACAGGTAGGGTCCTTTTCTTGCCCCTGGCATATGTGACACGGAACTAATGTGATACAGTGGGCGACATATGAATGGTTAATGAAGAACTTTAACCAATTGGGCACACAAGCGAAGTTACAATCGGGGATGTCCCAAGGTTGAAGCTAGCGGTGTACATCCATGAATAATTTAGAACCCCCACACAATGTGAAGACTACACGAACATACCGAAGGCCCATTCAGGTTAGTTTCTATTTGGTATTGAGGGATTTCTATTGGAATTACTCGGAAGTATTGCCAAGGGGTAAATTTCCAGGCCGTTTTCGCCGACCGTCGGCGGTTTCATGTCACCCGCAAACCGGAAGAGTGGAAACCCGGCGAGCATCGGCAATATAAAAAAAAGTGCCGCACGTGACTCTAGATCAACAATCTAGAGATGGAAACTGTTGTTCGGTGTTCAGTGCTGAATTGAGAGTCGTGGTCGCGTAGCAGAGGTAGCTCTTTGCTTCTTTTGCTTCTTTTATTTCTTTCCCGGTCGAAGTCAAACTTGTTTAATCCTCCATCGCGTCGGGGTTCTCTTTGGATCGCTTGCCGTTGTCGGTGACACCGAGTCCAATGGCACGTTCGGCGAGTTCCTGGCTGTGAGGCTCCTCCTTGAGAATTTTGAGTCTGGGAAATGACGCGTTAGATATGCGATCTGGGATCGTGACGCAAGATATGTAGCATGCGACCGCAATATATGTACTCACCTCTTCTTGTGGTTCTTGCCCTTGGTGTGAGACTTGAGGTTGTAATCACTCTCAAACCACTTGGCGCACTCCAAGCAGTAGTGCTTGCCTAGACCAGGGAGGTCCTCAACATCCTTGGACTCCTTGAAAAGCTCAAGGTGACGGGGAGAGTCGATATCGCGCAGGACTTGGTCGTAGTCTCTGGAGGGTAAGTTAGCACACCACACATCGTTTGACTCGATACTAAGGGACACCAGATACTGTGCATCGAGACATACCTGGTGCGACGCTTGGTCTTGATTCTTCTGAGAGCACCCATTGTTGCCGATAACCTCGGATAGCCGATCAGCGTAGATGCAAGTGAAAAAAAAGATACTACCGATTTCCGGAGTGAAAGAAAGCGAAGCGGGTCCCATTTGTTCAGTTTGAGCGATGAAATTTCCGCTGACTGTGGGTCACGGGGCCCGATTGAAACGCCTGGGCTGTGATTGGCTGGTTGACAAAGGCGGCGACGATGCGGGATTGCCGTCGGCACGCCTCGGCTCAGCGTCACCGGTTTACGCTGTATTGGATGACGTCTGCATGCGGTATGATGCTCCGAATATCCTATCCTAGATCCTATATTCATTATTCTTATGTTCTAGATTTGGATATAGCTGTATTGTGAGTGGCAGAGAGAGCTAGGGTACACGTGTATCAGATGAATCCACATGCCGGGGTAACAGGCCGAGTTTAGACCTTCGCCTTTGGTCCGAACTGGGGATGTAATTGGAAATCATTTGATTGGTGGCCGAATTATACCCGTCACATGTCTGGTATCGCCATTACATTCACATGGGAGTATATTCAATTTATCTTTCGAGATACTGGCGCGTATGTTGGTGAGAATAAGAGCTGAATGAGTAGAGAAATCAAATAGCTGGATTAGGAATTGTCCATTCCTCAACTCAAGAATTGTCGGAAACAGCCATACTCCTTGTAATCCTTTTGCCGTCGCATGCGGGTTTAGCTCCAATACCGTACTGTATCGCCGGGGTAACAAGCGGTTACGGCTCTTGTCTCGGACCCCGTAGAATCTTTCTCCCACTCAAAAGCAAGCTTTTATCCATTTCTTCCTTCCTTTCTTTCCCTCTTCACTCTCCACTCTCACTTTGAAGGTGGTAACTAGCTCTTGGATGTACTATATCATCTGTTAGAGCTTCCATCATGATCACTACCCGCCTCGCGCGCGCCGGTGCGCTGGTAAGTCTACCCTATATCCCTATATCCTCGGCTCATCGCGGCGAGGCTGGCATCTGTCAACCTCGATCGACCTTGAAACTCCTTTTTGGATCAAAATCAAACTAACTCGCTTTTTGAATAGGCCCCCAAGTCCCGTCTTGTAAGTTTTATCAAGAAGCTCCCAGCTGCACGTGGCACGCACAGCTGTCGGCATAAGATTGTCTCAACCCTGCAGATACTAACAGTCGGAATAGCTTTTCGGGAGCCGGGCCTACGCTACCATTGGCAATGACCCCCTCGACAAGAAGGTCGAGATGACCAACCAGGAAACTGTGAGTGGCTATCCGGAAGTTCCACTATCAATCGACTAACCCAATATAGGGCCACTACATCAACTACAAGAAGATGTCCGAGAACCTCGAGATTGTCCGTTCCCGTCTTCAGCGCCCTCTCACCTACGCCGAGAAGGTCCTCTACTCTCACCTTGACGATCCCCATGGGCAGGACATCCAGCGTGGTGCCTCCTACCTCAAGCTCCGCCCCGACCGCGTTGCTTGCCAGGACGCCACCGCCCAGATGGCCATTCTCCAGTTCATGTCCGCTGGTATGGACTCCGTCCAGACCCCCACCACCGTCCACTGTGACCACTTGATTGAGGCCCAGATTGGTGGTGACAAGGATCTTGCTCGTGCCAACGAGATCAACAAGGAGGTCTACGACTTTCTTGCCTCCGCTACTGCCAAGTACAACATCGGTTTCTGGAAGCCCGGTTCCGGTATCATTCACCAGATTGTTCTCGAGAACTACGCTTTCCCCGGTGGTCTGATCATCGGTACTGACTCTCACACCCCCAACGCTGGTGGTCTCGCTACCGCTGCCATCGGTGTCGGTGGTGCTGATGCCGTCGACGTCATGGCTGGTCTCCCCTGGGAGTTGAAGGCCCCCAACGTCATTGGTGTCCGTCTTACTGGCCAGATGTCTGGCTGGACTACTCCCAAGGATATTATCCTGAAGGTCGCTGGTCTCCTCACCGTCAAGGGTGGTACCGGTGCCATCATTGAGTACCACGGTCCCGGTGTCGACTCCCTGTCCTGCACTGGTATGGGTACCATCTGTAACATGGGTGCCGAGATTGGTGCCACCACCTCCATGTTCCCCTTCAACGACCGCATGTACGACTACCTGAAGGCCACCAAGCGTCAGCACATTGGTGACTTCTCCCGCGAGTACGCCGCCCAGCTCCGTGAGGATGAGGGTGCCCAGTACGACCAGCTCGTTGAGATCAACCTGTCTGAGCTCGAGCCCCACGTCAACGGTCCTTTCACTCCCGATCTTGCCACCCCTCTGTCCAAGTTCAAGGAGGCTGTCAAGGCCAACAAGTGGCCCGAGGAGCTCAAGGTTGGTCTGATCGGATCTTGCACCAACTCTTCCTACGAGGATATGTCCCGTGCTGCCTCCATCGCCCGCGATGCCCTTGACCACGGTCTCAAGTCCAAGTCTCTCTTCACCATCACCCCCGGTTCCGAGCAGATTCGCGCTACCATTGAGCGTGACGGTCAGCTCCAGACCCTCGAGGAGTACGGCGGTGTTATCCTTGCCAACGCCTGTGGTCCTTGCATTGGACAGTGGGACCGTAAGGACGTGAAGAAGGGCGAGGCCAACTCCATCATCTCCTCCTACAACCGTAACTTCACTGGTCGTAACGACGCCAACCCCGCCACCCACGCCTTCGTCGCCTCCCCCGACCTCGTCGTCGCCATGACCGTTGCTGGTACCCTCAACTTCAACCCCATCACCGACTCCCTCAAGGACAAGGATGGCAACGACTTCATGCTCAAGGCTCCCACCGGTGACGGTCTCCCCAGCCGTGGCTACGATGCCGGCCGTGACACCTACCAGGCTCCTCCCGCTGACCGTGCCTCCGTCAACGTCGCTGTCTCCCCCTCCAGTGACCGTCTTCAGATCCTCGCTGGCTTCAGCGCTTGGGACCGCAAGGACGCCACTGACATCCCCATTCTCATCAAGTGCCAGGGCAAGACCACCACTGATCACATCTCCATGGCTGGCCCCTGGTTGAAGTACCGTGGTCACTTGGACAACATCTCCAACAACATGCTGATCGGTGCCATCAACGAGGAGAACGGTGAGGCCAACAAGGTCAAGAACGCCTTCACTGGTGAATACGACGCTGTCCCCGCCACTGCCCGTGACTACAAGGCCCGCGGCATCAAGTGGGTTGTCATTGGTGACTGGAACTACGGTGAGGGTTCTTCCCGTGAGCACGCTGCTCTTGAGCCCCGCCACCTTGGTGGTCTCGCCATCATCACCCGCTCCTTCGCTCGTATCCACGAGACCAACTTGAAGAAGCAGGGTATGCTCCCTCTCACCTTCTCCGACCCCGCCGACTACGAGAAGATCAAGCCTGAGGACAAGGTCGATCTCATGTGCACCCAGCTCGAGGTTGGCAAGCCCATGACTCTCCGTGTCCACCCCAAGTCCGGCGCTCCCGCCTTCGACATCTCCCTCAGCCACACCTTCAACGAATCTCAGATGGAGTGGTTCCACGACGGCTCTGCCCTTAACACCATGGCCCGCAAGGCTTAAATGGTTTATCTTTCATGACTCAACAATAAAACCTTCAAGTACCTGGGTTATTACCCCGGTACCTGTGTAAACTACATTTCTCTTGTGTGTTGAACGATTCAGATACATGCTTCGAGAAATACGGTGTGACGCGGCGGTCCATTATCATGGGCTGCCTGTGGTTCGCGTGTCCCTTTTCGAGCACGGTATGAGGAGTTGCGCTCTGGGAAAAATTATGAATGATCCTGTGTTTTCTGCGTTGATTCCCGATATTTGGGTGGGTTCAATGGATATACTCTGATTTCAGTTTTTGTATGTTAGGAATGGCATGCAACACAATTTTCTGTTCACTCTTCGCAACCGTAACTTATCTGCAACTGTAATTAGATTTTTAAAGTACAGTAGATTGTATTTTGTTCATAACGACATATCCGGCCAACTTGCAACTTAAGCCCAGGTGCCTCGGACAAGCTGAGATAAGCTGCCGAGGCTCATCACACCCCGCGCTGCACTCATATAAACCCAGAAACGGAGCCATCGGCAGAAATAGTCTCGTTATATTCGTTCATTGTTCTGACAGTCCTGACAGTCTCGTTGGACAGCTTGACTAAAATCTAGTCCACTATTGGTCCTTGTTACTCGCCACTTGACCAGGGTATACAGGCTCTCATTGATATCAAACATGGCCACGCAACTCGTCCAGCTTCCCGAAGTGGAGCGTCTCAGTGCCTCAGTCATTCGAATCCTAGGTGGCAACCCGGGGAAGGTGAGTAGATATACGTACATAGACTACTTGGACCCAAGCTTACCACGACTGCAGTTTACCCTCCAAGGTATCAACCAACATCAACCATCCAGCACCTCTGTAATCCAATCCTAATATAATATAGGAACAAACACATATCTGTTAGGCCATGGCCCCCAACGAATCCTAATAGACACAGGCGAAGGCAAACCAAGCTGGGCTGCAACCCTCCAAAACCTCTTAGCAACAGAAAAAGCCACAGTCACCCAAACCCTCCTAACACACTGGCACCCCGATCACGTAAATGGCGTACAGAACCTCCGAAAGATCTGTCCCAATGCACAGATCTTCAAAAACGATCCAAACACCGACCAAGCCGATATAACCGATGGCCAAGTCTTTTCCGTTGACGGCGTTACCCTAAGGGCGATTCATACGCCCGGCCATACGACTGATCATATGGTTTTTTGGTTTGAAGAGGAGGCGGCTATGTTTACTGGTGATAGTAAGTGACCAATTGTCAAATGCCAATTTATGGATCTTCTAGAATGTCTCTCTAACAAGAACCAGACGTCCTCGGTCACGGCACAGCCGTCTTCCAAGATCTTAAAACCTACCTATCAAGTCTCCACCGAATGCGCGAGCGCGTCTCCGGTGGTCGCGGATATCCTGGACACGGCGCTGTTCTGGAAAACACCGGCTCTCGCATTACGGAGTATATCAAGCATCGACAGCAGCGGGAAGATGAAGTATTGCGTGTCCTAAGGTATGGCAAGCTTGATGTTTCAGATGGGGAAAGTGGGAGTGGGAGTGAGAATGAGGGCGAGCGGAAGCAGGCGTGGACGCCTATTGAGCTAGTCAAGGTGATATACCGGGATGTCTCTGAGAGTTTGCATTTGCCTGCTTCTGGGGGTGTGTTGCAGGTTCTTGGGAAGTTGGAGGGAGAGGGGAAGGTTATTGATGCTGGTGATGAGGGGTGGAGATTAAGTGAGAGGTCTGCTTTGTAGATTTGGATTGTTTTTCGAGACCCTTGGTTCATGGCCATCACATGTGTGTGTGTGTGTGTGTATACTGTATAGGTCTGGTTCTCGAGGGCCTCAGCCTCTGAATCATGACGTTTAGCCACTCTTTGTTGATAGGCGAATGTTGTTTTTCTTTGGCCAAAAATAGACTCTTGGACCCTGGATCTGCCCTGCCTGATCTGATCTTAACTGTTTATGCCTCCATCTGTACCCTCATCCTTTGAAGTCCGATCATCAAGCTTAGGAATGATCTTATAGATCGGCTTACCTAAGGTCGGCGACGTCAGCGCTCGGTCATTGGAAGAGAGCAGGTGACCTGTGACTGGTTGGGCTGAGTTGCCCTGAAATGGTCAGAACGAAAAGGACCAGACCGTATTCATGTGTCTCTTTTCCCTGCTTTCTCTCTACTTTCTAATGTGATCGTTATTGAAGAATCTCCACCGTATTTCCCAGTTTATTCGGGGTGACCTCACTCGGCTCCCCGCCCTTGCTGACTTTCCGCCTTTCCCCTCCAAGACTTTTTTTGAGGCTACGGATAGCTGGATCTTTCTTCATTGTTGAGCACTCAAAGGGTTTGATCGTTCTTAGCAGTCCAGTCTCGCTTGACCTGGCAACTGTTCACCTGTTCACCGGTTCACCGGCTCCGACTCATCTCTTCGTATTCGCATTTCCCCCCTCCCCCCCAAGTTCCGTCATGACTTCCATTGAGCAAGAACCGAAACAGAATGAGGCTCGTTTGCTTCTAGTATCCAACCGCCTGCCGATCACCATCAAGCGATCTGAGGATGGAAAGTATGACTTCTCCATGTCCTCTGGGGGTCTGGTCAGCGGCCTGAGCGGCCTATCCAAATCCACCACTTTCCAGTGGTATGGCTGGCCTGGCTTGGAGGTCCCCGAGCCGGAAATCCCAGAGGTTAAACAGCGTCTGAAGGAAGAATATGGAGCTGTTCCCGTCTTCATTGATGATGAACTCGCAGACCGCCACTACAATGGATTCTCAAGTGAGTGCTGATCCCCGCAGAGCTAGCCGCATAGATACTGATACTCCAACTTTTCCATAGACTCCATTCTTTGGCCGCTATTCCACTACCACCCCGGTGAAATCACCTTTGACGAATCTGCCTGGGAGGCCTACAAAGAAGCCAATCGGCTGTTCGCAAAAGCCATCGCCAAGGAAGTGGAGGATGGCGATCTGATCTGGGTTCATGATTACCACCTCATGCTGCTTCCTGAGATGCTGCGCGAGGAGATCGGGGACAGCAAGAAGAATGTCAAAATCGGCTTCTTCTTACATACTCCGTTCCCTAGTAGTGAGATCTATCGAATTCTACCCGTGCGCAATGAATTGCTTCTGGGTGTTTTACATTGCGATCTTATCGGCTTCCACACTTACGACTATACCCGTCATTTCTTGAGCAGTTGTTCGCGCCTGCTGTAAGTATATCCTTGCGGATCTATGGAGGCTGTGACTAACCGAAGTAGTGGGCTTGCGACGACACCTAATGGAATTGAATTCCAGGGCAAGATAATCACCTGCGGTGCTTTCCCCATTGGCATTGATCCGGAGAAGTTCAAGGAGGGGTTAAAGAAAGAGAAGGTCCAAAAGCGCATTGCCACCCTCGAACAGAAATTCCAGGGCGTCAAGTTGATGGTCGGTGTTGATCGTCTGGATTACATCAAGGGTGTACCCCAGAAACTTCACGCGCTTGAGGTATTCCTCAGCGACCACCCAGAATGGGTTGGAAAGGTTGTTCTGGTACAAGTGGCTGTTCCCAGTCGACAGGATGTCGAAGAATACCAGAATCTGAGAGCCGTAGTAAATGAGCTGGTTGGTCGGATCAACGGAAAGTTTGGTGAGTACTCTGTTAATTCAAGCTTGAACAACTACTAATTGAACCAGGCACGGTCGAATTCCAACCTATCCATTTCCTGCACAAGTCAGTCAACTTTGATGAACTTATTGCTCTTTACGCCGTATCAGATGCCTGCATTGTATCATCTACTCGGGATGGTATGAACCTGGTGGCATATGAATACATCGCAACACAACAAAAGCGCCACGGAGTCCTAGTCCTTTCCGAGTTTGCTGGGGCAGCCCAAAGTCTGAACGGCAGCATCATTGTCAACCCCTGGAACACCGAAGAGCTTGCAGGTGCCTACCAAGAAGCTGTGACTATGAGTGACGAACAGCGAGCTCTAAATTTCGCCAAGCTGGACAGATACGTGTCCAAGTACACCAGGTTTGTTGTTCCTAGCCACAGTCTGTATTCTAAACTTGACTAACCCACCATCCCCAGTGCCTTCTGGGGCCAATCCTTCGTCACCGAACTCACCCGCATCTCCATCCATTCCGCCGATAAATTTCATGTGAAGAACAATGTCAACGAGGCCACGTAATAGTTCATCGTTTCCTGTGCCAGTACCGGTTTTCTGGCCATTGAAACGATTCTTCGAACTTTTAGATACACGAACATGGATGAGGCGAATGCTATTTTCTTGGGGGTTTTCTTGACTCCTTTATCTGTCCTGCGCTTTATTTTATGTTACTTTTTTACTTTTACTTTATTTTTTGTACGGGATGCATTGGGGTTTCGGCTCTGAATTGGGTCTCTAGGAATAATTGCCTATACTGTTTAGGTTGCTCGGTTTAGACTTTACTTTACACTTGTATGCATTTTCAGGCTCTCTACTACTCCATTGACTTGATTTGAGTTTAGTTTCTGTGTTATTCCTTGTAAGTTAGTTTAGATTGGCGTTGCCGTCTTATTGACGTTGACACTATTCGATGGCTTGGACAGCCTAGGAAGACTAATTAATTTCAAATAAAACTCACAAGAAACACTAGAGAGTTATAGCCATAGAATAATTTAACAGAACAATTCAGAATCCAATTTAGAATCCAATTCACCATGTTGATCGAAGTTCCAGAGCTGTATACTCCCGTGCAAACACTGCAAACATGCTTTCCCCGAGAAATTCTCGAAATCTCAACTGCAAACACCTCAAGTTCACAACCATTGGGAGACCATCCATCACCGCCATAACCATTCCCGAGTGTTCCGCCTCCTCAATCCAACCTCCCTTTCCATTCCAACCCAAATCCATCGATAGAGCAGCCACCCAGGCGCCCAGCCAAACACAATGGCACCAAACCACCTCCTCCGGGCCGTGATGCCACTCCGAACAATGACACCACTGGCCCTGACGCGCCCAGTCCTCTTCCAAACCTCCAAGATCACAGTCCCCCACCGCCAAAAAACAACAAGCACACAACCAAAGCCAGAAAACACCCCGCAAACCCTCACCCTGCCGTCCCGCCTGCGCAACTACGCCTCGGTCCTGAAGACAGGCACAGTCGTCTCCGTCGGCCGAATGGACCGCACCGTCCGCGTCTGCCACAGACACAACACCTACGACCGCCACATCGGCAAGTACTATCCGAAGGAAACGAACTACCTAGTCTCGGACCCGCGCAACAGTCTCCGCGACGGCGATGTCATCGAGTTCTCGTCCGGCGCGCCAAAGAGCAAACACGTCCACCACGTCGTCGAGCGAATCATCACCCCGTTCGGCAGTGCTATCTCCGAGCGGCCGACTGTGATGTCCCGTGCTGAACGTGAAGCTGAGCGTGAGGCGCGCTGGGCCGAGAAGTACCTGCGACGGGAGGAGCGGATTCTCGGTCGCGAGGTTGATCTCCGGGCTGAGGTCTTGGAGATGTTGGCTAAGAGGGGAGAGGCTGTCGATGAGGCTGCTTTCGGGGAGTTGTCGAAAGCTCAGTTGATTCGCGAGTATCATGGGGATCAGGAGCGTGTTGGAAAGATTAAGAAGCTTGTAAGGGAGAGAATGGAGATGGAGTAGACTATTTCTTCTTTTTTTTCTCTTCCCTTGGGGCTTGGTGCTTGCTGCTCATTTGATTCTGGGCTTGTTCTATATCTGTATTGGAGATGTCCATGGGTGTCCCTTGTGGTCATATCTCGTTTGTGTTCCGTCTTGGGGTTGCATGTCGGATTCAATGTACTGTACTATACCGCTTTAACTTATTTCTTTGCATTGTCGTCATTGGTTGAATCCTGCGCTGGTTTTGGTGTCATTTATGTAGATTTAGGGCTGCTTACCCGGGGTATATCGCAGCGGTCCTTGTTCAATAAGATATACTAGCATCCAGGAGACAAGAGTTATATTGATGATACAAGCGTTGAGCATTTAGCTATTCCCGCTACATGAGACTGCATAAATAACAAGATCTTCTTTTTGTTACCTTCATGTTCAGTTGCTAAGACTAAAACACGTAGCTGACCAAGACGACGACCAAGTTTCAGGAATCGATATGAAGAGTGAAACGTCATATGAAAAAGCAAAGATGGAAAGGAATCAATCCAGTTGGTAAACAGATAATTGCGTGTCTACCTCAACTCATGTCTATGATATACTAACACTATACGAGTGATCTCTACAGAATTAATCCCAGCCATAGTCCATAAAACCGTACAACAGATTCCCTTGCAATAAAACAGGAAAGATAGAAAGAAACAAGCCATGCATCACTTAGTCAAAATCAATGATATCCCTGAAGATATTGGGCAAATCAGAAGTATCATCCTGCCGTGCAACCAGGAGATTCGTGCTAGCTTCATCCATAGGGAAAGAAGACACTTCCCTCCGGGGTGGGACCGGGGTTTGAATACCCATGTATTTCAGAGGCTGCATCATGAAAGAAGTGATGGAAGAATTGCTCCTGGAGTAATTTGGGGATCCTTCGTTTCGGGGTTCGATTTGACTTGCCTTTCGTTTTAGGTGAGCCACACTTCTTTCCAGTGTTGTTGGCAGTTTACTCTGCTTTGCAGATCTCCGCTGTGATAATGATGGCTGTTTTGCAGAATCTTGGGATGTGTCGTCCTGTATTTCGATTACCTCGTGTTGAGTCTGGGGGGTTGATGGTTTGGTCTGGCTTCCAAGGGACGACTCAGCTTGGGGAACAGAGGGCACTGAGCTTGTTGAATACTTCTTTGTGGTATCATTCATAGCTGTGAAGGTACTTTGTGTTTGTTTGAATGTCATTGGAGAGTCTATTCCTGTGAGATCGGTGCCTGGTTCTTCAAGAAGGAGTGATGGGGAGATTAGATCGCTGAAGTCCTCTTCACCATAGTCACTTGAATGGGCTATCATTGGACTCAACAATTTCTTGGTCTTGGTTGAAAATATGCTTCTGCTTCTGTCTGATAGGGCGAACTTTGAAGCCTTTTTTTCGACCTGAGACGTGAGGCTCTTTGCCTTCGAGGAACTGTCAATTCTTTTGGCTTCAATGGTGTGCTGCTTCGACAATTTCCTCCCTGTATTGCCATTGATCCCAGGATTAATCTTCGTGATACTGTCTGAAATTTTCAATTGGCCAAGGTCATCATCCTTTTGAGTCGCAGGGATAGCCCGCTTTTTGGCAGGCTTAGGAGGCTTGTCCAGGCCATCACGGCAACAGAAGTGCTTGCAACTGAGACAGTCAGTCTAAACTTGGCTACAACAATGGAAGCTTCAAACCTTGTTTTGTCTTTGCACCGGTGGTTGCATGCCCATTTTCCATTAGCAAGTCGAATTGGCTCCGGGTTCTCGCCTTCTTGTTCACCCATGTCAGCGATCCATTCACCTTCTCGGGGCTTTGAGGCCTTCATCCCTCGCTCCAATGGACTTGGGGTTGTGTCAATCGAGAACCAGTCAATCTCATCATTTGGTGAAAACATTGGCTTGGAAGGATGCTTTGGCTTGGTTGGGCGACCACTGACGGTCAAGAAGTCTGCCAGCTGGAGATCATCACCATCGAAATCGGGATCGTCAACGTCTCGGTTGGATTTGGGAGCATTCTTCACCACAACTGAGGCATTCGTGGGAGTGGGTTGCTCTTGACAATGTTCCTGTGCAACTCGGTGAGGTCTCATCGTGCTGCTATCAACCATCTCTTGGACATCTCCTGTTCGGCGACCAGAACCCGTAGAAACCAAGCCCCCTTCTCGAATCGGGGCAAATAACGAAGGCGAAAGTTTAGGTCGAAGCTCAGCCATCCTCTCCGTTCCAGCTTTGAATAATTAGCCCGAAATCCGCATATCGGAGAACAATCATACCAATATCATCACACATAACATGGCAAACAACGAACTGCTCAGCACTAGCCAAATCCACAGAAAGATCAATCTCCAGCTGTTCCTGGAGCTTGCTTGCACCAGTCCGTCGAAAATCAATTAAGCGGCCATCAGATGTCTCAGTCAAACAGCAAACATAGATAGACCGGCGCTGAAAGACTGTCGGAACCTTGTCATTTATAAATGCAACCTCGACTCTGAATTGAAGAGCCACACCTCCATTCTTGACCTCCTGCGTCAAAACATCAGAGAGAGACAAAGCATGATCCGGAGTCATTCACAAACCTTTCCAAACATCTTAGTTGAAACCCTCAACTGAGGGAATTCCTTTAATCGCGACAACAACTTCGCCCCAAAAGGCGGATTCTTGCTGAGAACCATGTCAATCCGATAAGCCTCGGTTTCCCCCAGAGCTTCGAGGCTGGTAATACCGGCAGCAGCTAATTTACGAACAGCCACGACGCCAATTTGTTCAACCTGCTTCATCTGGAGAGGAGAATGATCCCAGACCTTAGCACCAAAGCTTCGTGCAAGTTCTAAGGCATTGAGAATGGCGATTGAATCGCCACGCGCGATCTGACAGTCGATCAAGCAACGTACTAGTCGGTTTGCATGGGCAAAGACTAGGGTTTTGTCTTGGTTGAAGGCGAACTTGTGTCTCTGTAGTTGATCAATGTCTGGGTAGTCGATGGCGCCGAGTTCTGATTGGAGGAGGAGGGATGTTTTGTGGCATGGGAGCGCTATGTCGACGTTTATCGGGAAGCGGATGGCAGGGTCTCGATTTATTTCGCGGTAAAGAGACTTTTCACTTCCTTTCAGGCGGATTTCGCGGAATTCGTCGCCTTGAGAGATCACGGCTAGCTAGTATGTTATTGTCAGTATGGAACCAACCGGGAAGAGATGAATCGTACGGTCTCCGAAAGTGTAGCCTGTGGCTTCAGCGATAACAAGACTTTCATAGTCTCAAAATGAATATAGTACCGAGCCATGGCATTACCGAATTGAGTCGAACAGAGGGTATCAGTTTCAACAAGCCCAACATCTCTCAAGAGCTGGATGTCCTTCTCACAAATTTGTCGCAAGAGCTCATCTTCATCCTCCTGGTTTGCGCCCTCCTTGAGCTTGTAATGCGTAGGATTTCGACGAAGCCTGACAAACAAAAAAGTCCCAGCAAGCCATTTAACAGCGGAGTCAAGGTCAGAGATATTCCCCAGCCCAATTTCAGCGTTGAGATGATCAATCAGATTCAGATGCAGGCAGCTCTCCAAGCTCTCAGACCCAGAAACAAGTTTCTCGTAGTGGTTCACGCGCTCCTTTCGGGTGAGGATGACTGCCGTTGCACTGTCATCGAATTGAGGGCGTCCTGCGCGGCCGAGCATTTGCATCATCTCCAGATCGGAGTATTCCTTGCAGCCACCTTCTTGCCAGCTGACAGTGTTCTTCATAATCACCAGATGACATGGTAGATTTACGCCCACTGCGAGGGTCGATGTGCAGCATATCACGCTGATGTGACCATCTCGGAACCCTGCTTCAACTGTGTGGCGGTCTGCAGGTCCTAAGCCAGCGTGGTGGAATGCGACGCCGGCCGCGATGGTTGCTGTTTGACATTAGATATGGAATAGAAAATTCAATGGAAAGAGAGACATACTCCTCAAATCATCGTTATGAGCATCAAAAGGTCTCACGGGTCCTTTCCAAAGCCTAGCTGGCGGATTCGTCATCGTCCAAAGACGAGCCAGCTCCTTCGCCGTTGAAAGGGACGAGTTTCGTGTACAACAGAAAATCATAATGGGCTTTTGGCAAGAGTGCATCCTAATGACCTCGGGCAACCTTTCAAAGCTCGTCAGTATAGTGAAGCACCCTCAACTCAGAAAAAACGAAATTTACTTTGACCCGCAGACTTTATCAAAAGCAAAGTCATTCAAAGTAGACTGGTACCCATAAACAACTTTCTTCAATATGACAGGACGAAATTCCTCCCCGAAATGCTCTCTGTGCGCAGGAACATGTTGATTCGTGGCATCCTTCCCAAGCCAAGTAGCGATATCCTCTGAATTGGGAACAGTAGCACTGAGCGCCACAAAGCGAACATTGGACCCGATATTTTTCATGCGGGATACCACCGCCTCAAGTGTTGCACCGCGCGTTTCCTTGAGAATGTGAACCTCGTCAATGAGGAATAATTTCACGAGCTGCATCAATTTCCCATGGTCTTTCCATTTCCGTGTCATGCTATCCCATTTCTCTGGTGTTGTAATTATGATCTGGCTACCCTGCACAGCACGCAGTTGCATATGATCTGTGTCACCGGTTAATTCTGCGCATTTGAGCTTCAGGGCTGAGAATTTGGAGTGCCAGTCTCTGAATCGTTCTGCACATAGGGATTTTGTAGGCGCTTGGTAGACGACCTTGAATCGTTCGTCTTTGAGGGTGTTGAGGAGTCTGCAGATTGCCAACTCCATTATCACTGTCTTGCCACTGCCCGTTGGTGCCGAGAGGACAATGTTTTCGTTGCTGTTGTAGACAGCGTGGAAGGATTTGGATTGAATGGCATTGAACAGCGGGAAGGGGAACATTGAGCGATAATTATCTGGTATATCATTCACTGAAACGAGTATGATGCCTCGAACAGACGGTGGAATATGACTAAAAGGCCCTTGTTGCCGGTTTATAGTCACCGTTCCAGGGCCTGGAAGGGTAGATAAAGCCCGGGCCGAGGATTCTGTAGCATCCTCATGGTACGAACCATTGTTGATGTGAAGACTTCGTTGTTCATGTCTGGCCTCCTTTCTTTGCTGGAACAACACTGAAGGGCTCGACAGTAATCTCGAACTGAGATCCGATGAAGTAGATGCATCACCACTGTGAGGAGAATTACTCGAAGTCGCTATTGTCTGTCAATATCTCACGAACGCCAAAGCTCAACTCGCAGTCAATTCAACCAAACTCACGTAGAAAGAAACGAGAGATATTCTCCGGATGAGGATCACGTTGGAAATGCATTTGAAAGGAAGAGGCCGGTCGAAATCCTAGATCTGCACTCTTCACGCCCATCTCTCGGTCATTCTGGGCTAGTAATTCCAGATCTTGAAATATATCAGTAGCTGATGTAGAGTTCAGATAAAAGACCTACCAAAAGCATCCAATTCCGGGTCTTGGTTTTGAGCAGGCAATTCCAGGGCACCGAAAGACTGTCGAGGAGATGGACTGTTGTAGTATTGTTGCTGAGAGCCTTCAATGAGTCTGTGGTCGATGGCTTCTGTTCTACTCTGGGAGGGGGAGGATTGATCAGATATAGCTGGGATTCGTTGGGAGGGTACACGGAAAGATTTAAAGGGTTGCGGCTGATGGTTCCTTCGCATTGTGACTATCTCTGGATAATGGGGGGTAATTTTGATGAGGTGAACTTGGACTACGGAGGGCGTAGGGCTGTAAGGCTGGTCTGTGGGAGGTGACCATGTGATGGCACGTGGACGCATCCCTATTTTCACGTTACTGACAGGTTCAACAGGACATCTGCCATGTGAGAACTGTGCAAGGCCTGGGGTATATGAAAGAATTTCATTGCTTCGTATATATGCATACATGAGCTAAACCGACCTAGAAAAAAAAATCGTAGTTATGGACGGCGAGAGAACATGCAAAAGGCTAGCAAAGAGCAAGCAGCCAGCTCCAAGAGGGCCAGCACAGAACACCAAGGAATGTTACAAGGGTGGTTTTGTAGCGATTGAAGGAGCACCGCGTTTGATTCTGCTTCTATCGGGTATCCAATTTCATTGCCCGTGAAGAAAAGAGACATGTCACTCTGATCTCAAAAACCAGTTATGTAGGTTCAAACAGTTATTTCTCGTCGAAATAAGTGCTTGTGCTTACATTCCGGCTGGAGCTTACCCTAGCGTGGCCTGGCGCTGGGGAAGTCGGACGAGATGATGACATGCCGTCTGATAGGAATGGAGAGGTGGGAAGCTTGATAGAGAAATCGTTGGACGGAACCACTGGCGAGCCGTCGGGTCCTTCGGCATCCTTTTCGTAGCTGTCGACGCGGATTGGAGGTGGGCGAGAGCCACTAATTGCAGAGGTGAAACTTGGGTTTCCGTAGTAGTGGGTTGCTACCAGGACTACAGCCGAGCCCAGAAGGAACTAATACAGTCAGTATTTGATGGTCAAATGTGAGGCCTTGCAAAAACCAAGAAACTGAATAGGTAAAGAACTCACACTTGCAGTAAGCTCAAATTCAAAGAGCCAGATACTTCCGATGGTACTCAAGATAATATTGACGGTCGTGGCCAGACTCCTTGCATCTTTCTGTGCATGGCTGACGTAGAAGGCTGAGACAATGCCACCAAGAGCCTGGATAACAATAGTAGACCACACCGCCCAATTGTAACCCTGGAAGAAGCCATTTTCGGCGATTTTCTCGCCATCACGGAAAACAATTCCAATGAAGAGAGCAGGGAAGATAGAGTAAATAGCCAGTTGCACGTTGCGAACCCACAACGAGATGTGGCTCGAGCTATCCTTGAGTACTTTTTCAAAGTAAGTGCTAGCCAGCCCAGAGACCAAAGCCGCACCGATAGTCGCAAGGAGGCCGATAATTGGGTTCAGATGCGGGTCAGCAGTAAGGATATCCTCTTCGATACCCTCATACGTCGCAGACCGCTTGTGTAGACTACTGCCAGAGCTGCCAGATCCAGAGCCTTGCTTGACAGCCTTCCACTCCTCGAGCGAACGAGGGAAGTAGTGATTGGCATGGTCATCCTGCAGCATCTTCTCAGTGCTTGCATCGGGGATCTGCACCAAAGCCACGCCAACCACGAGTAAGAGGAGCAGGCCCCACTTCCGGGCTGGGATGCTCCGTCTCAGAAGCATCAGACCAAATATGGCCGTTGTCAGGAACTTCAGCTGGTAGGTAACCTGGAAGGTCGCAGCACGCAGGTTCGAGAGCGCGATGTAGAGCAGCGAGTTAGACAAGACGTCTAGACTAGCCGGGATAGCCATTTTCCAGCTGTCTCCCGAGAATACCGCGCTAGTTAGGGAGAAGAATAGGGATGTGGCGGGCATGGAGGGAGGAGCGCTTTTCGAAACGTTATAGAGGGCCATTGTGAGGGAGATGGCCAGCTTGACGACCTCGACAAGGAAGACAGCCGTGGATGTAAGGTACCGTTTTCCACCGGCGGGGGGCATGACTCGAGAATAATGGGCCAGCTGTAGGACCGTAAAAATAGAGGTCAGTCATTGATGCTTTTACAAGAATCCCGTCGGCGCGCAAACAAACCACTTACCAGCACAAATACTGTAGACTCCGCGGTCAGCTATAAGAATATCAGGTTAGCGACGAACATAGATCCAGGACTGCACCAGTGCGATGCTACTGGATATCCCATACCAGAACCCAAGGCGCGTTATTAGCCACAGCCCGTAGCCCAGAGGCCTGACGTTGTGCGCGATCCGCCATGACGAAAATCGTAGATCGCGATCGCAAGTTCCGGGGCTATAAACCGTGGCGGAGGTTATGTTTCGAGGGAAAGGTATAGAGAAGTTCCAGATATGTCGCCAAAGTGAGACTCGTGACAAACTGAGGGAACCGGAGGGGGGGCAAGGTATCGAGCAAGCTGCGATCTGCGAACCAGGGGCTAATTTTGAGGATTTCCCCTTTGGGCCTGATGTCAGGGCTCCAGAGGACGATCACGGAAGAGAAGAAAGGAGAGAATAGGCGGTCAATACTTGGAAGGTGAAGAGAGAGCAAGAGAGCGTCACAATAACAAAGCCAAGTAGTCAATCCGGGGTTATAGAGATTGGGCGGTGTGGGTCACAGGTCCAGACCAAGGTTGAGTTCAGCTTGAGCTTTCTTCTCTTTCTCCCCCAGTGACTTGGACTTGGAGATCTTCGACTTGGGTATAAACTGGGCAAGCTTCGTTAGTTTCGTTTGGGCATTCTTCAAATACTCGATCTTCGTTTGCCCCCCAGCCCCAATGGCCTTATGTGACGTCAAAATCTGCCGTCGGGCCCACGTCTGATTGCCCCCTCGTTGTTAAGAGCTTGCCATTCGTTCGTATTCTCGTATATCTCCATCTGCTACGGGGTACATGTATGATGTTCACCTAACTGTACTGTACTGTACAGCCTAGTTGCTGCATTGCGTGTTGGTCCAGTCGGCAGTGGTCCAGCCAGCCACCGTCTGATTGGGCTTGCTGCAGTATATCAGCCACATTCTGTCAACTTGTACATCCCCTGTGCAACATCGGTGAAGCTGGAGCGTCCTTCTATGGGTTTACGTGGAGAATTGAAAGATCAGTTGTAAATGAGAGTGGATCAATCGAGGAATATTATGGTAAGATATGTAGACATGAATGTTGAGTACTGAAACAACTCTGGGTGAAACATGAAAGCAGGTTTTGTCAACCAGTTTGACGCTAACTCAAACTGGAACGCGATAAGAAGACATGAGTGAGAAGATCATAGAAAGGTGTAAGAAAGAGACAGGAAGTCTGTGTGGTTGTGTGGTGAAAGCCCGAGATAAGAAACCCGAGATGCAAATGAGGCAAGGAAATCGCTGGGAAAGTGAAGACGTGTAGATATACAAAAGTGCGAGTGGAAATTAGGAAATGTGTTTCGAGTGAATGTGGACGAGCAATTCCAGGTCAGATCACGATTCAGTGCACAGTAGCAATACCGGCGTGCTCCTGATCCCAATCGAAATTGAATGACCAGAGAGGCATGCCCCCGTTGCCCTTGGGGTCGCAGCTCTCGTCCAGCATGATAGCTCCGCTGCTATCAGTGCGGCGGCGCGAGTGTCGCTTCTGATCCTCGGGGATGGCAGGCGGAGGTCCTCTTGGGGGCGGCTTGGGGGACGGAAGCGGCGAGAAGCGATGAATTGGCAGGGTGGGAGTGAGGGGCGAGGCACCACTGGTGGCGGGAGAGGGTAGGCTTTCGGAGTAATTGGCACTGAAGCCTGGAGAGACAACAGAGTTACCGGTTTTCTGTTCAGTATCAGAGCCTGAGCTTTGGGAGGGTGTGCCGTCTTTGTATGGGTGGGCTGCACCTTTTACTGATGGAGTATTAAATGGCGGGAAAACGTTGCTGAGACGTAGGAAGGAGGTATCAGATCCACAGAAGGAATCACGGGAGGGCCCAGAGAGGATTGAGCGTCGGTCTGCTTCGGGGAGATTTCCATAGTTGAAAAGGCTCGGGGTGACTTTGCCCTTGCGGATGCGCATGGCCTCGAGAAGGTCTTGTTCTTGTCGGGTTACAGCAATGACGCGACTTCTTCGGTTCAGCTCCTTCAGCTCTGCAGGAGAGCGAAGAGGCTGCTGGGGGAATTGTGCAAGAAGGTCTGCCTCGATGGTGGGGACCGCACTCGAGCGACGAGTCTGGGTAGTGCGGCGGGTTGTCTGAGAAGACTTGCCCGTAGAAGACTTGCCAGTGGAGGAGTGCGAAGCCTTGCGACGAACCGGGGCCTTTTCAGGTTGCGACTTGAGACTGCCAGTTGATGGCTGACGATCAAAGTGCCGTAGAGTGGGAGTTGTGACTGTGGCCGCCTTGGCGGTAGAAGCTATGAAGATCTCGGATTCATCGTCGTCAAAGGTGGCGACACTGTCACTGTAGTTCTTCTTTCCATGGCGCTTTGGCTCGGTTGGAGTGATTTCTTCATCCTCATCTTCAGATGACGAGGAAAGGCAAAGAACACTGGAGTTCTGCAGGTCCTTGTTCTTCAAAGTACTTCTGTTGCTCTTCTTCGAGGTCGAGCTCTTTTCGCTCCTCTTGGTCTTCCCGGATTCCTGCGAGGCACTCATACCCCGAGGGCGGACCGTCTCTGAACGAGCATTCGGGCTCAAGTACATATCTTTTGTCCTGGTAGAGGGACTGTGAGCACGCCTCGTAGGCGGTTTAGCCTCTGGGGTTCGTTGCCGTTCTAATGGCAAATTCTCCCGACTGTTGGAATACACACTGGAGCGACTGAAGAGCGAACGCCGGCCTGCGTATCTGTCCAAGGCCAGGTCGATCTCGCTAGTTCCTACCACCCGGCCGAACGGTTGGTCATACCACTCGCTATTCTTCGTCTCAGCGATCGATGGCAGATCCGAGTTGTCAACTTGTTTTTTGGATGACTGGCTCTGGTGGGACTCGTGCTTGTGGGACTCGTTCTTTTGCAGGGACGACCGACGAGGGGGTGCTTCCGGATATCTCATGCTTGAATGCCCAGTCGTCCTTTCTGTCTTGCTGGGAATTGAACTCGGAAGATGCTGATGCTGGATGATGGGATTGACAGGGGAATCCGGCACCACAGTGGAAACAGGGGAAGGAGAATTGGTCATGCGTTGTGGAGACAACAGACCGCCAGGCGCACTAGAATTTCGAGGCTTGGGGAACAACACCGAGAGGTCAATCCGGGGAGGACGCATCTTCCGCTTCGATTCCTTGGGCGGATTCGGCACCTCACTGAACGTCACTTGCGGTTCCAGACCCAAGCCATTCCGCACTCTGGGCTGCAGTGATTCGGTCTTGACCGACTTGGACGAATCCTTGGAACTGAAGTATGAAAACAGCGTCGACGACGAACCGGAGTGATGGACTTTTTCGACGGCTTGGGCAGCGGTGGTACCTCCTCTTGCGATCGGTAGTCCACGCCCAGCAGAGGCGATGAGGCTCGCACGCGCAAGTTCTGATCCGGGAGGGGCGTATTCGAGGGAAATGGCGTTAAGCCCATGCTCTGTCTCGGGCCGCTGCGGGAGCTGCTGGGCGGTGTTTTATAGCTCGGTCGGCGTTGTTTCTTCGATTCCCATGTTTGTGTATGTTCGGGCAGTGACAGCTCTGTTCCAAAGAACCGCTGCGCTTTCGACGCTTTGCGGTCCATCCCGAGGTCTTCCTGGCTCTCCATTTGGCGACTTGATGTGCGCAATGGTATGTGGACTGGGGAGCGTTCTCTGGCCAGCCTCGGATACACGTTTAATTGCTCCAGCGCATGGACTGAGCTCTTGAGCTCGGCGTGTGAACTGCGGGCTGAGTGGGTTCGAGTCTTCGCTTCCGGGGTCGATCTACTCCACAAGTCAATGGTGTGAAATTGAAATGGTGTGTTCATGATTTATATGCACATACCACAGTAATCCGATCAAACTTGGAGGGGAGGTTAGAGGTGGAGGACGTAAAGAAATCCAGATTGGGGGGGGGAGAGAGAATTGCAGGGTATGAATTGTTTTTGTAGAGAGCGAGAGAGTTTAGATCATTGGTTTAGAGGGCCTTAAAGGGGGAAAGAGTTCCACAGCGCAGTGGATTGTAGGCTTCGTGGAAAGATGACATCTCATAGGCTGCGCGAGAGTGGCACGTTTCATTTATTTCCATTTCATTTATTTCCATTTCATTTATTTCCATTTCATTAATTGTGGATCGGTAGCTGGGAGAGAAGCTAGTAGGGATCGACGAGGCATTGGAGATGGAGAGGTGACGGAGTTGTATGATACTGCACATGCACACTATTCGCTACTATTTACTACGGTGCACTACTGTTGTCTATGGTCGTCTACTATCAGCCACTCTCATTGACTGTCATTGACTGTCGCCCATCGGCCCCCATACTTCAGAGATCACTTAATATACTCTCACTCCTAAAGCCGAGTACGAATATATTTACCCCTGAACCTAAAAATACACGTGAAGGTCTTCTGGAAACCGGGGTGCAGAAAACTTACACTAAAGACGAGGCTATTGACGCCAATCCTGTATGTCCCGGGCTAATTGGAATTATCTTCCGCCCCAAGCCCACCTCCCTTGGCCCGGGGATCTCCTGGATCTGATTCTCCATGTCCAGGTACTCCGTGCGTACTGTACATGTACGCCGGATGTGCTCTTCTGCAAATCGTGCGTTAGCCGCGTGTGGGTTCCAGGATCTATGGAGCATCCACTAAGAGAGAGCCATGACCATGAAAATTACACACAGTCGCGTCCGAGAGCAGATCGGCACATCGATCTCACATCGACCCAGCGTGTCGGGCAGCTCGGCTTTCGATCGTGGCTTCAGGCGTACAGATTCACTCCACCTGCGGGCTGTGACAAATACACGTCCCGCATCCCGTCCTGGATCCTGTGGAAGTGTCGCCTAAACGTACGTCGACGGAACAGACAGGAACTGGCAACGATCGACGCGGTCCATGTGTGATATGCAGATGGCCATCACACCAGTCAAAGAAATAACTCCGATCCGGCGACGCTGCAGTGCTGCAATGCGGCATGTCTCGCGCAGGGCCGCTTGAGACACGGGTCCAAGGATGGAGCTGACAGGTTGACAGCCTCGAGGTGCGGAGACTGGCTTGGACTCTCGGCCTGGAGAGGAGCGTTTCAGACGGAGGCACGGACATATATCGTGCATTATCTTGCACGGCACGGTGTTCAATGCCCAATCGAGTCAATAGTCCAGAAGATCTGGGATCGGGAAATCATGGCGCCAGCCCGTGCTCCAGCGCCCGTGGACAAGCGATGACGCTGAAGCCTGTCTGGATCGAACACCTGGTCTAACCAGCCAATGCAAGCAGAGTACAGTACGGTACTTCGACCGGTCGCAGCCCCAACCCCTTTGATCCTAAGATTCCGTCCCATCACTGAAGGTGGAGATATTCGCTACGGGATTTCTCCTTTCCATTGTTATTGAATACGGTATGATATTCCGACGCCGTACTGATTTTACGCGATGCCGAGAAGACATCAAATTGCAATAAGTTACATCGCTGCTTTGATTTCAACATCTCATGACCTAAAACCCTGCTTCGGACATAGATTCGACGTGGAATGCCCTGTCATATACAGTATAGGATCTTGTGCAGTGTCACCTATTTATTACCTACACGCGGTTATTAGGTTCCAGCTTATCCCACACTTGCTCTACAGTCTGCGCATTCAAATACTCCATAGAAACGAAAGATTGGCCGCTATTCTCCCGTACATCTCCGGAGCCGAGAATTAATCTTGGTGGCCGAGAGTGGAAAGGCGACTATTACTAGCCTCGAAAGTGGTCACTTTCGTCGATTCCATGGGTCCTCATATTCTAGTCAATTGTGTTGGACATTCCCACCTCTCTGGAAACAGCCAACTGGAAACACTATTGAACCCAAACATTTGGTTTGACAGGTGCGTCCTGCGAAATAGTCGCGGGTAACCCCTGATGGTGGCCAATAGTCCACTCCAATAGCTTGGTGCCCTACCAAGGTTCTGAAACGCGTTATTCTTTGATGATCTCCCCAGGTGTGTCGATCATAGCTAAAATTTTGAAGCTCAAATACGCTTTTTAATTTAGGCACTCGAGTAGTTCAAGCCCAATGGAAAAGGAGAAGAGATTCAAGAGACGAATTGGACATGTCCAGCGCCCAGAATGGTACCAAGAAAGAATCATACCTAGGGCAGATTTTGGAACATGACCAAATCCAAATTTTGAGATTGTGGACTGCGCTGTAAACACTGCTCGTAGGGAGTTTCAGACTCGAGAAAAAGCAACATACTCCAAGTATCTCAAACACTCCTGTCAATCCTCCCTTCTTTCTTCTTCTGTGACTTTAACTTTCTTAGCCTTTCAAACTTTTTAGCCCTTCTAGACTTACGCTTCGTCTCCATTGCATGCTCATCATCACCATCATCAGACTGCTGAAACATAACCCCGTTCCCAATCTTGCGCTTCTTGCTTGGTTCAGGTAAAGCCATAGCCCGACGCTTCATCCCAGATGGACCAGATGGACCGTAAGGGATACTTGTCCTAAAGAAAGTCGAACCGAAAGGCAAAGGAGGCACGCGAATGGGGATGTAATACTACTGAGCAGTTAGTAGACCATACCCACACTCCTAGGCGTAGGCGTGAACACGTACATATTGACAAATCAACAACATCGGATTAAGCACTTCATTGACCAGAGTTCGAACACTAGATCCTTGAGTAGCAAACGTGAACTCGGGATCATTGCCCTTGTAGAATCCTTGGGCTTTCCCTCCACGACCACTGGTCAGAAGACCGAGTTTCCGAAAACTATGTACGAGATCTCGGGCTTCGTCTCTAGTGCAGTCTGTGTCAAATTAGATCGGGCATTCGAGATTGTCTGATAAGGTCTTACCAAGATGAGCAGCCAGGATGGCGTTCGATGGCGGGATACCCTCGAAGAGAATTGTTTTCACTGCTCTCCGCATCCTGATGAGCTTTTTCAACTTCTCCATTAGCTCACTGTCAAAGGAGTCACCTATCAGACAGCTATAGCAGTAGCGTATCTTGGGAAGGCGATTGTCTTTGGCGTCTCGGTAGCCGTAGCACTCGGCGTGCTGAGTGAAGTTGCAGCCGACACATTTGATCTGTAACGATTCAATCAGCGTCGAATATCGGGTGACAATCTTCGCAACTTAATACCATAAGGTTAGGCTTATATTCATTATGGGTATTACACTCACACCGGGTATCATCGATCTGATCCACGGCGTGATGCGACGAACTCTCCCCGTTGGGACTCAGATCAGGGCGCTTGACAATCGGCACTGCTCGGTTTTCAACATAATGCACCGTCCGCTTACAGACAGTAGGTCGTTGTCCTGCTTCTTGCATTTTCAGGATCTCTTCCAAAGCCCGCTGGCCAGCAGCCTTGCGAGCCAATATGCGGTCTGCGGGCTCATTTGGCTCAGGCGTCTGTGAGTTCCTCTTTAACTTGGCTCGTGCAACTGATATATCAACTTCTTCGTCGTCAATATTATTTGCCAACCGAAGCGCCGCTCTGTAAGCTCTGCGTTGAGCGGAGAGCCCTCTCGCTGAAGGGGTTAGGATCCCTGGCTTTTCGTTTGCCATGATTTTCTATGGTTGGATTATTAGCGGTTCGAACTCTCTTGTATATAAAAGCACAGCTTACTGGACGCCCTCTCTTATGGTTTTTCTTTATTTTTTCCAGGGTGCGCAGCCGCTCGGTGTTGTGGTAGTAAGTCCATACTTTATCGTACCGACATATTAGCTTGCGTTCATAAAATCAGAAATAGGCTTGGTTTCATGATATACATACCGACATGTCCTTGGTCATCTTCACTTCCGTCTTGATCTTCACTTTCGTCTTGGTCTTGCTGTGGATATGTAACCAAAGAAGGGTCGAGAGAGCCTTCACTGCAAGTACTTTCATCCGTGGAGAAAAGCTCATCTCTCATATTCGAAATCGGGGCCTCTTGAATCCCAGGTCGCCCACACGAGATACTTGGTCATTGTACCTCGCATCTAGCAGTTCCAGGGGAGTTTCCAGGTCAATAATCTGGGGTGTGAGATGGCTCACTCGCAATCCGGAACTTCATCAAGTCAGCCTGAGTTCTCAAGACATAGCCACAGTAGCCTAACGACAAACAGATCGAGAACATACGTATGGTAACCACTATCAAGGGTCCCACAGAACTGCGACACTTTCTTCCAATTCTCAGTAGAAGGGTATCCGATATGCTCATCATGAACAGCAGTACGAGAGAAACCAGGAATCTCATTGGAATCATCGCATTCATCCTTGTAGAAGACATGTATGCCCATGAATCGTTCATCTACCTCTCCTGTTAGCACTTACACCATACCAATCCTGATCACCACAGTAGACATACTAGGCAAAGTGGGAAATCTCGCGCACATCGTGATCAGTTGTCGAATGAGCGCCTCTCCGCTCCTAATCACATCCCGCCACGCCTTCTTGTCTCCCACTATATCCACAATGTCAATCCTGCTATACAATTTTCTGCGGTCTGCTGGGCCCCGATTGCCATTGTAGTCAAAGGTGAATGTATAGGATTCCAGGGCTTCCTCGGGCTTATCTGCTTTGTCGAAGATAGTGAACTGGACGGCATGAAGGTTTCCTTGACGAATAGCTTCGAAGATTCCATTTTCTTGAGAGGTATTAGTGTGATATTGCATAGTAGACAGGTATATTCTGCATCTTACTAGGAGCTTGAGAAAGTGATCTGCTACGTCGTTCATGTTTCTCTCGATGATCCTTGTTGGAACGTAGTCTGCTCGGTGGGATCTGAGTTTCCCGACGCCTTTGCCGTTTATTATCTGGGAATAGATGTAGCCTTTTTCAAAAGATGCTCCTCGGAGGTTTCGCTCGCTGAAGACGGTATCTGGTAATAAGGCGCTATTCATGGTCAGTTCTGTGGAGAGGGAAGATGATACGGTATCTCGAACCGCATGTAGAATAGTGTCGCGATCTGTTTACATGGATGACTGTTACTGAATGCAGAGAGCAAGGATCCTGGAGACTGAATGGACTTACCGTCATGTGCAGCATGATCTTCGTCAAATCAAAGCTATGTGCCTACAATGGTGTGAGGAAGTCTTGAGCTGTTTGATTATATTCTGGAGCACTTTTGGTCGCTACTCACGACAACGGGAAATCTAAAAATTTCCTCGATGGGAGGTTTGGAGATTGATTTGTTTTCAGTGGTTACAGCGACATTGACAACTTCAGGCTTGCTTGCCACTGGAGCAGCTGAAGTATCTGTAGCAAGCCCTAGGATAGCTTTGGCGAGATTGATCATTTTCGAGGTTGGTGAGATTTGTAAATTGTTTTGGGGACTAAGATAAAAATATGAAGGTTGAGCAAACAAAGAAGGTCGGGTTTGGGAATTTCAAAGCATTAAATATGCCGGCGAGTAGGGTTTCTCTTTGTGTTAAGTCATTTGGAAAGGTGCTCTTTGGATTTGACTCAGAAAGTATGCTTGTTCAAATTGTTAGGGATCAGAGTATTCAAAGAAAGCTTAAGATCAATAGTTCCACGGAATTTGAATACTAAGTTACAGCAGCGGATGCATTATAGTCAGCCTTGAAAATATTTCACTAGAAAACAAAATTCATTGTATAAGAAAGTTCCAAATGTATCCAGGAGATACGCAAGGGTGCTGTTGCCCCCATAGAGCCAAAACACCACGATGAATATCTTTAGTTCGCAATCTAGCAATAGTTGGGGAACTTCTTTTTCCGAGTCTTGAAAGTCTCTAGAATATATGTTCATAAAGGAAGGAAACATTCAAACTCCAGCGGTGGTTCAGAAGCTCCAGGCTATGAACAACGGGGTCGATATTTCTACCGAATTCTAGGTCCTGCGATAGTACGTGAACCATTTCATCGGTCAAACGACAAGTTCGCTCAAGATCAGTCTGAGCGTCTTTGCAGGTATCAGGGGTATAGACGGCCTTGCAACTCAGAGACTCGGGAGCCATTAAACGCTCGAGTCCTCGGATAATATCCACATAGATGCATATGAAAGCTAAGCCTGCCTTGATTTCCCTGCGAAGCAATGGGTAGTGGTTTCTGAGGTCAAAGATTATCCGTTGAATGAGATCCTGGAGCTTGAAGCGAGCTTCTACAAAAACTTCAAACGAGCTGCGTTCGGCCATGCTTTAGTGTTGACAATAAGCTTGTGGGGATTAGACCAAGGGCACGATACGGTTTCTATATATAAATATATACTGATGATAAACCAAGATGAGCTGGGTCCGCCATTCCTTTGATGAAGCTGCGCCACCAAAGAAGGAATCAAAGGATGTGAAACAGGAAACAAGGAGGCGATTCAAACAATAACCTTTATTATGTTTGTAACTCATGCAACATAAGATGGACAGTATTGTGGCAGAAATAATAGTCATTCGACTATGAGTATAGATGAATCTGCCCTGATGAACACATGTATATTGCTCAAATCGTCGAATAACTGTATCATTTAGGTATAATTAATTTTTACAATACTATCGTCGGCCAAATTGCAGTTCTGTGGCCCGCTTGTCAACAGAAAAGACCACGCAAGGTTAAGAACTAATTAAAAGCAAATCATAGCTTCATCATCGTCCAACAAATCATGACAAGTGTTTAGTGCCATTTTGATCTCTAGCGTGGCTGATCAGCCACGCTACGGCAAAATATATAGCAGGATTATATGCATGGCGATACTGTACCTGCCGTGTCCTCACTGAGCACTATCATATTAATTTGACAAGCCCCGTGTGGACATTAATTTCTATAAAAACCTCCACAGTAACCAGAGGTGGGCCAAGCCTCACAAAGAATTGTGGGGAAGTCTCCGCCTTGGAAGTTGCAGAGATCGACCAAGTAAAGCATTCAAGGAAGATGATAGGGGGACGAATCACACCTCCAAGGCATTCTTCCTTGTCAATCTTCTAAAATTCCAGTTAACCGAAAACTATAGAGGCGCCCCCACTTCACGTGATATGTGGCGAGACTGGAGAAACCGGGAAGAAAAGATCATGGGTTTCAAGGGCAAATATCCCCCCCCCCCCCGGTGCAGGCAAAGTAGGCCCAGTGCAGGCCAAGTACAGGCTAGGTGCAGGCAAAGTGGCCAAAAGGCTAGACTGGATGTAACGGCTCAGACGTGCCCAGTCCCACTGGTTAGGCCTAGAGGCTAACAGGGTTGATGTTTTTTCCGTCTAACCGTCGAGATAAGAGGCAAATAGAAGAAAAATAAGAGATAGACAAGTCAAGAGGAATCATAGGATTACAAAGAGGAGTAGAACATATCCAAACAGCCTCTGTGAGAGAGAAATCCAAGCCAACAAAGAAGGGTGCAAAAATGAAGGTTGGGCCATGACATCGTCGGAATAATTGTTGTTCTCCGCCCCAACTCCTTGTCAGCCGCCACTGTTTCTCCCCTTCCTTTGACTTCCTTGCATCTTTCTATCCCCTTTACACTTGGTCCCCGTTATGCTCTGATCTTTTTCTCATGGTTTGCAAGGGCGACTTCCTGACACCTGGACATCGTGGTGATTTCTTTCGTACTCGATGCTCCCCTCTTGAGGCACCATGTCCTCGAACACTACTGCCCAAATCCCTGATTTGACATACGCCGATCACAACAACTCGATACTTTCATCACATGTCGCCCATTCTCCAGACACACGATCTGCTCCACGATATAGAATGGACGAGCCGGAAAGAGATGAACCGGCTCCAGGGCCATCCGATGATGCCCTCGGGCAGTTTTCGTTCGCTCCAGCGACTCGAACCACTGTGGTGACCACTACCACTACGACGACTACCTCCTTTCCTCCTTTGGTCATCAAACCCCCGCGCTCTGTCAAGGATTTGGACTCCAGACAATACCCTCTCGCCTCAGCCCCGACTCCAGCATCTTTGAGGAATCTCAAGTTCAAGATTGGCGACAGATCTATAGTCTTCAACGAACCCGAGGACACGAAAACTGCTGCTAACGAGGTAAGGTTTTTCGTCGTCGGATTTTTTTTGGGAGGGTACTGGAATACTAACATCTTGTAGACAAAGGAGAAGAATGAGGCGTTGAGGGCGGCCAACGGCCAGCTGCGCTCTGTGAGCTCGTTCATATCTGAGGGTGATAACCCCACCCGGCGGCTGGCCCCTCATAGGATTGCGAGCCAACCCTCCAGCCATCCTTTCAATCCCCGTCGTCGCGCCGTATCCCCCGTTTCGATTCCCGAGCCACGATCCTCGACTCTCCCCCGTACTCGTTCATCTCGCGTTCCCTCTGAGCCCATTACACGCCGCACCCGTCAAAGTGGCGTGGCACCAACTCATCTTGCCGCTGGCCTGGCCACGCCCGATACTGAGGCGAACTTCGGTGGGTCTGGCGAGCTAGTAGCGCCGAGACAAAGAATCCATAGTGCAGTGTTCCCTCGCAGAGAGCCTCCTTTGCCGTCTCCTCTGTCTTCTGAAATCGAAGCCAAAGGTCCGCAGCAAGTCAATCAAGATGCTGGACAACAAAATGGACTACTGGGCCTTCGCTCTAGTTCGGGAACGCAGGAGCCTCAAGTAGCTGAGGCGAACCAGATTTGCTCCAATGCACATGCACATGAATCATCTTCTTTCAGTCAGGATACAACATATGGAACACAAGAATCCGCATCACAGAGCAGACCGGAACACCTCTCCCAACTCTCCGCAATTGATAATGCCATGGCACAAGATATGTGCCTGCCCAGCCCTAGCCTCTCTCCGGTTGCCGCAATGAACGCTCTCCATGGCGAGTCCTCATTTGACTCGGAAGAACCCGACGTTGACACAGATTCTAGCCTTGATCACAACGTGTCCCGTTTTTCCAAGGCCATGCGGCTTCAGGATGCAGCTAATGGGCCAAAATCACGGTCGCCTCCCTCTCTTTTGGATATGCCCAAAGTACTTGAATTCTTTGATTCGGTGCCCGAGGAAATGAAGACCTATCTTATGTACCAGTTCCTTCGACGATGCCCTAAACCCACCCTGCATTTTGTAGCAGATGTGGTGAACCCAACGTTGAAGTGCGACTTTCTCGCTCTCCTCCCTCTTGAGCTCAGTCTCAACATCACCAAATACCTCGACGTTCAAAGCATGTGCCGTGCGGCGCAGGTGTCTAAGCGGTGGAGACACATCACTAATTCAGACGAAAAATCCTGGAAGCATCTCATTGACCAGGATGGATATTCTCTTTCGGATGGTGAATTGGAGCGGGCCATCAGACAGGGATGGGGATGGCAGCTTCCTCACAGCCCTGAAGAGCCTGAGCAAGATCTCAGTCTCATGGCATTCTTCAGGGCTGATAGAGAGGTCTCTCCTGTTCCATTGGCCGTAGATTCAAGCAGTCGATCTTCTTATCCATCCATTTCTTCTTCGTTGCGACGACCCAAGCGCAAGGCCAACACGCGTGCCACAAGCCGCAAGCTGGCTAAACGCAAGATTTCATCCAGTGGGGGAGATTGCACTGATCCGTGTTGGAAAAAAGACCTTGCCGCTTCTGAGGCTCCTTATGCCGCCGCCAGTGCTGCAGCCGCTGCGGTGCCTTACGCGGAAGTTGGCAGCCCCTCCCTTCGGGGGCTTTATCTTTATAAAGTCCTCTACCGTCGCCACGATGCTATTCGCAAGGGCTGGATGAGACCGGAAGTAAAGCCACAACACATAGCTTTCCGGGCCCATGACCGTCATGTTGTCACCTGCTTGCAGTTTGATGCCGACAAGGTTCTTACTGGAAGTGATGATACCAACATCAACGTCTATGATACTAAAACAGGCGCGTTGAAGGCAACCCTGGAGGGCCACGAAGGTGGTGTTTGGGCTCTTGAATATTATGGTAACACACTGGTGTCCGGCTCCACAGATCGCTCAGTTCGCGTCTGGGATATCGAGCAGGCCAGATGTACTCAGATCTTCCACGGTCACACATCCACCGTTCGGTGCTTGCAGATCGTCCTTCCAACTGAGGTGGGCAAAAACATACATGGCCAGCCTGAAATGATGCCGAAAGAGCCATTGATTATCACTGGGTCTCGTGATTCAAACCTGCGGGTTTGGAAACTCCCAAAGTCTGGAGACCCAGTCTATTACCAAGGTGGTCCTCTTGTCGATGACACCGACTGCCCCTACTTCCTCCGGGTTCTCACTGGACATCAACATTCTGTTCGTGCTATTGCAGCCCATGGTGATACCCTTGTGAGTGGTAGCTATGATTGCACCGTGAAGGTCTGGAAGATCTCCACCGGGCAAACATTGCATACCCTGCAGGGGCATTCCATGAAGGTATACAGTGTTGTTCTTGACCACAAACGCAATCGTTGTATCAGCGGAGCAATGGATCATATGGTCAAGGTGTGGTCCCTTGAAGATGGATCTGTTCTTTATAACCTAGAAGGTCACACCTCTCTTGTTGGTCTACTTGCTTTGCAGAACGATTTCCTTGTCTCCGCGGCCGCAGACTCTACTCTGCGAATTTGGGACTCTGTCCACGGTCACTGCAAAAACACGCTGACTGCACATACTGGCGCCATCACTTGCTTCCAACACGACGGACAGAAGGTCATTTCCGGATCCGATCGCACCTTGAAAATGTGGGATGTGACAACAGGCGACTGCGTGCGAGATCTTCTATCTGATCTCAGTGGCGTGTGGCAGGTCAAATTCAATGACCGACGATGCGTCGCTGCAGTGCAGCGTGACAGCTTGACTTACATTGAAGTAAGTTACAAATTTTATCTTTCGACGCTCTCTTGCTAACATCATTCACCAGGTACTTGATTTTGGCGCCGCGCGTGATGGAGTGCCAGAAAGCAAACTCGCTTCCCGCATTGTTGTGAACGCCCGTGGACATGAGGTTCAAAATCTCGACGACGATGACGACTTGTCCGACTGAAGCAGACTTGCATTCCAAGATTGACACATAACCACATTCGACAAACTATCCTTTCTACGTTTCCTACTTTCCTCTGTGCTCTCTCAATACCCCAAACTCTCAATTCACGATACCCATCCTTACAGCTCTCGTCTTCCATCGGAACAAACCTTTGCATAGCGTGGTCGGCATTCTTTGGTCTTGCAGCATTATGATGGGGGCCAGGCGTTATATTTTTTTTTCCTTTTCTCATGTCAACCTTATCTTATTTGAGGGTTTCTATCCTTGTCTTTCCTCAAATATCATCTCTTACCCTTGCATCTGCCACGATACGTTTTTTTTTTGTCTTTCCCTGATGCGTATGTGACTTGTCATATTTTCGCCATAACGGCAGCATTGTCGGTATGATGAGCCCGGTGGATTCTTTTACATATTTTTATGCTCTGCTTTGTCTCCATTGGACTGTAATAGATTGATTATGATCTTTATTTTGCAGACTGTATCTTGGGTATATTGTATGTTATGTTCCTCCAGTAGGTAAATAAATATTGTACAAGGTATTTCAATGCCTATGGTAGCCAAGCGATGGCCTAGATCCTGAACGACTAGCAAGAACTTTGAGGTATTCACCAAATAGAACTTGACTTGTCCTCAGCAGCCACCGGCTCAGCAGGCCGAACCCCTTCTAAACTTCCATCAATACCAGCAGCAGACAATATCGACCAGCGAATAGCATCGATTCCCAACATTCGACCAGGACCAACCTGCACCTCAGAACTGCAAGTCAAGATCTCCCCCAGGGCGCCAGGCCCTTCGGAAACTCGAGCATCAGGTTGAATGATCGGTTTGACGCCCTGTAACAAAACTCGAAGTCGTTCGAGGCTGTATGGTGATACGCCGCACTTCATCAATTTGATCTTTTTCGCAAGGAACTTGTCGACTTTGGATAGAATTATTTGGTGTGGAATTGCGTAGTGTCGGAACATTTGGAGAATATCGGCGTCCGTTTGTTTTATGCCGTGTGTGCTGTCGATGAGGATGAATGCTCGACGAAGTCTGTAGGGAGTGAATATTAACCGGTGAACAACATATCCTGATTGTCGTATGCTTTTCGTACAACCAGATCAATGGGAAGTATGACATACTGCTTTCGTCCCTGGAGATACTTCATAATCTCCGCTCCCCACTCAGCTCGACTGGCCTTTCCATAACCCGGCATATCAAGCAAGACAACCTTATGTTCGCCACCTTTTGTGCCGCCAATTCCAAACGCATTCATTTCCCTCGTCCGTCCTGGTTTCGACGACGTCCAACAGACCTCCTGTCCCATTATTGCGTTCAAGAGTGAGCTCTTGCCGACATTTGACCGGCCAAGGAATGCGACTTCGGGGTCTGTCGATGACAGTGGTGTCGTGCGGAACTTGGCCGCAGACCATAGTTTTAAAGGAGAATGACGGGATGGAGTGAAGACCTTGTCGGCGAAGGCTAGTTGATCAGGCCGGGGAGGCTGCGTATCCCAATAGTAGCAGAGGTCGGACGGGGTGAGGTCTTTGAGCTCGCGTTTCTGTGTATTCGAGGTCGAGGACAGCGCTCGTAAGGTCGTATAGATTGTTTTCTGGGGCGCAGATCGCCTGCATAGCGATATTGAATTCATCATGTCTGTTCTTGCGCTGCAAACAAGACTCGGAACAAAAAAAAGAAGTCGATTTCTCCAGATCGGCGCACGGGGCAAGTCGAGCCAAGCCCGCAGCTATCGATAAGCCACTCTCGCATCAGAGCTACCACTTCTCTCCCTCACCATTCAAGATGATCAACGCAGTCCTGGTCTTCAACAACAATGGCCAGCCTCGGCTGACCAAGTTTTACACACAGCTGGTAAGTCCTCGAGTTGACACCTGCGACTCTGCGCATTCCGCGCCAAGCACCCAACTGACATAGTACCATCGCCCCCTCCAGGACACGCAAACCCAGCAATCCCTCATCGCGCAAATATATCGTCTCGTCGCACAGCGTCCAGCAAGCGCATGCAACTTCCTTCCGCTCCCTCCTCTCCTCTCCCAAGGCGCCAGCTCCTCCGCCACCGGTCCCTCTGATACCCCCACTCAGATCACGTACCGCACCTACGCAACACTGTCATTTATTATGATTTCTACCTCTACAGAGTCACCACTTGCTCTTATTGATTTGATCCAGGTGTTTGTCGAGTCATTAGACCGGATGTTTGAAAATGTCTGCGAATTGGATCTGATCTTTGGATATGAGACGCTACATGCTGTGTTGGGTGAAATGATTGTGGGTGGTGTTGTTGTTGAGACGCATATTGAAAAGATCATTGCTGGTGTTCGGGCCCAGGAGGGTTCGCTGGGTAAGAAGAAGGCTGTTCAAGCTGCTAGCGCTGGTTTGGGACGGGGTGCTTTGCCCGGACTGGGGGCTTGGCGGTGATTTGAAGACCCTGGAATTAGATGTGGATTTGTTGCATATGTAAACTTTGATGATCATTTGATTTGATTTGGTTTATCTTTGGCGTTTAGTTGTATGTAATTAGACTTGATTTAGCGTGACTCGGGGGGATTGTGGCTTAGGGGTCGATTTTTGTCTGCTGTGATCATATGGCACAATGGAGACAAAGATCCTTCAAGAGGGAGAGTAATCAAATACCCAGATAACAACTGTATTCCTCCGTTGTTCCCCGGAGAGGAATTGCCAATTTGATATCAGGTGACCCCGACCGGACTAAGTGGATCTGCCCTAAGCGCTAACCCTAACCCTGTCACCTGACTGCGCTAGCGCGACCCACGACAAATGCATAAGTTGCATCCACACGAACTTTTTCCTTTTCTCATCCGTCAATCGTCAACCAGCGCAACGATCCCAGTCGACAACATGGTGGTGAGTACCTGATTATCTCTTGATGTTTTATCAGAGATTCTAGTTCCTGCAATGTCGTAAAACACATTTGCACTGCTTCAGATTTGATATCTAAGCAATTCCGCCGATCGCTCACAGCCTCGAAAGAGATGTGTTGCATCGTGTGATGATTTGGCTGGAAGCATGAGTCCAATGCCCGTAACACGGCTTGGCTCATCGCTCTCCTTAGAGTTCAAAGAAGATGCAGCATTCGGTGGACAGCACGCTGATCTTCTTTTCTCAATGATAGCCTCCTAAGTCCGGAAAGAAGACCGCCGCTATGCCCTACCCCCAGGGCAAGGCTGGCACTGGCAAGAAGGCCGCCAAGGTTAGTTTTCTCTTTCCACTAGGAGCGCATTGAGTTTCGAAGACGCTAACCCCCTCCCCACCACAGAACCCTCTCATCGAGAAGCGTACCCGCAACTTCGGTATCGGCCAGGACATCCAGCCCAAGCGCAACCTGTCCCGCTTCGTCAAGTGGCCCGAGTATGTTCGTCTTCAGCGCCAGAAGAAGATCCTGAACATGCGTCTGAAGGTTCCTCCTTCCATCGCTCAGTTCCAGGCCACTCTGGACCGCAACACCGCTGCCCAGACCTTCAAGCTCCTCTCCAAGTACCGCCCTGAGACCAAGGCCGAGAAGAAGGAGCGTCTCGTCCAGGAGGCTACCGCCGTCTCCGAGGGCAAGAAGAAGGAGGATGTCTCCAAGAAGCCCTACCACGTCAAGTACGGTCTCAACCACGTCGTCGGACTCGTTGAGAACAAGAAGGCTTCCCTCGTCCTGATCGCTCACGATGTTGACCCCATTGAGTTGGTTGTCTTCCTCCCCGCTCTCTGCCGCAAGATGGGTGTCCCCTACGCCATTGTCAAGGGTAAGGCCCGTCTCGGCACAGTCGTCCACAAGAAGACCTCCGCCGTCCTGGCCCTCACCGAGACCCGCTCCGAGGACAAGGCCGAGTTCGCCAAGCTCCTCTCCGCCATCAAGGAGGGTTACACCGACAAGTACGAGGACTCCCGCCGCCACTGGGGTGGTGGTATCATGGGTGCCAAGGCCAACGCCCGCATTGAGAAGAAGCAGAAGGCTATCGATGCTGCCATCAAGGTCTAAGCTCGTGTAACTACAGCTTGATCCGAGATGTCTGTTTGACGGGATCGTTTTTCAAAAAGCGCTCGGCTCTCATAAAAGTTTAATGGGAAACTATTAAGGTGTTCAAGGCTCCAGGTGACTTATTGACGGCCGATTTTTTTTAGCTTTAGATGGGTGCGAAAGAGCCCTTGGGCCTTTTTGGGATCCTGTTCTAACAAAAAAGACAAATATTTTCTCTTACGAACTCCAATGGCCCCCATGTACCAACTTTCTGCAGATACCCATGAATGCATTTTTACCTGTTCAATTCTATCGATGGCTTCTACAGTCCCATCTGAATTAGGCATTCATGTCGTCTGCTTCGTATGTGTAGTTGTAAATGTAACCTGTTTGTCCTTGGGGCACATTGCCAACTGGTGCAAATTTTTCAAGTTTCGTGCGATTTTCTGGGCGGGTCTTGGTCCAATCCTGAAGCACTATCAGCCCAGGCCAGGCCCGTTCTGTTAGACATCCCCATATATCAAGACGTCTTGGTACACTCACAAAATACATACTATATACAGAGCTTTGCGAAGCAGGTCCCTTGACGATATCTATTCTTTTCTGTAACGCTAAGAGCTCATGTCTTTCCTCCATTGGCAAGCTTGACGCTCTCAATAACCGAAGCTTCGCTGTTCAAAGATTACTTGTAGTATCAAGCACCACGCTTAAAGGTGATATATATGTCGTATGGATTTATTCAGGCAAAAACGATCAATTACCTGTGATTATCTTTCATCTGGCTACTTCGATGGTATAAAAATATGGGTTTTATACGTCGATGAGATAGCGGATATATACATCCACCATATATAAACCAGCAAAAGAAACAGAATTATTTGTTCAAAAATCATTTTTCTTATCGCTCGTCTTAACCGAAACCCATACTGCCCAAACCGGGTATTCAAAGACACATAATGCAACCATCCTTTTAACCACAAGCCCCCATAGGGAGTGATGAAAGAGGACCCAAGTCAATGCCAGACAGACAGTGACCGTAAGACAATCAAAGAAGCGACTAACAATATTACAGGACGAGATTTGTACATATCAAGATTGAAGAACGGATGGAAAGTGATAACAGAAACATAACAATGGCGAACCAAGGTCTTCGTATCCCGTCAGACGGATACTCTGTCCCAGCGACCAGGATCAGAGTAAGAATAAACGACGAAGGCAGGGGTTTTAGGATGAAATTACAGGGATCAAAAGTCCATGAGTAATGCAGACGCAGAAAAGTAAAGAAAGAAACCCAGAAATCCGACCCTGTGCTCCCAGACGACCATAGAAGAAACAATACTCATCGCCGGTTTTAGCAAAAGAGACGATAGCATCAAGAGAGCCCGTCTAAAAACACAAGTTGAAGCAAATCAAGACAGGCGAAAACAAGGGTGTATAAAAATGACAAGAGGCATAAACGTGATCAAGGTCATTCGGTCATTAACGTTGGGCGGGTTGTCGTGAAAGCCCTTGTCGTACCTGGATTCAAATTAGATACCAGTCTTGTACATCACCAAGGACAAAGGATACATGCTTACCTTCATTTGTTCAATTCTCGCCTTAAGTTGGCTGGTGACTTCAGCCGCACGCTTCCAGTTCTCAGCAGGCTCAGAAGACCTGGGTTGGTATTGGTCATCTTCTGCGATATTGGTATTGGAGTTCCGGGCGGACGAGCGTGTCGGACTGCCGATGCCCGAGTAGCCATATGTAGGGCTCAACTTGCGTCGGCCGAGGCCTTCTCGACTGCCAAACCCGGGGGACTCTAGGCCAGTGTTCTCTTTCTCTTCGCTTGGACTAGCAGATACGATGCTGCGAGAGCGGGCGCTTTCGAAGCGGGATCCGGCGTGAAGCCCGTTTCGTGCAAAGGTGTGTGCGCTTCCCATGGGTTCTTGGTAAATCGAAGAGGTCTCTGGAATACCAATGCTGCCATTTTCAGATGTTGCGTTTGGTGGGCTCATGGCAGATGAACGAAGTGCTCGTGCCAATTCACGCTTCAGGCGTTCGATCTCTCTTTGTTGTTTTTGGACGTTCGCCTCTGCAGCTTCAGCATCACTTCGTGCCCGGACCAACTGAGTTTCCTTGGCCTTGATACCCAGAACATCTCGCGTGTGGTCTTCGATTAGCTGTGCATTCTGGTTTTGCAACTCAGTGATTGTTGAATTAAGCCTCGAGCGCTCTGACATCATATCTTCGATTGTTCGGCTAGAGTTCTCCTTCTCCATACGAAGTTCCTCCAGCTCAGCACGGTCAGCGGCAGCCATTGCGTTCATTGCGGGGGAAACTGGACTTGGGGCGGGCTCAGCAGGGGCTGAAGGCTTCGCAATGGGGCGTCCAGCTAGACCGCGACCAAGGCCAAATTTGGGGGCAGCTGGCGGGGGTGCGCTATCTTCTGATGGGGGCTCAGCGAGTCGTCTCGATGGCGAAGCAGTGCTTCCTGGGCCAGCCAACTTTCTTTGAAGCTTGAGACCAGCCCCAGGAGTAGGGAGGCCGCCAGGTTTGGGGACACCGCCGAGCTTCGAAGGTAAAGCTCTGGGCGCAGGCTTAGCTGGAGACTCGGGTGCTGGAGGTGCAGCAGCCGCAGGAGCCGGTTTCTTCATTCCCAAGGCTGGCTTCTTGCCAACAACCTTTTTGCCAGCTGGAGCCGCAGGCTTTGGGGGTGCCACTATAGGCTTGGGGCGCTCTTTGGCAAGCACCTTTGCAGTTTCATGGTATTCGGCGATCTTCGGTTTGTACTTGTCAAGCTTGTCCACGCCGGTAAGATACGCGTAGGTAGCTCGTTCGCCCGCGATCTTCATTAAAGTGCCCAAAATTTTAGCAGCTCCTTCACGGGTTGCCGGAGCCGAATCAGTCAGGAGTTTTCCGCCTGCGTCGGCGATCTCTTTCTGTTCTGCCTTGGATGGTACGGTTTTGGTTTTTTCCAAGCAGTGAACCAGGAAGTCGGCTGTACCCTGCTTGATTCGTGGATTCTTATCCTTGATGTATTCAAGAATTGTTTCTAAACAATCCGAAAGCGTGGCAGTTTCGAAGACGGCTACCAAAGCGCCAAAACAAGGCTTTGCTTTTTCACCTACTTCCTTCAGACGAGAAAAGAGAGGCTTCATGACCTCACCACGGTACTTTGCGAGGAAGCCACCGCGGAGACCACTGGCCAATTTGCTGATACAGTTCGCAGCTCCACTCATGACTTTGATATTGACGTTGCTGACATTCGCGGCCAAGGTCTGCACAATGTCATCGAAGGGACCTGGTTTGATCCTGAAAACATCGATAGCCTTGTGAAGAGCTTCCAACGCTTCCACGCGTTCTTGCCATTTCTTGGAGGCCATTTGGTCCTGGAAGTCCTTGGGAATTTTCGGCATAACATCGACCGGATCTGCTAAATTGTATCCATCAACCTCTTCTTCCTCGGCCTCATCATCAAAGCCCTCGCCGGTAGCGTCTCCACCTTCTTCGGCGGCAGGTGCGCTGGCCAAGGCATATTCTTGTGCTGCGGTGAGCATTATTTGCTGCGGTGATGGATCCTGTTTCACCTTCTCGAACAGCTTTTCCAAATCGGCTTGCTGAGAGGGCTTAAGGCCAGCCCAGAAGAAAGACTTGATGGCCTCTCCGAGCCACCGGTAAAGCTCAACTGCAAGGTTTTGTACTTCAGCACGGACATTCTTATCGGCATGGGCAAATCCGATTGGTAGCGTCTTTAATGTCTGCTTCGGGTCGACGGTCTTGCATCCATAGTTGTGATGTATGGCAGTGAAGGCAGAGAATGTAGCGGCGACCATTTTAGGCAGTTTGTGTGAGACTTGGGGCACGAATGCCTCGAACACGGGATCGGCCTTGTCGAATTTCACGAATAACAAGATCGCCTCTATAGCACCGGGTTTGGCTTTTGGCGCGGGCAGACATTTCTCGCCGATTGAATTAATCGTAGATCCACGGGTCCTGATTGTGTATTGTCAGTAAAACCCGGCTCGAACTGATCCGTCCCGCAGAGAAAGAACATGGCACGTACCTTATACACGCCTGGGCTCCTCCAAACTTGAGGAACGCGCAGTATGCTGCAAGACCATCGGCTTGTGCGGCGACATGGGAATCTGTGACCACCCCTTTCCACAAGTCGGGGTTTTGTAGGAATGGCACGAAGGCCGGGTCTGATTCATCGGCGGTGTTTTCGAATGTTGTTTTAGCAACCCCGTATGCTTCCTTGCGAACTTTCCAGATCTATATAGCACGCCGTTAGTCTTGTCATGGGGTTCAAACAACCTGGAGACGGAGCATGTGTCTAACCTTATGAGCGAAGCGCTCCTCCAGAGGCAAGGAGGAGAAGTCCTCTTCGCCGTCAGCCATCCTGGCGTCAATTATTAGGCGGCTGCAAAGGCACTGCGATCTCTGGAAACCGGACGTATGTCAGCGCTGCTGCGGGTGTCCTGCGCTTCAACTAGAAGGTGTCGGAAAGAGAAGAAAGACGAACGAGAACTCAGGCGCACCAGTGTATCAGAGATATCAGGGAGCAGCCTACACTTGAATAAAGGGAATGATCGAATTGTCTCAGGCTGGCGATGAGAGCATCAAAGGGAGGTGGAGAGAAGAAATAAACAGTTGGAGATCGGGAAGTAAACAAGCGGCTTGGCACGGGTTTGTTGTGACCCCGCGGTGGATCGGCTTCTTCTTTTCTTCTCTCTTTCCTCTTCTCTTACTACTGGTCTTGTTGAATGATTTGGTCGAAGTTGTCTTTGGACTGGTCCGCCTACTGAGCTTGTTGCCTTTTGTTCGTGCCCAACATCCCAATTCGCCCTCCGTCTCCGACACCGCTTCCAACCCCCCCCCCCCCCAATTCGCACTTTTCCGATCTCGAATACAGACACAACGCCTGAATTACATGCGCGGGGAAATTGGCGCACATCGCTTGGAATATACATACAGGCGCTGCAATTATGAGCCAATTTCTCACTTCGCGCCAGGCGGAGGAGCTGCAGGTGACCCATCTCGGCTCATTTAGGGGTTCTGATTGCTGATGTTCGCTTCTTGCGACAGGCACAAAGGTATCATCGCATATCTAGCATCGGCGAATTTGCCTCAGAGCTCGGTTGCTCTACGAGAAGAGCTCGGCGACTCGATTACCGTGGACGACAGCACACTCAAGAAGTATGAGGGTCTGCTGGAGAAGAAGTGGACGAGCGTGGTCCGCCTACAAAAGAAGGTGCGTGTGAAGACCACAAAGGACAAGAACGTCGGTTTATTAATGATACATTCTAGTATAGATCATGGATTTAGAATCACGATGCGCCTCACTGCAGGCCGAATTAGACACGGCGACCCCCACATCTCTCTCTCGACGAAATCAAGACCCAGCATCCTGGCTGCCCCGAGCCCCAGCGCGCCATGATCTCGAATCACATCGCTCGCCAATCACATGTGTCGCTTTTCACCCCATATTTTCCTCCCTCGCGTCCGGTTCAGAAGATACCACAATCAAGATTTGGGACTGGGAATTGGGTGAGCTTGAGAGGACCATCAAAGGACATACGAGGGCAGTTTTAGACGTTGACTATGGAGGACCACGTGGAGGAACCCTTCTTGCGTCCTGTTCTTCGGATTTAACGATTAAGCTATGGGATCCTGCCGACGAATACAAGAATATCCGAACCCTCCCAGGACATGACCACAGCGTGTCAGCAGTGAGGTTCATTCCATCTGGTGCCGCGGGATCTCCAATGTCAGGAAACCTGCTAGTCTCAGCGTCTCGCGATCACACTCTACGGATCTGGGATGTCACAACTGGATATTGTGTCAAGACCCTACAAGGTCACGCATCGTGGGTTCGAGATGTTGCACCCTCCCCCGACGGTCGCTTCCTCTTCTCAGCTGGAGATGACCAAGTCCCCCGCCTGTGGGATGTTTCTTCCGGTGAAACTAAATCTACCTTCCTAGGCCACGAGCATGTTATCGAATGTGTTGCCTTTGCCCCGACAACGAGTTATCCCCACCTCGCCCCTCTTGCAGGACTGAAAAAGCCCCCTGCCGCATCGTCATCTGCCGAATTCGTGGCCACAGGATCTCGTGACAAGAGCATTCGCCTTTGGGACGCCCGTGGAAATCTAATCAAAACTCTTGTTGGACACGACAACTGGGTTCGGGCATTGGTTTTCCACCCTGGTGGAAAGTACCTTCTCTCTGTCTCCGATGACAAGACCTTGCGCTGCTGGGATCTTACACAAGAATGCAAGTGTGTGCGCACCATTCCTGCTCACGACCATTTCGTCAGCTCGATTCGATGGGCACCCCCGTTAATCAAGGACACCGGATCCGAGGATGCCAACGGCACGGAGACTGGCAAATCAAGTGCAAAAGAAGACCCCAATGCAACCAAAATGTCTATCAGATGCGTGCTGGCGACTGGTAGCGTTGATCTCAAAGTCCGTGTCTTTGCATCATGAGGTACCGAAAATATGAATGGACCCAAGTCAAGTGAGGTGGAAGCGGTTGCTTTTCAAGGGAGCCTGCGTCCAGTCGAATTCCTCATGGAACGCCACCATATTTCGAACTGATGGGTAGGCTTCGAGAGTGTGACCGACGCGGTCTGTCAATTCTGGGTAAAGGAGTTGGGTTTTCATTTTTGATATCAATAACATTCTTCTCTTTTGCAAGTTCTTTGGGCACTGAGCAGGACAACTGCGTCTCATTTTAGCGCCTGTTGGACGAATACGCCGCTGGCAACTTTGTATCTTGACACTCACGAGTGATCTTTCTCTTGTTCTCTTCTCGTACATGCTTTACACTGACCTCTGCTCCAAGATAGCCAAGGGGCACAAGTATCCTAATGGAAACAATCAAAAATAAGGACTCATATTTGATCTTCTAGTTATTTGACAGTCTTGAAGGGGTGTTTGTCACCAACGTGGGAGTGCCCTATAGCCTATTGTACAGTCGACCCGAACATGAACAATCTGTGCCACAGTTCATGTACTGTATACTATAATCTAAGTTAGCATAGACCAGCTTAAAAGTCTTGAGGCAATCCATGGATGTAAGTTGATAGTATACTACATGATATCATAGCACGTGCTACCCGAGCCTCAACCCCGGCCCGCGTCCAACGCCATGGTTCATCCCTCTTCGGTTTCTGAATCTTCTTTCTACACTCACATAATGCTCCGAGCAAAGCGCCAAAACACCCAGCCTCTAGAGGATTCCTCTGTGGCGCCCGAAACTTTCACCGATGGCCTCCCACTGCCGAAACTGATTGCCTTTGACCTCGACTACACACTTTGGCCCTTCTGGGTAGATACACACGTCAGTGCCCCGGTAAAGGCACGAGACAACAACTCACGCACAGTGGACCGGTATGCTTGATACACCTAGCTCTTCTTTTCACAACGATCTCCCAATCCCGGAACCAACTTTTAACCCCGCGCATTTCACATCCAACAGATGGGGGGAGTCATTTGCCTTCTATCCAGCAGTCTCGTCGATAATCTACGCCTGTAAACACCGTTCAATCCCATTAGCCCTGGCATCTCGGACACATGCCCCTGATCTGGCACGCGATATGCTCAAAGCCCTGCACGTCATCCCCACTTTCTCCGATAACCCCGCCGCCAACGCCAAAACCATCCGCGCACTGGATTACTTCGATCATATCCAAATCTTTCCGGGGAATAAGACCTCGCACTTTGCACGCATCCATCAGACGAGTGGGGTTGCTTATGAGGAGATGCTGTTCTTTGATGATGAGGCGCGGAACCGGAATGTGGAAACGGAGTTAGGGGTTACGTTTTGCTTGGTGAGGGATGGGATGACAAGAGAAGAGGTCGATCGTGGAGTGAGAGCTTGGAGGAAACGGAATGGCATCAAGAACAAGATTGTGGAGGATGAGTGACGGTCTTGTCCCAGGAGGTTCTATACATGAGGCTGTGTTAGCGTTGTATTTATAGATGTCGCGTTTAGATTTGGATACCCAGCCTGAATTTGAGTAGATATACGGCGCTTACTGTTCGCATAACGGGAACAGGCCAATACATACTTACATTGAAGCTCTGTGAATAGAGATCTCGCTGATCTTTAATAGCCGCAGTAGTGAACGAGGCTGATTAGTTGCTTACAGTTGACCAACTCCATTTGGTATTCAATAGGACTTCCCCTTCCCACCAATAGACAAGAAATGACACAGTAGATGCTGCCTACCAACACTTGCATATGGAATGGGTGCAAACTAACTACCTAGGGAGACCGCGATAGAGCTGACTAAATGATCCCCAGGGGACGTCAGGAGCTATCCTATCGTGAACTCCGCCGAAACACAACAGAAACACATTTCTCCCCACAACCACAATGGCAACACTCAAACCACCAACAAACACACATCGCTCCTCGTCATCATCCCACAGCTCCGGCCCACCCAAAGCCCCCGTAAAAGCCGACGCAACCGCCACAATCGCCGACACAGTCGTCTTCCAGGGCACGCATCCAGTGATCATCGGCGCAGGGACAGTGGTACACCCGCGCGCACGATTCTACGCCTATGAGGGACCGATCTATGTCGGCGACAGCTGCATCATCTGCGAAAAAGCCGTAATTGGAGCAGCGCCGAGTCCGTCGAGTCGATCGGCGTCGCCGTCCAGAACCGCTGATCCAAACACAACAACAGGAACGGACCCGAAGAAGGAAACAGCGACGCGGATCTCATATTTCGTGACGGTTGGACCGTTGTCGACCGTCGAACCGGGTGCGCATGTTCATTCTGCTGCGACCATTGAGGCTCTCGCGATAATCCGCCGTGGTGCCGAGATTGGGTCTCACGCGAAGGTGTGTTCAGGTGTTGAAGTTGCTGCTAGCGGTCCTGTCGGTGAATGGGTTGTGGTCTGGGGCTCTGGGCCTGGACAGCGGAGGAAGAGAGCGCGTGGCGTAAAAGCTATGAGTCCTGCTGTGGTTGGCGCGTCACAGATCACACAGACGCCTCTTCCTGCGCCTGCACCAGAAGGAAGGGTTATTGAGGATGCGAGGTTGATGGTATTGCAGAAAGAGAGGGAGGTTCTGGGGAGGATGCTTGTTCCTGCGGCTGGGGGAAGAAAGAAATGAGGTGTTGTTGGGTGTTGTTGGATCTTGACTTCGTCAAGGTATAACTTATTTGTCTGCGAGAGAATGATACCCCTGTTACGTTACAATTATCACGCCTGTGGCTGTCTACAAGGATTTAGCGATTCCTTGAGAACTATATTTAAAAAGTAAAGTCCAATTAACGCCGCCATACACTGGAGTAGATACATGACAAAAGGAAAGATTGTGCTCTTTGCAACACAACACCGACTATGGAAAGCACAGGAAGCCCAGCGTTCATGCGGCATTGATCAGAAAGGAGATAGGAACAAATGGCAAGTGCAAAATGGAACGTAAAGGGGTTGCTTAAGAGGAGCCTCCACCGCGAGGCTGTTGTCCACCGCCACCTCTCTGTCGCTTGCCAGCGTTTGCGGCCTCATTTGCATTGTCAGAGCCTTCATCACGAGAGCGCTTGTTGCCCTGCGGAATGAACTGGCGAGCCGAGGCGCTGAGGTTACCCCGGTTGGCATTCACCGGTTGATTTGGGTGTTGGTGTTGGGGTTGGGCTTGTGTTTGGGACTGGGCGTTGGTGTTTTGGTTACCACCACGACCTTGTCCTCCACGGCCACCTCTTCCTCGTTGAGCTCCCCCGCCACGTTGGACTTGAGCTTGATTTTGACCTTGCTGGTCATTTTGTTGAGCGTGGCCAAATTGCTGACCGCCACCGCGGACCCCACGTCCACCTCTGGCAATTGGAAGTCCTGATTGCAGAGCGCGCATCAATCCTGGTGGATTGCCTGCAGGAGGTTTGTTTGGCAGATTGGAAGCTTGCTGGCTCTGGTCGTGTTGCGATTGACCGAATTGAGCGGGAGGGTTCTGGGGGGGCTGAACCTGTCCCTGTTCGGATGCAGGACTAGGGGAGACTTGAACTGCAGAAGCTGGGGCGACAGCTGGAACAACAGTTGGAACGACAGCGGGAACGGATGCAACAGGGACAGGGGCAGGAGCAGCCGAAGAAGGGGCCACCGGCGCTTGTTGGACCGGGACTGGTGCTGGAGAGGCAGGTTGGGCCGAGGGTGTAGTTGCTGTTGGTTTGACAGTAGGTACAGGCTGGGCTTTCTGTGCGACCTCCCAGACTTGAGCTACGGCCTTTTCTGGGGTTTCTGTAGCAGCTATCTTCACAACCTCGATCTTGGCATTCGCATTGCTGAGTCTTTTCTCGAGCATGCTTATCTGCACGAGTGGCTTCTGTCCAGCCAGCTTGACTTCATTGTCTTTCTTCTTAAGCTGTTGTGTGAATTCCGCGTCCTTTTGGCTGAGGATTTGTGTATGTTCCTTGTCCTTCTGGTCGACCTTGTTGCGGAGGAATTTAACGAGGACTTCACGGAAGGGTTTGGTGTTTTGACAGATCTGCTTCGCTTGAGCCTCAGTCACTTGGGCCAAGGCCTCGGTCATTTGGGCGGAGGTAATATCGGGAGTTTCCACTGGCTTGGAGGGCGTTGCAGGTGTTTGATCAGGAACACCACCAGCCACATCCGGAACAGGCTGTTCACCATTAGCCATTTTTTCAACCTCCTGTCGATGAGCGGCAACGGCATTATCAAGCTGAGTCTTGTATTCTTGGATCTTAGCATCGTGCTCGCGTTCCTTCTCGGCAAGGGCAGCTTCAAGGCGTTGGATCTTCTGCTCGAGGCTTTGAATTTTCTGTTCGAGGGCCTGGACCCGTTGGTGATCAACGGGAACGGGGACTGATACAGTGGCGGTGGGGAACTGTGAAGCTGGAGTAGGGTTGACAGTGGCGGCAGCAGGTGTTGTTACTTCAGCAGGTGTTGTTACTTCAGCAGGTGCCGTTGCTTCAGCAGGCGCGGATGCAGATGCAGATGCGGGTGACGCAACTGAGGCCTTAGCCTTAACTTTCTCCAGTTCATCCTTGGTGATCTGAAGTTCCTGCTGAATGACTTCCTTGCTCTCCAAGGCCATCTTGAGTTCGGCTGAGATATTGTTGATACGATTCGTTTGGTCCTTGGAACGCGCCTTGGCCTGTTCAATAAGATCGTTTCGTCTGCTCTTCCACTGCTCTTGGGCCTGATCAAACTTCTGAGATGACTCGGCTAGCTGGGCCTGAAGGCCAGTGCGTTCAGCAATGAGCGCATCTCGTTCAGATACAGCTGTGTTTTTCTCATTTTCAAGGGTGGCGAGCGTTTGCTCCAGTTCGCCGTTAGAGTTGTTCTGCACGAGTTTTGCATAATGATCGTGGCTTTCTTGTAGCAATTGTAGCTCTCTGTTCTTGGCCTCGGCCTCATCCTCCAACTCGCCAATCCTGGACTCATGGCGTGCGATTTGCGTCGAAAGTTCAACCACCTGAGCTGACTTTTGTTGAAGAGTGTTTTCCTTCTCCTTCACCTGATCTTGGAAGAGGCGGGTGGTTTTGTCGCAGGACTCTTTCAGCTCATCAATACTTCTTTGACGCTTTTCATTCGCCTCTCGAGCCTGAGTGTCAGATTCGGAGCGGAACTTTTCGAGATCCTCGCGTGCTGTGTCATATGAAGACTGCAGAGCAAGGAATCTGGAATTGACTCTTCCGATCTCCTTTTCAAGTCGGCCCTTTGCCAAGGCAGCAACTTCAAATTCGTTTTGAACGATCTTCAGCTGATTCCGCAAAGAGGCAATGATGTCTTCTTCAGCTTGGGAATCGGGGGCTACATCATTGCCCTCCAACACCTCATCCGAACTTTCAGTCCGACGCCGCAGTGCCAAGTTCTGGCTCTTGTGATTTTCAATCAGCGTGTAAAGGTGGTCGTTCTCCTTCTGCATCTCATCGCGACGCTTTTTGAGCTCATGAACATCAACCTCGTGCTTGGCCCGTTCTTCCTTCATAGTCTCAACCTGTTGATCAAGGCCATTCTTGTAGGCTTCGGTTTGCGTTGTCAATGTCACAATTTGAATCTTCAAATCGTTGACCTCGTTACGAACTGCTTGGAGGTTCTCAACGGCTTTGGCATGTTCGAGGAATTCTCGATCGTAATTTTGCTGAGCCTGGTCGTAGTTTCGCTGGGCAAGGTTGGAGATTTCTGCTTGCGCTTTCATGTCCTCTTCGTGACATTGTACTGCAGCAGCATGGCTCTCAATGGTCTGGTTCAGGCGACTCATCTCCGATTCGAAGTGCGCCTCTCGTTCTTCTTGGTGACGAGTGGCCTCGCCTTCCTTTTCCTTGAGCTGAGAAATCTCGGAATTGGCGTTCGTCAACTCAACCGAGATCTCCTCAATTCGGGTTTTGAGACTTTGAATCGTCTCATCTTTCTCCTTGATAAGAGCATCGGTTTCCTGGCGATACTGCTCCTGTGTCTCAGTAACAGACTCCAGGCGTTCCTCGGTCTCTTGACTGATCGCCTGGTAATCTTGAGCCAATTGGTTGGCGTGATCAAGTTCGGCCTTTGTTAACTCTAGTTCACGTTTGAGCTTGGAAACTTCAAGCGAAAGCTCCTCCTCTGGGGTCAGGTCGTTGCCTTCGCCGGATTCTGGGACGACGACGGGAGGCTCGGCGGGGCCTGCAGGTTGTGCCGGCAACACTCGCGCGCGCTCCTCAGCACTCTTCAACTCGACGGTGAGCTCGTTGACGCGGGCTTGCAGATGATCTCTCGTTGTCTTTGTAGCAACGAGTTGTTCACGGACGGAGCTCAGGCTAGTCACTAGGTCGTTGATTTGCTTCTGGGATTGTTCTTGCTCGTAATCCCTGCGGAGATTATGCTTTTCGTACTCCTCCTCTTTGTTCTTCAGCTTGAGCTTGGTTTCCTTCAACTTCGATTCAAGGGCCTCGAATCTTTGCTCCGTTTGTTTGAGTTCAGCGATGTGAACTTGAAGCTCGGTGTTCGATGATTGCAAAGCATCCTTCTGAGCCCAGAGATTTTCCACCTCCTCTTTGTACCTCTTCTCAGTCATTTCCAAACGATCCTTTTCAGATTTCAGTTGCGTGCACTGTTTCTGAAGTTCCTCTTGTTTGCCGTCGGCAACAATGAGATTCTCGGCAGCTTCGCGAATTTGGTTTCCTTGGCGGATGGCATTTTCAGAGAGCTGAGAATTGCGCTCCTGTAGTATAGCCTTTTCGCTTTGGTGCATGTTCGTCTCACTTCGAAGTAGCTCTTCGCGGCGTGAGGAGGCAGTAATTGCGCCATTGAGACGACTGATCTCAGACAGGAGCTTACTCTTCTCATGAGCAAGTTCATTGACCTGTTGGCGAAGTTTAGTATGCTCTGTGTTGGTGTCTTCGCGGTAGGCATCGAACTGAGCTTGGACCTTGTTAAGCATCTCGGCATTATCTTGTCCCAAGTCACCAGCACCGGGAGCAGCGCCGAGCGGCATTGACTGTGAAAATACAGACTGTTCGGTGGCGTTCTGCCTGTGCATAAGCATGCTGCGGAAGGTGTCTCGCTCCTTCACATAGCTTTGCATTTGCGCGGTCAGGTTGGCAATCTCATCTGAGTTCGTCTGGGCTCGGACCCGAAGTTCTTTGAGCTCATCGATTTCGTTCAATCTCGTAGCCTCCTTCTCACGTGCTTCTTCGCCTTCCAGTCGGTCACCAAGGTCTCGCAACATTTGTCGTAGCTTGACGTTTTGCGCTTGAAGTTCGTGGAGATTCTTGAAAGTTGTCAGATTCTGGCTGATAAAGCGGCCAGTGGCATTGAGGTCTGCATCGGATTCCTCAATTTGACCACGTGCGATTCTCTCAAGCTCCTCGCGGTCATATTCTTCGCCCTTTTGTAAAAGAGCAATTTCCAAAAGAAGAACCTTGACTTCAGAGCCTAGATCCCGAAGCTGACGGCGAAGGATATCGCCATCACGAGCCAAGCCCTCGACCTGGCCTTGCCACTTCCGTGCCTCCTTCAGCGACTGATCCTTTTCTCTGTTGGCTGCATCGTTCAGTGTGGACATATCCACAACAGCCTGGTTCAGACGGTTGATTTCTGCATCCTTTTGCGCGATGTCAGGGCTAGTGGAATCCAGCTCTAACACCATTTCGTCAATGGTTGCCCGGTACTCTTGATTGTTCCTCTCCGCCGCAGCCAAGGCAGCTCGCATCTTGTCGTACTCAGAGTACATTTGGGTGACTGTCAAACCACCCTTGCCTCGCGAGGCGCGAGGTGAGAATGTGCTACCTGGGGTGCCGAACCGCATGGTGCTGGAACGCATCGGTGTGCTAGGTCCAGCTCCATTCAAAGAACGAGCAGGGCTTGCAGATCTGCCTCTTGCTGTCTCAGACTCGATCTGCGCAATCACCTCCTCAAGCTCAGAAATACGAGCCTCCGCAGTGCTTTTCTCGTTTGTCTCGGTCTCAAGCTCCACACGAAGACGAGAGACTTCTTGAGCTGCGGCATGTTTCGCTTTCTCCAGGTTGAGCTGACACTCTTGCGCCCGTTGCTTGGCCATCTGAGCAGCAGATCCTTGCAACTCAGCAAGTCGATTGGAGCTATCGAGCTCGATGCGGAAGGACTCGGTTGCTTGGATCGCCTCTTCCTCCAACTTCTGGATGGTAGCAAGAGACTCATCATACCGCTGCTCTGTTTCATCCAGACGACTCTTGAGTGAATTTTCGCTGCGTCTGAGCTGGTCGATAGTGGTGTTTGCCTCCTCGTTTTCACGTTGGAGCTCCGAGATCCGAGCAGTCTTTTCTTTGCGGAAGTTGATGTACTCGGCAGATTTCGTCTTCAATTCTGTCTCAAACCATTCGTTGTTCTTGGTGATGAGATCCAGTTCTTGCTGAAGACTTTGTTCGCGGAAACGTGCATGACTTGAATCCGAATTATGAGTCTGGACCTTTTGCTCCGCCTTAGAGAGTGAGCGTCGGAGCTCGATGGTCTGCTCATGCTGAACTGAAAGCTCCCGTGCCAATTCGTCATAGGCAGAAGATTTGGATTCGAATTGTTCAAGTAATTTTCTGTTCGAGGTTTCAAGGGTCGAGATGCGAGATTTGAGGGACGTAATGTCGGATTCGTTCGAGGTGGATGAAGATGTGAGTGTCGAGATTTCCTTCTCCAATGAAGCGCGGGTGGTTTCTGTGCAATGTCAGCAAACAGCTTCTGAGACACCGTGAGAAGACATTCATACCAGAGTCACGTAGTTTCTCGCGAAGATCCTCGACTTCCTTGTGTTCCTTGTCAACGCTGGATTTGAGAGCAGTAACCTTCAACTCGGTGTTGCGTTTGAAAGTGTCATGCTCAACACTCAAGCTCTCCTTATCGGACTTGAGCTCATCGTATTCATGGGCCTTTTTGGTGATGGACTGCAGAAGCTGATTGACAAGCTCCACCGTTGGGGCTTCTGTCAAGCTTGTAAGCGTGCTTTCGGGAACTGAGTAGTGAGATGCCAAATATGGCAATTGAATGGCGGTGTCAGCCATGGTGTCGAAGTTTTAACAGCAACCAGCTGTTGTAGTGGCGAAATCAAGAACGATGAAGACGCAGCGCAAGCTACAGCTGAGCCTCCGACAATGGACGCGCTGTGTACCGTTTAGAGACAAGTACACACAGCGCTTCGAGAGAAACCTCAGGTCATGACGATCCAAAAGAAAGTTGGACCGCACGACTAAGAGTTGAGGGAATTGAATGAAAGGGTGATGTGAAAGATGGGCCAAGGGCGTCCAGTTCCGCGCTTTGGTTGCGTCCGTCAAAGGAGGTTAGCGCCATTCAGATCACGTGACTCTCTTTGTCTGCCTTCTGCCTCGACTTCTAGTCAGTTCTGGTCTAACAGGGTTCTTTGCGCCTGGTTCAATCTTGTGTCTCCTTGTCCTCCAATCCTTGGACGTAACTCATAGGTCCTTCTCCTATGCTGGAATTTCTTTAAATCCTCGATATTGATCTAGGTCAACCCGAGGCAATCTTGGCCGCTAGCCAATCTCCCTTGATTTCCTCTTCACGGTCTTGCTGATCTCCGATCACCCATCGCCGCCATGTCCTACCTTCAGAATCAGTTGAAGAACTTCAACGCCAGTGTGATGGAGTCGGCGAACAGGATGCCTCAGCAGCGACGTGTGGTCAATAACCAGCCAGCCTCTGGCGGCAGCTCCCAGGTCCCATCATCTACGCCGACTCCCTCGTCCTCTAGCGAAGTCAAAAAGAAGCGCCACGATGTGGACATCGTCTACTCTCAGCCAGCGAACACCGGTACGGGAAAGGATATCATGACCCAGGTGCTATTTGCGATCGAGCATATGAAGTCTAAGAATATCCCACTCAAGTTTGGTGATATTGTATCGTATCTTTCTCTTCAGCACCGTGCGCATGATCAAGGCTACGTTCATGCTCTTCGGCGCATTCTCTCGAATCACGAAAAGGTTGAGTTTGACCCTAGCGGTGCAAACGGCGAAGGCACCTACAGATTCCGTCCTCTCCATAACATCCGAAACGCCGAGCAACTGCTTCAGAAACTTCAGACCCAAACTACCGCCGCCGGAATGAGTGTTAAGGAGCTCAAGGAGGGATGGCCAACCGTCGAAGAGGAAATCAATCAACTGGAGAAAGAAGGGAAACTACTCGTGACTCGCAACAAGAAGGACGATCATCCCAAGATGGTCTGGGCTAACGACCCGTCCTTGATCGAGCACTTTGATGATGAGTTCAAACAAATCTGGTACAAGATCAGGGTTCCTGATGCGACAGCCGTCAAGGAGGAACTCGAAAAGGCGGGCATCACGCCCACCAACAAAAACAAGGTAGTTGGACCTCGAGTCGCAGTATCAAATAAAAAGGTCAAGAAGCCGCGACGCAGCGGCAAGACGACCAACACTCACATGATGGGCATCCTCAGAGACTACTCGCACCTCAAGCGATAGTGGACCTAGCCCAGATAGCTACAAGGCCCATGTCTGCCTCGTTTGCTCCCCCAGCCCCAGCCTGTTCCATTGCTCCTCTATTCTAGGGAAGCAACCCCCGATCAACGTGGGCCTATTGCATTGTATTGGCGTTCGAAGAGAACATGCGTGACTGCTGCCCCCGCATGGTATCTCAGTTTTGACATTTACACTTCTGATCTGGCTGGCATTCACCCTTTTGTACATTACACGCCGAAAATGATAGATACCCAAATAACTCAGTAAATGCCATTTCTGCGATCAACCACTGCCCGTTCTACAACCTACATGAATATGAAGCACGACTCTATGTATATGCATTTATTCGTCGAAATGTATCAAGGAGAAGGCAGAATGATGTACATGGTACCCAAACACACGACACCCCCAAAGCAAAGGGCAGTCCAAATTCAATAGACAAGAGCTTCACCCTCAATGCTTCCCATTAGCAGCGCCAGGCCCTTCAGTCTTGACCAAGTAGTCCACCAAATCCTCGATAGTACACACCTTAATACCCCACTTCTTACCAAATCGCAAGCATCCGTCGCGACGCATCATACCGTTATTTCCACCAACTTCAGGAACCCCCTCAACAACCTCCCCATCCTCAACAAGCTCAGCAATAACACCAGCAGGCGCCTTTCCAGCAAGCTTGCAGAAGTCAACCGCAGCCTCGGTGTGGCCCGTACGCTCGCGCACACCGCCAGGACGCGCCTGCAGCGGGATGATATGGCCCGGCCGGCGGAAGGAGTCGATTTGCGCGGTGGGCGAGGCGAGTGTTCGGCATGTCAATGCGCGGTCTTCGGCAGAGATTCCTGTTGTTACGGAGTCGTCGCTGGAGTCAATTGTAATTGTGTAGGCTGTGCACTTTGGGTCGGCGTTTTCAATGACCATCTGCGGGAGGGCGAGGCGGGTGGCAAGGTCTGGGGTGATGGGAGCGCATATTAAACCACTGCACAGGTTAGTTCCTCTAATCTGGTGTAACTGAAGCGCTGCATTTATAGTGCTTGGGTGTCATTGCGGGGAGCGAAATGAGTAGGAGGGGTTGTGTTTATGAGGCATCCCGCTCACATCTCGATGGTGGGTGGCGCTCTTACCTCGTATAGCGGACCAAAAAGGCCATTTGCGCGGCTGTGATGGACTCCGCGGCGATGATCAGGTCACCTTCATTCTCGCGATCTTGCGAGTCAAGGACAATGATGAACTCTCCATTCTCTATATGCGTCACAGTCAGTGTTCCGGTCGAATTGGAGTACCCCGCCAGCGGATTTTAGCCCGCGAAAGGGGAGGAAGTTGTCCCAGGAGACAAAGCACTCACTAAAGGCTGCAATTGTGTCTTCAATTGAGTCGAATTGGTGTGCGATGTCCACGGGGGAAGGCATTATGATCGGTGTATGGATTGACACTTTCGCCCCTCACTGCGCAATTGCAAGGATGATAGATAGATAGTACCGAAGGGAATGGCACAAAAACGACGCAAAGTGCAACTGTAAACCGAGACTTTAAATTAAGAACTGGAAGAAAAGCAAATGGCGAAGTGTGAAACCCTAGGAAATAGAAAGAAGACTCGCTGAGTCAACGGATGACAGCGCATTAGAAATGCTCGTGATGCGCCCGCGAATGCCGGGAGACCCGGCGAATTGTTAAACCTCGGGACCGAATGGGGAAATCTCTTCCTCCGAGGTCTATAAGGTCCATTTGGGGTCTTGGGTGTTTTTTGGGGCTCGATTTCAGGTAATGGAACTATTCACAGTGTAGTTCTCAGGACTTCCAAGGTTGGTTCATAACATGTGCGGGATACGTACCTAGCCCACAAGAACTGTCGGTCTAAGTAACCGGTGTTTCAAAAGGTTGAACCACTACGGTATACATGTTCCAACCTACAAGATCATTTAACTAGTATGAAACACGAAAAAAGAGGGGAAAATCAGAATGTAGGGTATTAGAATAAATTGAAGGACGTAGCATCAACCAAGCCCCAATCCCCGAGTGCCCATCCAGCGCACCTCATCTGCCTGTCTCTCAAGTGCACGCCGCATAGCATGTTCATATCTTTGTTCTTTTTCCCAATCATCACGACGCTTGTGTCGCATAGCTTCCCGAGTAGCCTCGTCGACTTCGGCATGCATGAATACATCGTCGTCGGACGCGTAGCCGTCATCAAGCCCCATCTCATAGTCCGCCGGGATTGAGAATTTGAGTCGGCCAATACGCTCGCCGGTCCATATGAGCAGTTCATCTCCGGTGAGATTACCACCCGTCGGTAGAACCTTTCGGGCGACCTCATTATTGCCTGGGGAGTTGGAGCCCGGCCAGAGACCATGGGCTTCATCGTCTTGATCATTTTGTCCGGATGTTGGTTGTCGACTGCGACGACAGAATGGAATTTGAGGGTGGGAAGTGTTGATATTCCACCGACGAACCTCTGAGCGGCCATCCCGTTCAGTCCATTTGATATTGCCCTCGGCATCAGAGAAGACGATGCGATTCCCGTGCGAGCCAACAGAAAGCAATTTGGAACTGGCAGCGCTCTGCCTGTTTTTGTGCTCTGAGTTGAGATTTGATCTCATGTCTGAAGGGCTGTTATTCTTTTCTAATTCTGACTCCAGGCTGTATAGCTCTAATGAGCCGCGGCCATTATATTCACCACATGCCACCACGGAGTGGGATTCTGGGTAAGTGGTATCCGAGAAGACAGGGAACCGTGGCGCTGGAACAGAAGCAAGACCACATAATCGCCCTCCGGAGTGGACTGTGGTCTGCAGGCGCGGGAAGAAACGGCGATCGTAGCATAATATGCTGGGGAAGCGACCTGCCAGGAGAATGGTATTTACATGAGGAGCTGGCGGATGCAGGATGGAAAGAGGACCTGGCTGGAAGAGGGGAGCATAGTTGGCTCCTGGTTCTGAGGGTTCCGGACTGCGAATGCGTCTAGGTGGTTGTCCATTGGGTTGGAGTTGGAGTAATGGCGAATCGGAGTGAGCAAAAATGCCTGAATTCAGGACACTTGGACGGATGTCCTTTTCACATCGCAAGCTGATTGCTTCTTCTTCCTCGACGGCTGATAATCTGGCGTCGTATATTTGTAGACTCAGAGTTGTGGCTAGTGTGAGAGGCACGGAGTAATCAGTTTCCTGTGAAAGTGCGAAGATTGACCATGGGTAGCGTTGCTGAGATATTATCTTCAATGTCTCCAGGTCGACCTCATTCAGGATATTTCCAATTGCAAGGTATGCTCTTTGCCGTAGTGAATCAACACTAACGCCTTCTCCCAAGTTGATAAAGTCCAACGAAGACTTCGAAGGAGCATGATCACGACGCCCAGATAGATTCTTCATCAGCAATCCGGGCTCGCTCATCCCCAAAATTTTGCCTTTGCTTGCCTGCGAGTCAGCAGAATGCGAATGGTTTAAATCCCAAATGCAAACACTGCCGTCGTCAAGCGGAGCGACGATCTTATTCTGTCTGGCAGAACTCCAATCCTTCAGCAGGCCCATACCCTTAACCTCGCAGGCCTGCCCATTCTTTCCATCACTATTGCACACCAACGGCTGCTGAGTCCATGTTAACGAGATAGGACCCTGCCGAGCAATGAACTCGGAATACCAATCGACATGCTCCCCCCTCGCGGAAGAATCCCAATCAGTTGCGGCGCGGGCCCTCTCACTCCAAGACCAGTCGCGATCTTCCAGATCATTCGATCCTGAACCAGAGGGCTGAATCAGATCACGCAGCGAGTCCTGGCCCAAGTTCGTCAGCGACGCCGTGGCATCGGAAAGCAAACTCTCGGGCACCGGAGCCGGGCGGGAAGCCCGGCGGGCAGCCAAAGACTGATCATAGCAGTGTAGTCGCCACTGGCTATTATCGCGAGCAAGGTCAAAGAATGTCTTATTGATGCATTGGAGCTGGACCTTTTCTCGCGGAGTGAGGACTGATTTCCGATCAGCTCTGCGCCGGGGAAGTTCAGGGAGGTTTCCTACGGTCGATGATTTTGGATAGAATCTCTACCGGCAGCTTATCCATGCCGAGGGGACAAGTGCATTGGGGATAAGGGGGGGTGGATTGTTCTTTGATGAGGTTGTGTTTGCCTCCCCCGCGATGATCTGCGAGTCGAGACCGTCACGTGGATGTATGGGCTTGAGCATACAAGCTGATGGGCTAGTGACGTTTTGGGATGTGAGACAGAGTCAGCTCGGATGATTTATCCGATTCGTGAGGATAAGTGCATGGAAGTAAACAGACGTTGTAGGTAGTAGATTAAGCTCCTGCTCAACTCTGGGTCGAACTACTGTTTTGAGCCGCAACTCAAATGGCGCAAATGGCTCACAGAGGAAATCAAGTCTATGATTCAAAGCTATGTGCATATATTTAACATAAACAGACATCAGGTGTTCCTTTCCTACAGACTCCAGCCTGTCCCAATATTCCCACCATCAATCAGTCATAATTCGTACATTAGAGCAACAGTAAATCCACATCGGGTAAAAGAAACAAAAGAGCGAGATCACAAGGTGACAGTATATTGTATCATAGCAACACTGGTCACTCATCGGGCCGGAAGACAGCTTCTTTGCAGAGAATGGCCACTTTTTTGAAGAAGCGTCGCCATTCAAGAGGATCACCCTTAATTTTGATGAATTCGACCTCGAACAGGCCCTCTGAGACACACTCAATGAGCACCTTACCCTGCAGCGGACACATCCTGCCATCCTTGGCAATCACCCGGATCATGGCAGAACAGTCCCCAGCAGTAACAGCAGGAATACTCGGAACGGGGACTCCGAGACGATGAAGTGCTTCACAGATGAGAGGTACGAGAAGTTTGAGCTCCCATGCAGAGTAGAACCGGGTCATTGGGCGCGAGGGGACAATATCCTGGAACTTCTGTGCATTTTGAGTGCGACTCACTGGCACTGAAGGTTGCTGTGAGAATTGAGACATGGAAGGCTCGTCCTCAAGATGGCCGGCCATGGCTGCATCTTGCGAAGCGAACTGTTTCCCGGCAGGCTGGGTTGAAGAGAAGACATCGGGCTCCTGGGGATTGTCCCAGTCCATCAGCATACCACCTCCTAGCATCTCCGGCTGCGTTGAGGACAATCCTCCCGCATTTACACCGTCATCCATATCCATATCCATCTGGTCAAAGCTGCGACTAGCGCCCTTCCGCGGTTGGGAAAGAGGATCCTGGCTGAAGTCAATGTGAAGCGACTCGAACATGGACGTAGCAAGATTGATGGGGTCCCTTAGTTTGCCATCGGCAGAAAGGAACTTGTTCGCACGTGTATACCAAGGATGTCTTCGCACATCCTCCAGCGAGAATCGACTTTTAGGGTCAACTGTCAGCATGCCTCGCAGTAGTGATAGTGTGGCGGATGGTAACTTCTGCCAAAGCTCGTCTGTTGTTCGTGCATTTGTCGCTACATACTCGTGATACTCGAAGCTATCGTCCGTGGGACTGTCCCAAGGTGTATTGCCCGCCAAGAGAACGAACAGGACAATCCCACAAGACCAAATGTCAACCAAATCAGGATGATACCCAGCTCCCTTGTTCTGGCCCCGAGTACTGCAAGTAATCACCTCAGGCGCAATGTACGGAGGACTCCCACAAAATGTAGTGGAGAGTTTGCGCGTCCCTTTGTACTCGAACAGCGCAGCCAACCCAAAGTCCGCAATCTTCAGGTTGCCGTCTCCCGTCAACAGCATGTTCTCGGGCTTAATGTCGCGGTGCCCTACTCCCTTGGAGTGCATGAAGCTCACCGCACTGACGAGCTGCGAGAAATAGACGTGGGCGATGTCCTCGCCAACGCCCTCGTCGGCCTCGATCTTATCGAAGAGATCCCCGCCTTCGGCCAACTCCATCGCAATCCAACGCCACACGCTGTCTTCGCCTGTCTGATAGAAGTTGATAATATTCCCATGGCCGGAGACATGTTTGTGAACCGTCACTTCCAACTGTAGTTGTCTTGCACTGATCTTCCCGTGGCGTGCGGCGTAATCCTTGTGAATGTACTTGACTGCGAAGACGGGGTTATCCGAATCGAGCGGGCATGCTTTCTTGATGCTATGAAGGTGCAAATACATGTTAGAACTGTTTTGCGACGAAGAGAAGATGCCTTACCACGCATAGGCACCTTGGCCAATGGTCTTGGACACGATGCGAAACGGCACATCGTTTGGGAGCGGAGCAAGCTGCGAATGCTGCATTGTGAAGGAAGCTCACCATTAGCTTAGGATGAGCTCGGGGAAACTCAAGACTAAAAGGGCCTGAGAGGTTGGAGCAGGGATGAGGCTGAACGCGCAAGGGACGCGGGATACGCGGGCCACTTTATCCTGATCGGGAAGTGTGTTGACCGGCCAAGAGCCAGTCCATGTTGTGTTAGCAGACGTGAGCCTCCCTGGTCTCTGGATATGTTTCTTCTGTATCTTCTGCATGACCTGAATTAGTTCATTTCTCGATTTATAGATTTGAAACTGCACAGACCATGGACTCCGATCGCACTAACTGCCAGATCGCCCTGCATTTCCCTGCTGGTCACGTTGAAACCGATTTCGATATATATAAAAACCCTTCAAGCTGGTCTACCTGACCTTATTATATAGAAAGTCGTGACGATATGGACTCTGAATGAGCGTGCCTTATATTGTGCTTACCAAGTTCGTAGCGGGGTCTCGTTGCTGGGGCGCTTAGCAGTAAACAAATCCACTTGGGCTTTTCTTTGACTTCTTTCTTGACTCGGACTTGAACCCTTGAACTACACTCCTGCATTCGATAATCTCCTATATCATCGCCTCCTCACCTCTTCTCGGTCTCTTGGTGTCTCAGTCTCTCAGGCTTTACTTGTCCCCGACGTTCTCGAGCGGATCACTTGACGGATCCGGCGTCATTCCAACCTCGCTACTCTAGCATTCCACAGGCTACCTTAATACCACCTCCAATCCTAGACTCTCTCAACCTTCAACATGGACTACAGCATGGAAGACACTCAGAACTCGACACCCGACGCGTTGGAGCAATCCAAGCTCAACACCACCGGCCAGAGAAGCGACACGCCAAGCGTGACCAAGCGGTTCGTCTCCTCCACACACATGGGCTGCAAACCTAATATACTGACAAGATCCCTGTCAAATGTATAGTCTCCAGGCCGAACTGATGCAGCTTATGCTCTCTCCATCACCCGGTATATCCGCCTTCCCAGACGCAGATGGCAACCTCCTCTCGTGGACAGCAACAATCACCGGCCCAACTGAGACACCCTACGAAGGCCTGACCCTCAAGCTCTCCTTCGCTTTCCCTAACAACTACCCATACTCGCCCCCCACCGTCCTTTTCAAGACCCCAATCTACCACCCCAACTTTGACTTCTCCGGTCGTATCTGTCTCGATATTCTCAAGGACAAGTGGAGTGCCGTCTACAATGTCCAGAGTGTGCTACTCAGTTTGCAGAGCCTTCTGGGGGAACCTAACAAGTAAGCATATAATTTACCCTTTTCACTGCACTAGACATACTAACAACCCCAGCGCGAGCCCCTTGAACGCCCAAGCCGCCGAGCTCTGGGACTCAGACCAGGAAGAATTCAAGCGCCACGTCCTGGCCCGCCACCGCGATCTGGACGAGTAAATTGAACATTGCATAGCATGTCCTTTTCTTTTCATTCTGCATTGGCGTCGGTTGGTCCAGGTACCCATCCGGGGGTCTGGGAACGTGCTGCACATGCATAACGGTCACATCCATGGGCCTGGGAGTTTTGTGTTTTCGGTTGTTATGTCTTTTCTATGCCTATTCCCTGACTCGCTTGGGTTATGCATTCAATCACAGGCATGGCATGTTCTTAGAAGCCCGTGACTCGAACATTCGATGCCGGGTTATGTTGAGTTTTGTTTTTTTTTTTTGGTCAATGGTTTGCCCTCTTGTCTTGGATTTGTTAGCTTAGTGTAATGTATTGTTGAAGGGAGGTGTACAATTGTGTTATTATGCATATCTTGTAATAAATACTCCTATCCGTTTCACGCAGAGCTGATATAGACCAACTGGTGTGAAGGTAAGCACTTGACCCTAAAATTAACCTTAAGTGTGCCATTAAGACCAACAGATCTACTGTCATCCAGATTGAATCAAGTCTCAGCATATACCACTTGCTCAAAGATATATTATTGGATTGTAACAAATACAAGATCGACAACTAGCTCATTAGACTCAACCAAACCACTTAAGTAGCTTTACTAAAGTACTGCTGCTCATTAGTGATAAGCAGACCAGCAATAGTAGCACTAGTAAAAGTACTAATGGCACCAGTAATCATAGCACTGAATGCAACACGCGACACATCACCACCACGACCGGGCGAGATCTGCGCCAGCACACCAATCTGGTTACCCAGGGATCCAATATTGGCGAAACCGCAAAGCGCATAGGTGGCAATGAGACGGGAGCGATCCGTGAGATCAGCGTAAGCGGCGTCATTTTGGAGGGCGTTGTAGGCGACAAATTCATTCTGTATTAGTTAGATGATGATCAAGGAACAACGAGGACTAAGTTGGGATGGGAGTGGGGACATACGGTAACGAGCTTCAGACCGATCAACTGGCCGACCTTCAAGAGATCCCCGTTACGGGAAACTCCCAGCAGGAAGGCAATGGGGTAGCAGATGTAGCCGACGATCAATTCCAGGGTCAGAGGGGGATCGTTGATATTTAGATACCTGCCCCACCAGGTGAGGAGACCGTTGACCAGACCGACGAGGGAGATGATACAGAGCAGGGTGGCACCGATCATCGCAGCGATTTTCAGACCGAGCCAGGCACCGCTGGAGAAAGCGTGCAGGGCGTTGGAAGACTTGTGCTCTTCGTTATCGGGGACGACGACACGGCCAGCGGTGAGGGTTTCTTCCTCTTCTGGCCAGCGCAGCTTCGAGACGGCCAGCGAAGCGGGGATACTCATGACACAGGAACTGACTAGGGCCTGTGGGTTCACACCCATACTAATGTAAGCGATCAGGACACTTCCGGCGATTGTAGCGAAACCCGAGCACATGACTTGGTGCAATTCGGCCATTGTGAGATGGGCGATGAAGGGGCGGATCAGCATGGCTGATTCTCCCTGGCCGATGAAGGGGGATGCGGCTGCGACGACGGCTTCGGCGCCGGAAACGCGCATGCTCCAGAAGAAGAAGACGGCAAACTTTCCGATGAACCATTGCAGGATGCTGGTGTAGTACAAGAGCTGGACAATGGAGACGAAGAAGACGATGGCTGGGATGACGCTGATCAGGAAGAAGTTTGCCGGGGCAAAGGGCGTCGTGGTTGCGTAGAAGTCATCGCTGGTCAGGAAGGTGACACCGTCAATGGCGAAGCCGAGGAGGTCACGAGCAAGCTCGGAGATGAAGTTGAAGATGTCGTAGCCGGCGCCAGAGCGGAGCACGAAGAGGGCCACGATGAACTGCGACAGCATGCCGACGATGACGGTGTGCCAGACGATCTTCTTACGGTTGCGGGAGGTGAGCCACAGACCGAAAATGAAGACTACCATACCGAAGAGACTGACGGCACGGCTGGCTCGTGTGTTGTCTTCGGTCTCTGGGGAGGCGAATGCTCCAATGATGATGACTGCAATGCATACCAGGGCGCCGGCGGGCGTCCTCAGTTTCTCTGGGATAGCACGCACGATCACACGGGCCGTGTGTGTCCATACGAAGCTCATCGGCTTCGTCACGATGGTGATGGGAACATAAAAGAAGATCATGCGTAGGGTAATAGCAAGCCAGAGCAGGAATGGGATGAGCCATCCGAGGTCATGTCGATGCAAGATCAAACCCGCGATCCACCAGCTAAAAAGAAGCATGAGTCTCTGTTTTCCAGGGTGTTGATACCCGTATTTCCCGATTCCAGTTAGACTCGATGAACTCACCCGGTAAACAGAAGCCAGATCACTAGATGGACGGCATGTCTCCATTGCTTCATCGCGCGTCGATACCATGTTCGCTGGGGATAGTTCTCGCCCGCTTCTTCATCCCTTGAGCTCGACTTGCTGCCGTGGTCTAGTGGTGTTGGTTCGGGGACCACGCCTTTCTCGAACTGGACATCATTGGAATAGACGACTTCATCTGTGCGACCCTCCTCGGCGAAGGTAGTATGGTGTTGATGGGTATGGTGATGTTGGTGCTCTGGATCCAACACAGGATCATGAGGGACAGTCGGGGCTGTCGTAGCCTCTGGTGTTTTCTCCATTGTCCAGAGGAACTCAACAACAGACACACACACACACAATCTTATTTAGAAAAAGAGTTCAAGACTGCCAAAGCAAAGACCCGCCCAAACAGCAAGGGAAGATCTGCGAGAACCGGGTTTTATAAGAGAAGTTCAGTGCCCACGTTATCTCGCACCTATCATTCTCATGACTGATTTTTTATTTCTATTTTTTTTTTACCACACGAGGCATTTCTCTGTGCGGGGATTCTGGAAAAAAAAAACCGATTATAGTCCAAGTAAATAAAGTAGGTCAAAAGGTGCACTAGCCGTCGGAGACCTCACCCATTCTCGTCCAGGGCTGGGGTCTGCACGCCAATGAACGGACAGGCCGACGGGGCTCCCGTCTCACCTCGAGCCATACAGAGCCATTCCAAGCATCTTAGTGCCACCAGGAGCCACATGTAACCGTAGATGTAAAGCCTGTTGATAAGAGTGTTGCACTATCTCGGTGGCCTAGCTCTATTGAGGTCGAGATATCTTGCCACCGACCCAGTTGGACCCAGTTGGACCCATGTCGACCCATGTCGACCCATGTCGAGATGGGTGATTGGTCGCGTGTAGATCAGACTAAACAGTGAGAAAGTGTCTCCGCACTGGTGAATCTGCGCGTTTGCGGAGTGTGCGCTGCAGTGTATTTAGACCGAGGTCACTAGAGCCGATTCTTCGAACTGAAACTCCGGGGGAAAAGGAGAGCCTGGAAAGTAGAGAAGATTCTCTGGGTGAATCTCGCAATTAACATTTAGCAACTGGAGCCTCGATAAGCGGTAAAGGGCCGAGAGTCCACTTGATATCCACGCTTGGCTTGGCATCCACTTGGGTTATCTTCAACTCGCCAGCACAGGATATCAGAATTGAGCAGTTGATACCATGATGTTGATACCTCTAGATCAGCGGCGAGCCCCGGGGTCAATCTCTCTCGTAGACCGTCGGTCAGCGGAATGAACTATAACAGGGTTCAATGAGGCTGACTGCTGTAAATCCGTCCAATCAAAAAAATAAACACAGAAACCACAAAACCGCCACAGAAAATAGAGTCCAAACAGCCAACAGGAGGTGAAGTAGAGAACAAAGAAGACTCAGACACTCGGAAAGGGAAAGGCGGGGAGTCTCTGCCCCCTCCACCTCCGAACTTCTTCTTAACAAACAACATGGAGAACGAATGGGAAATCGAAGAGGGGATTCCCCAGTTTGGCGACCCGTTTATTCAGCAATATCTCAACGGTCGCGATGCTCTGATTGCGGAAGAGCACAAAAGACGTCATGGTAGTGCTCCGTTCCCTCTGAGTGCCCCTCGTGCACGCCCAAACTGATCTCCCCTAGATGCAAACCTCCGCAAATCACTATCGCCTATCGCCGCCCGGGCATCGAAGATCGTTTCGCAGATCCGAGCTCAGGAGCAGAACGAACTATGGACGAGTGGATTGGACGAAGATGCCGCCCACCAGTCAGATGAGATCCTCTACCCGGGCGTGATGTTTAACCTGGCCAAAGGGCGCATGGAAAAAACCAAGCTGTGGAAGATCGTGGAGAAGATGCCGAAAGGCTCCCTTCTCCACGCGCACATGGATGCCATGTTCGACATTGAATTCTTGCTGGACCAGGCTTTCTCCACGCCAGGGATACACATGACGGCCCCGGGTCCATTGGTCACTCAAAAAGACTTGGACTCGGCGCCCCTCACGTTCCAGTATTCATCGCAGCCACCAAGTGCTTCAGAGGAAAAGCCCAGTATCTGGACCCAGACATATGAGCCGGCGTCCTTGATCTCAATCCAGAAGGCTGCGTCGTCGTTCCCGAATGGAGGAGAGAAGGGTTTCCGGGATTGGCTGACTAGTCGCTGTGTGCTCATGCCCGAGCACTCATATCACCACCATCATGGCGTAGATGCGATCTGGGGTCTGTTTCAGAAGACTTTCCCCATCATCGACTCCCTGCTTATGTATGAGCCTATTTTCCGAGTCTGTTTTGCCCGTATGCTGGGACAATTGGCTGCAGATGGGATCCGATACGTGGAGTTCCGCATTGGGTTCAACTTCAAGTACAGAAGACAAGGCAACGATGAGCCTGACACGGACTTCTTTGAATGGTCTCGCGTGGTGGAGGAGGTGGTAGATCAGTTCAAGGAGTCCGAGGAAGGAAAGGACTTTTACGACGCTCGACTGATCTGGACTACGCTCCGGCGCTTTTCCAATGATCTCATTGTCCAGAGTATGAAGCAGTGCATTGAGACAAAACAGGCATTCCCCGACTTGTTCTGCGGGTTCGATCTCGTCGGACAGGAAGATGCAGGACGACCCCTTGTTGACCTGGTCCCTATCCTATTTTGGTTCAGAAAACAATGTGCAGAAGAAGGGGTTGATATCCCCTATTTCTTCCATGCCGGTGAATGTCTAGGTGATGGTGATGACACCGATCACAACCTATTCGATGCTATTCTCCTCGGCACGCGACGCATCGGCCATGGCTTCTCCCTCTACAAACACCCTCTGCTCATTGACCTAGTCAAAGAGAAGAAAATCCTGGTTGAGTGCTGCCCAATTTCCAACGAAGTCCTCCGCCTCGCCAGCTCGATCAAATCCCACCCTCTCCCCGCATTACTGTCTAGAGGTGTCCCCGTTTCACTATGCAACGACGATCCCGCTATTCTTGGCCATGGGCGGAACGGACTGACTCATGATTTCTGGCAAGCGTTGCAGGGACTGGAAAATGTGGATTTGGTTGGCTTATCGATGATGGCCCAGAACTCCATCCGGTGGAGCTGCTACGAAGATCAATCGGCAGCTGAGTGGAAGGCTGGCATTCAGAATGGGGTTATGGGCAAGGGACTAAAATCTGAGCGACTGCGGGACTTTGGCTCTGAATTTGAGAAGTTCTGCGAGTGGATTGTCTTGGAGTTTGCGGAGTTTGATGCCGACGATTAGCTTGAGCACGGTGATCACGGCGATCACGGGATGTGAAGACAACATATATCTAGTCACCTAAGAACAGACATGAATGGCGTTATTCATTTGACAGTCTTGGACTTTAAACCTGCAAATAGTTGAACAAGTAAGAAAAGCGGCCAAGATAGAGAGAAATTGGGTCAACAAACGGTCGCCGCCTGACTCGGGTCACTTATCGCCTTTATCAGCTGCCCGGAACGTCATCGAACTCTCCTCCCTTCACTCCCCTCGGGGCTTCTTTTCTTCGATGATCTCCTCCAACCTTTGAAGCCAGTTCAAGGCTCTTCACATACGATGGGCTACTTCCTACCGTCGTTCTTTCAGAAGCGGCTGCTCAAGTATGCCCTCTCCCGCGTCGGACTGGTTGACACCGAGGCGTTGGACTTGGACAACTTGGGCATCCGCTGGGGCCAAAGAAGTACAGTCGAGCTCCGAGATGTTGGGCTTAAAGTAGAGGTGAGTGTGAAGTCACAAGTTGAAGAGCTTGGAGTGGTGTTCGATGTCGGGTGCGGGCCGCGGGGAGGAGGACCCATTTGTTGACCATCAACTATGAAGTGGAAAACGCGTGGACTGACGTTTGACTCTGTCTTGAATAGAAACTAGCCTCGCTTCTAAACCTTCCGCCATCGTGTGAAATGCTCCAGGCGAGAATCCAGCTCCTAAGAATAACCATCCCGGCCGATATCTACAGCAGCGGGGTCATTTGCGAAGCCAGTGGTATCGACGTGCATATTCGGTTATTATCAGACGAGTCGAGTCTCGGGAAACACGGGAAGGAGAGAGGATCCAAGTCTGCTTCGGCGGCTGTGCCTACGGCGACTGATCTGGCCCAGTCGTTCCTTGAGTCTGAGCCGAAGGAGGAGCGGGATGAGTTGAAGGCTGCTATTTCGTCACAGTCTCAAGTATTACAGCATGACCCCCTGGCTTACGGTGATGACGATGAGGATGAGCTTGGCCTCGGAAGTGAGACGACATCGTTACCGAGCTTTGTCGCCGGTTTTGTTAAGGGCGTTGTGGACCGGTTACAGCTCTCGATTAAGAATATTGCTGTCCGGGTGGATATGGAGCTGAAACAGGACGGGATGTCTAAAAGACAACCGGAAAACAAACCAGACCCCGTTGCGTGTCTGTTGAGTGTCGGAGAACTCGATGTCCACGGGGTATCTGAGCACACAGCCAGTCCGGAGGAGGGACTTCCTTTACGAGAAGGGAAACGACTCATATCGATCTCGGGCATAAATTTTGGGTTGATTTCGGACCCGATGGTATTTTCGAATTACTCCCGATTTGCAGCACCCCCATCGCCGATGACAACGCGTTCAAAGGAGAGTCAGCCGTCAAGCAGAGCGCCATCACCATCACATCCTTTACTGGATCAGTCGGACCCGGAACCCCTATCCATGACGCAATCCACTATATTTGAACCACCGCAAGATCTTTATCGTTCAAATGTTACTGGACATAGCTTGGAAGCATCTACTTTCTCCCATGGCCGTTTCTCCGATGCAGATTCCGAGGGTAGCCAGCATGGTGGATATGCTGACGACTCCCAGATTTTTGGAGACGATCCATTCAAAGACAATCCGGGGTATCTTGACTCGGTCATTGACAATCAATTCGATGACTTTAACGACGGGCAGCCGCCGTTTATACAACCCCGCGAAGATGTACTAGCACAAAGCGCAAGAAGTGACTCGTTCCCCAGACCGGAAAGCATGAATCTGAGCTACGATGCCGAACACTATTCACAAGCTTCACTTCGACCAGAGAGTCTTCACGTGCGCCATCTTTATGACTCAGGTCAGAGCCAGACGGGGTCAAACCCTCACGAAACAGTGCAGCCCGTGCACGATCTCAACGATTACGACGACAACGAATATAATGAAAGATCTCATATTAGCGCAGCGCCACAGCCTTCTCATACCTCTTCTCCAATCTCTGAACGTGGCAGTACAGATTCACAAGATGTCACACCTAATGCCGACCTCATGGAGTCTAAGTACTTCTCTCATGATGAAGCACAGAGTCTCTATATGAGTGCAATTAGTCAGGAACCCAACAGACAAGAGCCGAGTGAGAGTTTCATGCCAAACATGCCTGGAGCATGGGAATCATACAACTCCGCAGGAGACCAGAGCAGCGCATCTGGCTATCACTCTATGAACATTGGCTCAGGCAATACGAAATCAATTCCAAAGCCCAATGATTCAGATACCCCGAAGATCGCCGTTCCGTCACAGGAGTACTTTGTCGACCAAGCTCTAGAGCACCAAGAGCAGACCTTTGTGCACCGAGATAGAGCATCAACTCCATCTTCACCTGAAATCCACCGCATCAATGAAACCAACAAACAAGTCTTCAGTCTTGACAGAATATTGGTCTGGGTGCCATCTACTTTCGATCCTCCCGAGGAAGATGTGTCCAGTTATCATTCACCCAATCCATCCAGACAGAGAGCAGATAGCGATCTTACTGATTCCACCGTCAGCTTCCGTGATTCTGCAGTGGAAGATAGCCTATTCGCTTCCAAGGCATATGCCTCTACCAGGGCCGAGAGGCGATCGACCGATTCGCCCGCATCTGGAAGAGATCATCAGACCCCAGAGACACATCAAACGAGCTCTAGCACGAGTCTTCATGAAATCGCCGTTGAAGTGTTTTCAGCCTCTGTGCACTTTGATATTGCAACTGGCTGGCTCGTATCAAAGATAGGGCAAAAGGTCTTGCATGCTTTTAGCCCGGCTGAAAATGACCTTTCTGAGAAGCAGTTGCCCGAAAACCCACTACCCATGCCGCCTCTACATCTGGTCATCCATAATATTTCAGTCAAGTTTCTTGAACATGTCACCGGGTATGTCCATTCGCCGGGGAGAAGTGGCTCACCTCTGCCGCTTCCGTACAGCATGGAAGATGTCATCCTTCGTATCACAGCATCCGGTCTTAATGGTCGAATTCAATCTCAAAACTCTGCCTTGAAGTTGAAAATTGATGTGTGGAAGTTTGCGTTTGGATTTGCCTCTGAAGACCTCATCTCTTTCAACGAGACATTAAAGATGCGTGAATCTACTCGTGATACTGCGGCTTCTTCAGGCGACATCACGATCTCTCTAGTCAAGTCACCCAACCTGGCCAAGGTTGATATTTCGACACTGCCGCTCCATGTAAATCTGAATTTGCAGCGCCTGGAAGAAGTCTTGGGATGGATGGGTGGCCTGAGTACAATTCTTGAGCTTGGAAGTTCCATCTCATCGGTCTCAACTGTCAAGGGTGGTCAGCCACCTCCGAAGAGACGTGGCGTACATTTCGAAACACCTGCTCCTGCTCCTGACAAAGTGAAGAGTGATTCACCGCTATGGAAGGTCAACGCTAGAGTCGGTGGGATATTGCTGGACGTTATTGGGGAAACACATTGTCTTCAACTAACCACGACCGCTGTTAAAGTCGTTAGCAGATTTGAAGGCATTGGCATTCAAGTAGACAAGGCGAAATTGTTTGGACCGCTTCTCCTGAACGACTCAGCAGACGCTCCGGCCAAGATTACCCTTAACAACATTCGCGTTGAGTTCCTCTTTGCACCAAAGGAGCCTGATCTTGATCGTCTTTTGAAGTTGATTACTCCGTCAAAGGATAAATATGAGGAAGAAGACGATATCATGCTGGATACTCTATTACGACAGCGACGACAAGGCTCTGTTCTTCGTGTCACAGTGACAGGAGTCAAGGCTGTGATCTCTGATGTCAGCGGTTTAGAGCCTCTCTCATCCCTCGGCGTTGAGCTGAGCCGTCTTTCGAATGTTACCAAATATCTCCCAGAAGATGACCGTCCTGGTATTCTTACCCTCGTGTTGATTCGCGAGTTGACTGGGCATGTGCACATTGGTGGCGAGGTCGGTGACATTAACTGTCACCTTACTGACGCTGAAGTGGCAATTATTACCATGCCATCGTTGACAGCAGCTCAAGTCGGAACAATTACCGTGAAGCGGAACGACGACGAAGAGCTGGTTGGAGAGGCACTGTGGCCACCAAGCAATTTTGAAGCGGCACTCAAATCACGACCGCCTGTTCTTATGGCACGTTTCATACCTGATGAGATGGATCCTACGTACCGGATCAAGTTGCACAATCTGCTTGTCGAGTACAGGATACCATCTGTCGTGGCCTTCCTCGGACTCGGCAATGACAAAACAAGTGGAGACCTGGCTAGTGATATGGCCAACTCTATTGCCAATCTCGCGGAGCATTCTATGCCATCGCCATTGTCAGGGTCACCCATGAGTGGCAAATCCAAGTCACCAGTAAAGCCGCTAAAACTCTCCGTCGTCTTCAGAGATTGCGTCCTCGGCCTGAATCCTCGTAACTCCCCTGCGAAGGGTCTTGCTGTCCTTACCAACGCCAAATTCGGAGGCAGCATGCATGGAGAGGAATCTGCCGAAGCATCGTTGGATATCCGGAAGGCATCATTGATGATAATTGATGATGTATCCAACAACGGAAACGCTGGGAATCTCCACCAGCGTGAATCTGCTGTATCTCAAAGCAGTCAGGCCCAGGCGTATATAGACAATGGCTACGTTCCTGTTTCGTCCATTTCATCAGCAACAGCTGGCGTGAAGTTGGCTCGTCTTGGCGAGGATGGTACGAAGTCACTCGATGTTGAGTTGAGAGATGATCTCTTGATTTTAGAGACATGTGCAGATTCAACCCAGACGCTCATCAGTATTATCAATGGACTTCAGCCTCCGACACCACCCAACGTCAATGTCAAATATCGAACAGAAGTCATGCCTATTCAAGACATGTTTGCTTCCTTTACTGGGGATGCTTTCGCGGCTGATCCTCATCCCGATAATGACCATGATGACCTGACAACCATCTCTGAAGAGCCATACCAGGAAGATGAATTAAATGATGAGATTGAATACGTCAGCGATTTCTATCCAGTCAAGCGGGACTTTGCTGTTGCCGGTGGAAGCATGGAGACGAGTTCACATGAGCTTCTGGACAGCTTCCATTCCCAGTACCAAGTCTCTTCAAGCATTGGGGAATTAGATTTCCAAGATGATCACTTTGCAAAGAAGTCCGCTGTCGGTGGAACTGCGCATCGATGGGATTCCACCCAGAATACATACGGTCTTTCCAACGACACCAAGCTCCAGCGGAGTCCACTTCGAGTCAGAGTACGAGATGTGCATGTCATTTGGAATCTCTTTGATGGATATGACTGGCAACGCACCCGCGATACAATCTCCAAAGCTGTCAAAGATGTGGAGACCAAGGCTACAGAGCGGCGTGCCAGGGGTTCTCGGGTATCACCTTCAATGGACGATGAAGAGGAGTCTGTCATCGGTGACTTCCTCTTCAACTCGATATATATCGGCATTCCTGCAAACAAAGATCCACGGGAACTTCACCGAGAGATCAACAACGACATTGATGATCTGACAAGCGAAACTGGCAGTTATGCAACATCCACCACGATCACTGGCGCTTCCAGCCGCCAGGGTCGAACAAATTCCAAGAGGGAGAAAAAGCTGCGTCTGCACCGGAGCAAACACCATAAGATGACGTTCGAGTTGAAAGGTGTCTGTGCCGATCTAGTTCTCTTTCCGCCAGACTCAGAGGAAACACAAAGCTCACTGGATGTCCGCGTCAAGGACTTGGAGATATACGATCATGTTCCAACCTCGACGTGGAAGAAATTTGCCACCTACATGCATGAAGCTGGGGAGAAGGAGAGCGGAATGAGTATGGTTCACCTTGAAATCCTAACAGTGAAACCAATTCCAGAGCTAGCTGCGTCTGAAATCGTTCTAAAGGTAAGTTACATAAAGCATTTACTGTCCAGACCAACGGCTCATTTTAACAGGCTACCGTTCTCCCACTCCGATTACATGTCGATCAAGATGCGCTCGACTTCATGAGCAGATTTTTCGAGTTCAGAGATGAAGGCATCGAAGAGAATAGCACACCCGGCGACGTTCCATTCCTCCAGCGCGTTGAAATCAACGCCGTGCAAGTCAAACTAGACTTCAAACCCAAGCGGGTTGACTATGCAGGCCTCCGATCCGGCCGCACAACCGAATTCATGAACTTCTTTGTGTTAGACGGCGCCGACATGGTTCTACGACATGTGATCATCTACGGAATCTCCGGTTTCGACCGAATGGGCCAAACCCTCAACGACATCTGGATGCCAGACGTGAAGCAGAACCAACTCCCAGGCGTTCTAGCCGGTCTCGCCCCAATCCGGTCCCTGGTAAACGTCGGCAGCGGCGTCCGTGATCTAGTCGTGGTCCCAATGCGCGAGTACAAAAAGGATGGCCGGATAGTCCGCAGTTTCCAAAAGGGCGCCCTAGCCTTCGCCAAGACCACCTCTAATGAGCTGGTCAAACTCGGCGCCAAACTAGCCATAGGCACCCAGACCGTCCTTCAAGGCGCCGAGGACCTCCTCACGACCCCATCCGCCCTACCCGAAGATGACAACACCGACGAGGACGAAGCGAAGAAGATCTCCCTGTACGCGGATCAACCGGTCGGAGTGGTACAAGGTCTACGGGGAGCATTCAGCGGACTAGAGCGCGATCTCCTCCTCGCACGCGACGCCATCGTCGCCGTACCAGGCGAAGTAGTCGAAAGCGGCAGTGCCAAGGCAGCAGCAAAAGCAGTCTTGAAACGGGCACCGACGGTCATTCTCAGACCAGCCATCGGCGTTTCCAGGGCTGTGGGACAAACTCTGCTTGGTGCGGGCAATACTTTGGACCCGAGTAATCGGCGCAAAATGGAAGATGTAAGTGGTTTCACGAACTCCCGACCGTCCCGACTGGTCCCGACTCCGGGGCTGGCAGGGGTGTTCCTAACGGTTACGAGTTAAGAGTATGTGGCTGATCTTTTTTTTTCACCCCCACAGAAGTATAAGCGTCACTGAGTGCCGGCGAAGGTGGCTGGGCTTGCCCTTGTCGGATCGAGGAACCCCTACATGAAGCATCTCGGCCGATGCTGACCGATTTGAGTTTGATTCTTCGCGTGCTTATTTCTTATTTCTTATTTTTGATCTTTGATTTCTTTATTGCGTTGCTTATTCGCATCGATACCACACTGACGTTTGTAAATTGCTTGTTCTCTCGGTTTTTAGTCTGCATGACTGAGGAGTCCCGGAGTGTTGTGAATAAACTTGAATAAACTTGTTTAAACTCGGACATCAAAGTCAACCGCCCTATAATGACCAACGATCAATCTACAGAAATAGAAACTGAACCCGATCGCATGGTCACGGAACGGGGCACTTTGCCACTTCGTGTTGCGAGAAGAGGGTGTGGACTGTGTATAGAAGTAACTTTGGGCGATCACCAAACCCACCCGTTAAAACGAAGAACGTCTCTGCATGTGTGACGATCTCTCAACTGGGGGATGCAGTCGTACTACCATTGCGAATGGCTTGAGGATATGCATGAGTGCCTTGTGCCTACCCAAGGAACAAGGGACCGAAGACCTCTGTGAGGACCAGTTGCCAATTCCAAAGCCCGTACCACCGATCCAAACCCCTCCGAACCAACCAGGCGGTAGCGGACATGAATCATGAAACAAGTCTGGATGAACGGGATCGCCGATTCATGAAAAGATGCGAGCATACCCCATAGGGCATCGGCGGACAACACCGCCAGGAAACCACGAACGAGACGAGAGGGAAAAAAGTCTAACCCTTACCTCCGACTCAGGTACCAAGTTTCACGATATGGACCTCATGCAAGTACCATGCAGCGAGCAAGTTAGGGTATGATGCGTACATGCCGTACTCCGTACTCCAGAGCCTGCATCCCAACACCCTTGTCCCAGGCTCCGAGGCTGGGAACTGGATCGAGTGCGCGTATTTGCAGAAAATTCCCATTCGCCACTGGGCCCAGTGCCCGAGACAAATAGAGTAGTTTCATCATCCGTCCTCGAGGGTGTGGCCAATCAGGGTGGCTAAGTTGGTTTTTGCCCAATTGCTCGCCTCTTGCCTCGCTTTCAGCCTGGTCAGACAGGTGCTCGCTCTGGACGCCGACTGGATCATGGAATTCTGTCGTCGTTCATGTCAATGTGGTGTCTGTGGACGGTGATTGGGGGGAGGACTGCGGGAGGGTGTGGCACTAAGAGGGTTAGGGGCGCACTAAATCCTTTTGGAGGGAGATCTTAGATCCATGCAGGTGATGTGTGAGCTGTGGACTCCGTACGGACCGTACAAAGCTATTCTTTGTTCTTCTGGACTATTATCATTGTTTTTTTCTCGTGTGCTTGGATATCCCCGTTTCACCGACTTTTCCACTATTTGATAACTCGGATCTCGATTTTCTCTCTCTTCTGAATTTTCACATCATGACGTCTACATGAAGAAGTCAACCACGGTTCGCCAGACCCAGTGTTCCTGAGTGAGTCTGGACTCGTCCTGATCGGGAAACCCTTGTGGCCTGATTGGGTCTGTCGGCTTCTAGTTCTGGTCTTTCCATGTGGGTTTTGGGTAACGTGGATAAGGTGGACATGGTGAAGCCAGGCACTTCCGTTCATCCCGCATTCTGTGATTCTCAGACTTTAATTATCCTGTTTCTCCTCGTGAATCTCTTCATTTCAAATCTCTGTACCTTGCATTTTGTGACCGGTAAGAATTCCCCCTCCCTCCCCTTGCAGCCCCAATCTGACGAATCACTTCTAGTGTGGAGAAGTGGGTTCGATCTACGATATGTTAGTCTAAGCGACGAACACCTCCAGAGAACAAGCGCTATTAGGAGTACGATTAAAAAAGAAAAGAAAGACTCGTCAGATCATGAACGAGATTGAAAACTGGGAGCTGCCGGACAGCTATGTGCATGCATGTACGCCCCTGGATGCGAGGAGACCCATCAGATCTATCACGGGGTCATTATCACTCCATGATTGCCGCAAGTTACTTTCTGCGGATCCCGTCGATCATGCAAGTGGGAAATTGAAGCGAAAGACCGCGGCGTTGCATTTGAATAGCTCGCCTGCTCTTATTCCTTCTTCTGTCTCTATCTCCTCCGGCGCATCGACTCCTCCACTGTCGCCTTCCTACTCGCACAGTGTGATCTCAACCTGGAGTGAAGAGCCCGAAATCGGCAAAGCTCAGCCAGGTTAGTGGATTGATCACAGGGAATTTTGACTTTGGTTTATTTATTGACATCCCTACGCAGTTCACTTCCAGCCGCAATCCCCACGAGTGACGGTTGTCTCAGAGAACGGGACTCGTGTCCGGCCTAATAATAGGAAGCGATTGGTGAGTGGCCTGAAACACCATAACAAGGCAACGAGCTAACAAGAACAGAACACTTTTCGAGAGAAGCTTCAAAAGAACGCCCTGGCCCAGGCTGAAGCGAAAGCCAGAGATCAGCAAAAGTCAGACTCAATGCTGGCTCACACGCAGGCCGCTCCCACCGTCTCGCACGGTGGTGCCTGCTTTGAGATCTTGAATCCGCGCAAGTCGCTGGATCTTGCTCGGATCGTCTCATACATTGAAGATGTCGATGTACACGCCCCGTTCGACAACCGAGACTCGGCATTCTCTCTTGAGCAAGGACTCGACCGGGTGTCCCTGTCCCAGCTCACGGATGCTTCATTGCCATCCTTTTACTCTACCAACTCGCTATACGCTTCTATGCAACCGGATTGCTCTACCCCCAAACCCCAGGCAACGGATATCCCCTCGTCTTCGCCTGGGATCCGCGACCACGTCCGCTCTCTATCAGAATTCCCCTACAACCCACACTTCAGCCACTGGAGCCAATCTGTACAAGATGAGCCCGCCTCATACATCGACTTAATCCAAGATACAGACGCCGACACAGACAACGACACCAACGCCGACAACGACGACTACCAAACCCACCACTCAACCACATACACCGAAGGCTCAACAACCACCCCATCTTCAGAAACCAACCCACCAGCCCTCTCACACACAGAAACCGACTCCCGCCCCGTCTCCCCTTCCCAACAAACCTTCTCAGAAGAAAGCGAGATCGGCGAACCAGGCTCCCCAGTCTACGCCAACGGCGAATGGGCCCAAGTAAACGAGCGCGATAGAGGCATCTTCTACGAACTCGAACAAGATTTCAACACTCCACAAGAAACACCCCTGGCCACACCAATCAACTCCCCCCTCTACTCCCCCTTCGACTCAACCAACCCCTCGACCATGTCCGCATACCCGTACCCTAAGCCCCACCCCTTCACTCACACCAACCACTACTCAACACCCTCGACCCCAACCTCCTATTCACACCCTCCCTCCCCCTCAGACCCATACAGCTACGACCCCATCTACCTAGACCCGCACGTGCAGTCTGTCCTCGCAGCCGCCAATGCAGACACCATGGGGCTGAGGAGTGCGAGTGGATCCGCGCGCGCTCTGGAAGAACTGCAGCGCAGGACTGGGGAGCGGGATCGGGACTTGAGTCCCCGGTTTGAGTTTCAGAGACGGAAGAGCGATGAGCGGAAAACGTCTTTGTCGCAGAGGAAGGGGCTGAGGAAGTTCTTCAGTTGGAGGTCTGGGAATTAGATCGGCTTCTTTGCTGCTGGTGTTTGGGTTTTGTTGGATTTTATCGGATTCTGGGAATTCGATTACTTGGCTCTGGGAGTCTCTTGGTTCATTACTTGCGTTTTTGCGAATGCATGACTTATGAATGGGGGTTGGAGAGGGATATGGATATGGCGCAGATTGTTTGGATTGATGGACTGGACTGGACTCTTTTCCTTTGTTTTCTTCTTCTTCTTCTTCTTCTTCTTCTTCTTGTTTGTTGTTTCTACGAGACACTTTTTATTACTTCTTGCCCGAGTCTGAGACTCAGGTTGTATACATATATCACTTGCTCTCTTCCTTAAAAATATTACTTGCTTCATATATTTGACTCAACGTCCCTAAAGATTGATTCCATTCCAACAGAACTTGATCATCTTATGTGATCAGGTCTGGGCAATCCATGGATGTTTGCTCGCTGCTTACAAAAAAGACAATGCGCAGAAGTTGTACATATCTCTGGCATTAAGGTTATAATATATTCAATATCCAGAAAAAGAAAAGGGTATCACTCGACAAAGATATAAACAACATCCTCACTCCCTCTCAACCATAGAAGCCAAAGCAGCACTAACAAGGCTCTTGCGTCGAAGCCCATTATCACTCCTCTTTTTCCCAATCCCAGCATACCCACTCAAATGAGTCTTATCAACACGACTCGACAAAAGGGCCCCACAACTACTCTTCCTCCTAGCCCTCGCATCCGACGCCGTCTCCGGTCCAAACCTCGATCGGGCAAGCGTAACAGCCCTCCGCCGCGGCGACAATCGTGGCGGTAAATCACTCGGGTGGCAATCGTCTTCTTCACGCGATGGATCGCCACCTCCTACAGTCCCTTCCTCTGCTAATAGACTCCGCTGCATGGCTTCCACTTCAGATTGGTTACACTGTAACCTGGAAATCTGCTGCCGTTGCATCCTGATATCCTGACTCTGACTCTGGCTCTGACTCTGACCATGGCCCGGACCCGGGAGCGGGTGTGGGTGACTATCCAGCCCGAACTCGGGCAGATCGGACAGGAGATCCGGCGGCATAAATGTCGGACTTGGGTTTGACGACGCAGATGGCGATGAGAAGCCGTCTACACCAGAGTCATCTGAATGGTCTGTTTCCGGTGGAGTGAGGACGAGTCCGTGGCTGTAGCCGCCATACCGGGAGCGGGGCGTATATCGTCCGTCGTAGCCGTAGCCCCCACCACCCTGTCCTGGACCCTGAGCAAAGCGCTGATTGGGGGTTTGAAACGAGTAGCTGTCGCTAGTCGGCGTAGCGAGGGTATGCTCGTGCAATTTCTGAGTCAGTGTCGAGATGGACAGCCGCTTGTGGTCTGCGTCATAGGGGAAGGGGACGGAGGTGGGGGGTTGTTGGGAGCGGTGGAAGTGCGACGAGCGCGAGCGCGATATATTGCGGAAGCGGTGCGATTGCGGTGATGGGCAGCGGGAGGAAAGAGGCGAGATGAGGTTGCTGTCGCCGTCGACCATCAGGCGGTCGTCTGGGTCCAGGGCTAGTCGGGCAGGCCGTGAAGACGGTGATGTGAAAGAGAAGTTTTCAAACATGGTGGCTCTGAGTTGAAATAGCTGGACTTTCAGACGGATTGGTCTATGTGGTTGTTATAGAGTTGTCGAGGATCTGCGAATGAAGAACGGAGACCGGAGGCTGAGGCGGCTTGGTGCGGAGGGTGTCGAGGGTTTCGTGCCGGGCTAGAATGCACTGGTGCAAGGTATTGCGGGTGCTGGCAGGCCTGTTTCTCTATTTCTTAAACAAAGATCTCATGCAGATTATTTTGCCTCCGGCGAAAAAAAATCAAGTGTCGACCAGTGGTCGGGGAGGCAATTGCACGTGATCGGCACCAGACTGTGCCACATACTATAGTCTATCATCCTTTGTTTTGATCTTTCATGACTATGTTCTACTGATTTATTTTGAAATGATTGGGTTTGATCACAGAGAATCCTTTTTTAGGAATCCCCTAGCATATCCTGTAATCCCCATTTCTAGAGTGCATGTCGATCCCCTGAGTGGATCCCTAAGCCCTAGGTTGATCTGCATTCCAGGCGAGGCATGGGGTGAAATTAGTGTGAACTACTGGACCAATTGGCTGGATATTGAATTGAGGCTGAAACATATCATTCAATGTCTCGGTAATTTGTTTGATGGATTTATCTGACATGCAGGCTTCTGTTCTACCACGCTTCTGACTGCATGCACATTCAGCAGATATATCATCAGTTATATATCATAACGTCCAGCGTTGAACTATATCTAGTCAGTCCAATTTGACTCAAGATATGACATATCCTACAAAAGACTTCTTCTGGGGTTTCAGCGAAGTATCAAGACCAGGTTCTCTTTAATGCAATCGTCTTTAGAGCTTTCTGTAACGAGGAGCCAACGAATTCTATCATCATTGCCAACGACTGGAACTGATAATAATTACCCAAATGAATACTATTTAGGTGCCAATAATGGACCTGACTAGAGTTGGATAGGCAGATCAATCTCGCGTGACTGAGGAGGCCAGCACAGTAAATAAGACTAGATAGATCGGGTAATATGGTTAGAACTTCTTAGAGATACTTCTTTCATGATCCCAGGCCTGAATTGGACTTAGCACCAGGCTGTGCTAGGAAAGATCTCTTGCTTATCCTCGTGTCTCTATGTCAACGCTTGATTTACACATTTTTTCACACCACTTTCAAACTGTCTACCCTGGTCTTCAAAGAGCTCTCTCAAATCAGAGTATTGTCCAGTCCGAAATCTTTGAAACACGGGCCTAGCTACCAGCCCGCCAGTTGGTGGGTATCTTTTGAGGCAAACAGATCGTTAACTTACTCTTGATATTTTTCCATCTCCTTTAGATACTTGCATAGATCTAGAGACCTGTAGAGCTGATGGTCAGTCGTGATTGCACTATATATTAGATAGATTCGAGGCTAAGATATCCGTGCTGTTCGTCGATTTTGGTGGATTGCAGGTATTAGAAAATCCAAATATGCCTACTATCTATTTCTCTGTTCTTTGACACCTTAAAGTCACGTATACTATGGTTTCGGATACTGTTAGATGCCATGATTGATTGGCCAACGCCTTACAGTATTACCCAGGTCACACCCATTAATCACAATGACCAATAGTTTTTTTTCTAACGATGCCTATCAATACCTTGATCGTCACACAACGACAAATGTGACATAGGAACACAGTGCGGACCTTAATCAAGAGCTAAGTCCAGCATCATCGCAAATTGACTGTGCAATTCGACCAAGTAATCCACTTCGCAATTAAAATAAATCCTCAGGATTGCTCTTCTCGTTGGAATGGATAGTCCTTCCTTGTTTTTACAACCTACAGTCCGTTAGCATAGAGACTAATGTTGCCACTCATAAGTGAGCTTACTATCCTCAAAATTGATATCCTGAAATCACGGATCAATCCTCGAAACCGGTGCCTTAAGCACTGAACTGATTCCGACTCCACCAATCCATTCAAGATTTAAGTCAACACGACGATCGTTGAAAATGATGGAGTTCTCCAACACATAGCCTGTAGCTCTGTGATCTGCCGGTGCGGTCGAAAACACAGACTGAGGTTGTTGCTGCTGCACTTCCTGCTGTTGCTGTTGACTGAAGTCGACCACCACATTAGAACTACCAAGCTGGGTACTATCAAGCTTGGTATCATCAAGAGACAATCTTGAAAGTTCCTGAGCCAAAGCTTCTATATCAAGATCGACTTCACCAGAATTCTTCCGCTTGGTCTCTTCCCCACCGCTCGTGCCTCTACACGACATTGTGAGGCTCACAATCCGATCTCGATATGAGAAAACAAAAAGCCTCAACAGTGCACAAACTGTTGTCCTTCAGTCGGCGGGCAATGTCGAGAATTTCAGCAGTAAAGCCTGAAAACAAACAGACTCCTACCCTACGGAGGAGACCACGCAGACTTTATACATCACCATCTAGTAACGTGGCGTATCCAAGTACACTAAAGAATCAATGGCACATATGTGTGCTGATGTCAATCTGGCACAAAATGCCAAGAATTACTGCTTCTGGTAATTATACCAGACTCACAGGCTTTTGCCAAGAATCGCCTGATTAGTGGGCGGTCAGTTTCTGACCGCGCTCATACGAGCGGCAATACTGTACCGTTACCCGGTACTAACCCCTTCGGGTGCGCTAGCGCGCAATCCTCCTATCGTCGGGGGCCCCTCCACGTTACACGGTATCCCAATTTCTCCCAAAGGGGTAATAAAGTTGAGACTCAGGCTCAACTTTTTGGGGCAATGTTATATATGAAAGCGGGGCTTTCCTCCAAAAAGTTGATCCAATCATAGTGTCTGCAATAGCGAGGTGATCTAAACGTCTAACCGCGGCGACCTCAAGATCTGAGAGGATGACCTCAAGCTCCGGCCATCTTCTGCAGTGTTAGAGGAGCTGCTCAATAAACGATTCGATCAGCATGGTATCCGTTAAACGTTTAAAATACAAGATAGAAGGATACATCGCAAGTATATATTTGTGCCAAGAGACCAAAAAGGGTTAGCGGGTCAATAAGGTGCATCACGTGCATTGGAATGATCCACTCTCTATCATTAACTACGATGCGACAGAATATCGTTGGCTAGAGACGATAGTAGGTATCAGTAGAATTAACATGGAGCGTAGCCGGGAAGGCATTTTGCTTATTTGAAGCGGCTCATTAGGTCAAGCATCAAGAATCCTCACATGAGCATCTCTGCTATTTTCCTTTGCTTTACTCTGTCTTCTCACCTCACTCTGTCTTCTCACCTCACTCTGTCTTCTCACCTCACTTTGTCTTCTCACCACAGCTCTCCCCATCAAGATGCAATTCCTCAATCCTTCGACATGACTGAATCAGTCACTAAGGTCTCCGAGGATCCTGCACCTGCGATAAGTACTTCGAAGAAGAAGAAACAGAGTCTCAAAACACGCGAGGTATTCTGCGGCCAGGAGGAACGGGCTGTAAGTAAACCATATCCCATTTGATTCAATCCCTAGAAGATTGGATACTGAAGCTCATAGCTGTTGGTGCCCCAGCAGACCCAAGATGCAGTGCTAGCACCCAAAAAGAAGCGGGCCCGCAAGACCCCAGCAAGCAAAGCGCAAAGAAGAAAAATAGTACGTGAGATTGTTCTACTTAACATTGGACGGATGCTGATATTTTGGAAGAGGTTACTGCTAGTTCGACGGCTGACCAGCGTGTCGATGCGGCCACCGGTATTGCTGAGGGGAGCCCTTCGGAGTACGAGCTTGCGCCCTCGTTCAAACAACCTGATGAAGCCCATTGTACTAGTACTCCCACTCTCCCAGCATTGCCTGTTTCTGGAAGCTCTGATGCCGCTGTCATCCCTACTACACAGCCATCTATGGCCTTCACCACTCTAACCACCTCTGATTCCGTGATTGCTTCGGTTTCACCCACACTGGGTTCGCGCGATAACCACCCTTCAAATACGGTTGATGCCCTGTCTAGTCATTTGTCTGTCCGCGAGCCCCAGGAGTCTATTTTTTCGTCCGCAGACTATGAGTGGGAATCTCAACTACAGGATTGGAACCGGGATTTTGACGGCAAGATGAAGGAAAATCAAAATCAAGCACAGAGATAGACCTTGCAAACCCTGTCAATTGGAATACATTCATATTCTTACACTTCGGGCACAAGGCCTTCTTTTCAAGCCATCTTGGTCCATGTCAATCACGTGATAAACGAGGCCCTAGCTGGCGATCTTAATCTTGCCTAAGCTTCTGTTACGATCATTCTCCTGTTCATTTCTGTTCATTCCAGCTTATTGTAATATTGGAAGGAAATTATTATGAATAGTTACATTCTGAAGGGCTATGAAGCAAAACTCAGCATGTAGTTCCCGATAACACCGCTTGAGCCACTAGACGACTCCAAAATCAAAGGCACTATATTTACCCCAACCGCTAATCTCAAGACTCCAGAATCTGCATTAATCTGGAGTTCGCGAGCCAGAGACTATCATTGGAAATGAGGTCTTGGAAGTCAGTATGAACCAAAGTAAACTTGGATCAACGAGCCATATGAACAACTAGCCGACCTCGAAACAAAAGCATCAAACATGCGAGCAATGAAGATAGCAAATCGAGCAAGTCAAAGCCGGTTGGAGAAGTCGAAGAATTGCCGACGTTCCATGCGGGGTTGGAGTCGACTATCGCAGACTTGGCGGACCAAAGTCCGATGCTCTTATCAACGCTCTTCCCCTCTATAAAGGGCTCAGACTTGACAGCATGATGTGGCCTCGCAATTTACGCAGTAATATCCGACCTTGCATTCAGCTCCCGAACTCTGCCATTTTCCAGCCTATTCGCACTTTCTCTACATCAAAAGCTCAAGCTATGCTGACCACGGAGCTTTCCGAGGCGGAGGTCTCTGCCCTCAGAGCCAACAAAGAGAGACTAGCAGAAGACCTGCACCACTCCTGTCAATGGGGATATGGAATCAGATGGGGAGAGTAAGTGATTAAAAATTCTTGTTGGGATATGGCCGCTAATTAAGGCGGTTGATAGAGGTCCTACTGATACAGGTATGCAGCGTTTAGCGCTCTCGGAAGAAGACAAGAGTGTCCGCAACTGGTTCATCAAGACCATGCAAGATCTCAAATGTAATGTCACGGTGGATCAAATGGGAAACATCTTTGCTGTGCGCCCTGGCCGGAGAGCCGATGTACCTCCAACTTTCATCGGCAGCCACCTGGACACACAGCCCACTGGTGGACGGTACGATGGAATCTTGGGTGTTCTATCTGGAATTGAAACTCTCAAGACTATGAATGATATGGGCCTGGAAACAGAAGGTGGAGTTGGTGTGGTTAACTGGACCAAGTGAGATCCACACCAGCACATGTTCTTCAATCGGCGAGCTAACGATATTGCCACAGTGAGGAGGGAGCTCGATTCCCAATCAGTATGATTGCAAGTGGTGTGTGGGCTGAGAGTATTCCATTGGAGCAAGCGCATGCTCTCCAGGAGGTACCAACCGTTGCTTCGCTGCCGACAGCAGCATCTGCACCCGAGACCATGAAGAGCGCCTTGGAGAAGATCGACTTCCTAGGCGATGTTCCATGCTCATACAGGTCGACACCAATGGCAGCCCACTTTGAATTGCACATTGAACAAGGCCCACATCTTGTTTCTGCAGGTCAACGTGTGGGAGTGGTGACAGCTGTGCAGGCATACAAATGGTTCAGACTCAACGTTATCGGACGTGATACACACACCGGCACGACGGCATTTGAACACCGCGCAGATGCCCTATACGCATTTTCCCGTATGATGGTGCGAGCACGCGAGGTCGCAGCAGCCAAGGGCTGTCTAGCTAGCGTTGGTATCGTCGAGGCCAAGCCTGGTAGTGTAAACACAGTTCCTGGGTTGGTGAGCTTCAGTTTAGACATCCGTGGCCCCGAAACAGCACTTGTTAGCGAGGTTGAGAAAGAGCTGAGGTCCGACTTTGATGCTATCGCAGCAGCTGAGGGCGCTGGCATTGGCAAACCTTGCCGTGTTGAGTGGACTCTTGACTTCGATTCGCCAGCTGTCAAGTTCCACAAAGACTGTATCGACTGCGTGCAGCAGTCGGCACATGCAGTTGTTGCCGATGCGCCTGTTGCTGACACCAAATCGCTTGTGCGATCTATCATGAGCGGTGCTGGCCATGATAGTGTGTTCACCTCAAAGCGTGTTCCCACGAGTATGATTTTTATTCCTTGCAAGGATGGTCTGAGCCATCACCCCGAGGAATTCTCCACTGCTGAGGACTGTGCCACTGGAGCTTCTGTAATCTTGCAGGCTGTGGTTCGTTACGACCGGAAGAGGTTCATGTAGCTGGTTAAACCAACAGGATTGTATATAAGTTAGTTGGCTGCAAGATCAATATAACAACCGTAAAAGACATCAAGGATTTCAAAACTACGTAAAAAATCGACATAAAAGTAAGGCAGAGTTTGCCCTGGCAGGATCTACAATGAAAAGATATGGAATCAAAGATTTGTATTTTTATTTTGTTTCCTGTATCCCCAAGTCCCAGCAAAGCTGGGACGGGATCATGATGTACCGAGGATCAGTTCGTTTCAAGGAATCTTACTCCGAACCGAAACCGATCACACCAACAAGCCCCTAGGAAGACCGAGAAGTGGATGACAGGACACCAAGACCTCTTGTCTCAGCATTTACTGCTGGGGAGCAGCACCACGGCCACGGCCGAAGCCACCGCGGAAAGAGGGAGCGAACTCGCCGGGGGCACCGCCCTCCTTGCCACCCTCCTCGCGACGGCGGTAGCCGCCCTCACGGGGAGCACGGGGACGACGCTCACCGCGCTGCTCCTCACCGCCCATCATGCCGCGGGGGGGGAGCGTGGGAACGCTGCTGCTTGATGTGGGTGGCGGGGACAACCTCGGCGGGGAGGTGGAGCCACTCACGGAGGTAGTCCAGACCCTGATGTTCGATTAGTATGCTGTTTGGATTGTGTATCATGTTGGGATGGTTCGTACCTCGGGGGTGAGGGTGTAGTAGTAGTACTGCCACGAGAACTGGGTCTTGACATAGCCGCGGGAGTCCAGGGACTGGAGGGCCTTGATGACGAAGAGGTTCTTGGTGTCAATGTCACCGTGCTTGGGAAGGTTGTAGTCCTTCTTGGCCACGAGAACACCCTCTAAGAGGCAGGTTAGTAAATCCGTCCATGTGAATTGCGCGAGGCGTCGACGAGGGTTCTCGCTACATACCACGGAAGAGGTACTCGTGGATCTTCTTGCGGTCGTCCTTGGGGATAAGCCTGCGTCATTGTCAGTAAAAGGGTCCAAAATAAGCGCGATAGACATGTATACTCACATTGTCGCGAGTTCCTGTTGCAATTCGGGGAATCGCTTTGACAACGGCCGGAATAATGGTAGATTTAAATGATGGATTGAAAGTGGAGCTTCGCTGCGGAAAAGTGCGACCGGCCACTTCGAGCGCAGGGTTTGAGCCCTAACCAGAGTCTGGGTCGGGTCATGTGATAGGTCTTGCTGAGTCATCCATGGCTGAGCTCAATTTTCGGGTCATCACGTGGATCACGTAACTCACTTCGCCATCTTATCGCAACATCTCTGCGAGGCCTCAATCAGCTACGATAGCTTCGTTCTCATACCCAAATACCAAAATCTGCCGATCGAATCCTCAGAGCTCATTCAAGATGGCCTCTTCCAATATCAACGTCCTATTGACGTCTTTTCCGGGACTGTCTCTTCCATCGACCCTGTCATTTACGCTCCCCTCGACATCCAGTATCTTCGACTTGACAGAGAAAGTCGCCTCATACCTTCCATCATCGATCCCACTAGAGTCTCTTTCCATTACCACCACAAGCAACAAGCAAATCGCACCCTCAGAATCCGCGAAATCGATACTCTCTATCTGCGATGGCCTGTCTACTTCTACTCTCCTTCCCCTCCGTCTCACCGCACCAGTGCGAGGTGGTAAGGGTGGTTTCGGATCTCAGCTGCGTGCCGCAGGTGGCCGCATGTCCAGCAAGCGCAAGCGCAACCAAGGGGATAACAACAGCTCCAGCCGAAACTTGGACGGCCGTCGACTGCGCACCGTCAACGAGGCGAAGGCCCTCGCGGAATATCTTGCCGTGAAGCCAGATATGGATAAGAAGGAGAAAGAAGAACGCCAGAAAAGATGGCAGGCCGTCGTTGACATCGCGGAAAAGCGCCAAGAAGAATTAAAGAACGGCACTGGCAAGGCAAAGATCGATGGTCAGTGGATGGAAGATAAGGATGAAATGAACGAAAAGGCTCGCGAAGCAGTCTTGCAGGCCATGAAGGATGGCCAATGGACGGATAGCCTCCGCGACGCTATTCTCGGTGGATCCAGTACCAGTGCCAGTGAGGGCAGTGAGGACGATGGTTCATCCAGTTCTGAGGATGAGAGTGAAGGAAACGGCGAGTCCTCATCTGCTGCGGGCCCATCTGCGTCCCAAAAGGCAGCGCCCCGGAAGTTCATTGGATTCGATGATGACGATGACTTTATGAGCTCATCCGAAGACGAGGAGGCGGAAGTCACCAACAAGGGCAAAGGAAAGGCTCGTGCTTGAGCTTGTACATTAATATGTTTCATCTCACGGTTCATGACGGCGTTCATCTGCGATATCCTTTTGAAGTTTTCTAGCGCATCTGGTTTCCAACATTGTCAAATCGCTCCAGCATCCCACAATAGTAATGCAAAAATATTGCGATCAATTCCAAAATAGCGTATCGTCTGTCTGAAACAAATAAAAAAAGTAGTCGGGCATCATATACTTCTACGGCGACCGGAAAGTACCATGGACGCTATCGATAACACATTTCCCAAGAAAAAAAGCCCCGAGACTCCGCAAAGCTACACGCCCATCATGTCGCTCTGCTCCCGGGGCGCAATACTCAGAGGCCCGAGGCTGAATTTGCTACGCCTGACCTCGAAAGCGACCCCTCGATTGCGAACCCGTACGCTATTTTCCCGAGCTCCTGTCGCGCCGCAGCTCATCGTACCGAACCTTCGCAGCCAATGTTGCACCTTCTCAACCACACGGTACCAATCAGTGGAACCACCAGTTGATCCAGTGACTGAGGTCCTACCCGTATGCTGTCCAGGCTGCGGCGCATTCTCGCAAACGATTGAAGCAGACGAACCAGGATATTATAGTGCATCACGCAAACAGACACGGAAGCTACTGGCCGCAAGCAAGAAAACACCCGAACCTGATAACAATGACATTGTGGAGGGATATGAAAATGACAACATTCCCGATTCAGAACCTCCGCGTCCCATCGCAGGTAAGAAATCTGATCGAGTAGGTATACGACATTCGCTAATGAAACAAAAAGTTGGAGCCTTCCCAGATAACGCCATTGCACCCGCCGACGACTATCTTAACTCATCTAAACGCATCGTCCATATATGCGATCGTTGTCACGATTTGATACATCATAACAAAGCAGTTGCTTCGCCTAAACCAACAATCTTGTCGATACGAAACTACCTGGAAGAGTCACCCTATAAATGGAACCGTGTATATCACATCATTGATGCCGCCGATTTTCCTATGTCCCTCGTGCCACGGATTCACTGGGCATTGTCATTGCAGCAGCGTTCGCAGAACCGACGAGCCACACATGAGTCATATTTGCGTGGAAAGAGACTACCAACTATCTCGTTTATTATTACGCGCTCGGATCTTTTGGCAGCAACCAAGGAACAAGTTGACTCCAAGATGGAGTACATTCGCACAGAGCTTCGCGCAGCCCTGGGGAGGACCGGGAAAGATGCCCGCCTTGGTGGCGTGCATATGATTAGTGCACACCGTGGTTGGTGGACTAAAGACGTCAAGGAAGAGATTAGAGATCACGGTGGCGGCATCTGGGTTGTTGGCAAAGCCAATGTTGGAAAAAGTAGTTTCATCGAAGCTTGTTTCCCGAAGGATACAAAGAGTTTGGAGAAAATCGAGGAGTACATTGGAAGCCGTCGGGAGGAAGAGATTCCGAACAAACGGCAAGCCTCTCTGGATGATCCCAACAGTCTTCTACCCCCTGCTCCGGAAGAAGATTTGTATCCTGTCCTCCCAGTCGTTTCCTCACTGCCAGGTACTACTGTCTCGCCTATCCGCATTCCATTTGGTCGCGGAAGGGGCGAGGTTATTGACCTTCCGGGTCTCGAGCGTGGTCTGTTGGAAGACTACGTCAAAGATGAGCATAAGCGGGATCTGATCATGACCAAGCGGATCAAACCAGAGCGTTCCACCGTCAAACCAGGCCAGTCTCTCTTGCTTGGCGGTGGTCTCATTCGAATCACTCCCACTAACCCTCAAGACACGGTCATGGTCGCCAGCTTCCTACCTATCGAGTCCCACATCACCAATACACAGAAAGCAATCGAAATACAGGCAGAGGAGCGACCATACCGGGGAACCGTTCTCATGAAAGAAGGCACAGGCAGCACGATGGCTTCCGCTGGCAAATTTGATATCAAGTGGGATGTTACCAAGTCACACCTACCAACATCCCTCGCCAAGGCAGTTGCGGACAAGGGTATTCCAATTCCTTCATTGCCCTATCGAGTGATGTCGGCCGATATCCTCGTTGAAGGCTGTGGTTGGATCGAGCTGAGCATTCAAATTCGCAGCAAGCGTGATACTGAGTCGGACGAAGCATCCTATCCACAGATCGAAGTGTTCACCCCGAAAGGCAAACACATTGGAATCCGACGTCCGATGGAGTGTTGGCAATTCATTGCGGATAAGCAAAAAAAGGACAAGCGGAAACACCCACGCACACGCACCAGACACCAATGATCGGGCTCTTAATAGCCACATCCAAACATGTACACTATTCTATTCAGCATTGCGGCCAGGCGTTACTCCGCTCTATGTATATTCCATATAACGTTATAAGTTAATACTGACTTTGAGACTGACTCTCAATCTTCCGCATCATCTGCTCAGCCTCCCCTGCTGCCCTTCTCGCACTATCATCTAATCCCTCCATTTCAGCCATCTCTCCAAATCTCTCCCGCCAAAGGTGCCAGCGTTCCACGCAAAAGCCCTCTTTTCCTTCCCACAGTGTTCCACCTTTACCCTTGCGGCCAAAATTTTGATCCCACCCATACATCTCCACGCCAAGGAGTTCAATCCAGATCGCAGCAGCGGGAATCAGACCATTCAAGGGCCCTACTTTCTGACTTCCACCGTCCTCCAACGCCTCCCGTAAAGTCACCAGTGCAAACCACGAGTAGTCAAACACCGGTTCCTGGGTCGCCATCAAAAGCGCCGCCAACTTATCCCGGTTGATCATCTGCGCGATGGCCGAGACTCGTCGATCAGTGGGCTCAGTCGGTATAGATAGATTCCATTCCTCTCGAAATTGCCAACCTAGCATCGGGAGATCCTTCCAAACGCACATATCATACAGGCGAATCGGGTCTCCGTTGGGTGCCTTTGCGTCTGGGAGTTTGGACAGCTGTACCAGCGAATCGACCAGTTGAGGCTGGTGATCCGGGAATTCATATGCGCATTTGATGATGAAGGACCATAGAGAGGATACGTTGGATTCAAGATCTGTGCTTGATAGCTGGATTGAGGCCAAGGATTCAGCTGCATTCTGGGCAGATATCTTGTCGCTGAAGAGGTCTTTCAGAACGGCAAGCTCGGCTGTGTGCATATCATCGGTCGTCACGGACATTTTGAGTTGGTTGATTTGATTCAATGGAAGCAATTGTACTGTGAGGAAAGGTGTATCTTCACACTGAACTAGTCGGGTTTCAGTCCCTACCCCTCGGCTTAGTGCCCATGTGGCCTTTACTTGGTGATATCATTGGCGCGACTTAATCAGTTGGACACAAAGCAAGTTTTTTATATTCGGTTCTTCTCTGCAAACTTTCCAAAGCTTTTGAGGAGTGAAAATCAACATGTTTCAGGGCGTGCGAATTGCCTCATGTCCGCGAGAACGTTATATCGTGGAGTCGGGCAGACTCCAGCAACCGGACAATTCCACACCCGGAGCCAGAAACACAGAAAGAAAGCCGAAGCCGAACGAGTCCGTTGAACGCCGAAACACCCTGTTTTTCACGAAGACGATCACTGCCCACCGAGGCAAGTTTGTCGGGCTATGATGCCATACAAACCCCGAAATGGAAGGTGGGAAGAGGCCAAAGAGCTTCTCTCTCTCTCTTTCTCTTGGCAATGCTTCTGTGGAGAACCGCATTGGCATCATGCCGAATTCCCCGTGGAGTCCCGGACATGACGATGGGCCGATGTGTGGGGGTTTAGCCGAAGTTGGACCGAACTATTCCAAGTTTCCTGATATGGGGGCTCACATTCCATCTATGCCGATTCAGCAATACTGCTTGATTGCCCCAGAACAACGAGCAACATGCAATGGGCAAACAGAAATGACAAAAACACGCTTTTCGGCATATCGGCATACCGTACACTGCGTCGATCCGGCGACTTTCCGTATGCTGACTTCGGGGATTGTCAATACGGACTCCACTTGGGTATTCTTCCCTCGTTGCGAGGCCAAAGCCCTCCGCGAGTGGATCCATGAGTTCAACCGAGTCTCTTCCCGGGGAGTATGCGGGGTGGCATGTCCAAGGAATGCTCCTACTCAAGCTATAAAAGGGAGAGATCTTGCCATCCGGAAGATCCAGACGACATCTTGGCTTCGCTTGGCTGATTCAACCATCTTCTCTCTATATTTGACTTCATTATGTTGTCGCCACAAGCTCTTGTAGGAGCACTGCTGCTCTCAGCTGTGCCCTCGGCCCTGGCTGATACGTGCAAGGCACCCATTAACCACCCGGGAGAGCCTTATAGCTATGTTCAGCCTCGCAATACGACTATTCTGGCTGATGGTCACTCTCCAGCTGTGTTTCCTTCGCGTGAGTGATGCTTGTCCAATGATATATCGGTTTTTGAATCATGAAACCTTCAGCCGCTGACACTAGACAGCAAATATAACGGGCAATGGTGGCTGGGAAGCAGCTGTGGTAAAGGCCAAGAGATTCGTGAACAAGCTCACCCTTGAAGAAAAGTCCTGGATGGCAACGGGTCAGCCTGGTCCTTGTGTTGGAAATGTTCTTCCCATTCCGCGTCTCAACTTCACTGGTCTTTGTCTCCAGAATGGCCCTCAATGTGTCCAGCAAGGTGACTATTCCAGTATCTTTGTTAGTGGTGTCTCAGCTGCCGCAAGCTGGGATCGTCAATTGTTGTACGATAGAGGCAATGCCATGGCCAAGGAACACAAGGCCAAGGGCTCCCATGTCATCTTGGGACCTATTGGTGGACCACTGGGCCGCAGTCCCTATGATTCTCGCACCTGGGAAGGCTTTGCGGCAGACCCATACCTCACCGGTGTCTGCATGGAAGAGACGATCAACGGCATGCAAGACGCGGGTGTACAGGCCAACGCCAAGCACTTCATTGCCAACGAGCAAGAAACCCAACGAAACCCCTCTTATGCCCCGGATGCCAATGAGACCACCTACATCCAGGATTCCGTCTCGGCAAACATCAATGACCGTACTCTCCATGAGATCTACATGTGGCCCTTTGCGAATGCCGTCCGTGCTAAGGTGGCTAGCGCTATGTGCTCGTACAACCGTGTCAATGGCTCCCACTCGTGCCAGAACTCTTACCTTCTGAATCATCTTCTCAAGGGCGAGCTTGGCTTCCAGGGTTATGTCATGTCCGATTGGGGTGCTACCCACAGTGGCGTGGCTTCTGTTGAAAGCGGAATGGACATGACCATGCCCGGAGGTTTCACCCTCTATGGCGAGGAATGGACCGAAGGATCTTTCTTAGGCAAGAACCTGACCTCGGCCATTAAAAATGGCACCGTTGAAGTATCTCGTCTCAATGACATGATCGTACGCATCATGACCCCGTACTTTTGGCTGGGACAAGAAAAGAATTACCCCAGCGTTGATGCTTCGGTGGGCCCGCTCAACGTGGACTCGGCTCCTGATACATGGCTCTATGACTGGAAGTTCACCGGCGAGACCAACCGTGACGTTCGGGCTAACCACAGTGCTATGATCCGCGAGCACGGTGCATCCTCCACAGTCCTGCTCAAGAATGAACGCAATGCATTGCCCCTTCGCAAGCCTCGCAACATCGTGATTGCCGGTAACGATGCCGGCCCCCTCACCCAAGGTCCTAACCTCCAGGCCGACTTCGAATACGGTCACCTGGCAGGCTCTTCAGGCTCCGGCTCCTGTCGATTCTCATTCCTGTCAACTCCTCTTGACGCAATTAACGCCCGAGCCCGCAAGGACGGCTCTCTAGTCCAATCCTACTTGAACAACACTCTCCTCACCACAGAGACCTTAGAACCTCCATTATGGATTCCCCAACAGCCCGACGTCTGCCTTGTTTTCCTCAAGTCTTTCGCTGCTGAGGGTGAGGACCGGACTTCATTGGACCTCGATTGGAACGGAAATGCCGTTGTGGAAGCGGTCGCCAACGTCTGCAATAACACCGTTGTTGTCACAAACTCTGGTGGTATCAACGTGATGCCCTTCGCCGATCACCCTAATGTGACTGCTATTCTGGCTCAGCATTACGCCGGAGAGGAGTCTGGCAATGCCATCGCTGATGTCCTCTACGGTGATGTCAACCCATCTGGCAAGTTGCCATATGTTATTGCCTACAACGAGACAGACTACAATGCTCCTTTAACCACCGCCGTGGAGACCAACGGCACCTGGGATTGGCAGAGCTGGTTCGACGAGGAACTCGAAGTGGGATACCGTTACTTCGATGCCAACAATATCTCCGTCCGCTATGAGTTTGGTTTCGGTTTGAGTTATACCACCTTCGACCTGAAGAATCTCAAGGCCAAGAGCTCCGCCCCCTCTAATCTGACTGCTCTCCCTGCTAAGCAGGCTACCCAGCCAGGCGGTAACCCTGCCCTCTGGGAGACAGTCGTGACCCTCGAGGCGGAGGTCTCGAACTCCGGCGACATCGATGGCTTCGCTGTGCCGCAATTATATATTGAATTCCCTGCCTCGACACCGGCTGGCACCCCACCAAACCAGCTCCGTGGATTTGACAAGATCCACCTCACAGCTGGCGAGAAGAAGACTGTCACGTTTGACCTGATGCGTCGGGATCTCAGTTACTGGGATGTGACTGCTCAGGACTGGCGTATTCCTACCGGATCTTTCACTTTCAAGGCCGGGTTCAGTAGCCGCGACTTCCACGCGAAGAAATCTGCGACGCTGATCAAGGCATGATTTTGAGATGACTTGAAAGCAGTCTGGTATAAAAGCAATTTTTACTTTACGTTAGCAATGTCAAATTACGATTTTATTTTTCTTTTTCAAGACCGAACCACACGATATTTCATGACTGCAATAATGTGAAATGGATCACCAGTCAAATGCAATCTCTAGGATGCATATAGAGTACTTTCCGCGGACTTGGGTTTCCTCTGAGAACTCCCTCGCGGTAAGACCCACCCAGAACCAGGCGTGTGCTTAAGCTATTCCCAAGATAGTAAAGTGATGAAGACTCGTCGTGTCCATAAAACACGCTAACCCTCCACCTGGGCTGGATTCGGCTTGACTAATTCTGTCTAAGTAATAATCTTATACCTTTCTGTCCATACATCGGCAATTGACTAAACCAAACCCCACAAATGAATGCGTCGCTTAAGAATTAGCCCATCTTAGAGTCATTCCAGTATTTTCTCATTCGGCAGTCTAGTTTACAGTAGCAGATGGAATCAATAGAAGCTTTTTTCATACAATTACTGAAAACCCCACTGTACATTTTTGCTTCTTGTTCATCGAACACGTTATGCATAACTTAAGTTATAACTTGAGTTAGATAGTACTTTATGTAACTAGGGGTTGACATAGTAAGCGGAGGTACCCGTATTCATTTGGAACACGTTTTTATGTGCTGCTGAACGAGTGAATATTGTTCCTCGACTTCAAATTGCTTCGCATCTAATGCCATTTTAGTATTCAAGACTGGAAAATAAAATATTTCTGGAACGCTAACAAGCCGCTAATTCATTAGCGGCCTTATGTTGTTTGGGGGCTGTCTTTCGCGCAGCCTATAAATAAGCAGGCTCGTACAAATGACTCCTGAGTAATTCTAAATCTTCATACTTCTCCCACTAAACACACTCGTTTCCTTACGCTCGCTACCATGAAGATCGCATCTTTTGGGGTGTCTATCGCCCTGTTAGTTCCACGGGCCATAGCGGCTACGCCCACTACAACTACTGCCACACCAAGCTGTACAGCTTCCGTCATCACCAGTCTCTGCAGCTACCCAGAGCCTACCGAGTTTGCCGTCGCCATCGACAGTAGGGCATCTTGCTGGGACTACTGTAACGCCCACCCTCCCTGCAGCTTTGAAATCTTCGTTCCCGGCAACCCTACCCTAGGCGACGGCACCTGCTGGCTGTACCCAGGGCAAACCTTTGATGCGAGCAAAGGTAGCTCGAACTGCTCGGATCCCTACCTGACCGTCTACGCCGAGCCCGTATGTGCTGGCAGCAGCGCAACCACCACTTCCGGTGCCTGCGCCGCCACCCGCACTCCCTCTGCCATTGCCTCGGTCTGCGGGTACCCAGCGCCTGAAGACTGCTTTGACGATTGCATTGCCAGCACGGGTCCCTCGAACTGCCTGAGCGAATGTGCCAGTGCCGATGCCTGCAGCTATGCGGTCTTTAACCCGGCGGATACAAGCTCGCCGTATGGCGCGGGCAATTGCTGGGTCTTTCCTAATGGCACCTACAACGCTGCGTCTGCGACCACTTGTACTGGCGCTCCTAAGCAGTATGTGTATAAGAACCCGTGTCCCAAGTCCTCTTCTTCATCGTCGGCTACGGGACGCCCCAGTGCCACTGGAACTGCAGCCACTACTTCGGGCTTCACTACTAGCGCGGCTTCGGCCTCATCTACTAGCAGTAAGAACTCTGCGCCTACCGGCCCCTCGCTCGCTAATCCATTGGCTCTAGGCGCCGCTGCTTTAATGTGGCATGCCCTTTGATGATACCCTTGTTTGTATCGGTTGTTTGCTCGGCTGACCAAGCTACTGGAAAGGATATAGTATATAATGTTATTTATGAAAATTGCATGAGGTCACTTCTCTCCGTATATCCTCTATTATTGTAGAGGCTATGTGAGGTTTTATATAGTGACTTTGCATCAATATTTAAGGGTTCTGGAGAGCATTATTGCACTTTGCACTTGATTCATGTGTCTACGTAGAGGGCACCCTGATCCAGCTATAGTAGAAGAAAAGAGGCGGCGGTGAGGGCAAGATAGAGGGTAGGAAGAATAAAAAAGTGAGAGAAGGGGAAGAGCAGTGAAGACGGGTCTTTCATGTCGGAGATGGAAGGGAGGTAACGTGAAAGTATGTTAGGGCTAAATCCAAAAGGCAGACCCAACCGGATACAGTAATTCAGGTACAGGGCACGTAATACTTTCTATTTGGAATGAAGAGAAAGCCTGCTTGGAACGACAAACCTAAGGATTATAGACCAGAAGACGTGTGAATCAACAAATGCTTCATGCTTTATTTTTTTATATTCCAACATAAACTCATCAAACATGATTCTTAAACCAGCAAATGAAAAGAATTTTCGATAAACGACAAGATGTCATCTACTCAACATTGGTGAACAGGAATGTAGGCTGACCGGGGACGGCGTTCTCAGCGTTCAAACCCTCACGGGTCTCACCAGAGCCAACAACCTCACCAGTCTTGCCACCCTCGTTGACAGCGATGACCTCAATCTCTCTGAAGCCAGCAGTGCGAATGAGACCAACGGTCATCTCAGACAGAACAGACAACTCATCGAAGGGCAGCTTGCGGTCAAAGACAGTCTCGGGAGCCTCGCGGGTCTGAATCAGACGGCGCTTGAGAGTCTGGATGAAGGGCATGGCCTTCTTCATCTCGCCGAGCTTGCCGACCTTGGCGCTGAGCTCCTTGTCGTTGATGGAGATGTTCAGAGAGTCAAAGGCATCGCGAACAAGGTCGATGTACTTCTCCTGCCAGACGGGGTACTTCTTAGCAGCGTAGATAGTGAGCTTCTTGGGCTTGCGAGGGTCGAAGGCAGCAGCCTTGCCCTTGGAAAGCTTCTTGCCGAAGTTGGCCTCTGAGGACAGAATGTTGGACGCAATGCTGCGGACGTAGTTCTGAGCGGCGGTGAGCTCGGGGGAGGGCTCGGGCACAGTGGGGAACTGGGCAAAGTGAACCGACTCGGGCTGCATGGGGTTAGATTATGGAGGGAAAAAAAATACTCGGGTGAAATCACTGACCTTCTTGAGAACCTCGAGCCAGACGTGCTCAGACCAGTGAGGAGTGATAGGGGCCAGCATGAGGGTCTGCAGCTCAATGTAGCGCAGAATAGTTTCCTTGTGCATGGCAACACCAGCGGCATTGGAAGCTTCACGGTAGCTGTCACGGGCGCTGGTGAAGTCGTACAGGCCGGACTTCAGGGCAAGCTTGAAGTCGGTGCTAGATAAAAGTTAGATACCGGTATCAATGAAAGGTGATCGAGACTTACTCCTGGTAGTGCTTCTGGGTCTCGCGAACGAGGCTGTTAATCTCGTTGACGAAAATCTTGTCAGCGAAAGCATCGGCAGGGCCGGTACGAAGAGTCTCGTCCTTGGCAATCTCCTCGACCCAGTCCTTCAGGGTGTGCAGACGAAGAATGTTGCTGTTGGCAACAGACTCCTCGAAGTTAGCATCCTCAATGCTGTCACCAGCATCGGCGAATGCAATGCGGGTAGCATCAGCACCGAACTTGTCAACAGCATCCTTCAGAGTTAGGAAGTTTCCAGTACTCTTACTCATCTTCTCACCGTTGAGAAGCAGGTGACCGTTGGCACGGACACCACGAGGCCAGTACTCCTTGGGGAAGAGCGCAATGTGGATGTACAGGAAGAAGGTCAAGTGGTTCTGGATCAGATCCTTTCCGGAGACACGGACATCCAGAGGGTACCAGTATTCGAATTCACGGCGCATCTTCAGCAGAGCATCCTTGTTGATTCCGGTGCTGGAAACAAGCTCGTCGCTGATCTCACGTCTCGTGAAAATGTAGTCCCAGACCTCATCGGTCATCTGGTCGGCTGTGATGTTCAAGGAGCCAGTGGTCTTTCCGTAGCGGTCACCGTGAAGCAGATGAGCAATGGTGTAGTATGCCATGTAAACGGTACTGTCACTCAGACTCTCAACCAGGAACTGTTTGTCCCATGGCAGCTTGGATCCAAGACCGTAGGTACGAGCACAAGCCCAGCGGTTGAGCCAAGAAAGGTTCTTCTCGAAACCGTGCTTACACTCGTTAGAGTAGGTGTTGAGGTTGTTGACAACGTGGTTGAGGGTCTCCTGCTGCCACTCGGCGTCGTTCTCGCCGTAGTTCAGGAACCACTGGCCAAGGTAGGCGACAACACAGTCGTCGCCACTGCGGCTAACGACCTTGCCCATGGGATCGGCGAAGGGGAAAGCATCGCCGCTGTCGTAGAGAGCCTTGCGGACCTTCTCCTTGGCAGCGCTAACGGGCTCACCCTTGTACTCACCAACCAGCATGGTACCCTTGTAGAAGGCTTCCGAGTAGGCCAATTCCTTGGCCTTGGCAAGGGGAACGGTGTCCTTAGGAGAGTTGATCTTGAGTTCCTTTACTAGGGCAGGAGCAGTGAGGTTTCCGTAGGTGGGAGTGTCGATAAGAGGGTAAATCTCCAACTCAGCCCACTCCTTCTTGATACCATAGTAGTCGGCCTTCTTAGCCAAATCCATCAGGGTGGCGTAGTCGTCGGGGCTGTCGGAAGGCACAGAGGTGACAACACCAGTACCCTTGGAAGCAGAGACGCTGTCCATAGGCAAGATACGGATACCCTCGGTGTGGAACGAGAGAGGGGCGTTGACAAGAGTTCCAACGAAAGCGGAACCAGGTGCCTCCAGAACCTGGGGGAGCTCATCCTGGCTCTTGGGGAACTTGTCGCCGAAGAAGTGGCCCTGGAAGGCCATGTTCCAGGCACCGCGCTTGGTAACGACAACATACTCCTTCTCCTTGAGCTTGAAGAGACCGTAGTTGATCTTGGGGCCGAGGAAGCAGCTGTTCTGGCCGTACATGGTCTCGGGACGCAGAGTAGCGGGAACGAAGTAGACCTTAGCGTCGTCTTCAATCTTACCCTTCACAAGCTCCTCCATCTTGGGAGACCATTCCTTGACCTGAAGCTTCATGGCGGTGTACTCCTGGGGGCCAATGCCCTCACCTTCGGTACGATCGTGGTCCATGCAAGGCTGGCCGTCCTTGGGAGAGTAGATTGTGTAACGGTTACCGTACATAATCTTGCCGAGCTCGTGCAGGCGGTTCATCTGCCAGCGAACGAAAGCATCGTAATAGGGGTTAGCGTCAGTGGTGACGAATTGACGGCGCCAGTCGACGCGGGCACCCATGCTGTCAAGATCACGGATGGCAAGAGGGGGGAAGTGATCTAACCAGTGGCTAGCGTCGGCGAACTTGGAAATTTCGGTAATGGGAACACCAATGGCCAGCATGATCTGGAACTGGTACTTCATCTTGACGGTCTTAGCGGCGGCCTTGCTCTTCTTGCCGGAGAACTTCTCGGCCTCAGCCTTGACTTCTTGTGTAGGAGCTGGGGCGCTGCCCTCAGCCTCAGCATTCTCAGCCTCCTCGTCATATCTTTCAAAGTTCTGACCAAACTTCTTGACCTCGTTGGCGAGCTTATCGGCACAGGCCTTGATTGGCATACCAGTGCAGTGGAAACCCAGAGGGAACAGAGCACGCTTGCCCTCCATGCGAGCAAAACCAGCCATGAATTCAACCTTACTGGCAGTGAAACTGTGACCGGCGTGCAAGGTACCGTTCATGTAAGGGTAGGCCATAGTACCGAAGAACTTGGGGTACTTCTCACGGAGCTCGGCGGGGGTCATGGAGCCCTGGGGGGCTTCCTCGAACGAGGGCGCATCGACCTCGAAGACCTTGTTCTCCTTCCATTGCGCCTGGTACTTCTTCTCGATGGCGATCAAGGTGTCACGCTTTTCGGTCTGGTGGGTGGACAATCAATTAGCAAGAGAAATTCGATGGAGGGGGAGGGGCAGATCAACGTTTTCGAGTTTGAGGGTGTTCTTCGTGCTGTTGCTCGGATCGAGCGCAGCTGCGGAAGCAGCGGCAGCGGCCATGATTTCTGATACAGAATTGACCGGAATTGCCCTTGGATATCGGAGGGGAACAAAAGATGGCGGGGCGAGATATAAAATCGATGTTTGTTCGGTTTGTGAGTCAAGTATGGTATGGTAATGGCCAGCTCCACTGGTAATTTTGCACTTTGCAGTAAAAAGTACGAGACAGCATGATACCAAGGTGATGGCTGTCATGATACTGCGGAGGATAGATATAGCCAAATCTTACACCATATGACTAGATACTCTCAGGGTGTTCCCTCCGAGATATAGCATCATTCGTCTGTAGTATAAATTACCTCTATAGATCATGGCTCACGTGACACATCACGGAGCAACTTCTTCGCCGACCAGAGCATCCGCGATAAATTTACCCAATTATCAAACTCACATTTCGGGCCTATTTTCACCTGTCTGTCGGTATCAGCGTTGTCAATTGACCTCGCACTCTCACCTTGCTCCCTATCGCCAACACATAATTGCACAAGGGCCAGTCCCTGTGCGAAACAGCCTTGCACCATGGTCAACCTGATGAAGCGGCTCCGCAAGTTGCAAACTGTACGTCAAGCACATTAATCTTCAGCTTTGAATTGTTTTGGAATTGATCGACTGACATACATCTTCTTGCCAATAGAGAGTAAGCCCACCCTTGGTTCCTGATTGAGATATCCGACCCTTCGAGCTCCGAAGCCGAACGTCGGCCATCTCAAGAACTTTATCGAGGTATAAAGGATATACTAACCTTTTCCTTTCTTCCAGCTCCTTGACACAAGACTCGGTACCGGTGCTGCAATCTTCCCTACCATTGCCTCCGCATCAAAAGAATTCCCAGCCGTTACCCGACTTCACCTCACATATGCGCAAAGCATCCAAGGCGGCCACCAGGGCGCACGGCAGTTCTGGCGCAAGTGCCTCCCACGACTGAAGTATCACAACCCGGGTGTGCCGATGACAGTACGACAGACGACCGATCAACAAGGACCCGCCGCGTTGTCAATCTACTTTGCCCAGCAGGCCAGTGAGGCCGCTAAAGTCGTCGCAAACAAAAAGAGAATCGAAGACTCTCATGCACCCGCTGCCGAGACCAGCGAGGAAGCCATTGTTCTGGACATCAAAGATATTCCATACAAACAAATCTGGGAACGCGTGAGGGCGATTACCAATGCGCAGCAAGTTTCTGGCTCCGCGGAGGATCAGGAGCAGTTGAAGCGGTGGAAGGCTATCCAAGACAAGTCTGGCCAGGATAGGGACCGTGTGAACGCTCTTCGCCAGGCGAAGAAGGACCAGGAGCGCATGCTTGCCGTGGCTCGTGGTGAGGTGGACAAGGCTAAGCAAGTGTAAGATAGAGCAGTTTTGGTCTGGGTTTGTCTTTGGAGTCGAGTGATTGATCCTTCTGGTTTCTTCTTCATTTCGAGGAACCGGCTGTCTGTAGCATAGCATCTTTCTTTTCCTACAACTATGTATTTCTTGAGAATATTTATAATGCGCTCATCGCATCTTCTTCCTACCCCAGGAACGCTTAGATTGAGCTTAATTAAGTAACAATATAAGTAAAATATAGATAAATACTCCCGTGATAGCAACGCTAGATATGCTTGGTTAGACGCTCGGGCAATAGAAGTTTTGGAGAAAGAAATCACTCCACGCAAAGCTATGAAAAGGATATCTGGGAAAAAGACAAATGACGGATTTTTGAATTACATGACCTAGACCGCAGTTAGTATGAAGACAAATCTGCAAACTCAGCAAAAACATACCTCAGCAATAGATTGTCGCTCAATAATTGACTTCTGTCTCTCATTGCGTGAAACCCGGTAGTAATAGTCACTAAAGTCACCACATTGCATATGACGCAGGAATTCCTCGTCGTGGGTAATGACGATCAATTGGAAATTAGCCTGCTGCTGGCGAGTACGAATAATATCATGCAGAGACTCAGCCAGAGAGCGGATATTGTCTCGATCCAGATTTGTGGTGGGTTCATCGAGAGCGATAAGACCACAATTGACGCCGAAACACTCAGCAAGGGCAAGACGGATGATGATACTAGCCAGAACTTTTTGGCCTGCACTGCAACGACCTCGCATATCCATCTCTGCGCCTGACTTAACCATACACACGCGGTAGTTGTAGGATCGGTTGCCCTTAGCGTTCTCGTTGTCGGACCGAATGAGGATTGTGTCAACATCCGTTCCGCGATAGGTCTTCTGCCACAGCTCGCCAACGATGGCGTTAATTTCTTCCATCTTCAACCCGTGGTAGCGCATAATTGCTTTATCAAGGGCCCCGCCATACCGAGCCAGATCTTCGACTGCAGCTTTGGTGGTTTCGACCTTGATGTGTGACTCCTTGTATTTAGAAGCCGCATCCTTGTAGTCTGTGTTCCAGTCGGCCAGTAGTTGCATCAATTGGTCGTCCTTGGACTTCATTTCACCCATTTTGCTCGCCTGTTTAGCAGCCAGGGCATTGTGCTCGCGAGTCCAGCGCTCCGACTCTTGCTTGAAACGGCCACGATCGACTTCGGCATTCTGTGCCTCTAGTTGCTCAACCTCTTCCAAGACTGTGTCTAGAGATCGAGTGGCTTGGCGATATGTCAAATTGTCCGAGTATTGCCGCTTTGTGTTCTCACTATCCTTGAGTTGAGTCGAAATTTTGTTGATATGCTTTGTAATCTCGCTTTGTTTAGACTCAAGCTGACCGATCTCTGCTTCGATCGTGTCAAGCTCTTGCTTGCTTTGTTCAAGCTGATTCGGACCTCCTCGTTCATTGTACGAGTTGATGTCATCATTGGCGAGGTCAAGTTGATGAATGTTCTCAGACAGGCGAGTGATTTCATGCTGCAGATCCCGTTCACGATCGTCGGCCCGTTGGGTAATATCATCATAACGGGCTTGAGCTTGGAGCAATTCTGGTGTAAGGGCTTCGATATCTCGATCTGCCTTTTCGATTGCTTCTCGCTGTTGGGTGTTGAGCCTCTTGTACTCCTCCATCCGAAGAGTGAGGTCAGCCTTCTTTTCGAGTTGGAATTTGGCATTGTCCAAGTTGCTCTTCGCGTCTCTGAACTCAAGCTCCAGCTGATTGATTTCAGAACGGGTCTGGTCCTTCTCATTCGTTGCCTTAGCTAGAACCTTTTTCAACTCCCGGGACCTTTCACCGATCGCGGCAATCTCATCTTGGATGTCCTGCAGGGTGCGGGCACTGGCTGTATCTTGCTGTTTAGAGGAAAGCTCTTGGATTTGAAGCTTGATGGTTTTTATCTCAGCGTCATAACGGGCAATGGTATTGACGGTCTTTGCAAGTCCTTCAACCTCACGCTTTGTTTCCGTCTTCGCACTGACCGTTCCATCATGGGCTTCCAGTTTATCCATGAGTTGATCACGTTGCGCTTCGCATGCCTGCTCTTCCTTTTCCAATTCTGGAATGTCCGTCTCTGACAGACGAACCCAGGTATCGTAGGATGCACTGGCACTGCGAGCAGTCTCAAGGTCTTCTTCTAGACTCTTCAAAGTCTCATCCTCGGCATCGAGACCAGCCTTCTTCACCAAAGCCTCAAGCTTCCTGGTGAATGTTTGGAGTTCGTTTTCATTCTTGAATGACCGCTGGCATGTCCGGCACAACTTAGTCCGCTTAGCAGCGTCAAGACATTTGGTGAGATACTCTCCCATTCCAGCATATTGATCAGCATCCTTGCGAGCAAGGTCATATTGTGCTTGTCGTTCTTGAACAATTTCAGGGTACTCGGATGGTTCAGCATCAACTGCTTCGTGTAGTTCCTTGACGCATTCATCAAGTTCCTTCTGGCGTTGCTTAATGGTTTTCTTAGCGGTTTTAAGTTTGAACTCGACATGCTCGAGTTCTCTACTGACGCCGTCACGGTCTCGTTCAGCATCGGACACCTGTTTTGATTCGGTATCAAGGGCTTGTTGGAACCCACGCTCCAGTGTCTCTGGCTGCCAGTCTACGCCAATGACCTTCTGAAGGCGATCGCCATGAGCACCTTTCATCGTCTGTAGACTGCGTTCTCGGTCCTTGGATTCTTTCTTGAGGTGGTCCAAGCGAGCCAATTCACCAGCCATCTTCGTCGACTCAATCAACTCGGCATTCAACCTGGAACTTTCATCTTCGAGACGACGGATTTCCGTGTTAGTATCCTGAATTTCTTGGTCCCAGGAAGCATTGTTGGCTCTCTCTTTTGCTTTCTCTAGGTTCGAGGTAATATCTTCAACATTCGACTCAAGAGTAGCCTGGAAGCCCTCATCAACCTCAATGGCATTGAGTTTTCCTTGGTAATTGGAAGCTTCCTTGTCATTGGCCGTAATCTGACGTTTAGATGAGTTCTTGCTCTCCTGGAGTGCAGACTTGCGTTGCCCGATCTCATTCAAGATATCTTGGATCTCGCGCAGCTCCTTCTGCGCTTCACGCTTGACGCGATCGAGCGACTGGTTTTGCTCCCGTAGAAGGCGTTTGATCTTTTGCATAAAGGCATCAATTTCGGCTTGATCCATTGTTTCGTCGATGCCTCGAATGTTGTTCCCACGACCAATATCGTTGATCATATTCTGACGTCTTTGAACCTGACGCTCGAAATTGGCTTTGTCATTCTCGAATTTTCCGTATTCGGCCTGCTTCAGACCCAGCCGGTGTCGAGTCTGCTCGATGCGTTCCTTGATCTCCATGTAATTTTCCTTCTCGGCCTCCTCTTGCTGCTGGTATTGAATCTGCTTCATCTCAAATTGCTCCAAAGTAGATTCCAGCCATTCGTCAGACTCCTCAAGCTCAACAAGATGCCTCTTAAGGTTGTCAATAGTAGTTTTTACACTCTTGACTTCGATCCGCTTTCCCTCAAGAGCACCAAGAACCTGCGCATAACTTTCTGATTGTGTCCAGGCCTTATCGGCAAGTTCAGCAACCCGTCTCATCTCCTTCGACATCTGCTGGGTTTCCTCGCGCAGGGCTTCAATCTCATCTTGAAGCTTGACGGATCGTTTTTCGGCACGGTCTGCCTTGTCTTTGTCCTCCTTTGAATGCTGTTCCATAATCTTGTACTTTCCAAGCTCCTCGTTCTGCTTTTTTCGCAAAGCTTTGATGTTATCAATGGCCTTGGTGTACTTCATAGCCTCGAATATCTCGTCGAAGCGCTTTTTCAACACGGAAGGTTCACTCATGGGCCATAAACTTTCATCTTGGTGGCAGAAAATGACCGAATCCAATACGGCCTTCGACACACCCAGATACTGTGGCATAATTTGATCGAGTTCAGCTACCCGTGATGAGATAGCGGTACGCTCACCATTCTTCACCATGAGCAACTGTCCTTCCAACGTTTTCTGTTGCCGGGTTGTCTTCTTCACTGTGAGCTGCAGACTGCGCGTGGCAACCATTTTAGCCCCGGAAGTGCTTTTGAACGAGAGCTTCACTTGGGCTAGAACCTCTTTCTCACCGCATAGCTTCGGATCGTGGATAAAAGCACCACCTTTGCTATTTGGCGGAAGATCACCTGTCGTAGCATATTTAAGACACTCAATGATGGTCTATATCAAACATTAGCACACCATCGTGGGGTCTGAGCTAGTTGTCTAGAGCTTTCAGCGTGACCGCTTGGTGGCCTCGTACCGTCTTTCCTGAACCATTGTACCCGACAATCAACGTGAGAGGGGTATGAAATTGAATTGTCTCGCTGCGCGTATTATCGAAGGAGCGAACTCTAGAACATGATTCTTTTGATTAGCATTTGCAATAGTCCTCCGCGGAAGTTGCACGCGGATCATAAGCGTTGAGACGTACCCCAGGATCGATAGCTTATCGATCTTCGCTGCGACATGTTAGTTGACCGTTGGGACTTTTGTTCATGCCGAGAATGCAAATGGTTGCACTTACACCTGGAAGCGAGTTAGCCATCGCGACACGGGCTCGGGGAACGATCCGCACATTACATTTTGAGTGGAGAGCTGCGGTAGGTGCGGTGACGCCCGTTAACTCAGTCCCAGAAAGGAAGTTGACATCCACTAGCGAACTGATGAGAGAGAAGAGAGTGAAAGTGCTCAGATCGCCTGGCCCGTTTGTGATGGATCACATAGTCCCGCGTTGAGGCAACACGAAGTCACGTGGAGGGTCCGAATGAGAGTTCCACTGGGATCAGCGGCGTCAACCGAGGCCAGTTTCCTGAACTTTTGTCCTTTTGTCCTTTAGTCCTTTTGCTCTTGTGGACAAGATCCAGGCTGGCAATGCGTATGCGTTGACACCCCCTGACCCCTTGAATTCCAGTCTTTTGTACTGGATCATGGTCATTCCCACTCCCTCTCCCGCTCTATAAACATATCTCCGAACACCTCTTGAGGGAATGCGATTTCTCTTTATGACTATCACCGAATACGCGCATCACGAAGTACGATCACCAGTTCTACTTGACCCGATATGGCTCTAAGTCGCCCACAACCATATGAGAGCAGGCCCGCTCCTGCACAAGTCTACTCCGCTCCGAATGAGGGACCTCCGATTTACGCAATGGATCAGCAAAATATGCCCGTCTCCTATGGTGGAAACTATGGAATGCAAGGTCCCCAGTATGGTGGTAACCAAGCACGAAACGAACCAGGATGGACAGAGCGAGTTCTCGATGAGATGAAGGACATGCTTCTTCTCCTTACCCCACAGGGTCGGATCTCCTATGCCAGTCCATCGTGCAAGAATATTACCGGCCGTGCCCCAACACAACTTGAGGGAAGCCTCTTAACACGGTTCATCCACGAGGACGACCAGGCAATCTTCCAGAAAGATATGGATGATGCTGTCGACTCGAACCAGTCATTCCGCACCCATTTACGATTCCAAAAGACAAACAGCACATACTGCCTCATAGAGGCATGCGGACACCCACATATTGCCAACCAAGGCGAGCGCCAGACTGGAAGAACATCACCTACCGCGGCGCGCTGCACGGGCTTCTTCTTAATGTGCCGACCGTACCCCAACAAGATCTCGCAACTCCTCGACTCTTTCCTGGAACACAAGATTGAAAATGCGCGTCTGATTCAACAGATTGCCCAGTTGAAGAAAGAAGAAGACGAAGAGGCGAGCACGAGTCGACCTCCCCCGCAGACGCAGGATCCAGCCCAGATATCCGAATCTCACAGTCAAACATCGGCACATGAAGGCGGATCCAGCGACCAGGAATCCACAGACACCGTCGCCCAGACATCCGATGACTCTGATGCAAACCCATCAGTCGAGTACTACCCAGAGAACAACCACAGCGAGTACCCTTCGCACATTGACGGTATCGAAGTCATGACAGGTCTTTACTACGGCGAAGGCGAGAGGTCCCAAGGTTTGAGTACAGGAACCAGTCGCGGTCGTCTCGTCCACTGTGATATCGATATAACAACCGCAGCGGACCAGGAGCGCAACGCACAGGAAGGCGACCGCCGCAAGCGACTCAAAAGCCAGCATGTCTGCGGTGATTGCGGAACGGCTGATTCGCCAGAATGGAGAAAAGGGCCCAATGGGCCTAAGACTCTATGTAATGCCTGTGGCTGTAAGTTCCCACCGCTTGTTGACTCGCTTTACCTATCCACTCTTGGCGCACAAGCTAATCCTGTCATCTTTTAGTGCGTTGGTCCAAGAAGGAAAAGAAACGTCAGGAGTCGACTTGATCCTTTTGTGTGCTTCTCTTATGCTTCTTTCTTTGCTAGCGCTCGTATTTTGGGGTAAGGGCTTCTAGGTTGAGTTTTTGATTTTAAAGCCCCATGAACATCTGCATGGGTGATGATTTATGCCCTATGGTTCTAAGCTTTCTTTGGTTCAATGTAAATAGTTGATCTTTTTTTTGGGCTGTAATCTACCTTGCGCATGCTCTACATGAACATGCAACATTATTTTCTTTGATACCTGAAATGACTTGATTTATGGGGAATTAAACGATTCTCGACCGTGCATATAGTCGGTGTAACTTAGAGCCCAACGCCAAAGATGAGGGTAATATGTACTTAGTACTGAGTACTGACTGTACTTGCAGGGGGGGGATTTTGTGTGAGAACAAACGTATCGGCCCGAATCCATAAGATGTCGGAATGAGCCTGGAAAAAATATGAGTGGAAAGGAAATTCAACCCGCTGAACACCGTTCTGCTCCTCAATGAACGCGACATGAGGAGTGACAAAAAATGGTATCACAAAAAGCAACAAACGATTCCTCGCACACCAATCAAGTCTTAGCCTTCTTCGGTGGAGGTGGGAAATACATCGGTGAACCGACCTGACTCTCCGGGCTCACTGCCTGCGACTGTAGGGGCGGCGATGGATATTGGTCGTGGGACTGAGAATTGTTTCGCAGGGGCAAGTCTGAGGAAGTGCTTCCATTCCCAAGACGGTTGAAAGCCAGATGGCGCGGAGCAAATGGCGAGATGTTTCCTCCGACCGCCATTGGCGGGATACCAGGGGTGCGAGGGACCATGCCTGGGCCTCGGGGCATGGAGCCCGGAGTCATGGGGATCATGCTTGGAGACTTCATGATCTCTTCTTCGAACTCCTTTTCGATTCGGCGCTCCTCCCTGCGTTCCAGAACCTCCTCACGTTCCTCGCGTGTGATGAAGCACGAATGAATATTGAAGCCGAGGATCACGCAGTAGTAAATACTGTGAGTATGTTAACGGATTGTGTCTTCACAAAATCAAGGGGAGGAGGTCTACGAACATGATGATGACCGTAATGGCGAACAGCGCTTTCGCTTGCATACAGTATGGGATATTGGATTTATGAGCGGCCACACTGCAACTCTTCGCAATGTACCATGGCGCTCCTGGTTGGGGGTGACTTGGATCCGACATGTCAGAGCCACCTTGGAACCGAGCTGCCACGATGTAGAGGACGATGAGGGACAGATGGATGCCAGTTGCGACAGGAGGGTAGAGTAGGTTCATCCAGTGGACAGGCAGCTTAACGATCAGGAAGAATGTGCTTAGCACTCCGAGGACAAGGTTGTAGTTGGTAATGCTGCTTTCAGTTAGTTTGCCTTTTTGATATGGGAATATTGGACAACCTACAATCCAGACCATACCATCGGGGTGGTGTATGGCCTATAATTTGATGCTGCGTAGAGCGCCTCGTTTGGAGCGCTGTTGAACCCATTGTCTGCACCGTCTTGCCATAGTAATGTCCGGTATAGATTATGTGAAGCAATACCAGTCAAAGTGAGCATGACAATAGTGATCGGAAACTCGGCCAGCATCAAATAAAGAGTGATCTTATGATGCTTATGCTTCTTAGGGAAAAAGAACGGCATTGTGGCGGTAGATGCGGTGCGCTGAGGTAGCTGATACTGAAAACTGAGGATGACCGTTCAGTCGAAGCGCCGGGGGATTAAAGAGGTGTACAATACAACTCTGCCAGACCGGCTGGCATAGGCGCAGGAGAGCAGATGCTTGAACTTGGGGAGTTTCAAAGAGTCAGAAAAGCACAAGTCTGGGCAATCCGGACGACGAGCGTTAGATATGAGCTCCAGGCCGAGTGGCAGGCTCCATGGCAATGCAGAGAGGGGCACGAATCAGCATGGGACATGCATGGCAGCTCATGTGTGTTTGAGAGTTGCATTTGACCAATGCTTGAGGGCGGCAAAGCGCCGCAAGTCGTAACCCAGGGTCATCACACCAATAAAATGGCCAGGATCGAGGGTTGGCTGCCGGTCACACACTAGGTGTGATGGGGTTGGCAGATCTGCACCATAGCCATCACAGAACTCACTCGTTCGTCCTGCTCTTGGCGCTTTGGCTGGAAACTTGCAGCTTTTAGCGCCTGGCGAAATGCTGAATTGATGGATGTCGCTGTGACTGGGTTTGCAGAGTACATATACCCATGTTGATTCCCATGTTGGATCCCATCACAAAGAGGAGAAATCGAGTTATTTTACAGCACTAAGTCATATTCTCCAGGGTCGTACTTTGTCCAGTTGCCGAGTCGAGCGAACCGTAAGTTGATGGTTGTAAAGAGGAAGTCGTAGAGAGGAAGTCATGGTCATGTGGTCGGGAGTCAACTACAGCAAAGATCACTGCTTCAATTGTTCAGACTACAACTGCTTCTTCAACGTGAATTGATCTCCAACTCACTCAAATCCAACCTCGTAGCGTCTTTATCTGATGAAGTGCTTCCGCCTCTACTCGTCCATCCCTCGGCTACCCATCACATCCCCGTTCATCACGCGGGCTAACCAACTACGGTCGATGTCCAGGGCCAGCAGCCAAATGAGTTCCCAAAAAGAGGATTCAATTCCCCATGAGCTCCGCACAGCTGCAGAACCCCGGCAGAACAGACTCCATCGTGTGCGGCTATCGCATGTCGAGCAGGTCAATCCCTCTGTGCGACTGCTGCAGTTGGCCCTGCCCACCCAAGAGAATAATGTATGATACTCTTCTCAATACTCTTGATACTTTGGAGTACAGTATTCCTTGAAAATAGTCTCTGGATCTACTGCACCTACCGCCACACCAGTAACCAGATATCGAGCCCGGCTACCATCCGGTTGGATGTCCCCATGCCATCGGAGCATATGCTCCGCGGCTACGGATTCCAATATCCCTCAACCTACACATTCCCTCTAAATGTTTATGACTAACAAATCTACAGAATAGTAACCAGCATGCATTCAGTTTCCTTCCAGGACAATGGCTAGATGTTCATATCCCCTCCATCCCCAAAGCGGGTGGGTTCACCATCACCTCCACCCCAGCAGATGCACAAGTACTGCCATCACCCGAGGCATCCGCAGTCTCGCAGACTGGGGAACCCCTGGCCTCTTTTATTGATATCCAAGGCCGGTTACCGTACGTGGAATTAGCCGTGCAAGACTCGCCAGGGAATCCAGCCGCTGCATGGCTATGGAGACCCAAAGAAGATATACTAGGCAAAGAGCTGAGTATCCGTGTAGGCGGGAGCTTCACCTGGCCGCCTACCGGGGTAGATAGCAAAGATGTGAAAAATGCTGTCTTTATTGCCGGGGGCGTTGGTATCAAGTAAGTGGCTGTCTTTCCTGAGCCTATCACATCTACTGGACAGTACAATCATTTCATTCCAACGAAGACTAACAAATCCCAGTCCACTAATCTCCATCATATCCCACCTAAACAATAACGACCCAAACACGACATTGCCACATAAACTTCATATCCTTTACTCAACGCGACTACCAAAAGGCCATGGTGACCTCTCACTGGAGGAAAAACTCGAGCAGATTCTTTTCCTGCCTCGATTACGGCAGATCATGCTGTCCCAACTACAATCCCGGCGAACCGAAATCCACTTACATCTCTTTTTGACCGGCCTATCTGTGGAATCGGACTGGTCTGAGCTTCATGAGGCAGGTCTTTCTATTAATAGGGGGCGGATCAGCGAGTCTTATTTGCATGATGTGGTAGTTAATTCGAGTGAGGCGAAAGATTTGGGAGATACAGTATGCTACGTTTGTGGGCCACCTGCTATGACCGATTCAATAGTCGAGGTATTGGGCGGCATGCTTGGGGAGGGAAGGGAGAAGAGGATTTTCTTTGAGAAATGGTGGTGATAGAATAGTTGCTGAACGCAGTCTGACCACATATCCAAAAGCATTTCTACGACAGTTTTGAGTTGAGATATGAGCATATGAGAAATGCTTGAGTATTCAATTAAGGAAACTCCCCCAAGACGCCGACCTGTTGCAGGCAAGGCGCAGAAAGAAAGATATATATACAGTTAGATGAAGAAAAAGCCGCTGCTGCCAACGGAAATGACAGTATGTGAGAAGAGCAAAGTACAGTGATACTTGCATCCCAATGGAGTATGGAGAAAAAGGGAAAAAAGGAGTCGAAGTCGGACTTTGTTAGGAAGCTTCACTCGGGCTGTTGACAGTGCCGCCATCCACGATCATCATCTCGTCAATCTTGGCTTCGGTCTGGCCCCATTCAAGGCGCTTATATGTGGAGACTCGCCCGGGGCCCATGTCGAAGTCGAAGAATCGTACGCGGCGGACGAAGTCATCGTAGCCTCCGTACCCGCCCATACCGACGCCGCCACCGTAGCACATCCAGAGCGAGGGCTTTTCGTTAGCGTCCTGCTCGAGCATGCAATAATCGTTGACATGGTCACTAGTGAGAAATTAGCTTTGCGAGAACAGAAGTTGGGTATAAAGCATCTTACTGTCCACAGCTGACGAACAAGACACCTTCTTCTTCGAGAGCGTCTTTGAAGCCAGAGTTGAACCCCGGTGCGGTCGGGGCTTCCATCCAAGCACCCTTGAAATATTTTCCTGCAGTACGATACTCAGGAAGCGGGATGTGGATGAATGCCACATTCATGTGGATATGCGAGTATTCGAGATGTTTTCTTCTAAGACTCTGTGCAGTGTTCTTGAACCACCGCGTTTGGCTTGGCTTGATCCAGTCATAGCCACGGAACTGACGTTCGTCAGGGGAGTAAGAGTGTGTGTCAAGGAGATAGAAGGTGAGAGCAGAATGGGTGCTCTTGCCCCGGTCGAGGATTTCGACGATGTAATTTCCGACTCCGTCGATGTCTTCGGGGCCGGCGGCTGAAAGCGAATAGGGAAGTTCTTCATATATGGTCATGAGTTGTGCGCGGGTCAAGTCGCCCTCGTCGTCATGGTTTCCAAAGATAGCTGCGTAGGGAATTTTGCGGTCGACCAAAAGCTTCACGGATTTGAAAAGAGCGCTTTGTGCATCGGGGGCGGTTTCGCCGTTGACCTGGTCACCGGAGAAAACGACCATGTCAGGCTTCTCTTCGTCGAGAAGTCGCTCAACAAACTCCAAGGTTCGAGGATCGGCTTCACATTTCTGACCAGGGACCAATTCCGCTGGAACAGGGTCACGGCATAGGCCAAGACCGGTGCTCAAGTGAAGATCTGCCAGCTGCATCACCTTGAACTTTCCGTTCTCGTTGATTCTGGGGGTCGGTCTCTTGGGTTTGGTCGGGTGGCCTCTTCGAATGCTCAGGCGGGTCTCCAGCTGCTCCGTCCGACTATCCAGAAGAATGGGAGTGTCTTTGACTTCCCAATTTGGACGAGGGTCGACAGCATCTGCACCATAGAGAACATCGACATATGTGACAGCACTTTCAGAGTCACTGGCATGACGGGAAGACGAGCGCCTAAGCCAGAGGCCGCCCGGTCGGGGCTCCCAAGCCCCAATGTCTGCTTCTTGTTTCGCAACATAGTCGGATGGCGGCGTCATACGGCTGATCTTCAAGTCGACGACCACCTTGTCATCAGGACCGAGTTCCTCCTCCTTCTTTCGCCTGAATTGGACGTAGGCGCTCGAGGTCCAGCCCGTGCGCAGGTAAAGATCTTTGTCGATGCGATACCAGTGATCTGGATCCAGTTTACAACTGGAGAAAGGATTGATTGAGTTACATGTGGTGACGGTTACGTCGGTGATCACGTAGCCAGAGTAATGCGACGGGAGGTGGCCGTGAATAGAGGAAGGAAGGACACGAAATCGGTTATCGAGAACGACTATCACGAGTAGTATGAATGTAGCGACTAGACCGAGCTGTACGCTCGCTCGGACCTATCAAGATGTTAGCCAAACGTTTCACACCAGTCAATGTGTCGTGTCATACTAGTCGGCGAGCCATAATGAGATGGAGATCACCCTGGTAAGGACTTGAAAAAAGGCGTGGCGCAGTGTCGCATGGTGCCCACGAGCCGAAAAAAGGAGGATGTAGAGAAGAACACCGTTCAGCTCTAGAGGAATATATATAGGGAGGGAATGTTTGAAGGACGAAGGTGGCCACGCTTGGACCCTGAAGGCGGTCACTGACTTTTCGACTCCTGACGGGGTCCAGCCCTCTCTTTCTGAATGCTTACTCGAGGGGCTGAGGAAGCCTACCAGGTAACTAGTCGTTTATGCTTATTTTTCATGTATGAAATATAGGGCAGTTTTCATTATTGTCAAATATCTCCGTGTCTAATATACCCGAAATATCATCATCCATATCTCGCTCTATCCTCTATTTCTTCTATATCTATTCGGAGTTGGTAGGCTTATAACGTCCCTCGTAGACATCCTTGGTAGTTGCCTTGCCACTCAAAATGGCTTGAGAAGTCTCGAGAATGCTACGCCAGTCCTTGAAGGTTGTGTAAGGCATCTGTCTGCGCTGGCAGTAGGTAACCAAATCTGCAAGAAGAGGTAAGCTTAGTATCAGTGGCTCAAGTCCAACGAAGTGGAAGTAAATCATTACCTTTGCCCTCCTTAGCAAAGAGGAGATCAGTTTCCGCCGCCGCAGACAAGTCTGAAACACCGTCTCCGGCATAGAGAAGAATTGGTCGCTCGCCTTCAGGCAATGCGGCGTAAGGCTTGATCTCCAAAGACTTGTCATGACCAAAGTGGCTGGGACAGGGTTATTAGTAACGCTGGTTTTCCAATGATTGATTTGTATTAGTTTACCTGTCGTCATGGTATTCAATACCCCAGCCACCCTCCTCGTTGATATCCTTGCCGTCGCGGCCCACGGGCTCGTTCGAGATGATGGTCAGGTGCTCGGCGGGCTTGTGGCCGAGGAACTTCTCCAGCAGGGCGCTGATGATAGGGCGCATGCCAGAAGACAAGATGACAATAGGGACGTTGTTATCACGAGCCCAGTAGTAGAACGCCTCGAAGCCCGGGTCCAGCTTCATGTTCTTGAGCAAGATCTCGATACATTGGTTGTAGGGGGTCTTGATAGATCCAAGCATTTCGCGGAAAGCATCACTGCAGGCATAAAAGGCCGATTAGATTGTGTTCTCCGAAAAGAAATGGGTCTCGACATGATCGACGTACCGGAAGCTCAGGGTCTCGTCCAGGACCTGGTCGTTCAGAACAAGGCGGTTTGCCTTGCCGAAGCCAAGGTTGTCGATCTAGAGAATGTCAGGAGTGAGCCACACAAGGACCATCAATGCGATATACCATGAAGTCATTGCCTGTTCTAGTCAGCCTTGAAGTGGCGCTTTGCGGGGAAGCACCTACTGTCGTCGACGGTAATTGTGCCATCAAAGTCGGTGAAGAAGATGAGCTTAGGCTTGGTCTCCATATACGGAAGCGAGTGTGACCCCATTGTGAGAGCAATGCAGAAGATATATAGAACAACTGAGAAGCACAAGCAAAGCACGAAGAATGAAGAAAGAAAGATTTGACCCCTCGAACTGGGGGTGGGTCAGTGCGGGTTCATCTGGGTTATCGGCTTTATCTGGAGCAAGATTTTCCTTCCGCTCTGAGCTCCGACTTGGGTTTTGCATCATGTCTCGTTTGCGTCAGGTCCTTCAGAGATTCCTAGGGGCTGCCCCGTCACCTGGTCTACGGTCTCGAGCCATTGACACCAATTTCTCCGTCTTCAGAGGTAAGTGCCTCCCTGTCACTTCCCCGACCTTACAGTAACATTTCGCGCAGAGGGAGACCGAATTGTCCTACATGGCAAGCAGCCCTCATTGTCGAAGCCATTGAAGAAGGGCGAGAAGCTACAGACCCATCGGGGAACTGTGAGCCATGACACGATCCTCAGCAAACGTATCTGGGATACGGTACAGTCAAGCAAAGGTCAATAAACACGCCGGTCCTTCATTGCAAGCTGCCACTGACCTCAATGCTATTCACAGGTGCTTCGATTCGAGTTAGCCTCCCCACACTGGAAGAATACGTCGCCCTGACTCCTCGTCTGGTCACGCCGGTATGCGAATCCCTGTCTCAGCCACGCATGGAAAGATGCCTTGGACTCATGCTATCCTCGTAGATCTACCCCCAGGATGCCAATTTGATTGCTTCCCTCCTCGACGTCCATCCCAATACCCCTGCTGCGGGCGAAAACCAACCCTCATTGGAGATTCTCGAGTCCGGAACTGGCCATGGGTCTTTGACATTACATCTGGCGCGTGCCATTCATGCAGCCAACAGCACACCGCCACCTCACCCATCCCGATCGCAGATCACCTACCTAGAGGGTCGAGTCAACAGGCCAGGAGAGACGGAATCGGGCCAATCCAAAGAGAAAGAAGCCGAGACAGCTGTGGACCCGGTACAGGAAGAATGGGATGCGTGGCGAGCGCAACGCAATGCTGTGATTCACACGGTGGACGTCTCGCCCAAGTTCTCAGCATTGGCCGAGAAGAACGTGCGAGGCTTCCGCCGTGGAATCTACGCCGGCGACACCGACTTCTACGTTGGACCTGTTGAGAAGTGGATTGCGCAGCAGATGCAGCAGCGGAAAAAGACCGGGCTGGCTGCATTGACTGGGAACGGCACTGTTGAGCCATTTTTGTCCCACGTTATTCTGGACATGCCTTCTTCGAACCTCAGAATTCCGCACGTTACACCGGCCTTGAAGCGCAATGGATACCTCGTGGTCTTCATGCCCAGTATCACCCAAATTGGCGAGTGTCTGCAATTGATCAAGGACCAGCGGTTGCCTCTTGTCCAAGAGCGCGTCGTTGAGCTTGGTAACGGCATCAGCGGTGGTCGCCTATGGGATGTGCGGTTCGCGACTAAGAAGTCCGGCGCGGATCCATCGTCTTGGGCTGTTTCGTCTGATGCGGAGGGCGCTAGCCCTGCTGCTGATGCCGAAGAAGCCAGCGCTAGCGATGCTGCTTCTGAGGTGTCTACGGAGGAATCCCCGAGAGGGGGAGAATCTGTTCTGGTCTGCCGGCCCAAGGTTGGAGTTCGCATCCAGGGCGGCGGCTTCGTAGGGATCTGGCGGCGTATCGAAGATTCTTCTCGGTGACCCGCTACTCCGTGTATATTGAAAACATACCCGTCCCTGTAACATAGAGCGTCTGTATACTATTGCATATCTGATAGAACACTAACATAATAATAAGAAGGAACCGAAAGGATATTGAAAACAAAAACAAAAAAACACTAACACACCTCAAAGCTTCGCCTTGTTGGCCTCAGCAACATCCTCACCCTGAGCAGACACGCCACCCGCCTTGGTTAAGATCCAATCCCTGATATCAGCAACAAACTTGGTGGTAGTCTCAGGCAATTCAGCATGCAAAATATGATAAGCCCCATCATAAGTAACAAGAGTAGCATCCTTCCCGCGTTTCGTCAACTCCCCAGCAAACGCCTTAGTAGCAGGATAGCTAGTAATGCGATCCCCATCACCATGACCAAACCAGAAAGGCAATGAACTATCAACCCACATACCAGACGAAGCATCCGTCTCAAACATCGCCTCAAGCCACAATCCCCGATCCAGCATGCCCGCCAGACCCTCCAGGGTGCCGGTATCGTGGCACAACTTGTCAGCCATGCAATCCTCCACAACAGACGGAACTCGAGACAAGAGGTTATAGTCAAGTGGGGAATACCGCTGCTTGTGCGGGAGGAGCTTGGCAACAAGGCGGCCCGCGGAGACGGTCAACTTTGACGGGCGCGAGGCTGGATCGAGGGCAATGAGTGGGGAGGATAACATGACTCCGGTTAGCTTGGGCCGGTTGGAGTCTTTGTTGTATGGGGATTCGGGATGGAAGATGTAATTGAGGGTTTGGCCACCGCCCATGCTGTGACCCATTAGGAAGATGGGGACGCTGGACTCTGATGGGAGAGTGAGTAGGAAGGAGTGCATGTCTGCGAGGACTTGGCTTGTTGGGCCTGTGTTTCCCTTGTCGCTTGACTTTTTGACGTTGCGGCCCCAGCCTCTGTTGTCATGTTAGTTTGTTGTTTGTTGTTTCTTTTTGATAATGACATGGGGTTTCGTGAATGATCTTGTGGAAAGGGTCGATGTTGATGACTTGAAATAGACAGTTCTGATCAAGATCTACGTACCTCTGATCGAAAGACCTAACCTCGATTCCTGCAATCGCCAGGTTCGGGAACATGTCGTAGTATGCATTGCCTAGCATGTGTTATTGACTTGTAAAAAAGATTTGCTCTGCCGGCTCATCCAGTGTGGGAGCTTACAGTGATCACTGAAGCCATGAATAAAGGCCAAGATGGCACGCGGAGATTCGCTGGTCTAGGATCTGTCAATATTTGCGCGAAAGACGTCGAGAGAGACAAGCTCGTATAGCTCGAGGCAAGCTCGATCGAAGCTCAACCCGGACTAGGTTTCAGTCAACTCACCTGCCATGTCTTGGTGTACAGCTCAAGGCCGTCGGGTAAGGAGAGTGTTCCCTCAGTCATCTTGTGAAATGCTGAGAAACTGAAGGGAGAAGTGAAGTCGAGTCGATCTTACCGACATGTGATCGGTGCACGGACGATGTTTGCACCGAGCACTTCGGATATGCGAATATAGATCAATCAGGTATGGATTTTCTACAACAGTTGATATTGAGGAAACAATCCATTCCAGATCTAGAGCTATATAACCCTTTGTGGCTGCTCTTGCACTTTATACCGCGGGTATGAGAGGGCTATAGGAACCAAGTGATGCCTCAACCTTGGACGACAACAAAATTCCGACGGTACCACCAAAGTTTCCATTTCGACGATAAGGCTTCCACGCTTGGGCTATGTGATCGTACATGCAGTGCAAGTAATGCAAGGAGCCAAGTGGACATTCCTGTTGTGCCACAATGAACTAGGAACCAGGATCTAGCCCTACGGCACGCCTCTTTATACATTTCTACGGGTGGAAAAGAGAACCAAAATGAAAAGGAGAAAGGAACAAGGCCATGCTCTATTCTCGATGGTCCCTCGCGTAGGACAGATGAAATCAACAAACGTACATGGAATAGACAACGCCCTTCGCCCAAACAGAAGACAAAAAAGCAACCTCGTCACAGGGCAAAAAACCATACCCTTCAGCCACCTGTTCCACCCGAACACCAACCACCCTCCCATCCTAAGCGTCGTGAAGCCGTCTCAGATGACGTTAGAGATTAGGTGAGATGAAACCGAGATAAATCAGGAAACATAAAGACACAGGAGATAGAGAGAGACAGAGAGGGAGGGGCAGGAGGAAAGAGGGAACGCGGAAGATACAGGAGAGTGGAAGAAGAGATGCAAGATTGCCGTGCCAAAGACTACATCCAAGGGACACGAGGCACAAGGCCAGGGGCATTGTTCGCGTGGAACGAATGCTCCGCTCGCAAATCAAGGGAGAGGGAGTAGATAAGAGTGAGAGAGAAGGAACACGAGAGAGGATCAAGGACGTTCATAAACAGGAGAGAGAACACAGAGAACGGAATAAAAGAGATACGTAAAAACACCATAAGACGGTTGGCTGCAAGGCCACCACCCAAAAAGATTCCGAGATAACAAACAACAAGAAAGGAAACCGATTGCACAAACACCCATCTTCAAATGCTCCAATTCGTTAGTGCCGTTGCGGTCCGAAGTCTGCCTCCACCACCTTGCCCTTCTTTCCCTTCACCGTAAACTCCGCAAGCAATGCGACGTGGTCACTCGGGAAGTGGAAGTTGGGGAATCCGGGGACACGGCGTAGGTATTCCTTGTCGACTTCGCCGAGCAATGCCGACACATGGAGTGTGTTGGACGAGTACCAAACGTAATCGAGGATGGCCGTGAAGTCCGAAGTGTAGTTGGTGAAGCTGAGCTCCCCCATCGAGGCGTACGCCGACTTCAGCTTGAAGGGATGAGTCATTCCCACCTTACTGAGGTTTCCGTACAGTCGCTTCTCGAGATCAGGGTGTTCTTCGGGCAGTCGACCAGTGGAAATCAGGTTGTAAGCCGCGGAACCGGGCGAAGAATTGAAATCACCGCACATGAGAACAGGAATCTGATCTCCGCTGGAGTACTCCATCGACGGAGCCGGTTCTACCACGGGAGCGTTCTCGGAGCCACTCTCGGCCTCCGAGAAGCGGAAAGCGGTCTTATCTGTGCAAGCAGGCCACTTCGAGTACTTGTCTGAGAGCTTGGTGATTTCCTCCATCAGGATAGCGGTCTGGATGAGCTTGACATCCTTGAAGGCGGGATCCCAATACAGATGGGCGTTGACACTAATGAATCGGGCACCGGTCTGGCGGTTCTCTAGGAAGATCACAACAGCGATGTGGTCCTTCTGCCACAGTCGGTTGTAGATATCATCCTGGCCCTTTGCATCAGGACGTCGGACAGCGGTCTGGCCGAAGTTGATCAATTGCTTGTCCAACAGGATGTACTTGCTTCCCTTGAAGAAAGTAGCACAGCCATCAACCGACCGGGCATCTTCCTCCTGCATTCCCATTGCACGTCCTCTTGGCCAATAAACACCCTTGTAATCATTGTAGGCAAGCTGCTCTCGGAAGTAGTTGTTGTAGCTGCCCTGGTCCACCTCCTGGAGGCAGATGATGTCGGAGCTGTGAGATCGTAATTCGTTGATGATAAGCTCGCGACGGTACTCCCAAGCCAGCACGCGGGAAGGAACGTAGCCATAGTGCGATTGGGTGGCAGAAGAGTCGCACAGAGTGTTGTACGACAGAACGGTGATCTTTTCCGTGGGACTGTTGCTCGAGCTGGAGGTTTCGTCAAGAATGACCCAATCGCGATCGGGGGGGGGGGGTGAACTAGAAAGTCAAGGTTAGCGAGCATGTTCTCACAAATTCACGTTGAGGACATCATTGACACACCTGGCATCTCTTCCTTTAGATACTTGATGAGAGCCTTTGTGCCATCTTTCATGATCTGGGACTTGAGAACATCGTTGAGGGGGTTGCCCTCAACACCCAGAGTATCGAGTCGGTATAAGTAGCCCATCTCGTAAGGAAGGTTGCGAATGTTGTTATCAAAGAGATATAGCTTCTTCAAGTTTGAAAGCATGCCAATCTCTTCTGGCAGCTCCGTCAAGTCGTTGCCTGAAAGATCCAGGTGGCTCAGCTTCCGAAGTTGACCAATCGCTGAAGGCAACGCCTTGAGCTTGTTGGAGTTAAGGTAAAGCTTCTCGATGAAGTCATAACTGAACAAAGACGTAGTTAAAGCGCGTAGTCCTTGGCCACCGAAATCAAGCGCATTCCAGCCTTGTCGACTGGCTGGCTTTGACCCGGGTGTACCATTACGTCCTTCTGCCCCAGCATCCTCGTTCTGACTGATGATTTGGATCCCTTTCGACTGTTGTGCAATGACGCGGGCGTAGTAATGTGGGGAAGTGGCCTGTCTCGATTCAGCTGCCAGCTGAAGTTGTTGTTGCCAATGTTCGTTCATCGATTCGTCCATGTCGTCGTCAACGGCAGCCGGTACACCATTCTGCAAATGAGTCGAAGTGAAATGGGAGGTCGTAGTTGAGGCCAGTGCGCCGCTAGCAAAATTGTGTTGGTGGGTGAGGTTGTGAGTGGCTTGTGTGTGGTGGGCATGGTGGTGCGGCTGTTGTGCGTGATGGGAGTGGTGGGTTTGCGATTGGAATTTGGGGATCTGCATGCCAAACCGCTGGTGGGCTTGACCGCCATTCATCATGACATGCTGGCCCTGATGAGTTTGACCATACATGTTGAAAGAACCGAGAGCAGCAGCTGGGTTCAGGGCAGGGGAACGAGAGGGGGAGGGGGTGTCGGGGTTGAATTTCAGTCGACCCGTCGGAGAATTGGTCCCGTTTCGAACAATGTGTCGCTGATGAGGGTTCTGTTGCGCTTGAGTTTGGAAGTAGAACTGCCCGGCCCCAGGCTGCTGGAACCTGTAGGTACCATCTGCCATTTAACGTGGCAGACGAGACCGTGTGTTGTTTCCCTGGTGGAAAACCGGTTGGTGGGCGAGCGGCGCTAGATGGAGGTCGACCGCGAGAACAAGGAGAGGAGTAGAGGATCGGAGACGGTCTCTTCTCTTCTTCCACATAGAGACCTTTCGTGAAAGCTCTTAAATCAGAGCAGGATTGGGGGGGTCACTACAGCCTTGGCAGCAGTTGGGAACCGGAGGACCTAAAGGGCGGAGAGTTGGATCGGAAACGTCAAAAGGAGGTGAGATTGAAGAGTTCAAATTGATCAGGAGCCAACAGGTCGAGGGGAGCCCGAGGGCAAAGATTGAGGTCGCAAAGATGGGGCAAATCACACGATTGTCTCTAGGTCGATGAGGACGGGATCTGAGATGACACTGGTGGTCTGCATCGAAGGCGGTCGTCACGTGTCCAGGGTTCACGTGATGCCAAGTCTCTAGCTTGCAGCTTTGCGCCAAGAGATCGCAGTCTTTATGTTCTACACGATACGGAGGGTATGACAGGTGTCTGGAGATATCTGTGTATGGTGAGTGTTGAGTTAGGTCTATGGGAAGATATGCTGCCAGATGTTCACTTCCAGTGCAGGTTCATGTAACTGTCTGAGAAGGGTTGGAACTGCTAAACCTCCCTTGGGTAAAGCATTTGACCCTAGTCATGAACGGAAGGTAGAACTATCAATGTCTCAAAGTTTATATGAATGACAAGGAAACAGTAGAAGACGGTAGGGGGAGAGGGAGAAAATGAAAGAATGAGATCAGGAGAGAACAAGAGGGGAAGAGAAAAAACACCTTAAGATTCAAGCGAGTTCAACGAACATCCGACTTGGTCTCCCAGGCTATTTAGTCTCTTGAGATCGTGTAGTCAAATAAGATAAGACATGCCCTGATTGGAACCATTGATCCGAAATCAAGTAAGCCTGAAGAGCCACATATCCTTCTAACCCCTGGCTCTCGGACTTCTAGTTCCTTGCTTATTTGCTGCATAACTTATACTTCGTACAGCCCCCTAGTCTTTGATACTTAACTTCACGTTCACGTCAACTGCAGACATGAGCATGTATAACCGGTAGGACAGGCCCACCATACATGCATAATCACACAAGGCGACTTTACAACACATGGCAATAGTGATTCGCCCCCTCCCCCTTTGGCCACATTCCCACATTCCTATCGCCATTAATTGCCTCTCCAAATGTCTCAAAATCACACAATCCGACACCTCCACGACCAAAGTACGTGGCAGAGACTATATGGTCTCAATCCACTAGGTGTATCCTGCAGGGGGGTCAGTCGCTTAGTCTCATTTTTATGTACCGAACAAGTGGAAACATCAGGGGGCACAGATCACAACCAGGTCCCAGAACAAGTCCGGAATTTCTCGTATCTTAAGCCGCTGAACCAGGTGTTTGGGACTCGGGTTAGGGCACGGGGCAAGTATCAGATAGAAAGACAGACTACCGTCTCAGGTTTTCTAGTTTTGTTCTAGTTTTTTTTTTAGTGTTTTTTTTTTCTTTCTCATGGCCAGACCCGGTACCTGGCGGGTGGACAATGGACGCTATGGACATGGCGGGCAAGGATCTCCGGCGTTTCTGTATTCAGTTTTACAGCCGTTGGAGTTACCCTGAATGTACTCCGTACTGGAGTGCTATTAGATACGATTGGGTCAATAAACGAGAGGCACCGAGTACATGTACTTTTGTGTGAGACGTATCTCCCCAAAGTAGTGTGTCTGAGGGTCTATAGATCAGTTCACCCCGGTTTCATACGTACGCACGCACCGGGCAGAGAACCCTGCCAACTGTATAGGAGGAACACTGGGCTGAAAATTGGTATGTTGCATGTCCGCAGAAGCAAAGGGGAATAAAGTTTATAGTTCATGATCTATTGAATCAATTGGGGGGTTGCCATATTTTCCAGCATTTCCCTTTCCGGTCATTGCAGCCATGGCTCTGGCGGGACTCATGATGTCAACCATATGTGAAGCGGACATCTTGATACAGTAGTTAAACAGTTACCGGAAGTTATAGGATTGTAGTATTGGAGTACTCCGTACTGTTACCCCATATGACTATACTGACCTTACGTGAAGAGAAACTAGACTTGAGTGGATACAATATGCCACTTTGATCCAGGGGTCGACCTGCTTTCTCTCTTCCCCTTCTCTTCTTCTTCTTCTTTTTACTCGTGAATCTCTTCAAGGGTTCGCGGAATTGGGACGTGGATCAAAATCTCTGCACATCTGCACTCAGGATATTTTCCGAACCCGCTTTACTGCCGTCATTGTGCCGACTCTAATTTTAATTCCTTGAAATTCGGACTTCCCTGCTTGCCATGTCTCGCTGCTCATGAAGCTCCTGTTTCGCGCCGAGAATGCGACCGATCCAGTATAAGGCGACAACGTGAGAGTGATGGACACAATGGCACTCGGTTTCACCACACCAACGGCCTCCGGGACCGACCTGCACTCCAATTTGAGTTCGACACTGGCAGCTTCCTCCTCCTCCCTGAGTTCCCTCACGGACTATGCAACATACCCTCTGGTCCGTCACGGCGACCGCACCTATTTCCGCGACCCGGAGAACACCTACCCTTTGCCCTGCGACCTGCCCGAGATCCACCGCCAGAGCCTGCGCACGTTGATGCTACTGCGCGTCTTAGGCGGCCCGTTTTGCAATCCCCACTTGGCCAATCGCCCGCCCAAACGCATCCTGGAGATCGCATGCGGGTCCGGCTTATGGTCCGGTCTATGCCACGAATACTTCACTCGCCGCGGCCACCCCAACGTCGCCTTTGCGGGAATTGATGTCGTCTCTATTGCGCCCGATCTGCGCAAGCAGGGCATGAATTGGCAGTTCAAACGTCATGACCTACGCCGACCCCGCCTCCCCTTCCCGGACGACTATTTCGATTTCGTGTTTATCAAAGATGCCGGCATGTGTCCCTCCAGCCCGGCGCAATCAGCGTCCGGGTTGAGCGAGCCTCTGCGGGTGTTAAAATCCGGGGGCATTCTGGAAGTCTGGGATTCCGATTGGAGTTTCCGGTCACTGCTCCCTAATCCAGCCCCGGCCCGCAAAACCTCCTCGAAGGAACAGGAGAATGCCGATACGACGGCCACTTACACCTTTTCCTCGGCGACGCCATTCACACGAGCGCAGAATAAATACTTGGTGGACTATAACTCGTGGGTGGAGAAGTCGTTCGACCAGCGCAAGCTGACAGCGCTTCCGTGCGCCACAATCGGCTTATCGTTCAATTCCGAGGTCGACTTGTTGGAAAATGTCGACAGTCGCCGCGTCGCCATCCCACTGGGTGAACTGCGATGGGAGCGCGAGGGCCAAGGCAAGGACTCCAAGGGCCGTCCCCGAAAAGCCTTGACCCCAGAGCAAATCTCCATTCGACGAACGGCGCTTCTCACGACGATCCAGATGATCGAGGGCCTCGAGCCCATGCTCATGGAATCTAGCGGAAAGGGCCGCGATGAATGGGACCGATGGTGGGCCGCGATGACCGCCGACCTCCTGCAAAAAGGTGGACTTGCTAGCGGCGAATGTCTTGAAGTGAGTGCCTGGTGGGGACGCAAAAAATGAAGCCCTCTCGAGTCAATTTGGAGTTCTGGCGAACGAAAATCAAGCAGAGACCATTCTGCACTTCGTATTGATGATACCCCGATTTTATTTTCTGTCTTTCTGGGTTTCTATATCTGAACATTTTGGAGTTGAGCGCCAAAGAAGACCTCAGCTACTTTCATACCGCTTTTTCAGCGTCCGGTACCGCTTCAAATAGTACCTGTTTTTTTTTATCGTGTCAGTTGGTCATCGTTGCAAAAGGTCTAACGAGTTCAAAATTGTGCTTGCATGATGGTATGATGTATAATGAGGAGTGGATGCATGGTGTATCTAGCCAGACTCTGCCGCCATATGCGCAAAATGTATAGAAGAATGACTTGTATGAATAACCCGCATCCGTTGTGTAGTCATTGAATTGTAGATTGGGAACACCGAGGAAGACGATTTATGCGATATGCGGAGAAATAAAGATGGAGTGGGTATAAAGGGATAATCTTACAGTGCTTCAACTTCTGTAAAATGCAGTTAGCAACATGCTATGGCAGTGGAGTCAAGTATTGTCTCGATGGAGATGAGAAACAAGACAAAGCTTACCTTTCTTCACGAACTCCGCTCTCGCGATTCCCTTGCGGATCTGCTCATCGTCCGTAATCTGAGCTTGGCTCGTAAATGCGCGGTGCAATCGATCTCTGAAGTACTGATACCCTAGAGGATATTCACGCCCTAGGAATAAGAGTTCTTTGCTGTTGTTAGCCCGAGGCTCACGAGACCATTCCAACACACTCAACGTCACTCCTGAGTGTGCCGACATACCCTTGTAGACATTTATGACTTGCCGGCGCAGCTCTGGATTGACCATAGCTGCTCCATATATATATAAAATGGGGAGGTAGTTGGTGCTGGGTGTTGAGGAAGTGAGGAGGCGCAGAAAGCTGAAATGCTTCGGGTGTTATCGGTGACGTCGCCCGGAGATACTGCGAGTATGAAGTTGTCGAAAGAGCTTCAAGCCCAAATTCTCTCTACACAATCTGTTTCTTATTCTAAAACAAAACCAGCCAGAATCAATTCTACCCACATCATTAGAATGCCATACTCACACATATAAATGACCTGAATCATCGGGGTTCAGTCCGAACTGGCCCAAGCTCTGGACATAACTCGATCTCCGCCTTGTAGCTTCCTCTTCTCCACACATACACACACCATGTTACGACCAGTCCTTCGAACGCCGCTCGCTGCGCCAACTGTCTCCCTGGTTCCTGCGCCTCGTCTACTGTCGACTACTTCTCCCACACAGGAACCCCGCACCTCGACCTCGGAAAATGCGCCGGCAAAGCCACATCGCATCGACCCGCGATGGCTGACAATGATCAAGCGACGGATCGGAAAGTGCATGATGTTTGGATTGAAAGCAGATCAGATCGATGAGGGAGGGAAAATTCTGCAGCAATTGGCCAAGGATTGGCGTGAATTGATTGCTGGCAGTGAGGGTTTTTTGACCGATCATAAACGGCGTGGTTTGTTCCGGCATAATGTTGTCTGGGGGGAACAGGTATGGATATATTGTCTATACTTGAGATCTAGAGAGTAAATTTGGATTGCTGCTGACTTCTTGTCTTTGGTGGTTCAATAGGACATCATGGTAAGATCCTCTGTCTTCACGTGTCATGCTGCATTGGCTATGCTATATCTGAGAAACAACTGACAGTGGTGGTAGGGTATGTTCTAACTTTAATTCTGGATGGTTTCCAGTACTTGAAGGTCCATGTACTAACCTAACGGGCTCATAGGCCATGTGAACAATGTCACCTACGTTCGATATGCCGAGACAGCTCGAGTAAACTGGACACGAAACATCGGAACTCATATCGATCCCGCAAATAAGAAGGAATGGAATAATCTGGTTGGCTCCACAGGAATTGGACTCATCTTGCGAAGCATCAAGGTGGACTATAAATTTGTACAGCAACTCCGAAGCAAAGCTCTCTTCAATCCTTCGATAGCTAACCATCAAGCAGCCTATGACATCACCGGACAAGATAACCGTCTACCAAAGGCTAGTCCCCGACTCAAACTCATTCCTCGCCAGACAATCTGCATTCCAGCTGCAGGTCTTGATTCTTTCAGAAGCAAAACAGCGTCCCGCTGCCCGTTGCCACGAGGATATCGTGACATATGATTACAAGAAGAACCAGAAGACGCATCATCTCCCTCCTTTTATTAAGGACCAGTTCAAAGTAATCTATGAACTGCAGGAACAGGCCCAGAAGGAATGGCAGCAGCAGATTGTTGAGATTGAGAACCGCGTGCGGACTCTTGAGCTTGAGAGCTGGGACCGCGTGGATGCCGTTGAGGATAATGGGTCTTCTTAACTGAAGCTCCAGTGTCCTGAGGTAGTATTGAATTTGAAAATTACGAGTACCGTACTCGTTTGTATTGAGTTGTCGGCTTTGTACATATTGTCGATATGGCTCGCCGCGGGGTTACTTGGCGAGTGGAATTATGGTCTTGGAGAATGCATCCCAAAACGAAGAAGCATTGCGATAATACAGGCTGGTGATTTAGACCTGACTTTCCATCCGCTCTCAAAAATGAAGATGCTAACAAATTATCGGAACAAGGAAAAACCACGATCGTATGTATTGCAGTCTTTAAGAAGGAAAAATGTCATCAAACATTATTCTATGATCTATATACCACCTAGAAAGCATCCTAAGAAAAACAAAAGACCCATTTTCTAACTTCGTCAGCAAGAAATCAAAACTTGAAACTCCTCGCAATCTCAATCCCTTCAGCTATAGATCCAACACGGGCATCAATAGCATAACCTTCCTTCTCAAGCTTCTTAAGCTCCATACTCAGCCGCTCAACCGGGACCGTAAAACATTCAATAAACTCGTTATCCTCAAGATTGGGCTTCGGATTCTGGTTTTCCGGAAGCGACATGTCAACCTGGATATATACCATGTTGAAATTAGCATTGCAGAACCCAGGATCTAGAGATCAATGTCAGTAAGTATCTAGATCTGGATAATATACGCTCTAGATGTATACCAACCATTATACATGATCCCAGTACATTTCGTAGCAACACCAACAAACCCAGTCTCCTCTCTGAGTTCCCGAACTGCCGTTTGTTCGGCGGTTTCCCCAGCATCTATCAGACCCGCCGGAAGCTCAATGACAACTTGATCAATTGGTGGTCGGTATTGCTTTTCGAGAAGTAGTTCCGAGCCAGTGGATTTATTCAAGAAGGCTACGATGTTGACTCCGTCCACAAGGGAGTCTTTAGGTCTTGTCTGCGTGATTGATCAGAAAACTGATTGTTTGTGAGTTGTTGACATCTCTTTACCTGACGCTCGGCTGACTCCCAGTCCCGTTGTACTCCATTGGGGTCACTGTAATGTGTTTTAACTAAGCGCTTCCAGCGAGCGTCTTTGGAATCCTGGAATTCAGAGCGATAAGCATGATGAGTCAGATGTTGGTCAGCTTTGCTTACCAGGGGTTCCCTCGAGAGAAATTTGGACTGAAGCTGTGGCATATTTGAAATGATCGAATGAACAGTCAGAATTTCCGAGTTGATATCGGATCTTGGTCTCAAGCTTCCAAGGTTGGAATGTTGGAACTGCGGGAACGCGGATGACTAATTTATCACCGAAATCTGGGCAGTTTATACAGCTTGGGGCTTGCAACTGTTGATACTGGCAATTTAGTTAATCTCACTGCTACGCAATCTAGGATTCCAAATGCTCAATCTCGCTTAGTTGCGACTGGGGCAGGCCGATATTGGAGACACGTGAGAGAAACCGCTTGCTTTCACCGCTCATCCTGCGGTCTGTCGACTTCGAACTCTGCGTTGATCTTCTTCTTTCTCACCAATCTCTTTACGAAGCCTGTACAGGGTCCAGCGCAACTGAAAGCCATGGAGAAATCATGTATGGATGTCTTCATGAGCATCAAGCCCGAACATATGAACAACATCGTCTCCCTTACAAAGAACCATGAATATCGCAGTTACCTCCTGCCATCTGATGTGCAACGAATCTGGTTCTACACTACAAAACCAATCCAGCGAATTGAATATGTTGTCTATATTTCACGGGGGAAAGTGCCTGGCCAAGTTCCAGAAGATGGCGGTATCGGAAATGCAGAGTTCAACGCGGGCATGAAGAACTCCAACTACGCATATGAAATCCTCAAGATATGGAAACTGGAGCAGCCTGTAGACTTGGAGCAGGCTATCAAGTTTGGGTTCTTCAAAGGTCCACCGCAAAAGTATACCTGGGTCTCAGAGGGTGTTTTGATGGCTTTCCCCCTGTTTCGGCAGCCTGTACTGTTTGATAGTCCAAACCAGAGGCAATGAAGAAGTGAGGCATGAGCAAAGTAAGAGATCAGATTGACCTTTGACTCCATTTGGAATTGCAAGTCACATGGCTCCCTGGTGTGCCATGGATCGCTGGTGCGGAGACCGAGGGAAATGTCTGATAGCCAAGTAGAGTTCTTCGATGATGATTCATTCTTTGGTCGCCTGATGTCTCAACCCGGTGAGTCCTCCGATAGCTCCAGTTCACCTATTAAGACTTGACTGGGAATTTCTTTTTCTTTCAAGCTTCCGAATTCCCTTAGTTTGACAGTGCAAATATCCCATATCTTTCATAATGTCTGATAATGAAGTCACCGCAGTGGAAGTCTTGACAGAACTAGGAGAAATAATACAAACCATCGCAACCAATCTTCGAGCGAATCGACTCGATCGCACTAAATTTCAAAAACTCCTTCTCGATTACTCCCATCGAGCAACGTCAGATGGCCACCTGATCTACGCATCGAGACAAAACTCGCAAGCGCTCAACCGTGGCCTATTTTTAGCTTATACTCATATGGAGTTTATATCGTGGCTATCACGAAACAACTACACCATTCCAGCAACGTCGGTGAAATGGTACAGCTTAAAGCAGTTCGCCTCCAAATACCGTCTCCCACTTTTCTCCATGTCATCACAAACGGCCGACCTGCAGAGTCAGTTGAAGCACATCGAGAGTACTGCAGAATTGGTTCATGCAGAGCTTCAGGCTCACAATGTAAAGCACTTCCCCCCACGGGAATCATGAGCTGATACTCAATTTTGAAAAGATTTCCATCCCTTCTGGGTGTCTAGCATACGCCAAAGTCCCGGTTGGTGAGCCTATGGAGCCTCCTCCAGAAGGTATGGCATACTCTTCCTATATTCTGGAATTTTCTAAATTTACTGTGATTGTAGCAGCCCATGATCTTTTCCGACGCGGGGCTAAGGTCAAGCAGCACTTACTTGGCCAAAGCCCCAAATAGCCAAGTGCTGTGTTGATTCTGCCACTCTGGAAATTATCAGAGCTCGTTTGCAGGTATTTCACGGCTAGCTTGACCACAATGGAAAGACCGGTCGTTTTCTGTTGGAGAATTCACGGGGAATTAATAACGAATTACTATCAGCATGATCGCGATTGAATGGCTCACACTCAAATCATGAATATTGTGAACCTCTTATTGGACTACATTCAAGCCACTTGACTATTTGGTATCAATATCCAAGGTGTTGTTTTATAAGCCCAATGTAACGACTGGGCATGCTCACCTCTGTCGCCTTTGTTACTTATATTTACAGTATCACTATCATGAATCTTCTTGCACTAATAATTTTGTCCTTCAAAATATTAAAGATAACTAGGTCATATTGGACCAACTTGTCAGATTCTGTTATTTCCGTCACATCTACCGATAATTTCAAGTAATCAACATCAGCTCTAAATCAATGCAAACAATGCTATTACGAACCTTATTTTTCAAATCTCATCCACCTCAAACCGAATATAGAGTTTATGAACATCAGAACTCATAAAAAAAGTAACAATGCTGACGATCTTCTTGGCGCGTTGGCCATATGCACACAGAACAAAGGCAGCAACGACTCTACCAACACCAGTACCTAGAAGAATCTGATATTCCGGTGAAGACGGGTACCAAGTATGCTGTACATCAGACGGATTCGAAAGCCGCTGGGACTTGTAAACATGATTGACAGCCTGCAGGGTATCCCGTTGGTTAATTTCAGCCACGACAACCGACTTGAGAGTGTCCAGAGAAAATGCCCGCTGATAGGCAGCCTTGGTGAGTTCTGACATGAACGGGTCTTCAGACCTGGTAGATCGGAACATTTCGTCAACAATGATCATTCCTTGTCCAACGCGTCCGATCCACCAGATTGCGGGCCCTTCGTTGCGCTGGTTGATCTCGATGGACTGAAATGTGGAATATGGCTCGCTGATCTCAAGAGCATTACGCAGTGCTAATTTGAGAGGTTTCGGCTTTTGCTTGACAAGAAAGTCCTGCTGGTGACTACGCCATGTTAAATCGAGGGTGGATTTGGGGTAGGGGCATTTGGTTTCACCTGAACCTTCAAGCCAGTTCTGGAGTGTCTTTCCCTTTTCTTCCCATGGATGTAAATCTTGCGGCATGGTTATGAGTCAAATGAGATTTCAAGTATGAGTGGAATGTTGCGCGTGGCTTTGTTGCTAGATTTGTAAGTGATTCTGTAGAAGATTGTAAGGATGGAGTGTGGGTTGAGGATATGACTCGTTGGATGCGTCCACTTTATATACTAGATGCCACCGGGAGGACAAGGGCATACAGTAAAAAGAAAACGATAACCGAAGACAATAAGTGAAAGAAGTATCAGCGAGACCTAAGAAAAAGCTTTGTTGAGTTCATTGTTCGCTTTGTCGAGTAAAACATAATGCAAGCAGAACAAAAGTCCTATTTTTGTTCCCGTCAATGAGGGAGTGCAATTTTAAGGCTACATATCGTCTAGCTGGGCGCTAGATATCAATGAACGTTCGATAATATACACATTTGATATGTCAAGAATGAATATACGGAAAAGAGTTATAATTTTCTCTACTTTTTATATAAAGTTATAGTCACAAACACGATATCGAAATACCATCATTGACACTAAGCCATAGCTTCTGAAGACGTGCAAAGTCACCAAAAGCTTGCCAGCTAGTGATATGCTAGTACATAAATCTAGATATTATCGCAGACAATCCACGAGTCTTTCAAGTTGACAACTTTGCCGCCCTTCAGCGAGACCCAAGTTTGACGGGAAGTCAAAATAGCGTGATCACCTTCACCGAAGAGAACACACACAGTATTTTGTTGGAATGCAACAAGCTGGGCGCTGGAAACGTAAATACAGCCATCCTTTGCGACGGATGTATGACCCCAGATGGACTCGACGGAGTGCTTTTGGCCATCGGCAGGGACAGCAGCGTTGGCATTTGCGCCAGATTGGTCGTTGGACAGTTGGACAGTAACTGTTTGACCGGAGTTGGGATCGGCGAGGGCCGCGGTGGAGAGGTAGGAGAGAACGAAGACAGCGAGTCCTGAGACCTTCATTTTGAATGGTATGGTAGAAGATTATTGGGAGATTGTTTGGAGGATGAGTCTGATTGTTGAAACTGATCAGAAATGTAAAGTATCAAGGCCCTTTAAATACTTTGAATCCGCAACACCTTGGTAGTTAGAGCTTGTCATTCAGTTTTCAAGACTGCGAAGATCGTTCCAAGTGCGGATTGATCTGTGTTGGTCCTAGCATAGAACAACAGAACTACCATGGGAGCCATCACCCTGGATCTTGAAAATTCGCCGCATTTGGTAGTTTATCGAAAGTCATGAGCAGGAATACGAGGTTCAATTAACGTCCAATTGGCGTTGCAAATTGACTGGACGGAATGTCGGGATGGAATGTCAATTGGAGCCGGTCGGCTTACTAGATCTGGCCAGATTCTTGGGGTCGACCGCATCACCATCATGAGTGATTGAGGTCTGATTATTTGCCTATTATTTTGCCATGAGATGACAGGCGGATGAATTACCCAGATGCGAGGTTACAGGCTAGTTGACCAGTGCTAGACCCAACTAGGGCTTTGGGCGTTGCGGCTCCTCGGGTGGTGGGTCCCACCAGGGGCCGTTCTAGATCTTCATCATGACATCGACATCTCCAGGGCTTACTTGGCGAGAGCATCATTTACGACTAGAAAGCTTGTATAATATATAAAGGAATGAATGGCAATATTGTGCCGGGATGAAGAACTCAAAAGAAGGGCAAAGTATGCTGGGACTATTCAAGTCTAAGGAAGGAGAGGGAGAAATGTTCCTTAAGATCCACCGCAATGCAACATGAAATTGAATCCTAAAAATAGCCAGAATGTGTTCTAGATGTCTTATGTACCGCTTCCAATGGAGCAGCAGGGAGTCTGAGAGTGATGGCGCCGTCATCAATGTGAACATCCGGCAAGATAAATCTGAGCTCAAGTACACAAGCATAGTCGGCCATTGGCGACAATAGCACAATTATCCGTCAGGGCTCCCAAGACATGAAGAGTAGGTTGAGGCATACAATTCCTGTAAAAAAACCCCAAGTTCTTAAATTTATTACGGGCCTTGCCTATCGTCTTTTTGATCGCCAGCCGTATTTCTTGGCGTTGGAAGGAGTCTTTGCTTCAGCAAGATCTCACATTGAAAGTTACCTCCATTTCACGGTTTGGAGCAGATGACGATTATCAAGGCAACGAAGTATTGTAACCAGTCGATGAAACTCATTAAGCGCGGCAGAGTACCGCAAATATCCCAAAATTCCAGCCAGTATTGGTTTTAGCTTCAGCGTTGATCAATGAGCGACAGGATGTGAATAACATTATACAACCCCGAATGTCCCCATTTCAATATGATTGCAATCGTTGTGCAACACTCCTACTGCCCACACACGGTAGTTTGCTAGGCCCAAGAATGGTGGCCCTGTTGAAAGGTATGAGAGGAACCTCCGAAACCCTATCCGCCTTATCATCTTTGACAACAGAACTGGGACATCGAGCCGCCACTCTCCCGGCAACTATTGACTAGCATACTGTCCGTCACGGAGTCCTTGTCCCGTTGGAGCCATGTGCAGCCATGTGCTGGATCCAACCTGGTCCCGCTTCTCAACGCCCACACTGGATGAAATGGATGGAAGACCAGCATTCTTTTATAATTGATAGAACAGGACACATTAATCGGAACAAACCGCAATGTTCTTCTCTGGTGGGGTCTGAGCAACCTTCATATGTTCCCCCCTCATGGCCTGATCTCAACACCATCGCAGCGATGCCAATGCCTTGTGGCTATGACAATCTTTCGACTACTTCAAATCACTACATGGATCTCGCACCATCGACATTTGCTTTGTCTTCTGCTCTCTGCTAGGAATACAATGACCGATGCTGAATAAGCGGGGTTCTCAATAGTGTGGCGTATCTCTTAGGTGTCCAACGGATCGAAGGGCAATTTCGGGGCAATGCGACAGTCAAACCGAGTTCTACCATCGACCAAGCAAAACCACCTTGGAGATCAGATTGGTTGCACGTGGGCCTCAGGAACCAAATCCAAGCCCCATCAGACTTTATCAGGCCTGAAGACAGGAAGCTTCGTGTGTTTCCGTGTCCGAGAAGATTGCCCTAAATTAGGCATAGGAAGACTTCGGACGCCTTACTGAATTAGGCTCTGAGGGGCCGGATCAAGTAGGAAAAGCGCAATGATCGTCAGGCTAAAAAAAAAAGGGAAAAAAGCCACCTATTCAATTACAAGAAAGTGAAACACATTGAAAAGAACTAGTGACTCGAAAACTAACCCCACGTTCAAGATGAGCAGTTGGGTATGATCGTAGGGCTCACCGCATGCATCAAAATCACCAAGCCATAACTAAGCCTGTGCCGATCTTAACTAACTTTGTGGCGGATCGACGAAACCCTGCCAAGACTGGGTACAAGAGGGGGTTTGTAGTGTCTATCTTGGCTTCTACACCAGGATTGGGTATTGTCTCCTGGGATCTGTGTATTCAATTTGTCTTGAAGGCCCTGCAGAAACTGGCTCTAGATGGTCTCTGTTTGGCGGATCCACAGGCCCATACTCACAGGAAATCGGTGGATCATCCGATATATTGTGCGGAGCCTTCACGATGCACGAGATAGCCGAGCATGTGATGCTCCTGGAAAGAATGTGAACAATTTTGACACATAACAAGCTTGGTGATCTTCCGTCTACACGCACTTTGTCTTGTGTGGCGTGGTCAAGCCTGCAGGTGGCTTCCCCCCTCAATGGAGTCCTCCCTTCTAAATTCTGGGGATTTGTGTCGCACCGCACAATTAGAGGTAAGGATGACCCCGCAGTAAATGGGCTAAACAACGGTCGATCGTCAATCCAGTTACGGAGTACATCTAGTCGGTCTGAGACGGGAACAAATAGGAGCGAAGGACCGGAGTATTGGAAGTTGACCTGGGCCGGGATCACAATTGCGCCAGCCTAGTGGAAGCAACTTAGCCTCCGGTTCGAAGAATGACTGCATTAGGCCGACTCAGCCGAAACCTCCTAACATGTAGCTAGGCAAAGAGGTTGACGTGTAGGTATCCGCATTGCATGACTTGGCAGAGTTTGAAAGCCCTCTGTGGTCAGACATACGAGTACGACATCAGCAGCCAGAAGAATAGAGAACAGAGTAGAAGCCAAAGAAGAAAGACAGGAATGAAGATATCGAAAGGAAGTAAAAGAATATAATACATGGTATTGCAAAAGGTACCGCCTACCCAAAAGGCAACAATGATCGACGGCATATTACCGTACCGTACCAACTCGTTTCTTTCTATTCTCTTTTCCTCTTCCTCCCCTTCACGTCCCGCCGCTCATTCCTTCCCACTTTTCTATATCTCTCACTCTTTACATCAATTTCCTTTTATAATCTCTCAATTTCCCTTTTCTCCTGGTCCCAGTCCTTGGCTTTATCCTGCCAAGCTGACTCGGACCTGGGTTTTGGGCTCCGTCCATGCCACGCTCATCAGCTGCGGCTAGGAAGAACCAGAGCAATCGGCAGGAGAATGGCCTCGTCGGTCCCGGCAAGAAAGTAACCAAACAAAAATCCAGCAGTCAACTCAACGGCAACTCGGGCAACGGCTCTGCTACCGGTCCGGGCGCGTCCGCTCACTTCGATCTATCCTCCGTACGTCTTACAAGCGACACGGCCCTGACCTCTCCGATTGTTGCGGGTAAAGGGGAGACGATCAAGGCGGATGGCAATGTGCATGCGGTGAATGGACACAGCAAGGGTGAGGAGATGGCGTGTGATCAGTCAAATGGTGCTGTGCCCCAGAATGGGGCCGTGGCAGCTCATGGCTCTCGCAATGGAAACTCGAAACGATCCGGATCCAATGCGTCAATTAATCCGCTCCAACTCGCCTCTACCATTCTGAAATCGTGCCCGATGTACGATACAATCGCCATCTTGATTTTTCTGCTTCAACTTCCTCCGATGGTCTTGACTCTGGTTCAGTTCTTATTCGCTTCCTTGACTTTCATGCCTCCCAGCGGCGCTGCGGCCGGTTCTCTGTCGTCAAATTTTGATATCTTTCAGGGTCCGGCCGGAACCCCGTCGCTCGGGACGATGATTGCGATGGATGGTTTCTGTATACTTCTCTGGGGCCTCTTTATGTGGACCTGGGCGCAGAATTTTGCCATCGACCTCGCGCATGTCCAGGTTGCTATCACCTTGGGTGGCGGGGGTCTGGGAAGAACGGCGGGGTCAATGGCCTCTGTGTCGGGATTGTTCTGCTTCTTCATCTTGTTCGCAGCAAAGGCATACAGGATTTTGTCCTGGGTCATCTCGTTTCTACTAAACTTATCAGTCCCGACGCTCTCTCTCAATATTCGCACCTGCTACCCGCCGAGTTCCGACGAACAGAAACACAAACATCCCCTAGTTGGCTCCGCAGCCTTCTTGCTGTACATATTTTGGCACAGGCAGGAACCGCCATGGCTCGACGATCTATGGCCAAGAATAGGTCACCCACCCCATTACGGACGGGAAAACGCGGGGATACAGAAGCTTCCGCGGGGTCCCAGGGCCAAGCCGATTCCGCTCTTGAATCTGCTGCCAGCGTTTCATCTTCTTTTGTTGGACCTGATGGTCAACTGAAGGATGGGAAGGACCGATTTACTTCGGCTAAGAAACGCAGAAGGCAGGCAAATCAAGTTCGGAGTCGGCAGCCATTTTGGGCCGCACTTGCGAGTACAAAGGTTACGGTTATGCGGGAATATGAGCATTCACGGGCTATATCTAAAACGGCACGAAACCTTACTATGACGGAGGAAGACCTCCAGGGTGCTTCTCTCGACGATGGACTAGTATGGATTACGGATGTGGACAGCTCTTCAATCAAATATGCGGCGGGTGAGTTTACCGATGACCCCGCTATATCGGGATCATTTGAAGGAGGCCGCTTGGATGGAGACGTGGAACCATTCTACGTCTGTGTCAACGGTGCACTCTGGGCTACTGCCACTATATACAGGGTTTCGGATGTCAAAGGACCAAACGCGGTTCACTGGCGGGGTGAAATCTCCGGACTTGCTCCGAATTGCGCCTATACATGTGCATTTGTGCGAAGCAATACCGACGAGGAAATATGTGTCATGAGTGTCAAGACGCCTGCAACGACTGACACAGAACAAGGTAAGTTAACGCAGACCGCGTTTTCCATTTACTATTGTTCACGTATCTCATTAAATTAATAGTTATATCCGCGGTATCGACTCCCCCGCAACCGCCATATCGACCATCGTCCCCCACAACCACGCTCAAGAACTCCATTGTCAATGCGGAATCTAAGCTAAACGAAAAACGCTCACGCCTCAAGAAGACAAAGAACGACCACAAAGTTGTCATCTCGAAAATCCGGAAAGAGCTCGACAATTTCAACCAACGCCTTCACAGCGGAACAGACGAGAATCGGCAAAAGCAGCGTTCGTTCCAGCTAGAACGAAACATTCGCCAAACCGAGGAAGCCACCGCGGCTCTGGAAACACAATTAGACAGCATGGAAACTGTCCCAGAGGAGGAGATGGAAGAATGGGACGCACACAAGAAGGACTTTGAGCATGAGTTGGAATTGTTCAACGCTGTCAAGGAGGAGGTAACAGCTGCTCGTGCAACTGGAGCTCAAGATGTGGCCACCCTTGATTTGGAATTGACTCAGGCTATCCAGAAGCGCGAGCGTCTCCAGAGTCGCCGCACTCGGGTGAATGAGCAGTACGAGCGCATCATTTCAGCCAATGCCCAAGGATTGAACGAGAGAGAACGCCGCGCAGCTGAACAGTTTGCCAGGGAACAGGATCAGTCGAAAATGGAAGCCAATTTCCATGAGCAATTCGGGAGCATCAGTCAATCCGTGCAGGATTTCCAGCTGCGCACCAGTCAACTCTGGCAGCAGGCGTCTGCGATTGAACAGTCTATCCAACAGCAACAGCAACAAATGCTCATTGATTCCGGTCCTCTGACACCAGAAGGCAACCTACCCGGTACCAATCCTCTCTCCGAGATCAGCGGAATGCCATTGAACACATCGATATCCACTGCACCCAGCGCCCGGGCTCTGTTGGGTCTGAGCTTTCCTCCTGCGAGGTCCAGTCCACTGCAGATCTCGTCTTCTCCAGTCCATGATTCCGCTTCTCATCCAACAAGCCCGTCTCAGGACATTCCATTCCTTCCACAGTTTCCGAATTCTCCGGCTGGAGTTGGGGGCTCTTATTTCGGCTCAGACATCAATCACCGAGATCGTTCATTCTCCAATCGCTCCACTCGCAGCAGCCAGTACGGCTCTGATTTCTTGGACTTGAACCGCATGCCGCCTCTCCAGCTTGACCTATCTGAGCTACTATCTGACAAGCCGCGGCCTGGCTCTCCAGGGAATGGTTTCCTTCACCAAGGCGCCCGTCCTGTTCTGAGTCCGTTCCAGCGAGCAGCAAGTCGAGGCAGTGGGACTGGTAGTGGTAGCGGTGGCAGTGGAAGTGGAACCGGCAGTCCACACTCTTCGCGCGATTGAACCCCCGCCGCGGGACTTTGATTATGCCGAGTGCCTGCGTTGCATGCATGTTACGTCTTCGGTGTCCGTCTTCTATGGTCTTGGGGTTTACGTTCGTACTTTCATTCTCGTCTGGTTGGATCTTCGCCTTGAGTCAAAGGTTCTCCTCATTGGCATATGCTGTGATGGCTCATATTCTTGAATCATTGTGGTGGAGTGCAAGGATCTCGCAATGAGATCAGGGGATTGGTCCGATTGAAGATGGATGGCAGTTCCGTGCTTAACACCAAAACAACAAAAGTGTTCTATATACTCTTCTGACAAGCCGTAGACGCATTATTACCATCAAAGCATTGTCATCTCGGACTTTCCATTTTACTTCTTGGGATATATCGTCACTAGGCATAGCGTGGGTCTAATTAAGTATGTATGGGACAGACACCCAATTCTCCGATTTATATACAATGGCATGCTCTCGGACACATGCTCTGCAACAGGTTAGAAAATCTATGTATTTTCCCAATTCAAACCTCACTTCCCATCTTCCAAAACTTAGTGTTGGCATAAGTCAGACACAGCCGGTCAGGCGACTGCTCATCCAAGTCCGAAGCAACAGAATCCGAACCCTCAATCGTTCTCACAATAGTGCCGAGCACAATAGAGTGATCATGAACCTCAATCTTACTAGGATGAAGCTCACACTCGAAAACAAAAGGGAAATCAGCACTTTTCTGCTCGAATGCCAGCGCCTCGCCCCTCCGCCTTAGAACAGGAAGTGGTCTCTGGTCTCCTTCAGCCCCAGCATCCAAAGCCACAAACTCAAACTCCCCATGTCCACTCAACATAGCAGCCAGCGTAGTATTCCCCTTGGAAAAGTCCCTCGCTAGTGTTGCTGTGGCAGGACCTGGAGCTAGTAAGTGAACCAGGAACCGGCCCGAGGCAAGCAGGGCATTTAGCGTCTCTGACGGCCGGCGCACATTAAACGATATGACAGGGTGTGGTGTGAGAGTGACAGTACTGAAAGATGAGACTGTCATTCCACGGAAAGAGGAGGTATCAGCCGGACCAGAGGGGTCTGTTGCTGTTATGATGGCGACTGGGTAGGGGACTCGTCGCATGAGGAGACGGACTTGATCGGATATAGAGATGGGTGTTGATTTTTGGGGTTCATTTGTATTTGTGTTGGATTTCTTTAGCTGAGGTGCTGCTGCATTGCTGCTGTGTCGTTTGGCGCATAGTGACCGGGATCGATGCTGGTGATATGATACAAGCGGAGATCTTCGGAGGAGGGACGTCCCTAGGGATCGTGCTGTATAGTTCTTATTGCATAGTGATTCTGATTGGAGCCATTAGTATTCTGGATAGACGCATTGAGGCTGGATTGAGACAGCCTTACCTCCTAAGCTTGTTCGAGTAGCTGCATGGGCTACTTGTGGAAATGCGAGCTTCATCCCGCCTGGAAGTTGCGATTAAACGGCGTTCAGGGGTTCGGTGTACACGATCGGAGCTAACTGACCACTTTAAAGGTATTCCCAGCAAGCCAGCAAAGCAATTCAAGACACCGGACACAGCGACAATATGCAATCGTTTGGCCGAGAAGTGAACATCCGGAAAATAACATCCTGCTTACATAATCCGCGATAATTTCTCCTGCGTATAGCATCAACTTCCAACCTCCGCATCCTCCCCGAACGCATTGCGCACCAGTCAATTCCCGCTCGGCTCAATCCTCCCGTGCAATCCTCCCATCAGTATTCTTTCTATCCTTCTAAAATGGCAATGCACACCTCTCCTCCGCCGCACCGCGGCCACAATAACCAACTCAACAACTACTATCCTCCCAAGACTCCCAACCCAACCCACGGCAACAACCTTCATCTGCTCTCAATGTCGACACGCCACCCTTCTCCGCCGTCCTAAGCGCCCCTACACCTTCACACAATTGATCACTCTCAGCGATGGCAGCACATTCACGCACCGCACGACCTCCCCGGCCCCCATCTACCGCTCCACACGCGACACACGCAACTCGCTCCTGTGGAACCCCTCCAGCAGCAAGCTGATGAATGTCGAAGACGATGAGGCCGGTCGTCTGGCCGCTTTCCGTGCCCGTTTCGGTCGCGGGTACGATGTCAACACGCCCGCTGAGCCGGTCGATCCCAAGGATGCCGCTGCGGTCAAGGAGAAGGAGGCTGCTGCCAAGGCCCAGGCTGATGCTGAGCAGGAGGAAGAAGATAATCTGCTTGATTTGATTAGCTCTTTCGGTCAGAATGAGGCTCCTCCGCCTGAGAAGAAGCCTTTCAAGAAATAGGCTTCTCTGCCAGAAATGGTCGGAGGATGTTGTGATTGATTATTCCCTTCGGTTTGGGGACTGGACTTTCTGTGTCGGGTCTTCTTTGCTGCTTGGGTGGAGTTGGGATTCTTCTCTTGTCTTTTTTATATTTTCTGTTGCATTGATCTTGTACAATATACATTTGTCTGGTATGAGCCTGCTGTATACCAAGAATTCATCTTATTTCTAGTCCATATGACCTATATTTGTTTCTTCTAGATATTCGCGGCTCGATATGCAGCCTTCTGTCTACGCTGCTCGTTCGGCATCATAAATACGTATAGTTTGCCTATGCGTGTCAACACTTGCTATTAAGAACAGCCAACAACGAAAAAATAGATTAATTAGCAGGTTATACGTATATCAAAGCTTTATGCATCAGAAATCAACAGAAATCAGCAGAAAATGGGTATATCGATCAAAGTTTACAAAGCATCAAGACCTCATCTCAGGGACAGCATCAGCCCCAACCTGCGAAGATCCAATCTCATAAACATTTCGCTGCGCAGAGAGTTCTGAGATCTGCTGAGATTGAGCGTTCGACTGGGACACCGACTGCGTCTGCGGTGGCATGTAGACAGGAGACCAGGGTCCGTGGGAATCCGTTGTCTTGTGATATCCAAGGCAGCCCATGAGCCTCCGGCGGAAGATGATCAAGGCCAGAATAGCACCAGCTGCCACACATCCTACGACAATTCCAGCAATTGCGCCGCTGCTAAGACCAGAACTGGAAGAATCAGACGAGCCGGCGCCGTTGGTTGGTGTTGGAGTTGAAGATGTTGTGCCTGAGGAAGCGGAGGTAGCTGGGTCATAGCGAAACAAGATTAGCACGCACGCCCTGAAACTATTCCGATCATGGGGGATCCATACAGAATGAAGTGTGTGTGGTTTTTGTGTTGGTAGTAGTTGTAGCAGAAGTCGATGCAGCCGACGTTGATGTAGTAGTAGCCAGGTATTCCGCCGGCAGTGTTCGATAGAGACTGTTGGCAGCCCAATTGTCCACACATGCATATCTCGTCAAGGCACCTAGACCATCTTGACCGACAGTGTTAAAGATTCGGTAGTAGTCGCACGTCGAGCCGGTCCCACTGGATTCTCGTCAGCCAGTGACCGATCTGGTTCGCAACAAGACATACCAAGCTTGGGTGGAAGAGCCTCTCAGAATACTTGAACCGGCATAGCACCCTGTGGCTAGACGATCTCCGGACGACTCGCTACAGTCACCGATAGTGCCACTCGTCGTGAACGCGCCGTTTGACGTACAGATAATTGGTTCGGCTGTGACATGGAAGTTAGCCAGAAGGTCAGAGATATCTCCTTTTCCGCTATGCCTGAAGTCCGAGACGTACGCGTTGCTGCAATATACCATCCTATAAAATCGGTGCCGGTTGAATAGCTCCCATAGTTGGTGGAAGTCATCCTGATCGAGTTCACAATGTAGGGCTGGATGCAACACAACAGAAGCCAAAGTCGGAGATTTTAGTGCGACAGATTATGAATCTCACAGCAGTTTCCTGTCAGCGGGGGCAAGGCAGAATTACCAGTTATTTTCCACTGGCTTTAAGCCATTTTAGATAACTGGGCTTGGTAGACCTATTAAAAGTGCGAAGCCGCCCTGATACGAGTAAGCACTGCTGAAAGCACGGGCACTTAAAATTAGAGATTGGGGGCCGAAAGTAAGCAAATCTCACTCTCGGAGTGTGTATGGCAATTGTACACGCCTTCGTTAGGACTTGATACGTTCGAAATAAGCCTCAAGCGGTAGTGAATACCCCTGTGGCAAGGATGCAACCGGCATGGCCAATGAAGCGCCCATTCGGTCCTCTCTGTTTGGGGTCCTGGCTTGTTTCAGGTTAGGGTTTTGCAGTAGCGTGACTGTTGGACCTTTCGTCTGCGGTCCGTTGTAGATGTATTACCCTGCACCCTTTCTGCACAATCGCCTTGATGTAAGAAGTCCGGTCACTTTGCATTTGACTGATCCGCTGTATTGTTTCTTTATGGCCTGGTAGCGAAATATAAAAAGTGATTGCTGCAGTTGCAATAAGGTATTCGAGAATAAGTGATGCAGTGGTAAATCGATCTGGTAGAGGGGACTGTCTAGGTTGCTCAACGTGGTTTATCTTGCATCTTCGCAATTGGAAGGCATATATGGTGTTGTCATCTAAAGTGACCTGCCAAATCAAAACAATGCAGCTGACTGAATGAATTATATCTGCTACAATACGCGAACAGTGGTATTCGGATGAAGCGAACATAAAACAAGAAATAAACACAAAGCCCATCAAGCTCGCTGAGGACCATCATCAGTTGCAACATGAAATAAAAACGATAAAAATCAAGAGTTGTTCCGCCAGGAATCCAAGACGAGACTAGGTAACGCGGGGACGAGTTTCGATTTTTTACACAAGCATTCAAATATCGGAAACAGGTGGCTGATATCAAGCGTTATCCTCGGCCATCAGTGGGGTCGATTCTGTGTTCTCCGTTGGGGGAGCTGCGTCGCCTGTTTCGGTCTCGGATTGAGGGACGTAATATGGAAGGCCTTCCTCGCCAGCGTCTAGACGGAGTAGGAAAGTTTCCCATAGTTCAATCAACTGTGAGCCATTAGTGAGCAAGTCGAACTTGAATAATCGCATATTGATGGGAGAGATCTTACCTCTTTCTGGCCCTCGACAGCACTCTCAAGGAAAGTCTCAACGCCAGACTTGAAATCCTCCACCTTCTCTTTCTCAAATCTTTGCAGCTCATTTCGCATGAGACGGCCCATGTCCTCGAAAAGAAGTCGTGTTTGGTGGACCTTGCGCTCGGCGTCTGCGACATCGGCGTTGGCCTGGTTCAAGCGGTCTTGCTGGGTCTTGCCCTGGCGGAGGAGCTTGTCCTGCGTATTCTTGCGCTTCTGTAAATCGGACTCGGCGGCATGCCAGGTGTGGAAGGCCTTTTGCCGTTGTGTGAAGGCCATCTTGACACTGCCAATTAGACGGATGTATTCGTCGATTGTAATCCCCAGCGTCAGAACGTCCTGTTGCGCTTGGCGATCATAGAGTTCTCGAATGCGCAGTTGAAGTTCCGACAAGCCATCCAATGGAGATGAAAGAGCTGGAGATAGCTCAACAGCAGATAAAGCATGTAGTGAGCTAGAAAAGTCACCTGCAGCATCGGCAAGACCCTTTCTTTGCAGGACCACGGTGTCCATTGATTTCATCAATGCCTTCAGTTGATTCTCCAATGCATCCAAGTAGACTTTGCGGTCATGGAACCACTGTACTCATGTTAGCAGGTGCAGTCATTGGAATAAAACCAAAGCAAAGTACTCACATCGTCATGCTCCACGAATTTGCTTCCACCACCGACTGAGATACCAAAAGAGCTCAACATTCCTTTGCTTTGACCAATATCTGGCTCTCGGTTTTCCTTGTTCTTGACATCGACATTAAAAGCTTCACTTTCAAGGAAGATTTTCAGGTCTCCGTCGTGTTGAAGAATGGGATGACCGGCAATCTTGTTGAGCATGCGTTCCAGAGCAGCTCTTCGTGACTCCACAAAGTTTGTATCAAATCTGCCAACGGCTTGCTTCTCAGGTGGAGGGGCAACAACCACTCCCGGGTTATTGCTGTGCATGGAATTATAAAGCCAAAGGAAATCACGGTATCGACGGCTAACAGTAAACTCGGGTTGGCGGTAAGCTTTGGATGATGTCTAATTATGTCAATTGTTGTCAGCATTTATCGCTTCTCGAAAGCACTAATCTCGATGTCCAATTACCTTTGTCCGGACGGCATAAACAATGTGACTGCTCGTCAGATCTCCTACTTTGTGTGGGTCTCCCACATGAATCTCGAAAGTCGGTTTGGCAGCTTGCTCCACGCTCATGCTAGGCTGCGTCTGTCTCTGAGGTCCGTCCGATTCCACCGGTGGCTGTACCGGCGGGGGACCCCGGAAGCCCAGAGCTTCATCTTCGAGATTGGCGGATTGATCTAATCCTGACTCGCTGACTTGAGAGGGCGAAGAGAGCGGGCGCGCACTGCGTCCAGCGAATGGCTCTTTTTGAGGCGGCACGGGGGCCTCCTCCGCGGGTGTCGGGGAAGCCTCGGCTGGGGCTTCACCTAATGGACCGAGAGGATCGATAGAATCATCAACGGATTCGAGTTTTGTGGCTTGCGCACTAATCTTGCGGGTGCCTCGGGGGCCTCGTCGTCCTGGTGTGCGGACAGTGGGGGAGCTGGTTGTTGCGGCGGGTTGTGCGGCTGCTGTAGAATGGACTGCGCTTAATGAGGGGTCACGGAGAGACTGAGGTAGCTGAGAGGGAGGCATACCATCATCCTGGGTATCCTTCTTGGCTGCATCTTGGGTGGGCTTGAACTGTGAGGGCTCATCTGCATGCTAAATCAGACCGCAATCCAAAGAGCTGTGGTATCATGACTGCCTACCGCCCCACGGGGAGTCTCCCGAGTCGAGATCCATTGAAACCGGTAATATGATGGAAGCGCAAAAGGAACGAATTAATAGCCAAAGGAGTGTTCAAAAAACTGGCGTCAATGTTGGATTGAAGTTCCCAATTTGTAGTTGGAGAGGGAGCTGTGGTAGTTGGAGGTGGAGAGGGCGATCCCTTAGTCACTCACGGGATCCCCAGCCCACAAGGTGTCCCGTCCTCTCTGTTGACATCTCACCTTTCCCTATGTTGGCATTGATGACTGTTGACAATGCTGGACTACATATTTACCTGGGTTATACTTCGGCTCGAGGTCAATCTACAGTCCCCACGTTCCTAATGCCCCGGCAATACGTCACATCATATCTATTTGAAGCCTCCTACTGCTGCGCTATACACAGTGTTGCCTCATATCACACATACAGTAAACACGAAGCGTCATTAACATCCGCAGATCTATTTGATCCAGGGAAGACCCAGCTTGTGCATTTCCACAGCAAGCTTGAACAGGTAGTCCAGACTCTCACACTGGGTCTTAGCCTTGGCAACATTGTCTCCCCAGACATAGCTGCAGGAACAGCGCGTTAGCATATTGATCGAAATTCCGCATCTATGAGTGGTTATCACTTACATTCCGTGTCTGCGCACGAGCACGGCATATGTGTCGGGGTATTTGTTCATCGCTGCCTCTAGGCCACTGGTCAAGTCCTCCTCGAATGCGGTGTTCTCAATGATGGGAATGCTGAGAGTGTCGAAGAACCCAAGCATACCCTTTCCTTTGCCACGAGGAATACCCTTGATCTGCTCAATGTTGTTGATCTCGAAGCAAGCGTCGGGGCCCTTCTCGCGCTCCACCAACAGAGTCACCAGGACGGCCCATTGCGAGTGGGTGTGAATGCAGCACCCAGCTCCCTGTTCAAAGGCTGTAAGGAACAGCGGGGTGCAGGCGGAGGGGTTAAGCTTGAGGGGCTTGCGGATATAGTTGCGGTCCGAAGCGGGATACTTCGGGGTGGGCCATTCCAGTACGAAGATGTTGTGCGGCTGGATCAATTCCTTCTGAACTCCAGACGGAGCGATGTAGATGTGGTCGCCCTCACGGATCGAAGCCTACTTTTCAATCAGCGGGGCACCGATGCGCGGGGGGATCGGGTCAAAGCTTACACCACCTCCAGTGCCAGTGACCCATCCCCAGTTGTAAAAGTTGCGGCAAAGAGTGGGGATGAGGTTTGCAGGGTGCTCGGGGTCCTCTGACTGGACCAGGTGGTCGTTGTTGTCGGCCGGCGCAACAGCCTTGTCGGTAGGGCACATGGTGGGCTGGAGGACTACGACGAATTAGCCAAGCTCAGGAATGCAAGGGGAGCAAATTAGGCCCTGCAATGCAATGTGCAACCATTGGCGACCGACAGACTCACCTCAGACTTGGGATGTCTTCTGCTATGGACTGGACTCGCTGCGGAGGGCTGGACGAGGTTTGCGATGAGGTTCCACTCACAAAATTGGGCGGGGAGTCGGGATCTGCGCGCAAATGGGGAACAATTGAATTTGGGAGCCAAACCGAATAGAAGACAAATTCGTTTTATTGTCGAACTAGCTAACTAGACTTGAAACAATCAATCAAACAGCATGCAAACCCTGCCAGTCCGTCGAAAATGAAGTATAGAACAACATCGAACCCCATGTGTACGCGCCCTAGTCCCGATTGGGTAGCTTAGTGAAGAGGCCACCTGGACCTTCCCCCAGAACTGTCCGCTTCTATAAAACCTTCTCCTCTTTTACTCTCCACTTCTCATTCTTTGTTTTGTTATCGTCTGCAATCATGCGCTTTAACACCGCGCTCACTTCGGCTTTGGTCTCCTCCGCCAGCCTCATGGGCTACGCCCATGCGGAGGAGGAAGCTGATGCCACCGTCGCTGTTGAGAAGCCTACCTTCACTGTAGGTCGTCAATGCATTCCTATCTGTCCACTACTAACCGATGTGACTTCATTGTAGCCTACCAGCCTCAAGGCCCCCTTCCTGGAGCAATTCACGGACGACTGGGAGTCGCGGTGGAAGCCTTCCCACGCGAAGAAGGATGACAAGTCGGAGGACGAGTGGGCCTACGTTGGCGAGTGGGCTGTTGAGGAGCCCTCCGTCTTCAAGGGTATCGATGGTGACAAGGGTTTGGTCGTGAAGAACGCCGCTGCCCACCACGCCATCTCCGCCAAGTTCCCCAAGAAGATTGACAACAAGGGCAAGACTCTGGTTGTTCAATACGAGGTCAAGCCACAGAGTAAGTCATTGACATGAGAATCTGCTTGTATTAGCATGCACTAAATCCATTGTCTCTTCTAGACTCTCTTGTTTGCGGCGGTGCATACCTCAAGCTTCTGCAAGAGAACAAGAAGCTCCACCAGGAGGAGTTCTCTAACGGCACTCCCTACGTGATCATGTTTGGCCCTGATAAGTGCGGTGCCACCAACAAGGTACGATGATCTATACCCTTGAGCTTCAAATCAGATATTAATTGCTGCTAGGTTCACTTTATCTTCCGCCACAAGAACCCCAAGACTGGCGAATACGAGGAGAAGCACCTCAAGACTCCTCCCGTGGCCCGTACCAACAAGGTCACCTCCCTCTACACCCTGATCGTGAAGCCCGATCAGACCTTCGAGATCCTCATCAACGGCGAGTCTGCCAAGGCCGGCAGCCTTCTCGAGGATTTCAGCCCCTCCGTCAACCCCGAGAAGGAGATTGACGATCCCAAGGACAAGAAGCCCACCGATTGGGTTGACGAGGTCCAGATCGCCGACCCCGAGGCTGCCAAGCCTGCTGACTGGGATGAGGAGGCTCCCTTCGAGATCCTCGACGAGGAGGCCACTCAGCCCGCCGACTGGCTCGAGGATGAGCCCACCAGCATTCCTGACCCCGAGGCCGAGAAGCCCGAGGACTGGGATGAGGAGGAGGATGGAGACTGGCTTGCCCCTACTGTTCCCAACGCCAAGTGCGCTGAGGTTTCTGGCTGCGGCGAGTGGACTCGCCCCATGATCAAGAACCCCGCCTACAAGGGCAAGTGGGAGGCTCCTCTTATCGACAACCCTGCCTACAAGGGCGTCTGGGCTCCCCGTAAGATCAACAACCCCGCTTATTTCGAGGACAAGACCCCCTCCAACCTTGAGCCTATGGGCGCTATTGGTTTCGAGATCTGGACTATGCAGAGCGACATTCTGTTCGACAACGTCTACATTGGTCACTCCGTTGAGGATGCCGAGAAGCTCCGCAAGGAGACCTTCGATGTTAAGTTCCCTGTCGAGGAGGCTGAGGAGGAGGCTTCTAAGCCCAAGCCCGAGGTTAAGGAGGATGGCCCCACCGTCACCTTCCAGGAGGATCCCGTCGAATTCGTTCGCCAGAAGGTCAACCAGTTTGTTGACCTGGCCAAGGAGGACCCCATCAACGCCATTAAGGCTCTCCCTGAGGTTGCCGGTGGCCTTGGTGCTCTCCTCTTGACCATGATTCTCATCATCTTCGGTGCCATTGGTGCCAGCAGCCCCGCCCCTGCCCCCGAGAAGAAGGGCAAGGCCGCCGCTGCTGCTCCCAAGGAGAAGAAGGAAGAGGCCTCCAGCTCCTCTGCCGACACCGGCAAGGGCGGTGCCACCAAGCGCACCACCCGCTCCTCTGCTGAGTAAATGCGAGAATGGAAAACGAACCCAATTACCCGGAGATAAGGACTTTGTCCCTCCATAGCCCAATCAGCGAATGATATTTGCATTTAGCCGCAGTGATCCCCTTGTTTCTTGGCCGTTGTACTTTCAAAGTTTACGGAGGAAACTAAATGGAGGCCCGATTTGTATACTTCTATCCATCTTTCTATTTTTCTAGTCAGCTTTCGGAAACAATTGCTACTGTTTTGTTTTTCAACTTGGTATGTCAGTAGGTAACCTTCCAAGGTTGAATCGATGACGATCTTCAATGCTTCTATCTAGATCATATCGAGCAAACCTGTATTGAAAACATAGATTGGTGGACAACATATAAACACGGTAACCCAGATGCTTTGCTCATGCTGTATAGTCCACGAACTTTCTCATGACAGCGGGACATGGTGATTTCATTACCCCGAAAATAACTCCATTGCCCTTGTCAACTCGTCCCACAAGGGATCTTTCTGAACATCTATCCTCCCTTCCCCGGTCATGACCTTGTATTCATCGGGAGAAGAGGTTCCATATGAATGCCCCTCTGTGCCATGAATGAAAGCACAAAGATCCCCTATCCATTCCGACATCAAGTTCCGCTCCGCTGGAGTTGGGCCATGCGTGAGAGAGTAGCTATGCCGTAGATGTCAGAAGACAGAAAGACAAAATGGGATGATTGATCAAGAACTTACTTCCAGATAGGGCGATCCATAGCATGAGTGACTCCAAAGGAAGCCGGGGCGACCTTGTCCGTGATAAATGAAAGTCGGTAGGCGATCCTGTAGCGCCAGATATTTGCCATATCAACCCCATTGTCTGTAAGTATTTTGACCAGGTAACGCGATGGAGCCCTGACCTGGCCATCGGCAATTATCTTGCCAAATAGCTTCCCCCAGTCTTCTTTGCTCTCTGAGGTTGGAGGCTGATAATGCTGAAGGAGACGTTGAGTCGTTGAGGGAGGGTAGTAGTTTGATATTTGCTGTTGGAGGGATGCCAAATTTGGCTCTGGGCCGTTCGTGACTGCGTACAGGGTATCTTCATTGAGCACCTCACCAATTAATAAGCGCAGGTTGCGTTTTTTAAACACTTCCGCAAAAGAGCCATCTCGGTAGTATTCAAAGATTCCAGGTTGAACGAAGATATTGTCTGTCACAGGACGGAAGGTGTGGTTGTCAAGGTCCATTATTCCGGTGCAGAGATCCTTGGCACTTATCTTACGCAGAAATTGGAGCTTTTCAACTGTGTTCAAACTGGGAGGCACTCCAAAGTGCCGACAAACCTCCTCAAACTGGGAGTCGGATTCTGCGATGGTTTTTGGCTGCGTTGGAATGGCATTGGAATACACAACCAGAGATCGAAAGTGATCACTTCCAGCAGACCTGAAATCATACAAAGCCTGAGTGAGAACTGAATAAGCGCCTGCGCTACGCCCTGTCAAATGCATTTTGCTGGCATCTCCCCCAAAAGCTTCAATGTGCTTATGGACCCAGTCGATAGCTAGACGTTGATCCCACAGTCCATAGTTGCCCGTTGATTCCCCATTTGACTCTTCAAGAAGAGCATGGCCCGCCAGGAAACCAAAGATATTGAGTCGGTATCCCACCGCAACAAAGACGGCCTGGAGCTTTCCAGTAGAAATAAGCTCCGTCGGATCCATGCTGGCCTCCTGGCTAGGGTCTCCGACCTGGAACCACCCCCCATGGAACCAGATCATGACTGGCCATTTTTTGTCTGGATCGGAAGGATCAGCAACCGGGGTCCAGATGTTGACTCGAAGACAGTTCTCATCATAGACATGCTCCGGGACATGTTCGCTGACCACTTTTGAATAATTTGGTTGAGGGCACACAGGACCAAATACTGTGGCATCGTACGGGTTGACCCCATCAGATGATGAGTAGCTATAGGTGTCCGCCAAAGGCTGCGGCTTTTTCCATCTCAGATCACCAATTGGGGGCTTTGCGTACGGGATACCTGCAAATCTCCGTGACTTGTCATCAAACTGAAGGCCTTTGATACACCCTCGGTTGGGTATGACGACTTGACAGTCCGTGGTGGTGTAAGAGATGGAATTTCCCATGATAGCAGCTGTATATAGAAAGAAGAGAAGAGCAGAGATATGATAGGGGACTGTCTTCTACATAAGAAAACACAATATCACTCACCAAGTGACTAGTTAGGGCTAACTCCGAAGAGGGTAAAGTGGATACCACGTGTGACTGGTCAGATTAATCGACGAGATAAATCAAGTGACTCCGCACTTCTTTTCATCTTTTGATAACATTGACACGGAGGCGAAACATGATAAGATTGACCATGGAATTTGTACTGCCATTATCACTGCCAGCTCATGTTTGAGATTGCTCAAGTCCGTCGTCGTCGAACTGAGCGTGGACCACGGTCCAAAAGCGGTATGTATGGATTCTTCCCCGCACACCTCGTCACAGTTGTGTCTGACTGTTTACCTCAGGTTGCCGTACATGCATATTGAAGAAGGTCAAATGTGATGAGAATCGTCCGCAATGTCATCGCTGCGTGCGCCTCCAACTAGAGTGTGAATGGCCCATCCAGCCGCCTTCCCTATCTTCTAGGAGACGGGGCCTCGGCCCTATCAAGACTAGAGATGCTTGGGCTCCTCAAACAATCCTTCCAAAATCACCCAATCAAAGTAGCTTAAGCCACTTCCCTCAGGCTGATGAGACGAGCGGTGACACATCTACACCACTGGCAACTACCCAATGTCAACGTCGAGACCTGTTTTTCAATCCGGCAAATCCATCTTCACCTGATCCAGTTGAAAGTGGTATTGATCAACCAAATTTCTTGAGCACACCCATAGCTACGGCTATACATGACCAGTATGCGGAATACCCAATCGTGTTTCCTATACAGTCACTTCCATTGCACCATTTCCTAGCAGGTGCGGGTGCTGTTCTTCTTCCTAGTCACGGAGCAGTCAATCACGCCCCTTCTCTCGGTATTAGTGATTCACAAGCTCTACTTTTCCATCGCACCGTGTTCGCGGCTCTTAAGTCCACCCGAAAAGCCACTTCATCGGCACACTGTCTGTTCCTTAGCCTCGCACTACGAAATGCCATGAGCCTTCACTTTCTTCTCGCCGTATCCCATAACGAGCTGGCTTTACATCTAGGATCCTACAGGCAACCGCCTCAAGAGGCATGGAATCATCTGCAACACGGCTCAAGGATCTTTCTACAGGCTCTCAACCCTTTGGCTCCCTTGAACCATGTAGGCACCCTGTTGTCTTTCCTATACATGTACATGTTCTGAATGCGCCGCAACCCCCTTCACTTGCAAAAGCTACAGGAACTGAGTGCTTCGGTTCTAGCCTATGTCAAGAGCTACAATCTAGATGGATTATGCGCAGCTCCCGGCTCCTTAGTACCTGATGCCATGCTACTGTCACGGATCCTCACGTATCTCTACGACCGAGATGGATTCTGTGGATTTTTCGGTTGCGGGGGCTTTTTCGCCAGCTATGTTAGTGAGAATTTTAACAAACGATGGAGGATCTGGCAATTGTCGAGATCCATCTTCACACCACCGAATGAGCAAACAATTTCTCTACGCATGCCTGGCATCCAAGATCCCCCGAAATCCGACGTTTTGAGCGTTTATTTCGAGTTGATTGCCGTACACCATGACATTAACCGATATAGCCAGGCCGCTGAGGCCCAAACACCTGAGGTATTGAGAAAAATCAAACAAAACCTTGCCTGGATTCAAGAAGTAAGTTCTGACTTCTCAACCGAGGCTCATTTCTAATGTGATCTAGCAACATAAGTTTCTGCGGCATCTCATTCCAAGCTGTAGGAGAGAAAGGTCTTCGCCTCCTCTCATGGCTCTGGTCACGGTGACGTTCTTCCATGCCATTCAAGTATACTTCTATCGCAGCCGTGAATCATGCTTTGGCCAGCTCCCTATCACAGCTGAACTTCACTGCATCTTATCAGAGCTGATCGCAGCAGCCTACTATACTGTCGCGGCAGGGCCAGTACAGCTTCTTGAGCGGTTCCAATGGTCTCTTCTCGTAGCTGGACTTGAGACTCACGATCCAGTCCATCTTGATTGGATTTCGACAAACATCTCAGATCCTGTTTTGAGTAATATTTTCATCCTGGTTAAGGAGATGCAGAAGTTACACAGCGTCTCGATGGAGGAAATAAGGCATCTCATCGGCACAATGTCCCACAAACATTTTGAAGGCAGCCTTGAAATGCCTGTAATTTAGGGATAGGATACTTTATGCGGCTGCCAAGAGAATCAATCGATATTTGGGGCTTGACAGTCCAAGCTCGAGGGATTAGGTCTATCTTTGCCTCGCCGCACTCGTATAGAGTACAAGGGGCTCGACCCGAAACCCGATACACGCATAGTTGCCAGTGCCTAGACTTGCTACCAAATAGCTACTATGTACAATGGCCGTGTCTAGGTTTCAAGCACTTGGCCACTAATGAACCCAATACTTACTCGATATGGTCTACTTGCTTTTTAGGTCCTCTTGGCACTCGATTAATGTGACCAATCACTGAGTTCGATTTATCAAGACCAGATCCCCGACAAACCAAGTGCGGAGTCCAGATTTACCAGCCGATCTGTTCTTAGGAGTCGTTGGTTGTGAATGCTTTCCCCGTTATCTGGCTCCTGTGGTGTTCCCCGGGTTCTTATAAGATTTGCATGCCACCCCTTGCTTACCATCACAATTGATCTGCCTCGGTCCTTTGTTGCTTGTTTGCTACTTCTGGTGTGACTTTGAATTATACTCTTATTCTTCATCATGGGCGCAAAGGAGCCCCGCAATGAAAGTGAGACCAAATCGGATATAGCAAAGGAGAATGTATCCGCTGTGGAATCCGGCACCACAGACGCTCTTGATCTGGCAGCAGAGAAGAAGTTGATCAGGAAGATTGATCTCCAGTGATTCGATCCCTCTTACTCTGCATGGAACCCAAACTGACTTGGCCTATAGCCTTATGCCGATCTTGATCACCGCTTATGGTCTTCAGTACCTTGATAGTATGTCCAATTCTCACCGGGTGTTTGTAGAGAAAAGTTGACTTACGCAAAACAGAGACCAGCCTCGCATACAGTGCCATCCTCGGAGTTCGAGAAGACCTAGTTCGTTCATCTACAATGAAGAAAGCCCCCATGGCTACGAGCTAACTCCGAACAGAGTCTCGTCGGGCAACAGTATAGTTGGACATCCAGCATTTTTTACATCGGCTACCTAGTGGCCTCCTATCCCATTTCGTTGGGGTTTGTCCGATTCCCACTTGGCAAATACCTCAGCGTACTAATGTAAGTCCACATCTTGACCATTGAGTTCCGCGAAGCTCACAAGTACAGCTTCCTTTGGGGCATTGTCCTGACACTTCATGCCGTGACCACTAATTACGCAAGCCTCATGGCACTCCGAACACTTCTGGGTATCTTCGAGAGTGCCATCAGTCCTGGGTTCTCTCTCATAACAGGAATGTGGTATACCCCCCGCGAGCATGTTTCGCGACACTCCATCTGGTTTGCAGGAAACGCGATTGCCAGTATCATTGGCTCCCTCATTGCGTACGGTCTGCTCAATTATGAGGGAAGCATATCTCAGTGGAAGGTTCGATATCATCCCGAAGTTCAACTGTATAAGACGATTTGAAGACTCACAATCCTAGCTTCTCTTCCTTCTATTCGGCCTGATAACAATCGCGTGGTCGGTCGTGACATTCTTCTATCTGCCTGACTCTCCCCAAACTGCCAAATTCCTCTCGCCCTCCGAGCGCGAGTTCGCAGCGCTACGTCCGTACAAGTTCCAAAGGACTACCCAGACCAAGTCGTGGGATCGCGCACAATTCATTGAGAGCCTGACGGATATCAAGTCCTGGTGGTTCTTCTTTTTCTCGTTTGTCATTTGCGTGCCAAATGGAGGTACAACGAGCGTGAGACTCACTCCTTGCACATGGGGGATTCACAACTGACAAAATCCACAGTTTAGTACTCTGATCATCAACGGCTTCGGATACGATAAATTCCAAACTATTCTCATGGGACTGCCAGCATCTGGGTTTCAACTAGTCACGGTCATCTTATCAGCCGTTCTCACATCGGCGATTCGAAAATCCCGGCTGGTGACGCTCATCGGCATTTTTTTGGTGGCCATGACCGGCATCCTCATGGTGAAGCTCTTGCCTGCCGATGAGAAGATTTCCCGCCTTGCTGGTTTCTGGCTTGTCACAGCGGTCGCTCCGGCATTCCCTTTGATGCTGTCGTTGGCAGCCAGTAACATTGCCGGCTTCACCAAAAAGTCGACCGTTATGGCTTTTATTTTCTTGGGATACTGTGCCGGAAATTTAAGTGGCCCGCAGTTCTTTATTTCAACGGAAGCTCCCAATTATAAAGTATGGAATAGTCGTTCCCGGTTGCATTGTTCCGTTCATCGTTAACAATCTGTTTCCCTAGACGGCTTATACTACAATTTTGGTCTGCTACGCAATTACCATCGGTCTCCTCATCGGGTTTAGATTCTATCTTATGCGGGAGAACGCTCGCCGGGATAGGGAGCAGGGAGTGAAGATTGATCCTGAAGAAGTTCGTCATATCAGGCCAAGTCAGGATGAGGATGTGCTTACTGTGGACGAAACAGACATTCAGAATCGGAGTTTCAGATACATCCTTTAAGTGTTTAGGACAAGTGAAACGTATTTTTCATGTTATACATGTATCTTCTTTACTTTGTTTCTTGGGTGCTCTCCAAGGATAGTGAGAATAGCACGGTTTCAGATAGGAAGCAGTAGTTCGATCATTGCATGATTCACTGCGTAAAGCAAGAATTTAAAGAGCATACAATTGGAAATATTGCCAGTGTTGCTTCTGAGGGTCTTAGTTCAGAAGTTAGGGATCTTCCACTATCCAAGTCAGACTTTAGGCAGCTGCTGACGAGTTCAATCCCCCAAACATCCTTGAAAAGCCCCCTCGACCTTCACCCCCGAGTTTCCAACACGAAACTTATGAGATCTTAACTTTCGTCATTTATATCGTTTCAAGTCCATCTTTTACACTCATTCACGATGCCAGTCACGGAGATCGCCCTCCTCCGCTTGAAAACCGAGGGTCTCCTCCCATCCACCAAAGCAGGACTCCTAGAAGCCCAGCAGGCACAGTCCGAACAATCCAATCACAAAGTACATCTTCTGCGCCAGGTAGAGGATGCAGCATGCATATACTTGCTAGGCGGATGGGAGTCGATTGAAAAACACATGAACGATTGGATTCCGTCCGCGACCAATCAACGCTTGCTTCAGCAACTGCAAGGGGACCTTGAGGTGAAGTGGATGTTCCATCTGGATCTGGATGTGAGTCCAATTTCTGATCTCGCAAGTCCCTCTTTCGAGGTCCACGGGTCTTCATACTTGGAAGAGATCATAGGGTGTAATGGAGTAGCGCACAAGCTAACAGTCCAAGCCATCAACATCGCAGATCCCCCTCGACGCTCCGATGCTGGCTATAAGCAGGTACTTTGTTGATTCACTGAACAAAGAAGAGTTTGAAAATATCTTACGGGCGGGAGGGTCTAATCTGGTTGTATCTACGCCGTTTCCCTGCTGTGGTGGATGGCGTATTGATCGGGATGGCGAGGATGAGGAATTTGTGCTTTTTAGCGGCTGGAAGGAAGTTGATGATTACTTTGGAATTGTAGATTCTGAGGGATTGAAGGGATTTAGGGAGATTGAGGGCTTGATTAAAGGGGTGGAAGTCAAGCAGATACGGAGTGAAGAATCCCTGTGAGGGGAGGATATATTCTATGTGAAGTCAAAGTAGGCACCTCAATCAGTGAGTCATGAGAATATGCTTCAACCTAGAATTGAATCCCCTCATAACCTCGGAAAGTGACGATATCTTCATAAGTAAGCGCATCGGAGTCCGACATCCCCGGCCCTAAGCACTAAGCTGCTCAGTGGCACAGCCAGCGTGATCGCGTCAGTGGGAACTTCAACTTTTCATCTCCCTATCTCAGCAATGGAGGAAAAGAGACAACCCATGTCATATCAGAAGAGAGCATCGCCCTGGAGAACCATCTTCTGGGCAGCTGTCATTGGCGTGGGCCTCTGGCAGTTCGGTGCATTTCGACCCCTGGGGCGCTGGACCTGCCCGGATCATCAAGCCCCAAAGTTGCCCTACGGAAGATTTCCACAAGAAAACGATCCGTTCCACTTCATTCCATGTACCGACACCAGTCGGCCACCGCCACTTGACGACCCTGCTGCAGCGCAATCATGGGCCGCTCTGTTCGATCCCAATCCCAATCACTGGAGCTGGGGCAGCACGAACGGAATCTACCTGTGCGGGTATCTTGACCTCCCTCTGGATTACCACAACGCGTCAGACCATCGCATTGTCCGCCTCGCCGTGACCAAGTTTCAGGTCGCCGGGCTGGCCCCTATCAGCGATGCCGGCTTGTCACCAAACAGCCGCAAAAGTGAGCGCACTATCATTATCAATCCGGGAGGCCCAGGAGGTAGTGGAACTTCCTTCCTGTGGGACACGGCAGAGGAGATGACCAACCGCTTCAGTGACGGTCAATTGGATGTGCTGGGATGGGACCCTCGCGGGGTGAATTTCTCTCTCCCCGCCGCGGCATGTTTCCCTCAGGATAGCCTGCGAGACAGGTGGTCCCTCCTATCACTCTGGTACCGCGAGGAAGCCCCAAAGTCCCAGCTAGAGACGGTGGATGCCATAAATAATGCCACATTCTTTGCCTGCCAGCAACGCCTGGGTGATTTCGGTCGCTTCGTCAGCACGGCGTCGGTGGCCCGCGACCTAGACGAGATCCGAAAAGCACTTGGTGAAGACGAAGTCACCGGATATTTAGTCAGTTACGGCACAGGAATTGGGCAGACCTATGTCAACATGTTTCCCAACCGAGCTGGTCGCATAATCCTCGATGGCACAGAATATGTCAGGGACCATCGCCTCCTAGGCGGTTTCGGCTGGACAGCTCTGGACAATACGACGGATGCTTGGAATGATGGATTCCTAGGGGAATGTATCAACGCCGGTCCGGAATGGTGTGCGTTGGCCAAACCAGTTTCAAGCCAGGATGACCCCGTCACACTGACCCAGCTGGAAGCGCGCATGAACCAGCTGCTCGAGTCGCTCAAAGTCCGTCCTCAGTCTGCCTACACGGAATTGAGCGGTCCGTCCTTGGTCACGTATTCAGCGCTCGTGGACCGGATCCTCTACCCGGCTATGTACAGGCCGATGGAATGGCCCCGGACGGCGCAAATCCTCGCTGAGCTCGAAGCAGGGAATGCAACTTTGGCAGCGAAGTGGCTAGACCTCACATGGAGTGACCACCCTGATAAGCCATCCGATCCCCACAACCCAGCATCTAGTGAACTAGAACTTCTCGTGATATGTTCCGATGCATATGATGCACCTCTTCCCGATGGCCTCGACTGGTGGGATAGACTGTGGGGAAGCATGACCGATCGCAGCTGGATCGCCGGAAATTCTCGCTTCTTCGCCGTTCTCCCTTGTCGACATTACCGAGAGTATTGGGATCGCCCGTCGGAAGTGTACCGCGGGGATCTGAACAACACGCTCAAGACACCCACCCTACTGATCGCTTCTCCATATGACCCTGCAACACCCCTGCGCAATGGAAGAAGACTCCTAGCGGAGATGGGCCACAATGCCCGTCTCATTGTCCATAATGCTTACGGGCATAGCTCTAGGCGTGATGGCTCCGAGTGCACGGATCAAATCGCCAAAGCTTACATTCTAGATGGCACTCTTCCTGAGGAGCAGGAAGTTCATTGCTTCGCCGATAACAAGCCTTATATTTCTAGTTCCGTCGATGGCAAATAAGTATGTTTTACATACATACATTCACGTCGAGATATCGATTTAAGCTTTCTATATAACACTCCGGTGGAGACCAAAGTTCGGCATATTTTCAGCGGTCCCTGGTTCTGATGTCCCAGAGTTAGGGCTTCACATATAACTTATATGTTAGTCACTATATTGCTTCTGCAGCGATACAGCCCATAGCACATCCTATTTCAAGTCTACTGTAGCAATGAGACCCCACTATTAGGCGGTCCTTACAAGCCCCAAAAAAGCAAAAGCAAAAAAGAAACTCTCCCTCGGGGAATCGAACCCCGGTCTCCCGCGCTTATCGGTATTAATGACAAGCGGAAATCATCACCACTAGACCAAGGAAGATTGAATGACCGAGTTACTGCTCGACCACTTGGCTGGTTGATAAAAACATAGAGGCTACTATGGATATATACTTATCAAGTCCAATTGTCTCCAACTTGGAAACCTAACGATCGGGAAATATATTTTATTCCGTACATTACCTACGTGCTGCTGTGATACATGCTCCCAGTAATTCTTGATCTGTCTTTGGTACTAGTAGGCTCCCATGCTAACGGGTTACTTGAGAAGGGAATGGCAGATATTGCGTCGTTCATGGGCATTCGAGGAAGGGTTAAGCGATTATTGTTGGTACTAGAAGTGTAAGAAGGGCTTTGAAACGTGGGCATCTGCTGTCAAATATCATAGATAATATTGGTGTTCGAACCAGTAGCCGAGTCATGTTACTCAGTCAATCCATGTGTAACCACCTGAGACCTGATATATAGCTGTTATATATAATGCATCTAGGATGATCGTAACAATCGACAGTTCGACCAGTATCAAATCGTTAATCGACAATAGGCCAAGCGCTAGAAAACCATCATTTCTACCATGGAGGCTGAAAATAAAAACAAAACAAAATGCGCTAACTGACAAATAGGAGGTTGACATCAGAAGTCGAGCCTGACCTCGACAGTTGAACCTCCACCACTGGCTGTGTTGTTGATCTCGGAAATCTCAGCAATCATGTCCTGACCATCCGGGATTCGCTGGACTACATCGTCGTCAATGATGACTTTCATTCCATTTTTGACCTGGAATAGATGCAGAATGTGATCCTGGGTGAAGCGTTGCTTTTGGGATATTTTCGTCATCAGTTCCTTTGCGGTACGCTCCGTCAGATATACCGCTGTGTGGTAATCATCCTGCTGCGTGTAGCTTTTCTGGAATCGAAGATAGAAACAAGCAACTGGTTGGAGAGTCAGAATAGGTTCTATGAGGGATATGGGACATGGGACATGGGCTTACCAGGTGCTTTATGCACGCTAGCGGCAGGCTTCGAGTCAGCTTGCCCGGTAGTTGGTTCTGGAATTGGTGGAATTGCATCCTTTTGGAGTCCTGGTGTTCGGTGATCTGTCGAGTTGATTGACAGCTTGCTCGACATGTTGCCCACAGTTGATGCCTGCAAGTTCACCTTGTTATCATCTTCTTGCTTCACGTTGTCGGCCATGTTGATCGGAAACAGCTCCGGGTCATCCTTTCTGTTGCCCGGCAGATGGAAAACAGTCACAGGCCGGTTGGAATAGAATCGCTTTTGCATCATGGCCAACTCATCATCCAAGCTTTTTTGCAGCTGATCTCTCCTCTCCTCCTCGAGCTCTTTGTCGCTCTTATAACTCGCAAACCGACTTCCTCGCTTTCGCTTTCCAAGGCTATCACCTCCGTTTTCGACTTTTCCAAAATCATGTCTCCGTCGTTCAATGGCCCGCTTCAGCTGGGAGACATCATTGAACATTTTTCGTTCCGCTCCATGCTCACGGAATAGTTTCACCTTGCAACAGCTTAGCTCGGCAGGTTCTTTGCCGATAGTCTCGGTCTTAGCACATAATTTGATAGAAGCTCCCTTCACACCCTTTATGTGACTGAAATCCGTTGAAAGGAAGTGGAAGCGGACCCCCATCGAGCAACCTCGCCTCCCGGAAGCTGGGTCCGAGTACCATGACACGCAAAATCCATCCAGAGCAATGCTTTCCAGTTGGATATGATCGCAGGTTTGGCCTTCCTTCTCTGGGAACAAGCCCACAAACTCAATAGCATATAAGTTTCCATCTTTCTGATATGCCTCATGCCCTCGAGCCTCCTTCCATAACGCCCAAGAAGCGGCCGGATTCGATGCCTGCTCGTCGTCGTCAAAGGTGACCCGGATCCAGCTTTTATATCTGACAATGTCGTTGGTCAACGGTGGGGCAGAATCCACAATCGATAGAGGGTATATTTGGGCTTTGTTGAGATAGGTGATAGGCGGATGTTTGGGATCATTCATCATGGCCGTGGGCGTATTCAATGTCACCTGATACCTGAATCTAGTGAACAGTCAGCTCGTCCCCGCTACCCGGCAAATCAGGATATAAGTCTTACTGCTGGTCGTTATGGCTTGAGTGGTTCGTATCCGGTGAATGGCTATCTTGCGGGGTGACAAGCTGGGGATTCCGTGTCTGCTGATTATTGACAGCACTGGGAAACATCGCCTCCTCCGTTCCATCGAGAGTACTATGGGCTAAGTGGGAGTGATCAAATGCGGAGGGCGGATATGCATCGTGCTGATACACAGGAGCGATGGTTTGAGGCTCTTGCGCCACGGAATGCGTATTTGCAACATCCTGAAATGGATCGATGTTATTTCTATGTAGTGGAGTGACCGCGAATTGTTCAAGAAGCGTTTTTGGGGTCATCAAGCTGGAGTCCACGAGGGGCGTGTGCAAGTCGCCGGCGGGGCCATGAAAGACGGTATTGGAACTGCTCGGATTGTAATTTTGGTAAGTGTGATTTGCATTTGGCGTGAGAAGGAACTGATCATCCAGAAACGGCGAGAATCGAAGACCAGACTGGTCGTTCAACAAGGGCGTAAAGCGCAGACCAGGAGTGCCCCGAGCAGACCGATAATTTGAATTCTCATTGTTCTCCGTGGGTCTGAGACACGGCATGTCAGCTGATTCCCATGAATGTTGGGAGTCCAGGGGTGTGATGAAATCATGGGAAAAGATGTAGTCGATATCACACAGCATGAAACATACCCAGGAGGATCACATCTGGTCGGCCGCACAATGTCAGAAAATGTTGCCTGGAACTTGTTAATAAGGCCCTCGTCGGGCTTCTGGGAATTCCGCCTGCATCGAATAATTAGTATATCGTTTTGCGCTCTCCTGTGATGTCCAGGATATCGTACCTATTGCCGAACATTTGTTACTGTGAAATCGAAACGCAGGACTAGAAGAATTCCAAAGAGTAGAGTAGACGAGGGGCAGTCTACGCGTCTGTCCCGAGTATACCAAAATTGAGCAGCTGCATAGACTGCCGCTCCATAAACGGGGACATCGGTAGTCACACCCACCAGTTAAAGCTTGGTGGGGCGTGTTTTACCCCTTGGGCAAGTCTAATAAGTCCAATGGAACTGTCGGAGGCCCAAAGTACGGTACTTTTCTCCACTTCATCGATGCTCGGTGGTGTTCGTTCTTCGAAACTTCCCCTGATGTGACATCGGTGGAGATTTGACGGGCCAGTCAACGGTTGTGACTGGTCGCCGATTTATCACCGACCGTCGTGACGTCATATAGTTTGTCTTGGATTTCTTTGAAGCACTTGGTCGCGCAGTTCTGGAGAAATAGATCTTAATTGAACTAATACTGTAGACAAGTGTGTGGTATATATATACGTATATGGACAAATCGTGAACCTATGCCCGACCGGCGGGGACATCAAGCCATTGCGACAACCCAAATGATATCATGTCCGTCATGGTGAAGTTCACTGCTTAGCCTGTTCTGCAGGATTGTTAGCCATTGGTCAATTGGGTGTAGGATGATCAACGTACCCTTGTGGACATCGGCCTTGGTGTCGTGCACTGTCTCGTCCTTCTTGTCGACGAGGGCATCCTTGGCTGCGGTGGCACGAGTGGAAATCTTGGCATCGTCGTTCTTTGCGACGTGCTTGTTGGTCTCCTTGGAGGCCTCAGCACCAGTGCCCTGCACGGTCTCGGCAACGTAGTTGGCGGCGTTCTGGAGTCAGGTCAGTTAAGGTCAAGACAGGGGGAATGGCGGCCACGAACCTTGACGGTCTCCATTGTGATGAGTGAAAAGTAAAGATGAAGTGGTAATATGAGTGGATAGCTTGTTTGTTTGTATAGAATTAATCTGCTGGGAAGTGGCTCTATTTATGTTGTCGAAGGATGTTCCCAAAGGTTGGACAGCACACGACGTCATCCTGGATCGTCATACCCAGTTCCCCCACAACCGGCCCCTATGGCTGGAAGTCAGGAATAGTAACATGTTTTCAAGGCTGTGATATAATAATGACAGCATGTTCTGGTTTACATTCACTGGTCATGTCAAGAATAACCAATGTTTGTTCCTCATACTGTAGTAAACTTCCAACTTTCTACAGATGACATAAGTTATCCAACTCTCAACTCTGCCCTAAATTAACTGATTATTCACCAATGACCATGATATGATCTTCAATGGACAGTACTGTACGGTATATGTGTCTAGATCATTCTATATGGGCAAGTTACTCATGATTAGAGAGTCCATAGCCGAGGGTCAGTAGCATAACCCGAGGCCAAGATTGTTCAGTTGGCATCCCCGATAAGATCGAAACTTGATTTTGTGACTGAATAGATACAAAGCAAGGCAATTTGAATAATAATGAGGTCACTGTCCATTGCCTTATCCAATAGCTCCTGACACCCATGCCACTGTACTACTATTCGCAGAAATAGCACCAGCATCTCTTTCGTCCACAAAGTCTTCAGGGAAAGCAGTCTCATATGCGCCCCGAATTTCATCTGCTTAGCTGTTAGTAACAACAATAGATAAATTGTCCCGCCATAACCCAACTTGCCTTTCATTCCATTCAACGCCTCAAAGGCTTGCGAGTAATTCGCAGCCGCAGTGATCGTCCGCCGCAGACCATTCCGAAGCTCAGTTATGTGTTCTGCATGTGAAGGGACGGTACTTCCTTGATCTGATCCTGAACCGAAATTCACACCCAACCCCACACGAGCTTTATAGAACAACATGAGCATTGCGTAGCTGCTTTGCATGAGACAACAGGCAAAAGACGGCATTGTTCGAGGAAGCATCCCGCCAATGAGCTGTTGCCGATAAGACTTCTGCAAAGGATGTGGGATGGGCAGACTCTCAAACATTTTCGAAATGGTAATTGCAGCTCGATAACAGATCCTCGTGGATTCCTGGACGCTGTAAGGGAACTCTGGCAGGAAAGGCCCCCGTATAGTCGAAGAAACCGGGTTCGAATGGACAGACTGGAAGGATGACTCGACAGAAGAGGCATTTTGGAATGGCTTCAAACTGCTGCATGAGCATGACGGGTTTTCTGTCTCGGCCTGAGATACCACAGCGTTTCCATCTGTTTGGGTGTTTGAATCGTCTGTGTAAGCGACTGCGAGATCGCAGTGCTTCTTGATGAAAATTGGGATATCAGAGAAGGCTCGGAATCGGTGGATCTTGATATGGGCACTGTTGGACTGGTCAGATCTGAACTCAGCGTGGTTTATGTCGTGCGTGCATACCTGCTTAATTTGATTCGAGACATCGCGCGAACGCTTTTGGCTGTGATGATCTCGTGGTATTCGCTTCCGTCGGGCTTGTCTGCGAGAGTTGGAAGCTGGTCGACTTGCACGAGTAGGGATTTTGCCCAGGTATCAAGTCTTTGCATTTCCTGGAAGACAGGGTTGAGGCTTGTTCGGAACGAAATTGCTCTGTCGAGGTCGGTGATGTACTGAGTGGCAGAGACCAGCAGTTGTTGTGTTTGTATCAGGATTGACCAACCCTAGAAATAGTTGGCAAGTCATGTCAAAGATGGCTGGAACTGACCCGGAAGAGTGACTGACCTCTTTATCTGACGAAAACGTTGGATATGGAGTTTTGAATTCAGGGTCGTTGATCGTGATGGTAAGAGGCTGTTCTGTCAGTCATATGACACGGATTGCTCGCTTTCCAGAGCAATACTCACAGTAGCGTTGACAATGGAGCATTGGACGAAGCAGTAGTACTACGAGAATTGTTAGGATTGTGTTGTCAACAATGCAAAAGAAATTGAAAGTTCGAACCGTCATCCACCAAGCTCTTCTTCGAGCTTCTGAATCTCCATCTTCGACCATCCAACGATCAAGGGATTTACCCATGGCAATAGACAAGGCTTGGCCAGCGCGAGACTTCATCTTCAAGACATTTCCTCTCTGCGCATATTCGTACACCGAAAGTACTAGCAAAGCCAAAAGACTTTCAAGTTCCACCGATGTGTGATCATGGAATCTTCCCCGAGGAATCGAGGGCTGTTGGTTGGGTAGCGCTTGGCTTAGATCGCATGAGGACTCATAGTCCAAATCTTCTTCTGCTTTCGAGCTTGCAAGAGTAGCAAATGTGTGTGCATATGCCCTTCGTTGAATAACGGAGCTCTCAGAGAGTGGCTCCGGGTCCTCAGGGTGCGGAATCAAAGCTAGAATTGCTGATATAGCGAGGCTCAAGGGGGATTGAGGCACATAGAGCATTGCTGGGCTTTTAGGGGGGAATACAGTATACGGAGTATGGTCTTCAATTGGCTGATCAGGCATGGGTGGTGACACCCTGGGTGGTAAAATAGGGAAGTAGTTATGGATGAAGTCGTAATACGCGTTGAGTCTGTTTTGGATGTTAGAATACCGTGGAAATCTACGAGACAGAGGATCTTACATCTGTGGCTCACTCCCGTAAGTTCTTACCAGGAACTTCGGAAAATTGCTATAGTGTGATGCTACTGAATCAGTTTGCATCAGAAGTTGATCACTTTCGGCAGTGTCGGAGGGCTGAGAAGGGGGAGAGAGATCCATTGGATCCAAAGCGTGCAAGCCCGCCGCTGGTACAGATAAGAAATCGAATTGGTCAAACATGAAGCCTTGAGCGATCAGAGTGATGCATTGAAAAGATTTCTGGAGAGAAAAGTCATACCTTTCTCCAAGCCGGTGTCAAACACCGATTCTGGGTGATGCGCATCATCGTGAGGTGTGTAATGTTCGGGAGAATGGCTTTGAGGCCTTTTTTTGCGGGGGCCTCCACGTCTGCTGGGAACGTACGAGCATTCTTTGCCTTTGGATGTACACTGGACTCATGTGAGTTGTCGACACGATACAGGGGGATTGATCCACCTACAAGGCTACAGGGCTTCCGCCCGTCGCATCGGATCCTCGAAACCCGACTGTGTTTTGAGTTTAGCCATGGGAGAGACAGTGAGACTGGACACTTACCAATTCAGACAGGCCACCTTGACCGGTGGTTTGGCAAACTTCCTCCCCAGCATAGTGTGGAGCGCAGATGGTTCGACAACCACAGCAAAGGCGAGTCATTTGGGTGAATCATGCCACAGTCAGAGTGGGGGAGGCTAAAACTAAGCTTATCCGCCCCCTGGGATCATGACGTCGATTTGTCAAGTTGGAATTTCTACCCACTCATGGACTAATGAGATAATCTAGTGAAAGCGATCGCTATGGATAACGTTTTATCGCCAAGATGGTACTTGTGGGGTTGCTCTATACCTCGTTACCTGTTGGAGTGTCTTGTTTATAGTGGCTTTCCATTGAACACCTTATCGCGGCCAACATACATGAGAATATGGAATGCCTTTCTAGAATTACACAATGAAAGAGTTCTATGAAAGGGTATAGTAAAAGTGGAGTAATTTGATATTGACTGTGTCAACCCTAAGTATCACGATCCATAAAAAATGAGAAACACCACGAACATGAGCAAAGAAGCTCTCCCATTTCATCAGCGTCGATACCACATCCTGACAATCTGTGTGCGCCGCATCTTTCTCTTAAGAAGGAAAATGCCATAAAGAAGAGCCTCTGCAGTTGGTGGGCATCCAGGGACATAAACATCAACTGGTACAAGACGGTCCACACCACGAACCACACTGTAGCTGTGGTGGTAATACCCTCCACCATTGGCGCAACTACCCATGCTAACCACCCACTTAGGGTCAGGCATCTGGTCGTACAGCTGTCTCAAAGCCGGGGCCATCTTGTTCACAATTGTGCCGGCTACAATCATCACATCAGCCTGTCGTGGCGAGCTTCGGAAAAAGATGCCCAGTTGGTCTTGATCATAACGAGGCATGGAAGTGTGCATCATCTCAACTCCACAGCAGGCAGTGGCGAAGGTCAATGGCCAGAGGGACCCCTGCCGTGCCCAGTTGACAAGCTCGTCGGCTTTGGCCCTGAGTAGCACAACAAGTTAAAACTGATACAATCACATTGTACTGGTAACATACACAATATAGCCAGTCTTTCCAGTTTTCTGGTTTTGGGGCCGCTTGGGCGCAGGAGGGCTGTTCTTGGAGACTCGAGGCAGGCATCGGGTCATCGCAAGCGTGGGCGAGGATGGAGACTGTAGCCAATTTGGGTTGGCGCGGCGAAACATGGGAAAGGCTTTCCGAAACATCATCATGAATGGCGAAGATATTGGGCATGAGTAGGCGTAGAAGAGAGTTAGTTCCATCGCAAGTTCTGTCGTTTCTGTCGATGATATTCAGCTCTTGCCAGTTGGGACACATCTATATTCGAACCAATCACATGCCCTGCCGAACTTGAAACCATCAACCTTTGCAATTTCTGCTACACAATCAAGTCACAGTTGTCCCTCATCTCGGTCACAGGTCAGATACCATCGCAGTCAAAGTGTCGTGTGCTCCAAGTGCCGTAATTCCTGACTGTAAGGTGGACCTGACCACTGGGCCAGAGTCTCTATAATAATTTGGACTAAACTTTTAGACCAGACAGCGAATACCCATCGGGTTATTCTTCTCAGTTGTCAACCGGTAATAATGGAAGACACTTCAACACTCGCAATAGACACAGAACTCTCATGTTCTACTCTAGGGTAGGGTACTGTTTAGCATGACTAATCGTAGCTTCGGCCCTAGGGTATACGGTGAACAATCACCTTCAGATGAAGCATACGGCAATATCAACTCTTCGTGAGGCATCTCACCATCTGGATTTGTATAGATCGGGAAGGGTTCCGACGGTTCTATCCAGCCAAGACGCAGCACCTCCAAAGTCCAAGAGAGACAATGCTAGCGTGCACTGGCAGATTGAATTGACCACTGGCATTGCTCATAACCCATTCCCTTTCCCACACCTTCACAGCCCCAGCTTTCTCCTCGGAAAGCCCTTCCTAACCCGCGAGTGATAGGGTTCGGCACTCCAGGGGATCCGTCCCCTCTGATTGGTTCAAATCGCCGAGCATATCTTATCGGAATATCGGTTGTATGGGGAAACTGACTAAGGCGGTTGACCTCGGGCTGGGGTAAACTACTTGTACTTCCATTCCCCTCCTGTTTCGACTGCATCTTGTCCTTCCTCTCTTGATTGGTGACACGTATTGTCTGAGACATCCGCCTTTTCGTTTCCTATCTTTGCAATTCATTATGGCCGCTTGTCGGTCTGTTGCCCGATCCATCCCCGCTCTCCGCGCTCCCCGCACGGTGACGGTGACCGCCAGAGCTGCATCTCAGACTCGATCCCTTCTCACAACCTCTACACCCATCGCGAGAATGGCCTCCCTTAGATCTGCTGCTCCTTCTCTCACTGCTACTCGTGCCTTGCACGCTACCGCGGGCAAATTCACCCCTGCAACAACCTCGGCCAACTCCACAGCTACCGAATACCCGACTAACCACCAGAAGATTGCCAACCCCATTGACACGGCAAACTTCATCAACAACGAGTTTGTTTCATCCAAGGCAACCAAGTGGATCGATCTCCATGACCCGGCCACCAACAACCTGGTGACTCGTGTCCCCCAGAGCACCAATGAGGAGTTGAAGGCCGCCGTGGAGTCGGCCGAGAAGGCCTTCCCTGCCTGGAAGAACACCAGCATCATTGCTAGACAGCAGATTCTGTTCAAGTTTACTGCTCTCATTCGCACCCACTGGGACCGATTGGCTGCCTCCATTACCCTGGAGCAGGGTAAGACCTTCGCAGATGCCAAGGGTGATGTTCTCCGTGGTCTCCAGGTCGCGGAGACTGCCTGTGGCATCACCACCCAGATGACCGGCGAGGTCCTGGAGGTAGCCAAGGATATGGAGACACGAAGCTACCGTGAGCCTCTCGGTGTCGTTGCTGCCATCTGCCCCTTCAGTAAGTTGAACTAAGATGTGTTTCCACGCTCAATGCTGACCCCCACTAGATTTCCCTGCCATGATTCCTCTTTGGTGTATTCCCATTGCTACTGCTACCGGTAACTGTCTGGTTATGAAGCCATCTGAGCGTGATCCCGGTGCCGCAATGATTCTGGCTGAGCTCGCCCAGGAGGCCGGCTTCCCTCCCGGTGTCATTAACATCATCCACGGCTCCGCTCCCACTGTGGACTTCATTCTTGATGAGCCTGCCATCAAGGCTATCAGCTTCGTTGGAAGCAACCGTGCTGGTGAATACATCTACACCCGCGGTTCTGCCAATGGCAAGCGTGTTCAGGCCAACCTCGGTGCCAAGAACCACGCCGCCGTCTTGCCCGACTGCAACAAGAACCAGTCTCTCAACGCCATTGTCGGTGCTGCCTTTGGTGCTGCCGGACAGCGCTGCATGGCTTTGAGCACTTGTGTTATGGTTGGCGAGACCAAGGAGTGGCTGCCCGAGATCGCTGAACGTGCCAAGGCCCTGAAGGTCAACGGTGGCTTTGAAGAGGGTGCCGATCTTGGCCCTGTCATCAGCCCCGAAAGCAAGAAGCGCATTGAGGACCTGATTGCTAGTGCCGAGGAGGAGGGTGCTACCATCCTTCTGGATGGTCGTGGATACAAGCCCGCCAACTACCCCAACGGCAACTTCGTAAGTCTTCCTACAATGATGACATCCTTTCACAAACTAACCCTATCTGACAGGTTGGCCCTACTATCATCACCAATGTTACCCCCGATATGAAGTGCTACAAGGAGGAGATCTTCGGCCCCGTCCTTGTCTGCCTGAACGTTGAGACTCTTGACGATGCTATCAGCACCATTAACGCCAACGAGTACGGCAACGGTGCTGCTGTATTCACCCGCTCCGGCTCAACCGCCTCCAAGTTCCAGAAGGAGATTGAGGCTGGTCAGCTCGGAATTAACGTCCCTATTCCCGTCCCACTCCCCATGTTCTCCTTCACCGGTAACAAGAAGAGTATTGCCGGCGGTGGTGCCAACACCTTCTACGGCAAGCCCGGCTTGCAATTCTATACCCAGCAGAAGACTGTCACCAGTCTATGGAAGAGCGAGGATGCCACCAGCACCAAGGCTAGCGTGGTGATGCCCACTCACCATTAATCCTTGGGTGACTATAATGATTTCTTTCTTCCTTTTAGCCATCATTGACCTGTTGATTTTTGTTTGTGCTCGACAAAAATTTGCGTCATGTCTCATGATTTTATCCCAAACATATTCTTGATGTTCATACGACATTACTCTAAACATTGATCTCCAAATTGGAACGTGTATGCAAGCTGGACGATTCCAAATATATTCCACTTACAATATCCTACAAACAACCCAATAAAGCAAACGCTAGATTAATCTAGGGGTAATAATAGCAAGCCCAAATAAAACCAGCTCCTGATAGGACATGTAGCAACACCTACTCCTCGACACGTCGAGCATTAAAAGAGTAAACAAGTCGAGCCATCTCAACCTTGCCATCCTTGGTAACAACAACACGACGGGTATGACGACGCTCGCCCTCCACAAGCTCAAATCCCCAAACCTGCTCAGCAGTCCAACCAGCCTCATCATTCCTCACAAAGCTCTGCAAGAAAACCCCCTCCCCATCCTCCCCAGAGAATCCCTCACTCTTAGATCCATCCACGAGAACCTCACCACGCAAGAACTTCCCATTCTTGGCATCGGCCTCCGCCTCCCCAACCACAGTCTGCACTTCGAGAGTAGGGCGCAAGGCACCCTCCTCACTCTTACCCTCTAGTAGACGGGATCGGCCGTGCAATGTGCCGAAGATGTTGTCGGTGTGGTCGCGTTCTGTCCAGTCGGTTACGCGGCACTCCTTTGTTCCTTGGATTCCGCCGGTGACTACTTGCTGGATGTCCACGTGGTGGATGGTGGGGGTTTCGGTGTCTGGGTAGCTGTGGATGTAGAGGGTTACGGTTGCGTAGCCGAGGGTTTTGCGGAGGAGCCAGCCCATTCCTTGCTGTTTGTTGGTTAGTTGGGGGTTCTGTGGTGGTGGTGGGTAATGATAGCTATGGTACGATTTTGGCTATTGGGGGTATCGGGTAGATAGGGAATAGGGTAGGTGTGCTTCGAATTTGGATTTCTTGAAGCTATTGGTACTATGGAGCGTTGGGTATGATTGAGGCTTGGGCTTGGGACTTTTGAGAACTCCAGTACATACCAGAGCTAGAATGGGGTCTGTTGGGTTGGACAGAGTAGAATCCTGTTACACCGTTGTAAGTATTACTTCTTTGGTTCATTTCAGTATATGAACTTACCATCACCCATTCACCACTAAGGTTTTTGATAGTGATATCAGCTGGGGCGGCCATCTTGACTGTTGGTAGCAGATGAAGTTGAAGTTGGAGATGATCAAGTAGAATGCGGGGTGGTGGGGGGAAGTATAAGATGTAGGAGCTCGGGAGCGTCGAGGGGGCAAACGTGAGAACTGAATTGACTCGATTGTAGAGGAAGAAAGCAAGAAAGGAAAAAGACGTCCCTTGCAGTTGAATATATACCCCGGGTTTGATGAGCTTCAACGGCGTTGCATGTGTTCGTCCGAGGCTTACACGTGCTTCTGCTGAGCTAATCACACGTGATCAGTCTATCAACTCCTGTGTTTACTATCGGAGCTACCCCAGTCCACTATGGCTTTCAATAAGAAATACGCCGGTCTTCCTGACCTGGTGGGTCTGAGCATTGCTGATGTTGATCGATGATTCCACTGACTTTAATATAGGACCCTTCCCCGGATATCTATGAGACCCCCGACTTGACCGACGAAGCATCCACTGTCCCTGTAAGTCCGCTCAATTTACGAGAATAGAAACGGCATTGAGTCTAGACACTGATCCAGATTAGCCTACCACTCTTCGCACAGACTCCGATCATGATGATGCCGGTTCCAGCTCGGACATTGACCGTGAAGGCGTCAACGCGGATCAGGCCCGTATGCATTTCATGGGCGCCACTGTGGATGCCCGCGATGCGAATTTCTCAGATAGCATTTCCATGAAGCGGCAGGCATACCGAAGCAAAGATAAGCATCGTCGTCACCGACGCAGACGTGAAGATGGCACCGAGGAGGTCGGCGACTTAAGCGATAGCGAGGATGAGTCGGTGGAGCGGAGACTTGCACGGCTGCGCAGAGAGGTCGAGGAGCTCAAGGTGGAAATGGCCAACCGGCCCGAGGGCCAGGAGAACGGCGATGAGCCACGGGGTACATCCACAGACAAGCCAGAAGAGAGCCTGGGTGATGGTGTTGCGGAGCTGAGTCGCGCTTTGGATAATCTCCACGCCTCGCGGGGTGTAGTGACTCCGTCGCACTCGGCTGCAGCAGCACTCACCCAGAAGCTGGTATCCGATCCCAGTTCTGCTGCGCCTGCAGATGGAAAGACACAAGCGGCCAATGCCTCGACAATGGCAGTCTCCACAGTACCGGCAGCGGCTGCATCTTCGTCAGGGATTCTCTCCCACGCCGCAGCGTTCGACAGTCGTCTCGCTCTTCTCGAATCATCCATGGGAATTTCTAGTTCCTCCAACCCATTCGTCGCAGACGGCTTCAGCCAGACAGCTTTGCAGCCCGTCCTCCCATCCCTGGACCAGCTCACCTCCCGTCTCTCAGCATTGACAGGCCTCCTTGTGGGCAACCCATCATCCGGAAATTCAGCTACACCTGGCTCAGTGGCAGGCCTGACAACCCCACACCTTGAAGCGCTGTCTGCACGGGTACGGAAGTTAACCACAGACGCCGAGGCCCTGACAACGGCTCGCAGACGCGCAGTAGACGCCGCAAAGGCCGCTCACAACGCGCGAATCACCTCGGCAAGCTCCGAAACCGACGCACCCGCCTCGGAGCCTGTCCCGGCCGCGGATGATGAGCACGCAGCTAAGATCCAAGCCCTATACGCCACCCTTCCCACCATCCAATCCCTCCACCCTCTCCTTCCCAGTGTTCTTGAGCGTCTACGCTCTCTGCGCGCATGTCACGCAGGCGCAGCCCACGCCGCAGACTCTCTGAACGAGCTCGAAAAGCGTCATGCCGAAATGGCCTCTGAGATCGAGCAGTGGCGCGAAGGCCTGACAACTGTCGAGGAGAAGATGCGCCAGGGCGAAGGGGCCCTCCGCTCAAACGTCGAGACTGTCGAGCCTTGGGTGCGGGACTTGGAGGCTCGTCTTGGGCGTCTTGAAGGTCCGCCTGGTGGACTGTAGCCGTTTGCTTGTTACCTTTTGACTGCCCCTGGCAGTGCTTTGATGAATAATACCCAGTTGCATCTGTGATGTACGTTGTACCTTCTTGTCGAATGTTGGGCATTCTGTAGTTAGTTTTTTGGAGTCGATATTCCAATGTCAATGTCAATATCAGTTCCACCAGATGGTCCTAAGACTATTAATACAATACATATTTCATATATTTCGCACATTTCAGACTATAGATCTATTGCAATATTAGCCTTTTACTCCGCTTCTAAGCCTCCTTAAGACCTGAACCCTAGGCTTCATCTTAAGCTCAACCCACCACCCACGCAACAAATTTCCTCTCACACGTTCGCGCACACTCTCAAAAACATCAACAGCTTTAGATCCTCCAACAGCGCTTATAATACGCTTCTCAGCAGCTCCGGTAGCAGGAGTCCCTGGTCTCAGAATAGAGATACCAGCAAACGAATCAGCAACGTAAACACTCTCCCACAAAGAAGAAGGAAGAATGGTCCTAAACCTCATCTCATCACTGTCCATATACCCAGTCTCCCCCGAAGCCTCAACCAGGACATAATCAAATCGATCCCAAAAGTCACCAGTAGACTTGACAGCCTCATCCTCAGTCTTGTCATAAACCCAGCCAGACTCATCAGACAATTGCACAAAACGAGTAACACCCGTTTGACAAGCCAAATTACCAAGATAGACATTCACACCCTCCATGCCCAATCCAGACCGGACATGGTAAGAATGCAAAGCATCAAGCGCCCTCCCACCCGGATAATTCACAGTCGAAGCAGGAAGCAGCACGAAACTCGACAAACAAGCCGTAATCAGAACCGAAAGAGACAACCCCCTCGCAGCCACACCCATCAACACCGACCGATCCCGATGCGTCCACAAGTAACCCGCCCCAAGCGCCGCAGCAGCCGTCACCGAAGGGATGATATACACAATGAACCGCCACTCCTTATGCGGCATGAAGCTGTACAAGGCCACGAACGTCAGACCCGGCATCAGCAAGCCCAGCGCCGACGTCCGGGTCGCAGGCTGCCGCAACGCAACGGGGATAGCGAGGAGATACACGAGCGGATTGAGAAGCAGGCGCGGCAGGGCATTGGTGAAATACCACGGCCAGGGCTCTGTGCCCCAGTCTGCGGATTTCCCGTCCAGGACGTTGAATAGGAAGGCTTCGAGTTCGGGCCAGAGGGGGAAGCGTTGCCAGAAGGCGCCGTCTAGGAGGAGGGTTAGGGTCAGGGCTGTTAGGGCACCTGTTAGGCCGGAGAGGATTGTCGTCTTGAGGGTGATCTTTTGGGTTATTAGAGAGAAGAGGGTTTGTGTTGCTACTAGCAGGGCGAGTTCGGAGCGGAAGATCACGCCGGCGAAGGTGAGGAGGACTAGGGCTTTGCCTGTATTTTGGTTGGTTGTTTTGTTGGTTGGGGTTGGGGATGGGAGGAGTAGGCGCAGTGCTGTTGTTGTTAGGGGGAAGGCGAACATGTTTGACAGCGGTCGTGAGGCGTAGTAGATCAGGTGGAATTGGCTGCTCTGGAGGAGGATGTACCATATCGCGACTGTCTTGCCAAAGGCGCGGCGGAGGCCGGTTGCATAGTATGCTATGGCGGCGGCGTTGAGAAGGCCGAGAATGCCTCGAGCTGGAGAAGGATGTGAGCTCGCTGTGGCTATTGATTTGAAGAGGGATGTTCAGCTCTGCGCCGTACCTAATAGCTGTTGATTGATCCCATCCTGGACCAACGTCACCGGCTTGGAGAGCAGCGCGAGAAACGCAGCACCAACAGCGCTCCTGGGCACAGCACCTGGGAATTTGAAATGATCATAGTTTGTGCGATTGAGAGTCGGGTCCTTGAATCCCCATGGCAAGCCATGGGCTAGGATGTCATGTACGGCCTGAACATGGAACGACTCCTCGACCTTGGTATAGGGCGAAGCGAGGAGATGTAGGACTATCAAGCCCAGTGGAATGAGAAGCGCCAATTCTATCCCAAGTCAGCTTGTGGTTCTCGTGTTTGGGTGGTGAACTCACCATATCTCATGGCTGCCGAGAGTGTGTTGATCCGGAGATCTGGCGCTTCCCGCATCTTCGCCTTTGAACTTCCTCAACCCCTCGACACGCAATGTTTCTCTTCGGTCTGGGGAAGCTGGTCTACGGTGAGTCCTGTCCTACACTCTCTTCGGTGAAAAATACTGATTCTCCCAGTGATCATCCTGATCATCAACGCCATCGCCGTCCTCTCCGAGGATCGCTTCCTAGCTCGCAGTACGTCCCTCCAATCCACCCACCACATACCACCCACCATCTACAAAGAAGACACAAGAACTCAAGAACCCAAGAAAGAAAGCTAATCACCAGAGAAACCAGTCGGATGGGGTCGCACACAAGCAGAGCCAGCCTTTGGCTCGGCCCACGATAGCACAAGCGTCAAGGCCAAGACCATCAACCTGATCGCCAGTGTGCGAACAGTCATGCGAAGTACGTACACCCCGCCAGCGCCATTCCCAGTCCCGCCTCCGACTCCAATTCAAGCTATATTCCTCGGTCGAGCAGTCCCAGCGCCGCGCGACATGCTATCCCGATCCCGGCGAGGAAGTTCACTAGCTAACAGTCCCTCCAATTTAGTACCCTTGATCGTCATAAACACAGTCATTATTGTGTACGAACTGATCCTCGGATAAACACATTCCATCCTTGCGTTTTAACGGCTCTGGTTGATTTCGATGTCATGGATTGGATGCGATGGATGGGGGCGTGTCTGCTTCTCGGAGAGGTGCGCGCTATTTCACGATTTATACATGTATTACACTGCTATCAAAATGAAATATTTGGATACCCGTTGCTGGTCTTAGGGGAGAGGTGTATGCTACGATGGGTAAATGGGATCATAGGATGTGATGTTTGGCCTGCGAGTGTTGGGTTGCATATGAAGCTGAAAATGAGGCTGAATATGAGAGTTGGTTTGGGTTTGAGCGTGGAGGATGGGACAGTAGCCAACAGAAATTGGTTGAAAAGATGGATTTCATCTCTACGGCATACTCTGCGTGTTCTTGGGTATACCTCAGACACAGATGAGAGAAAGCATATGAGACTAGGACTAAGAGTACATGTACCTCAGATTACATCCATACTGCAGCCAGAACCCAGGACCCAAATCCTTTCACAAGCTGCCTCCATGCATCGCAATTAGAAACAGCGAAGTCTATCGCGCGTAACATGATAGAAACGACGAGACATAAAACACCGAGTCAAAAACAAGATATGTACGACAGCGAGGCGGCGGAGTGAGTTTAGCGGCAGAGCAAAGCCAAGAGAAATACTCGGCTGGACACAGAAAATGCACATGCAAAGAAACAGGAAAGAGAGTCTGAAAAGACGATTCGCTCATAACTTCAGAGAGATGAGATAAAACACGCGACAGATCGAGCTAGAAATGAAGTGGATGAAATGGAACAGATTTGGAATGAAACGCCCAGACCGACAGATTCCCACGCTTGGCAGTAAAGCAATAGCAGAAGTAGAAAATTGAAAATGGAGATAGCGGGAATAGCAAGTAGAATGGAATCCTTAACGCCTCTTTCCGCTGGACTGCCGAATTTGTGATGGCAGACGTGTCATTCCCGCTGTACATGATACAAATGGAGTGGCAGCGACGAAAAGAATAAAAGGTATGGGGAAAAGATTTCGGAAATTGATCCGAAAGCATGAGAAACAAATGATCCAAGAGTCTAGAAAGACATCTGTGGATTGTCCAGTCGAAAACAGGACATCCACAGGAGAATGGGAAAAAAAAGGGCGCAGATCAGATCGTGAGAACGTGATGGTACATCCGAGTAAGTATGTGCAGGAGCAAAATGTTGCAATCGTATGTGCAGGGGGTATCTCCGTAAGGTAGTGGACGCAAAGCAAAAGACTGCTCGGCGCTTAAGAGACGCCGTTGACGTTCTTTTTGAAACTGAAGGACCTCCACCGGTGGGTAGAACCGGTCTTCTCGTGGCTGACGTTGTGGTCTTTGGTTAGGGGATCTGGCCCCCGGAGTGGTTGCTTGTTGGATAGCGGGATGTCTTTGGGAGACACTGAGGACATTGAGGACATGGGGGACATTGGAGATATCGGTGACTGAAGTGATTCCGACTTGCGTGGTACGGGCACGTCCTTGCGAGGGACCTCTTTCCGGGGTACCTCTGGGGCTTCTGGGACTGAATCTGGAACAGGTGCTGTAACTGAGATATCTGACGTCGAGACACGAGGCTCCTTCTCCTTGTTCAGGCGTTGGCTGATGCTGCGACTGCCTCGTCGGAGGAAACCGAAGCCTGACTTCCTAGGCGATCCATTTTCAGCGCCGAGTTCGTTGATCTCGAGCTTGCTAGCCTTGAGGGCTTTTTCCAGCTCCTCGGCCTCGCGTTTGTGCATTTCTCGGTTATGCTGGTCCTGTTCCTTTTGGCGAAGCTTCTCATTCTTGTCCTTTTCCTTCTCCGCAGCACGGCGTTCCTTCTCACGTTCCTTTTCTTCTTTCGCCTTTTCCCGCCGAAGCTGGAAGTCACTCTTCTTCGGGCTTAACGAAGGGATAGGTTCATCGGGGATCGAAGGAAGAGGTGGTTGAGCTGGTGATTGAACTGGTAGGGGTGGAGGGGTTTCATGCTCTGGGGCTTCGTTGTGGGTGGACAACTGAGGAGCCGTTGGGATTCGGTTGATAGGCGAGAGAGGCGTGTCATGAGAAGGTACTTGGCTGGCGCTTTGAACGTGCGCCAGAGGTGGTGACATGGACGAGCCATTCTGTTTCGCTTCACCAGTCTCAGCGGCGCCAGTAGCGGAGGCCAGATCCTCCTCAGCCTGCTCACGCATAACAGCTTCGATGGTGGTCTCTTGGTAAAACAGAACATAGGCACATGCCAGTCCCGGGCGATCGCCGAAGAAGTTGCGGACGTAGCTCTTGTCAACTGGCTCAACCAGCTCATCATCGAACAGCAACCAGCCACGGTCCTCTGTTTTGATGATAGCGACATAATGGCCGTGATATGGTCCACCGCCGATGTGAACGACAACTGCATACAATTCATACAATCGGTCTGGGTCTTCGGCATCATCTGTAGTGTTGAACAAACGAAGATGGTAGGGATAGACAACACGATGGAACAACTTTTGCAATCGCTGCAGGTCCTCCGTGTACTTAAACCGCTTCAAATGCAAAGCCAGCACACGAGGCAGGCGCTTAATCTTCATACGCTTCTCAGCTTCTTGAAGTCCACCGCAGTTGTCGCAGTGAAATTTGTTTCGCTCGCACAGCATCTCTTCTGCGGAGAATTTCCGAAGACACGATGTGACAGATGAATGCTGCTCCAGATCCACAGACAAATCCAAAAATACCTCGTCTCGTTGTGAGACCTTTTCACATGTAAGACACTTGGTTTCAGATGTCAAAGTTCCCTCAAACAGCTCGTGAACCCATCGCGTTGTATTTGGTGATTTAGATCCGGTGCTGGATGTTAACATTCCCAGCGAGTCGGCACTTTCTGTAGGTGGCAAAGCCTTCTCAGAGAAAGCCTGCTTGGTTGCTTCAGTTTCGACATTGGCCACCACTTCATTGAGTAGCAAGTTCAAGAACTCATGCGCATCTTGATGCATGGCAGTCCGGAACATTTCGTGTTCCCGCCGCAGTACATCCAGGAACTGCTGAGGCCGTATCACTCCGATTCGCGACTGACTGCCCACCACCGACTCGAAGATGTCCTTGAGCGAGGTGAAGAGCGACTCGGACATTCCATAGCTGGTCGCATTATTCTTTGTCTCCAGGATCGGAAGGGTCTGGAGGGCGACCTTCTTCTTATATTCCGGCGAGTCCTTGTCTTCGGGCTTCTGAGGTTGGTTCGGAGGAACACCAGCCTGACGTGCTGATGGTGGCGACGAAGCCTTCTGCTTGGCAGCAAGTGCCTCCGCTTCCAGGTGTGCGTTAGGGTTCTGGTATCGGAGGTTGGTGGCGAGTGCGGCTTCGAGGCTGTCCAGTGGCGTTCGTTGCGGGTAGTTAATCACGGCTTCGCGAAAGGGAACGGAGTAGTAAAGACATTGTAAAATCGAATTGCAGTAACATGTGTTTCCGTACTACAGCGTGTGAGTGTCAGTCGGTCGAGTTGCGCGGCTGTTCCGAGCTAGACTCACGTTTTCCATGCCAAAGAACTTGTCACTGCCATCGTCGCGGATCGAACCCATATCTTGCAACCGCTTCTCCAACGGGGAGATCTGGGGAATCAGCTCTTTCTTGACGGGCACCGCAGTGGTCGAGGGGGCGGTGGCAGCCTGCGCGAGCGTCAGTCACAGTCCTAATCGGAATGATCTCACGAGAGAATGCAGTGTTACTACTCACCCCATTGCTCTTGGAGCCCTTGGAAAAGAGCCCCTTCATGATGGCTGAGGCTTGTCGGTCACACTCTGCATTGGAGGCAAAGAGGAGAAAGGCAGAGGTCCGGGGTAGGCACTAAGGTTTCTGGGGTCCGGGCGGAGAGCGGAGAGACCGAGGGAGAGAGGGCGAGAGGGGAAGAGGTGGTGGACTGTGGACTGTGGACTGTGGACTGTGAATGGTGAAAGAGCGAAGTGAGAGAGTAGAAGGCAGAAGATAGCAGACAGCAGAGGGTAGCAGGTCGAAGGCAGACAGTCGAAAGGTCAGAAGAGTGGAATACGAGTCAAGGGCAGATAACAGTCATCTTCCACGTGGAGACCTAAGGCAGGTACTCGTCCAATCGCCGATTTTCTACTTTCTTTTCTTTCTTTCTTAACTTCACTTCTTACATCTACATTTCTTGTCTCATCTCTACTCATTTCTACCCATCTGTATCTCTTGAATTCAGCTTCATTGTGTGTGCCGGGCGTACCGGAGTTCCCAACTGGGTAAGGCCCCCCCCCCTTAGAGACACCCATTGGCCAGTCCATTCCCCCCCAAGCGGAGGGAGTCTCCCCCAAGGCTCTCCTCTCCGGAGGCTGGGGCTGGGCCATAAAACGCCCCCCGAGGAACTACGATTGGTCGGTTTCCCTCACGGGCCATGTGTCCCTCGCATGGCGTACCTTAACGGCCAATGATCGTCTAACTTGTGGGGTAATCTGCCCCCCCTTCGAATGTTCCTTACGTCGAGTTATGGGGAGTATGGAGTACAGATCAAGTATGAAGCAAGGGATTCCATGGCATACCCGTGGACATGCGCCATGTACCGCTTCCAATCCTATGTACATCCTGTAACTGTATAGATCAGGATATTAAGCACAGATGTTAATATGGAACTCGTTCCCCCATTGGTTGGGGGCGCTTTAGCCGGTGCCTCCGCGCATGGCATTCATAAGCTAACCGCCCCAATTAGAGAGACAGTGTGAACAGTACACCAACACATGGTGGGGGTGGCGAGACATGGGGGGAAGCAAAAAAAGGCGCATGTTAAGTTCACCGTTAAGTTTACCGGCATTTCAAAGCGACCTACCTGTTTCTGACTAGTGGAGATGGGTCGACAAGTGAGCCATTTACACGCTTGAATCATGTTCTGCTCTACCATAACTTACAGTATGGACGGTTCGCAGGGACTGGAATATGCGATAATCACAGGTTGCCCTCCAAATGACTGCTTCCAACGTGAATCTCAATTCTTCCCCCTATGGTCGGCTATTGAGGCAAGTCTACTATGGCCAGGCGGTCACGGCTCCATAGAGATATAAGGTTCAATATAGCAGCTACCTTGAGTCCCCATTCTACTCGGCAACACAGTGGAGATGCACTCCCTGGCTCTTTTGAAAGGCAACCTTAACACATGAATATCCACAAGTCTCACCGTATCGCTCCCCTGGTTATCGTTATTACAATCGCATCGGGGTCATCATATCAGTCGCCTCCTTGGAGGCTGACCTCTTCAAGGCTCATGAACAGGGGCATTGGGCTCACATTTGTCTCGAAATATGTGGTATGCAAAGGTGGGTTGCGCGTCAATGCGCAATGTATGACGTTCAGCTCTCGGAAAGGGACACGGGCTTGTTCCGCTCATTCCAAATTGAATGGATCATATTGTAGAGAAGTTCGAGCACTTGATGTGTTCTCGGGAAGGACATTACTGTAACTGACGTTACTTCTCAGCGGGTGGCTATATCTATGTGGAGTGCAGTACCGTTTCATCAGACTTCTGGTGCTGAAATCACGCAGCAATCACGCAGCGCCTCCGAAAACTTGAGGCTCAACTCCATAATAGACATTTTTGTAATCCATAGGGAGTGTTACAGTACTGATATTCCTGAAAGTCATCGTCCTGGTCCTAAAGATAGGTTTGGATCTCAGGCACCTAGAATTGCGCCAAGAATTCCACCCTGGGCGGAGAAGGGATGAACGTTCCCGGCGGCGGATAATTATATAGATTTCTGATCGTTTGCAAGAATATAGACTGAATGCCATGACATGTGTTGATCTGGTGGTCGTCGTGATCTGGTGAAGGGGGAGTCTTTGATTCACACTGTACACCAACAGTATTTTCGGGCTCCTAAAGGTAGTCACTTATGCTTATATCTATTGCTCATGTCTGTGGCTTGACTTGTCATATCCATGCCACTGCATTGGGTGCCATAGAGTCCTAGAATAGTCCGAATAACATCGAGAGCCCAGTCTGATACTTCGGATAAACTTCGGACTACCGGATAAACCCTAAACGCCTGGAAATTCCGGGCTCAGGACAGAACGACACACCTCGTGACAGTTTTCGAGAATTTCTTGCGCCGAGGGCCTTCTTGTTTTATGACGTTCGTTTCTGCTTCGTCAAGCTCTACACAACGAGCAATTGCCAGATCCATTGGCCAAATTCGCCGTTGTTGTTATCTGAGTCATCCCTTCAGACCTCTGGTCACCTCGAATAAAAATAATTGCCGTGCCCCCACCATCCCCCACCACGAAATCTATCCCCGCCGCACTCACTTTTCCTCCCTACACTCCGATTCGATAAACACAATGGGCAAGGACAAAGGACCTACTTTCACACTCAAGACCCCCAAGGGCACCAAGGACTGGTCCGGGTCTGACGCCCTCCTCCGGGACCGCATCTTCACCACCATCTCGAATGTCTTCAAGCGCCACGGTGGTACTGCCCTCGACACCCCAGTCTTTGAGTTGCGCGAAATCCTAGCTGGCAAGTATGGCGAGGACTCCAAGCTCATCTACGACCTGCAGGACCAGGGCGGCGAGATCTGCTCGCTGCGTTACGACCTGACAGTCCCCTTTGCGCGCTGGCTCGCTATGAACAGCGATGTCCGCAACATCAAGCGTTATCACATCGCCAAGGTTTACCGTCGTGACCAGCCCGCCGTCAGCAAGGGCCGCATGCGCGAGTTCTACCAGTGTGACTTCGATATCGCCGGTACCTTCGACCCGATGGTGCCCGACGCCGAGATCTTGCGCATTGTCAGCGAGGTCTTTGAGGAGCTGGGTTGGACTGGCCGCTACACTATCAAGCTCAACCACCGCAAGATCCTGGATGGTGTCTTTGCCGTCTGTGGTGTGCCGGAGGACAAGATTCGCCCCATCTCCAGTGCCGTCGACAAGCTGGACAAGATGCCATGGGCCGATGTGCGCAAGGAGATGGTGAATGACAAGGGTCTTGATGGTGAGGTTGCGGACCGGATCGAGAAGTACGTTATGAACAAGGGCTCGCGCGAGCTCCTCGACACCCTGCTCAAGGACGAGACTCTCAACGCCAATGCCACTGCCAAGGCTGGTCTCGAGGACATGGCCCTGATGATGGACTACCTGGAGGCGTTTGGCGTCCTGGACAAGGTCTCCTTCGACATGTCCCTGGCCCGTGGTCTGGACTATTACACCGGTGTCATCTACGAGGTTGTCACCGAGGGCTCTGCTGGTGTGCAGGCCGATGCCCCCGAGGCCCAGAACGCAAAGAAGTCCAGCAAGAAGCCCAAGAACTCCGAGGATGACGACCGCTCCAACGACCCCACTCTCGGTGTTGGTAGTGTCGCTGCTGGTGGTCGCTACGATAACCTTGTTGGCATGTTCCTCCCCAAGGCTCAGATTCCCTGCGTCGGTATCTCCTTCGGTGTCGACCGTATCTTCTCCATCACCAAGGCCCGTATCGAGCGCGAGCAGAATAACGATGCCCTCCGCAGCAGTGAGGTCGATGCCTATGTCATGGCTTTCGGTGGAAAGGGCTTCACCGGCATGCTCAAGGAGCGAATGGAAATTTGCCAGAAGCTGTGGAGCGCTGGTATCCGGGTATGACTTCCACCGCCACTGTATTCGCACATGAAACACCTACTAACATCATCTTCCAGGCCGAATTCAACTACAAGCTGAAGCCCAAGCTTCCTCAGCAGTTCAAGGCCGCTGAGCAAGGTGCCATCCCCTTCGCCATCATTCTCGGCGAGGAAGAGCTCGCCGCGGGCAAGTGCCGCATCAAGGAGATGGGTCTGCCCGAGGGCCACGCCGAGAAGGAGGGTGTCGAAGTTACGATTGACTCTCTGGTCTCAGAGCTGAAGACCCGCCTTGCTAAGAAGTCCGACGGCTCTATTACCTCTCTGGCCCAGCAGCTGCAGGGTGCTTCCGTCTAAAAAGATGTGTTTGGGTTTATATATTTTGTCTATTTCCTTATCTGTGAGCGTGTTTTTCAGAGGGTTTTTTTCTGTTTTCCAAAATAAATAGATCTTGCATTTTCGAGTGGAATACTCGATGGCCTACAAAAAGGATTTCTTGTCTTGTTCTGTTTTGAGAAAAAGATTCGACTTTGGCTTTCGGCTTTTTGCTGTGAGTTGGAGTCGCTTATACAATACCCATCTATTGCATTTTGATCTCGGTGCATTCTAAGTAGAATGGCTTCCCTTCTGTAGGTCCCATAGATTTGCTTGCAGTCCTATGAAGGATTATACAACTATACGAGATGCTCGTAATGAATATCATGCCATGTATCTTCCATGCTCCCACTATGCCTATCTTTATCTATATTCTTTCTGTTCATTTCCGAGTATATTGAACAAATCAATAAAATGATGCTAAAGCTGGGACATGAAAGGATCCATGAGCATTGCTGTGCTGTAGTGATCCAAACCCGCCGAGCGAGTGGAGAGGTAAAGGTAGAGGAAAAGGCTCAAAGCCATTCAAGACTAGAAATACACGAAACAAAATAAAAGAATAGATACATATACACTTCCCTTCACTGCCCACCTGACGCACATAGCAACACCCACCTAATACCCCTCAGCGTTCTTCATGAGGAAGCCCTTCACGAAAGGCAATCGTTGGATAGTCTCCAAGCCCAAACTCCTAGCCCAAGCAACAGGCCCAGACCCCGGAACAGTATACATCTTATGCAAGAGATCACAAGCCCCACCAATCTTAGCATTGGGCAGGTATCTCTCCGACGAATAACGTTCCAGCGTGAGCAAGTCGCCCACATCCATGCCATGCGAGACAGCATACTGGATGGTGCGCGCGAGAGACGCCACATCCGCCAAGCCCAGGTTCAATCCTTGGCCTGCGAGCGGGTGGATGACGTGTGCTGCATCGCCGACGAGTGCGACGCGCGGCGAGATATACTGCGCCGCATGGCGGAAGCGCAGGGGAAAGGAGGCGACTGTGCCTTCTTGGAGGGCTGTTGCTGGTGGGGGGGATGTGTGCTGGGATGGGGGTGTGCTTGATACGCCAGGTGAGCTCGTCTTCGTGGGACGAGTCCGAGGCGGTGGTGGAGGATGGGGTGTCCATGCCCATCATGTAAGTTAGGTCTGTCATGTCCAGACGGAAGGCTGCGTTGACCATTGCCAGGAAGGACTTGGTTGGGAGGGACTTGAGGTAGGCTGCGTGCTCTGGGGTTGTGGACCAGACGAGGGTTGCGTGGTTGTTTGGTAGTGGGAGGAGGGCAATTGGGCCGCCTAGGGCTGGGAGGAAGCGTTGGTAGGCTGTTCGCGTTGAGGCTGGGAAAGGTGGGGTTGCTGGGCTGTCTAGGGCGAGGGTTGCGACGATGCCATGGCGGCCGTAATCCCAGCCGTGGGTGGGAATGTCTGCGAACGAGCGGACGGGGCTGTTGATCCCGTCTGCGCCGACGAGGAGACGGGCTGCGATTTGCTTTGGGGGTGTTGTGGAGGCCGGGTCTGTTGGCTTGACGGAGAGGACGGGCCAGGCTGAGAGGTCCGGGCCTTCGGGTTGGAGATCGGAACCATTGTCGATGGAGGCGACGGTCGAGTTGGAGAAGAGGGAGAGATTCTCGTCTCCGGACTCGGTGATGCGGCGGAGGAGGGCGCGCACTAGGTTCGCGTTCTCAGTCATTGTTGCTACCGTGCGCATATCTTCGAATGGGGAGGTCTCCATGGACCAGTCAAACGATATTCGGGATCCGGTTTGGCCGTCCCACACCTGCATGTCCTGGTAGTCTTGAACGCGGGTGACATCGAGGTGGTCGTAGGCGCCAATGCTGCGCAGGAAGGACACAGATGAGGGAGTCAGGCTGCTGACTCGGTTTGAGAACTGAGTTGGTTCGAGGTTCCACGACTGGGCCTTGCGAAGGTCCTGGGTCTCGACGAGAGCAACTTTGAGCTTTGATGTGACAGGGTTCGCTCCTGATATGTATATTGTCAGCCAATTGGTTCTTTGCATGCATTGCGAGCTACATACGGAGTGCTGCCAGTAAACCTAAACCGGCAGGTCCGCCGCCAACACAAACGACATCATAGAGCTCGGGGGCAGATGGCTTAGAGCTGAATCTGCGCTGACCGGCACCAACATGCCGGCAGGATGGGCAGACGTATGGCCGGAGAGCGGCTTTGGAGATTGGACGCATTGTGTATAATTCTTGGAGGTTCAATCGGATGATCGAAGATAGACATGCGCGGTGCAAACAAGACAAACAGCAACATTTACTTTGTTATGGATCTACTAGTTACTCATATTCGAACAGGTAAGTGTATATGATCATTATGAACCAAATAAAAAGATATGATGGTATTGCGGGTATGAAAAATGAAAACCAGCCAGCAAATAATGAAACCAACTGCTATACCAAGCCCAGTTCCGAGAATAGCGTGGATTATTTCACGAAAGCTGCTTAAACAGCCCCAAGAGCAGCCGAATCTTCCTCTCGGTTGGTCTCTGTATCTTCCATTTCGGCTACAAATCTCTCCCATGTAGAGAGCACATTCTGATAGAACTCAATATGCGAATCGGCAAATGAACCGAGGCTATCGCGGAACTCGACCGCCTTGATGCGTTCAAAGTCAGCCACTTCACGGACGACCTCTTCGTCAAACATCTCAGATGTGGTCTTGGCAGACTCAACCTCGCGGGTCAACTCGTCAATGCGAAGTTCCAGTTTCCGAACACGTTCTCGGCGAGACTGTTCATGGTCGACACCACGCATGTCCTCCATTTTGGAGCGAATGAAGGAGGCAGGAGAGGAGGTGAGCGGGTTGGAAGCATAGTAGGCAGCTGGGTTCGAAGCCAGCGAGTCACGCTCAGTGACAGCTTTATTACGATATTCGACCAAAGCCTCGAAGTCGAGCTGCTTCTGCTCGCGAGTCTTGAGCAGCGACTTGAGTGACAAGATGTATGCTTCTGTGTCACGCAACGAACCAAGATAGTTCTGGTCAGTGTGTTCCTTCAGCCCGCGCACTCCGAACGCAGTCTCTTCCACCGAAGCCGCAAACATCTGTAGCGGCGCCTCAACAGCTGGCTCTAATGGCACAAGCTTGCGGAACTGCATGGCTAGCTCGGAATAGTCCGTCTCCAGATCCGATTCCCGGCGTGCTACACGCGCAACCGTCTTCTCCACATGCGACAGATCTTCGTCTAGCTTGTCAGCCTTCTCGCGCACCTCAATAAATCGCCGATCCGGCTTGTGCACTTTGGAGAAAGCGTTGACAAAAGTATCGGTGAAGTTATCAAAGATCCCCGTGGCAGCACCATCCGATCCGGCATTCGTCGTGACTCGTGTCCCATGGAGACGCATGTGAGCGTTCCAATCAGCCGATTCCAAGAAGATAGTGAGAAGCGGTGCCCGTCGCAGCACGGGATGGAGCGTGAGGCGCTTCAAAAAGCGATGCAGCGACCAAGCTCGTCGCGAAGTGAATTCAGGTCCGAATCGGTCTCCGCGCACGTACTCCATCTTGTGCTTGTCCGGGAGGGGCGGAACCGCGCATGCTGGGTATTCGCGATAGAGAGTCTTGTATAGGAAGTAGAAGTCGGTGAATCGCCGGCGAACAGTAAATTCGGGTCTTTGGAAGGATTTGAAATCCGTCTATGAGGTGTTAGTTATTGCATGTCCCGGATGCTCAGGGCTCGGATGCCAGGCAGCAGTAGGCCCCCAAGCTCTGAGTCAGTGGCCACGGAGTCAACGAGAGTACATCTACATACGTGTGTAGTAACGAGATATGAGATATAAGCGTCCTTTGTTCCATCGTTCTCCTTTAGCGGGGTGTCAACCTGGCACTCCAGAACTCCGTCACCGATACCCGCCAAGTCGACGGCATCGGCCAGCGGGCCGGCCTGGGGTTCCTCTTGAGCAGAGCTCATTCTCCGCTTGCCATTGGAGTCATGTCCTTGTTCACGGGGCTCCTCGGCATCAGTGCCAGCTGTTGTCGGTCGTGAGACATCGCTCTCTGGATCGTGCTTCCAGGAAACATTATCAAAGTCGTCATGTTGATCCATCGTGGATATGGTGTTGGTCGGCTGTGGTCGCCCCGCTGACACTTGTTTAGCACCAGCTATATTAAGTAGGGGGTATTTGCAGAAGATGCGTAAAAGTGATCAAGGCGCCAATAGAGGTGGAGTGGAGGGGAGAGGTTGGGGAGATCGTCAAGGCGGAGACCCGAAGCGGGACGTCATCGCTTTATCGGAGATTCTTCGCTTTGTTTGCGCATTTTATACTACAGTAGTACTCTCGTCCCCATTACTTCTTGATTGTTAATCTAGCTGTAGATATACAAAAGAGCATGATATTCCGTCTATCGTAATTACCCTTCTAAATCCTCCCGAAACAACATAGCTTATTGACACCGAGCGAATGCAAACTATCAACACAGGATCAGGGCTTTTCACGGCCATGGAGAGGTTCATCCTCGCCATCCTTCTCAGAGATATTGGCCAAGCGATCACGATACGACTCATCATCATCACTGAACATTTCCTCGTCACTTTCACCGGCAAATGCATTATAAAGCTCACCGCCACGACGCTGTGTGCGACCATATGATCCAGTCATAGGTTGAGCCTCATCCTCATCTTCAATCATTTCAAATTCATAGTCATCGTGTGCAGTGGTGCGACGACGTTTGACTCGCTGGAGCTGGAAGTAAACACCCAATCCAATGAAGAAGACGATGATCATGGTCAAAGAGGCGTAGATCCAGATTTGAGTACGCTTTGACGCACCAAAAGTAGGTAGATAGGAGGACAAATAATTAGAAGATGAGGTGGAAGTCGGAGAGGCAGGTTCTCCGGTAGTGGTTGGTTCCTTTTCATCTTCGACAGGCTCCGGAGTCGACTCTGTGCCTGTTTCTTGCGGCTTCGCATTCACGGGTCTGTCATGGTGATCATCCACGTTGGAAGGTGCCTCGGTCTTTGTAGGTGCGGCCTCGACTATGGTCGTGGCAACGTGAGCATCTTCGTAAGGATGATCGTCGTCGTGTTCGTCTGGTAGAGGGTGGAGCGGTTGCTTGCCTCCGTCGATGGCCTCACTCCAGAGATTGAGTCGCCAATCGATGAATGTGCCCGAGAAATCGTTCACATTGGTGTCTTTCACAATCACTGACCATTCGCCTATGGCAGATTCACCCCTAGGAACGAGTTAGCAAACAAACCACATGCAGAACGGAGAAATCCATACCAGTGAGCAACAGACATGAAAGTCCAATCCTCATAGCCACCCGGGTGCTCATCTTGGTCGCGGGCAACACTAAGGTAGCTGACAATGCCAGCAGGACTGCGCAGCTCAACACTGATATCGCCGCGGCGAGTGTGATTTACATTCATAGTCACTGTGACATGCTCAAGTTGAGCCATATTGGCGGCTTTGACCTGCTCTTTGGTCACGGTGTAACGACTGAGAAGACCCTTGTCGCCTTGAGGAATTTCATGGTGGACTCGTAGCCATGGTGAGTTGAACCACGCCTGTGGCTTGACCAGGTCCCAGGTCCGAGCACGCTGCACCAAGCTGTATGTATCAACCTTTCCAAATCCCCAGTTGTGGCTGAACTTGCGACCAGATGGCAGTTTCTGCCAACTGTTGTCGTCCTCGCTCACAGGAATTGCGGTCTCCACCATAAGGTACTGCAAATCACGCCAAGTCAGCTCGGGACGTGCGCTGAGAGCAAGAGCCACACTGCCCGCAGCGAGTGGACCGGCTGCTGAGGTACCACCATGTCCGTCATAGCACTTATCGGAGCCAACGTCGGTGGTATGAATCGCTTCACCCGAGCCGCTGCTGTACGCGACAACAAGTTGAGCAGAGCATGATTCGGAGTAAGTCGGGTGGTTGCCTTCATGATCAATTGCACCAACGGTGATACTGTAAATGCTGTTGGTGTAGCCATCGAAGTTGCAGTTATCACCGAATTGGGCACCGTTACCGGCAGCAAAAACGAAGATAGAGCCCTTCCCGTCTCTGCCCTTTTGGACACCGTTGGTCATGGCTCGTTTGATCAGGATTCCAGGAGCATCCATGGTGGCACCGTCATCCGGCGGTCCCCATGAACAGGAGTATATATCGTTCTTTTGGTAAGCGTAGTTGATAGCCGCGGCTTCATCGACATCGTCAATGGGCTTGGATAGAATGCGGATACCGGCAATTTTGCTATCGTATGCAACGCCAACACCACAGGCGTCATTTTTGGCGGCTGCAATCTCGCCGCAGCATCGAGTACCGTGCTTATCGTCATATAGTCTTGGACGGGGCTCCGGGGTGCCTTCATTGAAATCGAATGAGCCCTCTGGGAAGTAATTGGGCTTGAGATCCTTGCTATCCATATCCAGCCCGTCGTCGACCACCGCGGTGGCAATTCCAGCACCGGTGATACCCTCCAACCACACTCCGGTCACATTGATGTCATGACCGGGGTGCACGGTATTCATCAGATGCCACTGTTCCCGGAAGATCGGATCCTTGATGCCTAGAGTTGACATGACATTATTCTGGACGTCCACGATCTTCGCATTCGCCGGTTTCTTCACCCGTTTTCCCTGTGAAGAATAAGGCACCGAGACCGGCGGAATTCGCTTCTGCAGCCGCTGTCTCGCCGGCGCCAGCTTGTGCGACCACAAAACCCCATCTAAGGGGTCATCACTCGTCCCCTCGGAGCCGACGTCATTGTCCGAACGCCGCCGGAGCTTCCTCTTGCTCCGTAAATCATCCAACACGGTATCAAATTGTGCAGCTTGTTCTCGTGGTAGGGAAAATGTGTGATGACCGTCGAGTTCGCCGATCTGGCCTTCGTGGCGAGCACCGAGAGCTCGGGCGACCTGGGAGGGCGACGCGGTCTCATCGAGGTGGAGAGCAAAGAAGTCGCGGGTTTCTTGGGATCGTGGGTGCAGGCTTCCAGCGACTGCGCCTATCAACCCCAGGGTGGCCGCAATGCCACCGACAATGCGCATGGTGGACCGGATGAAGGGAGTATTGCGGAGGTCGAGGGGACTATCGAGATCGAGGTGTCAGTGTCCCTAGCAAGCGGCTGCCATGGATGAACCGAAGTAATTAGGCGGTTCGTATTAGGAAATGTCACAATGCTCCAACAAATAGTAGCCGTTGACGGAGTGAATCAGTGGCGAGATGAGAATTGAGAGTCGAGGAGAGTTCGATGAATAGGAGGATCGTCAGAGGCCACGGGATCTTATTGAGCGCCTATTCACCGTGTTCCACACTCTCTTGTTTCTCTCTCTCTTTGACACCTATGCAAAATTTAATCCCCAGGTCTTCTTTGTTGAGGCTAAGCTATTAAGGCCACGGTTTCTCCAGGCTGGCTTACGTACCCTACGTCAGACTCCAGTTGGGGGCTAAGGTCTCGGGATCGACGTCTCCGGTAGTTAAAGTCGCGGGTGTTTCACCCAGAAACATTTCTTCACCCTGGAACGTGAGTGCTAAGATGATGGAAAGGAGAACACAGGAGAAAGATAGGCTACTTTGCTATGGACTGCTGAGGCCCAGGCCACTGCAGGCAACGTTGACAGCCCTGGGAATCAACTGTCAAAGGCGCCAATCCAACCCAATCAATATAAGCAGTCCTTGCATAACCCGATCGAAACCATGACTGATCGAGTCCTGAAACTGAGTCTTGACGGGATCTGAAATGGTGAAGAAAAGGGACGCTGAAGACCATTTCACGGCAACTAACTTATCCCAAGCGGGTAACGTGAAGTGATCTTGTTTTCTTTACAGTTAACAGTCGACTATTCCAGGACTAAGTTTAATTGGAGCAGCTAGCAACTAACAACTAACAACTAGTAATCTATCTTCACATTACTGTAATGTAAGCCTAACCTCGTAAGTTAATGCTCGGCCCCACGAAGGCTGGGGACACCAGCCACCGGGTTATTGTATAGACCTCACCTTAAAATCTCTTTCTTCTCTGATACACTTTTGGTTGTTTCGAGTATACCCTTTCCCTTTCATTTTCACCGTCACCGTCACCGTCGTCTTTCAGCCTAAATAAACCTGTTGCCTGCGTGGGAAATGCGGTGGCTGTGACTTGCGTCAGGCATCAGACTCAATCCATGCGATCTCGACCCTAGACCGCGACTCCCAACGTGCGCAACTGCCTGTACAACCAACAGTTGAACAGATTTCATCGGTTGGGTTTACAATTGCATCTCGTACTGGGCACCTTTCGTTCCATCCTGCCTTGATCTAGGGCGCAAAGACATCGAAAGATGGCGACAATGCGCGAATCACCCGACATGGCGAATGGCTCCAATTCATCTCACAGGGCCAACGGGAAACGAAGAGCCCCCGGAAGCCGCAAAAACAGAACGGCGACCCCCTCCGACGAGAACTATGAATACGATGAGCAAGGGGACCCAGACACACACTACAAGAGCACGAAAGATCCCGGTGCACCAGGGCCAGGCAGATCATTCTCTACCAGAGCCCAAGATTACCCTGAGGGGAATTTGAATTATACTACTCGCAAACCAGTTCCTTCTTCGGCATCAGAAGAACTTGAAGAATCCACGACACCACGGAATCTCCCGACTGGAGAGTATCACCCAGGGCTGAGCGCTGGTATGCCAGAGATCCAGATTCAGCAACCAGTCTCGCCGCCGGCTCAAGGCTTGGGTCCAGCCCCGAAAAGGTCAAACACAACTCGTTCAACCAAAACCTCAACAGATTGGGCACCAGACCGTTCACCGCTCCAAAGGCTGGAAGTGACCTTGACCGGAATCAGCAAAGAAGAAAAGCGATTGAGGGTTCAAGAGGCTGAGGCGAAAGTCCGGGAACGCATTGCGCGACAGAAAGCTGAAAAGGAGAAAGCCGACTCAGCAGCCGCCGTGACTCGAGATGTCCCAGCGCAACGTCCGCAGCCAGAGCCCAAACCAGTTTCTGGCCCTGGCAGGAGAGGAGAGCACAGGGATATCCCAGTGCAGGAGCCTGTGCGCACTCCAGCTGCTGCCATGGCAGCACCGGCACCACAAAGACAGCCTCAGCCCGGAAACACCGCAGTGCGCCATAATAGAGCGGTTTCCTCAAATCCGCAATATGCAGCAATTCGCCGTCCTGAAGATCCCCAATTTGCTCGTGCAGAAGCTGCGATCCCAGCAGCAGTAAAGATGGGAAACGTGCCTAAGAGATCGGTCACAGTGAGCGGACCTGCGGCGAAACCTGCACCAAACCCGGCACCTGCAAACACTATGAGCCATAGCCGCTCAGTGTCTCAAGCAGGTCCTCGGCCAATGCCACCCACTCTAAGAGCTGAGAGAACAGATGAGCTTCTCACAGCGTCCGAAACACCTCAAGAGAGCGCTGAGTCACAGACCAAGCCAAAGAAGGCATCTGTGTCATTTGATGTCCCGCCACCTACACCCCCGCCTATCTTCGAATGGAGGAACGCACAGCCCGGTCGGCTTGAGGCCTCTGACTTTGATTTCCAACATGTTGATATGGAACGTGGTAAGGCGTGGTGGGAAGGTGGTGGTAATAAAGATCGCCGGAAGAGCAGAGCTCTTCCTAAGAATTACCAGACTCCTGCTCAGAAGTTGACCGGTAAGAAAATTCCTTTATTGATACTTTCCCCAGTAGATGAAGTGGGTTTACTAACGAACAGCAGGAGTAACTGGGCACAAGACCTTTGAACCGCGTCTCTTCTTACGATGTGGTCCTTTGCTTCGATACACCGGCATCCACAAGGTTCCAATAGATGGAGCCAGTGGTCCTATCTTCAAGCATATCTGGCGAGGCTCTATAATGATAGTAACCAAAGATTCCCGCTCCTCCTATGACACTCCACCAACACTGCGACTATTCTCCCAACCGATGGATCTCCTCCCCCCTCCACCAGTGGAAATCAGCCGCGAAGACGGTGTCCAATTAGCCCCCGAATACGTGGACCCAACCGCCGGTCTCATGAAAGTCGGCCGAGATGGACGACCTCTCTACGTCAAGCCAGTCGAGCACATCGAAGAACAAGCCGATCTCTCATTCGTCGAAAACGACGACGGCATCTACGAACTTTCACCCAGCCTAATCGATTACACAAGCGAGGGCATGAAGCAGCCCATCCCCTCAAACCGAATGCACCCACTAGATGGCGAGACAGCAGGACTACACCGAGATATCCCAGGAGTTCGTCTATACGCCGATACCGCAAGAGACGTGACATTCTGGCGCTTCAACCTAGAAGTTGAACAAGCCGCAAGCCAACAACGAATCGCCTACCGCATCAACCAAGGCCCAGCCTTAGGCTTCTGGGTCCCACCCGCCGGGGAATCAATGAACATAATGTTCCACAGCGGCAATGGATTCGGTCCAAATGCAGACTCAGACCGCGTCTGCGGTCCTGATCCCCTATGGCGAGATATCCTCAACGAACACCAGACCCGCCCGTTCCATGTTATGATCGGAGGCGGAGATCAGATCTTCAATGACTCCGTCATCACTGAGTCCGCGTTCTTCCAAGAATGGATTAAGATCAAGAATGCTGCTGAGCGATACGGCGCGCCGTTCACACCTGAGTTCCGCGCTGAAATTGAACAGTTCTATCTTGACCGGTATGCGGCGTGGTTCTCGCAGGGTCTGTTTTCTTTAGCTAGCTCTCAGATTCCCATGGTCAATATTTGGAATGACCATGAAATATTTGAGGGCTTTGGATCTTATCATGATGATTTCATGCAGACTTCTGTCATTTCTGGACTAGGCAAGATTGCTTTTAAGTATTATTTGCTTTTCCAGCATCACAGTGTCCCTGATGAGACCGAGATGGACGAGCCTAGCTGGCTTCTTGGCGCGCATCCTGGTCCGTATATTGAGCAGAGGAGCAGGAATCTGTTCATGTCTCTTGGTCAGGGTGTTGCATTCCTTGGCCTTGACTGTCGTACTGAGCGGCGGAGCAATGAGGTTCTCAGTGAAGAGACCTGTGATCTTCTGTGGGATCGGTGCCACAGAGAGATTATGAAGGGCGAGACGAAGCATTTGATTGTGCTTTCGAGTGTTCCTGTTGCGTACCCTCGGGTGGCAATGCTCAAGAGCTATATGAACAGTCGCAAATCTCTTGGCAAGTCTGGTGTTCTCGGTGGGCTTGTCAATCGATCTGGCGGAAATGTGGAGGTCTTCGATGATCACTGGGCTGGCAAACATTTGAAGTCGGAAAGAACGTGGTTGGTCGAGGACCTCCAGGATTTGGCTGCAGAGAAGTCCATCCGGGTGACGATTCTAAGGTAAGACTTGCCTCCCCTCCCTGCATGTTGGAAAACTTACGCTAACCTGATACCCTTCAGTGGTGATGTTCATCTTGCTGCCATTGGACAGTTCTACTCGAATCCCAAGATGGATGTTCCCAAGGACCAGGATTACCGTTATATGCCCAATGTCATCTCCTCTGCCATTGCAGACATTCCTGAAACTGATCTCATTGCGGACATGCTCAACAAGCGGAACACAGTTCACCACATGGACTCCAACACAAATGAGGACATCATTCCCATCTTCACCCAGGATGTGAATGGCAAGCCTCGAAACAACAAGCGACTACTCCCCCGTCGAAACTGGTGCTCAATCCGCGAGTATAAGCCCGGCTCTACTCCCCTCGATACGCCCGAGTCAGAGGTGACAGAAACCCCCGAGTCCCGTCCCGGTGTACTCAAGCGAACTCTGTCACTGGGCCGAGGAGATAAAGCAGGACCTGGGCCTGGAAAGCCAGGTCTTCTCCGCCGACTCTCAAACCGCGGACCACCCCCAACACGAACAATGAGCTTTAACCGTGGCGATGAAGCTGGCTTCAATCGCCGCGCCAGCGTGGACAGCCACTCCCAACCCGTCGAAAACGGCGACAGCTACTTCCCCTCCGCACCACCCCCACGGCCAGGAACCTTCCACCGAAGGCCAACAAACCTCAGCCTCAAAGCCGCCAGGAAATCCGCCAAAACAGGCGACGACGGCGCAGGCACCTTCATCAACCTCGAAGGCGGACTAGCTATAACACTCAACCTGGAAATCAGCCCAGCAGACCCAGCAGGCATCACAGCACCGTACAAACTACTCGTGCCAGCACTCCGGTACAACGGCACCGAATACGACCCCCCACCAACCCAAATCGTCAAGGGATGGCGCAAGTTCCTACCCAGACGAAACAAGCGCGACACCGAGAAGCGCGCCGATGGCGATGAACACGACAACGACGATATCAGCGATGATGATGAACAAGATGATTACGAGGACCATGATCTTATCAATAATACACGTGCCAATGCTGCTACTAGTCATCCGCAGTACCCACACCCACACCAGCAGTACGACGGTTATCCAGGAAGTGAAGAGGAGGATTCTGAGGACGAGGTTCCTCAGCGGTTACCTGCGCAGATGATGGCGCCGCCGCAGACGACTTCGCGGTCGCCCGAGGTGGAGGAGGATGATGAGGAAGAAGAAGAAGAAGACGAAGAGGAAGAAGAGATGAAGCAGCGTCCTAAGAAGAAAAAGTGGTTTGGGGTGATATAACCTTCAAATTGGGATGTACTATATTGACCCATGATGGGCTATTTGTGGAGGCATTTTCTTTTGTTATTATGATTTTTTTTTTCTTATAACTTCAAGATTTCGAATGACTCTTGAAGATGTTTGTTAGATGATTCCCCGAATTCATGAGCGTTTTCGTCTAGTGCCAGAAGACAACGACTACTGTAAAATCAGGTCAAACTGAGCGAATACGAGATAAGTTAAGTGAATTGCTAAAAAGCCACCCTCCAACATATTATCAGCGCTACTAAGTTAGTCGATTTGTAGCGCATTTTGAGTAATGTAATTTACATCATATTTTTGGCGACTAACATCGGGGGTGGAAAGAGACTACAGTATCAATACCGTCAAACTTGGCTTTTACAATCATCGCTATTGAGTTCAATATCAATCAATCCAAGTTCAATTGATCTACTGCAAATTAACTAGTATCGGAATGGCTATATAGGCGCTTCATCTAGTTGCAAAAACAACTTGTCCACACGCCTGATAAGGCCAATATAGAAAATGAGCTGGTCCATAACAGAGAGACCAGCTCGACATAGATATAAATCGTATAGCCTAAAATATAAAAAGGTATCTACGAGCGCTCGTAGATACACTATCTACGAGCGCTCGTAGATACACTATCTACTAGTCAACTATACACACCTCGCGGGATAAAGTTCGGCAACGGAAACAACTCGGCAGAGTGAACTGATGCTGACATCAGCGGTCTCGGCCACTCACGTGCCCTTCTGCTTAGAAAGCGAGTCTGGACGCAAAGTCCTGATTAAGCCGAATTCACCCAGTGATCGCATATCCTGTTACTCAGTTCGCGTGGTCTGGATACCTCGGAAGCCCACAGAATCCATTCGTCCTCTGCTCTCCATTGGTCTCTTGCCTCTTCTTGTCTCTTCTTGTCTCTCCAGTACTGGTCCAAAGAGTCTGGTTGCACTTGGTTATCAATCGTTCATCACCTAATCCAAGTCTCCACTGCCCCTCCGAAAAAAGATATTAGATCCTCCCCTCCCTCTTCGCATTCCAACCACCCAAGCTGTTTTCCTCAACTTTTCGTCGATTCCCGTCCGCCCTCCGTTCTATCGGATTGACTGCCGCCGCCGCTACTACTCTACACCAACAATCTCCTCCTTCGGCCTCGGTCTTTTCCAAGTCTCTTCCGACGCCGTTGCGCGTCAATTCCACACACTCCGCCAGAATGGTGCACTCTAAAGTAGTTAGTAAGTACCATGACGAGGGGGAAAACGAATCATCTCAATTCCTCGATTCATCACCCCTCTCCAATGCCTTCCAAGATCCTCCGGAAGTCTAACAACTTTCTACAGTTATCGGCTCCGGCCCTGGTGCGCACACCGCCGCCATTTACCTTTCCCGCGCCGAGCTTCAGCCCGTCCTTTACGAGGGTATGCTCGCCAACGGCACCGCGGCCGGTGGTCAGCTCACGACCACCACTGACGTCGAGAACTTCCCCGGATTCCCCAGTGGCATCGGCGGCGCCGAGTTGATGGACAACATGCGCGCTCAGTCTGAGCGCTTCGGCACCGAGATCATCACTGAGACCATCTCCAAGCTGGACCTCTCCCAACGGCCCTTCAAGATGTGGACCGAGTGGAGCGACGGCCCCAACGACGCACCCGCCCGCACCGCCGACGCTGTCATCATCGCTACCGGCGCCAACGCCCGTCGCCTGAACCTGCCCGGTGAAGAGACCTACTGGCAGAACGGAATCAGTGCCTGTGCCGTCTGTGATGGTGCCGTGCCCATCTTCCGTAACAAGCCCCTCTACGTGATTGGTGGTGGTGACTCCGCCGCTGAGGAGGCCATGTTCCTCGCCAAGTACGGTAGCGACGTGACTGTCCTCGTCCGCAAGGACAAGCTCCGCGCTTCCAAGGTTATGGCCGAGCGTCTGCTCGCTCACCCCAAGTGTAAGGTTCGCTTTAACACCGTTGCCACTGAGGTTCTCGGTGAGAACAAGCCTAACGGCCTCATGACCCACCTCCGTGTCAAGAACATTGTCTCCAACGAGGAGGAGGTCGTTGATGCTAACGGTTTGTTCTACGCCGTTGGCCACGACCCCGCCAATGCCCTTGTCAAGGGCCAGGTCAACCTCGACGAGGATGGATACGTTGTGACCCAGCCCGGCACCAGCTTCACCAGCGTGGAGGGTGTCTTTGCTTGCGGTGATGTCCAGGACAAGCGTTACCGCCAGGCCATTACCAGTGCCGGTATGTTATTCTCTAAATTCCGAATACTTCCAAAAATGCAGTTGCTAACTTCTCTCACAGGATCTGGCTGTGTCGCCGCTCTGGAGGCCGAGAAATTCCTCTCAGAGACCGAGACTCACGCTCCTGCCGTGGAAACCGACGCTCCTGCCGATGCTCCTGCCGAGTACAAGTCCAACCCTCTGCTTTAAAACACCCTGCCTATTCACATCCATATACTCCATTTCCACCTTTTTCCTCCCTTCCATTGTCATGATACATGAACCATGATTCATCAACTTGATGGGGTTTCCCCTTGTTCTAGACTTATTGTTTATGCGATACTCTCATATTAAATTCCCCATGCACAATACATTTTGATCTTGCTTAGATTATGGGATTTACACTCTGTTATATCACTCTTCCTATGTTGCTTATGTTCCCTCCGTTCTTTGCGCATACCATGCATAACATCTTGGAGCGAGAAGTCAACCGGTTGTTTATCATCCATAGAGATAGATATAGATGAAATATATCCTTTTCACTTGTGAGTCTCCATCTCCTACAGAGCCATCTACAGAGCCACGTGTCAGGTTCGTGGTAGCAGGTTGAGAATAGCATCTACTTTATAACATTTCTCATTCATTAACATTGAGGCTAAATGAATGAATACAGCCAAGTAGTCTGCACAGGAGCGAACTTGAACATACTCGAAACCCAAACTCCTCTGTCTAAACAGAGCACCGCCAAATAAATCGTATCGTAATAATAAAAATAAAGGGAATGAGGAAACAAACGACGAGCCAGCTAGCCTGCTAGCGTTCACCGCCATCAGCAGCAGCTCCAGCAGCAGAAGAGTCGTTTGAGAAAGCAGTCGCAAGAACAGGGACAGAACCCTCTTCCCCCAACCCCCGAGGAACAACCCATCCCTCAAACGGATTAGCCCTACACCACCGGTCCTTAACCTCGAACGTCCTCTTCTCCCATTCAGCAACAGTAACCTTCCAGTTCTCCCACGCCTCGGCATTTCCACGACGATTAGCCTCCACTTGATCAAGGTACGGCTGTTTAACCTCGACACTGGCAGTACGCCACATATGGCCCAACGCAGCGCGGATCTCGTCGCGCGGAGCCTTGGCGTTTGGATTCTTCGACGATGTGCGTCGGGCTTGGTCGCAGCTCTCGCGGCATTCGGTCCAGTAATCCTTTTGGTAGAAGAGGAAGGGATTTAAGCCTGACTTTGTAGGGCGTGGTGGTGCGGGTCCGAGTTCCGAGTAGATGGTAATCCAGAGGGCCTGATCATAGGCGTCTTTGCGGGATTTCTCTACTGGGATTGGTTTTCTGAAGGAGGAGGTTGAGGGTTTTGCTTGGCTTGTGGTTGATGGGTTTGGTTGTGCTTCGGTGGAGGAAATTGAGGAGGTTCCTTTTCGTTTTCTGGTTGCTGATGTTGTGCCGCCGTTTGGTGAGGAGGATTTGCTGCGGGCTGGTTTTGTTTTGTCGGTTTTGTCTGGGACTAGTGGGTGTGCCATTTCGATTGGGCCTGCTATTGTCTCGACTATTTCTGAGGCTGCGCGGATTCCTGAGAGGTAGGCTCCGTGGACGGTTGCCGGGTGTGTGCCGCAGGTGGCTTCTCCGGCGAAGTGGAGGTTGCCGATTTGTTTGGCCATTAGGTCGTAGTCTTCTGGGAAGGCTGCGGCGGCGACGTATGAATAACTGCCGTAGGTGAAAGGGTCCTGGCCCCAGCGTGTGACGATTGTCTCGAGAGGATCGGGTACGAAAGTATGTGTGAAGACGTTTCGAAGTTGGCTGGTGACTTCGCTGATTATTTCTTCGTCTGGTGTGGCTTCGGCCTGGTGGGCTGCATCACCGGTCATCAAAGCAATCAAGACTGGGAGACCTGTGGTTTTCATGACGTTCCAGAACATGTAGAAGCGGCCTCGATTTGCTGCGTAGTCTTCTTGGATCATACTGCCGGAATTGTTTGGTTCACGTAGAAGGCCGAACATGTCTCGCTTCGTGTCCCAGAACGGCTTCTCGAACACCAAGATAACCTTGTTCATGACTCCGAATCCCAGTCTGTCAATTGCACCGCGCTTCCAGTCTGGAAGAGGAGGTTGGAAATTGATTTTTTGCTGTTTCAGCACACCGAGGGAGCCTGAAAACACAACGTGATCTGCCGTGAAGCTCTCACCGTCCGCACACTGAACGACTGCTTTTTTGTTACCGGAACCATGCTCATTATAGGAGATGTCGGTAACAGTCTTATTGGTGCGGACATCAAGTTTGTCGGGGAGCATGTACAGTCCAAATGGTAGTTCTTGGTACCCACCGACAACCTGTGAATGTTCACCCTCAAACTCATTTCCTATATCTTGGTCCCAACTCGATAGACTGAGCTTGTGGACATTGGATGCATTGGCGTACTCGAGATTGGCGAAATGCCAGTTCATTAAACGCATATCCTTGGGTGTCACCGGAAGCATGCGCTCATATTGCTTAATGCCCTCGTCCATAACGGCACCCAGCGTCTGCTCAGGCTTCTGCTTGGCAATTTCATCCAATTCAAGGGTATCATTCACGGTGTAGCCAGGGTTTAAATTCCATCCAGTAAGCTGACAGGTTAAAGCCGCTGGATTCTCGTCGGAAAGTCCCACAAGATCAGCAGCTAGGTCAGTCATTGGTTTGATATCTGCAGTTTTGTGTTTTAGCCCGCGGCGAACTCGCTTGGTGGGCACGAGAAGGTCGGTTGTTCCGGCTGCCCTTGCTTCTTCCCATTGTCTAACAGTGAGTCCGTCATCCACCACTGACTCGCGACCCGTATCAATCATGTCACGATCGCCTTCGGCAGTTGGCATAATCACTGCCTTACGGCGATAGACCCCGGTTCTTTCCAGTACATCATTATAGAGCTTTTCTGCCATTGCATCTTGTACTTCATCCACAGGTGTTCCATCGGTATCGTAAATCGTTGAAACATCTCGAATTTTGTGGTAATGAAGAGCAAGCTGGCCACGAACGATCGCATCCAATGGGTTGCCGTGATCGAAACCAACAATAATCTGTGCGCCCATTTCCGCCTTGGGAACAAGCTCATCGGGCAGAGTACTTGACTCTAGACTGCGTAACGGGTGTGAGTAAATGCGACCGCCAACTCTGCGACGTCCCTCGAGGACAATAACTCGAGGTAGCCCATTTTCATTGCGATATTGCCGGAAAAGACTTTGCAGTTGGCGCGCACATCCCAGCCCAGACATTCCAGCGCCAATTACAACAATTGTCGGTCCCTCCTTTCGTCTTCCACGCTTGGGCTTAATTGGGGCCAACGGTACCTCTACGCAACCGAAGTTGATGTATCCGTTCCGAACAAGCCAGTCGTAAGCAAACGATGCTAGGTTCATCCAACGATAATCTTTTGCACATCCGAGTGCTTCTTCCCTTGTAACGGCCACCATTGGATTTCTTCCCCACAGCAGTAATATTCCATTTCGTAAGTTGAGGTAAATTGTGACATGAACGTGACAAAGGTGGTCTTGTAAGAATTCTTGTTCTTTTTGATGAAGGGCATAAGGATTGAGCCGAGATGCATAAGCCGCTTGAATACACTGCCTGCCGTACACCGAGGGGTGGATTTTGGGAGGAATGGACGCTCGAGGTCGACATTTAGATAAATCGACTTTCCCGCTTTCTAACACGTTCGGCCCAAAAATAACCGAAGTATTGGGAATTGATCGTAAGGACACAGGAGGAGGAGACACTGATGTCTTCGGTTCAAATGAAGATGTTGCATCGGTAGAGGTGGTCGAATCATTCGGCGTGGTGCTACTGCCTCCAGTATATAACCTCTCCGCCGCACCTGGGTTTTGAGTGCCATCGGATAGCAATGAGGGTGTGTTTGGATCAGTTTGTGCCAGATTACCCCAGCCGATAGTTGGAGCATCCGCTTCGAGGGTTTTGTGTATAAGCCGCGGCCGCTTCACGGACGATTGGGAACTTGAATGAGCAGAAGTCCAGATTTTTTGGTCTTGTAGTGTGTTCACAGGAGCTGGAACATATTGATTCATGTATGGATCTTGCTCCGAAGGCATTCCGGCTGAATGAAACGGCATCTCCGCACCATGCATGTTCATACACGAATATCTGTAGAGCCACTCCCTTTTCAAAGGAGTGTGTCGATTAAAATTGAAACAAAGAGAGGAAGGAAAGAATTACGCCCACAAGGCGCAATTGTCCACTCGTAGATCGTGCTATCCCGTAGACTGCGTTGATATCATACGTTGAGGCTGACACCCATGATGTGGTCCGTAAAGGAATACGATCTATGCAGGCTGGAGTTGCACTGACAGGGCTGGACAGACGACTAGAAATGCATTAGATCTTAGGATCAATGAGGGGGGATGCGTGGTATGGAGGTATGGAGGTATGCAGGTATGGAGGTATGAAGATGAAGATCGAAGCCCGGACATACATTTACCCCTTCCCACAAACCCTACCCAGCGAAGGAGAAGGATCGAAGCGCATCAAACGTTATAAACGATATGAAACACGGCGCTCTGTATGAATTGAATCGCAAGACCTGATGAAGCGCAGTGATGACAGAGTAGAAAACCCTGGCTTGACTCGGGAGCGGGGCGTATTTCTCAGTCCGGGCAACTTCACACTTCTTCACACTTTACAAACTTCATTCTATAGCCATTTATTTCTTTACTAATGTTCAGCTAGATCGGACATGAGTGTGCAGACCATACGTCTCGTTTCCTTCGGCAAATCCATCCGAGTCATTATCAGTGAACTCGTCGTGGTATGACCGCCTGTTCGAGCTCTTCCAACCCGGTTGGTCGCTATCACTATCGTCACCCAAAACCAAATCGACATTGTCGTCATCGGTGAATCCAATGCGTTCTTCCTCGTCGAGCGCAAGGGTAGTGGCCGCTTTGTTCACATCAGGATCTTCAGAGAATGCGTGATGCGGGCGATGTGCTGCGTGGTCAGCTTCAAGAGAATTGCGAATATCTTCGCGCTCCTTGGCTTCGAGCTCCTTGGCACGAGCCAAAGTTCTAATGGAAAAGGAAACAGAGAGTCAGCATGGGTCTCGAGAATAACTGATGGAGGGATGCCAACCTTTGGTAGATGTACCAGCCGGTAAATATTCCAATACTGACTGTAACGATAATACTGCAGATATTTATGGCCTTCGATCCCGCGCTCATCTCTTCGCCCTTTTCAGAGAGCAAACGAATCCGACTTCCAATGAACGTAGGAACCAACAACTTGGGAGAGATGATCGCTGTGGCAAGCCCGTACATCAAAGGCTGCACTGTGGGGAATGTGGACACAGCTCCGTTGCAAATTGAATATGGCAGGGGACATAAACGAATCATACAAAGGAGCTTGAGACCATCATACTTCAGTGTCAGGGATAGCGCAGCAAATCTTTTGTCGCGTTCCATAAGGCGATTGACGAATCCAGATAGGATGGTCCGCGAAACATAAAAGGAGGCAGTTGATCCGAGAATTGATGCGGAGGCATAGATAAGCCATCTATCAAAATCGCAAGTTAGCCTTTAGTCTTTCCTGTGAAGAGAGCGCCTCTTACCCTTTCCATACACCAAAGATTAAACCAGCCGCTGTTCCAAAAGTCGACCAACCCACCAACGGGGGGAAAGAGACAAAAAAGACACATAGCCATAGAACGAAGGCCGCGAGCCAAGATTTCTCCCACTCTTCCGCGACCGAGCCAAGCCAGACGAACAGCTTCCCTGATAAGACCAAGAAGGCAATACCTGATGCGCCGACGAACAATGATGCGACAACGGTGGCAATCTTCTTCGGCAGACTCATCTCTTCCCACATTGTATTCATACGTTGATACAGCTCTGTTCCACGATGGACAATTTGGCCCCAAGCGCTTGCAGGCTGAGCATTGGATCTGCCCGAAGTGTGCCTGCCAGCGCGGCTCCAAGGCGGATGGACATCGCTGCTGGGGGACGCTATCGGGTCTGGAGAATTAGGCGACAGAGACAATGCTCTCACGGTGGACTGGTAGTCTGCAGGCATGGTGAAGCGTGTAACTGATTATCTGGGTTTCGGGACGATCTGAATCCGGGGAGGGGAAATAGGCGACCGGCACAATTCCAAAAGCCCAACAAAGAAAAAGGGCGTTATGATGCCCTCAGACTAGGACCAAACATGAAGAGAAAATGGAAGAAAAGAAGAAAAGCAGAAAAAGCCAAGGCTGACAGTTCAAGACCAGTTTCCAAACGGATCCGCCGGACTCGGGTGTTTACCCTGATCGACACGCAGTATCTCATAGGGCCCCCACCGCCCAATCTATGGATTCACCGCCTCCTGATTAGGAATATCCAGGCCCAGCTTCAGGCACCAGGATTCCCTTTCTCACCTTGTCTGGGCTCGGTTTTGTGATTGATACTTGTTCTTATGTTCTTATTAAGCTACTTGCACAATATCTGGACCCTTGGTATTTTCCACAGTCCTCTTACTGCTCCTCTCCCTCAGCGATGCCAAGCCAAGGGTCCGTAGTTTCTGCTGGCAATATCCATAGTGATTCAGATTTGTAAGCTTCTTATGAGTTACAATAGACTCTGCGGTCCCAAAATTGGAGAGTTCAGGGGTTTCGGCAGATTCTAGTATGTTTCAACTATTCAGCTTCAATGCTTCTGGCCAAATCGAGTTTTATCATCCACGTTGGGTGTGACCGGAGGCTAAACATGACACCTATGCAGAATTTATTAACAGCCAATGAAGTGATTATTTCCTGTTTTAACCTGACAAGCAGATCCCGTTATATCAGGTGTATCAGATGCTTAGAGTGACATAGTGGAAGAGTGGCATAAGTGGCACTACCACCGAACTCTTAGTAGCGAAGATGAAGCTAAGCTAAGCTCAGGTGCATCCCCAGTGTTGATCCCTTTCTCCGCCCTCACTTTCCCCCCTCCTTTGTTTGGATTTCAGCCACTTTTGCACGTCCACGACAACTCCATTTCATCGGAGATCTGTGGGTCGCGATGCGATGTAATGCCTGACATCGCCCTGTATTTCTTTCGCGACTCGTCAGCCGGATATTAACCCCCCCCTTATCACCACAACAAAGTCAGCTTATCAGAGCATGGGGCTGGGCCTCTGACATTTTATCCCAGTTTCGTCAATAAGCTCACCAATTCGCACTGCGCTTTGTGCTTCCCCTCCAGGACTTTTCCCCTCCGCTTGGAATCCCCGGCTTACTAGACCTCGCTGGCTCGCATCAGCACAATATACACACCATGGTCTCCGATGAGCTACTGGAGAAATGTCTCCCAATCCTCCAGGATCTGAATCTAGATGAAGAAGAACAGGTTGAAAAAGTGGAGGACTTTTTGCGCGCCAACACAACACTGTCAGGTCCGCCCTTGGAGAACGCGGTATTGGACATTCTCTGGCGGCATCGGAATCGCAACCAGCCAGATTCATCACCACCCGCTCGGCATACAGTCATTCGCCGCTCATCACCTGCTCCATGGCAGATGGCGCGAGCATCGACGCCGTTATCGCCTCATTCAAACCTCGGAACGAGTCCTGGGAGTACCTCGTGGGTGCAAAGCTCGCGCGGGGCATTTGCGCGGCCCCCGCTCTCCTCCACGGTTTCTCCGTTTACTTCCCCACGACCATCACCCCGGCTTGCCCTTGCGCAGCCCATACCTCACTCACCAAGTCTAAATGCCTACGAGTTTTCCGACCAAAGTCAGATTTCCGATTTCTACGGTGATCTCGGGAGCGATAGCAATATTGACTGGCTAGTCGCTGATGATGCCCACAGCACGACCTCTTCAGCGGGTGGTCTCAGCACACCTGGGGCCCTCAGTGCCACTGCAGTTGAGTTCGTGCCCGATATGAGCCCGCATGATATCCTGCGTACCGTGCTCGGCGACAAGCGATCAAACGATGAAATCGAAGCGGCCCTGGAAGCCAATAGCTATGATCTCGGAGCCACTATTGCGTCCCTTTCGCAGGACTTGGAAACTGAAGCAATCGCAAAGCAGCATGAGGATGGCCGTGTCTTGGTTGGCAAGTCCATGACGATGGAGCAAGTACGTCCAGTCACTCCATTAGGTGGTAGTCGCAGTCCTGTTGTCTGTAAGTACTGGCTATCCACAGGCCAGTGCCTACGAGCAGATTGCCGGTTCAGCCATGACTTGACCACTCATGTGTGCAAGTAAGTTTTGGATCAATGATGATTGTTTCTTGAGCTAACAGTACTAGATATTGGGTCATGGGAAATTGTCTGGCTGGTGATGGCTGTCCCTTTTCGCACGATCCTTCGGCGCTCATCACCAATCTCAGCGTCACAGATGGCAGTCGGCCCAGTTCGCCACTCAATGGCTCACCATTCCAGGTAGACAGCGGCTCTGATGCATTTCCGCCCCTGGGGCCTGCAGATTCAGGCGATCAGTGGGCGAACCAGTATATCGGAAGATATCCCAATCATCTTTCGGCTTATCAGGCAAACAAATATGCTCCGCCAGGCTTACTGCCCGGAATGGGCAGAAGAACTGGAAGCGCAACCCACCTTGGTCGCCCCAGCTCTCGTCCAAATAGTCGTCATCAGCACCGGGAATTGAATCCTGCAGCTCCATCTGTAGACGACCCGGATGCGTTCCCAACGCTTGCCGCCGGCAGTGTAAAGAATGCCGGAAAGAAACACCACGGTAAGCGAGGAGGCCATAACCGCGATGCCAATTCTACCAAAGAAAACGTTCCCTCTTCCTTGGCCGACGTTGTTCGCATGATCCCCTCTCCTGTCCCAGGGAAGAAATCCGGCAACAGAAATAAAGACTTAAAAGGCCGTGAGAACAGCGCCGCAGCTCAGTCGATTCTGCCTCCGCAGAACATCCCGTGGCTTGAGACTGGTAGTCGGGCCAATCAGCAATACATCAAGTATCGAACAGAGGCAATTCGCCATGGCACTGTGCGAAACAAGTTCCTCCAGAGGTAAGTCTGACAGTTCCACTTGTCCTTGCGCCTTGACTGACATCTACTAGTGCTGCTCAGGCGTGGAATAGAAACGATGCACGAGCTGCAAAAGCGTTGTCGCTACGAGGTCAAGCGGAGAATGATGCGATGCGCAGGTGCCATCGCGAGGCTGCACGTCAGCTTTACGAGGAGCGCAATGCGCATCTCACCAACAAGGGCCTTGATGGATCTTCCGAAGAACTCTATGTTGATCTGCATGGTCTCCATCCAGAAGAAGCTATCGAATACCTAGAGAAAATCCTCCTCAAACACGCAAGAGAGGGTCTTCAGGTCGTCTATGCCATCACGGGCACAGGGCATCACTCAAAGAACGGCAAAGATAAAATTGGGAAAGCGGTCAAAGCATGGCTCAATGAGTGGCGGTATCTCTTCCGGGAGTTCAGCGTCCCCGGTGAACGTGGCGGTTATGTTGGAGGCATCCTCGGCATAGATCCCACCAGCTATGACAAGTCACTAGCCAAGGATCTGGCCAGGGAAGAATTGGAGGCAAACGCTGGCGGGGATCCTCCTACTCTGACTATGGGCAAGATTCAATTACTCAAACGCGAAGACATAGAAACTTAAGATCGATGGCCTGGCATGCCATTCGATTCGATGCGTCCAAGCGGCATGATACCCATCAGTACCTATCTTTCTATTGAAATAAGAACTTTTTGGATATTCAATCTCAACTTTGATTTAAATGGCTCAAACACGCAGCATAAGTCAGGTAATCATTGTTTAGCCAATGCTTCATTGCCACTATTCAAGCATAACATGCTCAAGTATCTCTAATAGCAAGAAAACAAAAAGAACTGAATTCAGCCTATTGAGACAGCTCTCTACTCAATCTTACAAATACGTGAGGCCAAGCTACACATAAGAGCCCAATATCATGCATGACTAGAACAATATAGACCTATTCGGGCTCCTGATGCTCCCACTTCCCTCTCAATTCCCCAACATTAACCCCACACTCCTCGGCCTTCTTAACAATAGCCTTAGCCTTCATAGCAACAGGAACATCAATCATCTTGCCATCAAGCGTCCAAGCACCCCGTCCCGCCCTAGCAGCCTTCTCATCAGCAACAACAACGCGAACAGCCCACTCCGTCTCAGCCATATCCGGCCCAAAAATCTCATCCGCAACCTTCACCTGACTAGGGTGAATACACTGCTTCCCATTAAACCCAAGCCGCCGCCCATCTAGACATTCCTCCCTCAACACAGCCGGCGGACTCCCATCGGCACTCTCCGACTTGAATGCAGTGCAGACCAAGTCAATGGTAGAAGGCAGTTCGGCAGCCCGTGCCGCCGTTGCAATTGCAGAGCGCGCGAAGAGGAACTCTCGAAGTGATGGTGTGCGTGTTATACTTAGATCCAGGGCAAAGTCTTCAGCTGCGAAGATCAGACCTTGAAGCAGGGGCGTTGCGGCGCAGATTTGGGATAAGTTTGTCAATGACTTGGCGGACTCTACTAACGCTAGCAGGGAGATTGGTGGCCTGGGTGTTTGGTTCTGTGCAGCGGATTGTTGAGAGAGGGTGTGGGTTATCACATCCGAGACAAAGGTGAGGTCTGAAGCGGAGTTGACTTTTGGAATGACGATTGTTGACAGGTTTGGGGATTGGAGCTGTACTTTGTTAGTAACGTATATTCACGATTCACTTATGCGCCGACATGGGGAGAGCAGGGATTATAGACGTACGACTTCCGTCAAATCGCCCAGGGCGAGACCACTGTCTACAGAGTTGATTCGGACGGCTCGTTCGCGGATTCCTGCTGGTGCTGTTTGGTCGAGTGCTCTCCGCACTAGGCCGCGGGCTTCTGCTTTCATGTGAGGTGTGACGCTATCTTCGAGATCGTAGGCGACACAGTCGGCTGTGAGTGAGCGCGACTTGTCCAGGAAGCGCTGGGATGAGCCCGGGACTGGGGGGTTGTTAGTATATGTGAATTCTTTTTGGTCTGTTGGAGCTTGCGGATGCAATGCGGGGAAGGGAGGAGCGGACCGTAGAGGAGGGAACGGCGGAGGGTGTTGCGGGCTGCCATTGTTGAGTAGCTCGGGCGTTATGGTGTGGGTTCTCCAGCTATGGGTATGTTGGTGACCTGTGTAGAGGGAGGTCGAGAGGAGGAATTTATGAAGTGAAGTTGTCTCCGTGAAGAAGCCGACTCGGCTATCCGTAGAGCCGCGGAGCTGCGTTTGGCCGATCTATCTCGTCTTCTTTGCGCGCATTGGGTCTCAACTTATATTAGTCTCTTATTTTAGTATTGCTGCTAGATGCTCTTGTATGGTTTCCATGTTCCATTAGGCTGAGTTATCTTATTCATATAAGTTAGCTATGAAAGGCCAAAACTATAAGTTGAATTCTATATGAACGTTAAATATGGTAGAGCTAGTAACAACATTGTTCCAACTACCTACCAAATGAGTGTGCAAAACTCAACCAACTCTTCCCACACTACCTAACATGCAGCCTCCATTATATGCCAAGCCCAAATCAGCAGCCAGTCGACTTCAATGCGCAACGTGCAGCCCGCGTCATCTCCAATTATTCTGCCCACAGACACCGCCCCAACCCGTGTTTCGGCCACATAGGGATCATCGCCAGTCAACAACATACCTGGATCAAGCCAGCGCAAGCATAGTGGTCGCAATATCCAGATCGCATTGGAGTCTTCACCTTGCACATCATGGATCAAGGCAACACCCAAGGCGAATTGAACTGGCGCCTCAGTGCCCACCCGATCACGCTACTTGTCTTCTTGGGCATTCGGATCGGTTTGTGCTGCCCCTCGAGCTGCAGGAATATGTCACTAACACAAGGAACAGGCGCGCTAATGATGTACCTGTTTGGTCTCCTGTTTATCTCTAACTTGTATGGACCCTGCAATGGACTACCCACTGCTCAGCTCCAGCTCCAACTCCAACTAACAAACACAAAGTATCCTCGTCTTCATCCTTACACTTCTCCTTCTCTCTGCGGACTTCTACTACCTCAAGAACATTGCTGGACGCCGGCTGGTCGGTCTCCGCTGGTGGAACGAAGTGAACTCGACATCCGGCGACTCGCACTGGGTCTTCGAATCCTCCGACCCCAATGTCCGCACCGTGACAGCCACCGACAAGCGTTTCTTCTGGCTCAGCTTGTACGTGACACCCGCTCTGTGGGTTGGTCTTGCAATTCTCGCCATTGTGAGATTGGCTAGCCCAATCTGGCTGAGTCTGATTGGTGAGTTCCTCTATACTCCAATTGTTGCGGCGCTGGATATTGACTGGATTTAGTTATTGCTTTGGTTCTGACCATCACCAACACTATGGCTTTCTCTCGCTGTGACAAGTTTGGTCAGGCCTCGACCTTTGCTAACTCTGCGCTGGGTGGTGGTATTGTGAACAATATCGCTGGTGGCCTGCTGGGCAGGCTATTCCGGTAATGCGGCTGGGATTTGGTGACTAGATTGAGTACCCTGCATGGGCTATTTTGTACTCTGGGTGCTGTATCTATAGCGGAGACTCTTAACCATTTTTTGAAATACATGAATTTATTCCCAGGACAGCTTATGACTATGTGCTATATGGCACCATACTTCTTTGGTGGATTTATGCTGGGCATTTACTGTGGCCTCTAGGCTTAAATTTGACTTTGATGTATGGGCTTCCCTGTCTTGCCTACCAGCCTGGTGTCTGGACTGTCCAGTCTAAGGATTTCTACTGAAACATACATATGATGCTATTGACCTGGGCAGTAACAATATAAGCCTGTGTCGATATCTTTGCTTTTTCGTGCTGTAAACAACTCATTTCATATGATATAAACATGCCACCTTGTGAAATATAAGAGCCCTCATAATCATCATTAGACGTCCATTCGTGAGCATGATTCGCAATCCAGATTGTTTGCAGAGTGGAACCCTTGACAACATAGACGTATTGAAGCAAGAGCATATAAGTAGCCATCAATCCTATCCTTTGACAGCAGCGATGAAGGTCAAGATGAGAGAAAGGACCTGATTTGTTTGCAAAGCGAGGGTTGACTGGGAGTTGCCTGTTCGGGCTCGCTTTTCTGAGGCTTCGCACTTTGTTTATCTTTCTTTTTCTCTCTTGTCCCCTTCCTCCTCTTGTTCTCTTTCCAGCTCAATTTCATCACTCGTTCGTTCGCTCTTCTTTTCCATTTCGGTGAGTATCATTCAGAATGCCAATGGCCATAGGTCTGGTACCACGATCCTGGTGATGTATAGACGTGGTACCCTTGGGCGCTTTTCGCACTCTGTGTCTGACTCGTTCTCTCATTCCTCTCTCGTTCCTGCTCCTCAACATCACGACGCCTGACTGACTAAGGGAGCAGCCATCTAACGTCCAACATGTCCGGTTGGGAGACTGGCAGCCCACCCGAGGTCGGGGGAGATGCATTTGCCTGTGGCAAGTAAGTTCCTTCTTTTTCCAACATATAGTCCGGGATCTCAGTCACTAACCGTGACAAAGCTGTGGTGACTCGGGCCATATGACCCGCCAATGCCCTAACGATGGTACTGCTCTGAAGTCCATGGGAACAAAGTAAGTTTTTCGGTGGTCAAAATACACCATCTTGGTGTCTTGCAAGTTCTTCTTCTCACACAGCACCCATCTCGCATCGACAGCGACACCTTTGGCGATCTCATTGATTACGGCGGCTCAAGCGAGAATCGTGCTTGCTTCACCTGTGGCCAGGAAGGGTATGCTATTGTTGACTTCCAGGTCCAGGTATAATGACTGACATGGCAATACCTATAATAAAGCCACAACAAGGCAACATGCCCCGAGTCCCGTCAAAGTATGGGAGCTTGCTTCAACTGTGGCCAGGAGGGGTGAGTGGCTATCCCTTTTTTTATCATTGATTGCTGATCACGCTGATTTGAACAGACACTCCAAGGTTAACTGTCCCAACCCCCGTATCTTCACTGGTACATGCCGCATCTGTGAGAAGGAGGGCCACCCTGCTGCTGAGTGCCCCGATCGTGCTCCGGATGTTTGCAAGAATTGCTGCCTCGAAGGCCACAAGACCATTGATTGCAAGGGTAACCGCAAGTTTGACTTGAACATCGTTGCCGATATGCTTCCTGGGGAGGCCTGGGCTCGCATGAAGGCTGCTAGCGACGAGAAGGATCTTGAGGACTTCCGTGATGTGAGTGACGCCGCACTATGCAATGGCTGACTTGGGCTGATCCCGCTTCAGGCTCTCAAGATTTATTCCAAGGCCGTTCCTGATGCCACCTTTTCCGATATTGAGAACAAGATGCGTGAAGAGGGATTCAACATCTTCATCATTGGCTTGGTAAGTGGTCTGCTTAGGTGCCTCAGCTGTCAACGGCTCACATGTTTTCAACTCCAGCAAACCGAAGTCGACGATGTGATGACCCTGATTGATCTTCAAGGGGTTCTGGACCGGGAGTTCCAAGTGGGCTTTTACTACAGCCCCAAGGCTTCGCGTGGTCGTCTTCGTGACCGTTGGCCTGAGTCCCCCGAAGAGAATATTGAACGTCTTGCCAATGCTGGTTTGCCCTTCGAACGCAAGATTCCCAGATGCCACAACTGTGAAGGTAAGCACTGAAGATTGCTTTACTAACCGGTGATCTGCTAATTCCGTGTTTTAGAAATGGGCCACATCGCCAAGTACTGCAAGGCCGAGCGCGTTGAGAACCCTGACCGCGTTGAAATCAAGTGCAGCAACTGTGAGGAGGTTGGCCACCGTGTCCGTGACTGTACCCAGAAGCGCAAGCACAGGCATGGATGTCGCAACTGCGGGTATGCCACTTCTATTCCGAAGAAGCTCGAAACGGAGAAAGCTAACTTTCTGAAGTGCCGGCGATCACCAGGCTGCCGACTGCCCCGAGCCTCGATCTGCCGAAACTGTTGAATGCCGCAAGTGCAACCAAGGTATGTCAATCTGCGATTGATAATTATTAAACACACTAACCGAGTTGCTGAAGTCGGCCACTTTGCAAAGGACTGCCCCACTGGTGGAGGCGCTCGTACTTGTCACAACTGCGGGTAAGTATTCAACTGTCACTGACCTAGCAAGAGATATGCTAATTTGTATACAGTTCGGAGGATCATCAGGCGCGTGAATGTACCGAGCCCCGTAATCCTTCTACTATCACTTGCCGCAACTGTAACCAAGTCGGCCACTTCTCTCGTGACTGTGACCAGCCAAAGGACTGGTCCAAGGTTCAGTGCAACAACTGTGGAGAGAGTGAGCGAATCATTTGCGTGCCTAATTTGTTGCATCGAACTAATTACCTTACAGTGGGACACACCATCCGTCGCTGCACCCAGGCTCCCCGGGCATCTGGAGACGATGATTATGCTCACCACTCGCCCTCTGGTACTCCAGTCCCCGGTGACTTTGTCGACCAAAGCGCCGATATTTCCAACTTCGACGCCGAGCCTTCGCGGGCCACGGACTACGGCTGGTAGAGAACCACGCCGCGATACAAGAAAAGGGAACCCGGATACAGCAACACAACACAATGACATATTTTTAATTGTTCCCTTTTCTTCAGCACCATACAAGACTTTCTTTCGGTTGTTGACCTCTTTCTAATAAGCTCATGGTGATTCAACGTGGTGCAATCTGGAGGGTCTTACATGGTGCCGTGCGCATACCAACTTCTATTTCTTATCTGTTGATTTCTTTTTTGTTTTTCTGAAAGTTGTGCCGGGACCATGTTCAGGGAATGTGCTGTACATGCTTGACCGACGCAGTTGAAAGAGGAAGTGAATACGAATTACTTGTTCTCTCTTGCCTCCAGACGATGGGTGACGCATGGAAAGTACGGATCTTGATTATGTTCCTGGTGATCTTCATTGTTGTTTCAGTGGAAATCTCAACTCAGTCCATTTTTATTTGATGCACGATATTCTATGGTAGATTGTAAATTTGATCGCCGGCACTAGATCTTAAAGGAGTAGCACCAGGCGATAAGATGGCAATGAAGATGTTACGGGATTGGTTAAGTTTATACGTGCATAGTGAATGCGTATGGATATATATATCCCATGAACGGGTTCTAAATTGCCATTTAAATTGAACGAACGAGAGGAATCAGATGCACTATCAATCCGGCCCCCAGTACCCTAATCGGGTCTGCATTCGCGCGGTAATGTACACCCCTTGGACTATAGACTACGAAATTCATTCACCAATAAGAAGTCTCCGCTTCTAAATGTGGGAAATCCTATTAAATTCAGATCTTGTACCTAATCAAGTAGCATTGACTCAGAGTTGCAGTTGATAACCGCGCTTCCGCATTTGGCATGAGAGTCGAGGCCCTGGTGTTAGAGATCAGCCACAAACCCCATGATTCGGCCCAAGCCGAGTACAGGACCGGGCTGCTGTTGTGTGTTCATATTCTACACATTAGACATTCTCATTCTCACTCTCATTCTACTAGTTCTAGTGATAGTAATCGTGAGAGTAGTCATATATTCATGACGTCATCGGGGCAATCACTCCTTTGCCCTAAGCCGGTTTTCGGTCTGCTCACCAGGAACCCGGAGGCTTTTTACGCTCGGGAAAATCGTCATTCCTAGAAGCCGATGCTGTGGCTGGACTTATCCCGAGCTTGGCAGTCCGAGTAACATCAAGCTCAGAAGATATCGCGTGCCCATGAATTGTATCGTCCATGTCTCACTGAGCAATGTGGATTGAAGTCCAGAAAAATGGAGACTCTGGGGGAGGGAACTGGGGTCTCCAGACTTCCCCCACGCGAGCCACATACTCGTCATATACTCCAAGTGATCGACGGAAACAGTTTCCCATTACTTGTTGAAGCCGATAGATTCGGTGGGCCCGAAGTCATGCCGACTCGACACCAGTCCCCGTCTTGTCTCGGCCCTGAGGGCCCTAATCCCGAAGGGGTTGCAGTGCCTCTTATTCCCTCAATCCGGCTTTGATCGTGCCGATGTCACCCTGCAACTGACTCGCTCTGGACTCCGGTTTGTGTCGAAAACCTGGCAGTGGATCCCGAGATAGCGTTGAGTTCCCAGGTTGGCCCTGGGATTCATAAACCCGAGTCATTGCCCTGGCTTGGATGTGCTTGGTTTTGTTTCTTGGAGTATAATAGCCACTCTTTGGTCTTGGCTTTTTGTGCTTGAACTGTCTTATCTGGACTGGGGCCAGATTAGACTATATATACATCTTGGCTTGAACTACAAATTGATCCCGTCTTGTTCATCGCATCCCAAGCCGCCATCATGAAGTCATACTTTGGACTTCGAGGTACGAACCTCAATATTATGATCAGTATAATTGCTGGTCTTGATTTCTTGTACGTTGGATACATCACTTCAAGATACACTAGGTACTAATACTACTCTTCAGGTTGTTCGGATACGACCAGTATGCCACCGCGATCTCATAACATCAACCCCGTGTCCCTTACTAAAATCTCACAGAGGTGTTATGGGAGGTCTATTGACCTTGAACTCCTTCGTTAAAACTTTCCCGGAAATCGACACTACCAAATCCAGCTCGTCAACAAGTAACAACTCCACTACACAGGGCATTACTGTTGCTTCATACAACTTGGGTTGTTTCTGCGGCGCAATCTTCTGTATCTGGATCGGAAACTACCTCGGACGTCGCAAGACTATCTTCACCGGCTCGATCATCATGGTCATTGGCGCTACTCTACAGGCCTGCGCTTACTCCCTGCCACACCTTATTGTCGGTCGTATCGTAACTGGTATCGGCAATGGTATGAACACATCTACTGTTCCTACATGGCAATCTGGTGAGTATTCAACCACTTGATATGGAATGGAAAAAAATACTAATAATAGTAGAATGCTCCAAGTCCCACCACCGCGGCCAGCTAGTCATGCTCGAAGGTGCCTTGATTGCCGGTGGAATCACAATCAGCTACTGGATCGATCTTGGATTCTCTTTCCTAGACCCCAGCTCGGTAGCATGGCGGTTCCCAATTGCCTTCCAAAACATCTTCGCCTTGATAATCCTCTTTTTCGTCCTTCCTCTACCCGAATCGCCCCGCTGGCTCATTCTCAAGGGCCGCGAAGAAGAATCCCTAGAAGTCCTCGCTGCAATTCTCGACAAGGAAGAAACTGACCCATATGTCCTCTCCGAGTTCTCCGCCATAAAAGATGCCGTCATGGAAGCCTCGAGCGTCAGCATGCGCGACCTGTTCACAATGGATGAAGACCGCCACTTCCACCGTGTCGTCCTGGCATATGTCAACCAGATGTTCCAACAGATCTCCGGTATCAATCTGATTACATACTACGCTGCTACAATCTACGAGTCCATTGGAATGGACAGTCTGACGTCTCGCATCCTGGCAGCCTGCAATGGAACGGAGTATTTCCTCGCCTCTCTCATTCCCATATTCATCATTGAGAAGGTTGGACGTCGGCCACTCATGTTGATTGGTGCTGCCGGCATGTCTATGTCGATGATTGTCTTGGCTGTCACCACTAGCTTCGAGGGCAATACCCAGACCGGCATTGCGGCAGCAGTGTTCTTATTTGTTTTCAACACTTTCTTTGCTTTGGGCTGGTTGGGCATGACTTGGCTGTATCCCGCTGAGATTGTAAGTCTTTCGCCTCGATGGAGTGATGCATCTGCTGACAAGCACAGGTTCCTCTGCGTATTCGCGCCCCTGCTAACGCCTTGGCAACTTCCGGTAACTGGATCTTCAACTTCTTAGTTGTGATGATCACACCTGTCGCATTCGACTCGATCAAGTACAGAACTTACATTATCTTTGCTGTCATGTGAGTAACACTGCACCGATCCAATCCAATATCAAATATATCGCATCTTTCTTACTGACAAAAACAAATAGCAACGCATTCATCTTCCCAGTTGTTTACTTCTTCTACCCAGAAACAGCCTACAGATCCCTTGAAGAAATGGACACAATCTTCCACAAGACATCCAGCATCTTCGACGCCGTCTCTGTCGCCCGCAACGAGCCCCACCGCTACGGAAAGAACGGCGAGCTTCTTATCAACTACCAAGATACCGAGGAGCATCTTCGTCGTGCTAGCTTTGTTTCGGATAAGCAGACGGGTAAGGTTAAGAATGTTGCTGATCTGGAGACTGGGAAGGGGACGCACCTTGAACATCGGAAGGATAGTTCTTCAGATAGTAACTGAGAAGTTGGGACTCGGGATTTTGAATTTTGAATATATTCACTGGTTACTTATGGCTTCCTTCCTATCTTAAGTCCCAAATCTATACTACTTTCAAGCACATACTGACATGGGACATAATCATAGTAGTCCGTTTTAATTTCAAATATAGAATAGGAATGTTGTAATCAAGAGTGTCAAAGTAAAAAAAAAAAAGGTCTTCATTATCATTGGGAATACTGCGACGCACATTTTCTTCAAAGGCATAACTATCGAAGAACTCACAGCCCAAAAGCCAGTCCACCAATAGCAGCAGCCAAGAAAGCAGCCATGACTCCAGTGATACTAACACTGACACTAGCAATGGCCGAGCCACCGAATGGAGACGTGACATCCGAGCCAGATGAACCACTAGTGCCATCTGATGAGACAGAAGTAGCACTCGGGGTAGAATCAGCCGTGGAAATTGTGACAGGGTCCGATGAACTTTTCAAAGAGGTGGCCGAATACGGCGTAGAGAAGGAATAGCGTGAGGACTTGGACGACAGTGAGGCACTTGCCTCCTCACTATCCGTCATGTACACCGACCAGACAGTATGAGTAGTCGTGGTAGTCGAAGTAACCGTCCGGACAGTATAAGGCGAGAAAGAAGTCCAGAAATAGAACCAATAAGTCCTATCAAGTATCAGCAAACAGTCCCTGGTCAACAGCCACCAATCACCAACTCTCGAAACCAACGTACCAATAAACAGTCGTATAGTAATACTCATAATCAAGAGCAGTAATCGTCGGCGCATTATAGACACTCGTAATAGTCGCCGTCTCCGTCTCTGTCTCGGTAGCCTCCGAGCCACCAACAGTGTTTTCATCACCACCAGTATCAAACTCGCCAATACAGCCCGTGGAAGGACAACAGACGTTCTCGCCTTTCCAAATCCGACACTGCTTCCCAGCCGGACAATAATAGCCCCCACTGCAACACTCTCCACCAATAGGTGCACAACCAGTCCCAGTACAGCACTTCCACCCACTACGACAGGTGCCATAGTCCGCGCAGCAGACTGAACCCGGACTGGCGCAGTAGCTGGTGCCGCTGCAGCACGATTTGCCCGTTTGGCAGCAGTAGTTTGGATCATTCGGGCACTCGCTGTAGCCGACGCGGCACTCGCTGGCGCGCGCGTCGAGGATATGGAAGTCGGAGCCTAGTCCTAGGTCTCGGGTTGAGAGCATTCTCTCCGAGGCCAGGTCGACGGAGACATTTGAGAAGAGCTGCGGTTCGTCTTGGAGGCTGGTTGCTGTGCCCAGGCTGCTCAGTAGCAGGAGGGTTGGTAGAACTAGGGTCTTCATCTTGGGTTAATTGGGTTTCTGGTCGTTCTTGTCTGCCTCCTGGGGTCACTGCGATCTGGTCGAGGGTGGGGACGGGTTTATATACCCGCCGCCCCTCCCGTGCCCCTGCGGCTCAACCACATATCAAAGTTCCATGCGAGAAATCACCTGGGCGCTTCGTATTCGGGGCATTCTCCTTGGGTGGTATTAGGGGGGTTTGGGTGAGGAGATATTCGGTGGCGGTCGCAGTCGCTGGTAATACGAGGTTGTTGTGCTTGGCGTGGACTCGAGCCGCTTTTTTGGGTTATCCAAGATTTGGATACGATGTTTCTGGGAAGCTATGATCTATTCGGGCTAGCTAGCCTTTTGGATGTCTTCTCAATTGGTGCAGATCAAGCTATTGTAGGATATTGGGCGCAGGTGCGGCTTGGCTTAGGGCTCGAGGCCCCCGTGACCAGCGGCAACGGCTTCGGGCAGGCTGCTGTTTGAATTTTTACCTCACCGCTATGGATGGAGGGGAGAATTGCTTAGAAAGGAATGGCTCATGTAGCCTTGTTCATTCTTTCTTCTTTTGCTAGTCTCCATTATCCTCGCCTGAGACCCCTAGGCCCTTCTGAGATCGATGTCCGCCCTCCCTCCTTGTTGTATCTGGTCTCCCCCATCCGAGACAAACTTGATGCCACCGCATTGATTGAATGCTTGTTGGCTGGCCTCACTCCTATCGTCACTTTGCTTGGCAAGTGTGATCGTCCACTTGCACATTTGTACCTCCGGCCCAGGGCATTCATTTCTCTTAGCGATTGTGAGGCTTCACAGACTCTGCATCATATTAGCGTCTGAGTGAATATACTTCTGGATATAATCACAAAATCCCACGCTTGGTCTTCTCAGCCTCCTATGGACCATCAAGATCCATGAGGTCTGCCTCATTCTCAGGCTTGATCCGTTTAAGCTCCACGAGGGAGAGTTCTATTTCACGCTTGGTCGCCTTCTTATAGCCATTGCCTTCCTGGGCATCATCATGGCACTTGGTGTTCTCAGTGATGTTGTTGTTAGAAGAGATCAAGTCGGTCATTTCGGCGGTCAAAGGCTCGCTGGTACAGTCCATCAAGTCGGCAGACTCAGGGAGGGGAGAATTGGTCTGAATTGTATCGCTTTCACGAGCTCGGGGATGCATATATCTGTCCCCATGGCGCATACGGATTGATTTGCGAACCGAACCATCGGAGCGAACGGATGCAGGTGTCCAATTCTCCGTTGTCTTGGTGTGAGCGTCATCAGCTGGCTGTCTGTCCATGGTGTATTCAATCGCAGAAGGTGACAAACTTGTCGTTGTTTGGGGCCCACGCAGGTCTTGCGATTGGAATAGAAGATAGGAAAGGTCCTGTTGACATTTGGGATGAAAGGGTGTCAAAGGTTGGTGAGACTGTCCGGGTTCGATCTCAAACGTTTGTCGCGTTTGATCGAGTTCATTCGGCGGCAAATGACCTTGGGTTGTTGTTTTACATACGTCAAATAGGCTCAGCACTGTCCAGCTAGGTCCTTGTCTTCTCCATAAGGTATACATAAAAAAATCAGGCGTCTGACATTGTGAAGAGACACCAACTCTAGAGAAAGAAGCCGTGCTGACAATACAGGCAGAGATAACGCAATTTCATTAGTTCGTGTGAGACCAGACCATCCTCTCCGTATTGGTTCCTGGAATCGGTTCAGTTAAGTTACCAGTGTACAGAGTTGACATTATCTATCTGATATCTGGCAGTAGGAGACTTCTGAGCTTGGAACAGGGGCATGATCCAGAACTACACATAGTCAAGGGGTTTCAATGGACACAGAAAAAGAGAGGCAAGTCTCGAGCATCAAAAAGACAAAAAATACATTCATCGACGTATCATGGCCATACAAGTCACCTGAAAGCCATAGCATCATTCTTGCCAATATTCCAACCCCGTCGATACAGATGACTTCCCAAGAAATCAATGCCATTAGCCAGAGCTCCCTTGACGGATCTGGATTCTGTTAAAATCAATACCATGGGAGAAACATCGCAATCGGTTTATCTTTATTGATCGGAGTAGATACTGTTGCCTGGCTATACGAAGAAGCCTACTATATCCCACTTTCACTGCGACTTCAATCTATACACCAAACCCCTCGCTAATCTTATGAAGCGACCTCGTACCAAATTTCTACGGATACATTCATCGTGTTGATCCAATAAGCCCATTATTCCCATGGAATTGCACTTGGGCAGGAATTGGGAATCCAACGGCAAGGGTTCCGAGAGATGGAGAGTAGAGTTCCGGTATACTGTTGGGGCTGAAGTGGTTGGGATTTGACATGACCAAGATTTCTGCCTCCCCCGAGATCTGATAGCTGCCTGTTCCCAAGGGCTTCTTTACTTTGGAATACTTGATCTGATAGGCCGACACGTGATATGCCCGAAATCGGCGATCCAGTGATCAGGCTGGCCCTGAAGAAGCTAAACAACTTGGCATGCAAAACGAGGAATCGGTGAACAAATGAGTTCCCTGCTGGATACCGAAGGCTGAATGCGGGAAAATAAAGAGTGGCAGTCCACCTGATTATCGCGTATTCAAACATTCGAGGAAAAGAGAAGATTGGCATATTCCGGTCTCCAGCAAACATAGTGCGAAAGTGGAAACGGAGAAAATAAGGTTGTCCTCGGTGAACCTCGCGTTGGGAAACGGCAGGTTTTTCCGCTCAACGGCTCACCCATTTCCTCGGAACTTCAGCTGTGTGAGTCACGCGATATCAACCTGGTCTACACTGGGAGTATTTAGTTCGTCGTGTCAGTGTTGTGCCGATCGGAGGTCTGTGTTTTTTTCCGCCAAGATTTCCCCTTCAGCTTTATCAGATCCGCAAACGGGCAACTCTTTTTCCGCTTTCTTTCTCCTGACGACCAGAAAGACCAGAAAATAGATAGGGGTTAGACGGAGAGAAATCTAGACTCGAGGTAAGTTTTCGTGTCTGTTCCTTTCGTGCGACTACGGGATCTATGACCTCGGTAAAGCGGCTACTCTCGCCTTGCACGGTTTAGCTTCCGATATAACCTTGGAAGATGATGAACTCCACTGACTCAGAATCTGCAGGCGACGCTTCATCAGTATTAATATACTGGACAATTGATGCCAATTGATTTCTGCCTCGAGCACTGGCGTGAATCTCCAGAGAGAAGAAAACTATATAATAGTAATACGTCAAAATGAGTGATGCTCACGTCGTCTCGCACGGCGACAAGCACTCAGCATCCCAGGATGTTTCCGAGCAAACAGAGACACCACAAGACCAAATAGCCCTGGAAGACGTGGAGTCCGGCGAGCAAAGCGTAGCCAACATTGAACGCATCTACAGGCAAGTCCACCACCAACAAAGCCATACCAAATCTAACCAGTATACAGGAAACTGGACCGACGTATCATCTCCGCATTCTGGGTCCTCTACTTCCTCTGCTCGGCCATCCGCTCCAACGTAGGATTGGCGCAGACCATGAACGAAGACACAGGCCACAACCTAGCAGATGTCCTCCACCTAACCCCCCACCAAATCTCAACCGGCCTAGCCCTCTTCTACGTCTGCTACGTGGTCTTCGATCTACCCTCGAACCTGATCATGACCCGGCTCAGTCCACACGTATGGATGAGCCGAATCGTCATCAGCGTCGGTCTCATCGGCTCCTGTCTAGCAGCCATGAAAGCAGCCTGGAGTTTCTAGTACGTCCCCACCCAGACCATCCAGCCCAAAAGTTCCCAACCCTAACCCAACGCACCGCAGTCTCCTCCGCCTCCTCCTAGGAATCGTAACAGCAGGAATGTGGCCCGGAATGACCTACTACCTAACCCTCTTCTACCCACCCAGCCGAATCGGCAAAAGAATTGGCCAATACTTCACCGCATCGCAAGTCTCCGCCGCAGTCGTCGGACTCGTCTCCGCCGGCTTCCAACAAATGGACGGACTGCACGGCCTCGTCGGCTTCCAATGGATGTTCCTAGTCTACGGCGTGATCACCGTAGCCCTAGGCTTCGCCCTCCTCTGGTGGCTCCCAGACCGGCCCACCCCACCGGACGAGGCCCTCCCCCCACGCCCCAAGCTCCTCAGCTGGCTTCCGCGGTCCCCGCCCGCGCTGAGTGGTCGCGATGCGCGCGTCCATTATCGCGATATGAAACGCGTTTATCATTCGCCTGCTTGGACGCTCAGGGACTTGGGTCGGGTCTTTGCGGACTGGCGTCTGTGGCCGTTGCTCGTGATGTATTTCGGCGTTGTGGGCGTCGGCATTGGAGTGCAGCTGTATGCGAACTTGATTATTCAGGCTATTAACCCAACGCTGAGTGGTGTTGATCTGAGTCTTTTGACTGCGCCTATTTGGATTGTATGGTTTCTCCTCTCCCTCCTTATTGTCATGTTTCAGTCTTGTTGCGAAAGACCATGCGTGGTTCGGTTATCATTGAAATGTCCCTGCTAATGCTCCCTTCTTAGATGGATCTCATCGCAATCCTCCTCGTGACACCGCTCTCGGACCGGTTCCATCGCCACCGAGCAATCTTCTTCTCGGTGCCTGTTCTCCTCCAGATCTTGGGTCTGTTGTTAACGAGCTACGCCGGCAGCGATGCAAACCCGTGGCCTCGCTACGGCGGCTTGTTGATCGTAGGCTTTGGTCTTGGGCCGACGGTGCCAATCACCATGACCTGGACGACGGAGATCTTCCAGCCGCGCCATGGCGAAGTCGGCGTAGCTGCTGCCTCAGCTGTGGTATCTGGGTTGGGGAATCTGGGGTCGATTTTGACTACTTATGCGCTTTATTCTGGGTGGAAGAGTGATTACGAGGCTCCTGGACGGCAGAAGTATCGCAAGAGTAATCTTGTGATGGTGGGGATTTTGATTGGGAGTATTCTTGCTGCTGCTCTGATGGAGGTTATGTTGAGGGTTGTTGATGGGCGGTATAAGAATGATAATGGGAAGGGCAATGGCAATGAGGAGGTTGATGGGGCTGGACGGAGAGAAGTGCGGCAGAGGGGTTTGGATGGGCTCGGACGCAGATTTAAGAGGTTTGGGTTGAGGGGAGGTGCTTAGGGGTTGGCTGTTGCGGTAATGTGTCTGGTTAATGATGTTTTCTAAAGATAATGAGATGGAATGCTTCTTTGCATAATGGCTCTTTAAGATTTCATGCTATATGCAGCTCTGTTCGTATTGAGTATGGCATTCTGTACATCAAGCAAATGAGGCTGAAACGGCGCTTTACTGTAATGGAGTGTGATGGAGTGTGGGCATACAATTATTGGACACTCATGTCTGACAAGATTAAGTTCAAGATCTAACCATCTGTCAGATCTAACAAATGGCCAGATCTAGAACCAGAACGACGTATGGAATACTGGTATTACTCTGGAAGATCAGTGCACACTTTTCAGGAATTAGTTGTCGATTCTCCAGAAGAATGATATCAAAATGATATCTCTCGATAAACGATGGTATGATTTTCCCATCCATAATAATTCTATGCTATTGTACGTGTCACATTACCCAACATTGGGTAGTCAAGAGAGAAAAAAAAAAAAAAAAAAGGTGAGGGCGGCTAGTGCAACGAGGGAGTGGCAGAGTCACGCGAGGCACTCATACCGGAAAAGATCGAATAGGAACGCAGGAGAGAGAGAAAGACTGGAACATCTATGGGAAGCTCCCTCACACCAGAGTCAGGCTCTGGACCGACTCCCAGGTTGATGCCGAAGGGTATCGGAGCGCTAAGACCAAATGATTCGTATCCATCTAGAGGCCACCACACAGAGTCTCGACGATGATACCGGTGATCTGGTAAGGATCAGCGTTGGAGGCGGGACGACGGTCCTCGAAGTAACCCTTGCCGTCCTTGGCGCACTGGCGGGGAATACGGATGGAGCCACCACGGTCGGCGACACCGTAAGAGAACTTATCGATGTTACCGGTCTCGTGGCGACCAGTGAGACGCTCCTCATTGCCCTCACCGTAGACGGCGATGTGCTCAGCGTGACGGGCCTCGAGCTTCTTCATAGCGGCCTCGATGACCTTCATACCACCCTCGGCACGGGTACCGTTGGTGGAAACGTTGGAGTGGAGACCGGCACCGTTCCACTCACCCTTGATGGGCTTGGGCTCGAAAGAGATGCGGACACCAAACTCTTCGGCGACACGGTGGAGGAGGAAACGGGACATCCAGAGGTGGTCACCCACTGGTTTCGGTTAGTCAAGATCAAAAGCTGAGAAGAATGCGCAACTTCACTTACTCTCAATGCCGGCACAGGGGCCAACCTGGTACTCCCACTGGGAGGGCATGACCTCGGCGTTGATACCGGAGATGTTGATGCCGGCGTACAAGCAAGCACGGTAGTGAGCCTCGACGATGTCACGGCAGTAGACCTTGCCGGTACCAACACCACAGTAGTAAGGACCCTGGGCACCGGGGAAACCGCCACGGGGCCAGCCGTAAGGCCATCCATCGGTTCCGAGGAGGGTGTACTCCTGCTCCAGACCGAACCAGAAGCCCTCGTGGGCGTTGGTCTCCATCAGACGGTTGGCGTCGTGACGGTAGTTGTACTTGTTGGGGCTTCCATCGGAATCCCAGGTCTCACAGAGGACAAGGATGTTGTCACCCTGGCGGAAGGGGTCGGGGTAGAAAGCGACGGGGCGGAGGTAGACATCGGAGTTGTCACCGGGGGCCTGGGAGGTGGAGGAACCGTCGAAGTTCCACTCGGGGAGCTCGTCAACACTTGTCACGGGCTTGGACAGAGTCTGTGTGGATGTTAGTCGGGATCTCACGTGATGTGTGAATGGCCTCGATAAGACGAGGGGCAACGATAACAGTGGCGGGGGCGTGTGTCGTGTGTATGGAGTCGAGTGTGGGGAGAAGGGAGCATATTCATCATACCTTTGTCTTGGAGCGAGTGCCACCGCAGGAGTCAATCCACACGTACTCGGCCTGAACACGACCACGCTGGTCAAGGTTCATGTACTTCATGAGCTATTCATCCCCATGTCAAGTCAGTATAAATGTCTTTCCTCGCTGGCTCTAAGGCCATTGCGGAAATCCAATCAATCAAGAATCAAACGCACATTCTCCGTGTTGGAGACGACAGTTGATGTTTCAGCAGCCTAGAGATCATTAGTGGGACGTTCTGAGTCATAGTAGCAGAGTGACATACCATAGTGAATATGGGTGTGTGTGTATTGACGGGAAAAAAAGAACAAGCTCGAGAGAGCAAAGAATGGATTTTAGAGGTTTTTTTTTCAAAGGATTCCCGAAGGAAGGAAACAGAGAAAACGAAGCAAAAGTGGATGGAGAAAGAAGGAGGGGAGAGATGCGAGGTTTTAAGGGAATAAAGATTTAAATGGGAAAAAATGGGAAAGAGGCAGGCGCGGATCAGCCACTCCGAAAGAGGCCTAGCCTGGTATTGGTATGGTAAGCCCCTCCCGATACGAACAATTTTACATTACGTGGAAATCCGAAAAAGGCCTCACGCTATTTTAATCTTTCGCTGTAAATAGCTCATGCTTTTTTTTTATAGCTTTGGACTGTGCACTTGCATCCCCTTTTTGATCTGGAGAGTCTTTTTTTGGGCTTCATCGAAACAGCCGAGGGAAGCGCCTATTCATGTTTTCACGCCACTCGCTTCCGTGTCATCATCGTCGCATCATCCAGACTCTCATACTTGGCAGGCCCGGTCTCCGCCGACTGATCTATGTTGATCTTGGTGATGTGGGATCCAAGGTCCCGGGTCGAGCACTAAGAGTGATGCACCGGACATGTGAAGTATAATCTGTTTCTCCAGACTTTCGACGGCGACATGTATCAAATACGAACGATGCGCTTGATCATGCCTGGATCAGTGTTCATGATAACCCCAAGTCCAATCAGCACTCGGACCTTGTAATCGCCCCCAATAGTATGATCAATCCCTTCACTCCCGTTGGGCCGATAACGAGGTCAACTGGGATCACAGGGCTCTACGCAGTAGTATATTATAGTAGAGAGCTAATACAGAGCGCCCATCCCACTTCTGGGCTTATCCGGCCTTCTCCCCGGTCACATTCGGTATAAGAAAGTCTTATCGGTGCAGCCCCCCTGATATGGATATCAAACCCTGTGCATAGCGTATAGAAACATATGCCCCGTGCCACCGGGCCCATACTAGTCAGCTAGCCCATCTGCAACTACACTGGACTGTAGAAATATCCGACAGGGAACTGGTGGCATATCAGTGCCACTTGCAGTACCGCCAGGGCCAACAGATACCACCGTCAATGTGTATGCAAGTGGCATATACTTTATTACCGCAAAAGCAATATGAATCTTACCTGTTTTATCTATACTCCATCCGAACCTATCTCTCGCTATCACGGTAACTTATTTACGGAAATTATATATATTGAATCACGCGCGCGTCGCGAACCCATCCCTAAAAAAAAAAAAAAACTCGGTGTGGATGCACCGGCTAAGGACTCCGCGGCGGAGCTATAAATGATAATGGCGCAATTCGTTATCGAGATGTCTAGAACACGACCAAAGTACGATACAGTACCGATTGAGCTGAATGCTAGTCTCTGTTCCTGCAGGACAACGTTAGATCCCAAGGGGGATGTACAGTACTGTAGACCAAATGCATCCAGATAGGATAGACAGGTACCGCGATGTCCAACCGGTACGAAGGATATACCAGTGTAATACCACCAGCTCCGCCTTCCCCATTGTGAATGGAGAAGCCCGCCACGCCGCAACTGGGATCGATCACTCAGAGTCATTCCGGTGGGGACGTGGCAAAACGTTCTCGAAACCCCCGGTGATTCACCAATCAGACCCGCTGGTACCACCCCCGGTGTCGGCCATGGATAAGGAAATGATTCGACTGCTCGGCTGTTGGGCTGGATGTTATTCATCTGTTGAGTTTTGATTATGTATTGTAAGAGTCACGCGTCTGGCTTCTTTTTTTTTTTTTGCTTTGTGCGTTAGGTAAGGATCTCAAAGTCAATTTTGATATGGAAATTTTCAAGAGACAGGGATTCTCCAGACGAAAAGTGGCGACCAGATCTGTCCCCCGTATTTTCTCCGTAGGTCGTCGAAATTCGGGAGTTTCAGGAATCACAGTGAGTGGCTGATGTTCCGATCTTCAGCCCTGTGTCTAAGCTCTTTTCTCCAGGTTTTCGTTTTCGTGGGATATAGCTCCGAATTATTAGCGAGCAACTAGCAACTGGAAGGGTCTCTCGTGTATTAATAGCATGAGACATCCGGATGCGGGCTTAGTCACCGGTCAAGTCCGGGGCTGTGTCTCGATCACAGTGAGACTCCTGAGTTTCAGTCTCGGTTTCAGCTCAGTCCAGTCCTGCTCAAATCCACGTCAAGAGTCCAGTGCAAAGGGTGGAATGGCAAAGCCCCAAAACGCACACATAAAAAAAGCAAGATCAGAAGCCATAGATCATCCATTCTTATCGCCATTGCCTCATTGGCCCATGGCTCAAGTGACTAACGACGCTGACTGAAAAGGCACCGATGCCACTGATATTCACGTAATTGAATTCTTCCCATTTGTTCAGTCGGTTTCAAAGACCAAGGCCGAGTCCCTGATCTGCAGTCTGTCCGCCAGAATGCTGCAAAATCCCTCAGAATGTGAGTATTGTAAACATGACACATACCTTGGATCTTCAGGCTCGAAATTCGGGTATGATACAGATCAGGCACCGACAGTATTTCACGGGGACTAGAGTCATGCGCCAAGACTTTATTTTGACATCTCGAACGCCGACTTCACGGCACATCTGCATCTAAAGGTTAGGAGGCACTGAATAAATCCCGCAACCAGACTACATTTTCAGCCAAAATACAGTACAGAGACAAGTCTCTCTGAATAGTGTCGAGAAGAGGAAGGAGGGGCAGAAACGTGATGTGATTCCTTGTTCTAGTGGACTAGTCGCACTATGACATACATAGCTCCATACAATAGAGGGGCATACCTACTATTTGGGTCTGGAAAATGAATGGCTCTGATAAAGGCTCATACTAACCTTTGATCATTACGAATGTTCACTGCTGTATGTGACTCATATACTGAACAATACTGTATGGTACTGGCATGATATCCCTTACGCATGACAGATCCGTTGGCCGGGTAAATGATCTATAATGCCTCTCTCATTGTACACATCCAGTATCCAGTCCATAACCGGTCCCGGCCCGGTGCCGTATCAAAGATAAATTATTTACTTAGAGCACACCGTAGACGCGAAAGCAAATAACACAACATGATCAAGAGAGGAATTTTTGAATACAATGAAATAAAATAAATAATAAATAATATGAAAATGCTATGTCAGATCGACATTTCGTGTCTCGTCCACTTGGCCCTTTCTGTGCCCGACCGGTCATAGAAGACGTAGATGTGCCTGTTAGATCGTGGAACAACCGCCAACGCGCCTACATGGTACAGACTCTGCCCGGTTTTCACCTGACCTATGCAGTCATATATCCAATCGTAACCCTGCTTGGCTAGATGTATGCAACCTTCTGTTTCGGATATGACGCACATCTCTAGCACGGTCCGCGACCCCGCATTCATCTTCGGGCCTGGACTTATCTGATCGACTTGGAACGGGGCTTGATGTATGCAAAAGTGTCTATTTGGGTGCTCTTGCATTGGAGCTGTGGGTTTAGTGTTTGAGAATGTCTGTTAAGGGGGGTTATGTGCTAAGGGTTTTAGGTAATATATATTGACTCTTGGTGAAGTAAATGGCTAATTGGTGGATCATGATGTGTGCAGTAGTGATATACGGTCCCTACTTCGGGCAGATCTGAAGTAGACGCCCAAGTCATGGGAAGCTGTTTCCCACGTGTTTGTTGGTGGAGTAAACCTGGCTGTGCTTCTGGAAGACATAATCATAACCGAACTAGCTGGTTTAGGAAAGCCGACATGCAACCCTCCAGATACTCTACTGAAACGTCAGTATTGTATCGAGTAACTTATACCACGACCACCTGATGATCAAGAAATAGACTATGACGTGGGAATAAAACTGGAGAAGTGTTGGCTTAGATGGGGGTATGTAATGATATCGCAAGTATCCCAAACACTAGGTTCTCACGCATGACCAGCCCGCTGCTGCAACCAACGCAAGACCCACTCAACTAGAATCCCAAGGTCTTGAGAGACCTCCAGCACCCTAGAAATCTTCTTATGTACATCCCGTATTCCAGAGTCAGAGCCATCAGCCCCTTGCATTTCAGTATCGGCACTGTTCTCCTTCGATAATCCAGCGGTCTCAACAACGGAAACATGACCATTGAGCCCGACTTCAAAACATAGTGAAATTTGCTTTGGTTCTCGTTGGTGCTGGGGTTCGGTGATAAGCAGCATGAGAGCGGGTGCTTGGCCAAGGGGAGTACGTAGTGTGACGTCTACCTTGACGTCGGTCACGGAGAGTTCCTGTGAACTATGACCATCGGTGAAAGATGTCAAGTGACCCGGTTCAGTTTGGCCGTTGCCGTTCATTCCTAGGAGTAGGTTTAGACGGGTTTCATTTGGATCGTCGTTGTTTAAAATGACGAGTCCATCTTGGTTGGCAAATAGATCGTGGAGATTATCAGAAGGGGCGTTTTGGGGATTGGTCTTGGGAGGCTGAGATGTGTTGTCGGTTTCGTTTGAAGGAATGTGGAAGGTCTTCCGGACCAGATTGGCTAACAGGGCGTATTGTCGGAGAATCTGAGTTGTTTAGTACAGAACCAAAAAAAACCCCGGCCAAAATACATACCGGAAGAATGTCTGCAAGCTGCCGGGGATGAGAGAATGGCAGATCACGAATGGTTCGGCCGGTAGTAGACTCGAATGCTTGGAATGTGTAGTTGTGGTGCTTTGTATATGACTCGCCCTTGGAGTCAACAGCAGACACTGAAGTTCGACGCTTCCGACGGCCAATCTGAGGGGCAGGGTCTGGGGATGTCACAGCCGACCTTTCTGAGACCAACAGCATGTCATAGGTGTCAACCTTAAATTCTTGCGATAGTTGCATACCAAGATGGCGGTAGATCTCAGAGGCAGCGAAAATCGGAACATCGAGCCCGGGCTCCAGCTTTGCGACGAAGCGGCGATTCGGTGGCGATGATTCAAGCATACTGGAGTCCAACGCCATGGGATCATGGTTTCCGTGCGTCAAGCGCATGGTCTGAGGAGGATCAAGCCAATTCACAGATCCCACGGCATTATCTGAAGGTAGCGACTCATTGCTTTCACCGGCAGGAAAGGCTTCTGCTCCAACCCACTCTTTCGAAATGCGTAGTGACGGATATCCCTCTTCACATTCAATCATGACAGTCCACACTCTGCGTTGATCATCTATCTCATCATCTGAAAGCGAGTCTTGTCGGTCAACTTCCATATCATCTGGAGAAGCCTGTTGCTTCTTGGCATCCAAGACCATAGCCTGTTCAACCCAGTATTCCAAGCCGAGGCCAATTCTAGTTCCCTTGTGCATGCTGGGGCGGCCAATCACACCTGCGCAAAGATGCTGGTAGTCGCCGCCGTACTTCCCATTCTTCCCTTCTTCAATCCAGATGCGCTTGAAGTTCTCTTCGAGGTTTTCCAGTGCCTCAAAACAGTTGACTTCTTGGCTAAGCTTATCAAGTTTCGCAAGCCAATGTAAGTTTTCGCGGAAACGTTGAAGTGATCTCCAATTTCCACTCAAAGCATCCTCAGGGTCCTGGGCGAGGGTACGTTTCAGAACCGCAGTTGCTTCTTCTCGTCGCACGCCTTCTGTGTATTCTGGAGTAGCATATCGCAGACTGACATCCTTGACAACATCATGTCCATCGTGGAAGTCGATTTCCAGGTCGACAAAGTTACCAGCAATGTTGAGGTTGTCATCTTCCCAAATCGATTCGAATCCTTCAAGGCGACTTAATCTTTCGATGCTTTCCCGAGACACGCCTCTGCCAGCAACTCGCGCACGTAGAAGCTGAACGACTTCTTTGATGCGGTGTCTTTGCTCTTCGTCATTGTCTCGTGCGACTCCAAGCTTGATGCCCTGCATGCCGAGGTTTTGGATATCGCTTTCGTTCATTCCAGATCCTAGACCATCATGTACCGCAGAAGATGGGCTAATACCCGTGTATCCACCGAGTGCTAGAAGAGCTGAAGGGGAGCTGAAATTAACCGCGTCGTCGACCCCACTAGTTACGGCGAGGGGTGTAGAGTATTGATGAGAGGAAACGCTGGCATGTGGCGCATGCGCCGATCCTGAAGCTGTTGGTGTCCTCATGGAAGGCGATTTATGGGCAATTGAGCGAGAGAGAGGAGCTGAGGTTGGGTGAGGTGAGGAGAGATGGGTTGGTGTAGTGCCAGGTTTGGCTGAGGGCGTCGCCATGGTGAGAAGAAAGATAGTAAGAAGCGACGTGAGGCTATGAAGAATCAAGATTATTCAACTCTGTTCGAGAAACGGTATCAAATAGATTGATGCACAACACGCAGGGTCGTCGGGTATCTCTGAATGCGCCGCCGCTGAGTGCCAGCTGAGAGGATGCGCAAGGGCAAAACAGTAAATTGAATTCACAAGCCAGTATCCTGATCCATCTAAAGCTTCCCCGTTCCCGTTGAACACAGCAATTGACAATACCAAAACAAAAAAGTTGCTCGAAGCAATCCGAGCAGCCGTCAAAGATTGGGTCGATCAGGTGAGTTTACACTGTTTGTCCGCATCGTCATAGCACATCTCCACCGCCTTCAACACCGCCTGCCTTTTCTGCTGGTCATGATCCAGTTGCTTCACAGCTCCCGAGCTAGATTTATATCAAGAAAGTCCCCAAGTGGCCCATCCAAAGACCGTGGCAATGTTTGCAGCACGAGTTATTGGCCGACAGGCCCGGAGTCTCCCCAAGTGGACACAATTCCGTTATGTTTCCACCCTAGAAGGGAACCCGTATATTGTATGTGATCTTGATTGCTCTCGGCCCTAGCCTGGTCGAATACTGACAGCTTGATAGTACGTGTTCCCGAATGCTGGACCAACAGCTGGGTCACACATACTGTCACTGCTGCCATCAGAGCCAGTCAACCCAGATTTAGCCATCGGACTGTCCAGTCAACTGCCACCGACAACAGACTCTTTCAGGGAAAACCCCAAGTTCTTGGATATAGTCCAGGAAGTGTGTTCAGAGCATGCTCACGAAGATCCCGATGCCATGTCTCAAGCACAGGTCATGGTTTCCATGGCCGGGGCGAACCTGAACTCAGGCGGCGTGCTGTTGTCTGGAAATCGCCAGCGAGGAAGGAAACGTCGGGGAGAAGCTGGTGATTCTAACAGTGGTGCTAGTGGCCAAGGCGGTGCTGGATCTGGTGGTCGTGGTGGCTGGATTCATGTGTCAGATAGCCGACGGCCTCCTGACTATGGACGTATTGCATGGTAGGTGTCTTGGTGCACGGATGGTATCATCGCTTCGTACGGGATGACAACTGACAGTTCGCAGGCCAGAGGATATGTTTGGTAGTCTTGAGGTGGATGGAAATGGCCAGTTCGTCGGCGACAACGGCAATTATCAGCCTAGCGGTATGGTTTCCAAAGAGATGAGACTTGACACCCCAAGCTGACACATCATAGGTACTTACCGCATGGTGACCCGAGACGGAATGTAAGTGTTCATGAGGCAGTGATTAATACTCGTGGATGGTTTCATGCTGACTCCTGATATAGCTTCGGGCTGAGCCCTTTCCTTAGAGAAAAGTTGATTAAGAGACTACGGGAGCTGGAGACCAAACAGTCCTCTTAAGATCATGATCCGATCTTCTTGTATATTAATCCAATTTCATTGATCTGTACAGCTCTACTCAAAGCCAACTTGTATCTCAAATGACCCTCATCGCTATCGTAACATGTAGAATATGAAGCAGTCCATCAGGATTAGCTTTCAGCTTAGGATGTGCCGTCAGCCTGTTCATGTTGGGATGTCAACAAAGGGATGTTCAGAATCACCAAGAACACATGACGCTGTAGCGCAATGAGAAGCAAACACCTCCAGATCGACCAATGACTGCTGGGTTGATCTTCCTAATTGGGACGCCTGCCCTCTGGGTATAAATCACCCCAACTTTCTCTCTTTTCCTTCTTCGCTTTCTTCTTTCCCTCTCTCCCCCCCTCTCTTTGGGGACTGCCCCCGTGGTCTGCCACTGAAACCCTCTAGGCTTCAATCCTTCATGGTCCAGATGACTTGATCCAGGTTAAACCATTCCCCTTACCCCATACTGTGTGAGTGAGTGAAGGAGCCTTTCAGAGTAGCTCCTGGAGTCTGCTCACAGAGCCACCGCAGGATACATTAGCGGTCCGTGGGATCTGCTGATGATGGCTGTTGGCTACGTGGGGTTCAGATGGCTCTCACTGCGGATCTCAAGCACATCCTTGATGGTTCAGGTGGTGGCCGAGAGCGAGCTTCGGCAACACTGTGCGAGTTACCATTACGCCCCCGGCCTCTGTTAGTGATCCATGGTGTACATTATCCCTTTCCCTTTCCTTTCACAGGCTCTCTCACCGCGGACCTCAAGCATATCCTTGATGGTTCAGGTGTGGTGGCCGAGAGCGAGCTTCGGCAACACTATGCGAGTTACCATTAAGCCCCCGGCCTCTGTTGGTGATCCACGGTGTACATTACCCCTTCCCCTTCCCCTTCCCTTTCACAGGCTTTCACTACGGATCTCAAGCACATCCTTGATGGTTCAGTTGATGGCCGAGAGCGAGCTCCGGCAACACTGTGCGAGTTACCATTATGCCCCCGGCCTCTGTTGGTGATCCATGATGTACATTTTTCTATCTCGAACATGGATATATCTCCAAATGAAATACCACATCATGTTGGCCTTGGCCTCTGTGGCTTGATCACAAGGATAAATGATAGATGTAGGGACATAACTCATTGTTTCTCATTACTTCTTAAAGAAATTGGTAATCCTCTGCGAGCCATCCTTTGTCTTGATCCCACTGGATCTCTTCGTAGGGCTGTTATGGGTAGCACTTCGTAACTTTTTCTTCTGTGGCAATGGCGCTCCAGGCTTCAAGTCAATCTTTTGTTTTTTGTGTTCCTCTGCTATGCTCGGACTCTCTGGACTATACTCTCTCTTGGCAACAGGCAATGGCTTTGGAGCATTATCCTCGCTCCACTCATCATCAAAGGTAGGACGCTCCTCTGTAGCAGCCTTTGATTCTGGAGACACAGGTTCCAACTTCGGAGCAGGCCCAGATGTCTTAGATGTAGCTGTTGGCTTCTCTTCCTTCTTCTTAGCATTGTCAAAGAAGTTCGCAATGTTACTTTTGTTCTCCTTGCTGTTGACTGGCACGATAAAGTCCGGGGAGTTATTTCCCACCTTACCAACCTCCTTGGGGACAGGATAGCACTCCAAATCACCCTCGTATGGTTTCAGCATGGACTGGAGATCCCTCGACCAAGTCGTTGTATTAGGATCCAGCCACTTCTTCATTTCCTCGCTCCCCGGCTCGAGGATAACTGGCATTCGCTCATGTAAGAACTTCAGGTATGGATTGGACGAAGTCGTGATAACAGTGTAGGTGTACAGTTTCTGATCCGAGCCTTTGCAATGTCAGTTCCAGTCTGAGTCTTGCTCAAAGACCAAATATAAGTCATGATTTACCTTCATAGGACACACAGTCCCAAAGCCCCGCAAAACACATCAGCTCCCCGTCTTTGCGCCGGACAAAGTGCGGCACCTTCTCCTTGCCTCCGGGGCCTTTCTTCAGCCATTCATAAAACCCTTGGCAGATGACGATGCATCTTTTGCGTCGCTTCATAGTTGTCCACATCCCACGGTCTTCGATCAGTGAGTCGTCACGGCAGTTGATCGTGCGCATCATGGATCCATAATCTGGTTGCCGCTTGGTCCAGAATGGGATGAGACCCCATTTCATGCTTTGAAGCTTATATCGAATTGCCTTCTTGTCTGCAGGCTTATGCATCTCATCATGATCATCATTGGACTTCTCCACGTCTTTATTTTGGTCTTCATGCGCGGCAACATGGGAGCGCCCTTGGTCCGGGATATCGGCACGATAGACAGCACCAATATTTCCTGGTGCGAAGTTATATGTCTCTCTGACTTCATCGTCATCTGGTGCTTCGTCCACTTGCATGCCTTGCTCTTGTATGCGTTGCCGGATGTACGCCAAGCGCTTCGAATCGTTAGTTAGACCTCTAGATCGGGGAATCAGAACATACCACGCCCAGGGCGTACCGGCCACACATTGTCAACAGAAACCAGATAAACTCCTATCGTACTAGTACTAGATGTGAATCTGTATCTTACAGAAATAAGAAGAAGAGAGAGAGTGACTGGCTCAGATGTAGAACGGGCGACGTCATAAGGCGGAGCGGAGCTCGGGACCAGCAGAAAAACGAGGCTCTCGTCTGTCATCGCCAAACTCGACTCTTGAAGTACTCTTTATATGACATTGCATCCTAGCCACAAGTCCATTGAAATACCCCAGACAATCCAATAACCACAATCCAACCCAAATGTTCCGCGCAGCATCACGCACAAGCGCTCGCGTCGCAACTCTCTTCCAAGCACAACGGCAAAGGCTCACCCGCTCAATACACAACACCACCCGACCTACCCCCCGACCACGCATCAGCAATGCCAAACCCCTCGTAACGCCATATACAAGCGGCGCCCGAAACCTCAGTACAGCAGAAAAGATCCGACGCAAGTATCGCGAAGCATCAAAAGGAATCTGGCGCAAGAACCCAATCCTCCTACCACTAGCAATAGCCTCCATAGTCGGCGGAGCCATCTCCTTCGCCTTCATCTCCTACGTGGAATTGACCCGCGTTGCACCGCAGTACCACAAGTTCCCGGCGCCGGTGGCTGATGCGCTCCGCACAGCGGTGTACTACACCGAGATTGACCTCAACCCGCCCAAGGCGCTGCAGGCTTATAAGAATGCGTTGAAGATTGCCTCTGAGCTGGGTGTTCATCCGTTCTCGGACGAGGTGCTTGGTATTAAGATTCAGGTTGCTATGATGCTTGAGAAGGCCGGGCTTGTCAAGCCTGCCATTGATGTTTTGGAGCGGACGAAGAGCGAGACTCTTGTTTGGATTGAGAAGGGGCGGGCTATGGAGGGTGTGCCCAGTGCTGGGGTTGGGGCTGGAGCTGGGCCCGTGAAGGAGGCTCCCCAGTCTGCATCCACGCAGGCGAAGATCGCCGCGGAGAATGTCCAGATCAATACCGATGTTATGCAAGAGACAGAGGAGGATTTGAAAGCGCGGGCTGAGAATGAGGTTCTTCTGCAGGACAAGGCGCTCAAGAAGGTTATTGGGATACAGATGAAGCTTGGCGAGCTCTATTCCAGTGATCATATCCAGGAAGATAAAAAGGCAGAGGAGGCGCAGGTCGCTGCTGTGGAGCTCTGTTTGAAGGAGATGCACCGTCGCCAGAGACTGGGTCTGCCCGTTGGCAGTTCGGGCAGTGGCAGTGAGGAGAATGGCGAGGCGTGGCTGAATCTGACGGAGATTGCTACTGCTTTGGCCGATCTGGCTAATACCTATATTGCCAAGGAGCGATTCGAGCTTGCCATGCCACTGTACCTTCGGGCATTGGATCTGATCCGCAATGCAGAGGGCGACAGTCCTTCCTGCAAGCAGGTCGTGCTATTGAACGATGTCGCCACTGCTATGGTTGGACATGCCCAATTGCCAGTCAAGTCCCAGCCACAGCAGCCCGTTGCGACTGACCAGACTGTCGAGGCTGCGCGGCAGTGGGCGCAAAAGGCCATTGATGTTGCGGCGCATATTCAGCCTCCTGTGCGAGACGAGGAGTGCGATATTACTTGTGTCGTTGCTACGTATAACCTGGGTGAACTGGCTGAATTACAGAAGAAGCCGCAGGTTGCCAAGCAGCGGTACACCGAGGCCAAGTCGTTGGCTGATGGCATTGGATATGAGGAGGGGAGTTTAATGGCCAAGGAGGCTTTGAAGAGACTCGGCAAGAAATAAGGATGGATCCACTGTAAGACTAGGGCATGCAGCCTCCTGTACATTATGACGAAAATTTCAACCTACTCTGTATATCATTGAACTACCACGGTGCCAGACATTTCGAGTCAACTAGTCGAATATGGCATCTCTTATACTGTAACAGACGACAGCGAAACAGAACGACTACACGATTTACGGGGTTGATTTACAGGAGAAGATATATATGAAAAATAGGAAACATTTTGATGCCTTAACTGGTATTAGAACATCACACGCCGTTCACAAGAATCCATCATATTTAAAAGCGGATCAAGTAAGCTAGACATGTCAGAAAACCTCCAGGCCAGGGACTTTTCGGTCCCGGCTCGAAGTGCTTCATTGCTCGTGGCTCATACATCCCAAACCAATGCTCTTCTGGCCTTTTTTGAAACTTTTTTTCAATTCCCTTGTCAATAGATCAAAAAGAGGCTCCTCCGGCTCCGTTTACACACAAATCATCTATGCGCGCGACATAACACCCCAGGCACGGATCTTGTTGTCGGTGTAACCGGCGAACAGGGTCTGGCCGTCAGCGGACCAGGCCAAGCTGATGCACTCGGGGTCACGGCTCTTCTTGCCCTTCTCAACGAACTCGGGCTTGAGCTCGTCAACCTTGCTCTTCTTCTCGAGGTCGAAGATGGTGATGCTGCTGGAGGTGGCAGCGCACAGCCAGTAGCGGTTGGGGGAGAAGACGAGAGCGTGGATCTCATCGCCGGCGTGGAGGGAGTAGAGGTGCTTGGACTCGTTAAGGTCCCAGAGCATGGTGGTACCGTCCTTGCCACCGGAGGCGCAGAGGGATCCATCGGGAGAGATGGTGACGGTGTTGATGTAGCCGGTGTGACCGATGTGGTCGGTCTGGAGACGGCAGGAAGCGAGCTCCCAAACCTGTAACGCGGATATGTCAGCGTCATGTTCCACGTAAAAGGGTCAAGTGATATGAGGATTGAAAATTTTTCAAATCCTCCTTTTCTCCAACAAAACAAGAAAACAAGATATTGTTATGCCCATCAGGCAAAATGGGTGAAAATTGTCTCATGGCCGGTAAGGGCTCTGAAGTAGCAAATACGTTTATGCAAACATCACGCGGGAATAACAATGTGGAGTAAGGGAGGATTGTGAGAAAGAAAAAATTGGGAATCGAGCGTACCTTGACGAGCTTGTCCCAACCAGCGGAGACAATCACGGGGTTCTGGGGGTTGGGGCTGAAGCGAACGCAGGAAACCCACTCGGTGTGGCCCTTGTCGGTGATGGTGAACTTGCAGTCACCGAGGGTGTTCCACAGCTTGATGGTGCGGTCACGGGAACCGGAAACGATCTGACGGTTGTCGGCGGAGAAAGAGACGGACAGGACGTCGTTGTTGTGGCCGACAAAGGTGCGGGTGGTGTTACCGGTGGACAGCTCCCAGAGACGGAGAGACTTATCCCACGAGGCGGACAGAGCGTAGGCACCGTCGGAGGAGATCACCTATACGCAGACAAGACCGACGGTCAGCCAAACCATTCCAACACTTCTTTTTTTCATATTCCAATTGCACCATCCAATTGCACCATCTGTCGCATCCAGTGGATTCTTGGTGTAGTTCATTCGGGAGGGGGAAAGCGTACACAGTCAGAGACGATGTGGGAGTGACCCTCGAGGCTGCGCTTGGGGTAACCGTAGGCCTGCTCATCACGGGTAAGGTTCCAGATGATCAGGGTCTTGTCGCGGGATGCCGACAGCAGCATGTTGGGGCTATCATCACGCATCAAAGTCAGAAATTGGTTCTTCAAAAATTCAATCCCCGATCGGGATAGGTCGTCTCTTACTTCTCCAGGGAGGTGGCAAGGGAAGTAACCCAGCCATTGTGGCCCTCAAGGGTGCCGCGAAGAACCAGCTGCTCAGCCATGATGGGAATGAGTGATGGGAAGGAGAGAGGAGGATGGGCGGAGATTGTCGTTGACTCTGGGGGGGAGTAAAATCGAGATGGGAGGCAGACGTGCCCGCTCAAGCCCTAAGCCGCTTTGTCGCTGCCCTTGTGTGGTTCCGCGCAGCCCTAACACTAAGCGAAGATCACGTGAATCTATACTACGGAGGACTTGTCCATTGCAATAGACAACGACTGGATGAGTTGAAAGGGTTTTCAAGGGTTATTGAGAACGTCTGGGTGATTTTATTTAATTCCACTCATTTTCTACATCAATGCAGCACCCAATATACATTCTAATAGATGTGTCCTGCCGGACAATGTGACTATAGTACAGATCAGACCAAATAGTTCTTCAGTCTTTCAGCCTCTCAAGCTCAATTCCATACCCAGAAGTTAAGACTTGAACACCTGAACATTGGGCATTCTGCCCAAACCCTGACCACCTCCAGTCTTCTTATTCTTGGCCTTCTCAAAGCCAGTGGCACTCTTATCACGAACATGCTCTCTAAGCAACTCCAGCACCTGAGACTCCTGCCAACGCTGAGGAACAGGCCGGTAAGCAGCTCTGAAAGCGCCAATAGTCTGCGCCCATTCACCACTCTTAGCACCAGTCTCTTTCCAGTTCTCGGTGACTTGATCCTCTTTAGGAGTGGATTCAATGGGGGCATCCTGTGTCGCCCAGTAGTAGATATCCCAGTCGTTCTCGTCCAGGAATCGGTCGTACTCGACAAGCTGGTCGTGGTCCATATTTGCCAGGTTGGCGTCGGCAAAGGTTGACAAGAGCAAGTCTGACTCGAGAATTCCACGCTTGCGGCTTTGGTCTGGAGCTTGTTAGCTTGGGTTTGTTCAATGTGATGTATCCGAGATATCATGTTGATTGAATGCATGGGGTGACAAACATAATAAACGCGCTCTTTTTGTCGCGACTTCCTCCCCGGTCCTCTTCAACGGCTCAACCTTGAAGGTGATACCCTCCATCTCACCAACACCAAGCTCGGGCTTCTGCGCACCATTGTCTTGACGTCCGCCGGTGAAATGTTCAATCCGTCCGGGATAGGGATCCGCAGGCCGGTAGTTAGGGTTGACAGAGTTCAGCATCTCGGGAGGCGCAGGCTTTTCGCCGACATTGGGGAAATCCTTTGTCATTGTGGAAGTAGTGTTGGGCACGAACGGGTTGGACGGCTTCTGAGACTGCTTCGCGCGGTATTCATCTGTTGTGGAGGTGCTGCGATCTTTGAGGCGTAGAGCTGATGTGCTGAATTGACCGTTTACTCTTGAGATCGAGCTCAAAGAGGTTGGCATAGGTCGCGCAAGGCGATGGATGCTGCGTGCCATGGTCATCTTGCTATAATTGTCCCTCCGAAATCTTGCGACTGTTCAGGTAGATGTGAGGAGGTTGAGACTGTTGCCGGCCTTGACATCATCCGGTGGTCATCCCGGGGAACCGAAGCTCCTGCAATGCCCGTGGAGTTTGCAGTGTTTGCAACCAACATTCCACTGGAAGGCCTTCCATTACACAGTTAATGTTTCGGCCTTTTGCTAAGTGTTTCTCTTCTATGGCCCACTAGCTCTGGCACTGGTTTACACAAACACTAGATCATTCTTACCAGTGGTAAGTGACCCCACTGACAAAGAACTAGGGTCGAAACGACCAAATATTATTAGCGCCAAGCTGCAGAAAGCATGGTGTACATTTTATATCATTGAGATCATGACTGTTAAAACAGAATGCCAGTCGACACAAGCAGAAAAAGAAACATTGCAATGCAAGGGCTTCAAAAACCAAAAAAAAGGTAACAAATCGTCCACGATGCAAGCCATATTCATATCATCCATACCGTGGGACCTATCCGAGTACCGTAAAGCAAAGTATCTAGATAAGGTGCTTGGATCTGAAATAAGCTCTCAGGTAAACGACCTGCCAAGCCCCAAGCCCAACAAGCATACCCATAGTGCCGAAAGCAAACCACTTGACACGTTCATTGGTGCTCTCGTTGGTATCGCGCAGACGCTGCTCACGCGCACGCAGATACTCCATCTCGGTAACGATGTCGGTGACCATCTCCTCGATGCGGCGGAGGTCTGTCTCGACAGGCTTGAGCTTCTCCTGGCTCTGAATGCTGTTCCAGTCGCGGGCATCGGCGCCAATGTCGACGTCTAGTTCGATTGGGCGGGAGGGGTTTGACATGCCGTCTGTGGAGTGGTGATATTAGTGTGTGTTCAATTGAGACGAAGGTTTGCGTCGGGAGCTAGCTTGACTTACTGTGGCCAGTAAGCTGGTTCTCGAAGCAGACGTCGAAAGCAGTATCGGCAGGCGAAGTGAAGATCTGGCGCGTTTCGCCGACAACGTCTCTTGGCCGGCCGTGGTCGTTGCCCATGGAGTCCTTGATCTATTCCAACAATAGGTTAGCCATAATGCACTGTATTCAGATCATCGAATCCACTTCATTCAATCCAAACCACCACCACCAGGGATAGAACAACACATACATGAATATTGACCTTCTGGCCATCTCCCTTGGTGCCTCCAACAATAGCAGTAACAACAACAAGCTGATCCTTGCCAACGAAGTTGCGAATACAGCGCTCATTCTTGCCGTGGCCGGAGGTAGCAACGAGGTCAAATTTCAGCGCGGTGGCCAGCTGCACGAACATGAAGACCATGGCTAGCATGGTCCTCATTGTGAAGGTTGAGGTGGGCATTGCGCCGTGTGGAATTGGTGAACGGTGCTGGGATTGGGGTTGGTTGTCGCGGTGTTGTTTGATGACACCTGGTAAGGGGGATGGAATATAGTTGTTCCGGTTGTATTCGTGGTAACTATGAGTTCGGCCGAGCTGTGTTTACACTTGGGCGGGGGATCACGATAATTATCAAGCTAAGTTATGTGTTTATCTTTTATGTTTTGTGTGCTTAATTGTGATGATTGAAGCGAGGATATATGTTACTTGCATTTGGAAAGCTAGAAAATAATGTCTTCGCGTGAAGTCTTTGAACAATGGCACAAGTACAGAAAAGCATGGTATCTCGAAATCCACGAAAACAATCAATAGACGTCCGAGTCAATAAAATAAGAAGATTCTGAGAAAGAGAAGGTCGAATCCCATATTAATCATTCACTGCCATATAAAAAGGCAAGGAAAGAAAGTGACGCATGTCAAGTGCGAGGAAATGTAAAAGGAATAAGCCACTTGATCGTAGCTCCAGAAACAATGGAGAAGGCAAAGGAGGAAAGAGAATATGAGAATACATGACTCTATACAAAGATTTTGACAGATTGAAAAAAGAAATTGTGAACGAGGGCAGTGCTAGTTTGTGCACAGACAAGATAAAATCAAAGTGGTGGGCATGATATGTGTATCGTTAGATAGAAACGCTTAGCAAAGCAATTCATTAGTCAAAGTCGTCGGGAATTGAACATCAAATCCCTACGACTCGACCTTCTTTCGGCGTGTGAAGAAGCGGGAGAAGCCCCCGCTGCTCATCTTCGAGGTTGTCGGAGAGGACACAGCTCGAGGGGACGGTTCTGGGGGTCCAGTGTTGCGCAGGAAGTCAGCCAGGTCACCAGTTTCGGTCTTGCGGTTGGAAGCAGATGGGATGCTGCCGTTGTTCCGCTCCATGCCGACCTTGGTGGCGTAGTTGTTCACGACCTTGCCTGGGACACTGCCCTGGGAGCGCAAAGAGCTCTGGGAGGAGCGAACCATACCCGATCTCACGCGCGCATTGGCAGCGGCAGTGTTCACGGTGAATGGTACAGGGGATTTATCGGATTCTGGGGGAGGAGGGGCGCTGCGGAGGAAATCCATAAGACTTTCTTCCTCACGCTTGGGCTTGGGCTTGTTTTCCAATTCTAGGAGCTCTTCGAGGTACTCGTCATCATCGTCGTCGTCGATGGCATACGGGTCCCTGATACGACGTTGCTTGCGCTGAGGAGCGGGATCCTCGAACGCCGTTGCGCTTCCTGATGCGGAGGCCTTGGGTCGGCTTGAATCGACCAACGCTGTGCGGGAGCCAAGAGAGGTCATGGACTTGTTGGGAACAGAGCCATTGCTGGTGCTGGCAATTGAGCTCGAGGTAGTGTGCTCCGGAGTGTTATCCATCTGGAGATCATCCGAGTCAATGGTGTCCCGGAAAGGAGCCACCGTTCGAGGAATGCGATGAGCACCTGGCGTGGCAGGACCCTCGCGAATGAAGTCAATGAGCTCGGATGTTTGAGAGCTGCTGGTATCAGCAGAGCGAGCCTCGAGTCTAGGCCGGTTTCCGCGAGAAGCAGTCGACAAACTGGATGGAGGGCGGACAGGTTGCGGGCGCTCCATAGATATAGAAGTCTTCGGCTGAGCTGGCGCACTTGTAGGTGGTGAGCTTGGGGCACCTGGTGCCTTGATAAAGTCCGCAAAGTCGCGCGTGGTATCCGCAGGAGCCCGCGCATCCCGCGTTTGTGCAGCTTGGGCTGTCTTGCTAAGCTTCGCTGGGCGGTTGGTCAGGCGAGTGGAAAGTGGGATGTGCTTGGACGACTCAGTAGACTTGGTTCGGGAGACCGGAATCATTTCACCAGTGGTCTTGGAAGAAACAGACGCGCGAGAACGGTGCTTCTCTTCGCCTGGCGGAGATGTAGTTTTCAGGAAATCAGCCAGGTCGGAGGTGTCTGTTGTTTCTGAACGAGGAATTGGTCGATTGGGAATATCAGGGAAGGTCATCTCCCTCACGCTTCGGGGAGTGAGGGTGAAGTGAATAGTCTCGTCGCTGTTGATCAACTTGTCCAAATCGGCAATTTCGTTGTCAGAATCTCCGCTTCCGCCAGATGCCCGGCTCGTTTCAGACGAGCTGCGCAGGCGAAGCGACGGAGAGTCGCCTTGTGGTCGGCCCATGAGACCCTTCAACTTTGTTGACACCTGGGATGTAGTAGATCCAGCAGTCACTGGGCGCTTGACTTCGCGTGCGCTTCCAAAGCTTGAAGAGCGGCGGGTTTTGGGCTGAACGGAGGCAATAACGGATGTCGATGGCCGGGTGCTCATGCGCTGAACAGCGGCCCGTTCACTGGCGGTCGGACTTCGGTTGCTGGTCTGTACCAATAATGGCGCAGGTCTAGGGCGAGCTTTCGAGGTTTGAGAGCGCTCACTATCAGCAGAAGTAGGGCGAGATGTATCGGGAGATGAGAGGAAGGCTTGGTACTTGTCGACTTCAACGCCGTCAGAATTCAGGGTTGGGGGTGTAGAAGCCATGGTAGTTTGATTTTGATCGCCATCGGTTGCATCTTGATCAGTAGAAGAATCGATAGCCTCGACGGGTGTTTTGGGTGCCTCGGGTTGAGCGGCCTCCACCCCTTGCGTTGGAGGCTGATTCTCCGCAACGGCTTGCATTTCAGATCCACTAGTTTGTGCAGAGATCGACCTTGCATTCAGTAGACTGACATCCCTAGATGATTTCCGTTTGGGTCGATTAATCGACGAGGTCCATTTAGGCTTTTCGCACAAGCCATGGCCTTCGATGACTTCCGGATCTTGCTGATTCGATCGATCGCCCAGGGATGCGACAGAGACCCGAGCACTATTGGATTGATCGGTCAGATCCTCGTCATTGCCAGCGCGCAAGGACGCGACCATCTCGTTAACCGCCAAAGGCGCCTCCTCTTCCTCATGCAAGACAGACATCTTCGCCTTCTCAGAATCTTCGACTGCATGTTCCGGCAATTGTGACGTCTCGTGAGGTGTGGTGATCGCAACGCCAGGGGCAGTCTCGGCTGCATCCACATACTCTGCGGACTCGTCATCCTCATACATAGTCTCCAATTTCTTTTTCTCCGAGGCAGTGGGCGAGGGTTGGTCCAGTATGACTTCCGCTTCCGCTTCCGCTGGATCATTGGTTGCCGCAGATGGTAGGGACCAGGAGCGAATATGACGGACCAACTTGGGAGGGTCAATGGCTGATGCGCTCACGGGAGAGTTATCGCCGCCAGGAGATCTGGGTGCGAGTGAAGGCGAGGAGAACACCATGAGACTGCGCGGTCGCACCTTGTGGGCAACAACGGCCTGCATCGTCTGCACCTCACCCTCCAAATCGCCAGTGTAACCCGGAACTTCAATCTCCTGGACATCGTAGTCGCTCATTGGCAGGGGGACCGAGGCGGGGTCGAGTGGCGGGGATTGAGGGAGAGGTTCATGAGGCGTCATCGGTTCTTCGATAGTGGCAACACTGCTCTTGCGACTGATGCCAGGGTGTCCACGACGGCTGAAAGATTCGCGAGACATGGTGCGCGTAAGGGTGGTTCCGCGTCTGCGCTTCCTCCACGTTCGCCACAGTCGGCCCAAGGTCGGATTCAGGGCTAGCTTCTCCATATCGAGATCCTCCACCACGAGGCGATCGATCCTCTTGCGCTCATCGCCGGCTTCATGGAGTTCATCGCCATCGTTCAGCTTTGAGAGCAGTCGCGAGCGCGCCGTCTCGCCGGCAATGACGAGCGCCCGTTCTCCAATACATTCGATAATTGAGGTGAGGAAAATGGAGGCGGCCGGGGTGATGTTGTCGACATGACTCGTAAATCTGCGCGGGGCCCCATCGCTCTCGCCAAGGCCATCCTGCGCAATAAACTCATCCTCGTCGTCTTCTTCCATGTCGCCCAGTCGGGTGTAGACCATGCATCGTAGACGGGTTAACTTCCACGAACGAACGAGATCAAAGTCGCCGCCGGGCTCTTGGCCTCCCCGGAACTCGGTCTGCTCGTCATCCGCGCCCCCCATGTATTCACTGAGTTCCTCCTCGGCCGCCGCCACGACTTCTTTCGCCAGGCGGGGCTTCAGTACTTCGGCCATGGCGGGTCGAATGCTTGCCAGTTGCGTAGATTTGGAGGATGCGAGAATGTTGAACAGCAGGTTATCCAGGAATGCGTTCAGTAGAGAGAGCGCGGCTGGGGTCACCAGCGCGGCGCTGGACCCCGATTCATCCTCGGCGACAAAATCGGCGGCATTGAATTCCTGGTCGGCGGAGATGATGTCCGTGGCGGCGGAAGAGGAAATGAACGCCGGCACCGGCATCACCGACGGTGGGGACATGAGGTTGACTCGAGAAAACTGCGAATCGGTCGAGACGACACTGGGGCTGCGAGAACGGGACACTGCCCCGGCATCCAGGAAGTCGGGTGCTTTGACGGACTGCATTGTTGAACGATCTGTCGGTTACAGGCGCTGCCTTGTATGTGTCCTTGACCCTCGATCAAGGGAAGCTGGGTTGAACTGGAATTTCTAAATCATCCTGTACGCCCGAGAGTCAGCCTGATCAGCTGGATGGGGGCCATTTCGTGCAACGCGCAACGTCCTCTGCAGAATCGGTGGATTTCCAACTTACCCGTTTGAATATCTGGGAGCATCCGGGAGTGTAGCAAGCGAGCGAGAGAAGGTGTGTGTGTGAGAGAAAGAGCTTGCAAAAGAAAAGTAGGGATCAGGAGTAATTATCTCATCGGCAACAGTGGGGAACTTGGATCATTCGGGAGGCCACTACCGAACGGATAACAATTGTATAAGAAGAACCAGAGGAATGGGGTGTAGATCTCTGACTTTGTATATGTATATGGTATGTACTGTGCATTTTCCTTTCTACCCATACATCAACTCTCACCCACACACACTCTCTCTTTCTCTCTGTTCATCTCTCTACTGTATACTCTCTCTCTCCCCTGGCCGAACAGAACATTCGATCGACACGCTAAAATGGCCCCACACCCTCGTTTCAGGCCCAATTGACTGCTGTCAGCCAATCACAGCCAAGTCCCAGTGGATCCCTACTCAGTTAGTCTTTGACGCTTTGCCGCTTTGGTATAATTATTGATTTTTGCCGCTTGTTGGAATTCTGCACACACGATGAATGAGTTGTTTCACGGGTTTCTGTGCCTTATACCCCTGTTCTGAGTATTTCTAATAGCATCCCGACTATCCTGATTGACCCGCACGGGGCGCTGTGTAGTGTAGTTTTTAGCGCAAATGCATTTCTTTTGATCCCGTTCCATGGGTCCAGGGGGGGGGGGGAGGGTTCCCACGAGGCAAGGCAAAAACGCCTCTTTTACTACGGAACGGCCGGTCCCTATTTTCGAGTTTTCGGGTGTTTAAGCACACTGGTAGGGAAAGAATCGAATCATCTGAGACATCGATGGAGTGGTTAATATATTCCCTGATTCTTTGACTGTGCCCGTGTACCTGGATCTGAACCAGAAGTGGCCTTCCCGTGGTTCCCACCAAATCGACTTCCTTGGTTCCCGCCGCTGCTCCAATAGGAAGCTTATACGGCCATCTCGCGTTCACAGCTGAACTTGGGCAATCTATTCGACGGGGCCATGTGGCGTGAAGCGCGATGTTCACCGGCTACTGTACTCCGCACTGGATATAATGGCGATTGTGCTTTCTTGGCACTGGGGGGCTGGCCGTGATGTTATTGGTATTGTCTGCTAGTCCGATATGCAACATTCTCGAGTAGATTACTCCGTACACTGAATCTCATCTCATCTCCTCTGAGACGAGTCTCATTGTCCCCCTAACATTAAAATCTCCTGGGATACAACCTCGCAACATACCCCCCCCCCCCCCCAATTCACGTCTACACCACTGTACATACGAGGACAGTACCCCACACATCGCAGCACGCGTGGCAGGATCGACAAAATCCTCGAATATCAACGCCCCCCCTGACGGATTTCCCCCCTACCCAAACTCCATTTCTCATCATGACTCGGATCCAGTCCGATCTTCTCCCCATGCGGCAAGAAGGACGGTCCACTCCGTCCCTGGCTGTCAAAAGCCTCATGGCATTGCTGTTCGGCTCCACGCACTAGTGTACGGGGACTTTCTCCAACCACGGATTTCAGCCGTGATCGTCTCGCTTGTTCATCGGGCGCGAGGTGGATTGGCCGAATGTCTCCGGCGTGTGCGGGTTTTGGTGCCGTTGGCGTTTCTATGGAATTTCTTTTCGGCTTCGATTGCTTGTAGGATAGAGTACTCTAGTATAGTACTGTATGAAGTCCTATGCAATGACGCTAAATTACTGACAACAGCAGCCCCTTACAGTCCCAAAGATAGAAACCCAGATCGACAGATCCACCCATCATTCCAGTATCGGTACTGGGCAATGCACGGGGAACACAGAACAAGAACCTGGAAGAAACTGACTCTAAAACGAAACCTGGCACTCCAAAATTCAGTTTCCATGACTCTCTCGCTCTCACCGCATGTGCACACGCCTCTTCCAGCAGTCCCCGTTAAACTTTACCCCGTGGTCGATAGTCGGACCTGTCCAACTCGAGGTGTATGGGCTGGAGATGCGCACATCCATTTCGTACCTGTCTGTGCACACGCCGTTGGGGATCGACGTGTTAATTAAAAACGGCGATTGTTGACGCCTCGATTCTTGGTCCTGCACGAGGTACAGGTATTATGATCTGTCATTTGGGTCGTGCGGTTCTCTCCCCTGCGGGGGAGATATCTGTGTGAAAATCGTGCAGGTTTAGCTTGCTTGGTCTGTGATAGTTCCATGTACTGTATCATGTACGGAGTAGTGGATTTATCATGCATCGATGATGGAGTGTGTTTTGCTATAGATCCAAGTCATATTGTGATGGATAACTTGCACCAGCACTGTTGTCCCTTCTACAGTACTAGAATACTGTACTGTAGTATTGTCCAGTGCGTGGGCCATGTCAAACAGAATCCAATCCGGAGATAACCCGATGGCCCTGAATTCTCCATCGCAGCCACAAACTGCACAGAATGTCCATCTTCTGACAGACCGCAGTGGATACAGAATAGTTTCCCCGCTATAGAAGCAGTCCCACAAACTATATACAAAATGGAGTAAGGCGGAACCTTTCAAGTCTGCAAGTAATATTCTGCAGTACTGTATAACAATCACAGATCGAAGCACACGACACGTCTACAATCATAGCCACGGGAAAGCCCAATACCCATTGCCGTATGTTTTAGCCAAAACTACCTTCCAACATCAATCTTACACCAACGCAATTGAAAAGCGGCACAGGCAACGCCACAGTCCATCCCTACCCGACACGGAAAGTAACAAAACGAAGCAAAACGGAGTCCGGGCTGTTAGCCCGTGGTATAAGTTAAGGTACCCGGAGAACAAATACAACTTACCTGTAACGTGCACGAACAAGCCTACACTAAGAGCACGGGCACAGACACGGACACAGTCTCCATCCTGATCATGCATCTACTATAGACGAGACCGGCTGAATCAATATAGAGTCTAGATCTCGATTCAGGCCTCGAACTCTGCACGTCCCCGACAGGAAACGAGACATCGGCAAGTCCGGTATCAGATGTGTTAAGTTATGTGTAGAGTGAATGACTGGGCAAATAAAGTACTGTAGAATTGAATAAGTGGTGCGACGTGAAGAGAAGGAAACCATGCACGGGAGATTAAGATTATGCTTTATGCACTGCCGATGCAAATGGACAAGGAAGGAAGAGCATTCTGTTTCACGATTCATTCATGTTGGGTTAGTTGGGGTAGGGGCGAGAAAGACGGGAATGGATGAAACACTGGGCTGGCTGTGTCATTTGGGTGCTGGCTGTACGGTATGGGTCTGGATTTGGGGCTTTCCGTGCTTTGGGTATGAGCATGTTGCACTAGACTCGGGTAGAGAGCTGTGTGGTGTAACGTCCCGAAGGATCTAGATTGTTATTGGGAGTACTGCATTGTCATGGAGGGTTGTGGTATAGGCCACAGGGTGTCGAGGTCGGGTGCTTATTTCTATTTTGGGGGCTATGGCTGCGAGTTGTGGGTTGTCTTGCTTAGGCGGGACTTGGGTAGCAGCTGGAGGACTGATCGGGCGACGGGCTGCCTGGGGGCATATACGAATATCGAGAGCTGCGTGGGCACGCTACGTCATTTACAACTGGAACCACTTCAAACTTTGAAACTGTTTTTGAAATTCAAGTGCTAGATCGGGAAGGTACATAACGGTCGAATGCCGACTCGTAATACTCGAGAGAAATTTGAGAACTTTTCCTGGCTGAAGAGCCGTTCGGTGGTGCTCGTCGCCCAACCCTGGGCGACTCCGAAATATAAACTTTGTCGTAATCATAAATCGTAGAAGTGTTGCCGTCGAGGCGCAAAGGGTGACTTAGGTTTGCGCGGGCAGAGGTTTGGTGCCGAGGTCGTGGGCAATCACGCCGGCAAAGAAGCTGAGTTCATCGGGACCAACATCAACGCGACCATTGGTGAGTCTATCCAGAAGGATCTTCTCAATTCGGTCCAGGAGTACATTGTGGTGGTCCAGGTCCATGGCCGAATGATGTGTCTTGCTGGGCTCCTCTTCCGCACGGAAGAGAATCAACTCATTCAACTCGTCGGGAGTGAGAAGATTGCCAAAGGTGCCGATAACGTGGCTTGAGATCATGTCAAGATACAAAGAGGACGATCCGTCAGGACCCATGGTGTCCGCCTCCTGGCCTAGACGAATGTGGTCAACCTGAGTTCGAAGGTAGGACCGGAAGTTCTTGTCGGCAATGCCATGCATGCCATTGATGTAGGCAACGAAAAGACTTCTGTCCAGCTCCACGGCATCGCGTGAGAACTCTTCTGGCCTAGTGGCGACTTTGTTCAGGAACTCATGTGGATCCTCATCGTCATCGGAATCATTGATATCCATGCTGTCGAAGTCTTCCAGAGGATGTTCTGGCTTGGACTTGAGAGCTAGCAGCATCATCTCATGGCACGTCATCTCGGTATCAAGAGTCTCCTCGTCGTCGGAGACTTCGGTCGAGTCAATGTACTGCACATCGGCGGCAAATCGCACCGCATTCTCTTCAAAGGAGATGAATGCATCGTCAAAAGACTCGGTGTGATCCTCATGAGTCTCGGGGGCATCACGACATGTCTCATCCCAGATTGAGAAGTCAGATGCATCCCCATCATCCTCATCGTCATATTCTTCGTCGGAAAGCGCATCATACTCGAAATCACCTTCGGAGCTGTACCCAGACTCCGAGTCCGACTCTTCGTCGGATTCAATGGCGGTAGAGGAGTTCTTGAGGATAGATTTCAAGAAAGGATGAAGTGGTGGCTTGGCGGGAAATGTTGAGGTGCTAGATTGCGCAGGATTGGTACCGGCGGACGTGACTGAGACTTCGTCCGAGCCATAGCAACTATCATGAGAAAAAGACATTTCGAGATGGGAGCAAGTGGACGATGCAGAGCCCCACGAATCTCTGTGGGGTGTTGGGTTTCCCATTCGAGGGACGTCTGTGGTGTCCATCTTCACAGCAAGAGAATTTGATCGTTGTAGTATTGCAATTTGCCCAAGCTGGCAAGTTCTGAAAACTTTGGTGTACCCGTAACCGGGAACTCTTGGGCGGGATGAGAGCGTGAGAACGAAGATAGAGAGGTACGATCGGGTGAGTTGCGATCAGTCGCGGATTGTGGGTATTCGAAAGTGCAGAAGCAATCAGTCGAAGATCGATCAGTGGATCGAAAGTGAGTTAGAAATGGGGCAAGGGCATCGAAGGCCTGCAAAGCACAGAAGGAAGTCCATGATAACAGACACACGTGAAACGTGTAGGATTTAAACACACTTGACGGGGGCGTCCCCAGCAAGAATGTAGTAAGAAGACATGTTTCACGGTAGGCTTGCAGTTTAAATGTTGAGTTGTCCTTTGTTTCCAATCTGAGGTGCGAAGTGACAGGTCAAGAGGAGCTGGTTGCTGTGGTGATAGGTTGGGATCCGATTTCGGTCGCAAATTGTAGAGAAGCAGCAGGTCTTGTCGAGATGCATGTAGGGTATGGAGGAAATCGAGGCGAAGTTCTCGGGATAATTGTGGTATTGGCGCGACGCGATGCAAACGGCTCCGGAATGTTGCGGAATCCTAATATGTCGCGACTAGCCAAAAGCTTCGAGTGAGGGATATGTCGCAGGTTTAAGTCGAGACGAAGATCTCCGGAGAGACGTAAACGAGGACAGGTGAGGAGAGAGGAGAAACGTTACCCACGTTGCGCGGGGTGTGACGAGGGGCAAATCCGGGTTGAGTCACGTCGACGTCGGTGTAAAAGTGACGGCAACACGAAAGGCGAAGTGATGTAAAATTTGGGCACTGTGTGAGTGCAGAGAGAGAGGAGAGCTGGAGTATTTCAGGTCACCGTCTGGAGCCCTTTGTGGAGAGAAAAGGGAAGAAGTGAAGAGTCGGGTTTCTCGCCGTCATCCTGACTCAGCCCAATGTGGACGAGCTAAGCCTAATCGGGTGTCTGAATAATGGCTTCGTACTGTTCCATGCTGTTCCTCTTTGATTTCCAGATGATTCGAAACATTCAAAGCCTTTGAATGGCTTTCGAACTAGAGTATTTCCAATCTCTATTGACTATTGTCTTCATGATTCTATTGCTGATAATGTCGGCTTAAGCCAGATGGCCGAAGAATAGTCAGCGGACCACATTGGTCCTGGCTTTGTGCCACTTCCAATACGAACAATGTGATTTACTAACATGCAGTATCGTGACAACCTTGAAATAGATATCTGCTGACTACTGAATACTCACCTTTTGCTGCAGTCTAGGAGATCAAGTTGGGCGCCTTGGGCTTAACATTAGTTGCGTCATCCCTGAAACTGGTTCGGATCAGGGCAGCAAGAGCGTCATTCAATGCCTTGCTCATTTCCTCATCTTTCTCATTTGATTCATTGAATTTTGGACGGCCGATTGCGCTCATGCATGAGCGCCTTAGTTCCTGATTCAAGGACTAGGCATGGATACCTGCCCAGTGACAGTTGCCAGCTGACAGACACCATGCCTATCAGAGGCCATCCAAAATACCAATTTGAACCTCGGCTGTGCAAAAACGTCACCTGAAAATTTCCTCTACTCAGGCTATTAGGGCTATAATTTACTATGATACTGCTGTCTCAATGGCCGATAGCTTATGGCTTTGTTGTGACCCAAGGCCACTTAGGTCCAAATCCGGCTATCAGCAACCAACAAAGGAGGATCAGAGTACCTCCACAGTGGACTCTGGGCCTGTGAACTGAATAATACCTGAGACGCACTTGGCTAATGCTTTTATTATAGAGACAAAGGGACTAGCTGCACGTCATTGGGGCGACAATCATCTTTGACAAGTCAACGACTTCCAGAGGGTTCCAATAGGGGAACAAAGTGTCAGAGTGTCAGATCCTCTCCACAGATAGAAACAAAGACTGTTCCTGTCCGCATTCAACCAAATCCTTATCATGATCGACTTCCTTGATGCGTCCAAATATAGAACATGGGGTCAAGCCAAACACACCAAACAATGATCGACGATCTCCTGCAGGTCAAGGTTTCTAAACTTCCGACCCTGATCCCCGATGCTTCCACGGCGTCTAGGGCAGATCTGTCCTTCTCGAATGTCAAAAATTATTCCGTGCATTGCTGCGGCGGGCTTGACATTCTGCCCAGCCTCTACATTCCGGACCACATTCCAGCGCCTTATCACGTCCAGGACATTGGCCAATTCAGTGCTATCATCCCCACTCCAATTGAGGTGTATTGACAAATAATGCTAAAGTGATGGGAGAGGGAAAGAGTGGCCAAGTCTACCGCCAATCCTACTGTCGCCCAAACCATGTCTTCTTTGGGTGGTCAATGATCGAATTACATCTAGCATGACGCTTACACTGAAGCTACAAGCTTGATAGGTGGTCAGTGTCGGTCTCGCTCTATGGATTGTCCTGGTTCCTTGACCAATCCTTGACGTCCCGGCATGCGTACCGATCCATGACCAGCCTCCCTAACGGTCTTGCTCCTTGGGGGTATGCCGATCTCCAACCAAGGGTATCGATTCGACATGCTCGGGATCTCCCCAGACCCGCTCTGCTAGCTCACCTGATACCTGACCCGCTGCTTCTGGCTTAATGATGGAGGGTTACATTCCACTGGGTGACTGTCCGGCACGAAGCCTCTTGGGGATTTGACACCCAGTCATGTCTCCACAGCGTACAATTGGCCGGGAAGCTCTGCGGAGTCTTGAATCATTCTTTCGGGAGGCTGGTGGAGCTCCCTTGGGCCAACCGGGTCTCTAGCAGCACATTCCTTAGCCATCTTTAGAGCACTGGAATGCCTCGAGAAATAATGAGGCTGGTAACCCAGCAGCCATTCAAATAGGGCTTGCGCCTGTTTGTTTGCTTTGCTTTCTTTGCATCATCTGCAGTGTTTTCTTTGATTGACAATCCATCAAACATCAAACATCAAACACTCTTTGCACCATTTGCACTCTTCGGATCCCCGGGTCGATCCCCCGAACTATTCCAAACCTTCCCATCTCTATCTGCTACCTTCTTTGTGGTTGTCCAATCACGTCTTGACTTTACTTCGAGTCGCTGACTACACTTCACTTCTTCGCCGCAAACGGAAATCCCGCAAGATGTTCGCTCAACAGTACGATCATTCGTTCAATGACTTGTTCAACCAATACGTGAACATGGATACTTCTGCCGCTGATGGCAACAAAGACTCGCTGTCCGGCGATTTCGAGCAGCTCTTCGCACTGGACTCACTATCAAGTGAAAGTGGCGATCTCTCACCCACTGTCTCCACTTTCAAGCGCCATCAATCACCGCAACCTTGGGGCCAAGAGTGGTCCCTGCAGGATGACGGAGCTGCCGTCGATCATTTTGCTACTCTTCATGACACCGTCCACCCTTCTGCCATCTCAGATCTTGGACAGAACAACTTTGAGGTCTCCTCTCGCCCTACAACTACCATCGGTGCCTCTACCTCACCATCCACTCCCCCGGCTACTCCAAGACGCAAGACCACTCAGAGCGCTATTATTACTCCCAAATCTATCCGCCATCGCAGCCCTAACGACCGCCGCGCACTTTTGCGCAAGCAAAGTTTCTCTCCTAGTTTGATGCGTTCTTCAAACCTTTCCAAAGGAAGAATGGCATATCCCGAAGCTTGGGCCCAGCGCATCCAGAACTTCGCTCTTCATGGTTCAGACGATCGTCTTCCGCTGTCCCCTCCTCCATCAGATGTTCTTATTAAGCACGAGAACTTGTCTACCGAACAAGCTATGAACCAACCCAGACACTCCGCTGAGATGCCTCCTCAGTTTGACACACGGATGATCCAGCCTTCTCCTGCTGTCTCCATGCCCTCACCAAACTCCGCCATGCGCCAACCCCCGCAATACATGGGTCACCCCAGCTCTTCAACCTTGATCAACTCCAGCCCTCCTTCTGCAGATGATATCTTCTCTTCATCCCACTCGTCTGATCCTCAATCTCTCTCCTCGTGGCACTCCGACGCTATGCACGCTTCCTCTCTCACATTTACCCCAGAACTTCAGAGCCAAGATGCTTCAAGCTGGTGGTCTCCTATGCCTACTCGAGTTTCTCAGCAACAAGCTGCCTACCTCGCATCTCCCACCCCCCACCGCCCCATGCAAAGTGTCGGAAGCCAAAGTGACATGATGCAAGGCGGTCTCATGATCCAATTCGATCCTTCCTTTGACATGTCAGCGGATTCTTCATTCTCATCATCTAACATGATGCCCACACAAAAGTTCACTACTCCCTTCACAACCTCTCAGGTCCACAACACATCCCGCTCCCCATCTCTCTCTCCCAAGGCCGACACATCACCTAAAAGGGCCAACAACCGCCGCCCCCACAGCCGCAAGCTCTCAGGCCAGAGTGTGACCGGCCCCAAGCCGGCCAAGACATCGGGCTCCTCTCCCCGAGGCTCAAACAAGTCTGTCAGCGTATCGTTTGTCAACTTTACCGCTCATGACAGCAAAAAGATTCTGACTGGAGTTGCTCCTTCTGGTAGCTCCAAAACCAAGGCTCGTCGTGAGCAAGAGGCTCGTGATCGACGTCGCAAGCTGAGCGAGGCCGCACTTCGGGCAGTGCGCAGCGCCGGCGGTGACGTCGAAGCCCTCGAAGCCGTTCTATGTTAAACTTAATATTAATTTGTTTTGATCTATTTGCCTGTTTTTTTGTTTTATCTTTTTTTTTTGTCTGCGTTCTTGAGCCGGTGTTTTTGGCTTATATCATTGGGAATATCTGGATTGCTAAAGGTGTTTGGTTTTGTTTTAGGCCGTATGGCCGGGGTGACCGACACACCCTCCAAAATATTAGATATTTCTAATGTTTAGACTCTTTTGTGGACATATAATTCCATACTATTTACTTGACTCTTGGGCTTCTGCTGTAAATTTGGTTCTCTTGTATTGTTCTTCCGTCTCTTCAAGCTGGTGAGTCCGAGTCTGAACATTTCCATACTCTGCAGTACTAACTCCATCATCCCAGATCATTTTTTTACTTGCCAGTATACAGTCTTCAGGTTGTAACTTGGTGCTGTCTCATTCTCGAATTCAACCCATGATCGCCTTTGCACTTCATCATATAACTTGTGCACTACTCTCCCTCACCCTTCTCCTCATCCTTCTTCTCATCATTATTCTCGTCATTCTTTTTTTCCTCTCTCATACGACATCCCTCTGCATTCTACGTTGAGCCTTATTCTAGCTCGTAGCCATTGAAATCATGTATGCATTACTCATCCTTTTCCTCCTCTTCTTCTTCTTCTTCTTCTTCTTCTTCTTCTTCTTCTTCTTCTTCTTCTTCTTCTTCTTCTTCTTCTTCTTCTTCTTCTTCATCATCTTCATCTTCTTCATCTGTCTACACCTACTAATCTATCATTTTAGCTGTCTCACTTTTTTGCACCGCCTGCTCTCCAACAGCATTACCGTGAGTTCCTGGTTGGATTACCCATCACCCTAGCCTCACATGGATCTTAAAACTCTATGGGCTTTCACCAATCTCTCACTTGACTCCTTGTTCATATCTCACTTTGACTCTCGTTTCAATCTTACTCCGGACTTCATTCCACAACCACACTGTTTGTTTCCCGTTTGTCATCCTCGCATTAATACCTATTACTACAACCCTATCTTCTTTCTTATTCATCTCCTCATCATCTTACAATTGCCTATCCCCAGTGAGCCTTTCGTCTCACCACGCATTCCTGTAATTTCTTCATCTTATCTTACTTACACCTGCATTATCTCGTTCTTCCCGTAACATCTCCTCTGTTTCTTCGAGTTTGTCCTCTTACATTTGAACCATCTTTTCGATCCATTGCTGACGTGTTGCTGTTACGTGTCTCAAGATTTTCTTCTTCCAACACCGGGCGAAGCACGCCCCCTCAACAGCCACTCACTCCTTTCTCTCGGCTTGAGGATCAAAGATCCTGAGCCCCTTCTCTTTTCACCCTCCTTTCTTCGGACGAAAGCGTCCGAATTTCCACCCAAGTCCAAGACCGAAGAACTTGGCTACTCCCATACTTCACACCCTCCCTTTGAAGCATTCCCCCGGTGTCGTTGCCTGTTCAATTACCTCCGCTGTCCTAGGAAAAGCAATTTCTGGTTCAGGTCCTCATTCTTTCCGCTTTCGTGTTGGTGCATTGGAATTCTATAGTTCCAACGCCGGACAGTTAACCTTGGATTACGTTTCAGGTGCCAGCAGAGCACCTGATCAATTTACCCTTGCATTCGAATCCCACATTTCTAACCAGAACATTCGCTAAAATGTCTGGCCATAATATCCCTTATCGTGATCGTGGCGGGGGTGGTGGAGGAGACCGTGGCTCTCGTGGCGGACGTGGTTTCAGCGGTGATCGTGGTTCTGGCAGTGACTACAGCAGCCGTGGTGGTCGTGGCGGTCGTGGCGGACACCAATCTGGCCCATCCAAGTAAGTTGATATGATCTACAAGGAAAGCATCTTCTAACAGTTGTGGAAAGGATGACCACCACTCCGGCACCGCCTCCTGATCTCAACTGCATCAATTTCGAGAATCAGTATGCCAAGGACACCGCAAAGGATACCCAGAAGGCTGGTCAACTTGCTCGACGCCCCGGCTATGGAACCGCAGGCAAAGCCATGGTGTTCCGGGCCAACTTTTTTGAAATGACATTCAACCCGAAGCAGGAGTATCACTCTTACCGCGTGGACATTGCTGTTAAAAAGGACATCGACAACATGGGCGACAGAAAGAAGTTCGATGACAATGACCCCTCTTTCAAGCATGCTGAAAAGCTCCCCAAGGCGCATCGCCAATTTTTGATGGACGCTCTCTTGCAAGAACCACGCTTTCAGGGAAAGACTGGTACTGCCACAGATGGAACCACTGAGATTGTTGTGAACGCACCATTGAAAGATACTTCGACCTTCTATCGCCGCATTGGTGACAGGGCTATCTCTGTTGACGACAAACGGCCGGTTTACAAACTCACCCTCATCTACCAAGGTTTCCTGAAGCCGATTGACTTTGTGAACCTATTGCACGATCCTAAGCAACGGGGAACGATGGAGAACGAAACCATGATGCTGCGTGTCTTGAACATTGTGATGAGTGCGCACCCGTACAAGGACTCTGGCATTTACATTTCTGGTAGAGGACGTACCAAGTTCTTCCGGATGGGCCCAGGCAAAGACTCTGAGATAATGGGTGGTGGTATTGAGGCTGCTCGTGGCTACTTCTCCAGTGTTCGCATTGGCACAGGCAGGATTCTGTTGAACCTGAATGTCAACCATGGCTCTTTCTACATGCCCGTTCCTTTGAGCACACTGATCAAGGATTTCATGACTGTCTTTGGTCAGGATCGAGACCGCCTTGGACGCTACCTCAAGGGGCTGAAAATCTACGTCACTCATCTTCCCAAGCGTGAGGATGCTTTCGGTCAGCTACAGTATGTCATAAAGTCGATTTCTGGTGTTGCTACTCCGCAGGATGGAAAATTCAAAGGCGCCGATCCCAAGGAGGTTCCCCGTGTCAAACGTCCTGCTTCCTCGCCGGGTAACGTTGAATTCTTCTTGAAGCAAACAGATAGACCTTCACGGTATATCACAGTGCTTGAGTACTTTGAGAAAAGTGTGTCCTTTTTTCTCACTTTTTCTTTTCTTTTGCTTTTCAGAATATGCTAACCAGATACCCAGCCTACAACATGAAGATCAAATTCCATGATATGCCCGTTGTGAACGTCGGTAACTTGGCACATCCCAATTATCTACCGCTCGATGTCTGTGAAGTTGTTCCTGGTCAAGGGTTTAACGGAGAGCTGTCCAGTTCTCAGCGACAAGCAATGATCAAATACAGTTGCCGCAGACCACCTATGAACTACGACTCGATCACCAACGATGGTCTTGATATCATGGGAATCACTGGCGGCAAGACCCTGGAAAGAGGAATCAAGGTCGCTCCTAATATGATCACTGTCCCAGCTCGGATCCTGAACACCCCCATGTTGAAGTATGGTACTCAAAAGACCACTCCCCGGTTTGGCTCTTGGAATTTGGTAAACACCAAATTCTGCAGCGGTGCCACCATTCCAACTTGGGCTTGTGTCTGGCTTCGGAAGGGTCGAGACCCGTTCGAAAACCCCGGTGTGTGCATGGCCAGGTTCACTAGGAAGCTCCGAGACCACGGTCTGAAGTTGCCAGATTCTACGATGAACTTGCAGACATCACTTTCTACGGGTCCCAACACCGAGGTCGAGAACCGCGAGAAGATCAAGGATTTGTTTTCCCGTATTTCAAATGGGAATGTCAAGTTTGCAGTCGTTCTCCTCCCCGATTCAAACAGTGGCGTGTTCGACTGGATCAAGTATTGGGGAGATGTCAGAACCGGCATCCTTACCCACTGCATGCTGGCTGCGAAACTGGGCAAGGTTGAAGACCAATACCTTAGCAACAATGCTATGAAGATCAATCTGAAGTTCGGTGGCACTAATCAAGTACTTGACGGATCCCACTCCAAGTTCGTCGGACAAGGAAACACCATGGTCGTTGGCTTGGATGTCACTCATCCAACTACCACAGATCACATGAATTGGCCAAGTGTTGCAGGAATTGTCGCCTCGATTGATGGTCGTATGGCTCAATGGCCTGGCGAGATCATGATTCAAGGCCGCCGTGTGGAGCATGTCGAGGTTCTCCAGACTCTGATGGAAAGACGACTGAGATTGTGGAAGGAAGTCAATGGAAAGTTGCCAATGAACATTCTTGTCTACCGTGATGGTGTCAGCGAAAGCCAGTACGACATGGTTCTCAAATATGAACTCCCCCTGGTCAAGGAAGCGTGCAAGAGGTTTTACGACAATACTGAGCCGAACATCACCATTGTTGTTTGCGGAAAACGTCACAATGTGCGCTTCTACCCCACGACTGACAAGGATCAAGACCGTACCCAGAATCCCATCAATGGATGCGTCGTTGATCGTATTGTCACTCGCCCTATCTTCTGGGACTTCTACTTGCAGGCTCAGGCACCTCTCCAAGGCTCCGCTCGTCCAGCTCACTACATTGTCATCTATGACGAGATCTTCAAGAACCCCAAGACTAACCCTGAAGGAAAGGCTGCCGATACGCTGCAGGAGTTGACTCACAACATTTGTTACATGATGGGCCGTGCCACTCGGTCAATCAGTTACGCCACGCCCGCATTCCTTGCTGATAAGATGTGCGATCGTGGACGCAAGTACATGCTGGCACACTATTTCTCTGAAACGCAACCAGCTGGGCCTGGCAGTGATGGAAAGTTTCCACCACCCCCGGCTGATACTGGGCAACTGCATCGGGCAATCCCCTCCAGAATGGCTTACATCTGATTTTCACACTTACAGTTTTCTGGAAATACCTTTACTGATGTTTCTTACGGATACCCCCGACGCGTTGCTGGCTTTTTGCTCCTTTAGGAATCTTTGAGTTGCTTTTCGATCGGTTGCTCTCAAATTTGCCGACATCAATGATATTTCGTTTGCTGAAAAATAACGCAAAACATCAAAAAAAAAAAAAAGGATAAAGGTGAGGGTGGGTGGGTGGGCAAATACCTTTATCTTTTTTTATGTTTTATCAAATTGCTTTCTTACATGGTGTTTCGCGATGGTTGGTTTTTGAAATTGATGATACCCCCATTGCGTGTTGCTTTGCTTTGCTTGACTTAGCTATTTTTTTTTTGCTTATTTCTTTCTTTTCCATTTGCTTTATTATTATTCAAATACAGAATGTGGAAAAGAAAAAACTCCTCTCTATTTCTATAGTTGTAAGTCGTTAACTCTTTCATCCCTCCAATATGATAGACTACTTGATCAACGCAAGAAACTCAACAATAGTCTTAGAAGACTTCGCGACAGAGAAGCCAAAGCAAAATAGAATGATACTGATCGAACAGGACACTTGCTCGGGGCTATTGTGTCGATGATCTCATATTTTCATGGGACGGTATAGATATTTACGAGCCATGTTGTAATAGAAAAACATGACTCGGGATCTATTGGACTTCTTCAGCATGCCATTGCAATACCCAAAAAAGAAGAACATTAGGGAAGCTAAAATATGAGAGGAGAAAATTAAACACTGTATTCTCGAGCCCCAGATAACATATTATACAGTTGGGTTTAATGAGCCGTGGCTCTTTTGGCTTTTCGACAGAGAGGACAACATTTCTTGAAATGACAGGACAGTCAATAGTCTCAATCCCATACGAAAGAGACCGAGTGTGTAAGAACCTCTGTCTCTATGCACCAAATCAAAGAAAGGTTTAGAGACAGGACTTGGCGTGTGATCTGTCTGATACAATCATGGCCCCAGGGTGTCCCTGTAGTGTATTCCCAATAGACCGAAATCAAGATATGGAGTACCCAAACGATATCCTGCAATTCGAGTTCCAATTTCCTTAACCCCGTGGTTATATTCCTTTGCGACAATTGACCGATATGTCGATATCATTATTTACCGCTTGGAACTAGGAGACCATGCTTCCGGCTGCCATTCCTCGCCTGGGTTATTCCTGCTGGCCTTGGCCCATGGGTTCTCTTCCTTTTTCGTCTCTGGCTGTGTAGAGGCAGTCTCTGGCTGTGGCAGATTGGGTGAGGTGGCGGGTGCCGGCGCATCCTGTGTAGCTTGGCTGTTGGCAGTAGGATAGTTCAAACTGGGCCCACCATGCTGATTCGCTGTTCCAGGTTGCGTGTTGGGCTTATCCAGCACTGAGGCTTTGCTGGCCCAGCGTTCGTCGGCGAGTCGAGCGAGTTCTTTCATTTGCGCTTGGCGGACGAGATCCTGCTTCTGTTCTTCGATACTCGGAGGGTTTTGTCGGACATGCCGTAGCCATTGGTGCCATTGTGCTAGATTGCGTAGAGTGTTAGTCTCAGTTCTGTCGCATTCTGGTCGGGTTACCGGGCATGAAGCCAGCCCGACCAAACCGAGCCTGCATGTTCCCTGCATCCAATAAGACTCACGTGTCACTTGAACATCACTGAAATGTGTTTTGGGATCAAATCGGACGATTCGGCGGTAGCGGGCTGCGTTCAAGACATCTTTGAACTCCCAGAAGGTGTTGCCGGCGAGATCCTGACCTGGGAGCAGTTAGCGCCAGTTGCGATGCAGAAAAAGCAGATACTGACCGACCAGGATAGATTTCCTCCAGGGTAGACGCAGAGCCTTCCACTTGAACCATAAGCTGTTCACCATAGTTGCGATGCAAGGAGAAGAGAGAAAAGAATTGTGAGGCGGAACGTCATCGGGGATAAACATCGCCGAGCATTCCATCCTCTCTCCCTCTTCTCTTGCAACCTTCTTCTTTTCTTCCTCCAATTTTCCCAGGCTTTGTGATTTCCAGCTCTCGGTGCATTTTCACTGACTATTTCCAATTGCATCACGGAATATCCTCCTCCGCTACCCAACCCCTCCGCCACCATAGGGGCCGATTAGGCGGCAAAGGGATACATAGCCCCAGGCAGTGGCCAAACACTTTTACTGCTCTCTACACTCCAACTGAAGTACACTACACACCATGGCTTCAGTGACTTCTCTCGATAAAGACTTGCGCAATATGCGCCTGTCCCGCTATACCCCGCAGGCAGCCGCGGAGGTGCAAGACTGGATTGAGGAAATGCTTCATGAGAAGCTGCCGTCGCAAGACTTGCTCGAAGGTCTGAAGAGCGGTGTTGCTCTCTGCAAGTAAGTTGTGGTCATATTGGATTCTCAAACTCTGGACCCCTGATTGACTCCTATCTAGACTAGTAAACCTCGCCGTGTCACCGGGGGTGAAGTATAAATCGTTGCCTGCACCCTTTGTACAGATGGAGAACATCTCGCATTTCTTGCGCGCATGCCAACTGCCACCTCTCAATCTCCCTCCGCACGACGTCTTCTTGACGGTGGATCTCTACGAGGCCAAGGATCCCGCGCAAGTCCTACAATGTTTGGCAGCATTCAGTCGCCGGGCTAATGCCCTTGAGCCCGGCAAGTTCCCTCGTACAGTTGGCCCCCAAAGCAAGCGCAATGTGATCAGCCCCAATGCGACGGGATCCTCCGGCGGGGGATATACTCCCCGGTCAGCACGCTCTTCTAGCAATGTAGGGGACGCAAATCCTCCCTTGCCCGCTCGGGCAGGCACTCCGACAAAGTCTTCCGGGTCCTATAGTACTTGGGCCAAGAAGGGAGATGAACAGGCAACTACCCCGGCCTGGAATATCCACCAATATGGCTACATTGGTGGGGCTAGTCAAGGCAACCAAGGAATTGCGTTTGGTGCTCGCCGACAGATCACGACACCCGGACCTGCTGTTCCAAGTCTTGCGGAGAAGGAAAAGCGCAGGCGTGAGGAAGAAGACCGAATCCGTCAAGAGAATACAGAGAGGGACGAGGCTGAGCGTGCTCGTCAGCATCAGATCGAAGAAGAGGAGGCTCGGGCCAAGGCGGAAGAGAAGCGACGATGGGAAGAAGAAACTGCCCGCGTGAGAGAGGAAGAGCGGATCAAGATGGAGACGGAGAGGAAGCGTTGGGACGAGGAGAAGCGTCAGTGGGAAGAAGACGAGGCGCGCCGCGCCGCGGAAGAGAAAGACGTCGAGGCGCGCCTGGAGGAGGAACGTCAACGCAGACGCAGTCAGAACGACAACCGTCTTAATGGTCAATTCTTGAGCCAATACCAGGCTACTCAAACTAGCGATGCTTCCAGCGGAGTAAGATCCGCCGAGGAGACACCCGAAAGCCGACGTATCAAAGAGCTCGAGCGGGAGCTTCAGCAAGCGAAGGAGCGGGAGCGCCAGTACGAGACTGGACGCCAGGAGATGCAGTCTCCTCAACCCACTGGTGAAGCCCGGTCTCACAGCCGTCCACGCCCCGTGCCTCCTAAGCCAAGTTACAGTCTCTCGTCGCTTGAGCAAGAACGACTACTGCTTCGCGGCGAATGGCAGAACAACCAAGAAATGCCAGTCACTTCAGAAGAACCCGAAGCCGCCGAGCAACAAGCACCACCCCCAGCTCCTCGCCCTCTCCCAGAGCCAAAGCCATCATCCCTCTCTATGCAGCCAACACTCCCACCCCGAGACCTCCCTCAACCCCCTCGTCCCCTCCCAGACCCAGTCGCCTACAACGCCAACCGCAACCGCCAAAGCCGCGTAGACAACTTCCTCTCTTCAAACCCAGCCCCTGCCCCCGCAGCTCCAGCCGCACACAGGCCCCAGGACTACAGCACAACCTCCGAAGTCGACGAAGAGAACGCCCGGCGCTTAGCCTCGCAGCAAAAGACCAAGGCTGGCGGATGGGCATCAAAGTCCCTGCTTGAGCGCGAGATGGAGCGTGAACGTGCCCGCCAGGAAGAGTGGGAAGAAAACCAGAAACAGACTGTCGCCGCTGCCGAGCGTGGTGCTAACGATCCCACTCATGGCTCCGGACCCGGTCAGTCATGGGATGTTCACCAGTATGGGTACATGGGTGGTGATAATCAGAACCGCGGCGGTGTTGGACTTGGTGTTGGTGGTGCCAGGCGTCAGATTATTGGGCCCCGGCCGCCTCGGTGAGTTGCTTCGCAACTTGGCTTCTGCTGGCTTGTTGAAGCTGGTGTCTATTCAACCTAGGATTGTTACTTACTTTTTTTGCCCTCTCATTGCTGTTTACTTCCCTTTCTTTATTGCTGCTCTATCATGTATCATCACTGGAGCAGAAGTATCTCCTTTTTTGCATGCCGTCTGTGGTTTAATTCTTTCCTTGCGTTCTATGATTCCCGTTCAAGGCCTTTTTGTCTTCTTTTGTCCTTGAGAATGTTTTTGCAACTGTAGATAGCAACTGGTGCATCGTTATCAATAAAAATCTACAAGAGAAATAAAAATCTTCAATAGATTGAGATCTGTTTCCCAGTACTTGCCAATATGAACAGGCTCCAGTTTCCCGACTACGATTCGGTCCGAACGATATTAGGGCTAAATCCGAAACACAGAGCCGCATCTAAACAAACTGCCTAATGCAACTTTATCATTTCATCATAACAATCATGAACATCGTAAAAACAACCTAAATACATCACAACTAACTACCATCTGCCACTGGCAAAAGATGCTGAACCATAAACAACAACCTGAATCCACTCTCACGCAAATAACAACACTCAACAGAAACCTTCACCCTCTTATCCAAGGCCCTCTTCCTCTCCTCCTCTGCCCTTTCCCCACGTTTGAGAACCCCACGCTCAACAACCTCCCTTAGCCTCGGTGTAACAAACAACATGTCACTCTTGTGCAACAAAGCCATAAGCGCCTCTAGTAGGATCGAAACCTTGGCATTATTCTCAATACTAGGATTCGCCGCTGCATAGGGTAAGAAACACTCCTCCAGCTTATCTTGGTGGAGACAGTCATTGTCAGACCTTGGCGCCGAACTCTCCTGCATGACAAAGAGGAGAAGTTCGCAGAGGGTTGTTTGCGCGGCTGGACTCATGTGTGGAAGGATTGAGGGGCTGATGAAGTGTTGGAAGATTGGGAGGGGGAGGTCGCGGATGTTTTCGACGAACATGTGGTAGAGCTCATCAAGGGGGATGAAGTCTTTTGGGAGGCGGTGGGAGACGCTGGAGAGGATGCTTAGGAGTTGTTGGCGGAGGGCGAGGGAGTCGTAGCCGCCCAGCGAAGAAAGATCGCTTTCTGAATCCCGGGCTTTGGTCTTCTTTTGTAGCTGACTGATGGGGTTCGTGGTTGTGGATTGGTCCAGGTCGGTTTTTGTGCCTCGTCTTGTGCGTTTGCTGCGGCGGGACTTTGTTTCTTTGGCGGTTGCTTTGGATGAGGATGAGTTTGTGTCGATTGCGCCGGAAGGTTCTTCGTCTGAGTCGTCTAGATAGTCGCCGTATTCATTCTTTTCGATGTTGACTTCGACTTCTCTCTTCTTGGTATTCTGGGTTGCTTTCGAGATCTTGGCAGTTTCCCTTTTTTTGAATACCTCCTTGAACTCCTCTCGCAGGCCATTCGCAAATATAGCACGCAGGATTCGACGGTTCCCTCCGTGGGTAGTATTCGAGCTAATATATTGAAAGATCAAACTCTCGCGAAAAATCTCGAGGTCGTCCAGTTTATGAGCATTTTTGCGTGTTCCTCTCGTTTTAGGCTCGGCGTCCGGTGAAATTTTGGGTTCGTTTTGCTTCGCCTCTAGCCATTTCCTCTCGCGCTCTTTCCAGTCATCTTCGAGAACGTTGCACATGAACTGCAGCCAGATCTGCCAGCGCTCCCATCGCTCTGGGTGAAGCACTGAGCAACGAAAAGCCCACCCGACAGCATGCCAGAAGTCCTCTGCTCGCTGCCATACCGAGTCTGAGTCACCGATGGCTGTTTTCAAAAGGTTTGTGTCGCTGTTCTTTAGCCCAGTAGCCTCTGGGCTATCCTGGCGCCGTAAGCCCTGGCGCGAGGATTCGAAATGCGTAAATGCAAAAGCCTTATTAAACTTTGCATCAATAGGGCCAATCAGCGAGTTTGTCAGTCGAAGGAGACGGAGCGATGCATTGGCGGCTTCTTTCTCTTCTGCCGATTTGGCGCGTGTTGTCGTGGAGGGATGAACGAGGATAGTGGCAGCGACGGCTAAATGTTGCGGCTGAGGGATCACTGCTTGGGCCGAGGATACTGTGCCAGAGGCAAGGGTGTTGTAGAGCAGACTAAGTGCTTGTGTGTCTAGCATGGATCAATTGGAATGTTAGTTTCTTGTTTCATAGTTGAGACGCGTCGTGCGAGGTGGAAGGACGTACAGAGGTTTTCTTCAAAGAATATACCAACATGCTGGACTAACTCAAATGCCAGCGGCACCGGTGAACGGTAGGGAATCTCGTCTGTCGCCATGTGGAATGTTTGCGAAAAGGAAGTTGATGTCGACGCGCTTATCGATAAGCGGGGGAGATGCCATTGGGATCCGGAGTATGTCCGGCAGAATAGATCAACTCGGAACAAAGAGACCAGACTTGTTGTATGAAAGAAGCTACTAAGTATGGTATTTTATGATAATTCGATTTGAAATTCAGAACTGGATTCAACAAAGAATATAGCAACAAAGTAGAGAGAGCGTAGTCTATAGCCTGTTCATTAGCGCGCCATAGATCTTCCAGGAAGAAAAATGCACGCGAATGAGATCCTACTTATTAGTCCGCAAATACTGTATAGATCTAGTAAACTACAATGGGTTCGACTGTATTATGTTGCGCTTACGGTGGCCAACCCGGGTAATGTGAGTATAGGTAGGCTAACGAGGTTCAAGATCTTGAAATATCGCATTCAAATCTCAACTTCCAATCAAGCAATGTTATATAACAGAAGAGTCAAGATCAAACTCAAGTTGCTTTAACTTCACATGCAAGCCCCGCTTGGACCCAGCCAAGAGATCAACTTGCAGCCCTACCTGTGGAGATTCTATGCACTCACTCTATTCGGGTTTATCAGGCTCTTGGTCCCCTAGAAACGTGTTGATGCAAGGGTCTCATAGAAAATCTAGACAAAGCACCGGAAAAAAAAAAGATAGGAATTTGGACTGGCAGTTACTTCTGCGTTTTCATATTTGCCAAAGAAAGGAGAATCACGCGATAGCCAATAACGGGTCAAATTCCGTCAATCAAGTTCGCAATGCAAAGGCCCTGGGGGAGGAGAGAGAGATTGGGAAATCAAAAGGGCCGGAAAGACGCCAACATGGATAGCAATTGGATAAGAAAGGAAATGTTGGGAGGCACTATGACTCCTCGGGTATCTCGGAAAAGAGGCCTATCCGCAATCGATGCCACTGTAGACAAAATGTTAGCAAGAAATCCAAATCACTTGGCAAATATTTGAAGACGTACAAAGGGCAACTTGGGAATAACCACTCCCAATGTGGCGAGGAAATTGATGGTAAAGTAGGTCATGTCATAGTGGGTGTAGTGGGTGCTGATGAGGAAGAGTACAACAGGGACGCTGAGTAGGAACTTTTTGGCAGGCGTATATTGGTCACCATTGTCGATTTGCTCCCACATATTGAGGTTATCATAGGCCCCGGCGTTGAATTCGAATGGGATGCCCCGCACCCAGTGAAACATGAGGAAGGATCCGAACATGTAGCTGATGTTGGTGAGGGTCCACGATGTCTCCTGTGAGACACCAGGAATGATATCGTAGAAAATCTTGAGGGCAGCGATACAGACAAAGTGAATAGTCCAAGCACCTAGAAAGCGAATGAAGTCAGCCCCCGATCTCTGCTGCGTGGTCTCAGCTCGCCACTTACCCTTGGCGTTCACCCAATCTGCGTTGAGGTTTGGCAAAGCTGCCTGATCACTTGTGCGCTCGATTGATTCAGCTGGCTCCTGGTAGATCAGACTGCTGGATCGCCTCCGTCGGCCTTGTTTTTGGTTCATGCTTGGAGATAGCCGCTGCGGCGCCGTGTCAACATCCGGAGGAAAGGAGATGCCACGGGGGGCCAGCAGGGAAGAAACTTTTGAATTGGACGCCAGCTTGTCGGTTGCTAAAAAGAAATGAAGATGGAAGAGAAAGAGAGAGGAAAAGGAGCGTGGGGATGAGGTGGCACGGCCCAGACTGGAGTTTGCCGGTCGGATCGGCTTGGGTCACGGGGTGCGGAAGAGCTCTCTGATTCACGACTTTATTCTTCCACTAAAATTAGATTTTTTTTTATACTGGAAGGTGGCTTTTTTAACTGGCTATTGGAGGGTTTGGGGGTTTATGCTGGTCTTTTGCAGGTGCGGAACCTAATTGCAAGTTACCAATAGGGCGCAAAGGGGTCATTTCCATACCGTCTTGTCTAGTTCTATGCTCATATTGAACTGGAATGCTCTCCGTCTTACTATTGAATCACAATATGGTACAGTATACTGTCCCCTTCTTCTAGACTTATTTTGACACCGGGTTTGCTCACGGTGAGTGGAAATATTTCCGACGCTACTATAGCGATAGCCGCCACAGACTTGGCTACTCTACAGCCAGCATTATCTCCGAAAAGTTGCCCCTTTATTTATATCATGCCTTTTTGGAATACAATAGATCATTCTCCAACAGATTCAGAATGGCTTCATCAGCCCGTTTCTATATAAATTTACTCTGTACAGTCGTTTCAGACTCTGAAATACTTGAAACTTATGTTGTGATCGTACCAGGTTGGGAGAACAGATCGAGCATCAAACAGAGACTTGTGAGATGTTTGGTACTCAGAATATTTGGTTACTCTCGCTAAATTTTGTAATTATGTTTGCATTAAATCATGGCCATAGACCTGGATACTTTGTACTTTGAATATATCATCACAGACTGATATGCTGGAATTATCATAGACAGTAGCACCTGTAATGTCAAAGACTTACCAGCATATAGCTATCTGATGTTGTCAAAGCATCCCTGACAGCGTTTCTAACATCTACAACTTGATCTATGTCAACGCGCGACTCGGCGCGATCCCCACATATTTTCACCAGAACATAATTGTAGTTCTTCTATAAGGGATTTTGAGAGCGAGGTGAACGTTATTACCGTCTGAAACACATTCAAAATACCAAATCAGCAAGACATGGCCAAAATGGCCATTACCAAGGGCCGATCTATATCCTCTCACGATGGTTACGCGATAGTTGCGCGAATGGTCAATATCGGCCACCGTGAATTAATTTGATCCGAATTCTACTGAAGATCTCTCCATTCCGACCGATTAATTCGCCCACACCCATTACGGACAGAAACAATGGGAAACTCCGACGAAGAAGCCGATTCACGGACTGCATCGGTGGGCGCACAGCGTGCAAAGAACCCTCGTTCCACGCGCTCCGCCTCGCGCGATAGCACGCGGCCAGCAAAGCGACAGCGCCAATACAAGAGTCAGGATGCGCCTGACCATGCGGACTTCGTCCCCCGAGGCGGTGCATTTACTGCTACTCCCCTTGAGACAGACTCCGATGCCACCTCCAGCTCTGGTTCCTCAGACTCCGACTCCGACTCGGCCTCCAACGCGAACGATGCGGCGAACCCACACGCTGGAAGCACTGCGCCTGCCATTAGCTGGAACCAAGCAAAGAAAAAGGCAATCCGTACAACTCTGGGAGGGAAGCGATCCCCACCAATCGAGAATAGCACCGAGAATTCTGAGAAATTCAATGCTGTGAATGACAAGTACTGGCGCAGTCGCAGTGACTCGGCCTCATCGGCTGGGAGTGAGGCTCGAGCACGAAAACAACCTCGAACCCAAGAAGATTTGGAAGAGGGAGAAATAGACTCCAAGAGCGAATCCGACGATTCAGATTCACTTGACTCGGAAGCCGATGATTCTATCCTATTGAATATCGGGTCTAAAGAGGATGGATTGGAGGGCGAAGATTACGACCCAGAACGTTTGATGCCCGAGAACGGAATACAGAGTGCAACGGCCCCATCGAATTCGAGCGGGATCGAATTGACATCTGGCTCTCAATCCAAAGAAGACGCTTTCCGCCGCTTCGCACTCAAGTACCCCTCTGCGCCTACGTCTCTGGTGGACTTGAACAAGAAAGATCTCGAAACTCAGTCTCTTTACGTATACTTCGACCGCAATATCCATGACCTTGACTTGAAACTTCCCGTTTCTTGCGTTGAGTGTCAGACTGAGGGTCACATGGCCGACATCTGCCCTACAAAAGAGGTAAGATTCTCGAGGCTGCACGTAGATTTTTTTTTAAAACTTGTACTAACTTTCGTTTAGTGCTCACACTGTGGTGCTTGGAATAAACATGCAAGCGTCGTCTGCCCAACATGGCGAAGATGCCAAAAATGTCGCGAACGAGGCCATGACGAGCCACAGTGCATATCCAAGCTACGAAGCCATGCGTCAGAAGTGCCATGCGATATGTGCGGCCACGAGCACCTTGAATCAGAATGCGACTTCCTCTGGAAGTTCCCATCGCGCGACCTACACTCAAACCAAGTCTCCGTATCAATCTCCTGCGCCAACTGTTCCAGCCCAAAGCACCTAGTAGGAGACTGTCCGGATCCATATCTCCAACTCGGCACATCATCATTTACTACGAAAGGCCTGGATCCGGATATGATTACAAACCTCAACACAGCCGATGGACCTCGACGCACCGGTCGTCAAGGACCACCGCCGCCACCGCCGCGTTCTCACGGCAATGCTGGCAAACCTGGTTCTCGTGGTGCAGAGTGGTCCCGCTCTTCGTCCTCCGATGAAAATGACATAATGTCCCGCGTTTCAAGAGGACGAGGCCGTCCTGCCCCCGTCCACCGTGGCAACAACAGCCGTGGCCATATTAAATTCGGCAATAATGTTGGCACTGGTCGTGGTGCGTCTCGGGGACCACCTCCAGCTCCTCGTGGGCCGCCTCCAGCCCCTCGTGGTCGCCCCCCATTTCCTGGAAACGGAAATCGACGTCGCTCGCCTTCGCCACGTGCAAGGAATCCGCCTCCATCACGGGGTGGTAGCCGGGGTCGTGGGCCCCCGAGAGGTCCTGGACGTTCTCGTGGGTCACGCGGTGGTGGCAGAGGTCGAGGACGGTAATGGATGAAATTGCATTTGAGTGGGGAGAAGCGAACTGTCAATACATTTGCGCAAGGAAATACCAATTGATCAATTGTGGTCAGCAGCAACAAGCTGAACACGCCTTTACGATGAGAAGAAATTTGCTACACATATCTCTAATTGAATATTTCAAGAGACCTCGTATGACACATTCTCCGCTATCTGGGAGAAGCATAAGTTTTATCACTTATTCCACTAGACAGAAACAGCACATGCAGCACCACTACTGGGGAGAATCATCATTTTCCCGAGTCCCCAAGAATCCTTGCTCCAGAATATCCACCAAATCATCCAATCGCGAAATACAAAGATCAGTATGGGCATGCTCCTTCAAATGCACATTACGCTCATTGACAAGCAAGACCGTGGCCGCGCCAGCCATATGCCCAGACGTCATATCATCAATACTATCACCGACCTAATAAACATCCCAACAATCAGCATATATACACGATTCACAATCTACAACGACAGAGCAGTCAAACTCACCATGATCATACTCTCAGCCCGATTGCCCAATCCCCATTCACTCGCAATATGCAATATACCAGCGGGATCAGGTTTTGGCAGGAGATTGGGCGTGTCACGCGTGATGATCGGCAAGAAAATGTGCGTTGGGAGATGATTGTCTACCAGGTTCTTGACGGGTGCTCTAGTGTAACTGTTAGTATATATCTGATGTAGAGGCTGCAGTGAAGTTCCACATACTCGAAATTCCGTGTGCAAAGGGCTCGTCGCAGGCCGCGTGATTCAAGGTAGTCCATAAGTCGGAGGAGACCGGGCTGCGGTTGTTGGTCTACCATTGCTCGCCGTTCTACATCTTGGACTTTTGATACTGCCGCTGCACGGTCTTCTGGTGTTGGGAGTTCTCGGATGTGATGAAGGATGTCAATTGAGCGGTCGATTCCTAGCGCTTCCCTTTGAGCACGTGTTAGTTTGGGTTGGGTTGTTGTGGTGACTAATGTTGATATTCGATGTGCCTACCTCATCTCATTGAACATGTGGTGCTGTGGTAGACTTTTGTGGTGTTAGCGAGGACCATCCAACGTCGAACAAAGTTATACATCGACGGGCAGTGCTCTTGTTGTCTCCAAAAGGCGATACATGAGCTGCATGGTAGTATACTTCCCGATCAGGAAGATCCCGTGTACATCACGTGTGGATATCCAGTTAGTGCCTGAATATCCAGTCGTAGACTGCCACTGCAGCATCAATCTGCAGGAAAACCACAGCAGTAGGATCGGGCAAGGCAGAGATGTCGTAGAAATGACAACGCAAAGCAGTACAATCCACCAAAATGAACAACCTGTGATATAGACCACTTACCACAGCGTACCATCCACATCAAACACGATTCCCTTCAAGAGCGGGGCATTTGATGTTCGGGCTGGATCCAGAGGTGCAAACCTGCGCGGGCGAAGATGCATACATTCAATGGCAGACATGATGGACCGAGTAGCACGGGGCAGAGACATGGAAGAGATGAAGTTGGAGTTGACGTGGAGATGGAGACGGAGTTCAAGGGTGGGCCGAGCCGTGGGCCGGGCAATTTCACCCCAACCAAGCTCTATGTAGGTTGGCCAGCCTTGCAAGAAAACAACATTTACTAAGAAATTCTAGAGCCTTGGTAAATACAATTTGATTTATAATTTCTGTGTTCTGTAGAGGCTGCTTCCAGGGCCTGCCAAGTCCTCTACATTGTATCAAAGTGAGGACGAAGAACTCATGGAGTATGACTGCATTAGTAGCACTGCTATGAAATATAACGCTCAGCGTCATCCATTCCCTCAAATATCAAAATCCATGAATGACAGGCTTGGTTGTAATACATAAAAGAATCCAATATAATAACCCCCAATGTCCGATACCCAACGCAGAATGAATCAACAGCACAACAACAAAGAACTCGTAGAGTTCAATCAAAACATGAATCATCTTATCATCGAAGCCAAAGCAGTCATCTTATTCCCGAGATCTTCCCAAGAAACACCTTCGATGGCCCAGGAACATGCAGTCCCCCATCCAAAGCCCAAAGTATCAACAACTCCCTAATAATCAGAAAAAGGCCGAACAGTTGTAGTCCCACGGCCACGAACAGCATAAGCAGTAGCAAGAGAACTGTAATTCAAATGATCACTGACCGGAAACTTCCCAGGATAGCTCTCAATAGAGTGATACTTCGGCGAGCGATTCATCTGCACAGTGTCCAAGTCTGCTTCGTCAAGTTGACCGAACGGAACAGGAAGACGAGCAGAATCAGCATGTACAGCCCTACCCTTGCCCTTCCATCGCCCACCCAAGCCCATAGCTGGCGCTGGACCAGGATCGCTAAAATGATCAGCGATGCGAGCAGGCGCAGACGAAGATACTGGAAAGGCTATTCTCTCTTCCATGCGTACGAATGGATTCAATGTCCGCACAGGCTGGGCCAAATGTTCTTGGGGCATCTGATTCTCGACATCCGAATGCGGGCCATCCAGATTCCGGTTCTGCGCAACACTAGACATCTGCTGCGGTGCCGCAGCTGGGGCTGGGTAACGGAAGATCCGTCCCATTGTCGAACTAGCGATGGAGGAAATACTGCCACGGGCGCTAGAGCCGATTTTGCGTACAGTGTCGTAGACTGAGGAGCCAGGTCGTGGATGGGTCTGAGGGGGTAGAGTTGGATTATTGGGCTCGTGGGTAGAGAAATTGTATCTATCAGGTGGAATAACCCTTAGCCAGGAAGGAGCAAGATAGGTTGAGTCGCGCCCATCTGTTTGGCCCATTAGGCCGTTTCCTTGAGAGAAACGCGACGGTTGCACTGTAGCTGTGGCGGAGCTGTAGGCTGACAGCGGGACGGCACCAATGAGGGATTCGATAATCGCAGCTTCAATACGATCGATAGGTCGTCTGAATGGTGGAAACTCGTGTCGAGAATTTGCAAGTGGCCGCGCGAGGAAGGAGACCAAGTAGAGCAGCTGGAGGTAAACTAAAGCACCAATGAGTTGGAGCGTTTGGGAGAGGGATATTGGGAAGCATCCCGCTGACATTGGCTTGTGGTCCATGTCGCCATCAATTAGAAGATGTTCAAGTGTTCACATTGAGGTGAGAAGAGGGGACGAGGGTAATATTGTGGGAAAGGGCGTTGATAGCCCTTTCCTATAGATCTAGATACACGGCGTTACGCCGACTTGTTGCTTCTTCCACTCTTGTGGCAGTAGACAGACATAAAACCACTGGTTTAAAAAAAAGAATGGGCGATTGACTCGAAAAATATATATCTCATCTCACCTGGTGACATGACATGGAAGTATAAGAATCTCGATAAAAATTGCCAAAAAGCAAAAAGATAGGTCGTGCCCGGGATCGAACCGGGATCGCCAGAATCAGAATCTGGAGTGATGAACCATTACACTACACAACCGTGCTTGTTGGAGTACATCTACTGCTAATGCTATAATAGTTTAAGTTGATGTTCCAAAGATTGGACACTGTCCTAGGTCTTAGTTGTTACCCTATTACCGTAACTTAGCTGAAATTTGTCTTTCTAAACGAGAGAGAGAGACCTAGTTTTTTTGGGTGTTTCTTTAGATATACGGATACATTATAAACTAACTTAGTCACCAGACTATAACATCCATGGATGTTCCGATATCAGTGATAGTGGTGTATTCTTCTCATATTGACTAGAATGGTATGAACATGGAGAAAAAATAATATACAGCAATCTACTGTAGGCTCAAGTTTACTAATATTTGGCTCCATTCAACAAGCACGGTTGTGTAGTGTAATGGTTCATCACTCCAGATTCTGATTCTGGCGATCCCGGTTCGATCCCGGGCACGACCTATCTTTTTGCTTTTTGACCAGTCTATCTACAACTTGAATAATTTTCATTCTTGTTGAAGAAAAATAATGCAGGCCCGATTTTTTGACAATTATGCATATGAATCCAACTGACAAGGATCTCAACAAGAAACAACAAAAGGTGAAAGGCATTTGGCCTAGAGCTGGCTAATTTGCATTACTCTCATCTGCAAGCCTCTTAGCCTCCTGAAGTTGAGCAATTCTAATAGCTATGTGGCTCTGAGCAAAGTACACATCTGCTCGTCGGGGGTACTTCGCTAAATCGCATCCTTTCTTCTTGAACCGGCCCCAGGTGCGGCTTAGACTTTCACTTGTAATGTACTTGATCGCGGTATTCACAGGCGTCCAGTCGCCCTTGCGCTGGCAATTGTGGCACTTAAACTGGCGAAGCACGACCGTCGGAACTGGATGAATAGTCCACCTTGGAATGACGTCCTCTAGAATCGCTTTGCACCCTTCGTGTGGACATTGGAGCTCAATGGTCCGGGGGATATCTCCAAGCTCAGCTTCACCATGACGAAGAAAATATTTTTCCCATTCAGCACCCCCACGAACACGTGGATTGGGGATGGCTTCCAAGTTCTTCTTCAGTGCACGCACGTAGTTTTGATATCTCTCCATAGGATGAAGAAGAACACGACCTCCCGTACAGTCAATGAGCCCACAGCCTGTCTGAGAACTTTTGACGACATAATATGTCTGGTTCTTCTTAGCGTAATACGCAAAAGGGTCATCTAAAACTCTTCCTTTACAGGAAGAGCATGCTCGAGGAATAATGCGGTTGGGTGATGCTCTCAGAACCATTAAGTCGTTAACGGTATCTCTGGGTGTGCGACGGACATTCCAAGCGTATGCGATCAGGATAGAGAAGGCAAGCCCAACAATGCTGAGTATTTCTGGATCGCCTTTGCAATGAAGAAGGCGATAAGCAGTCTCAGCTTCTTTGCGTGAGCCTATCGGGTGACGGTCAATTCGAAGTCCGTCTTGGGCTTGAATGAACGCAGCTAGGCTGACTGGAAGTTCTTCCCAGTGATAAAGTTCCCCTTCTGATGCTTCAATGGTGTTAATCAGCTTCTCGCATTTGACCTTGTCGGCAAAATTGAAGGATGTTTCAGGCATAAGAATAACAGCTATGTCATGCAACTCTTTCCATAAGCGGGTAACAGTCTGAAGACGAGTCTGCTCCTGTGCAATGTTAATAACAGAAACACTAGTGACTTTAAAGTAAAATAGAATTTCATACCAGAGCCTTGTCAGCTGCAATATCATCATCGATCACTGTATCATGTACCTTCGAAGAATATTTGATCACGGGCAACTCGGTACCCTGTAGGTCGTTGTGGTCTTTTCGAGAGAGATTTAAAGTTCCCTTGACTGAGATGAGTGCCGCCCCTGGAAAAGCAGCTTTGAGCTCCTCGCAGGCCTGCCCTTTCCAGGTGTCTCTTAGCTCACGAATAGCTTTGGTTGGCCGAAATGGTCGAAGTAGTCGAGGGCTTAGTCTGTAAAAGTCTTCATTGATAACAATGTTACCTAGGTAAGAAGCTACCTCCAGCTGGAGGTCCTGTCTTCCTCCTTGCTCTGCTCGGAACGCCTGGGCCCGAACATTTGTTCCTTTCATGAACATGAAAAATTGCGGATGGTTGACAAAGATGATGAAGCGCCGCACAGCATTATTGTCCTCGTCAAGCTCCAGGTACAGAGTGACACCTTCGTATCGACCCCACAGAGGTAAGCTGCGTAGTTTATTCTGTAGACACATAAGCATTCGCTCGCGTACATTCACCCCCCAGCAGATTTCCACTACTGCTTTCATATTGGAGCGAAGGGCTGACACGAATGCTTCATGAATATCCCAGAGTTCCGGTGGATAGAGCACTCTGCAATGCCTGCTGTCCTCTCTTCGAGCTGAGTGGTCGAACATCAGACAGTTGTCGGCCGAAAGGCCCACGTCGTGAAGCTGTGCTATACACGGATTCGATGGGTCATCTATCTCGCCATCACGGGGGTCATCCACTGAAAATGTTGGATTGAAAAGATGGCATGCAACTGTGGCATCAAGGTGGCCAGATGGGCGGACAAAATTATGGAGAGGACGCTTGACGTTGCGTGACTTCCACCAGGCATCTTCTTCCTCCCGGTAATGCTCGAAAGCAGCATCCATAGACCAGGTAGAAGGTTGGTGCATACCTAATGTGATGTTGGTCATGGATTTTTATGTTGATCTTGGGTATCTTCAGAGTTCCTTACTGTGGGTGATGCTTTGCTCCAACTTCTGGACAAGTGGTAGTATACCGTCGAGTGTCGCCAACATACCATCTGGTGGGTCATCCAGCCATAAATTTCCAAACAGTCGAAGCATTATGGAGCCTTGTATCTCATTGAATTGAAACAGACGGTTCAAGGTGTGTTTTGAATGCCGTGGGAAGGTAGCCCTGTCGTAATAAGAAGTGATTGGAAAGTCGAGCGGTGGTCTGGTGTAAACCACAAACGAGGTTCTATGGAGGATATTTTGACCCGAAGGAAGCCAAGTCGCACCGGTCACCTTGATGTCTAATTAATCTAATGCATCCATGGATTAATTCAAGCAAACGTTGTCCCACACAACACAACTAGGAGATTTTCCCATAGCATACGCATGTTCGGAGTAGACTCGTATCTGTAATAGGATTGGTACAATTTCTAGGACTCCCGTAAATCTATCTAAGCACTGTAGAGCACTTGAGAAGGTAGACTAGGTAATGTTTTCCTCGCCAGGGAGAAGTTCTAAGCCCAAAGCCTAGACACGTCTCTAAGTTTCCTTTCACAGGATAACTCGATGCTTGAAGTAGAAACAGCAATAACAGGCATTAAATCTGTAAGTATGCTTTGCTGATGTTCGAAGTGCTAATTAGGGCCAACAGTTATGTAACAAATGACTACGTATTGTATTCCGCTGAACTCCGAGTACGATTGATGAGATATCAATCAAATTGCTTGGTATAAACCAGCCGGTACGCTAAAAAATATCATAATTTTTTCCCTTCACAGATCTTAGATGCTACTAATCCCGCTCACAACATCAATTGGTTGTGTAGTGTAATGGTTCATCACTCCAGATTCTGATTCTGGCGATCCCGGTTCGATCCCGGGCACGACCTTTTCTTTTTGCGATTTTGATATTACTTTTTACATGGTTCAAATGATATATTTTGGTAGTCCACATTCTCCACTTTTTGCTAGGTCTGCTCTGGGCTACGGCCCTAACTACGTGGGCGGACTATAGATATTCCCGGGTACACTAGACCTCGGAACAATTGCATGTCTTATTAAGCTCCAGCAGGATTTCGGCTTATTGGGATAAAGCCTGACTTATGGATAACTTAGGCCAGTGATACGTGATCAGTAGCTATTTCTGCAAGAGTATCATCAGGAAACAATACAAAAAATCGAAAAATATGCAAGATTTTGTATAGTATGGACTATACAAAACACAAAAAGGGAAAGGTCGTGCCCGGGATCGAACCGGGATCGCCAGAATCAGAATCTGGAGTGATGAACCATTACACTACACAACCGTGTTTGATGAGTCATGCTGGACCACCTTCGTCCAAGAACTCAGTTGCAAATTAAGGTTATTTTGAGCCTCATCGGACTTAGTTTCGACGCAACATTTACATCCATACATGGTCTTGACAGGGGCCTCTTGTTTCAGCGGCTTCCAATGGTTAAATTTGTAGAAAGAATATCGATTTGAATTAAAATCACAAGGGAAATTCCGAACAAGGAGCCCGAAACCATGTCTCGAGCATAGATATATATCCCTCCCCGAAGCTAAAATCAACTGCCCAATTTAAGTACTCGCTCAACGACGAAACCTCGGACCGACCAAAGAAGAATTTGATAATACATAGAAGGAACAGTACGCAGCAAAGTATACAAACGAGGAATCAAAAGCACTCAGCCGACAAAGAATTGTGGCTAAGTCAAGGTAGCTTTTAGGGAATACCACACGAGGGACATCTAGATGCTGTCTAGAATAACATGCAGTTAGATTACAGAGACCCGAGAAACGATATTTGGTAGTGGCTTCTATATTCGTCGAGTGACCCAGGGATTATAGACACCCGAAGGAGACAGACAGTCCAGGAAGATCACTGCCACCTACCCTGTGAACTAGAATCATCTACACGAGACTGGCAAAGAGCATATACAGAACATCCCCACCACAGAGAAGAAAAATGAAAAAGACAAAAGACTAGAACCATGGAAGCAATAAGAACGGTATTATACTAGCCTCATCTTTGTATCTACATCACATAATGGTCACAACTATGATCACGAATCACAGAACATCCAAAGCCCATTATATTTTCAAGAATGAACGCAATAAAAACACAAGAGAAAGAAGATAAGCAGTATCCTCACAAATGAACCAACAAGTCATAAAACCTCCAGCATGTTTTCACCGCCGAAACCACAAGTCATAAACAACAAAGCAAGTAGACAAGAGAAGGAAAAAGAAGATTTCAGCTTCGAAACACATATTTCTCATAGATAATAATAATAGTAGTAGCAAGTAGGGAGGACATGTAATGGCCAAACAAAGGGGGATATCAAATCAAGACATTGATTGAAGTCATAACGTTCGTCAGGGAATCGAAAGCAGAAAAAAAAAAAACATGGGAAAGGGAAGACACGCAAAATGTACCAGACAAGAAGCACGCTAGATAGGAAAAGGGAAAAAGGATCCAACCCAAGCCTACACCCCAGCGTAATTGTAAAGCTGACCCTGGGGATCAAAGCAGCATGGCATTCCATTCTCAATACTCATCATCATAGTCGACCTGCATGGGACTGCCTCTGTAGCGAGTTCGGTTGACTTTACCAGGGCTGTAGGCGCCGCCGGAGGTGAGGGGACGCGGGCCTGTTGGTTTGCGTGTGGGTGGGGAGCGGATTGCGGAGCTCTATAGACTTTGTTAGTGATTGATCATTCATTAATGGAATCGGGATTGGTTTTGTACATACCCTTGAAACGGCACGGTCAGCACCGGCGCCATAGGTGGGTTCTTCATCCTCTGGCACCTTCTGAGGACGCTCTGGGATCAGAGGACCCTCATCTTTGACCTTGGGAGGACGCGGCGGGCCTGGAGTTCGGGAGCTGGTCTGCGAGTAGCCCGCGTCGGAGATGGGAGATAGCCGGCTGGCACCACTGAAGCGTTGTTGGTTGGGGTTCACGGCAGATAGGCTGGGGTTTGATTCCCACTGGTCTGAGCCTGTGGGGGAGACTGGACCGCCGTAGGTTTGGGCCTCTGTTTCGAGGCGGGACTGGTAGCGGCCTGTGGGACCCTGGCGAGGCTGGGGGTGTTGAAGCTCAAGACTTCCGCGGTGGCCTCGGTACTTGGGGGCTTCAGAGACTTGAGATGGGATAAGGGGGGGAAGGCGGACGGTTCTCCCGTTGGGGGTCATCCAAGGTGAAGGTGGAGCGGATTCTGTCGTCGCCCTGGGGGTCGTAGTAGTCGCCCTTGTAGGCGCCTTCAGCGAGATCGGAACCCGAGCGGGAGAGGTCTGAAGTTGGGCGCTCTTTGCGGTTGGGCTGGATGCTGTTACGGATGTTGTCGCCCATGGAGGTCGCAGTAGACTTGGACCAGCGAGAGATCTTGGGGAAGATGGAGGAGCTGCTCGACTTGTGCTTGCGAGCCTTTTCATTCTTGTCGGCCTTGGGGGTTGTTTCGGTGCTGCGAGCACCTGCTGCAACTGGCTTGCGAGGAGGCGTGGAAAGGGGCAAAGAGCCAGCGCGCTCGTGATGAGGAAGCTCGCGCACAGGGAGATGTCCAGTCATAAAATCATCACCTTCGTCGAGCTCGAGATCTTCCTCGTCCACTTCGTGCACGGTACTTACCCGCTGATCGGAGTTTCTGCGCTGATGGGGAGCAGGAATAAACGCAGCGTTGCTGTTCTCGACGGGTGTACCGTGTTGAGTTGGCTCATAGGCTGAATCAATGCTTGCAGGTCGCGTAAGGCGTTGTGGGCTCACGCCGTCCTGACCAGAGCGCAGATATTCAACCTCTTCAAGAAGCTGCTCGAGCATGCCCTCAATCTTGGTAAGATCGTTGCCTGACTTCAAACTTAAGCCCTTAAGAGCGCGCTTGAAGATGTTCTTGCGCTTGTCGTCTTCCTCAGCCGTATTCAATTGACGGTTGCGAGAAGTACTGGGGGGCAGAGGCCGGGGTCCACCGAGCGCCTTGTGGGTGCGCTCATGTCCCCTGTCAGTGTTGTCCATAATGAGGTCATCTTGATCGGCAATGAACTTTTTCATTTGCTCGAAAGAGGTGCGCATCTCTGCTGCACTGCGAACCAGAGTAACCAAAATCTCAGTATCTCGGGCATTTCGTTGGGCGTCGCGTACAGTCAGGTGGTCCATAAGAGCCACGATGTCTTGGGACTGAATTCTCTCGATGCCCCGGCCGGTGGCACTGTCGTAGAGTGGTGATCCGACGCCGTGAGAATAGCCACTGAAGTGACGCTGGTGACCGGGCCCGAAAGGATCATCCGGAGAAGGACCATCAAAAGCAGCAGCACCTGCGGCATCTGGGCCCGCGAGACTTCGGCTCCCTTGCTTCGGAGTTCCAATACTGGGAGACATGGGGTTGGCAGCGGAGACATAGCCCTCGTCCTTGGCTCCAGGAGGCGTGCCGAACAGCTGGCGAGCTTGGTTGTCGACGGAGGCATTATAAACGTCGTCACCGCCAAAGATGTTTTTGGCAGTCTGGTAGTATTCGGCATCAAGTCCACGCTGCTGGTCATCATTGAGACCCTGAGATAAAGCAGCATCATCATCATAATATTGATCAACGGGAGGAGAGCGCGAGCTGTAAGCCCAGTGGTCTCCTTGAGCAACACCGCCGGCAGGGCCCTGGATGATCGAGGGATTGGTATTGATCTCAGATTCGGATTCTTGACTCTCCGCATCGGCCATGGGACTCTCCAGTCCACGCGGAGCACTGGCGCCCATGATAGCCGAGTCGTCCAGCTCGTCGTAAGACTGAGCAACACTCTGAGGAGGCGACGTCGCACCCATGCGTCGAGGGAACGAAGTTTCATCCGCAGTGGAAGCATCCTGTCTTTGCTTAAGGGGACTTCCACGGTAGGCCTCACCGACCTGCTTCTCAGGACTGCGACTTTCAGATCGTTGACCTAGATCGGTTTGGGAGCGGTTCATGGAAGAAAGCTGGGATTCGATCTGTGATTCAAGGACAGACGGGTCCATCAAGGAGGCAACATTGGATTCAACGCCCATTGGGTGGTGGAATTGAGGGTTAGCAGCGACACCATATCCCACATGCTGGCCTTCTTTGACTTTCTCCATGTAATCGATATCGCTGTTATCATCGCCGGCAGTCAACCTGCTCTCTATATCGTATCCATAGGAGATCTCATCTCCTTCGAGCTGGCGCGACCGTTCGTAGCCGAGCTCGGGCGAATCCTCGCTAAGCTGCTGGGAAAGTGCACTCTGGCTGTGGCTGTGGGTGGTACCTTGGCGGGTAGATCTGGCGAGGTTGGTGCTGGGTGCGGATGAAAGGGAGTCAATGGAGAGACGAGGCTCCATCTCGTGCTTGCCTTGGACATGGCCCTCATGGATTGGGTATTGGGCGTGGTGGGTCTCGGTGTTGTCGCTAGCAACACTTTGAATAGGGCTCAGACCGCGATCATGCAGTTCGTCACGGTATTGAGTAGGGTGGGCGGCATCAAGAAGGTTGGCAGCGGCCGCGGCAGCGATAGCCCAATCGCCCGTGTCAGTTCCGGGAGATTGGCTTTTGGCCCGTAGATCACGGTCCGAGGTGCTGTGCAGGGAGATATTATGCTGTGACTTGTTGGCGTGACGCATGCCGAGGGAGTCAACAGAGTTGCGAGTAGGAGTGCGAGAGGTGGGAGATACAAGCTGCCTGGGAGATCCACGAGAGAATTCCGCCTGGGAGCTCTTCTTCTGTGGAGGGGGGCTAGCCGTGCGTTCAGAGAGCAACGAGTTTCTGGTCAACTCGGAATCGATCTCGCTACGCATTGGCATGGGGGCAACGTTATGCCTTTGGAAAACAAGTTCGGTTTCGTTGTACTTGATGCTCTCAGTACTCTTCCGAGAGCCACTCTTACGGCGACGATGCTCTGACTTGCCAAGACTGGAATTGGAATCATGGTGCTTCAAGGAAGCGGCGGTGAGAGCAGAACCCACTCGTGCAGCAGCATGAGCATCGCGCAGACCCTTGCTCTTTTGCCTTCGGATCTTGTCTTGCTCAGAGTAGTCGGGTCGGTTGCCCCAACGAATGGCTGCCTCGGATACTTCACTGCTTTTGCTGGACTTGCGCTCCTTGTTTTGCGGACCCGACCCTCCGGAGAGAACAATTCCTTCATCTTTGCTGTCCTTGTTCAACACAACCTTGGGCTTGATGATATCGGGTGCACTGGCGTGCTTGGACAGACTTCGACGGAGCTCATCCCGAGAGCTTGTCCCGGATGAATAAGATGCCATGTCTCGTGCTATGTCCCGTTCAAATTTGCCTGTGTTGGTCATCACCTTTTGGTCTTTCTTGAGCTCCTTGAGCTCGGGGAGTATCAACCGCCGAATGGCATCCTCGACAGTCTCCAATAATTTCGGGTTGTTGATGGAGGACTTGGATGCACCCGACCGAATTGAGTACTGATCCGACTTACGGTTTGAAGAAACCGCCGAGGTACTGAGGAGACTCGACTCGGGGCTGATATAGTCATCCTCGGCGTACTTATGCTTCCGTCGGCGAGAGGACTTGGGCTCGGCATCGAGGTAATCCTTGCCAGACTTGCTTCGATTTCTGCCCGACGATTCCTTGGCTGGTTCGGTCAGCTTCTCGGCCACACGATGCGCGATTCGCTCGGTGCTTAGGCTGCGACTTCGCTGTCGACGTGGTGTCTTTAGCAAATCCTTGTCTTCACGAGGCGACCCGCGCTCCAGACTTTGGCTGCGTTTTCGCCGCGGCCCTGCCGATGACGCGTTGATCATACTGTCGGCGGGCATGGATGAAATGTCGGAGGATACAGGCATATACCGGGTATCATATGACAGGGTCGACATTTCACTGCTAGGGAAGCCAGGAAAGTCGATTTCTACCGGACGGCGACTAGAGGAATGGTGGCCCTCCTCCGCTGAACCTGAATCGAGGCTTTGATCATCCGTCGCCCCCGTTTCCAACCGATTGGATTTGGAGGATGGCGATGGGAGGGAGATGCGGTGTGTATAGGACGGCTTGCGACTACTGCCACTGGACTCGGTGATCTGAACGTGGTCTCGGTCCCGTTTGGACTTTCTCGCCGACGAGGGGGTGACGCGGACTCGCACGCTGGGGCGAGAGGTGACGCCGGGGCCTTTTTCCCCTTCGAAGTACTCGATGAGAAGCGAGGTGTGAGAGTCGTGGCGGGAGTGTGAATATGATTTCCCGTCGCGATCCCTGGTAGAGACAGTCACCGGGCTTCCGTCGTCTGGGATCGAGTACGACGTTTTGTCTGTTCGGCGAGAAATGTCAGTTGCCAAATCTGTCCCCAGCGCGCTCTCCGTATCGATGATGGACTCTGTGGGGGCGGGAAGAATCGGTCTGCGGGTGTCGACCCCCATGATGGAGCGGTGTCCGTCAACCCAATCGCATGCTCTAGGTGATAGGATCAGATGAGACTGTTGGGGGAGGAGTTGTGTCACTGTTGGTGCTGTTGATACAAGACCATGGAACACTTGGGACACTTTTGGGGTGGGGAGGGGGTCGAAAGCAGTTCCCAGGGAATAGATATTAGGAGTAAAAGCGTACCAGCGCAAACCACTCGAGTGGAAGAAGAGGGAGATATTGGGGGAGGGGGGTCGATCTCAAGAATCCCAGGGAATATGATTGGGTTTGAAAGAAGGGAGAGAATCCCAAGGGTGAAAGGGTCGAGCCGGGGTAATAAGAGTTGAAAATGCCCAGCCTCCGGACAAAAGAGAAGAGGCTGGAGCAGAACAACAAACGAAACCTTGGAACGGATCCGCTCGGGATCCTCTGGTTCTTGGGGTTTTTTATTTCGACTTCATCGGAGGCTCTATACATGGGGTTTTTTTACGGTATCCATTCTCTGTTCTTGTCTGCTTATTGAGCATATAAGTTAACTTCTATCCTACACTAAGTTCCCTTCTAACCCCTCCCCACCTCCAACTGCTACAATCTGCGGTAAGCCCTCCCAGTCACACAGAACAAACGCACATAACCTGCAGTCCCCCGTCGAGGAAAAACACCCAGCTGGAAAAGCTGAAGGGAGAAACCCAAAATCAGAAAAAAAGAAGGAAAAAAAAAAAGACGAAACGGACAGACATCCCCCAAAAAACACCCGTCGCCTGGACGACAGCAAACCCTAGAAATCGGATTGGTTCCCTGCCAGCTCATCACACTCGTACTTGTGGCCATCTCCCACCTGGGGCTGATTATTGGTCGGGGGCTCAGATTGGATTGGGCATACATGTCCATTTATAATTGACTGACATATACCGGCCAGTTGTCGGGCTGGTAAAATGTCCGCCTTGAGAGTTGAGGTGTTCACCGATGGTTCTCAGATCCCTCCACGCCCCTACCGTAGACTACGGCAGCGGAGGATCTATGGCTGTGGCTATGACGACCGGGTGACACGCACCATTGTAGCAAGGGGCTATTCTCCATTCCTATTGAGGCTACTCATACAGATCCAGAGGGCTCTTCCCTTACCGATCTACCGTTGTATTAGGGGTGGGGAGTTGCATGGCAGGTACAGTATACTGTACTATACAATACTGGCGGTACAGCATGCGTGTCAAACACTACTGCCTCTGGTGAGGCCCAAACGCTGTACTTCGTACTGGAAACCTGTCTTCCGGGCGATTGTGCATTGTGCATGGAACCCTGTAGAAGGTTAAAATCCTACCGGTAATCTGCAACAAGGGATTTTGCTTTCGGAATCCAATTCAGGCTGCGCCGGTTCGATGAGGTGTCATTGGCATTCTTTGGCGGGCGGTTTCTATCACCTACGCCATTTCCACATGGTTGACACGTGGAATGCGAGATCAGTCCCTTGGGGACTGCGGAAGATGAGAATCGACGGTATAGTGATGATGATGATGATGGCAAGGGATCTAAGCATACAGAAGGAACCTTAGGAAACTCTCTGCAAACTACTGGGGGTCAACGGATACGGATTAAAATTACGAGATCATCTTGAAACCCAAATAGATATATCCACATTGCTGAACTCCAGTCCCTAAAATAGACATGCAGAGACAATCGATCGCTTTTGATGTTCATACAGAATCCTCTTAATCATCGTGCTTGCGCTTGAACTTCAGACCGGCACCGTTCTTAGGCTGGCTGCCGTAGGTGCGACGGCCCTGCTGCTCCTGCTTCTTATCCCGGCTCAGGCTGGCGCCCAGCTGGATATCGATACGGGGAGGCGCAGAGAAACCGAAGCCCTTGGCGACCTTGACGAGGTCCAGCTTGTTCACGTCGAAGACGGAACGAAGGGAGTGGGAGGCATAGGCCTGGAGGTAGGACCGGTAACCATCCTTGGCGGACTGTAAAGGAGTTAGTATGGAGGTCGCCAAAAGAGGGCGTGAGAGATAGGGAGAGGAGGAATGGAACGAACCTTGTTGAGGTAGTAGTTTTGGCCGATGAGCTTCTCGAGCTGGGACTGCACATTGACAATCTTGGAGGCTGGGAACTCGAATTCGACGACAGGCACGCGGGCCTCCTTCAAGTGCTTCAAGAAGCCGACCTCGGAAGGCTGGAGGAACATCAGACTGCGACCCTTGCCATCGGCACCACGGGCGGTACGTCCGACACGGTGAATGTAGTCACGGGGATCATCGGGGGGATCGAACTGGATAATCCAGTCGACGGCGGGGATATCCAAGCCACGAGCAGCAACGTCGGTACAGATCAGGGTGCCCTGCTTGGCATTGCAGAACTCGAAGAAGGTGTTGGTGCGCTTCTGCTGCTTCTGCTTTCCGTGAAGCTCGAGAACGGGGAGATCGATGTAGTTCAGCAGCTCAGCGTGGTACTTGACACAGTTGCAGCTGGAGAAGAAGACAATAATCTTCTTCTTGAGGTTGCGCTTGAGGAACGAGAAGAGAAGTAGGAAACGCTTGTCGGCTTCACAGAGAACGTAGCCCTGCTCGAGACCGGCGACGGTACTGTGCTCTTTCCGATGATCAACATTAATGTACAGAGGTCCAGGGCGCAGCGATATACGGGCCAGGTCCTCAACCTTGGTGGTTTGTGTGGCGGAGAAGAGCATGGTCTGACGCTCTTCCTTGGGCAGGATCTTGACGATTTGACGCATTTCATCCTCGAATCCGACTTCCAGAATACGGTCAGCCTCGTCAATGATTAGGGTCTTCAGGTTTTTGAAGATGAATCCTTGCGTGTTCTGCAGGTGATCCAAAAGACGACCGGGGGTCGCAATGAGCAGGTTGACACCCTTCATCAACTTGTCCGCCTCGGCGCGGCGGTTGGCTCCTCCAATGACAATACCATATGTTTGCGAGTGGAATTGCATCAACTCGCGTGCTACACCGAAGATTTGCAACGCGAGCTCACGAGTAGGGGACACGACGAGAACACCGGTACCGTTTCTGGGCTTGAAGCGCAGAGCGCTCAGCATCTCGATAGCGGGGATCAAGAAGGACAGGGTTTTTCCGGAACCAGTCTTCGCAGCACCAAGCACATCCCGTCCAGCAAGCAGAGCAGGGATGGTACGCTGTTGAATTTCGGTCATGGTCTCGAAGCCCATTTCCTTGATCGCCTGCATAGTCTTGTCGGAGAGGTTGAGCTCAGTGAATTTCTGGAGCTCACCCTCAGTCTGTGGCAAACGGACATCGTCCATGGTTGGGAGATCTGCGCCAGCATCCTTGACCTCGGCTTCCTCTGATTCTTCAGCATCGCTGTCTTCCTGTGCATCCACCTCGACATCCTCGACCTCCTCCTCAGAGGCGCTTTCCTCGGCGCTGGGCGAAGGGCTGACCTTGCGCTTCTTGGTCGACTTTTCAGCGGGAGACTTGGTTGAGGCAGCACTCTTGCTCTTTTTCGGGGTCACTGAAGGGGACTTGGCTTCGACGGGCTTGACGGCATCTTCTTTCTCTGCGCGGGAGCCGTGCTTTCTCTTCCGCTTGTTGATGGACTTTGCGGTGTCCACGGGGCCTGGCATTTTGGTGGAACCCGATTGGGATTTTTTTGGTATCACTTGGACCTTGAGTTTGTAGGTCTAGATTATTATGGTCGGCGAGCGGAAATCATTCTGCATCTTTTTTTTTTCTGGTCGGTGAGACAGGGCAGAACTCCACATCAAGATCACGTGCTGATAGTCTGATTATTGCCATATTATCAAGGCACTTGTGGCCTCAGGCACCAAATCACTTTAAAACTCCCAGGTGATAACTGAAGGTGGGCTGTGCTTTTGCTCAGTTGTATAATTGACGATCATGGAGACCAACCTATGTTTCAGGATTTGGGTCTTGAACGCTGTCATTTGACCACACAGCTTACCAGCAGACGGCATACAGTACAGTACTCTGTCTACCTGCACTGCAGTGGGTTCCTGCTTTACCCACTCGGTCTGGATGTATACTAGAAGACAAGTTACGCAAGCGCCGCGATCTTGGCCTGACTTAGGCAGACACAATCTTACCGATGACTTGCAGATTGACAGGTGCATTGGTGGCTGTGTAAGCGCAAAGCTTTCAAGTTGTTTAATACCAAGGATTCCTTTACTAGAAACACAGATATTAGCTAGATATAATCTATAGGCGATGCGAACATATTCCGTGACTACAGTACGGAGTGAAGCAGTGCAATTTGTGTTCAGACCGGACTTTTCTTCCTGAGATGGCGTCACGGAGAATATTCTATCTTTGCTTCATTCTGAATATTTAACCCTGATCAAATATAATTAAATTATACTGTAGACGTCGAGCTCTCAGTCAAAATACAATACATATCAATGAAGACAATGTAGACTGTTGCAGAGACAGAGATTTCTTGCCAATCACATTGAAGAACAGCAAGTGTAGAAAGGGATGGGCCAATAAACAGGCAATCCGTGAAAACCCTGAGCCAAAAATAGCCAAAATTAACCCGAAGAGAGAAATACCGGGTCGCATACACGAATACGGACCCCTTTTTACTACGCACACCAACGAGAATTTTAATATTGTAAAGTGCAAAGTGTGCGCAACTGCTTCTATAAAGACGGCACAATAAAACGTCATCATAGCACGCGAGTGAGGGATCGTCCTGATCATCACTCTCCACGATGATCAGGGGCTATATGCTGTACAGGGTATATAGTACTGGACACGACGTCAAGTGAATAGGGGGGGGGGTCAACTGTGTCAAGCCCAGAAATGGTCTATGCTAGAGGTTCTGTTATTTCTGAAACATGTCTGATCCAGAGTGTGCGATGGATGACTATCTATTATTGAGGCTGTGCAATCGAACGCCAAGGGGGGGGGGACTTGGCGATCCTTATACAGTGGAAGTTTATTGTGCAAACACGTACACTACCAGATTTTGGTATGGCTTTGTCCAGACACAAGTATGCTGATGAGAATCTGATCCAGATCACTGTCTACAGACACATCCGAAGACGAATTCCCGCTCTAGACCCAGTCAGACCAGGCGTCTAGCTCGGGAAGAAATACCCCCGGATCTATAGACTATTTTTCGACAGGCACCCGAATAAAGAAGGGTTAGCCAAGGAACATAGTCCAGGAGGGTGGACCTATACAATAGTACAGTATTCTGGCCCCTTGGTCTTTCGTTTGAGGGAGTTATACCCAAGAATGACCTAATTTCAGTTAGTCCATGGATCAGGCAGACGAAATCTAACCATGTGCCTCCGTTCACGTACATGCAGTAACGGTCCACAGCGGATGGCACTTTCGGGTGGCACTCCACAGCTGGGGGCAACAGTTCCTTTGGTTCAGTAAATTGCTAACAAAGGCCATAAATATGACGGCTGGTTCTGGCCACAACACCAGGTGTAGAATGGTGAGCAGAGCAATGCACAGTGGAAACAGAGACTATAACAAGGAAGAGATGTGAGTTCAGATACACAGAAGAGAATGTCATTGCCATCACGGGGAAAGGGGTACGAGTCCAAACAGAAATACAGACGTCTAATTGGTCCCACACTAACCGCCCCTGTCATTTTACCGTAATTACCACATACCTGACCGTCGCCATCTCTTCTCTCCCTGAGACAAGACTCCCTCTCTTCCATTCTCTCTTTCTCACGGGAATCGGTGCTCAATCTCCCTTTCTATTGCCCTTGATTTCGAGCTCTATTCTCCTTTCTTTCCCGGTAATACTGTGTATCGCCAGTTCATTCGCTCCTCGACTTCTTTTGCCTTTTGAGTCCGCTCTATTCACTCCTTCAGGTCCGCACCTACCAACTTTCCTTCTTTGACCTCACTTGGTCACCTCTGCGACTATCACTCTGTGTCTACTTTCAACCTCTCTAAATCAATATATCCGCGTCTCTGCGCCTCTGCGCCTCTGACTTCGACTTCGACTGCGACCTTTAACTCCGCTTTCGCCCTCCGCTTCTCCGACCTTCAAATGAACCAGTAAACGCTCGATCGCCATATCGCAGATCTCTCGTTCAAACAACTTACGACAAACAGCCGGTGCAGTGACAGCATTGGCATCCATTGGGACATACTTCGGCCCCACGGCGAACGACTTGACCGTCTGAAGACTTCCGCATCCGGCGGCTGGCAACGTGGTACTCTGGAGTGCCGCTGACACAACCGCTGTCACTTCCCTTATCTTTTCCGATTATCTCCCATTGTTGCAAAATCTCTCATTGACATCTATACGCCAACATGCGACTAATATCGCTTCTGACATGCCTCGTCGCCTTCGTGGCGCCGTTGGCTTCCGCTGTCAAGCTCCTTGAATCTAATGCTCTGAACGTGTGCATGGAGTCTAGTAACTTCACGGCAACATACCTGAACGTTGTATTCTACCCGGGTAACAACTCTCTAACAATCGGATTTGATGGTGTTTCATACATCACCGGCAAAGTGACTGCAGATCTGATTATTACCGCCTATGGTTACGAGATCATGACCAAGACTCTTGATCCTTGTTCCATTTCGGGCATGGGAATGTGTCCTATGGCTGCTGGGCCGATGGACTTGGGTCCCCTGTCTCTTGATCTACCCTCGGACACTGCCGCGAACATTCCAGGTGAGTAATCCGATGCGATCGATGACAGAGATGTTCGATTTGCTAAACGAATCGACTTAGGTATCGCCTACACCGTTCCAGATCTTGACGCCACAGTCCGCATTGTTATTAAGACAAAGGAAACGAAGGAAAAGATTGCTTGTGTCGAAGCCTCACTTTCAAACGGTAAAACAGTGGACCAAGTCGGAGTCGCTTGGACAACTGCTGTGATATCCGGTCTAGGTCTTGCCGCATCAGCTATTACTTCGGGTCTTGGTCATTCGAATACTGCGGCGCACGTTGCAGCAAATGCGCTCTCTCTCTTCGGATTTATGCAATCGCAAGCGATGATTGGTATGACCTCTGTCCATATGCCCCCTATTGTGGAGGCATGGACTCAGAACTTCCAATGGAGTATGGGCATTATCCGCGTAGGATTCATCCAGACCATTGCGACCTGGTATCAGCGAGCAACCGGTGGAACCCCCTCGACCCTCCTGTCCCAGCTTGGTGATACTTCCGTTGAAGTCCTCAAGCGTCGCAAGCGTGACCTTCCCGACTCCGCAATCAATTTGCTGAAGAGAGCCTCCAACTCGACAATTATGAAGCGCGCAGCTAGTCTGCTCAAGCGAGACAGCTCAAGCCAAAAGCTTGTTGTTGTGCGCGGTATTGAACGTGTCGGCTTCCGTTCCAGCATTGAAGAAACCAACATCTTCCTCACTGGTTTGATTTTCTTCGCGGTATTCGTTGTTTTCGTCGTCATCATTGTCGCAACATTCAAGGGTATTACCGAGTTGCTCGTCAAGAACGGCAAAATGAAGAGTGACCGTTTCCAGGACTTCCGCAACGGATGGAAGGTTGTTCTTCGTGGAATCCTCTTCCGTCTCATTTTGATTGGTTTCCCTCAGATGTGTGTTCTGTGTCTTTGGGAATTTACTCAGCGCGACTCCGCGGCTGAAGTGGTTCTGGCTGTAGTTATGATTCTCTCCATGCTCGTCTCTCTTGGATGGGCCGCGCAGAAGGTTATTCGTCTGGCAAAGCGCTCAGTCACTATGCACAAGAACCCCGCTTACATCCTTTACTCCGATCCCTCATGTCTAAACAAGTGGGGTTTCCTATACGTGCAGTACCGCGCCACCGCATACTACTTCGTTGTTCCTGTCCTGATTTACACACTGATCAAGAGTATGTTCATTGGTCTGAGCCAACCTGCACCAGTCGTGCAGACCGTGGCTCTTGTGGTCCTTGAACTCGCTATGCTGATCGCTGTTTGCGTCCTTCGTCCCTGGATGGACAAGAAGACCAACATCTACAACATCTCCATTGCGGTCATCAACTTCCTCAACTCAATCTTCCTGCTGGTCTTCTCCGATGTGTTCAACCCTCCTGGTCTGATGATTGGTGTCATGGGTGTCATCTTCTTCGTTTACAACGCCGTCTTCGCCTTGGTTCTTCTGATCCTCGTACTGATTGCCTCAGTGTACGCCATCGTGTCAAAGAACCCCGATACCCGCTACCAGCCCATGCGTGACGACCGTGGCTCCTTCATCAAGTCTCAGACCCAGCTGACCACCGAGCTGGACGCTCTCGGTGCCACCGCCCGCGGTGATGTCAAGTCTGGACAGTACCACAACAACCCCTTCGACGACGATGCTATCTCCATCTCAAGCGGAAATGGCGCCAGTATCGGACACCACCAACAGATGGAATCCACCAACCAGCACCACCCCAGTGTCCGCCAGGCTCCCGCCTCACCAGTCGACCCCTCAGTGCCACTATTCCCTACCAACACAGGACACAGCGGTCCACCACCCGGATACGACCAATTCGGTCGGTCTCCCTCGCCCGCCGCCCGGGGCTATGACAACGCCCCAATTGGCCAATCTGCTTTGTCGACCACCTACCGAGCCCAAAATAACGCCAGTCCATGGCAAAGAGGAGCTGGTTACGATCATTAAAAAAGCCAGTGCTCTTATTTTGTTCGCTTCCGAGATGAAGATATGTGATTTTTATTAGCGCGGGATACCGATGGTCTTTGATCTTTTTCCAATCGCCATCCTCTGGGTTCGGTTCTTTTCTGTTTCTGTTTGGTTTTCTTCTGCTTCTTTCCCAAGTCCGCTATACACTCCTCGCTGGCGACTTGTATTTTACCTTGACTATTCTTTTTTGGTCTCAATCCACCTACCTATTTACCTCACGGTGCATAACCGGTGTGATATTCACTTCTTTTCTTCTGTCCCTTCCTTCCTTTTCCATCTTCTTTTTCTTGCCTACACTTGATCTCTTTATCTTTCTCTCTCTAGTCGAGACACCGCAATCGACTTGTATTTTCCTTATCTTGGACTGTTTGTTCGGCGTTTGATGCATTCTGGATATGGTGACACCGGTTTCGTGTTTGAATCTTTTTTCCTCTTTTATTTTTGTGGTGTTCGTTGGCTTCTGTCTGCGAAGTTTCAATTCCGTTTTTTTCATTTTTTGGGTTTTTGATTCTCTGTACCTGTTGGAAAGTAATCCTAGTGTCTAAAACGAGAATTCCTTGCCTGCAATTTTGTCTTGTGTACTGTGTACCCTCGAAAAACGCACTTCAATCTACGATTACGATGAGCCTGCCGATTCTTGATCTTCCATTTCTTAACTGGAGTTGGTTCCTTATGTGTTTAGATAGACGTAGTCTTGAGGATTTCGTGACAATTCAATTTCATGATCTAACAACAGCCAGCGGGGCTTGTTGTAACCGTAGTGTTTCATATGAATAAAAAAAAGCAGAGAAATAAGAAGAAAAGCGCTATTTTACATTAACAGCATAAATGAAAAGAAAAAAAAAACACAAGACAAAGACCCATGAAGAGAGAGAGGACAGGGGATGCCAATATACCGGAGATACTGACTGCAATGCAACTCAACGCAAAGCATCACATTCGATAACACCCAACCTTAACTTCACTCGCAACAAACCAAAGCAGAGAAAGCATAGAAAGGTATCAGTTCAATAAACCCCAAATTCACAGAATCACCACCTAGAATCCATGCCAGAAGGAGGCCCACCACCGGAGGGAGGAGGGTACCCCTCGGAGCCACGGGGGCCAGTGGGAATAGGCGAATGCGTAGCTCCCATCGGGGCACCCGGCATAGGCGGGAATCCTGCTCCACCAGGAGGTGGGAAAGGCATGTTGGGGAAGCCGCCTGGAGGTGGAGGGGGCAGGCCTGCGCCTTGGGGCATGTTGGGGAGAGGCGGGGGGAAGCCGCCTGTTGGGGGTGTACCTGCTGCGTTGAAGGGTGGCGGGAAGGGGAGGCCACCGTGGGCGCCGGGGGCTATTGTTCATAACGTTAGTTTAGTTCTGGACCTTGAATTGAGGGGGTTGACCTGGGGTTAGGGTATGGGTACACGTACGAGGTAGCATGCCAGGTGCGCCGGGGGCTCCTGGAGGTGGGATTCCGAAGGGAGGAGGGGGCATTTGTCCCGGTCGACCTTGAATATTGTAAGTCATGGGTTGGTGAGTGAAGTGAGAGTGTAGCTCCATACCAGGGAAGCCGAAGGGCGGCGGGAAAGCACCAGGGACCATTGCGGGATTGGGGAGAGGTTGGCCCTCAGCGGCGTAGGATGAGGTGATCGAGTCAATGACGGATTGGGCTTTCTCTTGACCAATTTCTGTATGCGTTCCTATCGTTAGCTATTCTGTCATCTGTTGCTGATTTGTCTTGCGAGCGTACGTTGATAGTATTCGACGACGTTTCTCAGGTGGTTACGGCCTGAGTTGTGCGCCTTGCGCACGCTCATCGAGTCGTGGGTGAGGTAGACATCGCAGTAATCGCCTGTGTAATGAGAGCTGGATCAGCAATCTGGCCATGATTTTGGGAGTTATCGTGGGAGTCGAAGCGCGCCCGGAAATAGCTCGATATAACTCGGCGTTGTCCACTTGCACTTCAGGTCTGAGTGATACCTACAGAAGAGTACATAGCAGTTAGCTTCCAGTCCAACTGAACCGATTCAAGGTGTACTTATATTTGGGCATTCTGGCAGGTTCTTCAGCAAGTACTTTGCCGTTGTCGCGCGAAAGACGAAAATTCCCGTTCGGGATGGGTGTTGCTCAAGGGGCGAGAGCTTTGGGTGACAGAGGCTATCTGGGCCTCCAATGCAAGTTTGAGATGAATCTCGGGGTATGTAAAGCTTTCGTCAGTTAGGAGGAAGTGACCGAGCAAGACTGGCAGGTCTCGGAGCTCGATGGCGAGGGAGGTACGGGCGGTCAAGCATGGCAGAATAGTGTTATCGCATCTGCTTTCAGGGTTTCCTAACAGTGCACACATCCTTTGATCTCGTGAAGATATATTGGGAACGAACTGAAAGTAACATAATTGAACTCTGATATTATCTAGATATCATAGTTCGCAACGGTGTATCACCCAAGATACGAGACGAAAGCGCTGTATCTACGAGGAGGTATCTCGCACAGCTTAAGTATACACAAACGTCTTGAAATTTCATCTGGCTACGATGGCGTCTATATCTTTCCCAAAATTCACAGCCATGAATGTCCCCTCTAACTATTGACATGTGTGTGTTTGGATACAAGCTGTCATATTACGCCTTAATCTGCACCCGTACACCTTTGCTACCCTTGGAGGGGATAGGTAGGAACTGATCTTTCTGTGGATCGATATCTCGCTCTCGATTAGTGTCATATAAAGCCATAGTTGGGCCACATTGCGTGTTCGTGCCGTCGTCAAGGTCAAACTTGCGGAAGATTCTGGCCAAAATGATGTAGAGCTCCGCATATGCAAGATTCAATCTGCAGAATACTGTCAGCGAATGTAACATCATGGTATAGGCGAATCTCTCAATACTGACCCAAGACAAATCCTTGTTCCTCTGGAAAATGTCAAGACGTATTTATCCAGACGCGGGTTCTCAATGAATCGCTCGGGGTCGAATTTATATGGATCTGGGAACTTGCCAGGATCCATATTGTTGTCCAGAGCAGTCATCGTGACAGGAGTCCCAGGTTCGATGACCCAATATTTGCCAGAAGTCTTGTCATGATAGACCATAGTATCCTCCGGGGCCACACGAGTCATCCGAACCAGAGATGCTGGATACACACGCAGGCTCTCCGCAATGACAGCGGAAAGGTAAGGAAGTTTCTCAACAATAACCAGTGAAGGTGGGCTGTTTGAATCTGGCAATACAGTTTCCAGCTCTGCCTTGACCCGTCTAAGCATGTCTGGATGAGATAGAAGCTGGAAAATAGTGCACGTGAGGATGTATGAAGTGGTATCCTGTCCTCCTAGAACCATTACTTGTGCCTCTTGTCGCAATCAGTCGGTAGATTTTTCAGCTGGAGGGAGTTTACTGTTTAGAATACCGTGAAACAAGGTAACATCTACATCGTCAGGCTTTCCACTCCTCCGAGTTGTTTCAATTTGGTCGATCCATCGCTAAATCATGAAGTAAGCAAGTGTACAGGTCAGAGAATATCGAAACGTACAGTATGCATATCCTGAAAAGACTTGAGACCAGGATTTATTATGCTCAAGACAGACTGTGGAACTCTCTCCATCAATGGTCCCAGCCAGGAGATATAAGTCATCGGCCATGCCATATTGAACATGAGATCAGCGGCATCGAACCACCCGCGATTGTAATCATCTTGTTCCACATAGTTTGTAGACACACCAAAACAATACTCACTGATAATATCACAGGTTGCCGCCATGAAAGGAAGTTTTATCGGCAAGATTTCACCAGTTTTACCCGCTTTCAAAAGGCGATCCATGAGCTTCTCCGCTGTATTTTGAATGCGGTTTTCGAGGCGACGAATGCTTAATTTGGAAAAGAAGGGGTTCAACACAGACCGGCGCATGCGATGACAATCATGGCCGGTGGTACTAGCAACAGAATCTGGTGCTACAGTGTGTTAGTTGCTTTGATATGCTTCTTCTATCAGCCAGGGACCTCACCCAAGAGAGCTCGTCCGAGCCATTTGTACTTTTCACGCTTTTTGGTGGCTCCGGTGAAAAGAACCTCAATAAAGTCCGGATCGATGATGTGGAGTTCGTGTGGGTTGACGCGAACAATTGGGCCTGATTTGATAAGTGTCTGTTAACCCTTGCAGGGGAGAACCGACCATAAACTTCATGTAGCTGCTCTAGCTTCTTGAAAAATTTTCCGCCATGATAAATATCATAGTACGCCTGGTAAAGAGTCGTTAGGCCTATATGGATTAGTAGATAGCTAACATCACGAATGCTTTATAAGTTACATACCAGCTAGCTTGGGACCTGGGAATTTTGCCAAAGGACTGAAATAGACTGCAAAAAGAGTAAGTGGTGTCCAATGTATTACAGCAATGCGCTTTCTTACCTCGATAGATACCCAGTGCGACAAGATAGGCACTATATCCCAAGAGAAGAAGGACAACAGGACTGATATTCAGCCATCCTGGCACTGAAGTAAGGGAAAAGAACATGATACTCGTTTTGTAGCCTGGAACTATCAGGGTCAATTATTCCGAGATGAAAGACGAGCATTTAAGTATCCCCGACCCCCCCTCACTCCATAACTGATTTCAACCCACCACGAGGATGGATTGCATAAAGATCTTCACATAGGCAACCAGAGAATCCTTGGACTGATCTACAATAATCCTTACACATAAGTACTGTATTAGCGAGATTGCTCGAGCACTTTCACATGTCACGTTCAAGTGGAATTAGCGCTCGAATGATACCCTCGTACCTACGCCATGAGTCTGCAGCATAGGACCTCGAAGTGGAACTTCATAATCGGTAGGCAATGATAGGCTCGATATACGATCGAAGGGGAGATCTGTCGCCAACATCACGGCCCTAATGTATGTAAGCTGCATGGGCGGGACAGTCCGTTGCCCTAGTTCCTGTTTCGTCCAAGATCACCATTTGAGGAGCCCAAGGAGTTCAGAGTCATGACGTAGGAAGTGCGTATTGGAGATATACGAAATTGAGAGTATGTCATAGGTGATTGCAGCTATCTACTTTGAATTCCGAACTATGTCGAGCCCAATATCGAATTTGTGATATTTCCTTGTCCGGGCGGGAGATCACCATCTAGTCGCTAGGTAAAATATGGTTAGAGTTAGTAGCTACTCGAAATTACTAGAGAAATTGAATTTTTTAGTACTGGAGTTTGATTAATTTAAGTTAGATCGGAGACTTTTATCCACCAGTAAATCGAACAATGTTCTTGCTAGTTTCTACCTGTTTACCGATCATTCCGAAGAATGAATACTCTCAATATCATTCCAGTGATGTCCCAAATCACATTTCTTTCTCAGAGCAGGGGATAATACCCTATTGACAACTCCACCTTGCTCTCTCAGATTCAAGCACTTTCCGCCCTCTTCGCGCTCGATCTCAAACCGACCACTTTCGCTGCTTCGAGCGAAAGACAGTATAGTTTGTAGAAGGCGGGAAAATTTGACCAATTCTGATTGGTGATCTGTCTCCCACTGCTTCACTTTCTCGCTCACGTCCTGAACCTGGATATCTTCGAACTTGCCAAACTTGTGGTACGCAAGAATGAAGTTAGGGATCTGTGCAATCCACAATCGAGCCAGTTCCTCCCCTAGGGTATCAGAAACACCTTTCTTATTGATAGAGCGAGTCTTCAAGTCATAGACCGCGGCGTGTGGGATATAACGACCCCTTTTCTCGATGCAAAGCCTGCCCCCATCATGAGGTGTGGCGGATAGTGGGATGTCTGAGATACTAGCTTCTCCGATGGAAGCTGAGATGCTTTCCATATCATCATGAGCCGGCTCGGAAATTCGACTTTTGGAGATATCTGGTAAATATCCATCTGCTTCAAACCTGATCAAACATTTCATTCCCGCAAAATTGTATTGTATCAAGCGTTGATGAGACATATCCCTTGACCTCTTTTCTTCATGTGGTATTTGCCTCGGGAAAGGCATATCCATATCCAAACACCCCGATGATCTTTTCGGTGGGTGAGTTCTCTCTCCAGATCAAGAAGACGGTGTTCCCAATGACCCCCACAAGCATTCTGAAAGGTCTGTTTTGCTCACGCACAAAGCGAGGGAGATTACCCATCATGCTACTACACCCAACAATGTCCAAGCTGTCCAAATAAAACTCGGATTTATCTGTCAAGACTGCTTGGATCATTGGGTCCACTGGGTAGATGGGAGATCTTGCAGCGTTCAAATCACGATAGTATTGACCGGAGTCTTCCTGAAGCTTGGGATGCTTGGAGGGAGGTGTCCAGGCCGGTGGCTCACCTTGCAGGAATGCATCAGTTCATGATCATAGAGAATTACTGTATATGAAAACACTCCTATTTGGAACGAAGATCTGATGCTCTACACTGTAGAGCCAGTTGTAGGACGTAAGATACTGACTATCAGCGATGATTGCAAGGCCATCCGTCTGATCTGTAGGCTCTTGAAGGTCGTCAAGCTGAACAGCTGCGAGGAGATCTCCCAGTGGTGGAGATGGAGTCGTCGTCACTGCAGTTGCTTCTTTTCTTCGACAATACATGGCCGGTAGCTTGACTGGTCAATCCCTACGAGTAGAGGAGATGATGAACTATCTGGCCGCAGTTAGTCAGAAACAAAGAATTGCTTGTTCCAATTACGCTGCAGTCAGAATGTAATTATGTGAGTCTCAAAGAATATAACGCGGTGAACAAAGCCTGTACCTTATTTGCTGCTTGGCTATTTGATCAAACACTGCATCACCACATCACCGCGTTTGCCAACTTTTTCTTAAGCCAACGCCAGCCCCTGCCAATTATTCCTTGTCTACACTTCCCATACTACAAGAGTCTACAGATAATTCCAACACCACTCGATTATGTCAGATGCTAGATTAGATAGACTCGCACGATACTTTGGTTCTGTGGTATATGGAAAACAAGAAGTCCAAGACCTCAGCAACTTCAAGCGCTTTGTGGAGGCAATTTTGGCCCAGTCAGACCCCTGCACTTCGGTCGAGCGAGTCATAGCTAGTGGAAATGCATTGAAGGCGCTGCGAAACGGTATCAGTTTCAACATCACCCCTGAATTCATCAATCAATACACAGCGAAGTTCATTCTCTACTTGAACCATCGCGAAGTGAAGCTTCTTTGTCATGGATCATTCCTTGAGGAACTTTTGATCATTATCCTAGAGCCTCGAACACTGTGGAACTCATTCTTGGAGGCATTTTCGTGCCCGGAAATTGGAAGACCATGCAATTTTTGCGTTGTGTTGGACGATGTCTGAGTTGCTGGCATTGCCTAACTCTTCTGGTGTGGATGTTCGAGCGGATGCTCAACTCATGCTAAGCGATGATTCAATCTTCTCGTCTCCTTTGCTTGAAATTCGCAAGCTAGGACACAAGATCAAGCACCTTTTGGAGATGAAATCGTCACCCCAAACGACTTTTGATTCCGAGCACACAGTTGGCGGTCGTCACGACAATGATTTTGCGGGTTTTAGTTCGATAGCTATTCTTCCCACAGCAGACGAGATAGGATGCCCCGAGAAACCCTTCTACCGACAAGCAGAGATCCTGACGCAGATTACGGGTACCCAGCGTATTGCAGGTCATATTGACAACCAGTTTCGACTTTTGCGAGAGGACATACTTTCGGGACTTCGTGATGATTTTCAAATTGCACAAGGAACCAAAAAGGGAAACGGCCAGCCCTTCGCTTGAAAGGTCTTTCCCTAGTTCAGATTGAATGCTCTTCATTGATAAATGAAAGAAAGCGTTTTCAGCCGTGTGCTGTCGGTGTCACTTGCAAGTCGGGCCTTGAAAGGGTATCAACCGCCTCATGTCTGTGAATCCTGGTCTGACAAGTCGCTTCCCCGAGTCTCTAAAATTTGCCTCCATGTCACCAAATGATTGTGTTCTGCTGATTTTGGAGCTTTTATCAAAAGAGGAAAAGAAGCTTCTTGAGAAATCTCAAGTGAGGTTACTATCACGTGCCTGCAAAGCCCTGAATCTGGCTTCACGAAAGCCATGGTTGAACGCTTTGATGCCCTCACACAAACTGAAGGCTGGGCAAATGCCCGAGACGTCGGAACTTTGACAAAGACGATCTTTGAGAAGACAATTGAGCGATCCGGTGGACGAGAGATGCAGTTGAGCCAAACAACGATGCTTGAGGCCATTGATTCCATGATACTTGAACGGACCCGTCGAGCAAATGTTCTAAAAAAGACCTCCACTTGAGTTAAGAAACAGAAAAAGGCGCAGCTTGCACTAAGGCTCTTAGCAAGCCAGTGTCGTCAGCGGAAGGCCGAGTTTTGTCACAAGAAAAAATGGCAAACCCTGGCAAGGATGCAGTCACCAAGACCCTTGCAGAGGAGAGCAGAGCTATCACTCAGCGTGACTTTGGCGTCGAAGATGTGGTATGGAATCAGCTTGAGAAGGACAGAGCCTTGGCAGAGACTAAGAGAATGAATATTTGCGATTGCAGCAGGAAGAAGAGGCCCAACAGAAGGTTATATCGGCATTGAAAGAGGCAGAGAGCAAAGCTGCCAAAGAGCTAGAATATGCAAAACAGAAGTCTGATTACGATGCGAGAGAACGCCTCGAGCAAGCTCGACTGCAACACGAATTTGAACAAAGACTGCAAGAAGCCCTGCTGGATGAATTTCAGAGGAAAAGAGAGGCTGAGAATGAGGCACGACAGAAGGAACAGGCTCATCAAGCGAAGCTGCAGAAAATGGGAGTTTGTGTTCAAGGTTACCCATGCATACATCAAAGCGGCGGGTATCGATGTGTTGGTGGGAGTCACTGGGTTTCCGATGCCCAGCTCGGAAATTATTGACTTAGCATCCCTGACACAGAGGTAATACGGACCTGAAAAGTCGAGTCCCCCATAATAGAATGCCTCTAATAAACCTTTAATATGTAAGCGTTTTTAGGGATGATATGTTTACATCCAAGTGTACCCCTAAGGGCATCAAATTCTTGAAATTTTAATATATCGGATAAATCATCAATCAAACGTGTTTAATGCTACAATTTTTGGCTCTAGCTACCCTTATGCAGCATTTCCTCGGTATTGCAAGCATCTCATCTCCCCCAAGTTCTGAGGTCCTGCCAAGACTGTGGCTCCCCTTAGGGCTGAGCATGGATGCGCACCTCTGTTCTGGAAATATTGCGTTACTATATATCAGTTTCCCGCTTACTTGTCGACATCCATGTCTATCTTGGATGCTGCCGCATGACATTGTCGCGCTCGAAGCTAAGAATAACTTCTCACGGGGTTCTACAAGGACACTGAAGTCTCACAAATTTCAAACAAGCATTCTAGGAATGACTGGTAGCCAGGTTCAAAACTCTTGTTTTTCTGCTCTGTACCACACGACCGGGAAAGGTGTTTTCGATTTAGGGAGACAGGATATCAGTATCGGAGCTGAACACGGAACCTTGGAGGAATCTATAATAGATGATGTGCCACGGACACAGTCGGACAAAGGAACAAAGAAACAACCCAACACAAGCCTAACACCGAATCGAGTAACATACGAAAAATTGATCATCAAGCACGACATAGACAACATCAGGCCTCCAGATTCCTCAACTCAACCCAACATGCACCAAGAGCCTACGCTGCCAATCAGCTCCAACCCCAACAACGCATCGACTGTCAGTGTAACACAGCTGACGAGCCAAATATGCAAGATACAGTTCCGGGAATGCAATCCATAACATAATGTCCAACCCACGACCAGTACAAAAACAACGCAGACAAAGTGCCTCCAAAGCTGAAGGACTTGCTGCCCTTGACACCCCAGCTCAATCCGTGCCGGTCCGCCCACCCGGGCTGACATCCGACCCTAAGCCGGATCGGATACGTAGGAACTTATTCCCAGGCCAATCCGTGGGTAACCAGAACCAGAACCCCAACCCCGACCCCAACCCCAATTAGGTAATTTGACCCTACAACGGTAACCCTAGACATGAGAGTTAACCTATGTACTCCGTATTCTATATCATAGTTGTAGACAGGCTACAGGTATAAACTTACTTTGCATCTAGACCCTAACCACACAGCCATGTATCATAATGTAATCCATCTTGATCCGTCAACTCGTTCCCCTGATCCGACCAGTAACCGGTTTCTTTTGCCGGTCGAGACCTGGCGGCCGTGATATTCATGTGTCATCAGTCTGCACCATTAGATAATACGATGGGGAACCCTAGGAAGAGCGGGGGAGGGGGGAGATGCTAGTGTATGCATGTTTGATACAATTTGGGGTAGACCACATAGTACCGTAGACAGTAGAAGTCGGCAATAATGTAGACAGTAGACAATAGGCAGTACAGTGTATACACCTGGGCGACGCACTGGCGGATTACGTGCTCGGATGTATGGTTTAATCGCGCATTATGCGAGGGATCGTGAGGGACACGTACGGTCTACTGTGGTGTCATGAGTATGACGCAGGGGTGTGGCCTGTCAGGTGCTGACAAGTCTATTCTCTGTTCTTCCAATTGGGATGTCGGGATGTTGCTGTCTGTCTTCTAGGGTCTGTACCTGACCTGGTGTAACGCAGGAGAAGAACAACTCCCCCGCAAAGCCACGTAGACGAGGCGTTTTCCCCCCACGTGAGGATCCCAGGATGGTTCCTTCGACAGGGAAGCCGAGGCTGGTGAGTCTGGGGGTCACGGGTCTGAGCGACATGACAAAGCCCGAGCGGCAGGTCCCAGCGGAAAAAAGAAGATGCAGTCTGGGGCCGAAAATCTGGGGAAACCGCACAGACTGTGGCGTTTCATTTGCCTGAGACGCCGCGTCGGATCTCTCGGCCATTCACATCACACGGGGGGGAAAATTTTTTTCTTTTTCTCCTTTTTTTTTTCCTTTTCTCTGTTGGCCTTGGCTTGTCGTCATGTCCCCTGACCGTTTTTTTGTTTAGTATGGCGTCCTCGGATTACTCGGCTCTCCTGACTTCAAGAACATTCTGAGTGGCGTGAGAATGGCACTGAACTATAATGGTAGCACGCTATTGCTGTATCACCATTTTCTCGGCGGTCTGGGCAGGGATTGCGTGAATTCTTGCAAAGGTTGAATGATCTGCCCTCTTCAGGTACCGAAGCGCGAACTAGACCGGATCGACGATGCGCTAAGGGGGAGTTATCCCGCAAAATTTCAGTGCGATGGAGTCATTGTGCTGCGATCTGCGACTCCTTGAACACCGGCCTGCATATATCCTAGTCATGAACTGTTGCGATGCGCCTTCGAGGCCAGGAGTTTCGATATCGCGCTACTTTACACGGCAGGCCACAGCCCGCCAGATCCGTAGCATCGCCATCCCCGTGGACTATAATAGACATGGCTTCATAAGCTGTGTACAAATTTGGAAATAGAAAGTGGAACCTCGGCAAATGATGCAATGGGTTGGAGCAGTAAAATACAGTCACCGGTTCTCTGGTATTTTATGTGAGTCAGGTCTAAATACAGAATACGGAGTACATACTTTGAAAATATTGCAACTACTGGATTATCAGGGGGGAAATATATCACGCTATAGACATTGAGTGCATAGGGCAGTATCAGGCTTGGCATCGGATGTACAATATCTACCATATAACGTTATACAATCTATTGCAGAGAATCGCAACACCTGACGTGATTCCAGGTCGAGTAGAATGCGGTGAAAGAATGTTACGATCTGGACGTCGACCCAGAAATGAGAGGTTTTTTTTTTTCGCATTTCCTGGGGGTAATGGAAATGATGATTGGATGGTGAAGTTTCTTTTACGTGTTGCCACTTGGGACTGGTGGAGTCGCCCCAGTCAGATGACTTGGAACTGCCCAGCTGGGGCGGCAAGAGGATTAAAGCGGCAGGCACTAGAATGGGTAGGGCTGCCAGGTGGAGAGGTGCACAGCCAATGATCGACCCTGAACTGGTCACAAGGGGCTGACACAGCACCCAAGGAGGCAACACATCTGGCCGCTGTAAACTCGATGACGAAAGGCTTTGGGTCATTAAAAAAAAAAACGAAAAATACTCCACAGGCACCTTGTGACCCGTGGATGGTCCCTGGTGGAACATCGTGACTCTTGGGCCTTTGGACTATATAATTCTCTGCCCCCCGCTGTTGCTAGGGAGAGCCCCATAGTATTTCACACTGAAAATCTTGCCAGCCTCACATGGACTTGCCATTATAGCATTCGCAGCTAGTCTGATTCATACATCTGCACCTTCAACTCACTACAACCTTTAATTCTACAACTTTCCAGCTTTCACAACTATTCATCATGCCGGGCTCAAATTACCACGTTATTGAACCGCACCCCTCGGTCCCGCGCGCAGGCCGCCCAGCAGTCTACGCCGGCCGTGGTGGTGCTGGCAACATTGTCAGCCTCAAGAACACCAAGACAACGCCTTCGCATACTGCCACCGGTCCAGCTTCGTTGACCCGTCTCGACTCTCGCGTACCGACAACCTTCATGGCCGGCCGCGGAGGCGCCGGCAACGTCCACAGCAGCAGCGAGCGCGCCATCTTCAGCTTCGACGAAGAGCTCGAGCGCGACTTGCGCCGCGCCGCCCCCGTCTACCACGTTGGCCGTGGCGGCGCCGGTAACACCATGTGCAGCGACGACTCCAGCAGCGCCAGCCTGAGCCGCAAGTACTCGGCTGCCAGCACAGCAACCAACTCCAGCACGGGCTCTGTCGCTGACCGTGCTCGTGACATCGCTCGCCGTGGCCTGGAGAAGGGCTGGGGCAAGCTCAAGGGCACTGCCTAGATGCATTGCATCAACACCACGACACTCGTCCTGGACGAGATTATGAAATTACGACAACCCCAAAAAAAGTTCTTGTCTTTCTGTTTCCTTTTGAATCCATTTCCCTTTTTAATATCAACAAAGCGGGACGTCCACCGATGACCCAGACCGAAACACGAGTCTTCAATCACATCCAAAAGTTCAGTCTTCTACAAGACATTTGATACCCGTTTGTTTCTTTCTGAGTCGCCGATACCCAATTCCCGCGACCTCAACAATCTTCAATGTTCCGTGTTCCATCTTCCAACACGTTTTTTCTTTTCTTACACCGAGACCTGTTTCTCACATCATGGACAACCGGCGTTCTTTGTTTCGGATCCTCGGATCCCTTGCAATAAAGCAAGACCTTCCATACCAGCATATCGCCAGGTTCTGGAACCCGGGTGGTCACCTTTCAACATCCATACATCATATTCACATGCACGCTGTTCAAGAATTGATCTCGCGCCATCGCACCCACGGGTCTGGCAACATCATTCTCGGGAGTTTGTGACTTGATTTGATTTGAGATTTCTGTTTCATTTCCTATGTGTCTGTCTCATCATCGAGTCAACCAGTCTCTTTGTCTAGCTGCTTTTTGTGTCTCAACATACATATTCCCCCCAATCTCGCGCTGGTCGGTCTACTTTTTTATAGTCGACTTTTACAATGAACACATGTCTGGGCTTTGCCTAGGCCGATTTGGTCTTTCCATTATTTTCTTCTGTAAATTGCCTGTAAATTTTTATTGGTACATTGTAAATGACGCCAATTTCAAGTTTCGTGCTCGGCCGTTTTGACTCATGGCGACATTGCCATCGCCATCGCCTTGTAGCATTGTTGGGTCACGCCGCCGGCCGCGGGTAGGCGACTCCAGCCGCGTCGGTGAACCAGTCGGTCGACCTTGAAAATTTTCACGTTTGGTTTCACTTTTTTTTTCTTGTTTTTTTCTTAGTGAATTCTGGTTTTAATTCTGTTTTTATTCTGGTTATTTTCGTATTCAGGTTTGATTATTCGTATATTCTGGTCTAGACTTTGGGGCTCTTGTTCAATTCGCTTAACCCTTTCTCCGGATAAGTCGGAGCCAGCCCTGGAGATATTTAGGTCCAGATGTCATCTTGCCAAAGACTTGCATACTGTAGACGTACCAGTCCATTGCGAATAGTATGATCATTATGACTCTTGACAATATACGTGTATCCGAGGCAACCGCAGTACTCCTGTATTCCCCGAATCTCAACTACACCATAGAAGTATACTTCCCAATAAGTCAAGTCAACTTACCAAACCCTCAACCTACTCTATAAAGCCACCACAAAGCCACTCCCACCTCCCCATTCAATTCAAAAATCACGCACACATGTCCAAATAAAAACCCAACACGCTCAACACTCAACCGACCCGTCGAACCAGTCGCAACCCGCACGCCCGAAACGTGCCACGACCCACATCAACAGCATCAGAATCCAAATGGAAACCCACAAGTTCCACCTTCAAGTCCAGGTCCAGGGACCGGTCCACATCTACTGTACGATTGACACGTAAATCCACGTACGAAGGACACGGGGTACTGCCAGCTTACAGTAGATCGGACGTGTTGCTTCACGTGTCGCATGTGGAGAGCTTGGAGACTGCCATAGGGTACTATAGAACTCGCAGGTACAGTGCGATCTACACATGTGCTGGCGAAGACAAGGCGAGGATGTATGATTGTAGGTTCGCTGTACTGTACTGTATGTCTGTTTCTACTGGACTGTACACGCCCGTGCTCGGTGTGTACTGTCCATGTGAAGTATCTGGAGACTCTCATAGGGCGGATGTCGACTTCTGCGGGATGTACTGTACAGTGTCTGGATGGGATCTCGGCTGTACTTGGATCATGTGGTAAATACACTTCTCGGTGATGCCGTGTCGCCATTTGTATGTTGCGGTTTCATGGTGTCTTCAAATTAGAGCATTGCGCTAATGTCTTCCTGCATATTTGGTGTGGCAGAAGTACGGAAATGTGCGGGGCAATCGATCGCAATTGATGTGCATCTGGGGTGTGGCTGCACTTGTGCCGACTTTATTCTTTATCTTTGAGCTGGCTCGGTTGAAGGTCTGCTTCATGACGGTGTCTTAGTGAGTGGCTGGTCAGGATGTCATGGAGGGATGCTGGGTGGCCATGGCAACTTGGAAATTGGAATGGATTACTTGTTCGTGATTTAGAAGTTTTATTGATAGTACGATGTCACTTGATTCAACGCAATAATTTATATCCTACGAGGTGAAGGATGATAGATGATATGCTCCATACAACTTACGAGTTGCAAGTGTTAAGCAGAGTCCCAAGAAGAAGAGTATGTATTTGCACAGATAAGGTCAGAACCAATGCCAAGACGACATGAACTGCAGAGGTAAATAGAGACGGGGGTATCAAAAGTCGCGTGAACACGGGACTCGGATTGGTCGATCATTTCTAGCATGGACTACCGATTGCAATTGCAATCCATGATGATCGAATCATATTGACAGGATGTGGACGGATTTCGCTGTATCGTGGAGGAATGCTTGTTTCGAGATTCGGAGATGGACCTTTACCCACGCCACGACAGCCAATATGGCTGCCCGTGGAATGATGGTGACTGTGGCATAGAGGACCTTGGTCGGGACTGGTTTCTTATGCGAATCGCTTGAAGATGACTTCGGGGTCCTCGTGCCATTCGTCTGCGCTGACCCACATCTACAGGTATCGGGTTAGTTGGACGGGTTGATCGTGATCTAGGGGGATCAACATACCTTTCTAAACGTGCTTAGTCCGGCAAGAATGCTACCACCAATCCACGTGGTATATTTGCGCTCTGCTGGCGCGGAGATTCGAATCTTCATGTCTTCAACGGCCAATCTCTTGATCTCACGCATCAGTCGATCAGGGAAGTTCTTGCACAATGTTGAACCACCAGAAAGAACAATGTTGAGGTATAACGACTTGCGCAAATCAAGATCTGTGCGAGTAATGGCATCTTGAACGATCTGGTGGACACCCGGATACTCAAGACCAATAAGTTCAGGATCAAAGAGAATTTCAGGCGCGCGGTAGCGTTCCTGACCGATCTATAGGAAAATGTCAGTATTGTCACGATCCTTGCGACGAGTGACCTGTCTCAACTCACCTTGATCTTGTGTCCATCCGGAAGAGTGTAGTCAACGGCCTTTGCATCCGACTTGTGGTAACTGTTCATCCACTCCTTCTCTTCTCGCTTGGGATCCAAGGACACATAGCAGACCTTCTCCTTGATCATACGCACGACCTCCTTTTCAGCACTGGTGTGCAAGACATGGCCAGCCTTCCGCAGCAGCAACTGCATCTGTTCTGTAACATCGCGACCAGCGACATCGATTCTCCGAATACTGTTTGGAATGGCAAAACCCTCGAAGACAGGGACGGCATGAGAAACGCCATCTCCAGAGTCTAAGACCACACCTGTAGTGCGACCAGACGCATACAGCGACAACACAGCCTGAATAGACATATACAGAGCCGGCACGTTGAAAGCCTCAAACATGAGCTGGGCAGCGATATCACGGTTGGCGCGTGGATTCAGCGGCGGTTCCGTGAGGAGGACGGGGTGTTCTTCGGGGAGGGTCTTGAGTTCGTTTTCGTAGACGTAGTGCCAGATTGATTCCATGTCTTCCCAATTTGTGACGATGCCATGTTCCAGTGGGTAGCGGATCTTCAAGAGGCCGCGGAGTTCTTGTGCGCGTGAACCGATGAACGAGTCTCCTTCCAGACCACCGGCCATCACCCGTGGATGCTTGGGACGGCCGACGAATGAGGGAAAGTAACATGACGGAATTTCTTCGCCAGCGAATCCAGCTCGGATTGTGCCACTGCCATTGTCGATGACAATTGGCACGTTGTGGAGAGTGGCCTCTGTCATTGCGGGGAGTGTTTGGGGGAGGGTGAAGTCGGGTAAGGAGGCGAAAGTGTCACGGCCCCTCGGCCTAGAATGAACGACTCGGGAGGGATCAGCGGAGTCGAATTGGTGGATTAGCGTATTTAATGAGGTTGGTGGTTGGGCGTCGTAGTTCGTGTTTCTGATTCAGGGAGGTTTTGCGGCTTCGCGTCGGGAGTCAACAAGGAGCTTGGGCCACTTGGCCATGCTTAGTAGTTCGGAGTATAACGACCTCGAGAACTGAGCTCACAGTAATTATGGGCACTCGAGTTGACCTTTTTATTATGAAATTGGTTTACAAGTCAATTTTATGATCAAGAGTAATTCAGTAATTGAATTTGCTATCAAACGCCCAAACGAATTCCGTCATGAATCATGAAACCACAACGCCATGCGTAAGAAAAAGACAATATCGCAATTCAGGCCACGGAAAATCGATTGAAGCAATACCTAATCAAGGAACCCCAGCTCATCAGCCATGCAGTCCACAAATCCGTCCTTTCTTCCATAACGTGAATCGTAAGCCTCGGCTTTTTGAAGCTCAGCACGCTGAACGGTCAATACTCCAAGTTCCCTGGCCCATTATTAGTAAATGGAACAAAAGTATACAAAGTTGTGACTTACTGAACAGAGCTGCAAATCACATATTTGTACTTCTGCAGAATTTGACCAAGCTGCTCCTGGTGATTATCCGCGAGATCAGGGTTGGGAACAACGATTAAAGGCGTGCCCAAACGTAGGGCTGAAAGAACAGACCCAGTGCCTATCGTAATGTCAGTGACCGGTCATACATTCGAACAACAAAGCAACGATATCTTCAAACGACATCCGTGTAAAACGACTGACATACCGGCATGACTGATGATGAGACCCCGGTCTTGAGGACCTCGTTCAGTTGTCATCAATAGCTCTTGGTCAATGCTGGGCTTGGAGTCGAAGCCTCCGACGGTGAGACCATAGTCTGATTGATTGCCAATAGCAAATGAATGGAACGCTTCACTGCCATGTTTTCCGTATTGAATAAGAAGATGGGTGTAATGGCGCTGGGCCAAAGTCTCCAGGAACTGTGGAGACAGTACCTGCTCAACGAGCTTCTCGAATGGAGCCGTAGCCCCCACAGTAACAAAGCACAGCTTCATGGAGACGACTCCTAAAGATCCAAGGGGTCTTAACCTAACAGTAAACAAAACATGTCTGGAGAGAAAGTGTAGTTCGTTTACATATCGCAACGTCAATATGAGGACGGCGTCACGTGATCGTTTACGAGCTAACCCGATTTGGCTAGTGCATCCTGCGCCGCCGAACCTCGCAAAAAACATCACAGGTCGACAACTCTTAATCCACTGTATCCCCGCAACAATGGCTTCAATCCGGTCAATGGCTCAGCCTGCCCGACTCATGGTGCGAAGGGGCCTCATTGCCCCTTCAATTTCCCCCATCCGACACTTTTCGGTTTCGCCATTCAGGCGCGCCCAGGAAGACCCTGTGCCACCTCCTCCGCCGAAAGACCTCACACTGGACGAGTTGCCACCAGTGCCGGAATATTCGCCCAGTACGATGCCCAAAGAGCTTCAATCCATGTACGACTTGATGTCGCCCGAGGAGCGTACGGAATTCGATGCGGAGAACGCTCGCATGGCCGCCGAGTTCAATGACCCTGCGAAGCGATCGGCAGCTTTTGCGCTGATTGAGAAGGAATTGCAGCAACTCGAAAAGCGCGACGACATGCGCTTCGAGGATATTCACCCCCGAAGGGCTGGGTTCTGGGCTGAGGATGATCCCGATGAATTCGCCCAGGTCGAAGATGGTGACGAGGAAGTCAACGATGATGAAATTACATCGATGGCATACACAGAGCTAGAGTTGCACCGCGAGATGCGAGAGTATGCACGCATTACGGCATGGGATATGCCCATGTTGAGCAGTAAGTTACATTTTCTTGGACAGCCCTGTCTTTCCGCCCTCTAATGTTGAATACAGAGCTCGCCAAGCCCTTCTCCCTGCCTCCTTCCAACCACATCCTCCGATTCCGCTACACCACCTACATGGGCGAACAGCACCCAGCCGAGCCTAAGGTTGTCATGGAACTCGCCTCCCAAGATTTGACTCCCAAGTACCTCACCGAAGCTCAGCGCCAAACATTCCTCAAGCTGGCCGGCACGCGGTACAACCCGCAGACTGACATCGTCCGCATGTCCAGTGAGAAGTACGTTTCGCGCGCCCAGAACAAGCGCTACCTAGCCGATCTGGTCAACTCCCTGATCAAGGAGGCCAAGGAAGGTGACGCCTTCACTGATATTCCCCTCGACCTCCGTCACCACAAGCCCAAGGTCCGTCTCCAGTTCCCGGAGTCATGGAAAATGAATGATGCCCGTCGGGAGCAACTCGCCGCTCGCCGCAGGGATCGTCTTGCTGCCGAGAAGACCCGTGAGGCCCTCGTTGATGGTAACAGCATCGTCTCCGATGCTATCAAGGTCTTGCCTTCGCTTAACCCCGCACTCACCGCTAAGGCCACGGAAGATCGGGAACGCGTCGCCGTCAAGGTTGGTGCCGGTGCCCGCAAGAAGGTGGTGGGTCGTCGATAGGAGAACCACACTGTAGACTGTATATTGGGTGTGTTTGAAAAGCTGTTGGCAGACATTTGCGAGGCGCGGGCGCATATTTCGGATCTTTGGCATCCATTATTTATTCAAATGTACTATAGTCATTTTATTCCATGCATTGGCGACTCGCTGTATTACCCATCCATTGTAGCTGATCTATGTTGAGAATGACGGCTTCAGGCCGCCTCTTGAAAGGCGTACAGGATGTGTTTGCTCCAGCGCTATGATCCACAATTCAATGACATCAACCAAAAGGCAAGAAACGGACGACTACAGCCTGTAAGAGACATGCAGCTAATGCATTTCAGATCTGGTCAAACCTCAGGTGGAAGAAGCAGTGGGAAAGTGAGGAGGCTGTTCAGCCCACTGGATTGGCCGAAAAAGAGGGTATTATGGCTATATGAATGCCTCTCGAGGTCGAGATCCTCGATCTTAATTTAAGATGCGGTCGATGCGTATTGCGCTTCGGCACTTCTTGATTAAAATCAAGGAATCAGAAACTGACCGAAGCCCCTACAGAGAGGGCTGTTAAACCCTCAAACTCGTTTTGCTCCAATGTGAAACGTACGGGGATCTGCGCGCAAACGGCTTCTTAACTACGTGGCCAAGTTTATGCACCAAACCGGCCTCCTTGCTTAGTTCTAACACGCTGAGCTAGAATCCGACGACGAAACAGAAGACTAAGAGGCTAGGGAGCAGAGTCCTGAAGACGCTGGACACTCACCACTACTTACGAGAACGGTCAAGGGTAGAGAGACCCTCGATTCGTTCTTCGAATCCACGGTGCCGAATTGGACAAAATTACTTCAGCTATGAACAATTAGAATAGCAATTGAGGCCGATGTGAGGATAGAGAACGGATTCTATTGATAACGATGTAGGATTTGTAGGGGAGAGGTGGATGATATAGAAGTGGGAGGTTAGAAAGATAGACGGTGTATATATCGTTGCAAAAGTCTCCCTACACTACCACTTTAGCCAACTTAAAGGCCGGTTTTTTTGTGTTTTGGGTTATGGGATTTGTATCCATGTCGAGCTAGTACCTAGTCTCTCGCTGAGGACCAGCCCATTTCTGTACTGTTATTAACTTTATCAGGCGTACGGCAAGTTCTTGCTTTAATTGGATAAGCAACTGCATGGCCATTGCAACACTAGTTAGGATGCAACAGGTTAATTGAACTTTGATTGATTGATTCAGTAGGAAGAAAGGCATATGAACTAGAGATTATAACTAGAGATTATGGATACATCCATGGCGATGGAAGCCTAGTTGTGGCTTTCAATGCAGGCAACGATGCTCTTCCTGGAATTGGCCACGCCTACCATCTATTATTCGTCATGGATCCTTATAAGGTAGATATCATATCGTTTAATATTCCCGAATGACTGCTACCTCATTCTTACAACGGCGCAAAACACCTCTACAAGCCAGGCGAGAAAATTAATAATAGATAAAAATTTATCATTTGGTTTCTGCACGAAGACCGGGGCATTTCACCTCCTTACCCACGGCCAGTTCCATCACCTCCGTGCAACCATTGATACAGAAAGCGACAGATTTGTCGCTGAAACACTTGCAGACTTGGGGTATCATCGCCCAGTACAATAACGCAAGAAAAAAAACAGAAAACAAAAAAACACATGCCACTAGAGCACTCGCAGACTTGGGGGTATTACCACCCAGTACAAAAACAAACAACAGAAACATATCCTTGCTAACACAGGGTTGGGTACATGGCAGCCCAACAAAAAAGAAACTAAAAATATGAAGAAAAGAAAAACACAACCCTAGAAACATGACACCGTTGTTCACCTATCCCGATAGATAGTCACATCATGGTTGATCGATGCCAACCATGTCTCACTCGATAAAGGAATACATGTGTCAAAAGAACACCCATTTTAAAAATAGTATGACTTTGATATGTACCCATTATCGTGGACAATAAAGTCGCTTCACATGACGAAGTAGTAGTGAAGTCATTGCCCATGTGAATGCAGTGATGGTATCATTTAGTTCGGGCGTGGGACGTTGGAGAAGACAGTGGGAAACCCACGGATAGCGGTGACATTTCGCTGGTGTTGGTAGCCGTCAGAATCAGGGGTGGCAGCCTGGACGGGGGCGGGATGGTTGGCGGACTGAACGACAGGAACAGGAGAGCCAGTCTGAGACTCAGTGGCTCGCACAGCGTGTGGGCTGACAGGGGTACCAACAGGGCCCCAGGCGTCGCGGATGTTATCACCCTCCAGGGGGTCACTTTCAGACAGAATCTCACTCAAAGGGGACTTGGAGGTTGAGCGAGCTGCGATGTTGCTCTGAGAAGAAGCTTCAGTATCAGCAGTGAAGTCTTCATTGTCATCCATGTCGGCAAGAACAGAGTATGTGCCAAAGTGGCTGAACAGGTCCGTGGGAAGTCTAACTCCACCATCGATGGAGGAGTCGTTTGCCTTGTGGCGTTGGTGAGCAAGACGAGACTTAGACTTCAGATGAGTCTTGTCAACGGTGTTGGCTGCACCGAAAAATCCGTGTTCAAAAGGACCTTTGGCCATAGCCCGGTTATCAGCAGCTGTAGATGTGAACGCGCCAGAGCTACCAGTGTTCACAAGGTCGGCACTGTTGTTGGAAGCAGTGCGTGTGACCGACTGCGTAGTGGTAATCGCGGGAGCCATTGGGCTTCCCATAGCCTGGCGCTGGGGAAAGGCAGCGGACCCAGCGAAACCCTCTTGGGTTGGACGACCGTACACCGACGGGCTGCGTACGGGTCCACTCTCGGTGGAAGCCAAGTTCTTTTCCTTGGCAGTGCGGTCCTTCCAACCCAAGTTGCCGCGTGGGCCGCGGGAGCCGACAGTGCTCGAGGCGACGGTGGGCTGAGCCACGGTGGCAGTGTCATGGGCGGATGCCCCGATGGCATAAGGAGCTGCCGCAATGCGCTGTTGGCCGCGCTGGTTATTCTTCGGGACGGGCAGTCCCAGGTGCTCAAGCCACCAGTTTGGGTAAGTGCGGAGCCCAATCCGGTGGAGGATCTCCATGTCCTCAGGCATCTCATGCTTGTACAAGCAGCCTAAGATATAAAGAGTCAGTCTCGAATTTGAGATACCATGTGTGCGAGTTGATATACCTTGCTGGGAGTAGTCACACTCTCCGTGGCGTACCCAGTAAGAGCAGTACACCTTCTTCCTGATTGGGTGCTAATTGAGAGATGTCAGCAATTTGAGCGCTCACTCGCAGATCAGAGTTTGAACATACATTGACTTTACCCGATGTTCGATTCTTAGGCAGGAAGGCAGGGGCCGATGCCATCAGAACGTGTGGGACCATGGCGTTAGTGGGAGCGGGGGCCTGGTCAGCCAGAGCAAGACCCTTGTAGAGGACTTCCTGAACCGACTTGCGCAAGTCGGCTGAAACAGTCTCATCGTTGACGATGCGACCCAGAGTCGCAGTCAACTCAGCAAGGTCTTCTGGAGTCTTGACGAAAGGGAGTCCAGCTACGGTCCCATCAATGATCCATGGTTCAGCTCGACGAGGAGCTACACCACAGCTGATCATGCCTTGGGTGTCACTTGCCTGCAGGGTGCGAGGAACGCCACGGATAGACAGATGAGTAGGGAGCTCATCTGCTGGAATCATCAACGCCGCAGTTCCGTCCCCGCGGGTGACGAAGTGCTGGGCGAGTGCAGTGAGAGGCATCATGATGAAGTAGATAAAAAGTAGCTAACAAAAAATGCAAGGAAAACGAAGCAAAACAACGCCCTTCGCGTGAAGTGCGAGTTACGAAAGGAGACAGACGATGAAAGAGAGAGGGATGGAGAAGAAGGAAAGAAAGAGAGATTGTAGACGAGAAGAGGATATTTATGTCAAAACAATTTGGTGAGAGATTATAGAAGGCAGCAACACGATGATGGACCGCAATTTAAGTTTAGTTGACATTTTCTAAATTACCCAAAAAGCCGACATAGCCGGCGAATGTATATCGCAATTGACATGCGCGACGGAGACGGTCAATATAAGGTGAGGCTGCTTCTCCAGATTCCAACAATACCAGGGTTGATGAGCTTAATCTCCGAAGGTTTCGGATTAATTCGCCACCGCGCAAATAAAGTTCACATTTTTGAACCTTGATATACCAGCAGGCTTTCTCATTGGCCCATGGATTCCTGACTGCAGTTCTCGAGTTCACATTTTGGAAACCTTAATCTCAACCCAAGCTGCTTAATTCCCCCCGGACTTCCGATTAACCCCGGATTTGCCGGGGCAGTGATATGAGCGATTTAATTCCGCCAATGAGATCTTGCTCGCAGGGCCGACCCCGGTCAGTGCTGGGATATATGTGTGCGTTATCCCCATTGTATTTTGGTCTTCCTTTGTATCAGATTGGTCTTGAGCTGATATGAGCACTATTCATTTCCCGGCAAAGCAACCGAGTATAACGAGAAAGATGGAACCGAGATGCTTCCAAGCAGCAACATTGACCTGGATATGCCGGTAGTATCTCTAGGGCTTAGATAGAAAGTCGAGATCTTTTATGCCTTTGAAAGTCCGCTGAAGTAGCATACATTCCTGTTTTGCTGACTAGTTCCACAAAAGACAGGTTTGAATATCTATTCCTGCTTCCAACAGGAAGAAAACCATCTCAAATATTCTAAATTGGCAGACAAAAGACATACCCAGGTTCCGCAGACTGCGAAGTTGAGTAGTTTCAATTGTGTGTTGTGCGCGGATAGGAACCAACACGGCTGTGAGATTCACACTGACAGATGGAAAGAAGAAAAAGGAAAGGCATGCCAACTGTCTGATTTCACCCCGACTTTTACAGCTGGTCAAAGACCCTTCGACGATGAGGGAGAGATCGGGATCACATGGAGGATTGGAAGGGAAGATTATGCATCTGCCTGCGCTCTTTGTACATGGATGCCTATGACACCAGACTTGTATGTTTTGGGTCGTGAGATTTTCATTCATGTCGAGCTAGTAACTAGTCTCTCTTTGACGCACAGTCAACTGGCGACCTGCCGCACGTTTTGAGCTAGATTTGATTTCGCAGGTAGCACAGTTACATAAATACCTAGCTCGGCACATCTGCATATTCCAACAGAGGCTACAAGCAGCCAATTTGGTGCCCAGCTGCCGCCGGAAGATAATAGATGCCATACCATACCATACCAAAGCAACCATTCTGCCGAAACCCCAGAATTCTCTCCTTATATACATCCAAACTCATACCAAACACACATTGACTGGTAAGAAGACACAAAGAGGTTACAAAATCCATTTCATACTACTCTTTCCCACTGTTATTGACGCACTGGAAACAGTGAGGTCGTAGCCCAATATCACGTGATCTGCCTTGACCTAATTTCCGTGCTCTCAGAAGCCAACAATCGCACAACGTAGGAAACAAGGCACTTTGACCCCATTTAAATCCCACAGAAGAAGAGAAATAGGCATCATGATCATCCTGAGATATAATTTGAGAGCTTCAAGCTAGCTGGCTAGTATGAACTCCATCCTTGTCTCGGACGTGCCGACTTGGCAGAGGGGTTCCACAATGTGGCCCACGATACGGCTCAAGAGATGACCAGTCTCTCTGATAGCGAGGCTGCTATCCAGGCAGTCCAAAACCCACAGCGGCCATCGGGCCAGTACTTCCTCAGTCACAATTATGATCACGTACGGGCTCTTCGGTCCGGCCCACAAAGACCAACTAACATCACCCTCTGCTGGATCCCTGCTCATGTCGGTGTGCCGGGCCACGAAGCTGCTGATAGCAGTGCAAAGTGCGCGGCTCTCAACATGCGGGAGGTGCGATCAGTGAGGGTTGCAGCCCCGGAACGGATCGACCGACCATCCGGCTCGCCACAGCCGCCATGCGTACGGTTCCAGCGCGTATTCAGGAGCGGTGGGAGAAATAGTGGGTAAGCGAGAGGACTGCTCAACCGACTACGACACGCTTGTGACCGACCCGTAGGCCACCCGCTACGTAGCCAAGTTTATATATTAGACCGGGCTCCTTACTGGGCTATTGGTCAAATTTGCCCAACAACAAACTTTGACAGTACAAGAACTGACTTATCAGGTGGACCTGGAATATTGAACTGGGCATTTGAACATTTCATTACTCGAAAACAATGGGGTATCTTGAATAGGGCATATCTGCCCCGAACGCTGCACCTCCACCCCCACTAGGGCATTCAATTTGTTCGCTGATCCCTTCACCCGGTCCAATTTCCAACGAATCGACACCGGTTGAGATAGAGCTTCATAACCGAAGTGAACACAGAACCCTCCCAGAAAGACAAACCAAAAAAAAAAAAAAAAACGAGCCTTACCATTCAATTGTTGAAGGTAGTACCCTGGTCGGTTAGGTCAATAACCTGTGACCCGACCTCTGGACGAGGAACGGTAGGATTGATCGTTGACCGAGGGCTTGGAAGCCCAGCAGCTTGAGTCTTGCTCATCTTCGCTTTGATACGATTCTTTTGCGCGTTGGAGTTTATAATCCCAGCGAGGTAATTTCGAGCAAGACTGACAAGGCTCGGATCTTCGTTGCTGGCTTTCAATGCGGTCATCATTCGCTCGACCTGGATATTGGACTGCAGATGCGGGCACACCCGCCGGAACGAGAAGTGCGCCACCCCGCACAGTCCACAGTATTCAAAGCCTGCTCGGCGCAGTGGACAATATCCGGGGGCGTGGCTCTGCTTGCAGGCAACGCATAAGTGGTATGGACTCGATGCACCATCGGTAGCCATCGAAACGGGAGGTGATTCGACGCGGCAAAATTTGCGGGCTGGATGGTCAAATTTGTGAGCAAGATGTATTCAATAGGTAGACAAATGAGGCAAAGTTTGAAAGATATGCATAAAGGGAGAAGGAGGTTCTTACATGGCATCTTTGGAGCAACATCCAGATCGTTAGCGTCGGGAACCGAGTCCATGCCTACATCAGAGTCACTCTCGTTGTCGTGTGCCTGGAAATCAGTGTCTTCCTCGACGGTAGACTTGCGCATTTTGGAGGGTGGCGCAGGAGGAGGGCTGGAGCTTCCCCGGAAGTCTTCGTCCTCCCGACGATTGCTGTAACTGATTTTGGCACGTTTTCGTTTACCTCGACCGAGCCCCTCAGCTTGACGATTGATTTCCTCTTGAGCTTCACGCTCTCGCTCCTGAAGAATTTTTTCCCATGCTGTGGTATCCACAGGCAGATCTTCCGTCTCAACCACTTCATCTAAAGTTCCGCCGTCCTTTTGCCAGACACGAGCAAAACTGAATTGTGGCTGTTCCCTTGCATCGGAATTTGAATTTGCCTCATCAGCAATTTCTTCTGTCTGTTCAGCCTGGCTTCGGTCCAAAAGCTTGTCAATAGAGTCTGCGTCGTATTGAATGTCGGCAGAATTGTCATCACTAAACAAAGCTTGAGCACCGTGTTTCAAGATAGATTCTAGGTCTTCCTCTTCGTCATCAACGTCCATACGTTCGATGAGTACGTGGTCGAGGGCCATCTTGTTCTTGCCCTTTTGCATGATTTTCTCTTCCACAGTCGCACGCATCACCAAATGGAATACAAGAACCGTATTCTTCTGTCCAATTCGGTGGGCACGCGACAAAGCTTGCATGTCTTGCTTCGGGTTGAAATCAGGATCCATGATGATAACAGTATCTGCGGTGGCGAGGTTGATACCAACACCACCAGAACGCGTGGAGAGCAGGAAAGCAAAATAGGGGGAATAAGGTGCGTTGAAATCATCAATCTGCTTCTGCTTGTCTCTCGAGGCCATGCGTCCATCCAGACGACGGTATTTAAGCCCAAGGCCATTGAGAAAATCTTCAACGATGTCCAAGTTCCGCAAGAACTGACTGAAGAGGAGGACTCGATTTCCACGTTTCTGAAGCTGAGGAAGCATTATACTCAACAATTTAAGCTTGCCGGACGCTTCGACTAAATGTTTGTGGGTGTTTTCGGCATCATGGCTTTGTTCCTCAATATCTTCGTTATACACGAAGGGATGACAGAGGCACTTTCGCAACTGCATCAAGATGTTGTTCAGGTTCTGTCGGTCTTTCTTAGGAACTGGACCAGATTGTCTCTTGCAGATGGCTTTAATGAGTAGCGGATTCTTCTCAAGAATCGACTTGTAGAGCTTCTTCTGGACAACCGACGTGGAAATTGGAATGATGATCTGTACCATTGGAGGGAGGAAAGGCAAGACCTCTGCTTTGGTGCGACGCAGGAAACACGGTCGAATCATGCTATGTAGCTCCCTAATGGCCGCCTGGTCGAGGTTTTCTCCATATTGATCTTCTAGCTCTTCAGCATCTTTGCTGCTATCGAGGAATTGCAACAGATTGAATAATTCGCGAATGTTGTTCTGAAGGGGTGTTCCGGTAAGAAGAGCCTTGAAGGTGAACTTCATTCTGGAAAGGCGATCATAGAGTATGGTTTTATCGCTCTTGAGTCGTTGTCCTTCATCAACTACGAGACCGGCCCAATTGACCTTTCCAAGAACACGCTTTGCATCATCATCAATCATACTTTCGTATGATGCAATGACGATGTGGCAACACAGTTCCTTTTTATCGTTGAACATCTCAAAGTCCCGGGTGGTGTTCCGAGAAATTGCAGATCCGTACCAAGCGACAACTCGAACCTTGGGCGACCACGCCTTGATTTCGCGCCGCCAATTCGGGACCGTTGAATTGGGGACGACGACCAAAAATGGCCAGCATTCATGGTTTTCAATTAACGCCGCAAAGAAAGTCAAGACTTGGATGGTTTTTCCAAGTCCCATGTCATCAGCAAGAATGGCATTTGTCTGTCGAAGGAACATGTAGTAAAGCCAGTTCACACCATCCATTTGATACTCCATGAGTTCACCACCGACAACAAGCGCTGGCTGTGTTCGCAAAACGAGACTTTCTTCAAAGTTCTTGGAACGGGCAATCGAGAGTCGCTTCTTGAGCTCGTTTGGCTTTGGAGGACGAATCTCATCGCGGAGAGCCCAGTCAACGAGAGCAGCTTTGAAGTCTTCCAACTGTTCCGCATCAGTTGGGGGGATTTCCCAAACCGAATCTTCATAAGGCAACCCTTTGTACTTGACATATGCAGACTTGATCATTTTGGGATTTGTAGCATCTTCAGGGAGGCTGGCCTCACCCAAGTAATTCACTTCAAAAATGATGTCAACCCGTAAATTGTCTTCAGGAACAGCCTCTTCGGTGGTCCACCTGGGCTTGGTTGACCTGGCATTCCGGTAAAATGAGCTGAGCATTGTAGAAGGGGACAATTTCCAGACCCAGTCTCCGGGCATCCAAGTGACCCGGAAATAGGACTTGCTTTTCCACTTGACTAGGTATTCTTTATCAATCTCTGCGTTCATTTCGACCTGGTTGTTCTTGGAATTGGGGTCAATGGGCCGCCACGCGACCAAAGTACCAATCTCAGCAGGGGCATCAGAACAATGCTTGCATTTCCAGCCATCACTAGGAAATTGGTTTTGATTCTGCGCACCATCACCTGGAAGGTGGTCGAAATGGAACGCTCTCTCGCATGTGGTGCATCTGACCAAGATATTGTCAATGTTGTTCACACGGGACATATCGAGGGGGGTGATTGGATCGTTGCCACCATTGGCTTGCCGCAATTCTTGCTCTTCCTTAGGCGTACGCCGCTCCCGCAAAGGTTTTGACATGGGACCTGCCTTCCTGCAAACAGCACAGTGACCCAAGTGAGGATAGAGGTCATGTCGTTCTGTGACAGCTCCCACACAGTAGCGGCATTGAAGAACGAATACGCCCTCGTCCACCTTGGTCACCAAATGGGCCCTCATTGATCGAGGTCCGAGACAACTATGATGAAAGGTGGAGGTGCAACCCTGGCAGAACACCAATGGGCCTTTCTCGGAGTCATCATCATAACCATGGCAATGCTTGCAGGCTTCATTATGCCGAACTCTAAATTCTGCGTGTTCCGGAAGTGCATGGAAGGTTTCCTTCGCGCCGGAGTACTTTTGGGCCTTTGGTGTTTCTTCGAACTCTGAATAGTCGTCATTTTCGCCTCGTTCTTGTAAATTGCGCCGGGTGGACTTTCGCACTCGACTTGAGACCCGTGTTCCATTCGCGGAGACGATTGACTCTTCGGAAGAGTACCGGATAGAAGCTTTTTTCTTTGCGCGCCGTTTCAGCCTGTGGCGACGACTATCACTTGGTTCTCGATCTTCGTCATCACCGTCATCTGATATTTGATCTGATTCAAAGCCAGTCTCGGTAGAATATCTGTCCGCTTCGTCGTTATCGTCATCATCGCTGCGATAGTATGCCGCGAACGAGGCTTCTGTTGCCGCTCGCCGGGGCCTGTCACTTGCACTGGATCCGAAGCCCATCGACCAATCTATGCCAGAATCACGATCATCATCTGCTGCATCACCGCCAAAGTGACTCAAGGTGCGTGGTTCCTCCATTGAAAGAGGATCGGGTGATTCGCGCAATGCATGTCTGAATTCGCGCAACGTTTGTTGGAAGTCGCGCAATGCTTTAAAGCCATTGCTTTGACTCATGAGACGATCGAGGGTCATCTATGAGATTAAAGGTCAGTCAATGTAATTCAAGCAAGCATACTTGAAACAAACCGTCAGACGCTCGCCACTTTTCATCCGCACTGTGAGCCTTTGCTCGCTCAAACTTGTGTCAATTTCGAGAATGCGGTGCGCGATGAAGTGACCAGGCAAGTGCTCATACTGCTCGGGATGGTCAACTTTAGGGGGGACAATTTCAAAAGACATCTTTGTATTGTCGTTGGCTGAGCTTCCGGCGAGCTCTGCCGTGAGATCGGTCTGCTTGTCATTGAGAGCGATTGCGGGAGTAAGGGATGCGGAGTCGCCAAAAGGACCCAGCAATTCAGCAGTAGTCGCTTCGGGATCCGAAGAAGCGGATCTGTCGACAGAAGACATTGTGAAGTGTATGGCTCACAGAGCCTCAGAATGCTACAGGAGCCGCTGAGCGGCTCAAGCAAGACTGTAAGAGAGTAGATTGATGCATCAGTAACATACACGAAGAGCGAGCTGTGTGTCTTCAAGAACCTTGGAAAGAAGAGCGCGCCGCGCGACACGATAACGATAAGCGGACAAACGTTACACCGCACTTGATATCTCCGAAAAAGTTCACGAGTCTCAAGAAACAAACGAAGATGTTGTCCAGTATCGCGAGATTGGGATGGAAATCACCCTTGCGGACACTCAGTCCGTCTGTACGATATGTGTCTTTGAATTCGGCTATTGGAAGAGGAATCCGCCGGGAAGCAGGGTACTCAGATGAGAGGGATGGAAGAGAGAACGAAAGAAGAGGCCGCGATTCCCGATTCTCAAAAGATCAGTACGAGCCACGACAATATGGGAAACGACAATCAAGGGAATCAAATGATGCACACTCCAATCGCAGGCAAAATTTCCGGAAATCCAATGATTCCCCTTTCACACCAAGAGCACAATCTGAGCCGTTCCCCGATTCATCTAATCAAGGTCGACGATTTGTGCGCCAAGACAGGCCTGCTTACACTGAGTTCGATGAAGACAAGTTTATTCGAACTGGCAGTTTCCAAGCCCTACCTCGTGAACACCAGTCACAATTCCGCGAGCGCGAGCCCCGTCGTGACCGTGATACCTCATTCGGTGACCGCAAGCCTACATTCCGAGAACATGGAAACCCATTTCATGACCGCGAGCCAAGATTCCGCGAGCGCGAACCCCGCCGTGACCGTGATACCCCATTTGGTGAACGCAAGCCTAATTTCCGAGAACGTGAATACTCGGTTCGTGACCGTGAGCCAAGATTCGACCGGCGTCAAGATACAGACTTCGAAAGACTATCACGAGTCAAGCCCGAAGAACCCAAGGAGAAAGAATCCAAGTCGCGAGCGCACAAGGTGACTCGCGGTATGCCTGAACGAGTCAAGGAGAACGTCAAGGTTCCGGACACGATTCCCTATACTACACCAGCGTCCGAGTTCATCTATGGAACCAGTGCCGTGGAAGCAGCACTGCGTTGTAGCCGACGTCAACTGTACAAACTCTACATCTACCAAGCGGTAGAGGAAGAGCTGAGCGCAGGAAAGGTCACAATCCGCAAACTGGCACTATCCAAGAACGTTGAAGTCAAGATGGCATTTGCAGGATGGGATCGCCTCATGGACAAGATGAGCGCAGGACGACCCCACAATGGATGCATTCTAGAGGCATCACCCCTGCCCAAGCTGCCCGTGCGTGGTTTCCAGGCCGTCGACTCTATATCCGAAGAGAGCTTCCGAGTCGAGCTGGCACCCCAAACTCGGGAAGAAGCTGCGGTAAATGGCACCGATGATCGCGTCCCGATTCATCAACCTTCACCCCCGCATGAAGATCGGCGATACCCCGTTGCACTTCTGCTAGATGGAGTCGTCGATCCTGGTAATATGGGTGCTATCATACGCTCGTCATATTTCCTGGGGATCGATGCTATTGTCTTGGCGGGCCGAAACTCCGCGCCTTTGTCCCCTGTGACCATCAAGGCGTCTGCCGGTGCAGCCGAGAATATGCCCATTCTACACGTGAGAAACGAAGTCGATTTCATTCAACGGTCGCAGAAGAATGGCTGGAAATTCTACGCCGCTGATGCGCCCGGGCCCGGCTCTGTCTATCTGGATGGGGCCGATGGCAATCTGCCAATCATGACCTCCCCCAGCGTGGTGATGATGGGCAGTGAGGGGTCTGGATTAAGCTCGCATATCAAGTCGCATGCCGATGCGACAGTTAGCATTCCGGGGGCTCGTCATAGCCCTGTGCTTGGCGTTCAGTCCGACCCAGCCCGTATCGACAGTCTGAATGTGAGTGTTGCAGCGGCACTCCTGATGGAGAAGTTCCTACGAACTCCACTCGCAGTGGCGGAAACCCCAAAGAAAGAGAAGAAGGAGACTGTTAAGATGTGGTGATGTGGTGACCATTGTAATAATTATCCTGTACTATAAGTTAAAACTAGCATTTACACGAGATACCTCTACATTTGCATGGAGTCTGATTTTTTGGTCATGTTACTATCCACTTCTAGAGCCCCTGGTACTCTAACCACCTATTCAAAGGTAAGCCCTTAATGAAATGAAGTAGAACCAGATTCAGGGGGTTCGACTTCGATATACCGAGATTCGTCGCCGAAGAGAAACTTTGTGGGGATCAGATCGGACTTGCGGGGGGGGGGCGCAAATCCGATCTCAACTTTGGGTCTTTGTCCATAAAACACCCTGGGTTTCCCCGGATATGATCTCTTTCAACTACTCACTTGCAACGTTGGTTTCTGTTTCGATACTGGGGCATTTTTGAAATCAATCAGCTACACATCAACTGTATATTTTATTTCCACAATGAGCCCTGTGGCAACCACTCCTTTGGCTTCCACGATCCCACAGAAGCAAATTCCGACAAAGGCGTTCGTGGTCAAAGAAGCCGGTGCCCCCTTCATACTTCAAGATGTGGTTCTAGACGAAGTGCGATCAAATGAAGTTCTTGTTGAGATGAAGTATACAGGCCTGTGCCACACAGTAAGTACGAGCCACACGAAATGCCCCTTCGACATACTAAAATGAATAGGATATCGTCGTCCAACAAGGCACTATACCAGTTGGTGACTTCCCAGCGGTGCTAGGCCATGAAGGCGCAGGAGTCGTGCGTCGCGTCGGGAGTCAAGTCAAAGACAAGTCCCTCCGCGAAGGCGACCTTGTCTTCCTAAGTTTCACTTCCTGCCACGGGGAAACATGCAATCCCTGCAATGACGGTAGAAATGGCTTCTGTGATCAAATGACGATTCTCAACTTTGCTGGCGTTCGAGGCCCCAATGCCGCCGACTCACCTATCGCCTTTCCGGGTGGCAAGGGCCCACTGCGCGGCCAATTCTTCGGTCAATCATCTATGAGCAAGTTGGCCATTGTTGCTGAGAGATCTGTTGTCAAGGCCCCCCTAGTTCCGGTGTTACCATTGAGGATATGGCTGTCCTGGCTCCCCTGGGATGTGGATATCTCACTGGTGCTGGCACGGTGTTCAATGTTCTCAAACCGAGGCCGAAGAGTGAATTTGTCATTTTTGGTATGGGCGCTGTTGGCTTGGCGGCTTTGCTGGCTGCAAAATCTCAGGGCGTGGAGAATATTATCGCGGTTGATATCGTTGATGCTAAGCTTGAGTTGGCCAAGTCTCTGGGTGCATCGCATACCTTGAACACAAAGAACATCTCCAATCTGAAGGATCATTTGCTTGAGCTCTTCCCTCAGGGGGTTCAATGTGTGTTGGATACAACTGGTGTGATCGCACTGCTTCAGGCAGGAATTGACTCGCTTGGCCATGAGGGTACTTTGGCCATTGTGGGCGTGGCTCGTCCTGGTTCAAATCTCAATATCGACCCCCTGTCCTTTATGATGGGCTGCAAGAAGATTGTTGGTGCCATCGAAGGCAGCGCAGATCCTGCTCAGGTAATTACCTTCTCATGATTGCCTATATGTGCTTCGACTAACGTTTTTGTGTGTGGTTAGCTTCTTCCTCAGCTGGTTGATCTATACAAACAAGGAAAATTCCCCATCGACAAGCTTGCCAAGATTTATACAACGGATAACTTCGACGAAGCCATACATGATTTACACGCTGGCACTGTATGTATGCCGATTACATTTGTTCAAGGCCATGCTGACATACTCTTCCAGGTGATCAAGCCCATCATCAAGTGGGCTGACTAGTAATTTATTTAAGAACGTAGTAAATGAAGTCGCTATGAGATGATCAAGCAAGTAAAACATTTAATTTAACCACGAAATTTCAATTGTAACATAGCATCATGAGCCTCTTATAGTTTCAAATAATCTTAAAGCAACCAGTTGTCATGTCTAAATATCAAGAAGAAGGCACGGACAGATTCTGGTGCAGCTCCTTTCGTTGCACGGCACCAAAGCGCATATTGCCCACATCGAAGACCTAAAAGCGTAAGTCAAGGCGACCACGGAATGAAAAGTGAGACTTACTGCATAGACACCCTTCAAGAATGTATCACCAAGAATATCTATAGTCATAGTACCTCGACTCTGGATACCGCCATAGACATAACCAGATTTAGCCTCAGCGAAGCCAAGATCCTCCTTCTGCACAACAAACTGCTGATCGCCAACAGCAAAGGAGACAACAGGCAGATTATCAGCCGTGGTGTTAGACGGGTAGATCCAACCCTGGCTGTCATTATCATACACCGCTCCTTCAATGGCGTTGTAGATGGCTTGACAAGTGTCATCATCAACCAGCGCCAAAGTAGTACCAGTATCAGCAATGGCGGTGTTTCCGGACCGAGCAATAGATTTTCCATTCACAGTTGCCGAAGTAGAGTCAAAGGTCCAGAAACCTTGGCTGTTATCGACGGGCGTGTAATAGATATCGGCCTCAGACGCCTTGACGGTATCCTGGTCAATATATCCAAATGTATAGAATGACTCGCCCTTATCCGGCTCATCAGAGTCTCGCCAGGATCCCAGCTTAGCCGTAAACAGTTCAGCCGACTTAGGGATATCGGATTGGGTGATCATGTTCTCCACGGGTGTCTTGACAGCCTTGGGCTGGACGGTGTTGATATTTCCAAAAGCGAGTCCGAGAAGTCCGTCGCCGGCGCCTTGTGCAAACTGAGTAGACAGCTTCTCAGCTAATTCAATAGCCTGGCCTTTCACAACCAGTCCACCGATGTTGACATCATCGTTGCCAACTAAACCAGACGCAGAAGAGCCATCACCATACGAGATTTGCCAAGTAGAACCATCCTTCACTTTGTAGGTACTCGACTTGCTCGGATCAAAGACAGTATGATTCGTGTATTGCGACAGGGTCTGAGAAGGTAATTTCGTCGACCAGACCTACAAGCCCAAATTAGTCCAACTTCCCCACGCCTCACAGCCTGAATGTACACTCACCCAGAGATCTGCGGACCCAGTATCAAAGTCCAAACTCAAGGTCTGAGCCGGACTTCCAATACCAACTTCCGCCAAATACATGGCATCATTCTGAACATCATCAGCGCCAACTTGACCAACCTGGTCACTGTCAACGCTCTTCTTCTGCATGACCTGCTGCAAATGGGCACGGCCTCCGACAGGCTTATCGGTGTACTGTCTGCCAGTCTGATGCATGGTCGTTCCATACGTGTATGGCCCACCCTGTGTCGGGGTGAAGCGGTACTTGCGCATGGCATACAAGTACGACTTCGTGCCGGACTTCTGGTAGCGCGGGTTAGCTGTAATCTTGATTCTGGACGTCATGTTGGGTGGTGGTTTGCGGGAGAGTTTCGATCTGAGGAGTTTCAAAATTGACATATCTGTCCGCAGGGTCTCTGGTGTTATTTATGTTTGTGATGATTGCAGGATGGTGCCATGCAATGGGGAATCTGGTGGGGCGGCTGAAGCACGCGTCGTCATGGTGGTTTATATATCCTCACTAGCTTTGACTGGGCTGGACAAGTCATTTAGTGCATGTGCTATCGGGTCGCAATCTAGATGGTGTGTCTTTCGTCATAGGCGGACGACTTAGGGTTAGTGTTGTTTCGAGGTGGCATCCGCTGCGGTCATGTCCGGTTATCACGAGAGGGGGTTCTGCATAAGTCTGCAGGGGTCGATGATAAGCATTTTAAAAAAAGAGAAAAGGAACTTTATTTTGAATTACAAAAGTACATTGCGATCATCTGCTAACGCCGATCCTGACGAAACCCCTCCATAATCCGAATCTCCGAGAAACACAAACTGGGAAACGTACACACCCCTGTCAAGCCACAAGCCACATTACTTCTTCCGACTCTTGGACTTGGGCGCTGTAGTGCTGGCACGGGAGCTTGCGTTGGAGCCAGTCTTGCCACCCTTGGTAGCCTTGACTTGCTTATTTTGCTGCGACAAGGTTAGAATCATGGAACCGCACCTGATCGACGGGTACTTACAGCAGCCCCATTCTTGGCCTTCTTCTTGGCAGGCGCAGCATCTTCGACTTCCTCGTCCTCCTCTCGATCACGACCACGGCTCTTGCCTTCACCGTTGGTCTCGAACTCCTTCGCAACAGTATTCAACAAGGTGGTACAGCGCCGACCGACCTCCACGGGCGTACGGCTGAGGAAGAACCAATCGAAACGGAACAAAGGCGAATCCCGAATCTCTTCACGGATCTTCTCATATAGTCCTTCACCTTCGACACCGTACTTGTCCAACATGACCAATAAAAATCGATCCTCCTCCTCAGTGTAGACCTTCTTGTTGGTGGTAGACACAGTGTAGTTGATCTTGAGCTGTTGGAGGGGCACACGGTACATCTCTAGCTTCTTGCGAAGCATCTTCCGCTGGTGATTCATCTTGCGCACCTTCTCCTCACCTTGATCGATGACTCGCAGGTATTTGGTGTAGTCATTGATCTCAGTGTACCGGCGCCAGAATACCTCGGCGTATTCTTCAATTTCATCTGGCTCTTTGCTGTCAATCTCAGTAGCAATACCGACGTAGTCTGTACGACCGAACTTGGCAGATCCGTTGACAAATTGCTGGAAATCACGTCGGTTCCAGCTTGCAAAGCCCTCCTCGGACATGCGAGCCTTCTCCTCTTGCTCCTCCTCGGTGAGAGGGACAGCATTATCGATGGCGTGTTGCTCAAGAGCTTGGTCAGCCTCTCGGTCACTGAGTTCTGTGGAGCCAGCGGCGGTTGTCTCGGGAAGTTGAGCCTTGTATCCAATCTCCTTATGGAACCAAGCGGTCTCTTTATCCTGGAGATCTGAGAGGCCTGGTGGGAAGAATTGCCAGTCGTGAACAGTGATTTGCTTGGGAGCCCGCGGGACCTTGGGCCTTGTGTCGGCAGTTCGGCCTCCAGTGGCCAAAGCCTGCCGGTAGTACTTGTCAATCGAGTAAAACTGTTCTTTGCGCTCACGCTTGGCTGGGTTGATCCAGCTGACGCCGATGTCTTTCTTGCGCTCGGTGAAATCCTTTCCGTTCCATTCATAAGCACTCTCGGACGAGAACTTCTGCAAATCATCAATGCCGAGCGTTTCGTACTTCTTGCTCAGCTCCTGAGTTCGTTCTTCTCCCTTGCGCAGAATAGTCTCGATGTCATCTTCAGAGACACCATCCCCAGCACCACCCGTGCTCTTAGTGCCAAAGACGTTTGCAGCACCATGTTGAATCATGCCAAGAAGATCGTCCTTGGAAGCGGCTTTGCCAGCTTGCTGTTGAGCCCGACCTTGTTGAATGACAAGTTGATCCAACCGCAGTTTCTGAGCTGCACGTTCGAGAACCTTCTCTTCAATAGCATTCTCCGTGACGAATCGGAAGACCTTAACTTGCTTAGTTTGTCCAATACGATGCGCACGATCCATTGCCTGCAGATCGGCCTGCGGGTTCCAGTCACTGTCAAACAGCACCACAATATCGGCCGAGGTCAAGTTGATACCAAGACCACCTGCACGGGTGGTGAGAAGGAAAACAAACTTGTCAGATTCTGGTTTGTTGTAGTCGTCGATGGCGGCAATTCGGTCCTCGTGAGCCGTGGTACCATCGATACGGCAGTAGTTGTAGTCGCGGAACACACAGTAATCTTCCAAAATATCCAGAACACGGCTCATCTGGGAAAAGATAAGCACACGACTGCCATCTGCCTTCATGCGTTTCAGAAGCTTGTCTAGAATTGCCATCTTTCCAGAGTTGAAGACAAGGTGCTCATCAGTAGTGTATGGAGGACCTGGCTCAGCTCCTTCGAACAGATAAGGGTGGTTGCAACACTTCCGCAGCTGCATGACAATGTTCAGCAGCCGAGTCTTGGACTCGCGCTTTCCTGCAGCACCATTGACAGCATCGATGTCCTTCTCCAGAATCTTTTGGTACCATTTCACTTGCATCTCAGACATAGGAACATACAGATTGAGTTCCTTCTTTGGCAGTAAACTTTTTTCGACATCACTTTTGACGCGGCGAAGCAAGAAAGGACGGAGGACACGGTGGAGTTGTTGGATCACAGTGTCCTGATCGGAATCCTGGTTGGAGAACCATTGATCGAATGCCTCAGAATCGCCAAAGACATCTGGCAGAAGGAAGTTGAGCAAGGCCCACAGTTCATGAAGGTTGTTTTGCAGCGGGGTACCGGTAATCAACAATCGGTTGCGGGAGTTAAAGAGACGAATGATTTGTGACAAAGATGATTCTTCGTTCTTAATCCGATGCGCCTCGTCGATGATGATATACTCCCAGGCGAACTTCTTCAAGTGCGACTTTTCACGAAGAATCATTTCATAACTCGTGATACACACGTCAAAGTTTTCCTCGAGCAGCTCCTCGTTGATCAAACGTTGCCTCTCCTCCTTGTTGCCCTGGAGGACAAGAACATTAATGTCAGGAATCCAGCGTGCGAACTCGCGCTTCCAGTTATCGAGTGTTGACTTCGGCACAACGACAAGGTGGGGACCGGTAATTTCCATAACAAACCGCAGATAACCCAAGAAAGAGATGGTTTGTAGTGTCTTTCCGAGACCCATCTCATCAGCCAAGATTCCCGAGATACCGTTCTCGTGTAACGAAACAAGCCAGTTCAAGCCAGCAATCTGGTAATCACGCAGCTGACCATGAACATAACCGGGCGACTCTCGGAAAACAGTAGTTGTACCTCCGCCATGTTTTTCATCTCTGAGAAGCTCGGCGTCCTCCTCTTGCTCTGTCCGGCGGCGACGCTCCCCACCCGCACCACCTGAGCGTGAAGATCCCTTGCGGGCCTTCTCTTCGCTCTCTGCATTCTGTCGGTCAATCTCCGCCATAATCTCCTTGATCTGCGGGTTGGGGTTGGTCTCGATGAAGTGGCGGAATAGATCTGTCAGACCGAGAAGGTATCGGAATCGGCGAATTGAGTCATTCTCCTATAGACCTTTGGTATCAATAAGTAATTCGTGGAAACCAAGCAGTTATCCATACCTTCGATTCATCTAGACGGCCGTGCTTCTTGCCCAAAATGCTTTTTCTCAGGGTATTCGCCTCTGACCTACGCCGGCGGCCATCCACGTCACCAGCAACGCTGCTCGCTGTAGTATTCGGGTTTGTATCGGAGTCCTTGAACTAAGTTAGCGACTGATATTGGAAGATATTTCGAAAGGGCATGTACAGTATAGTCCGGGGTGTCCTGATAGCTCTAATTGCAAGAAAAGGTTAGCACTTGATATGAGCTCAAAGCGAAAAGTTACTTCAACCTGGTCTTAACATAAAAATGCTAATGATCGGGAGTCAAGCTATGATCACTTACCGTCTGCGCATCGGCACTATCCACGGGCACCGAAGGCATAGTGTCGTCATTTGCATCAGTCATAGGTGTATCGGCCTGCGACACAGGGTCAGACGCGAGGACAGGAGCCATCGTCAGTCCTCAGCGCACAAAGCGCAAGCGCGGTCGGATGCTGATCACGTTAAAGCTGTATCAGAACTCGCGACTGGGTTAATCGCGTACTGGCGATATAGAGCGAGCTGATCTTTGTATGAGAAGTGTGATGAGAGCAGTAGAGAAGCAGATATGGGCTGACAGGATTCCAAAATATCACAATTCTTTCAATGAACTAAACCCATTGAATGACCGGGATTGAATAATTAGTTAGGATGGAGGCCATCCACGCGCGGGAGGGCAAATGGGAACGCGGTAGCAAGCCTTACATAAGATCTCAGTCAGCTCGGATATTCAGTTCCCCCGCAAAGTGGGGTCACGTTACCGGGCCAAACGCAAAGATGCAAAAGAAGATCATCTGCACCAACCTGACCGAGTTGAATCATATCGTTGCCCCTGCCTATACGAGCGGCGTCACTTTCTTGGGGAGCCCTCGCCTTACAAGAGCTTTTGCCTGTTTGCTGCCACTATATTTAGCACTTTTCCTAAGTCTCTTTTAACGATCCCTTCTTCATCACCTTTGTCCTGTCCAACAAGGATCACCGCGCAGCACGGAAGCTGTAGCAAACAACTTCTTTTTCTTCATTGAGAAGGTCACCTGACAAGGTGTCTCACGCACCTTCTGCCATGGACTCTATGAGATCTCTGAACACCTCTTTGCCGAGCTCAACACCCCGCCCGCAACCTCCGGAACAACTCCTCCAACAATTCAAGGCGGCCGCGTTGTCCGTTACCAACCTGTACAAAAATGCCGTTTGTGAGCAAGCTTCAGCAAAGCAGGCTGGCTACCAGGAAGCGGTAGAGGATCTCCTTCACTTCCTTGACCGTGAGAATCTCGGCCTCGGAGACGGAGAGGGGTGGAAAGTTCGCCAATGGGCAACTGAAAGGTGTGATGGGACTGCATCTCAGAGCAACGACGAGGATGATCGAGCTGAATCCGACCACCGTGGTCGAAGTGCCACCCCCTCCACTGTCCGCAAAGAGGCACCTGAACATACTGTCCGTCAGCCCCCCACCTCGGCACCTGTCCCTACGTCCAAGCCAGACACCACCGCTCTTCCCACACAACCTACCGAACCAAGCCCTCTCAGCACCCCCGCAATCTTCACATTCTCCGCTGGTCCGAACTATCCCCAAGAGCTCGACATGGATGTCCAATCCCCCGACCATTCATCTGCACCAACACAAGACGGTGCCCCCGTCAGCGTCTCGGTGATGTCTCGCAACCCCCGACCTCATCACCGCCACAACAACCACGGAAGACCTAACGTTAGACCCGCAGCGCGGGAGTCACCTGCTACTGTTGGCTCGAAGCGGAAATTCACGTTCCCGGACTTCTTCGACTTATCGGGACTCAACAACGGACGAGATTCATTTGGAGGAGGCGGAGGGAAACGTGGCCGCTTTACATAGGTCTCTGGCCCTTTGGTTATGGATATGATAACGACGACGTGACGAATCCTCCATTCTGATTGTCACAGCGGTTGAGTGAGCTTTCGGGTATGGAGGAGCTTTTCGGATGCATAACAAGGAAAGGATTGCATATGGCTTTGTTTTTGCGTTTTTCTCTTTCTTCTTCTTTCTCCCTTTTCTATTCTGTTTCACTGGGTTTTCTTCTTTTTTATCTTTATTTTTCCTTACCCTTGTGAATTAGCATATAGACGGATATGCCTGGTGGTGATACCCGATACCCGGAGTGGCAGCTGTCATTGGCTTGTGATTAATGACCAATTATCTTACATACATCTTGCTCTTTACAGTATGATTCCATCTAGTCTAGTCAACAGCTGTGTTGCTAGACTTCATTAGATTATGCACTCAGTTGAATGCCCGCCACAATCCCATGCCGACCAGAGTTGCAGATATCGTTGCAATTCCCAATTGTCTTGAACCCATCTTATATTTCGAAGGGCCAGCCATGATTGCCTTTTCTTGTTTGCGAAGATTGCTCATTCCCGTGTAGTAGCTGTAGACACCGAGGCCAACGAAAGCGGCAGATCCTGACGGGCAGTATCAGTGTAAGTTTCAGTTCGTACAGCGCCGGGATATCGAAATAAAGGACTTACCAGTCACTCTGCAGGACATGCAGTCGTCAAACCCATCCTCGGCCAAGGCCTGTTTGGCATTCTTTGTCGGGATATCTGCGACACGGTTCTCAGGTGAGGCCATTGTGTATTTGATGCGGTCAATAGAGGGTAGCGATAGAGAAGCAAATGCGCACAGAATCCCTGTATCCGAGCAATATCCCGAGTTGAGAGATGCCCGTCGTCCAAAGTCAACATAAGGCGGGAATCGGCGGCAAAACACAGCTTGATAGCTATGCAATCACCGCCGAACGTTCCTATCATCAGACCAACTGCCACCATGAGCGGCGAGATTAATGCCGTCTACATATATGACGAGCAAAAGTAGGATGCCCCATTTGGACTTTCGACAGCAAACTAATCTTCATCAGTGCCCCTCTTGTCGAGCATGTATACCGATCCCGCCCGCCTTCGGCCTCCGCCATCCTGCCCCTCTACCTTGCTCATGCGGCCCCACGTCCCTCCTTGCTGTACATAGCTACCGCTTCACCGCCGGTGACAGTATTCTCGACTGTTGAGTCAAATCTGCTGTTCCTCGCTATCAGTGAAGTCGACACCGAACCGCTACTAGCACTTGAGTTCCTGCATCGCGTGGTTGATGTTCTCGAGGAGTTTGTTGGAGCGCCGCTACTCTCGAGCAAGATCAATGCCAATTACGATGTTGTCGCGCAGCTACTGAATGAGATGTGCGATGGTGGGGTGGTATGCAATACCGAGCCAAATGCATTGCAGGAGGTTGTGGAGGTTCCGGGGTGGGTGGATAAGCTGCTCGGCGGAATCGGAGTACCTGGGTGAGTGATTATTGGCTCCATTGGTGATACGGTACTAATCAACTGGCCTGGTACTAGAACTTCGACGCCGACTTTGGGATCTACAAACTCTCTGAAGCAATCACTGCCAGCTGCCAGCGCATCCCAGGGCCCTGCCATTCCCTGGCGACGGCCCGGTGTACGGCACACCTCAAATGAACTATATGTGGATATTATCGAGTCTCTCTCAGTGACTATGGCGCCTTCTGGTCGACTTCTCTCGGCATTAGTCTCCGGAACAATTGCTTTTACCGCAAAGATATCAGGTGTCCCGGACTTGCTACTATCACTATCGACTCCGGGTGGACAGCATACCATTGGCCACAAGATTGAGCTACCAGTATTCCACCCGTGTGTCAGACTGGCTAAGTGGAAAGAGAGGCCCGGAGAACTAAGCTTCATTCCTCCGGATGGACGATTCATTTTGGCTGGATACGATGTCGACCTCCTTCCCATTGATCCTGACTTGGATGAGCCACCAAGCCACATGGAAAAGCTCTTCTTACCTGCCATTGTGGATATTCGCAAATCACTAGGAACATCGGGCTCTGAATTTGAGGTCCGTTTGACTTTGAACACGAATTTCCCCGGTCAAAGCTCTTCATCACGGCCTGGGGTTGGCCGGAATGGGTCCGGTTCATCAACACCATCATTCCTCGGTGGCAGCGGCAGCGGATCAAATGCGCCAGCTCTAGAAGAAGTCGTCGTCACTGTACCGATATCAAAATCCGTCAGGCACATCACGGACATGCAGGCCAGCCGTGGTGATGCCCAATTCACTCACTCAACCGGACTTCTGGAATGGCGGGTTCCGACTGGCAAGGACGCTGGCACATTGTCGGGTACTGCTACGCTACGTTGTAGTGTATCAGGCTATCCGTCGGCTGACGACGACTTCGATGACAGCCTCGAGGATGCAGATGAGGACGCGAATGCTACTCTCCTGCAAGGCTACTATGAGGCCCCTGCATCATACAATGACCCTTCAGTCAGCACAACCAAGAAAACCCGGTCCTCCGACCCATCGAAACGCAAAAAGAAGAAGAAGAAGGACAAGGAGAAGTCATCAAAGAAATCATCCCGCTCAACCGCTTTAAAATCCGAGGATACCGAAGACTCGACTGTGGTTACAGCTACTGCTACTACCCCATCGCCAGACCACTCCAAACCCGCAACGCCCACACCGAAGCCCCAACCTTCACCTCGACTACAAGCAGACGCATCTGCCCTCCCCACCTTCTTCGACCCATCCTCTACATCCCGTCCTACCCGCAGAACCAAAGCCCAACTGAACGCAAGCCTAATGCCAAACTCAGCGTCGGTTTCTTTCTCTGTGCGAGGCTGGCTTCCGTCCGGTATCAAGGTTGATAGTTTGAACATTGACCAGCGCCGCAGTCGGGGCTTGGGCGAGAGTGTCAAGCCGTACAAGGGCGTCAAGTATCTGTGTGTGAGTAAACGCGGAGTTGAACGACGCTGTTGATCAATGTAACTTTCCTTTTTGGCTTTCTCTGGACTGAGAATCGATGCATATGCCTGGGTTGGATAGCGTGTTCGATGAACTTTGCATTTGATAGCATGAATATGAATCATGACATACGTACATTTTGCAACTCCCCAATTGTTACTTCTCACAAGAACGGTATAACTTGTATACCGTAGCATAAGACTGTTGAAGATGACATAGCCTATTGAAATGTGGCCGGTTTCGGAGCCCCGACTAAAGACATGGACAGAATGTGAAGAGAGACCGCGGCGGCAGCGAAATACACACGATATAAACTAATATGACAAGTCGAAAGAGGGAATAAATAGAATACGAGCAAAATTAAAGCGTTCAAGGCTCAAGTCAATTACATGTACACTATCAAGCCAAATAAAAGCTACATATGTAGCAAAGTATTGCACGGAGTAAATCGCAATAAATCCCAAAAATCAATACCAAACCCAACCCAAACCGAGCCAAGCCCCGAAGAGCAAACCATAAAATGCAAAAGATCAACCAACCAGGTTACCCAAAAGGTAAGAGACAGGGGGGTGATCAGCACGAGGTCAACGTAAACGAGGCTGACTGGTTCGGGAGTGTGTAGATCTGACCAAATTTTCATTTTAGCGTTTCCAATAAATGGGGCATATTCACGTTTCTGTTTGATTTGCGGGTTTCACAGTTTGGCTCGGCGTTCGAGGACTTGGATGACGATGTAGGCCACTATCGTTACGTGTTAGAGGGGGTTTCTTTTTGGATATTTGGTTTTCGTTTGGTTTGATTTGTGGATGGAATAGGAGTTGGGGAAATCAAATCAGACGGGACAGAATAAGAAAGGATCAAGAGGCCTGATTCATAAATATTCACAAAATAAGGGACAGGGTACTTGACTTTCGCCAGTCTTTTTCGTGAAAATGAAGGGATTTGTAGGAAGTAAAGGAAACAAATAGAGGGAGAATTCCGTGTAACGGTATGAAAAGAAAAGGTCATAGAGAATGTAATAGGTTTAAACCAGTTGAAATGAAGATGGGGGTATATGGGGTATAGGCATTGGGAATCGAGGGCATGATTATGTGGATCCACCATTCCACTCATATATCAACCAGGAAAGGGAAGAAAGGATCTACTCACTGGCAGCCACGGCCACAGCACGACCGGCACCGGCTGTGGCGGTTCCACCACCAAGGGTGAAGAAATAGCGCAGCCAGCCGAAGGTCAACTTACGACCGCTACGGTCGAAGTCTGGTGTGAGTGCGCTGGCAGCCTTGAAGGTCTTGATCTTGTTGCCGTAGGGCGGGTAACGGATACCGAGGATAGCCTCGAGCCAGCTAGGGCTGGTAGTAATGGTACGACGATGGACCCAGACGTCGAAGCTGGCACGGCCACGGTAGGCGCCGTTGCCACTTTCACCGACACCACCGAAGGGTAGGGTAGGGATGTGAAGAGCGGCGTCGTTGACGGAGACACCACCGGAACGGGTGGAGGCGAGGACTGAAGCGCCATTAGTATCATATTGTGCTGACTACAGATGCATGAAGGGGGATGGGGGTTGAACTTACTCTTCTGGACATCGGCCTTGTTTCCGAATGGGTAGAGGCCAAGAGGGGTGCTCTGCACACCATTGGCCAGTTGGATGGCCTCATCCAAGTTATCAACAGCAAGGATAGGGATGAAAGGACCGAAGCTCTCCGCTGTGCAGAGCGAGTCATCGACAGACTCCACTTGAACAACGGTTGGCTCAATGAAGAGCTCCTTCTCGTCCATAGTACCACCCATTAGGATCTTACCCTTGGTGTTATCAAGCATAGTCTTGAGACGGTGGAAGTGGGCCTCGTTAATGATCTTGGAGTAGTCCTCAGAGCCCTTGGCTCCATTAGGATAGAACTCCTTGTAGGCCTTCTTGAACTCCTCGATAACAGGGCCGACCAGCGCCTTGTCAACAAGCAAGTAGTTCTGCGATGTGCAGAGCTGACCAGCATTCACGAGCTTACCCCACAGCATGCGGCGAGCGACCAGACGCGGGTCGGCGGACTTGGTCACGATAGCTGGGTTGATACCACCCAGCTCGAGCACCACAGGAGTCAAATGCGGGGCAGCCGCCTTGGCGATGATGCGGCCGACGTTGGCGCCGCCGGTGAAGAAGATCTTGTCCCACCGTTCGGTCAGGAGAGCTTGCGTCTCGGAGACTCCTCCCTGGACAATACTGTAGCAGGAGGGATCGAGACTAGCCTCGATGATCCTCTGCATCACGACCGCGCTATAGGGCGCATTCTCACTAGGCTTGATCACAACTGTGTTACCGGCAGCAATAGCGCCAATGACAGGGCCAAGAGTCAACTGGAAGGGGAAGTTAAAGGCACTGTCAGGGAATCAGATGTTAGCGTATCCGTCTTTGCGCAACGCACGAGGTGCATTGCATTTGCATACCCGATGACCAACACGCATCCCAGCGGATCCTTTCTGATCTTGGGGTTCATGAACTTAAAAGTGAGATCGATATCGGGGGCCTTCTCGTCCTTGACCCATTTGTGCAGGTTGCGCGTGGTGAACACGATGTCGTTCAAGATCCATCCGAGCTCCGCGAGCTCGGTCTCGAACCGAGGCTTGTGCAAGTCGCGAGTGCAGGCCTCGAAGATCTCCTCCTCATGGTCCTTGATGCTGTGATGCTGTCAGTATGGGTTGAGTTATAGACTCGACGGCCACTTACGCCCAGTAGAGCTTGCGGAGCTGGACCAGACGGAACTCGACGTCACGAGTCTTGTGCTCCAAGAACGCCTTGCGCGCAGTGGAGATGCGCGCAGGGATTTCGTCCAGCGAGGTAAATTGCAGTTCTGGTAGTTCAACGCCCATTTTCAATGTGTGTAGGAGATTTATTACAAGGACAAAGGGCGCGAGGTTAAAGAATAAGGGGAACGTCGCATCCACATGTTCCGAGCTTTCGGCCTCTTCTGGTTTGGGCTTGAAGTCCGTTTACTTTTCCCCTTTCTTCGCTTCTACTTTGATTTTCCCAGCAGTTTTGGCTTGATAGTATGAGCCATATCGTTCGAGAGTACTCTCTGGCATTTTCTAGCAGTCATTACAGCTCCTTACCCTCCCACTGTAGACTTATCTTTCTACTGTACATGGTATCCCTGACTCCAAAAGCCGCGGCTTCACACGATCTGCAGGCCCCGCTTGTGAGAAAGATCGGCGCTCGCAGGGATTCCTTACGGTTAGAGCAGCATTCGGACAAAGGTGGGCCAATAGGTTTTATGCTAGCGGCGTATGAGTGGCCGAGCGCAGGCCGACCAAGTTTGTTCTGCTGTCACAGGCAGGTGGAGAAGGGAAGCAGATGACTAATGCAGACTTCGACAATACAGTAAGCCCGCAGTGTTGGCAGTGTTGGATGAGAACCTTGGAAAGTAGCAGAGTCTGCTTATGGGAGGAAACAATACAATGATCAGCAATTTGTCAATTCATGGAATTCAAAGCTGCGGTGACGTCCAAAATGCTAATGCGGTCCTCCTGCCCTATCGGACAAAAAGAACAGGGAATCCAAATCAAGGTTGCAAATGTCACAAGGAGACGAAAGAAAGAAACTCGAAAACGCCAGTACAATCAAGATATATCACAGCAGGAAGGGAGCAGAAAACAAATTCATCATAAGAAGGGTATATATCAAGCGAAAAGGTTCAACCCTTAATGCTTGAACTGATCCTCGGTAACACCCTTACCCATAGCAGCAGTACTGCTCACACCACCAGAAACCATCTTGAGCAAGTTATCGACGTAGTTGGCACCACTCCATTTCTGGTGGGTGACAACGTCGACACCCTGCTCCATCTCCGGTTCCTGAACCAGCTCGCCGTAGGCACGCATCCCGTTTTGGGCGTACGCCTTGGCGAACTGGTGGGAGATAAGGGCGGTGGTGTGGAGACCGGCCAAGGTGATGAATTGCCATGAGTAGCCCAGGGCGCCGAGACGCTTGATGTAGGTCTCTTGTTCGTCGCGGGGCATGGCCTTCTTCCAGTTAAAGGAGGGGGAGAGGTTGTAGGCGAGCTTCTGCTCGGGCCAGACGGCGTGCACTCCATCGGCGAACTCCTTCGCCTGCTTGTAGTCGGGCATCTTGCTCTCCATCCAGATGAGATCGGCAAAGGGGGCGTAGGCCACGGCGCGGTTGACGGCGCACTGGGTGCCGCCCTGGTAGCGGTAGTAGCCCTCGCGGGTGCGGGGAGAATCCCAGTTCCAGTAGACGTCGGTACCGGTGATGCCCTTGGCGATGGCGCGGGCCTCGTTGTTGTTCTTGCCCTTGACAGAGGTGAGGTACTGGTCGACCAAACCCTTCTTGTTGGCGTGGGAGCCTGAATTGATGGCATCGATGACGGCCTCGTTGAAGAGCTTGAGGCCGGCCTGGTTGGTCCACTGGTCCTCAATGGCCTGCAAGTCAGCGCCGTTCTTGCCGGCTTGCTCGGCAGCAACCATGAGGTCGTTGAGGGGCTGCAAGTTGGGGTTGGTGGAACCAACGATGAAGGCGTGATCGCGGTGGTCGATAGTGGAGGTGATGAGGGTAGCGGCTTCAGAGTCGGTACGGGCAATAGCCAAGAGGTCGGAGCCTGGTTGGTATTAGAATTGGTTCACAATAGATACTTAGTTTCATTGACTTACCCATAATATCGGCCTGAGCACGGATGGCAACCAGACGGTTGATGTGCTCGCTGATAGGAACAAGTACCTTACCGGCCATGTGGCCGCACTTCTTAGTTCCAGGGGCCTGGTCCTCGATATGAATACCAGCAGCACCACGCTCGACGAACAGCTTGGTCAGCTTCATGACAGCAGTCAAACCGCCGTGACCGGTATCGGCATCCGCAATAATAGGACGCAGGTAGTCAACGTTGGCAACGTTCCCACGCTGGCCAGCGGGTGTAGTGACGCGCTCCTCGCGCTGTTTCCGGTCGTGGAATAGCTGTGCCATGAACAATTGGTTGACCTTTCGAGGAACGGTATCCTTTGTGAATTGTTAGTAGGCGCTAGAGTATCTTTCCATGAATCCACGTACCATAGGGTAATCGGCAAGATCGGGAGAAGGCTCGTCAGTAGATGACGCGGTGGAGGAGCTCTGCCATCCAGAAACATAGATAGTGTCGAGGAACTTGCACATCTGGGTGATCATTGTAGGCTCGAGACAACCGTAGGTGAAGCTAGCTTGCTTGTTCTGTCCCCATATAGTCAGTATCTATCAACTGGCAGTAATTCTTGTCTGGCATACCTGGAAGTTCGACTCCACGATGCCCCACAGCTTCTTTGCCTGCACATTGGACGGGTAATCGATCTTCAAATTACCGCGCTTGGCCACAATCTGCTCTGCAGTGAAGGGTCGCTTGGTGTAGCGCCACCGGGAGTCATTCCACCAGGTCTGGACAGCCTGAACCTCCTCGGCGTACTTGCGGTCTTCATCTTCGTGTAGACCCATGATGACTTTTGTGGTATAATACAAATTAAGAGAGGAAATGAAATATATTGTCCCAGAATATAGACCAGGACGAGAGGAGAGGAGAGGAAAGAAAAGAAAGTTTGTGCAGTCCAAGATTATCACAAGCCAGGAAACCCGGGGTACTTATTCTTTCGAATGCGTCACAGCTGTTCGGTAAACGCTCGGCTCGGCGGGACAATACTGAGCCAATGTCGACTGCCTAGGCATATTCTGCTGCGAATCCTCTATGGACCACGGGGTAATCGCTCCGAAAGGCGGAAGGCGGGTACATTGGTTCGGGAGACTGGAGATCCTCGGTCTAATGGACGCTTTGCCACGGCTGATTTGTTGCTCTTTGCAAGCATCTTGGGTTACAGTAGAAACTCTCGGTAGCTCAAGGGAACACAGGATGCAGTTCATCACTTCAATTTTCAATCTTCATCTTCCACATTTTAACAGCGCCGTGAAGCGAAGGAAAAACATATGGAGGGAAACTACCGGGAAGCCGGTGACGTCGATGAACGCACATGACAATACACAAATACCAGTAATTTTCACGTGCATAACACACATTCTTTGGTAGTAGGCCACAATGGGGTTGGATTTACAAGATATCTCTCATGTCAGACGACCACGCTAGTTTCATATCTGTGCAACCGTTTGATCTCACTTTCCTGGCTTATACTCGCTAAAACTGAGAGGTACAGACACATGAAATTAAACTTTGGATGCCTGAGTCATCAAGGCGTTCTGTCATGCCCCGGTATTCGGATCTCCACCCTCGCCATTTGGATCGTTGTTCTACAGAGAATCAGAGATGCAGATATAGATCCAGGATTGGCCGCGGTATCACCATACACTACAAGTAGCTCACTCCTTGATTCATGCCACTGTTTTTGCAGAATCATAATCCATTTGCCGAATCTGTTTGTCCGTGTATCATAAGCATACAATACTCCGTACAAGGCCACCCTGAATCCAAGCACGAAATCAGACCGGAACAAAAGCGACAAATGAAGACCAGCACATGCATCTATCCAATGACAGTGATTCACTCAGCGATCAAATTCCAGAAAATGACTCAAAACCGCCGCGAAGCTGAACCTCGGCACAACTCAGCTCTCTCAATCTAACTGTATTAGGGATAATTCTATAGATTAGAGATTCGTCTGAGATCTCAGACCTGAAACGGCAGTCTGGAACCTGGGACCAGCTGACTCGTCCTTGTATCGAGTGGAAATATCTCCGGTGCCTGACCCCTTCCCCAAGGCTAATTGTCGCGTGGTCTATGTTTACAGTATTCCACTTTCTACAAACCCCATAGATACACGTCCACTTGAAATAAAATGCGCAACTTACTGAATTGAATGAGCACCTTGTTATAGTGTTCGATAGATCACAACGACTCAGTCTGACTATACTGCTGGGCAGTATCAAGCCCGAGAACGTCTCGGGAAAACCAGGAACAAACCCCACCCGTCAAATTCTCGACAGAGTTCCAGTCCGTCTCCAGTTCCAAGTAACAAGAAGCGCAACCCGTGGAGAGTCTTGCAATGACGACTTGTATGCAAGTCGGGATCCCCTCGGAGCGAACTGGTTGCTCTGCCGAGGCGTGCGCCGAGTTATTTTCGCGCGTCACACACGTGAGGCGCGGGTGCTCCTTTAGCCAGCGGATAATCAGAACAAGATACCTTTCCCTTCTTCTTCCTCCCCTTTACTTTTTCCAAAGTTGGTGGCAGTCCCTGCCTCACTTTCGATCGAACCAGGTGTCCCCTGTGGGTTTCGAAAATTTTCGAATCGCTTGACATGAGACACCTGATGGCATAGCTGCTACCCAGGACCGTCAGGACCACTGCCTGACCCAGATCAGATAATAAGCTCAGCTCGACCTATAACAGGGTTGACTACTAGATACAGGAGAGGATCCCTGCTAGTTCGTTGGAGGGACTAGCGTTTAGCCTTATTATATAATATGACCTATGTTCCAAGGTGATATTTCGCGTGATAATGTTAACGCTTCTATCTCGCTTAGCTATTGGAAATTAGGGACTGCACGCGATCTCACACTTATTCACTGAGGTTCAGTTAGCCGTGCAAGATATCAAGCAAGATCCTACCGAAGGATGAATAACGACATTGTTAAGAAATGCATCTGCTATATCCGGACCTTTAATGCCATCTTGACCTTTTCTCTTTGCAATTCACGCCACAATGAATAGCGGTAGGTCTTTCTTATAGTAAGAGGACAGAGAGGTCCAAATAAGCTCTTGCTTATGAGACCAGTCAACTATCAACAGAGCTATCATTGCAAGCCGTGTTCTCTCTTACTTTGAACACGAGCTTGCCCACATACTATCTACACCATGAAAATCTACACCTAAACAATTAGCTACCATGCCCATGATAACAATGTATTCTCGGAATCACAGATCATCATGTAATTGTGCATCTACTTGCATTTTATTTTCATTAACCCCACACTTTTCTGTGCGAAAAAGCCAAACGCCAAATGTCATGGAAGATCAATTGCTCAACTAGTAGGCATCCTGAGCCACAACTGCCTTGTGGTACGTCTCATACGGAGTGATGGTTCCCAGAGAGCGCCTCATATGGGCATTGAGAATTTCCAATCCGTAGACGTAACTGGCGTTGACCCAGCCGAACCTGTAAACAATTAGCAACCAGTCCAGAAGAATCAATGAGGTGTCATTGTTGTAGAAACTTACCCTTCACGGGGAGCGCCCTTGAAGTCTGTGCCCTGGTTACCATACTCGGCATCAACCCGGTGCGGGTCAATAGGCCTGGTGACGTCATACTTCTCGACGACAACGCCGTTGAAATCAACAAAGGCCTTAGTGATCATGAACACCCATTTATACGCCAACCGCTCAGCATCTTCCTGGTACCCGTAGCGGAGAAGACCAGTCCAGGCAAGGATTTGCTGCGGCGCCCAGCCGTAGGGATAATCCCACTGTCGGTTTGGGCGCTTCAAACTGGTAGCACCGCGAGACTCCTCCGTACCGGAGACAAGACCGCCGAATGCCTCAAAGCGTGGCAGAGCCTTGGAAACGAGGGCTGCGGCTTGGGCTGGGGATGCGAGACCGGCCCACATTGCCCAGAAGGTGGTTGCGGACTCGTAGTTTGTGCGTTCTTTCTTGACAGTGTCGTAGTCAAAGTACATGCCCTTTTCAGCATCCCAGCAGAGTTGATCCATACGCGCCTTGCGCTTGCGTGCACGCCTATCCCATACTGCGGAAGTCTCGAATTCGATGTCTCTTGTGAGGGGTGTGCGGAATTCGTGGGGAATTTCGAGTCGGTCGTTGAAGTGAACACGGATGATACGCGCAATATCCACTTCGTATTTGTACAGGAGAGAGTTGAGGTCGACTGTCGCAAGATTGGCGCATACACCCTCGAGTCTGTAGCTGGTGTCGTGGCCGGACTCACGGACCGCTCGGTCATGCAAGAAGTACTCGTCCAACTCGGGCTCCACAATTTCTCTGTGGTTGTATGCCCTGACAAATGCTTCAAATGTCATGCCGTGTTTCTCAGCATAGGGTTCAAGGATGTGCAAGAAGTGAGATGGCTCGGTCTCTGGTGGCACTCCCCAGCCTTCAGGGCGATAGCGTGAAAGACCGCTTTCGGGGTCCAAGCGAGGCGCGGAAACCCAGACGCTGTTGTAGTCCTTAATACCGGCAAGAACGGAGTTGCGCAGGAATTCCTTCGAGTCGGGCTCCGTTTTGATTCTCTCATACACGCGCAAGGCCATGTCTGTTAAGAATGGAGGTTGTGAACGAGTCAGGTAGTAAGATCGGTTGGCGTTCAGGATCTTTCCATAGTGTTTGATCTCGAAGCAGAAGTTGACTACCATTCCCTTGGCAAGATCAACACGATCATTAGAAAGCAGTCCCAAAGCCATCATATAACTATCCCAGTTGTAAAGCTCGTTAAACCGACCACCTGGCACAACGAACGGCACGCCCACAAGCTCTTCCTTCATAGTTGATTCGTTCAACTTTTTCTCCATAGCCAGCGCCAAGAGGCCGGGCTTGTCATTGAGTTTCATCACATAGTCTGGGGTGATCTCAGCAGGTAGGAGCTGGACATCGAGACGTAGCTCGGGGTGATTCTTGGCAATGTTTTGATAATATTCGAATTGTTCTGGAGCACCTGGCGGGACATAGACCCGAGGACGAGGATCCGAAGTCCAGTCCTTCGGATCCTTGCCAGCTACTTCAATGTTATGACCATCGATCCGTCGAGTAAGCGCATCCCAGAAAGAGTTCTTAATCATACGCGAGAGCCGTGAGACTGGGTTCTCGCTGAGACGTGCTTCGTCCAGAATGAGACGCTTCCGACCGTAGTCTTTAGCAATTGTAAGCTCTTGTAGAAGGTTGGAGAGCATGTATGTGCCTCGCACATCAACTCGATTGTATCCGGATGATGCCGCAGTTCCGACGGAGAGTACCTGCAGCTGTCAGCGATTGTTCTCGATCAGTGAGATCAAGTAGCGCACCTTAGGTCCCAAGTCCTCAATTGTGATCTGCATATTGCTGTCTGTATCCTCCTGCTTCAGCAATGCCTCGAGCGTCTCCTCCACATTAATAAGGAATTTTCTAGGCTGTCCCGACGCCTCATCTGTTCTCGAACTTAGCTGCTAGAACAAACACAATCATCATACAGAAGTGGTTGACGTACCGTGACTACCTCGCCGCGAGGGAATATTGCCAAAGAATTGATTAATATCGTCACGAGTATAATTGTTCAAGCTCTGCAGAATACCGAAATAAGCCGGATGCACCTCCTTAGGGTATACAACAGTCACCTACAGCAGAGAAAGCACGTCTGCGGGACTTGAAACGATCGACTTGGTCTTCCTTTCCGTAATAAACATCCGGGTTGGCAAAAGGGTCAACGGAGCCAGTCCGGGGGCGGTCCTCTGGCGAGCTCATGGTGAATGAAGTAATGATAAAAAGAGGGCAAAAGTCAAAAGGCAAAAATCCGAGATTGTGCGTCACGCAAGAAAGCGTTCACACCGCTGGAGGCTCGAGCTGTAAGCTTAGGACAGCCACGTACAGGGTATGTGGTGGGGGGGATGTGGCTGTTGTGTACCGTGCGGTCTGGATCACAGTCAGGGGGGTTGCTGTCTAGTCCAGTTTTGACAGTATATAACAATGATAAGCTGTAGTTGTAACCTTGAAAGATGCCAGATGTGAAGATGAAAATAAAGAAAGAGTCGAGTATGAAAGTATGAACCTGGCAGAAGAAGTGGGACAATGACGGCAAGACCGATGATGTCGCCGCTCCACTGTTTTTGCCGCCGATAAGGTGATAAGACCAGAATTCTACTGAAGCTCGATGGACTGTGGCTCTCCCTTATTCTTTATTGACATATACTCTCTACAAATTACCCCGGATGCCGTCTAGGAATGACTCAAGTTCAAGGGGGTTCTTACTGCGGTCGATGTGCCGCCCGGCCATGCGGTGGAATGTGAGGGATTCGATTCCGATATGCACCCCACGAATCAGATGGGATTGGAATATCTGGTATCCGAAAAGGGAGATTTTGAAGAGGTCATGGGACCGAGAGAAATATATATATACACATACTCCTATTTACAAACTATCTGCAATAAAGAAAAGGGGAAAACGCCACAAGCTACTATCTACAGCTTGGCGGCAATAGCGCTACCACCATCAACTGGAATGGTCGCGCCATTGATGTATGCTCCGGCACGGCTACTCAAGAACAAGCAAGCACCTGCCACATCCTGTGGGGTTCCAATACGCCCCAGAGGCACACCGGCCTTGATTGTCTCGCCGAAGGACTTGAGCGTAGCAGCCATCATCTTACTTTCGAAAGGACCACAGGCCAGGGTATTCGAGGTGACATTACGCTTGCCGAGATGATTGGCAAGGACGCGGCTGAGGTGGTGCAGACCGGCCTTGCTGGAACTATAGGCGAAGGTCTCGAGCGAGGGAACACGGAGTCCGTCAATGCTGCCAATATTGATAATGCGGGCGGGATCATGTGGCGCAGAGGCCTTCTCCAGCAATGGTGTCACGAGCTGAGTAAGGTCAAACACGCGGTGCAGATTAAGGGTGAGAACACGGGTGAAGGCTTCGGAAGGATATTCGTCGTAGGGAGCACCCCAGTTGGAGCCAGAGTTGTTGACTAGGACATGGAGCTCTGCAGGAAACAAAGGAGTTTAGTTCACGTGCGCAATTCAACTAGCCAGGTCATCTCTTACTGCTCTCGCGCTTGCCCAACTCCTCGGCTAGCTTCTTCACGTCTTCATACTTATAAAAGTCGGCAGGGATGGCATAGGCCTTGCCCTTGCCCAGAGCATTGAGTTCGCTGGCCGCTTGCTCGCAGGCCTTGGAGTCTCTGGACGAGATATAAACCGTGGCACCGTTTGTCACATAGCCCTCAGAGATCATGCGCCCGATGCCCTTGGCTCCGCCGGTGACCAGCACCACTTTGCCCTGCACCGTGTTAGTGGTTGCCGGGATAGAGTACAGTACGCAAAAATCTAACCTTGACGTTGAAAAGACTTTGAGAATCCATGGTTAGTGTGCTTTGATTTGAAATATAGTCAGTACGAAAGAACAGATGCTACTTTTAATATATCAACGGACTTGGAGCTCTTGTTGGACATACCCGAAGGCCGAGCTCGATCAGCCGAGGCTCCCGGGATCGGAATATAGTGATACCGATCCAAATACACTAGTCCTATTATGGGCGTAATTTAGGGCAGGAAAGTCAGGGTTTCGCGGGGTCTCGAGTTGCTCTTGTTGTCGTCCATTGTCATTGTATATACCCCGATAGACGTGTTTGAAGTTTTTGTTTGCTGTTCTCGTTCCTCAACATGGATGAACTCCTATTCAAGCACCGCAAAGAGCAAAAAGATCTTCAGGGAAAGATCACGCAAAAGAAAAAGTCCGCCACCAAGAAAACTCGCAAGGGCGTCAACGATGAATGCGACCGAATGCAGCAGGAGCTGTCCGAGAAACACAAGACAGAGATCGCCCAGCTGAACGGAGATCCAGTCGAAGGACTTGAAGAGCTCAACCTGGAAGACGATCAAACAACAGGTGAAGAGCCTACTGAAGACCAAGGCCCCCAAAAGAAAGAAGCAATTCCCGAACCAACACCGGAACCCACTGCCCCCTCAAATGGCAAGAAACCAAATCGCCAAAAAGCCCGCCTCGCTCGACGCGCCGCAGAGCAAGAAGCCGCCTCAGCTGCCGCCGCAGAAGAAGCCAAAACCCAAGTCAACTACCGCGGTAACGAACAAGAAGTAATGGACGCCGCATTCAAAAAGCTCAAGTTGAAGGAAGTAGAAGTCACTCCGGACGGGCACTGCCTCTACTCAGCAATCGCGAAACAACTCGACGAATCCGGACTAGGACTACGCCCTGACGCAAGTCGCATGACTCTGCAGCCCTCAACACAATCGCGCATCGAGACAGTTGCATCGCCACAACATGACGGCTATCGAGCAGTACGGGCCGTAACGGCAGATTTCATCAACGAACACAAAGAGGATTTCGAGGCATTCATGGAGGAGCCGATTGATTCATATACGCGCAAGATAAAATTGACTGCTGAGTGGGGTGGGCATTTGGAGTTGCAAGCTATTGCACGCGCGTATGGGGTCGAGATCAATATTGTACAAAGCGATGGGCGGATGGAGAAGATTGAATCTGGGGATGATATGAAAAGTCTTGACGAGGCGGAGAAGGCGAAGAGGGTTCTTTGGTTGGCTTATTACATACATTCATACGGCCTTGGGGAGCACTATAACGCCTTGACGAAACAGGGATAGGTCACGAGGAAACTCATAATGTCATTGCATTTCGTCTTGGTCCTTTGTGCGCGGTCTGATTATGGAGGTTTGTCACACGCAGATCTGGTTCTATAATATGTTTTGGTGGAGTGGTGGAATGTGCGCAGGTTCTAGTTACGGCGGCGCCAGATTGATACTCGATCGTGGATCACTCCGTTCTCACCCTGGCCCATCTCGTGCGTGCGCTCAGGTTGCCAGTATGCTACTCTTTCCAGGCCTCTTGCGCTGCTGGGCTGCAGGGGGTTGTACTTGACGGCACCCTTGGCATCATAGGGCACCTCCTCACCTGGGTGACTCAGGTGCGCCATATATGCCTCCGAAGGGGAAGCAAATGGGGGACCGGCAGCCTGAGGATCCTTGTGGCGGGGGAACTCCAGACAGATCAGGTTGCCCGATGGCGAGGGAGCCAGAAGCTGGGTGTGACGGAGTGCCCATTTAGGACGAAGTGATGGGGAAAGCGCACAAAAGAACTAGATACTAGTCAGAAGAGAGCAGAAAATACGGATCAAAGGACCTACTGTATAATCATAAACGATATCAAACCCATTTAATGCCACCCCGGCCTTCTGCAACCAAGCGTCATCGAAGAAATCACCTTGAAGCCAAGTCACCTTGCCAGCCCCAACCGTCTGATCACGAACCCTATACCAATTGGCATTCTCTTGTTCTTCCTTCTTGCACGCCTCAATTGCTGCTGCGCTATACTCCAGGCCATACGCATCAAAGCCAAAGCTGGCGAGTAGGAGGACATCCACCCCGCGCCCACAGCCCGGAACTAAAGCCTTGCGTCTGTACGACTCGCCCTTTGCATCTGTAGCCAAGGGTCCACCAATAGTCCCCCGCTGCTTCACGAGGGTGTCGTCCAGAGCTGGGTTGGGGAAGCCTCTATCCCACGGAAGGTTGTCACCCTTATCCCAGAGGGCCGCCCAACCTTCGATATATTTGTCACCCTCGAATTGGGGCTGTGCAAGGTGAGCCTGCATCTCTTTTGGATCTTTTGGTGTTGGGGCGGTCATATTGTGGGATGTTGAGATAACTGATTGTGTGCGGGGAGAGGTGTCGGGGGAGATTTGAGTGGATTCAAGGGGTTGGAGTTTACACCGTCTTTAGGATGATTCATCACCGCCTTACAGGTCTGTCAGTGTCTGTCAGTAACTGTCAGTAACTGTCACGGACTGTCAGTGTGCGAATGAAAAAGGTCGAAGGTCTGTGATGTATAAAATGGTGTTTCCCTCTTGTCTTGGACCCTGCCAAGCTATCAAGGGAGAGGCCAACGAGGGGCGGAGCATCTATGTTCAATCAAGGGACGATAGAATCTCCCTCCATAGCTGTCCAAAGCTCCAGTCTATGACTTGAATTGCCATCTCTGCTCTGCTCGCGGGGTTCTTCAAGATCCCCCAAGGCGGCATGGTCCGCTTCATATTTGCCGACGGAAGAACGGCACGCAAGCTCTCCACGTTGACTGGCCCTGGTCAATCGACACTGCGACATGGAGTCTAGAAGTGTGAACGGATAAGAATCCAGCCCAAAATGCCTAGGTACTTCTCTAGCTCGTTACCGGTGCTGGTCTTGCGTTTCGCTCCGCATGCAGACAAAGGCATTTCTGATGTCTCTAGGAAAGCCAAGAAACTTCTTCTTGAACCTATCCTGCCGATCATCATCGCCTAATTTGCAGTTCTGATATTCAGTCGGGCGCATTTCAGGAGAAGAATCCACGAGGATTCAGCTTTCCAAGGCTCGCAAAGTGGCTCTTGCTCTCTTGTCAACCCAGACTCGTTTTGATCTTGCATCAAAATCACCCCTCACTCAAGCAAACTTCAGATTTGTTGCTGTTGATCGCAGCTCGCGACGTTTCAGACAAGTGATCGTCAGGACCCTATTTCTCCTTTGGTTGATGCCTCCGATTTCGCCCCCGGGGATTTCCTATTTGAATCGCGGCATCGGCCTGGAAAATTGAACAGTATCGTCCACCAAGACACCCACTCAATATGCATGTGCATTCCGAGAAGGAAAGCACTGTTGCTTCGACTTTGCCGACATCCTCAGCGGGTAGTGGGGAACATTCAATCATATCAGCCGGACCCGAATCCGAATTCAAGCATGACCCTCATTCTCGATCGGAAAAGTCCAGCTTTCATGATGGACCAAGAGATGACGACCCGGAGGAATCACTTCCTCGTCTCCAACGCCACTCAACGAAGCTTGGTCCAGCTATCAAAGTCGCGCGTTGGAAGCGTCGCGGATTGTTCGGCCAACTTGCCCTGGTGGCTGAGGTTGAAAACCCAAAGACATATACCCGCAGGATGAAATGGTTTATCACATTCATTGTCGCTTTGGCTGGATCTACTGCGCCGCTGGGCAGCGCGATTTTCTTTCGTAAGTTCTCCACTTTGTCCAGGGTCCATGGATCATATCTAATCAATCAATCAGCATCACTATCACAAGTAACCCATGAATTGAAGACGACAACTACAATCGCAAACCTTACAATCGCGCTTTATATGCTGGCCATGGCTATATTTCCTCTCTGGTGGTCCTCTTTCAGTGAGCGACTCGGGCGACGGACAATCTACTTGGTTTCCTTCACTTTATTCGCGGTGTTCAACTGTCTCTGTGCCATATCTGGCTCTATTGCGATGCTAATTGTCATGCGTATGCTAAGTGGTGGTGCTTCTGCGTCCGTTCAGGCAGTCGGTGCTGGTACCATCGCTGATCTATGGGAGCCACGGGAGAGAGGGCGAGCCATGGGAATTTTCTACCTGGGCCCGCTATGTGGTCCTTTGCTGGCACCTATCATCGGTGGTCTCTTGGCCCAGCGCTGGGGCTGGCGCAGTACCATGTGGTTCAGTGCAGTCTTCGGTGCGGTGACTCTCATTTTCATCCTCTTCGCGCTTCCAGAAACCTTGGTGATACAGAAGCCCGTTTTGCCTGCATTGGACGACAACGAAGACCCAAGTATTAGTCGTCCGCTCAGTCGGGTGTCGTCACGACAAGTAGTTAGGTCTACTACTCGCTGGCTAAAGATGCTGAAGATGGTCTTCATTGACCCACTCAAAATCATTCTCTACTTACGGTTCCTTCCTGTGCTCCTGACTGTCTACTATGCTAGTATCACATTCGGCTCTCTTTATGTTCTCAATGTTAGCATCGAAGAAACATTCGGCAAGGAGCCGTATAATTTCCCTACCATCATCGTTGGCTTACTTTACATCCCGAACTCACTGGGATACATGGTCACTAGTACCTTCGGTGGAAAATGGACCGATAAAATCATGCAACGCGAGGCGAAGAAGGCAAACCGATACGATGAAAAGGGTAGACTAATTTTTCGCCCAGAGGATCGCATGCGTGAAAATGCCTGGCTTGGTGCGTTTTTATACCCTGCGGCATTTCTCTGGTATGGATGGGCGGCGGAAAAAGGTGTTTTCTGGCTGGTTCCGGTATGTCAGGCCCGACTCCAAGCGCGTTGCTTCTCAGAATTTCCTAACAACCATTCTATAGATGATCGCCAACTTTTTCTTCGGCGTGGGCTCCATGCTCATCTTCAGTATGGTCACAACTATGCTCACAGAGTTCATGCCAAAGAAATCTTCCGAGGGTGTTGCCCTCAACAATTTCGTGCGAAATATCTTCTCGTGCGTGGGATCTCTTGTCACTGCCCCAATTATCAGTGCCATAGGTAACGGTTGGCTCTTTACCATTCTTGGTATTGTTGGCTTTGCAAGCAGCTCTGTTATCTACCTAATGCGAATCTACGGTCCTCGCTGGCGAAAGACTATGGATGAACACATACGCTGATGCGCTTTATACCTTTCATCTCGCATTCAAAACCCGGCGTTCCAAACTTATAATTATGCATTCCCAAGATATCTGGATTATTCTAGGACATGCTGCTACCATGGCCTGGTTTCTCTGCACAGTACGTGTTTCTCATAACATTAGGACCTGAACCTTCTTTTTGCTCACAGCTTTTCCAGTCGGCTGTTCCCAGTTCGTAGGCCCAATCCTCTATATAGTTGAAAATGATACCTTGCTTAAAAGTGCACTATGACCTATAGGTAGAAGTAGGTAATTTCACCACGACAGCAGAATTTGATACTTCTCCCAATTTTCAGGCGTATCAGCATCCTTGAACTTCTCAATCTCGCCCGCAACCCCATTCTCGTCCACCTCCCAATCGCCCGACTCAACTCTTTCCGCCCAATTCACTAGCACTTTATGAAGCTGGACACCATGATTTTCCAAAAATCCATTTGAATCGCAAACCTGATAAAGCTCATGGGAGTTGTCTTTGAGTTTTATCGGACTTCCGTAGAATCCAATCTGCCTCCCCGTGCTATCTCGAGCGTGTCCTTTCGATCCAATACCAAAAGGAAGAAGCAGTCTAGACATATTCCCGAAGTCCTGTGCTCTATCTTTCTGGATTCCTTCAATGTATAAACCAGCGGGGCAATCAACGTTGTTGAATGGATGATCCCATGGTGAAACATTGGATCCATCTGCTCGAAAGAGAAGGAATGGGATTTCCTCGTCTTCGTTATTATGCTCATCTTCGTCGTCCAACCCACGTTGACTGCCAGCATTGTGAACTGCAAAGGGCTGAATCTTTAATTCGTCGATAGACTGTAACCAAATTCCTGGAGCAATAAAGCGAAAATGAACCTGACGCGGAGGAAGTGCAGAGAGAAATGACCTGACGAAGGACCTTTGGGGAGTGAAAGCTTCATCAAGCACAGACTGCGGATACTTGATATCTATTTTGTCCGACTGAAATGGCATTCTGCATTCAATTGCATCGAGGAGGCGAGTGAACGCAGTGACTGACTTGTCGACATCTCGCTGCGTGTATTGATGATACTCCCATGGGAAGAATTGGGAAAATGCCTCCTTTATTTCAGTAGACGTCTTCACTTTTCCCTCTTCAATCATCTCTAGGTAAGCCCCGAGTATTTGTTGGAGTGGCATCCAGCATCCTGCATTATCGATGACAAGTCTACTAAATTGCCAGTCAGGGATATAGGCAGCTAGCTCAGTTTTTTGGTCAAATCTAGCGTGAGAATTAGTATTTGGTTATATTTCCTTTTCTAGAGAAGGGCTCACACTATGCCAACTTCCTCACCACAACTGTAACAGCCTGTAGATTCATATAGATACACGAATCGGTCATTCTCATCATCGAGCAAAGGGTACCGGAGCATATTGTCGCCGATCTGTAGCCCCCTAAGAAAGTAGAACAAGTGAAACCCAGGATCATTGTCTGACCATGCCCGTGATGGAGTAGATCTAGCTGAACGGAGGAACTGAGCGAGTTTGGAAGTTAAGCGTGACTCGAGGCCGACTGGGCGACACTCCTCCCACCAAGTTGTGGACGGGAGCGAATCAATATCATGACCGGCACCAGTCCATGCATACCGCAGGATTTCATCATGAAGTTCAGCCGATCGCTGAGGGTCGAAAGTTGAGTACGACATGCAGGACTCAACTCGGTCATGGGGGAGTAAAAAAACATTCGGGATTTGGGTGGGCAACTTAGCGTCCTTGGAAGCCTTGGACAATCTGCAGCACAAGCCGGGCCAGAGCCCCGAGCCAGGATCTGACAAAGTTCAGCGTCTATCTATCAGGCATGGACTAAATGATATCTCTGAACATCTGACTATATAGCGAAAAAAAAATAACCAACAGTTCTGGTAAATGAAAGTTGAGAGCCACCTATAGTTAATTAAATGTAGGGTACGTATGCAGACAGTCTATCCGATCTATGCTGTACGCTGAATATCAACAATCAGTTTACAAACACGCCCCCGAATAACAGTTTCCGGAGCCACAGTAATCTGCCATATTTCCGCAATAGCCCGAGGTAGAGCAACAATCACCAAACTGCGTGCCCACACAAGTTTTGTTACCATCGAAACTAGGACCACATTGTCCATTGATACTTAGTACTCCGTTGGCACCGTCGCAGTCTCCGGAGTAACAATGCCCTGGACCGCAATAATTGGTCGTACAGCCACAGAAACCATGGATCGAGCAGCATCTAAACATCATTCGAATCAGTGTCCAGGCAAACAAGGATGGATCTCGATGACTTACGAGCCAAAGCGTGGATTTGTGCATGTTGTTTCACCCCAGCTTGGACCACGAGTACCATTTGTCGTGGTGACAGTCGTTTCGCAAGAACCAGAGATGCAGTTTCCTGCGCTGCAGTATTCAGATGTTGTACCGCAGTATCCGCTGATTGAACAGCAACTGTTTCAAGGATTGAAAATCAGCACAGTCCCGATTTAGATTATATGAGGTTTCTGCATACCTGTCTGATCCTTCACAAACCGCGTTCCAATTTGTGGGACCGCACGCACCATTAGTCAAAACATGCACTGTCGTCACTTCCGCAACGCAGACTGAGTTGTCGAGCCAGAGATTTGTGCAATTAGCACATAGCTAGAGTCCGAGTTTTAGAAATGTCTTCTCTTCTTGAAACCCTATGTGGCGATACTAACGAAAGTGTTCAGTGTTTGGAGCTTAGCCACTGTGATCTCACAAAAAAAAGGCGTTAGTCAAAATCAGAGAGGTGAAGGGATGGATAAAACAGAAAGTAATTACAAATGTAGAGCGATGGAGTTACACTACAGTAGTATTAGCCTTCTTGAATATCTGCACCATGTAATTTGACTTGCAGTGTCCCCCGACACGACATCATAGTATAGACTGTAGTTCCTGGCTGGGTTGGCTCGGCAGGGGTAGCTAATAATATGCCCATTTCGTCAGAGTCCGTACTCGAAAGCGATAAAGTTGAAAGGGTACAAGGGTAATTACCGGTTGAATAGTATGGGCCTGCCGTAGTAGGAGCATAGATAACGCCAGTGCCCGAGAAGTGGCCTCCAGGCGGGCTGTATATGGCACCAGAAACAGCTTCTCACCTCAATATGGTAGACCTGAACGAAAATAGAACTCACATTTTGCAGAATCGCTGGATATCATTAAGAAAGCCGTGTGACCCCAGAATGCTAGGATTCCATGTTAGGAACTGAATCAAGGTCACGTTGTTGCTTTCGGTAGAGAATTGCCGTGCTAGATCCTCACTGTGAGGTGGCCTTTTAGATGTATTAACCCTGGCAGCCATTATGACAGATTCCCTGAAGAATGATAAAGACTTTATAGCAGGTTACGCTACCGGAGGATAAGTTTAGAAGGATCGTCTTCCCTCGATGGATGAAGGCCGAAGCAATGGCTGGATTGGAGAGAAAGTTGGACGCTTTGCTGTCTGTTTCGCCCGAAGCTACCTTCTTACACGAATCGACTCACGCCAAAGCAGACTTTGGTAGCCACTTGATTGGTAAATCCAGAGAAACGTGTCATATTCCGTCATATATTAAATTAATTCGTAGAGAATCATGTCAACTCTAGAGGACATTGTTTCACCACCGAGCCAGTCTCTCCGAATGAGTATCCTGCTGCAAAGCCTCATGCCAGGACCACGACCAGCTGAGGCTGTCGAGATCCAGTAATGAAGAGGTATCTGGTTGAGTATCAGAAGACTCGAGGGACTAGGCCAGTCCCTCGAGATAATGTCAAGATGATGCTATGTTTACTCACATGATTACCACCTAATAGGGTCATATAAACTTAGGGGATAAATAGTAAGCCTACGCTGACTAGGAATCAGCGTTTAGACCACTTTTTACAATATATATTCTTCCTATCATATACTCTATACTAACGTCAACTTGGGTATCTATCTTGCTTACGTAATTACTACCCTAAGACTACCGTAGTCTTATAATTCTAAACGCTCTACTAACTAGGGTTTGCCCGATAGAGCCTACTATCGCCGATACCTCGCCGCTCCGTTCGTAATTTGTCTAGCGAAGATCTATCAACTATGCTAGTTGAATAATTAACTATACTTCCTCCTTAAGAGGGTATAGGAACTAACCTAGTCCTTATAACCAATAATACTCCGGTCACCGAGGAAGAATGATAGGAGTTAACTGCCTTAGAAAGAGAGGCGTTTAAGAAGGAAAAGGCGAGGCTACTACATTTTCTTTGAGAGGAATAGCCCTATTTAGACCCTTCGCTATTGATAGCTACACTATAGCAACGCGAGGACATGTCATTTTCTAGCTTGCGCTCCTAGGGATCAGTAGGTAGTAGGTTGGTTATTATCGGGTCAATCGAATGGATACAGAGGCAAGACGGGATTGAATGGACCAACCAGCCTGAGCCTCGGGATGAGCGATCAGGTTGCTCAGTGAGCTGCTTAGTGTGGCACCGTGACTAACTCAGCAGATGCTCTGGGAGCCGTCGATCACTTCCCGAGGCGGCAATTTTACCGTCACCTAGACTACATTGTAAATGCTGAATGAACCGCGGACCATTGACATGAGCACATTTTATGCAGTAAGTAGTTCGCCCAATAGAATATCTTGTATTTCAAGAATCCAAGTATTGACCAGCCTAATCTATAAGATAGCTAGGTAACGTAGTTTGGGCCAAAATGGTACGTATTCATGAATTAGAGCACACTTAGACAGGGTAAACATCAATGATTACTCTCCTCCCTTTGGTAAGACTTTCCAATGCTCAATATATCAACCATAAAGAGTAAATGGTATGATCTGACGTGGACTGAGTATAGTGAACATGTGCCACAGAAAAGGCGAGACAGACATTTCTTCCGCTTGTCCGTCGGCCAAATTAATTCCGATAAACCATGGAGTTCTGGACATCAGAGTAGGAAGACCATGCCGTAGATGGGTCCGCCATTCCGCAGCTGCGTGGCAAGTCAGCTGGCCAGCAGAAACTTCAGCAAAAAGACTAGACCATCGAAGATTGATCTCTCACGAAAAAGCCGCTCGAGCCTCATGATTATTTTGAAAATTCAGCGTTAGGCCTCATGCCACCGGCAAGGTACCCAGAGTGAGACTTCGATATTGGGGGCGAAACTAGAGTTTTCTAGCGTATTTTATAGACGCTATGCTGTTCTTAATCGAAGAACCCGTCGGTGTTCCTTAAAATGAAAAGGGAAATGAAACCCCTTGGCTCGATCTAGGCAGTTTTGTCGATGTAGAACACGCATGGTTGGCCAATATTTTTTCCGCAAGCCTTTTTTTTTTTGGCTTATGTGGGGACCCGCGAGTCAAAAGTAAAGTATATTACAGAAAGCCACTCCTTCAGCTGACAGGCACAGTAAGGTAAATCATACTGCATGATCGCTTCGCTAGCGAACTAGCAAGAAATTGAATCTGTTTATTGACTAGTGTGCTGAATTGTGGGGCAAAGGAGCGTTAACCACTGAAACACTGCAGAAGGATTGACCATATTCTGCAACGGGAGATTCTCCGCAAGTACATACCTGGGCATGTAAGATTCACTAAGCCACCCATTGGGCTAGATGCGAATCAAACCTTGAGGGTGCCACGTTTCGCCTCCAATGCTTGGACAATCCACATCCGCGTCCTGAGGAGTGAGGTGAGACATTTAATCTGTATTTCGGAAGTGTACACGGTTTTGGATACGGTATATGTATCCAACTTGATGTCGTATGCGTAATGTAGTATTGGTGTACATACCAGCAAGTAATTATACCAAATACGTGTGAGACGCTTCCGTGGAGAGTGAATCGTGTTCAATATTTGAAAATACCAGCCAATACACAATACGTCGTATGGGACTACCACGTTATGTATGTATGGTAACAGCTCAAGTAACGATAATGTGTACCCGTACTTTACCATACATGCATACGTCCATACATACAGAATGGTGAATGATGCAGCGTACCGGAGCCATCCGCTGTTAGTATTTTTAATTCCAGATCAAATTTGAGCTAATTTTCTAGTGCTGATGGCTTTGATTTGGCTTGAGGGATTTACATAGCTAAAAGTGTAACGTAATAGCGCCATTGTATAAGCAATGCAGAGGGCTAGATCACGATGTTCATTGCGCGATCCACTGCATCATGCACTGGGACAGCCACGAGTAAGACGGGATTTAGCTGAGTCTGAGGACAAGAAGAATTAAATGCAGTACATGTTCAAAATAGAAGATGTAATACGAATAATTAGAACATCATACTCGCTTGGCTAATCAACGCCCGTAAAATCGCCTTGCACCACGGGGCTAAGTTTTGACCGCATGAGGCCGGTGTTTGGAATTTCTGCCTCAGCAAACAACTAGCATACTGTACGATGCTCACGATGCTTCATCACCACTTTAAATGGACGGTAAAGTGGATCGTTGTTTCTCTTGGCTATGCAGCGAGGAAGCATTGCTGATTTTGTGGGTGATTGGTACTACCACACATCTGACTAGAGTCAAAGTGGAATTTAGTAAACGCAGAAAATGTGTACGAGAAACACAGAGGCCTAAATGCTGACTCGAAATGTGGTACATTGCAGGGAAGATGGGAGATAGATGAAGGTATTGCTGTAGCCTGTCTCAACAGGATTTCCATTCGGTTTATAGACTCATCAATTGAAAGAGATTCTCTTGTTGTTTTGGATATATTAAACCGAGCTTCTTCCTTCAATTATTGCTGCAAACGGTTGAAAGATTCATCATTATTATTGATATGTCGTCGAGAGTTCAGAAAGACACCCAACAGGGGATAAATGATATCGAAATGGTAGCATCAATGGCTAAACCAAATGGTATGTCAATGACCTGAAGTCTAAAGCTTCTTTTGGTTAATCATGAAGCAGATGAGGGAAAAGGCAACATATCATCTGATCCAGTAGACTCGGCCAAAATCCATGCATCACCAGTTACCACGGAAGAAAGAGCTCTGCGGCCCAGACTCTTTCTTCTAAGTGCTAAGAGTGAAGATGATTGCAGGAAATTGGCTAAGAGGATCGAAATTTATGTCACCGAGAAAGGTGAATCTGCCCATGGCGACACTTTGCTCGATCAGCTATCTGGAAAACTGAGCCAGATGCCTGTCTTCCAATATCGGGTGGCATTTCTGGCGTATGCATTGGATGATTTGGTGGCACAACTTCAGACACTGGACCAAGTACCTATAGCTCGACAAAACAAAAAGGATGCTGTCCATGTGGCCTTCATTTTCAGCGGTCAGGGTGGACAGCATCCACAGATGAGCCAAGCATTGATCGATGTATGTCCCGAGTACGCACATTCAATCGCTCGTGCTGCTCAGCATCTGGCGACAATCGGCTGCCCGTGGGACCTGGTGACTGAAATTACCAAGCACCCCCAAAGCTCTCAGGTGAATGAGCCAGAGTTCTCATATCCTATGACTGTAGCTATGCAGCTCGCCCTCATAGACACCTTTACCAAACTTGGAGTACATCCATCTTTTGCTTTGGGACATTCGAGTGGTGAATTGGCGGCTGCGTACTGTGCAAAGGCATTATCATTTGAGGATGCAGTGACGGTGGCATATCAAACTGGTCGCCTGGTCAGTAAGATGCAAGTGAAAGGAACTCAGCCCCCTGGTGGGATGCTTGCCGTTGGCGCTTCCTACGATGTGGTCAGCGCTTTGATGAAACCTGCCGCCAATGCAGCCACAAGTGGGACGATTCAGATAGCTTGCATCAACAGTCCTCTGAGTGTCACGGTTTCTGGCGACAACACTGCAATTCTAGACATGCAGCAGGAATTGGAAAAACAGGGAATTTTCAATCAAAAGTTGCACACAGGTGGTGCAGCGTATCATTCGCACCAAATGACTCAGATTGCAACTGAGTTATCACAGGAGTTGGAAAATATCAGGGGAACTCGGGCTGATGCTTCTGTTACAATGATTTCGTGCTTGACAGGGGACGATACTGGAGAAATGATACTGGGGAAAGACCATTGGGTGAAAAGCTTAATCTCTCCTGTCCAATTCATGGAGGCAACTAAGACACTGTGCCAACGAGATCACGATTTGGATCAAGTTGATGTGTTATTGGAGATTGGTCCTCATTCTCAACTCGACAAACCTATCAAGCAGACTCTCCAGGTTTCTTCCAGTAACAGCCTTGAGATAGCCTATACTGGAACTCTGAGAAGAGGATTCGATGCCGAGGCGTGTTTGCTTGATAGTTTGAGGATCTTGTTCCTTGAAGGAGTCTTGGTGAGCCCCCAGCTAGCGATTCCAGCGACCGATTCACAAGTCCTGGCAAAAGTTCCGAACTGGATATTTGATGGACCAGAACACTCTACCTTCAATAAAAAACTGTCAGTAAGGGAGCAAGACACAGACCTAACAACCCGGAGCCCATCGAAATTCTCGCAGCCTGACCGAAAATGGGGAGAATTGAGAGGTCCTCCGATCATCAATGCCAAAGGACAGAAACCAAAAGGAGAAAATGAAATGATTCTTCATCGTGTAATGTGCAACATCTTTGAAGTTCACGACGAGTTGCTTGATATCAATTCCAACTTCTTCAGCCTCGGGGGTGATTCTGTTCTGGCCGTGAAGGTTTCCTCGGCGGCGAGGCAAGCAGGATTGCTTCTCCCAGTGTCGGAGATTCTTGGTCACCCCAGGCTGGTTGACATGGCACAGACAGCCATCGCATTTGTTGACAAAGAAGACATACAGATTGATCCATTTTCACTGGTCGAGGTTGAAGTCTCAGAACTCCTGGCAGAGATTCCGCGCGACTGGGCGGTCAAGGCCTCGGAGATCGAAGATGTGTATCCCTGCACCCCCTTGCAGGAGGGCCTCATGGTGATCAGCCAAAGTAACCCGCGTACCTACATCTCCCAGAACGTGTATAAATTATCACCAAACATTGATGTCGAGAGGTTTTGCAAGTCATGGGACCTCACCGTGAAGGACACCGCAATTCTACGGACAACCATTGTTCCAACTCGATTTGCAGGCACCTGTCAAATTGTGACGACACGAGAAATCCACTGGCAGTTCCCATCTGATCTGCAGACATACCTGGAATCTGACTTGGAGAAGGGTGTGGCCTATGGCGGCCCTCTCGCGCGATATGCTCTCTTCAAAGGGACCGATGGATCCATGCAATTCATCTGGACGGCACATCATAGTTTGTATGATGGATGGTCTCGACCTTTGATCTGGAAGAGGGTTCAACGCCATTATCAATCCGGTGTTCAATTATCTCAAAGAGTATTGCCAACTGTTCCATTCAGCCGTTTCATTCGACACATACAAACAATGGACAAATCATTGGTGGATGAGTTCTGGACAACGCAGCTGTCAGGCTCCACGCCGTCAAGATTTCCTCACAAATATCTTATGGGTTATCGGCCGCAGGTGAACGAGACTTTTATACATCAATGCTCAGCCTTCGGCCGAGATGCAGTAACACGGTCCACAATTATCCGGGCTGCTTGGGCGATCCTGATGAATGAGTACCATGAGGGCTGCAACGATGTTACCTATGGATTAACGACAAGCGGACGAAACGCCGATGTTCTCGGCATTGGCGAGATGATGGCGCCCACAATCACCACAGTGCCGTTCCGCGTGCGGATAGATCCTGATGAGTCTGTGGAAGATTTCCTTCATAGACTGCAAACCCAAGCAATAAATATGATTCCGTTCGAACAGGCTGGGTTGCAAACGATTTCAAAGATAAACCTTGAATGTCGTCTCGCTTGTGAATTCCAACATGTCCTTGTTATCCAACCAGAGCAACGATATGACACCGAAGAGATCTTCCCCGGAATATCATCAGTTCAAGCCACTGAGCTTCATGCCTATGCGCTTAGTATACAGTGCTTTCTAAGTACCGACAAGATAAAGATGCAGGTTGAGTTTGATAATTCTCTGATCAACTCATTTCAGGTGCAACACATTTGCAGCCAGTTTGAAACTATCTTGACCCAGCTCTGTCAGGATGGATCACGTTCAGTGAGAGAGATAAATGCCATCAGTGAGCTAGACATGATGACAGTGTTGGACTGGAACCGCCGATTCCCAAAGATCGAGACTCAGACTGTGACTGCCCTGATTGATGTCCAAATGCGCGAACAGCCGCACGCCCCGGCAGTATGCTCCTGGGATAGGGATCTGACATATCAGGAGCTTGATAGACTGTCAACTCGTCTTGCTCACCATTTGATTGGTTTGGGAATCGGACCGGAAGTCTTCGTGCCATATTGCTTCCCCAAATCGGCCATGACAATTATTGCCATGCTGGCCATCATGAAGGCTGGAGGTGCCGGTGTGCCATTAGATCCCGAGTACCCTCCTGAAAGAACTATGGGCATTATTGCAGATGTCGGAGCAACAGTCGTCGTCACCACCACCGACCTAAACACCAAATTCAAAGGAATTGTACCCAATATCGTGCCTCTGAGCGAAGTCCTCTTGAGAGAAATCACCAAAGAAGATCCGATTTCACCTCATCGAGCTCAACCTGGGAATGCACTCTATATTCCTTTCACCTCCGGCAGTACGGGTAAACCGAAGGCCTCAGTCTTATCGCATAGCATGTTTGCTACCAGTGCCGCAGCTCATGGTGAGCTTCTAGGACTTGGAACACACTCGAGAGTCTTCCAGTTTGCTGCGTATACCTTCGATGTGAACTTTGCAGACATTTTTACTTCTTTAATTCGAGGGTCTTGCATCTGTATTCCGTCTGAAGTGGAAAGAATGAATGACATTACAGGAGCAATCAACCGAACGAGAGCAAATTCTGCCGTTCTTACTCCGACTGTCGCCGCCATGTTTACCCCTGATCAAGTTCCAACCCTGAAGTCACTCATACTTGGAGGAGAGCCTTTGACACGAGAAAATGTTCGAGTTTGGGCAGATCGTGTCATACTTTGGAATACATATGGGCCATCTGAGTGCTCCGTGTACTGCACCGCATATCGTCTTGAGAACTCCGACAGTGATCCAGCCATATTAGGCCACGCTGTTGGATCGATAAATTGGGTGGTCAACCCATCTGATGATAACAAGCTAAGTCCTGTCGGCTGCATTGGAGAGCTCGTGGTCCAAGGTCCAATCGTCTCTCGCGGGTATCTCAACGACCAAGAAAAAACGAAAGCTGCATTCATCGAAAATCCAGCGTGGCTACCGATGGGGTATCCTGAAGAGCACCAAAGACTTTACAAGACCGGGGATCTTGTTGTGTACAATTCAGATGGAACCACAAGCTTCATTGGACGCAAGGATACTCAAGTAAAGGTGCATGGACAACGGGTTGAGCTTGAGGAAATCGAGGCCCATCTCTCCCACAGCTCAGAGATTAAGAATGCGCTATTGGCGGTTCCCAGATCGGGGCTTTACTCTGGACGGCTTGTTTGCGTGTTGTCACTTCATGAGCCAATAGGAATTGAGACATGCAGACGATCGAATGATATTGAACTGATTGATGGTTCTCGGAAAGCCGCAGCCATTGAAGTTGTTGGAAACACGCGCAATTACCTGGAGAAAAAGCTGCCCCGATATATGATTCCTGCAATCTGGGCTGTCTTAAAACTCATTCCCATGAATGCCTCTCGCAAGTTGGACCGAAAGATTTTAAAGACATGGCTCGAGACAGTTGATGAAAGTACATATCGCTCCATTGCCGATGTGTCCAATGTCAAGGCAACCAGACAACCAACAAACTCATTGGAAAAACTTATCTGCGATACAATCAGCATCATACTAGCGTTACCAGTTGAATCCATTGGGTTAGAACACAGCTTCTTGGGGCTGGGTGGCGACTCTATCTCAGCAATGCAACTCATGTCACGCCTTCGCACCAAACACAACATACGCCTAAGCGTGCAGGACATTCTGCGCTTTCGGACTGTGGAGGCACTAGCATCTCATGCACACATAGCTCAAGACATACATGATAATGAGCTGGTCTTTGAAGAAATTGATGATTGGTTTGACCTCACTCCGATTCAAAAAATGTTCTTCGAGAAACAGCCCAATGGCCAGAACCATTTCAACCAGAGCTTTGCGCTCAAGCTTGCAACACAACATGACTCAAAACTCAATCTGAGAAATGGCCCAAGAGAATTCCTTTCGCAGAACAAGCTTGACCGGGCATTGTGGACTCTTGTTGACCGACACCCCATGCTTCGCTGTCGATACACCAAAGGCGATCCAGATGGAATTTGGCGACAGAAGATTTCATCTGACCCGAAAAAATCACTACTTTTGCTACCCTCGCAACAACTCAAGTATGATGAGATGGCAGAGAAATTCCGTGGCATGCAAAAGTTGCTGGATATAGAGAAAGGACCAGTTTTTGCTGGGATGATGTGCCATGTAGGCGAGGAACAATACCTTTTCTTGACAATACACCATCTGGTGGTTGACCTTGTATCATGGCGTGTCATACTGGAAGAGCTGGAAGAGTTGTTGACTCACGGGGCGGTTCACTCAGAGCCTAGCATCAGCTATGCGAACTGGGCAAGTCTACAGGCGCAATATGCTAGAAGCAACCTCTCCCCAGAGGATGTACTACAAGCAGATGCTCTGATCGCCGACTTTGACTACTGGGGTATGCTGACGCAACCGAACCTTGTAGCTGATGCTATCGAGACGTCGTTTGTGTTGGATAAGGAAAGAACCGGTCTTTTGCTAGGAGACAGCCAGGAGACTCTAGGCACTCAGCCAGTTGAAGTGATGGTAGCAGCCCTCATTCAATCCTTTAGCAAGGTCTTCCATGATAGACAGGTCCCAGCAGTGTTCATGGAGGGCCACGGTCGTGAGTCTTGGAATCCAGCCATTGACATCACACGTACAGTGGGATGGTTCACAACCATGTATCCGGTCAGTGTTGAGATTGAAGATAACGATGACTGGTTCCAGACCGTGAAGAAAACTAGAGATACCCGTCGAAGGCTAGCTCACAACGGCTGGTCATACTTCACAGCCAGGCATCTCAATCCTCAGGCATCGAATCTTGTTGAAACCTCCGACATGGAAATTTTGTTCAATTATATTGGGCTGTATCAGCAATTTCAGAGGCCTGACTCATTGTTTCAGCCGTCAGGCATTTCCGGCCAAGCTCTCCAGGATTTCAGCCCGGCTATGGAGCGCTATGCATTGTTTGAAATCTCAGCAGCTGTCCATGATGGTTGCTTGCAATTTGACTTTGCAATCAACAGGCATATGCAACATCAGCCCAATATTCAGCGTTGGGTGACGCAGTGCTACCGTGATTTAGCGGACGGCATTGATCAATTGATGCAACCTGAAGCAGTGAATCTTGATGAGTTCCATACATTGTTGAGGACCTCTTCAGGTGTTCGCAGACTGGTGGACGAGATCTTGCCTTCTATCAACGTCCCAGACATTGAACAAGTGGAGAGTGTCGGCTCCTGTTCACCCATGCAACTCGGAATATTGCTGGGCCAAATGAAGTCACCCGGTGCATATGAACTCTTTACTATCCAGAAAGCAGAGTGGGCTGGGTATTCCAACGATGATGCTGCAAAGGTCTTCGAGGCATGGCAAAAGGTTGTGGACCGTCATGCGACTTTGAGAACAGTTTTCATTCGGGGGAGTGAGTCCGATGCCCAATGGGGACAGCTTGTTTTGAGGCAGGTGAAAGCATCGGTCTGTCACATCACTGGTATCAGTGAAGATCCAGTCTCGGTTTTGAAGAACATCGAGCCAATGAGACCCATAGAAGGTGTCCCTCCACACCGTCTCACCTTGTGCTGCGGCACCAAAGGCGCATTGTTTTTCAAGCTCGAAGTCAGCCATGCACTGGTTGATGGTACATCTATGCAAATCATCCTCAAGGAGATGAAACTTGCGTTCAGCGGGCGACTCGGGCAGATTTCGTCGCCGCTCTTTTACATAGATTATGTGACTTTTCTTCAGCATCAACGAAAGCGAGCATCTCTGCAATATTGGAAAAAATATCTACAGGAAGTTCATCCATGTCAATTTCCTGTCCTGGATGATGGCCGCTCTCAGATCCACCAGTGGCAGACCGTTAAGATGCAAGTGCCGGAAGTGACTGAGTCTGCTGTACGCCGATTCTCAGATGCCTACGGCATGACACTTGCCAACGTTGTGCAAGTTGCTTGGGCGATGGTTCTGCGAACATTCACAAACACAAACAACGTTGCTTATGGATATCTGACATCTGGTCGTGATGCTCCACTAGAAGGCATTGAAACTGCCGTAGGGACCTTCATCAACATGATGGTTTGCAGAATCGACCTTGACGATTCAACCTCCGCACTGGATGCTCTACAGACCTTCCAGGACGATTACTTGCAAGGTATCCCCCATCAATACGTTTCACTTGGGGATATCCAACATGCCATTGGAATGGCAGGCCAGCCGCTTTTCAATACAGCCATTTCCTTCCAACGGCGGTCTTCACCCAACGAGCCAATGGAGCTTACACTGACTTCCGTCTATGAATATGACCCGTCCGAGTTTGACCTTTCTGCAAATGTACTCATGGGCCCTGGTCATACAGAAATCCATCTTACCCATCAGACCTCTAGAATCTCGAGTGGACAGGCCCATAACATCTCAAGTGTCTTTCGAACAGTGATTGCCTCAATTTTGACCAGCCCGCAAAAGCTGATATCAGAACTGAACGTGATGAGCACTGAAAGCCAACGCAATATACAGCAGTGGACAGCAAAAGTACCTCCCACGATCAATTCATGCATGCACGATGTCATATCGGAGCAAGCCCGCAGTACACCAGATACACCAGCTCTACATTCTTGGGAAGGTGATTATACATATGCCGAGTTGGACTGCGCATCAACTCTTCTAGCTCGACACATGGCTATTTATGGCATCAAACCAGATGACTGCATCCCGCTGTGTTTTGAAAAGTCTCTTTACACTGTTATTGCACTGCTCGCTGTTCTCAAAGCTGGCGGAGCCTTTGTGTTGCTTGATCCGAAGCATCCAGCTGACCGCCTCAGAGGATTGTTGAAAGATCTGAACGCACGGTTCATAATTGCATCGGAACTTACGCAAGAGTACTGTGCAACGTTGATTGAGCAAGTTGTTGTCGTATCTCCGGCAATGCTGGACTCCTTGTCAGATGGTGATCCCAGTGAACTTGCAAGATCCCCCGCAGTCACTCCTCAGAACATCATGTATGTTCAATTTACATCTGGGTCGAGCGGAGTACCGAAGGGTGTGGCAATTGATCACTCCGCTGCGTGCTCCTCGGTTTACTACCACGGCTCAGTGATGGGATTCGGTCCCGCGACTCGCACATTCCAATTCGCCTCCTACACCTTTGATGCCGTCATTCTCGAAATCTTCACAACCCTTTATCACGGTGGATGCGTTTGCATACCGTCGGACGATGATCGAATGAGCCGTATGACGGATACCATGCGAAAGATGCGTGTGAACATGATGTTTACGACCCCGACCTTGGCTCAACTGTTCAAACCAGAGGATGTACCCTTGCTAAGGACCCTGATGGTTGGCGGTGAGCTCGTAGGCACTGGCACCACGGATATATGGAGAAGCAAGGTGAATCTCTTTAATGTCTATGGGCCATGTGAATGCACCGTTTATTCGACCTACAACGCCTTGAGCACCAATGACTTCCGGCCAGAGGTTATCGGGTATCCCGTGGGCTCAGTGGTCTGGCTTGCAGATCCAAACAATCATGACAGACTAGTCCCAGTAGGCGCCGTGGGAGAACTAATAGTGCAGGGTCCAATCGTGGGTAGAGGCTATCTCAACGATTCATCACGCACAGAGGCAAGCTTTTTGTCGCACACCACGTGGTTGTCGGAGTACAATGGCAGCTTCCAGCATCGTCTATACAAGACTGGTGACCTGGGCCGTCTAAATTCAGACGGTAGCATCATGATTATCGGAAGGAAAGATACGCAGTTCAAAATCAACGGACAGCGCGTTGAGTTCACTGAGATAGAGCACCATATTAAAGCCTCTTTCCCGGGAGCCCTGCAGGTTGCTGCTGATGTGGTGAGTCCAGAGTACCTCGGTGGGCGGTCATTACTTTCGGTGTTCGTCAATTTGGAGAAATCTGAAAACCTGACTCAGGATGCAATTGAAAATATTTTGCCTATGACAGAAAGCCGCTACGAGACAATGGTTGAGATGGAAACGGTTCTGACGAAGGCTATGCCGTCATACATGATTCCTCGACTGTGGTTTCCAATCAGCCAGATGCCTTTGTCAACATCTGGAAAAACAGAACGCAAGGTGTTAAGATCGTGGGGTGCATCACTCTCAGAAGGCCAGATTAGCCAATATGCATTGAGCAATGGATCCAAAGCAGAACCATCGACTGAGACAGAACGCAATCTAGCAAATCTCTGGCAACGAGTACTCAACATTTCTTCTATCGGTCGAGAAGATAGCTTTTTCAGGCTCGGCGGTGACAGCATTTCAGCAATGCAACTTGCCTCAGCAGCACACAAAGCAGGAATTCGACTTTCGGTTGCCGATATCTTCCACAATCCCAACCTGCTTGACATGGCTGCCAATATTCCCATTTCGGAGATGAAAAAGGGTACTCTTCGTCCAGAGCTTGTGATGAACTTTAGCCTTTTAAGGCCCGGAATAGACTGCTCGCAGTTTCTGAAATCTGCCGCTGAGAAGGCCAAAATGCATGTTGACTGGATTCAAGACGCATACCCTTGCACACCATTACAAGAGGGTATGATGGCACTGACAACACGGGATGCGGGATCCTATGGTTGGCAAGACGTTCTCGAAATTCCTGCAACTGTCGATTTGGATCGATTTTGTGCAGCATGGCAAGCGGTGGTGGACGAGCTAGACATCATGCGCACAAGATTGATTGAAATGGACCACCACGGCACCTATCAAATCATTGTCAGACCAGAGCATAGTTCTATTCAGTGGAACCATGCTGATTCACTGGAGGACTACCTGAGCCAAGACAAGGAACTACCGTTTGGGTATGGGACACCTTTGTATCGCTTTGCCATCGCCAAACAAGGGTCCAAAGTATACTGTATCTCCAGCGCCCATCATGCGATCCTAGATCGTTGGTCTATCTCTTTGATGATGGACCGCATGTCGTCTCACTATCTGTTGCAAAAGCCACCTCCTACGCCGCCGTTCAGAGAATTTATCAAATGGATGTGTTCTCTCGATACGACAGCCTCTGACAATTATTGGAAGTCGCGTTTTGAAGGCTTGGGGGCCATGGAATTCCCTCGCTCTGTGCCAGGACATCGTTCTCGAGCCACGGCAGTTGCAAAGCACTCGATTTTGATATCCCCAACGAGGAGCTCCAGTGATATCACCATTTCAACCCTCCTCAGAGCAGCGTGGGCTGTCACCATCAGCCTAAATAGCGGCTCAGAGGATGTACTATTCGGAATGACTCAGACAGGTCGCAACGCCCCTGTACCCGATATTACGGATATTGTGGCACCACTGATTACCGTCGTGCCTTTCAAAGTCGTGGTAGAGAAGCAGAGCCGGGTCGCCAACTTTCTACAGAACGTCCATCAAGAAACTATTGCCATGATCCCCCACGAGCATGCTGGTCTTCAACATATTGCGCAGCTCAATGCCGACTGCCAATCTGCATCCAAGTTTCAGAACTTGCTCGTGATCCAGTCGCAGCAGCATCAGCAACAGGGAAAGCTCCCGCTGGACCTCAAACGTCTTGATGTGGTAGAGAATGATGTTCTATCCTACGGAATTGTCCTGGTGTGCGACCTCACTGAGAGCGCAGTCATGCTCCAGGCTGCCTTTGACCCCAAAGTAATATCCAAAAAGTCGATGAACACTTTGTTGGCGCAGTTTAGCCACTTTTTCACACAGCTTAAAGATCCAAAGTGTGCTCTTGTTCAATTGAAAGACCTCCAGTTGGTAGGGGAGCACGATTTGCGACAACTGATGGTTTGGAATCGACCACGGAACACGGAGCGCATCGACAAATGTGCGCATGATTTGATACAAAAGCGCGCACTGATTCAACCTGAATCAATAGCTATTGATTCAGAGGAAGGCCAATTCACATACGCTCAACTGGATACTCTTTCCACCAAGCTTGCTTATTATCTCCAAGAGTGTCATCAGGTCGGTCCAGAGATAATCGTTCCTCTTTTCTTTCGCAAGTCAGCTTGGGCCATAATTTCAATTCTCGCCGTCACGAAGGCTGGAGGAGCTTTTGTTTTCCTGGACCCTGCACATCCAATGGACCGTTTGATGTTTATTTCCCGGCAAGTCAACGCAACCTTCATTATCACAACCCCGGAACTATCATCCACATGGAATCCCACATCTCTGAGAACACTTCAAATCACGGAAAGGTTTATGGAAGACCTTGCCATGCCGCAACATTTACTGTTGACTGATGTGAAGCCATACAACGTACTTTACGTGATCTTTACATCTGGCTCAAGCGGGACGCCCAAGGGTTGCGTTGTCCAACACGCATCTTTCCTCAGTGGCGCTGTTCAGCATGCTCGACAGAGTAGATTGAGTTCAAAAGCTCGGGTGCTACAGATAGCACCATACACATTCGATGTGAGTATATTGGAAACACTCACAGGACTTATCTCTGGTGCTTGTGTCTGTCTACCGAGGGCGGAGCATCAAAATGCTCCGGTTTCCCAAATCATCAATGATTTGAAGATCACATGGAGCTTCTTGACACCTTCGGTCGCCCGAACAATCAGCCCCAAGGACTGTCCCAGTCTGAAGACTCTCATTCTCGGTGGAGAGTCTCTCTCACGCGTTGATATAGAGACATGGGCCGGAGACGTCCATCTTTGTAATGGGTACGGGCCAAGTGAATGTTCTGTTGCCTGTACAGCCAACATAAACATCACTGTGGATACTGATCCGGCCAACATCGGGAGTACGATGTGCTGCAATGCCTGGGTGGTGGATTCGGACGATTCTAATTCTCTCTTGCCGATTGGAGCGGTGGGTGAGCTTCTGATCCAAGGGCCTGTTGTCTGTCGTGGATATCTTAATGAGCCAGAGAAGACCGATGCTGTCTTTATCAACTCACCTGTGTGGCTTGATCGTTTCGGTTCAAATTTCAGCTCACAAGATCGACTTTACCTGACTGGAGACTTGGTTAGATATAATGATGACGGAACCTTGCATTTTGTTGGACGCAAAGACACACAGGTCAAACTACGCGGGCAGCGAATCGAGCTGGGCGACATTGAACATCACACATCTGCCCACCCGTCCGTCAAGCATGCTGCAGTTGAACTTTCCAGATCTGGCAGGTTCCGAGATAGCCTCGTCGCTGTAATCTCACTGCGTGGGATAGTCTCTTCTTCTTCTGGTGATCTAGACAATGAGCTTGTACCGGCCTCTGGCGAACACCTGGATGGAGTCCGTCAATCTATTCCAGAGATCCGTTCATACCTCAATCATCATCTGCCACCCTACATGCTACCCAGCTTTTTCATCGTGCTCGAAAATCTTCCACTACTGAGCTCAGGCAAAATCAATCGCACCAAAATCAAAACGTGGCTGGATCATATGAGTGCTGACATGCAGGACCGGGTCTCTGCTCAGGTCTACATACCGGCGGCACATACCGCATCTCTGATTCCTGACGATCAGGAAACTGCCCTTAACTTGAGCAAAAAGATTACGCAGCTTATTGCAAAGGACGACGAGGATTATGCGATGGCCATCCGCGACCGAGACATTGCATTGGCACCTGCAGGCTTGAACTCTATCAGTGCTGTCTCCCTAGCAGCCTACTTGAAAAGGGAATTCGATATTGGTGTGTCAATTGGTAGTCTGCTAGAGGAATCAATGACAGTATGTGGTGTGGCTCGCATGATCGACTGTGCCAGGGGTGACGCTGCTGTTTCTAACGCAACCTCCGTTTTGGACTTGTCTGTGGAGATTGGCAAAGCGCTTGCGGACTTTGATCAAAAAGCCAGTCCGGGGCCAGTCCAGATTCTCCAAACAACTATACCGCAGCATCCCCAAACAGTCCTGTTGACCGGTGCTACAGGGTTCTTGGGTAGTCAAATTCTCAGACAACTGTTGGAACTTTCTCATATAAAACGAGTGGTTACCCTTGTGCGCGCTTCAGATCATCAACAAGCTACTTTCAAAGTGATTGACTCTGCCAAGAAAAGCAAATGGTGGCGGGATATCTTTGCCTCGAAACTCGAGGTCTGGGTCGGCGACTTGTCACAGCCCGACCTACGACTGGATGCCGCTCAATGGCGCTGCATCGAGGGTCAGCCGGAATCATCATTTTGCATAGATGCAATAATTCACAATGGAGCCGCTGTTCATTGGGGATATGACTACCGGGGGCTTGAAGCTGTGAACGTCACCAGTACCGTATCGCTCCTTGCCTCTCTCACCCGCTCACCAAGACCGCCTCGTTTCACATTCATTTCAGGTGGCCAGCTGTTCTTTGGGGATGACAGTAACATTGATGAAGTAGAAGCCTTCACTGAGATGATGAAAACAGCTGGCGGTTACGCACAAACCAAGTATGTGGCCGATCAGGTCGTGAAGGAGTTTGCTCGGCGATACACCACATCCATTGCAACCATTGTGAAACCAGGATTGATTGTCGGAACAGCAGACTCCGGTGTGTCGAATACCGATGACTTTTTGTGGCGAGTGGTGGCAAGCGTCATCGACATCGGCGCCTTCAACAGCACAGGACTAGACAACTATATCCTGGTTTCTGGTTCTCACCAGGTTGCCAGCGCTATTTTGGCAGATTCTCTTTCCCCCCAGCCGCACGCACAACAAAGCATTGAGACAACGATCCGGTACGGAATCCCCGTCGAGGACCTATGGAACATCTTGCGTGATGATTTCGGCTACCAGCTAGAAGCCATTGATGGCACAGAATGGCTGGCCCGGTTAAGAGCGCAGGTGGAGTTAAAAGGGGAGAACCATTCTCTGTGGCCAGTTTTCCACCTTCTCCAAGCTACTGGTGGAAGCTTGGGTATGCCTTTGCCGGTCGATCTGCGGCAGGACGAGCATAGCGATGAAGTGAAGGCTTCTATGAGAAGAAGCATTGCCTATTTGAGAGATGTTGGGTATTTATCGAGTGCCAGTACTGGCGGTAAATCCTTTGTGCAAACAGACCTTGTCTTCGCTCGCGGCGGTGGAAGGACTCGCACATAATGATTGACACAACCGTCAAAGTTTGTTTACACAGTTCCATATGTCCAAGGACATCTTGATTGGCTTGTTATCCTTTAAATTGATTGAGTTTTTACTTTCTTTAATTTATATCTCGATCGCCAAGACCCATAATTTCCATGTCGTAAATTATCTGGTTTTCCTTAATTTCTTATAACCAAATCTTTGTTCTTATTGTGGGGTCTGTGTTGATGTACTGTCAAGATTAGAAGAATATAGACCCCTGAGCCGCTCAGTAGTTTATGAATATTTAGCCGTGGAGAGGATGTTGACGGATATATAATCATAACACTGCACAGTTGGATACTCCTGATGCTTTTTTTACCACAGAGCACATAATGTAGAACACAGCACCGATCACCTCGCTGAGGTTATTATACGGCACAGCCGGGTAAGATAATAGAATCACTATAGCGAATACTGGATTCGTCTGTCCGTTTTCGTTCTACTCGCCTTGCTAAGGTTCTCAGGCAGAAGAAAAGAACAAAACAAGAGGAGCGCCGCCGATAAATCAAGTTGACCCCGGGTTGACAGCCGACAGCAGATAGCTCGATACGTTATGGGTCATGTTGGCTACTGACGAGCTTTTCGCCGCCGCTGTTCTATGTCGTATTGATGGGAGGGTCCTTGATTTTAGTGCCAATGAGAGGAAGAACGAACCGAACAGCATTGCCGACGGTTAATTCAGTCGGTGATATTGGTTGTGGCTCTTCGCCTTCAATGACTGGAAGTTTCTCTAGGATTATTGGCAGGGGTGTTTGTTCATCTATATGATCCAAAATTGTAAGCCGTTTGGAACAATGAGAGATCTCTATAAACGACCTACCCGCAGGCTGGCGGTTGTCTAACCAGCGTCTCGTTAGAGAGGCCTGTAAATCCCTATGTCAAAACGTTTTAGCCAAATCGCCTGAAGACCCTCTGAAAAGCGATCTGGGGGAATGATGATATTCCACTTACCTAGGAACAAAGGACTCTTGCTTCTTCCTATCCGTGGTTTTCGCAACCTAGCGATAGCATAGCAATGATGACAGGCCTAGTATGAAAACGACCATGAGAATTATCACTCTCCAAAGTTGAATAGCAACCGCTCTATAACAGTGAGCGCATTGTTGGTTTCCAGCTGGAAAACGTAGGCGTTGGCTCCGCAGAGCCCCGCGGGGTTTCTGGGCCGGTGATGGCAATGTTAGGCAAATTGCTGAAAAGCCACCCCCAATGATTTAACCGATTTATTGAAATGCCAAGAGCTTGGTGCCATATTTGAGGTAAAATTTGATGTAAATTCCAATACCCAAAAAGCGCCAAAGTTGGATTTAATTATGGAGGGGTGGCTTTGTAGCACTTCACTACATATAGTGTAGGTGTTTGACTGGCAAGAAGCTTACTGGCTAAAGGTTTCTTTTGAACGCTTCTAATTGTCGCAATGTGCTTTATATAACGTTTGATACTATATACAAGTTTATATGCATACCGTCAGATCTTGTTGCCTACTTTGTATACACAACCGATTGTATTCTGAAATGACCGTAACTCAAGATTAGAAGAAAGGCACCAAAGGAAGGCGAGAAAAGAGCCAATTGAAATATAAATAATGCATGACATAATGCCCTTGGTAAGAACGCGACGAAACAAGAAAACCTGACACTAAATTACGGAGTAAAACGAGCAGACGCGTTGAGATATGTTTCATTCTCTTGAGCGGTCGGGAATGGCGGAGCAGTTTTGGCTCGGAACAACGAGTTGGAACTCATCCCCTCGTAGAAATAGGCATCAGCACGCTGTTGGCGAGACATACGAAGAGCCATATAAGCCTCATACTCTTGTCGTGTCAAGGTGGCGAAGACATGCCGCGGATGCACACAAATAGCCTGCGCGCCCTTTTGGCCAAAACCGAAGGACGTGATGGATACAGCTTTGAGGTCGGGCACGCGCACCGGCCGACTCAGATAGGCGATTAACTCGAACTTCTGAAGCGCTGGGTCGATGTTATCTGCATTGCGATTGCCTGGGACTAGACCCGAATCCATCATTTGCAATGCCCCGTTGACCATCCAGGCTCCAGCGGCACCTTTGGAGTGCCCGGTGAGGTACTTCTGGAAGACACCAAGAAGGACGTTGCCCTTGCGTCGCCCTAGCGCATTCAATTGCTGCTGCAAAACACTGGATTCATTTTTGTCATTCATCACCGTCGAAGTTCCATGGAACGAAGCGACTTGGAGGTCATCAATAGTCAAACCCCAGGTGGCGAGAGCTCCAGTGAGCGGTGCAATTGATGAATCATGGCGCCAGAAATCATTGCCCAAAGCGTATTGAGCATCTCGTTCTTCCTGAACAAAGTCTGCTAGAATCTGTTCATGGCGCTCTTTGCGATACGCAGTCACGTCCACGTCCGGATCTTGCTCCAGTACAGTATCAACTTCAAAGTCTAGCTGCTCAAATGCCACTGATCGGGCCTCGGCGATCTGTCTGCGTCGGAAATCGAGGCGGCGTCGACGATTGGCCAACTTCAACAAAGGAGACGCAACATTTGAAGCTGTCGGAGTGCGTCGAGCGTTTACAAGTACGCCCTGTCCAGGGGCCGGGACCGAGCGACTTGCCTTATCACTGGAGGTGCTAACAAAGGCAACAATACCACGGATTGGCAGCCCCATCTTCAGTGCTAAATCCGCGGTGGTCAAGACTTGCAGGCCACAACCCTGGGATTCCATGAAGCCATTGCGAGTTGTGGTAGTTGGCCTCGACATCTCACTAGGTGCACGCCCTCGTGCGGTCTCATCAAGTGAATTGGTTGTTGCTTTCATACTGGCAAACTCATACGAAGTCTCCGACGTGAAATCGTCACATCCTCCCACTAAACAAAATTTGGCTTTTCCGGTCACAATTGTGTCATAACCAAGCTCAACAGACTCAACAGCTGTTGCGCAGGCGCCCACAGGTGTTCGAATAGGACCGCTAGCCGAAAGCAGAAGCATATTGACCCAGGCACTGATCGTGTTGACGAAGGTCTCTTGAAGGATGTCACTTTGCACTTCTTGCCCCGTAAATCGGTCGTTGAACATCTTGCCTAGAGAGGTACTACCTCCCATGCCGGACCCAATGCAGTTGCCAACATCAGAGACGTGGATATACTGATAGAGCTCGTAAGGATCCGTGATACCCGACGAGAGCAACGCTTCCACCGTACAAACGAGTGTGTATAGCGTCAGTCGGTCCACCTCGGATATGATTTGATCTGGCAAACCATAGGTTCGAGGATCCCAGCCAGTAGGAATAAGACCGGCGACAGTACGGTCAAACTGCATCGCACGAGGAACGAACAGTCGAGCTCCCTTACGTAACTGAACTTGATACAGATCAGCAGTCGATGTCTTTTGCACCGTGACAAGTGCGCCATGTTCGCGACGCATTTGGTCAGCAAGCGCCTCCGGTACACAGAGAGGCTCGAGGTCTGCCTGTAGGATGATCTCATGCAGGAATTGCTTTTTATTAGGGTCGTATCCGTCACAAAGCTCAGGCTCAATGAAACGAATTCCAGAATGAGCCAGGATCTTCTCTTCGTAAGTTGTTTTGATCGCGCTGTCAGCTACCGGTTGTTTGGTTTTGGCATCAACCCAGCCCGAATATGGTTGGTTGTCAATAGTACCAGAGAAGTGACGAATGAAGCCCATCAGCCAGGCCATTTCTACGGCACCTTCTAGCGAAAACTTTCCGTGAGCTTCCATTTCCCATCGTGTCCTGGCATTGCCATGCGGTCCTAGCTCTGCAAAACCCGTGATGACGACTGTTCGGTGAAGATCGATCATTCCCCGTAGATCATCACCTAGGGGCGCTATATCGCGATCATAGTCGAGGACTTGAGGGAAGTCGAGCCGAACATGCGCTCGCTCCTCTAACTCAGACACAGGTTCAGCTTGCTCTCCTGGGGTTGACCACTGAGATTCGATGAGATCTTCTTGAAGCATAGCAATCTTAATCTCGCTTTCCTCCTTCATCTCCCGTCGCAGCTTGCCTAAAGCTTCTGGCAAGTTGGCAACCTGAGCCATACCACCTGTCAGATCAGCGTAGACCGGAGCCTGCTGACAGAGATCGTACATATCACCAACGCACAAGCAAACGAGGGCATAGGCCATTTCCTCTTGAGAAAATGTGCGCATGCCAGCCTTTTCGATTCCTGCTGCCACGAGATCATTTTGGTTCATGAGTCCCGTGCCCCGAGTCCAGCCGATCACTGCTCCACAGATGGAGAGATAATCCTGCCAATCCTCGGAATGCCAGCGGTTAAAGAGGGTTTCCAAAGCCACTTTTGATTCGCTATAGAGACCATCTCCTCCGAACGTGCCGTGGTTGGGGGACAGCGGTAATAGCACTTGGGTGGGATGGGTGCGATGACCGAGGGTCTCTTTGTTGGTCTTTACAGTGCCCAGCAACCGCAACAGATTGGTCAACATGATGCGATGCGCTAGTTCGGACTTGGAGTCGATTGAGTCCAACGTCCGGCCAGCCTCACTGATAGCCGCAAAAGGGATAAGATAGTCCAAATCCCAACCAAGTCCACTTTTCTCGTCGTATACATACTCTACCAAGGCAGAGATGTCCTGGGAACTTCCCTGATTGAATGGCACAACAACAAGCTCTGATCCACGTGCTCCATGTTCAGTGTACAACGCTTGATACTTTGCCGCTACATGTGAAGACATGGACGAAGTCGTGACAAGCACCCGAGCTCCTCCTTGGAGGAAATGAACAATCATGGCGGCTCCGATGGAGCCAATGCCAGCACCTGTGATCAAGACCGTTTGACCACTAAAAGTGTCGCCCTGTATCTCTACATCATGAAGGACCTGGTAAAGGTGACGAGTAAGACCTTCGGAGTAGTCCCATTGAGAGGCACTTCTTTGTTTTAGATGGAGGTATGGCTCAGAATTCACCAAAGGGCTTTTGACGAGTCCCGACCTGGGAAGAGCAAGATTGGCAAAATGGGACGAATCTTGTCGTGGTCTTTCTGTGTACTGAAGCTTTCCCTGATTATCGACGGTTGTGAACGGGACCAGCTGCCGAGGGGCGCCTTTGAATGTCGGGCCTGACAGTAAGTTACTTGTACAATCGACTTTCAATGTCTCAAAGATTGATTGTGTGAGGCGGCGATCTTCCAATCGAAAGATCATCTCATCCAACATTGGCAAAATGGTCTTGTCAGCAGCATTGGCGATATGATAGCACCGCTTTACTACAGCATCATGATCCAGCGTACTAGAATCTTCGATGGTTGTTGTATATTCAAAGAGCTCCAGTAAGCTCTGTCGTGCCCAGTTCCAAGCAGAGTCATAGCTTCGGATCCTTTTAGCATCAAAACGTGGTCGAATACCATTCGCATAGTCTGAACCGTGCTCTGTGTTCCAGAGATCAAGGTCGGCTTGTAATCCGGTAACGACTTCTTCGCGCAAGGTTTCCAGCGCCTGTTGGTCTGCCTCTAGATCAATTCCCAAGTGCTTCGCATACGTCTCGAGCAAGCGTCTTGACAAAGTTTCTTGGGACTCGGTCACGGCCCGGACCGCTTCTGAGTCCATCATGACGCCACTGCCGGCGCTGACGACATGCGATGCATCAGGCTGGACCAGAGTCAAACCTTGTCGTTTAGCATATGTTTGAGCAACATTGGAAATAAAATCGCGCGCTTCGGAATCAGTGGCAATCCGGTTTGTGGGTTGCAAGGTGACGGCACAGAGCAAGCAGGCATCCTGGCGACCTGATTGCAGTCCCCACTGGGTGCCCAGCTGTTCCCTAGCAGTAGCCGCAGTAAAGTTACTAGGCATTTTAGTAGTAAAAAGGTTATTGATCATGGCAGATGTGACCTTTCCCAGGACACCCTTGTGGCTGGACTGAATTTCTGGTCCAACTTGACCTAGGGGCAGGTCCTCGGCACGATCTGGCAAGTTGCCAAATTCGCTATGCAAATCGCCAATGATTTCATTTTCCAGAGTCGACCTGCCTAAATTGAAAGCATATATTGATTAGCATTTCGATTGCAAATGGACAAGTTTTCAGCAATATACCTTCGGCTAAAGCCTTGATGGACTTGCTCCCGTCAATATCAGATGCCGCTCGCTTCAATGCCCTGGCAACAATTGCGAAAATAATATCCTGGACTTGAATACTTTGGTCTTCAATGCTCACAACTTCAACGTGAACCCTTGGTGCCGGTAGAGCTGTTGTTGTCACCTCCACAGTGACCGTGGGGGCTGGTTCTCCTAGTGTGGGTGAGAGGGTTTGCGTTTGCGTTTGCGTTTGCGCTTCTGGCTGTGTCTGTGTCTGTACTGGTGTAGCTTGATCCATTTTTTCATTGTAATAGATGTCCTCTATATCTTTCTCAGAATGAAGAAGCTGTCGCGGAGCTGGCAAAGCGCATTCTTGTGTTGGATAAATTGTGTCGATGGTTTTGCGGAACATGCCGAGCAGTGTTGCACTGGGACCAACTTCAATGATGCGTTCGCCTTCATTTCGAGATAAAATCACATCTTGAGTTTCGATCCATCGCACAGGAGAGGCAAATTGGTACCTGATGAGGTGATTTACCGGTTAGCCAACTCTGTCTACTGGTGAACCAAAACTACTCACACCATCAACTCCATCAGAAGTGTGCGGGCGAGCTTTCGCTCTGTATCGGCGTCAATCATATTCGTAGATCTGCCTTCCTTTTCCTTCGTTCCAGAGACTGGACTGCAAACACTGCGGAGGGAACCTGTCGTCAAAGTTCGTTGGGAGAGCCTCTTCTTTTGCTGCAAGCTATCTGCGGCTTACGCATGGACAGCTGGTCCAAATACTGTTTAGAGCCGAGTATTAATCTATAATTCTGGCCAAAGTATTCCACATGGAAACAGCCATTGTTCCTCCAGCTGCGGTATCATGTGTATTGTTACTTGACGCAAGTGTAAGGTAAGTATGTAATAAAATCCTATACGGTACATATGTAACAAAACATGTATTATACTCATGTATCGATAGTTGTGTATTATCAACGAAAAAGTCTTCTTTTACCTGATACGGTTAGCACCGTATTCTAGTGATTCCGCCTATAAGCCATGGTGGACTCTTCGGGAATCCGGAGTGATTCCGGTTTAAGCTAGAGCATTGGGCCAAAAAGCCAAGAAAAGCGCTAGCGGGCCGCCCGCAAGTGTACTCTGACTTCCCCTTCTTCCTTTGAGGGATTATGCTGAATTCTGAAATCAAACAAAGGTCCCACTTATGTCAGATCAATTGCGAGAATCTATGATGGTCATATCGTTTTCCCTTAAATTCTCTTTTTCAACGCCCGAAGGAACAATCGTGTCATCTAAAATATACTAATGCTTTATCGTGGCTTTGCGCTAAAGCACGCAGAGTGCAGATTTTGCAGCTTACATCGCGGACATAAGCATAAACGTGTAAATCCTTTTGTTTTCTTTCTAAATTAACCCCCTGACCAGTGGACAGTATGTAAGCGAAAGGCCCGAGCATTTTTACCCCCGATCTCATTCCTCAGCATCGGCCACTGGCGCCACGGGCCAAAGCCAGTCATTATCATTGGTAGTCAATCCCTTTTGCACCGACAATAACGCACTTGAAAGACGTTGGCAAGCCTCACCAGGTCCGTCCACAGAGTAAGTGAATACATCTCCGGTAGATCTCCGGGTGATCGATTTGATTGGAACCACCATCGCCGCTGTTCCTGCAGCCAATATTTCTATGAAATGTGGCAATTCAAGGTATGGAATCTGCACAAAAGACAGGATTTAGTAACTCATGGAAAATTTTCAATTTTAGCAGGGAGATATAACAACATACCGGTCGCAACTCTACAGCCCACCCAAATGACCGTGCCAATTCCACGCACGATGTACTGGTGACACTCTTCAGAATGGATGGAGAGCTGGGGACGACCAGAGTGAATGAGTCTCCAGTCTTTTTCAGTCCCAGAAATCCTGAAGTGCTGAATTCATCAATCTGCGATTGCGTTCGGCTGTCGAGGTGCAAGGTGATGTGGAACCCTTCTGCGCGGGCTTTGTCACTCCACTTCAACACAGGCGCATAGTTGCCTCCGACCTTAACGTGACCAACACCTTGAGGTGCAGCTCGATCTAGTTCTTCCAGCACAAGCGCAGGCAATGGTTGGACTCCGTGATACGCCTTGTATGGCTGCACATACACACAGAACCGATAACCGGTACCCGCAGACACGGCAAAGAAGGCTTCAGAGCCAAAGACTAAGGGTCGGATGTATAACGCGGCATCAGAGTCATGAGGAGGAACATACTCGGCATTGCGGGCGACCGCTAGGTTAATGCTAGCAAGAAAAACATCTTCGGGGATTGTGGGAATGGCGATGGTCGAACAAGACAGAGCTAGACGAGCTGCATGATCCTTCGGTCGAAAAATTTGGATCTGGCCTTTAGGGTCACGGTATGCTGCAGGGAGGAAGCATCAGCGATGAAATGGAAAGCACGGAATGTGAAAAATCAAACCTTTCATGCCTTCAAAGGCTTGTTGGCCTTCATCAAAATAGTTAGTTACCGAAAATGTGGTCTTTGCAGTCGGGCAATTACCGTAATTGAGACCTGGTGCGAGCCCATGGACTTTGATAAATGGATCTTCCACGAAATGTGGCTTTGACCATTCTCCAGTTGCGATTGAATACTCTGACTCAACATGACCATAGACTTGAGTTCGGGGTCAGTAAAGATCACAAAGGGAGAATCAGTTGAGTGACGAACCGTCCATGGGAGCAACACCCAGCTTGTTCCATTCTGCAACGTCCGAGCAACTTAGTACCAACGACAACCCAGAGTGCATCTACACCAAATAGAAACGTACCTATGGATGCAAGAGGGGGTGGGGGAAAAGATGCCATTGAAACGATATGCTGGTCAAGCAAAATTGGGATAAAAAGGAATAAGGAGGCTCAAGAATATGAGGACGAAGATGCCGATTATACTTACAGTTCGCAATAGGAAGACGTGACTGTCCGTATATCTGTTTGCTTATGGTCCATTTTCCTATTCTAGAATCAATTGCGTATATTCGCGTATATTCGCCTGCTCGGTGTTAGCTCGGTCTAGCACATCATGAAGATATTCGCGCCGCTCCATCTACGATAGTCTAATGCACAGCCCCAGCCAATGTTACATCGCTACATCTTGATTGAAGCGCTAAGAATTACATTTGGAGTTGGATCATTAAGCTGACATGGCACGAGAATACCATCTGCAATTATGCAGTGGAGACTCTTCTTGGGTTGTATTTTATTCCACCAGTCAATACCTTCGGGCTTTGCAGCTTGAGGCTGAGAATTCCGTAAGCAATATGAATCAGCCCTAAAAAGCCAAGCGTACATGGAACTTTTGTTTTGAAATAATTAAAAGAGAAAAAAAAAATAGATGAAGGTATTCGTATGACTCTCTTTGCTTACCATACACATTTCGATACATACAGGATTGCTGATCGAGCGTATGCCGTTTATTTCATTTGTACGTGTTTAACTTGACGGTACACTTACAGAGTACACAGGACGTAAGCAGGACAGGAGAAACAGCATCAGACAAGGAGAAGGTCAGATGGGGGCAGAAATTTTAATTTAGTATTCCCAGCCCTGTAACGGCGTGCAGGGTGAGAAATCGAGCTGGGGGAGCCGGAGATCCATGCACAGTAAGACATATCCATCCCCATTTCGCCCTACTGTGGTAGTAAATTGCACTGGAGCACTCGAAATATCTCTTCAATATCACTTCCTTGGGCCATTCTGTCTTTTTTTTCAATTCCAAAGCCCCATTCATACCTCAAATGGATGCACCCCAGCTTGAAGCTACGCAGTGCCAATGGTCTGCATCAGCCTCAGTGTCGCCGGCATCGACTCCGCCAACCCCATGGGAAGAAGTCGAGCCATGTTGCCCGGTGTTTGAGGATGTCATTCTCCACGTGGATAACATCGTATGTGCTTTAAAAATGCCCCGAGGGGTTGCTCGCAGGGGCCAGGAGCTCGTGCAGCAGTTCGTTTCAACGACGGCCGCTCTGGATCCCTTGTCTACTTTGGAATTGTGCTGCCTGTTCATGCAATTCATCATGCAAGGTATCACGCAGGGCAGACACGGAGATCTGGACATATCTGTTCTCCACCAAGCTTTAAACACGGTGCATGTCGATCTCCTGCAGAATGAGAATATCCACACCTTCCTTGCGTTGATGAAGCAGGACAAGAGCCGAGATCGACTCATCTTGAAGGCTTATTTCCAAGCATGCAGGGAAACAAGGTCACCTTGTGCTGTGGGGATCAGTAGTCTCCTGGCCGATGTCGATCGCGGGAGTGCGCAGATCTTTGCTCTGTTCAACGGACAGGGCGTCGAGTCTTATTTTGACGAGCTGCTGGCGGCTTACGACGTCTATCAACCCCAGCTAGCTTCTTTCATTCACACGGTTTCCAATCCACTCATACATCTGGCCCGTGATGCTCGATTCAATGCTTTGTTCCCACACGGATTAGATGTAGAGCAATGGCTTCGAGAACCGGAATCTCGTCCAAGTTCTTCTTACCTCACCAGTGCCTCCGTGAGTTTTCCGCTGATTGGGCTCTCTCAATTCCTGCAGTATGCTATTGCATGTGTCAACCTGGATCAGTCACCGGCAGAATTACGCCATATCTTTTCCGGCGCTATTGGTCACTCTCAAGGAATTGTGGTTTCGTCTTTCATTGCCGCTGCCGATTCCTGGGATTCACTCTGCAATGCAGCCCAACAGGCGGTGGAGTTACTCTTCTGGATTGGCTCTCGATGCCAGCAGCAGTTGCAGGGTGTATGTCCTGTTCTGATTCCATCCAGCTGCATGCTCAGCGTCAAGGGTCTCTCTGAAGTTGATCTTCAGCGTCACCTAGATCAACTCAACCTTCATTTGCCAAATGAAGAGGCAGTCTACCTGGCCTTGGTAAATGGACCAGAACAGTTCGTTGTCGCTGGATTACCTCACTCATTGCGCGCCTTGGAGCAGAAGATCAGCTCAGGCCAACAACAAGCCAAGGCTGTGAAGCCAATTGCCTCTAGCAAACTTCGACCGGTAGTACACACTAAACTTCTGGCCATCACGGCTCCCTTTCATTCACCTTATCTCCAAGGAGCGGAGACTCAGCTTCAGACTGACCTTGCTGAATTCTCATTATCTGGCTCACAGCTGGCGTTCCCTGTGTTCCACACCGAAACTGCAGAGAACCTGCAGACGTTTGATAATATTGTTCCCCACTTAATCAAGATGATTTGTACCCAGCGAGTTCAATTTGAAAAGGTCATCAACAACAACTTGACCGGAGTAACACATGTCCTTGACTTTGGTCCAGGTGGAGAGATTGGCATGGGAAGTCTAGTGAACTACCAGCGAGAGGGCACGGGACTACGAACTCTGGTTCTGAGTGCGGCCCGAGGAGTCACTCACGGTGACTCTTCTGTTGTGGGATTTGCAAGTGAGCTGTATGCCCACAACAAACCAACTATCTTCAACTCTGTGTGGGGAGACGACTATTCGCCGCGCCTGATGCAGCTTACTGGTGGATCTCACTTGGTCGACACCAATTTCAGTCGGCTATTAGGAGTTCCACCTGTTATGGTTGCCGGCATGACCCCGACAACGACTTCCTCGGAATTTGCAGCAGCTGTTATGAACGCTGGATATCACGTTGAGTTGGCTTGCGGAGGATTCCCAGACCCCGACAGCATGCGTCGTGGGATCTTAGCCACGGCAGCTGCGATTGTCCCCGGCCGCGATATCACTTGCAATGTCATATACGCCAACCCTCGAGCCATGTCCTGGCAGATCCCCCTTCTAGTGGAGCTCAGCCATTCTGGTGTTCCTATCACGGGATTGACCATCGGTGCAGGAATTCCCTCAGTGGAGGTTATTGAAGGATATTTGGCCGATCTATCATTGAAGCATTTGGCCCTCAAGCCAGGTTCCAAAGAAGGCATTGATGGTGTTTTGGCCATTGCCCGGGCAAATCCCACATTCCCAATTATCTTGCAGTGGACAGGCGGTCGGGGTGGTGGTCATCATTCATCTGAAGACTTCCATGAACCGCTCTTGGACCGATACGCACAGATCCGCACGCATCACAACGTGATTCTCGTTGTGGGAAGTGGCTTCGGTGACGCCGATCAGACTTATCCCTACTTGACCGGTTCCTGGTCCCAAAAATTCGGGTGTGCATCCATGCCGGTTGATGGCATCTTGCTGGGTAGCCGTGTTATGGCCGCGAAGGAAGCACAAACCAGCGCGGCCGTGAAAGAAGCTATTGCAGCCACCCCCGGTATTGCGAATGAAGACTGGCAAAAGACTTACCAGGGAAATGCCGGTGGAATTATCAGCGTTCGCTCTGAGATGGGCGAGCCAATTCACAAGCTGGCAACCCGCGGCGTCATGTTGTGGGCCGAATTGGATAAGTCGGTATTCTCTCTGCCACGAAACGAACAGAAGGCCGCTCTGCTTGCCCGCAAATCCTACTACATCAAGTGTCTCAATGAAGATTTCCAAAAGGTGTGGTTTGGCAGAAATCTCCATGGTGAAGTGATCGATCTGCACGAAATGACCTACGCTGAAGTCTTTTCACGCATGATCGAGTTGCTGTACCTCAGGGTGTCTCAACAATACATCGATCTCTCATGGAAAACCTTGGTATGGGATTACACTCACCGGCTGGAGGAAAGACTTGGAGGAAAGGACCAGCCTGGCCTTCTCCGCCGTCTAGAGCAGCTGGACGATCCAGAACAATTCCGGGAAGTCCTTTTCGCCCAGTATCCTCAGGCGTGTGTCGACGTGTTGACAACCGCCGATGTGGAGTACATCCACTTGCTTTCTCGTCGACGAGGGCAGAAACCAGTGCCATTTATCACACTTTTCGACGAAGACTTTGAATACTGGTTTAAGAAAGACTCCCTATGGCAGTCGGAGCGCTTGGAAGCTGTCGTTGAACAGGATGTCGGTCGCGTTTGTATATTGCATGGGCCAGTGGCTGCTCAATACACGCAGTCTGTCGATGAGCCTGTCAAAGCTATTCTCGATGGCATTCACGACAAGCACATTTCTTGGGTCCTTCGCGACAAATATTTGGGGGATCTTGCACGGATTCCCTTGGCAGAGCACCCTAACAGCCCTTGCTGGCCTATTGCAGGTGTTCATTTGGATGCAGAGCCGGATGGAAAGACAGTGAAATTCATCGTCACCAACAATCCGCCAGCTTCAGAGACTTGGCTGGAATTGCTGGCCGATACCGCTGCTTCGCCATGGTGTCGTGCTATACTCACCGACCGGAATATTGTCCAGGACAGAACAGTAGTGCAGAATCCTCTCTTGAGATTATTTGCGGCAAAATCAGGTTTGGTTGTTGAGTTTCGCAACCTACAATCCCCAAGAGAAACTGAAATTCTGCTCAAAGAGGTTCAGACTGATGTCAATGGAGCAGAGAACTTGCTAGCAGTTGCGTCACTTCGCTGTAACCATGAGGGCCTGATTATTTTGACTCTGTCTGATCGAACGGTTTCCGGTAGAATGCCGATTGATCTGGTCTTCATGTTCAACTACCAGCCTTGCGGTGGTGCCCTCGCTATTCATGAGGTGACGTCGGATCGAAACCGGCGTATCAAGCAATTTTATCAGTCAATTTGGATTGGAAAGCATGAGCTACCGGTTACTTCCGACTTTGTATTCCGGGGTGAAGACATTGTTCTAGACCGGAAGACAATTTGTCGATTTGCACAAAGCGTATCAAATCGAAACCCTGTCTATTACAACTCTCGCTCAAATGGTTTAATTATGGCTCCACTGGACCTAGCTATTGCAGTAGCTTGGAAGCCCCTCATGAGCAGCGTGTTCCCTGATGTCGCTTCCGGGGATTTCCTTCGCTTGCTTCACCTCAGTGCAGGGTTTGAGCTTTGTGATGGAGTCGCGCCATTGCAGGAGGGAGATCGTCTTTCATCAGACGGTCGTCTCGTCTCTGTGATGGTGAAAGCAGGATCTGGTAAGGTCGTGGAGGCAGAAGCAACCATCTACCGTGAATGCATACCGGTAGTCCGCTTGAAGAGCAAATTCATTTTACTTGGGTCCTACCCCGAAAATGAAGAAACCTTCGAAATTCGAGAGGAAAAGTGGCGGCTGCCTTTAGATTTGAAGAAGCATGTAGCTCTTCTTCAATCAAGACCCTGGTTCCACGCGGAAGGCAGAGTCGATTTGCTGGATCATGTCCACCACACGTTGGATGTTCATACAACGAGCCGCATTTGCTATACAGCCGCTGACTCCGCCCCTCGGCTCGAGGTTGAGGGTCAGATAATCTGGAAATCAGGTTCAACATCGGAAGTTGAAATTCTCGGTTCGATCAATTTTTCTGCTCCGGCCATGGGTTCCCGAAACCCCGTCACAGACTACTTCGAACGACATGGGTCCTCGACTTCAAACAAGGAATGTCTCTTTGATTCACCTCAAGCTCTGATGGAAAACATTTTGGTCACCATTCCTGACGCTGGCGTCCAGTATGCCCAGGCATCTGGTGATTGCAATCCTATTCATCTGTCCAGCTTGCTTGCTAGCTATGCAGGCCACGACTCACGAGTTACCCATGGAATGTTCACTAGTGGGTATGTGCGCAGTCTTGTTGAATCGCATCTCGCCCGTAACGATGTTTCCCGCATGCGATCCTGGTCGTGCACATTTGATAGCAAGGTCTGTGCTGGGGATCAGTTATCTATTGGAATGAACCACACTGGAATGTACGAAGGAAAGATGCTCTTGAGTATCCAGGTGCATAATGTGCTCACTGGGATCAAAGTACTCTCCGCGCAAGCCGCCATTGAGCAACCAAAGACAGCATATGTCTTTACAGGACAGGGCAGTCAGCAGCCAAACATGGGTATGGCTTTGAATGACAGCAGCCTGGCGGCACAAGAGATTTGGAGGACGGCCGACGAGTTCTTTGAGAATATCTATGGTAAGCTGCAATGGAAACCTGTTTTGTGTTTTTCACCACTGAGAAATTACCAGGCTTTTCTATCACACACATTGTGCGCAACAACCCTAAAACTCTAACTGTACACTTCGGTGGATCACGAGGCCGCGCAATTCGAGAAAACTATATTTCCCTCACGTTCGATGCGGTAGATGATGACGGCAAGACTACGTGCAAGCCCGTCTTCCCCAATATTACCCGAGCAACTCGTTCCCATTGCTTCCGGTCAGTCGATGGTCTGCTCCATGAAACTCAATTCACACAGCCAGCGCTGGCCTTGATGGAGATTGCACGTTTCGAAGACATGCGAAGCCGAGGAGTGATTGAAGAAAGGAGTCATTTTGCCGGTCACTCGCTAGGTGAATATGTAGCTCTAACGGCCATGGGACGTATTTTCTCGATCCAAAAGGTTGCTGGCTTGGTCTTTTATCGGGGTCTCACCATGCAAAATGCTGTCCAGCAGGACTCACAAGGAGCCACTCAATACTCTATGTGTGCTGTTAACCCCACTCGAGTGTCGAAGACATTTACCCAGAATGACCTTACATGGTGCGTGGCAGAAATTGCGCGACAGACTGGAGGGCTACTGGAGATTGTGAATTACAATGTCAGTCACCTCCAGTATGTATGTGCCGGTGATGTAAGATTTTACTCCTTGTCATTTTTCTACGTCGGCTAACAATTCAAAAGCTCCGGGGACTGGCAACGTTGACACAGCTCATGGATGCATTGGCGTCGCATTCGATGAGTACACAGTCAAAGCCGGAATTACAGCACTTCATCCAGCAATCCCTAGAAGTATTGGACAGCCGAACAGGACCAGTGATTCTCCAACGAGGTCGGGCAACTATTCCCCTCAAGGTGAACGTACCATTCCACAGCAGCCTTCTTCGCCCTGGTGTCCAGTCTTTCCGACAGTTCTTGAGTCGCAATCTGGCCGAGTCTTCCATCGAGCCTGAGCGACTGGTAAATAAGTACATTCCTAATCTCACTGCGAAACCGTTTGAACTGTCCAAACCGTACGTTGAAAGTGTACTTGCTCTCACTGACAGTCCTGTGTTGGAGAATCTCGTCTGCAATGTGAGTTTTCTCTATTCTGCCACAGCTCTCTCTTCTTGTTGCTAACGATTTCAACTTGTAGTGGGAATCCATGATTGATGGAAAATACGATAAAAAGTCTCTATTTCCTTGGTAGAAGTTAACATATGTGTTCTTTTTCCTGTTATTAGTGCACATGCGATATAATAAAAATTGAATCTAAAATCCATCTTATTGTTCCTGTAGGAAACGTATAGCTATCCATACAGCGTAAACACTGTTACCTTGGTTGAAATTGAAGCTACTTAAGGATGGGCAAAAGGAGCGTTCGACACAGAAATTGAACTAAATCGAAAATCAGGCATGAAATGGTAGACCAAACATCAGTGATGTGTACAAAGAAATATTAGACATTTTATAATTATCCTTATATGGATCTTGAGAATGACTCTGCCACCGCGGGATATACGTGAAGAGTCACCTGGTTGCCTGCCACGTCCTTATCATTGGTTAGGCCCGATATATATTTCTTCAAATTTCACAAGTTCATTCAAATGATACTTTTCCGGTGTTCAGGACATTCAAAGTCAACTTTGATTTTCATCTAGGACCAGGACATTACGTTCTCGAGCTTTCGGGCTACCAAAATATATCTCCATTATTATTATCAACGCTCCTTTGGCTTCCAAAAACCGATGAATAAATTCCGAGAGCTACTCTGAAGGTATAGATTTTGGAGATCTACATACAGTAGGAGCTTTTCAACCTTAACAACAGCAGGTCATACCAGTAGCCGTATCATTAGCATAACTCCATCGGACACAAAAAATAATGCTTCAATAAAACTTACGTGTTCAACCTCCGAACATCGAAGTCCAATCCATTATTGCTTCCAGGGCCTAAGAAGCTACAGCCCCCAGAAGTTAGCAGCAAAAAGCTTTCAATCTAACAAGACCCACAAATCCCTTTGACATCTCGCTCCTAAGTCTTACACCCTACCATATTCCGAAGAAGCCCGAGCTGAGACAAATGCAATGCAGATAGCCAGATTCCTGGGAACTGTTGCCCGGCTCTCGTAAGACTCATTCGTTTCGCGTTCCCCACTTAGAACACGAGGTGGTTCTTCTGGGTGACATCGGCTCAGTGATGCCAACGATCTGGCTCGTGGGAAGGGGGGCGTAGTTTGATTGCATACGGCATTCCATATGGCATTGCATGATCGGGTTCTAGAAAGTGGATAGACCATATGCAGGACAGTGGATGAGTTTAGTGAGTCACCTGGAGTATGCGGCATTTCGCAAGCCGATACGAGGCTGCTCTTTCCTATAACGTATAGTTCAGACGAGCAGAGCAATCTAAAGCTGCTAAATGCGCCTTGCTGAAGAGTTAGTGCTTATACCAGGGCCGCCTTAATTGGATTCTGGATACATTCGCCATTCATATAGATCGTTCCACAATGAATGGTACGTTGGCCTTTCTGATATGTTTCAGCCTCGCACGCTTGGGTATGTTGGCTTGATTACGGTTCTAACAATCTGACATAAACTATCTTCCACGATATATTTTTTGATATACAGTTGTATCAATCGTATTGGATGTATTGTGGTACCATAATGTGTATTATATACCGTAGAATTTGTGTACCGTGGACAATACCATGTGTATTCGCTCGTCGTAAGCTAACTATGTGGGTATTAACCATTGATTTGAGAAGTAGTATGATCCGAAGCCAAAAAAAAAGAAAGAATTATTAAATAAAAGAACGAATTGACTAACTTATATCCCTGTAGCCATCGGTTAGACCGATCCACGTGGAGAGAGAGTAGTATTATGGACTGTATTTCTAATTGACCTGCATTGTGTGCGCATGAACCAAGTAGAGGCCCGCGTGCATTCGATCTTCCCCTCGCTTTTTATTTATTCTCCGAGCCTTTGACGATCATAGTCATTTACTGTCTGTACTGGTCCTCATGATGGTCTTTCCTCAATGGATCTCCCAGCTTGCCATCCGGATCCTGGTCCTGGGGCTGGCGGCACTGATAATTCATGTAAACTTCCCTCAGATTTGTCTCTCCGCTGCTATATTGACCAGGACTAATATGTTCATTTAGGTCGTGGTTGTGATAACTTATCGAATATTCTTTCACCCTTTGGCAAAGTATCCAGGACCAAAGCTGGCGAAGATTAGCAATCTTTACGCCGGATATCACTCATGGAGAGGTGACCTTCATGTGGACATGCTAAGATGTCACGAGGAATATGGTGAATTTGTTCGATATGCACCAAATGGCATTTTGGTCAATACAGCCAAAGGACTCCATGGTATGTACTTTGATTTGGGAAATGAAGACTGTATGTTAATCAAAGTGGAAACAATTAGATGTATACGGCCATGGCAAAAATTTCCAAAAGTCTCAGAAATATGCAGCGATGGTTCATCGAGCACCCAATACGTTGACGGTGATTGACAAGAAGAAGCACGGCAAGAAAAGACGAGTCATTAGCCAGGCCTTCTCGGATAACACACTCAAATCATACGAGGGTGTAATCCTTGAGCAAGTTCAACATTTGTGTAACGCGTTGCGAAAGGGCAGTGATAGTCAACCAGTTTCAGTTGGCTCATTTTCGCCCGTGAAGGATCTTGGCCACCTGAGCGATTATTTCACCTTTGATGTGATGAGCAATGTGATCTTCGGAGTTCCTTGGAGTTCTCAGCGAGATCCGAGATATCGATTTGTTCCAGATGTTATTGAGAAATCTAACGTGCGCGTCGGCGCATTGTCCCAGGCGCCCGAGCTAGCCATTCTGAGACTTGATAAGTACTTATTTCCAGAGGCAATCAAAGCCCGGGATAAGTTCATTCATTTTGTTGAAGAAATGCTTCGCCAGGGAATTCAAGCAGCAACAAAGTCGGGAAAAGGGGCTTTCGCAACATTGAGCAAAGCGATCGACCCCGAGACTGGCCTGCCTCTTCGGATGAAGGAACTAGCAGGAGAAAGTGCCACTCTCATCGTTGCTGGTAAGCAAAAAGCAGGGATATCATTGAATCTTTTGCTAATCAAGTTCTAAAAAATAGGCACTGATACGACCTCAACAGCCTTGGCTGCTTGCTTCTTCTATTTGACACACCACCCCGATGCACTTACACGGGCCATGGCCGAAGTCCGCAGCGTATTCAACGCTCCGGATGAGATTGTTATGGGCACGAAAATGCATCAATGTGTGTTCCTGCGTGCTTGTATCGAGGAGAGTATGCGTCTATCTCCCTCAGCAGCGAGTGCTTTGTGGCGAGAGGTGACCGATAATGGCGCTGAGGTGGACGGTGAATATCTTCCACCCGGAGTAGACGTGGGTACCTGCATTTACAGTATTCATCACAATCCCGTCTACTATCCTAGGCCTTTCACATTTTGCCCTGAGAGATGGATTCCCAAGGAAGCCCAGCTCATCCAGAGCGACGTTGAGCTGGCCCGGTCAGCCTTTAATCCTTTTTCTATTGGACCCCGGAGCTGCATTGGCAAAGGGCTGGCGTATGTGGAACTGCATCTAGTACTATCTCATGTTCTCTGGGCATTTGATGTACGCCGCGCACCAGGGGAGTTGGGTCAGGTTGGCGAGGGCAAAGAAAATGGTCCTATTGGGCGACAAAGGGTCAATGAGTTCCAGCTGTTCGATCATCTAACAGCTGCCAAGATAGGACCATTCCTGCAGTTCAAACCCCGTGTATAGGTGGCGCAGGTCAAACGAGCTCCCTGGCTACCGTCGCGTCATTTTAAGGCCGTCATCAAATGCTCAGAAAGATTGTTGTTTCTGCTTGAAGTGGTTGAGAAGTGCAGCATCATTAAACAGCCAGATTGAGGCCGGTTGTACAGCTTATCGATAAAATTGTACTGAAATTTCTAGACTTTTAAACTCTACAGTACGCTACTTTCTTTTCCTCCTTCAGAAAAAGAAGAGGTTATATAAGCCAAATAAGTCCCACTGTAGTTCAAGATTTCAGGACAAATAAAAAATGCCCGGAGCGTGTATTGCGTTCAACAGTCAAACAGAAGACCCAGAGCTACTGTTGCTGTGGATAGTGAATACTTCATCTCAATTAAGTCCGTGCCAGGGCTTTCCGAGGTTTCCATGCAGTCAGACTTGCCGCTTCCACTGTTCCAGCTGCTGCACTGAATCACGTAATCAGTTTATTTTTTATTGAGGCACTGTGCATATTGCATTACTGCACTAGCTTATTATGACCGTAAGTTATAGCATGGTTACCCAACGTAACATTAATGGTTATAAAATACACAATACGAGCAATAATACTAGTGGTAAACAAGAGATCAAAACAAGAGATTAAAATACGTTTTCATACGCGTATCAATTACATGTAATAAGTTTCAACTAGTCGGCACAAATACCCATACATAACAGCCATTGTGACTGTCTGCTGCTTACTTTGACCACCTAGTGGGAGTGCAATGGGGACAATTCATTTCGGACGCGGCGAATTTCAATCACACTAATGCAAGGTAAATGGAACTAAGGGAAAATTAGAATTAGCCAGATTGACAGGCAAGCGACCACGAGGTCAGAGACCGAAGGAGAGAGGCTTATGGAACTAGTTCCACATTTTCTATATACATCCCTCGCTTGAGACAGACTACAATCTCCAAGGGCGAAGCCAGTGAGAAAAAGTGCTGTTGTATCTAGACATCCTGAGCTGAACCGACATTCACAACATCGGTTACCATGATCAACACAGTCGACTTTTCAGCCATGGAATGCAAGTTTCCTGCACTGCATTCAGAGGATCTTGGAGATGGATCCCCAATTGTGAATGCAAATATTTCCATCGATCTGCCATCGAAAGATTTCCAAAAGTGGCTGCACGAATTCAGTCGCAACCATAATGTCACTCTGCCCGACATTTTTCTTGCCTTATGGGGCCTAATTCTGAAAACTTTCACTGGAAATGGAGCTGTTTGCATGGCTTCCATAGTCGACCAGAATGATTCTGACCTGGTATTTGGAGATGTAGACGGGGATTTCACAATGATCCAATTGGTTCGCTTGTTCGCAGATGGAAAGCAGCCCATTAAAGATTGCACGTCGGAGCTTCCCTGCAACTCGGCCGTCTACTTCGCATGTACCAGCGAAGTAAACTTCAACATTGCTCAAAAAGTTAGTACGGCTACAATTCTGTTGATCAAGGCTAGAAACTAACGTTGCGTGCTAGTTTCAAGTATCTTTGCAAGTCGTGGATGGGCGTGATGGGATAGAACTGTCTCTCGTTCACGAAATATCTCATATTGCACCATCATTTGCAAGGCATGTTGCCTACGCAGTCAGCCAGCTGCTTTGCGAGCTTGAGCTTGATGCGAGCAGACAAATATCGCAGATCAATCTCATCCACCCGGAGACTGGAAAGCAACTCCAGACCTGGGGCAGCAACCTTCCTAAAGCAGCAGAAGACTGTGTGGGTCATCTATTTGAAGAGACAATTCAACAAAGACCGTTGAATGAGGCAGTGCGGACAGCCGAGGTCGTCTTGACTTATGAAGACTTGGATCGCCTCACTGAACGTCTTGCTATCTACCTGCAGACTCTGGCAGTAGAACCGGAAAGCGTCGTAATCTTATGTTTCCCAAAGTCTGCCTGGGCCATTGTGGCCATGATGGCTGTCATACGTGCTGGTGGCGCTATATTGTTTCTGGATCCTTCACATCCCACTGCTCGGCACCAAGAAATTGCGGACCAAGTGAACACAAAATGGATTTTGACCACGCCAGAGTACGCTGCGCAAATGGAGTGGTTCGAGGGTGAGATTATTGGTATCAACCGTGACTTTGTGGACAGTCTCGGGCCAATTGTCCAAGGACAGACTTTAGTCTCAACAGCCAGTCCCTCAAACACATTGTACATCATTTTCACATCTGGATCAACCGGAAAGTCAAAGGGTTGCGTCATTGAACATCAACAGTTCCTGACTGGCTCTCGTGCGCAGCAGAAAGCTTCAGGCATGGATTCCAATGACCGGGTGTTGCAACTCGCATCATTCACATTTGACGTGAGCATCCTTGAGATTATTACCTCACTGATTGCTGGTGCCTGCGTGTGTATTCCAAACGACCAACAGCGATCCCAGGGGCCTGCTTTCTGCATTCAGCAGTTTCACATTACCTGGGCTTTCCTCACCCCGTCACTGGTAAAATCGATGCATCCGAGTCAAGTTCCAACCCTCAAGTTTTTGGTACTCGGCGGCGAGGCCGTTTTGGAAGAGAACATCAAGACTTGGGCGCCACATGTGCGTCTAGCAAACGGGTACGGTCCTTCCGAGGCCTCCATTGCAGCTACAGCCAATGTCCCACTATCACTGGATACCCATCCAATGAATATTGGATACCCGTTGGGAGGTTCGTGTTGGATTGTGAGCTCTCATGATCATGATACCCTCGTTCCAATTGGCGCTCCTGGCGAGTTGGTGATCCAGGGTGCTATCGTTGCGAGGGGCTACTTCCATGAGCCCGAAAAGACAAAAGCAGCCTTCCTGGACTCGACCAAATGGATGACAGCTAGTCCCACACCATTTTCACGAATGTACAAGACTGGCGATCTGGCTCGCTTCAATCCAGATGGCACTATCCATTTCATAGGACGAAAGGATAGCCAGGTCAAGTTGCGTGGACTTCGAATCGAGCTAGGAGATATCGAACATCGTATCGCTGGTCATTCATTGGTCGGCCAAGTGTCTGTCATACTCGCGAAGGATGGCCCCTGCAAGGCCACATTGACAGCTGTGGTTTCATTGAAGGACTTCGTATCTCAGACATTGGGACTTGAATTGCTCGCCGAGGAACACTATCGCGTTGCCAAAGAACAACTCGAAGCAGTGGCAGAAGCGGTTTCCAAGCAACTGCCAAATTATATGATTCCAACGGTGTGGGTGCCGGTCTGGTCAATTCCTTTGACCGTCTCTGGCAAGCAGAATGGCGTGGCAGTTGCCAAGTACATCCAGAACATGTCCATAGAAACATATAACTTCCTCATGGGAAAAGACCATAACCTTGAGAGAGTTGGCCCATCCAACGACCGAGAGCATGAGATGGAACAGCTTTGCTATTCCATTCTAGGCTTCAGCAAGTCCGAGGACCTGTGGTTGAATAGATCCTGGATTCAAAATGGGGGTGACTCGATCAAGGCCACACAGCTTCTGGACAAGTTGCGTCGACAGGGTGTTTCCGTTGTCTTCACAGACATCATGCAAAGTGCGACCTTGATTGAGCTCGCTGAGACAATTGAGACTCGAGGTTCAGTTACCCCCCTCGCTAGTCATGCGGTTCGGAAATATTCGCCTGCGTCAGACCAGGCAAGACTATCACGAGTCGGCCTCGATATCAACTTGGTGGAGGATGTGTACGGACTTTCTGCTGTACAACGAGGAACTCTTCTAAGCCAACAGCTGAACCCCGAAAGCTATCAGCTTCGGATCACATGCGAGGTGCTGTCCTCTCCAGGATTAGAGATTGATGGGCAGCGGTTGTTGGATGCCTGGAAGCATGTCACTGCCCGGCACCCTGCGCTGCGGACCATTATGATTGAGAGTGAGACAGAGGATGGACTTTTCGACCAGCTTGTTCTCAAGGAAAGCAATCCTCGGATTGAAAAATGGAAAACGAGCAGTGAAGATGCATTTTGGCAAGCGCAACAGGAGTTCACTCGGAAAGACAATGCCCTCGAGCCACCAGTAATCTTCGTGGTGTCCACCACGAATACGGGCAAATGGTTCATTACTATTGACATTAGCCATGCACTAGTCGATGGATTATCCATCTTGATTCTGCTACGTGATCTCTGTCAAGCATATGATGGCAGTCTTCCAAGGAACCGTTCGGTTGCATTCTCTCCCTACATCGACTACGTTCAGCAACTTACTGTGGATTCTTCCTTGAAATATTGGACTCAGAACCTGGAGGATGCGACACCCTGTCACTTACCCATTCTGAACGACGATCTAGCGCTTGAGGGTCAGCAGGGCGAAGTCAAAATGGATATTGAGGAAGTTGATGCTCTATATACCCTATGTGCTGCTGAGAACTTCACACCAGCCACCATTTTTCAAGCAGCATGGGCCTTGGTCCTTCAGGCCTATACGGGGCAAGATGATGTGCTCTTTGGATACTTGACCGCAGGTCGTGAGATGCCTGTGGCTGAAATCAGTGACGCAGTTGGTGTATTCATCAACATGATGATCTATAGGATGCAGCTGTCTCCTGAAGCCACTATAGCCTCTATCACACAAGCAACCCAACAGAGCTTCTTGAACGGTCTTCCTCATCAACACTGTTCTGTCGCAGAGATTCAACATGCGATTGGTACTTCGAAGCCGTTGTTCAACACCATAATGTCACTCCAAAGTGCCCTGGGCGAGGATATATTTAGCGAAAGCGCCGAAGGCGGCATTGGCTTCAGGGTTGTTGCGGAATTGGATCCAACAGAGGTAAATTTCACTGTTCATTTCTCATCTTTGCTCGGGGCTTTACATATGTCCTTTTTCGCAGCACTTCTCCCAATATTGGACCCACTAACCTCTTTTAGTATGATGTCTCTGTAAACATTTTCGTCTCCCCGGCACGGGTTTCAGTTAATCTTCGCCATTATCGGGCATCCCTCAGTGACGGAATGGCAGAGAACGTGCTTGCCACCTTCCGTCAGGCTATCAATACTGTGATTCACAGCCATTCATCCAAACTAGCCAATGTGACAATGACAAGTGATCGTGATCAATCACAAATTGCACGTTGGAACAATAAGCAGTGGGATGACATTGAGGCATGTGTTCATGACTTGATTTCTGAACAAGCTATCAGTCAGCCACAGGCAATCGCTATTGATGCTTGGGATGGCACTTTGAGCTATCAGGAGCTGGATACAATGACCAACCACCTGGCAGAACTGCTGATTCAGATGGGCGTGAAACCAGAGTCCTACATACCAATTGGCTTTTCTAAATCACGTTGGACAGTCGTTGCCCAGCTGGCCACGCTAAAGGCCGGCGGTGCATGTGTCGCGTTTGACCCTGAGCATCCTCGGAGCCGCCGTGAGCAGATGGTACATCAGTGTGAGGCCCAAACTGCTATTGTTGCCGAGGGGTACGAATTGCTGTTCGAAGGACTTGTGCCAGATGTGATCGTTCTCGGACCAAACACTATTGGTGCCTTGCTTCAGCGCCGAAAAGTAACACTGGGCCTCTCCTCTTCATCCACAGTCAAGCCCTCCAATCCCGCATTCGTCGTCTTCACGTCCGGCTCGACGGGAAGACCAAAGGGAATTTGCTTAGAACATCACGCAATCTGCAGCAGTGCCAGAGCTCACGGCCCTGCAATGAACTACGCGGGATCTCGAGTCTTTCAGTTTGCGTCGTATACATTCGATGTCAGTATTGGTGAGACCTTCACCTGCTTAATGAGCGGTGGAACGCTTTGTATTCCAAGCGAGGAAGAGCGAATGAATGATCTCGCTGGTGCCATTAACCGAATGAACGCGAAAGTAGTTTATCTAACACCTTCGGTGGTTAGCCTGCTACATCCGTCTGATGTTCCTGGTATTTCGACCTTGGCATTGGGGGGTGAGGCCGTGAGAGAAGATAACATCGCAACTTGGGCCGATCACACCAACCTTGTCAACATATATGGCCCTGCAGAATGCTCGGTATGGAGCACTGGGCTTCAAAATGTTCAATCCTCATTTTCACCGCGCAACATTGGATATGGACTCGGTGCCAGGATGTGGATCACGCACGCGGAGAACCCAGACAAGCTTTGCTCAGTTGGCGCTGTGGGCGAGCTGCTGATAGAAGGTCCAATCGTTGCCAGAGGCTATTTGAAAGACGAGGAAAAAACACAGGGGGCATTCATTGATGCCCCAGCATGGCTCTCGCAATACCAGTCTGATTCAGCTCGACAATTCAAAATTTACCGTACTGGAGATCTCGTGCGCTACAATTCGGATGGATCCTGTCATTTTATTGGACGTCGGGATCACCAAGTGAAGCTGCATGGCCAACGTGTAGAGATGGGTGAGATTGACCGAACAATCCTGATGCATGAGCAGGTTCAGAATGCACTGGCGATAGTCCCTATAAAGGGCCGCTTTGCTGGGAAGCTCGTTGCGGTGCTAAGCCTGAATGACAAGATCCATGATATGTCCAAGACAAGTATTGAGTTGCGGGATGATATTGATGCTGATATATCCCCCATCCGAGAATGGCTTACAACAAGATTGCCTTCCTACATGATACCTTCAACTTGGCTTATCGTTCACTCCATTCCTGTAACAAGAAATGGCAAATCAGATCGCCCGTCGGTTGTCAATTGGGTTCAACAGTTGGAACAGACCGCGGATAACTTCGAGTCAACCGTTTCTGTCAATGACACCGACAATCTACCGATGGATTCGATGGAGACAGGAATTAGAGAGATTGTTAGCTCAGTCCTCAATATTCCAGTATCCCAAGTACTCATGAACTCTTCCTTTCTGTCATTAGGAGGAGACAGTATCACTGCAATGCAAACCTCATCGCGGTCTCGATCCCGTGGCATTCAATGCGCAGTGAAGAGCATTTTGAAGAGCAAATCACTTCGTCAGATTGCAAAAGAAGCAAAAGTCATCACGAACTCCGCTTCTTTGGCCAAAACCGAGGGGTCAGCTTTCCGTCTGCTACCGAATATGCATCCATCTGATCTTGATCAGCATGTAAAGAAACTGGGATATGCGGGCCTGTCTAGCATCGAAGACGCGTACCCTATCTCGCCGATGCAGGCCGGTATCCTAATCAGCCAAGCTCAAGCCCCAGAGACGTACAAATTTTCGGCTGTTTGTGCCATTCGCACAGTAGACACGTCACAGTCACTCAACTTGAACAAGCTGCTCCAGGCTTGGAGTCGTGTTGTGGCAAGTCATCCTGTTTTGCGTACTTTCTTCATTGAAGGACTCTCTGGGGATGCTTTGTACAGTCAGGTTGTACTCAAAAAGCATGAACCTCGAGTTGAGAGAGCAATGACCCTCGAAAGTCTGCTTCAATATGATCAGGAACATCCTGTCGACTACAATGAACCTGTTCCTCCACATCGAATGACTGTGTTTGAGGACAAGGATGTACTGTACTTCAATCTGGAGCTCAGTCATACTTTAATTGACGGCGCATCGATGCCCTTGCTTCTTGGTGATATCAGAGCGGCATATGACAATCCGATCCCCCTTGGGCCTCTATACAGTGACTACATCGCTTTTTGGCAGCGCCAGCCTCGCGAGGAAACCACATCATTTTGGGCAAAATACTTGTATAACATGCAGCCAGTCATGTTCCCCTCACTGTTGCACGAATTAGCATGCAAGAAAGAGCTACGCGTGGTCAATATACCAGTCTCAGATATGATCTCTGCTCTCCAACTCTTCTGCAAGGACAACGAATTGACCATTGCGAACGTCTTCCAGACTGCATGGGCTCTCGTCTTACGATTATACACCAGAAGCTCGGACGTCTCCTTTGGCTACCTTTCTTCGGGACGCGATGCCGAAGACCTTGATTTGGATCATGCCGTTGGCCCATTTATCAATATGCTGCCCTGTCGCATTGAAGTTAACGACTCTTCCAAGTTGATTGACATTATGCGACAGATAAACAACGACTTCCTCGACTCTCTGCCATATCAACATACCTCTTTGGCAGAGATTCAGCATCATTTGCGCCTCTCCGGGGAGCGCTTGTTCAATACTACACTTTCTTTGCAACGGTCAATGATCGAATCAGATGAGAGAAGCAGTAGCATTTCGGTCCAGTACATGGGGGGTGCTGATCCCACCGAATATGACATTAGCGTCAGCATTACAGTCGGCGACAGCGACATTGATGTTGACATCAACTATTGGACTACCTTTATGTCTGACGAGAAGGCCAACATGTTGGGCTCAACCTTCAAGACGATTCTCACCAACTTGCTGGCATCGCCGACCAAAGACCTCCGCGACTTCGACTTGCTCGATGATCAGCAATATCAGTACCTGATGGCTCTTAACAACAATGGAACTGTTCCAGAGACCATCTCAGGATGCATTCATGACGAAGTACGTCGGCAGGCTTTGGCAAATCCATCTGCACCCGCGGTTGAAGCCTGGGACGCGTCATTCACGTACTCGGAGCTGGATTCGTTATCCAACAGATTGGCCGTCAGACTCGCCAACATTGGGGTTGGACCAGAGCAGATAGTTGCTCTTTGCTTTGATAAATCTGCATGGACCATAGTGGCAATGTTGGCAGTCCTCAAGGCTGGCGGTGCTTATACGTCAATGGGTCCCACTCATCCAAGATCGCACCTTCAACAAGTCATCTTGGCCACCAACTGCCGGGTCATTCTGGCAGGATCGCAGGAACATGGCAAGCTGGTAGGCGATCTGGTTGACAATGTCATTGTCGTTGAGTCCGCCCTTTTTTCTTCCTTACCTGCCGACAGTCTAGAACCCTTCGGAAAGGTCTCGCCGGACAACGCAGCAATGGTGAACTTTACCTCCGGCTCGACTGGAACTCCCAAGGGTATTGTTGTAAAGCACAGCGGAGTCCGCTCCTTGGTAGCTCACAATGCAGATATGGGAATCGACCAATCTTCCCGTGTCCTACAGTTCTCGGCTTACACATTCGACACCAGCAACGGGGAGATCTTCTTATCTCTATGTGTCGGAGGATGTGTTTGTATTCCTTCAGAGGAAGAGCGTGTCAATGATCTTGCGGGCGCAATGACTCGACTCCGGGTCACTTATGCCTTCCTCACCCCTTCTCTCGCCCTCTCTCTCTCTCCACAGGCGCTACCAACCTTGAGGACCTTGGCGCTTGTTGGTGAGGCAATTCCTACTGATCTTCCAGGTAGATGGGAAAACCACGTTCGGATAATCAACTCGTATGGGCCATCTGAGACTACTGTGGGTACTCAATCTTACGCAAATGATGATATGTTACTGATGAGTTTAGGTCATGGCCTCATTCGCTGACTTAGGAGGTTCTATGCCAGCAAACAGCATTGGACGTGCTCACGGTTGTCTTTTCTGGGTTGTTGATCCCGAAGACAGCCAAAGACTGGTTCCTATCGGCTGCCCTGGAGAGTTGTTGATTGAAGGCCCTCTAGTCACGCGCGGGTATCTAGATCCGAAGCTGACCGCCAAATCATTCATTTATCCCCCGAGGTGGAGGGGAGATGTGAAAGAGGGGACCCGATTGTACAGGACGGGAGACCTTGTCAGGCTTCTAGTGGATGGAAACATGTTGTTCCTCGGGCGCGCCGATGGACAGATCAAATTGAACGGACAACGTGTGCCCACATGGGACATTGAAGAGGAAATTGGCCGAAATCCTGCTGTCCTTCAGACAGCACTTGCTTTCCCCAGCCATGGTCTCTGCAAGAAGAAGCTCGTTGCTCTAGTAGCATTTGAGAATCTTTCAACTCAGACTATCTCTGAAGAAGGGGTTATTCCGTTCGGGAAGGACACCGACAAGGATCAGGCTATCAAGGAGATCACATCCATTCGTGATCACCTGGCGGAGATGTTCCCTAACTACATGATACCATCAGTCTGGCTCTTGTGTCATAAGCTTCCATTGACATTGTCACGAAAGCTTGACAGGCGTCAGGTCACGGGATGGGTTGAAGGCCTGCAGCAAGAAACCTACTTTGATGCCCTGGCCGAAAAGCAGGACGAGGCCGATCCCACCGAAGAGTGCAAATCCGATGCAACAGAGCGCTTCCAGATCATTGTTGGTCGCGTTTTGAATCTACCAATCAGCAAGGTCGCTCTCCAGTCATCATTCTTTAAGCTTGGTGGCGATTCCATCACTGCGATGCAGCTGGTAGTCACCTGTCGAAACGAAGGCCTGAAGCTTCTCTTCAAGGATGTGATGCGCAGCACCAGCATTGCAGCTTTGGCCGAGTTTGCGGAAGCGGTGATCGAGAGCAATATCTATCAGCGGCCTGATCGATTGGATACTCCCTTTGACTTGACTCCGATTCAGCAGTTCTACTTCCAAAATATATCCCAAGGTAAACTAGACGCGTCGTCCAATCAGTTCAACCAGAGTTTCTTGTTCCGCTTGGCATCGGAGGTACCAGTGAAACAGTTGAGAGACGCTGTGGACAAGGTTGTCCAGCGTCATTCTAGTCTACGTGCACGGTTCCGCCAGTCACACAACTCACAATGGAAGCAAATTGTCATCGGGCATAGTGCCTCTGCTTATCGGTTCAGAGAACGTGTGGTGGAGGGTGAAGAACATGCTCTCCAGCTAGCGCAAGATGCGCAAGAGGAGCTCGACATCCAGATGGGCCCTGTGTTTGCTGTAGAGCACTTCACGATTCCCAGACAGCAATCTCTTTTCTTCCTAGTGGCTCATCACCTTGTCATTGACCTGGTATCCTGGAGAATTATCTTCCAAGAACTGGAAGACTCAATTGCAGGAAAAACCCCCCAAACCCCGCCATTCTCATTCCAGCAGTGGCAGCAAGTACAAGCAGAATACGCCGCCAAGCATCTCCCGCCAAGCCAGGCCTTGCCCTATACCATCCCTAAAGCAGACTATGGCTATTGGGAAATGGAAGATACTCCCAACTTCGCTGGTGACACCGAGCAAATCAATGTCGTACTCTTGCCGCAAGAGAGCGAAGCCTTGCTCACCGGTTGTCATCGAGCAATGGGAACAGAACCACTTGATATACTCATTGCAGCTCTGTTTACATCTTATGCACAAACGTTCCAAAGAGCCCCGCCTGCGATTTTCAACGAAGGACACGGTCGTGAGCCTTGGACCAGCGATATCGATCTGTCCGACTCAGTCGGCTGGTTTACCACCGTTTTTCCCTTCTACTTATCAGATCTGGACTCAAAGACTTCCTCCGTAGATGCTGTTCGTGGTGTGAAAGACCAGAGACGCGCGCTTCCCTCAAACGGGTGGTCTTACTTCACATCGAGGTACTTGAACGAAGAGGGTATGAAAGCCTTCGCTGATCATATGCCCGTTGAGATCGTGTTCAACTATCTTGGCTTGTATCAAGGGTTAGAGCGCTCGGATGGCATGTTCCACCTAGTTCCGTTCAACAAGGGAGACGTTGGACGGGCTGTTCGACGCTATGCTCTGTTCGAGATAAATGTCTATGTGATCAACGGATCCACCCACATCTCTTTCACGTTCAATCGTCATATGAAGCATGTTGACCTTATTCACAAGTGGGTCGAGAACTACGCAACTTCTCTCAAGAATATTTCCAAGGGATTGGTTAGCACGAAACAGACTCTCACGAGAAGCGACTATCCCCTCCTTGAAATCTCTTATCCCGAATTGGACAAGTTGCAGAATTCGATACTGCCTGACCTCCAGTTGACTCTTGATGACATCGAAGATCTCTACCCCTGTTCACCACTTCAAGAGGGTATCTTACTTAGTCAACTTCGTCTTGAGGATGCTTATCTCTATCACGCCATCATGCGGATTGACTCCTGTGGAGGTGTCTCTCTAGACGCTAAGCGCCTGTCTACAGCATGGCAGCAAGTCGTTGACCGCCACACCATTCTACGGACAGTCTTTCTCAAAGGTATCTCCCAGCGACCGTTTGATCAGATGGTCCTTGGTCGCCATCATGCAGCTGTCCAGATTCTCCAAGCCGCGTCGGCTGGTAAGGCTATTGAACTCCTTCAATACTTCGATAACCTGGAACCATCGACAACTGAGCCGCCCCATCGACTACTCGTGGTTCATTGTGATGACGGATCGCTCTACTTCAGGCTTGACATAAGTCATGCTCTGATGGATGGGACTGCAATGACGGTACTTATCAATGATCTCGTGTCTGCATACGGCAATCAACTCTCAGTCCTACCAGCCATTCCATACAGTGACTACATTGCCTATATCCAATCGCAGCCGGCTGCTGAGGGGCTGGACTTTTGGTCGAAGCACCTTGTTGATGTGAAGCCCTGTCATTTCCCTACGCTGGTGGTCTCAAGTGCGGCCGAAGCGGAGTTGAAGAGTATAGGTGTGCTTGTCCCCGACAGTGGACAGGTTCGCACATTCTGTCAAGAGAATAACATAACTCTCGCCAATGTCATTCGCTTGGCATGGTCCTTGGTTCTCCAGGCATACTCCGGTGAAGATCATGTTTGTTTTGGATATCTAACGGCTGGACGAGAGGTTCCAATTGAGGGGTTGGAGAGCGCCGTTGGTCCTTTCATCAACATGCTGGTGTGTGCGACCAACTTGACGCAAGTTGGCAAGAAGTCTGTAGTTGCTGAGTTGCAGGACCTGCATCATGAGTATCTCAAGATGCTTCCGTATCAACATGTTGGGCTGGCAGAAATTCATCATGCGTTAGGCGTGACAGGCAAGCCATTATTCAACTCTGTTGTAAGCTTCCAGCGTCGTGATGTCGAGAGATTGGTGGTGGGTGATTTGCAGATGACGTACCTAGATGGACTCGATCCGACGGAGGTAAGTTTACTCACACTGAGAACTTTCTGATCACTAATACGGTATATGTTTCATAGTACGACATCACTGTAAATGTTGCAGACACCGACTCTCACGGTTTCAGCATTGATATAGGCTATTTGACTTCACAGTTGTCCCCAGAATATGCGGCTCACGTTGCAGGAAGTCTCACAGCAGCGTTGGATGGCATCATTTCGCATCCTTCCGCCACAGTGAATTCGATTGATCTTTTCGGCGATTTAGCCAAGGATCAAGTCCTCAAGTGGAATTCATCCATGCCTCCAGCTGTTTGTGAGCCCCTCCAGGCAGCATTTGATCAAAATGCAACATGCTTCCCAGATGCACCAGCCATTGCTTCCTGGGATGGACAAATGAGCTACTCGCAGCTCGAACAGAAAGCCTCTCAGCTCGCCAATGCTTTGGTTAAAATGGGTGTAACCACTGGTGACCTGATTCCGATTTGCTTTGGAAAATCATCTTGGGCCATCATTTCAATGCTTGCTATTTTGAAAGCTGGAGCAGGCTTTGTTCCTTTGGATCCTTCTAGTCCTGCCAACAGACTGGAGTTGATCATTCAGCAGACATCATCGTCATTGGTGTTGGCTTCTCAGGAGAAGCTGACTTTGTTCACTGAGCTAGTACCCAAGGTCCTGGTGGTTTCGGAATCTACCAATGCCTGGAATGATAGGATGACACATGCGCTTAGTACCCCGATATCTCCCCACAGTGTTGCCTATGTTCTGTTCACCTCTGGTTCAACAGGAACCCCGAAGGGCGTGGTAATGGAACATACAGCAGCGAGCACTAGTGTCACTCACCATGGACAAGACATCGGATGTAGCTCTGCGACGCGGATGTATCAATTCGCAGCATTCACGTTTGATGCATGCATTCTTGAGATTTTCACAACCCTCACCTACGGTGGATGCATCTGTCTTCCATCCGATACTGAGCGAATGAGTGATATTGCCGGCTCAATGACTCGATTGGCGGCCAATACTTCCTTCTTGACTCCCTCAGTCGTGCGTCTCCTCAAGCCACAGCAAGTCCCTACTCTCAAAACTCTCATACTGGGAGGCGAGGCATTGCATGAAGATAATATCCGAACTTGGGCAGGAAGTCTACGTCTCATGAATGGGTATGGACCCACTGAAACCTGTGTCTTTGCGATCATGAAGACATTTGAAAGCGAAAATGATCGATGCAATATTCTTGGTCGTGCTGTGAGCTCCCTTGCCTGGATCACACGCCCAAACGCACATGACCAGCTAGCTCCTATTGGTGCTATCGGCGAACTTTTGATTCAGGGAAGCACATTGGCACGAGGTTATCTTCACGACGATGTGAAGACTGATGAAGTTTTCATTCACAATCCAGGGTTCAATCCTACAGACGAGGGTGCCATCCAGCGATTCTACAAAACTGGAGATCTGGTTCGTTACAACTTCGACGGAACGATCACATACTTGGGTCGCAGAGACACACAAATCAAGCTGCGCGGTCAAAGACTTGAGCTCTCGGAGATTGAGCATCAAGTAAACCGCCATTTGAGCTCTGATCAACAAATTGCAGTTGAGGTTGTACTCCCCCATGGAAAGCAAGAGCAGGCCCTTCTCGCGGTCTTTGTCTTTAATCCTGTCAGACTAGCCAGTAGTGACCTTCTTGGGGAAGTGACAAAAGAGTCCACAGCCTGGGCCTTGGATCTCAAGTCCCACCTGGCTAAAGTTCTCCCGACATATATGCAACCATCGCTGTATATTCCCACAAACTGGATGCCCACAACTTCCGCACAAAAGCTTGACCGGAAATTGCTACGAGACTCAGTGGCAATACTGAGCGAGACGCAGCTCAAAGTTTACTCGCTTCGGGAAGATAGTCGCCGTGTACCACACGGCATCCTGGAAAAGAGGGTACAAGAGCTCTGGCATCGCATCCTCAGGATTTCCATGGATGAAATCCGAGCCGATGACAATTTCTTCCAAATCGGAGGTGACTCACTTTCAGCGATGAAGATGGCTGCTACCACGCCGGAGGACTTCCCCGTCACTGTCGTTGATATTTTCCAGCATCCAGTGCTGTGTGACTTGGCCGCCGCGATGACTAACAAAACCTCAATCACCGGTCAGACTGATCTGCCTCAGGTGCCGTTTGAATTGCTTAACAAAGTCTCAGATGTTTCTGTGTTATTGGATGGCATTAGCCATCAATATTCAATCCCTCCGGATTCAATCGAAGATGTGCTCCCTGCTAGTCCTCTTCAAGAGGGCATGATCGCCATTTCAATGATAAATCCCAAGTCCTACATGCTACGAAAGATTCTCAGTCTGGGACCGACCGTGGATGTCACTCGGTTCAGATCAGCTTGGCAGTTGGTTGTCCAAACCAATCCCATCCTGCGCACGCGCTTTGTACCAACTCCTGACGCCGGATTTGTTCAAGTTGTGGTCAAAGACAGTATCAACTGGAGAACTGCAGTGGATCTGACGCAGTATCTGGAGCACGACTCGAATGAAGGACTGGTTTACGGCGCTTCGCCGTTGCGTTTCGGGCTTACTGAAGACCGTCATTTCATCTTTACTGCGCATCACGCTACTTATGATGGTTGGTCGCTACCGTTAATCTTAAACCATGTCCGCTTTGCTTATGAGCATGGCCGTTGTGTTGATTCGACTCCATTCCATGCATTTATCAAACATCTGCAATCTACCGACGCCCAATCTTCTCAATCCTTCTGGGAAGATCAGCTCTCCGGACCCCGGCCATCCACATTCCCCGAACTCCCCTCGCCGTCATATCGGCCATCTGTCCGCGGTAGAGTGCAGCATCAAGTTCCCCTTCCCAACCTTAAAGACTCAACAATTCTCCGAACTACAATTTTGAGAGCTGCTTGGGGTCTGCTTCTCTCTCGCTATGCAGACAGTGAGGATGTGGTATTTGGAATGACTCTTTCTGGTCGCAACAGTGCGGTGGCTGGTATCGATGCCATAGTTGGTCCAACCATCACAACCGTGCCTGTGCGAATGAGAATGTCTTCGAGGTTTACAGTAGGTGAATTCTTGGCGACAGTACAGCAACAGTCGACAGATATGATTCTACATGAGCATTTCGGTTTGCAGAATATTGCCGGCATCAATTCGGATTGTTCCCGGGCAATCGAATTCCAGAACTTGTTCGTCATCCAGCCGGTGTCAGAGGCCAATGCAGCTGGAGACCTTCTACCTGGTGTGGAAGAGGTCGAAATGCCACTCGAAGACTTCGATAGCTATCCACTGGTTGTTGAATGCTTCATGGCGGACGATAAAATTGTCATTGAAGCACGCCACGATGAAACTGTCCTCTCAGCCTGGCGGGTGCAGACTATGATGCACCATTTCGAGCATATTCTAAAGCAAATTGCATCGGCAAAACACCTAGGATCTGAAATCAATTCTGTCGAACTATTCGGTGATAAAGATCTGCAGCAAATTATCCAATGGAACCGAGAGTATCCGGAAACCGTTGAGTCAACTGTACCGACTATCTTCGCTGATCAAGTATCACAACGGCCGGACGCGTTAGCTGTCGATGCTTGGGACGGTCAGCTCACCTACGATCAACTTGACCAGCTCTCGACCACTCTTGCTCGCCACCTTGTCTCGCTAGGGGTGGTTCCTGAGACCCGGGTCCCTATGTGCTTTGACAAGTCCAGATGGGCTGTTGTAGCACAAATGTCCGTCATGAAGGCCGGTGGTGCTTGTGTCAATCTTGACCCTGCCCACCCCCAAGCTCGCCTCGAGACTATTGTCAAAGATACGCAAGCAACAGTACTTCTTACTAATCCACGGCATGCCAACATCCTTGCCAGTTCAGTTCATTTACGGACAGTCATGGTGACAGAGGACTTCATATCCAGTCTCGCAGGAATAACATTTGATCTGCCGACTCTCACTCCCCAGAATGCGGCCTACGTGCTCTTTACTTCGGGAACTTCGGGCAAGTCGAAGGGCATCGTTATTCAGCATGGATCTCTTTGTTCAAGCTCAAAGGCACATGGAACACGGTGGGGGATTGGTCCCGGGACAAGATTGCTACAGTTCGCCGCTTATACATTCGATGTGAGCTGTGCCGATATATTCACCACGTTACAGCGTGGTGGGTGTATCTGTGTACCATCGGAAGAGCAGCGTATGAACGATCTATCTGGAGCAATCAACAGGTTCCAGTGTAACTGGGCTTTTATGACTCCCACTGTTGCAGCTCTACTACCAGCAGATGGTTTACCCTCCCTGAAGAAGCTTGTACTCGGAGGTGAGGCGTCTACGCGCGACACCATTGCCAAATGGCACAATATGCTCGATCTCATTGTCTGCTACGGCCCGGCCGAAACAACCGTGTACTGTAGCGGTGCTCCTCCAGCTACTGCCACCAGTGATCCTGCGAACCTAGGCCCGGCTATTGGAGCCCTGTACTGGATCGCCGACCCTCAAGATTTCAACCGTCTTACACCTCTGGGATGTGTTGGAGAGCTTCTTCTGGAAGGTCCAACAATTGCGCGTGAATACCTTCATGATGCTGAAAAAACAGCACAAGCCTTTATCACGAACCCTGTCTGGACAACGCGTCCGGGTTCCCGATTTTACCGTACCGGTGATCTGGTTCGCTACAACCAGGATGGCACGATTCGATTTGTGGGACGCAAGGACACTCAAGTAAAGGTCCGTGGTCAGCGTGTAGAGCTTGGCGAGATCGAGCATGCCATTCGACTTGCAATGCCTACCCTTTCCCATGTGAGTGTAGATGCCGTCCAAGATCCCACCCACCTTCGCCAGGTCGTTGTTGCATTCCTACACTATAGCAACCGCAGTGGTCCAGTCGAGATCAGGGAGATGTCTTCCGATGTGCATGATGAGTTGGCTGCCCTGCAACAAACCCTCAGTCAGCAGCTTCCGTCTTACATGATCCCATCCATGTTCATTCCCCTATCTCGAGTACCTTTGACTATGAATGGCAAGTCTGACCGTCGTCAACTACGTGAACTGGTTACTTCTCTCTCGAGGGAAGATGCTCTGGCATTTTCCTTGTCCAGTAGTATCAAGCTGGAGCCAACCACGCCAATGCAAATACAGCTTCGCGCTTTATGGGCCAAGGTCTTGCATGTTGAAGAAGATACTTTGGGCAAGAATCACCATTTCCTACGCTCCGGAGGTGATTCGATCAGCGCAATGAAGCTCACTAGTCATGCCCGATCGGCTGGTTTGACTTTGACAGTCCAGGATATCTTCAAGGCTCCTGTATTGGAGGAAATGGCCGCTGCTATAATCCGTAACTCAGAGCAAGACCTTGCCCAGCCGGTCTCTCTGCCCTATTCTCCCTTCTCACTTGTCGACGACATTGCCAATTTGCTTCCATTGGTAGCCTCGGTTGCACAAACACCGTCTGCAAATATCGAAGACATTCTTCCTGCATCAGACTTCCAATCCTCCGCCATTGCCCATTCCATGCTCAAGACTCACGGTATGGTCAATTATCTCTTCCTTGATGCCGAAGGTGAGGTTCCGTGGACTCTGGCCCATGCTCAGACAGCATGGACTTGTTTCCTCCAAACCCATGGAATTCTCCGGACTGTATTTGCTGCGTATGGAGACCGCTTCTATCAAGTAGTACTCAAAGACACTCCGCAGCAGGTCGCATGGTATCGGACGGATGAAGAGATTGACTCATTCTGTCTCAAATTATGCAACGAGGACGTCGAATCTGACCTTCCCTTGGGTAGTGTACTCACCCAGTTGTCGGTCATAACCAATGAGAACAACCATCGACTCGTTCTACGAATCTCACACGCTCAATATGACGGTGTCTGTCTCCCGCGGATCTGGCAGAGTTTCCAAGATGCATTCTCCGGTCGTACACCTGCCCCAGAGGTTCCATTCTCCCACTTCATCGCCGGTATCTATCCTGCTAGCCAGGGTGCTCAAGCACACTGGCGGAGCGTCCTATCAGGGTCTAGTATGACTGAGATTGTCGCACACCCGGCACCACAACACCGTAACGTGTATGATTTGCACATGACACGAAAAATCAGCATCGCCCCGCAAACTGGCTCTGGAATTACTTTTGCCACCATTCTAAAGGCTGCCTGGGCTCTTGTCCTCTCCTCATGCTCTGACAGTTACGATGTGGTCTTTGGACATGTTGTTTCCGGTCGCAATCTACCCCAGGCTAACATAGACGAGGTCATTGGTCCCTGTCTAAACTTGCTTCCGACTCGAGTGATTATTGAACCGACTACGATTCTAAGCCATCTTCTTGAAACCGTTCAAGCCCAGCATATTTCTCACATGGCCTATGAATCGCTGGGCACCCGCACAATCGTTCAAAAGTGTAGCCCTTGGCGACCGTCTACTCGCATGAGCAGTATTGTTCAACATCAGAATATTGAACAAGATGCGACCGTGACCCTCAACAAACAGAACTACCTTATTGGTGATTTCTGTCCTGCGGCCGACGAAGCAGACATTGCTATCAAAACTACACCCTTGGATAACAACGAGATTGATGTTCTTTTCATCAGCTCGTCGCGCTCTGTTGGGGAGCCCATTGCAAGTACTCTTTTGGATCGACTCTGTACTACGATTCAGGCTATTTCTGACTCTACACACGCCCAAATGCCTTTGTCGCAGTTCATTCACTCTACATCTATTCTCCCCTTGCAGAGTCCTTCAGATTCTGACCGCGTGAACGGTCACTTCGCAGTTGACTCCGCTGGTACAGCTGCGGACCTCAACTTGCTTTCTGTCATGTATGACAGCTGGCGAGAGGTTCTGAGCAGTCCTGAACTGTCATTGGACCTGGATACCGACTTCTTTGCTGTCGGTGGTGACCTGGTCTCCATTGCATTGTTGACCGCGGTGTGGCAACGTCGGGGCTACCAGATTACGGTGGAAAATCTCTGGAATCATCCATCTGTTCGTGGAATGCTGGAAGTGTTGACTCAAGCGCGTTGCTGATTTTTCTTTTCTGCTCATTTTGGATGGTTTCTAGGCGTTTCCTGGAGTTCATCGGCTGTTTTTACTATGTTTTTTGTGTCTAGTTATATTCTTTACTTTTGTTAGAATGGATGTATGTAATTTGTCGAATTCATCTTGCTATCTTTTACTCTCAACTCCATCGAATCGGTTCGCTTATGACCATACACTTTTTTGTTCTTTCATGCGCTGTTGGGTGATCTCTCTGATACTCTCTCAGGTGGTATTTTGACCCATTGGCTATTCTTAGCGTTAGCATTGGAACGTCAAAGTATATGAATTCTGCAAACCTTTGGGTCAAAATCCAAACTTCAAATGGCAAGCCGAGCGGCAATCCTTTATTTGGGTCAAAGCGACGCCAAGCTTTTCTCGGAATATATCATCTCCTTTTGACGCCTACACATCCACCGTTCGTGTCGAGTTCAGCATGCCTCTGATTTCCAGCTTTAAACACTGACCCGCGGCATGAAGCTTAGATCTACCTGAAACATGTCTACCTATTATAGTTGGTCTAATCCTGGTCGGTATAGCGCACAAACACACTAAAATTTGACTGCCTAAAAAATTCTCAATCTAGTACCCTATGCTCCCTAGTTTAGCAGCTGTTGACATGCCTTGTCTTAGGTTATATATAGCCTTGGCCTATCTGAAATTGAGAAAATATCACATCAGAAATCCAACCGCTCTGCAATTGTTTAAATTTGGCCATGGATCTCCCCCTGGATCCTCAATTGACTACCCCGGATCTTTTGGTAGCTCAAGAACTCCTCCGACAAAATGAGCACCCCCAAGAGAATAGCAGCGGCAAAGAAGCTATCAAAAGACTGAAGGCTCTGAACGATGTCACGGACCCAGACTTTGATCCTACGGTCTTTCAGTTCTGGGAGACACACCTCCTTCGCCAGAAGTTGCCTCGTCCCATCCGACAGTACTTGTTAGAGCCCTATATTCGCTGGGCTCAGCAAGTCGCACGTTTTCCAGCTGACGTAGTGATGATCACACATCTTCTGCTCTACCTGACGACTTCGATCCCCAGTGCACTTTACCTCTATTGCTACCACTTTAGCTGGATCCATGGTCTTCTCCACTGGATTGTGCATGTCTGGTATGCAGGCAGCTACACGCTCATGAAACATCAATATGTCCACATGAAAGGCGTTTTGGCGCCTCAATATGGTCTGATCGACACGCTCTTTCCGTATGTCGTTGATCCCTTTGTCGGCCACACGTGGAATTCTTACTACTACCACCATGTGAAGATGCACCATGTTGAAGGAAATGGACCTCGAGATCTCAATTCAACAATGTGGTATGATCGAGACTCGATAGCCGACTTTGCCCGTTATGTTGGCCGCTTTTTCTTTCTGATCTGGCTTGATCTTCCGATTTATTTCCTAGGGAAGGGGCAATACTTCACTGCCTTCAGGACCGCTTTCTGGGAAATCAGCAATTACACCGCCGTTGCTCTGTTGTACCAATACGGGCATGCGCAGGCCACGTTTTGTGTCTTTGTCCTGCCACTCTTGACGCTTCGCGCAGGACTAATGGCTGGAAACTGGGGCCAGCACGCATTTGTGGATCCTAGCGATCCTTCGTCCGATTTCCGATCCAGTGTGACCTTGATTGATGTAGCTGTAGGTCTACCTTGTCCGCGTCATTCAATTCAGAAGAAGTCGCATTACTGATCGCTTTCTAGAGCAATCGATTTTGCTTCAACGACGGATACCATACCTCTCATCATCTCCATCCTCGTCGCCATTGGAGGGAACACCCACTAGCGCTTCTGCGAGACCAAGAACGATATGCGGACGAGCGGGCGCTGGTATTTCGAAATGTGGATTACATGATGCTGACGGTGAAATTGCTGCAGAAGGACTACCTGCACCTGGCTCGATGCATGGTCCCGATTGGTCCCGAACAGAGAAAGATGAGTTTAGAGGAACGCGCAAATATGCTACGGAGTCGGACCCGACGCTTGCCCGATGCATACTTGAAGAAACACAGTTTGAAAAAGCGATGAGGCTTAGCCGAGTGGAGTAATAGGTTTCTTTGTCTCGGGGTATCCGGTGCATACTATCGACCGATGCAGAGAGTACGCCTCTCTCTAATTTAAGTTGTTTATTGATACAGATCGAGTATGTGTGACAAACATTCATACGTACACGGTAATGACAAGCATCTTCGTGGCTAAATTACTGGCGTACCGGCCGTATGTCGCTTTTGGAACGTGAGTTTTGAAGTAATCAGTCATATTTCATGTATTTCCAGGACACGCAAAGCATTGTCAGCATAGATTACAATACCAAGCATACCCCGTAAAATACCCGATACCGGGGTTTGACCAGGGGTGTATTAGGAGATCCATGCTTACTCGCATTAGTGGTAAGTAGCCCCAACCTTAGTGCTGACATCCCCCTATTAGGTTGATTGACGTTGCAATGGTGCCATCTTCTATATTACTGCTTATTTCTATGACAATAAAAATGATATATTATTATTAAAATCTGAATCATGCGCAGTAATTTATGCAGAATGCATTACAATTTTCCGTGACAAATGAAAACGTATAACCGACGGAGATGCGCAGATATTGGAGATGGCCAATTAAATCCGCTACTGCACCTCTAGCAGTGTTTCACAGGATAGATTGGAGGCTGTGGTTGCCTCAAAAAGGCCACGGAACAGACTGCGAGGCTCACGAGCCAAGAGTTCCGCTGGAGGGCCCAGCTCGACAATGAGCCCATCCGAGACCACGGCGACTCGGTCCGCATCGAGGATGGTGGAAATGCGATGCGCAATTGTAATCACTGTACGTGATGCAAAGTGACGGCGAATAATTTCTTGCATCAGGCGGTCAGTCTCCTGATCCACACTGGCTGTGACTTCGTCCAACACAACCACTGAGCCGGTACGAATCATGGCACGGGCTAGACATAGTAGCTGCTGTTGTCCAACACTCAGCATGCCTTCCGAAAGTTGAGCATGAATTCCCCCCCTTGAGGCTACCGTGTCCCAAAGATGCACCTCCTTTAGCGCCTGCTCGATTGTTGGGTCATCCCTTGTTGCATTGAAGGGGTCAACATTTTCTCGAATCGAACCGGAGATTAAATGAGGTGATTGTGTCACGCAGATTAGCCGACTGTAAAGTGTGTCGCGAGCGATTGTAGAGATGTCGACATCATCGATCGTAATAGTGCCCTCACTTGGAGTGAGAAGACGGAACAGACTGGAAGCGATGGATGATTTGCCACTGTAAACAAACGTTATGAATTAGCCAAACGTGTTTCCACAAGAAAGCAGATAGTGTGTGTACCTTCCACTTGGTCCACAGAGGGCAATTTTCTCCCCCGGTGCAATCGACAGATTGAGATCTCGAATGACCGGCTGGGGGGAGCCTTCATACTGGGCAGTAACGTTTCGAAATTCAATCTGCCCTCTCTCGGGCCATTCTGAGGGAAGAGCACTCTCAGTCTCATTGTAATCGGATGAAGGTGCATCCAAAACAAATGCCCGAATGCGAGACACGGCACCGATTGATATCTCTAGCTGAGTCCAATTTGAAAGGAAAGCTTTGATGCTTATACTTAGTTGCACAATGTTCACCAAGGCGATTCCCATAAATCCTGCATCAACCTCTCCTTGAGTTTGAACACCGATGGTCACGACCATGATAGCCACGGCTGCGACCACCAAATCCAGAACTAGGTTTAGCCAGCGTTGCACACAATAGAGCAAGTAGAATGGCTTTTGGGATCGATCAAACACTTCACGGTTGCGATTGTCGAATTCAGTCTGCCAACCAAAAGCTCGGATGGTAGTAAGACCAGCAATCAGCTCCAAAAATGTGGAAAACAAAGGTGCTTTAGCTTCAATATCAAGAAGACGAAGCTGTCGGGCGGTTCGCAAGTAGAATTTCTGGATCAAGTAAAAGACCGCCATGAGTGCTGGTAGAGCGATGCCAATCCACTTTGAGGAAATCGCAATGATTATCAACTGTGCTGTGCAGAGCAACAACTCCACTGAAGTGTTGAACAGGGCAAGCGGCAATTCCATGTCGGACAATTGAAGGTCTTGAGCAAAACGATTTAGGGTAGTACCGACATCAGTCGTTGAGAAAAACTGCAATGGAGCATGAATAATGGTGGTGAGGAGAGACGCATGGAATTTAATCGACGCTCGTGGCAACATACGTTCGGTAAGGTGCCTGTAGATGAAAGTTAGCAGAGTTGATTTTGCAATTGAGCAGATGACATGAGGAGTTTTTTACCAAACTGCGAAAGGAAGTGCAAGAATTGCCATTGCTGATAGACCCCCGTACACGCCGAGATACAGTCTCATATGGGAAACAGTGTACTCATCACTTCGTGCCAGCCACCATTTAACCAGGAATTCTGCATGGTAAATCTGTTAATAAGAAGATTCTAGAAAGGAATATAGTACTCACGCGGCAAGGTTAGTCCCACGACAAAAACAGAGCACGCAACGAAAAATATCGCTGTGCTGAGGGGATGAACCGTCTGTATATAGTATTTGTAAACTGCTGTATCCCCAGTACGACGGTCTTCCCCTGTGGGCGCTTCTTCGGTCGAGAGAATCCTTGTAAGCTCTTCCTCTGCCTTATCGGAAGGTTCACCAATTTTTGCGACTTTCGATGGGCTGAAAATCACTTCTTTAGCGGTTGCAATCACTTCGTTTGTAGTACCCTCATCCGCAATGTGACCTTCCGAGTCCAGGATGATAACATTGTCTGCATAGACAAGACGTTGCACTGTCGATTTTAGTATTCCAGCTGATGCAATTGCATAGTCACCCTTGGCTTACCTGCATGAGTAGCAAGTATCACGGTGACCTCTGACTCCTTCAGAAGCCCATCTGGACCGAACAGGTTGTGGAACAAGCTTTCTTCTGTGTTCCCGTCGAGACCACTGAAGACATCGTCGAGAAGAAGAATCTTTTCTTTGGCGTACACAGCTCGTGCAATGGCCTATGAAGAGAGTTAACACGCCTTAATCACTCAGCTTCAGGCTTCTACATACCAGTCGCGATTTCTGACCCCCGCTCAAAGTCATACCACTGTTTCCAACCCATTCTTGATGTCCACGAGGGAAGCTGGAAATGTCATCCTTTAGGAGACACATCTCCACAACCTTGTCATACCATGTTTGATCATACATTGTAGTGCCGAGGATGTTTCGCTGAATTGTACCATTAGTTATCCACGGAGTTTGACTGCAGTATCCCACTCGAGGCACTGCCACTTCCAGGCGGCCTTCATGGTGGTTGACTTCACCGAGTATGGCTAGTAACAAAGTTGTCTTACCACACGCAACTGGCCCAACTACAAAGTTGATACTTGATGGTCGGATCTCGAAGCTGAGATCCTTGATCACCATTGAGCCTTCAGGATCCCACCCAGCGCTGTATTGCTCTGCCACTACCATAACAGGAGATTTCTTTTCATCGAAGACGGGATACTCAAGAACACCAGAGACTTGAGAGTGGTCAAATTTGCCCTTCTCGCCAAACTTGCCCGTGGGTTTCGACAAGTACTCGCTTATGCGAGCTAATGCCCCCAATGCAGAGACTAGTCCCGCAATAGCATCCAAGATCAAAGCCATAGGCGCTTGCAGGAGTGCAAAGAGCGATAGCGCGGTATAGGCCTTGTCATAGTTGAGCATGGTGGAGCCATTTCGTTTTGCCAAGAGACTGTACATTGTAAACGCGAGCAGCGGGCCCGTGGATGTTGTAGTATAAGCTGTAAATAGTCAGTCATATATTCTTGCAGAATAAGGAATTTTATGTAGTAGTACTAACACAAAGTAACGATCAATGTTAAGGCTCGTTTGAACGGCGTCGACTCTGAAATCTCTACTGTTCGCAGTCCGCGGAGCTTGTCGGCCATCAGATTCTGCAAACCACCTAGTCTCACCTCTTTCATGCTTTTGAGCATTTCTGATGTAGCTTGCACTCGATTTTGAATGGCTTGAAGCCACCTTTGCTGTCGACCACCCATGGTGCTAGCCACCCCAAGACCAAGAAGGGTGCAAACTAGAACGTTGATTGTAAGTAAAAATGCAACTCAACAAGTTTCAGCCACCCAATTGACTTACACAAGAAGACAGAAGCAAATGCGACGACGGCAAGACCCAACTGTCGCTCTAGCAACCAGAGGGCTAGGCCAATATCGATTGGACTGGCCCAAACCTCGTGAACATACTGGAGACCAGAGCTAATACGCTCGACATCCACACTCATGAGAGTCAATGCAGCCGAGTCCCGTGCCACACCGGCATCCAAGCGCATGGTGTATCGGTATACCAGTGGCACGATGCTACCACGAATCATAGTAATCAGACGGAATGTCTTGTGCTGACTCTTAGCAGTTGTGATAGCCAGCCCCAAGTAGATCAACATGGCGGCGACAATAAGCCCGTATCCATAGTTCCGGCTGACAGGATCACTCGCCTCGGAGACAAAGCTTACCACGCGCGTGAGGAGGAAGGGCTGCGCGAACGTGAATCCTGACATGCAAAGTCGAGGTAGAAAAGCGGAGGCAATAGCCCATCGATGGTGAACCATCAACAGCATTGTCAACGCAGAGGATGACTTGGACTGGACTGCATCATGCGACAAGAGACAGTCAGTATACATCATACAATAGGGGTCAATTCAGATGACAGGGCATGAATACCTGCATCCCATTTCCGTGTAAATAGGTCTCCGCCAGCCGCATCATTGACACGCTCATCAATGGATAGAAGTTTGTCCGCTTGAAGAACGTCTTTGAATCCCTCGATCAAAAGAGGATTCAACCACCAGAAAAGACTTCGGTTGAATACATTTGCAATGGTCTCTCGGGGTGACTTTATCGCTTCATCGGTGAGGAAGGGTTTCTGTTCCACCGATTCAAGCAGGAGCTTCACAAGGTCCAAGCCGAGACCGGCGATGTAGACGGCACAGAATAAATGCGTCTGTGCCGCCCATATTGTCCGGGCCCGGATCCCATTCAGTGGCAGTGATATGCTCAGAAACAAGAGAAGCAGTGTTGATGGTCGCGGAGAGCGGTAGTGCTGGCTATAGGAGATGACGACCATCAACAGTGTGGTCGCAGCATCTAGAGCCACTGCTGCGACTGTGGTACGTGTTTTAGGGATCTGCAACTGGGGAAGCAGCACCAATACCAATAACGTAATCTTCACGCAGATCGATAAAACATGGGCAATCTAGACGCCAGTCAGTCCTGCACGATCGAAACAGGGGAGGTTGGTATACCAGTTTCCCCGGGAACAGAAGCCCCCGGCGACTCGATTGAGGGGTGCGATTCCGATACAGCTGCAGAGGCAGACATAACAAGAACAGTGAACAAGGCAGAATAGTAAAGAACGACTCTTCGAACAACAGAGTGAAATCGAAGCCATTGCGACAGCCAGCGCTAACTGTAGGACCAAAAACGTCCTGTACAGCGATATCACACATTGCTGCCTTCTTTTTCCTTTGTGCTGAACAAAGAAAGTGGGCGGGTCGGCGGGTTTTTAGTTCACTTGCAGCTGTAGCGTATTATTACTCGCCCGACGAGTGGACTAGGCGTAAGTCAGCCCGTATTTGGTGTATTAGTGCAGATACCTAAAGGGGTTTAGGCTATGAGACGAGAGCCTGTCGCTATACTGTACTCACTGTACTCACTGTACACATCTGTTTCATCTAGTCTCTTTTTGTTGGGGGCTATTTTTAAATTGTGGTCTGTAACTACACTGTTCATCTCTCCGTACAGGCAACCATAATAGCAGGGATATTGTTTAGGCGCCAGACTTGGATTTAAACAAACTGGATTTCCACTCTTGATTCGTGTTTAGGAATAAAATTATCGAGTGGGAGCTTTTCTTTTTACGTTCTTCTTCATTGTGTGGTCTGATACACTCTTTTTCTCTTCACAGTGTGCCCCCTTTCACGACAATGAAGTTTCTAGCCCTATTTTTGGTGCTTTTGTCCGCCATGATGGCTAGGGCAACTCCAGTCCAAACAGCTGTTCCTCAGGCAGGAGTAGTCCGACGGGAAGCCACCACAACGTCGGCGACAAATGCCGAAGCCACTACGGCGACCACCACAACAGCGACAGAGTTTCAATTGTCGTTAACTTTGGATCTGCCTTCCGACACCTGTACGCCAACTATAGCGCCAGACAAAAACGGCTATGTACCGCCATCAGAGTGTGACGCCTTATACCTCTATTACCCGTCTTTCAAAGCTGCGATCGCCGCCACCGTGATTTTTGGGCTCATCCTAGTGACACATTTCGTGCAAGCAACGATTTACAAAGCTGGCTTTGTCTGGGTTGTACTCATGGGAACCGCATGGGAGACTGTGGGCTATGCAACCCGCGCCTTGAGTACTCGCAAGCAACAAGACAACACAATCGCGACCGTCACGCAGATGTTTATTCTGTTGGCCCCATTATGGGTCAACGCCTTTGACTATATTGTTTTATCTCGAATGATCAATTTCTTCGTTCCCGAACGTCGCATTGGCATTTTCAAGCCTTCATTGCTGGCCAAAATCTTCGTGATTCTCGACTTTGGCTCCTTCGTGATCCAAATGATTGGAGGATTCATGGCAACCGGGACCTCCGAACAGCAAATGAACGGTATTCACGTCTACATGGCTGGGATTGGCATTCAACAATTCTTCATTGTCTGCTTTTTAGTGCTGGCCTTCCAATTCCATCGACTGATGCTGAAGCTCGATCGAGCTGGTCGACTATTCGGCGATAAGCAGAACTGGAGGAAACTTCTTTACGTTCTGTATGCCAGTCTGCTTTTCATTACCGTGCGTATCTTCTACCGCTTAATTGAGTTCTCATCTGGCTACGGGGAGAACAATCCTATTCCATACCACGAATGGTATATGTACGTGTTTGACGGCATTCCAATGGCCTTTGCTGTTCTCGTCTGGAACTTTGCCCCCCTGGGGCTGTTCTTCAAGGTCCAGATGCAAAGATGCCCTCCAGTGGAATTGGCAGGTTTCTCTGTTGTAACGGCTGTGGCTGCTGTGGAGGTTGTTGCTGTCGAACTTGTCGGAAGCGCGGTAAAGGGAAGAAGGACATGCAGAGACTACCCGATAACGACTTCTACGGAGATGATGTTCCACTCCACCAACGAGATGCATCACCATATAGAGACACGGGATACTCTTCGGGTCGGTGAAAATGGGGTTCAATCTTTGTTACGAGTTTTTTTACATTCTCATGATTCCATTCTTTATTTGTATATACTTCCTCGTCTTCATTTGGTTCCTTTCTTGATCAAATAAGCCATTTTGTGAATAAGCATGGGGAAGAGGCGTTCTGGGAGAACTAGATGACTTTCGGGCTATTCAGAAAGCTCGAAAATATACCGAATTGAGCTAGCAATCATTCTATCACTTCCAATTTGAAAATTCAATATAGCAAATCGCGCCAAGAGATTTAAATCTATAAGCTTTCAACTCTAATCACACCTCTAAAGATCACTGTAGTGTCCCAGGATTGATGAACTGGCATCGCCGAAATGCGAGGGCAGCGAATCTAAAGAACCAAAGAACCCAACCGCATCTGACCCCGGTTGTCTCAAGGTGGAGTATATATCATGCTCGTCACCCTCTGCAGTAGTAGAAGGATACAGGCCCATGTGCTTCAAAACCTCCTCCGGAGGTGCCGTCCGCCGCCCATCCTTGAACACATACCGGCTCACACCGACAGCAAGAATTGCTTTCTGAGCTTCAGATCCGTCCTTCGTTTCCTCCCCCTTTCGCAAGCCTTTCATCACCCTCTTATGTGTTCCAGCCTTGACAAAGTAGGTAACTAGCACGAGCCACTTGGAGTCCCATGATAATACCCGGGACCAGATCTCATATTTCTGCAAAGGTTTAATCTCACGCTTGAATACACAAGACGTTCCACCTAGCGCAACGCTAACGACTCTTTCAGCCTTTTTGGTGTTGAGTTTATCCGTCTCAACTTCAGGTGCCCAGCGTGGCAGACGAGGGAACAGGCTCAGGAGAAGTTGCGCGCGGTTGATGTCCATGTCGGAGAAGAAGGTACTGTTCGACTTGTGCATATTGTAGTCGCATTCCATGAGAGCGTTTTGGTGCGATGTCACCATGTAGGAAAAGATGAGAGGTATTCCCCCAGATACATCGTCGACGAGCACTCCATTAGAAGTAAGTTGACGGGGATAAAGTCGGGATCCGAAAAATTGAGTAGAGAGACCCTTGATCACTCGTAACTGGAAAAGTCCGCATTAGCCGATTGCACAGAATAAGAGGATTCCTACTTACATGCCACACAAACGGAAGTGCTTTGAGATTAACAAAGAGGACTCCTGCAATGGCAGCGAGAAGGGCATACTGCATGTAGCCATCATCCACTCCAAGTGTGCTCAAGACAGTCATTGAAACTTCACCAACTCAGGAGCTGAAACTGGAAAAATTGCTAGATCACAAGCAACTAACGAACACTTGTAGGGATCTAGGCTAGGTAGGCGCCTGGCTTATTAAACCGGACAACCTCCGGTTGCAATCTTTAAAATACAAGTAATTTGTAGAAGTCTCTTGGTTTTGGGAGGCAGGTACAGCTAGTAATATTTCGACGTTTTCTAGTAGCGTATTTTAAAGTATGGCGTACCAGCATGTAACGGTATCTTTGTATGTAATGTTCGTATCGAGTGTATGGATGTATCTTAACGTCGTCTAAATTCAAATGATGCGATATAGTCTCGTGCAGGAAATAACAGCAATCAGTGGAGCAGAAATCTCACGAGCCCCGATGACCTTGCATCTTCAAAAGTCTGGCCGTACTGGGCGTCTTGCCAAGGTTACAATTGATGACTGGGTAGCATCATGCTTTGGGGTGCGTGCAATGAAAAGCGCTAGCGAGATCAGCAGTCTGAGTTTGTCTGATCTCATCATGGGAACTCAATCCCAATGGACTCAGCTGAAGGCACAGCCTGCTATCCGCTTGACTGTTCAGGCAAATTCGTCACTGACGCTAATCGGCACTATTCGACGGGATTCCGGCTCGAAGGGCTGGACCGTTTGGTCCCTGAAACTGTAACCCAAGCGACATTACAACATCCACAAATGGGTCCCACTCTAGAAAGAAAGATTTGTTTTGTTCGGCTGCAGGACGGTCGAGATGAACAGGTGGACACGCTCGTAAGGAACAACCGAATATGGGTTTGAGCGGCCATCTGACCTATTTTGGCCGCTGCTTATTGCATACGCATGTAGCCAGGCACTTTATCTGACGCGGCATTTTTTTCTTCGAGGATTTTGGACATCGAATTTTGCGGGGGATTCGCCTTTCGTCTATTGTTCTTGGCTGCATTGTCTTTTGTCAATGAGGTCAACTCATCATATCAGCAATCTCAATATCACATTTACTTCAGCTAAATGTCATCTTTGTTTAAGATGTCCACATTTACCACCGGAGCTTTAACATGTCAACCTTCAATCAAATTTCTAGCACTTGGAGCCGCGGAAACCACCCGCCTTCTAGATGTTTCCTCCTCAAATAGGACAAATTTGACATTTATCTGTCAAGCGGCTCTTGTGGCGTCATTATTTGCCAATCTACCCTCAGAAATCATAACTCTCAATGTCGAAAGCCGCATTTCACGCCAAGAGTTCCAATCCGTTGGCGGGGCAATGGTAGATTCCAACAGCATGCCCGGATTCACATACTGTGGAATTTATTCAAGGCAGGAGTTCACGACAGCTTCTGTCTGGCACGAGGCTCAGAATATGCACTCAGCCATTCAGGCAGAGCTGACTCGGACGAAAATCAACACTAAGATGGAATCTGCTCAGAACCGGAGAGGTCACAAAAAGGCTGATACAAAAGACTCATCAAAGAAGACCCAGGGAATCAACTTGATGCTGTCAAATATGGGGGACTTCCGAGACAAAAAGCAACTCGATTCCCAGCAGTCGCAAGGCTGGCAAACTGAGAATATTCATCAAAGGAACACTGGCGTTGAACCTAGTGCTCATCTGTCAGCTACATTGACTATTGGCGGAGACGGTTGTCTGACAGTGCAATTGTCTTTGTTGGATATTCTGTTTGAAGAGGTTTGGCTTGACGCTGTCATAGCAACCTTGGGAAATATAATTCGGCAGCTCATTTACAAAAGTGATGCGATGAGAGCAGCACGGGTTTCAAACGCACTCCCGTGGGGAGGCTCAATGTCGCGACTGGTATACTTAGTGAGAGATCTGATGCTGCAGTGAGCTTGCTTGTAATGAAGAGTTCTCACTCAATATACGGTCTTCTATTACCGGTATCAAAATTCGATCATTGAAGAAGTATACTGGTGTTCGCAGGGATTTGACGATTTATTTACTCAATTTTTGATGTCTCTGTTGGACCCCTGAACAATTACGTCCAAGTCTGAAACTATGACTTGCAACCTTTTGCCTGGTATGCTATTCTATTGATTTATTCCCATCATTTGGTCCAGCTTCAATGATTGACTAGACCTTTCTCTCGACTAGAGAAGCAGTCGTTTCGGGTCAATTACATGTATTAAATAAATGTAAATCGCCCACTAGATCTAGAATTTTAAGATTAATCAAATTGAATTGCACTTGTCCAAATGATCAATGGTGTTTGGTCAATATTATCCACGTCAAAGATAAAATCAAAGTAGAACTTGCCTTCAGGTAGGAAGCCCTAATCACATCCATCGGCCATCTATCCGCTTATATTGCGCTACAGGCCAAAAAACAGCAATAGAATACATTTTCAGAGTACTCATGTCCAGATAATATGATTTCAAGATCCCTAAAATTATTGAGCTGACTTGTACAAGATGATTTGTCAGTTAAACACATCACCTCTATTGCTTTCAGCAAACGCCTCTCCAGGGAAATATAGAATTTTCTTCCATAAAGAGATTTCAAAGAAAATATACCATAGTTATCACATCTCTGTCTCCGAGATCAATATAGGTAACCACAGTGAGGGTAGATTGTATATGGCCCCGGGCGATAGAAGATATTACGAAAGCATGGATGGCAACGACGATGGGATTCGAGGGCATCCATCGTCAATATTGGCAGGCGCTAAAAGAGTATGATTGAATTTCGAAAAGATGAAAGTTGAATTTATCTACCGAAGTCTACAAGAAAATTAACAAATTTGATTCAACTCTCGGGGGAGATCAAGAATCTATAGGCTGGTTTTCTACAGCTACCCATACTTTCTCGGTATATTCTATCAGCTACTCTGTGCTCATTTACTTTTCTGTTTGTTGTTCTTGTGCCTCTTTCAAAATCATAACATGTTCAAGTAACTCAAGGCCAACAATATAGAACAAAGATCGGATGATGTCAAAACTTCGTATTTTGATCTGGTTAATATATTGCTTAATTTCCTTCGTGAGGAAACACTCCAGTGATCAAGGATGAGAAAGGAAAATGGTTGAATTGTCTACGTCGAAGCTCTCTGTGGCTCTAGATCACTAAGGATACAGTTCTTCGTAGTTTGGTGTTCCATACTTATAATTGAAATCTTATGTCGGATTCGGTATAGCGATGTGAATGTATGTATCTATGTTCAAGACCTTGTGTGCTCAGATATTGAGCATGAAGGGGACTGGATACCACTTTGCCATGATTTCAAGCCTCCTGTGATGTGCCATTTGATTGCTTTCTGGTATTTCATGTCCAAGCCCGTCAACTGGTCTTGGTCTTATGCCTGCTTTAAGCCTGAAGTTCCCCTATCATTGCCTAATCATTTTCCCAACTTTCTGTTCCCTAAATTCTTGGATCAATCAATCGGCCAAGGTGTTGAATGGAGCAATTCGGTCACCCAAGTCAACCGCGGTAGGCTCTTCAGGAGCTGCATACAAAGAACAAGAAGTCCGGTGAGCTCAGTAATGCCCGATCAGATAAAACTGTACTTGATTGCAATGATCGCCCTGCATGTGAGCCGGTAGAGTGAGCCCATTGACTATAACCGGAGGTTCTCCTCGATAAATCCTATCAGGTGAACAATCTGACTCAAGTAGTGTTTTTCAGTCCGTTCTCACTATTGATTCTGTGAAAAGCTCCTTTGATGTGCAAGCAGTCAATTGGTCAATATTCTATCAGGGTCTGATGCACCAATGATCCAAGTCAATCTCAATGTCGACGGCACATATCTCCAAAGGTGTTCTACTGTCTCAAACCCCTCCCTCTCCGTGAATAGCTTAGAGCAGTTGCATGATGTATCGGGGAGACCCGGCTTATCGGTATTCCGGGACACTTCACGAGATTTGAGTATCAACCGTATTTCCCAGCATGTAAATATCGGATCTTAATATATGACCTCTACAAATGTATGTGCAGCTGCTAGTTACTGTACTCTCCTTCACTTACTTACACATCAGATATCCGGCTAAAAGACGACTCACATACATCGACATCCGGACTGAGACACTCCGAAGCTACGCATTCCATTGGCCGTAGACATACGAAAGTCAAATTCATATCTAGTGATGCAGGTATTAACTAGCTTGCATGCACAAGCAGGCCAGCCAATAAGAGACACATCACGGGCGCTTCTATACGCCTTCGATGGCGTTCTTGTGAGGGGGAGAGGGGTTCCTCGGGGCTCAGGGCTATAAGTACTGGAAGGTACCGATCTCCTGTTAGAGGCGATTGTCGCGGGATCGCGATCAAGGGTGTGTTTCACTGCTTGGTTGACACGGACACTCCTTTGGCTCCCGGCACGTCTTTTCCGGGACCATCAAGGCTTGGATTGATTGGGTCCTGATACAGTACAGTAGAACCACGCGAATATTGAATTGGTCTACTATGTAGACGCGTAATCCCTGGCGAGACTCTTCAATCGTAGTATTATTAACCCTCCGATCGACAGGTGGTATTTCTTTCAGTGATCCCCTTTAACGATTCAAAAAGAGGTTTCGTTGGGCATGACATTGCTGTAATATTTGGTTTCATTGCTTGGTCGGTCACATCGTTGATCAATCATCAGGAGGCAGCCAAGTGTTCCAAGCGTGGTCATATCGCTTACCCGATGTCGTTGATCTTCATGCTTCTTACAACACATTCCTGGGGATCCATGGTAGCCCAGGCTTGCCGACACCCAAGGATAGTATCAGTGCCACCAATCAAATTGACCAGTCTGACCAGTTGAGCCATTCGCCAACCAGAAGCGACCAACTATGACATGGATGCTCGGCCCGTTGCATAGAATTGGGGGAATATTCAGTGACCCAATTTGGAATCAAGAATGAGTACGGAGTACAGCATATGGAACTGTCACCGAGTTGTTCCGTTAGCACCAATGGACATGCATGCATCTCTTTTTGGACTCGAACGTTACTTTGGGGGATGAACCCTAGTGATAGTGACTAAAGACAAGCGACTCATCAGATAATCCAAGCCACTTGTTCATGGACGTGGTGATTTTCAAGTGGCTGGGAAGATCATGAATGTCCACGGGAGATCGAAGCCCAATCACCTGACCGACTCGAATTCGGTCCCTCTTCCTCTCCACGCACGACGCCCTGCGACGAGGCAGGACCATGCATTACATCACCAACCCAACCGTCCTGTCCAACTGTCTTTGTCCAACTCCTTACACTGAGGTTACAGAAAGGTTGGGCGACTGAAGTGTCGGTGTCGAAAAAAGTGGACCTTCACACTGGGACAGGCCCACGACTCCATTTCATTCATCCACACCAGACACTAAATCCACTCGTTTCGCCTCGTTGGACGCACTCCGGGCGCAAAATTGAAGGCAAATTGTGACCGAAAAGTATTCGGTCTATACGTTGAAAGGGACAGGAATAGCCCTGGTCTCCCCACTCCCTGCAGACGTCTCATTTGCCGCTGTTGCCGGACGTTGGGCACAAATGGGCAGTTCGACTGCATCCCTTCGTGTGCACGCTTCGACTCCCTGCAACTGAGACACAGGATCATCCTCTACTGGCGGTGACCGTGTGTTCCAAAGTCGAATTCTTTTGTCCCAACTTCAGTTGCCTCGCCAATTGTGTAGTTATTCCCGTACCCCCGTACTGGACACGAATCTTAAACAAACCCAATAAAGAAATTTCAAACCCGAGGCACCCCCACCTCAACAGACCCATCTTCTCCATGTCGGTGCAGCGCTGGCCTTTCCTTTCTTGACCGATGTGTCTCCCGATCTCCAATCCAAATCCTCCATTTCTGCCGGTTACTGCAGCTATTCCTGCGGGTGGGGATTCTGCTGCTCTCACCCGGCCCTAATCAAGCACCCGGCCTCGCTATCCCCCATATCGGTAACGGAAATGGAGACCCAAGGACCGACGTGGCCCAATGACAATTGGCGACATCGGGCAGTTCATTGATGACGTTCAGGGCCCAAGGCCCGTAGTGCAGTTTGTTGTCCCAGTCGAACGATTATACGCTGCCTCACCATGGCGGTCCAATGCGGTGTCTCCAGAGGAACAAGCATATCCTTCTTTCCCTTTCGGTTTTCTAATACATCAGTACTTCGCCCAGTTTCATACTCCTCAATTCTCCAATCTTTGTATCTTTTTGTTCTTTTTATTTGCCCTGTCGCCCCGGTATCCGGTACTTCCCTTGCATTGCAAGCCTGACAAGAGGCTTGTCAATCTCCGATTGTTCCACTGTTGTCGCATCACGCGCCAGTCAGCATTGCCCACGCCTCGATATATGATACGTCATTGATCGAGGATAATGGCTAAGAAAAAGTCCAAGGCGAAGAATAAGAATAACGCCAACAACCGCCTTCCCGTTGGTTCAGAAAATCCTCCAGATTCTGAGAGCACAAACCACATCAACGAGCCTTCTCCCGACGAGGCGGCAGGAGCTGCTCAAGATGTCTTCTTACACGTATGCATCGGTCCCAGATTTTTGTTATCAGAAAGTTCAAAGAAGTTACCAAACTTTCGATTATGCCACTTCTGAATTCAAGAATTACCCCGTCACCTATTCATCGACCGATCTGACCGAGGGCCAAAACCAGGACAACAATGAGCCCAGTGCCGAACCCGAGAAGAGCGCTGCTCCCGATGAAGCTACGCCAGCTGAACCAAGTAGCTCACCAGATGACGCTCCAGCCCCTGAAGTTGCAGGTAAGTAGTTATTTTCATAGACGATGAGGTTTATCGTCAAGCACTATATTCGTACTACCTCTGCGGTTATGTATTGATACACAATTCCAGAAAATGCAGAGGCTGTAACGCCTCCGGATGAAGCTGCTACAGGTGAGGAGCCAGCACCTGATGCCGCGCCAGACTCAAAAGAAGAGGCCCCGGCTGGAGCAGAGGCACCCGCCGCCGATGAGCCTGCGCCAGAAGGAGAAGCCGAAACTAGCCCAGATGAAGCTCCGAAAGATGCAGTAGAAGAAGGCGCAACTCCCGAAGAAAACACGGAAACAACACCCGCAGGTGAGGACACAAAGGCTAACGACGAAAACGCCCAGAATGGTAAGTATCTCTAGTGGGTTGAATGTTGACCACGTCGCTAATTCTCGATGTAGATGACGAATTTCCAGATTGCGATCCAGAGGCGGACCTTGACAAAGTAGAAGCCGAGAAAGCGGCTGCTGCTGAGGAGGCTGCTAAAGAGGCCGCCCAGGCCGAGGAAAGCGAGGGTAGTCCACCGACAGATGATCCTGTTGCTGAAGAGCCTGTCTCAGACAAGTCGGATGCGGCAGATGCTGTGGATATTCCTCTAGAACCAGAAGCAGCAGCCCCTGTTGAAGAAATTTCCATTCCGGAGGAACCAGCAGCACCCGAGCCACCTGCCGAAGAACCTACCGGCAAAAAGGGCAAGAAGGGCAAGAAGAAGAAAGATAAGAAAAACAAGGCCGCTGCAGCAGAGCCAGAGGCGACAGCAGAGCTAGAGACGCCAGCAGAACCAGAGACGCCAGCGGAGCCAGAGACGCCAGCCGAACCACAGACGCCAGCCGAACCAGAGACGCCAGCAGAACCAGAGCCGCCAGCCGAACCAGAGACGCCAGCGGAGCCAGAGCCGCCAGCCGAACCAGAGACGCCAGCGGAGCCAGAGACGCCAGCCGAAGAGGCGCCAGCCGAGCCAGAGGCACCATCAGAGCCAGAGCCGCCAGCCGAACCAACAGCGAATCCTGAACCTCAGCCCGAGCAGCCGGCAGACGAACCTGCTGCAGATACGCCTGAGGAGTCACCTGCGTCAGAGCCTGAACCCCCAGTGGAGCCAGAACCTGCTCCGGAGCCAGTAGCTGAACCCGAGCATGTTGCAGAGACACCCAAAGAAACCGGGAAAAAGAAGAAGGGCAAGAAGGGCAAGAAGGGTAAGGGTGCGGCCGCGGCCGCAGAACCCGAACCTGCACCGAATGCCGAGCCTGAGCCTGTTGTTGAACCCGCTGCTGAGCCCGCTGCTGAGCCTGAGCCTGTTGCTGAACCCGCTCCGGAACCCGCTGCTGAGCCTGAGCCTGCTGCTGAGCCTGAGCCTGTTGTTGAACCCGCTCCGGAACCCGCTCCGGAACCCGCTGCTGAGCCTGAGCCTGCTGCTGAGCCTGAGCCTGTTGTTGAACCCGCTCCGGAACCCGCTCCGGAACCCGCCGCTGAACCTGAGCCTGCTGCTGAGTCTGAGCCCGCTGCTGAGCCAGAGCCTGTTGCTGAACCCGCTCCGGAACCCGCTGCTGAACCTGAGCCTGCTGCTGAGCCTGAGCCTGCTGCTGAGCCTGAGCCCGCTGCTGAGCCAGAGCCTGTTGCTGAACCCGCTCCGGAACCCGCTACTGAACCTGAGCCTGCTGCTGAGCCTGAGCCTGCTGCTGAGCCTGAGCCTGCTGCTGAGCCTGAGCCTGCTGCTGAGCCTGAGCCCGCTGCTGAGTCTGAGCCTGTTATTGAACCCGCTCCGGAACCCGCTGCTGAGCCTGAGCCTGCTGCTGATGCCCCTACATCACCCGTTGTGGTCGAGGAGCCGGTACTGGAAGCGTCTGCTGAGGAAACCCCTGCTCCTGAACCTATCTCTGAGCCTGTTTCTGAGCCTGCTGTCGAGGAATCGCCGAAAGATGTGCCTCCTGAAGAAGCACAAGTTGAAGAGACCGCTGTTCAGGACCTCCTAGTTGAGGAAGTCCCTACGGATGAACCTGAGCCGGCTGTTGAGCTAGTTGCTGAACCTGCGGCACCTGAGCCAACCCCATCTGAAGTTGCGCCTGATCCCGCCGAAGAGTCCGGGCTTCCTGTGCCCGAGTCACCTGCTACTGATGAGCCTGAGCCTTCCGCGGCTGAACCACCTGTTGAAATGGCACCTGTTGAGGTGACTCCAGAAGAGCCAGCCCCAATTGAAGAGCCAGCTCCAGTTGAAGAGCCAGCTCCAGTTGAAGAGCCAGCTCCAGTTGAAGAGCCAGCTCCAGTTGAAGAGTCAGCTCCAGTTGAAGAGCCAGCTCCAGTTGAAGAGCCAGCTCCAGTTGAAGAGCCAGCCCCAATTGAAGAGCCAGCTCCAGTTGAAGAGCCAGCCCCAATGGAAGAGCCTGAAGTCAACACTCCTCCACCCGAAGAGCCTCCGGCTGAACCACCAGTTCCGAATACTCCAGCTGAGACACCCGAGCCCGATGTAGCTGCAGCTCCAGCCGAGACTCCAACGCCGGAAGAGGCCCCGGCTGAAACTCTTCCAGATGAACCTGCCCCTGACGCAGAGGTTGCAAGAGATATCCCTATGGAGGATCCACCGGCCACTGATGCTGCCCCAGCAGCACCTGAAGCTTTAACCGAATCAGCCCATGTTGATGAGGACGTTGCGCCCGATGAGATTGTGCCACCCGTAGCGGATACATCGCCGGATCCTATCATGATTGATGCGGCTCCCCGTGATGAACCAGTTGAGGGTGACGAGCCCCCAACCACCCGACACGGTTCACGACGCCGGAAGAAGCGCTCGCCAGAGACACGAGAACGGGAGTCTTCCAGGACACAGGACTACGAGTCTTCTAGAACACGAGACCCTGGTTACTCCAAGACGTTATCTGATTCGCCCAAAGACAGCCTCCAGCGTCAGAAGAGCGAGCGGAATGTCTTGACTAACCGTTGGGCTAAAGCTCTCGAAGAAGCTCGGCGACAGCACGACGAGAAAGCACAGATCCAACGGAGGCAGCGTGCCCTTGTTGAGGAGCGAGAGCGAAGTGGTATCCCGTCTTCTGAAAAGCCTAGACGCTCTTCGAAGGACAAGGAGAAGGCCAGGGCGATGGAACCAATTGCAGTTCCTGCCCCCGCGCCTGTCGCCATTCCAGTTGCCATACCTGTTCCTGTCGAAGGCAGACCCAGACGTCGTCCATCTGAACGACGCACCTCTGAGACGCCATCTGATCAACCTCTTGAGCGATCTCGCTCAACCAAGACATCTTCGTCACAGGCAACTTCAGCCCCAACTGCTAAGCCTCGTGCCTTTCTGCGTTACATGACTGAGGGCCAATCTGGTCCTAATCACATAATGCGTGTGAATGCCACCAAGGCGGCTCCGCCAGTTGAGAAGCCTTTGCGCCGATCTTCGACAAGCCACAGCCACGGCAGCAGCCAGGGACGAACATCGCATGACGAGAGACATTCAAGTGCCCAATCCACTGGATCAGGAGGCTCCCGTTCCCGCCGTGATGACCGCCGTGAAGAGCGGCGCGAAGCACGACGTGAAGAGGAGGCTCCTCGATCCGAAGGGAGAAGGTTGCGGCGCTCGTCGACGGCTGAACATCGGCCCAGGGAGGAGAAGGACGAGCGGAGAGATCGAGCCAAGTCACGAGAACGCGCAAAGGAGAAGGAGCGGGAACGGGACGCGGCGAAGACTGAAGGGTCTTCTCGTCGCTACCAGAGCTCCCGTGAGACTCGCGCTGAAACTCGTGATGGCCGCTCTCATCGCCGTCACAAACGTGAAGAGACCCCTCCCCCTCAGGAGTCGAAACTGAAGAGCCTTTTCAGGGCCATTGGGGTCCATTGAAATGTCTGAGATAGCTCATTTTTCCTTTTCTGTTTTGCTTGTTTTTAACTTTCTCTTCACTTTCAACCTTGTCTTTTACTTTGAATGGGTGGTTTGTGGTTTGACAGAATGCCCGATATGATATGACAGTGTATGCTTGACGACGAATTTGTTGCATTGGGGAGCGATTCATTGCAGGAGTATTTGAAATATGTTGTTTATGGCCAGAATTTGACAAGATGTGCATTTATACAAGACAAGTATCTAGGATTTTGACATCGTGTTTCGGAATGTCACAATCACATAACTCATTTGAGACTATTCCATGCTATTCAAAGCTCTTCTTATTTCCATTAGGAATCAGTACTACTTTGACTCTTGGGGAACTGAGTAATGAAAATAGTCCACAATATCATCGTATAATTGTCAGGTCTGTGCAAAATCCCAGGTGCTACACAGACATGCTCGTCGAGATGTTCGATTCGGAATTCTAGACATAATCTTCTCGACAGGCATATGTATCCTACAAAGAAGAAGAAAGGACCTCGGGGTGTGGTCGATTTAGACAGTTCGGTAGCGACAACTCTGAAAATAAGCTTCTTCTGACCTCTTCCTTGCCGTCGTCATCAGAGTGGTTATGCACACTTTTGCATAAACGTATTTACCTGCCTAGGTGAATACTTTGTCAAAATCGTGTAGTTAGTATGATATAAAGCAAACAAAATGGAAACCAGCCACAGCGAATGCAAACACCAATTCCCAATGCTAATTCAGAAAAGCAAAAGCTTACTCGAGGGGTTTAACAGCCAGCCTCACTCTTCGAAGGAATCACTCTAGAGCACCATCCACACCAGGCACGATGTAACCCATCTTCTTCCCGGACAAGATAGTTTCCGGTCTCTCTTTCATCCTCATATTCAACGACGCAGGCGCCAACATTGACTCTTTTCTTGGCCTTATGCTTGACAACCCCACCAAGCCCGATGACCTCCTGCCGGAAATATCCAGGCTCTTCGTCATCATGACTGTCGGTCAATATGGCCGCTTCATTATAGTTGGACGAATGGCTCGCAGGACTATGCCCAGCGCTATGGCTGCTGCTAGTATCACTGGAGCTTTCATCCGCCTCACAATCAACCTCAAGCTCGATACCCTGTGCCGCAAGACACCTCTCTCCACGCCCACACTTCACGCCTTGACAGCCCTCACCAATACCGGTGCCTAACCCGCCGCCAAGGTATGTACTATACCTCGTCCGCCAGGCCCAGACGCGTCTGTATGTCGTGTCATTGCTGCGCAGGGTTTGCCCGCATTGCGTACAAAGCCATACAGATTCAGTACATGTACATGGGCTGTGTGCAAATGCAGTTGCAGCGACACTGTCCGGGTCGGGGGCTGGGCTGTGTGGATCTGCGGAGAGGTGGGAGGATAGAGGTGCAGTGCCGCAGGTACGGCAGAGGCGACGAATGCGATTTTTAAGAGTTGTTTGGGAAGGTGGTTTGATGGTGCAATTCTAAAGACTCGGCATTAGGGACATAACCAATGAGTTGCGGGTACGGAAGCTCATACTCTGCACACAACTTTCGCGCAGCGTCGACATTCCGCCACCATGTCGCGCGCGCATTTGGCCACTTTTCCGCGGGTCATGCGTCCTGGCTCACCGCTACCGCGACTTAATAGCTGCAGGACTGACTTCACGCTACTTGGGAGGACAGCACCGCTGTGGAGCATTTCTGCTAATGTTTCGACATATTCATTCTCGCACCGGAGGGTCTCCCGCACGAGTTGGTGACGAAACGGTGCCAAGTTCACATGGAACTGGCGGCACGTAGTCGAGAGGGAGTAAAGGGTGTTGAGGTCAACGGCTCGAGCGATCTCCTTGACGATACTAGAAAGCAGGGGTAATTAGCCAGAGATCGTCTTGCCATCAAAGTTGACTCAGACGTACGGATAACAACTCAAAGCCGCCGAGAATCCGTTTCGGTTGAGGTTGGAGTTCCCTTCATCCGGTTCTTCACGGGAAGATGAGACAGAGGATGGGGTCAAGTCGGCCGGCTCCGACGCGATGGGGTTCAACTGGGGGAAGGGCTTCTCCAGTGTCGATCCGTGCTCGAAGGCATCGTCCAAGTCGACAAAAACCACCATTCTGCCATCAGAGGCCTAGATAAATCAGCACATCAGATAAGATCAGGGAGAGACCCTTTTTATACCTCCGGGGCCTGCTATTGGAGAGAATGTGAGGTCCCGAGGTGGGATGATGGCGGGAATGGACCCTCCGGGGCGGTGAGAGCCACGGTTTGAGTGTTGGAACAGTTTACTTCGACTTTCCAGATGTCAACCTCTGAATAGTTGCAGACTTGAAGATATCTTGACCACTTTCCCACAGCCAATCTAACGGCTAACCTCGGCCGACGGGGAGGTCAATTCACACTCCGATAAGATAGACTCCAATTTCTCCAATATAGCGGCGGGGTAGCCCGTCTTTCTCGCGATATCCCACGCCCTTCGGTGGGGGTTTATAACTACTCGAATTCCCCGTATTCTCACTTGATCTAATATTCAACGTCTGCGTCAAAATGCCACTGAACGCCAAAGCCGTTTACTCTCGCGGAAATGCGGATTACGTCCCATTCCCCAGCCGACGAAGTACCGTTCACAGCACGAAGGGTATTGTGTCATGCTCGCAGCCATTGGCTGCCGCCGCCGGTCATCGGATCCTGAGTCAAGGTGGAAATGCTGCTGTATGTCGCCCAATCTCTGTTGTATCAGATGTTACTAACCGATGATGATTTTCACAGGATGCCGCAGTTGCCGTAGGTATGTACCGGATTCAGAAACAACGGGCAGAGCAACAGACTGATTGTATGAACAGCCGCTGGACTGAACATGACCGAGCCTTGCTCTACTGGCATTGGAGGTGATATGTTCTGTCTTTTCTATAATGCCAAAACCAAGAAGGTGCATGCCCTGAACGGTTCGGGTCGGTATCCCGGAGAAGCAACGCTGAATAAGGTACGCGAGGATTTGGGGCTTGCTCCTGGTGCATCGGGAAACATGCCTATGATGAATGCCTTGGCCGCTACTACGCCTGGTGCGGCCGCTGGGTGGGTCGATACTATTGAGAAGTTTGGTAGCGGCAAGCTCTCCCTAGAACAAGTTCTACAGCCTGCTATTGAGCTAGGTGAGGAGGGCTTCCCTGTGTCCGAACTCTCCTCGCACGGCGTGAGTCTCTAGCTCTCAATTTGAATTGTTCGAGGAGCTAACAAAAGACAGTGGGTTGGGGCTGAAGAAGACATCCGCAATGCATCTCCCAACTTCCGAGAGATGCTCAAGGTTGACCCTTCCGCAAAAGACGGTGTGCGCAGCCCTCTTCCGGGTGAGATTATGAAGAATCCCACCCTGGCAAAAACATTCCGTGTTTTGGCTGCCGAGGGCAAGAAAGGATTTTACGAGGGCCGAGTTGCTGAGCAGATCGTCAAAGTAGTACAGGATCTAGGTGGCTACATGACACTCGAGGATCTTGCCTATCACTCCAAAGTAGGAACCCAAGAGGTTGATGCAATCTCACTTGATTTTACTGGCCAGGATATCGTCTCCAAGGCAACACCTGGTACAGACGGCGAGGCCAACCAGGGTGTCACAATTTGGGAGCACCCGCCAAACGGACAGGGAATTGTGGCACTCATTGCACTCGGTATCATGGAGGAACTTGAAAAGGCAGGCAAGATCCCCAAGTTCACCGAAGCTCAGCACAACTCGGCAGAGTATCTGCACGCCGTGATTGAGAGTCTGCGGATTGCCTTTGCCGATGCGGCCTGGTGGGTGACAGACCCAGATGTAGAGCGCGTGCCTTCACAAGGTCTGCTCGCACGTGAATACCTTGCCGAAAGAGCGAAGCTCTTCCAGCCAGACCGCGCCGCAGATATTATGGACCATGGCAGCCCCGCTCACAACCACTGCGATACCGTTTACTTCGCCGTGACAGACAGTGAGGGTAATGGAATCTCCTTTATTAACAGTAACTATGCTGGCTTCGGTACAGCCATCATCCCCGCAGGTTGTGGCTTTACTCTGCAAAATCGCGGTGCCAACTTCTCGCTACAAGAGGGACATCCAAATGCCCTTGCACCTCGCAAGCGCCCTTATCACACAATCATTCCCGCCCTGATAACCAATATTTCAGATGGTTCTTTGCACTCTGTTTATGGTGTTATGGGTGGATTCATGCAGCCTCAGGGCCATGTGCAAGTCATGCTGAATATGCTTGCCTTTGGATACCACCCTCAGGCTGCACTGGACTCGCCTCGCTTCTGTCTTGCTGCCCCGACAGACGAGAGTACTGACCGCACCGTATGGGTGGAGGAGGGTATTAGCAATGAGGCTGTGGAGGGTCTGCGTCGCCTTGGTCACAAGATTCAGATTCTCACTGGCTGGGAGCGTGCTGCGTTTGGTCGGGGGCAGATCATTCGCTCGTACTATGATGATGGCAAGCTTGTTTATGGCGCTGGCAGTGATATGAGAGGTGATGGAATGGCGTACCCTTTACTTTGAATATCTCCATAGTAATCTCTTGGTGCTTTAATCTTGATTATCAATTATTTCCGTCTTCGACTCCCTCCACTCCATAACGTTATATCGCGGTGGCTTTCGATACCATTGCAAGAATATATATCGCCAGTTTGGTATCACTACTTCCAACCGTGCAATCACGATACCCGACAACATAAGTTTACGCAGACTATTAAAGCCCTGCAGAACTATGTATCAAGTTTTGATGTCTACATTATATCGATTGCTTTGGTTTAAGGTGGTGGATAGTGATTGAAAACGTCCTGGAGACCCTGAAGGGAACAAATAAACCCGAAGACCATCACAACGGTCAAAAAAATAAGATACTACACAAAATTCCAGAATTTCGAGTCAATCTGCCGACTCTAATTCCCTCAAAGTAAAATTTCGCGGACCAAAACCTCTCGAATACCACCCATCGTAAAGAGTGCAGTGTCACCGTTCCTATCTCTTCAAAGTCCATGACATCAGGAAAGACACAAAAGGATTTAGCAGAAGCCACTGAAGTCATTGTCACTATATCATCAATTTCAGACAAGCTAGGCAGCTATTTATCGACCCAACAGTCCAACCATTCGATATCTCAAGCGAAGATCAACTCCCTTTGGCAATGTATTCAATCCCCGACCACTAGATAAGTTTTTAATGGAAGAATATCAGCTAATAAATTTAGATATCGACCTGCATGAGGGAGGAAGTGAAACCGAAGGATTGCGGAGACATGGGCATTGGGAGTCTGTGAAATAGCAGACCAGGTGCGGAATCCAGATCTTGTTCTAAAGGATCAGGAGACTGGATCCTTTGATTCAGAGAATGACCGTATTTCAGGGCAGCTGTTCATATGCAGCATAGCCGTCTGATACGTAAATTTTATGTGAGCAGCACCACCTGTACATGTAGATGTTGATGCCTAGCCCCAAAATCAAGCCATTTGGACGGCGTTGACTCATAACGTAAGGCTTCCACTTGAAAGAGAGTTTCCCCCATGTTTATCACAATATTGGCAATATTAAATCTCGATAGATACAGTAACTACCTAACATGACGAGTATAGAACACATGTCGGACTTGAAGTGTCGGAATTGGATTCAACTCCGATCGATATGCAGACCAGGATAAATATACCTTGCATGACATAAACCGATGCAGAAGAAACATCAGCATTGACAGGCTTCAAAGTCGCCTCATCTGGCAGTGGTCGCAATGGTGTCCGCATGCTGCAGAAAAGCCAACCAGTAATATTCCTATCAAAACCAACAGCGTCAAGTGGGTGCATGCTGGCGCCGAGAAAATCGGAAAATAATGATGTCACCGCCTCAAAGTATAACATGTAGCATGCATGTGTAAGTTATATGCGGACTAATATTGGCTTGCTTACATTGATCCAGGGACATGGTTAGAAGGGGGCGTTCAGGCTATGATTGGTCTGCAGGTTATTGTTGGGTGTTGTTTGTTGGCTTTTGGGTGCTTTGTCCTCTTCCAACGAATAAGATGCTGACATTCACAGTGGGATTCCAAGGAAAGAAATGTTCCTTAATTAGCTCGCGGTTGTCCGTTCTCAGAGAAGATATGGCGGGACGGTGAGTCTAGTCTAGACTATAACTAACTTGCTTAACTCGACTAACCTAATCGAGAGTTGTACAGTTATTAAATGTTGTGGAGTGATGCGACTGAAAGGAATTGTGTTCCGGGCAGGGATTTCATTAATAGCTTTGAATCCACGGAACGAAAATCTAGCTGGATGGAGTGGACATCCTGTCACTAGGGACAATTGGGGTATCCAGGCTAAGCGGACGTTATTTGATCTACAAAGGGCCCGAGTATAGGCCGTTGGAGCAACGAGAAGGGCCCTAAGGAATTAGCCCTATCGCACGCCGGAACTTTTCCAGTCCCGTGCAGCGCTAGGAGGTCATGTGGAAAAGGGGTAAATTGCATTCAGAGTGGGATCGGGGCCCCTCGGTGTAGATCTAGTTTGCTTCGTTCCAGGTAATCTCAATAGAGTGGGTGTTCTTATGCCTACAACGGTCTAGTGTGCTTCGAGACACGTAAATGGTAGTCAACAGAGCGGCTCCGACTCCCGAGATTCCACCAAGGGTCGTTACCAGAGCTCTGGTAAATGAGAGTATCGACTCGCGAGATCAAGGACCGCAGGTTCCGCCTTGATTGTCAATATCACAACCGTTGCAAATCTCGGCCGTAAAAATAGAACCAAATCGGGATGGCGATGCTGCGGCCCTCAAGCTGAAACACGATCATCGTTGATCCTCATGTGGCTGACAAGATTCTATACATTGGTTCATCAGCCCTTAAAAATTGATATGTGAGCTTACATCAACGCCCTAGGTCCAGCCATACATACACCTTCAATGCGATCGCATCATTCGGGTGTAGGCTGTACAGTATAGACAAATGTAAGCTAACGCGAGGGAGGAATGGTTATAAATAACATCCCAAAGCAACCGAATTAGCCACGATCAGCAATATCTCTCCTAGGCTTAGCGTCATGCATATTTTCCATTGCCACGTTTACCGGGGTTACCAGGGTCAGCATGAAACACGTCGGAGAGGACACTAGTGACGCCGTGCTTTTACCTATAGCGGGATAGTGTCACGCTCCGCATGGGTGCATGGGGGTGTGCAGTAGTGGGTGCATTATTACATGCCCTAAAGTAGTGCTCATTTCACCTTGCCAGTTCATCGCTTTCCTCTCAGCCTCTGGCCACATGGATTGCAGGGATAAGGATCCTTAGCCCAACCCCGTTAGCCATGGATATTATGAGGGGCGTTGTGGGTTGCATCAGACTATCTACCAACACTCTTCGCGTCAAACTAGTGCTCTAGCTTTCATATCCTTGGGACGGACTCCGGTCCAAAATAATCAATGTTTTCTTTGTGTGTAAGTCATGTGCCATCTATGTGTTAGATAGCAACGGGATGGGCTGGGACTAGGTAAGGATCGAGCATCTGACATGTACAGTAGTAAGAATGTTAGGTTGCCTTGAAGATCAACAAATGACCGTAAGTCTCCATGAAAACGTAGCGTTGAGGGCGTAATATCAATGGAGATCGTCATGGCATTCCCGAACACCAACCTGAAACGATGCAAGGTTTCTCGATCGTGAAAATAGATGTTCAGGCAACCCAGCGGAATCTGCCTTGCGATGCCCACATGGCCTGATCGACGGAAACTAACTTGTCATTACCCAGAATGGGGACCTGCATGGGGTATACGACGTCCCCCTTGCAGGGATGTCGGTGATTACCAAGAAATCCAATCAAACAAATAGTCACTCGCGGGCTTCACCCAGCTTTAACCGTACAGAATCCCGTTTATCCGTACTACAAGTTATTCCTGGTCATCGCGGGTCGACCCGATCACTGACTGCCATCATTGATTTGGTTCTGTATTTTATAGATGACAAGACTCATTTTTTTCCCATCCTCATCATAGCGTGATCTGTAATACTGTAGAGCAGGACTTACCACCCTTGATCAGAGCCCGCATCACCCCCGGGAAGCATACTGTGCTGTAAGATTTCTTTGGAGACGGTGTGGGCGCGCCCAGGTGCGTGCATGCACAGGTTCGGGCAAAACGCCGATCTCTGTCTGCAATCGAGTGCCTCAGTGCTCGGAAGCTGTTCGGCAAATCCTCGCCTCTCGGCTGCTTGTACAGTACATGTACACGGATGATTCCCCACGACTATGACTCGAACGTCGAATGTCTCATCTCCTGTCTTCCCTCGATGACGACGTCATCCCTCATCGTAAATGCGCGTTCGCTAGCTTGACATCGGGGTCTGTTTGCGTCGGGCTTTACTTTGCATCGGGGTCTACTCGTCGATTCCAGGCCAACTTTACATGATGGATATGCAGGTAGCGTAAATGCTCATTCCAATGACTACTGTGCAGTACTTGCATCCATGGAGAGTTACACAAGTACGGTGGATTGGGGCACATGATCCCTTACAAGAATTCGACGATCTGCCGAAGATTGGACCGTGAGCGATGAATCAACACATCTTCGGGGAGGTTCAATTACAGGCATATATATCTCAATACAGTAGCTCCACGAGGGCCCGTTCCGAATACGAAAAACAAGAATGGAGGCGTTGCGGGGGGTGGAGCCTGCACTCATTGTCTCAAGGACGTGACTCGATGCGAAGCCCAAAGGAATTCCCGCAGAGCCCAAAAGAGACAAGTCGAGTACGCTATCCCCAATTTGTATAAAGAGGCCGTGGGGTCTGATTGGCTGGATATTTACGCTTCAGTGGGGCTGGGCTTGTTTGGGTCATCTCGTGGCCTCTAACGGTCTGGCCTCTGCGTAACCGACTATGAACATCCTTCGTTGATGGTTTGATAGGCCATGTGTAGGTCTTGTTATTCTGGTGGTTGATACTGGAGGTCTGAATTCTAGTGTGACCTGCAACAAAGGAACTCCCTTCGCCCCCTCCCCTGCTTCGCTTGTATCTGCCAAAGACGGCGTTCAATAGTAAACCCGGGGCTCCGGTAGGGGCGGTCTCTTCCGACTTCCTAGCGCGGTCGGGGGCATGTCGGGAGCATACTGTGGTCATTTCCCATGACTCCAAATCTCCAACAGCGCAATATACGGTACTATAGGGCAGCCCCATACCGCTTTGAGCATGAATCGTGAACCCGAGACTCAGGGCCGGACCTGCCACCGACCGAGTAATGCGTGAGCACTATGGACTTGGCATAAAATCACAGCACTCTGGAATCATCGACTGGATGCGGTATAGTCTACTGTATGGGAATTGGACCTGAACAAATCAAAATGCACATGAAATGCTTCCACCAATGAGAACAAAGGAAACAGGTCAGATCTGAGGTAAGATTGTAGCCAATTTCCACAACCCCTTTATCCAACAATCATGCTCCGTTCTGCAGAATTACATGTCCAGTAGGGTACACATTCTACACCATTGAGCATCACATCTTGACAGTGAGAAACAACAGCCTATACGATCGCATCTCTTGCCTCTTTCAACTGTCCGAAGCACAGGCGTCAATAGTGGACAGGATCCACCCCGGTTCGATCAACGGGAAAAACCCGGGTGCCGACCCGTAAGAAGCGAGGATACAGGGGCCCTCTCTTACCGGATTTGGCCTAAGAGCCTCCTCCAAAGCTTGAGAGGGGGCCAGTGGAGACACTTAACAAAGAAAAGAAAAAGCCGCATGTTTTCGTGGGAAACTAAACCGGACTCGGTTTCCGAGAGGCTCCGCCCTCTTTTTTCCTGTTTGTACAGTACAGGACATATTTGGGCTAGAACTACAGTAAGCGTAGGTAATGCTGGCTTTCTTGTCGGTCAATTTGGAACGATCACATTCAACCTAAATCATATTATGACTCTGGGGTACTGCGCCCGGGCGATCTGATCGTAAAAGCGTAAATGAGTCGCGTAGACGGGAAATCCGGAGATTGAAATGACTATTCTCGTTAGGGTCAAGTTGGACCAAGGGCCCAACTTGAAAGACCGAATTCGGATCCGGGGCTCTGTGATTTCATGCCACTTCGCGTAAAAGCCTTAACTCCGTGGATAATTTAACGATCATCGCATGTTGGCCTTGCCCTCTCCCCGAGGCAGACTAGTCTTGACCTTGGTGCACGGCCTAACCCAAAATCTTGCTAAAAAAAGAACCAACAGTAAGGTACGCCTTCTGATTCGCCCGTACTGTTTCTCTGCATATTCATGGTGCTTCAATGTCACAATTGACAGGGCCAGGCTTTCTCGAGAACAATTAAAAAAAAAAAAAGTAATCTTCATCCTCAAAAGGAAGACCTATTGTTACTGTACATTTCGTGGGCGCTGTGCATATACACCCAGGGGTGCGTCTAAATTTATGCGGCGTAGGGCTGGATGTTGAAGTCCCCAAGCACCATTGCTCCCGGTCGCATATCTCGCCTCGACCAGTAGGGTTACTATTCATATACCAGCCGATCACCACTCCACAAAACAGCATCTCTTGTCAGAAGCTAGACTAATGTAAGAAGGCAGTTTGATCATAGAGTTCTCATCTCTGCCGTGACAACTGCAGTAATCGTCGCCCCACTGGTACTAATACTCAAGGGGAAAGAGAACAGCGATAGCTACTATATTTAAGGCCAACTGTGGAGGGAAATTGCAGGAAGAATGCTCGCACGAACCAACAAAACGGGTGCTCTATCCCAAATCAGTAGCAATCGGCCCATAACTTGAAACTGGAAATAACTGATATGATGATCCTCCACACTAAGGGCACAAGTATAGATCGAGATCCTGCACTACGATACACTAGAGATCGATATAGTAGTATGCCACGAAAAAGTCGGGGGTATGAAACTGTATCCCTACACAACGCTAAGACCCTAGCCGCAGTAACCGATCAAACCAGCCCCCTGGCTAGCAGAGCAAGCCATGCATCATCTGTGTCTAACTTTGGAAACATGAGGCTGTCAAGTTGCCGTGCTGGCTGTTTTGATCCCCGAGGACCATGCCCGTTTCATGTTTCAGAAGTCACCAGGGGAATGCCTTGCTCTCCTGGATTTCCTAATGTTGATCCGCATAATCTGCAGCAAGCATATCTGGTGGAATGGGTGGATCGTGCGAGGCAGATTCTCTCCCCCCACTAACACCCGTTCACTGGTCGTGATTTGTCAATGCGTAAAACAGTAACGGTCGCTATGTGACGGACATCTGCATAGGTAGGTCGTAAAATGAAGTCCATATTCAGCCAAGTATTGAATTCATCTCCATATTCTTATTCATTATTTCTCTTACCCCTTTTTTGGGGGTGCAGATTTACTATGCATGGGCGAAGGATTCATTCCAGAAGATCAGGGCGTGTTTCACGATGCAAGTCCCCTGATCTGGGATCCAGCTTCTGAAGCATGCTTATGCCACGAGGACTATTCCCCGGTATGCAGCGTAGCAACGGGGTGTCGTGTAACAAACCCCCATACATCATACATAGGCACGAGACAGAGCAAGCAAGGGTTCAAAGATATGGTCTGACCCGGTTACCCAGATTGCCCAGATAGTGTCACCCCAGACGAACTCCAGTGACGTGGTTGTCCATTCACCCTATCTGTTAAGGATCAGCACGGCGAAACAGCACCTGGGCAACTTAGGGCAAATTGCCAAGTTCGCCAAGATCACCGAGATCCACTAGGCTGATTCCCCTCTCGGTTGAGTTCGGCTTGATCTTTTAGTTCATGAGGCTTTTTTGGTTCCACTGGATCTGGTCCTTGTTTTCTTTTCTTTGCTTTTCTTTTCTTTTCGTTTTTCTTTTTCTTTGACACTGGATAGCGAGGGAAAGGCTACGAGGGTACCTTGGGGGAGGGGATTGGGTTGTAAATCCCGGCTAAGACCCTTATATCGTTTAGCGTATCCTAAAGCAGCTCGTGGGGAAAACCCGTTATGGAGCTTGGACGGGATTTGGAATGAAATAGGGCTTACATTGTCTACATATGTCCAATCAGCGGACGAGGATGTTCGTACCGAAAATACCACATTTCGGCCATTCATAGTCCTATCTCGACCCAACACGCCTCAGCCGCACTTGTTGTAATTTTAGTCTGATCATCCCGAGCGATCATGGCCATCTAATCTCAGTTAGTCGGGGGGGTTTTTTTATTTGATTATTTTTTATTTCTTGATTAAATTCTTTTCTTTTCTTTCTATGAATTTTGGATTATTGAATTTTGATTAATTTCCATTTACCCAAAGTCTATTAATTCCGTAGATCTGTAGGAACAGCCCTTCCTAGTGCATATTGGTCCTCTATATCAGTCCACCTCCGTCCGGTGGTTTCAGGATTCTCTGCAAGCTTCTTCACACCTTCTTCAAACAGTCTTATACTTCTTAAATCCCTTCCCTCCCCTCTCAGGATGCCCCGGTCCTCAACCCGCAACCCAACCCGGATCACTTCTGTCTTGAACTCTCCTTCTATCTCTTCTCTTTCTCCTTCGCCGGAGCCTCAACAACTTGCATCTAGATCCAACATGGTCGGCCCAAACAACATGCGCGACATGGCGCACCCCGACGACTCGCGCGTGACCTATACTCCCACCACCCATCGCATTAGCAAGGCCAAGAAAGGCAAGCGCGTACATGCCTGCGAGTTCCCGGGATGCAGCAAAGTTCGTATATACCTCCAACTTACTTCGAGCACCATGTGCTGACTCCAACTGTAGGTTTTTACTAGAGCCGAGCACCGCAGACGGCACGAATTAAACCACAACCCCGAAGCTTCCTACCGCTGCACACAATCAGGATGCAATAAGTCCTTCCACCGACCCGATCTACTTGCGCGCCACATTGAGAGACAGTGAGTGACCCCCCACGGCTAGTAGAGACATGGCGCATACTAACAACGGGTTAGCGAGCTTGATTCGCAAACAGAGCAGAATACATGGACACACAACCACGAAACCATTGCCGAAGCCTCGCTCCCTCGCTGCATGTCAATTGATCATGGATTGACCATGACCGCCGCCTCGCAGCTTCACAACATGTCTGTGGGATCCCTAGTGGCGCCTGGAATACACCCTGACTTGGTCAACGATTGTTCACTCATGTGGAGCGGTGTCGACCTTCCTCTCCAGCCTCGACCAACATTTCAGAACCACCTGCCCGAGTCGGCGGACGATAGCCCATTCTACTCCTCCCCTGCAGAGACTTGCCCCTCGCCTCTATCCGATGCGACATTCTCTCTCCCACCTCACTCCAGCTCCTCCATCTCCTCTGCTTCTATCTCAGTCATCGAACAGTACCCAAAGAATATCCTAAAGAGCGAGATCACTTCTTCTCCGTTGCAAATGCACACTCCACTCCGCTGGGACGCCGATGCCGGCCTACCTCCCACCAACCTGGCCGCTATCTCTGTGGGGGAGAATATGGTCCAGACAGTCAGTTTTTCCCGTGCTAAACTCCCATTCAGATTATTATTATTTTACTAACAAATTGTGCAGTCCGTTCAATGCCACTACCCCTCTCCATCCTGGTCCAGCACCGAATTCTCCTACGGCGACCAGCTCCCATCCATGCAACAGTTCCAGCCCGTGAGCTGGACCATCTAAAGACCCCATGATTGGGAGGGGTCTCTGTTGAGCCTTCAATCTCAATTTCACGACTTCACGAACATCCACACGGACTTTGGTCCGGACCCGACTCCAGCTCATGTGGGCCCTAGTCCTGGATAGACTGTACGGCTCCGAGGGTGGACCTCCAAAGAGGAGAACCTCACTCTGAAGCGAAGCCTAAAAGTCTCGACTCCAAATGACTCAATCATTATTTGTCATTGGGAGTGCCAGTTCCACATCCATACCCGAACCGCGACCACCCGAACTCCCCTAAAGTCCACCGGTCGCGATATGGAAAAGATGGAAAATAGGGGGGGCAAGTGTTCACCCGGCGCCATTGGGTTGTGCTGTTCCTTTTTTTTTTTTTTTTTTCTTTTCTTTTTGTTCCCTTTGTTTTGTTGTGTTTTTCTCTTTCCTTTGTTTTTGACGATACAATTATGACTTGGTGTCGCTGCGCAATTGTCTATACCTATACCCCTGTTGCAGACTTATATCTTCGACCATGTTTGAACATCTCCAATACCCCCTTTTCCCCCAAATTCATTCCAATATAGAATCACATCTACTCAATTCTATCTCAGCTTCCAGATCAAACCCATCAAAGGCTTAATTGTAGAGGTTGGTTCACCCACGGTATCAAGACCACTTTTACGCTTTTACGTGTTCAAGATCAACCCTATACCCACGTCTTTGTCGAAGCGTATAAACCTGTGATCTACAGAGCGTATACCAGTACATACCAGGATTCTTCCCACTTCAAATCCAAATCCAAAATGATAGGCCAGACTCCCAAACACTACACACAGGCCAACACACCCATAACCCTAACCTCAAAGCGGCATACGGACAAGTCCGACCCTCAATAGAGAATGTCCATTTCCCTCTCCCTCCGAACACTAACGCCTGCCCGCGTCTCTGTCCTGACTCTTTTTCGCCGAAATCTGAGCGCGCTGCTCCGCCATTCCCTTCATCTCCCTTCATCTGAACCCATCGAGACTCGGTCCTCTCGTTGTTCCAGACCCGGCTCCACATAATACACGCTGGACCAACGGGAAGATCCTGAATCATGTCCGCAGGTCAGAGACGGAGACGGAGACGGACAATGGAGACAGCCGTTGGAGCATTGGATGCGCCCAAATTGCCCTTGACATTACTTCACACTAGCATAAGATGCATGATACGCTTTCGTGTTCTACCAGTAAGCAAGGATTCAAGCCGGATTCCACAAGGGAATGAGGCTGATGCCTCCACTTCAATCGGTTCTTGAAACGTCTCTAGCATGCGGTCCACTTTGAGATCCCGTATCTTATTTTTGTTTTTGTTTCTTTTTTTTTTTTTTTTTCTTTGGTACACCATGTTTCGATTTTTGGGCTGGTTTCGAGTGCGGGATATTCTGACTCTTTGATTATCAGGGTAAACTGTGCAGTGGAGAAGCTCGTAACGTGTCGATCAGGGGTTCGAGTTTGTCACGCGGCTCTTTTCCGAGTCCTGACTGCGCTTTTCCTGTAGGCGTGTTGTTTAACCTGCCTGCTTGGGCTATGATGTGCAATTGACCAAGATACAAGCTCAGAGACCCTGTTCTGTGATTGTTTTGCTAAGTTTAGTTGCTAACTTTGGATCAACACCCGATCTTCTTTCGACCCGGACACAAACTGTAAACTACGGTAGACTAAGAGTCGGTGTTTAAAATCCGGAAACTCTCTTGACATATGTCAAGTAACCAGATGATTGAGCCTGTCGATCGGCGCGTCTATTTATAGTATGTCACGCATATCTCCCGCCCCAACACTGAAGATGAGAACTCAAATGACGAAAGTCGAGCTTACCCGAATATCAGCCGATGACGCACCAATGTGAACGGTAAAGATTCCGTTCGGGGTAACCCATGTTTGTTTCGTTACGTCCCAGTAGCTGATGTCCTTGCGAGTTAGGTATATTTTGCGAGTTTGAGTTTCTCCCTCGCGGACGGGAATAGAGACAAAGCCACGGAGGATTTTGGTAGGATTGCCTGCTTGTGTGGGCATTGTTAGATAGAGCTGTGCAATTTCAGTACCATCGTATGGTCCTTCGTTTCGAATCTTCACTTCGGCGATGATCGCTACATCATAGAGCGCCATATCCCCTCCTGGTGCGTTTCCCACATATTCAATTGGGGTTCGCAGGGCATTGTTCAGTCCACCGTGTTTGGAGACATGGAGACCCGTGTACGTAAATGTCGAGTAGGAAAGGCCATGCCCAAATGCAAAGCGAGGCTCGATGCCGGCTTTTTCGAAGCCTCGGTAGTCAATCGATACACCCTCAGTGTAGTTGATCTGAGGGTAGGGCTGTGGCTCTGTGACAATTTTTGGCTGGGCGTAGTCACTGACGTTCTTCGCGATTGTGTATACCAGTCTGCCAGATGGATTTACTTCACCGTAGAGGATGTCAACTAGGGCAGGGCCGAGCTCTTGGCCACCAAGGTTAGCCCAGACGACGGCTGTCACGTTGGGGTGGTCAATCCATTTCTGAGAATGTATTAGAATATCTGTTTAGGATATAAGGCGAGTTTCGATGGGCTTACCTCCATGTCAACAGGGCCAACTGATTGGACTATGACAATTGTGTTGTCGCAATTGTCAGCGACCGCATTGACAAGTGCGTCACCCTCGTGCATCAGGGTAATGTTTCGATCGAGACTTTCACCCGAGGTTGAAGCCACAACGGGGATGCATACTGTGCCACGTTTGGCTACAGTTTTGGCGAAGGTGAGATTGCTACTCAAAGACCAATCTACAAGTGTAAGGTCCTGGTTCGCTCGACTTTGAATCGCGCTTAAAGGATCGACTAAGCGAGGATCTATAGACCCAGATGAGTATTTAGGTATGCGTTAAGGGACGAGAAAGTTAAACACTCACAAAATGTTGAGCCCGAGCCTGAGCCTTCAGCTAGTGTGCCTTGGCCAATACCAATCGTAAAGGAGTCACCAGCATAGCCATTTAAAGTGCTCCATTCCGAAGGCAACACACCAGTTCCGTATCCATATTGGTTGGGTCCGTACGGATTAGGGCCAGCAGCCTTTCCAAAGAGAGCGATGGTAGTAGGCTTCTTCAAAGGCAGCCCACGCTTCCCGTCGGCATTCTTCAATAGAACAGTTCCAGCTGCAGCAATCTCCCGAGCTAACGTTCTATGCCGCTGGCGCTGGCTATCAACAATCGCCTTGCGCGGATCATCAACAAGGTTGATCTCAGGGTAGTCGCGATCTTGGCCCAGCAAGAAGTAAGGAGTCATAACTCTGGTGGCCGCATCATTCAATCTCCATTCTGGCACAGATCCATTGTTCACAGCCAAGGTGAGATTGGCGCCATAAAAGCCCCAGTCCCCATCGGCAGCCGCAACACCGGGCATATCCTGATCCATACCGGCCATGAACGCGTCAACGCCAGCCTTCAGCCCAAACCAGTCTGTCTGAGTATAGCCCTGGAAGGCCAGATGTGTCTTGAGCACATCATTGAGCAGATGAGCATTCTGGCAGGCCTGAGAGTTGTTCACATAAGGATAACTGCTCATTACGCAGGAGGCGCCAGCCCGTACAGCTTCTGCATAGGGCCAGACTTCAACCTCGTGTAAGGTCTTATCGTCGATGTTGCTGGAGTAATAAGTCCGATTGTACTGCTGGCCATCATAGCCCAGATACTGTTTAGGAACGGCTTGCACGCCAGCAGCCTGGTGTCCAATGACAGTCTCATGGCCGGCAACGCCAATCAAATAAGGATCGTTCCCAAAGCCCTCGAAGTTGGTACCTCCGCCGACAGTGCGGCCAAGGGCAAGGACTGGACCTAGTACAGCATGAGCACCTTTGTTCTTGTGCTCGGTTGCAATAGCAAACCCGCGGGCTCGGATGAGCTCGCGATTCCAGGTCGAAGCTGCTGTGATTCCTGGTGGAAATCCAGTTCCATATGAATGAGAATTTCCAATACCTGTGTCACTATCGATGTAACAAAGGCCAGTAAAGTTAAGACGAGGTATTTGCTGGGTCTGGCCCTGGCATAGACGGTCCGGATTATCTGGATTTCTGTAAAAATCACGTAAGGCACTTTGAGCTTGTCGGTATATTCGATATAAGAGAAGAGTCACCTACGGAGGAAAGCCATTTCCGGTACAGAGGCCGACCTTCTCTCTCGTTGTCAGCTGGGAGACGAAGCGTCTTGCTTTCACAATAGCAATGTCCCATCCACCGATTCCCGTAGCATTAGGACTCGGGTAGGAGTAAGATGAGTCAGGTTCACGAGGGTAGAAAGTATCTGGTTCGACATTCTTCGGATCTCCTTGTGCTGCAGCTATTGAGGCAAGCCAGAGTAATAGAGAGGCTTTGAAGGATACCATGATGTGAGCCCAATAAAAAGAAGATAATAGATAAACCTTCCGTTGCCCTTCAGTCAGGGCTTATCGTAGGCCTAAATAGTTTGTTTTATATGACGACGTTGACCCATCGTTCACCAACAGCCATGCAATGCATATGTCCTCCCGGATTTCGCATCTCTGATCCCAGTCGCTGCGGGGGAAATGCGGGGTGCAAACTTCGCGATCGGCTGTTTTATTTCTAATTTCTGCTCGTGAAGCTACAAGCATTTGTCTCTGACAGTGGAGTATCAAATGAGCACATATAGTTAGCCTGAAGTCTCGGGGAGTATCGGACATCTCGTATATGGCCGAAACTCCGCGCAAGTGAGGAATATCATAACTGTACGTGCTCCGCAATCTCTATATCTGTGGTTTTAGGGATATCTCAATAGGAACCGCTCAATGTCTATACAAACTGTGCAGGTGAAGATATCTCGGGGGAGTTTCGGCAAACTCACGTGGACTCGACCCCCACCAGGACGTCATCAGAAAACCACCTGGGCAACATCTTCATTTCTTCCTTATATCTTTTCTCTGGATCCTGTTTAATCCTGTAACAGTTACCTCGAGTTGCAAACTGAAAACGAAAATATCGAAAATGGCCAACAAAATTCTTCGCGTTGGAGTGATCGGGTAAGGATGAAACCCCTCTAACCAGCTCGCTCACGATTTAACATTATCCAGATGCGGTGAAATCACTCAAGTTGCCCATATTCCAACTCTTGGGTTCCTCTCGGACTTTTTCCAGATCACCTACCTTTGTGATGTCTCTGGAAATGCCCTCCAGCACTGTAAAAACAAGGTCATTGGAGGCGTGCCTCAGACTACTTGCAACGCCGAAGAACTCTGTGCTAGTCCCAATGTGGATATTGTGATGATTGCGAACAGCGATGCTTTCCATGTTCCCCACACTATTCTAGGCCTAACTCATAACAAGATTGTCTTCATTGAGAAGCCCATGGCCTTGTCGTTGAAAGATGCCGACGAAGTCATTCGGCTTGAGAAGCAATCATCTGGAAAGGTGATGGTGGGGTACATGAGACGTTATACCGCTGGTTTCCTCGACGCAATCAAGGAAATTGGAAGTCTTGACCAAATTCAATATGCGCGTGTGCGGGACGTGGTTGGTCCCAACTCCTCGTTTGTTGGGCAATCGGGCACTTTCCCCAAGGTCTTCTCCGACTACAAGCCTGAGGATTCCAAGGATTTGGCATCCAAGACAGACAACTTTCTTGAGCAGGCTCTGACGAAGGAGCTTGGCATTTCCGTCGATTCAGATACTGCCACTCAATGGAGGCATCTTGGTAGTCTCGGTTCGCATGATCTTAGTGCTATGAGAGAGGCTCTCGGCATGCCAACGGGAGTGCTCGGCGCTTCTCTTTGCACCGCTCAAGGACCACAGTTCTGGAGGTAAGTACTGTCTGCATCTTCTCCACTCTCAATTCTAACAATTTATGCCAGTGCTCTCTTCCAATATCCCTCTTTTGCTGTATCGTATGAGTCAGGAATTGACGACGTGCCCCGTTTCGATGCATCTATCGAGGTCTTTGGTAAGCAAAAGACCGTGAAGGTCTGCTTTGATTCTCCTTATGTCAAGGGTTTGCCTACCACCATGCACATCCGCGAGAAGCTTGAAGATGGATCCTTCCGGGAGTCTATGACCAGAAAGACTTATGAAGATGCCTACACTCTGGAAATGAAGGAGCTCTACGAGTTTGCTGTCCGTGGCAAGCCTGCTAAGACCACTTCGGAGGATGCTAAGAAGGACTTGGAAATATTTGGCATGATCATGAAGGCAGGATTGGAAGGACAAGCTCGACTGGGCCTCAAGAAATAGTTCGCCTATATTTGCTGTGTACTCTTTGTGAACATGCTGCATGGGATTTGAAAATATCAGACTAAATAGAGAATATACAAATGTTTGACTGTCCTATGATAACACATCTATCGAAATCCCATCTACTACACTATTTATGTCGCTTTTCTTTCTGATTAAAAATATTATACAATAGACATGATATCTTTTCAAGATCCAGCCCTAGAATTTCTCAACAGCTTACAGCTAGGGATTGAGAACAAGATCATGCCCCGATTATTAAATCCCGGGGGACTAGTAAGAACATGTTGGGGTTCTGCATTATTGCAATTCAAGACTGGCAGATTTTCCCTTTGGTAAGCTGATTAAAGTTGTCAATTAGAGTCGATGCAAATACGCTTTGTCCCCTCCCGCTCTTAGGTCCGACACTCCCCGTCCGAGGCTCCCCGGCAAAGGATCGACCAGATATGAGGAGCGACAATGAACTTGAGATGCGGGGATTGGTAACTCCAGCCAATTATTTCCCAAATCCCCGTATATTTCCCCGTGTTTGAGCTAATTTGATGATGGGCTCAACGAGTAAAGCAAGTTGTGTATGATTCTCAATGTCTATATAGACCTTTGCTGGTCAATCAATGCACAAGGCTTTTTCACCATCTACGCTTGCTCTGGGACTACTAACTCAGATACAAGATGCATGTACCTCATTCGTCCACGGTCCCTGGTGCAGAAGTAACTGCTGCTGCACTGCGACTACAGGAATCGAACGTGAGCGGTATATCAGGTCTTTTCAAAAACAAGAAGGTATTCTTGATAGCCTTGTTTGCCTCGTGAGTCTTTCGATCATATGATGCATACAGTATATTGACAATTTACAGCTTTGGCGGTCTCGAGTATGGCTATCAACAGGGCGTTATCTCTCAGGCTCTGGTGATGAGCAGATTCCAAGCAGACTTTTCCAGTATCGTGGGCTCTTCCGGTTCTACTGGATGGCTGACATCTATTCTGCAGCTTGGAGGTTGGTTTGGTGCACTCTCGGCTGGCATTTTGGCCGAAGTCTTCTCTCGAAAGCATACCATATTAAGTGGTGCCCTTTGGGTGATTCTCGGATCTTTCCTCTGTGCCGGTGCGCATAATGGATCTTATCTTTTCGCTGGCCGTTTCTTTACCGGAATTGGGGTTGGAACACTAAGTGCTGTTGGGTATAATATTCTATTTATTTCTACGAAAAGATCTTTTTTTTAACTAGCTTTGCAGACCTCTTTACAATGCCGAACTTGCTCCTCCCGAGATGCGAGGACTACTGGTCTCCCTTCAACAGTTATCCACTACCTTCGGCATCATGATCTCCTATTGGATTGGATACGGAACAAACTACATCGGCGGAACGGGGGATGGACAATCCGACTGGGCGTGGCGGACTCCCCTTATCATACAAGGAATTCCAGCCATTATCCTTGCACTAGGCGTCATCTTCTTCTTGCCATTCTCGCCTCGAATGCTCATCACCAAAGGACGCGAGGAAGAAGCGCTCAAAACACTTGCCGCTTTGCGTGGCCTTCCCGAGGACGACGTCGTGCTACGATGTGAGTACCTAGAGATCAAGTCCGAGGTACTCTTCGAGCAACGAGTCTTTGCACAGAAGTTTCCCCACCTTGCTGAAAGTGGGCGTAGCGTCTGGCGCCGTGAGATTGCACAATATGCCAATATCTTTCGCACCAAGGATAACTTCAAACGAGTGGCTATCGCTGGGTTGATCATGTTTTTCCAGCAGTGGAGTGGAATCGATTCCATTATCTATTATGCTTCTTCGATTTTCCAGACTCTTGGCCTGACTTCTGGTACTATTTCCCTCCTTGCTACTGGTGTGGTCGGCATTATCAATGTCTTGGCAACGATTCCAGCTGTCATGATTATTGACAAAGTAGGACGAAAACCTCTCTTGATGGTCGGATCTATTGGAATGTTCTGTTCCATGGTTGTTGTTGCCATTATTGTGGCGAAATGTCAACATGACTGGGAGCACAACGTCGCCGCAGGCTGGGCGGCGGTTGCCTTTATCTGGATCTATATCGCTAATTTCGGATATTCGTGGGGTCCTGCTAGTTGGGTTTTGATTGCTGGTAATTCGACTCTATCTCTAGTCTGTGGGTCATTCGCTGATATGCAACAGAAATATTCCCTCTCTCGATTCGTGCCAAAGGTACTTCGATTGGTGCCTCTTCGAACTGGATGAACAACTTCATTGTTGCTTTCATTGTACCACCAATGATCGACGGTATCGGTTGGGGGATGTATCTATTCTTTGCTGTTTGGCTTTTTATCGGTGCCCTCTTCATTTGGTTCTTTGTCCCTGAGACGAAGAACAAAACGCTTGAAGAAATGGATATGGTATTTGGCAGTGTGATGGCGTCTCACGATCAAGAAATGTTTGCGGCCGCAAGAGATGAGGTTGGATTAACACTTCTTCTCACTGGCAATGTCAAACTCGGTACTGGAAGCCCTAGAGGCAAGGAACTGGTATCCAGCGGGCACTTGGAGAATGTCTAGTTCAAAAAATTGTTGATTCATAATTTGGAAGGAAAGATTGCCCTGTTTGGATTGTTGGATGGTTGTTGTCTGATATACTGTTCCAGGTTGGGGAAAACGTAGTTTTCGGGTTGGTTCTTTAGGTGAGGGCCAGTGTCCAATCCAGGCAGTTGTTGGGATACCAGGAAGTCCTGTTCATATCATTCCTCCGATGAGGTGGGAAGCACCACAGGTGGCTTACCCAGAGGTTGTCGATCAATTCGGGTGTGTCCATTTCCGTCAATATCATCTATGGGTTTTATATCCAGTCCCAATATGAAGACCATTGAAGAGTGTTGTGGGGTTATTCGAAGCCAAGGTCTTTAGGGTCCGATACTCCCCGTGAGGCTCCACTCGAGGGGTAAGACCAATTGTAAGTCAAGATAGGCATCATTCCATAATGAATAATTAGATCGGACTATATATTGGCGAGAAAACCCCGTTATTCGTACTAGAAACCGTTGAGATTTTCATCCTTGTTTACCGTTCAGTCACTTTTCTCCCTACGGTTCATTTTCAGTACAGCCTGCTCTAGTTCCACTTTTGACTCCCTGCTCCATGGCTTCTCCTCTCCCTGAACTTCGATGGGGCATCATCGGTGAGTAACAGTCTCCCTTAAGGATCCTCTATTTTTATCAGGGAAATGAAAAACAAGATGATGCACTCCAAAAGCACTTCCAGAACACCAAGCTAACAAACACCAAGACCAGCCACCGGCATGATAGCCTCCTGGTTCGTGACAGACCTAAGCCTCAGCCGCCCAGACGCACGCGCAAAACACGCAATCCGAGCCATCGGTTCAAGCAGCAAACCAAAAGCCCAAAAGTTCATGGAAGACTTCATTCCATCTTCCAAACACCCATCTATCTCCGGTTATGGTACTTATGAAGAGGTCTACGCCGATCCAAACATCGACATAGTCTACATAGCTACACCCCATGCCTTCCACAAACAGAACTGTCTCGATGCTATCAACGCCGGGAAACATGTACTTTGCGAGAAGCCATTCACAGTCAATGCCCAGGAAGCAAAGATCGTGATAGACGCCGCCAGAAAGAAGGGTGTCTTCGTAATGGAAGGGCTGTGGACACGATTCTTCCCAATTACAACAAAGTGGAATGAGCTTCTGCACGAGCAACAGGTCCTCGGTGACATCAATCGGGCATTTGTCGACTTCTCACTTGACATGCCCATCAAGGAATTACCTGCTACATCGCGACTCTTGGACGTCAAGCTCGGCGCCGGGTCCTTGCTGGATATCGGTATTTACGCTATCACCTGGGGTCTATTGAGTCTGGAAACCCCCGGCGCAAAAGAACAGCCTCAGATCAGTGCGAGGCAGACATTAGTCAACGATATTGATGTCAGCTCTTCTATTCTTCTACACTATGGTCAGACTGGTCGTCAAGGGATTATTACCTCATCGATGCTTCACAAGTCTGATGATGTTTTCGCGCGGGTTGAAGGAAGTAAGGGAACGCTTTTTCTTAGTGGACCTGGTGCTTCTGTGCCGGATACTATCACCTTGGTTCTGAAGTCTGGTAGTGCTGGGAAGGATATGGGGGATACAAAGAAGGGAGGTGAAGAGGTTAGGCGCGAGGAGGTTTTCAGGTTTGAGGAGATACCCGGGGGTAGGGGATTCTACTACGAAGCCGACTCTATTGCTCTCGATGTTAGCTCTGGCAAGAAAGAGAGCGGAGTGATGCCTCTCGATGAGACATTGAGGGTTATGCAAATGATGGATGAGGTGCGTGCTCAGGGTGGAGCTAAGTTTCCTCAAGATGAACAAGCTTAGAGCTTAGATAGCACTACGTAGCATCCGAATCTTGATATTAGTGATAAAAAACATAAGTTGTCATTTCGATTGTGTACCTTTTCACCCCGGCCAACTAGCTAAATATTCTTCCTCAAGGATGACTCTAGCCTTCTGGATATCGCCAGGGGCCTCAATTTCCCAGTACCTGAGACACTCAATGGTAAGCTCAACAGACTCTCTCAGTCTAGGAGTTCCCAAGTTTTGCCTAGCAGCAGCAAGAAGGCAAACTGCCGAGGTGAAAGCCAATCTGAGCATATACCAAGTTCCATGATGACGATGGCAAACGGAATTCGCCTCGATCAATTCGGTATAACCAACCAACGCATCCGCAACAAACGGCTCCAAGGATAGATGGCGGTGGTCATCCAGCGGTAGATGAATTGCCAAAAACACAAACGGTCTTAGTATCCAAGATCGAATTTCTCGAAGCCGGACATAGAGTAGCCAGGGTAGCTCCTCGCTAGACAGAATACCTTGACCCTTGTCGTCGACACGCATTGGTGCCGGAAGGCATTCACACCATTCAGTAAGCTGGCGGAGAAACTCGTTCGCGATCTGGATTGTTGATGGAATGTTGAGTTTTGTCCATGACTCGAAGCCATCTTTGTACAGCGATTCTAAGATACGATTGCCGATTCTTCGCAGGGCTATTTCTGAAAGATAGTAGAACCAGCCTTGTTCCTGATCTCGGTTTGCCATACCGTGGCGGGCTTGCTCTGCACTATCTGGCAGAAGCACGGAGTTTGGGTTGGCTGTTATTATATCGGAGTGAGGTGGACTTGGGAATATGTGGACGTAGTCGAGGTGCGATACACCTGAATGGGGCAAGTCAATCTCCGACAGGATCTCACTGCATAATTTGTCAATCAATGTGAACTAGTGGCGTGATCTATAACATACCATTCAGACTTGAAACAGCTCCAGAATAGCCTTTGTTCGGTCTTGAGATCAGAGGGTATGGATGCAGCTCCTTGCTTGGATTTTGCGTAGACCTGGTACATCACAGATGCCTGATGGAAGCTCTGGTATGCATCCAATGGTCTAAAAGTATACATGTAGAAGACCCCGGAGAGAAACAGACATTGGACACCAGCTATCGAATGACTCAAGTTTCCTATTCTCCTGCGAGCCAGTATAAAGTACGATTCGGCTTCCTCTAGCTTGGAGGTGTCGAGTAGAGCGGGAAGCTCCCTATACTCTGCAGGATTCAAGGTCGCAATCTCATGTGCACGCTGAAATGGCACTGCAATCGTACCTAGGGCGCACGCCAGAAGCTGTCACATTGCGAACATTAGATCAAGCAATCCCTCGCAGCGTCACAGATGAAAGAGTGCTCTTACCACAAGACAAGACCCTTCATCCCAACTCAAACCCTCTTCAACCGCATTCCGCGCATGACTTTTCAGCTCCTCCTCGTCCACAACAGGGTTCTTGATATGTACCAGAAGAAAGAATTGCTCCATTAACTCGGGCACCTTATCCTCCTGAAACCCAAACTTCACGCGCTTCGAATTCACTTGCGTATGATGTAGACTTTGCGAACTCGGTTTGAAAACAGCATTTTGCAAACAGTTCTTTTCATACCTTCTATGAAAGATAGGCCACGTAAGCACATTATCTGGGCTTGTATAGGAGGACGGCACCCCGAAGCTGTCTACCACCGAATCCCCATTTGAGACTCCGGTAGTATCCGACTCGTGCAGGAAATCCGTCTGCGGTGATATATATGATGGTGTTGGCTGCGCATGGAGAGGAGTCAAAGAAGTAGCACTGTTATCTTTCGCCTGGACGGCATTGAGAACATCCTGCTGTGAAGCTAGGATGCGATTTAATCGATCAATGATTTCCAGACTAGCTGGATCAAATCTGAAAATTACAGTTAGCTTATCATATACGTGGCATGTTGTAGAGAGAATTGTTCATACGATGAATGATCGTTTCGATCTGTATACTCGCATGGAGCACCCACAGAAAGGCAGATACGGCAACTGGGGCGCTGGTTATCGCACTTGGTCTTGCGGGCGCGGCAAAGCTGGCATGCAGTCACTGCTCTTTTGCGGGGATAGCGCATAGCAGTGCTTCTTGAACTGGAAGCCATTTCTCATGCATGTTGCTAGTATACGCGGAGTTTCGGCTTTGCGTTCTGATGCGGGGAGGATCCCCACGTGACCGGGGAGTTTCGGTTATTTTCATTTCTGTCATTCTCTGGGGTTGGCCACATGATCATAGGCTCCGAGACTCTCCTGGCTGCTCTATGAGTATCAAGCTACGCCTGACTACTCTCTCGTTGCGCTGAGACAATCGGGGTGGAAACACATTACAAGGAACAAGATCAGACTGATATGCATATCCATTCTCATTAAGTACAGCTGATTGGTCTTCTCTATTTACAGTCACCTATTCCCAGATCAGATCTTTCTAGGGCAAAATGCGAACAAAAAGTCCTAGATCAAGACCGATAGGCAAAAGACCCGACCGGAAACAGGAGAAGACATCAGAAGGTGGGTAAAAAAAGTAAAAAGAATCACATCAAAGGAGTGGTCTGCTCATGGAATGAAGAAAAAGGAGAGCGTTGATGAAGCCGAAAGAAATAGGAAACGCCTTTTCAAATACAAGCTGACCATTGCCTAGGAATCCTAGATGCCAAGATCCAAAGATAGAGCGATTAGGCTGCTGGCAGGTCTGGATAGACATACCTATCTTCGGATGTTGGGAGCCATATCGGATCGCAAGCAGCACGGTCACGGGTTGACGTGGCAAATTCTGGGGTACAGCATAAAAGACAATAAATCACGAACTTTGAACACCAAGATTCGGGCCTGATGTCTTTCGGATATCACAATTCCGGTAAAAGCCCGGGGAACAATAATGATAACAATCTCGTAAAGCAGAGGGGGAAGAACATAGGTCGCTAATACCGAGGAGAGAGAAGGAAGAGGAGAAGGAGGCGTAAATCAATGGGAAAGGTGGTTTAGCGATCGGGGTTCGTCACCTGGATAATTATAGTAAGCATTTGATGTGGAGAAGGTAAGCTTGAATGGAAGTGTTTACCTGCAGGATGCGACGCGAGAAGTCGTGGTCGTCATCAATGCTACCATTACTTTGACGGCGCTGTGCCATGTAGTCGCCGTCAAATCGAGAGTCGGACATCGAGGGCGGGTTGGAATCGCGACCGTAGCCACCAGCAGCGCCACCCCCGAAAGCAGGATTTGTCTTGTTCTGCTTGGAGCGCCAGAAGAAGAAAGCGGCACCACAGAGAGCGGCAAATCCAACGACGCCAATGACCACTCCAGCTGCGATGGCAGCAGTGTTATGACTGCTCTTGGTCTTGGCCTCCGTAGACGCGCTTGCGCTGCTTTGGGCGGTGGAAATCACTTCCGTTGTCTGCTGAGGAGCCGTGGACGAAACCGCAGTGCTAGCACTATCGGTATCGCTATCGCTTTGTGTGCTGGTCGATTGGCTGCTGCTCTTAGTAGTAGTAGTTGAGGTGTGTTCGGAGTAGGTTGGGACATCGTCTTCATAGCCGGTGGTGTAGATCGAATAGTAGTCGCTGCCACCGCCTGTTCCGTGGGGTTAGTATGTCAAGCGCGATAAGTGAAGTCATGTCACATACACATATCTGAAGGCCAACCAGTGCAAGGCTTATTGCACTTGCTACTGTCCACCTTGTCGCTGTCGGGTGGTAATGTGCTACCACACAGGCAGGTCGAACCGCCTGTTAGGGCAAATGCGGCGCTGTTGGCAGCATAACACTTGTCCAGACACCAACCAGAACTTTGGTAGGTGTAGCTTTGTGAGGATCCATATCCAGGAGCTGCAGAGTAGCAAGCAACGAGGGTGCCGTCGGCTGAGCCGCGAGGAAGAACCTTGAAGCCATCTTTCGCTACCGAGCTGACCGCAAAGAGGGCAGTCGAGAGCACGACGGTGCTCTGTGTGTTGAGAAGCATGATCACACGGCAAAGAAAAAAGGGATGTCGAGTATCGAAAAGTCGAAGGTAAACACCACTGAACACTGTCGCAGGGGTGATTAGGGAAGAACTGGGGACGGCCTGCGTAACCCTAAAGAACTTCTGTTTGGAAAGGCGTTTGTTGCTCTATTATCCACCACTTTTGCTCTCGTGTCAGTCAGATGCTGAGTATCCAACAAAGACCGATCAAGTGTTGAAGACAAAGGACGGTACAAAAAGGAAAGGAAGTGACGGTTTTCGCGTGAAGACTTCAGCAGTTCACCCCCTATTCAGGATGAGAGTGAGCGACCGTAAAAATCCAAGCGGTTCAGTTTTAAACCCGGGAGGTCTTTTGGGGGGTAAACGAGTGAGAATTCGAGTCGGTAACGAATGTGTGTGGAAGGGAGAGAAGGAAAGAAGGTGGCCAAGTGGTGATGGATCCCTTAGGAAAGGGACAAGGGGTCTGTGATTCCCCAGAGAAAGTATGAGGTACCTGTAATACAGGGGAAAATACCCTAGTGGACTCGAGTACCGAGTACATCCCAGGACTCTACACGGGGGTCTTTGTTTGTATCGTTTAATACCGTCCCCCATGAGCCAACCACGAGCCAATCATGAGCCTGAATCATGCTTGGTCATCAGGCACCCGCGCAGGCTAACCAGGGGACGAAGTTGATCTATTTCCCCATTGGGCAGACACGGGCCGGGATGGAGCCTTGGGCATGCCACTAGTCCCTTTTTAGCGCCAAGTGACGATGGTGAGACTGTCTTTGATACTGTAAGATCAGCATCGCCACAGTCCCTTGATGTGCCTGAACTGACTCTAACAGACACATGTCGACTCGGCTAACAGAGTGCCCTACGACCGTGGCTGTGGGGTTCGTAACAACACATCTCCCCATATGACGATGTGCGAACCGAGATTAGCAGCAGATTACAGGGAGATGAGTTTCAGCGGAGCCGTTATTCTGTGACAGGCGCTAACACGCTAGCACGCTAACACCTGAAGAGTCAGAACCCTGCATAGTTCAACATTGTGTCGGAAATAACTTTCTCTGTTTCTTCCTGAGATCTCATTTCCTCTGTTTCATTTCCATGGGTATCAAGCGGCCGCTCCCGGGTGGATCCGAGATGTTTTTTTTTTCCGTGGTCCCTGTACAGTAACGCACAAATTACCCACATCCACGCAATTTACTGAATTTTAAGAGATCTACAACGTTAGAGCATAGATTGAACCCTGGGGACGATATTTTGCCCCTTGACTTCTCGGGGGTTATTCACACGTTAACTGAATGGCTCCGAAACATCCGATATGTAGACTGCATGCAGAGCTACTGTACTGTATATCACTCGGTAAAGTCCGGCTCGAATGTCGTTATCGGCTGTACCTTGCAGATCAAATCCCTGGCAATGAGCTGAGCCACTGTTGGTCTTCCCCAATTTCCGTGTACAATATAACTTATCCGTCTCATAACCCTAAATCAGAGCACTGAGCAAATCAATATATCCCACCGCAATCACTCACACTTATTTCACTATAACCTAGAACTCACAATGGGATCACTTGATCACGTCCAGTGACCTCTTCTAGTTCATTCCACTCAAGCCCCAAAAATACAGTACTCCATACCAAGTGAGACATATTGTCAATCGTCTGCCAGGACCCGAGATCCGAACGTTGAATTGGGCCAAGGAATCAGGCCTTTTACAATGACCGATTGCTGCGTATAATCACCGCAGGCTGTGCTGTACAAGACACAACAAATCAATAACTACCCTCAAGCATACTACACAGTACTGTAGACACAAATATAACCAACAACACAAGCACATGAAAGTGTCCAGTCCAGGCCTGCCCACACGGATTTTCCCAGTCCAGTGGCGTCCACTAGACCAGCTGAATTCCCCACCTGTCATAACAAAATAGGTACCCCTTACCGGGGGCATGGCAACAACAGATTGGAAATCAGAACCCGAAGAAACAAGGGAAATACTCTATCTCGAACCATATTCTCTGAATATGTACTTGTATTGGGGTATATGCAAACACCTGTTCGATGTATGTGAACTGTGAGGAGTGGCATCAAACTGAAACTTGCGTGGTCTAGAACCTCTAGAACTCGATTTGACCCACGATGTGTAGACCCTGCAGAAAGATCCGAGTCTGGCCAGATGTTCGGGGATATCTTGGCCTGCTATTATTATCGGTGCTGAAAATTCTGATCTGTGCTGTGACATGGTGTATTCTAGACTCTCTCGATTTGTGATTTATCGGAAATACCTATACGTTACGCTTGTAAACTTTAGCGTTGATGTATTGTAGTATTTAACGTATGAAGTAGATTATAAATTATTGATGGTGAATGAGTCGGTCTAGTTCACAGTGGTACGAATATCCTCGGGCTCAATTTGTATTTAATGGTCTCCCGATAAAGTTACTATAATCATCGTTATACTGGACTCTGGTCCGATATATATAAAACCATCTGCGACACCCTCATGCCCCGAAAAAGAAAACATATCCAAAGAACCTACACGAATACGCCTGATAAACCAAAACATAAAAATTTCTCGCGCATAGCTCCACTAAGAAAGAGGCATTTACAACCGCTTTCTCCTCTCGTCCCCGGGAACACCGGATATATGCACGCTAAAGTCCTACCGTATCTACCGAATGAATCAATAACACCAGCGACCTTCGGTGCACGACTATCGCTTTAGTAAAAGGATGACCCGCTTCTTATTCATTTCAGGTCAACAGCCTGCATCGCCTCGTAAACAGCTGACAGATTGTGAACTGGTGGGTGCCTATAACTTAGATCTCGGAACATGTAGCCTTACTTGAGCAGATCATGTCAGTATTGTGTGTGATCGTCTGGCTGTTCGGACAACAAGACAAGCGAGATCTAAAATTCATTCTTAGATGGACATACCCCGGAAGCCCTGGACCGTGAGCGCGACGAGTATCAATAGCATTGAAATTTACAAAGTGGCGATTGTCATATTTATGCTGGCACTGCTAGTCATACTTCACTTTATGTCTATATGAAGCCATGGTCAATACGTGCAATGGAATCAGATTAATCATCCTCATTTAAGTGTATCGAGATTATGCTATAGCCTGCTTCAAAGCGACAGCCCCGATATTATTTTCATTTAGCTGTCCAAGTTGAAGGGGACAACAGTTTGCGGCATTGCCTGCCAAGGGTATATGCCGGGTCTAGGTGAATTCGACCTTATGGCTTAGGAATATGTATGGACTTGCTGACCATCAAGCATCCGTGTAGGACAAACAGGAGCACAACAGGGTGGAACTCGAAAATGGTGCCTTCGGCGAAAAGACCGAGAGGAATGTTGTCGTGTGTCCAGCTTTGGGAGACCCAGTAGGCCATGAGAGAAGCAATTGAGAGAGTGGTCGGGATAGGGGTGCCTTCAAAGTACTTGGACTTGCCGGTCTTGTCCTTAGGCAGAACGGCTACAGTGACGTTGAATCGGGCCAGACGGGTCAAGCCGCAAAGAACGAAGAATGTAAGGAAAACGTGATCAAGTGAGGTGCGAATACCGAGGGCGAAAGCCGCGGCAGCGGGAGCGAGTCCGAAGGAGATCTAATGAAAGCGCAAGAGTTAGTTGAATTTTGGTTCATGTCTGTCTGGGCTCATTTACCAAATCCGCTAGGGAGTCAAGCTCTTGTCCCATGAGAGACGACTTCTTGCGCCAACGGGCAATCTTGCCGTCCATGAAGTCGAAGAATAGACCAAAAGGCATGAACGCGAGAGCAGCCCAGATGGCACCATAATCAGTTGGGTCACCAAGGCAGTAGCGCATGGAGGAGAAGACCGACATCACTGTTTCACATGTTAATTGCTGATCGACAAAATGTTGGGAAAGACGAGCTTGCCTCCACAGAAACCTAGGGAAGAGAGTTAGTCATTTGATTTCTCGATAGCTTCTAGTATGAAGAAGGTATCTTACCATTCATTTCAGTAACCAGATCGGCAAGATGCAGGGCCCTGTTGAGCATTAGCTTGACTTCAGAGCGAGGGGGCAAAAGTTGGCGGAACCGACTTCACCATGCTGAAGTGACCTTGTTCGGAGGAAAGAAGCATCTTCTGCTTCTCCTGGCCTGCAAAATGTAAGCTGAATGGTCTCCATAGGATCGAACCGAGCTCCAACGCACCTCCGTCACCTGAAGGTGGGACACTGTTGGAATTGCTGGATGCCATGGTCGACGTCCGGCGAGACATGCTCAAGTGGGATAACAAATAATATTGAATGTACGGCAGATGAAATATTTGCTGCAATATGAGGGTTGAGAGGTAATACTGAGGGGTAAGAGGGAACAAAATTGGCCTCAATCCTGCTTCGAGTGTTGACAGACGCACAGATTCGCAGAGCGGTCAACGTCATTCCTGACTTGCAGAAAGCGGAGGCGGTGCAGCTGCGCCACCTCACGTCAGCCACACATGTCTTTGCCGACATTGCTGGACTAACTTGGCGAATTATAGTCTAAGGTCATTGAACTTAAAAGTAACCAAAGTATTTTTTGACTGGTGATATTCTACAGCCTGCAGCCAGTGAAGCAGCAAATTGCGCAGGATGCACAAGGAAATGTTTCCTGAAAAAGCTCCCGATTCCCCCAAACGCCGTAAGAAGACAGTACATAGTATCACGGACTTTCTAACCGCGACCACGGAAGCCACCTCCACGGGGAGCACCACGGCCACGAGAGAAGCCGCCGCTGCCACCACGGCCACCGAAGCCACCACCGCCGCCACGAGAGAAGCCACCACCGCCGCCGCGAGAGAAGCCACCACGGCCACCGCGGGGAGCACCACGGCCACCACCACGGGAGAAACCACCACGGCCACCACCGAAGCCACCACGGGCACCACCGCGGGCACCACCGGCGCGCTTGACCTTAGGTCCAGGGGGAGCCTTGGGCTTGGGAAGGAACCTAATTAGAAGGTTAGTCAGAGTGCGAAGTAATTCGGGCAATGGGAAAACGTACTTCTCAAGAGGAAGGAGCTTATCGCCTCCGATGTAGACCTTGTCACCAGGCTTGAACGAAGTTGCGACGATACCCTCCTGAGGCTTGACGGTGAAGTAGACCTGGTTGATAGGGCCGAGGACCTCGTCGACCTTTCCGATGGGAGTCTATGAAGACCAGTTAGATTGATGTTTGCAAAGTGAATTGATTGCTTGGTGGAGTTGTGGCGTACCTTGTTCTCGAGGTAGATCGGGGCGTTGAAGTAGGGGATCTTGGGGTTGATCGACTCGCAGACCATCTCACCCTCACAAGAGTGCATCACGGATCCCATCTCTATCATACAATCAGCGACATGATTTCAAGGTTGTAGTATCAGAAATATATACCCAGGACCTGAGCTGGGGGGCCGAACGACGGCTGGAAACCTCCGCGACCTGGACCAAAAAATTTTCGTTAGCTCCTTTCGATCTTTTGCATCGCAGAAATTGAAGATAATTGCTCACCACCACGGCTGCCGAAACCTCCACGGTTGGCACCGGAAGCACTACCACGACCACGGAAAGACATTTTGTGGTGTTATTGGGGGACTGTCGGCTTGTATTAGCTGGTGAAGTTTTCGCTTGGTGGAAACTTGAAGCGGTAAGTCGCTAAGGGCAGTACCCACACGTGACTTCTGACTCACCGCCCTCACGAAGAGTCATTTTCCCCTCCATGCGGAGCACATACCGATCGTCCGTTTTTTTTCTTTGTTTACGGTTCAATTACCCTGTGTCCTGACCAGAGGGTTTTCAAAATGGCCTCCGAAGCCCCCAAGGATATTCCCGTGCGGCCTGCCGCCGAGGCAAAGTCCTCTGAAGCCGTTGCCCCGCCAAAAGATGCGAAGAAGCAGGCCCCGAGCCCCGATGTCCTCCCAGAGGTCATGATCGAGCGAAACAAGCTCTTTGAGGAACTTTGGCAACAATACCTTGAAGAGACCAAGAACCGTCCTCACCCCGAAATCGCCGTTTCCCTCGACATTGGTGACGGTAACCTGTCTTCGGTCCCCGCCAAAGCCTACGAGACTACTCCTGGTTCTTTCTTGCGCGATGTTCCTAAGGATATTGCCGCCGAAATCGTTATTTGCAAGGTTGATGGAGAGTTGTGGGACTTGAACCGCCCTCTGGAGAAGGACTGCAAGGTTTTGCTTGTTCCTTTCAGCAACCCCGAGGCTCGTGAGGTCTTCTGGCACTCCAGTGCTCACTGTCTGGGTGAAGCTTGTGAATGTGAATACGGTTGTCTTCTTTCCCATGGTCCTCCCACCCCTCAAGGTTTCTTCTACGATATGGCTATGCCCGACGGGTATGTTGATCCCAGTCCTTTACAATTGCGCTAATGCTGATATTACCGGCATACAGACGAGTTGTTCGCGAGACCGACTGGAAGGCGCTTGACACCAAGGCCTCCCGTATCTTCAAGGAGAAGCAGAGCTTTGACCGATTGGAGGTTTCCAAGGAGAACCTCAAGAAGATGTTTGCATACAGCAAATACAAGCTGCACTACATTGACAAGCTCGTTACTGGCGAGAGCAGCACCGTATACCGTTGCGGAACCCTTGTCGACCTCTGCCGGGGCCCTCACATTCAGAACACCGGCAAGGTCAAGACATTCAAGATCATGCAGGTAAGCGTGGCCCGGTGAACTTAACTTGAGGAAATCGTACTGATGAAATTCCAGAATTCTTCCGCCTACTTCCTTGGTGACCAAAGCAACGACTCCTTGCAGCGCATTCGCGGTGTTGCTTTCCCCGATAAGAAGGGAATGGTCGAACACTTGAAATTCTTGGAAGAAGCCGAGCGACGTAACCACTTGCGAATTGGAAAGGACCAAGAACTATTTTTCTTCGATGATGTCTCTCCCGGCTGTCCTTTCCTCCTTCCCAACGGAACCAAGATTTTCAATCAAATCCAGTCCCTTCTGCGAACTGAGTACCGCAAGCGCGGCTACCAGGAAGTCCAGACCCCCAACATGTATGATGTCGGTCTTTGGAAAACCTCTGGTCACTGGGATCACTACAAGGATGATATGTTCAAGCTTGACGTGGACAAGAAAACATACGCTTTGAAGCCGATGAACTGCCCGGGACACTTTATCCTCTTTGGTCACCGTGAACGTAGTTACCGCGAGCTGCCTATGCGTATTGCAGACTTTGGCGTGTAAGTTTACTCTTTTGTGTTCTCATTCATGTTGTTCCCAGCTGACGAAATCCAGTGTATGTTTGGTCTTCTTTTCCTGAAATGGATTCGAATCTTCGCTAACCGAATAAAAGTTACACAGAGATGAGGCCAGCGGTGCTTTGAGCGGACTAACGCGTGTGAGAAAGTTCCAGCAAGATGACAGTGAGTTTTGACCCCCCTGTGGCCTAGTAACTTGACTAACCATTAACCACTCTTTAGCGCACATCGTGAGTCTATCCTTAACGATATACCAGCACGACATTTATGTACCAATTGTGATCAACTAATATAATTTTCTTACAGATCTGCACGGCTGAACAGATCATGTCCGAGGTGGAGGGTCTGTTCTCCTTCCTTGAGGCTGTATATGGACTATTTGGATTCTCATTCAAGCTGAAATTGTCCACGCGCCCTGAGAAGTACATGGGCTCATTGGAGACGTGGGATAACGCCGAGGAACAACTCAAGAAGGCCTTGACCAAGTTTAAGGGTAATGATTGGACCATTGATGAGGGTGATGGTGCCTTCTACGGACCCAAGATTGATATCACCATTTCCGACGCCCTGAAGCGTGAATTCCAGTGCGCCACCATCCAGCTTGATTACCAGGCCCCCATCAACTTCAAGATGGAGTACATGACCAACGAGAACCGCCAACCCGCAGAGACCCCCAAGGAGGGTGAGGCTCAGGCTGAGAACAAGAACGAGCCCGGTCCTGGCCGTGCCCGCCCTGTTGTTATTCACCGTGCCATCATCGGCAGTTTCGAACGTTTCCTGGGTATCTTGACTGAGCACTTCGGTGGCAAGTGGCCATTCTGGATCAGCCCTCGCCAGATTCTGATCGTTCCCGTTATGCCCGCCGTGAACGACTACGTCGAGGAATTGCAAGAGATCCTGCGCGGTGACAAGCTGAACGTCGACATTGATATCAGCGGTAACACCATGCAGAAGAAGATCCGTACCGGCCAGCTTGCTCAGTACAACTTCATCTTCGTTGTTGGCGCTTCCGAGAAAGAATCCCGCACCGTAAGTCTTTTCTTTTCCTCTGGGATCTTGACATATGCTAACTTTTTAGATCAACGTCCGCAACCGTGATGACCCGGCCACCCAGAAGCTGGGTGCCATGGTACCCCTTGAGGAGGCTCGTGCCAAGCTCAAGGCTCTGCGCAAGGAGCGCCGTCTGGAGAACATGCTGTAAGGGCAGATAAAAGCACTGACGATGTGGATGTAGAATCAGATTTTATGAGAAATGGCATGATATGGCATAAGCTCTACAGTTTTCAAGGCCTGAGCCGTAGACCCTTGAATTCATGAGGGCTGGAGCGGAACCAAGATTAATTGCTTTCCTTTCCCAAGTATAGCATTTTGACGTCCAGTGTACTCCATTGTAGTGTGTCTATGATAGGGGCTGTCTTCTCATGGAGAAATAAGAAACACCCTCCACAACCACCACAACCACCCCAAGAATTGTCAAAATCTAGATATCAAAAGACAGCCCAGAGCCCAGAGCAGAACGAAGAAACAGAACCCAGAAATAGAAATTGACGGTCCCACGCCTCCACAAGGGTAGTTTCAGCCACTTCCACTCTTTGGCCGTTGGATGTCAAGTTTCACAGTTCTTTGATCATACAAGTCCAAAGGAATTGACCAAATAGTCCTGATTTGAAGATCCGATCCCGTTCTTTTTACCCATATTTTGCCCCCTACGCCCATTTCCTTATACTCTCGAGTCTCTTTGTTTAGCGCGTCGGATCACCCGCGGGGACTGCGGGGCTCTTCTGCCCATCACACTTCTCTCAGCTCCCTTTTCTCTTCCTCTTCACTACTCTCGTTTCCCTCACATCTCTCGTTTTCTCAGATTCTTTTCCTCTTCCATCATGGCTGATCTGCAAGGTCGCAAGGTCTTCAAGGTCTTCAACCAGGACTTTGTCGTCAACGAACAATACAACGTGACCAAGGAGCTCGGTCAGGGCGCCTACGGTATCGTGTGGTAGGTCTTCATCCCCGGGGTTGATCAAGGATACTGGTTGGATCTTTACTGATGGCATTGTGAAGCGCGGCCACCAACATCCAGACCGGCGAAGGTGTCGCCGTGAAGAAGGTGACCAATGTCTTCAGCAAGAAGATTCTGGCCAAGCGCGCCCTGAGAGAGATCAAGCTGCTCCAGCACTTCCGTGGCCACCGCAACGTACGTCGTACTTCCCCGTCTCTTATCGAGTCCCCGATCAAGTGCCTGATCAAGTGCCCGATCGAGCCTCCCATCGAGTTCCCCGCTAACCCAGTCAGATCACATGCCTCTACGATATGGACATCCCCCGACCGGACAACTTCAACGAGACATATTTGTATGAGGGTAGGTGGTGTTCAAGCCCCTGTTCTGTCGACAGGACTGACAATCTGCAGAGTTGATGGAATGTGACTTGGCGGCTATCATCCGGTCTGGTCAGCCTTTGACCGATGCCCACTTCCAGTCCTTCATCTACCAGATCCTTTGCGGTCTCAAGTATATCCACTCGGCCAACGTGCTGCACCGTGATTTGAAGCCCGGTAACCTGTTGGTCAATGCGGACTGCGAGCTGAAGATCTGTGACTTTGGTCTGGCCCGTGGTTTCTCGATCGACCCGGAAGAGAACGCAGGCTACATGACCGAGTACGTCGCAACAAGATGGTACCGTGCTCCAGAGATCATGTTGAGCTTCCAGAGCTACACCAAGGCTAGTATGTAGCCCAAGCCCCACTCATTTGCCACCCCCAGACAACGCTAACTCATTTACGCAGTTGACGTCTGGTCCGTCGGCTGTATCCTGGCCGAGCTCCTCGGCGGCCGACCCTTCTTCAAGGGTCGCGACTATGTCGACCAGCTGAACCAGATCCTTCACTACCTGGGCACACCAAACGAAGAGACCCTTGCCCGCATCGGCTCACCCCGCGCCCAGGAGTACGTGCGCAACCTGCCCTTCATGCCCAAGGTCCCCTTCAAGCAGCTCTTCCCCCAAGCCAACCCAGACGCCCTGGACCTTCTGGACCGCATGCTCGCCTTCGACCCATCGTCTCGTATCTCCGTCGAGGAAGCTCTGGAGCACCCCTACCTACACATCTGGCACGACGCCTCGGATGAGCCCAACTGCCCCACAACCTTCGACTTTCACTTTGAAGTCGTCGACGAAGTCCATGATATGCGCAAGATGATCCTCGACGAGGTCGTCCGCTTCCGGGCCACCGTGCGCCAGCAATCGCAGGCCCACGCCGCTCAGCAGCAGCAGATCGCCCAGCAGACTAACGTCCCTATCCCAGATCACCAGCAGGGATCCTGGAAGACCGAGGATCCCAGACCGCAGGAGGCTACCGCTGGCGGTGGTTACAACCCCAATGACCTGGAGTCATCGCTGCAGCGCGGCATGGACGTGCACCACTGATTTACTTTGGATTTTGTTTCTTTCGAAATCCCGTTCTCTTCTTGATGGTTGTTCGGCGATCTTGTCTTGTGTGTCTTGCCCTGCATGTTGATCTAATTTTAGCCAAAAGATACCTCAGAGAAAAAAGACTGGGATGATTTGCATGTTCTTTTTTCTCTCAAGTTTCAATTCCAATTCTTCTTTTTTCCCCCTATCGATCTGTCCATGTGTGGTTTTGCCTGGTGCTCCTTTTTTTACAATGCGGGATGGTATCTTGATTTAGCGTACGATTTCCCTCTCCTGTATCTCAAGTCTATTCGGGTAGATTGTCATTAGAAAGTGTTTACAGCAGATACGATGTGTAAAAGAATGTAGAACCAGACAGGCGATGCCCCGAATCAAAGACGGCAATCATAAAATCATTCAATGCTATGAACCCAAGTAAATATAGATATATAAACACCCACAAGATGACGCTAAAGAAGCAAGGAACCCCCAAACCCCAACATCTAGTGTAGTATCCCAAAGTCAAACCAAAAAACCAAAAACCAAGAAACCAAAAGAACTAATAATAATATCCTCTCCACCAAACAGCCATACAAGCCGCAACAACAAGATCAAGCATCTTGATACCCTCATCCTCAATAACCAACTTCCCAAGCTTAGCACTCTTGCCACGCAGCCCACCCCCAGCATTCTCCCTTGCGAGCGAGAAATCAAGACGATCTTCATCGGAATCGTAGTCCAGATCTTGGCCAGAACTCGCGCTCGTGCTGCGGTTGTGTCGGGATTGGGCCTGGTAGCCGGAGCCGGGACCGGAGTTGGGTGGGTGGCCTTGTGGGTTTGCGTAGATGTGACTTTGACGGGCGAAGCGCTGGGCGCGGAGGGAGGTGCGGCGGAGAAGGGCTCCTGGGGTGAAGGGTTGTTTTGGGTCGGAGGGGGTGTTGATGTTTGGATTGTAGGGTTGGTAGGAGGGTGTTGGGCCTGGGCCGGAGTGGGCGCGGGGGCGGGAGTAGATGTTTGGATTTAGGAGGGCTGAGAAGGAGGTAGGGCGTTTGGGGGTATTGGAATTGGTACTATTGTCAGAATCGGGGGGTTGGTAGTTCGGCTGGGGGAAGCCATTGGGACCGATGCTCGAAGCTGGAGTTGGTAGATCGTTGATATCGTTGCGCGGGAAAGTTGGACTCTGTTGGCTTTGCGTGAAGGGCGAGACATGGTTTGGGTGTGGTTTGTGATTGGCATGGTGGGCGTGCGAGTGTAGGTTGGCTGCTTGGAATGGGGTGTTGAAGCGCAGCTCGGCGACGGTCACGGCGGGTGGTGCTTCGGCCTCACCGTTTGGCTGGACTGCACCGGGCGGATGAGGGATCATGTGTTTGCACTTGAGGCTGCGACCATTGACGCTGCTTGCGAAGGTGCAAGTGCCGTTCCAGGGCGAGGTGAATACGTAGTAGCCGCTTTTCAGCTTGGACTGGCCATCTGGGACGTGTCCGTTGCTGCAATCTGGGGAAGCGGTGTCGTCGAAGGGCTTCGAAACACAGAGCTGGCGGTGGAATTTGCGAGGCCCAGATTGCTGTTTGGCTTCCCTTGGTTGTTCGGCAGTTAGGGCTTGGGGAACCGCAGAGTTCGATAGCCGACCTAAACCTGGCGGGAGATTGCCAGCCAGACTGGTCAATGAAAGGGGTTCATCAAGACCCACGAACCGGTTATAACCCGGCGTGGAAATCTCAATATCAACGGCATTGCGGTCCATTCGCGGAGTCGAAATAGTCGCAACATTCCATTGCGTACCAGACGTAGGATCTCGCCGAATAAGTGTAATATGGAACCCTGAGCTCCTAGATGGCGGTCTCTGAGCATGTCTCAATCTCGAAGGCGACTGTCCAGGACTCCTATTTGGAGATGCTAGTCCAGTGCGGTCATGCGACGAACGAGGCCTCAATTGCGGCCTTGGAGAGTCAAGACTATGACGGCCAGCCGACAGTGCCCCATATCTTTCCTTCCACTGCTCTAATCCCTTATTCTGCAGCTCCAATCCCTTGTTTTGTAGATGGCCCGCAAACGCGCTCCATCTACTCGACCGTTTATACGGGTCCTCGCCCGCCGGGGAATTAGTCCACGACTCTTCACCCGGCGGGAGAGGAGGTAATGGTCGTCGCTGGACGCCGTTCTTGCCACCTGAGTCAACCAGATCCTCCTCTGGCACACCACGACCAGGCTGTGCAAGAGCAACGGGGGCCCCAGCCAACGAAACATTCTCCGCTGAAGCTCGCGAATCGGGGATCGGCCGCGGAGGCAAAGCTGGCGCAGCAGGTTCTTGTGGCAGCGTTGGGAGTTCATGAGTAAAACCATCCGGGCCTGTCTCCCCTCCAGCTACAGGCTTGCGGCGAACATTGTTCAGCCGAGCGAATTCACGTTGCGCGGGGTCGTCGCCTGCTGCTTCCAGGCGTTCTTTGCGGAGCAGGGCTTCCTCTTCGCGCTGTTGTTCCACTTCCTGTAGAAGGGTGTCGTCGTCGGGTGTTGCGACATGGAGGTAATAGAGGGAGGCATTTATAGCCTCTGCTGAGACACTGGATTTCGTCGGTGGCTTCAGAGGCGAGAGGAATATGTCTGTAGGCAGCAGTTAGCTTGTGCTTTCTTTCGAGCTGGGCAAGCTGGTCCAGCCAGATAATCTAAGACGGAAAAGACTGGGCGACTTGGATTGTAGAATTTCCTTACCCTTGCTGCCAGGGACGCGCACAATGTACAGCGACAGTGGGTCGTGTTTCTCGTGGGTGGGATTGCGTGGATAGGCGGGGGGTTGGATGCAATCGCGGTGACGGATGAGAGTGAGCGCGCCTCAACAGGGCCTTGAGGAACGGTAGTCATAGCGGACTAGGCCGCAATTCTCCCATATATGCAGAAGAGAGGTTGAAGGTTGAGATAGTAAACACTGGGGCTCGGTAGTGAGCGGAGCCCGGGGCCTTCGGGTCTATCACTGTAGCCTGAAGCTGGGGGACACAAAGGGAAAAGGGATGCAAGGGGAATGCTGCCTGATCGTGGCGTAAGATTTGATTACGTCTACGCGCGGACTGTTGTTGAGTAATATGTTGGTGATATCTTCATATAGCTGAGTAAAGTAGGAGAAAAAAAAAACAAAGTAAAGGAATGCAATGAGGGAATAGTAGTATGAGCGTGTACAAAAGAACTCCAAGCTGTGACGCCGACAGGCCCAATCCAATAACCAAATAACCCAAGACCCCGTATATATTAGACAACAGTCTCAGACCGTTCGCCTTCCGCAATGATAGGTACGCCCAAGCCACGATCGGGGCTTTGTAGCACGAGCTGCTCATGACGTCGTGCCCGGAGGAAATCACTGACGGCGCGGATCAAAATGAACCATCCAACAATCATGAGAATGTATGAAATCCATTCGCTCGTGGTAATGCCAGATATCGCGCCACTGCTATCGCCGCCAGAGCTCTCCCCAACCGAGTTCGGGTCGAAGCTGTGGCTGTTGGGATCAGGCGGAGCAACGTAGGAATCAGTACCTCCGCCATCAGAGCCTGAACCATCACTGCCGCCCTTCATATAGAAACCGTATTGAACCAGAGTAAGACCGAGACCCGCTCGGCTGCCATTCTTTGCGGCATGGGTGGTATGTAGGAGATAGGTGAGCAAGAAGCCGACCAGTTGGAATGACATTGAGATCATAGCATTCCAAACGAAGGAGAAGACAGATCCAACGGGCAGTCCATCTACGTAAACTTCATCGGACGAAATGCCAGGAGCCACAATGGTGGTTTCCCAGTAGGGGGGAGTCGCATCAGCCGCAGCTTCTTCGTAAGACTATAACCAATATCAGCATTTCGATCAATTCAAAAAACAAACGCAGCATATAGGAGTGGCCAACGTACAGGAGGAAGATCCTCGTTCTTCTCACCCCGCTCGGGCTTGGCTGCAAGGTTGGCAAAGACACCATCATTTGAGGGAGCGATCTGCCTCTGTCCACCAGGAGATGGAGTCGTAAAGTTCGGCAGTATCGTAGGCCGCCGTAGGATCCCAGCACGAGCCGGATCTTGGGAATCACTTCGCGAATCCGATGACGACGCAGAAGCGCTTTGTCCGTTATCAGCCGAGCGGAAGTCGGGGTCCGCACGCATCAAGCGCTGCCTGTCATCGGGTTCATCGTCATTGTCAGACTCATCCTCGTCGCCAAAGGCATCGGCAAGCGTTTGATCGTCATCATTATTCAACGGATCGTTGTGTAATAAGCGCCTGGACGATGGCGACGAAGACCGAGACCGGGAACGGAATGAGGGAGGCGGAGAAGCACCGGGTTGCGCAGGGTTCAGCGGATAGGAATGCGGTCCTTCCTCTTCATCATGGGCATTCACCTGCAAGATTCAAGATCAGTATCCTGTCGAGGAGTCACATCCGGAGGGGGGAGGGCGGTTCCGGGGTGACAGATGAGATCAGCGGAGGGGGCTGCGTACCCGTGAATAGCGCTGCGAGCTCATGGCGAGCTGAGCGGGAAGAGACCGTAGAATAGGACAGAAAGGAAAGGGAGTCGAGGCGGATTAGAATAGAAAGTGACGATAGTCAAAGGGGATGAAGAAGATCTCGGGGTTGGAAGGCAACAGGAATGGAGTGGCTTGGCAAGCCTGAAGATCCAGGCCACCAAGGATTTCCGTTTTGTCTCGATTCGTTCGGCTTTGACTTGACAACATCTGCAATCCTTCACCATGTCTAAATCAGTACGTCTGAATCCCTATTTACCCCCCTAAGAGACATGATCTACCATTGAACTCTCTCTCTATCTCCATTTCTCATCCTAATACTTATCCAGACCCTCAACCCAAGCTCCATCCAGAGCCGCCTCACATACCTCCTAAAATCCTGGCCCACCGACGCCGTTCGCCCATCCTCAGTCTCTGTTCAATCCTATATCCAATCCCGTCTTCAGCCTACAGACAAGGCTACTCCAGCCATATCCGAGTCCTCCGTCAATGCCTTGACCGCCCTGCTAAACGACCGCTTCGCGCGCGCGTATCCTCTATCGCCAAAGCTGCGCCGGCCGGCGAGTAGCCCCGATCATTATGATAATGTTGTGCGGGAGTTTGCGGAGGCGCCCACTCGGGATTGGCTTGGACGTTTGAAGAAAAGAATGGCTGGTATTATCCGATTGTCGTGATTGATATGGCTGTTCTATAAACCTCGATTTGGGGTACGTTACTTGTGACAATATGGGGGTCTATTTGACGGGTTGTATGACATGTGTACCAATACCTTTTGCCTTTATTTTTTGTTGATTTTCTTGCCTTCGGTGTTTTTGCCTATTGTATTCTACTCTACTTGTTCGACTATTTACCATCTACAATCTACAAAAGCTGAGAATAATCTTGAAGCGGATTCAGGCATGTATATATCCATGAGAATGAATTTTGAACAATCTAACTCCAAAAAAAAGACCAAATTGCTATGTACATTGATAGCGAACCCAAATGCACGCTTTAACAAAATCATACAAGTCTGCAAGTGAAATCACATTTACAGCATAGGCTTCAGGTCCTCGGCAACCTTGAAGGGAGCCTCGGTCTTAGCCTGGACCTCCTCAACGGTGACACCGTCGGCGATCTCAACGAGGGTCAGGCCGTGGGAGAAGTCAACATCAAAGACGCAAAGCTCAGTGATGATACGGCTAACACAGGCAGGACCGGTCAGGGGGAACTCGCAGTTCTTGACAATCTTGGCGTTGCCCTTCTTGTCGGTGTGCTCCATGGTCACGACGACCTTGGTGGCGGAAGGGTTGGAGACCAAGTCCATGGCACCACCGAAGCCCTTGATCTTACCGGGGAGCATCCAGTTGGCCAAGTCACCCTTGGCGCTGACCTGCATGGCACCGAGGATGGTCAGGTCGATACGGCCGGAACGGATCATACCGAAGGACTCGTCACTGCCGAAGCAGCTGGCACCGGGCTTGAGAGTGACGGTCTCCTTGCCGGCATTGATGAGGTCGGCATCCTCCTCACCCTGCTTGGGGTAAGGACCGAGACCGAGAATACCGTTCTCGGACTGAAGGGTCACCTCGACGGAGGGGTCGACGAAGCTGGGGGCAAGCATGGGCATACCAATACCCAGGTTGGCGTACATGCCGTTCTTGAACTCCTTGGCGGCACGGCGGACAATGCGCTCACGCTTGTTGGCGGTGTCACCCTTGCCGAGGGCAGACTTGTCGGCGCCCTCCTCCTTGGCGAAGGTGAACTTCTCGATCTTCTTGTCGACGGTGCTCTGGATAACGCGCTTGACGTAGATACCGGGCAAGTGGATGGCGGCAGGGTCAATTTCACCGGGCTCGACGATGTGCTCAGCCTCGACGATGGTCATCTTGGCGTTGCGACCCATGGCGCCGTTGAAGTTGGCGGCGGCGTAGCGGAACTGACAGTTACCGAGCTTGTCGGCCTTCCAGGCCTTGACGAAGGCGTAGTCACCCTTGATGGACTCCTCCATAACGTAGCTCTTGCCGTCGAACACCTTGGTGTCACGGGGCTGGGAGAACTTGGCGACGGTGCCGTCCTCGTTGTGGCGCAAAGGCACAGCGCCGGTCTGCACGACAGTACCGAACGCAGCGGGGGTGTAAAAGGCAGGAATACCAGCACCACCGGAGCGGCAGCGCTCAGCGAGGGTTCCCTGAGGAGTGAGCTCGAGCTCGATCTCACCGGTCAGGTACATCTTCTCGAAGGTCTTGTTCTCGCCGACGTAACTGGCGATCATCTTCTTGATCTGCTTGGACTTGAGGAGCAGACCGAGACCGGCTCCGTCGACACCGGCGTTGTTACTGGCCACAGTCAGGCCAGTGATGGAGGGGTTGGCCAGAACGGCGTTGATCAGGGAGTCGGGGACACCGGACAATCCAAATCCACCGGCGAGAAGGGTGGAGTTGGACTTCATGTCCTTGACGGCGACCTCGGCGGAGGGGTACACCTTGTTGATTTCACTGCGGCGGACGCTGCTGGAGAAGGCGCGAGCCATGAATTGTTGGTGCTGTTCGACGCATCTGTTAGTTTCTCCAATTGCCTCTGATTGCCTTGCGACCTTACCTTAGCCGGATTGGCAGAGAACTGGCGCGCAAGGCGCAGACATGTTGCCACTTGAGAAGGCATTGTGAATAGCTTCAAGAATACTGGAGAGAAGAAGTCCAGGCAGCTCAAGAAGTTCTTAAGAAGAAGAATGCGGCAATACGGCAATGGCCACTTCTTATAATCCCGAGCGGCAATGAGGGCAAAAAGAGTCCCGACTGATATTCGTTTCCCCGGAATGGTGGATACCCGGTAGCTTCCGCCTTCAATGAAGTGCGTTGATGCCAGTCCTTTTACCCTGAATCTGGGGCGTTTTCCTTTTCCAGAAGATCATATCTATCGGCATCGACTCCTCGTGGGCTCGTCCTCTTTTTTGGCTCTTCATTTTCTCCCATTTGACCCGGGTGGCAGCTCAACTCCCACATTTGTGAAGCTGTGGTGCCGCTGCCGAAAACCATAGCCGATCCGATTCCGATTCCGCGGCAACTACTTGGGTGCGGGCGGCATTAGTGGCCATTAGGGTCAGAAACTGACCGCCCTCCTTCCCACCTACCCAGGGATTTCTTACTGTCTGTAACCTGTGGACAGAATTAGCGTGAGGTCAAAAATCTGATAAGATGGGATTCTATATCAGTCAGGCAAAAGGTCTGGAAATTGAATCATTCCAACCCGAGAAAAGTAGTGCTTGTTTCTACTGTAGTAATCCTACTCACCAATCAAAACCACGCCTAACTGGACTTTTATCGAGGTCAAACACATGGATAAGCTCAACAGTGACTCTTACCTTAATCCCATTTCTGCCGGCAATTTGGTTACAGTGGCCGCTACTGCCGACTGTCGCTCACCAGGCTGAGTCAGCCCCGTAGAGTTCGTGGCCAGAAATGTTCATCCGGGGAAGAGCCAAGGGACGCCAAACGATGATTTGCCACTACGGGGATTCCCAATGTCAAACTTATTTCCCATAATTCTACCTACTCCTGGTATCTTCTGCGTATGTACACGTTTGCTAAGAAACGTCTGAGAAAAATGGAGTCCTCGCTTGCGATGCAGTATGGTCATCAAATGTTTCAAAAAGGACCTCATGATAGAGAAGAAAGAGAAAGAGGTATCGTGTATTCATGCTGCGTCAAGAGAGGAATCTTCATGGGAGCGATTTGGCTTCGGCGTCCACGCTCTTACGCTTCAGGGGATTGACAGCGGTCGCGTCGACGGCGGTGGAGTCTACCAGGGCAGCGTTTCGGATCAGTTCCATTATGAGCGAGGGGAGAGAGGAGAGAGAGGAGAGAGCCACTCCGACGGATAATCGCCATGCAGGGAGACGGGCGTACCTGGGGTGCCACGCGGGGCACTAGTGTCGTAGAATGAGGGTTCCATATCCACGTCAGTGGGGCTGGCTGACCGGGTGTCCTCCATGAAGGGGACTTCCTGTTCGGTCAAGTCGGGCATCGATTCGGTCACGTCGCGGCAAAGCGGGTCGACGAGGCGGTCTTTGATCTTGTCGTTGACGTAGACCAGGAAGTATGGGGTGGCAGGGTTGGTCGTGGAGTCGTTCTCGAAAATCTCCTTCACGTTCGAGACCTCGGTGACATACTCGTCGTTGTACTTGCGCCAGATTTCCTTTTTGAAGTCATAGATGTAGATCCAGTAATGTCCAAACGATACCGAGCCACGGTGCACGAACACGGCATACAAACGGTATGGCAGGCTCTTCCAATCGGCGAACTGGGTGGAGATCATGGCCCGGGTGTCCTTGAGCTGCTGGTCAATGGCTATTAAACAAGTTAGTGTTACTTTGGGCCGCCACGGTGTGCTTGCTTATTGCTCTTACCTTGCAGCTCAGCCTGAGCCGAGTCAGCAATAAAGCTGAGGTCGTCTGACAGCTCCGAGCTTAGCATATGCGCCAGCGAATCAGGCCCGCTATCCGAGTCACTTTCTCTCAGACTGCCGATCGCCTCACTAGTCTGGCTGAAAAGCTCTGTCATATCAATGCTATCCTTGGATTCCTGGAGAAAACGTCAGTCACCTCCGTAAGGGAGTATATCCACCGACATGATCTTACCGACTGCTTAAGCATCTCCACGCGGCGAGCCTCCAGAGTCTTCAAAGTAGCCTTCCATTCCCAAGACTGGGCTCGACGCTTCACGAACTCGGGGTTCTTCGAGTCCATGTATCGGTCCATGTAGATTGTATCGAGCAATTCAAGATGATTGGTCGATTTGAAAGAGCTCTTCTTCACGGAATCAAACTGAACTCGCTGCACCTGAACCTGGAGTATCGGTGGGACTTGACTGATCGATCCAAATTGTTCAGCCACAGAGTTTCCGACGCTGATTTTCTGGACATCAAAAGCTCCATCGATAGCATCATAAATATCACGAGATCCATGAGCAACGTCGACCTTAATGTCACACCAACGCTCTTCCTTCGAACGCGTGCCTTTCTCCTCGGAGATATAAGACCGGGTTTGACCATAAAACAGGCTAGTGAAAGGGTTAATCTATATAATACAAAGCCGGTTTGAATGCCACTCACTCTTTGATCTGGTCAAGCTGTTCGCCATCGCCACCAATGCCAATGGGTTTGATAGCGCACTGACTCTGGAAGAGAACGTTGTTGATGACTTCAGTCACATCCTGTTGAGCGCCAATCTCAACCTCTTCTTTCAATTGCTTCTCGCGGTCAATCTCTGGGATAGGGCGAGGGGGGACAGGAGGTGGTATGTTAGATGGCCCTGGCTGGTTAGGCACAGTGGTGCGTGGATCAAGCGACATTTCTTCACAGGGTGCAACATTGGCTTGGTCCAATTGCGGAGGATCGTTTTCTTTACCCTCAATAGAGGCCACTGGGATATCGGGGTTACTATCCGGGAACATAGTTACGTCAGTAGCAATATCGCCCGTATCGCTCACGTTCGAATTAGTGACAAGAGCAGGACCAGCGGCATTAGGCGCAGATTGGCTAGTCGTATTCATTGGAATGGATGCAGGGGGTCCAAGCGGTCCAAGGATGGGAGCGCCATCGATCTCGCCAAGGATTTGGGTTATGCTAGCAGAGATAGTCGAACGACGACGAATGGCTGCCTCGTTACTGGGGCTGATCAAAGTCAACCGGGCCAGTTCCTGGCCGGGGGTGACCGAGTTGCGAGAAGCAGTGATCATGCTTTGGAATAGAGTCCGTAGCTCATTGAGGACTGTATTTGCGGGTCAGTTGGAATATCACCATTTCTATACACCAAAAAAAAACTCACATCGCTGGGATCGTTCGACCTCGTTCTTCATCACTTTACGAGATCCAACTTGCTTCTTCGCCATGGTTTCATCATCGTTCAAGTCCATCTGGTATGTCTCACAGTCCAAAACCATCTCGCGGAAAGGTCGAATTGAAAAGTAGTACTGAAGAAGGCTGTTCAGATAGCAGGTGTTGCCAATGTTCTGCAAGCCGACCGGCCACTCCGATATGTTGCTAGCCTGTGGAAGGCTCATACCTGCCATACCTCGCAAGGCATCATTGTTGGTTTTATCGGCAATGATGGTCATAGCTTGATAATACCTCTCAGCCTCGCCTGGGTTTTCATCAACACAGATAGTGTATGCGGCAATGATAGCTCCCGCGTCTGCAGTGCGATCGGGAATTTGGAGTAGACGATAGGCATCACCGACGTCCATTTCAGAGGCAAGTGTCTCTCCAGTATTGATGAAGTGGTTCAACGCGATCGATTTACGAGAGGCGGCGATGAGAGCGACTGCACGATTCGCCAGTTCTTTGTTCAAGGGGTTGTCATTGACCTATTTCGACATTAGCTGCAATCATATCAACTCGTGAACCGGATAACAAACCTTGGCCGTGTACATAGTCATAACAAAATCATCGGGTGTCTCATTTTCGACGCCCAGGAAAACATTCGCTTGCTCTACAGTGGAAACGCCTAGTATGAGAAGTTAGCTAATACCTTCTTTGATAATTCATAGCGTATATGCCAACATACGATTTTCAGACGCCGATATGATAGCCTCGCTATCTCTGCTATCGCCAATACGCCAAAGCTGCTGACGCGCTTCTGTTTCGCGCTTAGTGGAGCTCAAGAAAGCGAAAAACTTGCCAATGATGCTATCATCGGTGAGGTTCGAGTCATCCGATCGGAGACCAAAGAATCGATAAGCATCGTCGAGGTCTTCAACGGCGTATTTTCCTTCGGAGTAAGCCCGTTTGACGGTTGTTTCAATCAATGCCCAGTCTTCACCCCCCGAGGAAGCAACGCGAAGTTTGGCAATTTGCTTCAAAGCTGAAAGGAAGAGGGGGTATCTCCGTGGGTTAGCGGCGGTTTGACGCTCGAATGCCCAGAGGATCTGCCAAGTAGCCATATCCTCGACGACACCCAGGTCCTCGTAACATCTACAGAGAAAAGCGTTAGACACTCGCATATTAGGAGTGGAGGGGTAGACCGACGGAGCAGAAGGCATCTCAAAATCCTCGACGCGCATAGCTTTCGAATCTGATGTAGAAAGTACAGTCAGTTGAGATGATTACGTGTGGGACAAATGTGGATAAGCGCATGAGGTAACTCACAGTTCAATGCCTCGAGGGCAGAATAGAGCTGGGTGATCGCCGATGGCGGAAGAGCGGGAAATTGGGAGCCACGTTGTTCTGCGGGTGGTCTGCGATGAATTAATGATAAAAGTTCATGCGCGACGTCGTCGAGAAAGGTGCAAAGCGGGTCTTGGTAGGGTTTCTCGGCGTTGATGTTTGGTTGGGGTGGTGTCCAGGCACCAGTTTCCTGTTCACCTGTCAGCGGCGACGTAATATGGCGAGAGACCTGGAATTTGGGATAGCTGCCAACCTTGTTATAAGTGAACTCTAGGAACTCTAGTAACTCTTTACAGGGAGCACCCTCCACACCAAACGAGTGCATAAATCTTTTGTTAGCTGCTGATATAGGCTTCCCACGTTGAGCATTTCGAAGTGCGTTGCTGATGTAAAGTCGTAAATTATCCAGTACACTGATCGGTTTGGGATCACCCATGCCTTCCATTGATTCGGGATATGTTGCTAAGGCTTGTTCAGCTCGTTCATGTAGTAAATCAGGATCGGTCAACAAATGAACCCATTCTGGTGTGAGAATTGGAGAAAGTATCCGTAGAGACACCATTGCTGAGCATGATATGCAAGAACATTGATAGTGAAACGTCTCAGCGACTTGTCCTTTATCTGTCTTCTCTGGCATTGAGACACCGTTCTTCTGTCTACCCGATTTGTAGATCAAATGATGGATATGGTCTTCCTTGTTTTGATTAAATGAATTCATGCCGTTGGTGTAGTTGACCACCACTTGAAGATGACAGCGGCATTCTGAGCAATAGGCTGCAATTTTGGATGACGTCCCTGGTCGTTTCCGATGTTCAGCTTGAGCCAAGAAGGTCTGGTCTTCTTTCAGAACATATTCGTGCTTGCATGCTTTCGGTGAGATAAATCCAGGAAGACCTTGCCAGGCTTCCGGATAAGAGTATACCGGAGGAACTTGGGCGAGCAGATTGCGGCCAGTGTCGGGGACGTGTGCTGGATCATAGAGGTAGATATCTTCCACTAAACGCGGTGCAGTTTTGCCTATAGTCATGGACTCGGTGTGAGCATATGCGTGTAGATATATGTGGAATTTGTCAAGTTGCATGACCTACCTGCCCTCTGGATAGGCGCCATGAGGGATGATGTTCAGGCCCGATGGCCTCACGTGGGATTTCGATCTCTGACTCTCTCTCAGTGGATGTATTCCTATCCTCAGGGTAGATTCGGGCCGTAGCAAGTATCGGAAAAGAGGGGTTGCGGACAGGAAGCTCGGCGGTATTGAAGGAGCTCTCCAATGATGGAATCGCGTGGGCGGAGAGACAGCGGGGAGCCTGCTGCTTGGCAGCAAGCAGCGGCAAGCTTAGTAGGGCTGTATTTGCACCGTATGATGAGATTTGAGACCAAAAGTGATAGAAGCAAGCGATTTAAAAGCTGAAAAATGCTAATTTCACCAGGGATCAAGAAAACGAAGAGCACAGCAAGCACCGAGATGCATCTGATTATCATGAGAGCTGTAGAACACAGGCGGTGTGGACATCGGTGTAGAGTGGCAGATGCGAACCCCCAAAATCCTAACCGCCAACCACATCCGTCGCACTGAGCCCATCCCTACTATCAGACATCATGGCGCACCACGCGGAAGACCACAGCTATCACCCTCAGGATGCCATGTCAGTTGCCATCAAGGCTACCATGCTGACTGGTACTGTTGGTCTCTTCGGTTCTGCCGTTCAGAACACTCTCTCCCGACAGAACCACGGACCGCTGGGCATCTTCATTCGCTCTGGTGGCACTATTGGCGCCTTTGGTATGAACAATTCGCCTAATGCACGTTTGTATCAAACAATTGCTTACTGAGAACTTCCGTAGCTGCTGTCGGTGGTACCTATGCCTTCGTTAAGGCCGCTTCCGCCAACCTGCGCGAGAAGGAGGACCACTACAACACCGCACTTGGTGGCTTCTTCGCCGGTGCCATTCTCGGTCTCAGACGTAAGTTTAGGGCTTAATTGAGCCAGCAATGACGCTTTGGACGAGCTAACCATCGCAATTTCACAGTCCGCACATTCCCCGCTTTGCTCGGATACGGTGTCGCCGTGTCCACCGTTATGACCGCATTCGAGTATACCGGTGGTTCTCTTTTCGGATACAAAAAGGACACCTCAGTTGACGAGTTTGACCGTCGCCAACAGCTGCGCAAGGCGTTCCAGACTCCCGGAGAGCAGACCATCGCCGAGTTGGGCGAGGGACGTGGTATGTCTTTATACATACGGTCAATGCGATACGCGGTTGCTAATTCTAATTCTCAGGTGTCTACGGACCGGGTTACGAGGAGCGACGCGCCGAGCGCATTAAGGAGGCTTATGGCGTTGAGGTTCCCACATCCCCAGTGCCTGCGTCATAAACCTGCATTATTTTCAATCCCCTTTTCCCCATTGCTTTGTGTAAATTATCCCCCCATATCACGCTGCCTACTTCGCATGCCGGACACGTCACTCCGATTAGGTTTTCTTCTGTCTTCAGGAAATTTCAAACAATACACATCTTCAATTGAAACCCGAGCTCCCTTGTGCGGTCTGATTAAGCTGTAGAATTTGGACGGATAGCCCGGATTGAGTCTTGACATGCGTCATTATGAAATTTCTCCGGCAAGCGTACTAACTTGAGGGTTCGGTCTCTATATCGTGCTGAGCAATACTTCGAGGTTGAAAATGAGGGGGAAATCCCCGGACCAGCAGCGGACCAATGAGAGCCTACGCATATCAAAGAGTCAAGATATCTACTCCCCCCAAAGCCACACTATGTTTCAGAAGCTATTTGATTTATAACTATGCTTTCTTCATATACACAGCTAGAGGATCATGTCCATTTAGCCATTTTCGAACAATTACATCCAATATGCCATTCAGTTGCGACTATAACCAAACAATCTCCGGACCCACCATTATTATACTACAGAATGCTATTTCCTCAACTATAGCGCCGATTCATGAAAAGTAATGCTATTTGTCTCTTTTTAGGCACCACCCCATATATCCTCCGATCCTGTAGCCCTATTCTCCCGGTGGCCAATCTATTTGTAGCAGACAGGCACAGTCGGGTCTCCCTTGGTTGGCGGGTGGTGGGTGTTCAATATACAGACAAAGCAGAGGGTTCAGACACGGGCTCAATATCAAATCGGATGTTCGCACCCCAGTAGTACCAGCAAGCAATCTGAGAAATACGCCACATACCTCTTGGGAAAGCCCCTAAAACGAAGGCTGCAACAGCTTTACCAGTTGCAGATCCTAGAACAGCCTGGTAAGCGGGTGTACCATACTCAAAGACAGTAGGAACCTGAATCTTTGACTGTGCAGGTGAGATTCCGTACCATTCGTCCCTGGAGCCACCCATAAGCATGGTGACCAAGGGGTCCGTCTCGACATTGGTGCAGTTGTCAATATAGATATGTCGCAGAGTATCAATTGGAAACCAGGATTTATATTGTGCAATAGCAATATCGGACCACATGGGTCCGTCAGCTCTATACATAAGTGCAACAATCAGAACACCCGGTCCTGTGAACAGGTCATGGTGGTTAGGCACAGGTCGGCTGGCTTTGTTAATGCTTTCTTTGCAAATTGTGAATTGGTGGTAATGCCCAGTAGCCGGGAGCTTCATTCGCTCTAGGTCGACGAGAATCCTAAATGGAGGGTCATACATCCTATCAGTCTCAATGAACCAGCTTGGTTGTCCCGGTGTGAATTCAGTAAGCATTGCCATGATGTCAAGCGAGGAGGGCTTTACTGGACACTTAGGTGCGTTCGGATCTGCAATCCACATCTGTCGGTCAGCTCCCAGTATTTGATATCTACCGAATTCATAACCAGGAACTGGGTTGGCGGCGGTTTTGATTGGATTCGCTTCTATGGGACAATCAGTGTTCCATGGAAGAGTATCGGAAGGAAGGAGAGGGAGAATAGGGTAATTAACGTCCGCTGGAAGTTCTTCTGGAGAAGAATTGTTGATAATAGATGCCATGATTCGAACCAATGGATTCTAGAAGGTCGATTACTTCTATTTCTTCTTATGGGGTTAAAATAGTTGGATACAGATTTGAGCACGGCTTTATACCTCGGATCATGTCTGCTCATGTACAATAGGGAATACCTGCATATATATAAACGAGCAAGGGAAATATAGAAAGCCTTGCCAGTGAAATAGGACAATGAAGTTCAACCGTACAAAGATCTCGCAAGAAGACAATGTGAGAGTACAACGGCCTCCGAGAGACAAAGAGACAAAAAAGAAAGGCAGCGAGAACAACCATTATACTGATAGTGTTGATCGCAGACAAGAATGACCAAAACGTCAAGAGCAACATTTATCCGGAGCTAATTATTTTCTAGTTTTCCTTTGATGTCAACCAATAAATTTCAAGTATCTGTATGCAATGTAAAGTACATTAAAGAGCTTGATAAAGCTAGCGAACACAAGGAAATATATCGATGACTAAAAGCAGCAACTGGGCAATCCTCCTAGCACAGAGTCCGGTTGACCAGATCCATTTATTTGGATCATCTACTCGGCCTTTTCACCCTTCAGCTCAAGATAATGCCCCACGACACTCTTAACCTGTTCCTCATAGCTGAGGAATTTGAAGCCCATGACTTCCTCGGTCTTTCTTGCATCCAATCTGATTTTGCGAGTAGGCTGCAGACCATTGTTAGGGAAGACGCCGTTTTCCACTGCTTTGGGGAAATGTTCGGCCACAATGGCAGTGGCATTCTGCCAGACAGTCCCAGCATAGTCATCTGAGTTTCCGATATAACTTCCGGCCGGGACCTTAGGATCAAGACCCTTGACATGCATGAATGCAATATCATTCACGTGGACGCTAGAACCCACGAGCGGGCTTTCGGACTTGGCTCCAAGAACAGGGGCGATGGCGACAGCGTTGGTGCCCAATGTGATATCCTTGACATCTTTCACAAGCTCATTTTTGCCAATGACGAAAGATGGGTGGATGTTGACCACATCAAAGTTGAGCTTTTGGTCTCGAACAAAGGCCTCAGTTGCATTCAGAGCTGCAATCTTGCTGGCATTGTAGGCGTGGAAATCAGATGGGTACGGGCCAGAGGGAGAAGGCAGTCTGGACTCGCAGTTGACAAGGAATCCAGCAGGAGCCTCTTTTTCGAACATGTATTCCATAGGAACCATCGCAACAACAGATGATGTGATCACAACACGCTTGATGCTAGGTGAGTTGATTGCTGCTTTCAGAATGTTGATTGTTCCTGCAACAGCGGGCTCGACCAGTGCTGATTCATAGTCTTCTGGCTTAATCTCTCCCTTCAGAACAATGGGCGACGCCAGATGAATGATGTAGTCAACGTCCTTGACCGCTTCGTCGTATGCACCATCAGCCATCAAGTCCGGCACGACGATGAATGTAAGCTCATCTGTCAGATTCAGGGCTTTAATAGATGGTGCCGCGAGGATGTCGTTCTTCTTGGACTCGGACCGAATTGCAGCTCGAACACGGTAGCCGGACTTCAAGGCTGTGGCGAGGGTTTTGAACCCAATGTGTCCGGTACCACCAGTGATCAAGACGAGGTTGTTCGACATGGTGAGATGTAGTTCGAAGACGTTTAACTTTGAAATGGGATGCTGATATATTGATTGAATGAGGTAAAAGATGCAATTGAACTTGGAGATAGACTGATGTTTTGAATGAGGTTGATAGACAGCATCCAAGGGAGTATTTATATTTGCCCCAGGGCTATCCTACGGGACTGCTATTTCTCTATTACCAATCCCATAGCTAGAAACAAAGCGAATGTTATTTATAAGCCCATAAGCCGTATCCAGGATGTTTGATTCATTCTGGAGAGCCATTTCGGATAATGATCAGTCAACGACTAAAGAAATATTCGAAAATGTTGAAGTGTCCAACTGAGTGGTGCGGGATCAATAATCTTGTTCACTAATCAGAAAAGCCGGTGGCGCTCGACCCCCCGCACCAGACCTTCTGGACTCCGATTTGGCCTTTTCGTTGGATCATGATGACTTAGTGTTGCATGCGGATCGGTTGCTTGTACTTTATTATATATTCCCTCGAGATGTAAATCAGAGAGGTGAAGTCTCGATATGTTCCCTGAATGTAGACTCGGAGTCCCTTGGAATTATCAATAGGTCATGTCCGTTCCCATTCGCCCGATATCAAAGGCGACGGGTTGTGAATACCTTTGTAAGTCATTTCATTCTTGAAGTGACTTTAAAAATGCAGGCTTACATGTCTAGGGGTTGGAGCTTCTTTGGTACGGCACGGCTACCTCAGAGCTCAGACCTCGATAGGTTGAGTCTGCCGCTTCTCATCGCGTATTATCCTTCTTCTTTCTCTCCCATCCGTCCAGCCACTATTTGTGGTTACCCGGGGGGTTCAATATTACCCGAGGGTCATTATTGACCAAAATTCAGTGAAGAATCCACGTTGTACATGACAGCATAGCGACGTGAAGTGGGTGTTCAGCTCCAGTGATCATGATCTTCCCTCTAGAAGATGAGATTGAACTGTCGTGCTGTGTATATCTTTTGATTGTGTATGCGGACTATTCAAGTACACCGAACTGTACCAGTCCTATCACCCACAAGTTAGATAATTGCCCAGGGGAAGTGTTGCCTTTGTTCCTCACACGTGATTAGGGTTAGATCTAGAGAAGATCCCGATTCACCATGACCTTCAAGCATCATAGTGGATATGGTGTGGGGGCATTAGGCAGGAAGCTAGCCCTACAGGCAACTACATAGCGCAATTTTCCGCAGTCTATGACTTGGGTCAGTGGACTGCAAAGCAAGGTATATGACGGAACAACTATGAAGCAGGTATTGATCCCGGTACACCGGGGACCTTCGGGTGGACCATTGAATCAGTCTCTTGGAACTGGCATGGTTGGTTCGGTGTAGAGTTGCGAGTCAGACAGGCACCCCAGAACCATATCTTGCTATGTCAGTGAGGTACAGTCCCAGATGGCGATATTCCGAAACAGCCGAGTAAGGAGCAAACGTTTTAAGTGTCTTCCAAGAGTGTTCTCCCCAGATCTCGACGTCATGCAGTGTTCATCACTAGAAGATCAGGGGGAGTGGCAATAATTAGCCCCTATTGAGTGGATTCGAACTGGAGCACTTGGGGCTATTAAGTTATAGAGTCAGGGGCGGAATTCATCAGCCACAGCAGGCAACCAAATTGGGATATACACTGTACATTCTGCAGTAGCGATAGAATGGAATCCCCAGGAGACTTAAGGTAGTGGACTTGAAATTCCGATTTTAGATACTACTGAAGCTATCACCATTGACGGCCTCCAATTCCGATCCATACGTCAAAGACTCCAACTTCCTCCCGGGCATCCCGATCTTGGGCGTCATCACTCTGGGAGCCATAGACGTCATCCCATTCTTTCTCGAAATCCCTATCTTCTCTTATGATCTTTTAATTTCTGCTATTCGATCTTCGATCTTCACTCGATTTCTCCTTATTCTTCCCCCCTGACCTTTTTGAGTGGGGTCTTTACTCTTCCCCCCCGCAACATTGCCCTCCGTTCGCCTGGTAACCAAAAGGCGCCACTTCAGGAGTTCTGGAGCTAACATCCTTGATTTTTCCTTTCCTTTTACTACACTCAATCTGATATTTTATCCTCCGGCCGGCATAACACCTAAACCGTAAATCACGTTCCCGACATGGCGATGGCCGCGCGGCCGCAGACGCCCTCACAGGATGCATACATGATCCCGCAACCCAGCGACCCAGGTGTCCTGAGTCGCCGATACGGATCCCAATCCTCCCGACCTCACTCGTTCGCTGGCAGCTCAGCGTACTACGGAACGGGCGCCCTTGAACCAACCCAGGTGCCTCACAATCCCCGGTTTAGGGAGGACTTCGATTCCCCCAGCCGTCGCAGTTCGGTCGCACTCGATATTCCGGTACCGCAGCGCTCGGTTTCGCAAATGTCCCGAGTGCGCTCGGAGACCCCGTCCCGTACGAGTACCTTACGAAAGAAGGCGTCCCTGAGTAAAAAGGGCAGCTTGCGCCGAAATGGAAGCCGCCGCAGCATGCGCGCAGGCAGTGTACGCAGTTTGAGCCTGGGGGATCGGGAAAAATACCACACCGAGGGCTCCGACGATGTCAACAGTGCATTCTCCGTGCCCATACCAACCACTGGGAATCCGACCGAAGTGCTGGCAACCCGGTTTGGAGGTGGGCTTCACCCCGACTGCGCGTATCCCATGAAACTCTGCTAACGATGACTGTAGCTTGGCGCAAGGTCCTCAAGGACTTGATTCTTTTCTTCAAGGAGGTGCAAAAGTCCTACGAAACGAGGGCGAAGCTATTTTTATCGGCCTCTAATGTCGTGAACAGCCAGAGCTTACCGACGGCGTTCCTGGAGTCTGGTGGTCTGGCTGACGCCACTGAGATTCTCCGGGACTTCCACCGACAGGGTTATACCGAAGCCAACAAGGCTGTCGAGGTAGAGGTGGAGGTGATCAGCCAATTGACTGGTTTACGTAGCGATCTACAGAAAAAGACCAAGGAGATCAAGAACCTCTCGGGTGATTTCAAAAATACCGTCGAGAAGGAGATTGACGGCACCCGCAAATCTGTACGGAACTTGCACGAAGCTCTTGGGCTTGTTGATAACGATCCTTCGGCAACATCCGGCAAAGGCGATCCATTCATCATGCGCCTACAGGTGGAGAGACAGGTTGAGAAGCAGATTGAAGAAGAAAACTACCTACACCGGGTTCGTGATTTGCTTTGTACCAGTTGGCCGCGTAAACTGACTTTTTACAGGCCTTTTTGAACTTGGAGAACTCCGGCCGTGAGCTTGAGTCGATTGTTGTGAGTGAGATCCAAAAAGCATACAATGCTTACGCCAGTATCCTTCGTCGCGAGGCCAATGAGGCTCTCGATACTGTAGAGAAGCTTCAGGCGGGCCCGATCTCCATGCCCCAGGACCACGAGTGGAACTCGTTTGTCGCTGACACCGACGAGCTTGTTGATCCTCGGATTCCTCTCCGCAATGTGGAGAACATCACCTACCCCGGCAAGGATCATCCGGCGGCTGCCGAGATCAGAGCTGGAATGTTGGAGCGCAAGAGCAAGTATCTCAAGAGTTACACCCCTGGATGGTACGTCCCCTTTATGAGTACTTTGATAGCATTGGCTAATCGATTTCAGGTATGTGCTGTCGCCGACGCATCTCCATGAGTTCAAGTCCGCGGATCGTGTGGCATGGCAGACGCCAGTGATGTCGCTCTATCTGCCCGAACAGAAGCTCGGCTCCCATTCACAGGAAGACTCAAGCTCTCACAAATTCATGCTGAAGGGCCGGCAGACCGGTGCGATGCATCGGGGCCATTCGTGGGTCTTCCGCGCCGAGTCGCACGAGACCATGATGTCCTGGTACGAGGATATTGAGAGCCTGAGTAACAAGACCGGCGAAGCACGCAATGCGTTCGTACGCAAGCATGTCCGCAGCGTGAGCGGCAGATCAATGAACAACGAAGTGATGGAGGATGACGAGGCTGACCGCACCCCATACTCCGCGGGCTCTGTCGTCTTGGCCTCTGAACGACCAATGTCTGCCACTCGCCAACCCGGGGGTGCCTTTCCCAGCGATGTCCAGATCGACCGTAATCTCCAGGCACCCCTTTCTCCATCCAGCGGGGACAGCTCCGCAGGTAGAGACATGCTAGTCGCGGCCGGATCATACCATGATGGGCCCAGTAACTTTGACGACCGCTCACGGCCACCGGGTAGCCGCGAGAGCAGTTCCTACCGACCCTATCCACGAAACGAGGAGTCGACGGAACGATCTCGTCCCCCGATGACCCAACACGATAGCTATTACGGTGACTGGATTGGACCGGCAGCGATAGTCGCAAAGCAAAAGCAGGAACAGCCGCCAACCTCGCACCCAGAGGAGAGAGATATTCGGTCTGACGGAGATGCCGCTTCTCTTGCTGCGATCTCGAATGCCGGTATCGCTGATCGTCGTGATCACTCGGCTCCTGCCCAGGTGAATCGTCGAGAAAGCGTCTCAACGGCACCTACCAACACCAACACTACGGACTACACTAACAACACCAACGCTACCTCTGTCGACGGGAATCAAGAGGTTCCCAAGATTCTGGCTGCCGGTGTCCCATACCGTGACTCAGAAGAAGATTCAGCGCAATTCCATGGTGGTGTCCCTGGCAAAATCCCCCCTGAGCTTCTTCGTCCCAAGACGGACAGCATTGTCGCCCTGGATATGAAGATCCCCGGCCGCTATCCTGCTACCAATGTGGCTGCATAGATGGACTCCTCTCACTCACACTCACTCCCACACATTTCCATCACCTGCCCTGTTCTCTATATTTTCTTACATCTATTGCGCATCACGTTCCGCATCTTTTCCCGCACCTCTTCCCATCTTTTCTATATTTTCATCTTTTAACGTTATCTTGTTTGTACATGTACCCGACCTTGCCCTTCACAACTCGTCCTAGTTGCGTTTAGGCGTTTTGGTCCTCTCATTCAGGCTGTCTCAGTCTCGTTATCACAGCATTAACCATGCTGCAAGGCGTTCGTTTTCGGCAGGGTGTGGCGCAGTTTTGATTTGTCGTCTTTTTGATTCCCATTCCTTGGATATGAGGTTTTTACGTTTGGACTTCGTTTTTGAGTTAGGTTTGCCTCGGTGAGATGAGATGAAATACGATTGTCTCTCTTTTTGCATTGCCGCAGTACTAGCCGTGGCATTTGGAGTCCCTGAACTCCGTGCCGACTTGTAGATGCAGGGATTGGCCCCAGGCCGTCCACGTGATATGTAGTGTTGAAGTAGCTCTTGTAGGGGCAACCCATATCAACAGTACCTGGGAGGTACTTATCGGAATCACATATCAACACCGACTAGATATTGCCCTCAGGGGACCAGAACTGACGGTGATTCTGTTATACAAGAGCCATACTGGTGACTGAGTGCATTTGCGATCAGCTATAGCTCCAGATTGGCCCGGGCGGTGACGGATTTTCCCCGAGCTGTCAAGTATCAGACCTCATGTTTCTTTTCTTCCTTACTTCTAGAGACCTAGAGACGTGAGGATCTCAAACCGCTCACACTTCACACTTCACACTTCGCACTTGTTGTCTTTCTCTTCTCTTCTTTCTCCTCGTCCTTCCTCCCATCGTTCCAACACAGCTCCATATCATGGGTGAGTTATATTACACTTTTCTTTTTCGTACTGTATTACTCGTTACTCTACATTCTCGAGGTCCCCGGTCATTCCCTCGCCCAATCACCTGCTAACCCCCCTCCCAACCTCGACGCCTGATCCTTTCATCTCCTTCCCCCTCTCCTTTCTCATCCCCCTTATTGTTTTGGATATTGACCACCTTCCCACAAGCAGACGTATACCGCCCATACCAAGTAAGTTGATCTCGCTTCTTGATTCTCTACCCCGATCTACACACTACACAATCCACACTATACACTACACACACTATACACCATGCGCAACTGGCGATGATCGAGGCGTGGTCAGTGCGGGGGCGGAATCCGCCACGTTTGTTTGATCAGACATCCTCCGGATGTGATCCGGTGCCTGAATGGAAATAACTTCCATGGCCATCGCGGGTTGAACTCAGAATTCATGCGCTGTGCGTGGAATGTGTGCGCGAGTGCTTCCCCCTCAAGCTTCTCAACACCCCCGAAGGTCCTCAACCGGAGACCTCCCCCAGAGCAGGTCACATGACTCTCTGACCCACCCCTCGGAGAGCGCAATGCGATTGCCTTCCGCACCTCCTCTCATTCTTCCATCACTATATTGTATTCCATCCACTTGATTCCGTCATGTCTGATTATCCACAGCGCGAGAGATCTCGCTCGCCTCGTCGTCGTCCTTCTCGCAGCCCCCGACGTGCCCGTCGTTCGTACTCTCCTCGCAGTCGCTCTCGCAGCCGTGGTGACCGTGGTGACCGTGACGAATACCGTCGCACCGATCGCCGTTCTCCCGAACGTCGCTCTCGCTCCCCATTGAGCAACTCCGGTGCTGCTGGACCGTCGGGCTCGCCTTACGGTGGACGCAGTGGTTATCCGCCTGCCAGATTTGAGGATCGCACCGTCGCCAAAGAAAACATGATGCAAACCGTTCGCGATTCGTCCCAGCAAGACCGCCGAGTCTATGTGGGCAACCTTGCCTACGATGTCAAGTGGCATCACCTTAAAGATTTTATGAGACAGGGTGAGCAGGGTCGTTACAATTGGGGGTGATAAGAGTTGTTGGTTTGATTTGAGGCTGACTGGGGGTGGTTCCCACGCTTTACAGCTGGAGAAGTTCTCTTTGCCGATGTTTTGCTTCTTCCTAATGGAATGTCGAAGGTGGGCGCCTATACGTAGAGTGGCTGGTTCATTTCTACTCCCTGATCTTTTTTTTTGTGGTTGGTCTTTTCTTTTTGCATGGACGTTGGATTGACGGGCTGGGCATTGTTGTCCTGATATTGTAGGGATGCGGGTGAGTTTTCATCTCTGGTCCATACTGAAGACCCCTGCTAATCGAGTATCAGGATTGTGGAATACGCTACCAGGGAGCAAGCACAGAACGCTGTCAACACGCTCAGCAACCAGAACCTGATGGGTCGTCTTGTTTATGTCCGCGAGGTATGCAGTGTCTCTACATCTGACGAACTTGACTGACCAGACTCCATAGGACCGTGAGGCCGAGCCCCGTTTCGTCGGTGGTCCTCCTCGTGGAGAGTTCGGTGGCCCCGGCCGCGGTGGCTTCGGTGGTGGTGGCTTTGGCGGTGCTCCAAACGCTGGCCGTCAAATCTATGTTTCAAACGTTTGTTCTCTCTTCTACTCTCACCCCCGTCACTTGCTCTTTCAGAATCAGTTGACACCTTATAGCTTCCATTCAACGTTGGCTGGCAAGACCTGAAGGATCTGTTCCGCCAAGCTGGTAAGTTCAACTTGGAAACCCTTGACTTTGACTCTTTTTCTGTCTAGTGTGAGCCAATGGAGTTAACCCTAATCCCCATATAATAGCTCAGCAGGGTGCCGTCATTCGTGCCGATGTGCACACCGACCCTAGTGGACGCCCTAAGGGCTCCGGTATCGTGGCTTTCGAGTCTCCTGATGATGCCCGCAACGCCATTGCACAATTCAACGGTTACGACTGGCAAGGTCGCAACCTTGAGGTCCGTGAGGATCGTTTCGCTGGTGGTGGTCCCGGTAACTTCGGTGGACGCGGCGGCTTTGGCGGTGGTCCTGGTAACTTCGGTGGCCGTGGCGGTTTCGGCGGTCCTCCTGGCCGTGGCGGCTTTGGTGGTCGTGGTGGATTTGGTGGCGGTTTCGGTGGCCGTGGTGGGTTCGGTGGCCCCGGCGGTCCTGGTGGTCCCCCCGGTGGTTTCCCCGGCGGTGGCTTCGAACACGGCGGTGCTCCCGTTGCCTCAGCTCCCCCCAACCCTTTCACTGACTTTGCTACTTCCAACGGTGACAAGGGCGGTGGTATCTATGTTCGCAATGTAAGTGTTGACAGCGACAGTAACATCCACTGCCAGCAGTGCTAACACGCGATAGCTGCCGTGGTCTACCTGCAACGATGACCTGATTGATCTGTTTTCCACTATTGGCAAGGTTGACCGTGCCGAAATTCAGTACGAGCCCAACGGCCGCTCTCGCGGTACTGGTGTCGTCCAATTTGATACCGCAGACACCGCAGAGACTGCCATTGGTATGTGTATCCCATCAACCTCACGTACAGCTTATATACTAACACCAAACAGCCAAGTTCTCCGGTTACCAGTATGGTGGTCGTCCCCTTGGCATCACCTTTGTCAAGTACATGACCCCCAACGCCCCTCACGACGACATGATTGAGCCTCAGCAGGAACACCCCTCTGGTCTCACCCAGGACCAGATTATGTAATGTCCTAGTAAATCCCGAGGTCGGCACATCTGCGCGCCTGCGCGCCTGCTCGCCGCCTGCACGTCATGATTGATTTCTGGGCTTCGAATGTCTCGGGTCATGAGCTCTTTGGCCTCTTCTTTCACTGCGCTTTTATTTTCTTTCGATGATTCCCTATTCCCATGCCGTTTCTTTGAGACTTTGATCTCAAAATGGGGATCCGGTGCCCGTTGGGCTGATCACCTCCGCTCTTTCTTTCTCTGTCTGGAATGGAAGAAAAAGCTTTCTGCGACTACTTGTTCGAGGATATTTTACTCCTGCTTTTCTGTTGATCTTAGTAGGTTTTCGTATCTGTATGTGTATGTGCGGAACGGTCAGTTCAATACGTATGAATGGCCTTGCGGTCAATGTATTTGCTTGCCTGAGTAGGGGGTTTTGACAACTCGTGCTGGTTGAAATTTCCTGAGACCATATATCTTTCTTATTCAAAAATATCGGGAAACAATGTAGGAGTAATAGTATGATATCCTTCGCGTCTTTTCCAAGCTCTCTATCTCACTCGGCCACGATATCTTTGATTCTCGGGGCTTACACCAGGCGTATGCCAGCCCGGAGACTCCAAATCCCAATCATTCATATTTCTATCCTCCTAAATTAACGTAAATCAGACCGAAGTGACCAGCGAATCAAGACAAGTCCACTCCTGATTTTCCCTTGACCTCACTCCCTTTGTCTCACCCCCTTTATCTCCCTAATCTCCGGGCTCAGTGTAGGTATTCGAAGGGCGAAATCATTTCGCGATGGTTCGACGAATTCAAATTGGACAGGAATGAGGTTCATCACTAGGTTGGCTCTATAGAGTGGCCATATGCTGATCTAGCACCATGGGAGTACCCAATTGTATACTTCGTTCTCGACGAATATCAATCTCGGCTTTGTCAGTGGTGAGATTGCGCGGAATTAGCGGAAGGGTGAGGGGAATATCTTCATCAGGCAACACATTTCTACCTTGATACTCAACTACTCACTATGGCCTCGTATGAAACTTCTACTCATGTCTTCAAGACTGCAGATGGACTATCTCTCGAAGTTGACATCTTGAAACCTTCAACGGCCCAGAAAGATAGTGTGGTCCTCCTCCATTTCCACGGCGGATTCCTAGTGAGCCCATGACCTTCCTGCAAATCAAACATGGAAATTCGACCTTGATTAGTGAGTCTGAACTGATCATTCAACTCCAGGCAATCGGCGAAAAAACAACATTTCCACCCCACTGGCTTATCAACGCCTGTCATCACCGGGGATGGATATACGCGACAGCTTCATATAGACTCCTCCCAGAAGCGAAGGGTTTAGATATTCTCCAAGACACACTTGATGCAACCAACTGGATCAACCAGAACATCAGCAGCAAAATCATTCTCGCTGGGTCCAGCGCCGGGGGATATCTAGCCCTCGCAACAGCCGCACATCCAAGCTGCCCTCGGCCCATCGCCGTCCTCGCCATCTACGGAATGCTCGACCCAGCAAGCGAGCGATATATCCAGCCTGGACAGCCTCTGATGGGACCAGTTGAGAACGAATCCGAAGCCCTAGGCGAGATCGATGCAGCCATGCAGAGTGGACAAGTGCTAGACGGATATGCATTCCCAGCGAGCCCACCAACCGATCAGAGAATCAAGTGGATTAGGACTTTGCACCAGACTGCACGGTACGCGGATGTTCTCACGCGGTGTCCGGGGCTAGCGCAGCGTATTGCTGAAGAAGGCACGAGTGCTATCCCCGAGGAATATCGGTCCTTGTTTCCTGTTAGCTTTGGTTTGACATCTAGTTTCCCGCCAACTGTTCTTTTGCATGGAGATCGTGATGGCTTGGTGGAATTTGATCAGAGTTCCATGGTGGCTGAGAAATTGAGGACTCTTGGTGTGGATCTTTGGTTTGAGAATGCTGTTGACCAGGATCATGGGTTTGAAACGAAAGAGGTTATAAACTTGGATGCTGGTGATTCAGTGGATGGTGATGCGGTGAATGAGTCTCTTCGAAGTGTTATTTCGGTTCTGGAGAAGCACGTCTCGTCAATTTAGTTCTTTGTCTAGTAGAACTGATGATCGATCAGTTCCTGGCATCACCTCATTACCTTCTCTTGATTTGATCTTTTGCACTAGCATATAGGATTAGAATACGTAGTTTTAAGTCATACAAACAAAGATCAGCAATTAGTTTCAGCCCTCTCCAGAGCCCAACATCGAATGTTCGACTTCCTATAGATCGGGTGCACAGACCACCCTCCTATCTCGAACATCTTCATTTTTGACCAACTTCGACCACACCACACACCACACAATGGCACACCTCGCACGCACTCTACCCAGAAGGGCACTGCCCAACCAACTCACGCCCTACCTGTGCAAAGCCCAAGCACTGAGTACAGCCACAATCCAACCAAAGTTTCAACGAACCCGCCGAACTCCGACACCAACGCCTAACCACCCAAAACCCTCCCTCTCCCAACTCAGAACCTACCACTCAACCTTGCACCCCCGCCTCCCAGACCATGAATACACAAATTCGCAAACAGCAATTCTAACCGCAGCCCTCGACCACGTCCCAGCCCACGGCTTCACCAGCACGGCATTGACACTCGGAGCCCGTGACGCCGGGTTCCTAGACGTGTCCGTGCAATTGCTCCCGCGCGGCGAATTCGACTTAATCCTCTTCTGGCTTGCCAGCCGACGAGGACTTTTGCGCGGCAAGGTCGAGGAGGGAGGTCTATTCCGGCGGATTGCAGCGGAGCAGGGCAAGGATGTCTATGAGCTTGGTGTTGAGGAACGGGTCCGCGGGTTGCTTTTGGAGAGGCTGAGAATGAATGACGAGGTCAGACATGTCTGGCAGGATGTGAGTATACCGTGCCCCTCTTTCTCACACTTTATTCGGATCCCGTTTCGATGATATGCTTTTTGTGTTGGAGTCGGGCTTTTGTACTAATCGGCAATTACAGGCTCTCGCGCAAATGTCGCTGTGGTCTAATATCCCTCTTTCCCTCACGGAACTGCATGCCCTTGCATCTGATATCCTTACTCTATCGGGTGATGCGTCTGTCGATGCAGCGTGGTATTCGCGCCGTGTGGCTGTATCGGCCATCTACGCTAGCGCTGAGGTCGTTATGACGCGCGATCCGACGCCTGATTTGTCGGAGACTGCTGCGTTTGTTGAGCGCCGGTTCGAGGATCGTCAGGCTATTGCTGATAAACTCACTGGTTTGGGTCAATGTGCTAGCTTTGGATGGAATACTGCTGTTGGACTTGGCCGCAGCTGGGGGTTGAAGATTTGAGGACATTCTTACATGTCACATTTCTAATGTTGTGTTCTTGAGAGCTCTTCTTTGATTGTGAGTCATGCTGTTGCAATAACAGCTTCGCTTATACGTTCAAGATGAGTTGTGTACTTTTAACTATTTCGGCTAATCCACCTGGTTTAGTCTTCCTCTCAGCTATCTTCCTCTCAGCTATCAATTGTATTTAATATTGCTGGACCTGTGAATTACTATATTCGGTTAGGTCCCCGTGACCCTATATCATGACATCTCCAACTTATACTTCGCCTTGCAGCGATCTAAATATCTGAATAACAACAAGCAAACAACGTTGAGTTTTCATCGGTCGTGATTCCTAAAGGTTGCCTATTTTACCTCCCTGCCTGCCGTCTCATTTCTTTTCCACTTCCCGCCCTACCTCCTCATCCACCATGGACTTCTGAGCTCTCGCCTTCTAAGTTCTCGTCCGTTGAATCCAAATCCGAGGATCCTATTACGCAGTTGGCGATATTCCTTGGAACACCGTCAACGAGCGCTTCAGCAAGACCAAACTTGGGATCAGTACCTCGTCTTCACGCAATGGGATTGGGAATACAGGACTCACTCCGTCTGCTGTTACATCGGCATACAAGTAGAGTCTACGGTTTACGGGCCCTGATCGATCTTTCGCTCATTCTACAGGAATCGCTCTACGCCCTGCAACAGGGTGTCCAACTGATATTCTCGAGCTCCGCCAACATTGGCCCGCTATTACTTTAGAGTAGTGCTAAACAGCCCACCCCAATGATTCATCCGATTCATTAAAATGCCAAGATTTGAGGTAAAATTTGCGGTAAAATTTGATGTAGATTCCAATACTCAAAAAGAGCTAAAATGCCGCTAGTGTATTAGTCAAATTTAATTATGGGAAGGGGTGGCTTTCTAGCACTACCCTTTCTTTACTACTCGGCGCCTCAATGACCTAGACACAATTAAAAAACGGCCGTTCTCACCCCCGTGGACTTGACTTTGGCCCTGTCTGTATACAGTGCTCACTAGTCTGGGGAAGAATCAGCGAGAACAGTCTATTGAATATCCTAGAGTCCAGTCATTACAGATTTCTTATACCAACAACTCTCCATATGATTGAAATGCCCTAATCAAAATACCAATCAAGACTAGATAGAGCGAAAGCACATCACATCCCATCATTCCCCGGAAGCAGAAAGTGCTACGTACCAAAACAAACCGGAAAGAAAAAAGCCGTAGACAAAGGGAGTATCTTGAAAAAGAAACGTAAGCACGCCAATGAAGAAATACGCTCAATGCAGAGAAACATTTTGAACCGCTTCTTCTACGCTGATAGGCGCAGCGTCCGCGGGGTCATTGTCGCCAGATTCGACTGGTGAGACCAGTAATGTTGGCGAGGTTGGCGAGAATGGATCTGAGAGAGGACTGCCTTCCTGAGATTGAGACTGGGACTGGGATTGGGATTGAGCAAGCTGTGTGGGCGCGGGAGTGCTGTCGCTTTCGAGTTCCTTGGATGGACTAACACTGCTGGCTCCGCTCTCAACGGAATCGCTTTGTCCATGCTGTGCTTTGCCGCGGCCCCAGCGTCGCGGGGTTGGAGGAAGAGGCGCTTGGCCATGTTTACCTGCTGCCGGTACCGGTGCTGGAGGACGGTGTTGACTGGGAATTGGTGTAGTGTGTGCTGAGCGGCGAGGTGGCGGGAGAGCTGGGGCCGGGTTTGAGGCTGAGCGGCGCGGCTGGGTACCTGTGGGCGCCAGGGCTGAGCCTGGGGCGGAGTCGCGGCGATCGGGGTGTGAGAGTGACGAGGGGATTGGGGAGCCTGGTGTATGTGTGGTTGTGGGGCTGACTTCTATGCCCTCGGGGATGGTGTAGCCATCGCTGCTTGTACCGGCTGAGTGATGTTGTTCCTCATCCACGGTCATACGGCGCCCGCGCCAGCGGCGAGATTTCGGAGGTTCGGGCTTGATCTTTGGTGGTCGGATTATTGGCGTCTCATCACTGAGAGCGGCGGCTGGGACACCATCTTTCCGGCTGGGAGTCATGATGCCTGGCTTTTCGTGCTGTGCTGCGACTGCCTGAACACTCAGCGAAGATACAGATGCAGGTTCTAGGTTCATTCCGAGTCGTTGTACTAGGCTGTGCTTCCGCGGTGCCTCGGAAGAGCCGCGAGAATCCACCCTCGTCGGCGATGCTGTATCTGATACACTAGCAACAGTGCTTGCGCGCGATATTGTGCGAGTGACTTCGAGTGATTCACCGATATCTGCGGGTGACTCGATTATGTCGGCAGGCGACTCGGAATGCTCAGCTTGATCAAGGACAGTTTGAATAGAAGTCGACATAACCTTGGTAGGTGTCTCTTGCGTGTCGGCTGAATCAGGCTGGTCAGTACTGCGTAGCCATTCGACCGTGGCACATCGACCGACAAGCCGGCGTGTCGTTTCATCAACCTCTTCGAAGTGCAGGATCTTCTCGTGTTCTGCGTCACTTCCATATGAAACTTGTCCGCGAACAAGAATACTAAGCAGCCTTCGAAGTTCATCCCGCTTGTAGTGCGGTGGATTTCTTAGCTGTGTGTGTGCTAGAAGGGGGTAAAGTACACGAAGATACGTATGTCGCAGCGCAGATGCTTCCTCGGGTAGGTCGAGTAGATTGCGGATTAAGATATCAACCAGAACATGCAAATCGTTGGTAAAGAAGTACTCATAGGTGTTTGGAGTAGTGAAAATCAGATACAGAAGCTTCAAAGTCAGTAGCTGTAATGATGTCTCGGCTGTATATCGTCAGTCATGTTATCAATCGAATATAAGAGGTCGACGTTACCCTCGCGGTTGATCAGAAGAATGATGTTCTCTCCAAAGGTTTTATAAAAGCCACCAAAAGCAGACAAGATTTTGATAACCTTGTTAGTCAGATGTGCCGAAGGGCGATCATCGATAGGATCATGAGCCGAAATCATGAACTGCTCATTCAACACCAGCTGCGCAAGCCATTAGTATCAGGCCCGAGACAGGCGTATAGGGAGCAACTCACAAGCACTCGAATGACGGGGTAATGGTACGGGTCAGTAACATCATAAGAAAGATCCTCAATGATATCAAAAAGACACCGAATAAAGTCGTCATCCACAAGAACTGCAACAAAGTCCAGAAATCAGCCACCTGTCCACATCACCAAAACTACCATCACCATAAAATTCATGGGTATAGGTATAGGTATAGGTATCCAACGCACCCAAATCTTCAATCTTGACCCTCTGGATCCTGGACATCTCATAGATAAGATCCATCAACAGGCGATGTAACCCAGCATCACCATCCATATCGGCCCTCCGCATGGCCTGAATGAGCTCGAGAAGACGCGCAAACGCGCCTTCCTCATTCAGCATTCGAAGAACGATTTCATTTTGCCGCCCATCGAAGAGAATGAATGAGGCAAGGAAGTGGAGGGTTGTCGGGTCATCTTCTTGCAAGAGGCCGTAGATAATCTGGCGTCTAACATAGTCGGCGTGTGTGGCGAAGATGCTCGATGCGAAGAGTTTGTAGGAACAGCGCGAAATATCTGTTTCTGTTTGAAGGTATTCATCTGAGGGGATGGTGTTAGTGTTGTTACATCGGGGGGAAGGCCGAACGCCGTGCGGTCAGGGTGAGGGAGGTTCTTAGTGGGAGTGTTTGGAAGGGGATTCGTATGATGTCTCGCATCTCGATGCTTTGACTCAACGGGACTGGGTACCTTTGTGTTGAGCCGTTAGACTCAGGTAGGCTCGGAGGGCGTCGTCGATCGAATCTTCGGAGTCGCAGGGCTTGGAGACGATCGTTTGGAGTTCTGCGAGTCAATTGTCAGGTTGCGTGTCTGGAAATGCAGACATGTCTTGAGTTGGATGAAACACTTACCAGTCCAGAACTCAGTCTCCGAGACCTCAGGCTCCATTTCCCGTCAGACTGCTCATCCCGCGACGTGCGAGTTGGAGAGTTGAAGGCGGGTGGGGGAATTTAGTCCCACTGCGGGTCAACCCTACGCACTTTTCCTACTTTCTATACAACAGCACAACAACACAACAGGACAACAGGAGGAATTATTACGAACTCTCATTGGTATCAATATATAAAATCTAAGTGCAATTATGAAGGGCGCAGGAACGGGTGCGCTTCGGTATTCCTGTGAATCGGTCAGTTGGGGTTCACTGTGTTTACGGCTACGTCACTTACAGGACATATTTGTCCAAATCCACCACGCTCGTATCGCTGAAGAGCAGATAAAAGTACTTCAGCGTCTCTGCGAGCCAGAAAGACTCCATGGTGTCCATCTGGGTGGGCTTTTGGGCGGTGACATCGTGGATGCCTGCGTGGGCGTGATCCGTCCGCGTGTGTTTGATGATGGCCTCGAACATCTGCCATCCCTTCTTGCGCCAGGACTCGTCGCCAGTCAGTCGGTACATAATGAAGACAGACTCGATCGCCTCAGGCCGAAGAATGTATTTGGGCGACGGAATACTGATCATGCCAGCAGGGAGATGATCCTTGCCAACGGACGCCTGGGGTGAATCAGGCGAGGGAGACGAACGAGGCGCGTCTCGATTCTCCAAGCCAGCTACTTCGGGAGATGGAGTCGGGCTTGAGCTAGAAGAGACAGCTGAAGCCGAGGATGAGTATTGATTACCGCGCTTCTCAATAACTCCGCTGTCGTGAGGATTCAACGAGCCGGGCATGGCCATGGGAATGGTCTTGCCAGTAGGATCTCGTGAGTCTTCCAGCATGCCCATCTTGATGCGCTCAGAATAGGTGCTCTCTCCATTGCGATACTGGGGTTTTGCGGCATAATCAAGAGGCGAATAACGTGCCACACCGGCATCAAAAGTGGCCTGGTCCCACTCACATGCCGATCCCTTTTGACAGGATAGAAGACGGAATCTTTCTGGCATGATTCCAGTCTGTGTGGCCTCGTAAGCCCATACACATCCGTCAGTGAGCTTGGCTGCAAGCTCCAAATCACCCTCGATTCCAAATGCCTTGGCTCCCAGGGCGAACATTCCACCGACGAAACAAGTGAGATGGGTGCCTTCATATTCAAGATCCGTAATATCGGTAGCCTTTCCAGGTACCGGTGAAATAGAAGCTGTGAACCGAATATCCCATTTGCCTTGGACCATAGGTTGGAATATGAGATGTTTGCGGGTTGCAGCAGCCGCTTTGGTGTACATTGTCTTGTACTGTTCCAGGCCACCTAACAGTAGGTACTCCTTGGGCAGGTACTCGTAGGTTGAGTCTGCCATTGCTCCCATGGTGAACTTGTTTTCACGGGATGAAATGGGGAATTCCAGGCCACCATTGCATTGATTTGCAAGATTGGACTGTTGCTGACGCGCCTCAATGGGCAAATTGGCAGCAGAAGTACCATTGGCAAGTTGAACGGGTTCCTCGGAATCAATCTCAATATCACGCGAGATCAACTTCTTGTAGCTCTCAATATCTGTCGGCGCAACATAGGGTCTGCGGGTTTTTGTCGCAGAGCTCTTCTTCGTTGAAGCAGGATGCTCCTCGCGCGTAGGGCTGCTACTGCGCTGGTTATATTTAGTACATCCCTGCGCATTGACACGAAGAGGCCACAGTCCTGGAATGGTGCTTTTATCTTGGATCTTCTCCAATTCATTTGTGATCCGTGCAATTGCATCATAGTACTTATCCTGTTGGGTCAATTGAGCCAATCGAGTGAATTCCAAAGAAAGCGATCCGATTTCAGCCAGACCAGCTCGGCCAGAGGCCCGATGACGTTTTGCAACAAATTCTCTGCTATGTGTCAGTAGTATACCAGAGTTGGAATCGATATAAACTTACGGGGCCCATTTGTAGTAAAGTTGTGGCATGCGATTCGGGGTATCAAAGGCACCAATGAGAATCTCAGCGAGCTCCTCGGCCTTTTCCAAGAGAATTGCATAACGATGACCAGAGATATCATAAGCACCGAGAAGTCCACCAAGATAACGAATGGTAGTCTCAAAGACCGGGATATCACCCCTGGACGAAGTCTTGAAATCGATTTTCTTGATGGCATCTACAGCCTCAGTGAACTCTTCCTTCAACTCCATGATCCAAAGCGTATCAAGAGAATCAACCAACGTCGCACCCCAACCATTGAACGGGTCTTCGACCTGCTTCGACAAGGGCTTGATTTCATCATGCCCCATGGCGGTCGTCTTGTACCCCTGCCAAGCATGCTTGAACTCAGCCTTGATGGTGCTCAGTCGCTGCAAACGCTCCTGCTTATTGTAGCTGGACTCGTCTTTAAATTTAGCCTGGAGCTTGGGAATCTTCGACCGCTCCTTGGGTAGCTTGATTGTTTCACTCGCTGAGATGGGGAACTGCTCAGGGAATTTCTTCCAACGAGTTCCGATAGCAGGGCGCTCGACTGAGTGTCTTCCAGCACCTCCGTTGTCCAACTCCTCCTGAATGCCGAGGGAATCTTCTGTTGTTGGGGGCGGCAATCTACCAGCACCACCCACCGGCGCGGGGTCCTTCGAACCCTCCTTGCTGGGGGCGTCGGCTGGCGCAGCCACTTTTTCTTTGGTGGCATCCTTTAATCCGCTGCTGGGACCGACAGGAGACCCTATCTTTGAGTCGGAGGAGCCGCGGTTAGGTTCCGGGATGACATATTTGTCGCTCTCCTCGATGGCGGCAGCGGCGGCTGGGTTGTCGGGTTTCGGGGCTTTGAATTGGTCTTGGTCTGGGAAGGCAGCGGCAGGATCGGGGGGATGGATGCCGACAGGCTGTTCAATTGACGAGTCGCTCCAGTCGCGTGAACGGGCGAAGTGGATGAAGGTTAGGAGGATCGCCGCAGCGAAGATGATCAGAACTCGATATCGACGAGCTCGAAACATGGCGACCGTCCCTGACAGAATTGAAGCGAAGGAAGTGAGAACATGTAGAGAGGAAAAGGGAAAACACGAGGCGAATCCAGATGCAATCACGAGACTAGATCCACTTGAGCTCTCGATCTATTTCTGTCGCGGGGTCCTTTCTTGCCAGTGCCAACCGACTACCTCTTTGTATGATTCCCGGATGAGATTCCCATTCTTCTTTCGTTTATTTGATTCCCTCAAGAGAATTTCCCCTGTTACCATTTACCAGCCAAAGACCCTGGAAAACAGCGGGTTCCCGGACCCCCGAAACACAAGTGGAGAAACTCGCCCATGCGCCAGAATCCGGGGCCAATGATCGGCGTCTGCCAGCCCTGCTAATTGCGCTCTAAAGGCACTTGGGAGGTTTTATGCAGGCGATCCGCAAGGGTCTTTTATTCGGCCTATCAGGTTGGGCTATTTCCGCCAACGAATTTCGAGGGGTGATAGCCCTTAGCCGAGACAGATACAATTGGGCCGAGAATGCCAAACATGTGCTTGGGGTTGATATATCATGAAGAATTGGAGGCGATTTGAAGTGTGGAGTCATGCCAGAGGCATCATTTCTGACATTGCCTCTTCTTCCGTATTGAAGCCAAGTTACTCAAGGTAAACAACCCAGTTCTATATGATCACGTGATGTCATGTTGCGCTGTCCAGTTCGCTTTCCCTAGTAAGTTTGGGTTCGGTTGAGAGCTTTTAGCATTGACAGGTGTTCGCGCAAGCGTCAATGCTACCTTGAACGTGGCTCAAATACAAAACATGAGGTACTAGGGGGTAGAATCTGCCGCGAGCGCAATAGACCTTCGAATCTGGAATCAAAAACATGCATTAAGGGCAATTGATAACAACCTAATATCCTCGAAATACTGTGAAGTGGCAATCTCGGTCTGTTATTCCGTGTGAATGACGAAAGTGCTCTAAATGTTCACGTTCGAGCAGGCTTGCCAGCGCCACCCAGAATCCGGAAATCATTAATCATCATATACTTCAATGACATTCCACCTGCAGCAACTATAAATGATCCACAGTGTTCTCAAAATCTACTAATTTACTGACTATAAGGATCAAAATTGACCCTTGATTCCTCCATAACTGTTCTGATGGACGACTTTAAGCAGCTTTGTCGCCAGAATGGATACAATGAATTTCAAAGAAAGGATTACACCGATGAGACCACCATTCGGTAACGCTAAGATCCAGCCTCTCGTAGTTCTCGACTAACTCAATGGATCGCAGTCGATTTCTTCGCGCGCAGCGAAACGATGTTCATGCTGCCTTCCGCCAGTTCCAAGAAAGTCAAAAATGGCGCAGAGCACATGATATCCGAGGTTTCTACGAAGGCTTAGATGTCAATGCCTATGATGAAACCCGGAAAATGGTACGCCGATCCATAAAATCAACAATTCATGCCTCCAGATCAGAGCATTGACAGGAGCAGAATCCGCAATGGACAGGACGACGAGACCGTGACGGCCGACCAATCTACGTGTATCAAGTACGCGAAATAACCAAGAATAAGTTAGATGGGTATTTCAAGATGCTAGAGAGGGCTCAAAGACCACCAAACCATTCCAAGCCAGATGTACCAATTCACATACTTCACTTCCATGCGCTGTATGAGAATCTGTTGCAGTTCACTTTTCCTTTGGCGTCTGAGCTGCCACGACCAGACCCGGAACATGAAACCGCCGCCTCGACTCATATCGTCGATATCAGCAATGTTAGCCTTGTTCAATTCTGGAATATTCGGAGGTATTTGCAGGATGCTAGTCGCATTGGAACGGACTTTTATCCTGAGACTCTAGCGAGGGTATTTGTAAGTATAATATCTCCGGTGGTTTCGTTTTCATCACGGCACTATTGTCTTGCAACTGTAGGTTATATGAGCTAATTGCATGGTTGTTTCATTCCAGGTTGTCGGTGCCCCTGTCTTCTTCAGAACGATATGGGATGTAGCAAGTCAGTGGTTTGCGCCAGATACCCGATCCCGAATCTCCATTGTCTCATCGTCGGACTTGAAACCTTCTCTGTTATCTCAGATTGATGCCACGGATCTGCCTCAGGAATACGGTGGAGAGATCGAGTGGCAGTGGGGAGATCCACCAAATTTGGATAGCCCGACGAAAAAGTTGGTTGATGAGCTATACCATAAGTCCGAGCGAGATGAAGTGTTTTCCAAGGGCCCTATTATCTATGAGGATGGCTGCATCCGATTGCTAGGATCCGAGGATGGTTCACCACGAAGGAACTCTTTCTGTCATAATCAGAATTATCATCGTGACTGTCAAGAGTGAGACTTAGGTGTGGTATTTTATGCTTGATTAGCTGCATACAATGTGTTCAAAGCGCAGATCACTGTAAGTAGAAGAACAAAATATCGTTGTGGCTCAACTTCACTTTGAAAGATTCCTCGGCATCATAAATGCGCAGAAGTAAAGCAATTCATTAACAATGTTCTAATGAGAGCGCAACCATTCTGAAAAATCAAGTCCAGATGATTTTTGGGATACCGAATTCTCAAGTAAATCCAATTCTGCATTACCAAAAATATTATTGGTAGAAGTCTGCAAGACATTTCGTTTCGTGGATGACAGGTCATTGCGAGACGAGCCTTGATCCGCACCATGTCTGGTTGACTGGCGCACAGCAGCAAAAAGACGATTGAGAACTGCGACAAAGGATTGGGACAAAGTGTCACCTTCAACAGAAAGATATTCCATGGCAGATTTAGCTCTTTCAACGTCCTGGATATAAGATATCGATTTGGGCGATGACGGATCGCCTTTAATAAGAATGACTGGGACAAGCAGAGCATGAAACAAGGAGTACCTACAGTTGTAAAAGTAAGTTATGGAGAGCCATCTATATTGACAGGGGTGAGCAACGGAGAGCAGAACACAACGTACAAGGTAAAAGCAAGAGTCATCTTGTCATAGGACCCCTCCACGATAGATTCTGCAATGTAATCAATTGTGTCGCGCGCGATAGCGAGGCCCGCTGCATTGCATTGTGCCTCGGCGGTGTGTTCTTCTGTTGGAAGTGCACTGTCCTTGTAGATGTGCGTTTGCTGCACCCATCGCAGTAAAAGTGGCCTGTGAATCAGAAGACGCAAACTTTGATCGCATAGGTATTGACGACGCCAAGCAGTCAATTTCCATTGCTCCATGGATCCATTAACCAACTGGGCGCATGCAAGTGGATTGTTAGTATGCCAATTTTGTATCATTTCCTCGAATATATGCACCAGTTGCGGCGTAACACTTGTGCTGGACAGAGCGCGGCGGTAGATCTTATTTGCCATGCGATGGTAGCTCGACTGTTGTATCAGCCCTGAGTATATGGTATGATCGTCCGTCGGTGTGAAGAACGATGATGTGGATGAAACAGGATTCTAGTATAGGGCACTGAGCACCGTTCTGTGGACTTGACTTGACTGGACGAGAAAAGACAAACCTGATCATGAGTATTTGTGACGGGTCTGGCCGTTATTAGTCCATCCTCAGGAAGTACAAGTGGGCGTCCGTATATTTTGGCTGAGCAGCTCTCTGCACAATACGTGGCCCACCACACGCGGCGTCGTATCTCCCGATCAAGGGTTGTCAGACCTGGATCTACAGATTCAACGTGCAAGTTGAGAGAAACTGCCTTACGAACAGCAGTGGCAATATAGTGCCAGTTCTCCTCCGGATGTCCCTGCTTTTGGGCAAAGTCACTCAGAAGCAGTAGCGCCTGAACCATAGTGATGCTTGCACTGTCAGATAATGGAATTTGCCCAAAATCATGCTGTGCTTTCCTATAATATTGCACCGCCGAATTGCTGTGGTGCCCAGGGGCTAGCCAGGAGCCAAAGGCAAGAACCATATTTGCGAGAACTGACTGTGGCGAAGGGCTAAACGATCCATGATGGAGTTCCAGCTTGAATGTTGCCTCGTGCACGAATGGATAGAGTTTGTGATAGTGTGAGAAAAAAGAGTCGACAAGGTTGCTCTCCTGCTCTACTGACTCCACGCCATGATTAAACAGCTCATCTTTGTCTGGGAAATATTCAAGGGATATGGTTTGCCCCTCAGATCCCAATCCGAGCAAATCGTAATCCGTGTTGACCACAGACAATGACTGGGAGTCGACGAACGTATTGTCCAGTGTCCTAGCGTCTGGCTCCAGCGAGTCATCCAGTGAGGCTTCATTAGTGTCGATGAATGATTGAATCAAAGAGTTCTGGCCTGTGGGTGAATCATCGGCAAGCAAAGAGCGGGTAATGTCGTCTAGTTCACCACTGGGGAATAACTTTTCAAGTGCATTCTCCAGCATTTGCAGCCGGTTTTCAACTCTAGTGAGGTTCCTGTATATGTCAGCCAGACAAGTTATGACACAATTCATCCATCAAAGAGAGAGAACGCACTCTCGTGTCAGTGGGCTCCGGCGAGTTTTGGATGAGTAGATGCATTCCCTGTTGCTCCGTGAACATTGCACGCACGTTGGGCGCGTTTTTGAACACTGGAGAAAGAGTCAGCTCTCCGTCAGAAAAGGCCAAGACTAGCTTTACAACCTTTGCTTTGCGAAGACGACATTCTAAGCACTATAACGTTACATTCTATCAGTCTGCGCTCCAGAATCGACATGGATCTTTACACAAGACGTACCGCAGGAACATGAGAGTTCCGCCCCAGACCTAACTCATGCGACATTCTGATATGAACCGTTTAACTCGAAACATCAAAGATCCTCGAGCAATTGAAACTAACTTACAAGTTGAACTGGCTGAAGTTGAAAAACTTTGGCGCCACATTTAGTAAGCATCAGTCACCCTCCAGGCTACCTTGGAAGGTTGAGGATCGACACAGCTTTCTGCTCAGGTTGGGATTTCCTTGAAATCGTATGTTACATCTATTGAAACAAACTCGCTATATACAGACTCACACAGGAGTCTCGGCCTGGAACTGTTCGCTGAAAGGGTAATCAATATAGCCCTCCGACATTTGTCCATACATCGTCGCCGGATCCAAAGACGCGAGGGGAAGACCATGCTTGACCCGGAACACCAAGTCAGGGTTTGAGATGTAGGGACGACCAAAACTCACAGCAACGTCATAGTCTTTATACGTGATGTCCACAGCCTTGCGAGCTGATTCCCCATCATATCCCCCCGCCACCAAAATAGGGCTCGCATCGCCGTAGGCCTGGAGCAACCAATCGATAGTCTCCTTGGGCTCTCCCTCTGACTCGCAAACATGCAAATATGCCAGCTTTAATTCCGCAAGTCGTTGGGCCACATCTGAGAATTGAGAAACAGGGTCTTCCATGCGCATTCCTTGATATTGACTCCAGGGACTCAACCGAATCGCCGTGCGATCATTGCCAATTGCCTTGACCACCGAGTTGGTCACTTCCACAGCAAGTCTGGATCTGTTCTCGACACTACCACCCCACTTATCGGTCCGTTTGTTGGAAACATCTTGGAGGAATTGATCGATCAAATATCCATTCGCACCATGTATCTCCACGCCATCAAAACCAGCCGTCATGGCCTTTTCCGACGCGGCTGCAAAATCCGAAATGGCATCTTGGATACCTGATTCTGTCATTGGAACAGGGTAGTGCATCTCGTCCCCGAACATACTCTTCATCGGAACATCGCTGGCAGAAACCAGTTCGTGACCGGCTTGCGCCATGAAGCCAGGATTTGCCGCACGGCCCAGAGCCCAGAGCTGCAGAAAAATATGGGATCCCTTGTCGTGGACTGCCTTGGTGATTTCCTTCCACGACGCTATTTGTTTGTCGTTGAATATCCCGGGGACGTTGCTATAGCCACCATGTCTAGGACTGATGACGGTAGCTTCAGCGATGAGGAGAGATCCCGGTACACTGGCACGTTGCTGATAATATTCTTTGACCGATGGCAAGAGAAGATGAGAAGTATCGGCTCGAAGGCGAGTCATCGGGGCCATAGCCATGCGCTGGTTCAGCGTCAGGCGTCCGACCTTAAGAGGCGTCAATAACTTCGACATGGCTGCAAGCGTCCTTGAGAGCAAAAGAGAGTACAACTGATTATAAATGTTTCGAACAAAATGAAATCACGCAAATCCTTGAAACTGTTCTTTATAGTAGTTTATATAACATTTCTAGCCTCGCATAGGACCGAGCCTCCGAATGGAAAATGCAGAAATCCCACTTATTCCGCCCCTTTCCTCTAGGTAATGACCAGAGAGATTCCTCCGTTCACGATTATACATACCATCTCGGCTGTTCGGAGCCGCGAAGCAGTCCGATATCTCCACTTTAGCCGGAGTAGAGTCAACCGGCGCTGTGATTGGCTCGGTAGCCGTGATCCGGCGCATGAGGCTAGCAGAGGCGCGTACTATAGACGATAGTTTGCGCATATGCAGGCGATAGTCTATAATACTGGCTTATTTGGACCATGATCGAAAAAGAAGCAAATGCAGTTCGAGTTCTTTGTTCGATTCAGACCTCGAGACAAAGATCGGACAAGGTATCTTGTCCGCCTTGCTATGGCGAGCAAACTTGCTCATCTTGTCGTGAACTGCCCCCTATTGCGAATCATTAAGGATGCTATTCACAGTCCTCAGAGACAGCTATTCAATCAAATCACAGAAAACTTTTCCCATGTCTACGGTGTGAGACCTAAGCTCTAGCGTCTGGGGCTTATTCAGAGCTCAAGTGCCTAGGAGAAACAGAGGAATTTTCAAAAATCATGATTCTATATAAGCCGGTAAATATAACGATCAAGGACAAGGCCAATTGAGAAACCAGAAATGCAGAGACAAATGCAAAGCGCACACATAGCCACCTACAGCCAATCTCCAGAATCAAGACACGACGTGGTGCGGAACTAAATGCCCACAGTTGTGCGGCGGCCATCAGTATTAGCCTTCTGAAACTGCTGGATCAAACCCAAAACACCAGCCCCACCAGCGATAGCATCGAGATTCTCGCCCTCATCGCCTTCATCGGCTTCATCCTCATCCTTCCCGAGCGGATTCATACGCCATGAATCGCCTAGGCTATCACTAGCGCCTGCGCCACCACTAGAGGCACCAGCGTGAGGAACAGATTGTCGAGTAGCTGACCCAGGGCTTTCTTGGGAGAGTGGATCCTCGTCATCGATGGAATTGGCAGTTGGAAGTTGTGAGCGCGCCAGTCGGGTTCGCTGATGCTGGCTGGGATTGGAACGCGGCGCTGGGCGGAATCCAGAGGTAGAGGGTTGGTGGTGAGGGTCGAGGAGCATAGAAGGGGCTGGGGAGCGGGAATCCACGCCCATCGGTCGGAATCTAGAGGCTCCGACGAGGGATTGGGGGCCGAAGGCTGCGGCTGAAGTGGGCGCGGGGCGTGTTTGAAGATCCCGGGGAGCGCTAAAGTCAGCCGCAGAGGCTGAGTCAAGGGTTGGGAGGGTTGGAGGTGGATGGAATTGGCGACGATTGGTTGGTTGCGGGTTTGCACCATAGTTATCTAGGAAGCCATAGTAGGATGCGAGCATTTTGCCGTCTTTGGTGGAGAAGTAATCGGTGCGTAGGTCTTGTTTGGTTGGATCTCGTCGTCCTGGTGCGGCTTGGGAGAGGACATTTGTGCCTTTCTTGAAATCAAAGACTGCGAAGGAGCAGAGATAACCTACACCATCGACGTGTACAGTAAATTCTCGGAAGAAGTCAATGATGCGGTCACTGCATTTGGGCAGGGTAAACCATAGGACAAAAGGAGTAAATATCATGCTGAGTATTTCTTCTAGGAAGATGACGATCTTCAATTGATAGAGAATTGCGAATTCTTTGCGTACGTCGTCGCTATGCAAGCGTCCTTTCCATCCTGATGGGAAGTAATGTGTGAAATCGATTAGCTCGAGGAGGGCAAATTCTGGGTCAAAGACATCGGTCTCTTCCGGCGCGAGGCCTCGGGCAAAAGCCCAAACCGTACCAAAAATCCCAAGATAGAAAAGAACAGTCCGGTCAGGTGTTAATTCAAATCCAAGGAACAGCTCTGGGTCTATCACCGATGCGAGAGCTAGTACTGAAGCAAGAGCCCCAGAGACGAAGGCGACGAATCGCGCCACTTGAACCGTCTTATCCTTAGGGAACTGGTCAACATAGCGACTGGCGAATGGGTAAGACATGTTGGTGCGACGTTCAAAAATATGCCAGAGCTCGTTGAACTCGCGGAACTTCCATTCCGCCATGGGTGTGTATTGACGGGAGCCAATTTGACCAGGGTTCTTCTTGAACTCGTTGAAGTAACGGAAGAAATAGTGCATCATGAAGTAGACCACAATGAATGGAGCTACAAAAATATTCATGATACCAGCAATGACAAAGCGACGACGCAAGCTGTCGCTCAATAGCCTGCGGTGGGTATCCTTGAGAAACAAGGTGCGCAGTTGACCTTGCTCGTTGAAAACGAAATCCATAATACACAGGTTAAGATTCCACTCCATGGTCCGGGAAAAGAGCTGCCGATTTTTAAGGAATGGTATTGGGAGGGTGAGATCCAAAACGTCCTTGTTTACCAAGGCGATCATATAGTTCTCTTTCCGCATCAGGCGATTGGCAATGTCGTGAGCATCCATTCGTTGTTTCGACTGACTACCTAAGAATCTGCGGTGCTGGGCAGAGACAGCAGCCGCTGTAGCGGGGTTCAAGTCCCTCAAGGTCATTAGTCGGCTCACCACCTCTTGCCATGAAATTGTCTGTACTTCTGCGTCAGAAACCCCAAGTAGGTGGTAATAGAAATCATGTAGCTGTTTGAGCCTGCGAATATCCAGCAAGTACTGGAAAAGTTTCCCAATCCAGAAGAAACTGAATAGCCATAGCAAAAACGTGGATGAACTAGACATTTTTGCTGTGCACTGAGGTACAAGAATATCGTCCAGAGACTTGCTCCCTCGAACCTTAGGGTAATCGATGCAGTTCATCAAAAAGGTTGAGAACCCAACAACGAATGCAAATGTCCTAGGATCGAGTTAGTCTTAGTTGCTACCTGGGTGGGATCATCCACATACAGAAGATTCAATACCCTAGTAAGTAGAATAGACCAGATGCCGTTTCCTAAAAAGTATGTATAAACATCTTTGAGGAAATTGTCCAGATCCTCGACATTTGCCCACCGCCACATTGCTTTTTTCTTAGGGTCAACATTTGCAAGGGCCGGATGTTGCCCCGCAAACAACCTGCCTAATGTGTGACCAGCATAATTCTGGGATGGCGGAGGAGCTCTTTGCTCGTTCCAGCGGGCTCGGTTGGGCGGAGACGGACCGGGACTGGCAGGCCGTTGATCCGAACGATTATGGGACCGGGGAGGCGGCGGCAACCGTGATTTTGCATCTTCGTGGTTTTCTTCCACCAACAGTGAATGAGGAACATCTTCATCGTTATCATCAAGCTCATATCCCGGAGATGAGTCAGGTGCCATCCATCTCGGCCTCGATGGCTTGCGACGGCGTGTGGCCGGTGGAGATGCTCGTTCTTTGGGTGGCTTCCGTGACCGCCCTGGGCTCAAAAGAGCACTGGGACTGGTGATTTCACTGTCCCTTGCATCTGCCAGTGCCTCCTCCAGCTCCCGGTCACTAAAGTGTTCTTGTGGATCCTCCATGGTGAGGCCAGCGCGCTCCTCGATATCGGAGGATTCAGAGCCCGCATCTTGTTGCCTCAACGTCTCATAGACAGAGGGTGAACCGGTAGGTGGCAGGAACCGCGAGAGTATGTTAGAGGACATCATCTTGGATCAGACTGAAGCTTGAAGTACACTCATCCCACTGGCATCAGATGCCAGTGATTGTCGTAATGAAGTGCCATCCAGCGATAAGAGATAGAGGTCAACAGGAGAGGCGGAGAGCAGATGCGACAGATGCGACAGAGGCAACAGAGACAGGCAGTGGAGTGTTCACGTTCAGCGATCACGTTACCAGGTGATCAAGTCAGGAGCTCAGATCAGCTGCCTCAGGGTGTACCTGGTGATGACATAAAGGGAGATCCTCCGCCTGAGGCAGCCTTGCTGACTCACCTGCGGGGGAATCTGGGCAAATGTTTAGATTCGACGATTTCCTTGTTCGCTTGCTCGCTTGTTCACTGACGTGCTTGATCTCTCGATGTTCGTCGGGCATCTGATCTGCCACCGACCTTCAGACTCTTCTAGTACCTTATATCCATATTCTATCCATAGTTCTGCCCGATCTGGGGGACATCTCCGATTCTCCCCAATTGCCAGAGCGCCTCAATGGCTCCACTTTCGGAGATTTCTTCCAAGACTTTGAGCCTGTTGAACAGAATCTAGTACTTTGGACACCCGCCAACCCTCAAATGGCGGTGTTTTATGATTTGCTCCTCTATCTATAGAGGCAAAAGATGAAACCAGGCTGCAATAGGGTTAGATCGTCAAGCCATGTCCTCTCATGATTCAGGATGATATCCCCCAATTCGACCAGCACAACAGGGAGCTAGTCAGGCCAATATCTTCACCATTCTCGGCAATTTAAGCCTGCAGTAGGGGCTGAAGTATAATTCGAGGTCTCGAGTCCGCGAAAGAGAAAAGCCTCTGATGAGGTCAATCTTCCCCCCGATAGGAAATAGTACTCGGTAGTTTCGGTAAAGCGTCAAAGTCAAACTTATAAATCCAACAGTCCAAGAGGATCAGAAAGGTGTGAAGGGTGAACCGAGTGTAGTCAATGTTCCGGTCAAATTAGTTGAATCCATTTGAATTGGAGGAAAGTAGAAGTTCTTGTTCCCCTTGACCAACTCGGGCTTTCTCAGCTTTCTCAGCGTTCGCAGCTTATCCACTCCCACTCCCCCTCCTCTTTTGAGGGCATCTCCAGCTTCTTACCCTTGTCAACCTCCCCCCCCACCCTCTTCACCCTTTGTCCCCTCCCATATGGGATCGACAATTTCATGGTTTTCTGTCTGATGAAAGGTTGAAAGGTAGTGCTTTCGTTCCCTTGATGATATTCCCATTCGCCCGGTTCACTTCCTCGGTCCACACCCGCATCACCACTTCATTACTACTTTACTATATGTACTCTTGCTATCTACAGGATTGAACGCTCACCGCATTCGCTAGGTTCTCCTGCATCTTTCCATACACACGCCCCCCTTCGTTCTATCCATTGCTCTCCCCCCCCCCCCCCCCCTCCTCTTCCTCCTTCCTTCCCTCCCACCCCCTGCCGAACCTCGACCGAATGTGCGACCCCGATACTCCTCTCATCGGACTCCATGTGGTCTCATAGCACAAATTTGGACCTCCAATTATACCGTGCCGACGTGTCAAGGTCTACTCACCGAGTGTTGGGCTCGATTAGGATCTCTCTTCTTTTCCCTGCCTTACATTGAACGGGTTTCATTTTCGTTTGTACGTCGCCTGGAAGGGGCCGCAGAACCCCAAACGAAATGGAGCCCGATCCGAACGCGTTCAAGCGGAGCTCAATACATCAAGCATTATATAGTCGCCCGGTCGAACGACGCGCCAGCAAGAAATCCTCATCCAGAGATCGACATGGGATGGTCTATCCCGACAGTTTCCGAGAAACCACGATCCGAACTGTGACGCCAGAGTCGCACTCCCCCGCTACCCATTCCCCCCTATCCGAGCCCGAACCTTTCGCGAGCGGCGGCACCTCATCCCCGCAAAGCACTGTGCGATCGCGGCCCACCGAGCCTGAACGGCGTCGGGAGTTGAGCAAATATTCGTCTGGAGGAGGCGACGAAGATATACCACCAGAGGGAAGAAGCCAGCGGGCGCGATCACGAACAACGGCGGCGGAGGAACAACGAAACGAGACCACCCCCAGCTCCTTCAAAACTCGCACACGAATCGGATCAATCAACACAGCTGGCTCATCATCGCCAAAATTGTCTGAGGATTCATCAAATTCGATCGGGTTTCCGTCAATTCAATCAAGGCAATATTCCAGCCAGTCGGTCCCGCGTCAGCGATCAAGCAAAACCGTGACTGGAATTGCAGACAGCCAGGATTCTTTCGCCTCCCCTCTTTCAAGCTCTGAAGCCACGAAAATCCTACAATTGATGAAAACTACTTGTGGGAGGATGCATGGGATCCTGTCCTTTCGAACCGCCTCAACCACTTCGTGGACCTCCGGGTACTGTGCTATCAATGTCGCTACTGGAAGTCTGATCTATCAAGCGAAAGGAGAACCCGCATTGGCCAAGACGCTGATTCCTGATTTGCGTGGCTGTCGAGTTCGAACATTGTTCGACCCTGAGCTTCAGACTACTTATCTAAGCGTCCACACATTTACCTCCGGGCTTGGGATACAACTACGCCCCCACGTTAAGGAAACTTTTGATTCATGGCTTGCAGCCCTGCTCTGCTGGCAACCTATCCGACCTAAGGGTGTCCAAAACAAAATGACCAAGCCTCAAGAGGTCGTCATTGGAGACCGCCGAATCCCTGAACGTCGGCGCAATTCGGAAAGCGCTGCTCAAAAGGACGCAACTATTATCAAAGTTGGCAAAATGCTTTTATGGGATAGACCCTCTGCCTCTGGTGCAATGCCGATATCTGGACGCCGAGTGTCTACGTATCGACAGTCAAGGGCATTGTCTTCCTCGTGGCAGAAAGTCAGTTGCACCCTACAAGAGAATGGATTTTTCAAACTTTACACTGAGACCGATGTGTCTCTCTTGGCATGCGTTCAGCTGTCTCAATTGTCTCGCTGTGCCATCCAGCAGTTGAACTCCTCTGTCCTCGATGATGAATTTTGTGTCGCGATTTACCCGCAGTATGCGGCACATCCAGTACCAGACTCAAACGTTCGTCCGATATACCTTGCCCTGGAAAGCCGTGTACTTTTCGAGGTGTGGTTTGTCCTTTTGCGCGCCTTCACGATTCCAGAGCTCTATGGGCCTGCATCAAAAATCGAAGATCCCAACAAGACCCCAGAAGCCGATGCCCCCGCGACTCCCCTACTCAAAGACATGTTCCGGATTGAACGATTTTTAAATTTAAAGATTGTCGAGGCCAAACTGATCCGCGCCAAAGAGGAGGAAACCCCTCGAAGCCGAAAAGCATCAAGATCCCATGGTCATGGTCACCACCAACAAACTCCGACCTCCAAGGTTAGCGACTATTATACCGAGGTGCTTCTAGATGGGGAAATTCGCGGCAAAACTGCTGTCAAGTATCGCACTATGAATCCTTTCTGGCGTGAGGATTTCCTCTTCACTGATCTGCCCCCAGTTCTATCCCAAGCTTCGATTCTTGTGAAAACTCTCAACCCGACTCAGAAAGACTGGACACTCATCGCCCACGGAACATACGCTTCCAACCAAGACATGAACGCCGTAAATATGCTGGATGAAATCGAAATCTCTGCAAACGATGCCATTTTCGGCCGGGTAGACATGCGACTTGAGGAACTGGATGCCGGTGTGGATACTGAAAAGTGGTGGCCAATCCTGGACGATCAAGACAACGCAGTAGGCGAAATGTTTATGAGAGCTCGAATGGAGGAAACTGTTGTTCTAATGTCGGACGAATATGCACCGATATCGGAAATTCTCCACTCCTTCACCAACGGTCTCACAATCAACATGGCTCAAGTGATGTCGTCGGAGCTGACACATTTGGCCGAAATGCTTCTGAACATCTATCAAGTCTCAGGGTCCACGGTGGAATGGATCTCAGCACTGGTCGAAGATGAAATTGACGGAGTTCACAAAGAGTCCACCACCAACCGGCTGAGATACACAACGAGAATACATTCCAACAACACTCAGGAGTCAGGCCAGGAGCGTGAAGTCCTTGTGAGAGACATGGGCAGGACAGCGACTGTCGAGGCCAACCTCCTGTTCCGTGGAAACTCACTTCTGACCAAGGCACTGGACCTCCACATGCGTCGTCTGGGCAAGCAGTATCTTGAAGACACCATTGCGGAACGACTACGTGATATCGACGAAAGCGATCCGGAATGCGAAGTCGACCCATCTCGTGTTCCACGCCATGAGGATCTTGAACGCAACTGGAGAAACCTTACAGCACTCACCACTAGTGTATGGAAGTCTATCGCCGGCTCTGCATCAAGATGTCCCCCGGAATTGCGTCGCATCTTCCGGCATGTCAGGGCATGTGCAGATGACCGCTATGGAGATTTCCTACGCTCTGTGACATACAGCAGTGTTTCTGGTTTCTTGTTCTTGCGGTTCTTTTGTCCAGCCATCCTCAACCCGAAACTCTTCGGGCTATTGAAAGATCACCCTCGTCCTCGTGCACAGCGCACCCTCACGCTTATTGCTAAAGCCTTGCAGGGATTGGCTAATATGACAACGTTTGGTAACAAAGAACCTTGGATGGAGCCAATGAACAAATTCCTTGTGGGCCATCGCTCGGATTTCAAAGATTTCGTCGATTCCATCTGTGGAATTCCAGCTGATCGACCAGCTCCTATTGTCACGCCTTCCTACACCACGCCTATTCAAATCCTTGGAAGGTTGCCTCCGACGTCGCGCGAAGGCTTCCCCAGCCTTCCGTTCCTTATCGATCATGCTCGGTGCTTCGCAAATTTGATTCGTGTGTGGCTTGACGTGGCTCCTCATCGGTTGAACGAATTAGGAGAACTTGATGTCAACCTTGCCAAGTTCCATAAAGCGGCTCTTGATCTACGGGCACGGACCGAGGAGTGTCTCAGTCGAGCGGAGCAAGCCGAGCGGCCTAGTGGCAGTCTCGAGATCAAATGGGAAGAGCTAGTGGACTCGATGGAACGGCCCGTGACCTTTTACGACGAACGCTCGAGCCAGCCATCGACCCCTGCCGCCGATCCCATGATGTCCGGCTCCGCGCCAGCACCAAACAGTCATCGCAACTCCATTGGCTACTTTGCTACGCGACCTGCAATGCCTCGTCGTTCCACCGATCATGCTCCTGACGCCGATGAGGATACACCGCCAAGCTCGTCATCCGCTACCTGGGACCAAAGTCGCATTCCATTCGCCATCCCACGTTGGTCTGATGCCCGCGACAGCACCGGAAGTTCCAAGAATTCCTCAACCTACTCGCTGGAGTACTCGGAGTCTTCCAAAGCGCGCAGGGCCAGCGTCACCAAGGAATCATCTAGCAAGTACCGCTTCTTCGACTTCGTCCCCGCCCCATCTCGACGCAAACACAAGGACCGTGACCAGTCTCAAAACAACCACTCGCATGAGGATTTGCGCAATGAATCTTAATGCACGAATTTGCCTGCATGCCATTTCCTTTCTCTCTCTCTTCTACGCTTTTCCTCTTTCGTCCTTTCCTCTCTGACCGCTTCCCATGTGCTCATGATTTGAACGTTTTTCATTTCTCCCTCTACTCCCCTCTTCATCTTCCGCCTTTCCTCCTTCATTCCTACCTGTGCCGTGCCCTATGCTTGTTTCGATCATCTATCTTTATTTTCTTTCCCCCAAAGCATGTGTCACGGTGTTGATACCCTGTCCCTCATTTGATTGTGTGTTTTCATGGTCCCCCTCTCTCCCTTATACACAACCAACCTCCTACCTTCTTCCAACTCCAACTCCAACTCCAATCCCGTCTCTCGGTTCTAGGAACAAAAGAGAAGAACGGAAAAAGATACACAAAAAAAGAGAGAGACTAAAAGTAAGGTCTTGATTTTTGGGGCGAAACAAAACTAAACGAACACGATGATCTGATTTATCTCGATCGAGAGATCTCTATGATATGATATCCTGTTTTACTCTTACTCTCCTTTTGGTCGGACCTTGTCAGATTCTATTGTTTAATGGGATCGGATCATTCTTATATCTCCATTTGGTTTGGGTTTGATTCCCTTTGGAGATAGATGGTGGCCAATGTGTAAATACCTCTTTATGCTTTTCATGTTTCTTCCTATAGATGGAATGGATTGGTGTTCTCCTTTCATTGGTACACACAATACATAGCATTGTTTACTGAGATCAAGATACAATATGAGTTCAATTTAAACCCCGACGTGAGCATGGTAAAAAGTAAAGTGACTGTATCAACTCCCTTCCTTGGGGTATGGGCTTATCCTCCTCAACTTAGATTTAGACCAGCGATACTGCCTTGTTGATAGTTTGAAGTCACGTCTGTCTGCCTTTCATCCTACTTGCTAGTTAATGCATGCCACTACCATGACCAGAAGATATTGCAGTGGCAATGGTAAGTAAGTGTCTTATCAGTCGGTCTAATGTTGCGTTATTGTGGAATACGAGGAGCTGGGGGGCTTGAACGAAAGATTCGAGAAATTCCAGGTAAGAATAGAGTCGTATTAGATGTATAACATTGGCGTTAGGATTAGCACAGTTTTAGTATGATATTTCACCTGAAAAAATCCATCAATTTGTTGGCATTTCAATCAATCGGATTGATTGTCAATTCCCGCCTAGTAGCCAACAACGAAATTGATGTTTGTCAAGGGTGTACAGTCAATACAATACTGAAATTGATCTAGTTTCAACGCTGATGGTAGACATCCACTACTATTTGAGGAGGAGTGTGTTTTGATCAATTTGGGATGTATTTTTGACATAACCCTGATAAATTAATTACTGCCACAAGCAAAGCTTGCCACTGGCAGTACCGGCAGCCACCCAATTCTTACTGCGATGGAAGACAGCCACCGCAGGGACTGCCGTAATGCCCTCCCCACCAAGCTGAGCAAGCTGGTCACCGTTGCTGCTGTAGATGTCGACAAAGCGGTTCATGTTGCCGATGCAGAACCGTTGAATTGGTGACTGCGGGTTAAGTTGCCACTGAGGGCGTAGACTAGAGAAATGTTAGTTAGGGCTCAGAATGGCCAGAAAAGATACACGCAGAACGCAAGACACGCAGAAAGGTAGAAAATGAGAGAAAAGACAATAAAGCCACAAACATAAACGCAGAGAGTCAAGGCTTGGAACATACATTGTCACCCAGCGCCCAGTTTGGCAATTGTGTCTGACAACAGTGTCAGGGGTGAGGTCTTCTTTGAGGGTGTGGCCTTCCTGCCACGACGAGAATCCCTTTGCGCCAATATCATAAATCTTAATTGTGTCGTCATATGAACTGGTTGCGATTTGACCAGCCGAGTTGAATGCAGCGTGTGATACCGAGAGGCGGTTCTCATGCTCGGCGACTGGGATTGGGTTCTCAACTGACAAGTTGCGCAGATCCCACAAACGCATGAAACGGTCCAGACTCGCTGTTGCGACGAAGTGAGGCTGCGAGGGGCAAATTGTGAATCCACCGATTTTCTTCTCCGATAGTTGCCACGAGGAGACGTTGCTTTCATTACGAGCCATGCGCATATCATAACGACCGAACTCGCCGTTCAGAGTCGTCCAGTACAGTGTATGAGGATCATCTGGTACCATGTCCACCGAGGAAACTGCCTCGTCAATGTTGGTAGATTCTGGTGCGTACTTCTCCGACGATACCATCTTCTCCAGATCCAATTCACGGATCGAGCTGTCATAACTAGCGGTGTACAGGTGAGTCGGCTTGCAGGGATTAATTGTCATCGAGCAAATGGTACGAGTATGTGGCTTCAAAGTGGTCAAAATAGGGTCCGGATCATACTCATCCTCATCCTCGTCGTCCTCATTGACAGCAGGCTTTTCCTGCGACGCATCCAGCATACCGAGGTGACCCATCTTGTCACCGGCGAAGATGAGAGGCTTTGATTCGGATGGGTGAAAGGTCATCGCATACACGCGCTCCGGGGTGATCTTGATACCTGCAATTCAAAGGTGTTAGCGAAAGGCATCGAAGACACATGAATACAGTATAGGACAAGGGCTTCTCACGCTGCGGATCCCAAGCTTCCCAAAGCTTCAATCCACTCATTTCCTCCCGGATCGCCTTCAAGTCCTTGTCTGTGGTCTTCTCAACATCGTCATTGTCGAATGTTCGCTCATAGGGCTTTGCGACACCCTTGGTGATTACGTCGACACCGATCAAATCGGCCCCGGTCAGCTTCTGTCCGGCAACGAACATATCAGCTTGTGTGAAGGAATCGGTGCGGCGAATCCTCTTGGCGCGCTCGGCTTCGCGCAAGGCATCGTGTTCATCTTCGGCTTTGCGCTTTGCGACTTCACTGTCTGCCACGAGTCCCTTGAGGCGGGAGGAGGTACGTCGAGGGGTATTGTCTTCGTCTTCTTTCTTAATACGAGGTTTTGGCGGAGCACGCTTCTTTGACTTCGGACCACCACTGCCTGGAGGTTTGGGGGGAGTCATAAAATGACCGGCGGACTTGTTGTCGAGCATAAGTTGTTTGAGGAGCGCATCGCGTTCGGCGATGTTCGCCAAGCGCTCCTTTTCGAAGTCGGAGATTTCAGGCATTGCGTCGAAGGAATCAGTGTCTGGAGACGTATCTGGGGAAGCAGATTTGATCTCGTCTTCGAGCGTCGGAGGATCGGCAGAATCCCCGACGCGGAAGCGCGTCAACTGCTCGCGCGACATCATGTGACCTTGATTGCGGCAAAAAAAAAAGTAAACGTTCATAGTCCGTGCTGCAGTTGGAATCTCTCTTGTTCTGACGGATGCAAAGGAAGTGCGCAGGAGGATTGAGATATACCTTGAAGCAGAGTTCAATTCAACAAGTGTTGGTTCAAGAAGCAGGGCTGCGTTAGAAAAGCAAGAGAGGCAGAGCGAAGCAGTGCAAACGCTGCAATGGCGACAAGTCTCGCACGCCGAAGCGTTCTAGCAGCGACTGAAAGCTCGGCGCCGTTTCTATATCACACGCGCACAATCACCGCGGTGACACCTTCCCTACGAGCGCTCAATCGCCTACCCCGACGGACTTTTTCTACGCGCAATGCCACACTAGCGACGAACGATGTACCGGAGGACAAGCCGCCCATGAACAAGGATATTTCAATCGGGTTTGAGGCGGACGAAACTCCCAAGCCGAGGAGGAGCTATCTACAAAAACGAGCAGCATCTGTCTCCTCCCGCAGGCCAGTGGGCTTAAAGCAGCCGGTGCAGAGGTCAAATTCCAAGAAGATCACCTTTCAGGAAAAGGAGACTTTCAAAAATCTATTGGAAAAGCTGAAGACTAAGCGCGGAGATCCAGGCCAAACAGACGCATCAAACTCGTTGAGCGCAGAAAAACAAGCCGAGGTCACAGAGCTCATGTCCATATTCGACTCATTACTACAAGAGTCAAACAGAAAGCAGAAGAGAGAACATCGAAAGCAAAATGAGGCAAACTCAAAACCGACAAGACCAGAACAAACCACAATCGAGGAAGAAATCTCCGAGGACAAAGGTCCCCAAAGAATCAACCTCGACGACCTGGGCTACACAGAAGCAGCAACCCCCGGGGCCGCAATAACAATCACCATGAAAGAAGCAATCGACATTGTCGTGCAACGCGAATCCGAGCACATCGAATTCGCCCTCTTCCAAGCCATTGAAGAAGGAAAAGGCGACATGGGCGTGTGGGAAGTATGCAAAGCACGCATCTTCTCAATGCTAAACCATGTGGAAAGCCAACCAGCGCACAAAGTCCCGCGAAGCGCAGGGCCACTGCGCGTCCCGGCCGTCGTTCCCATTGCACCGGTCGTTGCGAGTCTATACCCAAAGACATTGCTCATCGCGTTCCGCGTGCTGAACACGCATTTCCCGGGTTCCCCGCTCATCGGACAGTTCCGCTCGAATATCAAAGAGCATGGACGGCTGTCCTCCCTGCTTGGTGCTTCGTCTGGTCTGTATGATGAGATGCTTTACTTCCATTGGCGGGGTTGCAAGGATCTGCCTGGGGTTGTGTCTTTGTTGCGGGAGATGGAGGTCATTGGGTTGACGCCTAGTAGCAAGTCGCGGGGCATGTTGACTGCACTTGTTATTCGCCGCAATCGAGATCTTGAGAAGCATCGGGAGGATGGCGGTGGTGAGCACTCTTTCTGGGATTTGCCTTCCAATAAGGAGGCGTTTGAAGCGCTTACTTGTCGTGGTGGGTGGATGGACAAGGTTGAGGCCAGGGCCGAGGAAGATGCTCGTCGGAGGGAGAGTCATCGCAAGTTCCGCGGTTGATATCTTCTCTTGTCTTTTTCTCAGGTCCTGCTGGTCGTCTAATAGGCGAACCTGTGAAGTTCTTTTCAAGTTTATTAGCGCCCCCAATACGCCTTCTCTACTCCTGACATAGAAGGCCCAAGGTCTTCGTGGATGATTCCCAAGGTTATAATAGTATCGACCATCTACAAACAAAAAGCGAATCTATGAACACGATCCTATACATTATAGTGTAAAAAGCACGAAAAACAAGCATGTAGACTGCTTTACGGTTTCACGCTGGTAGATTCCAGGGCCATGAGATCGCAATAGATTGCATTTTGGACGCGAATTCATGAAAAACCTCCGTCATAAGGTAAAACAGTCCTATCAGAGCAACTGGCAGTATCAAAATATGATTGTTCTTTCATTCCTCGTCAACGAACTATCGAACTAGCCATGCAAAATCTATGTACAAGAGCAAAGAAACAAATCCTACCCAGGGCAATTCCAACTCAAAAGGCCCCAAAATAACAAAGCGAAAAAAAAAGAAAAGCGGCCTCCGCTCAACCCTCAATCCCAGCCCTAAAGACCACCATGAATGCCCCAAAACTTCTCAGCATTGAAAGTAAAGCTATTATCATCCTTCCAAATATCATCAAAAGCAGTAAAAAGCACCAGATCTCGCTCCCTACCCGCAAAACTCTTCCTCAGACTCTCAACCGCAACCGCCTGGTTCTGCACAGAAGGAACAGCACCCCCATTCGCATCCCCAGCATGCGGCCATCCAGACTCAGTAATCATAGTGCGTTTTCCACCCGCACGAGCAGAGATCGAACGCGCCTGTTCGAGCGCATACGCACCCGCCCCGCTGGGACTCTGAGTCGCGTCGAAGAAAGCATGGCAATTCGCGGCGCAGTAGTCGCTCACTGTGCATAGTTCCGGGTGGTCGAGTAAGACGGAGAAGGTATCAACTGTGACGATTGGGCCGGTGTACCCCTGTCCGCGAAGGATGGTGCGTGCTTGCTTAACGGCGGAGACGACTTCGGCCGGGGTGTTTGTGTTGCCGTTGACGAGTTCGTTGCCGATTGCGATGGTGTGGTAGGCTGACCAGTCTTTTTTGCCGTTCGGTCCTGTTGGTGCGGCCTCGGCGAAGGCGTTGAGACTGTTGGGGAAGTCGGTTAGGTCGTATATCCCGGCGAAGACGCGCATGTTGTGTCTGCGGGCGGCGGTTGAGACGGTTTTGGTTTGGTCGCAGTCTGTGCCGTAGATTCTTATGAAGTTGTACTGGGAGAGGGTGTCGAGATCTCTGTTCACTTCTTCTTGGTTCTTGCAGCTGCGGTCTGCCTTGTAGGGCGAGTAGGAAATGCCGAAGCCGTGGTCATTTTGATTTGGGTTTTGATGTGGGCCTTGGGGGTTGGGGTGGCCGTGTGAATGTGGGTGAGGATGAGGGTGGATTTCGGGGTGTGGAGGGACGGATGGAGGAGCTGGAGGAGGAGGTGGTGGTGGTGGAGGACCGGCTGGAGGAAGAGCAGCCTGAGCAGGCGGTGGTGGAGGCAGCGGTGGCCCTGGCTGTGGTGGTCCTGGTGGCAGTGGACGAGGATTTTGACCCTTGGGAGGAGCAGGGACATTACGATCAGTCGTATCGATATCCTTCTTCGCGCCAGCCGGTGCCAATTCCAAGCGTGAAACATCGGTGGGAATCGATACTGAAGGCGCAGGCTGTAAAACGGACAATCAACATCCCAATCAACCAGTGGGAATAGATCTACTGACATTTCCATGTAAAGCCATCGAAGGCGAAGCATCATTGCTCTCCGGATTAATGGGAACTCCATCCTCGTTCACCCAGACAACAACCTCTCTAACAGACGGTGAAGGAGTGAGATCGGTTTGGCATTGTGTCTGGTCTATCGTACAGGAACACCAATTAGCAAAAGGGCTCATCCAACATGAACAAGTGATCAATTCCATTGAACAGATCTATTCTTACCTTGAACCTCAGCACAAACGCCCCAAGCAAGCACAAACCCAACCAACGCCCTGGTAAAACATAGGCGCTTCATTTCACCCGTTGACAGCTCCCTGTCCAGTGGATCGAAATCAGAATCCCTCAATGAACAACAGTGAGCAGCAAAGGTCGATCATGCATCCCTTTCAAACCCAAAAACTAAGAAGAGGAGGCGCAACAATACCTCAGTAAGTGCCGATCAATGGGATTATATCAACGCCCATATGGAAGCACACTCTACTGTAGCATGTAGCATGTAGCATGTGTGTCGCCACTATAAAGTGGAGCAGAAGCATGTAAATACAAGGGAGGATACAAGCACAGGCACAGGCACAGGCATAGAGGGACCTTGAATCTTGGACATGTGGAATGAGATCTGGGACTGCCAAGGTTCGAAGCGATCTGGATCCCTTGGGTACGGCGATCCTGGCAATCTGGGTATAGCATGTAAGCTGGATTTGGGGCTTGTCTTGGTGGGTTGGTGGAATGTAATTTGTGTTGCTTCTTGCTGGAATGTGGGGGGTGCATATTTCGTTGCTGCGCGGTGATAGGGATGCTTCTGTGAATGTTATCGGGAATTTGGTGTTGGGTTCCTCATCTTGGGTTGGGCTTGGAAGGGGTGGTTTAAGGAGTTGGCTCTAGGAGGTCGGCCTTGACACTTTAGGGTTTGCCGTCAGGGGGGTGAGGGTTGATTTGTTCTAGACGTTAGTTCGAATATTGCTATCACGAATCCTTCGACACTGCAAGTCTTTTGGGTAAAAAAAGGAAAAGGGAAATAGGGGGGAAAGAGAATAGAAATTTCCAGGTTCAAAGGACTAGTTTTCAGTCTCGCACTGAGGGAGAGAATGGCTGCAAATAAACACAAGAACACAGCCAAAGCCAGGCTAAGAGAAAATAGTATTAAACAATCTAAACCAAGCACAGGCGTAGCAAAAGCAAACTCCAGCCCGGAAGAGAAAAGGGGCGGTCCTGTGCAAGGGTATGCAAGAAGAATGTATGATATCGACAATGGGTTAACAATACACGGGTTGAAGGGGCATTAGGTCGTAGGTCGACGAGAGGAAGGAAAATGATAATTGCCAGGTGTCATAGGTAGGCGTGGGCAGTCATCGTATCAACCGTTAAATATCAAGAATTGGATACGACAGGGAAAGATATCAAAGACGTCTACTTCCTCTTGCTCATCACTTTAGTAATGGCGTGCCGGATGATTGTGCCTGATTTTTCGATCTCTTTCTTTGTGAGGCCGGTGGTAACGCACACCTTCAGAGCAGGAAAGACGACCTGCTTGGGCTCGAAGTTGTCTTCGAGAGTTTTCAGGCGTGTGATGAGAACACTGTTGGCGAGACACTGTGAAGATGTTAAATTGCCGCACTGTGAGGGAGAATTGTTGATCAGGGGGGAAACTCATACCTCATCAACGATATCCTGAAGCAAGAATTGCTGATCAGTATCCGTGAGCCTCTTAGAGGCAACAACCTCGGGCTTGAGAACCAAGATGAGAATTGGGTTCTCAGGGACGCTGGAGCAGTAAACCCAGTCACTGCGAGGATCAAGCTGAGCACGCATGGCCTTAGTAAGATCCCGAAGTTGGGTGACAGTCTCGGGGCTGTTCTGAAGGATGTTGATAGTGGCACTAGCAGTAGTAGACAGCAGAGCCGGAAGCGCAGCGGAGAAAGTATAAGCAGCAGCAGAAATCCGCTGGTGGTGAACGATCTCCTCTGAACCAGCACAGAAGCCACCACCGGCAACAAGGGGACCAGCCAGCGATCCCACAATCATATCAACCTCAGCGGCATCGACATTCTGGTGCTCAGTGATACCACGACCGGTACGACCAAGAACGCCAAAAGACCATGTCTCGTCAAGAATCAAACGGAACTTGTATTTGAGTCTCAACTCAATCTGCAAAGAAATGTCAGCAAGCCATCCATCCAACTATGAAATCAAGCAAGGCAACCCACAATTTTGGGCAAATCAGCCATGTCTCCATAAGACTCAAACAGTCCCTCGGTGATAATGAACCTCCGAGTCAATGGCTTGCGCGCCTGCTCCTTGGTAACCTTGGCCAGGACGCGCTCCAGATCCTCCATATCATTATGCTCATACCATCTCACAATGCTTCGGGAAATCTGGATACCCTTTCGAATAGCAAAAGAAACACCCTTATCAGCAACGATGATATCACCACGCTTCGAGAAAGCGGGAATAACACTAGAAATAGTCGAGAACGCCTGGGAATAGATAATGCAAGCGGCTGTTCCCAGGAAGGCGGAGACGTCGTCTTCGGTCTTCATGTGCACATCCTGTGTACCATAGAATCCACGTGGACCACAGGGCCCGACACCGTACGCGCGCAGTGTCTGAATGGCTTGTTCCTTGAGGGACTCGTTCGTGTTGAAGTTGTAGAAGTTGAAGGAGCCAAGATTCGTGACTGTGCGGCCGTTGGAGAGCTTGGACTTGGGGCCTACGGGGCTGGAACACCCCACGAGGATTCGTTAGCAAATGTTCAATGTCCGCAGGGATCAATTGAAAGGCAAGATGTATTTACCCGACGATCACAGTGCGCTTGTCTACTTCCATTTCGTCAAGACTTGTCGGGTTTCCGACGAGGGGTTCCGGAATCCATTCGTCGACGAGATCATCAATCTCATCTTCCGTCAGCGGTACGACGCCGGGCTTGGTTGAGTACTTCGGAGCGAGCAAGTATCGGACAGCGAAGAGGAACAGGAAGAGTTCGACGGCGGAACGGACGGGGTCATCTTGATAGCTTGATTTCACATAGCGGAGGAAGATTGCGGAGCCTGGCACGCGGTGAAATAGGTCGGCAAGGTTGCTTAGATGTTCGGAAAGGAGACGCTGCGTCTCCTGGAGATCCATGACGAGGGAGATAGAGGAAGTAGGGAGGGCCCTGGAGATTTTTATGAATATACCCGGTCCGATGCTGGTGCTTGGGTGTAGTTCCGGGGTTAGAAGGGCGCAATGGAGATCAGCTTCTTGAAATGAGGATGAAACGGGGGGTCCGGGTCGTGGCACGTGACCCGTTCCTGCCGTGCATAACTACGGAGTTCGGACTACAAGTAAACAGTGCGCTTTGGGCTAATTTTGGGCTAATAATTCATGAATGGTCTAAACAATCAATTGAGTTTATCTCGAAAGCAATGCAATTTAATTCCGTGGGAAGTGTAAATAAAACAAGCAAAGAAAGCTGGAAAGAAACGAAGGTAAACCCCCGGAATGACAGAACCCTTCATACAAGCGTCATTCCACAAACAGTATTTGAAAAACAAGGATTCATTAAGATCAACGTGTGCGCCGGTGAGTTCAGAAAAATGCAGCGAGTTTTAATAAACGCAGAACTTTGTACAAACCATCTTCAAGTCAGGTCGCTTAGATGTACCAGCTGTCATATCCGGAAGAAGGCGAAGGAATAGCGCCAGATGAGTAACCACCGGGGAGACCATTGCCGGTGAACCACTTGACAGTGTCGTTAAGTCCGTGGTCCAGGGGCTGGAGGAGTCCAATTTGACCCTTGGACTGAACACCAAGGATGCCCCAGAGGGTATCCTTGAGCACGCTGTCGAGCACCTTGGTGTTGCGCAGGATGACGGGAGCGACGATGACAACAATGAAAATGACAAGCATGGTGAAGTAGAGAATGGCGAAACGAACAACACGTCTCTTGCGAAGCTTGGACTGCTTGAGGGAGTAGATAGGGGGGCGAATTTGCCGACTAGAAAGGATGTTAGAAAAGGGTTGCATAGACGGTGACTTCAGTAACTTACCTTGGCCGGAGCCAGAACAGAATGACGGAATGGAACTTGTCGACGTAGGGAATGGCGAGGGCAGGAAGCATGGCGAACAAGAGAATGTGACCGAGGACGAAATCGTTTGCGAAGTAACCGAGCTCAGTGATCTTGCAAAGGAATTCACGTCCGGGCTGGGAAAGCGAGTGCCATCCCATGTTGTACCATCTACCCGTCCACCAGGCAATGTTGGACTGATCATTCTTGAACTCACGGGTCAAAGCGAGCGAAATGATGAGCTTGTAAACGAAACGCTGAAGGGCCATGACGGCGATCATGCCGGAGATGGTACGGGCCCAGTTGAGAGACTCCAAGATGAACATGGCCAAGAAGAAGATGATGAAGCCAATGACAGCGATGGCGTGAGCAATCGCTGCAAGGACAGCACCGAATTTCTTGCAGCACATGCTGAAGAGGGGACCCATACAACAAGCCATACCGAAGAACATACCGGCAACACCAGCATTGAGACCGATGGGACCAAACGCAACGATGGCAATACGGGCGATAGGGTTGGCTGCCCAGTTGGGATCGTTGGAGAACATAGTCCGGGAGTTGATGTACAGGTAGGGGATCAGAGTGGCACCGACAACAACCAAGGGAGCGATGACTTCGCTGAAGAAGATGTTGGTGATGCGGGCTCTGGGGACGTCTCCGTTGCCCTTCTCAGATGGAACACCGAGGAGCTTGCGCTTGTAACCGGTGATACGAGTACGCGATAGACGACAGAAACCAATCCAGGATGAAGCGTGTGATCGGGAGTTTCCACGCGACAGCCAGCGAATGTAGTCACGGTAATCAATGAAGAAGTCGTTCCAGGCAAACTGGTGAGGGTTGAACAAGAACGGCGAGATGCACAGCGCGAGGAGGGAAACCCAGAACCAAATCAGGGCAGGAGTCCAGACAGTGGTGGTGGAGAACAAGAGCATCAGCAGGAGACGAGCACCAGCGTAGATGGAAGGACCAGCGAAACGCGAGTAGAGCACACCGAATGGAATACGAGCAGTAGCGAAACCACGACCGGTACCAATGTAGCGGGCACCTCCGAAAGCCAAATTCTGGTGAACGGCGTTGGCGTAGATTTGGCAGACGAACACTTCGAACATGAAGGAGAATGAACCAAAGTGCTTGGCCAGACGAGTAGCCATGCGCCAGACACCTCGTTCTGTCAATTCCTGAACAGCGAGAGGAACGAACGAGATGAAGAACACAATGAAAATGGAGATAACACAACGGTTGACCCAGTCCAAAATGGGGATCAAGTTGACACAGAGAGTTGGCTGGAGGGGATCGGTGATGGGTAGGTCGGAGTTGAATCGGCACATGATAGTCTCGTGCTTCAGGGCACCCAAGTTGATCAGAACAATCATGAACATCTGCACAGACAACATAATGAACATGTTGTTAAGATGGAAACCAGGATGGGCGTAGTAGAAGGACAGGAAACGATCAAGAGGAAGCTGGGTACCGAGGTAGTAGTACTCTCGAGACAGCATCTGCTCACCCATACCAGTACCAATCTTCGTTGTGAAGTTCAAAATGGATCCGAAACCGAGATCACGACCCTTACCACACTGGTAGTATTCACAGTGCTTGATGCGACCTCCACGGAGAACAGCGTTCATACCAGCGTAAATATCCTCGTTGAGATGCAGACCCTTTTGAGCCTTGGACACACCGCCACGAGTACACATGAAGGTTGCGTTGAGGAAATCGGGGTGACCATAATGCAGCTTACCACCAATCTGGGCAAGAGTACGGGCGAAGAGAGTACCGAACGTCTGTTCCTTGGAGGCGGCAACGTCACCAAGAACACCAACACTCTCAGAGAAAATGTATTCACGGGCTCCGAGAATGGCGACGGGGTTGCTGTCGGGCGAGGCAATACCAGGGGTATAGGGCGAAACGTTGTCGGTGGTCAATTCCTCGAACTCAGCCAGGACGCTGCGAATCTTGAGGCACTCCTCGAGGTAGTTGTCCTGGTTGGCGTCGATCAACTGAATGTATTCACCGCGGTAGAAGATGATGGCATGGTTCTGGTTGTCACTCTTTCCGTCTCCAAGAATGGGGTTACCGGAAAGCTGGATGCGGAACTTGGGCTTACGCATGTTGCCTTCGAGAAGTTCACAGTGACCATCAATCAAGGCAGAGTACAGACGGGGCTCCTCGCCTTCGGTGGCAGGAGGCTCTTCGTCGAGGTAAGCGATTTGGAGATCGGGGTAAGCACGGAGCAAGAACTCGGTGTTCTCACGCTCATCCTTGTTGAACTTGGCATAACGCTGCATGGAGACACAAATACGGAACTTGCGGCGGGCCATACGCTCGAGCTCGCGCTCCAGCTTCTCGGAGTTTCCACCGAACATCTGGACGACTTCAGGGTTCTCGACACGGTACAGGAGCTTGATAGCACGACTGTAGTTCATGAAGCCAGAGACAGTTCTGTAGAGAGTCTGAGAGCGAAGGGAAGCCCAGATACGTGTGCGGAGAGTGTACTCGGGAGCGGCAGACTTGAAACCAATGCAGTAGAAGGGAAGATCATCAATCTTGCTCTTGGCGGCATCCTTTTCGGGTTTCTCGCCATTGAACTGGGAGGTTTCATCCGCCAGAATCTTGGTGTCCTTGACGAAGCAGTCCCACTCATGAGGATGAAGCTGCTTTAGGTATTCCAGAAGGGTGACACGAGAGTAAGGCTCATCTTCACGAATAATCTCACGCAAGGAAAGCAGAATCTTTTCACTGTAGTGAGGAATGAGGACCGTAAAGGTGGGCATGTTATCGACGGGGAGCGGCTCCGGCATGGGAGTGGAGAGCGATTGGGCGAAGAAGGAAATACGACGCTCGGCCTCACTACCTTGAGGGAAGAACTCAGTCTTGAAAGACTGGTCTTCTTGAGAAACGAAGAAGGTAGGGGCACGAAGAGTACGTTTGCCTTCCTGCTCAGATGGAACCTGGTGGTACAACAGCTTCTGCACGTGGTCGATGGCCAAAAGATGCTCGCGGTACATGGAGATAATAATGGCGTTCCAGACCTGGGAAATCAGGACCTTCGGCTTGTACTTGATCTCCATGTCGGTGGTTGCCAGAACCTTGGAGTAGATACGCTTGGGAAGACGAGAGAAGATATTTCTCCAGGGAGACCAAATGGAGACACCGAGGTAGAAAGAACGCGCAACGGAAAAGATAGTGTTACAGATAATGTACCAAAGGTAACTATCCAGGAAGAACAGAGTCAAATCCATGAAGAACATCAGACCCAACAGGATCTGGGGTTGACGGTGACAAAGGACGTTGCCAATGTACTGCGCACCAGTGCACTGGTGAATCTGCATAGGGGACAGAATGCGAATTGGATCCTTGAAAGACAGAGTCAAGAAGAAGTAAGACTCAGCCAACTTGGCACCGAAAACGCAAACCCAGAGACCATAAGACATCCACATGTCGTTACCCGAAAGATGAGGGAAACTGGCAGTGAAAGTCTGACTGGCAACATATTGACGGCCGTGCTTCTTCAGGTAACTTCCGAAGAGAGCACCGAGGGGCTGGATAGCGAAGAAGACGGCTGTCAGGAGAGCGATGACAAAGTGAACAATACCCAGGGCGAGGCCGACCGGGTTTTGAATGTTCTTTGGCAACTGATTCAAGAAACCGAAGATAATCACACCAGGAACCAGGTTGACAATGAAAACACCCAGGAGGAAGAAGAAACGCTTGCGCAGGTGCTGAGCTCCAGCCCAACGACGTGGAACATACAACCATTCGGTGATAGTAGCGAAAATCTGAATGAAGGACGCGAGAGCACCACCAAAGCCAACAGCAGCCAGGTATCGAGGTGTGATTGGCTTGTTATCAAGCTGTTGCTGATAGTTCGGTGTGTAGAGGGTGGGAGCGTTGTAAGCAGTGAAGAACCAGAAAGCAGTCAAGTGGATAACCCAGATACGGTTGAAGTTGGTGACCATGTGGAACCATGATCGGGTCTCCTTATATGTCTTGAAGAAAGCCTTCTTCCAAACAACGTCCTTCAGCTTGGGGTAACGTTCGGCGACCGGGATATCGACAAGACGGGTCTTGTCCTCA